GAAAGGAGAAGAGGTGCTCCGCAACTGCCAAGTACCAGAGCTCGTTCGAAGCGTCTCTGGCTATTCGCGAACTAAATGGTCGGCGATTCAACAAACTGAGTCTCGTCGTTCGTCTTGACCGTAGTGAGGCAGGGAGTGCTAGTTCTGCGCTAAGCACTACCTCACGTGGATCTGATAGTGACTCTCCGACACCAAGATATAGCTCACAAAAATCAGCATCGACGAGAAATGGCCCGCTCGTTGTGAATGGAGCGAGGGGCCCAGGCTATCGCAAGAATTTGGGACGCGACGATGATAGCGAAAGCACAGTTGATAGTAGTGGGGAGGAGGAGAGTTATAGGCCAAAGGTCAAAGGTACTTCTTCTGCCTTGCAGCTCTCCCTGTGCTCAGCCAGTCCCGGAAATTTACTGACAACATTGCAGCTGCAAGTCCTCGTCTGGGCTCTCGCAATTCCAGTTCACAAGCCACACACCGCTGAAGAGCTCGAAGCGTTGACCTTGAGATGTGGAGAAAACTCGTGAGAAGCACAGCAGACTCAATACATGCATGAACCAGTCAGCGAACACGAATCACGCATTGGATATTAATACATCTTCCCTTCGTGCGGGTTGCAGGTGTTGGGTCATCTCGACCATAGAGTCAGTATTCTGTTTCTCCTGCTCGGTAGCACTGCATACACAATCTAATCGTTTGTCTCAAAATGTAAAGATCGTGCTGTCCTTAATCAGTGTCGGTCATGGGTGGAATTTCACCAATCTCACGAAAGGGCATGCTGGTATGCTATTAATTTGAGACATCACTAGATATCAGCAGCGCATTACGTCGTCGCATGCTACGATCGCAGCTTACGATGCAAACATTGAAATGTGTTAGGGCGTAGTGCTGGGCACGACACGAGGAAGGAGCAATGCATCTCGCGAACGCCAACGTATCTGCCTTTTCACTTGGCTCATCCTCCTTGCAGAAACTGCTGCGATCGTGCTGCCGACCTAGTGTTTAAGCAGTAGACGTGTCGTTGTGAGCGAGGTTAAACGAACACGAGCTGCATGCTTAGTCTTTACCGCTAGGCACGCATGAGCAGATGCGAATGCTTCGTGTGGCGAGCTTGTCCGGATCCCCGAGGTCCGTGTACGCATTTCGCGTGGATGCACTGCATTGCAGAACACGTACCATCAAAACCTGGAATTTTGAGACCAGTTCCACACCTGAGGTGTCCGGTGCCACTTTAGCCGCTATTTTTGATAAAGCTAGCTTAAGGTGTTAAGGCATTATGTTAATCCCGATGACATCTTGATATTCTTGATCTAGACTAGCCGGATGCCTTGACACCTCAAGCTAGTTTTATCAAAAATAGCGGCTAAAGTGGCACCGGACACCTCAGGTGTGGAACTGGTCTTAAAATTCCAGGTTTTGATGGTACGGTGGTATGTACGGTATCTAGACCGGGTATGGACCACAGTATGGACTCGATCGTACGCACTAACACCTTCGACGCGCGGCATCGATAGCAAGGCTTCGTATCGCCAGATTCAAGCCCACGAAAGGCCCGAAGATCGACCGTACCACCTTCAGGACAGGTGGTGTCTTATTGTAGCCCTCATCCCACGAGGGAATGGGTATGCAGATCACATTGCCAAATCCCCAGAAGCGAAACCTTACTTTCGGATCGTAACAGTACTTTGCACCTGCAAATGTCATCTCTGCACAAGGAGATTGATACACAACAGATTGCGTGTTCGTGCTACCTACCACAAGACACAAGATACGCACTTCAAGATAGGGGACACAATCTCCGTCAAAACCCGAGATCTTAGCGTCGATGCAAGCTAACGTGCATCGTGAACTGGGCTGCATGACAGTGCAGACGGAAGCAGGCTCCTGGTGAGCGTGTGTGTGTGTGTGATGTGTACTGTCCATACATATGCTGACCCTTGCCAGCGCACGCGTCCTGAGCTTGGTAATCGTGTTTTTTTGTTTCTTCTCGCTTGTTTGGATGCTGGCAGGTGTCAGGATGTTGTTGGATGCGGATCGATCCACGCACTTCACCACGCTACGCATACGTAGATCTGTAATTGAGGTGCGGGCTTGCATAGGGTGTGTCACGTTATACGAACTGATCTGGATGTTGTGCTACATACGAGCACGGTCGGCTGTTTTCGGGATCGAGAATACTCCGTGGTGGTGGGAAAGCCTGATTGAGTGTTCAGAGGAAATACCGCGGTAGATGCTCAGGACACGAATTTTGATTTTTCCGCTACAATACGTATCTCACTCCTGACCAGCATGAGAAACAACAAGAGATGAGGAGATCCTTCCCGCCTCGAGACATCGAAGACTTCATACATGGCTCAGAAGTGATGCAAAGTACGTAGGCCAGCGAGTGAGAGGTATCGCAATACTAATTCACTTCTGATTTTCCAAGTCTTATGACAATATGACTTTTATTTTGCGAGAACTCCAGTAATTCATGCAGCATAATCAACCTGTCTTGGTATTTCTTGCTTGCAGCAACTTCTTCAGAGCTTCGTCCCGTTTTGCAAAATCCGCAGCCGTAGGCATACCGTAGGCTTCTCTTGTTTGTTCGACTACTACATCAGCCCAAGACTTGCTGGGATTGGAGTCACCTTCGCCAGCCTGCTTAGCTTCAGTAAGAAATGAGGAGCTTTTGAAGGATTCTGTCCCTGCAGTATCCCAAATATCTTCGATAGTGCCTGACAAATTGTGGAAAAATGCACCTAGACCTCGGGTACCCCCTCCATAATGGTATGATTTGAAAGGTCCGGTCACGGCCCATCTTGGTCCAATGCTTGCTTCGACAACTTTGTCAATGTCTTCTACAGACACCACACCCTCGGAGACGAGGTGGCACGCTTCTCTTAACAGTACGAATGCCAGGCGGTTTCCGACAAAACCAGGTACCTCTTTCTTAATCACGACTGGTTGGTGATCTGAGCCTAGTGCGCTGAAAAATGACCTCGCAAACTCAGTCTCTTCGGGCCTAGTATGCGGCGACGGCACGATCTCGATGAGAGGCATTATGTGCTAGATGAACTTGTCAGGGAAAAGTGAAGGAAAAACAACGATATCACGCACTGGTGGGTTGAAAGGATGTACGACCAAAAGCCGCGACTTGTCCTCGAGCTCAGCGACTTGTTGTGACGCTGGAATGCCCGAGGTTGAACTCCATAGGTGCGCCTCAGGAGATACTGTGTCGACCACTTGCTTCCATATCAATCTCTTGAGGGTTACATTTTCTGCCGTCTGCTCCTGAACAATCACTGCCTCTTTGCATGCCTCTTCGACCGAGCTACATATTCTCAGCCTTCCGTTTGTCAAATAGGTCTGCACTAGCTCTTTGGCATCTTTGACGTCAAGGTAGCCAGGTAGAATGGACTTTACGTGCTCCTGAAGATCGGGACGAGGGTCGTAGATACTGATAGTAGCCTCAGAATGCTTGAGGTAAAGGGACGCGAATGATATTCCGATAGTGCCTAGACCTATCAAGGTAATGGGAATATCCGTCTGACCTGATATGAAGTCAGCATGCTACGTGAGTTTCAATCGGTCACAAAGATGAGGACATTAGGCGCTGAGAAAAGCCCGAGCCTCAACCTATGTAAGCATCTTGTGACGTTACTTTGTGAGGACACAGCACTTTCGGGTCGACGCGTGTATGCAAGTTTCGATCGGATGGTCTCACCAGCTTCGATACTCATGACTCGAGTCTGTCTTAGTGGACGACACGAGACTGTTCAATATACCGAAGAGGCAGACAACGTTCTTCTCCCAGCTGGCTGCGAGAAGCATGGTTCAAATATATGCAAGAAAATCAAGGTTATAAGCTCAGATTAATGTTTACGCGACCTCGGCTTTCGAGCTGTCCAGAACTCGTGCTCCAGAGCGTATATAAAACAGAAATTCTGACCGTCGTAGAAAGTTTGTTCTCTTGGTATTCTTGGAATCGGACTTTGCAGCTGTTGTCGAGGGTCTAGATGTAAGGACTGATCATGCCAGCGCAGTACTGCTAGCATAGAGAGCTGGGATTGTGGGCAGCATGATCGCTCGTGTTCAATCGCTGAACTTGCAACTCACCTGGTAAGATATTTGTTTCTCACCAGGAGGTATACGAAGAGGTAGGGTGATCCAATGTTAAAAATACGTTCATCAGGTCTCGCCAGACTGGATTTCTTCCACGTCTACACCATGTCTTTCAGGCACAAAGGAAGCCTGGCACACCCGGAGACCTCGAGCTCGATCACCCCGGACGAATAGCTAGCACTCCCGGCGAATTTTCTTGGCGTCAATTGTGCGCCCAAGGAAATGGGACTCGGACGGTTCAGGAGAACAATCTGGTGCATTTATCATGTTGCGAAGGTCAACTGCAACTGCCGTGCTTGTCCTGACAGACCCTCCTGATCCGTGCTGAAAGATCGGCGTCATTACATCCGGACAAACAGAATTTTGCCAGTGTCTCCATTTTCCGTTCACGAATCCGAGTCTGGGCGAACAGCAGGTATTGGTTGTTTTTGACGAGAGACAAGACTTCAGCAATCATAGCGGTCTTGAGTAATGTCCGGAATGGGCGCTATCCTCGAACAACCCTAGCACTCCCATGTACATCTTAGCGAAGCCGAGTGTTGCGACGCAGGATTTGTGCAGAGATGTGTGCTCATAGTGGTTGATGAGATACAACAGGCCCACTGCTGCGGATCTGTGTACGACTGTGCGGCTGTGCACTTGTGTTGATAATGCTAAGACCAGGTACATTCCATGCTCGTTTGCTGTTCGAGTTGCTTGGTGCAAGTTGCGTGTTGAACTCACCCACCACCAGTCGCAGCTTCCTGAGAAAAGCTTACCTTCTAGGTGAAAATAGCTCCTTCCCTACAACGTGTGCAAAACCAATTCTCCTTACTCACTATCCTTGTCATTCGTTTTACTCTTCCCAACCCACAGCCGATCGACCGAACAATTTGATGCAAGCATTCTGAACGCCTCCAACCATGGCATCAGGAATACCCTACACTCCTAAGCCAGTTACTGATATCTTCACACCTTACCAAACAGACATCGACCGACGGAGATGTACAAGAACGAAACCTATGAAAGTCCTCGCCCTAGGTCTTGGACGAACCGGTACTGCTTCATTAAGGGCAGCTCTCCAAGAGTTGGGCTACAATGATACCTACCATATGATGAATGCTAGTGTTGAAAATCCTCCAGACTGCCTCTGTTGGATGGACGCATTCGCTGCAAAGTACGAAGGAAAGGGTACATTTGGCCGCAAAGAGTGGGATGGCCTGCTGGGTCACTGTATGGCAGTATGCGACTGGCCAGCAGTTGCCTTTGCGAAAGAGTTGATTGAAGCTTATCCTGACGCTAAGGTCATTATCACCACTCGAGATGTTGACTCCTGGCATGCCTCCGTTATGAAGACAGTCAACTGGCGAGCAAACGATCCAGAGCTTAAAGCCGTCGCCAATTTCGACTGGGCAGCTGGTCTTTACTATCCTATGCTTCGCAAGTTCTGGGATCATTTCTTCTACGGTGATTTCGAGCACAGAGGCAAAGAGAAATTTCAGGGATACTACAAAGAAATCAGAGAGCTCGTCCCACCAGGCAATCTGCTTGAGTTTCGTGTCAGCTCGGGTTGGCGTCCCCTCTGCGATTATCTCGAGCAACCAATTCCAGACAAGCCCTTTCCTCGATCCAACGACGCTGAACAGTTCGTCGAGCGATGCCGAACCCAGAATCGCAAGCAAATGATGAATGTCCTGTTCAGAGCTATGGTTGTCGGGGTGCCGGTCGTGGCCACCTTCGTAAGCGCAACATTCGCCTACACACACTGGGCACCTGCAGCTTTTAGTCCTCTCGCTTCTACTTCTATATCTTGAAAATGTTTCTAGCATGAGTCCCTGGGCTGGTAATAGAAGCAAGGTGTTATGGAGCGACTCGCTAAGGTTTTTGACGGCGGAAATTTGATTTTAAAGCCTTGAATACGGACTATGTGCAGACTGTACTCAGATTGACCACATACCATTGCGTTGATACACCTCACATCACGTCACTCTTCTACATGGTCTGAACATATTGCAGTATAAGCAATTGCAAACCTCATTAATCATTGATTGTCTTCCTCGCTTAATGCCGACCTCGGTCGGAACAGATAATTTGTGATGGTGCTGGATTCCAATCCAAGATCGATATCTCCACACGTCACACCATGCAACTCCATAACCTTGCTCATCATGCATGCCAAGAACAGCCACAATCTTTCTTCTTGTCACACAAAAACCAATTCCGCCAACGAGCCCGAAGCCAGGAAAGATAGTAAACTCACCAGCAATACTTGTACCGGTAAGACTATCCCAGGACATTTTCTCCTCTGATGGATGCTCGCGTGACTCAAAGGTCGTCTGTAACTTTCGACCATACAGAGCTTGCGATTCAACAACGATTGACCTTCTGCTTTCGGACAATCCAATCACTCTCTGAATCGCGTATACTTCTGATAGGCTTCCCTGCAACGATCCCGAGTCGCTTCACACTCCTCGTTGCCTACTAACCAGTATAATATTTCTTACTGGCGCATCTTACAGGCTCGAGATACACGTTTAGCTTTGTTGAACAACTTACGTGTGTCATTTGAACAGCAGGACAATACACCACATGAATTCCCACAATGAAACTCCTGGCCACTTGTTCGTGTCGCCATACACGAACATCCGATCTGGGTTGTATAGCTACGATAACGAGGCGAAGCTAGTGTGAAGTTCATCCTGCTGATATGGCGCAGGTCCGTCTCGGGCAAGTCTACCCATATCAGCAAGGCCGTGGTTTCAGTTGGCGCTACAGCTCTTCTATCCAGGCTAGCATGTTCGTAACGTCGAGAATTTCACCTTCGCATGGTTTCGGCGGTTCGAGGCTATGACGGAGCTTACGCGTACGAAGAAGGATCCACGACAGAGTCACGTACATTGGTTCAGAAGCTGATGATACCGAAGCAGACGAAGCACCAACAGCTGATAACGTTGGTTGGAGAGGGACTGTGATGACGAAGGCCGGTAGCATGGCGAGGAGCGCAATGCAAGAGAACAGGCCAGAAGCGGAACGGATATCACTGTCGATCGGCCTGATGATTGGCGATGTGTCTTCTGTACCAGATGATGCATCGAGCGTCGTTCGCGAAAGCATGATTATACTCTACTGGTACCAGTTGTACGAATCGGCCACGTACTCAGGCAAGTCGTTGACGTCCTTCTTGCACGTGTGCTGGTACGAGACTGAACGTGACCACTTACATGAGCCTCGATCGAAAAGCCTTCCCAGAGTGTGGACACTCAGGTCGTGACCCCTTGCTTGCAAAGCTTGTGAGAGCTTGATGACGCTTGGTAGACCATCAGTCGCACAAACAACGTAGCTATATGAGCAATTACTGATGTTTGCCATGGGTTTGGCTCGTCACAGCTGACGTGGAAAGCAGACGGGAGTGGAAGAGCCCGAAGCCGAAGAGTGAGGACATTCACATCCTAGCTCGATGATCGTGTTTTGGTCATTACAGCATGATATCTGGCAATGTAATGACAGACTCAAAACTAGTTGAGAAACTTAATCTTATCAGAACTTGGAACGGATAACCAAGATCTTGGTTTTGGGTCTAAATTTCTGAGGCGCATCGTTAGCGTCTTGTCGGCTCCTGATATCCTTGGACAACCACATCCGACTTTTCCTGCTGAAGAACTTCTATAACCAGTACGAGTATGTACGAAGGGATATAGCGCTGTAGATATCCGTTTCCATTTGTGTATCGCGAAGCTCTGTGATGATTGCGCATTGAGCAGACTGCTTGGACCGGAACCATGCCTCAAGAACAAGATATTAATTGAAAATGGGCACGTGCAGTACCACCACAAAGACTGACCCGAAATCGATCCTGAGGCATAACTCTAAAGCACGCTACGCGAGATTCAGAGCCTCAATGCGAGTCATGATATTTCGACAACCGAAAGGCTCTTTTATCGCTGTGTAAGACGGTGGTGTCAGTAGCAGTTAGAGAGATCGACTTCACTTTCACAGGCGTGACAATTTTGTTGTTCAAGGAGAGACATTGACCAGCAGGCTTCGATGGGAGTAGTCAATTCCATGAATTCACATGTTATAGCCTTATTACACATCGTCTGCGAGTCAAGCAGTTTGCGTATCCACTTTGATCGAATCAGGAAACATAGTCGAGCTTGGCATGCACTGACTGGGTAGGAGCGCGTGCAGCCAAGTTGTCAGTCGCGACCCGCTTTTGCCGCGTAACAAGCAAGGAAATCGAGCGCTGTCGGAGATACTTGAGGTGAATCTCGTACTGCCGCACCAGACATTCCCGTCGACATTCCGATACACCATCATTCGACATCGATGGTGGCTGTTACAACGTTCCACACGATGTTGTTCTTGCTCGTAGCTGAAGTCAGCAGGTGAATCTACAGGATGGAAATGCAGACTGTGTTTTCTGTCCCAAGGCTACTACGAGTAATACAAGTCAACCTCTAACCATAGCAATGCGACAACCTGCTCCACCGTCGTGGTCGTCCATACCTAAGAAGTTCGAGCTTGCTATCATATGTTCAGTCCGGATAGTCGACTTCTTCCAGCAAGCTGCTTTACAGGCATTCATGTTCTACCAATTGGCCTCATATTCACCCGATACCTCCGAAAGCGAGATATCCTTCCAAGTGGGAGTTTTGCAGGGTGTTTTCACTGCAGCACAGATTGTCACAAGTGTGATCTGGGGACGTGCCGCAGACTCTCCGACATGGGGTAGAAAGAGAGTGATACTGGCAAGTCTTATTGGGCAAGCAGTCAGTTGCATAGGCGTCGCTTTCTCGACAAGCTTTGCAACCGCTGTGATCTGGCGAACACTTGGTGGTGCTGTTAATGCGACGGTTGGCGGAGCTCGAACGGCTCTCTTTGAGAAGACGGAAAAGAAGTATCACTCAAGAACATCTCTTCTGCTGCCTCTGGCTTGGAACATTGCAAATATCTTTGGACCACCAGTCGGCGGTTTGTTGTCAGATCCTGTACGCTATTATCCAGCACTCTTCGGCGACAATTCTCTTTTTGGTGGTGCCAATGGTGTGACATGGATGAAGACGTATCCATATGCACTACCCAACCTGTTCTGTGCCCTCGTTCTGTTTGCAGATGCTGTTCTCGTCTTTCTTTTCCTGGAAGAAACATTGAAAGCCAGACAAGGCAGACGAGACAGGGGTCTTGAACTGGCAGCTGGGTTGCAGCAATTCTTCGTTCACTACGTACTGAGAAGATCCGGTTATCAAAGCCTGAATGATCACGATCCAAGACAGGGGACATCCTTGATAGATGATGGAGGATCGGCTAGCAGTACCTCGATGGTGGGTGTACCAAAGGAGCGATCCACGACACCTCCCGGACGTGAAGCAACCAATTCATCAACACTTCCACGGGTCTTGACGAAGAATATCATCCTGACTCTGACTACAGTTGCATTCTTAGATTTTCAGTTAGGTGGCTTCACAGCTTTGTGGAGTATGTTCCTGTCAAGCGAGAAGCGTGATCCAGTCTCTGGCCCCAAGCCTCATCTACCCTTTAAATTCACCGGAGGTCTAGGTTTTTCGCCTTCTGTCGTTGGCCTTGCCATGTCAATACTCGGCTTTGTCGGCATCATCTGCCAATTTGTGCTCTATCCACGAGTCAATGCTCGGTTCGGCTTACTGCGATCCACGATATATTCTCTGTTCTTCTTCCCTATAGCATACGTTCTAGCACCCTATCTATCCTTGCTCGCTTCGAACTCAGACAACCAGGTTGTTCTATGGTCTGGAATTACGCTTGTTGCGCTCATATTGATTGGTGCTCGCACATTCGCTATACCAGGAGTGGTATTACTCACTAACAATGCTTCACCTTCACCGGAAGTGCTTGGGACTGTGCATGGACTGGGCGCAGCAGTAAGTTCTGCTTTCAGGACATTTGGCCCTATGGTCGCCGGGAAGTGGTACAGCAATGGTTTGGAGAGAGACACTGTGGGAGAGCCGTGGTGGTTACTGGCGTTTAGCGCAGTGTTGGGGTGTATACCAGTCTTCTGGGTCAGGGACGGGAGGTGATCACAACAGCATTCACAGTAAATAGTGCAGTATTCAGTGTAGTGGTTCACTCTTAATATGGTAACAAGTACTGTTCACTCACTTCGACTCAGGTCGTTCTGATATATCTCTGAGCTCGCAGGCGACGACCAAAGCTCCTGTCTTATTCCTTCCAGAGAGCTTTTTGTATTACTTCAAAGTCGTTGTTACGCTGGTTTTCTGGCTCTTCAGGCACGCCCAAGAACTTCTTTCGGCCTTGTAGTGGGTCTTCGTTGATGCCTTGGGGTTAATTTGGGTTATCCGACCACCCGATGTTGTACCGTGCGGCACGCACTTCGTGGACTTCCAATTGCTCTCACTACTGCGCTTCAGATTGGCATCACACCTGCATTGCTTTCTGATCTGTCGCGTTCCTACATTTGACTTGCACATGCACCTGCACGTGCAAATACAATTGAAGACCACTCATGAGTTGTAGGAACATGCTAATCATGAGAGGCCCTGGTGAAGGGCTGGTTCCTGCCTATGCTTTCACTCGCTTCGCATGCAATGAACCTGTATAGTTCCTACCTGACTCTATATGATATCTACCTTTGCCCCTTCTGTCTAACCCTGTGCACCTTCCTGTTGGCCAACATTGCTCATGGAGGTTCACGTTACGAACCTCGATAGGAGCACGACTAACAAGGAGTTGTACGACTCGTTACAACCCTTACTGAAGCAGTTCTCTATCGACGTGTACGACGTTCGAAAGAGAACAGACAAAACCTTTGCAGCCCTAACTGTAGTAGATTCCGACAAAGGCGCCAGATTTCTGTTGAACACTCGGAGCAATCCTAACTTCCTGTTCACTACACCGTTGGGCAGACCAGCTCGTTTTCAGCTTAGCACAAACCGCCAGATGGGCAGCTCTTGCGTGTACTAAAGAAAGAAGCAAAAGATTCACAGGCTCGAAACATATCAGGACGAATCGGCAAGGGAAAAGATCAGACTCAGGATAATGATCAGTCAGCTCACAATGACCTGGCCATCTCCATGCTCGAGTGTGGATCCTGGTCAACAGGCAGTGATGACACCAGATCCTTCATCCCGTACTACAGCAATACGGTGAGAGGAACAATCACAAGAGACGGTCGAGACATTATCATTGTCCTGAATCATCGTCCGTCTTCGTACGAACTTACCATTGATGTAGCAAATATCTTAACTCTGACCACCTCTTCAAACGGCCAACAGCGCACCATAACGATGTCTCTCTCATACGCTCCCAAAATCTACGAGAAACTTGATCAGCTTCCAGCCATGATGAATGCCCTCATCTTGAGTACTCAAATCACTCGCTCCCGAGAGGTTACCCGTGCCCGTGAGACGACGCTGCCAAACTCCGGCCAATTCGTCATTGGCAGCTGCGCAACTTATCGATTCACGCTTCTAGGGGACATGCTAGCAGGTACTCTTTCAGAAAGACTTCGATCATTGACCTCTCGTTCGATACCACTGGAAAGGATCAGACACATGCCCCCACAAGCACCTGTGTCTGATTTCCAACAACAAGTCAACCATTTGATGGAGCAGTTCAAACCTTCTGACTGGACTTTTGAATGCAGATTCCAAGTGCAAGCCCTTTGGACTAACAGCCTCTTATCTCCTTTGGAAATACAGCAATTGATACCTACCATGGTCCAGATCAGAAATCAAAGCGACACGACTGCATTGGCCAAAGTGCTGCAAAATCTACGGTCTCAACTCAGGGTCGCCGACATTCGTACTGGAGGAGTCACTGAAGCACGGCATATCATGCTCAATCAACACCAGCTTTGGTCGGCCACAGCCAATTCACCCTCAGTGCGAGCGTTGTCTCGTGAGGAAGTACTAATTCATCGAGTGACTATCACACCTACGGGTATGTTTCTTGAGGGACCAGAAGAAGTCGTTGCAAACCGAGTTCTGCGCCAGCATCGCGATAACCAGAGTTTCTTCCTGCGTGTCTCTTTTACCGAGGAAGATTGGGACAGAATACAGTTCGAGAGAGACACTTCGAACGAGAGAGTTCTGCGCGGTCGTTTCCTGGATATCCTCCACCAAGGTCTGGATATCGGTGGTGAGCATTTTGACTTCCTGGGATTTTCTCACTCTTCGCTGAGGTCGCAGACGTGTTGGTTCATGCGTCCGTTTGTGCACAATGGTGAGCTTTTCTACGCAGGGCGTCTCATCGAATCACTAGGGGACTTCACCAGCATTCGTTCTCCAGCTAAATGTGCAGCGAGAATCGGACAAGCATTTAGCGAGACGCCTGCTGCAATTGCAATTGACCCAAAGACTGTGTCTAAGTGCTCAGACGTTCGTTGCGAGCAACACCTATTCACTGACGGTTGCGGGACAGCGTCTCGGGCTACGTGGAGGCTGTTAAAGAAAGCATCCTCCTCACAAGAACAACCTACACTGTATCAGATCCGATACAAAGGCAAGTCTGAGCGCTCCTATGCAGACCACCTGACTAATCCAGATCACAGGAGCGAAAGGGATGATTTCTTTGGATACGCGACTACAAGGACACCAGCTGCGACTCCGTGATTCGATGATCAAGTTCACTGGAAGTCCCTCCGATGATCTTGAGATTTGTGGCACAAACGCTCGTCCACTGTCCTTCAAGCTGAACCGTCAGCTAATCAAGATTCTCAGAGACCTTGGTGTCAAACCCTCCACATTTGAAGAGCTTCAGCAGAATGCAGTGGACAAACTCCGAGGGAGCACGTCGTCTGTGGCTTCAGCCGTTGATTTTCTCAAATTACACTTGGCTGATAGTGTTACTGGCCTGCCAACGCTGTTGAAAGCTCTCACTGATATCGACATCGACGTCACTGAAGATGGCTTTCTACGAGAGATTTTAGGAGCATTACTCCAGGTGCAACTCCGAGAAATCAAGTACCGAAGTCGAATACATGTGCCGCAAGCTGTGACACTGTATGGTATCTGTGATGAGACAGATTTCTTGAAGGAGGGCCAGGTCTTTGTAACCTATGCTGATTCGGGGAAACACCTGCATCTGAATCGAGAGGTTGCGGTGACGAGGTCTCCTGCCTTGCATCCAGGCGACGTCCAGGTCGCTGAGGCAGTGGCCCCACCTGAGGACTCATGTCTCTGGGATTTGCACAATTGCATCGTGTTCAGTCGACAAGGAAGTCGTGACTTGCCCAGCATGTTAAGCGGCGGTGACCTCGACGGCGACTTGTATAATATCATCTACGATTCGAGACTTCTACCCGCTCAGGTGGAAAGACCTGCCGCGTATTCACTGGCTCAAGCAATGGACATTGGACGACCAGTCACGGTGAATGTCGTGACAGCATTCTTCATCGACTTCATGCAAAACGACCAACTAGGACGAATTGCAACTCTTCATCAGGTTATCGCCGATGGCCCGGAAGGCACAAGATCTACAGAGTGTTTGAAGCTGGCAGAATTACATTCGACAGCTGTGGACTTCTCGAAGACTGGTGTCAAAGTGAGTCCCTCACGACTAGGCTGGAATATGACGAACTGACTCCAAACCAGGTTGATATCCGTCAAATCCCGAGAACACCAGCGTACCGACCTGACTTTATGGCACCTTCTGCGAGCATCAAAGTCGAGAAAGGCATCGAGCGACGAAGCGATCCACTGTCAGAGGCGCTTGAGGGACGACAACGATATAGATACTTTGAGTCAGAACGCATCTTGGGTCGGCTATATCGAGCCATTGACGAAGATCTGTTCTTTGGAGAACTCGAGGACGACACTTCGTCTCTCTTCAGCTCCGCAGCCACAGACAACGTCCTCCCCGAGATCCTCAAGTTCATCAGCGACATGATGAGAGGTCAAGATTGGAAGAGATACCTCCCGAAGGCAAGAGAAGTGAGAGACTAGTAAGCATTTTCCCTCGGCAAGCATAAACTCGAACTATTCTAATCAAAGTACATAGTTATGAGTCGAACATCGTGCTACACATCATGTCCACATACGCTACATCCAGAACCGATTACCTAACAGAAAAAGAAGTCTTCATAGGCTCCATCATCGGCCGCTCCGGCGCAGGCAACAAATGGCAACGTGAACAGTCCGAATATATGAAGGTTCAATTCAAAGCCGAGCTGCGCGACCTCAGGGCATGGATGAAGGACGAGACATCAGATACTGAGGATGGGTTCTTGTGCCTCGCTGCCGCGTGCGTCTACGTTGCTGTTCGAGAGCCGCCTAACGTGTCAACGGGCAAGCTGGAAGTGGTACTGAAGAGTTTCGGATGGTACGCGGCTGGATTGTGTGTGCCTCAGCTTGTTGATGAATCAAACGAAGGGAAGGATGTGGATTTTGGTGGTTGGGGTTTGGAATATGTATCTGGTTGATATGGTTAGACTAGAAATGTTCTGGCTATACAGACAAACGACATTGCGAGGCTCTAAACCCAGTACAGGCTATTGATTTCACTTGGCTTGCCGTGTCACACAGTAACAAAAAGCATCTCAAAAAAGAATAAGTATGATCGAGGCTGAGGAATTGGGGGTTCCTTCGCAAGTGAAGGTGAAGGTGAAATGTACTTGGTGAATGATGTTGAAAGTGAAAGAATATACGCATTGCGAGGGTATCTGCTGTAGGAACTCCAACAAGCACAAGCTGTACGTATGCAGCTAGCTAATCATAACGGTCATGTCCCTCCCTCCTCTCCTTCACGTCCTCACGCCCCTCTAACCCATCTATAGTCTCTGTACCCTTCCTCACCGTGCGTTGTGTACCATTAGAAACTTTCTCGTAAGTCTGCCATGCATTTTGTGTTCTTTTGCAAGACGATGGAGTACCAGTAAAGAGACACTGAGCATTCATACTCCTTCTCCCACTTCCAGCTTATAAGGATACCCTTCGTACCTAAGAAGACTCGCATGCTCTTTTTGTTCCATCAATTCAATCATGCTGCCTCTTCAACCCAGGAAAGCACTATTTCTGGCCACTAAACGACTTTCTACGCTCGTGAGCAGCAGTAGCGTCAGCGACCAATCGGTCAGTCTGTTCTTGCTCTTTCATCTCTCTGACCTTGGCGAGAACGACTTCTTTGAAAATGGCACTCTTTGCCGCTTTGCTCAGTGTTCTCTTCTCTTTAGCTTCAGAGGTAGCGAGTCCTCGTCCGGGAGATACGGCTCGTTGTTCTGAGGCTTTGACGGCTAGGCCTGCGGCGTTGGATGCATTGGCGGGGATATCGGAGGCGTCTTTTTCGTCCATATCGGCGGGGTTCTCTTGCAATTTGAGTTGATCGATTCGGTTCGCGAGCTTGACGAGTTCAATACCGCGCTTGAGTTTGGCTTTGGCCATGTAGCTTCTGATTTCGGGTAGGAGATCGTGATCTGAGGCCGTCTCACCCTCAAGCCACCTATGCTTCAGGGCGTCGACCGATGTGACTCTCTTCTTGGGATCTGGTTGTAACAAGCTCATGATGAATTCTTTAGCATCCTTACTGACATCCTTCCAGTAGCGCTCGTGAAAGATGATTCTGCCGGATTTGCATTCTTCTACCAGATCGGATAGATTCTCCGAGCGGAAAGGAGAGTAACCGCAAAGTAGGGTATATGTAATGACGCCGAGTGACCACATATCGACGGCCTTGCCATGACCCTGCTTAAGCATTACCTCAGGAGCAGCGTAGCCAAAGGAGCCGGCCATGGTCGTAAGAACTTCGCCTGGACTATCGAGCATTTTGGCGATGCCGAAATCTGCAAGGACAAGTTGGGAATCAGGATCTTTCGTTCGGTAAAGCAGATTTTCGGGCTTGAGATCTAACGATTGTCAGTATGGGAGCCCAGTCTGGAACTATCGAACTGACCTCTGTGAACGACGTTTCTCTGATGTAGGTAGTCGACTGCCTGTAGCACCTGCTTGATTGTCTGTGAAGCATCTTTCTCTGTGAACTTTCCCTGGTCGCAAATACGATCGAACAGTTCTCCTCCGGTCGCAAGCTCAGTTACGATGTAATATTTGTCCTAAACCACATTAGTGTTTTCATCCGTGACTGATGTATAGTCACTGACTCTGGACTCGAACCAATCGACAAACTTGACAATATGCGGGTGACTGAGGTGTTGCAGCATCTTGAGCTCATCGTAGACCATCTGCTCGTTGCCTTTAACATTCTTCTTCAATATTATTTTGACAGCCACCTTGTCTCCGTTACAATCTGCTTCCCGGACGATACCGTAAGTGCCGGCTCCAAGTGTGCGACCGAACCTGTACTGCGATTTCTTGTCATAGCTGTCGGGCTGGCCATGAAGTTTGTTCATGAAATTGGAGACTGCGCAAGAAAGTCAGCAGGATTCTCGGAATAACAGGCATGGAACGTCGACGAGCAGGATCAGAGGCCGTGACGAGTGGGGCATACTTTCTGATCCCATCGTCGCGGTCTTCACTTGTGACTGTAGTTGCTAGGCTAGAACACTTACTGCCGTAATTCATGATTGCGCTGGTTGTACTTGTACAACATGCGAGAGTAATGGGGCGAGTATAGGTGTGAACAGTCGCGGCAGCGCAACAGAACAGGAGTTACAAGTTCTCGCTTTCGCTCTCTTCACAATCGGTGGCCTTGAGCTTTGTTTATTGGACTTTCTGATCGGCAGGCTGTGACTCGCGAATATGGCAGGGTATGCGGGGTAGCAGAAGTACCTGGAGCAGGTCGGACGGGCACGTGTTAGTCAGAGTATGGCAAGCCAGAAACCTTTCGCGCAGCAGCATAAATATTAGCAAAAAGATGACACCAGAACAAGAGGAGGATTGAAGGTGATAGTGATGTTACTACAATAGGTTCTGGACCCCGAATCAGCCAGCCAGGACGTTTCAGCTGTGAATTTGGACGACGCGCGGCACATGCACTGTGCCAACGAAGGAGCGACACAAGGTTGCTCAGGCTCAACTCCAGAAGGCGTCTTAGTGCTGACTAGCTCCATTGAGCATTGAGTTAGCCTTACGAGCGTGACAGGGTGCATTTCGACAAGGACTTTTTGATAATTGAACCGGCTGTACAAACTGGGTGGTATTGTAGAAAAGAGAACCTGCTATGGAACAAGGCACACTGCCGTAGCACAAACTAGTAACCAGATAACGCACTACCGGTCAACTTCACCGAACACCAAGTCCATAGTGCCGATAATGGCCACTGCGTCAGCCAATAAATGTCCTCGAGCAATGTGATCCATACCCGCCAAATGGGCGAAACCAGGTGCTCGGATCTTGCATCTATATGGTCTCTCGGATCCGTCACTGACGATGTAGACACCCATCTCTCCTTTTGGTGCCTCAATGGCGCTGTAGGTCTCCCCAGGTGGCACTGTGTAGCCCTTGGTGTACAGAAGGAAATGGTGAATGAGTGCCTCCATGTTCTCTTTCATCGCGGATCTTGGCGGTGGTGCAACCTTGTAGTCCTCAATCTTGACCGGTCCAGGAGGCATTTTGTTGAGGCACTGATGGATGATGCGTAGTGACTGTCGGAATTCCTCCATTCGGCAAAGGTATCTGTCGTAGCAGTCACCATTCTGACCGACTGGAACGTCAAACTCGACCTTATCATATGCGTCGTATGGCTGAGACTTCCGTACGTCCCATGGAACACCGGATCCTCTTAGCATAACACCCGAGAATGACAAGTTCAGTGCATCAGCTGCAGATACGACGCCCACACCCTTTGTCCGGCCAATCCAGATTCGGTTGTCTGTGAGAAGTTCCTCAGTCTCATCGATTCGATCGCCGAACTGTGTAGCCCATGCATAGATATCGTCGAGCAGGCCGAGAGGCATATCTTGCGAGACACCACCTGGTCGTACGTAAGCGGCGTGCAGACGTGCACCAGAGACACGCTCGTAAAATTCCTAGCATGGTCAGCTTTAATACAGAAACACTAGTGATATAGCTTACCATCAACTTCTCTCGCTCCTCGAAACCCCACAAGAAAGGCGTCAGAGCACCGACGTCCATGGCGTGTGACAAAATCGACATGAGATGGTTCAATATACGAGTAATCTCACCAAACATGGTTCTGATGTACTTGGCTCGTTCGGGGATTTCTATATTCAAAAGTTTCTCCACAGCTAACGAGAAACACTGCTCGTTGGTCATCATCGAGACGTAATCCAGCCTGTCGAAATATGGCAGGGCTTGTAGATAGGTCTTGTACTCGATCAACTTCTCCGTTCCTCTGTGAAGTAGACCAACGTGAGGATCTGCTCGCACAATCTCTTCACCGTTGAGTTCCAGAATCAGTCGCAACACACCGTGAGCGGCTGGATGTTGAGGACCGAAGTTGACTGTGTAGTGGCGCACTTTCCGGTTGTCGTACTCGTCTCCGATTCTCTGGTCTCCTGGTAAGTTCATCATGGTCGGGTCATCATCTGGTCTTCTCTCGCTAAACGTCGAGTCGGTGGCGGCCAAATGAGTCTGCGATGACATCGATGGCTGCTGAGGGCTGGTCTCTGGCATTGCATATCTCCTGTTGGCTGTTGTAGATATCGTTCTAGGTAGGAGGGAGACTTTGGGAACTGCTGGTCGAAGGCAAATTCGTTTGGCAGTCTGTCTACCAGCGAGACGCGCGAATGAAGCAGCCATTGTCATTTTATATGGGCGATGCCGTGGAAGGAGAGAGGAGAGGTTCGTCGTATGTAAGGGGACGACGCTGGTAACTTGGCCTCAATAACACATCTTCGAATGAAGGCGAGGCGATCGATGATGCATGGATGTTCGATGCGACACTCCAACCCAAGCTCTTTGATTGGACAGAGGGCAGTGGCTGATATCATTAGCCGCTATATTGGCCTGGCACCGGGGAAGTACGGCAGTTTCTTTGCAAAGAGATCTCAAGAACAACTCCCGAAGATCTTCCAAAAAAGTTCACGACTTGCGGGAAAGCGCAACCTGGCTCGTGCTATTTCCTCAAAAAAAGCTTTGAGGATGGCACCAGCACAGCTGTCGCAAGCAGAGCTCGATCGGCGGAAAACAGTAGGGATAAATCCAGAGACGGTCACCAACATCACGTCTACAGACTTTCCTGGCCATCATCCAGGTGAGGACGCAGCATGGTCCATCGACAGATTCTCGAAAGGCCTCGAGGTTAAATTCCACAAAAACTCGTATGATGAAGCAACGTTCTCCCTGATTGGCATTGATGCCAGCGTCGCCAACGCTTTTCGAAGAATACTCATCGCCGAAGTACCGACTCTCGCAATCGAAACGTGCTACTTCAACAACAATACCTCTGTAATAGCTGACGAAGTCCTCGCGCATCGGCTAGGCCTAATTCCTCTAAAAGGTAGTCTTCGTGGTCTTGACTATCTGAAGTGGTATGTCAGACCAGACCCTGAGAACGGCATCGAGGGCATGGATCCAAGCGACTACAATACCGTTGTACTGAATCTCTACGTCAAATGCGAATGGAAGCCAAACCCACCCGAAAATGGTGAACCAGAAGAGAAGTATAACCACAGCAACGTCTACGCCAGGGACATCAAATGGGAACCCATGGGTCGACAAAAGGAAGAGTTTGAAGACCTCGAAATCCAGCCTGTAAACCCCGACATCCTCATCGCGAAGCTGCGACCGGGTCAAGAAATAGACATCGTCATGCACGCCAATCTCGGCAAAGGCGGAGATCACGCAAAGTTCTCTCCCGTAGGCACAGCGACCTACAGATTACTCCCCAAAATCGAGATCACCAAACCCATCCTCAACCAAGACGCGCTTGAATTTCAAAAATGCTTCCCTGCAGGCGTCATTGACGTGGAATACGTTGACGCAAAAGCCGTTATAGAAAACGAGAGGTTAAGACCTCATGAAGGAGAGCAGTATGCAAAGGTCAAAGATCCCATGAAAGATACTGTGTCAAGAGAGTGCTTACGGCATGATAAATTTAAAGGCAAGGTCAAATTGGGCAGGGTACAAGATCATTTCATCTTCCAGGTTGAAAGTACAGGGCAGTTCCCAAGTGACCGCCTCTTTTTGGAGTCTGTCAAGGTGCTGAAGTATAAAGCTCAGACTTTACTGAGAGCACTGGACAATATTGATAGTTGATGAGATTGTCCAAAAGCTGAATATGTATATTGTGCATAGCGAATGGCGTAGCGGGCTGGCCATGATTTTATGATACCACGAGGGAGTACGCGCATGTGAAAAGCATTGACAATTCAATGTATCTATCTAAAGCATGTTTACAAGTTACATCGTCTCAATCATCCATCGTCAACCCCAATATCCGCCCCTGAAATTTCCTTCCCATCTCATACCACCTCACCTGTATCCCTGCCGCAAGCACAACCCACGCAACCCCCTCACCCCCTCTCCCATCTCCGTCCTTCATCGGTGGCGGCGCACGCCCACTTCCGTCCAACCCACTCACCCACTTCACCAGCTCCGACACCACCAGCCCAAAAGGATCAGCCAGTAACCTTTCCTGCGCCGTAACACCGATCTCAGCCGTGATGTCGATCAGCGCGAGGAACAAGCCAAGCATTGCGGGTAGCACGATTCCATCTAGTGCGACGCGGTGCTGGTGCAGGGCTGTAAGAAGTGTGAGGGTTTCGTGGATGATGGATGCGTATATCGAGGGTGTGCTGAGGCCTGTGGGGCCGAGAGTATGGAGAAGGAGTGTGAGTGTTTGCAGGTGTAGCGTTAGTGTACTTGAATGGAGCATGAGGGTGCTGATCGAGCTGCCTGTTGATGTCGAGGTGTAGGAGAGGATGGCGGCGAGTGGAGATGCGAGACGGATGTAGATGTTGTTCGCGAGGATGGTGTGGATGTTGGAAGGGGTGTTCTTCTTGCGTTGCTGGGAGGTTTTGTCTCGATTCAGGGTGAGACGGGATGATGTGCGTGTGACTTTGAGAATTTCAGGACCTGATTGTGATTCTGCTGCTGCGACGGCCATGGGGTGTATGGTGTCTTGTGTAGCTGTATTTGTGAGCATGGCAATTGGATTGGATGTTCCTACTAGTTTCTGTGGCTTGGTTTCTTGTCCTCCAGGTATCGCATTAAGTTGCAGATGTGGTGGCAATCGACGTGAAGGAAAGTTGTCGGTCTCTTCAGCTTGTGCCTGTGCAGCTTTGGCATCTCTGAAACCTGCCACCTCCCTGGCACCGAGCCCGATGGCAACGAGTAGAGTGCTGCGTTGTGAGAGCGAGAATTCGCCCTCAAAGTACGTGCTTGTCAAGTACTTGCCCATTTCCACTGGCTGAGCGACCATGCATGCAACAAGTGCATCAAGTCGTTGTTGCTGGTGTTCATGCTTCGACATGCCATCTTGCAAGTTGATCAGCGCCGATGCAAGATTGTATATGTTGTCGAACAACTCTGTTCCGAAACCAGCTTTGCGCCTGATCAAGCTTGCTGCTGTTTCTAGTGCTAATGATATTATGTCCAGCTTGTCACTGGGTGACTGTAGTTGCTTGATCAGGTCCACAATGTATATGGGCGGCCGAGGTTTGTCTCTGTTGACGAGCGTTGGGTCTTCATCAGAGTCTTCTGGGTCGTCGAGCGGTTTCTGATATGGTACAAGGTCATCCTCGTCGTCCGAAGAACTCGAGACCTCCTCGATAGTCATGATCTTGGAAGTGGCCTGCAATTTCTTCGTGTTTGATGGCTTGAGTGATGTAGACTTCCGCTTCTGGAGTGCTCGGTTGTCAGTGGTTAGGGAATGTGGAAGATGCTTCAGACCTTCGAGTTCCCCTATTTGGTCCTCTACGTCAACCAAGCCTAGCATCTCCTTTACTTCTGCTGTTTCCATCTCTTCAACATGGAAATCCATTACCTTGTCGGGCTCATCAACACATCGAGACATACCAACTCCCACAATCATACCGAGTAGCCGAGTTTGAGGCACAGATGAGGCTAGTCGGTTCGAGACAGAGCGCATCACCAAGGTAGGTATAGGGTCCTGCTTGAGAGTTATGCGATTCTGTCGGTTGAGGTAGCCAATAACCAGAAGAATTGTTTGGGCCAGATCTAGGACGAAAAGTAAGCACATGGTTCGAGTCACCGATGATGCACTTCTACTCACGCTCTTGTTGAGTCGTGGCTGCGTGCTGGATCTGCAGCTTGTCGGAGAACGTGGTCAGTGTTCTCTCCAGGATTACTTCTAGTTTGCCTACAGAATTAGCACAGAACCACGCAGATTTCGGGCACTTACCTTGCGACTGAGCGAGGACGACAATCAGTGCACGTCTCATGCTGGAACTCCTGCTTGGAGCACCGCCTGCAGACGATACCCAATCTATGGCACATTCCAACAAGTATTCGTTGTGACTCGTCAACCCATATACCAGGCCAGCAACACCTGCAATAGTTCTCATGGTAGGCACATCGACTGTGTTAGAAGCTAGATGTTGTGACTTCATGGCATGAGTTCGTACAAGGTCGTTCAAAATACAGTTGAATACTACCTTCTGGTCATGCGTCGGCAGATTCCTGATCAGTTGGTGCAGTGGCGACCAAAGTGCTATAGGCCCAAGCAGTAAAGAGGTATAAACTTTCGTCACAAACGCATCTGTCAACCGTCAGTGGAATTCGGAGCACATCGCTTTTCATACCTTTGTAGCCCAGGCTAAGCCCCCGCTTGAACAATTGGACGAGGACGGACCATGACGAAGCATCTTGAGGTGATAGCTCGATCGCGGTCTTGATAATGTTGCTTGCAAGCCATGCTGAATACCCTTGTCCTTGCAGGAGCCATTCAGGCACCTTGAGGTCGCTGCCAGTCTGTGCAATGATATTCGGAATTGCTGCTGTGGTCGACAAGACTTTGCTACCAGCCAGTAGAGAGACAATGCTTTGCCAGAACAATCGACGATGAACGTCTTTCTCATACAGGTGTGTGCTATCATTGAGCAGTCTGCTCACGGTGTCCGACTTGTGCAGTAAATGACCAAGGAAGTCGACATACACATTGAGATTGTCTGGACTAGGACGAGCTTCAGGCCTGGTAAGCATGCGAATCTGCTCAAGCAAGGCTTCTAGACCAGTAACACTGAAGAGTGCCTCTAGTAGTGTTTTTCGCATCTGCTTGGTAGAGCCACCTATCTTCGAGGAAGCCAGATTCGGCCACAGATCAGGTAGCGTGGTCGTGACCAATGCTCGCACCAATAAGCTCGACTTAGGACCAGTGACCTTGATGTTGAACTCATGCTGCCCTTCGATACCGTATTGTATGTATGCTAAAACTGCCTCAATGTCTTCGATACCAGGTTGCGACTTCAGAATCTCTCGCGCGTCGTCGGCCAGCGATGGTGGTGCTGCTTGTTTCAAGTAATCCTTCTGGATAAAGATAGCAGAGTCCTTCCTCTCATGCTGCCTTGCTGTTGTCTTGAGTCGATCCTGACGGGGTTCCCGCGTTTTTACAGCACTGTCGTCATTCTTCTTGGTAGACTTCGTGCTGACTGCAGTAAGCAGTGGCAAAGGTTCGTTGTTGGTGTCGATCTCGACTACTGGCTTTCTAGGTTTGGAATTGCTATTCGACCTGCTTCGATTTTTGTTCTCATTCAAAGACAGCGATTCGAACTTGTGAATGTTGTTCTGGACCTTCTTGGTCGTTTTCACCTCCTGAATAAACGCGTCCATAGTATCAGTTTTCCCCAGGTGTTCAGGATGCAATACCATGCGTGGGTGTAGACAGCTAACTTGAACAAAGAACGAAAAATTTTGATAAGAAGGATGCGGGTATCCACATTGGGTAATTGGAAATGCACGAGCAAGTTATGTCTCACTTCGGGCTGTGCAAGACGTTCTATGAGAGAGTGAAGGTTTGCTTGCAGCGTGTGTGATTCTTGAAACATCAGCCGCACGCGTTCCATATTGCCTTTCGATTAGATTCATACCATCGAATCATACGTCAGCCGTCAAGATCGTTGTCATTTTGTTTACCTTCGAGCGAATGGCATGTTGAGCACTCGTACCTCTTAGTTAGATTAGGAGTGGTAGAGAGACTTTGAGAGTCGAGACACGAAGAGTGAAAGGCGAATTGTTCTTTGGGAAAGCACCGAAAGACTTGCCGTGTGCTGGTCGTACACAGTCTCCGCAAGCGGTCACTATTTGCCACGGGTTAACATCGTGATAAACCATCAGATCACTACAGCCTGTGAATTTATGCTCACATCCTGACCCTGCTAGGTACTTCTACCTCACATGCTCATTAACCTCCCCTATTGTGCTCTTGGCTTCAATCTCAAGGCTTCTGGGTGTATCTATTTTCGATCTGTGCTACTTCTAAGCATCTCGGAACGAGCTTTTCTTGCCCGCTTTCGTTCTTTACCTTCTACATTTACCACTCCTGCCTGTTACGAGCTTACGCACTGCTCATTTTGGCGGCCCGATGGAGACCATGATGAATGGAACCAGTAATCGAGCGATATGGTAGGTTCCTGAAGTAGCTGAGCATGCTTACGGATGTTGACAGATGAGACAGGAAACACCTTGACCATGTTCTATCAACATCTTCTCCGTATGCTGATGAAGACTATGTACCTGGGCCCGACACAGTATCAACACTTGAATCATCGAAAGTTCTCGTAATTGGTGCTGGCGGTTTAGGCTGTGAACTGCTGAAGAACCTGGCTCTTTCTGGTTTCAAGGACATTCATGTGATCGACATGGACATAATAGATGTCAGCAATCTCAATCGCCAATTTCTGTTCCGTCAATCAGACGTTGGAAAATCCAAAGCCGAAGTTGCAGCTGCTTTCGTTGAACGCAGAGTACCAGGTGTCAAGATCACGCCTTACAACGGCAAAATCCAAGACAAGGACGAGGACTACTACATGCAATTCAAGCTGATCATCTGCGGTCTAGACTCCATCGAAGCTCGAAGATGGATCAATGCCACACTAATAGACATGGTCGACGAAGAAAATCCAGAATCTCTCAAACCCTTAATCGACGGCGGCACAGAAGGCTTCAAAGGCCAGGCCCGAGTCATCCTCCCATCAATCTCATCCTGCATCGAATGCCAACTCTCAATGCACGCCCCTCGAGCCGCAGTACCCCTCTGCACCCTCGCCACTATCCCCCGACAACCCCAACACTGCATCGAATGGGCCCACATAATAGCCTGGCCCGAACACCGCAAAGACGACACCCTAGACATGGACGACCCCGAACACGTCACCTGGCTCTACCAGACGGCCCTCAAACGCGCACAAGAATACAACATCAGCGGCGTCACCTACGCAATGACCCAAGGCGTCGTCAAGAACATCATTCCAGCCATCGCCTCCACCAACGCCATTGTCGCCGCCGCATGCACAAACGAGGCTCTCAAGCTCGCTACGTCTTGCGCCCCCTTTCTCCAGAACTACATGATGTATACCGGTGACTCAGAGTCAGGTCTTTACACCTATACCTTCGAAGCCGAAAAGAAAGACGACTGCCCCGTCTGCGGTAACCGAGCACAGTACATCACAGTCGATCCCGACATCAAACTCGAGGATTTCCTTGCAGGCTTGGCGGAACGAGCCGAAGCACAGCTCAAGAAACCCAGTATACGGTCTGAAGCCAAGACATTGTATATACAATCGCCGCCGAGCCTGGAGCAGCAAACACGGCCGAATCTGAGTAAGAAGCTGAGGGAGTTGGTGTCGGATGGGGAGGAGGTGGGTGTGAGTGATCCGGCGTTTACTATACAGTTCAAGTTTAGATTGCAGTTTAAGCAATAGATGGAGTTGCTGCTGCTGCTGCATGTTACAAGTACTTTTGGGGATTTTCCAAAGCATAGCAGGATGTTCGAGCATTAGCGAGCAAGCATTTACGGGATATGATGGACGAGATTGTTGTGGTTCTTTACGATGATGATGATGATGACGATGGCCAGCTGGTGATTGTGTAAAGAGGTGTGTACTTGTTTACGACGAGGCGCCATAAAAGTCAGTTTTACAGCCAAAGACGAACGAAAGCGAGCAGGTATCATGCATATGATGGCTAGACCTGTGATCAGCCATACCCTCTGATCATTGAATGTGGTAGGTATTTGCTTATGTGAGAGAATTGCAAATCGTGTCGTATTACAGACGGAAACTAAAGTGAAGGGATGAAGATGTATTCGTATCTATATATTCGTAACAATATGTGCCGCCAAAGTACCAGCCCTATGTGCATCCTGCTCTTGCCCAAGAGCGTGTTTGTGTATCCTAAAACTTCTTTTTGAGGCTACCAACGCCCTTCCTCAGCCTGTTGCTGAAACTGGCTCTACGCTCAATACCAGTGCTCTCGTCAGCGAAAGCTTCCGCTCTATAAGCTCCACTGCCACTTCTGTCCCTGTTTGTGGTCATCTCAATATCTCCGTTGTCTTTCTCAGTCAGGTTGTGTTCTTTGAGAGCTTTCTCAATACTATAGCTGGGTTCGCCCTTGCCTTTGATATCGTTCGGGTCATATTGCAGACCTGGCCATCGCTTGTATGGCCCTCCACCGGCATTCTCTTCGATCATCATATTGTCCCCCTCAATATATCGGTATGTCTGACCGTTGGGATCGGTTGTTCCTGGCGGGTATGCAGCTACACCGTCAAGTGGACGGTGGTCTCTGACAGAATCTACAATTCTTTCATGTGGAGTGGCTCTAAGAGCTTCTTGGTTGCCATTGCTAACAGCCGCAACAGGCGATGACTTGTGCGTATTGTTCCTCGCGAAGAGTGTGGCATCGTAGGGACCTTCATGATGGTAATGGCCGACACTGCTCTCGTCAAGGGTATCGATCAGGTCAGGCCTCACAGCATGTTTCCTGGTGATATGTTTGGCGCGATCGGCCTCGGCCTTCTCTTTAGCTAATTGATCGAGAGGGCGGACAGAAGGATCACCTGGATACCGTTCTCGCAAAGAACTTGACCTCCTCGGTCGTGTTCCTGTTGCCATAAATTCTTGCCTATGGCTTGCGGAGTTGTGTGGTGAATGTCGAGGAGAAGTTGATGCTGGTGGAGAAGGATAGCCTCGATCTGCAGTCACTTCTCTTGTGGTTGACGAAGTCTCTTTAGGTGAGCCATGATCTCTAAATGGGTTCGTCTTGCTAAGCCGACGCCGTCCTGATGAAGTAGGAGTGACGGGTATCGCGGAAGTCACGGAAGCTGACTCTGATGGACGTTGGAAGGAAGCATTCAAACCAGTCTCATCGGACGGATCAGGTGCTGTAAGAGGGTCATTAATGTATTGCTGCGCCTGTTTATAAGTCAATCAGCCGTTCTGGAGGTCAGACAGTTCAGCGGCATACCCAATTCTTGTCTATTGCAGCCATGTTAGTCTGCTGTCTGCTGGTTGTGAAAGATGTTAGCTAAAATGGACGCGCCAACATAGATCCAAGATTTGTTAGAGCAATAGTAGCAGTAAAGAATATGAAGGAGGAACCACGGAAAAGCATGTCAAGGCATATTGATACGAATACTTTGACGAGCTGACATCTGCTCAAACGCTGCCGTACAATAGAGACTAGCTGTCGCAACGCAACAGCGAATCCCGACTGCAAATTGACATCATCGCACCTTCACCCGAGGACAAGTGTGTGGCCGTTGAGCTCATAGCTCCACTTGCTTAGGCGTCGGCCGCGTACCCAAGAAGTAACATCGTTCCACATGCTGGTTGAGCCGTCGTTCTTTATTTGGTGTTCTGAGACATTGTCATCCTACCTCTTCCGGAATTACAAGCTCTTGTGTTTGTGAGATGTTGTTAATGTCGCTCGCTGAAAAGCAAGCTTCTTGAGAGACGAACTCAAGTGTGGTGGCCTTGATGCCTAGCTCTCGCTTGGCAATTTCTGGTACTAAGATTGGAATTTAGTTTCGAGATGGAGACCAGGAATACCGCAAGTTGCAGGATCACCAAGCTATGTCATCGCTATGACTCTGGTAGCCTACGAGTCCGACGATGACGACGTTGTCCAAGTTGACTACAAGAAGATCAACCTGACCAGGAAGCGCAGCAGGGACGAGCACGAAGGCGATGAATCTTTTCGACAGAAAGCGAGATCAGCCCCGTCGCTACCTTCCAGCTTTCGATCCCTTTATGCCAGCAATGTCAGGACAGGTACAAGTGATGATCCTGCACTACATGCTGGACGCCAAAGGCAGGTACCACATACTGTAGGGAACTGGCCAAGTTTTGTCTACCTTGAATGGCTGCCATGCGATGAAGATCTCGCTATCCTGGACAGGGTCATTGCGAACGCTAATGACCGTTTGGACAATGCTGAAAATACAGCTTCAGATCTATCGTTGCAGAGTTCTTTGCGTTCCGAGCTCGGTGTTCGTCTGCCACTTCACATAAGTCTTTCTGCTCCGCTTATTCTCACCACCAAAAACAAGGACAACTTCGAGCAGGATCTTGTTTCGTCCGTCACGAATTCTGGCGTTTCAGCTTTCAATGTCGTCCCCAAAGGTATCAGGTGGGTCCACAACTCCGACGGGAGCAGATACTTTCTGATTTTGACCTTAGAGAGGCCACACGGAAACGAGCTGCAGAGGCTGTTACATGCTTGTAACAAAATTGCCAAGCAGTACAACCTCGCTGAGCTGTATAGTGAGGGCAATTCGTCCTCTGCGGGCATTCCAGTAACTGCCGCTAGTAAAGAAGCAATGCCGCAGGTGACTACTGTGCCCGAAAAAGAGGATAGGTTTCATATCAGTATTGCATGGACCCTGCAAAGGCTTGACACCGCTTGCGGCCCCGAAACCGCCTCGGCAGGAGGAACTGATGTGCTGCAAATTATCTTCAACAAAGTATTGTTAAAGATCGGTAATAACATTTCGTCTATGCCTCTGCCTTCAGCTGGTGACAAAGTCGTTGGGGAATTTGAGAGAAGAGTCAGGATTTCGTCTCCGAACGTCAAGTGAACATGAAGGTATCAACAAGCCTTTACTGGGATGTCTCACGGATACTGTTCAGTAGGGCTGAATGGCACTAGGAAGCGTCCATAGCTGCTTCTGAAAGTTCGTCGTTCATTCTATATACGTTCGAAGGACACCAATATACGATCTGCGTTACTGCATGCACGACATAATATTAGCCGCAGGCCTCCGACAGTGTGGCTCATCAATTTTCTCGTCTTGTGCCATCGACGTCTTCCAGCAACTTTCTACTCATCCTGAAGATATCGCATGAGCGCTTTGATACCCCTTCCACTAGATCCTAGTCCACCCGGCGGATATGCGATCCATTGTGGCTCGCCAATGGCACCCATCTTCTCTCTGAACTCGCTCTTTCTCACCAGATTGAACTGCTTGACGATCGCATCGTAAGTACCCTGTAACATCTTCAAGCGAGCGCCGCTCAAGTTATGGCCAGGAGTCAGATGGGGTGCGGCACCACCACCAAATGTCACCTTCTCAATACCTGCAGCAGCAGCTTCGGAGAGCGCATGTGTGGTGATGTACTCGATTGTTCCAGATGGAGCGTTCGGGAAGTCGAGAGTATACTTGGCTTGCCAGCCGTGACGAGGTGCAAGTTGAGCAAGTACACCTATACCGCAAATATTGCCGTCTGTGTCCTCGGCGATGTGGTATCGTCTATGTTTTTCATCTCGAAAGAGGTCGATGTTGCTCAAGTGAATCTGTGTACCCTTGCGATTGGCTAGCCAGTCCTTGACACGTGCGTTGGCTCTAGTCTTAATGTCCTCGGGTATTGGCGAGCCAGCCTTGAAATCTATAACCTTGACTCCTAGCTCTTTTGCTCTGCGGATCTTTCGCGCAACCTCAGGATCTGTCTCGGCAGTCTTTTTGGTTGCATCGACCCGTTCTTCCAAAACAGGTGACAAGGTCTTCCATCCTAGCCGTTCGCCAAGCACATCGGCAACCTCCCTACTGACCAAGATCCAGATGGGCTTGAGCTTTGTTTCTCGCTTCAGCCAGGTGAGGAAACGAGAGACGATTGTGTAATATTGTGATTGGTGGCACAGAGGTTCACCTGGTAGAATCGCGTAGCGACCCTCTGGGACATAGGAAACTGCAGCACCAGTGGCTGTATCGCGCCAAATCTTGTAACGTGCGTCTCCCCAAGATGTTGATGTGGCGTCGCCATAATTCGCAATGAGGTCGTAGAGATCTGGCATCACACGTTGATCGGCCGGGACAATATGGCCGCGTTCGCGCGTCCACGTTGGGTTGAGCGTGTCAGCGTCAGGATGAGGAAGCTTCTCGACGACTGGCTTTTGTGGGAAGGACTTGGGATCTCTGTGGAAGAGTGAAGCAAGACGAATGTTGCCCAGTTTGAGAATCAACATGACAATTCGTTCCAACCCAACACCTATACCAGCGTGAGGCGGCGCTGCCCATCTGAAACCTTCCATGTACTCGGCCATGTCTTCCGGGTCGATCCCTACTGCACGCATATTCTCCTCAAGTACAGCTGCATCGTGGATACGCTGCGAGCCGGATATAATTTCCTGGCCACGTACGAAGATATCAAAGGCGTTGGTAAAGCGTGGATCTTCGGGATCAGGCATGGAGTAGAAAGGGCGGGCTGAGCGAGGGAACTTGTCCAATATATAGTAGTCGGTACCGAATTTCTCTTTGATCAACTGCCCGAGGTGGATTTCGTCTCGGGTGCCAAGATCCTCAAGAGGAGACAATTGCTCACCTTCCTCGTTGAGCCAGCCAGAATCATTAAGCAGCTGAATGGCATCTGCGAACTTGATGCGAGGTGTTTGTTCGAGCCAAACAAGGTCTTCTGAGGGGAATTGCTCTTTGATAACCTCAATCTCTCGTCGGAATCTGGTGTATAGGCCTTTGAAGATAGCTTTCAGAACGTCGTCGATAACGTCCATAGCCTCCCAGTAGTGCTCTTCTAGAGCCATTTCGAAATCAAGACCTGTGTATTCTGTCAAGTGACGATGGGTATTAGAGTTTTCAGCACGGAAGACGGCTCCAATCTCGTATACACGTTCGAAGTCACCAGCAATGGCCATTTGTTTGGCCAATTGAGGAGATTGCGCGAGAAATGCATTGCGACCAAAATAGCCGACCTTGAAGACTGAGGCGCCAGATTCGGTAGCAGCGCCCTGTGCGAGTCAGCCTCGTGCTTTCAACACTCTCCTCCCTGTTGAACATACCTGCAATTTGGGAGAATGGATCTCAATAAAGCCTCGCTCGTCAAGCTCATATCTAAACATGTTGCCGACAGCTGCCTGAATGCGGAAGATGGATTGAGACGTTGCAGTACGAAGGTCAATAATCCTGTTGGAAAGACGAGTGCGGTCTGAGATCATGTTCTGTCGGACACCTTCGTACTTGTGTTCTTCGTCTTGGATTTGTAGCTCAGCCTCCTGAACGGAGAATGGAACTGGTGGAATTAGCATTTCAAAGGCACAAATCACCACTGTACATACCCGGCTCTGCTCGCTTTACAATGATATGCAGATGAGTGATTCCGACTTCGAGGTTATGGATGGAGGCAGATTTGATAGGGACAGCAGGTTTCTGGACGATACCTCTTATGCGCATAATGCTGCCAGTGCGGACGTGTTCTGCCCAATGCATCATCAGAGGACCAACTTTTCCAGGTTCCTCGACAAGTACACCCTGGATAGTGGAGATTCGCTGTCTGAGCATAACGAAGGCCAGCTTCGTACCCATGTTACGATGGTGGTGCATCCGGGCACGGAAGATGACTGGGGTGCCAATCATGTCTTCGGTCAGAGTGTCAACGTCTATCCGCTGTTCAGTGTTCCTTGTTGTGGACTGAGACATCGGTAGTTCCCCGTATCGAATTCGCATATCATCAGTCTCTCTTGCACGAGCTTCGTCTAGACGCTGCTTCAAACGCTCTTCTGACTCAGGTTCACCTCTTTCTAGGCTCAGGCGGGCCTTGATTTCCTTCTTCCTTCTCTTCTTCTCCATGCGCTTCGCTGCATTCTTGCTTGTGGCATCATCAATGTGATCGTCGCTATCGGTTTCGCTCGTTTCAGTGCCGGAGGAAGTGTCGTTGTGACGATCAAATTTGTGTAGAATAGCAGCTATAGAGCCTCGCTTGTGGCTAGCAGGACCCGTGACGCCGTTAGCACTTTTATCGGACAGTCCTGTCGGCGTGCGAGAGCCACCTGGACTAGAGGATCTCTTGGGACTATGTTCCGAAAGGACGGTCGATATTCGCTTGAAAGCCGACATTGTGCCGGGCCTTTATTACAGCTGTAACAATGATCTCTAGGAGAGAGGAGTTTGAGCTTCTGCTTGAGTCCTTGAGAATACGATGATATGTGCTTCCCGTCTGCGTCCTCACAGCGCGGGGTCTGACAAGTCTGACAAGTTTGGCATCAGTAGCCCGATAACAAAATTCCAAAACAGTTCGATGTAGTCAATCGCGCACCTGTGCAGGAAGGGTCAACCCAATCTAGTATATTTCAGTGAGAAGTATGAAGCTGGCCCGAGAGGAATAGTTAAAGAGGAGAAGTTCAGGTTTGGGTAATGGGCAGGCAGATGTTCGGGATAATCAGACTCAGAGCTGATCCTATGAACTCTCTAACTTTCCACTCGTTACGCACTACGCGAGCTCACAGCATGTGCTCAGCTAAAGAGGGCATGAAAATTGCATATGATTACATACTTCTTTCACAATTCGGAAGCTGCGGTGGGCATCATCCGCTACTCGTGCGCGACAACGCGCTAGGTGGGGTCATACGAGAGTTTCAACTCTTCATGCCGAGCTCAAAAGCTTGTGTTGATAAAAGTGAGCATAGCTCTTCGCTTTTGACCTCTGCCGACCCGCGCCAACCTGAAAGAGGCAAAATACAAGCACGTAGCTTACTCACCCGCGCATCGAAGACTTACTCAAGAAATTCTGATTGGAGTGGCAGATTATCGTACTTTGGAAAGTCCTTGATAGGCATAATCGCCGCATTCTTTCCTCTCTTTTCAGATAACAACAATTATCGTGTTGCATGTTGCAGTAGAGACAAGAATGACGGTATGGCTATAGTGATTTGTGTCTCGCAAGGTGGGCACCAAAGTCGTAATACGAAATGGACAGGCGCAATCACGTGTAAGCATACGAGTATGTGACAGCGAGGATAGAAGAATGATTGTTAAATCCGGGTACACTGAGACCAATGAAGTCAGCAACAGCACGAAACCTCGACGGTCTTCTAGGGTTTAGGGTTGATGGCTTCAACTTGACGAATTTATTTAGAGTTATGGGGGAAAATGCCTGAGGATGCCTGACAGACGTGACTGCCGCAACTTGATATCAGTGGAGCTGCGGGCTGCGCCTGCTTGACTTGCGGCATTGTCTTTCCACGTTCTCGCCTGAGCACTCAAGGTAATAAGTCGAAGGACAAACCAGTGCACGATTTCGACTCGATGTCTCATCAATATGTCAGCAGCACGAAACCCTCCTACCTAATTCATATACTTGCGCGGTGAAATGGTAAACACAATGCTTGCCACCAATGTCCAGACCGCATAACCTCGTCCTAACACTTCACCACTGGTGTAAACGACCGCCATAAACACCACTCTTCGTCATCGTCAGTGTGTCCTTGGACATCAGTCAACTTCATCAAAGTGTCAGGTGCAGTAATCACACACAACCGTCAAGATGGCCCAAGCAGTTGCTCGAGATTTTGGGGCGGAGATGAACGGTGCGCCAATACAAGAGATCGGACTGAAACCCAGCACCTCGATACCGAAGCCCAAAGTGAACTTCAGTGACGTCTTTCAGAAAGGAGATTCGGAACCAGAACAGCCTGAGAGGCTTCTGATGGACACCATGGCTATGCGACCAAGGTCAATGTCACACCATACACGAAGCACCGAGGTACCATCAAGAGCCTGGCTCAAAGTCCGAGCACAGTTTTGGCGATCTCTCGAGAAACTTGGTATGGTCTTTCATGGCTGGGCTTCACCAAAAGCTCCAAAGCCATCCTTCATTCGCAAGATTGCGACCGACACCATCCCAATAGAGCTCTATTTTTACCTGCCACCTGGATACAAGCAGCAGAAAAAAAATCAGCCGCACAACAAGTTTCCAGTAGTCGTCAACTTTCATGGTGGCGGTTTTACTCTAGGACATGCTACTGATGACAGATACTGGGCCGCCGTGATTCTAAAGCACACCCAAGCAGTATTTATCTCGGTAAATTACAGATTAGCCCCTGAACATCCTTTTCCACAACCTGTCGATGATTGTGTCGAGGCTTTATTGTACCTCCAGAGCCATGCTGAAGATTTGCATATCGATCCCAGCCAGGTAGCAATCTCTGGCTTCTCAGCTGGTGGCAACCTGGCTTTCTCGGTGCCCTTTCGCTTGACCTATCAATACGAGAAACAGCCATCGTCTGAGCACTTACCTCTCGCGCCGCCTCGTAAATCTCAGAGCAATTTTCCAGCCGGCTCCGAGTCGCTTGCACTTAGCAAATTGACCTCATCCGATCGGGAAGAACAGGAACTTGGCCGTCTAGCTCCACTTCCAGATACGAATAACATACCAACCATCACACAAACATCACCATGGTCATCCACCACAGACCTTGACCAGACTAAAACTAATACCTCAACCTATACTCCACAGTCCTCGAAAACGAACCTCTTGAACCTGCCAGGACCACGTTCGAAACTTATTCGTACCATTACCACAGCCTCCTATCGTTCAAGGCACGACATTCGCCTCGACCAAAACCACGCCAGCAGATCTCGTTCACAATCTCCCGACTCGGCTCCTCGTCTCCGTATCGTGTCTGTCGTAGCTTGGTATCCCTTACTAGATTGGACATCCTCTCGTGAAGAGAAGAAACGCCAGTCCAGAAACCCGAAAAAGACCCTCCCAAGAGTCTTCACCGACCTCTTCGACTTCTCATACCTACCGGCTCCCGACTCAGCAGGCCATCACTGCAGTCCGTACGCATCTCCAGCCCTGGCGCCGGACAATATGATCATTGACGGTCTACCACAGCGAATGCAGATTTGGCTCTGCGAATGGGACATGCTACTCGCTGAGGGCGAGCTGTTCAGAGATAGACTCAAGAGCCTCGGAAAAGACGTAGAGAGCGAGACGATCGAGGGAGTACCGCATGGATGGGATAAAAGTCCAAATCCCTTTCGAGATCAAAAGAGCATAAACTTGTTGTACGAGCGGGCTGCTGGATATCTGCGGCATGTCTTCAGTGAGGCTGATAGACGCGCCACGGTTGGTGAGGGTATCGGTCTTGGTGGTTTACGGTAAACTTATATACATACTCACGCAGTGGTCGGCAAAAGTGAGCCCTCGAATCTGTACCGAATTCGTTACTCTACCCAATCCACCCACTTTAGCTGTCTGATATTGACGAGACTTATACGGTCGTATAGCGCTTAAGCTAAGCTATCGAACGGTATATATTACAGAGTATCCGAGGTAGTATTGATAGAATGGTTGGCGTTTTGAGAAAAAGAGTGAGAGTGTGATGGGTCGCTTTTGCCGACCACCGCGTGACACTATGAGCGAATTATATATAATGACAACGAGGCAATGTGCATACCTATCATTCGATTGCAAACTCGTCATTCACTTACCCATCACTAACCGTTTCGACGTAAGAAGTATCCAAGTTTTGTCGTAAAAATGACCGATACCGGCAGTAACACGACCACATGTCAGATTTGGTTAACACAGGGTTAGAGCATTCTGCCAACGTTCTAAGGGGGTATCTAAAAGGAAAAGGCAAGTACTAACGATCTCACAGTAGCGACGACACTGCGCTGATAAGAAAAGCAAAGTTCGCCCGTCACTTCACTTTGCAATTTCGTGTCTGACACAACCTGCCCAAACACTCAATGTCCATTACCAGCAACGACGTCACCCTCCTCATCCTCCTCCTCCTCCTCCTCCTGAAAACACCCCTGATCAATCTTCAATATCCACTCCGCTTTGGCCCTCTCAGTCCTCGCAGCAAACAAAAACGTATTCTGCTCGCCATAAACAGCAAAGACATGGCCTAATCCATGAGCTAGATCCGTGCTTCCGGTCCTTCTATGCCCCTTGTTCTTGTTGGGTCGTGGTGTACCGCTTGCGTCAGATTCGTAATCGTCGGCGCCTGTGGGAATGCCGCCAAGCAAGCGCTTGAAGTCTGGGTCGTGGTCGATGCGTGCTCGGCTGAGGTTGATGGCGTTGATTCCGTCGCCGTCTGGTACGGAGTGGATGTGGAGGTAGGGTGGTCGAAGATCGACGAAACGACGTTTCCATTGCATGGTGGCTTGGGAGTGTTGGTCGGGTAGAGTCTCGGAAGGCATGAGTACATATCCTGACTTCAGGGAGATGGGATTCTTTGCGTGGTGAGTTACTGTCGCTGCATAGCGCTGTTTTCTTTCAGCTTGTTGTGCTCGGATGGTTGCTATTGCAGCTGGTTTTGAGGCTTCGTTGTCGTCGAAGATGGGATTTGACATGTCTGAGGTACGCTTTTGCCAAAGGGCAACATATCGGGCTATCTTTGCATTTGTTTCTGTTGTAGCTTCGTGGCTTGTCTCATTGATAGACGAAAGCTGTGCTCGGGTCTTGCGAGACGATGACATGTTTAGCTTGCGTCCATAGGCGGCTTTCACAGTATCAATGTCTTCCAACTGTCGACGTTTGCGACGTGCTGTGATGTAGTCCTTGACAAGCGAGATACCTCTTGGAGTCCATGACCCAAGCAGTTCTTCACCATTAATATAGTCCTTCGATGTGTCAAGTCGCCACAGATCTGCCGCCCTTTTGGCACTCAAAGGGCTGATTGCAACAGAGAAGATACCATCAGAACTTCGTGTGATACGTTGTTGGTTCCAGAAAGACTTAAGGATGTTCTGTGGTCTTAGATAAGACCGGCTTTGGACTTGTAAGAATTGGTCAATGTTGAAGGTCATAGGTTCCTCCAACCTGGAAGATATAACATCCCAGCTGACTGTAATTTTGACCTTGTGCAGTTCGTTCGTTGCCCGATCCAAGGCGAGCGATTTATGCAACGAGCTATCCCACTGTCCCACGAAGGTGATGTTTGAAGTACCATCTGCATTGTCCCGAATCATTGGCTCTTGTATTTGCTTCAACATAATTTCTGGCGTCGTTGTGCTTGCGTCCGTGACTCGACCATTGCTGTCGATAAGATGTACACCACTGACACGCAAGTTCTTGATATCGTCCCATGGCAAGGAGTCAGACAGGCTGTAGGTCAGACTGACGGAAATTCTCCTTTGAAGTCCTTGTTGCAGTTGATGTATTCCAGGTTCCGAGTCGCTGACTTGAAGTGCTTCAACAGGTAGGTATTGCCCACTTTCTGCGAGCTCAAGTACTTGTACCTTTGCAAAGACATCATGCCGCTCTTCGACGCTAAATTCGGACTCTGGCAACCTTGAACTCGTTGTTTGGACGGGTGGATGCTCGGCCATTTCTCTCAATTCGTCCCAGCTAATGAGCTTGTCGAGGTGCATGCTACTGACTCTTGCATAGATCACTATCTTCAGCATGCTAGATTTCTCACTTGATTGAGGTACACTAAGCCCATGAATACTCTCAAAACGGATTGGTCCATCGCCGAAGCCTGAGACAGGTGAACTAGTAGCGACATTCTCCTCTTGTGATCCGGAGACAAACATCTGCACGTGTAGCTCTGATCCTTCGTGTTCAGCAAAGCCAGCCAAATCGCGTAGCACGATATTGAATTTTACCATTCCAAGTGGTGCTTCCATGACCGAAGGCTCTATTGACAAACGTAGTCGTCCAAGTGTTTGCCGTGAGAACGGGGATGTAACATCAAGCGAGAAATCCTGGACACGAGTCTCGAAAGCTGCTGCGAGAGGTATGCTACAATCGCCAAGAAGCGAATAACTTGGTCCATTTTCGTCTGTAAATGGGTTGCTTACCCTGAAGTGCTGCAAATAGTCGGGTTGATCTTTGTACTGGAGCATCTGCCTCATTTTCAGTAAGCGCGCGTTCAGCTTGTCTAGCGACCACATCCGGATCACATTGTTCTTAAGGTCAATAACTCTGACAGCGAGACATGGCTTTCGTGCTTCCGAAAGCTTATGGTCATCATCATCTGATATGTCACTCAAAATGAGATCATACGACGAGACTTTTTCCTGACCGAGATCAAGGACTGCGAACTGGAACGAGACATCTTGACCAAGTAGTCTCGCGATGACTTGAGCCTCTTTGATTAGGCCAGAGTGGCGTAACACAGATTCTGCGATATGCACATAATTGCGCTGTCGCCACGCTTCGACCACGACCCGAGCAGTAGCCCTTTCTTCTTTAGACAATTCTGCTAGCACTACAGGCTGCTTGCTGGCTTGTAGAGAGGCGGCCTTGATTTGGATTTCATATTCTTCTTTCTGTCGACGAAGCTCCTCCTGGAATTCTCGTTTAGTCCTTTCCAGTTCTTGTCGAACCATGTCAGCTTGCTTTTGTTGTGCTTGGTTATCCTCCGATGGCGATTGTGGCTGTGACGGGTCACTGACTTCAACAGCTTGGTGCTTGAGTTCTTGCTCTACAGCGTTGGAACTTGTCCTCGATGGCGTCTCTGGTATCTGATGAGGCATCGTTAATGCAGTATCCATTGAGTAGTCCTCATCTATCGTGCCTTCTGACATGAACTTGTCCTTTATCAAGAAAGAGCTCATATCGTCAGATGAATCGTCATGTTCGAACAATCTGCTCTCTGGCCGACCTCTTCGTTCCTCTCTGGCCTTCAAAATGTTCTCGTACAAATTGTCCAGCTGCTCGTCTGTCATCTGATTGATCTTAGGGTCAATACCGAGTAAAGCATTCGCTGCCTCTCTTCTGGCAAAAGCCCAGTCTGCGTCTGCAGGCATAGGACTCTCCGCTCGGCTCGAGTCTTCCCAGATAGAAGTTGTCGAACTGATACTTCGCTCGTGTCCTGGCCTAAACGGCATGGGTGAGCCTAATTGGCTTGCAGTCACAGAGTGTCGCAATAGACTCTGATTCTGCTCGACTCGCTCAGCCTTAGCTTCGAGAGGATTATTGAACCTGAAGATGTGGAAGTCACCCAGGATGATACGATTTCCTGACCGCAGTCTCTTAGGCTTATCGACACGAACACCGTTCACCATGATAGCTGCACCTTCATTGGGAATTATGCTGACAATGTTGTCTGCATTTTCAAGCTTGCAATGATGCTCAAGAATCCTGCTACCATTTAACCTGATTTCAGAGCTATTGCTTGACTCGACATTGCCAACAGTCGTGATTCCAGGTTTCAGATTATACACAAGACATTCTGCTAGAAGAGGATCGTCGCTCAAATTTACCAGATGAGGCATCTTCTTGGGTGTACTCATTCCGACGTTGCCCTTTTCAATGCTTATGCCGAGCTCTTCGAGAGCAGCTTCTCGCTCTTTGTGAATCTCTTCTGTTCTAAGCAGCTTCTCTTCCCATGTCTGGTTCACGTCTTTGTACAGCTTCTCACTCTGCGACAACTGATCCATGATGTCGGCCTTGCTGACTTTCTTAATTGTACCGTCTGCCTGAGTGATACTTACTAGTTGCTGGTCTAAAGGAGTGCCTTCTGGATATGTTTCCATGGGCGTACCTGCAATACCACCGCCTCCACCTAGCTTGGAACGAAGTTGAGCAAGCTCTTCCTTTAGTTCTCTTATCATGCGAGCATTAGGATCCTCATTGACAACCGCATGGTTCTTGATTCGCTTGGCAGAGTCAGCATACCTGAGTGTGCTCAGTGTTTCCTCGAAATTGATGTCAGCAGGAGATATAGCTGCGATCATGGCAGTCATGCTGTTGCCACCTAGAGAATCTTTGAGCAGCCAGGTAAGCACCGAGTCTCGATAGGGAACTTTGACACTCTTTTTCCCACTCGAGAGATCGGCAAGTGCTGCGATGACACGGCCGAGAGTACTCAAGGATCGATTGATCTCAGCACCCTCTTTCAATCGAGCGCCAGTAGCACCTGTCGAAGTTGCTCGTTCAGAACCAGCCAGATCAACCAGACTTATTTTAGCCACTTTCTCACTGTCCATGTTGGTCTCGACATCGTGGCGCTTCTGTGTCAAGGTCAGAGTGAAGACAGCATGTGAACGTGAGCTCGTCTCGTTCATGTTAGTCGCAGCTACTGTCCTTGCTTTATTGCCCTCGTCCATCAGGTTCTCAATCTCTGGAAAGGATTGTACAGCTAGCTTTGCCAGATCTTCGACATAAGGGCCAGTACTTGGATGTTCCCTAACTCTTAAATTACCTTTGCTGGCAGGGTTGAGTAGATCTCGAACTCTTTCATTGTAGATTTCGAGGTAACTAACCTCAACAGTGTACTTGATATTTCGATCGGCAGATTGAATGTTCTCGATTTTCTCAAACATGTTCTTGCAAATGCGCGGAATGACCCCAATCTCCTCTCCATAACCCATCATACTGTAGGATTTGCCAGAGCCAGTTTGGCCATATGCAAATATACAATTGTTGTAGCCTTGGAATGCATTGTCCAATAGAGGCACACCCAGATCAGCGAAGACATTCTCTTGACCAGCATAATGTGGGTCGTCGCGATTGAAGGACCAGTATGACTTGTCGTATTTGAACGTCTTTGAGCCCTCAGCAACAGCTTTGTTTCTATGGGCAGCATCGGTCGGTGGAGTAAGCACAGTCTGAGCATCTTTCATATGCACAATACATTGCGCATTGCGGTCTTTCTCCCTAGTGTTGAAAGGACGTACACGGACGACCACCTTGATATTGCCGCCGCCCGTGGGAGCCATCTTAGCCACGCCGATGCTACCGTGAGGTATACTGTATCATAGCACCTTCGACGTCAAAATAGGAGGATAGGTTCGGGGTCTGATCGTTTTCTAGAGGTACCACGGTTGTATGCTCGGTATTGAGGTTGGGTATTCCAGGTCGTGTGTATTGATTACTCGTTGTGCTTACTGCAGACAACCACTGTGGGACGTGAATGGGTATAGTATCCTGATTTCACGCGGCATTGAATCGTGTCGAGTTCACGACCCAGCAGAGTTGAGTCTGAGAAGTTCCACCGTCCGGGAGCAGCCTCCCGAAGGTGCATAAATTAGGGGGTGGGGTTAGCAGTCGCAGGTTCCTGAACGTGGTTGCTGGGCTTCACTAGTGCCCGGAGAAAGTTGCGTCACAGGCACAACCAAAGCAACAACGTCGCATCTCTGTCGCTCTTGCATTCTCATAGCAGAAGATTCGTGTACTGCAATTACAAAGAAGGAAACAATGTTGTATACCTTTCGTGCAGGTCACTGCCGAAAGGTGTACTGACAATGCATGTATCGTGAGGACGGGCTATTCCTAACATACAGATGTAAGTCAGTGCACGTCCGTGCAGAGTGAAATGAACGATCGATGGACTACCAAGAACGGTCGCACAAGCAGGCGTGGATTATTTGTAGACGGAGTGTGGCACTGCGACTGTGAAATTCGACTTCCAGCTGAGAAATTCCAGGTGAAGAATGGAGGGAAGAACCACGGCAGATGGTTCTTTACTTGCCAGAAGCCGCAATCAAAAAGGTGCAAGTTTTTTCTGTGGTCCGACGATGCAAAGATACGCGAGGAGGCGGCTGTCTTGAGTAATAGCAGAACCGAGCCTGGCGCTGAAGGTGGGCTGGAAGTGGGTGAAGGTGTGAAATTGAGAAGCGTCTATGATGCACCCCAGACTCCAAAGCGACAGACGGAGATCTCGCCGCCGCTTACTCCTGTAAGTAAGCCTAGGATATCATCCAAGCTCGAACAAAAGCCAGGACCTAGCAGTTTTCATACACCTGACGCATTCGAGGATAACTTCGACTGGTCCTCAAGCGATGAACAGCACTTAGCTCATCTTGCTGATAGCCTCAATTCTGCCCACAATCCGACCACCGACGATGACGATGAATCCCCACGCAAGGTGGTGAAGACATCTCAGCACTCTTCTCCCAGTAAACGCAGCTATACTGAGATGAAGACAGCGGCATCCTCCACAGTCAGCAGTAGCAGTACCTGGCTTATCGACGACGCTGACCATTTTGTTACCCCTACTACCTCCACCAGATCTGCGAATAGGTCGGGTATGATCTCCCCAGATCTGACCCCTGCCCATGTTAGTCGGCGTCTGTTCCCCGCCCCTGTTCAGGACGATTCCAAGATCTACGAAAGACACTCAGCACTCGCCCTTGAAGCACTCTCGATCTTGTCGCCTGTGCGATCCGTATTGGGTGCTGACATCGAGCAGAAACTGATGTCACTACTCAATAGACATGAATTGCGTAGTCAGGGCATAAGCAAGGGCAGAGACATCGCCCGATCAGCTATTGAGTCCAAGAACAAGAAGATCACAGATTTACAGCAGCAAATAACGATACTGGAAGCCGAAAGAGAAACAACTAGATCAGTCATTCAGCACCTCAAGAACGACATAGCGACAAGTCCGAGGAGGCCTAGACGACCACGAGATATGAATAGACCATCAGACGGAGGCTGAGACGATTGCCAAGTCGAATACCAGGTCAGATATTCAGGACTCCCAGTGTGATGATACACGTCTACCTTCTAGGTAACCACCTCATACCTAAGCCTCTCTTCTCCCCAGCCAGAATGTTATACACGTCCATCTCCAGAGTCAATTTCGGAGTGCTATCCTCCATTAATGCGTCTAACCTCCTGTTCAGCGCATCATCGCTTTCCGGTATTTGGACATCCGGTGGTGCACCAACGACAGGTATCATCCTCCGGACAATCTCCATCCTGTGCTTACTGAACAGTGTTGCCAGAATCGCCACGAACTCGACCTGAGCCATTTTCTGGCCGGGGCACACCCTTGGTCCAGCTGACCACGGAAGATAAGTTCCTTTAGGTGGCTGAAAGACTGGAGTTGCAGAATCAGAAGAGTTGATCCATCTGCTCGGTCGGTATTTCTGCTCGTCGGCTTTGATCCCGTCTTCATCATCAGCAGCTGCCTTGCGCTCCAACGGTGTCATATTCAAGTGTCGCCAAACGGCAGGATCTCGGTGAAGCATTACGTTGTTCACGTACACAGTAGTGTTGGCTGGTACGGTGAACGTACCACAAGATGCCGTTGTGACTGTCACAGGTGTTCGTGTCATCTTAGTAATATGAATGATCGCTGGAAAAAGACGAAGAGTCTCGAGCATGACCGCTAGTGTGCGATGTGCTTTCGGAAAGATTGACGTATAGTCGAAGTCGGCTGCAGGATGAGAAGGCAAAAGGGCGTCTAACTCCTCGAAGAGCCAGTCCTGCCATCGTGGATGTCGTGCCAAAAAGAGCAAGGAGTAGGCTATAGTGTTCGCTGTTGTGTCGAATCCTGCAGCTGTGAAGATATAAAGATTGCCCATGAGCTCTCCATCGCTCAATGCTGGTCCTTTTCTCCCTTTCTCAACATCGCCTTCGTTCAATTCTGAAGCAGCTATCAATGCACTCATGACGTTGTTTCTGGCCTGACCGGTTTCCGCGGTGTGCTGCTTCTCCTTTGCTAATGCAGCACGGGTGTGTATTGGAAATTCGACCTTGGCTTGTCCCAAATCATTCAGCCATTTCGATCCCGGGAGGAAACTTGGATAGTTACGAAGGAATCTTGTCGGCAAGACGGTGAAGCCCGCAGCGTTCTCGTTGACAATCTTAACAGCGTCAATGTAACTCATACCCATCCCCGTTTTCACCTTGTCGCCATCAACGAGATCCTTTCCACCATCAAAGTCCTGCCTATTGCCCATACCAGCTGCATAAAGCACATGGATAGTAACTCTCTTAATCATATCGAACATCTGATTCGTCGCGCCTTGCTCAGGCTTACCATTCAGTGAAGCCAACAACGCCCTCGTCTGCCTCACACTCTCATTCCACACCAGCGGACTCACCCTCTCCGTCACAGCACCAGCCACAATCCTCCGATGCCTAGCCCAATTCGCGCCATCCGACGTCAAGACATTATCCCCAAACACATTCATAACCACACTCGCCATATCAAACTGCACAAACTCCCCCGGTCGACTCGTCACCTCCCTCGCAATCTCCGCGTCCCATGTCCACAACTCCAGCCTCCCGCCAGTAACCAATAAATACGTCTTGCCCTTGCCCAACAATTTCGGGTTCGCTTGAACTTGAGGGACCACATACTCTGTAAACGGCTGGTCTTTCTGGAAGAATTCCAGGCCGTAGATTAGGAGAGCGACGCGGTTGTATAGCCAGGTGGGCAGGTAGCGCTTGTAGGAGAGGCGGCCCAATGGCCCCATGATCACCCAAACGACATGGTTTTGTGGAAAGAGGGGGAAGTGGACTGTGGGAAAGCCGATTTTACGAGCGACGACGATATTGGTGATATAGCGGAAGAGGTGGTAGAGGAAGTAGATGCCTCCGATTAGGAGGGGGTAGTAGAGTATGCCGAGCATTGTTACGGGAGGTTGTGTTGTTGATACTGGTTGATAGGTAGCCTGATTGTGACTGTTGCTTCCTGGTCTTATCGCTGTTCGAGTGATATTGCTTGAGTCAGTCGGATGGTATAGGCGAGGAATCACAGGCTACTATATACAATGCATGGCTGAAGAATAACGATGGAGCATGGCTTTATCGCACATATATGCAGTTTGAATTATGTCCTGCCTACAAGGCAGCATTTCGAAGACCTTTCTCAAACCGTGTTCTGAACGAGCGATCCCTGCAATAATTCGCCAATCCAGGCCTGAAACACCTGTTAACGAGCTCATGTATTGGCGAGTCAGGAAGGCTCGAGACCAATACAACATTTAATTGGCGAACGAAGAGAGTGGGTCGATCAAAGGCTTGGTTTCTTGGTCTTTGAAGACGGGGTTTGGGAGGCCTTAAAATGATTTTCTTGCGTATATCTGTAACACTGAGACTAAGAGTAGGTGTACGAAGCGTGTCAAACGAGAAGCTTCTTAAAATAGGCTGATGTACGTGAGATTAGCGGGAGCAACCATCACCTAGTGATGCACCATTGACGATGAGTCGTGGGCAACTCGCTCTTTGTCCACAACCAATCAAGCAGACTCGAGCATGGAAACGTCCCATCTTGAGAACCGCTCACTTCGACGATGCTTTACTTGCAATAGTTATATTTCTTTCACGATCTCGAAGGCAGCAGACTCCCTCGATACCATCGCTGTTAGGTAAGAGTTGTGATTATCTGGGTGTGATTGGAGACAGCAGCCTAGACCTCGGAAAAGTACCAAGCCCATTTCTTTCCGAAAGATTCCTTAACACGGCTAACATCCACGAATCATCGCGTCTGCGTCATTGACAGACGACTCTGAGTACCAAGCGACGAGAATAAGGTGAGGAGTGCTCCGTCAATGTGAAACAATGACTTCTTTCCAATTTCAGTTGCTGTCGTTCTTTGTGTATGTTATCGTTGAGGGACTGCAAGTGCAAAACCTGAAGAAATACCCATTGAGCGATTAGGAATTGGAAAGATTACTGTGAAAGATTACCCGAGGTCAAGATGAGGTACCAAACCATCCGACTCACGAAGTTTTACAAGGAGCCCGCAAACGAACAGAGAAATGGAAGCAATAGCGCACGTTTGTCGTCTTCAGCGTCGAGCATCACGTCGTCCACGACAAATCGTTCGCTACTGGGGAGTGCGTCGAGTGTCACCTCTTCGAGATGGGTTGGATTGAGCAGGCAAAGTACCGACGTGTCGAAGGCCAGTTCTGGTTGAAACGTGTGCGAGCACTACGTGCCTGCCTAGGACATGGCCGCTAGGTAGGCAGTGTCTGTGAGTATTGGTAATTCCTACTGGCGTTGTCGCAGAGGCTTCAACCCGTCACTCACCACGACGGTATCCTTCGGTCAAGCCCCTCCTCAGCAAGCCGAGACTCGACTGATGACCTGCAGCATGTTGGGCACCGGCTATCGACACAACAGGCAGAAGGACTAAGCTATAACACGTCAGAATAATGACATCTGTCATGTGTGATCAGTAACAGCACAGGGTTCGAGGGAGTTGATGGACATCAGGAAACCAGATTGTAAGAGTATGAGGCTTGCCCGCTTCTTGATTGTGTCGTTCTAGCAGCTTTTTTTCATCGGCTTCAGGGGAGTGAGACTGTTTTAATATTGCATTACACAGAGGAATGTTATATCAGGACCATTGACATGGTGTTCTATGGGCTGTTCTGATTGAAGAGAGGATTTGTCACTGTCGTCATGGACGTAGGTAGCATCAGATGATCTGCTGGAGAGAACGTTCACATGTCAATGAAGCTGGGGAGGAAGTCATTGTTCAACTTGAAATCGAGTTGTCGGATTGGCATGTGCTCTTTCCTGGGGAGAGGAAAATGGGACCTCCGAGGCACTAATCTTTCGTGGTTGCCTTTGTCAAAGTGTAGAGAATCAATGCTACAGGCAACGTCTTCAAAATTCACCCTCGCAGTTCATTCCGACCAAAGAGAAAGAAGGAGATTCAAAGCTCTCCCCACATCGACACGCGGTGCTTCTCCCACGGCAACCAAGTCTTGAATGCGGGTCAATCGTCGAAAAAGGCAAGTCCCCTACGAAATAGATGTCTGCTCATGGCAGTTTGCGGCGCTTTCTCGCCGTAGACTTGTCCGAATATGAAAAGTATACCTGTACTAGGCTCTCAGTGATAAAGAGTCTGCACAAGACCTCGAACGCAGTTTTCTTCTGACGGATTATTCTTGTCGAGATCTCATTTGTACACTATTGGCGGGCATTGCTGATCTGGGGTGAGTTTAGCTTTTGCCGTCTGAATCTCGAATTTCTGGGGCGGAAGTGTTGCCTCGGCATTCTCAAAAACTGGAGCAAGTCCGGCGCAGGTGATCAGACTTTCTGAAGGGCCCGACGATCTGTGTCCACAAGCACGAGCAACCTCTTCAGTATCTAGGGGATTGCTTCACATACTTTGTGCTTCCTCCTCGTCTCTTTCTCGAACAGCCATCGAGAGTCGCGTCTACCTTCACCCTCTTTTCTTCTACAACGATAGTCACGATGCCTGCTCCACGAGTTATTGTGGTCGGTGGTGGCCGTAAGCATGGCCCACAGTATTCATGGTGATCTCTTGCTGACATGTGCTTCAGTTTCTGGCTTGAGCGCAGCTCACACAGTCTACTTGAACGGTGGCAACGTGCTGCTGCTTGACAAGAACAGTATGTAGCCTATGAGCCTCTGCAAGAGCGCGCACTGATAATCTATAGCCTTCTTTGGTGGCAACTCGACAAAAGCCACATCCGGTATCAATGGTGCTCTGACCAGAGCTCAGGTAGACCTCAAGATCCAGGACAGCGTCAAGCAATTCTACGAGGATACCCTCAAATCCGCCAGAGATAAGGCCAGGCCCGATCTTATTAGAGTCCTCACATACCAGTCCGCTTCGGCCGTCGAATGGCTGCAAGATGTCTTCAACCTAGATCTCACCCTTGTCTCACGCTTGGGTGGTCACTCTTTCCCACGAACACACAGAGGTCACGATGCCAAGTTCCCTGGTATGGCCATCACATACGCACTGATGCAGAGGCTGGAACAATTGGTCGAGACTGACCCAGAAAGAATACAAGTTATCAAGAAGGCCAAGGTTTTGTCCTTGAACAAAGACGGCAACAAGGTCACTGGTGTCACCTATGAATTCGGTGGCGAGAAACATTCCATCGACGGTGTCGTCGTTCTGGCCACCGGTGGCTATGCTGCTGATTTCGGCGAGGACTCTCTCCTCAAGAAGTGGCGACCAGACACATTCGACCTTTCCTCCACAAACGGTGCTCATGCTACTGGTGATGGTCACAAGATGTTGATGGCTATTGGCGCAAACGACATCGATATGGACAAGGTCCAAGTTCACCCAACAGGTCTCGTTGACCCCAAAGACCCAGGCTCAAAATGGAAGTTCTTGGCCGCTGAGGCTCTCCGCGGTGAAGGTGGTATCCTGCTCAACAACGAAGGCAAGCGCTTCTGTGACGATCTCGGCCATAGAGATTACGTCTCCGGGAAGATGTGGGAGGAGAAGGAGAAGGGCAAATGGCCCATTAGACTTGTGCTGAATTCTAAAGCCTCCAACGTACTCGATTTCCACACCCGCCACTACTCCGGCCGAGGTCTCATGAAGAAGATGACCGGCGAGGAGCTCGCCAAGGACATGGGTATCAGCGCAGAAGAGCTTCAGAAGAACTTCCAGACTTACAACGACACTTATGAAGGCAAGATCAAGGATCCTTGGGGTAAGAAGTACTACCATAACATGCCAGTTAATGTTGACGACACTTTCCACGTCGCCATTATGGAGCCCGTACTGCACTTCACCATGGGTGGCATCGAGATCAACGACAAAGCCCAAGTCCTCAATAGCGAGCAGAAGCCTTTCGAGTCTCTTTTCGCCTGCGGTGAACTTGCTGGTGGTGTGCACGGCGCAAACCGATTGGGTGGTTCCTCCCTGCTAGGCTGCGTCGTCTACGGGCGTGTCGCTGGTGCCTCAGCATCACAGTATCTGTTCCAAGAACTTACAAGAGGTGGCATCACTGGTGCTGCACAACGTCTTGGTCAAATATCGCTCCATATCGACCCAAACCAGCCAGGCAAGGTATCCGTGGAATGGAACACAGGTGCTGATGGTTCAGCCAACGCCACTGCTGGCGACGACGTAACATCTCGACAAGCACAGCGCTCAGCCGCCCCAGTCATGGACGGCAACAAGAACCAGGATCCTGCCAAGAAGAAGGACCATCCAGAACCTGCCGATTTCAAGATCCCAGAAAAGGAGTTCACCCTCGAGGAGGTCGCCAAGCACAACAAGAAGGACGATCTATGGATCGCAGTCAAGGGTATCGTCCTGGACGTAACTAACTGGCTCGATGAGCATCCAGGGTAAGTCATCCAAAACATCCCACCCAATCTGATCTTCGGTACTAACATTACACCAGTGGCCCACAAGCTCTCTTCTCACACATGGGCAGAGACGCCTCTGAGGAATTCGAGATGCTCCACGACGACGAAGTCATCCCCAAATATGCTCCAGATATCGTCATTGGCAAGGTCAAGGGCCAAGAGGTCACCCTGCAATACTAGATAGGACTAGGATAACAATCATCGAAAAACCATGCACTCGAGCATTGGCGCTGTGGAAGGGCAAGCCTTGTTTTGGGAAGCTGGCTTGTCGGTTTGGAAAATCGAAGCGCTTTTGTGTATATTTTTTTGAGCTGTATGCAGAATTTATGTGAAACGATCGTGGACTCGATATTTTTGATCATGTTATTCATTGAACTCGATTGCATCGGTATTTCTTTGCGGTTTGTCGTGCTGTCCGAGCGTGGTATACTCCATGTGATGTGCCAGTATTGCTTGCATTTTTATTCATAAGCTTTTGACCACACGACAATCCCAACATTCGATACGATATTTCATCAATCAATTTGCCCTCCTTGACCATAGTACTTCTAATGAGTTTGACGACTTCGATCTTCAATATCATCATTGACTCGATTCGTGGTATTTAGACGAAGCATGAATATCATAAGGACTAGTTGCGTTCAAGCCATCTATGTGCTTCGCCGGTCTTTCTTCGACCGTGCAGAGTTGGGTGTCGTGAGCAGGTCTTATTACACCTCCGCTATTTATCTAGGCCGTCGTGCTACTCAAAAGACCGGGTAGTTGTAGCAATACTCATATACCTTCTCCATCGTCCCGTCCCCAAATCTTCACAGTTCTATCGTGACCACTGCTGGCGACCCACTTCGCATCCGAACTCACATCCACACTCAGCACGTTCCCCGAATGACCACTCAACCGCTTTGCTAGCCCCCAGTCGTCAGCCGAGTATATGTTGACGTTCTTGTCGAAACCACTTGACACGAAAAACGTGCCTGCTTTTCGAGGCTGTGTGTCGTTTCGCACGCCATTTTCCATGCTCACGTCGGGTTTGGTGGTCATATCGCCGTCGATGCCTTTGAACCAGCGCAAGTCGGAGACGTTGCCGTTGTGAGCTCCTATACCGCCGATATTTCTGACGGCACGAAGGTCCCAGCACTTGACCCAGCCATCGCCCGAGCCCGACAGAACTCGATATCCGTCAATGCCCCAGTCTAAACTGTAGATCTCTCGAATGTGACCCTCCAGTATCATGACGGTTCTGCCTGATCGTAAATCCCATATTCTACCTATGCTGTCGAACCCGCCGCTTGCTAACAGAGACCCATCGGTATTGAATGCGACGGTGTAGACTTGCCGTGAATGACCTTCCTGGAGTAAGAGCTCGGTAGTGGTTTCAACATCCCAAAGACGCCATGTTGTGTCGAATGAGGCTGACGCTAGATACTTGCCGGAAGGATGAAATTCCACACGACATACACGATCAGAATGACCTTGCAACGTCGATATTGGTGTGTCTTCCTCGAGAGACCAAAGGTGAATATCACTTGCGCCTCCCTGACCTCCTCCACCAGAAGCAAGGTTTAGCACGCTATCTGACACACCAGATGAGGGCAGCGTGGCTCCAGGAAACCACGATATACCGCCCACTATTCCTGTGTGACCTCGAAGCGACCTTTTTTCTTCTAAGTTCGGCACAGACAATAATTTGATGCCTCCACTCCAATTACCAGCAGCAACAATTTCTCCGTTAGGTGCGAATCTTGTGATGCTCACAGGACGATCGCCTGCGATTTGTGTGCCGAACAGCTCAAAGCCCTGCAGTTTCTCCTTGATAGCTTTGCGATGCTTGATATGTGTCCGTAACGGTATAGAAGACTCCTCTTTCTGCCTGGCTACCCGAGCTTGCGCTCTTGGCAAGGAGTATCTGGCAATCTCTTGTCGTGCTTTCAGAAGATCTTTTAGTCCTTCAGTATAGAATTCCTCTTCCTGGTCAATATTGTCCTCAGCATCTTGCATCTGAACATCCGGACTTGCAGCACCATGTTCCTCTTCATCAACGAGCATGAGTTCCCTCAGTCTGTTCCTCCGATCTGCTGGTCCTTCGCCAAATAGCGTGATGGGCTCACCCAACTCACGTAGTCTGATTCGAACTTTCGCATCGTCCGTGGGTACAGCCAGCTGTGCTGCCCTTCGTTTTCGATCGAACTGAGACAACAAAGCGGAGGCTCGTTCTGGAGCAGCTCCTCCAGCCCCTGCAGGCAGATCATAGTTGCGATCAATAGCTAAGTCATTGTTAATCTTGCTTGACCATAGAAGATTGCACCGTGAGAGTGGCCACTTACGCAGTTCAGCCAGACTTATGCCTCTCTCTGTAGCCTATCCTCAGCCATGCCAGTCAGCGACATGACTCCGCGAAAGGTTGACCTTGATCTTGAATCAACGCATGAATAAGTGTATTCCAAAACGTGTAAGATGGACTGTCAACTCACCTCGTCGCCGTCCTCTACGAACGCCTGTCTCGCCGGATGTCGTTGCATGATTCCTCGCACTTTGGCAAGTCGTATTTCGCTCCTCTAGACTCAATTGTATGCTGTCACTATCTCAGTATTGATATTAGTGTCCGCAGTACACTGTCGAAAGGTAAATTTAATTCTACCAGGAGCCAATAAGGTTTGACCGGACCTGGCACGTATCGATACATAAAATGCGGTCGTTGTTGGAGAACTTACTCTGGACCCGATACGAATCGGGAAGCTACCGGACTACAATTTGGGGCAGTCGCGTTGCACAACCCTTCCACACTTCGATGGTGTCTTACTATCACATATCACTAACCAACGCAAGCTTTGGAACAGTAAGAAACCTTCGCCTCGATCACGACAGGAAAACGTATATTAGCGACGCTCACGACCCTCGGCCTGTACTTGTCGTCACCAGCAGTCCCCATGTTCATCCTCCACATTACAACATCGACACTCCTTTGCAGCCGCGCCCTTTCTGCTTCCGTAGATTCTTAGAGTGCTGGACTTCGCTTCCTGACACGCGCCATTCGCTATGTCTGCGCCAAATCAGTCTGCGGCAGAAATGCTGCCTAGACTTGAACAGGTTCGTCGAGTCTGCCTCGAGGACCCCAATCAGTATAGTTCAGTTGTGACTGGAGTAGTTCCCATCCTCCAAGGTCAGCACGCCGTCGAAGTACGAAGATGGGGAGCGGAATTTATTGCAGAAGTCTTTGCGACCCCAGCCTTGCCAGGGCAACAGAAAGAGCAGATGATATCGGATATGGTAATGACTTTGCTACGACGCATGCTTGATACACCCAATGAGGATACAACTGTGGTCAAGACTGCTATCCAAGCTTGTGCCAGTATATATCCCTATATGTTTCGGAAAGTGTATGTAGACTCCTGCATCGGTATGTTTCTTTTCTGATACATGGTGTTACAGAATTGCTCAGCCCGACCTTTCTCTGTTCTGGCATGACATGACCGCTATTAAACAGAATATATTGCAAAGGATGGATGTTGCGCCTATGCCTATCCGCATAGCGAGCATCAAATTCCTGCAAAAGGTGGTACAGGTTCAGACACCAGGACTTATAGCCGATCCAAGAGTACGTCGAGATCACAAATCCTGGTACATTATGGGCTCTAACAGATACACAGAGACCGGAGCACAACGAGACCTCAATATCGCTAGTGCCCAGAAACCACCCATTACTTCCATTACCCAATCTCGAGGCCGAAACATCAGGAATACTTGACAGGCTCCTGACTGTGATACAAGACAACTCAATGTAAGTGAGACGGATCCCAGCTCATAAATCCCCTGACAAGACATAGTGATCCATTGCTGGTTGATGCCACCATGAACAGTTTAGCAGTTTTGATCAAAACACGTCCCGCTATACAAACCAAGATACTGTTGACCGTGCTGAACTACAATCCGTTACGTGCCGCTGGTGGTCCGATGACTGCTCGCCAGATTGTCGTAATAAAGTCTCTTCAAAGGACAACCAGAGCACTCTTGCGCTTTGTCATGCGGATAATGCCCCAGCATCCACTTGCTGAGAAGATCGACCTTTACCTGCGACGCTTGCAAAGCAATACAGTCAACGTCTTCACCCAGGCACAGTCTCTGAAACGACCAGCTGATTCGGTCGACGAGATCGACGCTGTAAAACGACAGAAGTTAGAGCCGGTGCGAAGATTCCCATCCATGGCTTCTCCTCCCGTTTCATATGCTCAACTCTACACCTTGATTGATAACCCGGACTTCCAACAATTTGACGTCAAAATCTTGCGTGAAGACATCGTTAGCATGATCTCGAGTATGCTTATGCAACATGTCGACTCAAAATCGTTGGACGAAGCAATTGCGGAGGTACAGCAGAGGTATCAAACACTTCAAGAAGCCGCTAGAAAGTCAGCCGGCATTACCGCTGAAGACGACGATGACTATGACCCCGAGGCGTTGTCCAGCTCAGATAATATGGTCTCTGGTGGACCGCAATCTCTAGAGGATGTGTTACCACAGCCAGCGCTGGAATTGGGGCCTGTCGAGTTACCCAAACCAGAACCTCTGAACGAAACAGAGCTAAACATGCTTACAATGCAGACAGTCGCGCATGTTTTCGAGACTGCCCTATCTTCCGAACAGAATTCAAGCGTCCTTCGGCAGAAGCTAGGTATCAATCGACTAGCAGGAAGCTCGAACGACAAAGATTCGTGGTTGACCCTCTTCACCAGGCTTGCGACGCGTGCACCTGCCGGACTCCACTCTCTCATTGAGAGCGAAGTGGATCTCGACGACCAACCTATTGAGACAGGACCTTCTCCAGACCATCCCAATGCTGCGAACCTGATCCGTCGCCAGTTGTTCGATTATGTCTTGGATGATTGGAAGCACCGTCTCTCTCTGGGACTCACCTGGCTGACAGAAGAATGGTATGCCGACAAAATCCAAGTCATTGGAACGGCTAATGGCGACGCACCGACGACAAAGACTGACTCTAGAACGCCACATTATGACTACTGGACCAGGGAACTTTTTCAGACTCTGATTCCTCGCTTCGACAAGGACGACCATCGGATATTGATACGCTTTCTTTCCGAACTGCCTTCGCTGAACCATAATATTCTGTCGATAGTCAGGCCTCTGACTCGCGATCCAGCGACCGTTGATATCTGCAAGAAGGCACTACAATATCTATACTTGATGCGACCGCCAGTACGAGAGCTCGTGGTTGACACGATGGAGGATATTTGGCGAGAAGGCGATGACGATGTAAAATCGACGATGGGGCCTCTACTGCAGAAGTGGAGGCCTGGCTTTCTGGAACAGGCGGTGGAAGAAACTAAAAAGGAGATTGAAGATACTAGAACGTTTCCAAATGGTGTGAAAGGCGAGGATTCTGTGGTAGCTACTACTTGAGTACTCAATTCGACATACTGATATATTATCAACCACTATCTGAGGCGGTCATATTGATACTAGAATTATATTGGTTGATCTTCCTCGTAATATGTGCGCTCATAGTAGTGCCTGGTCCTCCTTACTGTACTGGTAATTAGTAGCACAGTAACGCTCGGCAGGCACGTGTTCGTGGCCGGTGGAGAGCCGGGATTTTGTACAAGTTCGCCGCTTCCCACTCATGCAATCCGATCCTCACACGTATACCGTGGTGATGTCTTCAGAAACCATTCAAGAAGATTCGGCGAAGAAGAGAAAGCTGTCCGAGGTAGAAGCCGAAGCTGCAATATTCGATAAGCCTCGAAAGAAGCCTATCGCTTGTGGGCCATGCCATTCTCGGAAGATCAAATGTTCTTTTGGTCATCCATGTACTCATTGTGCGCAAACCAGGAATCCTGAAGCTTGCATTTATCCTACACGGGACTCCAAGATCACTGTAAGCTCAAACTACGTCGAGAGAATAGTAGCAGAAAATCGGCGCCTTCGAGAACGAAGCCAGGCGAACGAGGTCCAGAATAGCTCAGGCCATGTCGCAGATGGCGCATCGAAGGTACCGGAGTTGGCTATTGAAGCCAGTGAAGCTCGAAATCCGTTACATGATGAGAGATCTTGGTTCTTCCCTCTAGCCAATTCTGGACCCATTCATATCAGTGAGGCTGCTGACGCTGCTTTCGCAACGCGTCTTCGACAGACCTTGCAACCAAATGGCGTTGCGGAACACATACCTAGGATGGACTATGTGACAGATGCAAAACTCATCACTCTGGCCGAGACTGATGTCCCATGGCCTTCGCTAGCACGAGCGAAGTTGTTGATCAAGACAGCCTTTGACACTGTTGGATCCTGTTACTATTGTGTTAGAAAGACTGATATTTATAATGGTCTGAAACGCCACTACCGAAACCCCCTCGCACCGAGAACTATCTTCACATGCAAGCTAGAAGCCTTGTTCGCGCTTGGAGAGGCATACTCGTGCAGGACGCAATCAACATCTGAGGACACTTTTCCTGGTCTTGCCTACTTTGCCCGTGCATGTCGAACAATACGAGGAGTACGTGAACGGCCCCAGATGGACTGGATTGAAGTCTTGCTGTTGTTGGTATGTGCATGCTGGCTTTTCCTGCTGATTCTTTACTGACAACGCGACAGTCCATGTATTCGCTCTTGCTCAATAGACGGCATAGTGCTTACTATCTAGCAAGTGCTGCTGTTCGCACAAGTATAATCATGGGGTTGCATCAGAAGATCCCCGAATTTCAATTAACCGATCGAGCGGCACGAGAACATCGTGTGCGAGTATGGTGGACTTGTTACACATTGGAACGGCTATGGGCCGGTAAGATTGGACACCCTGTCTCAATTCAGGACGATGAGATCGGAGCTGACCTTCCCTCAAACGCTGGACTTTCTGAGGACGATCTAAGCGACTTCCCCGACGAAGAGTACGCTAATGCCAGTATACGCTTGGCTCGGCTCTCTCGCAATATCATACACTCTATCTACAACCGCAGGCCAACGCAAGTTGCGTTCTCTCAGCGAGTCCAGGCGGCCCTGAAAGAGTTGAGAGCCTGGGTAGAAGGACTTCCAAAGCATCTTCAGCTGCCAGCCTCATTGGGATTGCAACCTCTACAAAGACCACAAAAATGGCTACATCTTACTTTCAATCAGGTAAGTCCTTTTTCATCTCATGGCACACTTACTGACAAAAAGAAATAGTACGTCATACAAACGACACGACCGATCCTGCTGCATGTCATTCGAGCCCACAGAGAGCTGTGGCTTAGTCCTGGTAGAGGAACGGATTTCAAACAGGTCATTGGAGAACCTGCGCTTGCACTTTCTGAAGCATGTATTCGTTGCGCAAGACATTCTCATCGTCTGTTGACAGATACTTGGATCGATGGGTCGTTCGCAATATTCGATTACACCTACACACAATATCTGTTTGCTTCAGCCACCATCCTTGCCATCTCCAGCCTCTCCATTGGTCAGAATGACGAATCTGACAAGGACGGCTTCGAGTCCGCATGTCAGTTCATCGAACAACTACACCAGAATGGTAACTACGGAGCCAAGGAAATGGTCCGCCATCTTGAAGGCATTAAGCTTAGCATGGCTGCGTTCAAAGGAGACTCAAGCCTAGAGGCACTCAATGCGCTGTCAAACGCAGCTACAATGCTCCAAGGACATGGTGGATCAATTCCTACTCCTTCAAGTACAACTCCCGGCAGCGCTTTCCAGCCGACGATGACTGCGGAAATGGCGCTTGCAGAGCCTTCGCTTCAAGACTTTCTCTCGCAAGCTGAGTTTGACCCGACCTTTCTTGATGCGCAGATACAGGGAGATCAAGTCAACGGCATGTATTATTCCATGCTGCAAGATGAATCTTGGTTGGCTTTCTAAAGGGTAGGCATGCTCTGCTGGAAATAGTATGATGCCACGTGTATCCGCTTGAACAACGCCAAGCCAGGTTCTCGTGGAACCGCTTACAACATCTCAATATTCGTATCTACAGTTGTCTCTTTCGACATAATGCTGTGTCTCAAGCAATTTAAGCCTTCAGACTGAGCCTCTTTGAAATTCGGAGAGGACGTAGATTTGCGACGATCAAGAGCAATTTACTTTTTGATGACGGAATACTCGAAATGCGGAGAGAGGACTTGTGCCAATGCTATATGATCCATGTCCTCGGTCGAGGTATTGAGTTCTGAATTAACGAGATAGATTCTGTCAACTTGCTGTCGTCGAGGTCTTCTCGTTCACTGCGACCGCTTGGCTACAACCATCAATAGCGCACTTATCCTTCTGACTTAGCAGACACTAATAAATCAACACAGCTCACAAGAGCTCATTCGCAAACCACAACCATGGATTCCATGGACAACTTCTTTCACAAATCACTAATAACCAAGCCCAACAACCTAACATACAGCTACTACCTCTCCCTAAACTTCACCTCCCAAATCAACTCATCCCCCTCCCTCCCAATCCTCCTCTTCCTCCACGGCTTCCCCGACGACGCCCACATGTGGGCCGGCGCCATGCCACACTTCCAAAACCTTCCTTACCCCATGATCCTCCCCGACCTCCTCGGCTTCAGCGGCAGCTCCAAACCCACCAATCCCCACCTCTACAACTACAGACAACAAGCCAACTCTCTCGCTCAAATCCTCGACGCAGAAGGCATCTCCTCCAGCCAACAACGCATCATACCCATCGGCCATGACTGGGGGAGCCTAACTGCCCAGCGCTTCTACCTCCACCATCGCCAGCGCTGCATCGGCCTCTGCATCCTCAGTCTCGCGTACCAAGTCCCCACCGACAAACCCTTCAGCCTCTGGACCGCAAACCACGAAACGACCAAGAAATTCGGCTACCCGCAATGGAGTTATTGGGAGTTCTTCGTCGCTCCCGACGCACCAGATCTAATGCGGGAGAATCTCGAGAGGTTCTGGGAGGTGAATAATGGGAATTATCCCAGTCCGCTGCCTGAGGAGAACGGTCGAGATATCTGGATGCGTGAGATGTTTTGTACCAAGAACGCGATGAGGGAGTATGTCACTGGGACCGGGAAGTGGGCCGGTGAGAAGTCAGTACCTCTAAAACCATACCCCGAAGGTGACAGACAGAAAGCTCGGTTCATCGCGCGCATGTCGAGGGACGGGTTCGAAGGGCCAGTATGCTATTATCACAACTTGGCGATTAATGCGAACTTGGAGGATGATGCGGCGTTTTGTAGGCCTGGGCCAGGGGGCGAGGATTTGAGGAAGATTGATGCGCCGATGTTGTATGTGGGGCAGACGGGGGATTGGGTTTGTAGGACGGATTTGATGGCGGAGGCGAAGGAGATGGGGCTTGTGAGCGATCTTGAGGAGAAGGTTGTTGAGGCTGGGCACTGGTGTTTGTACGAATGTCCTGAGAAGATTGCTGGTGCTATTGGGGAGTGGTTGGTGAAGAGGTTTCCTGTGCAGCAGTGAGCTGTGGGAGTGTCATGTTTATTTCTGCGGCAGGAATTACGACCTGTACGAATAGACAGCGAATTTTTGTCTATGAACTGGGAACGTTGATGCTGCAAGTCCAAGCCGACCTGAATTATTTACGAAAACTGCGTATATATCTACATTTGTATATATCAATTTTGTATGTCTCGAACCTCATTTGGATACACAGTCACAACCGTTCACTCAATTGGTTCTCCAGCCTTACTAATCTTAAAGCCACCAGGTACCATGGTCTGGAACACACCAAGAGGGTCGTATTTCTCCGCCATAGCCTTGATATGATCATAATTCTCCTTCCCGTAACTGGCTAGGGGATCTTGAGTCTTGTATGCATAGTCGAGGTAGATGAACGGGTTGTCAGCTCCGATACTGATAGCATAGTCTTTGAGCTCCGCAATGAACGCATCACCAAAGGAATGGAAGAGGTCATCTTGGTCAGGTGCTTGCCAGGCAAGATATGTCTGCCATACTGCATGCACGTCAGTGGATCGAACGCCCGGAAAGAGAGATCCAGTGTAGACTTACAGACGAGATTTTCATCAAAGCGATCTAAACCAAGCATGTTCCCGCCCATCTCAACGGAGTGCTTGGCGAAAATCGCTGGTAGAGGCTGGAACATGTCTTGCAAGGTCCAGTTGCCAGCAGCTTCAGAAGCCTTGATGAGCTCAACATAGGAGTTATGCATTCGAATAGCCTTCTCATACATGCGAATGTCGTTCTTGAAAGTGAGGGTGAAGAACGAGTCACTAATAGAGTGTGTCAGTGATTACCTGCAATCCATGTCCAAACTTACCGGTACCCAGCAGCCTGCTCGAGTTCTTGAGTCAAGTCCGACATGTTTGTTATACGTAGGGAGTCGGAGATATTACCAGGTATGGCAAGAAACTCATCGTAAACGGCCGGACGTTCTACGGCAGCAGTATAATCGTAGGCGTTTATTATGATCGTGGCGTCAGTCTGAGAAGTGAACTGCCAAATGCCTATGGCTGAGCCATACGGATTGCTTTCGATCTTGTCGCAGAAGTTCTTGAGTGCTTGCAGCTGAGCTGGTGTAGTATCGTTCGGGTATACTACCACACCTCCCCAAAGCAAAGTTGTTTCAAAGACCTCGAGATCGAATCTTGTGACTATACCGAAGTTATTGTTGCCGCCCTTGAGGGCTCTGAAAAGGTCTGGGTTGGTTTCGTTGTTGGCGTCGACAATTGCTCCTGAACTCAGAACAACCTAGATCATGTCAGCACAATCTTGGAGATTGGTAGGTATTTGCCATACTTGAAAGTTTGCAACGTTGTCACAAACCATTCCCTTCCTTCCAGCATAGAAACTGGCAACGTTAGTGAGACCATTCAACCACTATCAGTCGTCACAGCCCAATGCATCGACCCTTCGAAAGACTTACGAGTTGCCTCCACCTAGAATCAATCCACCTACACCGACTGTTCCTGCCCTTCCTCCAGCGGCAGCTATATTCAGTGCATCGAGGGTCTTGTAAACACCCAACCACCGAGCACCTGGACCAACACCAGCTGTCGAATTCTCGGCATAATAGATTGTGTTATTGATCAACTCCAGATCAATCGTCACGCCATCTTCGATGTTGTTTGACCCTGCCCAGGTCGTGTGTCCAGCAGATCTCACGGCGAACTTGCATGGATAGGTGTTATTGGATTCCACCAAGGTGCTAACGACCTGAGCTACTTCGACTGCGTCTCGAGGTTGGACAAAACATGTCGGAGTCAATTGAGCAGCCTCGGACCAGTAGGAACCTACTCGTTCATCGTATGACTCGGCTCCAGGATAAAGAATCAAGTCGCCGAGTCCAGCAAGTTCAAGAACCTCACACTATGTTCAAGTTAGTACCTTCCTGGTCGACGGAAAAATCTGACATACGCAGAAAGCGACTGTGAGGTTGTTCGGAGTGTAACTTGCATGAGTCTCCGCTCGCTGCAAGCTTGCTAAGGTCGTGGCAGCGGTAGCGAGCAGTAGAATCTCAACGGAATACATGTTCGCGGATAATGAGGGCCTTCGAAATGGCTGGAGGGTTCTTGAGACGATGGAACAGAAGTCGAGTAGTCGTCAATTGCACAATCAGCAACATCGCCTTCTTGACTTGGAGAACCAGTACCCCTGGCAGTACATCATGCGCTAAGAACATATCCTCGTATCGCCACAATGTCGTCCACAGAGCGATCATTAAACGACGTTGAGATGTACATCTTTACTCTTTTCGAGTAAAGCTAGGTAAATGAGACAGACTCCGTGGCTGTGAAGGTTCATTCTCAGAACCAGCATGATAAATAATTCCTTCCGTAGCGTGCACGACATGTGTTATCGTCTAGATTGTTATTTCGGAGAACTTTGGAAGTTTAACCCACGAATTCATGTGGCGCTTGGCAAGACACCGACAGCAACCATACTGTGCGAGTTGCTCGATCATTTGTTGACAGTGATGGTCTAGTGTTGAAAATGGCATGATATTGATTATGCATATTGACTGAAAGGATGGCTCTGGTGGATCGACAACGCTAGGAGACTCCAGCAGGATTGATGTCTTGGCAACGTTCCTGCTTTAGCGGTCGATCATTGTGCAGCTCAAAGGCGAGGGCAGGGCGTGGAGCGAGGAAACGTCCGCGAATGTGGGTCATCTACGGCCCAGCGAAATTGCTTGGAACCTCTTCACGACCATTAGCTCGAGCTAGCTTGTCTCAGACTGGGGAAAACGGGACAGTATGCACCTTAGACACGACTTTTCGTAGCCTGGAGCTGGAGTGCGTCAGCTTTTTGAGTTTCGAGAAGAGCCATTTCGATTCTGTAATGTGCAAAGTATGTCCTCTCATTCCCGTTTAAAGAATCCATACGCAAACGGTGGCACACTGTTCGTAGCTGATATGTGTCGGCGTTGTATCCGATAAAACTGCCTGCAAAGTTCTGGTTAGTCGTGGATGCTCACGGTAGTGAGGCTTGTTTCTGTATCAGCAAGCCCACGCAATCAAAACTCGATCGCACGAAGTGAAGATACCTGCCACGCCATCGTGCTGCCTCTGCCCTTCGCAGTCATTGGCATGAGACCGAGAGTGCTGCAGGTTAGTGTCATTCAGTCTACAAAATGAGTCACGCATCTTCGTAATCATTTTGAGTTCCCTGTGCTAGCCTGTGACGAAGCAGCTCTCGCTCGAAGCAGAACGTTGAGCTCGTATTGCTTGTATGTGCAGGTCTTGTGGAGACTCAACGTTCAATACCGGAAATCCGCTCGTCACCAACACCAGGTCCACCATTTGCCCGAGAATTGCAGATCGCGATGTGTACGTGAGGCGCCGGAAGAGCTGTTCGACGACACTAATTGCTGAAACATGCGATGTGTAGAGCTTTCAGGTATGAGACAGTCCACCGTGATCTGCAGGTAATATCAACAGAAGTACAGAAAAGTTGTCCACAGTATCAATGAACTGATTATATACTTCAGCTGCTCTGGACGACATCTTGCCTGCGTCTTGATTAGTCGTCTCTGCCACAATACGCTTTGATTGCCTTGAGGTGCGTTTCGAATTGGTTCAAAGCACAATCGACCTACCAGATAGTCAGCAGAGATGTCTATCACGAACGGTGTCTTAACGATACTGCCACCTCCTGAAGGATATATCGTTGACTTCGACAATCCCGCTAGGAATGGCAATATTGCAGGATACTGGATCACTGGCATCGGCATTGTATTGAGCACATCGGTCCTGGCAATAAGAATGTACACCAAGGTGTTCATCATCAAGGACTTCTCCCTTGACGACGCAACACTATTGGCCTCATATGTGAGTATATAGACGAAACAGGGGACGTCTTGACTGAATAGAGTAGGTCTTTGGCATCGCCGTACAGAGTATCTTGACGCGTGAGTATCCACCATTGCCTGTCGGCTGGCTGCTAAAGTTGGCAGATTTCTGGATCGTCGAAGCGAGTGGAGTGCATGCATGGGAGATGCCAATGGCCAGGTACCAATACTTCAGCACAGTAAGTACGTCAACCTCAAGTTCGACTAGATGTTGACATCCGTAGGTGATTATGGTGGCCTCCGTTCTATACGTACCCTGTCTTGGATTTGCGAAATTCTCGATTCTTTTTCTATACCGCAAGATCTCACAGTTGAGATGGTTCAACGTATGCATCTATATCCTCATGACCATCGTTGTCTGCTATAGCATCGGTGTCATCTTTGCTTTGATACTCCCATGCCAGCCAATACCGGCGAACTGGGATCTGAGCGTGAGCGGCAAGTGTATCGACAAAGCTGCGATATATCTCGCTACTGCTGCAGTGAATGTTATTACGGACTTCTTGATCTTGACGCTGCCACTACCGATGGTGCTGCGACTTCATATGCCAAGAGGCAAGAAGATAGGTCTAGTCATCCTTTTCGTGGTTGGTTCGGCGTGAGTGAAGAAGCGAGCTTAGTAGAAGTACCAAAACTGACACTCCATAGGACCTTGGTGACAAGTATCATACGACTGGTCCTGATGATACCCATGGTACAGAACGTCGATCAGACTTGGGTTGTCTCAGTTCCTTGCATATGGATGTAAGTATTCGAAGAACCCACCATAGCTGATACTGACTTCAAGACGCAGTAATATCGAGGCAAACCTCGTCGTTATTTGTGTGTCTCTTCCCACTCTTCGACGTTTCATCAAGCACGTTGCGCCTGGCTGGATGGGTGATGGCTCACGAGGGAGCAGTGCGCCGAGCTACCTCAAGAAGTCCTCTCGCAGTGGCAGTCTTCCAATCTCGCGCAGCAAGAACTCGAAGTATGGTCGTATGGATGACAGCATTCTGGAGATGGCGGGTAATTTTGACGACAACACAGAAGGTGATGAGACCGGTGAAGATGTACTGGATGCTGATAATAGTAGCAGAAGGGCGATACGGAAGACAACCACGGTATATATCAAGTACGATCAGAGGGATGCTCCATAGCCTGTCGGTCGACCAAGCAAGTGGTCGTTCACTGCAATCGTATGAATAACAGGTAGAGGGATATATCAATCTGGCAGAACACGAGCCTTGAGCACTCATCCAAGCACATAACTGTACCGCAACACTCAACCAATACTACGTCGCGATCTTCTCGCGTCAGATCGTGGTTCGAGCTGGGAAGGAACGCGTGAGTTGTCGTGAACAAATTTCGCTCCACGCTATCTAGCTTTAGCACTAAGGTTACATTGAGCCTAGAAGCGTTGGCACGGTCAATCACGATACTTGGCGCGTTTTTGCCTTCAAGAGCTCGTAAAACAAGCCTGTGGCAGAGAGCTCAGCTCTTGTCTAGACCCTGGTCTATAATCGGTATTAACAGCTATACAGTATACTGACATTCTGCAATACGAAGTAATCTATAAAGTGGTCGACCGACCTCTAGAAGCAACATAAGACAGTACGGCTGCAGACTGACGATAGACACGAAGCTTGAGGTTTCATATGGTTCTTCCGTTTGAGACCGGAGCTGGAAACAAGCAGAAACGTTCTTCTCTGAGTTAGCCATACTCACTCTTGCATCGAAAGAAGGATCAGACCCTTCACAGCATTTACAATTTCCCAAACGCGAGCGAGCGATCGAGAACAACTTTGTTGTGCAGGGCAAGACAAGAACTGTCCACACCAAGACCTGCAGTCAAGATAATACATGTCATTCATTGTGTAATATATAGGCACTCATCTCACACTCAACCACCGAAGCACTCCAAGCACTGCTTCAATGCTTCACCTTGTGTGAGATTTAGATACTGTTTCACCACTGTGAAACGATTGGTACATATTGCCGACTTGGACTCAGTTCCTGCATACATCATTCATCGCCTCGTAACCTCCAGCTTCATGCTTCTAGTAGTACAAGCGTTCCTCTCGTCATGCACCAACCAATTTCTCTCGGCATCAAATCTGTGTGAATGCTGTCAACAGCATGATCAAGGAATCTCCAGAATGCAGTTGCCTTTCCTTCAGGCCATACCAACACATCTGACCAGAGAGTGGCATGTTGTAATGCAAGTGTCCTATTTTCTTGTAGCTCGTAAAATATACAGGTCATATCACATATATCGTGACTCATTTGGTTAAACAGCTCTATCGTGGCAAACAAAAGAAAACTTTTCGTGTCGGAGTTCGAGTATCGGGCTTCCATCGCTTAGATGTAGCTGCCTGTACCCACTCCGGAGTTGTAGTTGGGAGCAAAGCCGTTCTGGTTTGGTGTGAAACCTAGAGGGTGCATCGTGTTCGAGGATCCAGATGCATAGTCGTCAGGAGAGAATTGTTGGGTAGGATAGCCACGACCACCATAGACGAAACCACCTCCGTTGATCTGGATTTGTCTCCGGTTAGTGGACCTTGCTCCCTGGTAGCCATTGTCCATTGTGGTTGGAGTTGGACTGACCTTCATGGTCTGGATCTTTGTAGCGATGCGTCGACCATGAGGAGTCTGCTTGATGGCTGGTAGGACTGGTGTTATCAAGTCTACCAATCGCTGCTTGTGACGATGATCAGAGTACTCCAGAGCAGTTTGCACAACATAGTTGGCGAAACAATCTCGTAGCATTCTCTCAAGTTCGTTTCCTGCCAGAATCTCGTCTAGCATTTCTGCCCTGGTGTCCGCGTCAGCCACTCGCAAGCACTTCTCAATGACGTTTGAGCTGAATTTCTGCTTCGAAAGAGCAGCAATCTTGCCGCGGAAACTCTGGCAGAGCGGTCGAATGAAGAGCATCTCGTCCAGATCCAGGATGTACTGCACAACGTAGTTGCCATAGGCATCTTGCACCAGATCAAAAGCACATCGCGTGATTTGTGCAACCAATTCGCCACGTTGGTAGCCTTGAGCGTGGTCAATGCATCGTTGAAGGACACAGCAACCATGTCGATGAGTGCCAACGATGACACATGACGCACCAACACTGCTATAGATGAATTGACATCGCGCTGCACCAAGTACCTGCAGGCACTTTTGAATCACGTGGTTGCCATTGAGATCTTGCACCATCTCCACCACTTTGTGGGACAAAGACTGGATGACAATGTTGATTTGTTGGTCAGTTCGAAGGTGCTCAATCATCTTCTGTAGTGCGCGTGTACCATGTTGGTTCAGAGCAATGCTCGGAAGTGCTGGTGCAGCTTCAGCAATCAGCGTTGTCCTCTGTTCATCGTTACAGTGCTCGAACAACTTCTGGCATAGGTAATTGCCGAATGGGTCGGTCATCAATTCTTTGATATGAGGGCAGGTCTCTCGAAAGATTTCCTCGATATGAGCTGGATTACCCTCCTCTAGCTTGCGTTGAAGATAGCGGCAGCCGTGCTGATCTCGACTCATGGAATAAAGCTGTGTGATCAGAGTTTCCCAGGGGACATTATCGAATCGTGACGCGTCCTGCCCTCGTCGTCCATTCCTCGCGTCTTGACGGCCGTAGGACTGACTATTAGGCAATGTAGTAAATCCAGGCTGTGCAGACATCGGTTGTGATGCCGCAGCATTGCCGACGTTGTAGCTAGCCATGTTGTACTGATACATTGGTGGGCTAAAGGCTTCGACGGGGCTAGTCAAGCCGGAGACTGTGAGATCGGCAGAAAAGCCCGGTCCGAAAGGTGCAGCACTTGCTTGCAATGAAGTAGATCCAAGAAGACCAAAAGTCTGTTCTTCGGATTTAGTAGATCCAATATTGTAACCGATCTTTCCAACTTCTCGACTCTGTCGATTGGGCAGTGCTCCAATAGGGATGCGTCCAAGACTAACGTTATGAGCGTGAAATTGAGAATCGGGCTGCGATAGAGCGCCAGTCTCTATACCAAAAGATTTCTTCACAGTTGGGACGTCGTTGCTTGAGAAGGAAGTTTGCAATACATTGGGACGAGAGGACGACGAGATGGTATTTGTAACCGGAGGGGACTCGTCGTAAGTGACACCGGTTGAATGACGTTGGTTCCTCTGTAACAGATCGCTGCCTTCTGGAGGGCTACCGAATCCACTTAGAACAGGTCGATACATGCTAGAGTCGGTATGTGGCATACTAGTATGGCCAGGACGGGTCCTTGTTTCGTAAATATACCCTGGTTCTTCGAGCAGGGTAGAATTGGCAATCTCAGCGGCAGCGAAATTTGCAGATAACTGAGAAATGAGTTAGAAGTGATACACAACGTGAGAGTATTCTAGAGTTAGACTCACCCGAGTTCCGTCACGACTAAGTGTTGGGAAAGGCTCGTCAACGCCACCAGTTAATGCTGAGTAAGTGTTGTGAATTGGGTCATCGTCGTAGATGACATTGGGATCGTTCAAGGCAGCTGCGTTGCGCCTAATAGCAGCACCTGCGCTGTGTCTGGACCCATTGACGGGCATCGAGAACCTATTGAGAGCAGCTGCAGATCGGTTTGTAGGCAACTGATCAAGGTAATCTTCCTCCTCATCAGAGCCACGCCGCGAACCGGGCATAGACTTGGTGGACTGTCTGTGAGTTGAATACAGCCCAGACATAGACATGCGATTGCCTGGAGGGGACATGATTTTGGAGCTTGCCGTTGAAGTTCGCTTGGAAAGTCCTGGAGGCGATGTGACGTTGCTCACGGACACGCGACTAGAGCGAGAGTACCTCGTGGAGAACACATCTTCTGCGTAGTCCGGAGGTGTAGTGGGCTCACTCACAGGGCCATTCAGGCTCATACGCTGGAAGCCAGTGGAAAAACGATCAACATCTTGACTTGCATTGCCCATCTGGAGCTTCCGTTCCTTCTCATCAAGCAGGGCAAGCTGCTCCTGCGCCTTACGACGGGCTATTTGAATGTCCTCAAAAATCTGCTTCTGCTCATTCTGCGATGCTGAGGCCAATGAAGAGTACTGCTGACCGAAGGATGCACGGTTGAGGCCCAACTTGCTTGAATCGGTGGTAAAGCGTCTTTGCAGGGAGCTACGCACGTCCGATGAATAGAAGGGAGCCAAATCGCGTTTGCTCGAGAGGTTCGAAGAGAAGGAAAGCTCGTTCAGGCTATCGCTGTTCGGCCTCAAGAAGCGCAGGTCTTCGACTCGCCCACTCAAAGCGTTGGAGAAGGCCATACTGTCCCAAAATCACTCTTCCAACGTTTCGAACCTCCAGCAAGTTTCCAGAAGCGTCGAGGTCAGAGCTCGGGTAGATGTGAGAGGCCGTGCCAAAGATTTGCAGGAAACACTAGCAACCTTCAACGCGTGAGATTGAATGAGGAAGCCAGTCAGAGCGGTACTCGATGGACTACCATGTCATGAGTCTCCGGTTATTCTTCTTCTGTCCCCAAAATCGAGCTTCAAGTGTCCGCACGTCCTTGATGCAGTCGATGGTCCTCTTGTCCAATTTGCCAAACTCTTTCACATAGACAGCTCTCAATGCAAGTGGGACTCGAGTACAAAAGACAGGATTGGCAGAAAAGAATGCTGGTTGGAAGGTAAATGCACAGAGGTTATGTTACAGGGCGATCGGTAATCGCAGGTCGACAACAAAGCACTCGAGGTGAGGTAAAGGAGGTGAAGGTGGGAGGTTGCAGAGAGCGGTTCGAGTTCATACAGCAGCCAAATAGTAGAGTGTGAGTTCCTGAGAAGCGGCCCGTAAGGTTATGGATTGACACACCCTGCTAGCGCCTACTGGACCCAGTGCACTTGAAGCATTGTTCGGCGCCAATGGCCGACCAAACTACTCTGAGCCTGCCCAAATGATGTGCTATGTACAGTAGCATCACCCTCGACAGGGATACGCTGGTTGAAATTGGATGTTTGAAATGCTATCTTTACCACTCTTCTGATGATCTCTCCAAGTTCGATCACGATAGTCGAGTCCCTCAAAACTCGTCCTCAACTGGTAAATGGGTGAATAATTCAAAATGTTCCCGTGTACCGAACGGAGAATACAACAACGTGATTGCGACAGATTCCCAACGATGATCTTATTGTGGGGAGGGCTTACGATCATTGGTCATTGCTCTGCTTTTCTGAATTTGCTTTGGGACAAGTCTGCATTGGTGGCTCAAGTTCACCATCGGTTTGACGCCATTTGCTGGAGCAGGCTAGAATACGCTGGGCCAATGAAAAGGCAGTCAAGGCCGGTGAAGAGCGGTGAGCATTTTGCGCAGAAACAAAAGCAGCGTGGAGGATCATTACCTCCACATCGACCGCTTAACTGCTCAGGCATGTGAGCAAAAGTCGAGTTCTACGTCTACATGCATAAAATCGAGTGCTTCTTACTAGCCAAAGACGTCTCATACCAGATTCGTTTATACTGGTAGAGAAAATATTGTTCTGTATGGACTCAAAGAAGTGAAGGATAAACTGCGAGTCAGGAGGTGAGGCTTGGTTGCGGACATTGTCTGGTGAACCCGATTCTAACCTAGACTTCTCATTGCCCCTCAGATTACCTTTTCTCTCATCCTTGTCAGCCACCACCATGCTCATCTGTACCCCATGTTTAGTGGGAGCACAAAACATCGACGAGTAATTACCTGAATGGCAGCATTGCCTGGATGAAGCTGTCAGATCAAGATTCGGCACATAAGTCTCAGAATCTCCACCTGTTATCTTGAAACCCATTTTTTTTATCAGCGCAGCGAGTAAGATGTGTATTTTGACTAAAACCCTTCTGGAGCACTTGCCTGGCACCGTACCAAATATAAAAGCAAATGTTTGATCTGTCTGCTGGAAGCGTTACACAATTGCATTTTCGATGTGGAGGAACCTAGACGACTGTCTGGCGAAATGACAACCTGATCTTCTAGACCTGAATCGAGTGCGAGAAGTGCTTTTCTCGGCCATCAATGGGGTTCTACAACTCCAATCGGGCAGGAACTGGTAGTTCACAAGCTACTCATTAATTCGTTCGGCTTTCGAAACAAATCTATCTACCCGAGAATGTCACAGTACTGTACAATCGTGTGCATATAATATACGTGAAGCCAATCAACTTTTTGGCCGGATTGAACAGCAATTGTCCGCGACCCGTCAAGGATAATGCTCCATTGAAAGAGCCACAGAGTGCTCTATCACAGCCAGGACAGAGTCCCATCAGAGTTTGACCCTTGCATAGCCTTGCAGGTGCTCTGGAAGTACCCGCTGCAGCTCCAGGGTCGAGAACAACTTGAAGTTTCAGTGCAGTGAGGTTGAAATCATGCTGCAAAATACCACAGCGACGTACTTGTAGTCCTCACTTCCATTGCTACACTCGGCATTATTCTGTTGAATTCGGCGTTGTGGTCCCTCTGATCATTGCCAAATCCCTGCGACTTTTGTATCAAGTATGCTGGGACATGTCAACTGAATATTGCAAGCGGATAGCGACGGCAGAAAACGTGCCTTTGAGCTCGTCCGAATGTAGCCTAGTGTTGGTGTGTATCGATAAGCATGGCAAACATAACAAACAGTTCGGCTCGTATTTTTTGACAGATGAAGTGCAGATGCCAACGACTCCAAGTCCTCGAAGTGCAGGAGCTGCACGTAGGTCTAGGTAGTCCACGAATCTGTCATTCGGCGTAGCGTGACACAATGCCGCCAAAGCGAAAGCAAGAAGGACCAATTCCAGCCTCAACTGCCACTAAAGCCACAGTCAAGGTATCTACAAACTCATGGCAAAATGGCTGACCAGAAGCACACGACTGACTCTAACCTAAGGCAACGCCTCGTGTGAATCCCGCTCGCCCAGTGAAACCCGCAGCCTCCGAAAACACCTTAGCGATCGAGGCGGTCGAGCAAAAGCAGGAAAAGAAAGCTCAGCCTTCAGGCGATGGCTTCAATAACACCCTATCTCCATTCTACTATCAAAAGAACGTAGAAGCTCCTATAGACACTGCACAAGACAAATGGAATCTGTTACCGGCCTTTCTCAAGAACAAGGGTTTAGTCAAGCAGCACATCGACTCGTTCAACCACTTCGTTAATGTTGAGCTCAAGAAGATTATCAAGGCCGAGCCTATTATTACCTCTGACATTGATCCAAATTTCTACCTGAAGTATCTTGATATTTATGTTGGAAGAGCCCAGCGACATGACGAGAACATATTTGGGGATACCAAGAGAGAGTCGACAATCACACCGAACGAATGTCGCCTAAGTGACCTTACCTATTCTGCACCAGTTTTTGTTGACGTCCAGTATACGAAAGGCAGGTCTGTATACAGAAGAAAGGCGTTATGCATTGGCCGAATGCCTGTCATGCTGCGCAGTGACCGATGCGTCTTAGCTAGCAAAAGCGAAGCTGACATGTTCCGCATGGGCGAATGTCCCCTTGACCCCGGTGGATATTTCATCGTCAATGGTACTGAGAAAGTCATTCTTGTACAGGAACAGTTAAGCAAGAACAGAATCATTGTTGAGCCGGACGCCAAGAAAGAAAGCATTGTTGCATCCGTGACTAGCTCTACTCATGCCAGGAAATCAAAGTCCTATATCGCCCTCAAGAAGGACTTGTTGTATGCACGGCACAACATCCTCAATGAGGACATCCCTGTTTGTGTTCTATTGAGAGCCATGGGCGTGACCTCTGACCTCGATATGCTATCTATTGTCGCAGGTACTAATACACAGCTTCAGGATGATTTTGCTGTCAATTTTGAGGAGACTATCAAGCTTAATATCTACACTCAGCAACAAGCACTGGAGTATATCGGCCAGAGAATACCTATCAGCAAAAAAGGTGGTGCTTTCGGTCAGCAACGCAGGAATTACGTCCAAGAAGCACTGGAAGCTGTTTCTAATGTCTTCATTGCACACGTTCCTATTGAGAACCTCAACTTCAGACCTAAAGCACTCTATGTTGCACACATGGCAAGGAGAGTTCTGATGGCCAAGAACAATCCTAAACTTGTTGATGACCGTGACTACGTTGGCAACAAGCGACTCGAATTGGCTGGTCAGCTGCTCTCCCTTCTCTTCGAAGATCTCTTCAAAACATACAACTCGCAAATCAGAGTCAACATGGATAAGCTTCTACGAAGACCGAACAAGACTGAGATGGCCGACCCTTGTCCTATCATGGCTACTCATGCTAGTCATATTACTTCAGGTATGAATCGTGCAATTGCCACTGGAAATTGGCATCTCAAGCGATTTCGCATGGAACGAGCTGGAGTCACACATTTACTGAGCAGATTAAGTTTTATCGCCTCCCTCGGCATGATGACCAGAATACAATCACAATTCGAGAAGACAAGAAAAGTCTCTGGTCCTCGTGCTCTTCAGGCTTCGCAGTTTGGTATGTTATGTCCGGCCGACACACCTGAAGGAGAAGCCTGTGGTCTCGTCAAGAACCTCGCTCTCATGACACATATTACGACTGAGGACGAAGAAGGACCTATTAAGCAGCTTATATTCATGCTCGGAGCAGAAGATATCACAACCGTCGGAGGCAGTGAGCTTTATGCTCAAGGGTCGTATATGATCATGCTGAACGGTACCCCGATAGCGTGTACTCGACATCCTTCGCATTTTCTGGTGTCGTTTCGCAGACTTCGAAGATCTGGCCGAGTCTCGGAGTTCGTGTCGGTGTTCATCAACCATCATCATAGCACTATTAATGTTGCCACAGATGAAGGACGAATCTGTCGACCACTAATCATAGTGGAAGAGAAGAAATCAAAAGTCACAAAGAGGTATCTCAAGAGCTTGCGTCAGGGCAGCATGGACTTTGACGACTTTTTAGCCAGAGGACTCGTTGAGTATCTGGATGTGAATGAGGAAAATGACAGTAATATTGCCATGTACGAATCCAACATTTCACAAATCAGTACACACCTCGAAATCGAGCCTTTCACAATTTTAGGTGCAGTGGCTGGTCTAATACCATACCCTCATCATAATCAATCACCACGAAACACCTATCAATGTGCTATGGGTAAACAGGCAATTGGATTCATAGCATCAAATCAATTCCTCCGTATCGACACGCTCCTTTATCTGATGGTCTATCCTCAAAAGCCACTCGTCAAGACACGCACGATTGAGCTCACGGGCTATGACAAACTTCCAGCAGGTCAGAACGCCATTGTTGCGGTCATGTCATACTCAGGCTACGATATTGAGGACGCATTGGTACTCAACAAGGGTAGTGTAGACCGAGGCTTTGGTCGTTGTCAAGTGCTTCGCAAGTATCCTGTCCAACTCAAGCAGTACGCTAATGGCAGCAAAGACATAATCAAACCACCAGATCTCGAAAATGGAGCACCTATCAAGAAGCATGCTCTTCTCGACGTAGACGGCATTGCGAATGTTGGAGAAAAGGTCAACCAAGGCGAAATCATCTTGAACAAATTCGTACCCGATAATGCTAACTCCTCTGGCCTCTCAGAGACAAACTCACAAACCAACGGAACTGGTCCTGCATCTGGTGGCATCTCTTCCACGGGCAACGGCTTCCTCCCTCAACCACAGACTTACCGTCTCCCAGACCCCAGCATAATAGACAAAGTCATGTTTCACTCCAATCCACAAACCGGCACCACACTTCTCAAAGTCCAAACCCGCCAGACTCGCCGCCCCGAAGTCGGAGACAAATTCTCATCCCGTCACGGTCAAAAGGGCGTCGTAGGCATCATCGTCGACCAAGTCGACATGCCCTTCAGCGACACCGGCATCGTCCCCGACATCATCATGAATCCGCACGGTTTCCCCTCCCGCATGACAGTAGGCAAAATGCTCGAACTCGTCTCCGGTAAATCAGGAATCATATCAGGAAACTTCGAATACGGCACCGCCTTCGGCGGCTCCAAACTCGCAGATATGTCCCAAGTCCTCATCAACGCCGGCTACAGCTACGACGGCAAAGACTACCTGACCTCAGGCATCACAGGCGAACCTCTCCCAGCATACGTCTTCAAAGGTCCCATCTACTACCAAAAACTCAAACACATGGTCCAAGATAAAATGCACAGCCGCTCCCGCGGACCCCGCGCCATCCTCACCCGCCAACCCACCGAAGGTCGCTCTCGAGACGGCGGTCTCCGCCTCGGTGAAATGGAACGAGACTGCCTCATCGCCTACGGCGCCTCCCAGCTTCTCCGCGAACGTCTCATGCTCAGCTCTGACAAGCATGAAGTCGAAGTCTGCATGCGCTGTGGCATGATGTGCTATGATCGGTGGTGTCAGAGGTGTGAGAAGAGTGGTGAGGAGGAGTGTGGGAGGGTCGTGAAGATGACGCTCCCTTATGCATTTCGGTTGTTGCAGGCGGAGTTGGTGAGTATGAATGTTGATACGAGGATTTTGGTTGGGGATGAGTTTCCTGCTGATGGGGGAAGGAGGCAGTGAGGTGTGGTAAATAGTAGTATGAGTTTGTCACTACCGTGGAGATTTGGACGAGATACCCATGCCAGCAATGTGAAGAGATACCAACAAAATGAGCTATCTGTTCGTCGTGTTCCTTTCCATCAGTTTCGTGTCTTGTTACGCATGAGGCATTCGGTCTTTTTCGGGTTAAACAATAAACCCGATTTAGCCTACTAGGGTTAAGAGGCAATAGATTCCCAGACAAGGTGGATCTCTTCCAGCAATCTTGCGAGACAATGATGGAGATATTGGTAGGTGATATTGCTCTGAAGGTCTACTTATGGGGACGCGCAACAGATCGCATACTCAAACACAAGTGATGCCCATGTGCTTTTAACATCAGACAAGACAGGAAAATTATGCAGGAAAGATTATGTATTATAGAAAGACTATATGCTAAAGGCCTGCCAATTCGCAAGTGATCATCACGAAGTAGCACATAACGTTCAAGAGCTGAAGGTTAGGTAATCAGCAGCCTATGTATTCGTTAGCAACATGCACGGCAAATCGTATTGAAAGAGGTACTCACCTTGTCGATATTATAGTCAAACTTTTCCAGTGCGTCAAGCGAAGCTTCTCGTGACCAGCCCATAGCGGTCAAGCGCTTCAGTATGGGATCATCGTGCTCTGTACCCGCCGATAAAGCTCTTCCAGGTTGTGGTCGTGCTGGCACAGATGGAGCAGGGTTCGCAGTTGCAATAGGAGAAGATGGCGTGATTGAAGTCTGAGGAATGATTGTTGTAGATTGTGGAGGTGTGAGGTCTCTTACTTCCTCGTCTGTGGTGAGAGCTCTTTGACCTGGAGCAATCTCTGTAGGGCGTGGAGGCGAGACCGTTTGGGTTAATGGCTCTTCTGGACTCGCACTTCGGACTATGGTAGGTGGCGCCTGTGCACCTGCCTGCGCATTCTGATTCAAAGGTCTAAAGAGCTCGTCCCAATCATGAGACACGGCGTTGTTAGACGTCGCCGAGACTGGAGGCATGGTTTGCTGCGTGCCAGTTCTAGAAGGAGGAAATGGATTACCGTTGTACTCATCGAAGTCTCTGAAGCTTGCGTGAGCTGCATAGGTAGGAGAGGTTGTAGTAGTACCATTTGAGACAGCTGAAGTAGGACTCGTCACGGCATCATGCATGGTGACGGCGTTATGTGCCGAGTACGGTGCCGGTGTCGTATCTATTGTTCCGGTAGATAATGCTGGTGAATCGAAGCTAGGATCAAATGTCGCTTGTGAACGCTGATGAGCGGGTGGTGTTGTATCATCGTAGTCGCTATCTGACTCGTCAGCCACAGGTGCTTGACCCATATTCTCGAATGCACTGTCAAAGTCGAATGGAGCAGCCTTTGTTGGTGGAGGTGCTGTTGCTTCTACTTGAGAAGTCTTCCTAGATGTCCCCGATGGACTGCCTATCTCTGGCCCGTATGCTGGAGGTGCACCTGCAGGGTTAGGTCCAGGGTGAGCTGAGCCACCTGCTGTGGGAGGGGGTGAGGTCGGATCCTCTCGGGCCGGAAGAAGGTTCTTATACTCCATTGGGAAGTGACTTGTATTATCTTGCGGTACAGCGTCTTTGTAGTCCGGAGGAGGTTGCTGTGAAGTGAAACCTGGTAGTGAAGCTGACGAAGCTTGCGTGACCATTGGTGGTGGCGCAAGTGCCGGCCCTGGTGCTAATTCTGGTTGTTTACCGGCAACTACATTCGACTTGGGCGAAGCAAAGTTATCATCGAAACCTCTTGGTTCGGAATCATCATCACTGCTCTCATCATCAGGCTCAAGTTCCTGAATAGCGGGAAACTCGTGGTGCGATGTCTCCGCACGACCATTAGGAGCTTGCCGGCTGTTGTCCATACTAGCGAAGGCGGAATCAAAGTCCGCGTGCTGCTCGGATAACGTTTTTTTGTGGCCCGGACCACCAAAGAAATCATCAAAGTTATCTTTAGGATCAGCCGCCGGTTCTGCTTGTTTTTGTTCGTTGTCTACTGCTGCAGCGATACCTGCACCAGCGGCAATTGTGGCAGCGCCAGCCCCAATAGCAATAGCTGCAGGATTTATGTTACTCGGCGCAGGGGTTTCTGACCTCGATCCTGGGAATGCGCCTGGCAAAGTTTCCAGCTTTTGTGCTGTGTCACCTCTAGGCAATGTTTGGCGGACGGATTCCTGCTCTTCATCGACGGCGGAGGATGTAAATGGGTCATCTGCACGGTGACTGGATGGACTTGCTGTAGACGTATCAGGTGTCAGGGCACGTGGTGTCTGGGCTGGACTGTTCCTGCTCACAGGCGCGGCAACTTTGACACTAGAGCTGACGGATTCCTCCCTCAGTAAGGGTCTGCGCATTGGTAGGTCGGAAGACTCCAACTGATCAGCTGTGCGAGGAGCTGGTGGTTCGACAATGCTTGGTGTTTGCATTCCGTCAGACTCATCAAATTGTGGTGCTTCTCTACCGAAGGAAGTTGTTGGTGCGGGTGCTGATGAGCCTAGCGAGGGACCGAAGATAGCGTCAAAAGCACTGTTTCTATCATGCTCCTGCTGAGGCACAGGACTGCTAATCGCACTTCCCATTGGTGGTGAGAATACCGCGCCTGAATCCTGGTTTCTAAAGAAAGGGTTCGAGCTCATACTTGGAGTAGGGCTAGCAACTTGAGGAGGAGGACTCAGTTCACGTGTAACAGGAGTAGGTAGTGGTTGTTGCCTGGCTTGTTCGAGCTCTCTTTGACTCTGTTCCAGTTGTCGCGCCGTTTCTTCTGTCTCACGTCTGTGTGCTTCAAGCTCTTGTTGAGCAGCGGCCATTTCAGCCTTCATACGTTCTCTTTCAGCCTCGTTGGTTGCTAGCTGCTTTTTGTTGATGGCGACTAGACCCTTCTGCTGACGAGCATCGGATTTGAGTTTCTCCAGCTGTGGTTTAAGCTGCTCGTTTTCAGTGTTAGTTTGTCGGATCTTCTCCTTCAAGGTCGCATTCTCCTGTTGGTCAGCCGCCAGTGCTGAAGCAAGTTGTTGGTGCTGAGTCTGCAGATCGGCGTGAGTGCCTTCAATCATTGCCATTTCCTGCTGCACCTTTTTGGTTTCCGCCTGAGAAGCCGCAAGCTGATCTTTCAGGCTCTTCACATGAGTGACCTCTTGGTCATAAGCCGCTCTGAGCTGCGCCAGCCTTTGCTGGAAGACTTGCTTCTGCTGGTTGGTCTGTGACAATTGCTGTTCTGCTTGAACTCTCTGAGCTGAAACGTCTTGCATCTGCTTGGACAGGTTACCGACCTGATTCGAGAGATTGCCGAGTTCTGCAGCCTCGTTGTTTATTTTGGCAGGTGCGACATCGTCTTCGTCGTCCATCAAACTGGCTTCTTTCGTTTGCGATTGTGCAGCTGCTCCAGTTGCTTGAGGTACAAGACCTTGGCCAAAGTTACTGCTCGGCACGAAAGGCTTGAATAGTGTAGATGGTGGAGGAGAAGTTGTAGGTGGCGGCGCAGAAGCCGAATTGGCGAAAGGACCAGCGTCAGTACTTCCAGTCGACTGAGGAAACTGTTGAGCAGGAGGCTGCTGCGGAGGAGGCTGCTCAGAAACGTCAAGACCGAACAAGTCATCGGCTGCCGATCGTGGTTTCGTCACTGGAGCCTCGTCGAAAACTGGTATGTTTGCTGGGACACTTGGTTGCTGCTGTCTTCGCATACTAGGAGGAACAAGACCGGCAGGCAGGACATTGGGTACACGACCGTCTCTGGAACCTCTGTGCTGCCGTATGAGATACATGGCAACTGCAAACTCGTCACGGTTGAGAACTCCGTCAGAATTGATGTCAGCCAAATCCCAAATTTGAGCAAGAACTTCTTCGGGTAACCGAGCATTGCCAAAGAAGCCAACAGCTTGTTCTCCGGAGACAAAACCTTGGTTTGCGGTGTCGACAGTCGCGAAGATGCTGTCAAAACGCGTTTTATCGGCTGCGTTGATCAGCCACGGCTCTCCTGTGGACTGGGCTGACAGAGGTGTTCCAGCCATTTGTCTGTTCACCATAGGACTCTGTGGTCTGATGCCAGACTGAGTAACTGCATACTGAGGCTGCGATAATGGTGGTCCAGCGCTAGATGTTGGACGACCTGGTGGCAATCCTCCACTAAGACGAGAAGGAGCTCTCCGAGAAGCCGCGTCCAGAAGACCTGGTGGTAGTGTATTGGGTACGCCACGCATGGCACCACTCTTGTAGCTAGCCAGCAGATGCATAGCTATCACAAACTCCGAAACATCCAAAGCTCCTCGCCCCTGAGTGTCTGCCAAACCCCAAATCCTGCCCAGAACGTCGTTCGGTAACCGAGCTCTTTCAAAAATCTGCTTAGCAACAAAACCTGAGAGCATGCCATTTTCGGCACCCGACTTTTCGAACAGGCCTGAATACTCGGCAACTTTCTCTGGACTGAGAGCAGGAACGCGGACTGGGGGAGGACCGGAGGTAGGGCTTGATGGTGTGCTCGTATTCTGTTGGGTAATTGGTTGGATCGGTGGAGGGATCGGCTGGGCGGGAGGAGGTACTTGTCCTGGTATAGGATCGAATTTGGGTAGAGGCGCAACTAATCGAATGTCAACACATGGCTCTCGGATGACTGGGCAAACATACTTTGCGATGCGACTGCCATGCTCGGCTGCCTGCCAGCTTGCGCGTGCGCGATCAATCTCAGAACGACCCCGAAACCAGCAGGTGTGAGAAAGCCTCGGTTTTCAGTGTCCGCGATTTGCCATATCTATAGATCATTAATCATACTGGCTCTTGAACAAGGTACCGGTCTCGTCCGGTACGTCTGAACAGCATACTTGTCCAAGGATCTCAGGCGGTAACTTGGTCCGCTCGAAGAATTTGACAGCAACATCGCCAGACACAGCACCAAAGCCATCAGGATCAGCTTCTTTCAGCAGGGTAGTGTACACTCGTTTCTCTTCGGTAGATAGATTGAGGTTAGGATGACCTGGGAAAAAAGCCAAATCAGCGCGTCGACCTTCACAGCTCTTCAAGTTGTCGTACCTCCAGAAGCCACTCCAATCTGTTCCATAACGACGGTTCGTGGTGCCTGCAGTCAGGTGGTATTTCGTTGTAAGATCGATGCTTGGAGTTTAGCTGCAAGAACGCGTGCGGAACTCCATGCACCAGCAGGAAGAATGCGATACGATGAGGTGTCCGTGAGTGCAAATGCCCAGAGCTGTATGGTTTGCGGGAAGACGGTATAGATAATGTATGGTAGGACCAGGAGCACAGCGATGTACAGTAGCTGTGCAACAGCTCAGCACCTGCCTATTACTGATCGACGCGAAAGACAAGGATGACGACGCTATCGGTGCAGCTTCCTCCTGCTGCCAAGAAAATGTCAACAGTCTACTCGAATGGGCCAAAGAACTTTGCAGGCTTTGACCAGAAGAGAACGAACATCACAATTCGAGTCTCCTGCTGTTTTAATGAGGTACATGTCAATGGCCTGCTGTTAAAACTTGCGAGAGGACTATCTTTACAGCATGGCTGACCAGCTGTTGCGAGCAGAGCAATTTTATACTTGTGACTTCCGTCCTTGCTTTAACGTCTCCTGTTAACCCAATTTTCAAGTACAGTCGACCAGCATATCTCATGAAAACCTTACTTTCTTCTTTTGAGCTGCATGCTACATACACAGAGTCTCAGAGCCACCACAATGATACTAGTGGCAGCAGAGTGTGTTCACATGGAGGAAAGTGCTTTACTTACTACAACTGAAGACGAACATGCTCAGCCGCTCCTCTGACACAAGACCCTTAGCACGCTGTTGATATCCGAGAGGTCGACTAAACGACCGCATAATGTGGGCACTTCGTGGTGTGCGCTTAAAAGAAGTGATCAGCACTTTCCCGTTCAAGTTCTCAAGCAAACACTTTCCAAGATCCTGGTGGCTTTGTTCAAGCAGTAACTAAGCATCTTTAGTGCGAATCCAGACACGGAAAGTGCAGTTCATGTGTGTTTGCAACTTGAAGGAGGAAAGAGGGGCATCCAGGACCATATATACGAGCTTATCGTCTCTCTCCTTCCTTTCTTCTTCTTCTTTCCCTCCTCACCCACAAATTTGACACAGCTCTAGCACGAACCGACAACCAGAAACCACAAAACATCTAAACTACTCAAGATGTCTGACAAGAATTACACCTACAAGAGCTCCGGCACCAACAGCCAGGTAAGATAGGCTAGCCTCGAGTCCTCATGCTCAATCGCTGACTATACCAATGAATAGGGCAACCACTACTGCTCTCGAGATTATGGATCCGATGCCACCAACCAGAACTCCTACCACTACTCGAACACGTACAGTCTGACCTCTACTGCAATGTGCCAAAGACCGAAACAGCTAACAAAATATTTCACAGCGATGGAAGCTATTACTACTCCAACTCTGATGGCTCGACCTACCACAATGACGGTCAGGGTAGTTCCACCTATACACCACCTTCTGGAGGCTCCAGCAGCACTGGTAGCAGCGGAGAAAGTAGCAGTAGTGACAGCAGCGGCAGCAAGAAGTAACTGAGCATCGTCTCAGCATTGGAACCACTCAGACATTCGACCTCTCAACTCTACCGTTGCATGCAAGAGACGTGGAGATGGCGAGATATACATAGACAGGCAGGACACATCATCGCAGTGGGCTAGAAGCAGAAGAGCTTTCCATCAAGGGTCTTTTGTATCATGCATAGCGAATTGAACCATTACCCATATAGCACACTCGACACTATGCCTTCATGCTTGGAAAAGGTAGAGAGTAGAATGCACTACGATTTGCCAAATGTACCTTTGGACACGAGTCATGTAGTCCATGCTAACGCATACTATCAGTATAGAACATCAACTTTACTGCCCGATCACCTCATCGGCGCTTAGGTAGTATTTGCGACAAAGCATAGGAATAATCGCGAAATCGAAGCTGCTCAGAACGCTCATGTTTGCACGTCAATATCGCTCGCTGTACTATGCAGTCTGCTTTTCACACGTGCTTTTGCTAGCATGATCAACATGCTTGCTTTGCATCCAATATGCCACCGTCTAGTGCTCTAGAACTTCAGTGCCATCACCCTCCTCAATAGAGTCGCTTGCAACCTCCTCATAATCGCGCTCCAGAGCTGCAAGGTCTTCTCGAGCTTCGCTGAATTCACCTGATGATCGTTAGTAACTGTCTCAACATTTATCAAGACATGGGTATCAACATACCTTCTTCCATTCCCTCACCCACATACCAGTGAACGAAGGCACGTTTGCTATACATAAGATCGAACTTGTGTGAGAGGGCTGACCACGCCTCGGAAATAGCGGTAGTGTTAGACAACATGCAAACAGCTCGGTTGACCTTGGCCAGATCACCGTTGGGGACCATCTGTGGTGGCTGGTAGCAGATACCAATCTTGAATCCAGTCGGGCACCAGTCCACGAATTGAATGGTTCGCTTTGTCTTGAGAGTGGCCACTGCGCTGTGGACTTCTTTTGGTACAACATCACCACGGTACAGCAGGCAGGTTGCCATGTATTTGCCGTTACGTGGGTCGCATTTGACCATCTGGTTGTTAGCCTCGAAGCAGGCAGTCGACATCTCTTGTACGCTGTTCGACTCGTGGGAAGCTTTGGCGGCAGAGACAATTGGGGCGTAAGCTACGAGTGGGAAGTGGATTCGTGGGTAAGGGACCAAGTTGGTCTGGAATTCGTTGAGATCGACGTTCAATGAACCATCAAATCGGAGAGAAGCGGTAATGGAGGAGACGACTGTCACGACGTTAGTTCTATCTTACACAGTCCAGAAGCTGCTTACCCTGAGCAATAAGTCTGTTCAAGTTTTCATAGTTTGGCCGCTCAATGCCTAGATTGCGTCGGCAGATATCGTAGATGGCCTCATTATCGACCATGAAAGAGCAGTCGGAGTGCTCAAGTGTGGTATGTGTTGTTAGAATAGAGTTGTATGGTTCAACGACAGATGTCGCAACTTGTGGGGCAGGGTAGACGCAGAATTCCAGCTTGCACTTTTTGCCATAATCGACAGACAGACGTTCCATGAGCAGAGCACCGAAACCAGAACCGGTACCACCACCGAAGGAGTGGAAGACCAGGAAACCTTGTAGGCCGGAGCAATTGTCTGCGACACTTCGTACCTTGTCCAGAACTTGGTCAATCAACTCTTTACCGACAGTATAATGGCCACGAGCATAGTTGTTGCTAGCATCTTCCTTGCCAGTGATCATGTGGTCAGGATGAAACAAGCTGCGGTATGTACCAGTGCGGACCTCGTCGACAACGTTGGGCTCTAAATCGCAGTAGATTGTTCGAGGAACATATTTGCCGTTGCCTGCGATGTGGTTTAGTGGTGGCTCAAGACGTTGAGAGTATATTGCTTACCGGTCTCTGAGAAGAATGTGCTGAAGCCTTGATCAGCATCAGACGCTTTTCGCTCTTCGGTAAGGTATCCATCTGGCTGATTTCCAATCAGTACATCAATTCATCAAGTTGTTCTGCTCTGAGCTAACCTGGATACCGTGCTCGAGACAGTATAGCTCCCAGCACGAGTTTGCGATCTGGCAACCGGCTTGACCGACTATAGAAAGTCGTTAGCAATTGATCAATGTTTTGGCAGCCTGTCTCAAGAAACAGGAGGGGTTTAACGAGCAGGGGTCTGCCCACAAAACTATGCATATTGAAACTTACCGTTGAGGGAGATAACTTCTCTCATCTTGACGAATTTTATGTACTGTAAAAGACAAGAAGATAGCGTCAATGGAGAAGAGAAGCAAGCAAGCTGAGGAAGTCGCCGAGTCCTTTGATCAATTTGGGAATCGCAGTTGTAGTTGCGGTCAACCTGTTGTTGGTGCGTCTAGACTGGAACCGCGTTAGTGCCAGTGTTGTGTTTACGCCGGCCAAGTAGGCGCGCTAAATGCAAGGGACAAAACGCGCCAAGACGAAGACCCAGCACTGGAGTTGCCGGTCGAAACTTGTGCAAGAGTTGATCAGCAAGCAAGTACCAGTTCGCGAGTTTCTTGACCAATAGCACTCGCAGCACGATTGGCTTGCTCGTGCAACTTGCCAGTGAGAACGGGAGCCTACGATACCTCCGTCGGTCCTACCTTTACCTCAATCGTGACACCAATACGACGAAACTAAGTGAAACCTCTGACATTGCATAGCGAGGACATCTACCTCGTGCGCGAAATTTCGCAGAATGCATCTTCTTTCGACCTTGTTCCTCGTCATACAGTGTCTACATGCCCTAGCGAACGTGGAGAAGACAATCTTCACGGCTCCTGAACACGTTCCAATACCAAGAGATGCTGCGATTGATAACCTTCTTCTATACTCACTGAATCCTGCTAGACTCAAGATACGAAAGTACTTGAACGCCTCGTTCCCATCGGACGACAAGCCGCATGGCGAAGAATCATGGGCTCTGCTCGAAGGTCTGAGGCCAGGGCAGCGATACGAACTTCGGGTTTGCTGGCTGGCCACTCAACCTACAGTGTTCCGACTCGACACATATACGATGGCCGAGAGTTTCGAAACGTCTGGCTTGATTTCCTCGCTCAGCACCTATTCGTACTCACGACGTGATGCCCTAGCTGAATCTGATGTCAACGAGCTGGTAGCCTCGAAATACGTGCCGAGCGCTGGCGCTGATAACACTAGTCTCCTTTTCTTACGAATACAGGCCGCCGCAGACTATTTTAGTCTCAACAAGACGCTGATGGAGATCGTACCGCCTGTACACGTCGATCTGATCCTCGATCCATATCTCTTGAACGTCTTTCCACGATCCCTTGTGCCAACCGCAATCTACATCGCCATCATCGCTTTCTTCTCGTGGTTCCTGGCGGGTTGGATATATCAGCAGCTGACTATTTACATAGACCGAAGCAATGGTGTGGAAAGAGCGTCAGCTAGAAAAAAGCTTCTGTAACACACATCCCGGTCCTAGGAAAGGCGAAGATAGCCTTCACCTAACGTGTAGTCGTTCATGAGACTGAACAGAGGGAACTCCTCAGCATACGAAGGCAAACTGAAATTATCGGGATCAGTAGGCAGCCACTCTTTAAGAAAATCGTCCCCGAGACCACCAATATCAGGTGCACTGGGGTCTGTTTGCATCACTTCTTCTCGATTGGAGGGTAGGAGAGTACCAGAAGTTGTGAGCGTAGGCCCTTTCTTACCTGACGCGTCCTCGATTTTACTGTTCAGAGGCAGCTCCGGCGTGTCAGCAGAGACAGCACTTGAGTCGCCCGTGGTGGCTATCTCGACTGGACGCTTCTCTGACTCTGTCGGCTGGTTCAGCGGCTCGCGATTGAGCAAGTCACCGAAGATGCTCTCAATACCACGTCGTCTGCGCTGAGTTTGCAATTCGTCTCGCTTTCGGATGTGCTCAAGCGCCGCTTCTTGCAGATAGCTTATAATCATAAAGAATCTGCGACCACTAGGATCATGCTTCGCAAGCTTTCCCAGCACGACCTTGGCCTGCTCAAGACTGCTGAGCAGAGGGAAAGACTTGTCGTAGTCTCCAAACATTGCCAGCCCAACAACCAACGCCGAAACAAAGATAGAATTGGTTACCAGAAACGGGCGCTTCGGACAGCCAGGATCGTGCACAATATCGGTTGCTACTTCAATCGAGTGAAGAGCTGCATCGATACAAGCCTCGCTTAGTGTTGTCGTACTAGTGTTTTTGGGAGTAGGAGGTGATACCGACTCTCGACGATGGTCGTTCTTGTTGATTTTGGCAGAGACGTCAAATATCAGGAAGGGTCGCGTCAACAGGATGATAGACCAGTAGTAGGCACCTTTGAGGTGGGCTAAACCAATAGTTTGTTGGAGACCAATATTGGGAATGGCAATTTCTTCTTCCGCAAGACCATCAATATCAAGGCCAATGTCCAGTGCCATGTTCCAGTCCCTGTACTGAGCTGAAATGCTGTTGACAAGCTGCACATCGACTTCTCTCCTGCAATAGACTTCGTTGAGGATACGCTCAAAGATGAAGCAGATTCGCAGCATGGCACTCGAAGTCATGTTACTCGTCCGCACATCGTCGTACACTCGTGTCTTGCCCTCCCATGCAACATTCCCACCATCCACCTCAGAAGTGGCAGGAGGTCTTCCAAGTGAAGTGCTGAGGAACAGATCAAGGACTCGCAGGCTCTTCCACACTCGTTCTCGTGTCTTTCGTTCACGACTCTCGAAAAGTGCTGAAATGTCACTCCTGTGCAGACCCAGTGCATATGCCGCACGTACAGCGATTCCAAGCAACATGAATGCGGCGTTTCTTCGACAAACCGTGAGCAGATACATGGCGATCAAGACATAAGACTGAACCGTCAGTACGCTAGGGTCATCCATGAAGCTCGACATGGCAAGTTCCCGTCCTCGATTGAAGTACTGCTCAGCAAGATCATCGTTGTTAGCCAGGCAATTTCGAGCGCCAATCGCGAGAACAAGGTAGAAGATCGAGTCTGTGGCGATATTCGTGGTAACGGTCTCCTCTGTCCAGGAAGCCAAATGTTGCAAAATATCTGATTTGTCGAAGAGGTCAACGACGCCGCTGGCAGCAAGTACATAGTGACCGACATAGTTCTCCGCTTCTGCTTTGGACGGTTTTAGGTCAATAGCCGAAGGGGTCTTTGGTGTGTGCACGTCCTTTGGTATAGCTTCGATCATGGCATGTCTCATGGGATCTGAAGTTAAGCCACAGTCGCCTATTGCTGTACGAGCCAGACGACGGATGTTCTGCAAGAACGCCAAGTTACTGCTGTCGCCAACAAAGATGAACTTCCCATGGCCATCTCGCAGTAGTCGGGCTAGTTTGGGCACTGGAGCATGGGCAACGGTTGAGGGTACATAAGCAGACTCGGGAGCGGGTGTCTTTGGAGCGCTTCTACTCCCTGACAAAGTCAACAGAGACTCGATTGCGATTTCAGCATCGTCCGGTGATGCCTCCGCCAACTCTGGACCAAGCTGTAAGGATGCTGAGGCATTGGATTCGGTCAAGCTTGGTCGCGGTTGAATACTTCTGCGCTGCCTGGCCAGCGTGTAGGTACATTCTGGTTCTCTATTGCGTCGACGACACAGAAGACAAGGGTCGCCACCATCACCTACACGACGTATCAGCTATGCTCACTTTCACTTCTCCTCTGGTAGCAATACACTTCTCTTTCCTGCGCTTGCAGGTATCGCAAGCTCTAGATCATGCGTAAGTACATAGACGCTTAGATTGACGCATTTTCCGCTGGTCGGGAAGCTACTCACCTCGCTACTCGTCTTCTGTCCTCATCCTTGACACGGGGACGTGGCATGCTTCGCTCACATCTTCCTCATGCTCCGTCGGAACACATCCGATACGTTAATCGAGACCGTGAAGGACTCAATTAGATACTTTGCTCGTCCTAACCGATCATGTGAGATACTGATGGTACGAAAGAAAGTGAATGCAAGTTGTGATCCGAGAAGTGGGTCAGGTGCTCGGATCGAGAAAGAAGAACACGCTTTTAAGCTCAGGAAATAGCTCGATCAACCCCAAAGTCAAATCGGGGGGGTCCCCACGTTCCAGCCATGAGCAGGAACTACTTGCTGAGGAATCTGCCAGGTGCTTGTCGACTATACCAGCAAGCAGCTGAAGAGGAATACGTGTGATTAACGAGGTTTTTACGATTGCATGCACAAGAACACCTAAACCTAAGTGAATAGAAATCAGGACCATGCGAAGAAATTGTGGCTGAATTGACGTGATGAAAAAACTGCCATGTAAAAATGCAAGTCTTAGAAATACAGCCTCATCCTGCAAAGTCAACTCAAATAGTGTTTGCGTCCACATCCTTGTATCAGCAGGAGCTGCTTGACAGCACTGTTCCTTCAGCTTTATCATCATCATTTGGTGCCATCTCGATGTCATACTTTAGCTCAAACTGAGCTTTCGGATCATCCTTTCGTGGCACGAACTCAACAACCAGAGAATCCTTGACAGCAAAGACAGAGTCGTCGTCAAGGTACTTACTGTCCTTGTCAAATATTTGAGTTGTAATGGGCTTGAAGCCTTCCTGCATCACAATCAAGTGAATGTGTGCAGGTCGGTATGGATGTCGGTCAAGTAACTGGAGAAGTTTTCCAGCTGGACCATCGAAAGGAATGGGGTATGGCGTTGGTCTGATGCAGTACCAGGCATATTCTCCATTCTCATCCGTCTTGAATTTGCCACGCAAGTTGTGATCAACCTGTTTCTCATCTTGTTGTTCATACAAGCCATTCGTGGAGGCTTGCCAGACGTCCAAGGTGGCACCGGCAAGTGGCTTTTTCGTCTTCGCATCTCTTACCACACCATGCATATACGTGACTTGTGCATCTTCCGGTGTATCGAAGGTGATAGTGTCGCCCTTATTTCGAAACGGGTGGTCGTGTCTGAAGAATGGTCCGAGAATCGCTGACTGGGTAGCAAAGTCTGCCGCCTCAGCAGCTTTTTTGTAGGTGATTTCATCAACCAACCTAGTTCGCTTGTTAAACTTGCACAAACCCTTTATGTATGAGAACTTACGATTCAAGACCGAGCACGTCGCAAACAAGCTGACCTTCATTTCTTCTGTCAGTGCTCATCTGTCCTGCCCAGTTGATGAGAGCTACACCCTCTGACCACTCGTCGACAGTCAGCTCGATTTCCCTTGCGAAGTCGTGAAGATGCTTGATCAGGCAGCTTGTGACTTCTCGCATTCTCGGTGAAGCCTTGGGTCCTGTTGCATCGATGACCATCTGAGTGAACTTGGGGTCAAAGCGATGCTGAGCCGATTGCTGAGCTCCATTGGTGGCCATTTTGGAAAAAGATCTGAGTGATACCTAGGCTATGGTAGTGAAGGTCTTCTCTTCGTGTATGAGGATGTTATCTTTGATGATCGCAGGTTCTGCTGAAACAGCTCGAGGCGCAAACTTTGTGTCTCGAGAGCTGGACCAGCTGGTATGTTGCGGGAGAGTATATATCCTCCATCATTGTCGGCTCGAACTCACGGCCTTCGTACCCCGCGTCTCTGGCAACGATTGAAGTAAGAGACTCGGACTGCAAAGGCCATGCATCGGCTAAGAACACGGCAAGCTCGAACCAATTGATCAGGAGATGAAACTAATTCTCCCGCCTTCTCCACGGGCCAATTCCGGCCTCCTTGAGTGCTGACTCAACCGTCCTTGCCCATTCAGGATCACGTTCTTAAGTCTTCCTATCTGACATCTGACATTCGCGTACTAGTTCTCGAGTAATTCGCACCAATGTTTCACTCACGAGAACTTGCCGGAACACCTCGAGAGAAGATGTCATGTAGATCGGCGAGTACTCTTGACGGGACGTGGTAAGGTGGTGCCAGCACTTAGATACCACAAAATAAGCGACCTTGACACTTCCTCAGTCGCTACAATATTGGTAGACCCAGATGCTAACACGCGCCCCCCGAACTGTCCCTGTCAGAAACTCCTAAAATCGATGTGAGGCTTCCTATTCAGGCAGTCGCGACTGTGGCAACAACCTGTCAGACACCCGTACCAGACATGAGTTGCAGGTTTCTCTAGATACATACCCTGCCGCGATGAACCAAGGCCGAATCACCCCGGGTTTTCAGGTCTCGCTTGCCGTCCGATATATGAACACTGACTCAGACCGGAAACTGAAACAGCAAAGGTATGACAATCATCACAGCTGAAATCGTGATAACTAGCATCGCTGCGCGCTTGGAAAGACAATCACCAAAACCTACGGACTTGATCCTACCTGCTTCTCACTCCGACTTTGGTCTCTATCAGGACGATGCTTTCGGCATTTTCAAAATGAAAACTGCTACCCAAACTCATGTTGCACAACTACCTCAAATAAAAAGAGGCGACTCGCAGAATGCATCAATTACTAGAATGCGGCTGTTCACACTTGACCACAACATAAGCGGCTTCAGGAACTTCAAGCTTGTTTGGTGCACATTGCGCAACAGAGACATATCTTGCGACCACGTGTCTGGTTCCTGCTTCATGTCCTACATCTGCAGGCTCTGTGGCTTGTGATCTTACCAGCATAGGTCTTCGAAACGGGTTTCTATCGATAGCAAGATTGTCAACTGGCCTCCGATCTGAGATCCTTGGCTTTGCATTGTCCTATAACGTGTGCCTATACTACATGTAAATAACCGTCCATGTGTCACAGAAGCCGACGTTGTGTTACTCGTGACCTACCTTTCAGCTGTATCATGCCACAAGACCTAGTCAGCAACCAGCATAAACATAATGGACTTCTTCCGGCGCAAGTGGTCGCTAAAAGTGACCTTGTTTGAATCAAGTAACAAAATTAGGACATCTACCCTTATGTGACTTCATATATGGCTTGACTTATCGAGCACATTCGGACTGAGATTTGCTTCAGAGATGCAGCAGATATCGGATATCACTCACGACCCGTCATCTCATCAGCTCATCTCAACAAGGACCTTATTCTCAGTACGACCAACAGATCCGCCATCGTCGCCGCCGCCAACCTCCCCGCTTCCTCCTTTGCCCGAAGTCGCACCATATAGGCCTTCCAGAAACTCCTTAACAAGAAGCTCGACGCCGAAATATGGAGGACCCGCACGACCTCCAAGACCTGTAGACTCCCTACCTAACCTCCAACCACGGACCATTAGGTCTCCAGACTATGTCAGACGTGAGAGATGGCCTGTGGCTGACCAGATCGTATCCTCACCTCCATCGTCGGGCAGATCTCGAGGCAGTCGAGTGCACGATGGGGAGCATTCGCCTCCCGAGCATCGAAATTCCATCCGGCTGCTAACCACTACACCACAATCCGCATCCTCGTTCTCCCACGATGTGCTTGCTGCTCTTCCAAGATTCTTCCAGCGCTCTCAACCTGAATGTTTTAACAGTCCGGTAGGGTCACTCCCCAGTAATCCTGCTGGTTTACGTCAGGAGACAGTCAAGCCCTGGCAGGTATACCACAAGTCGTCTAGCAAGAGTCCTGCAGGTCAAGCGTTTCACCATACAGGACTTCGGAAACCTGTCGCGAGGTCCGCGCTCTTCATCCCACCAAGTCCGCCTGAGCAAAGGCGTTCCTCTAATGGTAAAACTGATTCAGCTAACTCAGTTACTCTTACCCATTCTCGCGGACAGCCGAATATCTGCCAGAGGACGCTACACATTGCCTCAAGGTCATCTTTGTTTTCGGCCCGACGATCCCCAAAGAATGCCTCAAGTCAGTCGAGGTCTAATAGCATATTTGCTGGTGGGGACACCAGACCTCACAAAAGACTGCGAGGTATAACGGCCTTCAAATTCGACTTCAATAACAATCAGGGCCAGATATCACAATCACCCAGCGACAACTTGACCTCGCTGCCCAGAATACCTTCGACACCCACGGTCGACACGATTGTTACACCCGAAAGACAGCGGCTAAAAAGTCCTATCCACTTTCAAGGTCTTTGCAACGGAGATGCGACAGAAACTTCTCTCAATGACACTGCTTTCTTCTCTGTTCCGTACTCGACCACCCGTGGCGCAAACCGACTGCTACCCAGAGCAGACCGAGACAGATTATCTACACATGCAGAGGGAGCTGGGATCGCGAATGCTTCCCTCCATCAATCACACATCCGTAGCCGGGCTATATTGGTAGAGTTGGGTGAACGAGAAGCACATCCAGTGCTGACAGAGGAAGCAATAAGAAAGATGAAACGGAGAAGGCTGCTCTGGGCGATCGCGACGTTCTGCTTGCTGATGATAGCGACGGGCGGAATCTTGACTGGTATTGTGTGGAAGCTTAGGAATGTTGACTGATTGAGTACCTGATCCTATGGTTCAAACTATCTTCTATGTTGACTTTGTAGTCAGCAAATTGAAGTATGTATGTAGTCGCTGCCGATCCCTCCTGCCAAAATACTACAGACACAGAACGATACACGAGAAGTTCCTATATTTTCGCGTATAGATCCTGACTATGTACTCGAAGCTTACAGGCGAGCTGCTAATCACCAAAATCAGCACCAATTCAGGTAATTGCACCAAATTCTATTCGTACATACATAAGAGATCAGGTAGACCCACTTAATGCCGCCGGCGTCTCAGTCGTCCCTTTCTGATCCGCATTCTCCGGGTTTCCTCCTCCCGTTTTCGCCGCATCGCTCGCCTTGAAGCTCTGCTCGAAATCGCGGATGATGTCGTCGATGTGCTCTAGCCCGACTGAGATTCTGATCAGGTCTTCCGTGACGCCGGAGTCGATCTTTTCTTGATCGCTTAGTTGTTCGTGGGTTGTGGTCCAGGGGTGGATGGCGAGGGTTTTGGCGTCGCCGACGCTGAGGAGGTGTGGTTAGTATGTGTTCGGGAGGTGCGGGGAGGAGGAAAAGTTTTGGACTTACTTTGCCAGGTTGCTTATGAGCTTGAATCCGTCTACTACTTGTGAACCTGCGTCTGCACCGCCTTTGACGCCGAAGCTGAGGACACCACCAAATCCTCGCGGGAGGTATTTCTTTGCCAACTGATGGCTGGCGTGACTTTCGAGACCAGGGTAGCTTACCCAGGCTACGTTGGGGTGTTTCTCTAGCCACTGGGCTAGTGCCAGGGAATTCGATGCATGTCTTTCACACCTAAGGCTTAGTGTCTCGGTGCCTATGATGAACTGATGGGCGTTGAAAGGACTCATGCAGCTCCCAAGATCCCTCAATATCTCCACTCGAGTCCTGATGAGGAAGGCGAGCTTGCCGAAAGTGTCAACGAACTTCAAGCCGTGATATCCTTCAGCAGGATCGTTGAATTGTGGAAATCTCTTCGCATTAGCTGCCCAGTCGAAGTTGCCTGAATCGACGACCAGTCCACCAATGCTCGTTCCGTGCCCACCTATCCACTTTGTTGTCGAGTGTACTATGATATCTACACCGTGCTTGAAAGGCTGGCAGAAATAGCCACCTGCGCCGAAGGTGTTGTCTGCGATAACGGGCACACCCTTGGCATGCGCTACTTTGGCAATGGCTTCGAAGTCAGGCACGTTGTATCTTGGGTTGCCGATACTTTCGATGTAGACAGCTTTCGTGTTGTCGTCGATTGCTTTCTCGACGTCCTCCGGCTTGTCGCCCTGTATGAACTTCGCCTTTATGCCCAACCTGGGAAACATGACTTTGAATTGGTTGTACGTACCACCGTACAGATTGCTAGTGCTCACAATATTGTCTCCGGCATGAGCTAAAGCAGCAATCACCATGAACTGTGCAGATTGTCCGGACGAAGCTGCGACAGAGCCGATACCGCCTTCCAGAGCTGCAATCCGCTTTTCGAGAACATCGACTGTAGGATTCATGATACGGCTGTAAATGTTGCCGAACTGTTTGAGGCCGAAAAGCCTCGCGCCGTGAGCCGAGTCATCGAAGTTGAAGGATGTGGTCTGGTAGATTGGAACAGCACGAGACTTGGTGTTTGGATCAGGTTCCTGACCAGCGTGAAGCTGGAGGGTTTCAAAGTGTTGAACGTAGTCGTCCCCTGACATCTTGGACTGTGGTGGTGGGCAGTGTCTTGGAATGGGCTTCTGCTGCTACTGCGATGAGTCTTTCTTAGATATGCTTGAATTATGTTGAAACCTGGACTGCTCAAAACAGCGACGAAGGAGTATCAGCCGGTCTGAGAGCTTTATGTTGGGATTCGCGATGTTGGAGATCTCCTCTGTCCTCAAAGCATATGATATCCATGTGCCATGCTGTCGTATGTGTCTCTGTTCGACCTTGAGCATAATCCCCGCACTGACGGCGGAACATCGTGTATTGCGTGCTTGGTTCTAACTCAAAATGGCAGGAAGTAAACAGAGTGCAGCACGAGCTATAATAATGACTGAAAAGAGCCTTGTGGGCAAAGAAAGTGAAGTTGTTAGTAGTCAATATACTCGCGTCGTGCTTACCGTTCTCCGAGTAAACATGAACGTGCCTCATGGGCGTTGAATATCAGCAAAGGCAGGAGCGCGTCAGTAAGGTTCGGAGCGCGTCAATCATCGGATTCCAAGGCGATCAAAAGTCTGACAAACTTGTGTCTCAGGAAGACGCGACAGTGAAAGTATCTGGGGTGTCTCTAGATAGTGCAGGATTGGAAGTACTAATGCAAGCAGGAGTGTGTCTGTGGTGAATGATACTAGTAGACAGTGACTGAAGTGCTTGTAATTCAAGCCTATACTCTCCCCACGATGCCTAAGGGACGCCCCAAGATTGCCTCAGTCCATGCTCCTCCGGGGTCAATGAGAATACTGACCAACATTTCTCGCGTGATGGTCCAGGAACGCGGCAAGATTGAATTTCAACAAGGCGCTATCTGCGTCACATGCCTCAACTTCAAATTGCAGTCCATACATCACACGATCACTCGCTGTGTTCAAGTTCGAAAGACAATTGCTCGAGATACTGTCTTGTGTCTCCTGCCTTCAGAAGCAACTGATTCTCCATGGCAAGCGCCAAGCCGTTTTGACAGCCTGGAGTGCCAGTGCATCACTTCTTTCGGAGATTAGTCCCAATGTGGTAAAATGAGCGCATGCTGCCTCGGTACGCAAGAGCTGCGACAGGATTGTCTTCTCGTCATGCGACTTTCTTTCCTTCAGCTGCCATTTATCGTCTCGACCGTTGTTGTCATCGTTTGGTAGCAGCTCTCAGTAAAGTGTCCGTTTTGAGCAGTACAGGTAGTCAGATATTGGATCACAGCAGTGCTGCGAGCACGTCGTATTGATTAGAAGTGCAATAACCCTAGGAACAACCACGATGCCACTCTTCTCGTCAAAAGCACCGCATATCCTGAAAGCGCAGGAGTTACACAAACCACCAGAGAAAGGTCAACCACATTCCATTCCACTACCAAACACGACAAAAACAGGCCGAACGCCAGCGTACAGACACTACCATGGCTGTGAGGCCTTGCTCGAAACCCTCGACCCTGCGATCCGTACCGGACACGACATGTTCGAGGTTTCAGCCAATCGAACACCACATGCCCCAGCTTTTGGTTATCGACCATATAATTCTGCAAAGAATGCCTTTGACCCATATCAGTGGATAGACTATGAAACGGTTCAAAAGAGGCGAAATGACTTCGGAAAAGGTATTGTGGATATCCATGCAAAAGAAGGCATAACAGGTACACAATACGGCGTGGGCCTTTGGTGCCAGAACAGACCTGAGTGGCAGATAACAGATCTAGCCTGTATGTCTCAATCTCTCTTTACGGTGTCACTATACGACACGCTAGGACCAGAAGCATCGGAATACATCATCAAGCACGCGAACTTAGCTTGTGTGGTCACTAGCTTGAACCACGTAGGAGCTCTGATGAGGGTGAAGCCACGTCTACCAAACCTCAAGTTCATTATCGTTTTGGATCCTCTCGAGCCTGCTGCCAATGAACAACAATCCACTTCGAAGAAGGAACTACTGACGTCCATGTCCAATAGTTTGGACCTGAATCTGAAGTTCTTCTCAATGGCAGAGGTAGAGGCTATTGGCGCCGCCTCGACACGGCCTCTAAATCCACCAAAGCCTGAAGATATGATTACAATCAACTATACCTCCGGCACTACAGGCCCTCCAAAAGGCGTCGTCCTTACACACAAGAACGCTGTGGCCGCAACCAGCGCAGCCCTCGTTTCGACCACACCTAAAAATGGTGACGACGTAATGTGTTCGTACCTTCCACTTGCGCATATATTTGGTCGGCTCCTCGAGCAGTCTTTCATGTTCAGTGGAGGCAAGATCGCTTACTTTCATGGCAACATTCTTGAGCTTGTGGACGATCTGAAGTTGATCCGTCCTACATCCTTTGCCTCAGTTCCCAGACTCTACAATCGCTTCGGTGGGGTCATCAAATCACAGACTCTAGCAGCTCCCGGCTTTAAAGGCGCGTTAAGTAGACACGTTGTAAACACGAAGATGGCGAATATGAAAAGACGGGAGAATCCAACCAACAAGCACCTTGTTTACGATAGGATATGGGGCAAGAAGGTTTCGGCGGCATTAGGTTTGGACAGAGCTGTTGACTTCGTGAGTGGTTCTGCGCCTCTAGATCCAGCCCTACAGGATTTCTTTTCTATTGTTACGGGTGCTAGAATCATGCAAGGATTCGGTATGACAGAGACATACGCGAGTGGATGTACACAGGTGGATGGTGACCTTAGCACTGGACACTGTGGTGGCGTATCGATATCCGTGGAGATGTGTCTTCAAAGTGTTCCCGATATGGAGTACAATGTCGAGGACATGCCCTACCCACGTGGTGAGTTGCTGATGCGAGGTACAAGTATCTTCGGTGGATACTATAATAATCCTGAGGAGACGAAGAAAACTTTTACAGAGGATGGATGGTTCAGAACTGGTGATATCGCTTCTATCGACGAGCTCGGCAGATTCAAAATTATTGATCGCAGAAAGAACGTACTCAAGCTTGCTCAAGGCGAGTATGTTTCCCCTGAACGTATCGAAGGAGTATACCTCTCAAATTGCAATTACCTTGCACAAGGATTTGTGCACGGCGACTCATTGCAGACTAGCCTTGTTGCTATGTTTGGTGTCCAGCCTGACATCTTTGCACCATATGCTTCCAAAGTGCTTGGAAAGAGCATCTCTCCAACGGATTTCGAAGCCATCAAGCAGGCTTGCAAAGACGAGAAGATCAGGAAGGCTGTGCACAAGGATTTGGACAAGGTTGGACGACAGAATAAGTTTGCAGGATATGAGCGTGTGGCCGCTGTTCATTTGAGCCTCGAACCATTCACGATCGACAACGAAACCCTGACACCAACGTTAAAGTTGAAGAGACCTGTTGCAGTGAAGATGTATCGACCTCTGCTCGACCAGTTGTATGAGGAAGCTAATGCAGAGGCAAGTAAGCCTAAAGCTAAGCTGTGAGCTTCGTGTTATCAGGCATTGCCAACGTAGAATAATGAACTACATTCAACTTTTGTACCACAAATATAAGCTTTGTCATTCTCTTTTGTATCCTGGTTCATACCAACATTTCTGTTCGAAGTTGCCGAGCTCTTTACGTTATGAGTGAGAATGCAGGTACGCGCAATGTGCTGGAAGGAGCGAGACACGACGCATCATGCACGGTGAAGGCATCACTCGACCGAACTTTGGACCTTCATCTTGTGCAGAGCATTTTCCTGGCTTGTTTGGATTCAATAAACTTGACCTTCACTACTTCATATTCCAGCCAATATATCGCAAGCCGCCTACACAGGTTCTTCTTTACCTAGAAAACATTCCCTTCCCACGATCAAGTCTTGCCCAGACTTGTCCAGAGCACCACAAAAGACAAGATGGACACTTTTGAGTGCTTCGTCTGTCACAAGAAATGGACAAGATTGGTCGATGATGGCTGCGTTGCTTGTGGTGGCACTTGTGAGGTTCTGAGTGGTCATACGTCTCTCGAGGAGCTGACTGTTTCTGGGCGCACTGGTGCTGCAGCAACGAAGCCTCGAATCGAGAATTCTGCCGTCAGTGAACAGCCGACCAGTGCTCTCTACAAGACATTCGGTGACCTGGCTATCGACAACAAACCAGATACCTCGAAGCCACGCTGCGCTGCACCCCAACGAGCACCAATCCCTTCGTTTACACGAATGACAACACCTCCACCAGGACAATTACCATCTCCTCGACCTTTCGTGGCCAGCTATATAGTTGAAGCCTCCAACTTCCCAATTGGCACATCAGCGATGCAACTTGAGAGAGCTCTTCGCCAGGATTGTTACAATGATGTCGGACTAAACTGCATGCAGTCCTGCAAGCAAGTCTTCCTTCGACTCCCCATTACCTTCGAGCTTGCGTTCTCCGACCTTGAAATTGCCTTTCGCATAATTAGATCTTACAACAACGTCGACGGTACCGCAGGACGAATGAAGTTCGAGCTCATTAGTCCTAAACCACTCACAGAGAATCACAAACAGCAACCAGTCTCTAAAGGACAGGTCCGTGCTCACGATGGTGTTCGAACCAACTCTGTATCTTTGTCGAATACCGAACTACCTTCAGCGTTCAACACTACCCAAGTATATCTGAGCTCATGCAATTCCCAGTCAGGCTCTGATCAGTATAGTTCCGACCAGCAGTGTTTTGACGAGGATACGTCAATTGTTAAGAGAAGAGTCCAGGTTGAGAATTACAGAGGAAATCCAGACAAGACAGCAATAGTGAAGTATGCCTACTTGCAGGAGAGCAGAAAGCATGAGGCATCTCTTTCAGTTCTGGACGAACTTGAGATTGATGAATTCGATGATTTCGATGCGTTCGATGAGATAGACGAGGTAAATGAGGAGGACGAGGATGAGGATGGCCTCGATCTGACGCAAGGAGATGATGGTACTGTAGCACAGAGGCGCCAATCAATTCAGCATGAAATTCCTTTCAAGCGACCAACATTCCCTACTCATATCCAGGTACCACCTGCTGCTGAGAAGAGTGTGTCAACAACCACCAAGAAAAAGAAGCACAAGAAGAAGTCGAAGGCGAAAAAAGTCAAGAAGGAGAACGTGCCCAGAAAATCACCACCAGTAACAGCTCAGCTCGAACTACCAGATCCTATTCCTATGCCTGCTGCAGACCGAAGTCTAAATGCAACTTGGAACGACGTCGCGACCAAACGTCGAGCTAAGGCGGACAAAGCTCTCAACAACACGGCTAGACACGCGAGACAGATTAATGCGAGCTCATACTTGGCAAATCCTGGCGGTGATCAGCTCGACTCGTGGAATCCGACGTTAAATGTACGGTTTGCGATAGGAAGCGCAAAGCATGCTGTTTGTCGAACTGTACCACGGAGTCTTCTCGAGTAAGCCAGGGGAGCGGTTACAGGAAGTTCATAAGCTGTTGGCAAGACCACTTCATACATTGAATCAGGCTCTTCGCTTGGCTTTATATCATCCAAGCTAGTTGAAAGATGAACAAGAAACAGTATGTGGTCGTGCACGAAAGTTTTGAAGGAACGCAAAGATCGGGCTTGGGCTTAACATCGTGGCTAGTAGGACTAGAATATATCAAAAGGAGACAATCGCAACAGAAACAATGGTGTCTCAATAGCAAAAATGACAGTAATGGTCGATGTAACTCGCCGTGTAACAACCCATTCAATGTTCTTCCGCACTAAGATTTGCGGCGTCCAGGCATGCTTAGGCATAGCCACCGGCTCGACTTATCGGGTATACATCCTAGATCTACGGTACTCCAAAGAGCTATGAACGCATTAATTGTATGTTTCTACAATAACGACGCTTCAAATGCTTCGTCTTGCACCGCGTTACATATTCACTTCCGGCCGTCAAAATGCACAGGACCATGCTGCTCCTTGTGGCCTCGTTCTCACTTCTGTTCAACCCAGTGTTAGGTGCCCAACTTGTCCTCAGGATACAACCATCGCAAATCCTGGCAAATCCAAATTCGCTCCCACCTTCTACACATGCCAGTATAACTGCTCCAAATGGCGTCGTCTTCCGGTCTAGCTTAAGGAAGGATAATAGCATTGTGTTCGACGATATGTCGACTGCCGGTTCGCACCTGCTGAATATCTACACAAGAGACTACACATTTGCGTCCTATCGCATAGATACCAAGCCTGATCTAGCAGCTGCTGGTGCTGGCAGCAACGACGCAGTCCCAATTCTCATCGAATTCGTGGCTCAGTTGTTCCCCGGAACTCAATGGTCTGATACTGGCGCCAATCTCGTGCCATCTCAGCCAGACTCGCGCTCATCCACCGGACAATCACCACGCCCTCAGTCAACGTTCACGATCGTACCCAAAGTCCTGGCAGCCAAGCAGTTCTACGAGCAACGTCCTGCATTCTCTCCTCTGACTTTACTCAAGAATCCTATGATATTGTTGGCTATTGTCGCGCTTGGTTTTACCTTTGGCATGCCGAAGCTTATGGAGAGCATGGATCCTGAAATGAGAGCCGAGTATGAAGAGATGCAGAAGAAAGGGCCTACAGCTGCGTTAGGACGGGCTATGAACGGACAGGGGCCCAGTAGTAGTTCCGAGAGTTTTGATCTTGCTGGATACCTAGCAGGTCAGAAGAAAGATGCCTCCGATATGCGTGGGAAAAGATGAAATGAATTTCGGTGAAGATTATAGAAACACTTGAAAGCGTACAAGGTACATTCTGCTTGCGCAGTGACGACAGGACAATATGCATGTTTGATTGAGCAGCAGAAGCGCGAAAGACGAAAGAGCGAGCCTGAGGTTTAATGTCCAAATTGTCAGAGCGAACGCCATCAGCTATTAGTGCTATCGTCCTGGAGGGATTCTATTGCATCAACGGAGTTGCCAGGAAAGAGTATGCAATCTCAGGCTGTGATTATCTTGTTCTTTGAACCTTGACCCTACTGAGGTCGAAGTTTCGCAAGCCTGTTGCTGCATCAGGCTGGCCGTTTTCAAACCGTGATTGCTCCCAATACCTTTTGATGTTGGACAGATCAATCTTTGGTGGCATCCCAGCTCCGCTAATCGGCGTGGGGCCAAGCCCAGAGGCCGGAGTGTCGTACCCGCGGTCTGCACGATGCGCTTGAGTTCCGCTTCGTGAGGCTTTAATATCCACCAAGCAATCTTTCTCTACAGTTTCAGCAGTATTAGCATCAGATCTTTGTCAGCCAAAGCCTTTCGTACTTTTTAGCTACCCGCTTGCCTGTCCTGCAGCAATTACATCTCAGTAACTCCCGACCAGAGCATATCAGTATTTCCTTCGATATGCCCCTCAAGCCTTCAGAGCGTCCTTGTTATACACAAGATCAACTCGAGCAATATTTCAGGCATATTCAGCTACCCCAAGCTGATTACACCAGTAGAGACGAGCTACAGTCTCACACACCTGCTGCTAAACTATCATTCTTGGCACAGCTCACTCGTCATCAGCTATGCAAAGTCCCCTTCGAGAATCTAGATTTGCATTACGCTACTGTAAAGGGAGTTTCCCTTGATTCTGACCATCTTTTCCACAAAGTCGTTGAGCGCAATGCAGGCCGAGGCGGCTACTGTATGCAAAACAACTCTTTCTACGGCACTGTATTGAGGTCACTAGGCTACAGCGTCATGTCTGCTGGTGCACGCGTCAGCAAAGCTTTAGATGAGATGACTGCTGGAAAGGATCCTACTGGTGACCCAGCATTTGGAGGGTATGGCCACCAGGTTAACATAATCACGATTGATAACAAGAAATATTTTGTGGACGTTGGATTTGGTTCTATGGGACCTACAAAGCCTGTGCCACTGGTTGATGGCTACACAACTATGCATGCAGGAACTGAAGATAATGTTGCCAGCACTCTGAGACTTACTCGCGGCTTTGCAGCAAACAACACTTCTCGCAATCCTGAGCAGGAGCTATGGATATATAGCGTCAAATTTTCCCACGCAGACGATAATTCACGACCTTGGGTTCCATGCTACTGCTTCTCTGAGACAGAGTTCTTCCCTGCAGACTTCAACGTCATGAACCACTGGGTCACTACGAACAGAGCGAGCATCTTCATACAAATGATCATCTGTATGAAGTTCATAATGAGCGATGACGGTCAGACACTTATTGGAGATGTTACACTGAATAATGCAGAGATTAAGGAGCGACGATTTGGGCAGAGCACAAAACTAATGGACATAAACTCGGAGGAACATCGTATTGAGGCATTAGAGAAGTACTTTGGGATCAAGTTGAGTGCGCCAGAAAGAGTAGGGATTATAGGATTTCCAACTGAGATACGTTGACGACGACGACAACATCTCCTCGAAAAAGTGAGGCTGTTCAAACTGCACAATGGTGAACTGGACCAGACTACGGTGCATCCAGAACGCACATAATGCTGTGCGTCATCGATTTGCGGCCACGACAGTACACCAGCTTCTTCCGCTGAACCCAAGGTGAATTCGGACTGTCCAAGACGTTTTTATTCGTTGAGTAGAGCGAGAGTCAGCCGTTCATCGATCAGTAAAACAATCACTTATACCGAAGCTGTGAAGAATTCTGGCTCAATATCGCATCGGCCAGGAAGCACAGCTTCTGTGATAGAAGCCGAAGGCTTGTTAGGGTTGGAGCTCATTCGATTTAGTGACCTATCCATTCGCGAGTCTTCGTATCAACAAGGACACTCTAAACTGGCACTTTCCGGTAAAAATTAGACGACTCATGTTCAGACTCTTCCCTCGTTTCGCGGTGCCCTCCATCACAAACACCGTACGATCAGTCTCACTCTTTTCCGGAGCATTCGGCGCAAGCAAGATGGACACCGCACAGCCCTCTGTACGCTCATATAGCCCTGCGAATCCAAATGGCCCCTTCCCATACTCGTCGGCGGACATGACGCCAATGGACCCAGGTAACGACGCTGCGTTCTATGGCCCACCACGATTTGTCACTCACATCGACAACAACGCCATAGCCAAGCTCAAGGGCTACTACGACGCCGAATTGCCAAGGAAAGGCACGATATTGGATTTCTGCTCCAGCTGGATCTCGCACTATCCACCGGACGTGTTCAACCTGGCCAAGAAGCGTGACGAGCACCAGTCTAAAAGCGAGGCTCAACCAGGACAGGCGACTGTAGGAACTACCGGTAGTGAAGATCTCGTCGTCCTAGGCACAGGCATGAACCAAGCTGAATTGAAAGCGAACCCTATCCTCTGGCAATTCTCCGTCCAGGATCTCAACACTGATCCAGAAGTACACCTGCCCGCAGAGCAAGGACTACAGCTAGACGCAAGCACTTGCGTCGTAAGCATCGACTACCTGACGAAACCAGTGGACGTCTTGTCCAGTATACGGCAGCAAACGAAACAGGGCGGAACAGTCCATCTAGCTATTAGCAACAGGTGCTTCCCTACTAAAGTCGTAGGAAGATGGTTAAAGATCGACGAGCAGGAGAGGCTGGAAATGGTGGGAGATTATTTGCATTGGGCTGGGTGGAAGGAGATAGAGATTGTGGATGTGGTTAAGACTGGATTCTTTACTGATCCGTTGTGGGTTGTGAGGGCGAAGAAGTTGTAAAGTATGTATGTAACGGATAGATGTAGTGAGAGTTGTGGCTGTAGCCTCAAGTCTGTATCAGTGTTATGTTTCGGTTGTTCGCCGAACGATCAGAGCTTGTAAAATGGAATTCCCGACGTTCGTTTGCTCTTCAATACTTCACTTCCTCGACCCTCTTTTTGTTTTTCAGCCTTTTCGACATTAACCAATAAAATCAAACCTCGGCAATATCTCTTCCCCACGCCACGTGGCAAAGCTGTCAACGACTGGAGTTGTGCGCCACGCTACAAACACTGGTGCGGAAACCCAGCAGTTTGGCGTGAATGACAGCATGATACCACAGAAAATGTTTTGAGAGCTCAGACAGTGTCAGAACTCAAAACCAGTACGCCCTCGTTTTGCGAAAGGAATACTCTGGTATTGCCTGTATATTTAGAGATACTTAGGTTCTATACCTTCAGACCGATAGCACAGTATACATACGCCTACTAGACTTGGACGTTTTTATCACAGCTATTATCACAGCAGAGTCGCACAACAAAATCTCGTCTCGGATTTTCAGCGTTGGACACCGCGCAGCCCGCGGCACCCAGGTCGCAACTATTATCGATATATTACTGAAGACTTTGTTGCGCATTACCTACACAATATGATTTAGCAATTCCAAGGACGAGTTAGACTAGAATCCAGCTTGGAAATATGCTCTTCTTTCATAGACGGTCGAGGGCAACCAAACCTCGACCATGGCTCCTCGAGCTTCGATCCTCAACGTGGTTCATCACCATCACGGTAGCGACAGCGATTTTCACCGACATCTTCCTCTATGCAGTCATCGTACCCGTCTTTCCGTTTCAGCTAGCTGATCGCGTCGGCGTCGCTAAAGAGGATGTCCAGTACTGGTTGTCGATATTATTGTCAACATATAGTGCTGCTTTGCTTGTGTCAGCTCCTATGTTTGGATGGTTGAGTGACAGGATTGATGAGCGAAAGAATGTTCTGCTTGCTGGCTTGATCGTCCTTTGTGGAGCCACTGTCATGCTCTGTCTCGCGGTGAACTTGCCATTGCTTATCGTTGGTCGACTGCTTCAAGGTGCATCAGCTGGTGTGGTCTGGGTAACAGGTCTTGCTCTTCTTGCAGATACTGTCGGCAAGGAACATGCCGGCCAAGCTATGGGATATGTAGGTCTGGCTTATTCGGCAGCGGCACTGATCGCACCGTTGTTAGGTGGTGTGGTCTATGCACAAGCGGGGTATTACGCTGTCTTCGCGATGTGTTTTGGCATGATTGGGCTCGATATCGTGCTGCGACTGCTGTTGATTGAGAAGAAAGTGGCCAAAAGATGGCTGATTGTGGACAATGTTGAACCAGGTCAACACGGTGGAGCACGCCTTGAACCTATCGAACCACAAAGCCCTACTGCAGCGAAAGATATGTCAGTGCCTGATACTGAAGCTCAAGTGCCTGATCAACAAGGTACAACAAACACTATCGCCAAGAAACTCCCTCCAATGCTCATTTTACTGAAATCGAAGAGAATGCAAGCAACTTTCTGGGCATGTGCAGTCACAGCATTGACGCTTACTGTTTTCGATGTCACTCTTCCACTCTTCGTGGAACAAACCTTTCATTGGTCGTCAGTGGGAGCCGGTGTGATATTTCTTGCACTGCTTCTGCCGTCATTCTTTCAACCACTATTTGGATGGATGGTCGACAAACATGGCCCGAAATGGATGGCAGGCATCGGCTTGCTGGTTTGCATTGTCCCCTACATTTGCCTGAGGTTCGTCGACCACAACTCAATGAGTCAGAAGGTGCTTCTTTGTGCCCTTCTGTTCATCATTGGTATTGGAGTTTGTCTAGCGCTAGCTGCGACCATGACTGAGTTCACAGTCATCTGTATGGAAAAAGAGCAAAGACAGCCTGGCTCTATGGGCAGAGGTGGTGCATATGCACAATCTTACAGCCTCTTCAATGTTTCATGGGCTCTTGGAAGCTTGGTCGGAGCTTATTGGGCTGGTGGTGTCAAGCAAGCCGCAGGATGGGGTACGATGGGTTGGAGTTTAGCAATACTTTGTGCTGTTGTAAGCGTGCCTACCTTCATTTATGTAGGAGGTAGTCTCTTCAAGAAGAACAAGAACGAGCATACTGTCGCGGACTCGGCTTAGTCTGAGTGTCCGAGACGGCAACGAGCTGTGAATACAATTTCCAATCACAAAAGCTTTACCATGGTGTGATTTGCAACGGCGTAACGCGTGGTGCTGCAAGGAAAGGCACAGCATAGCAGGATTGAAGCTTAGGAAGTCAATTTCGGCAAAGTTGACATAAACGGCTGCGCGTTTCATCGCCGGCCCCGAATTCAACTGCGACTGGCTGGCGAGCTCTTGCCTTCACATTCTCCGCCCGTCGTATTACGAACATACCTTCCACGTCGATTGAGCACCAACAACGCTGAGCTATTCCTGCGGGAGCACATCATGCGTTTCAGAAGTTCGTTGAGCTTTCGTCGCGGAGATGTATGGACGCTTTGTTTCCGCGCCTGTCATCTGAGACAGACGCGCTGTGATCTCGATGTTTCGGATGGCTGCTGATCTGTACAAGGAAACAGGCTTTCGAACAAGAAGAGCTGTAAGCTTGCGCTACTCATACTGCTATTACAGTTTCACGACCATTGTTCCATGCAAGGAGAGCTATGCTAAGGAACTACTTGGCATGGCAGCGAAGAAAATGTTTACATTTTGAAGACCTTCCTTTCACAACCCTGTAACCTTGTACCAGCTTGTCTTTCCTTGTCTTGTCTTTGCTTGAACCCATATTCACTTCCAAGTGCATCTTTCTGCCTCTGGTAGGCACGATATTGTTCAACAAGCTGGTCTGAGATCAGTTTTGTGCTCTATATCATTCACAGCTTGTATTCTGTTCCTTGGTATATTTATCACTATCCATACCAAATCGCACTCTCCTTGCTGTTGTATCTAGAGCGTCTTACTTGTTTTAGATCGAGCACACGACTTTACGAAGCAAGCAAGTATTTGATTTCTAGTCTTGGTCAGGACATCAAGTCAAACATGATCAGATTTCATTTCGACATACTATTCATATCACACATTCTTCAGACTGTCCTCGCGCTTATTGCTCTCGGTCTGAATGCTTCGGTGATTCACTATTTCAACACACATGAGGGATTAGGTGGTCCGCCAGGGTACCTAGTGTTCTTAGTCTTTACCAGCACATTCACTATCCTAATCTCGATACCATACACCACGTTTGCACCAACGTATTTTCCTGCATACATCAATCGTTACACCTCCCTCGTTGTCGAACTGATATCGACAATATTCTGGTTCTCGGGGTTCGTGGCCGGTGCTGTATGGCTCGGCAAATTAGATGTCTGTGCAGGTCTGATATGTCATAACGCAAGAGCTGGCGTGGTATTTGCCGCTATGATGTTCGTCTGCTACGCTATTACGAGTCACTTTCCCGTCAAGTACTGCTTTTTCGACGACGAAAACCGAGCACTAGGCGAAGGGAATCATACTATGGGACTCAGCGGAGCTGAACGACTTCGAAAGGTGCGACTGAAGAGGGCAGCAAGCAACAATGCTGCTACGGGAAACAAAGAGTATAGTGAGGACAGTGGCATCTTGGAAAGAGTAATGGGTTCTTCGAAGCAGGTTGCTTCGGTCGTAAAGATTCGGTTTGGCAATGTGGTGCAGGAATGGAGGACAAAGGCAGGCAGAGATAAGGAAGAAGCGAGGTTCTCGAAGCAATAGCAGACAGACAACAAACATAAGTACTACAGCGAGTATGGTCTGAACAGACTCTTCTGAAAAGGTGAAGCCCCTGGCTGCCGCCGTCATCAACCGAGCGAGAGGATACATCTAGCACGCGACGCACGGGAAGGATGCCCTAGCAGCTCGCCGTACTGTCCAAGTATGGCGTTTCTACAACGAAGTCTTTCCAAGGTGCAGAACTCAATCTCGACGATGCGGATACGCAGTGAAGGTGCACCTCCTCGGCCAGGACCTTCACTCATGTATTTCCGATGTCCTGTTGGATTTGGTAACAACTAAAGTACCACAAAGTTACACATTTACTCACATCCCAAGATTCGAACCATGGTTGAGAAGACTTCATCAAGCCAAGGTGGTATAGCCGCTCGAGGTGAGATACAAGGACAAACGCCTAGTACTTGCATTAACGTTTTCCAGCGGCTATATGCCAAGCTCTGCTTAAAAGAAAAGCACTGAAAGACTGCTTGACCCAGACACAGACGAGAACAGTTCATCTCTTCATAGCTGGCAAGACACCTTGCACTAAAGCAGTCGTCATTGCTAACTTTTCGAAGAAAGCAAAGATACCAAGATCGCTGACCTGGACCGAATCTTTGAGCGAATCTGCAAGCAAGGCAAGCGAAAGGTCACAGTTCTGCTCAAGTTATTGGAGGAGGTTAAAGAGGACCAGGAGAAGGCTATGCCGAAGAATACGAAAGAGAATAAAAGAGAACAGAAGAAGCCGGAGGACGTCAAGGAGGCAGTCGATCCTCGTGCCCAGAGGAGGAAAGGTCTGCTCAGAGCCGTACAGCTCTACGAAAGAAGAATGCTGAAGAAGTGGCACCAACAGCTTTGAGGGTGTTGGCGTGGAGATTGAAGGGGAGGAGCAAGAGAATTTGGACGCTACACTGTGATAGTCCAGCAACCTGAGAATCTGCAGTTTATGGTTTAGAACTGCTCATGTGCATCTAATGCAATTTTGATGGGGATCTTTGTGACAGGATGAGCTCTTTCTCAGCATATGTCCTCGACCTTCAGCTTCTCCCCGCTGGGTTCTCCCAGATCTGTCCTCAACCTCCTCCCAAACAACTCAATAAGCATCTCAAAGCACACCTTCGTAATCGCCGCATCATAACGATCCTTACTGAGCTCATCTCTGATAAATGCATGTTGTGCCCCTGCGATCTCGTAGAAACTGAACTCCACTCCAGCATCGTGCAAGGTCTGTCTGATCAAAGTCCTTCCATCAACAGGAACATGATTGTCATTCTTCCCAAAGATCATCACAAGCTCTCCTTTGATGTCTCCTGCTCTCTGTAGACTATCGTCATTCTTGCCTGCACCGAGACTATGGCTATGGATATCTGTAGCGAAGTAGCACACAGCTGCGGACACTCGCGAGTCCAGAGCACAACGGTATGCCAGATGACCACCAAGACACATTCCGGTAGCCCCTATCCTGCCACTACACGTTGGCATGTTCAGGAGTGTAGTCACGGACAATTCAGCGTCCTCGTCGTAGGCTGAAAGTTTCTTCGTGATTTTCCACTCATTTCCAGCGTCTGTACCAGGAACATCGTATGCGAGCGCTTCTGGACCAGTGAACTCGTGGTACGAGGACGGAGCTGCGACAATATAGCCCTGTGAGGCTATCTGGCGAGCGAAGCGCTGGACCGGACCAGTGACTAGGATATATCGTCAGTGTTTGTAGTTGGACGCGTGCCAGGGCAATAGCGTACCTTGATAGATCTCAGAGAAGACGACTACACCCGGAAACTTGGCGTGCGGATATCCTGAAATTACAGGATGCGTGATGAATATACCTTTTGCGAAGTTTCATCTCAGTAATAGTGCTCAGCTGGGGGCCGTGGTGTGGTGGAGGAGGGGCTCACGCATCGTGCCTGGCCCGTCTGCCTGGGTTTGAACATCTTTGTGGAATTCTTTGATCAGCATCTTGTGAACTACTGTGTCTCAAAGGATACGGACGTGGTATATGGTCAACAGCTGGTACGATAAATGGTGTGATAGCGTGACTGTTTACTTCGAGCGGAAGGACAGAACCGACAGTGGTGGTTTATCGATAAACAATTCTCCTCCGCGGCTAGAGTATCATCTAAACGCACGCGTGTTTATCAATTGAGAGCTTATATTACCGACACTCATGAAGGCTGGCCTACTCCATGCCTTGCTAATATTCACTTGATGGATCTTCTGCCCTTCAGTCGCCCGCGCACAGAGGCAATCTATCTTCTCCATTCATTGGGTAGAGTAGTTCGATACAAGCAAGATGCTTGACCTAAGATCGTCACAAAATCGCCAGCATGGATTGAGCACTAGGTATAATTTCAATATCGCATTGCGCACTATTTAGCTGATCTACCACATCCCGCTTTCTCGTCATCAGTTTCCTATCTCCTCTCAATTTCTTTTTCACTAGTGTGACTGAACTGTATATGGCGCATGCACGCGTCGTTTGTGGTGATTGTAGACCTAGGTCAAGGTCTGAATGAATCGATAGGCCTCGGCGAGTGCAGTATCGACGGGACCTTTAGCCTGGTCTGGAGATGGCACCTTCTCGTTACTGCTTTCAAAGCTGTGCGAGGAAGCCCACTCTTGTGTTTGACTGATCAAGGGGAAGAGTGCACCGAGGAGTGGGTTCCTGCTGGCGCCGCCAGTGGCCAAGTCGAGGATGGGAGTGATACCAGGGAGGAAGATGCTGCCAAGGAATGCAGCTTGGTCTCCCTCGTAGTCACCGGTCGAGGAGCCAACCTTTTGCAGGGCTGCTTGTGCTCTCTTTGCTGCTTCGACTTGCTCAGATGTCAGGGGGGCATCCTCTTCAGCTGCGCCGAAGAGTCCCTTGAATGTGTTGATGAGATTAGGGAGTTGGGTGATGAGAGTTGGAAGGACAGCAGCAGCTACGGCACCGGCCATTTTGAAGGATAGTTGTTTGGAAGGATTTAGTCTTCTGAAGGATAGAGTCTGAGTTTTTGCTGGTTCTTGTTTGCTGAATCTTGTTTGTGTCTCGAGCAGAGAAGTGTGCAGTTTTCAAGCCTTATATATTCGAGAAACGTATTCTCGGATCTCGTTCAGCGCGACGTTCCCTCTGTTCATGGGCGTACATGTGAGAACTGCCTCGCATGACTTCGGTATCGTGATTCTGCGGCTAGAATTGGAGCTGAAAAGCATCTTGAGCACAACCGTGTACCATTGTCCTCTATTCTACCTCTTTTCGATCAACCCATCGCCTCTTTTCACAGTCAGCTAATCATCTTGACCAGTGGCTGAACAGTAGCAGAACCTTTGATTCTGGAATCCTTGACACCGCGCTGGCTTGCCTATTCTCTATGCCGAGAAATATGCACCAGACATGTTGTGGCTTGATAGAAATCATCAGCTGAATATTTCTGTCTCAACACATGCGCGCATGCACGAACTTAGAGTTCTTCAGTCAGCCATTTTCGATGACTACACCGGCATTTCATCAAGAGTGAGCTGCAAACAATGCGTCCGCGTCAAGGGTGTGTCAAAGCAATTGGCTTCCGGAGGTGTGGTTGATTGCCATTTGATGGTGATGGCGCGAAAACTATGAGCGAGAGGGGGGAAGCTGACCGCTGACCGGTAAACACCTGGACACAAGCATTGATACGAGCCTTTGATGGGAGGTTGCCGTGATTCGACGTTGAGAACGCATTGTAGAGGCCCAGGCTTAGCCCAAGATAGACTGAATCTGAATGCTAGTATACGAGATTTAGAGTTTGGGGGACTGTGATATGTGCAAAGTAGACGGTTCCGATGACTAGCCGAAAATACTCTTTCTATCCCAACGCCAAGCCTAAGGCGTAGCTGAGAAACGCTGGCACATTTGGAAGACGTTACTCGAACCTTGAGTTGCGTGATCAATGTGTTGTGAGAATCTTGACAGGTCAATATCGGCAACTAGTGCTAGTCGAAGTCATCGCTTTCACCTAGTCCAGCCGAATAAAGGACCTTCTCTCCGACATCCCTCTGGTTGATCTCACGTGTGTGATTGCAGCATAGCTGTGCTCAAGCGTTTTTGACCTGCAGGAGATATACGAACGCCTCAAGCAGCTAGACATGTGATTCGTAAGGTACCATGAAGAAACAGTGAACTAGAACATCTTACTTGTCGATATGTTTGCATCGGATTGATGCGAAGCGCACGCGCAGCGATGTTCCAGCCGTTCCTGGCTTGCGGTCGTCGCTGCGAGTTAATCTTCACTCTGCCGCAGACGTGTATAATTTCACCTTTACCGGAAACCGTTCGACGGTAAGTCATTGATATAGGCTGGAGAGACACGCCTCTTAGTAGCCATAACTTTGGCGAGAGTCATCCCGTTGCCTGCTTGTACAATGGAGGGCGGCTGCTCGTTCATCCCAGGTTATGTTTTCGAGGACATTGCTGCGTTGCAGGATGTCGAAAAAGATTTGAAGGAATTAGCACAATCGACGCTCGACGTGGCGCAACTAAAGGATATCGAGAAGGACGTAGGTTGAGGTCGAATTCTTTGCGATCGTTGGCGACTGACTCACACAGCTCGACGACATACTGACTCAACTAGATGAGTTACTGCGGCAAGAGCAAGGGGACCGGACAGATCAAGACTCTGCATTCGAAGCGCCTGGACTTACTCGCAAGATATATTCTCTCGCCAATGCGGGAGTTGGTGACGCGAAGAGGAATACAGACTTGGCTCAGCTTGTTCGACACGAAGCCAGCCCTGACTCAACTGAGGACATAGCAGTCAATAAATGTTACGAATACTTCGGCGATGTCTACAACTTCTTCTCTGAGTTGTTCGAGCGCAATTCGATAGACAACAATGGGATGCCACTCATCGGAGTGGTGCACTATGGCACCAACTACGCCAACGCTCAATGGATTGCTGACAAGAAGCTTATAATCTTCGGCGATGGCTTTGCGCGCGATTCTTCGGATGCTGCCAAACCCAAGGCTGATCACACTGGATACTTTGGTAACTTTTATGATTCCTTAGATCTCATGGCCCACGAGATCATGCACGGGATCACGACTTGCGTGACGAAGGTAGTACCGGGTCCCTGTGAAACTGGGGCATTAGTCGAGCACATAGCCGATGTTTTCGGTATCATGGTCAAGCAGCACAAGTTGCAGCACACTGTCGAGCAGGCTGATTGGCTGATTGGGCAAGAGCTCATCCTCCCTGAGTTGAAGGACATGGCCCTCAGGTCATTCAAAAGTCCCGGCACTGCCTATATACTTCCAAACAACTATGGCAGAGATAAACAGATAGCACATTGCGATCAATTCAAGCCCTGGGCGGATCCGCACATCAATTCTGGAATACTCAATCATGCATTCTATCTAGCTGCAATGGAGGTTGGCGGTCACTCCTGGGAGAAACTTGGCAAGATCTGGTGGAAGACATTGACAGAGAGCAAGATAGACTTCAGTCAGCTCAAAGGCACCTGGGTTCCGTTTGCTCGGAAGACTGTTGAATTCGCACAAGAATACGGACAAGGTGTACAGAACGCTATCTCAAATGCTTGGGGAAGTGTAGGCATCAAAATCTGAGCGCAGAGCTGTTGTGCTCAGCTTGATGGCAATAGGGTGAAATCGTGATCGATATCCTACGATGATGCATTTTCGACCGTATTAGAATACTGTTCATCATTCCGCACTGCACGATAGCATGGTCATTCTACCATTCGTCGTGGTGTCGAAGTGCTCTAGCTGGTGGTTCCGATAATGGCACTTTGCTGCTTCCCTGACACTTTTATCGGAAACTACAACATTTCGAGCCCTATCAATAATTGTGAGCCTGTAGGTTGCTGACAGCAAGCTTTGGCCGTGTCTTGTAAGTAAGTTAGTTCGACTAAGAGAAAGTGGAGATAGGTTTCCCGTCGAGGCAGGTGCCGGAGGCCCCACCAACGTGCATCTTGAACTTACAAGGATCACTCAGCCCCCAATTTCTCCCCGCAACAAATGCGGCCGAGGGTGCCTACAGTACTACTACCTCTAGGAGTTGCAACAAATTGGTTTTCACAATTCCGCATGTTCTAAGCACTCCGATGAAAGAATCGTACAGCTCCAGAGTATAACACGATCCTGCAGAGGCACGAAAAATGGCTGAAATTCGGCTTCTTCGTTCGCGAAGTGAAGTGGGGCTCTCCACCAAGCACTCGCCTGACAACGATACAGTTAGAGAATCCTTGGCCTGGGTAAACTTTATGATCACTCTAGCCTTAGTCTAAGCAGCTGGTAGTCAGCCAGGGCTGCATGACGAGCTGAGGAATTCGAACAATTAAGAGCCGATACCTCGTGATTGCGGAGCCTCACATTCCACCTATTTTTGAAACGTGCACATCTGCAGAGCGTCGTACGAGAAACAAAGTCCAACACGTTTGGAGAGGCAAAGACCTTCCACACAAAGGAGACAGGCCACTGCTGGTATACATCTGACGGGAAGAAGCTGAGATGCAGATGTTGTCGACCTGTTTCAACTGAGCCTGCACTGGTATTGCATATCAAGCTCTCTTGAGCTTATGAAACATTCTGACAAGACATCTCAGCTTGATGTTAATTAACGGCTTCGAACGGCCCGCTCCCAATTGTTCAACTAAGCCACATGGGGGAATCAGCATGAGAATAAGCGAGAATACACGTCAACCCTAAATTTTCTATGCAAGATAGAGATTCACCAGCTCCATGCAGGCAGGATGTTCTGAACCACGCACACATGTCGGTTTCTTCTATCGATACCCTTCAATATTTGGCCCGGCTGATCTCGGCACAACTATCACAAAACAGGCAACTGTATTAATGGGCGTTTCCCTTTCAGCTGAAGGAGTAACACACTCTGAACTCGAGTGCAAGTCCAAGCACCGCAACATGGTTGTGCGCTTTCCGTGCATTGACTCGCTTGGGCATGCGATGCGGAACTCAGCTGCAAATCAGGCAGATGGCGCAAAGAACGTGGTGAACCTGCACAGAGCTTGTCACATTTCATGATCAGCTATGTCTCCACTTCTGCCCACAGGTGTTTCTGTAAAGCGGTGCACAGATGTGCTCGCTTATAAACAGTCACAAGGCTTTGCTGCTCGCCGACAGAGATCTAGACCGACTGGCTGGGCAGCTGGACTCCAAGCTGAATAACTCGCCTGGCAGTATTTTTCATACCAGCTCACAACGACTTCACACTAGAACAGCACGATCCTTGAGAGTCAGCAAAGGAGCAAGTTCCATAAGGACAGGCAGCCTCGGTCCCTAACCTACTCCCCTCTGCACAGGTACATTCCTCTTCATAGTCAGACTGGCTGAACTATTTGATCCTTGGTGTGGTGATATCAACGAACGCGCTTCAAAAGCTCTTGCTGAAGGGAGAACGAATCCTGTAAGCTCCAACATGGCGACCATCGTTCCACATGGGCAACTTGCAAAATATCCTTGTGACACACAAGAAGAAGACGATCCTAGCTTCGGCCATGCTCCGTTGTCCAATCTAGCTGGAACGACCGGCGACAACGCACCAGGAGAACCAGACGATCTCGTCTTGGGCTTCGGAACCATAGTTCCCCGCTGGGACACCAGAGCATCAGAAGGCACAAAACTCCAGTACTATGTGCAGACAGAGGGTTTTCCATCCACCGACCAAGCGAGAAACGCGGCAGCAACGTTTCAAAAAGCCGCAGATTCGTGGAACGAACTGAAGACTGGCGTCACTATCTTGCAGACGACTGATCTAGCAAGCGCAAACTTCTACCTGGTATACAAAACCAATCCTACATCAGGACCCGGAACAAATACTCTAGCCCGAGCATTCTTCCCTCACGAAATAGGTCAGGACGTCGTGGTCTTTCAACGAGGCTTGGAACCCAGCTACAAGTCCATCCTGAATAACGTGTTTCAACACGAAATCGGACACATACTTGGTCTGCGGCATGAATTTGCCATCACAGGAGACGAGAGCAAGAGATTGAGGGCGGAAGGTAATGGTGCGGTCCAGTTCATGGAGATGAATTATGATTCGATAATGAGTTACAATATGCCACCGAGAATTCAGGATAGTGACAGAGAACAGGTAGTCAAGTTCTACCAAATGCCCAATGGGTTTATGGTAGGTGGTAGCCCTATCACTGACTACCAGCCTCAGATTCGACGGCAAAATAGATAGTTTCGCTTTCGAGCGGAAGAGGGAGCATGAGGGAATCCGTTAGTATCAAGTTACCATGGACGTAGTTGTTCGAAATTGCGATGTGATTCAATCCCAGTGAAGCAGCTTGTAATCGTGCTTTGACGTTCGCATCAAGGCGAATTGAAATGACTGAATTACTTGATGTAGTCGAGAAGTTCAAAAGCGTCCTTCACATTGAATCAGAGTGGTCGAGCTTTCTTCTCTTCCGCCTCGGCGAATCGTCGGAGTGCGCTAGCATGGACTCGACTACTGCGAATTCCTGCTGAACCTTTGAGTTGTCTTGACAGATACGGTGTGCATGCGCTTCGATGCTGGATGTGTTGACAGACGAGACACCACTCGTTTTGTTTCTCCGAATATTTGTGATCAACTCTGCAATCTCTTCGCTGTTGCCAGCTCGACAAATTGCGAGAAGACTTTGCAACAGCATCGGGAATTTTTGCACGTTGTTTTCCCCAGATAAGGCTATATCTTCAGGCGGTGCCATGCTTTGGCGACTTTGTGCGCCCAGTATCACGTTCCGGCCTTGTGCTGATTGGGTTATTCGGTCTTGGTGATGTCCTTCCATTTTCATTGGATCTTGTCCGAGGTGCACATAGAGCTAGGAAATGTTAGTTGACCTAAGATGTTCGTCATACTCGCACAGACCTTGTCTGATACTTCAGTGCCAAATCGCGACGAAGAGGCAAGATTGTCGAGTTTGAGCTTTGGCTAATTCTTTCAAAGAGATGAGCAGTGAGATGTAGTACTTTTGGAAGTATGCTAAAGCAAGCAGTGAAAGATCAAGTAAGGTATAAAGTCAACAGGTAAGAGATCTGGGGGTGTGACAATCGGAAGTGCAAGGCCAGGGAATATGTTCTAAATCTTCAAAGTACCGCTGCTGTACGTGCCGTTATCGTGGCAATCGCCGACATCACCTGAGAGTCGAGTCACTGCAGGATCATCCATGAGTAACAGGGCTATGTGGGTAGGGTCACAAGATTAGTGGGGAGAAAGTGTGGAAAGAGCCGGTGGATTCAGAATTGTAAATCCGCCACGAAAAACCATGTTTCTCGAGATCCTTTGAGGCAAGTGGTCAATCAATCTTCGTTGGGATATAACTCCGCCAGTATCGATCGAGCCGGAAATGCGGAAGTGTTCTCCGGCGCTTGTAAATCGAATGTATCCACCCTTGAGATATCAGGCCCACAACAACAACTGAATTAAGTTCTCAGACCCGAGGATAGCATCATCGATCGGAAAAGGTGTCGCTGGCCAGCTCATTGCAAACTGGGAATTACAAGCGTGATGGTGCCGTCGCATGCGCAAAGTTTACATCTCGCTTCCGACGGCTTCCGTCCAAACTAATCACTGGTTTCCAACCATTAGCCACCAGCCGGCCAAACATTGAAGTGATTCAAGTAGGACTCAGAGAAGATATTTAAAAATGCCTGGGAGGTTCGCCCGTGTAGATTTGGTACACAGGAGACAGTTAGTAATGTGTGCAATCATGGAACCACACCGTTAGGTTTTTGAGAAAGTCTTGTGAAAGTCCGTGCATATAATAGGATCGAAGGACGTATTTCTCTATACCACATGGTTAATTAGCTTTACACCCGAAAGGTCAGTAGTGAGTCAGGTTTCCTTAACATGTGTCGTGGTAGAGATCTTAGCTCCCCATCTCATTTCAAATTCTGGGGGGCGGCTCGTGGCCGGGAATTACTTGCGTGGCATCATCACTATCAGTCTTTAGGAAAACCCCACCTAGTAGCGGACAGGCAATTCGAGGCTAAAAGCTTTGAAAGGTTGTTGACCTTCGAGTTTCGAGGTCGTGGCTCGTTCACTCAATGCACCTGTTCTGATACACCTTGCTGTTAGTACTGTACCGTATGGTGTGTGGATGTAGCGTGTAAGTGATACATACAGAGTGGTAAAAGGTGGAGTGGTTAGTGACGCGTATGTGTAATGACTGAGTCGCAATTGCCCAACAGCGCTTATTCCCAGTGCTGGAGGATGGCGACGACAACCATCGGCACGAACAAAACTCGACAAAGAAGAGGAAAGCTCTACACGATGTTGATGATACAGATGCACGTTTGAACAGTGCTGGGGCCTCGTCCAAAGCACCAAAAATCGATGCCCAAGCACGAGCATCCGCCAGTAGGCCTACTGCCCAACTTTCGATTCAGGCCAGCCAAAATACACGTCCAGAGTCACGTCTGAGCGGACGTCGGGCTGTGATCAAAGACTGGCCGCAGATTCAAGAAGTCGATGCTTTCACCAATGCATCAGTTGGCGAGCAGCGTGCCGAGATCAAGAGATATATGAGGGATCTTCAAGAGTACGCTCGTGCGATCCAGGCCGGTACAATACCAACACACTTCGTCGCCAAGTTTTTTCGGCGGCTCGGCACACACTTCCAGCATCTGGACAACGCCCGTGATCGCTTGATCGCTCTCCAGAGCAAACAAGTCGCACGAGAAGCACAAATCTTGGCCCTGATTCAGGAATCGACGGCTGATAGCAAAGAAGAAGCAGATTTGTACAACAGCATGATTGAGGACATTGTTCAGGAATCGCAGGATTAGACCCGACGGTAGTGGTGGAAGGCAGCAGCTGTACGTCGAAGTAAGAACAGTTGCCGCTTTGCCCATCGCATAGTCAGGAATCGGCAGGTCCATTACATATTGGTTTTTTCATATGGCGGAGCAGCATTGTCTTGTCCCGTTCAGTGACGCCAGGCAATTGCGTTCTGATTATGCTCAGAAAGGTATTGTCTTGGGGAGCACACGTGGGCTGTGATCGTTGCTGCTGAAACATCTCCTTCTTTTACTGCTATTGGACTTCTCCGACCCGAGTATCTGTATGATTGTTCTATTCCTACCATGGGAAAGTCGAGAGCCCTGGTGAGAGCTCCTTGTTACAGTTTCGCAATGGACTTCGACGCAGAGTCTTGCTTAAAGACATAAAAAGACTACAGATGCTATGGTCAGTCACTGCCACGAGACACACATCAGAGTAACTTACCTCTTGTTCGCACGTTGCTATCAGCACGCCATCTTCACTAAATAGATTCGAATGTAACATCGCCCTTCCATCTTTTGCCCACGAAGTTCGCGCCTCAGTGTATATCAACTCGTCCGCTCGAAACCCACCATGTACGTGAAAATGAACCGCATGATTCAAACTAGTGAAAACCTTCACATTATTCTCGGTCAGTGTCTGACTTTCATCATCGGTCTCAGGCAAGCCAAACGTGATCTTATTTAGCTGAAGAGGAGCACTGATAGCCCAGCAATCGGAGAGGCTGATGACGCCCAATAAATGGCTCAGCGAACCAGGACCAGCTTGGATGGGCGTGACCTGGGAAACAAACGTGCAGATACCTGTTTCTGGGGCTTCGGAATCACTCTTGAAGACTGGTTGTGTTCTTTGGATCTTGATGAATGGACCCAGGTCGCCTTTTGGGAATAACATATCCCTGGTAATGCTTGACAGTTTATGTGTTGTCTCTCTGGACACAGCATATTCCATAGCTCGACCTGTCCACGGAGAAGTATTGACGAAAGTAATGTTGACTTGGTACAGCATGGTCTGCCCCTGCTTGGCCATTACCGATCTGACGGCAAACCTCCTGCCATTGCTCAGTCGTGTGACATGAAACCTCATGGGCGACTTCACATTCGGTGCATTAAGAAAGTCGGTATGCAAGCTATCGAGAGTGAAGTTGTCTGGTGCTGTTCGTGATGCAGCAGCTGCTGCGAGAGACATCAGTGCTGGACCTGGAGCTGTACCACTGCCGGGCCATGTCCATATCTGATGTACATTCTCAAAGACGTCCTTTACAAAATCAGTACCGAATGTTGATTCGGGCTTATGCTCTTACCTCAGAGATCTCTTTCAGCTGCAAGCTCTCTTCGAAGGTCAATTTCGTCATGGCTGAATGAACCACGTTTCTGGTACGCGTCAAGAATGCTTGCTGCGGCTTGATTCACATCGACAGGATATGTGTTTAAAAGGTCTTGAGATGGTAACGGCTTTCAGAGTTTGGCAGTGTCTTGTGCGAATCGCCGCGTGTGTCAAATCAGGTGAAAATTTCCAGACATGCCTGCAGCACTCGTGCTTTTCGGAAAGCTAGATAAACTTCTGCTACAATTTTCTGGGATGTTGTAGCATCAGATCAATCGTTCTATGAAGAAGGAGCTCGTGTTCGGTGGACGGTGAAATCCAGCCGAGGTTGGATTTTGAAGGTCTTTGCTCATTGCATTCTTGCCTCCCCGACTCGCAAGACAGACAGATGACCAGAAAGGCGTCCGAACTTTGGGCCGTAGAGGGTTGGATGGCCAGCTGCTACGTACGTTAATTGTTATAAACAAGATAGACGTGATGTTTGATTTCGTATAGAAGGTGAACTTTGTCAACTTGATGCTAGATGTCCGCCAGTGTCCGTTGAGTACACCCTCCCTGATTATGGCTCCATTGCCATGCTCAATATCTCGATACCTTTTCTAACACTATCTACTCACAGGCTGGAGTAAAGCGCTTGGTTCAGGACATGATCAGTGCTCACAAGGGCTCTAGGGGGCGAAGCTGCAATAAAGCAGTCCTTCTCAAAAGAAAGTAAGCAGACCAGTAATAAAGCAATCGACCGTCTCGTAAATTCTAGTTCTTCATTGTACTAAACACATAACTCTTCGCCCGTCCTCCTAGTAGAAAGTCAAACCAAGAGCAGTCACGAAACTCAGAGCAATCACAGTCCACCCAGTCACAATGACCTGTTTATTTGTCAAAACTGCTCCCAAATCCCAAGTCAAATGCCTCAGCCCGTTGAAGCTGTGGAACGTGAATGGCCATGCGATCAAGAACTTTGTCGCGACTTTTGCAGCTACTGGCCAAGCAGCGACGGTTGCGGCCATGGTTGCACTCTCCAAATGCCATCCGAAAGCAGGAGCGACGAGGTATGCAAAGCCGAAGATGTACAGACCACCGGAGAGGATGCTTCCGGTGACTCGGTTCATGGCTGAGGGGATCCATGTTACTTGCGGTCTGTAAATTCCTAAGTGAGGTGAAACAGGTCGGTTCTTGCGTTGGCTTGCGAGCAGCTTGTTGGCTTCCTCGCTCGAGACGGGTAATGAGGTCGATGTTGGGCTGGTTGCTGCAAGTCTAAGAGGAAGTAGTGTCAGTGCATGTTCTTGCTCTCTATCTTGATATGGCTCTTCAGCGGTTCTTCCGCTTCAGACAGCACTTCTTGTTGTCCATCTCTCTTGACTAACCTTATTTGGCCAGTTGCAATGGCTGCAGGGCTTAACATTCGCGTTGAGGAGTTCGTTGGTCGTATCGTAGCGACTGCAAATCGGTCAGTCATCGGTATGTCAAGCTCATAGTCGCCACTTACGTCGTCGCATGGACGTCTGTACCGCCCTCTGGGAAAACATATTGACGGACATATCGGAGTCAACACCTTTCAATCGCAAGGAAAGTTGTTGTTGCTGCTCAGTAAAGGTAAGCCCACCTCAAGCTGTCGATGATGGCTTGAGCAATAACGATCGAGGGCAGTCACCTCGGAAGTAGCCGCTAGCCAATCAGACAGGTGATGATTGTATGCTGCCTTAGGCATGGATAAAAGGGCAGGCACACGTCTAAACAACAGGGTTTGGATGCCTACGAGAACAGTCTCGATGCGTATGCATTGTTACTACCTTCACGCCAAACTCGGCGTCAAATCTTATGTCTGTGATTCTCTTGTTTCGGCTCTGGGAGTCACCAAGTTGAGCATGATGTGTACAAAGCAAGTCGATGATTAAGTGTTCAGAGCTTGTATTCACTTTCTGCAGAAAATCGCTTGCTATTTCACAATACTTGTGTTTTGATCATTAAGTCGTGAACCACTCCAGCACTCTAGAAGAGCCAGCCAATGAAGGTCTTGTAGAACCAGCCAGCCTTTCCTTTCTTTTCACCTTGAGCCTGTTTTTTGGCAGCCTTAGCAGCCAAAAACTCTTCCTCCTCCCTGTCAATGATGTCCTTGCCAGTATAGAAATCCGCTTCGTGAGCCTTAACACCCTTGCTCTTCGTCAAGATCTTGTGTCCAAAGAGAAGAATCAAATAGATTGGGATGCCGATATAACCAGTGACAAAGTTCTTGTAATCAAAATTGCCATAACTTCGGCTGTAGGTGAAGACGCTGAAGTTCTTGGTTACGGCGATCAACACACAGAATATTAGAGCACCCCAGGAGCCATTGATTCCCAATGGAGCAACGAAGGGTAGTGCACTGTCTGGAAGGTTTTGTGCTCGTCGTGCTTTGATCCACCAGATATGGGTGACCAATATACTGATCCAGGTTTCTAGACCGAAAATGGTGACGAGATTGACAAAGTATCCGAATACAGTCTTGGAATCATCTGCGACGTTCATGTATGCCAGTAGAGCAAACATAGCACTCATTCCCAAAGCATAGATTGGCACACCTCGTGAGTCGGTCCGTTTGAAAATCCTTGGTGCGTTGCCGTTGACAGCTAGGCCGTATAGTGTTCTGCTCGCAATGTAAAGATCGCTGTTGCTAGCCGAGAATACGAAGAGCAGAATTGCTCCGTTGATGACACTGGGGAGACCTTGGATGCCAGCTTCGAGAATAGCGACAACAAATGGTGAAGCGGAGGCCCCAGTCGTCTGCTTGGTAGCGAAGGTGAGTTCTGGAGAATTGTATGGTACACACATGCCGATGAATAGTACTAGAGAAGTTAGCCCAGTACGGAAAAGTAATGCTGGATCTATTCACCTGACAAGCAGTAGAAGAACAAGATTCGGTAGAATGTCAGCTTGATGGCTCGTGGAACCACCTTTCTTGGATTTTGAGCCTCTCCAACCGTAACACCCACGAGTTCGGTTCCCAAATATGCAAATACTGCTGTGACCATGGTAGACCAGAAGCCTAAGAATCGACCCGCAGCGCCTTCCATGATGTACTCGTTGAAAGCGCCTGGATTCTTCCAGTATCGAAAGCCTCTTCGATCTCCATCAGCCCCACCAAGAGCAATGACTAGAGCAAGAATGATCAGCCCGACAATTGTGACGACCTTGATAGACGAAAGCCAGAACTCGAATTCACCAAAGAAGCGGATACCGAAGTAGTTGATAGCGATGATGACAACCAGGAAGATTGTAATCCAGACACCAGGATTGATTCGGTCGCGATCAACCCAGTACTGAATGACCAATGCCGCTGCCGTCAGCTGGTTCGGGGTGACAATGATGTATTTGAACCAATATGTCCAACCTAGAGCGAAACCCAGTGAAGGATCGCAGAAGCGAGTAGCATAGCCAGTAAAACCAGAGGACATCGGAAGCCACGCAGCCATTTCTCCCAAGGCTGCCATGACCAAGTAAACTAGGAAACCAACCATAGTGTAGGCGATGAACACAGAACCAGGACCAGCACGAGCTAAAGCAGCACCAGTACCCTATCAAAATATTAGCCTCCCTTTGTAGGTTAGGCAGCCGCTGTCGTGAAGATGTGCTCCGCTTGTAGTCTTTTGTGAGAACTTACGATGATCAACCCAGTACCGATAGCACCACCAATGGCTATCATAGTAATATGACGAGCTTTCAGCCCTCGGTGAAGTGCTGTACCAGCAGCGACTTCGTGGCCAGCCACTTGAATCGTTGGGCCTTCGCCATTGTGATAGCCCTTGTCGCCCAGTGTATGCTGTCCTTTCTCAGGAGGCCATTCGTCAGGCGACGGTGTATCGCGCACACCGTTATGCATGGTGGACTTCAATAGCAGAACGTAAGATGAGGGAAGACGAAGTGAAATCGATGTCTAAAATAGACGATAAACAGACACGTCTCACGAGCAGACAGGAGCGTGACACTTTATCTTCTGGCAGACTCGCACAACCGATCAGATATTCATTATTGCCTCTCAAGTGACGGGCAATAATAGCCACCATCGGAAAGGCCGCCAAGGCAGTTTTCACCCGCCTATCAAGCAGGGTTGCATTGGAGGTTCTGGTCTTGCAGCTTTGCAGGAACGCGCCAAGGACGCTTAAGAGCGGGAAAGATACGTTTCTGTTTTGTAACAGGTTCTCAAGCGGTCGTAGCCCCACCTGAACAGGTAAGGTGATCTTGGCATGAGTCGGCCAAGCTTATAGTCCCCTGTCCTTGATCTGACGAGATACGTGCAAGCAGCCTGAGCTGGTGTGAGCAACTCGAGTACGAAGGTTGGGTGACGACAGAACGACAAGGATCTCTATCGATATGCATTGTGATCAGTCGATTCTGGCTCATACTCAAGTGCTTTCGAGATCGCATCCTCACAGAGCCTGTATACATCAATTCAAACACAACGTTGGGATGTCGTGCCAACAATGTGACACAAAATGCACCACAACCAGGAAGCTAGCAGACTCTAACCTTCAGCAGACCTCGGAAGGGCTCAATGAAAGCCTCACGTGGCTGGCAGGTCTTCGAGACTTTGCGGAGGATCGACGAAGACCGGCGGAGTAACGCGTGGGCCAAGCATTTGTGGTTCCAACGCTTGCCCTTGCAAAGGCAAGTAGTCTGTCGAGCTTATCGGAGGTCTTCGCCTATGGTAAAGTCTGACTCGTGGTGGCGCAGCCGAGGATTGGATATGTCCTCCTGGTCGATACTGTATTGTCGCTCGCACAAAAAACCCCATGCGCATCGGCACGTATCGCCGCAGCTGGTCAACAAGCTCAAGGCACTGACAACGACGTTACAGCAGTTCGGGAGACTGTCGCGAATGAGCATAGCTGTCTTGCGGACTGGACGGCATGGTCTGCCTTGTCCGTTCTTGTACAACTTCATACTCTTGCATTCAGTCGATAGTGAGTTCAGATACCAGTTTGAGCGGTCAGTAGCACAGCCTTGTTCGGGGGCCAAGTCTTGAAACAATGACAATGACCCTCATCTTGCATGAGTTTATGCCGTGCTCTGAATGACTTGGGACAATCGCATACATTCTTCAGTGCCTTGCATGGGCTCTGTGTATCCAGTCGTTGTATTCTCTCGGTTTGCGTTGATCTCTAAAGCCAGTGGCTGAAGGGAGCACCTCCCTCACGGTCAGGTAGTGTGACGTAGTCGCTCGTATTGTTCTCACAAGAAACGGGGAGACCACCTTCGCACTTGCTTAATTTGCTCCATTAGATAATCAAATCTCACATGTTAAGACAACCTTAATATCCTCCCTATAAAGCCAAGTCTGCCTTGTCTGCTGAACAAATCAAACAGCCAGAAAAGCACATTTCCAAAGAAGTCCCTCACCCATTTTCGAGCCCTTGTAAACGTCGTTCTCACTATTCGCTCAGCTCTTAAATCACCACTCAACCGACCCCAGACTAAGACAATCGACAGAACTCCGAGTTGCACAAACACCTGCTTAAGGAACAGCAAACCAAAAGTTCTGAGGTAGAGTTTCGCGCGGTGGACGATACGCTGACGAGTATTCATTGAATAGTAGGTGTGGCTGAAGCTACTTGAGGAGAGTAGGTGGTTGGCGGACAACTGCTCTCTGAGTGCAGCGATCTCAGTCTTCAAGGCGTGGAGCTGCGACTCCAGAGTACGCTGCCACGATGTGATACCAGCGCCAGGGAGAGGCTGTGAGTGGTTCGTGCTACGCCTACGAGCACGTGGGCGGCCGGCTAACGGAGAGGTAGGTGCAGTATCCAATTGTTCGTTTTCATCGTTATCGTCGTCGTCGTGATGCTCGTAATTTCCTTCATCTTCAACTTCTGCGTCCACCGGTTCAATTATTGAGTCCGAGTCTCCTTGAGATACAGGTGACAGTACCCTGAGCCCAGACTCTGTCCGTTTTAGACGTGTCTGTTTCTGCCTCGCTGGTGGCTGTGATCCGGAAGCCTGTCGTGATAGCAGTCCGCCTCCTAGATCAGTCGATCCAATACTCGGCCTATCACTTCTGAAACTCATGCTGTTAATCTGACTCTGGCTCCTTTCCAGCGACCCGCTCGCCATCCCTGCCCGCTCCAATTTTCGTGTCGGACTCTCCTGACTGTTGTTACTCGGGCTCCTACTGTGATTGTCCGGATCACTGCCACTCTGATTCTTTATTTGGTTCCAAACAAATTCTAGTTCACTGACCAGCTCTCGACTCTCAGCTGTGCCACTTGCGTATTCTTTCATAGTGTCAACAAGCGTAGAAATATACTGCCTCTTCGCCTCCGTCCTGCTCATACTCCTACAACCATGCCAGGCATCCCACTTTTCAATTTCGGCCTGTGCTTCGCGTGTCCGAAGGTCTCGAGAGGCATAGCGATGTACGGAGGAATTATTCGGATCCGGAGACGATACTGGCAGAGTCGGGCGCGGCAGGATTGCCTCGACGTCGCCTTCCATGGACTGCTTGTACAAGCCATATAGACGGAGGCGTGAGGCAGGTGGTGGTCGTGAGGAGCCTGTTCGAGGCAGACGTCGGACGGTCGCGAGGGCGTGGACGAACACACGATCTGACGGATGGTTAGGACTTTCTCTAGTGCCATGAATCTGGAAACGTGCCCACTGAGTCCGACATCTCAATTGAAGTCAAAAGTCCGCCCTAGATAGTGTATCCCAAAGATGATCACGATGGCGAGAATCTGTCGTGCTTATCTCGTCGCATCTTTGGTTGATATGATCGCGATCGTGTCGACTCTTCAGATTCCCATTCAAACGTACAACACTAGGGAATCGAAGCCAACGATAATGTGATATAAATTGAACAGCGGGACACCTCAAAGCACTGTAATGATAAAAGAACGTAAATGCACGCCCATGCAGCTTTCATGCGCGATCACGGAGATGCCTCTCTCGATAACTTTTCGATCGAACAATGCTCATACCTCGGCCCCTGCGAATTGGACAATGATTGAGCACGTGCCTCTGGTTTTGCAGTGCTAATAGGCGATGCATTAACTTTTGTCGATACACATATCGATGGGTGCTGCTTGTATTTAGAAAACAAGGAAGTGGTGCCAGAGCACGCGACTAATCGAAGATGAGAATATAGAAAAATCTTTACTCATTGCACGTCCAACCTCCATCCAGGCCAAAAAATGTGAGAGTGCATGAATCTTGTCTAGCCAGAATTTCCTGTTTGTCAAGTTCAAACTTCCAAAATAGCGGTCGTATTGCGTACTTGTATGCTCGTTCTTTCTTTGCTCAAATATGACCTTTACAGTAAGACAGATTGCCGTTGGTTTGCCTCAATACCTCAATCATGCTAGACCTTCGAAAAGCTCGTCCAAGTTGTCATATGCACGTTTGAACTTTTCTTCTACCAAAGACTGCCGGCTTCTCATCGCTGTGACCCTAATCTCCTTCAGCATAGCCAATACTTGACTCTCACTTTCCAGTACCATCTGAGTCGTGCGTATCCAACGCCTATAGCGTAGCCTTCTCGAAATATCTGCCACTAACAAGGTCCGACTCAGATACGAGGAAAGAGTTGACTTTTGCTTGTACCGCTTCCTTCTATGTTTTTGGGTCAACTCATCCGCCATTCGCAGCGTAGTCCATGGACGTGTCTCTAGCAGTGAATTCATGATTTTGTTCACCCTCAGTATGATTGATGTGACTAACGCTCCTATCGATATCACGTCAACGTCAATTATTGGAAAGGTTGCTGGTCGAGAGGTACCATGAGTGCAACAGGAAGCATAGAGTGCTGTTTCGTCGGCTTCACTCAGCAAGTCGCTGCTGTAGCTGTCGTCTAGGATGGCCTTCGATAACGACTTGCAAAGAGCACCTGACGGCATTAAGCTTGACCACCCATTTGAGCGCTCACCTACCTTTGGCATAGTCCGAAACTGGCGACTGTAGAACATTCATCGCCAACTAGAGTCGGTGTTGTGTACAACTGGAGGTGAAAGAGTGGAACTATTGAAGTATCAGCAACGAGGGCGATGAACGTAGTTGCCAGAGCCTGATGAGAGGGGCTGAAATCCTAGTGAAGTAGAAACAACCTCGTATGATATGTTTTCTTTTGCCATAAAACCAGCATGAACAAGCTGATGTTCTGGTGACTTAATTCACGGACACCAGCTCTCAAGATCTTGCAGCTTGAGCGTTAGCATTACCATGAACTTCGTGCTTGTCCTGGCTAGTCACCACCGGACTATATTGAGCGAGCACAATCGCTGGGTATTTTGGAAGAGCTACTCATTGTGGTCCGTCGGACCTCTTCAATCAGAACTGAAGGTACCATCACCATAGTATCCTCGATATGAGTCTTTGCTCGCGGACCTCCTGGCTCTGTGGCTTCGGCTCGGTGGTGTATGTTTGTTGGCTTGTGCATCACACCAAAGAACGTAGAATAAAACTGTATCATTACTCCGGATGAGACGGAGAGGACAGAGCCAGCGATACTACCACCACCAGGGTCATTGGACACATCGACTATTACGTCCAGAGGGTGAATCAAGAATTTAAGCCAACAACTACGCGATTGCGATCATGTGAGAAAGGGTTAGAAGAGTATACTCAACCGTCTCGACCTCTAGACCACATTTGCGGAGCCTGAATTTGGATGCAAGGCTGCCATGCAATGTCATCATCAACATTGCCATCGACAACACCAGTCTTGCAGAACATCATGTTCTATCAGTGATCGATCATCTTCCTCATCGTTTGCGACATTTTCTGCAGGTGACTTACATGTCAACGTGAGACACTGCCATCGCCATCGAGACACGAACGAACGCATCCTGACACATTGCCCAGCATGGCAGCACTACAAACATGCTGGAGACCACGTCCCGTTCTACAATTCCTCGAAGTACGCAAGTTTCGCCCTCTACTCATACGCACATTGAGGACCCGTCCTTCGAGGCCACCTCCATCGCAACAACCAACTCCAGCGAAGCAATCCTCCACAGATTTGCCCCACGAGAATGGCGCACCACAACAGCCTCCAGCTCCTGCTCTGCAACAGCCGAGTATCTCTAGCCTTTTGTCTCAAACAGACAGTTCGAACAACAGTCTCCTAGCGCCTGTACATATACCAGAAGACCCTCGAGCTATCCTGAAGACGAGCCACCCCTCTACTGCCCTCCTCGAGCAATCAGGTCTCGTCGTTCAGCGGCAGATTGAGATGATGAACGTCTTTCTAGGCTTCGAACAAGCAAACAGATATGTGATTATGGATCCACAGGGGAACCATATCGGATACATGGCAGAACATGATGGAGGTATCGCAAAGACGATGGGCCGACAGTGGTTCCGAACGCATCGTTCTTTCATGGTTCATGTCTTTGGACGTGATGGCCAAGAGGTCCTGCGCTTTCACAGACCTTTTAGCTGGATAAATACCAGGATAAGAGTGTACGATCCTGTAGAATTGGCCAGTAGCTTGACCACAAGCAGCTCTACTGATGTGGTAAAGAGCAATGCCGTTGCAGATGCTGTCACGAATCAGCAAATATCAAGCTTGAAATTGGAAGAGATGAAAGTGATTGGAGAATGTCAAAGTGAGTGGGCGCCGCTAAGGAGGAAGTACAACTTGTTCCTCGCGCATGAGCTGCCTGTCATACAAGAACTTGGACAACAAGCAGTACCAGACGATCTGTCTGGGCTACAACAGAACCAAGTCAAGAACCAAGATCATTTTGCTCAGTTCGCTTACATTGATGAGCCATTTCTCAGCTGGGACTTCTCACTCAAAGGCTCAGATAACAAGCTCATTGGTTCTGTGAATCGCAACTGGGGTGGCTTAGGCCGAGAATTCTTTACAGATACTGGCACATATGTGCTGAGGATGGATGCCGCAGGTCTAGATCAAGAAGCACATCAGAGACATATTGTTTCTCAAACTCACAAAAATGAGCCTGCGTATGCTGAGGCCTTGGGAGGCGATAGGTTTGGTATGACTCTTGACCAGAGAGCACTTATGCTCGCCACTGCTGTTACCGTAGACTTTGATTATTTTTCACGTCACTCCAGAGGTGGGGGCATAATCCCGATGCCGTTCATGATGGGTGGTGGTGGTGCTACAGAAGGAGGGGCCGCAGCAGGAGGAGCGGCGGCAGGAGGAGCTGCTGAGGCAGGTGCTGGCACTGCGATTGGAGAGACAGTCTCGGGTGCTGCTATTGGAACTGCTGGTAGAGGTGTCGCTGGCGCAGCAGGTGCTGGTGAAGGTGCCATAGCTGGTGCTGGCAGTCTCGCAGGATACGAAGCCATGCAAAGAGGTATGGGCCGTGGTGATTCCAACAGTCCGCAATCACCTGAACAGCCATATCCTGGCACAGGTGTCAATGAATCTGGTTATGCCGACCAAGCTGATCCACAATCGCCTCAATATGGAGCAGGTTCAGAATCTCAATTTCCTGCTGAACAAGGTGGACAAGGACAAGAAGGAGATGTCTGGGGTAGTGGCAATTCTGATCCATGGGCAGATAACAATGTTGGGGATGGAGGTGGTGAAGAAGGAGGCATTGTTTCAAAGTTGTGGGACATCTTTGGGGGAGGTGGTGAGTAGGCAAGGAACATGATCAGTCTCCTCTCAATCTTGTTCGAAATAGATACTTCTGCATACCCTTCCAGCTCTTTTCCCACGTTTCAGAAGCGGAACAACCAGCTCCTTCCCCACTGGCAGTATTGGAGACGGTCGACAGGCTGAATCGCCCTTCAAATCAAATATCAAGATTGAATGCACCAGAACGCACAAGCCGGCATGTGCACACTGAAGGGGCTACCAAACGTGTTATTGAGGCTTATAAAACCTGCGAGCTTCCAGCAGATTCGACGAGAAATCGGGTGAGTGAAGGTTCAGCAGTAATTGACCATCACTTTACCAGTTGTCACAGATACACACTGTCACTAAAAGTGACAAAGTTCTTGCCACCCCATCGAATTTACTTTAACCTACTATCCTTCCTACTCTTTTTTTTGGTTCTGCGCAATTACCTCTCTTTACCAACCAGCACGATGTCGACTGCAGAAGTCGAAGTTACGAACATCGTCGACCGCGGCGATGTTATTCTTGTCGTTGGTTCAGGTAAAGGCATCGTCAAACTTAAGGTCAATTCCATGTTCCTGCGAGCCGCCTCGAAGACCTTTGAGGCTTTCCTAGGACCAAACTACGCAGAAGGCCAAGCTCTAAGTTACGATAACCCGCCAGAACTACCTCTACCAGAGGAGGATCCGAGCGCAATGACAACTGTTTGCTATTGTTTACATTTCAAACAACATCTAGTTCCAGAAAACCCAGATGCCAATCAAATTCTCGAAGTTGCAAAAGCAGTCGACAAGTACGCGCTCCAGGAGGCTCTGGCGGTTCTTGTTCAGGCTTGGCTCACGCTACCTACGGCTTCGACACAATTTCACGATCTAGGCAACACTCTCAGAGCTGCGTTGATAATTGGAAACGAACCGGCCGTGAAGAAGCTTACCACATCCCTGATACTCTCTGGTGAAGGAAACTATACAAGTCTACTGAATGAAGATGATTCTGAAAGTTTCGTGAACATCGTTGGTGAGTATTGTCCTTGATAGAATTCTGTTAGACTGACCCTGTTACAGACAAGCTCGAGCATCAACGCCTTCGACTTCGGCGGTTATTGGTACAAAGACTCTACGAGGCTGTGACTGTGTGGCGCCAACGCAGTGAGCCTTGTAAGTGTGGTAAGGAGTATTCGTTCATGCTTCAGCAAAACCTATCTGAAATGAATCTCGAACCAGATGGTATTTTCAGTGAATCAGTTGCTGCTTGCGTGGTAAAGCTCGACCGGATACCCAACCCGCGTTGTGGATCATATCACTGCAACAAAACCTCTTGCAAACATGGAGCTAGCCAAATATACCGCAAAATCGAAGATGCTATCCGCGATGTGAGATGTTCCGAGGGGCTGGATTTGTCTCCATCAGCTTGAAGGAGGTTGCTGGACTCTCTACAGGCCAATGTTTTCGCCGCATTATAGCGCCTTTAGAGACTTTATCAGAACCACGAGTTTGATTTCCGTGGCGTCTTTCAGGTTCTTTACTCGCTCGCTACCAGCGGAGGCTCAGATGTGGACTGGCTAGCAACCAGACATGCGGCGGCACTAACTATCATACCCAGAATGGGAGGGAAAGCTTCACACGATCGGTGCAGTCCATTGATTTGACTGCTGGTGAACATGACCTGACACGATATCTTGGATCTGATCGCAAGGTTTCACTCGAATTTCGATGATGAGCAGAACGATGCATACGGTAATACATACATAGCTACAAATGACTTCAAGCCGTTGAACCAGCACCACCACTCTCTTCATCACCCACATCCAACTCTCCCTCCTTCAACGGCCTACAAACCCCATCCCTCGTACATATCATAACCTCACCACTCCTCATCCCGTCCGGCCCTCTAACCACAGTCCGCGAGAACCCTCGCAGCCCCCGTCTCTGCACCTCCTCCAACGACATATCAGGCGGCACCATCAAGCTATGCATACCCAGATTCTCCATGACCACGCCAGCCAGTAACGTAACATACAGGAATGGATGCTGTAGTGCTTCGACGGCGAACGCGTCAATAGTGCCTTTCGCTTGCATGTATAACCTGTCACCGAGCGCTAGATCATTTTGTAATTGTGGTGCTGTCTTGGCATATGAAGAGAGGTAGAAGAGATTCGAGACGATGATGCCGTTGGGTGAGGGGACGGTATTATCTGTGCCTGGCTTGAGACGCAGGATCTGTTCTGGTAACGTGGTAGGCGAGTCGACTTTTGCGGCTTGCAGGTAGCCGCCTGAGGTAGTACCTGCCAGGAAGTGTTGATCGAGCGTTTCTTGCAGCTTGAATGCAAAGTCGAGGTATTGGAAGTCGAGCGTCAAGTCGTAGACGCCGATGGCGGCCTTGATGATGTGGGCGTAGTCGTCGACGAATGCGAGGTCGCGCGTTGGGTCGTCTTGAGCGGATGTCGGGTTGTGTATCCGTGTTAGTTTTCCTGTTTTTGGGTTGTACATTTCGTTCTTGATGAACATTAGGCCACGGATTGCACCATCGCGACACTTCTGGGCTCGTCCTTCGTCGATTTGGCTGAGAGTTGCTGCTGCTCTGGCGAGAGCGTTGATAGCCAAACCGTTCCAGGATGCAATGACCTTGTCGTCGATGTCTGGTTTGCTTCGATTGGCCGATCTGTATTCTTCCAATTTTGACTTTCCAGACTTTATGATCTTGACGATATCGGCTTCTTTGAGTTTGAACTCTTTCGCGAGCATCGAAGGTGTGACGCTGACGAAGATGGTGTTCTGGTTCAGGAGCTCGTCGTGAACGTCGTACTTGGCTGGAACGTTCCCGTCAGGTCGTGCCCCGAAGTGCCGTGCAAGAATGCTTGCGTCCCGGTCCCCCAGGATTTGTTTGAACTCTTTCATTGTCCAGACGTAGTAGGCACCTTCCTTCTTTTCATCCTGTGCATTCAGGCCTGGATATGAATCTGCATCTTCGCTTGAAAACCATCCTCCTTGTCTTCGTACGATAGGCGACTCCATGCTCGTGAAGTACTCGACTAGGTCATAGATTGTGCCCAGTATTTCCGGATTCTGACTCAGAGCCCATGCATCGCAATAGACTGCCAGTAACTCAGCATTATCGTAAAGCATTTTCTCGAAATGTGGTAGGTTCCAATCAGGTGTAACACTGTATCTGTGAAAGCCGTGGCCCAGGTGATCTCTGAGGCCAGATCTAGACATCGCAAGGAGGGTGTGTAGTGCCATAGTGGCAGCTGTTGTACACGACTTCTTGCCAAGTATAGCAGGTATTGGAGCTGGAAAACCGAACCTAGTGTGTGTTCTAGCCCGTCCGTCATTTCTAACAGAGGCACCAAGACGCAGTAAGAAACGTAAGTTGACTGGCATGGGAAACTTTGGTGCGATACTAAAGCCGCCCATGTCTCTGTCGTACTTGGTGACAAAATGTGCCAATGCATCATCAAGGAGATCAAGATCTATAGGCTCGGCATCATTGGATCCCGCAGGACTACTGGGCCGCGTCGATCGATAGCTGCCTTCGAGCGCAAACTCCTGCAACTGCTGGGTCATGTCTTCGGCCGACAGCAGACACCTCTGTCGCTCCCTGTTCCAGACATCGACCATCTTGTTCAGAACATCGAGGAAGTTCAGAGGCTTGTCGTCATCAATTCCAGAAGGTGCAGTCGTGCTTGAAACTGGGCCTGGCCAGTAGGTGCCACCAAAGATTGGCTTCAAATCTGGAGTAAGGAAGACGTTAAGTGGCCAACCTCCATGTCCGGTCGTGGCTGTGACAAAGTTCATGTATATCTCATCAAGGTCTGGCCGAGATTCTCTGTCAAGCTTAATAGGAATGAAGTTTTTGTTGAGCACTTCGGCGACTTCAGGCGAGGAGAACGACTCCTTTTCCATGACATGGCACCAATGGCATGCGCTGCAATCGAGTCAGCGAACGAGCTTCTAACACCGGTACTCATCGTGACCTACGTGTAACCCACACTAAGGAATATCATGCGTTGATGTGTCTTTGCATGCTCGGTAGCCATAGGCCCCCATTCCTGCCATGCCACTGGGTTGTCTTTATGAGCGCGGAGCTTGTAGCTGTCAGCGTGCGATACAGGCGCCAGAGCAGGATTGTGACTTACATATGGAGAAGGACTTGACGCGAGAACGTTTTTTAGGTGAAGTGAAGATGCCATGATTGCATAAATCGGCCCTGTTGTCGACTCGATATCGTTCACTGAAAGACGGCAATGATTTCCGACCGCGGGGACGTGGAGTTAGACCCAGTTTTCGGGATCGAGATCTTTGGAAGCGTAATGTTCTGGTTCAAGAGGAACTTGCGCGCTGTCGAAAGATCGCTCGGTATTCAGTGGTGCGACGACTGCTATGGTTATCAGACCAGCTCGTGAAGTTTAGCGGTTTTATGAGTTGCAATTGAGGGGATTGATGGGAGTTTTTCTTCTGTAATGCTCGCAATGAAAATTTCTACTGGAATGCAAAAGCAATGAACACTGATAGCACATCTATCAAACTTTTCAGGCTACTCGAGTATGGCTGCTTGGAAAGTTATCAAATTTGATAACAGCTGATAGGCCCTGACGACTGCAAGGATCCATTAGTGTCTGCAGGATCTGCTGCTCTTTCCGCAGAGAACCGTTTTCTGAGTTACAAGTTCGTCCGTAATCAGCAGTGCTCCGCATCTGTGGTAGATCTTCAGTACTAACTTGAGAATGCCTATGAGCCATTATTCGTGGGGTGTACCCACCAGCTACTTGAATCTTGTCGACCTGCCATATTCGTTATCGGAGTCACGCTAAGTCTCGGGGAAGTGCATAAGGCGGAGCATTGCGCCACCTACAGCAAAAGTACGGAGTACTAAAGGCGTAACGGCGAAAAACGAACGTTTAGTGTGATAGAACGAGTAGTAGCCAGCATTTTCTTAAAGCTGTGTATCATTGCTCGTTCATCGCCATCTTCTCAAGTGAATCAGCCTCTTCGTCCTCCATCATTGCACGAAGCTCAGCTTCCTCCTCTTCTGTCAGACCACTGAAGTCATTCTTGGGCTCCGGCTCCTCGGCAAGCAAGTGGGGATTCTTGGCTTCCTCCACTGCTTTCCTCAGGTCTTGAGGTGCAAGGCTCCATCGCCGTATCGTCGCATCGATACTGACGCTTAGCAAAGTATGATTTGCTATGGCAAGACCAGTAACTTCTTCAAAGTGACCAGTGAACACATGTAGTAACTGACCCGAGCCTGTATTCCAAACACGAATGTCTTCATCCCGACATGCTGTGATCACCAGACTCGAAGAGTCGTACACCACAATATCACGGACGAAGTCAGGGTGTACCAGGGTCGTATCAGCGATGAAACCGTTTTCTCTGTTTAGTCTTTTGGCTGTCTTATCGGCAGAGGCAGTCCACAGGTCTCCATCGTTGTCAAACTCGAGCTTGTAAACGCTCGTTTCGTGCTGAACAATGGGCTGCGATAATTGTGTCTGAGCCATTTGTAGAGATGCAGGTAGAGTGAAGTGGAAGATCTCTCGCTGGGAAGTGGAGAAGAAGATGCGAGGCGCGTCGTGGGTCGAAAGAGGATCGAGAGCAATATCTTCGATGCCCCGACACTGAGGTTTGAGAGAAGCCAGCCGCTGTCCTGTAAAGGTCCATATGTTCAGAACTCCATCGGCTCCTCCTGACAGCAACACCATCTTCTTGTCAGGGGCCTGCGCCACCAACAAGCATTTCAAGAAGTCATCGTGTGCTTTGAAAGTGGATTGAGGAGGACTGGTGGGGTTGATGAAGTCCAGGCCAGTGATATCGAAACTTGTGATGTGTTTGTTCCATCCACCAGCGAAGATGAAACTGGAGACAGAGTCGTTGTCAATGCTAGTCCTTCCGGCATAGCTTTGGATACAGGTTATTGGAGCTGGTGCATTTTGGCCTATTCTGACAAATTCGTTTATGGACAGGTTGAAAATCGATACATTGCCGTCTGCTTCGGCGATGAGTGCGCTGTTACCTGATGGGTCAAGAAACGTGTCTACAGATATAGCAAGAAGTTTCGAGCGAGATTTGGCGGGCTGGCCATGTGTGTTGGCAGCTTTTCGACGTTTGCGATCATTTTCCGCAAGCGATGTACTAGGGTATTATGTTAGCTGGAGAAAATTCATAGATAAAACCCCCGTTTATGTGCATACGAGTGCTAAGAACGAGGTGTAGGGTATCGAATTGACGGTCCAATTGCACCCTGATAGTTCTCACTCGCTGAAGACGTCAAGTCAGGGACCAGCTTCTACAATGCTTACCTTGTCTGAAAGAAATGTTGGGGATCGGTCGAAGTAGACATCTTTGGCACGGACGATGACTTCGAGCAGCAGGAGAAGGCGCGTCTTGCCAAGACTGAAACGTGGTGTGGAGGACGCGCTTTGCAGATGTTTGCCGCCAAGACTCCACTAGAGTAGTTCAACAGCGGCCAGTGAGCAGGAACAGATAGATCCTAATCACACTAGCAAGAACGAAGTGTTCGTACCTGGCACGCGTCACACGTCTGCGGTGCTGTACCAAGTATTTCGGTCGTCCCTTAGATCTGTCGCTCAAAATATTCTTCTTGCGCCCATCTGTACTTATATATTCCCATCGATGAACACAGCATACACGATCTAACGTCTATACTCCTCCTTCGTTTTCGAGATGGACCATCTCATTGGCCAGAGATTCAGTCTGATTTCAAAAAGTGAGATTCGGTACGTGAATAACAGAACACCTGCTGGCCAGCTATTGAGCCACTTTCTGACATTGACAAACAGATACGTTGGCATTCTCCACGAGATCAACCCCGAAGAATCTACCATAGCGCTCGAGGAAGTCTTCTCATTTGGCACCGAGGACCGACCTGTCGACAACTTCATTCCACCTTCGCAGCAGAAATTCGAGTATATTGTGTTCCGAGGGAGTGATGTGAAAGACATAAAGGTCGCTGAGGAGGCTGAAGGACCTAAACAGCCTCCACAACAGCCTCCCAATGACCCTGCGATATTGGTATGCACAACCTCAATCCTGCCCTGCTATTCCCTCGGATGATGAAATATTTCGGATGTAAATCACAGACCTGTACTGAATGCGCAAAATTATGTGGATATTTCCGTTGCCTTCCTTCTGACACGAGAATCCCAACACGAAAATGAAGCTTCGCAGGTTGCCATTATGCTAACCTTAACTGATAGAACTCATCTCGTCCAGGACCTACGCAAACAGCTCACCCTCCTCCTCCTGGCCCACCTGGCCCACCTGGCCCTCCTCCAAACCGTGGTGAATCTCCATATCTACCTCCAAACTATCCTCCTCCAGGATTTGGTGGCTACTATCCTCCCGGACCACCACCAGGTCAATTCGGTCGAGGTTATGGTCCTCCACCAGGCAACTTCGGACCACCACCAGGCTATAATCCGTATGGCCCTCCACCAGGTTATTTTGGTCCCCCAGGACCGGGACGTTTCCCTCCTCCACCTCAACAACATCCACCTCCTATAGGTCCGCCAGGACAGCGACCGGCCCCTCCCTCACAACCATCAGCAGTTGCGACTGGTCCGCCCACCGCTCCTGTGTCCAAGCAGACCCTCGAGCTACCAGTGGAGAAGACTACTTCAAGAAATGAGAATAAGCCGTCTACACCCGCTCCTCAACCAGTCGCGCCACAGACCGTAGAGTCAACTGAGGCTGAACCGTCTGCCGCACCTATAGCTCCAACTACCAAAATACCACAAGCTCAACCTAAAAGCAACAAAGTTGCTCCTGCCATGCCTTTTGCGGTCAACCAGAAATCTTTCACACCGCCTGTATCTACTGGTCCTCCTCAAAGTACGGCCCAGCCACCTGTACCCAAACCAGCCAAGTCACAAGCTGAGATGGAAGAGGCATCACGACAAGCAAAAGAAGCCGTCGCGAATGCCTTGGCAAAACTCAATCCCCAGTCGACTGCAAGACCAGGAGGCCCACCACCAAATACAGTCGAGGCCATAGCGGAAAAGGTCAGTCAAATGACTACTGCTCCCTCAGCACCACGCGGTCGAGCAGGTTATCGAGGCGGAAGAGGAACGAGAACTTCTTCTGCAGGACAAAGACAGAAGATGGAGATCCCACAATCAGACTACGACTTTCAATCTGCCAACGCCAAGTTCAACAAGGAGGATCTCATCAAAGAGGCCATTGCATCTGGCTCGCCAATCGGTGAAACGGCAGATAACCCTATCGAAGGTCAGGTCAGCGAAACGAATGGTACGGCCCGAAAAGATAGCTTGTCCGCCAATCCAGTCCCAGCTTACGACAAAAAGTCATCATTCTTCGATAACATCTCTAGTGAGGCAAAAGACCGCGAAGGAAATTCTGACGGCAGAATCAATGCACGAGCTCAGCGTGGTGCCGAGTTCAGTAAGAACATGGAGACTTTTGGTCAAGGTAATGTGGACAGTGGCTACCGTGGCCGTGGCCGAGGTGGTTACCGTGGCAGGGGAAGAGGTGAATTCAGAGGTAGAGGTGGCTACAGAGGACAGAGAAGGGGTCCTAGCACTACCTTTGATCCCACAACTATTGTCCAGAACTAGTGTTCTGGTCCAGCCGCTAGAATGTTGAAAGACTTCCTGAATAACGCAAAATTACCAAAAGGCTATACCAAAAGAATTGGCGACCAACCTCGCAAGTCTATGGCGGCGAGTTCGATGCAAGGGCAACAAAAAGTCTGGAACTGGCTTCTTGAATGCGCAACAGTCATGCAGGACGAGGAGCTATTGAAGCCTTAGGAGGGAGAACTATCAGATGAAGATAAGGCGCCGGAGCAAGAAAGTCTTTGGTTCGCAGCTCGTGTCGCATGACCTAGCTTTGTAGAAGATTAGGCGTTGAAGATAGCATGTCTTCTCGCCTACGAAAGGAAGAAGGAGTCTATTCAGGCTGTGTCGATCAGCGTTTGTGGTGAACTCGGCAAGTACGTGGAACTCAAAGGTTAGCATCGAAGCATGGATATTTTCAATAGCTAGCCGTCACAACAACAACAACAGACTGGTCCAAACCCCCTCACACAAACTCTAGGCCTATAAATATGAATTTCGAGGTTAAGCATACAAAAAGCGCAAGTGAAAGGAATCGTAGTAGTGCCTGCTCAATCGCATGCTGGCTAACCAACTAAGGTCTAACTCCCGTGGTTAGATCCACGACGATAGTCGTCCACCGATCCATGTTTCTATGTTTGTTTTTCAACAATGTTCACTTATTGAATATCACAATGATATTTCAGTACTTCGAACTCTCTGTGGTGACTGACTGTCAAAATGGCAACAGTAAGAAGGATTGCTGGCCTTGGAATGCTCAGAAAGGTAGCAGCGGATACAGGATTTCCTTCTCGAGAACGTCCGATCGTCAAGACGCTTCTTCACGCATGCCGTGATCGCTTCCTTCCTATAGCCGAGAAATTTCCCAGTGAAGGAATCCGCCATTGAGCCAGAAGGTCTCCATCTCGAAGCACCAGAATCTTACGGTCAGACAGTCAAAGGGAGGCAATCGACCAAGAGACAGCTTCACAGATAGCAGCAGCCGCTTGCGGAATCCGAATCGAGGAAAAAGGCCGACGCGTTGTTGGACGCAAGATCGGTTTCACCAACAAGCACATGCAAGAGAAATATGGCATCAGCGAACCTATATGGGGATATATGTGGGACGACTCTGTAAGGAGCTTATACCACCACGGAATTGCGAGAAGCAGTGTTGTCTTCCTTCGCGACGACATCAAGTCTACTCGTCCTAAGATTGAACCTGAGATTGTATTTGGAATTGGTTCCTCACCAAGGTCTGATATGACGGATCGGCAACTTCTCGATTGTGTCTCTTGGATCGCACTTGGTTTTGAGGTCGTTCACTCTGTACACTATCCAAGATGGCAATTCACCGCGACCGACGCCATTATTGCTGGAGGCTTACACCACGCTCTTCTTCTTGGCCAGAGGATAGCAAGGCGGAACTGGGAGGGTCGTGAGGAGGCAATCATCTATGAGCTTCAAAATTTTGAAGCTAACCTATACCGTGACCAAAGGCTAATGGCCAGTGGTTCAGGTTCGAATGTTCTTGGGAGTCCTCTTAACGCATTGAGAGCTTTTTGCAGCAGTCTTGAGCGGCAGAGCTTACACCCTCCCATACAACCGAGGGAGATCATCTCTACAGGCACACTTACAGACGCACTGGGCATCAGAGGCAAGAGTGATTGGCGTTTTGAAACAAAAGGATTAACACTACCCCAAACCGGTGTTGCCTGCAAGATTCAAGGACATGTCCTAACTTTCAGAAAGTGTTTTCGACGATAGATTCACACGCCGAATAGAGAGCTTGGCAAAGTGATGGACAGTCGAGGAGATAAACAGGCAAGAAAGAGGTTGATCATGCAGCTGAGGAAGTCGACGGCCAGCAGGAGCTGAAGCATTGATCACAACATGAGGCCAGAACAACGCTCAGCGAACTATTTTGCCTGTCTGCGCGATAGCTCTGTTGCTGCAGTGAAGTGCTACCCAGTTTCCGAAATAGGCTGCGCGCCATTCACTGTACTGCCGACGTACACGACCTGTACAGCAGCAATACTATCTTGCTAGTCAGCTGCGCTCGAACCACACCCATACACAAACTTCCGCAGTCGTGATAGCAAGTACTTTCTCAGTCTACTATTACGCACACATCCACCACGACACATCCCAACAACACAACCCAGACTTTATGAACACGAGTAGCCTGCTTTGGAGCACCGCACTTCTCATCGAATTAGACAGTGCTGCAATTGACGTTAGGATACCGACAAGGCTCAAAGATGGAATTCGCGATACGAGCAACAATTGTTCGTGTCTTGTTCTAGTCTGCAGATCGTAGGAAACTCATTGCCAACAGCACTAACCAGACCTCGACCGTGGAAGATGGAGGACGTGATACATACGTACTCGCTACTAAATGCGTGTGGTGCTGCCTTCACTATAGCTCGCAGCACATCCAAGCTTTCGTGAAAGTCGACCGGCAGGCATCGAATACCTCAAATTCGACGTCCTTCTTGGGCACTTTCGCACTGCTCGTGCTCTGAGCTGTTGTTCGAACTGAGAATGGAGCCCGCCAGACATAGAGTGGAAGTCGCGGAGATTACTGGACTTGTTCAAGCGACTGTATATGCCTTTGATGCCTGATGCGTAGACGACGCACGAGCTAAAGAGCTGGTTGGAAGAGTCACTCAACATTGCAACTTATCTCGAGGGGTATTGAAATGCATTATGCTCAGATTATTCTTACGTTCCTATCGTCACAATCGTCTCTGCCCTGAGTCCGTTCTTTCCGAATTCAGTATCTGGGAACCATGAGACATCTGAATACTTTGTGGAAGAAACGACCGACACTCGGTCGAGGACCAATATTTCCGAAAAGTACCTAACCCGGAACAGTTAACTCGACGAAGCGCCCAGTTATCGCCATTCATGTGGATACCGAAGGCGGAAACTAGTCTACAAAAAAACGCTTCTGAAATGTTAATTTCTCAATGTTTGGGAACGCGCTTCGTCTTCCGTCCTTCAGCTCAGACCCTGAGTGCTAGTCTCGCCTATGCGATTGACGGCAGACCAACAAGCTCAGCAAAATGTCTATGCAGAATCGAAGCGAGAAAGCAGGAATATAGTTTGTCCCGTTTCCATTCCACGTACTTATTCAGCTCTTTTTCCTGCAACTTTCGTGTTCACAACTATGTACTTGTATCGAAACAGTAGAATTGCCTCAACTTAACCAGAATCTCAATCCCAATGTCAGACATCAAGGTTGCCCTCATAACTGGCTGCTCCTCAGGCGGTCTCGGTGCCGCCCTTGCCATCGCGCTCAAACCCATCGGCTATCGCGTGATCGCAACAGCCCGCAACACATCTAAACTAGAAGAAACCCGTGCAGCAGGCATCGAAGACCTCGAACTCGACGTCCTCTCACCAAAATCAATCTCAGCATGTGTCGAGAAGCTCACCGCACTAACCGGTCGACTCGATCTTCTCGTCAATAATGCCGGTAGTAGCTACTACATGCCAGTAATGGACATCGACGTTGCCAAAGCCAAAGAAGTATTCGATCTCAATGTCTGGAGTCTTGTCAACGTCTCACAGGCTTTCCTACCTTTACTCCTGAAAAGTCCAGGCGCGAAGATTGCCAATAATCTCAGTATCGCGACGTATCTCGGTCTGCCTATACAAGCGACATATAACGCGTCGAAAGCGGCAGCGAACCAGATTACAGAATCGATGCGTCTTGAGCTTGCGCCGTTCGGAGTTAAAGTCATTGCGTTGCTCACCGGGAGTGTCAAGTCGAATCTGTTTAACAATTTACCTCGCAACCCACCATTACCTGAAAACAGCATATACCGTGTCGTGCCTGGCGGGCTGACTATGATGAATGATCCTGCTAAACTCATGACGAAGGAGAGTGATATGGATGCGCAGACGTGGGCTGGACAGGTCGCTGCTGAGCTCGTGAAAGTGAATCCGCCGCATCAGATTTGGAGGGGTTCTCATGCGACTATGGCGAAGGTTGCATGTCATTTTCCGGTGGGCATGTTTGATGGGCAGGTGTATCAGCAGACGAAGTTTGATGAGGTTGAGAGGGCGTTGAAAGTGGGGAAGACGTCATAAATTACTTCTATATGGAGAGTGGTTACAAGAGGCATGCAACAGGATATTTGCACACAGGTGAAAAGAAGGACTGTTACGAAATGACTTTTCTATTGATCTGGTGATGTTGTTGTCTTGGTGCCGATTGTGCACACGAGGCTATCTGTTGCTGGCACCATCCTACCGTCCAGGCCACAACGAAGGGTGGTACACTGGTTTCGGCAAGGGGTGGAAAAGAGCTGTCGTTGTCTGGCTCATCGTCTCTTGCGAGGAGGTACTTTCGTCGTCCGATTTGGCCGTGGCTGTGCTTCGAGGGCTCGACGTCGCAATCGACGACTGAGGAGGAGGAGGTGCACTGTGCGAAGGTGAAGCTAACTCAGCCGGTGCAGACTTTGTCCTGGACTTGGCCTGAGTCGTCAGAGCTGGTGCAGACCCCCTGGTTGGCTTGCTTGCTCGAGAACTGGAAGGGCTTGACGTCACAGTCACAGTCTGGCGTGGATCTTTTGCCTTAGTCTTTCGTTCGGCTTCTTGAGCTTCCCACTCTGGTGTCGGTCGTACAATGGCTATAGCCTTCGTACCGGCCTGCTTGGGCTGTACAGGGAGGTTTTGGTCTAAAGATTTGTTGCTCGAGTTGGGCGATTGTGCTTCGAATTTTGCTGTCGGCGCCACAATCGGTATAGCTTTCTTGCCAGGCTTTTTGATCTGTGTTGAATGATCGGGTCCTGCAGACTTGTGGCTTGTCTTGGAGAACGGCCGTGCTTGCCGTTGCGGTGCTGGTGCCACGATCGGTATCACCTTCTTTTCTCGGTTGACCACGATCGGACGATGAGACTCAGCTTGCACGACTTGATCGATAGGGTTCTTCTGTATCGGCCAAGGCTCTTTGGCTTGCACTTTGGAGGAGGGTTTGACCAGCCAGGCATCTTCTCTGAGCTGATGTGGAAAGCTGCATCTGCTGACCAGAGCTTCGACCCTTGCAACAGCCTTCTTGTCCTTGGCTATCTGGGACGCTGGGCGCTCCTGGACTTCTCGGGTCAGCTCTCGGAAACGATAGCTAGTCGGCAGGGCAGCTTCGGGCTTGACTTGAAGACGGTGTTCGATCGGTAAGGCGGCTTCAGCATTGACCAGATACCGACTCGATGTGTTGGAATCTCCACGAGTCTGTACAACCTCGATGTGCGTGCCGTAGATTGTCACTTGATTCCTCCATGTCTCACCACCAGCTTGGAAGCTGAACATCGGTAAAATTTGTTTTCTCCTTTTTTATTTCCTTGTTAACGATCTTCACTTGTGATCAGAATGTGTAGTCGTCATTTTGTAGTTGAGACCTCGCTACCGTACAAGGTAAATATATATATCTATTGTCAGCAGGCTTGTCAAGTCCTGCGAGCCAGCCTCTGCATCCTCCAATGTCCATGCCAATACCAAAGCAAGCGTCTGTACTCGACGACAAAGCGAATGTGTCGCAGTGTCATTGTCCTTATTGTGACTTCGCACAAAGCGTATTGAGGGACAAATCTGCCGGTCTTGGTCTGAGTAATGAGACATTTGTCGATGCTTCGAGACTGGTGGGATCCTGTTGCTCTCATGCATGAAATATTTTACCCCAACGGCCTGTGGTTGTTACCTAGCTTCTCGTCATGTCTAGGCTGCGACGTGACTCTGGAGATTCCCGAAAATCCCGGCTCCGTGTAAACAAAGAAGATGAGAAAGCATCGGTAGCAGAAACTGTGAGCACGATTTCAGCTGCGTCGACAATGTGAGTCAAGGGTCGTTCGGAGAACTGATATCGAGGAGCTGAGCAAGCTGGCAGGAACAGCTTGCACATCTGTCTTCAAGACATGACTGCATGGAGAACGTTAGCTTCCAAATGAGTGACTGACTGCACATAACCAGAAAAAGCGCGAGGGCAGGCCATTGCGGCGAGTAGCCAAAGCGACAACGAAGCATGGAAAAAGACAGTATAGGACGAAAACATTGCCTAGAACTTTCAGCAAAATCTTGAATTCACGAATGCAGCTTGTCTATTGATCTTGAAAAACTGCTGCGATTGTTTTAAGCTTTCAGACGTACACTTATGTACGCTGTTTCGTAGTATAACAGTATGTTGTCAGCTCAAAAAATAGTGTCAAAGAAGCATGCCCTGGACCAAGTTGTATGCGATCAAGAGTGTCAAGTTGGACTGAATTGTCTCGATGTTTGTTGATTCTCGACTCTAAGGTTTGATTGAGTAGCCACCTACTTGATATTTGCTCGATATGGCGAGTGCTGATTGAAGCGGATTGTGGTTGACAAGGTAATGACTCTGATCGATGCCGTAAGGTGTTTCGTATGTGTACAAATGACTATGATTGTAAGACTTGTATTGGTAGTAGTCATACCATGACCAAGGTGGGATGTTCGTGTATTTGGCAGGACAAGCAGGATAGGGTCTTCCAGTATTGTTTATCGTTGTAATTAGCTTCGTGGTTGGTGAAGGCTCCTCATATGGCGATTCATGTCTTTGATTTGGTTCTGATGATTTTCCGGAAGTAAGTATTCTGAGGTCGCTCGGAAACGGGTGATTGTTTTTCTTCGTCTCGACCTTGCGTACAACAATGCTTGAATTGTCTCCTTGGGTCGAGCAGGCCTTAGCCGCCTTTCTTGATGGGGTGATTATGGGTACTGCACCGCTACCTCGTTTCTGCAGCACGAACATGCTTCCTGGTGATCTTCGTTCGTGATCGACCGGCGGGATAAACACAAGCTCGGACTGCAAATCTCGAGCATATTGAAAACCAGAGGGCATTTGCTTGTCAAGTGCAACAGCATCTTCGGGGTTGAGATTGCTAGGATGTACACCCTTCCAGCGTGCATCTTCGTGGAATGCTACATCAATTGTGGCGGACGATGACGGATTGAAGTCACTTGATTTGTAGTATTCTTGTGTTTCCCTCGCCTCATTGCCCGTGGATATCCCATCTGTCTCTTTTTCTCGTGCTGATGACATAGCCATACCGAGAGGTGGGATCGAACACTGTTCGTTCTGTGTTGAAACTGCGTCAGGCGAAGAGCAGAGAGATGCGTTGCTTGAAGTAGATTCTCTGAGGTTTTGTAGTTGAAGGTTGATTTGATGAAATTGTGTCGCGACCTGTTGTGAGTCTCTCAGATCCTCGTCCGATGAACAGGTCTTGACGCGGACCACATCTCCTGGTACATTACACTCTCGCGTTGGTTGTGAATTCCATACTGAAGTCACATATTGCAGGTGATGTACGCTCACTTCTGGGTTCAGGTCTTGCATAGCTAGTGTGTTCAGCCTGAATGCAGTGTTTACTTCGAGCCATCGGGGTGCAGTGCTTGAGCGTTTGGTCTATCACCCCCACGAAGAGACTTGTAATGGCTTGTTGTGCTGGTGATGGTTCGGTTGCTGAAGTGCTAGCTGAGTGTCACTAAGCAACGTACTTTAGCAAGTTTTTCTCTAATTTTCATTTCAATTCTTCGATCGAAAACCTGCTCAGAGTAAGTGACATATGATGTAGAATTGAATCAAGCAAGCCTCTAATCAACAAATTGGAGACGGGAAGTAAGCAAACCGTGTTTCGGGAGGCGGAATATGCTACCTGCATCATGAGCTGGTTTGAGCCTCGTAGAGGAAGTACAGTTAGAAGCAAGCAGGCACTCTCAACGTCGGTTAGTATATACATCCGGCGGAGTGAAAACCGTATCTGCGTGGCGTTCTCAAGTGAGGCGTCTGTTGTCTCACAAATGCTGTGATTGAGTCACTAATGAGGCTTTCCACGTGCAAGGCATCGGGAAGCTGCATGCTGGGATGGCGTATGCAGCCTACCACAATCAAATTTGCGTCTTAGCAATCCTTTTCAATTCGACTTGACTTACGAAAGCTGAGAAACTACGAGGCAGATGAAAGAGGGCACGTTGGAAATGGAGGAAGAGAAACCCCGTTTCTCGTGGCTGCGTCAAGTGGTATTGTGGTCGACCGTATGAACGACGTTGTGTCTCTAGCGGATGAGCAGTATTTGGTCGTGTCTTGGGACAGCATATTTCATACACTACTTAGAGTTTTCATAGTCTCTCGCATGCTCAGATAGAGCCAACATGGTATCATAGCCCATAATATACATAACTCCACATGACCAAAGTTCCGCCTTTCTTCCGTCAAGGTTTCAGCTATCCTGTGCCGTTTGATGTAATACCGTTCGTGATCTTTGGTCCGACCACAGCTTTCTCAACTGCATGAAGCACATCCTTGACTAGATCTGAACTATCCTCGACACCACAGCTTAGCCTCACCAGGTCATCGAAAACACCAATAGCTTCTCGCTGCTCCTTCGGAATACCAACATGCGTCATGGCTGCTGGAACCTCACATAGGCTCTCAACGCCACCAAGTGACTCGGCCAGTGCGAAGATCTTGGTGTTTTGGCAGAAGCGCTCGGCTGCATCGTGGCCGCCTTTGATTCGGAATGATAGCATGCCACCACCCATGCCATCCCTGTGCTGCTTCAAAGCGATGTGTCTGTATCGTGAACTATCTAGGCCAGGGTAGTTGACTGCTAAAACATTAGGCGATGCTTCAAGTGCTTTGGCTACCGCAGTCGCATTCTTCGAAGCTTCTCGTGCCCGTAGATGTAACGTTTTGAGTCCTCTATGCGCAAGCCAGCAGTCGAAAGGACTCGGAACAGCTCCTATGGCGTTTTGTAGAAAGGTCAACCGCTCAAACAGCTCTTCACTGTTGAATGCTGCAACACCCATCACCACATCACTATGGCCATTGATGTATTTTGTCACCGAATGTATAACTATATCGGCACCGTGCTCGAGCGGGTTCTGTACATAGGGAGAAAGAAAGGTATTGTCGACCACAACTAATATGCCATGTTGATGGGCAACGGTTGCAATGTATCTGATATCGACAAGTGAGAGGGTGGGGTTCGAAGGACTCTCTATCCAGATGAGCTTCGTCTCGGGTGTGATCATTGTTTGTATATCAAGCTCTATGGATGGTGAAAAGGTAACCTTAACACCGTGCGCATACGCAACCTTTGTGAAGTATCGATGTGTTCCTCCATATACGTCCGATACTGAGATCACATGAGATCCCTGGGCGAGAGACTGTAGGATTGTCGCAGTGGTGGCGCTGCCGGAAGAGAAGGCGAGGGCGAACCTCGCATGCTCAAGAGCTGCAACTGCTTCTTCGAAGTTGTCTCTATTTGGGTTGCCAGCTCTTGAGTAGTCGTATGGCCCTATCGGCTTTCCAACAGAGGATTGTGTAAACGTTGTGGAGAGTGATATGGCTGGAATGACTGCGCCTGTGTGAGGATCTGGTCTGGTACCAGCATGAACTGCAAGGGTGCCGAACTGATGCACAGGCGACGGCGCTCGAGGAGGAGTATCGATTGTGCCATCGGGATTTGACAGTACTCGTTGTAAAGGCAGGTTTTGAGGAAGGTCTTGTTCTACTACTGGTGCCATGGCTTCGGTATCTGTGATCGAGGTGAGTTGTGCTTGAAGAATACTTCGAAGACAAAGCAGGAAACGGTGACGAGGAACGCAGCTCAAATACTGAGCAGAACAATTTGTGTATTGGCCCTCACTCGAGTCTACTCGATATCATTCACTGCAAGGGCGCGCCTCAGACGAGGAACATGACGTGCTCAAGCTGAAGGAATGCATTACTCACTCAAGGCGAATTGAGGCAAGCTCAAACCTGTAACCCGCCGTGCCCGTCGATATGCGTGCCTAATTTAGAGTTTCGGCCGCTAAAGACGAGTTTCAGGAACCATCTGGAGTCCACCTTTCCGTGCTGACAAACCAGGACGTCTTTTTGTGCTTCTTATCTCCTTGGACCCTCCATCGTCTTTGCTGGCGGAGCCGACTTTGTTCGCCCCATATTTCTTTAAATCCAGTGCTTCAAGAAGGAGTCGGGTCCATCGACCGGAGCCAAACGTTCGCCGTTCAAAGATGTGACTGTTCACGCCACTACCGGGTATGAAAGACAATCCAAAGAATTGGTCTCCATACTGAACCAGAGAGTCTGCGAAGGCATGGTCTTACAGCACACACATGCAGAGTATGAGTTGTAATGTCCTATGATGTAGAGCGTTGAAGACTGCTACTACGTCTTTCGTCGCAGTCGTCCTAGCTCACCACCAATCCACACCACCTAGACCCATTTCCGCCATGGAGGCTTCGATAGAGTAGGGGATTTTGTTGGGTAGAGCTTCTTGTGCACCATTCACAGCCTTGACCTTACTTTCGTCGATCTGCATGGCGTCCTGCCATTTCTCCGTCTCAATTCTGGCATGCACGATGGTCCCATCGTCGAAAAATATCTCCGTCTCACCACTCAGCCATACCCAGACCTTTTCGTTTTCGTTGTAATAACAGCCTTCAAAAAGCATAGTCTCTGGAACAAAAATATTCTCAAAGAAGTCCGTACTGAGAAAGATTCCTTTTGGAGTATTCGCCTTAATCCTAGCAGAAATTACTTCGCCCTTGAAAGGCCTAAAGACAACCATTCGAAACTCGACGTTGATATTCATGTTTCCTGTACCGAAACCGATCAAACCTTCAGACGTGCTTAGAAGATCCCACATGCAGATGCATAAGCCGATCTTCTGCACGACTTTATTGGCGTACTTTTCGTTGATCTTGTCCTCGATTGACTGTCGGTCCTCTTTGTAGAATTGGTGTGGTGGTATTGAAACCAGATCCTGAAATTTTGTAAGGATGAACATGATGACTCGTGTTACCGGTGCTTATCGGTCAAGTGATAGTGTATTAGATCTAGAGATCGTTGCATGGGGACCAGAAGACAGCAAACCGAAGTTGAATCAGACTCTACATCAGCGTAAAGCAGGATTCAAACTGTGCAATACTTGCAAGGCCGATCAAAATCTGTTCGACGGGACAGAACTTTTTATGTGCTTGATAGAAATTTGGAGCACTTAGTTGCCGCACATCATTCCCAGAAGACGATATAAAGCAGCAATACGCGGGCATACTTCGAGAAATAGATCCTGTTCCGCTTCAATTGCGGATTAGATATTTCGTCCATGGACGTGTTTCGCGACTTTATGCAGCCACTCTATACGATATGTTCAGCTAACACCCACCCTCAGGCTGTAGCGCTATTCTTATCACCGTGTTGAGCACCAGAACGCTATGCGAGCATTTACCCCTTCGCCGAGACGATAGCTATTGAGCCATGGCCCAATCATTTTCATTTCCTCCTCCTCCACCACCACCTCCAGTAGTCTCGCAGAACACCCACAACCCGCAGCAGTATAGCAGAGGTGGATATCGAGGAGGAGGAAGCAACCAGTCACATACCCAAAATAGTCGTGGTCGAGGACAATACCACAATCGTGGTGGTCAACGAGGTGGCTATGGCCGAGGGAATGGACAGCACCATTCTCGCGGCGGACACTCGCACGAGCCTCAAACATATCGCGGTCTAAATTCTCAGTTTCAGCCTTCAAAGTTCGATGCAGGCCAAAAGAGAAGTCACGCTACAGCCTTTCAAAACCCTCCCAATCAAACACTACGCAACAGCCGTCCACTTGCGCCGCCAGCTGTCCCGAGCTTCGGCGTCGACTTCTCAGCACTATTACCAAAGAAACCGGAAACGGAAAGCGTTCAAACGCCTGTGCAGCCCAGGAAGACGAACCTCCTCGGCTTGACACCTACAGCACGAAACGAAGGTTCAGAAGCAGAAGACGACGAAGACGAGGAAGCAAAGCTGGCCGCTCCTGCCTCCACATTAAACGCTTTGCAGTTCGAGCATAGAGGACAAACATCCACCCTGAAAACACCAGAGGAAATCGCGGCCTGGGTCGCAGAACGAAGGAAACGCTGGCCCACCGAAGCGAAGCGGGAAGTGGCGCAGAAAGAGGCTGAAGAAAGACTGAAGAAGCACGAACAAGACAAGGCGGCTCGACTAGAGGCATCAAAAGCAGCCGCTAAAACACGACAAGAGGAGTGGCAGAAGAAGAAACTCGAAAAGGAGAAGAGCCAGCTTCGTCAGAAGATGTTGAAGGAGCAGATCCATAAAGCTAAAGCGTATGCTACTGAGAGTACGCCGCTGAATGCAGCTCAGATCAAGGCCGAAAGGCTCAGGAGGAAGGCTGAGAAGATTGCGCAGCAGTTGAAAGTGGCTGAGGCTCAACTTGAGAAACAGGGTCCGACCAAGGACGCAGCAGACGATGCCGACCTCGAAGCTCTACTTACTCAAGTTGATAGAGCAGCCGCTGTTAGAAGTCATGGAGACGACGCTGATGTGGATGCCATAGAAAGCGCTAGCGAAGATAGTGATGTCTCTTCTAGGCAGGGCGACACCCTCATGGCAGACGACACCTCTACATCAGGAACCTCCGACCTTGACTCAGGCGAAAGTGACTCCGACGCGCCACCAGAGGAGCTCACCTCGAAACGCGCTGATGCCCCTCCACCAGCTCGCAGAGCTTCACTCGATGCCTCCACCGACACTCGTCCCCTCTGTACCAACTTGGCAAAAGCTGGACGTTGTAAATTTGGTCGAAAGTGTCGCTTTCGGCATCCGAAGCCTGACAAGAAAGCGGTTGCCGCTCAGCAGTCCGGAGCAGGGAACAGAAGGAAGGGGATATATCAAGTAATGGTCGAGAAGGAGCAGGAGGAGGAACAGAAACGTGTGTTGAGAGCTATTATTGCGCTTGGCGATGCTGGCTTGCTGAAAGATGATGAGGCGTCCAAAGAGTAGCTAGTGGGTAACGTCTTTGAGATCGATCAAGTTCGTGCTTCTCGAAATGTGCTTTTTCTGCACTTGACCGGGTGCCAATGGAATTGTTGTCGTCTCAGCACTCCGCGAGTGATGCTTGGCTTTACGGCATTTAGTCTTCGCATCGCCCTTGTGTGCTCCTTGAACTCTCCGTGTCACGCGTATAACCCCTCAGCACCATGTCCTATGTCCCACCGAGTGACTCGACCATCCTTAGCCTTGATGCCTCGAGCTAGGGGATTTTCCTGCATTACACCAAGTCCACTTGGTACTTTTTCGTACCTATGCAACAGACCGACACTCCAGTCTTGGAAGGTCCGTGCACTGGCAGGAAGCATGGCTGTAGATTTCTCAAGAGTTTCCCGAAGTGACTGGAGATCTTGCGCGTAGGTAATGAAAAGTTCTTCATAGGAGCTGGAATGGGACTGGAGGAACGTGGTGACATCGACGTCCTTTGGTAGTGGTTTGTAAAAGATCTTGCAGGCACGGTGGACAAGGTTGACGTGTTCTGTGGGATGTACAGCAACAGGCTCTCCGTTCTTGCTTGAGTGCAAATCCGCTCTTTGAGATCTTTTCGATGTAACGAGGGGTGTCTCGGAGTCCATGAAGGATGCAACACCAGCACTTGATTGTTCGGCGGTTTGTTCCTCCTTGCTTCGTACAGGGACTTCGATCTCGATCTCACCTTCGACCATCTGAGGCCGATCAGGTTTGGCTCCATAGATCTGAGAGATGTCATCGCCGTGAGGATTACTCAATTCCGATCTGGGGGCAGTCTTCCTATGAGTCTGTATGTCTGAGCTCTCTTCTGTACTCATCTTCGTGTCTGTGACCTCGTTTGCTTCATTTGCTGATTGATCGTCGTAGATTTGTGATCTATCGTCTTGATTTAGCTTCAAGGAACTATCTGCTTCAGCAGGCACTGCGTTACTTAGTCTCGAATTACCTTCGAAGGCTGAACATGAGTAATAGATATCTGGGTTGAAAACCCAGAGCTCAAGTGGCTGTACGGAGCTATCGTCCCCACCTTCGGTCGTTGCAGTATATGCTACAAACTTCTTTAGTGCAGTCGATTCGATCAACGATAGAATCTGAGCACAGGCAAAAATCGGATAGGGGTAAGTCAGAAACTCGGCTGAGTTGTTGTTGCGTACTGCAATGCTGGACTTATGCAAGCGTACCAGCAACTCTTCCTGGTTTGTCGTGCCCAGGACTTCTGTACAGTTGGTGCACCTCAGTACAGTTAAATCTGGATTTGTCTTTGTTTCCGCAGCCTATCAGATAGAGTTAGTGACTGTTGCCCCAAGCCTTGTCCTCCTGGTCTGTGATGCTCTTAGAGCGCAGAAGTGAGATGTAAAAAAGGGAAGTGGTAGACACATCAGCAAACGACCATCTCGTGAGAGAGGTTGAGGACCTAGGCCTACCACGGTCATTGCTATGCGGCGGTTGTATCAGAAGCAAAACCTTATTGAAGAAGAATGGCCTCTATCTTCTCGCCAGGATGAACGATCGCATAAAGTGAGTCAGGACCTACCTTGATGTTGGAGCAATCACTCACGTGTAGTACAACTGAAACGAGGTCGGTCATACCAGTGCCACGAGCCATAGCGAGCTTGCTCTTCGCAGAGAAGCCCTTCGCTTCTGCAGCATGTTCCTCGTGCTCACCTTCATGTGGTTTATGGCAGAACCAGAAATCCATCAGTTCTGCCCAATTCTCACTGGGCAGGTTCTTCCACTGGTTGATCCTTCCAGGCTCCAAAATATTCACCTTGCAGTGCCTACATTTGACCTCTGTGTTACTGGCCAAATCTGAAGCCATCCATGGTGCTTCAATCTCATCGCTAACAGTGCATTTCCATTCATGCTCATCCTCGATCTGCACTCTTGCGGATATCTCAGTAGCCTTTTGTAGTGGAAAAGTTATCGACGCATCACCTTTGATCTGGGTAGGTAGATACAGTCGCTGCGTTTCACCATCATGAGTTACGGTCACGACCTTTTTGTCTGTGGAAACATCGACCTTGGTTCCTTCCCTTTTCTTGGTCTGCAACGACGCATGCAAGCTCAATGTCCGAATATGGGTAAGTAATTCAGCGTATAGGTAGATCTTGGGCATTTTGGGGGATGTGGAAGCGAAGGGAAGCGATCCGCATGCTGCAAGATCCCGCTCCCTATCTCGATGCTAACGTCGTACAAGAACCGAAATGCCAGATTTATTGTTGTCCGACACAACTTCAATCATGTTTGACACTGAATGCCGAAAATAATCAAGACTTTTTGTTGTTCCCAAACAATTGGCCAGAGATCGACGCGTCTGTATATTCAAGTTCCTTGCACCTTTAGCGGATCTGAAAATGCGACGCGGCACTTACAGGATGCCAGTGCTTGGAGCGGGGTGGGCGAGTACGGAGTAGAAAAAGCTCGGCAGGAGCCCTGAGCTAAGCAAGCCGAGACCTTCCCCAAGCCAGGCTCAGGGTTGTTCGTCAAGCTTCACTTCGATAAGCTGGCCTGTAATGCACTCACTGCCTCACGATTCGCTGTTGAAGTGAACACTGCCCTGCGCGCAATGCTCTTTCCAACTGGGTGTGGCAGCGAGCTAACGACCAGGATCTGTGAGGAGTCAAATCGAGTACTGGCGCATCACGTACATCTCTCGAATCGAGCCACCAATGCACGATCATCAAGATGAAGTCAACAGACAAAGCAGTGTGACCATCAAGACCCAGTCCATGCTTGCGGACATGCAAGGTGCTGGCTCGAATGAGGACCGATCTCCGGTCTCTGTCCAAATAGATCGACGGACCGCGAGCGAGGCGCATCCGAAGAAGAAGCGAAAGGTGAACCATGGTTAGGATGTATCACTATAACCAGCAGAGACCTCACTAACCCGGTGTTCAGCTTGTATCTATTGTCGACGCTCGGTGAGCCCAAACTCAATCCCTCCAAGACTCCTTTCGAGCCAATTACTGCGCTGTAACGAAGATCTTCTGAACTGACTAGAGCTTCTTGGGCTGCACAGCATATGACTTGTGATTCTGTACGACCTCCCTGATCTTTCTTTTCGAAGTGTCTTGACGACATCCTGCTGACTGACCGGAAACGCGTTGCAGGAGCGCCCATGTCAACGATGTATTAAAAGAAACATTGGGCATCTATGCCATGACGAACCCAGAGACACACCTCATAGGAAATCAAAAGGAGGCGATACAGACCCCACCAGTGCAGATGACCCAGTATCTCCGAAGCATGACTACGATGGCGAGCCGGAAATGGACAGTAGTGGCGAAGCTGCACTGGAAGGCAGCAGTATGGACCTGAGACCTTCCACAGCTGAAGATATGTCGATTTCAAATGCGGGCCCAACCAACCAGCCTATGCCTGTCGCTGAAGCTGTTCGACACGGTAGGGGAGAACTTGTCGTGAGGAGTTATAAATATTGCTAATGCTTGACTAGGCTCAAACTTCAACCTGGACGACCAGTATCAACCGCAACAGCAACACAGGCTCAATGACCTCTCTTCCTTCCATCCCAATTATATGTTCAATGCCAACGAGATTAACGACGAGTACAACCTGTTCAACGACTTTCTTAGCACGAGTTTATTTGACGAGACAGGCATGTTCTCCACGGAAGATATGTCGGCATTCAACGATCCGTCCTTCAGGAACTCTATGAACGTTTCTTTAACGGGGACCAATGGTGATCTAGTGGCCAGTGGGCATGGGCAGCCAAATCTGGCCATACAAGGACCACTCATATCTCGCCCAGCTTCTACCAAGCCAGTTTCCGACAAAGCCAGGGAGAAGTACTATATGACTGCAGCCGATCCCGCAGGTACTGATCCTCCGGAAGAACGGATGAACAAGCTCTTGAAAGCAAAATACGACGCAGGTTTATTAAAGCCTTTCAATTATGTCAGTGGTTATGCTAGGCTAAACAAGTATATGGAGAAGAACATGAAGCCAGCATCTCGGCATAAGATCTTGATGCAACTAGACCGGTTTCGGCCAAAATTTCGAGAGCGCATGCAGAGCTTGACCGATATCGAGCTTGTCCTGGTCGAGATGTGGTTTGAGCGAAGCCTGATGGAATACGATCGCGTCTTCGCCAGTATGGCAATACCGGCCTGCTGCTGGAGAAGAACAGGAGAAATCTTCCGTGCTAACAGAGAAATGGCTGAGCTTATAAATGTGCCTATTGAATCCCTTCGTGACGTGAGTACAGCTAGCTTTTACTGAACTAATGACTAATATCGAAATCAGGGTAAACTGGCAATTCACGATTTCATTGTCGAGGACCAGCTTGTCAGCTACTGGGAGAAATTTTGTGCCATCTGCTTTGACCAGCAACAGAAAGCCATGCTGACCAGCTGTACACTACGCAGTCTAAAGGCTGGCGCTGATCACAACGATATTCAATGCTGTTTCTCTTTTACCATCAAGCGGGACAACCACAATATGTAAGTCAAGGACCTTCAGATGGCAAGCCGGGCACGAGCTGACTTTTATAGTCCTTCTCTGATTGTGGGCAATTTCTTGCCCGTAAATCCTCCGAAATCATAGCTGCAATGCACATATATGAACGAGCATTGTAAAGATCGTCGACCTCAGCAAACAGGTATCTGACTTGCGCAGGACCAGTTTTTTTCTTTCCTTTTTGCAAGCAGCAGGCGAAGCACTACACGTGCCATGTGCTCTGGAGAAAGACGTTGTAGATGCACTTATTGGTGGACGATGCTTGAAATAGAGCCCGATCAGGCATTGATGCATTACCCTGCCCACGAGACCACGGGTATGCTTGCAACGCACGACCCAGCATCTCGGTATCCAGTGGCAGAAATGGGCAGTCTGCTACTGCAGATGCCGCTTTGAGACGCCCCACACGATATTGAAAGCTACTCTTCGACTCCGGGACATTGATGCTTTTTCCCAGTCCCCTTTTTATCTCGTGGCCAAAATGTGGGATCACATATTGTCCTGCTCCTTGTCTTGCCATTAGTTGTTGCAATTCTTGATGCAGATACACTCGTGGTGATCACGATGATGATCTGCCGCGGCACGACGCACCTCTATCTCCTGGGCATGGTAACACAACCGCTAAGCTCATGCAGTTTCAATCTGCCTTTTTTCTGCGTTTCTGTTCTCGAATGTTCAATTTGGAATTTGCTCAAACAGAGGATGAAGTCTTCCTACCGCGTCGATATATGGGCTGATGCAGTGTTGAAACAGTATCGACGTACTCATATTGAGCGACGACGTGGCAAAATAATCCGGAAATATGGGATGTTGACCAAAGTGTGCGCTTAGTCATTTCAATGGCTGACTCTGAGGTCTATGTTCAGCTCGAAAGGCAGGTACGTTTGAGCGCGCCTGCATTTCATTGATGTTGGGTGCGTGCGTGCGACAACCAAGACGTGCTTGTTTCGCATCAGCACGGTACTTTCTACTACGCGGCTCAACATCACGAGCGAGACTGCTTCACGATTAAGACCAATTATGCATAGTGATCTGGTGTCCAAAATCATTGGTACGCGCGACCAGAGTATTGTCTGATCGACTAACCTTCTCTTAGACTTCTCTTCTCATCTGCAAACAAGTCTACAGCAGTCTCAGGGGCTCCTGCCATACTTATGCTCAGATGTCTTGCCCCACGTAGCTTCCCTTCCACTTCCATCCACGAAATTTACGAAGAGCCAGAAGACGACCCTCAAGACTAATGCAGTAGCAATATGGAATTGCTGCAATATAATCTTCACAAAAGAAGAGCCTGCTACGCTGTCAGGAATTGCAAGATTGCGGGGATTTGCTTGTCTCCTGCTCATTAGCATCGGCACACAGAACAACAAGAAGTGTATAGCGAAACTATTTGAGAATGCTCTCGTTGCGGCCAGAGATTGCCTCCACACGGACAACATTGGTCTGGCGGAAAAGCTGCTCGAGCACGTAAGTGGTATGCAGACAGCTTTGCATACAGACGATGAGGCAGAAAAGCAGCAGCTTCGTGCTGGCAAAGTTGAGTACGTATCTCTGCGAGTCTTGCTTCACTGGAGACACAACCGTTACGACCTTGCCAACCATGCATTGATCGAGATCATTCCCGATGTTCTGCAATGCACAGACGAGGCTACTGTTGAAAAAGTTGCGGATCTCTGCTACGAAATCGGCAACGACTTTCTTTGTAAGGAGAAGCATGATGCTTACCACGCCGACTACGCAATGGTGTGGCTAGAATGGGCTCTCGACATCGTTGAAAAAGGGATGCATGCAGCTTACTTTCGTGGCTCAGATCTTCGCCTAAATGTATTGCATCGCTATGGTATGTGCACAGCTTGTTACGGTGACATGTTGCTGATCAGGTTTAGTACAAGCATTAAATGGTCGGTATGCCACCAACAACAACATCAAAGACAACGATAGAGCGCTTGAGATCGTCGAGCGACTTCGTGACGAATATGGGTTGAAGTTGTCGATCCTCGTACTCGATCTGGAAACAAGGTTCAGCCGCAACGATTGTGATCCAGACTGTGTTGTTCAAAGCATCGAGGACATCATCAAAACGGTGTACTTGATCGAGTCAAACCATCGACTCATACTATATTATATCCAGAAGCTCAGCGAGTTGCAACATGCCAAGGCAATGCTGTGCTTGAAGCACTACGTGTCACATCGTCTCGTACCAGAGAAGCACATCGAATGGGCCGAAAGGGCGATAGTCAGCTATACGGGGCTTTTCGTCCAATGTAGCGAGCGCAATAGCTCAAAGGCCCTCCATTTGCTTGAACAAGATATGGACTTCTTCTGTGATACTCTTGCGCATACTCTGAGTCCCAGTGCCGCCCGAGCAGCTCACGTCCTCATTTGGCGGATGATACGTCAGACTGACGATAACGGATCAATGTCCATATGTTTGCTCTGGTGTCGGCTAGGACTTCACAGACTATTTGAATTGGCTGGAGAAAGTGCATGTGGAAAGCTCGAAAGACAGATCGTTAGTTACCACTTGCTAGTCTCAAACCACAGTGCTGCACGACAGATCCTCGATCAAATGTCGTTCGGCCAGAGAAGCAACAAGCATAGCAGACTCTTGATGTTCTGCCTTGCTATGGCATCGGGCAACGACGCCGAAGCACAGTCTTGTCTTAACACTATTGTCAATAGCCAAGGCGAGCATGATGAGTTACTCTTTGCGTGTGTGGGTGAGACAATCAAGTATGGAAGAAAACTTGACTCTGTGAGGTTATTACAACGTATTCTGGACAAGCATATGAAGTCGGCTGTACCAAGCGTTGATGTTGGGGCTTTACTCGAGTACACAGCCAGTATACTGATCGATATTGCGGCACAGCCCACACCACCCGAGCGAGTGGCCGACGAGGTCCTGACCAGACTCTGCTGTACATTCAAAAACGTTGCTAAATTACGGGAGAGACAGTCACAACACAGTAACCGTCCAGAAGGCTCGGGCGAGATGAACTGGTCATATTTCCAGCGCCAGAGTTTTGACCTAGCAAGGAAGCACGCGAATACATGGCCAGGACGGTATGTGATCGATCTATTGGATTACACAGTCAAGCTGTGCTCACCTGATATTGATGCATTACCCGGTGCGGCTGTGTTCGACAGTCATCGCAAGCAAAGGAGGGATGCTATCTTCATGCAAGCAGTGCTTTACGCATCAGAGGCAAGACATGTGACGACTCAATATACAATCGAAGACCTTCCTCAGACGTCCTTCGACAACCGCGGCAAGCCAAAGACGAGCGAATGTCAGATTACACTATATCAGCATGTATTCAACAGATTCTGCACCCTAAAAGAACAATATCAGTCGTCGAGCTTGTCCAAAATTGAGGACAAGAACCATTTTCTGTCCCAGCTACACGTGCTGATACCCTTGGCATTCGAAGCACTTCTATTCATGACCGCAACTGCCTATCTTTCGGACGACGCTGTCTTCGACGAGATTAGCATTGAACAGTTTCTATCAGGTTGCGGTGAGCTCCAGCCACCAATTGCAACTTACGCTCTTCTGGCTGATATCCTGCTGACATTTGCAAGTGGTGAGGGCAAGTCTGTTACTCAGCTCAATGGCTTGCAGGTACCTTCTCTAGCAGCTGCCAAATTGCTTGGTAATATAATCCAGGCACTGCGTAAAGTTAACCTTTATGACCTCGAACAAGCCTCAAGGTGGGTTCGCTGCGTGGCACAATTGATATTTGACGACATTGAACAAACAATGAAGAAGCACGATTCGAGAGAGAGATTGAAATGTGATCGAAGCCTCACGACGCTTGCTTCGGTGATCGAGCAGGCCCAGGAATTAGCAACATTACATGAACACAGCCGTGGTACAAACGAACCTGATGCCATGTCCAGCAAGAAACGCAAGAGGTCAAGTGATAACACCTCTGGTTACCCGCCAGAAGAGCTACAATGGCTGGTTTCAGAGGTTTTCAACATGGCCGTCGACCTGCATGCTTTGGGACAACAACACCTTGTCAGACATTGGGCGAGTCAGGCTGTGAATATAGCGACAGTATTGTCCAAAGATTACACCGACACAGCAGCGGGTGGTTTGATTGAACTGCTCCGACAGAATATCAAAGGATTGAAATGGGATGTAGACTATCAGCTTCACATTTGATGGACATGTAAGGTTGTGTCTCAGACAGAATCCATCTCGCTCAAGGGGCTATTGTGTAACGATATCGAAACCCAGACCTCAAACTGTTTGTCTTGCAAAGGGGAAGGTGCCTGCCTAGAAGTCCTGAAAGCCGATTGCACCCCGCCTGCGTCATTTCCTGTACTGGTAAATATTCCGTAACCTTTGCCTGATCATCACTCTTGCACGTTGACTTCACAAATGGCATTATCGCATTAGCAAGCAAGCGCATCGTTTCTATTCTTCTGTGCCGCACACTCTTGAAGATTCTCTACCGATCCACCCTGCACCGAAGACCTTCTAAGGCCCATAAATCATCAATTCAAGGCTCTCTGTACAGCACTCACCAACACTGTCAAGATGCTCATCAAGCAAGTCACCTCATACTCATTCGCTACTCTATTACCTGTCCTATCACCTGCCCGATGTATAAAACTTGACTAACATGATCCTCTCACAGAGTCCGTACCCTGACCGGCAAGGAGATCGAGCTAGACATCGAGAGCGACTACAAAGTCAGCAGGATAAAGGAACGGGTCGAAGAGAAAGAGGGTATCCCACCGGTGCAGCAACGGCTGATTTATGGTGGAAAGCAGATGTGAGTCAACATTACTACGCAGTAGAGCGAGCGACAGGCACGGATACTTGAGAGAAGATTCAAGGGTGTCCGTGCCCGAAAGAGTTTGGTTTGAGGATTACAAGAGTTGCATAGAAGCAGCATAATACGTACCAGAAATACAGATGCTAACTCGTCCTTCCTCTCTAGGTCCGACGACAAAACAGCAGCAGAATACGGCCTCGAAGGCGGCAACACACTACATCTGGTCCTGGCCTTAAGAGGAGGGAGGTAGTTACTCACAGAGTGGACTGATGTGAATCGATGGGTGCCACCAAGACCAGCCGAGAGAAGTGCAAAGTCTTTCAAGAGAACGATAGTGTCAGAAATGTCAACTTGACAAACGGGGAGTCCAAAGGCAAGAGATAGACATGCAGGAAGTTATCGACATCATCAGAGAAGAACCTACATGGAGAGACAAATGGCGATTGGAATCTTGACGTTTCGAAGGACAGTGAGGATTGCGATGGTGACTGAGATATCAGATCCTTCAAATTCAAGATCGGGTTCAGTCAGTCCAGGTACTGGAAGCGATTCCTACATGAGCAATATGGAGGAAAAGGACTCCGAAAGCAGCCAAATGGTGTTATTGAGGGAAAAAGTTCGAGATCTCTCTACCACAGATACACGGTCTTGAGCTCTGAAGACATTCCACACCACAAATCTCTTTCACATTATTGGTAATCGTAAACCGTGAACTGACTGACGTGCTCCATACCTGCACCTTCTTTTCATACCATCCTGCTATCTCCTATGCAGTTATGCTCATGTAGTCTATCCTGATATGCAAATCCATATAGTCCGTAGCCCTAACACCTGGAAATTCATTCGCTTGCTAAACTTTATATCACACCCTAAATCCCATAATATCTTGTATCCTCCTTGATGTCGTATTCTTGAGCTAACCCTAGTCCATCATTTACCTCTTCTTATTCGACCTCATCAATGTAGCTAGCGGATCAGCCGCCTTCCGCTTCTTCAGCGCTGGTTGCTGCGCAGTTGCAATATTCGCCGGCCTGCCATTGACAGCGACTAGATCAGGTGCGTGGAATTGAGGTGTGCTTTGTTTCAATGCTTGCGCTTGCGCTTGAGCCGTGCTGTTTAGCTTTGTCCGGCTAGGTGGAATGGGGCTCGTGCTTAACACTGCATCGACAGGTCTCCTGGCCGGTTGTTGGAAATTGGCTGGTCTTCTTTGAGGAATTGGTGCAGGGCTTGCTGTTGCAGCACGGCCAGGCGAACGAGCGTTCTGTAAAGCTTGTTTTCTTGCTGGTGAGAGGCCGTTGATGGGACGTGGTGGCTGCTTTGGTTTCAGATGCTGTGGTGAGGCGGATCTAGCTCTGTTTGTGGTTGATCCGAAGAGGTCTTCGTCGCTTGGGTTGGCATCTGAACTATATTGTTGGTGTTGTTGCTGTTCGAGGTCTTCGAAGAGATCATCATTAGCGGCTGGAGAATCCTCATCATCAGATTCTAGGAAGTCCATGGTTAGTCGCTCAAAGTCTTGCTTGCTTGTTGGAATGCTGGAGGTTGGTTGTGGTAGCTTTGTACCATTCTTCAGGGCTCGCAGTCGTGCTTCTCTGTCTTTGATGAGATCGTACGAATCACCGTTAGGGGCATGAACTGCAGCGTTTGGTTTGAGCTTCGTATTAGGTGCGTGCATGGGTTGGCTCGGAACTGACGCAATTCCTGTTTTTATGATCGTTGTCCTGAGTGGTCTGATGAGGCCTTGTGCTTCGTCCTTGCGCTTCCGTTGTTCAAGTTGTTCTTTCCATACTCGTTCCTCCTCGGCTTGTTCCTTCTCCTTCTGCTTCTGCTCTTTGATGTGCTCTACGAGATGCGCTGGTGCTGCGGCCACTCCATGACCAACGCTTGGTTTCAGTAGGTGTGTAGGTGTTCGTAATTTGGCGGTTCTCCTTGAACCAGCGCCTTTCTCAAATCTCTCGAAGAAGCCCGGCCCAGATGCCGCTTTCCCTGTTGCTTTTCCGCCAGATCTGTAGAGACTATTATTGAAGTCGAATTTCGCCGTAGCAACCCTATTCCTTCCTGTGCTGACCAACTTGCGGTCAATAACTGGGGCAGTTTTCAGCTCCCGTTCATGAGTGAAGCCTCGCAGAGTTGCAGCCAATGCCACGTCACGTTTTGCTTGTTCCTTCTCGGCCATCTTCTTCAGCTTGTAATAGATTTTGTGCCATCGGTCTGCCTTTTCCAAAGGAAACATGACTGTCTGCCACTCTTCAGGTAGTTGAGCCTCCAGAAACTTGGGAGGGACATCGCGCTTTATCAGGTGCACCCATGCTTCTCTTGTATGTCCTTGGATCTGTGGAGACTTCTGCTCGAGGTTATAGAGTTGATCTGGTTTGTCAATTTTGATGAAGAGGCTTTTAACCAATTCAGGAGGGCAATCGCCCAGGCTGACTAGATGTCGTAAATGGCGAGATAATGTCCGTTTGGCCATTGCCTTGAGGGAATCAGCGCCCTTCCTGGCTGTATGGAAGTGCGGAGTCTTCTGCATGACTGATGACTTCAACCTCTACCAACTGTGTTGTAAGTACCGGCTGTGATTCCTCGAGATTTCGAACCAGACGCAGTGTTTATGCTGGTTGAGGCTGGTGATATTCGTTCCGTTTACGTGAGCGGGGTGGATGAGTGACACAGGCTATAGATGGTATATCTTTTATGGCTGAGCATGAAACAGGCAACTGCCTACCACGAACAATATACGCACATTTGTTTGCTCTCATCGTGTTCTGCGAGCCTGCAACGATGTGCACCTTCTGAAATCCGAGACCAGAAGTTCGAAACAAAGGAATTCGGTGCTGTCATTCGAGCAGGCATCTAGGGTCGATTTGAGCTTAGCTTGTACGATAAGCACGAGCCAGCTGAATTGAGTTTGCTTTACGGGCGGTTCCAGCTTCTAGCTGTCCAATAGTTGTTCATATTCTTCCTAGAGCTTCAGCATAGCAGCGCCTGGAAACGAATCACAGAACGAGCTTACAGGGGTAGTGCTGATATCAACCTAGCCAAACTTTAAAGATGGTAGTCGAAACGCAAAAGAGGTCGAGAGTTGCAGACACGACTTCGGAAGGAGCGATCAACGCTGCGTCCGTAGATCAACTTAATGGTGCTCAACGGCCAGATCTCTTGCACATTCAAACAGACGACCTTCCCAATAGCGAGAGTCGCCGTCCCAGTAACGACCTTGACAATCTGCATTACTCGGCCTCAACTTCCAACTTGACCAATCCTCATCGTCTGTCCATAGCTGAGGTCACAGAAGACCTCAAGCCTATTCTACCAGCAGCCATCTCTTCCTCGACTCAAGCCACGATATCTAGAGTGAAAACATACGATAACATGTCCAAGTTTACAGTACTGTCGGATGGTGAAGAAGAAGACGGTCTGCATGCAAAGAGATTGCTCAACGTCGAGGAGAAATCTTTCAAAAGAATTCAGAAGCGACTACTAACGCCGACCAATGTGATACAGAGTTACCTGAGAAGGCGGCCGGTTGATTCAAGTGCGCCTGCGCCTAATGCCTCGGCTTCAGCTGAAGTCGTTTCAGAGCCTGAAGAGGGTGATGAGGGCGAGGAAACAGCAATTGCAGACGTCCCAAAAACGGAAGAGGAAATCAACGCCTACCTAAAGAACCTGGAAACCTTCACACACTCGACCCTACACGACTTCTCCTCTCTCACAACCAGTCTCGCCAGGCTGCAGTTCCTCCTCACAAGCAATGCACGCGAACGCGAACGTTATGCGACACAGTCCGAGGAAATCACACACCAGCATACCACTATTCGTGGTGAGACTGCCCAGCTGAGGTCACGCCTCTCAGAAGCCCGCCAGCAGCTAGAAGTCCGCAAAGGGTGGGACAAGCACGCTGAGAAGGTCCTCTGGGTCGATGGTAAAGTTGGTGGTGAAAAGGCAAAGACAAGAGAAGAACTTACCAGAGAAAGTGACAAGCTCAGGGCCGAGATTGAAGAGCTCGAACGAGAAGGCGAGGACATGCAGCAGCAATGGTTGGATCGCAGACATGCACTCGCCAATGTTATCGGTGAATCTCGAAGGCTGAGACGTGTGGTTCGTGGTGAGCCGGAGCAGGTCGAGGATGCAAGGTCAGAACGAGACCACGAAGGCGAGGATGGTGATCAGCAACAACGTCGCGAAGAAGACGATGCACATACTAATATGCTGGAGCGGCCCGAAGGTCATGAAGGCGGGTCAAGTAATGTTGGCACACCCAGACCGCTCGACGAAGGAGTCTCAACACCTGCACACATACCAATTGACAGCAGCGGTATGACTCCTCGATCAACCACAGAAGCAGGAGCAGGAGATGAAGTTGGCGTGGCAGATGCGAACACACCGATACCTGAACCTACCATCACTGAGAACGTCCTTAAACAAGAAGCAGCTAATACACCCGAAGATGCCGACATGGCTGATGCTTCTTTCGTGCAGCAAGAACAGCAAGGCACACCCAGAGTCGTCGTCCCTCAAGTCACAGTCGATGAAGCTGAGAAGGACGAAATGGAGGAAGGTGAAGATCACGAAATGAAGGCGAGCTGAACATTTCATAGTCGTCGATTCGCAAGTGCAACGAATCTCTTGCCATTCTTTGTGAAAAAAAAAAACTTTATGAACCTGCATCGCTCTATTCAAATGTGTTAAAAATCGTATCATCGTCATATCGTCTCATAATTCATGAATCATGCTCACTCTTATAGTCCCACTATTCGTCGTACATCATGCTGCATCATCAACATCACCAAACCATCCCCAAACCTCACCCCTTACTCTCGCCGCCTTTTCGATGAACCACCACCACTCCCAACACCACTACCACTCCCACTCCCCTTAAACAACCCACCCAAAATCTTATCCAACCCCTGCGCAATCAACTCCTCCTCCGGACTCCTAGTCCCCAAATCATAACTTCCTGGCTTCCTCTTACCCCTCTCGTCAAAGCGTTCCGGCAGATCAACTGTCGCATCACTATCCGGGCTGTTATCTCGTGTACTACGGCGTTTTTGTTTCGATGATGAGCCACTACTGCCACTACCAGACATTGTGTTTGAGCGCTTGTTGGGGTCGGTCGTGTCACGGTCTGGTGGGGATTGTGGTCTGCGTTCACGGCGGGAGGAGTGGCGGACGCCTCTGTCACCGCCGCCGCCGCCGCCGGTGTCTCGAGAGCGGTCGCGGTCGTTGTGCGTGCGACGCCGGTGGTCTTCGAAGGGGGTGTCGTCTGAAAAGTCATCGCCTGCGTCGTAGCCTCGGCCATTTATGTCTCGGGTGCGTCTGTTTCCGTTGCTTGTGGTGAATGATTGGAGAGGGTCTCTGTCGTGACGTCTTGGTCGCGTGGTGTCAGGATTGTTTTCGGAATCTGCGTATGGTCGATCTCTGGACGAGGATGCTGGAGGAACAACGGGGGCATCGGAGAATTCGACCTGGGGTGCGAATGAGACGGACTTCTTGGGTTCTGGTGTGGCGGTTCGTGACGTTGTTGCTGTACCTGGAGCTGTGGTGTTGGTAACGCTTCGTGGTTGTGACTGACTTCTCGACCGTGTTCTGCGCTCTTGCCTGGGTTCTCGTGTTGAAGCTGTGTAGGTCTGCGGGATTGTAGTTTGTGCGATTGGCTCAGGTACGAAGAGGTTAGGCATGCTTGGCACACTCTGGCTCTGGTAAGGATTGTCAAAGTGCGCCTGTTGTGGTTGAGGTATAAGTATGTATTCGTCTGATGGAGGTCGGATATCTGGGCTGGGCATCGATATGAAAGGACTGACACCTCGATTAGTCTGTTGCATTTCTGGTTGTTTGTTTTGTGGTTGAGGCTTCGTTACGCGGTCGTGAGCTGTCATGTCTGGTTGCGCAGCAGCAGGATCTACAGCTCGTTGCTGAGAAGGTGGAGGCGCATTGTACGCAGCTTGTCGAAACGCCGTGACTCTTGGATCTTCGGGTAGTTGACGTTGTTGGCTAGGCAGCGGACTTGGTCTATCCGTTATGACTGGAATAGTTTCAGCTGGCACTGAGGCCAATGGCGATGGCTGGCGACGTGCAGTATCTTGAGGAACAAGAGGTGGAGTTGGCGTGTATGCCTTAGCTGCTCGAGATGCTGAGCGCTCGGGTAGTCTCTCCGCGGGACGAGGACCTGGGAAAGGAGTGCTGGAGTTATTAGGCTCGCCATATTTAGGCTGCTGATAAGGCTCGTTCACGCTTGCTGGATTCCCACTTGTTGGTTGTTGATTAGCAGACGTGCTGTTGAGTGGTCGTGGCATGGCAATATTAGGTCCGATGACGGGTGGAGTTGTGGCTATCTCCCTGTTCAAACCTATTGTAGGCTGATTAGCACAAAATGAATTAGTCCTGTCGGACTCTCGCAACACACCATTTGTGGTAAAGTGGTGCTGATCAGGGGGAGTCAAAGAGGACGTAGCACTCACATTTTCGTCTCCTCTCCCACGAGGCATGTACGGATTCTGCCCAGGCGCGTATGGGTCATAGTACCCTTGCTGTGCCTGTGGAGCGCCTGCTGGTGGAGGTGGAAAATCTTGTGGAGCATAGTTTGGTTGCGAGGTTGGTCTCGAAAATCCGCTTTGCGGCATGGCTCCTGGTGGTGGTGGGAATCCTGTTTGTGACGCATACGGATCGTTCATTCCCTGTGAGTAATTTCCGGCAGGATGAGTTGCATGCCAATTTGCATCTTCATAAGGGTCGCGACCAGGCGCATAAGGTGTATAAGAATTTTGGCGGGCTCGATCATCAGCCGTGGGAGTGTATGAACCTTCACGGGACCGATTGCGAGAACCTAGATCATCAGTATGTTGTCGAGTCACGAAAATTGTTTTACTCACGTCTTTTTCGTTCTTTCTTCTCTCTTCGCCTGTTTTCAAGCTCGGAGGCAGCCACACCTGCACCCACCGCTGCTGCAGCTGCCGCCGCGCCTCTGCTGCGGGAGCGTGATCGGCTCGAGCTGACACTTCGAGGACGTCCTGGTCTGAAACTATCATTCTGACTTGTTGCTGGAGGCGGAGCTGGAGCAGGCACGATATCACGATTTTGATTCTGGTAATAGTCCTGCTCAGGCTGCGGGCGACCATAGTAACCTTCACCAAAGTTGTTGCCGTAAAGTGGTTCAGTACCGTACTGTATCAGGTTAGGGTCACTATACGCACGTTGTGAGGGGCCGTCGTAGTAGGTCGAGTCAGTCCTGGGCCGACTCCTTGACCTATGTCGTGATCGCGAGCGTCGTGACTCGGAGTCAACTATCTCGGTAGCCTCTTCTTTAGCTTTCCGGTTCTCATAGAGACGAGCAAGAGCAGCAGCAGCAAGTCCTCCACCAACAACTTGGGCACCTTGTTTGAGTCGTTTAGGGCTCTCATTGCGGCCACGGCCTTGACTCTTGCTGCGTTGGTTCTCATACAAAGCCATAGCAGCGGCACCAAGGGCTCCAGCAGCGGCAGTACGCTGGTTGCGCTTCTTCGGATTGCGCTCATCATCGGCAGTAGGATCGTTCTCCAGCTCAGAGATTGCTGATGTACGGGACGATGCACGAGAACGGGATCTTGAACCACGACGACGGCTTCTTGATCTGCTTCCGCGATCAGGTGAGCCACCCTTCTTACTCCTGTTCGCGATGAGTGCACCAGCAGCGACAGCAGCAGCAGCCAAACCCAGGCCTCCAAGACTTTTCAGATTCGAGTGAGACTCAGATCTAGCCCTGCTTCCTTCCCGCGAGTCTTGTCTTCTACCACGACCTCTAGAATCTGAACGTGATCGACGCCTACTCTTGCTTCGATAGCGACGGATAGCTTCGGCTGCGGCAGCGCCGAGAGCGCCGGCACCTACATCTTTTGCCACACGACTAACACCATTAGATGTCTCTTTGCCTTCTTTTCGGTTGTGGTTTCGGATCAGCTCGGCAGCACCAACACCAGCCAAAGCACCAGCGGCTAGATCTCGACCACGATGCTCATCATCACTACTGCCATAGTCTTCGATTTTCTCCTTGCGAACGTAGACCATGCTGTCATCACTTTCGTAACCTCGATCTCGACCACGTCGACCAACCTGGGAGATCGAATCGTGTGGACTAATCGGACGTCGTAGTCTGCGGTCATCGCGATCGTCGGGCAAGCGTTCTCTAACCTTCTTCTCGTAGAAGTATTCTTCATCTCTGGCCTCGGATCGAGATCTGCGGCTGACAGAGTGCTGGTCGTCAATGTCTGATTTCTTCACGATTTGAAAGTCCTCTTCTCTTCGTGGGGAGCGTTCTCGTTCGTATCTTTCACGAATAATAATTGGCTCTTGTCGAATGATTATAGTCTGAGGCTGTTGCGGAGCTGGAGGATTGTAGTAATCTGTCGTGCGAATGTATCGTTGAACTTCTCGTTCGCGATCATCGAAAGAGGGCCGCTGAGGACTGACCACTTCATAATCGGAGAAGCGAGATTCTCGTCGATCGTCTGCGCGAGAAAGGACTACTGAGCGATCATCGTTGCGTGGAGGAGCACGATCAACATTGTCGCGTTCCACTGTGCGTCTGATGACTAGTTCACGATCTTGAACAGCCTCACCTGGAGGTCTCTCCCAGTACCTGTCTCTATCTCTGTCTCTTCGTTCAGGTGACTCTTCGCGGCGGATAGTGATTGTCTCCCTACTGCCTCGATACTCGGGCTCTCGAGCTAGGGTACGACTCGTATAGCGATCGTCGTCGCGGATGTCTATTTCGGTTCGTCGATCGTCATATCGTGTCGGAGCAGCACTGCGGTGACCGTCATCGTAGTGGGATCGCCTGTCGTAGTCGTCTTCTTTGACAATGTAGCGAGTAACTTTGGTACCGCCAGTTGTTCGTGCCGATGCAACACTTCTGCTGTCGTCGAAGCGACCGCTGTCCCGATACACAGACATTGTAGGTGAGGTGTGACGCAATGCGTAGCCCGACACGCGATGCGACGGTGCGCTCTTTGTGGTGAGTTACGAAGAGCCTGTTCGCATCCAGTGAAGCAACGTATGCACTCCTCTAGTGTTCGTGAATGTACAAGAACGCAGCCGGAGCAATGGTAAGTGGTTTGCTTATGGAAGAAGATCAAGGAAGAAAGGTGGTAGGCAGCAGGTCAATCCAGCACAGCAAGGCACATTTGAATGTAACGAAAGAGCATGCAAGGCACAGGCGACCTACACATGCCAGCAATTCAATTCTGACGGAGGGAATTGGGCACAAAGTTGCTGCGGGTCGGTGATGGAAGTCTGCAGCTCGCTGTAAAGTCCTTACGCATGAATCCTGGTAGATGACAAAAGGTCCCTCCTCAATTTGTCCTTGTCTACATCGCTACATCTTCGTTTTTTCTGACTTGTGCAACGACAATCTTCACTCAGCGGCGAGGTACCCAGAGTGTCCAGGCAGAATCGCTCATTGAGACTTCGGAGTCTCTCACTTTGCTATACTATCTGTCTCTCAACACCTAAAAGTGGGTGGCTGAAAAACGAGGCATGTGAGGTTCGTATGACGTAGTGTTGGCGCAAAACCTTCACCTAACTCGTGGACATTTCGCGTGTGTTACTCTCACCTTCGAAGCTATCGAACGGTGGTTTTATGTACTGTGCTGTTGCGACTGTAAATGCCGCGAGCTCTAACGAGATTTTAGAGTGCCTGCTCGACGAGCTGAAACAACAATATTTGCAAAGTGGTGAGGGCAGGGCGCGACGGACATATTTCTGATGGTTCTGTACAATGACGTCGCGTTGCAGAGTTGGAACTCACAAAGATTTGAGAAATCAAACATTAACATATTGATAGAGTGGAATAAACGAGTGCTGTTACTGCGAGCGTCGTTCTCATTTCTTTTCTTATCAGGGTCTAACAACCGTTGAAGATGAAACTAATAGTTTGTGTAGTCAAAAGGCAGTGTCTGCTCGAGCCTCGAGTCATGGTGGCCCTCTCTAAAAGCCTCGTTGTGGGAAGCAGGGTAACATACCAGATGGAAGACTTGAGTGAGGTACTCCAAGTTGTTGTGATAGCGAGGCTCGTAGCTAGCAGACGGGTTCAAGAGTGAAGTTGATTCAAACTCGAGTATAGTTTCAACCACGCAGCTGCTTCATTCCTTCCCTGTTATGCGACTCTTCCATCTTGCCTTCCATACAAATTGAGGATGCACCTTCCACAACTGCATAATTGTTTCATTTTTTAACCAACTCGACTTTTGTCTTCCAATCGATATCATGGTGCAATTGATAGCACATCACCATAATGTACTCTTTATTGTGACTTTAATGTTGCGTTACAGCGTCGTGTAGCGATCTTAGCAGGCGTTGTCGTAGTACTTTCGTACAGGTGAAGATCTTGGTTCGAGTCCAAGTGATATCGTGAAGCATACCTTTTTTCTTTTTTTTTTCTCCCTTCAACGACTCCTTGGTCTTCTTGCCCTCATTTCTGTTTGCACGGATCCGTGTGGTAGAAGACATCAGGACGTCGCTCGTACTTTGTCCGTATATATTGGTCGATTATTGACTGCGGCACTGACTTTCGCTGCTCATATCCGATACGCTGAGGCGTAGTAGGCTCAGGTATTTGATTCCAAGTCGAAACAGGAACGGTTGTGCTATCTCTTCCTTGAGGACAAGATCCATCTTCATGAACTTGTTGGTAAATGGTGACTATGGAAGGAAATCTAGCTTGTAAGCTTTGTGCATACACAGCAATATATCGTCCCCCTGCATCGTCTACAGCCATAACAACACATGGGTAACACCCACTCGGTTGTCCCGTGTCTCTTGACTAGCAGCTTCTACTCTCATGAATGTACTCCATTCATTCTCACTCTGCCACAGGTGTCATTCTGATCATTGAATCCTAGCTTGATACGCGTTCCAGCCTGCTTGTCTATACTCCTTGACAGCTGCAACAGGGTCAGCCGCAGCATATATTCCCCGTCCTGCAATAAGAAAGTCGGAACCTCCAGCCATAGCCGTCTCTGGGGTCTGATATTGCTGTCCTAGCGCATCTCCTTTGCTTGAAATGTTCACTCCAGTAGTGAAGACCACAAAATCTTCCTCTTCATTCTTCGACTCTCCCACATTAGATAGCTCTTTGGTAGAAACAAACCCTATGATTGTCTGAGGATACTGTCGCGCGATATCAACGGAGGCCTGAGTATATGTGCCGGTAGCGAGGGAGCCTTTCGATGTCATTTCTGCTAAGATGAGAACGCCTCGGTCTGGATGTCCAGCATCCTGTATGACTTGCTCGAGTGCCTGTACAATCCCAGGTCCTGGTAGGACCGTACAATTGACGATGTGGGCCCAATCGTGAATCTTGAGTACTCCTCCTTTGTACTGTTTCTGCACAGTGTTGCCAATATCGACAAACTTTCGGTCCTCAAAGATCAGGAAACCATGCTTTTGGGCAAGTTGAGTCAGGCCATCAACTGTCTGTTGGTTAAAGTCATCGACAATATCTATATGAGTTTTCAGTACCACGATGTATGGGCCAAGTCCTGCTCTCTGTCAGTCACCGGAAAGTCTTCTAGCAACGAAACCAGTAGCGAGGAAAGACACATCAAAGTGGCAGCTTATGCATCAGCGGTATGACTTACTGTCCGCTATCTCAAGCAGTTCTTTCGTCGTCGTAAGGTCAGCTGAAAGGACTACGTTGGACTGCTTTTTCTCAGCCAACGAGAACAACTGCTGGACCAAGGGATGCTTGTGTTGCTTCGCTCTAGCGGTGAAAGACAGTCTGTTACGAGAAGCCATGGCTGAGATGCGGTCAGGTCAGCAGGTTGACCAGGGATCGATTAGACAGCGACCTCTCTTGAATAGTCACTTCTTGGGCTGCAATTAGTGATTGAACGGCGGTGCTGGTCGAGAAATTTTATTCAGTCATCGTTAATCCAAATGAAACTTGCCGTTACTGGACTTGGACAACTATTCCGAAAAGGCCAGTATTTTTCAAGGGAGACTGACCTGTTCATACTGAACATCATTTTAATTTACTTCTTGCTCGATCCTATACGTACGCCAATGCGAATAGTAGTGATCCGAGTCTTAGTCCTTCTTCTGGGTGGTGTTCTAACCACTTGTGGCTGACTGTGTTCTAAAAATCACTGCTTGCCAGAAGATGGGACTGCGAAGTGCTTGAGATACGCAGTGAATGTCGGAAAAGCTCGAAGGGCAACTCGCACCGAAGCCCACAGTCACCCTCCCGGAAGGACTCGCCAATTCTCTTGCATCAACGTCGCCAACGGTGCATCAAGGGTAACTGAAAACCTTCCGCCCGGCTGGGAATGCGTGAAGCTGCGTGAAGTGTGGCTCGAGCTGTCACTAGGCTCGTTTTGGTGAGTCTGATTGGGGAAAAGATATAACCATGCTTGTCGGCCCTGAATTGGCGTCGCGCCATCTTTGCATGCGTGGCTCCTCAGCCATGACATCTTCACCAGTGCGTCGCTTCTTGACCGTTGGGCTGTCTATTTCCATTCTTGAATTCCTTCCTTCCGTTTCCTTGTTCCAGAGCCGATCGTTCATGTCTAGAACTACGCACGAGCTGCGCGTCTACATTCTGTTTTGTGGGTTGACAGAGTACCTGAGCAAACGAATTCGACCCTTCTCCCCTGCCACATATTGATGCCTAGTCTGTTGGGTACAGCTCTCATCGGTTATCATTTCCGCCATATCCTTGTCAACGTCGCCGAATAAGATGACTTGTGTAGCAATAAGCATATCCGAATATAAATGACGCAGTAATAGAACAGAGGTCCTTGCATAATTGGTGTCTGGACCGCACGGCGCATTGAGCAATGCCAGGCTCCACGACAGCAGAGGACCAGAGCGAGAACACCGCCGAAGGATCTTCTCATCGGAACAAACATGGCACTACACCTTCCCAGCAAGAAAGTTCCTCGAAGCCTACAAACACCGAGTCGGATCGTTCAGCGTCGACCACGAGCAACCAGACGGGTATGCCACTACAACGTGCTTTGTCTGCACCCAGACAGTCCGCTGCTAGCATAGATGGTGTAATCGAGGGTACAAGAGATCGATTGGCGAAGAATGGAACAAGCTCACCATCGTGGCCGACCTCACCACGTCTCAAGTCTCCTCCTCCTCCGAACACGAGTCGAAGTCATTCACGAAGGGATAGTTCGGAACAAGCACAGTCAAACACTGCAAAGAGATTAGCCCCAGTATCAGCGCCCGATCTAGCTGCTGCAATGCTTTTATCGGAAGGGTCAAAGGAGCAAATACAAGCACAAGGGCAAGCACAATCCACTGCGCAGGCTCGAGCACCGCCTCGTGGGACCACAGGTCAGACTTCCGCCTTAGAAACCGTAGTAGAAGGCAGCTTGCCCTCAACACCATCAGTCGATCCTAAGGCCGACCCTATGACCCAGTCTACTACATCTTCGATCTCAGCAAAGAATGAGTCGTCCGCCGCAAATTCGAGCACAAATCAAAGCGACTCCAACAAACATGCAAGTAACAAGACAGAAAACGATTCAAAGTCCCGAGCCGCCAGCACCTCGAAGCACGAAAGTGGCCTCGCGAAACGGTCATTCACTAGTCTAACTGGCAGCAAGAAACCTGTTGCAGAACCAGTCAGGACTTTGACGGTGGAGACAGAACCTGTTGTCACTTCAACCACAGGGTTAGGTGAAAGAAGAGGAGATGGAGGCAGCGTGAGGACCAAAACTAGTACTGAAACAATCCGTCCTAAAAAGGAGAAGAAAAGACCCGTCAGAAAGACTGGCACTCTACATGCTGGTACTCTTGCTTCCAAAGCAGATATCTTCGAGGCCAAGGTGGCCAGTGCTGTGGATGAGGCGGACACTGATGACTCGGAAGAGACTTTTGTATATGAATCGAACCCGCCTGACCCACGATCTTATCGCCACCATTCTCGCACCCCAAGTGCCACATCTCTTGCTAGCACCCATGATCTTAGAGGCGCCAAGCATGGTCTTAGGAGTGGGAGCACGGCTATTTCTGGAAAGAAGAGTATGAAATTTAGCAACAACACGCATAACAGGGAGCACGACGACGATCCGAGCAGGTCTGGTGTCAGGAATGCTAGTTCTACTCCCCGACCACACCACATTGGCAGGTACAACAGAAACCCACACCCCTCCGTCCTCACTGATGACTCGCCGTTCGGAGCCCAGAGTAAAAATCCAATTTCGCCACGCAACCTCACCGGTACGTTCAGATCCTCAAAGCCTGCAAGCCCTCGTGTCGCAGGTGGACGCATCACCAGTCCTCGGAAATATGCTGGTAGCGCCTATGACAATGGTGAAGACATTGCAGACGACGAAAGGGCCCCCTTGGTAGGAACTGTGCGGATCAGCCGCAACCGCCATAGTCGAAGGCCGAACAGTCGGGACTTCCGATCGATGGAAATGGGTGACGATCTCAATCCAAGTTGTTGGTCTAGATGTGGAGGATGGCTTCTGCTTATTGTACTGTTGATCTTTATTTGTACTGGTGTCGCTGCGTTTGCAATGGCTATCAGTAAACCGTTATACGACGTGGAGATACACCGTATCACGAACGTCCTGGCCTCGGAGCAAGAGCTCATGCTCGACCTCGATGTGAAAGCTGTCAACCCTAACCTTTTCGCGATCACTGTTACAGATTTGGATGTGAACCTCTTTGCCGAAAGTCCCTATGTCTCAACGAGCAAGGAATGGCACAAGCACCACACGAACCCAGGGTTACGAACGACCATTTCCGAACGCCGCAAAAGGGGTTGGTTTTGGCCAGATCCTCATCCCGACGATGGGGTCGATGAAGGCACGGATCCAGACGACCCGGAAGGCGTGCAAAAAATGCTTCTTGGCCGAGTATTTGAATTCGACTCTCCGTTGATGTTTGAGCCAGCGCCAGTACGACGCACATCTTCATCCTCGACTGGAGAGATTCGTCTGGCTAAGCCTGGCAACAAGACGGAAGTTGGCGGGTCGGAAAGGTGGGAAAGAGTTCTACTCCACGACTTCGATATCATTGTGCGAGGAGTAATCAAGTACCAGCTTCCTTTGAGCTCGAAGGTAAGAAGTGCCAAGATAGGTGGTCGCAAACTCGTTCACCCCGATGGAGAAGACAAGAAGGCCGGGATTCATAGCTGAGATCTGTCAGCAAGTGCTCGATATCGATATTTCACTTTCAGAAAGCGTGTGTTTTACTACCCGGGATCTATTTGGCATCAGAAAACCTGTGACTGGTTACGAATTTCTTATGTTTAGTGACACCATGTCACAATGATTGGATGATAAAAAGGTGCATACGCGCCACTACTATAGAAAGAGATACCCGAAGCCAGCAAGGCAAGGCAAGGAAAAGGTCCAAGTGAAGGAATTGCTACAGGACAGTCCCAGAGATTGGTTGGCGGCAAGGTATACGGAGATGTTACAGATTTCGACTTACGAGCTGCAGAAACTGCTGCCCTCGCTGGAGTCATCTCGTACATCAAAAAATGTATTAATCAAAGGGAAGCGACTCGAGAAAGACCCTTCGGTTCTGAATTACGAGGGAACAAGCCAATTATTGTCACGATACACTTCTAAGTAAGCAGAATTTAGCAAACTGTAGGAACAGATGGTCGTTATAGTACACTTGTGGCGGTGCTGCGGCTTGCTGCTTCATCTGCTACAAGTAGATGGGAGCAAAGCAAGATGAGTCTGCCCCTCGCAGATCTGCCTGATTAGACCAAACTTCTATGCTATCTTTACAGAACTTTGTACTGTTCCACAATATCTCCAACGACTTCGACAGTGCGATACCTGAAGCTCACATACTCGAGCTTTTCTGAAATTCGAGCTTTTAGCCACAGCGGACCAAGCTATAGAACGCCCTCCAACCCCGTACCAGGAACATTTCCGTAGTCGCGAATCGAGATTGGACAGTCTCGCAAGCCAAGTCGCCGGCTTTGCTCGCGTGTGCGTCGCTAGAGTGTTCAAGCAGCTAGGCATACTAATACTGACATCATCATTCTTGGAGTTAGTGTACGATTTGAGAAAAAATCGTTCTAGTTGTTTACTGTTGAAACTGACATGTTCATACTGTACATGTATTCTGTATTTTGTCTGTTCAAGTGCTTTGACGATCAGCGCTAGAAGTCGTTGAAACGGCTGATGGAGTCATGCATGGCCAATGCGTTCTTGCGTAGTCTATGCTATTTTTGAACGTAATGTGGCTCCGAGGGTCTTGTTGCATCGTAGTGGTTGTCATCGATTTCTAACGGTTGATGATTGATCCTCGAGTTTCCAAACCTTGGAAGCACCTGTTCCTGGTCAACACGTGCACCACGAACCCGAATCACTTTCGCTTAATGAGCTTCGACGAATCATTGGCGACGTATCGTACAGTACAAGTGTCATTTCATTTCGGATCCTTTTTCCTCACAAGCCATACCTTGAGTAGCAGCTGCGAAGACTTGAAGTCAACATGGCGTCGGCAGCCACTGCAGAAGAAAGTTTAGCTCATCTGCAAGTCAATTGTTGTTGTTCGTATCGCAATGTGTACTGTAAAACCAGGATATCACGTCTGGTGTTGATGCGACCTTCTTCGAAAGTCTTTCATCCACTCTTGCCGACTTATAACCAGACCCATGGACCCACGCCAACGTCTGATACGTGACTATTCCACGGATTCCGTGCTCACCTCACAGAGCAGGACGCAGGAACTGCCTATGCATGGCAACAGGTGGGCCAGTCCACAAAGTCCCCGAAGCAAGATCAGTCTCGAAAATCTACACGGCCAAGGAGGTTTAGAAGATGTGCGAAAGCCAGATCCCAACCTTACTGCAGTTGATGAGCAAGGTCAATACGAGCCTTCAATCAGCACATCATTAACACAGCCGACGTCCGTCAGCTCAAGCTCGCGACTCGCGGATTTCTTCAGTCCACAAGTTTTTGAGATAGTGCTTCACAATCCAACAACTGCTCATCGATTCAAGAAGTTTGCGCACTCGCGATTATGTGGTGAAAATATAGAATTTCTCGAAAAGGTCGGTCCTTCTACTGCATAGCAAGGCTTACAACTAACGAGCAAGATCAACGACTATCATCATGCTCTGAACCAAGTTACGAATACAGTCTTTGACATTCACCGCAACTTCATTTCTGCCAACGCTACGTCGCAAGTGAATCTTCCCGATGATGTCCTTGTGCAGATCAACAAGAACCTTAGGCAAGTCTTGTCAAAGACCATGCCCAGCTTGGAGTCGATGTTTCTCAGTGCACAGAACGACATACAGAGACTCGTGGCGTCTGATATATACCCTCGCTTCGTACGTCATCAGATGAGCTTGAGTGCGACCCAAGCGCTCGCTACCAACAACAACAAATATGCTGGAGTGGGAGATTGCTTTGTCCTTACGAATCCTAACAAAGCTGATAATCCAATTGTCTATGCTTCAGATGGTGAGCACTCCCTATCATGTATTTGGGCCAAATCCTCCTATTGCACTCGCACATCACTTCAATGTAGCATTCTAAGACTGACCTGTATAGGCTTCATCAAAGTTACTGGCTACAGCAGGAATGAGATAATACCTCGAAATTGCAGGTTTCTCCAGGGCAGACAGACCGATCGTGAATCAGTGGCACGAATAAAACAATCCTTAGACGAGCCAGCAGAATGTATAGAGCTTCTGCTGAACGAAAGGAAGAACGGTGAACCATTCTGGAATCTGCTTTACACTGGTAAGTCGTTAGTGTTCCTTAGTACCGTGTTTCTGACGCGCTCAGCACCCCTATACGATTCGACCGGCAAGCTTGCATTCTTCATCGGTGGTCAAATCAATGTATCCACAACCGTCCACAACACATCCGACGTCCTTCGAATCCTCTCATCTAATCCCGATGAAGAAGAACGTGAAATCCCACAAGTAGCTCGTCCAGAACCCCCACCAGCCCGACAAAGCTTCTTCGGCTCAATAAGAAAATCGTTCAAGCCTGTCCCAACCCGCCAACCCGGCATGGAAAACGGCCTCCTCGAAGACATGCAAGATAAACCCTTCCGCCTCCAAAAAGACGCCTTCTACACCGCCTACTCGAAATTCCTCATCGTCACCGTCGAATCCATGCTCATCTCATTCCACACCGCTGGTGTCGTTGAAATGCTCTATCCCGCCCGCGCCACCCACCAACACCACCAGATCGTCGGCCAGGATATCTTCAAGTTCCTCGATAAGCATACGTCTACGGGTCTATCGCGCGATTACAAGTCCAGGGTCAAGAGCGCTTTTAGGAATGGCGCGGCGTTGACGCTGGATTTGTCGCTGTGTACGAGGCGGATCATGGGCTTTGAAAAGTTTTTGACGCATTGGACGCCGTTGAAGAATGATGTTGGGACGACGACGTTTGTAGTGTTGACTTTTGGGAGTTTGCAGGATGCGAGATGATTGGATAAGTGATCAAACGAATGAGTTGCAAGAGTCGGGAAGAATATTGTAATGTGCGGTGTTGTTGATGGACGATATGTAGAAGGCAGGGCATTCAGTATGCAACTTTAGCGACGGGATTAATTTTGGATGGCTTTGGTACGGCCACTGAAGTAGAATATTCGTGATCTCTCTTCTTACAAGGCCGATATGATTATATACAGTTACAATTCTAAGTACGTGCTTCTGCCGTGTCTGAACTGTGCATGTGGTAGTCTACCTCGACCTGGTCGTAAGGTGTCGCACAGCCACTGCAAGGAAACGATAAACCTGGCTATTGAGCTTCACTGAGCATATTCCACTCGAACAATCTCTGCTTTTGACAAGCTCCGCTTGTTCGAGATACCTGATGTGCTAAACATATATAGCAGACTTGCTACAATCACTCAACTTCGGTATGATGCGAGCTCCAAATTGGCTAGCTCTCTCGAAATCTTTGGCACTCGCAAGTATAGCATGTAATCAGACGTTCTGATTTTAGTCGTCGAATTGGACAGGATGGCATACGACTTCGTCCACCATGTATGACTGGCTTTTGAATAACTGTCATGACAGTCGCTGAATTGCCGTAGTCAAGTTTCGCATAAAAGGTCGAGACGTGTCTATCCGGCAAGAACCACTCCCGAGAGAGACTAGAACTCTGTGTTGCTGCATCACTTCCTTCAGTGCTGTCGAGCGGGACCAACCACTCGGGTTGCCAATCTGCTGCACATCTTTCAGAACAAGATCTTGATGAGGGGAGCTTCGACAAGACTCGATACATCACAATGCATCTGCATGCTGATGGAACGAGCCCTAGACTGCTGCGAGGTCACGAGATGCTTGTGCTCGTGTATCGAAGTCATGTTATTCGCTCAGAAGTTTTTGTCCTCGATTCTCGTATTCGAATTGAGCATTTTGGATTTTTCCAGAATGTGTCAGAACCCCAACGCCCAATGAGTAATGAAGCTCTTAGTACCACTTCAACGATTGTTCGAGTAGGCTTGTTTCATGGTTCGGTACTTTTTCAGGTAGTACAGAGCCTCAATCTCCTTCTTGACATATTCGGCCCGCTTGATACCTTCTTTGATCTTTTCGTCGTCTTGCAGATGAGCTTGACTCATGAAAGCTTTATGCAGTCGAGGACGAAAGTAATCAAAGCCAAGGGGATAATGTCTGCCCATCTCCAAGAGCTCTTTATAGACTTGGATGACCTGTTGTCGTAAATGGTTGCTCATCCTGCTGGTATGTTCCTTGCTTGACTATCGTACTGGTCTTTGACCTCTGACGTGCTTACACGACAGTGCAAATGTAATGTTGTATCGATCATTCACTGAAAGTGTTCGGTCGAATAGACATGACGTTCCTGCCGAAAGTCAAAAGCGGAAATCTGTCCGATGAGCAGCTTTCCACTGCCGTTCCTTCCAAATATTTTGGTCGCTGTTCCTTGCTCCCTCCCAGGCTGATTATGCTACCATGATACCAAAAAAACTGGGCCGGCAGACCGCAGTTCGTCCTACAGCTTCCAGACCTCTGTACAGCGCGAAGACCTCGTTGCGGAAATCCCGGACCTTCACCTCAACCATCCACGCTCGGCATGACACTTCTACCAATGCCACCTCGAATCTGAGCTCTCGCTGGCTGTCAGACCTCAAGACGCGTCTAGGAAAATGTATACACTTTGGTATGAACGATGCGCAAGTCAATCAAGCCGGAGCACTCCTCGTTGAGGTTGCTCGCGACTGGAAAACTCTGCTTGCTGGAAGTGAAGGATACCTCACTTCGCGCCAGCGTGCAGGCATTACTTCTACCTTGATTGAATGGGGTCATCAGGATGCAATGGGTCACGTCAATAACGTCCAATACGTGCGGTACTGCGAAACCAGTAGAACGAACTGGACGCGACAGATCGGAGAGCACTTTGACCCTGCAAACAAGAAGCTGTGGGATGAGATGCTCACTAGTAAGAGTTATGGACTCATACTGAAGAGTATCAAGGTCGATTTCAAGTTTCCTATGACCTGGCCGGACAAGATCAGCGTCTATCACAAAATTAGAGTCATGCCTAAAGAATCTGACAGTAGCATGCTGTTGGATGTCATGGTGCTATCTGAGGGCAAGCAGCGTGTGGCTGCAAAAGCTGAAGAGGATGTTGTGGTCTACAATTACAAGAAGGGTCAGAAGAGTAGCCTGCCTGACTATATGCTTACTCAATTCAAGCAACAATTCGAGGAGCAGGAAGAACTGAAGAAGAAGAGCGGTCAACGTATCAAGGAGATCTTGGACGCAGTCGCAGCTTTGGAGAAAGAGACTTGGGACAGACCAGATGCCAAGGAGGACGTGGGAGGAACAAAGTGAAGTTGGCGAGGAAAGTCGAGTCATGGAAGAACAATCTCGGTGTAAAAGACCTTGGATGTCTGCTGTAATGCCAGCTTTTCACGAAATCAGGTCGCAGTCCACTACTTGCATCAGCGAGTGCCTTACTCATTCTAAGTAGTTTCGGTCGGCATTGTCTGGACTCCTTGGATCGAGAAAGGCTGTTAACGAGCGATATTGAGAACAGTCTCCTGTCTTTACAATCACTTTGGACGCCTGCATTACTGTCACACTGTTTGACACAGCGAGATCATACGAATCGATGCTCCTGATCTGGGGTCTCGCAACTCTAGATGATCTTGACTAAACAGCTCTCGAAAGCTACGTCACAACACAAACCTTGTCCCTCATGGGATCCGAGGCTGTAGATTCTCTCCGAATTTGTGGTCCTACATTTCCGTGCACCTCCTGTACAGCAGTAAACTTCTTTCAGCAACAGGAAAACCAGCGACTCAAGACACGAATATCCGGTCTGTCTCGAAAAAGTCGCATAGGCTAATCCAAGCAGATTTATTCACAAGACTGAGGAAGCACCACTCCGTACTCGACAAGGCACGTTCTTGTAGTATGCCTCGAAATCAACCACAAACCCATGCTGGTCTGAAGAAACACGATCATGGCTTCACACTTCCCAATGGCAGCCGGGTTTCACACCAGGCAGGCAGCGTCACAAAAACGCCTTTCACCGACCTTGGGTTTCCCGTAGACATGCACGAACTCACGGCGAATGCCTCAACAACACTTGACCCGGACACTCAACGACCTATCACTTTTGCAGGTCAACTCGGTCTGATTGACTTCGACACTAGCGTTCGATTACCAAGGCACGTACATATCGCGCCACCAGATGAGAAGGATCCATCGAAACAAAGGTTTGTCGCTGAACGAATCCTCGTCCTCCAAGGTACAGCTTTGACAGAGCTAAATGGTGAAATCTATGTCATCCCTCCTCGTACTCTTGTGACTATCGCTCCTGGTGTTCCTCATACCTGGACTGCATGTCCTGCAGGAGTATCGCCAGCCACGGCTTTTCCAGAATATGACGCCGATATGCTTACGGATATGGATGCTGTGGTCAGCGAAGGTCGATTTCTTATGGTCTATGAATATGAAGAAGAGACAGGCTTCTTCCCAACTGCACAGACTGATACACTCCAGGATGTGCAGCAGTATGTGAGAGCCCAAGAGGCAGAGCTAGAAGAACTAAGATTTCCCAGTCTTAGTGCCCAGGAGGTGCTGGAAAGAGGCTGGATTGTGTGGGGCGGAGAATGCAGAAGAATAGGAAGTGCCCAAAAATAGACTTAATATTGTTCTGACAAGCCTAACCTCCCACCCCTTGTCCTGAGTTGCCAAGCCAGTCCTGGCATTGACCTTCGGGGCGCAAGGCACAGGCCGGGCGAAATCTTGGCACTTCTGGTAGCACTAGCGCTTATTGAAACAGCTTCTGCAGTCAACGAAAAACCAATGATGCGCTACTGTGATCAAACACACGATTTGCCCAGAACTATATTCCACAGAACAGTCACCTTCATCCTTACCATCTTGAAGAGGCTACTTCAGTGGAGCTGTGTCCTCCGCCAGATGGCTCTTTCTACAATCAAACGTTCTTTGTCAGGGTGATGATCACTTCAACCTCCGTTTGCGATTAAGCTTCCTCGTCATCGCTGCAAGTCTTTGTTACGTCGCACACCTACCTTGTCACCACTTTTTTGTGTCTGCGGATTACTGGCAATGATGCTTTACAAAAGTCGCAACTTCTCGGACGGCCAGAATAATTGATCTTTTCTTACCATAAACACAAAATCATTAATGCGTACAACACAAGAATAGAAAATGTTATCTACGCTTCTACCCCTATTTGGGTTGGCTGTTGCAGCTGCTGCACAAGGCGTACCTCAGCCTGCAGGTCTGATTCCGCGCCAAGCTGCCAACACGAGCGCAACCACAAATGCCACAAGTCGTCATGCGTCCCTCCTGGTTGGTGCAGCTGGGCAAATTCGAGGCTTCGACTTTGATGGCAAAGCTTTTGTCCCAAAGGCCACAGTCAATGTCACCGAACCAGGCAAAGCAGCCAGCTGGATGATCTTTAAGGAGCCCAATCTTCTCTATGCCGTCGACGAGAATGGTAACGCCACTCGTCTGTTCAATTACGACAAGAAAACTGGAGTTCTTTCTCAAGAGCTTCGCAGCTTCAATGGTTCTAGTGGCGTTGTTCACCTAGCCTTTAACGACGACAAAACAATTCTAGTAGGGTCTTCTTATGGTCTAGGTCAGGTTGATATCTGGGACTCAGCCGCGGCTGATGGCAGCCTTAAGCTCATCAAGCAAGTTCCTCTTCCAGGTACACCTAGTCTGGTTGATAAGGATGCTCAAAAAGTACTTCGTGCTCATGGGGCTGTACTAGATCCTACAGGTCAGTATTTTATCATCAACGATCTCGGAGGCGATAAGTTGCACATCTTGGATATAGCAGACGGTAAATTCGCTATTACAGAGAGCACGCCTGTCACTCCAGCAGGCTCTGGACCTCGCCATGGAGCTTTTCTTACCCTCGATGGTGGCAAGAAGGCGACCCATTACATTGTTGTTTGTGAGCTCACAAACACGATTCAGATGTTCTCAGTATCTTATGAGAATGGTCTTAAACTCACCGGAATTCAGACAATCTCTACTTTCGGTGCAGCCTTCCCTCCTGCCAACGTCATCACCGCTCGAGCTGGTGAACTTGTAGTCTCGGGAGGTACTGGCCCTGCATATGTCTATGTTTCCAACCGTCTCACCGGCAACTTTACCGATAGCATCAGCCGTTTTGCCATCGAGGCCAAGTCTCAAACCGACAAAACTCCCCAGCTTGTCTTCAAGGGCTTCATCGAGACAGGCGGCTTGGCTCCTCGCATGTTCAGCTTCAGCAAAGATGACAAGCAGCAAACCTTGTTTGTGGCGAACGTGAATGGCGAATTCACTCTGCAGGCTCATGAGCGGTGTAACTCGACCGTTACCACTGACTGCCAGATGGGTAGGACGCCAATGGCGAAGTTTGCGTTCAGTCAGTTCTCGAGTCAGCCTAGTGGTCAAGGCTTTGGGGCTCAATTTGTGATGGATGTCACACCTTGCTGAACTATGTGATCGTACTGTAACACTCAAGGTTGTGGACCAGGGCTTGTGTTAGGTAGGCCACACGGAATATGGGACATAGATCAATGGATTTCGTATGAGATGGACTGTAGGATTGGCATGTATTGGTGATTGCAGTAACGTTGACATTTCGCCTTCGTTCTGCCGCTCCAGGACTCACGATCAAGCTTCGCACATCTCCTTTAATGCGATATTCTGAGTATTAGAAGTCTATAGTGGGCGACACTGTGTCCTTGACTTCATGCTTGGACATGTGAGTGCAACTCTCACGAAGTGTCTGTTATAGCCTCCGTGGCCGACCACATGAGACTTGAGAGAATCTCCTCCTGGTAACGTCGCTTGGTAAGTTTCTAAAGCCATTGCTCAAGAGTACGTGAACCTTGTTAGACTTTCCGACGACAGGTGGGCTGCCTCTGAAGGAAGGTGCAACGAGGCTCACGTTCGACCGAGCGCTGCCGTGCTTCTTGAACGAATACTACAGCCCAGAATACTAGCGATTAATATATAACTCGAGCTCTATCTCCCTTCGAGCAGTTTCCGCGAAACTGGTACTGCAATTATGGCAAAGAATTTATCATACTCAGCAGCCGTGTGACGTGCTTCCACAACGCGATTAGATTTCGCAGGCCACAATACGATGCAGCATGTGCCGAGTAGTGTACTCGGTCTAGAATGTATGCAGGCGCTAGTTGTCTTGCGACGAGCAGCACATCAGTGAAACATCTCGAGACTTAACATCGCCTGCTTCGCCAGACTGGAGGCGCGTCCGAGCGGGACCAAGATAAGGCAACCTGTCGATTTCTGGTCTTTTTGTTGTTCGTCTCCAACCTTGGGCTGCTGGTGTGTGTTCAGTCGAATCCTGCTGGCAATCGAGCCGCTCTTGGTTCTCTTTTGAGGCTCAGATACTACGCAAGATCTTGGCTCTATGGCGACAACTCTAGATTGGTATAGTGCCTCTGGGCGGTAGCCGCAGAGTGCTACTCTTAAGCTCAGGAATCTACCGTCCAAATACCGGCGTGGGACTACTATGTGCTTGAGCTACTCAATTAGTACGGTCCTGGCGCTCAGCCTATAACTAGTCGCTTCCAAAAATCCTATTTATTAATAAGCCTATCAGCATTTTGAGGCACGGGCTTTAGTTTCGCACAGAAATATCCCTATCTCGAGCGTGGAACCCTCATTGAATACATGAGGCTTGATTGCAATTCTGCGGAGAAGGAGAAGGGCCTTATGAACAAACAGCATTTGGCAGGTAATGTTATACCTTTGCAGCGCGTGACGAAACACGCTTGCAAAGTATCCTATGTCGGCTGCCTTGACCGTTTGGCCTTCCTGATCAATCTCAGTTGACACACAACTTGGTGGATGGGTACTGAAGTTGAAACGCTGCATCTAGGACGCAGGATTCTCCCGCAGACCGAATGGCAAGCGTTCGCGAGGGCGAAGGGCAGCTTGAAATTGGATCAGAGCTCCACTACATCGACTTGGACGAACTCGGCAACAGTCGTCGTCCGCACGTATGTAATGGTTGCGAGGCACAAACAGCTGCAGTCTATCACAAGTGCATTCAATGTGCCGACTACGACCTTTGTGACATTTGCATAAAGAGTGCAGCTACAGAGCATCCCAGCCATGTCTTTGAGCGGATTGACCTGTGGTCATTGATGCAGCAGCAGCGGTTGAGCGATATACCACCTGAACTTTCAGCCAAGCGTTATACCCAGGTATCCAAGGACTGCTGTCCGACGTGCCTAGATCATCGGCCAGCGAAGTTTGATCCTATGAACTCATTGTCCACGAGGCTGGAGCGGAACAGAAAACAAATTTCTTGGATGTCCAATTATCCAATCTATGTGTCTGACTTCTGTGCATCTGCCGCTCGTGGTTGTGACCTCTGTTCTATAATTTACCGCGGAATACTTGCTGCTCGGCCTGACTTGGTTTCTGAGGATGGAAGAATACAAGTGGTGATCAACAGAGATCATTTCAGGATTGCCGACTTGTCTGGAATCAATGATCGACTGCAAGACATGTGGACCCTCTACTTCCGGGCTGGTCCAGACTCAAAGCCACCATGGAACACCTTGGGGCAAGCCCGCAGCTTTTCGAACCACTTCAACTCAGAGACTTGCTTCCAGAAGATTCAAGAATGGGCGAAGCTGTGCGAAGAGAGCCACGCCCACCCTGATTGCAAGAGAGATGCAAGCGCAGGCTTACCACAACGAGTCATCGAGATCAGTGTTGATAGTGAAGGCTTGGGCTCGGTCACCTTGGCCCTGCGCGAGACTAATGGAGAAGTAGGTCGATACATTGCTTTGAGCCACTGTTGGGGCACTATACCAATCGTGACTACGGATCTGGCCAACATCGAGCATATGAAGCAAGAGATCGACCTTGAAAGCCTACCACAAACCTTCAAGGATGCCATTCACTGTGCTCACAAGCTCGGCATCAATTATATCTGGATTGACAGTCTGTGCATCATCCAAGATAGCACTAGTGATTGGGAAATTCAGTCCTCCAAGATGGCTTCCATCTACGCTAATGCATATTTTGTGCTTGTGGCCGCCTCAGCGGACAGTGATGCGAAGGGCTTCCTTCATGAACGTCCAAAGAGGTACCAGGGTATCCCGTTGGAGGCTCTTGAAGGCAGTGGTGTCCATGAAGTCATGGTGAACCATACGATGCCCCATCCTTCGGGCCTTTGGAAAGTGAGAGCCAAGTCTGTCATGCTCGACAGCCAAGTAGACCGTCGAGCTTGGGTTATGCAAGAAACTGTACTTGCACGTAGAGTTGTCTACATCCATACAAGTGAGATGTTGTGGGAGTGCAATTCTAAACTAATGTGTGAATGCGGAATGGCCTCTTCAACTAATTCAGGACGCGCCCGTGTTCGCCACTTTGACCAATCTGATCATCAAAGCCGACAATTTACATCTTATCGCGGCATCAAGCAGTCAGATTTAGCCGGTGACTATCCAACGTTCCAGGCCATGACCATTGGTTTCAGCTTCTTCAGACAGTCCTATGAAATCGACGTACATACTCGGCCGTTTGCACAACTGCATTCAGCTGAATGTACCTACGCCGAATGGAGATTGGTCATTGTTCCTCTCTATACAGCAAAGCGTATTACCTATGTTAAGGACAGGCTGCCAGCGCTATCTGGACTCGCCAGTCGTGTCAAAGATTACCTCCAGGACGAGTATATCGCCGGTTTGTGGAGCGGCGATATGCCAATGAGTCTAATTTGGTATGTGCGCTCAAATTCGAAACGGCCAGCTCCATCGAATTATATGTCTCCGTCCTTTTCCTGGGTGTCACTCAACAAGCCGGTCGTGTATCCAGCTCTTCACAGACAAAACGAATTTGGTGGACCGATGTACAGCAGCCCTACTGTGAAAGTCCTGGAGGCGAACACCTCGGTCAAGGGCTCGAATCCTTTTGGAGTCGTCAACGATGGATATTTGCGCTTGGAAGGCTTAACACGTCCACTGAGTCTGATTCTGGACGGAGTCGAATCAAAGATAGAAGTCGGAAGCTGCCATCATGATCTGGCTTGGTACCCTGACACTCCACTGGTCGCCGTTAATTTAGCACCTACGAATGGTGACGAGGAATCAGTGATTTCGGTCAATCGTTCATCAAAACCAGCAGATCCCAGTCAGCAGCGCTCTCAAGTGACGGTCACCTGTGTACTTGTCATCGAGAGACCTCACGTGGAGGAAACAGAGCTCTGCCAATCCTATGATGAATATGCGCTCCTGGTCCTTGGTCGTTTGAAGTCTCGACCAGAGGTATACCAAAGACTTGGATTGGTGTTCATCAGTCTTGAACCTGCAGTGGCTGAGAAGTGGGTTGCTGGCGCAGAAATGCGCGACTTGCTTATTGTCTAGTGAGACGGATCCTAGACCAACAGGATGTCCATTGCTTCAGCTGCGAGAAGCACTCTCCGGCTGAATATCCAAACGTGAGCTAACACTCGATTTGGAGAGATCATCTACGACGCGTTCTCACTGATCTGCACATCCAGGCTCTCTCCCAGCTCCAGGCCTCTTATATCCGTCCTCCTTGAAATCCATGTCCTGAGCCAGTGAGATCTAGCAACATCATTATAGCACCATGGACTTCAACGGTCTCTGTCAAGCTCGCGTCTGGTAAGAATACACGTAGTGCTGTTGGATTATGTCTCGCAGAGTGTCTCCTTACTCTCCCGTATATGATTGCGCAAGAATATTTAAAGTTCCCCCCTAGTAGTCTTCCTCGGTAACTTCTCCAACGGCCTTCTGTGCTGACGTCGACCGCTGGTCTTCCATCGGTGCAGCAGAAGTATATGCAAAGTAATGAGGAAGATGCACATCGTGAAGCTTCGAATCTCTTCTCGCGTCTCTACTGGTGTATAGCAAGCAGCTAACAAGCAGTCTTATTTGAGAAATCGTAGTTCTAATAACAGCTCACAATCATATCTACATACTCAGAGAAGCTCATCATTTGTCCCCTACACCCGAAATAGCGACCAGGATCGAGCTCAGAACGACCTACTGAGGTCGTCCAATTCACGTAGATACCAGCTCAATACTTACAGGTTGGTCACGACATATCCAAATAAACATGTCGTCAACCAAACAACCCCTCCCACTCATCAACGTCTCCCCCCAACTCAGCCACGCCGCCGCAAAACTCATCTCCGCTGCCTGCGCCGCCAAATCCGCAGAAATCAGAGTCCCAATGAACATCGCCATCGTCGACAGCACCCTCCACCTTCTGCACTTCGAGCGCCTCCCCAACGCAAAACTGACATCCATCGATATCGCAATAAACAAAGCTTTCACAGCCGCGGGACACAAAGCGCCTACGAGCGTGTACAAGGAGAATGTCTGGCCAGGTGGAAAGGCGTTTGGGCTGAATAGTAGTAATGGGGGAAAGTTTATGTATGTGGCTGGGGGGATACCGATTGTGGTTAATGGGCAGGTTGTGGGTGCGGTGGGGTGTAGTACTGGGACACCGGATCAGGATGTAGAAGTTGCGAGTGCGGGTGTGAATGCTTTTGAGAAGGAGTGGCAAGAGAGGAATGGGAAGGAGGCGAAGGCGAAGTTGTAGGGAAGGGAACAAGCCCTGACTTGGGTTAGAGCACAAGCATGGGCGAAAACAAGCACCTTGTGGTTGGAGATGAGTGATGATTGAAGAATGAACAGCGTTACGGAATTTTAGTATGCTCAAGCCAGGGTATCAGGTGCTTGGATAAGTCGCTTGTATGCAAAAGCATATAGCTAAAGATCATATTTTCCCACAGGATTTCCAAGCCCTGGTCCTAACCATGAACTGTGCACTATCCAGGAAGCTGAAGAGGTAATGCCCTGTCATACAACATGTCAAAAACCACCTTCGATTCCTTATCGACGAATTCTGCAAATTTTGGCTTGACCATTCCTTGCCCCTTTGCATAATTCGGTCCACTCTCAAGGCACTCTCCACTTGTCGGGTTGTCGCCGAGAAGGCTTTCGAAGGCGTCTACTACTCCCTCGATAGGTGTCAGTAAGCCCTCCTTCTCGAGTTTGTCATAAAAGGCAGGTGCTGAGATGTTTGTTCGGATTACGTTCGGGGTAACTGCGTTCAATGTAATCTTCTCGGTGGGCAGGTATTTGCCGTAAGATCTGACAAAGCCTACTACGCCGTGTTTGGCTGCTGTGTAGACTGGAAGTGTTGGGCAGCACTTAGAAAGTGTTAGCAGAGGTTGAAATGGTGGACATGTAAGTTGTCCTTTGAAAAGACGCTACTGGATGTTTAGGGGAACTCACATAGTAACCACAGACTGATGCGATCACTCCGACTATGCCTCAATTAGCTTCTCTTAACCCAGCCCAGTTCGATAGGCGCACTCACTCTTGCATCTGAAACCATTAGGTCCAACATCCTGCCGTCTAGCCTGCTGAACAGCAAGAGCAGTCGTATACATGACACCTGTAAGATCGATATCAAGGACACTCAGATCTGGTTTCTCGAACTCGTGCCCACTCGTGCTCGTAGAGTTATTCGGCAACCATCTTCTCTCTCCGATGCCACCAATACCAAAGACATGATCGATGCGGTTGAAGGCAGAGACGGCTTGTGTGAAGGCCTTGACTTGAGAGTTCCAGTCAGCTAGATCGACCTTTGCGAATTGTCCACCGATCTCATCGGCGACCTTTCGTCCATTTTCCTCGTCGCGATCCGCAATGAAGACTTTGATGCCCTTTTTCGCGAGCATACGAGCTGTCGCAGCTCCGAGTCCAGAAGCGCCACCTGTTACGTAGGCGTACTCAGGCATCTCTGTAGAGGTGTTCAACCGAAGTTCTTGACGTGCTTGAAGGAGCGGTATGAGAGGCCTACTTGCAGGTTACAATGCGTTGACATCCCGTCACGAACAGTACCTCTATCATCCCCATCGTGATCGTGAGGGGATTTGCAACAGCGGAGGACTCTTCTCGTATGCCTCGGGCACATGTAAAAAATTACCCAGCTCAGTCGCGATGGTTATCAAAACCAGCAGCGATTTCTGGTTCTGCGGGGAAGGAGCGACTCATCGAATCTGGGGTTCCCGAAGCTGGAACACGATATGCCGGCTTCACTTCGGAAGCCCCCTCTATACGTTTTCGTCCCTCGCATTAGTTGACCAACAGCTCATTTTCTTACAGATAGCACGATGTTAAAATCGCCGTTTATGTTCGTTGACGCAAAACGAGACAATGCTTCGCCGAGCGCTCTCGAATTTCTGCCAAGGTAGTCTTGGCCAGACTGGCTTCGTGCAGCTGAAAATGGTTCAGCTCATATCTATCAGGTGGCTGGGTCGCCTGGACTGATATATTTCCAGAACGAATCGTAGTTCGTTCACTTCCTGCGTTTATGGTGTTCTACTTCTACTGCCACCACATGATCACTGTCCAATAGGCATTCCTCCAACCACTCTCACTCTCATAGTTCTCGATATGGCCTCTTCAGCGATCTCAGCTGCAAAGGCTTTTGTGGATGGTTGCCAGGCGCTGGGCGACGCTATGGCAAAGGTTTGCGCAGCCTATTTCTTTATCTTCCGTCTTTGAAGACCGCTACTGATCTCTAGAACAGTGGGGACAACCAGAGAATGATCTCTACTACATCAAAACAATGAACTCCGACTCTGGCCAGATGGAGATCTTCTGCTGTACAGCAGAATCCGGTTACACACATGTGATTCCAAGAAATTACTGTGCACTCTCCTTTGACGAGATGATGGCAGGGCACGTTCTCATCTATGGTCAGGACCTCTACTACATCAAGACCAAGAAGACTGCATCAGGCAACGTTGAGATTGCCCGTTATCCAAAATCGAAAGACTACCGCGAGACGGATATCGCATTGATCAGTATTCCGTTAAGACTCTCCGATGCTGCTGACGGGTATTTCACATTCTCTAACAACGACCTATATTTCATTCGCGATCGCAACACAGAATCGGCAACGGTAGAGTTAAGCCGCTGGTCATTCAAGTCAGCATTCCAAAAACAAACACTATTCACCACAACACCATTCCTCGTCGAAAAGGCCAGCAAAGGCCAGTGGAACATCTGGGGTGAACATCTCTACTTCGTGCAAACAGCTGGTTCAAAAACAGAAGGCACAAACGTAACGAAAGTCATTCTTCGAAGTACTCGGTCAGAAGGCGATCACCCGAATTACAAAACCATCACAAACGACATCACGACAACGTATCAAAATGAGCATGGCAAGGGTGACTTTTATGTCACAAAGGATTTGATGATGTACTTCCTCAAATTGAGAGAGACAGAGAATCCCGGCAAGTATATCGAGATGCACGTAGCAAATAATGCAAGAGGTCTGGACAAAGAGCCTAACCATTACGTTACGCCCTTTGGACCCAGCGACCCGGGCAATGGTGTGTTCTGTTTAGATAAAGCGGCACCGCCACGACAGGTAAGATATAGATAGGGATTAGGAAATTTCATGCAAAGACAGCAGAATTGTATATGTGATTCTAAACACGTGTGCCTCTTCCGACCGCGTAGCATATTGTGGATAACTTTTGAATAATACTCTTGATGAGAGCTAACAAGAGTTGGCAAAAGTTGATAAAATATAGTTGAAGGTGATAAGAGTTGGTGAAAGTTGTTGAAAGTCATTGAAAGTTGGCATTACTTGTAGCACGACTACACGTCCACGAAGCCTGAGCAGACCACGACCACTTGGTATTCTACACGCTTACAGAACACAATAAGTATTAGGAGGAAATGATCGAGTACGTTACCAGTGAGTTCGTCCCATGCCTTAGCAGATATTCAGGAGGCAGAGATCTCTTCACGTCTGGATTTGGTGGCATTTAGTTGGTTGTAATTCGTACCTCAATTCCAGCTTGCTTCTCTCGTGATACAAGCAGGAATTGACGATTTCTTTCAGAAGGCTCACGAAGGGTCTCTGTGCTCATCTTCAGTGATCGACCGATGGCATTTAAGGATCTTCTGTGCAGTTGGCCATTTCGAGCCACCTGCATTACGCCAGGATCACTGTCATCTTCAGCGTCCTTGTGTTCTATGTCGTATGATACGTAAGAAAGATTTGCAATTCGCGAACACTGTTTGCTAGCGAGGTCATGTTACTTGTACTCGTACAGTGCGGTACAAACTGTGTCAAGCAGTGAGAAGCTTCACTCTAGGCAAGTCACGTTCGTCAAGGGTCCATAATGCACCACGACTTACTGGCGTTTTACAGTGCCCTTTCAGCAATTGAAAAACGTCCTTAGGAAGAAAATACGGTACGTTCGTGAAGTAGTCAGCTAAACTTGCATATGGGGGTCTTCCAACCCTGAAGACCCAACTTTTGATGAACGGTCTGCATATCACCAGGTAAAGTTTCGTAAGCATAAACTCAGCACAAACGCGAGAAGTGTTTGGTGCAAGTACGCTGCCAAGCCAGGAAACCCGCCGACCGAAATTGTGTCGGAGACTCGGAGGACCTTCGAATATGTACTGTATACTCGGTTATGCCTCTGTAGATAGGTACCAGCACACGACATCAGTACACCCCGAGCTGCGGTTGTACAGAAGGCTGAGAGGTCCGTGGTGTCACTCGAGCAGACTGGTAGTTCCAGGTGCGATTTTGAGTGCCGATACGAGACCGTTGGAGCGTCGAAGCATGCGGACGTGACCTGCCACATCGACTAGGCCCATTGCGGATCACATTGAGGCTCCAGAGAGCAGCTGTCTTTCTTGCGTGATGTTGCACAGAGGGTGTTGTTAGCGTCCTGTACACGTGTTTGAGTTGGCTACATGCACCCTCACTTCGGTAGATTTTCCGGATTCTTGCCATTGTGATTGGTACTCAGGGTGCAAGCTGCATGCAAACCGTTCAGCGCACTTTAGTGCTACTGAACGTGCATGAGTGAGAGAAGCGAACTCTTCCAAGTACATACGAGCGTGGGACGATGGCGAGCGACGCACAAGCGAAATATGTAGACATGGTACAAACTCGTTGCTTTTATCATAAATCATTTCTCCCAGCCGGAATTTGAGGCTGTTATGAACCTTGCGGAAGGAAGCCCAGAGACATGGGGTCCAAGTAGGGAAGCTGCCGACCTGACGTACCTTGAGACACGTGGAGCAACGGCAAAGTGCCGGTCAAGGATTAGAAAACAAATGCTCCGTAAACATTGTCCACCTTGCACAATGAGCTCCTGATCGAATCACTACCACCTTTTTTCGTGTTCGATGTTGTGCCAGTGCTGAGACATCGTACAACAGAAGACTCGCAACTGGAAAGATGATCTGATATTCGACGCCAAGAAAATTTGCTGAGATTCGCAACCAGAAATTCATAAGTGAACATGAGCATTGGATTCCATGCATCGATATACCGAAGACGGAAAGAACAAAAAGCACATCTGGTCTTTCTTTGAGGTTTGGGTTGGTTAAAAGGGCAAGAACATTCTTGCACTAGCTGGCAACTACAAACTATACCATGCAACCATGGACATGGCAACTTCATCCTCTTCAAGCGACGCTAAGTCCTTCTCGGGACGCACGCCTGCTAGAATGCCCAGTATTAACATGGAGAAAGGCAGTAGCTCAAAGAACAAGCAGCGACCGCAACCGCAACCGCAGCAGCGTCACCAGCAGTCCCAGACTGCAGCAGGCCTCCAATTTGATATGCTAGCCTGGTACCCGAAATACCAGTCCTGCCAAAGATATTTTGTTGACCACGCCCAGCATGATTTTCTCGTCCAAGCATTTGCGGCATTCATCAATATTCTATTGCCTTATCAGCGTCAACCTCCCATCTACACCTGCCGAGGCGCACGATCGGCTAAGGAAAGGTTGGACGAAATCAGCTCCCTAAAACTGGGAACTACTCCTCGCGAGATCGCGGATGTGTCAGTCTCTCTAATCCCATACATTCGACGTCTGGTATGTACTGGTATGGATGTCGCGCAGATCATGCACGGCTTTTTTGGGAACGACTGGCAACAAGGTGTTGGACCACAACGGGAGACCGAACGACGTAACTACCTGTTTTCTGCTAAAAGTGGTGGCTGGGCAAACGTCAAAAGGGATTATGATATGCTACCTCTAGAGACGGTGCCCTTTTTGAGACCTCTGACGATGCCTCATGATGAAGAACTCCAACAAGCTGACAAATCATGGAGTGAATGGCTAGCCATGGAGGATTGGATGGTGGGATCGAGATCACCCGACCACTATCCCGACAACGCCGAGTGATTGAATTCGCCTTTTCGAACATCGCAGTCTACATGGCCAACACAATCGAAGACCTGAAACTAAAACAATTCAAGACAAACGAATTGCACACAGACCCCGAGCTCTGAACGTCCACCGGAAGGATTGCAAATATACAAATGACGAACAAATCCTGGGAAGTACTTGACATGATCTGGTCGAAGTTGTCTTCTACTCCACTTATCTACTGATGTTCTTTACATGAGAGCCGATAGATTGACATCGAACCTCGAAATCGTGTTCGTCCTCAAGCAAGCACCTTCTCAAGGCCAGATCCACAAGTGTGGATCACTCCATGATTGAGCTTGCTTCGCCTCCCAGAAAGTCACGCAACTGAATTTTGCGAAGACGCACATCAAATCCTTCTTGCAATTGGGGGTTGTAGCACAAACTCGACTTCGAGAAGATTTCCGCCAGAGTTTTCAATTCGAGGCGCTTTCAGTCTTCGGGTCGGACCAACCAAGGAAATATATCCTCAGGATCCTTCTGTCCATAGAGCTGAAAAAGCACGTCATAAACATACCGAAGCCTCTGTATATCATCGAACAAATATTGCAGCCGAAAACAACGGGGCTTTGGTTCGCCACCATATCCTGACCCGACCGCGCCCAACTGTTTGTCCAACTCCAAACCGAGGAGAAACGTTTGACTTCTCAGATGTTGAGCATGCTGTCGGAGCACCTGCATGTCGAGCATTCCATGTTCTGCAGACGAAGTAAAAACTGCTGCTACGATCAACTTCGAGCGATATTCTGCCTCGATTTTGATCTTTCCGTCATCGATCGTCTTGAGTCTGGTGTCGCGTAACAAGGCCACGCGAGAGTCTGTTGCATTCCTTCGTGGCCGCCTAACATATCCAAGCATCACTTTGCTGCAAAAATTGCCCATAATCGGTACAAAGAAGCAGAATTGCAGCCGCAGGACAAAAGCGGATCGTCCTCTTCTCATATAGAGTCAGTTCCTTGTACCGAGCTTGAGATACTCGACCCTGGATGTTGGGCCATTGTTTACACTCTCTATCTGATTGTCGTTGTCTCAGACAATCATCACAAATCGAAACACAAAGATCTTGTTGCCCTGAAACAATGTCGACCGTTGCCGGGAGATAAGAACTTGAACTCCGGGTGCATGGGCTGGTTACATTCAATCAGTTCACTGGCCACAAAAAGACAAGTTTGCATAAGGGTCTTGTTTCTCGCGGTCGCAAGGTGGAGATGACGCAAGAAGCAGACGAGCACGCTACCTCATCAAGGATTGGGTCAAAGAACCTCTTTTACCCGGTCGCAGAGCCACCTATGGCCTTCCTTACCTTCCGGTACACCATAACATTGTGTTAGAGGGAAGCAGTGCATCTGACCTTCCCATACTAACCATTTCCCGGGAATACCAGCCTTTTTGCAGGCTTGCATGAACACCTCGCAATCCGGCGCAAGCACATCTGCCGTCCCAAAAAGTCCATCAACACGCAGCTTACTCTGCCTAAGCGCAACCCATGCTTCATGCTCGGTCAGAGCAGCCGACAATATCGGGTCTGCTTTCGCAGTACCTTTAGCCCACTGCCAGCCCTTAGTCCACCTGTCTGCAGCTGAATTGGTGATATCTGTGGTCAACACCGGATCTATTTTATTGACTCGGACAATTTCAGGATTGGTATTGCGGAAGTCGGTTGGTGGAGATATATGTACCACACTCTTCAATCGCTTCACAGCGTCCAGACGTGCAACAGCGCCAGAATCGAGCTTCGTGCCCTGTCCCTCAAACTCGGTAGTTGCAATTTTGAGTTGCTCACTCCACCAAAAGCCTAGCGAAAGCGCGATATTACCACCTGCACTGTCGCCCATCAGTGTTATGGTCTCGTTAGCACGAGCATTTTCACCAGCTTCCTCCAGTGCTTGCAGAAGCCAGTTCCGCAGCAGAGGCAACGAATCCTTCGCAGGCGAGTTCGGAGCAAGAGGGTACGAAACCAACACTATCCGAACCCCTTCTCCAGCCAAATTCTTAGCCATACGAGCGCATAGCTTCCAATGTTCAGAGCCGGCCGGGGAGCAGAAGCCTCCGCCAGAGAAATAGTATACTGTGTGTCTGTACTCTTTCTTCGCACCCTCTCTGTCTATCTGACTGTGGTCTCGCGCCGGCTCGAAATCGTACAGGTAAAGCTCCTGAAATTGGGAGCCCTCTGGACCCTGGCCTTGCGTCAGGGGCGTATGCGTACGGGACGTGATTCTGATTGTCCATTCTTTGATATGCACGCCATAATGACTAGATGGACGTTTCTCGAGTGGTGGGCTTCCTTGTGGTAAAGGTCCCTTCAGGCCGACCAGCCGTGGTCGCAAAGGTCGAAGAATGAAGGTGCGCAAGAAACGGTAGAATAGGGAGAGGTCGGATCGTCGCTCTATTTGCGTTACGTTCGGATCAGGCGATGTACCTTGTATGTTCTTTTTCTGGTGGTCTGCAGAAGCTAGATGAGTACCTGGCGTTGCCCCCGCTTGCCCCAAAGGAGTCTGGGTCGTCATTGCCTATGCGTTCGGCCGTGTGCGCTGCTGATTTGCTCAAGAGGAATATCATAAATGTGTGGTAGATAGCAGATCCATCGCTCAATCTGTCGTCCCCGTGCCTATACTGTAAGCAGTAAAGATAAGAATCGCATTCCTCCTCTTCACGAAGAACTCGAAAACAACAAAACAGACAGCGCTCGAAGATCAATGCGCGAGAACAGCGATAACAAGGCATTAAGAGGATCGAGGCCGCGTAGCTACTGGAGCCCCAAGAAGGTACCTAACGAAACCCATTATGCCGTTTCAGCAAGTAGTTACTCGAGTACAGTTACATCGTACTGTGATCGAGATGATGATGACGACGACGAATATACTTCGCGTAGACCTTGTCTGGCTTTCGAGCGTGGCAGATGCTCAGAAGAAACAACTCAGCGACGACGATCTTCGCAGAGCCGCGAGATCGCCCAGATCTTAGCTTCGATCACTGCTAGGCGTTTACTGGGCATCAGCCTGGGTACTAGTAGGAGGGGTCAATTGCTTAGAAATCACAGCCAGAGAATCGGAGCTGGACCTTGACAGCCCACGTGTTTGTGCTCGAACTTGTAGTGCGAGGGTATGAAATGCGAGACTTACGAGGAGATCAAATTGGTCTTCTATTTCAACGACTTGCTGTCGCAAAAGCTGGCCTAGCATGGCTGCCATGCATTTCGATAAAATTTACATTCTAGGTGAGGATGTCACCAGTGTGCTATGCTACACGCCGAGATCATCCTCAAGTCAAATTCAACTCTCCGAGCTCAACCATTTTCCATCTCGCAACAACTGCTAGATCACCATCCCAGCTAACCCTGTCGGTTCCTCAAATGTGGAGGTACATATCCTCTGCCGGAGGGCTTCACAGCTGGTGCATCGCCATCTTTGGCACTATCCCTGGTAATCTCTCGGTCTCTAGTAATCTCCCTGGCACCCTCTCTAGGAGCGTCTCTTGAATCTTGTCGTCCCTCTCGCATGCCTGGAGGCCTATAGCCACCCATAGTACGTCCACCAGCACCGTTAGCAGGCGAAGCAGATCGGTCGGGGAGATCACGAACTGCGCCACCAGCTTGTCGCAGGTGAGGAGGTACATATCCGCTTCTGGCAGCAGGACCAGTGGCTGGTGCAGGTGTAGGACCGGCTGTGTCTTCGGCTGGTGGAGCAGCGGCGGTGGTAGCACCTCCAGCTTGTCTTGCAGCCTCTCTCTCTCGCCAACCACCAGGCTTGAGACCAGCGACGACAGGTCGACGACCCTCGGATGACGTTGTCCTCTCCTCCATTGGAGCTGCCTCTCTGACACGCTCGATGGGAGTAGCGCGACTGGGTTGAGCTTCATTCTTGCGAGCGAGTCTTCGAGCCTCAGCTTCGGCCTCACGTTGTGCCTGCTTGGCGGCGGCAGCAGCAGCCTCGGCCCTCTCAGACTCTTGTTTCGCCTTACGCTCGGCCAGCTGCTGTCTCTTCTCCTCCTCAGCAGCGGCCTTCTCAGCAGCCTCTCGTTCAAGTCTTTCAGCATCCTCCTGTTCTCTTCGCTCTGCCTCTTCCTGCTCTCGCTGACTTCGTTCCTTGTCGGCAAGATACTGCTTGATTCGCTTCTTCTTCTCGTCCTCAAATTCTCGGTCTGCTTTTTGTCGAAGTTTCTCGAACTCTTTGTGGCGACGTGCAGCGATGTTAGATTTGAAGCCGTCATACTGGTCAACGAGCCGACCAAGTCGGTGCTTGAGAGAAATGCTTTCCTTGAACTTGAGCTGAGCTTCTTCCAGCAGTATCTCCTTTCTCTGCTCATACTCCTGCATGTCACGTTCCTTTTGCTTGTCGTAATCGTCAGCAAGGTGCTTGACCTCCTCGCGTCGGAAAGCCCGCTCGAGATGATCGATGCGCTTGGCAGTGGTAGCGACAATGGCGTCCTTCTTCAACTTGTCTTTCTCGAGTTGTCTGAGCTTGATACCGCGGATTGCATTTGAATCTAGCTCGTCAATGTTGATATCGTCAAGGTCAATCTTCATGCCTCCTTTAAGCTCATTGAGCTGCTTCTCGACCTCTTGACGTCGAATTCGGTCTTGCTCATCTCGCATACGTTTGAGTTCGCGTTGCTTAGTCTCGTCACGTAGTCGCTTGGCCTCAGCCTCGACCTGTTGTTGTTGTCGAAGTCTTCGAGCATTCTCTTCCTCACGTTGCTTCCTGGCAATAGCATCTGAAGCTGCCTCCTTACGTTTCTCGATTACCGAGCGTCTGGCTAAGATGGCCTCGTGTTCTTCCTCAGCACCAGCTTGGGCTCTTGCTAGGGCAGCATCACGGGCGGCAAGACGTGCTTGAGTATATGACGGATCGACATATGTGCAAGTGACGTGAAGAGCCTTGGCAAGTCGTGACAACTGAGATCGAGCAATTTCAGCAGGAGTATTCTGGAGACGCTGTACAGAGCGAGTGTCGGCTTCTGCTGAAGCAACACCGCCAGTGGGAGTCAGTGTTTTTGCAGAAAAGACATCGTTGTCGAAAGTGAGAATGCCGGAGACATGGTCGAGGCGGATGGCAAGGTCGCCCTTCTTGCAACCATTCATGATGAACTTTTCAATCATGGCTGGGGTGACTTGGAAAGGTTCAGGAAATTGTGCGAGGTTGTTAACGAAATTGAGATCGACTGATTCGTACACCTGGGACAACTGTTGAAACAAACGAGTCAGGATGACTTGCTGGAGTGGTCCAACGTATCGCTCCATGTCTGGGTTCTGACCGATCTGTGTAAGAATTGGGGAGATCTTCTTGCAAATCGAAAGTGGATGGAAGTCGACTTCAAGGATATCGTACAGCTCTCGGATTTCAGGGCGTGCTCGTTTGAGAAGACCTTTGCTCAGGATATCCTTGAACAGAAGAGCTCTAGTAGGGGCAGACGGCATACTGAGCAGGTTGGTGAGGCGTGTGTTCTTGTTCTTTCGTGCCTCATCCATGTCGACCAAAGCACCTCGAGATCGCGAAGTGCTAATGACCGGGATTGCCAATGCGGACAAAACTACGAAGGAGGCACATTTGGTGAGAGCCTCTTCTGTGACAGTCGGGTTGTCTCTCTTGACTCCCTGGCCAGACTGAACAGCAACAGCTGACTGTCTCATCAGGTTGTAGTATCTGTTATAGGCAGCAGCATGGAAGAGGAAGTTGTCACTGACAAGAAAGATCTTGGTCAACTTTTCGTAGTAGTTGGCCATCATGATATTCTTTGCAGGTCTCTTAGACAGAGTCATCAGCATGTGGATGTCCTCGACACTTCGGAAGGCCTCTTGCCACAGTTCCAACTCATCGGCGACATTCAATTGACGAAATCTTGTCTCAAGGTGGCGTTGTAGAGTCTCAGGCTCGCTGAGGTTGATAGCATGCATCTGGGAACTGTATTTGTGAGCGTTGGAGACATGATTTCTGAGGAGTTCGCAAAGTCTTCGAAATTCAGTCTTTCGTGTATAGCGCATGCAGAAGTCGAAGGCTTGGTGAGCAGTAGTCTGATACATGATCTCGAGACGAGAGTTGTTCTTGAGGATCTCGAGCACTGTTCGATACGTCTCCCACAGAAATTTGAGCCATGGTGTAACGATAGCGCGATCAGTTCGATCTTTGGATTGTTCTCCCGAAACGGTAGCAAGGAGGAGGGTTTCTGGTGTTTCGGTGGCTTCGAGATCGTCGATGTTGGAAGCAGTCTGTACTGTAGCAGAATCGAGATTCGATTGTACTTGGTCTGCTTTGTGCTGGGCTTCTGTAACCTTGGCTTCGGCTAATTCGATGAATTTTTTGAGGACGAGTTCAATGGTGCCGACATTGGTGTTTTGTGCAATGTTCTTGTACTGGTACAACCCGTCCTTGGCCGATTTCCCTTTTCGTAGTTCGACACACAATTCAACGAACTGGAGCATCACCGGCTCCAAGGAGGCGATGGGTGTGCTCCTTGAGCGCTTTGACGTGACATGTTCGTGGAGGACGTTGAGGGCGGCTTGAGACTGGTCGACTGCAATTAATTCTTGTGCTCGTTTGAGCACATTTTCAGGCCGTATGGTTGGCGGAGGAGGCATCTTGTCGAGGGACTACTCTTGCCGTGATGATCAAAGATGATCTTGTAGGCAATTGCGACAAGATAGTGGTGCTCTGGCGACGAGATGACTGACCTGCATAAAGTGCGGAAGTTGGCAGGAAGGAATGACGCTACGCTAAAATCTTGGCACATTGGAGAACGTTGCCTGTGTTGATGTCGCATAATATTGCCGATGAGAGTGCGTACATGGGAGTCAAATCGGTCATTTAAATTCATCGCATGCGAAAAGGGATCAATAGTGATATTTTACACACGCGTGCGAAAGTAACATATCTCGTTCGTGCTCTGTTTTCGACGGAAAGTATTATGATCGCTCTTTTACTCATGGCGACATATGTAGTGTGAGACAGATCTGATGCAGACAAGGCCGGAGCTCGACTTTGTAGGCGCAAGCGTAGGGAGGATAGTTAGCAAAGAGCAAGCAAGAAATTAATGCCTCGACGAGGCCCTCAGCTCTTCCTTTCACTCCTGATCATTTAATCTTGCCAAAGCCATGATGGTAAAAGGCAGCATACAAGTCAACTGGCTGATTTGTTATAAAGGAAGGATAACTTCTACGACAGGGCATACAAAGATTTTGGTAGAAGCTATTGAATTCATTTGATACAGAATCAGAATGCCTAACCCCTGCTTTCGATCAATTGGGCAAACGGCAACATTGCTTGCTCTCCTCCCTATTCAAACGTGCCCCTCCCGTGGCTGCGGCTAGACTTCAAGCCATTTTCCAGCGGCTTAGCCTGTGAATAGTTTGGTCCGATGGAGACATCCTAGAGCAATCTCGCGCAAGTTCCTCCACCACTCTTGAGTCTTCTCCGAGTCTGGTTCACACAGTAATACCTTGTCCTAGGTGACAGTCACTCATTTCTTTTATCACTGTCCATATCAGCGCCGGCAAGCTGAGGGTCGTCGCAGGAGCAGTGCATCCTCCCTGTACATCTCACTCAGGACGACCTCAAAGAAGCACCCTATATCCCTATTCACGACGCGCGACAATTGTACTGCAGCTTCTTCAGCCCGAGGCCGAATCGATCCCTCACCACTTATTCTCTTCTCACTCGACAAACCTACTACTTAATTTTCTTACTATATATCCACCATTAGCTCATTTGAACAATCATGCCTTCTGCATACACCGCAAAAGATGGGGGCGATGCCAGGAGCAAGAAGCAGTCTATGGCAGATTTGAAGCTTCGAAGATTACAAGAGTTGAACACTCGACTCAAGGAAGATCTAGAGCGACCAAGGGTAAAGGTTGCAGAAGCTTCTAACAGGTACTATATCCTTCCTCCTATTTAGCAAAGCCAAGTTAACATGATTAGCCTCATCACATATTGCAATCAGACACGAGACTACATGGTTCCTTCAGTATGGGGACAAGTGGACAAGAAAGACGACCCTTATAACCCGCAATCTGGAGGTGGATCGGGCGGTAGCGATGGATGCTGTATCGTCATGTAATTCAACACAAAATATTGGCTAGCATAAGGCGCATGGCGTTTATCATGATTGACGGCTGCGATATTCTGTCCCTGAAAGAGGATACAAATGAAACAATATGAGGAAGCTTACGTCCGATGCTCGGGTTTTGCATGACGTCCTCTAGTGAGGATAGCTAGTCACATTGGATTATATACAACGCAGCCAATGTGTCCCGCTCGGGATAGTTCGAGACGTTCATGTTATTGGTTGACAACTCACAGAAAACCTCTGAAATTGTCGTCCTGACCAGGTTATCCCAATCACGACAAACTACATTACCAGAACAGGGACGAAAGCTTGCAGCGGGCACGAAAGAGATATCATATAAGCATTGACCAAGCCCAAACTACAGTCAAACCCCCCAGGAAGATGCTATGCTATTGTTGTCAACTCTATGCACTTTCCTGATTGCCATGGTCGACACCTCTCAGCAAAATATCTTGCACTAATTTGCAGCCCAAACTCTCAGCACAGACCCTCTATCGTATGCAGCTGGTGTTATCACTACTCGTACAGTTGCAGAAAACCCCTGACAGTGTATCGCATTCTAAGTTTTGTTACTTGTGTTTATGTGGTTTAAGTTTCTCAGTGCCCACTACCAGGAATCTGGACCCTTGTGCCTACCGATCCCTGCCTGGTCATTTCTTCATTCGCTACAGCCATTCCGGTCTGACAGACGTATCATTTCGCAATTGTGCAACCATTCCAACACGAACCGGAACCGGAGTCCCCACCCAATAACCCTGTAACACACCAGATCGGCCACAATCAGATAAAGCTTCGTTGGTTTAGGGAGGAGCTTGTCAATTATGTGTGACTTGACGTACATCAATGTGACTGGACTGGAGTGGATAGGATGTGTCTTGACTCAAGAACAGCTCACGTCAAAAGTGAGTCGAGGCCCTCAAGGATAGAGTCCTTGAATTAATTGTGCCTTGCTCTCCGTGCTCTCTCGAAGTAGCATTCTTGCACTCTGGAAGTAGGTAACTGCTCATAATTATTTGAAAGTCCTGAATCTCTGCTGCGCTTCTGCTATCATCTCTAAGCTCACCCGTCTCCATCACTTTGACACGAGTCAGTCAATGAATGCGACTACTCACCATGATCAAATTGTGTTGCGTGCCTATAGCTACCCCATTGACTTTGCTTTATTCAGTGAGCTTACGTCTACACGACGTCGAAAAGCTAACACAGGCAAACATTCGTTCAAGATCGCTATACAATTACGAATATCATAATACTGATTGATCGGGACTCAACTTCAGATATACACACACTGACGAAAGTCGAGTACCACAGCCACGTTATCAACCCATGGAAACCTCAACAGCAGTCAAGCTGCCAAAAGTAGCCATCAGGTTCTGCGTACAGTGCAAATGGAATCTACGAGCCGCATACGTAAGTGTCCTGTCTACATCTACGCGACCACAAGGACAACAACCTTGACAGCCCAAAACTCCCGACTCAATGCGTACCTACCTTCGCAATTTTCCTAGTCTAGCTTTTTCCCGTTACCTAATCATGTATTCGACAGTACGCTCAAGAACTTCTGCAAACTTTCTCCGAAACTCTAGGTGAAGTATCCCTCATTCCAGTGACAGGAGGCACATTCACGATCAATCTCTACACTGGCGCCATACCCAGCTCTCTTTCAGAAGAGAATTCTCTCTCTGCGGAATCATCTACCATCACAGACACCCTAATCTGGGACAGGAAGCGAGACGGTGGCTTCCCGGAGACGAAAGAGCTAAAGAATCGTGTTCGGAATGTAATAGACCCGAACAGAGACATGGGACATGTAGATCGTGCTTTGAAGAAAGGAGGGCAAGGGAAACCAGAAGAGGAGCAAGAAGTGGTGCGAAAGGGCAGTGCGGAGGCAGAGAAGCAGCAGCAGGGACATTCTGAGCCAAGTCACGCTGAACATAAAGCAAGGGATTCTGCTCCGGCTGATTGTGAAGAGTGTATTGAGGCCGCTAAGGAGGATCAACCTGCTAATGAGGCTACATAGACATCGTTTAGAAGAGTCTTCTAAAGCATTAAACCACATCCTCAGGCCTTGACACACCGTCCATCCTTGCCCAGCTTCGGCCCCAGTGTCTCTCTGCTCTACCACTACGGACCGGCCCATCACGAAGAACTCTCGCACAATCTGCTCAACCACCACAATCAAAGAATCCTATTCAACCGCCTCCACTTCGCCACCACCTCCTCCGCTCTCGCCTCCTCTATCTCAGCAGCAGCACCATCATCATCATAGTCCTCATTAATCTCATCCACCACCTCCACCTGATACAACCTTGGTGGCTTCGAGGGAGAACCTACTACCGTTGGTGGTCGAGGAACAGAATCATAACTTCGATCCGCGCATCGTCCCGCTTCCTGCCTGCTGTGAGTACTAGCGTTTCCTCTATGGACCGCACTGGTTCGTGGAGCACGATGAGTATCAGTAAAGCATCTTCGTGCATTCCCAGTACCGTCTGCATTTATGGTGAGCACCAATTGCTCGCCCTGCTTGCTCGTGGTGAGGACGTTAACTGCTTGCCTGCCGCCGTTGCTGACCCAGTCAAAGGCAGGGCTGGATAATACTGAATCTGGCGGAGGACTGTTGCCGCGTGCTGCTGCCAGGTCTGCCTGTCGATCAAGGACATTTTTGCTTCTGTCGGTTGTGAATAGTGTAGCGTCATCCATAGCTTCAGTGTCAGCGTTCTTCCTCTGCCTGTGTACATATCTACACTCGGGACATGTGCACATCCTGCTGTATTCCCGTGGCGAGGTTCCCACCATCGGCATGCTGCTAGACGGCGCTATTTCGTGCCACAGGTAACATTTCGGGCATTGATGGCGACGACCTCTGCCGAAGAGACCAAAAGGTAGTGGGTCGGTCGATGAAGCGGCATCCTCATCCCCGCTATCCTCTTCGTCCGATGTGATATGCGGATCTTGACGCCTTGCCGAGCTCCCAGGCTCGGGAATTAAACTTGTCCAGACATGTATATCATGAGCAGGGCTAGGAATAGCAGGCACAGGTTCTGCGACAAGAGTCTGACTGGCTAAGGTCGTTCGAGGCGAAATTTCAGCACTATCTTCTTCGCTACCATGATGGCGCTGTGCCTGTCGGCCTTGCTGATCAAGAATGGCGGCTGCGTTCGATGCAAGCCTACCAGCAGTGGCATTGCGGCCTAGACTATGAAGAGGCTCTCGCTCGTCTGGTGCTAATTGACCAAGCTCGTCGTAATCGGCAGGCACTAGCGCGTCCTCAAAGACGTCGAAGTTGAGTTTGTTTCGATATCGAGTCGACTTAGTGGAAGCTGACGACCGGGATTGACGTTGAGACGTGGAATAAGTTGGGGATTTGAACAAGTCGTGTCCGGATGTGTCTGACCCAGGAGAAGCATGCGATGTGGTAAAGAGGTTATTCTGCGCATCAGGTCCGAAACGTGGCTGTGGACTTGATGCTGCAGAATCAGCAGTCGTGGTGTGAAAGTAGTGATGATGATAAAAACGTTGACTAGTGGGATAAGATTGATAAACCGCATTTCTTGAGGGTACGACTCTCGTGGCTCGATCGTACAGCCACTGAGAATACTCTGAGTGTCTTGCCATACCAAGAAGTTGCTCTTTAGCCAACCTCGTCCTTGTCGTATCTGACACAGCCGGGCACAAAATGATGCTTCCTTCGGATTCTGCAGGACTACAAGGGTCGCTACCATCATCTTCCTCCGAGCTAAAGCTAGGCATAAAAAGTCTCGGCCCTGCACCACCTCGCAGATCCTGAGTTCGGGCAGACGTCGCTTGTGAACTTGCACTCGTCTTTTCGACATCGCTCGTACGGTCTCCTGTGGTTTCTTTGCTTCTGTTCACCTCATCCTGGATTTGAGCTCTTAAATCAGTCTGCCACCTGTCGCGTTCTTCGTCTTCAGTTAGAGTTTCGGGAGCTTCAAAAGGCTTTGGCGTGGCGGTACTGGGGCGTTTTCTAGAGCGTCCACTTCGCGGCTGCTGGAAAGCTGTAGCGTGCGAGTTGACTAGTGGTGGTCGAGGCTGCCGAGTCGCTTGGTGCCTGACCTCAACTTGTGACGTTGCAGCAGACGAGGCTGCTCTTCTGCTTCGCCCTCCCGCGGCTCTTTGTCCTCGTCCGGAACAGCGGAGATGCCTTGGTGGCTGGCCTTGTCCAATACCATCGACGAACTCGTCTGGTGACAGCGTTCGGCTGACATTAGTTCCTGAGGTCATTGCTATAGAACTTTTGCGTGTATCGCTGCTCGCTCTACGATGAGGAATAACGTACGGCATGAGACTTAGATTGTTAGCATAAACCTCCGCTGCTTCAGTCCGGCTAGAACCTTCATTGCTGGCTTCGTCGCGTTGGCCGAGGGAGTCGCGAGGAATGGTGCGATTCTGATCGGGGTCGAGTTGATCGTCAAAGTCAAACAGGCCTACGCTCGAGCCACCTCTGAGACGGCTTCGACGTGAAGATGGCGGTACCCACTGACTCTCGATCTCTTGACGATCTTGTTTGGCATCAAGAAGGATCTGCTCTATTATCTGCATTCTCCGTACTATATCCGAGCTTCCACTGGGGTTGTCTGATGCAGACTCTTCGTTGAGTCTTTCCTGCTTCCGTTGCTGAACAAGCACTCTTGCACTAGAAGGTCGTTGATTCTTGTAGTACTGACATGCCGCGGATCTCCATGGTCTGAGACCTGGTAGCCACAGTACCATAAGAAGAGCTATCAAAAGGTGAACGAAGAGGCAAGAGCACCATGTTGCCGCTGTACCGGTGCTCATGCTATTGTAGTGATAGACATTGGTAACAGGCACGGCCGTATACGACTGAATCGGGCATAGTCCAGCGCATGGCGAGCAAGACAGTTCCACTGATGCAACGTCGTGGTGTACAATTCTGGTTGCTAACTCGATGGGATGTGCAAAGGTAGCTACTGGATATTTTTGATCTGGTGAATTATTAGGAAAATCCCTCACGGGCGGAACGTCACCATGTGTCAGGACAGGTCCAGATAATGTGCTGTGACAGTGTGTAGATGGTGGAGTTGGATATTGGAAAGGCAAATGTATGGTAGCGCACATGCGAGAATCGACATCTCCGCGTGTTGTCTTCATGATCGGAGTCTTTGCCACTCAAACTTCAGGGTTTGTTGCTTTCAATAATGCCACGTTCTGCTTTTGCAAGCACTGATGATGAGCAGATGTTTGAGGACAAAGCTGGAGTAGCAAGTATATATGCTTGCTGGGTACAAATTCCTCATCGCAGGTGTTGTGTATCAAACACTACCGAGCCTGCGTTGGCTACACTGCCAACAGATGCAGTTATCGTCAGCATGCATATTGTGGTCAGTACTGTTTGGATGGTTTACTGCCCAATTTAGTGGTAGTAGAGCTCGAAACATGCTGCTCCCGTCCTCACCGGGTATACGCGATCAGACTCTGCACAGCAACTCCTAAGCGTCCTGCTTCAAGGCAAGATCTGTAGCTGTGGCTGCAGTTAGATCTGCCGATCGTTGTTGAGGCTCGCCTTCAGTTGGGTGGGAGTCCGTTTGAGGTTCTTGACTGGCAGACGAAACTGCGGTCGATTGTTCTTGGCCAACAGGTAAACCCTTGCCCACGGAATCTTCGTCTTCAGCATCCATTTGCAGCAAAAATGTCTCCCATATTTCGATCAACTAAAAACACAATTAGTGAATCATCCACGAAGTCGACGCAAAACTCACTTCTTTCTGCGCCTCAACAGCACCTTCTAGAAACGTTTCAACGCCACTTTTGAAATCTTCAACTTTCTCTCTTTCGAAGCGTTCGAGCTCATTGCGCATGAGACGACCCATATCCTCAAACAAGAGACGCGCTTGATGGGCCCGTTTCTCAGCATCACTAACACTAGCGCTGACTTCGTTCAGTTTGTCTTGTTGGCTGCGACCCTGGCGCAACAGTTTGTCGTGTGCACTCCTTCTTTTCTGCAGTTCACTTTCAGCAGCATGCCAGGAGTGATAAGCTTTTTGCCGTTGACCAAAAGCTGTCTTCACACTTCCGATCAGTCTGACGTATTCGTCGATGGTAATACCCAGAGTAAGGACGTCTGTTTGAGCCTGGCGTTGATACAGCTCTTTTATGCGAACTTGCACATCCGAGAGACCTTGAAGCGGACCTGAAAACATTGGGCTGAGCTCGACCTGTGCCAAAGACCCAAGCGAGACTGCAAATTCACCAGCAGCCTCAGCAAGACCTTTTCTTTGAATGATGACAGTATCTAGTGCTTTCTCAAGTGCCTTCAATTGATTTTCTAGAGCATCAAGGTATATCCTTCTGTCGTGAAACCAATCGTCATGCTCAACGAACTTGCCGCTCGAGCCTCCGACATTGATGCCAATTGCACTTAACATGCCCTTATTGCTCTGGTCGAGTAGAGGGTCTCTGTTCTCCTTGTTCTTGATATCAACGTTGAAAGCTTCACTTTCGAGGAAGATCTTGAGGTCGGCATCGTGATGTAGGATAGGATGAGCCGCAATCTTGTTTAGCATCCGTTCAAGAGCTTGCCTTCGAGACTCTACGAACTCGGTATCAAAGCGACCGACAGCTTGCTTTTCTGGTGGAGGTGGTATAACCACACCAGGATTATTACTGTGCAACGAGTTGTAGAGCCACAGGAAGTCGCGATATCTTCGAGAGACAGCAAACTCGGGTTGCTTGTAGGCCTTGGAAGTGGTCTAACACGTCGTCAGTATTCAGTAGTGCTGTTTCTGCTTTAGATTTACCCTTGTCCTAACTTGATAGACAATATGACTGCTTGTAAGGTCGCCTACTTTGTGAGGATCGCCCACTGAGATGTCGAATGACGGTTTTGCAGCTTGCTCAACACTCATACTAGGCTGCGTCTGTCGAGTAGCGCCTGGCACTGAGGCCTGCGCTGGCGCTGGGCCGCGAGACCTGATGGACAGGTTATCTCCATCGTCACCTGCTGCGGAAGCTGGTCTGGCGGCCGAGACCTGCCTTGTACTGGGCTCTTTACTTGGAGGGGTCGGTGCCTGGTCAACTTGTGCAGGCGCAGGTGGAGGTATAGGTTCAGCGACCCCAAGTGGTCCCAGAGGATCGGTCGAGTCGTCAATGGAGGAGAGGACAGTCGACTGAGCAAGGACTTTCTTCGTTGGTGGTCTTCTGCCAGCAGGTGCTTTTGAAGGTGCTGGCGACGCTGTGGTTTTCGTACTTTCAGCCTTTGCTGCTTCCTAATTAGGTCTATACTCTCGAAGCCATGTACTGCACATACGTGGGCTGTTCTCTTTCTTACTGCCTGCCTCTGCATGTGATGGGACATCTATCTTATTAGTTGTCGCGCAAGTAAATGGAAAGGCTGGATATACCGTCCCACGGTGAGTCGTCCATCTTCGTGTCCTAGAAGGATTCTCGTGATTTCTATATTCCAGCAAGAAGAGTGTTCAAGTTCAGGTTCTACTTGCGTCAAGGTTGGCGGAGCAGCCCGCGCGCCTGTCGGCTTACATGAGTGGAACGGCCTTGGCTTTAAATTCCACATTAATTCAGCATCTCGCTCACGCAAGCGCTCACCATCGTGCTGCCGCTTTTGACCTCGGCTCACTTGCCGCTCCAGTAAGCTTATGTTTAGCTTAGTGTTTAGTAGTTACCTTTTACTTAATACTATTAACGCAGGCGCGTTCTTTTATGCTACGGATTATACGCTGCATTTACTCTAATTGTTACGACCACACATATATTGGTCAGAACAGACCACGTGCCACTACGGTACATCATAGATAGACAAGACTCGGTCCGTAGGTTCCTCACCTGCTTATCGACGTCGCTACGTTACTTGGAATACTTCCAAGTACTGGATCGTACAGATCAGGCATGTAACAATACTCAAGACTCGTTCCCACTGGCCGTTATCTGCTATGGTCCTAATACTAATATGTCCACGACGGCGATTACGATAGCGATCATGATCGTATACTTAGATACCTTTTTACTAATCAGCTAGGGCATTTCTCTATAGCTGTATATAAACGACTTCAGGATAGTAATATATTTTATACTTCTTTCCTCTACTACATATTAGCTCGTCTCGCAGGCTTCTAACATTGTCCTTCTCCTAATCTTACAGACTTTCTTTAAGCAGTTTCTTTGCTTGAGCGCTTGCAGTATTGTGCAAAGTCATGCAGCTCTTAAAATAACCGGATCGGCCGGTCTTACATTGTTCGAGCATACTGATAATGACAGGGGCCTGCTGCATTGTACTCAGAGCTGTGAAACCTGCAAAGCTGGTCACAGGAGTGTTGTGCCAGGTGGAATTGTCCCAGTCTAGCACATCGTCTTGTGCAGAGAGCCAGTGCAAGTTACGGCTGAGAACAATGCCAGCTGAGTCACTGAGTACGATCTCGAGCAGTCTGACCTATCGTGATACAAAATGATGTTGGAAGGAGGATAGTACAACGATAGGAGGGTGCGATGTTTGACCAACATTCCGCATTTGTCGTCTCTGTGCCAAAGGTCATTCAGGCATGCTTGCAAGCACGTGATGATGCCTGAGAGCTTTGGTCTGCGCCTGAAACTCCGCCGGTGATTAATAGTGATTAAAGGAAATCGGGAACTACACATCGTATTATAAGTATAAAAATGACTAGAAAGTATTGATTGGTCGCATATGCTGTGCACCAACAACCTAACACCTAGCACCATGCGCACCGATTAATCTTTCTCCATATTCTCATTTAAAACGTGGAAAGCAGAATGGATGGTTGACTTTCAGTGGTGCTGGCTCAATATCAATCGAATCCATGTTGATAATCGCAGTGTTGAATGGCAGACCAGTAGTGGAATACAGAGGGTAGTTCCACTGGATCTCAATCCATATGTTCATCGTGTTGTGGTTAGCCGTAAAGCTGACAGTATTGTACTTCCAATTTGCTTGGTTCCTGTTTTGTAACCCGACATCGTTGGTTCTCAAATCCTGCAAAGTTTGGCGTCCAACAACAACACCGTCCACTGCCAGCACGATATCGGCTGTTCCTTCATACCAAGCTTCCACATTGTAATGGTATGAAAGGACATAGGTAGCTCCTTCAGTGAAGTTTGAAACGGCCTGGGAGAAGAAAGGATAGTTGTACTGATTCATCTTGCCAGTCGTAGCATCGTAGGTTGGCGGCCATGATGTGAAGTTCAGATACTGTGTGCCGAGTTGGGTGCAGATCATGCCACAGAGAGAATTGCTCATAGGTTTTAAACCCTGACGTGACAATTCCCAAAACGGGCTGTAGACTCGATCGTTCGGCTGGCCGTTGCGCAGATCGAGCAATTCGAAGGAAGGATCGCGAAGGTTGGGTAGTCCACAGATAGGGAGGTCTGCGAGGTGTGTTGCAGGGACATCTGAGGTAGACTCTTCTGAAGTAGGAAAAGCTGTAGGGCTTGCGATCGAGCTGAATGTGGAAGTGTCGCAAGGGCAGACATAGCTCGTGTGCGTGGAAGTGACAGTAGTGGTCGTGTCAGACAATGTGAGTGCACAAGCGAGCGGCAGCACTGCCCCGAGGCAGGCTTTCAGAAGGAGCGACATGGAAACGAAAGACGGCGCGGGACGAGTTCACAAAGACAGTCAGCACTTACCTTCATCGACTTCATCGTGGTATTTCTACGTTCTCCCTTTCATGGTTAGAGTTCGGCTTTTCAGCTGCTAATTTTCCATGTCCTGCTCAATCTCCTCCGCGTAAAGTAAACTACTAAGGGGCAATCCTCACCTGGGCGTCACCCACGTGACAGTAAGCACGGGGTGAGCTGAAGCGGCCTCACCCTGGACCGGGTGAGGCGATGAGCTCGATGCAGAGTTCCCTCAACTTGGCAAATATTCGGCAGGCGCTACTTTTATCAGGCTGCCTAAGAAAGCCATAGCACATTCAGAGAACAGAAAGGTTTGGGAGTGAACAGCTATTCACTACTTTGATACACAGATCCATTACACGGCTCAATCTATCTGCCTTCTGGCCAGGTAGCGATTACATATACACAATTCTGCCCAAGCTTTTAGAACAGCAGCTCTACCAATGAGAGTGTGAAGGTAGAACGAAACAAGTACTATCAGGAGAGCTTTGTTGAGCTCTTTCAAGAAAAGACTCGCTGCATCGTGCTTTCCATCTCTTTGCTCTCTTCTGTGCAACTTTGGCGGCTTCGTTACCAGACCGTAACGTGCTCTTTCGCGCCCACGACGAAGGCACAAGGCACGACCACTTTCGCTGAGCGCTCGTTTTGCGAGTCGTCGCGTTTCTGGTGTGCGAGCAACGTAGATATCGAGCGTAGAGGTTTCCGGCTTTCGCTGTGCACAAGAAAGATACCGCATGTGTGATGGTCGTCGTATCCGCCGTGTTCAAAGCTCTCAATTCTCACCGAAAATCTCAACTGTATCATATCTTCTTCCTCGCAAGTTGAGCAGCACTCCCCTGATCCTTCTTTCCAAACTCGCTAATCATCTGTAACAGAGCATTGTCATCATCCTCACCAAACATATCTGCTAAATCATCATCCGACGTTTTAGGTTTCTTCGGCGTCTTCACGGCCTTGCCCTCAGACGTTGGCGCATCAGGTTCTCCTGTCGTATGCGCAGTCATCTCCTCCCCAACTGCAGTAGCTAGACCTGCCACATTGTAGCTCTGACCAAATCGTTCTCGAAATCTTGCTAATCGACCTGCCTCGTCTGCCTCTACGTTTTGTAGGTCTCGTGAACTGGGATTCCAAAGTGGTGCGTTTCTTGTATCTCGACTCGATCGGTAAACGGGTACAGGCGATGTCGTTCGCATTGTGAATGCTGAACCATCCGAAAGCGTGACGAGTTGGGTAAAGGTATATGGTCTTTTCGGCCTTCTCAGTAATCGCGCATGCCTACATGACTGGCAGATATATGTGGTAGAAGTTTGTGATGAAGGTAGACTAGGGAGTGTCGCTGGTCGAAGCACAGGTCGTAGTGCTTGCGACATGATGTACCGGGGCTTGATGGGAAGTGATGACTTTAGACAGTCTCGTGCTCAGACGATGTTGTTACTTGAACAAGCTCGAGAACCAGTTCGTTATTAGGAAGCCCTTGGCATTGCTTCGACACAACTTGCGGTAGGAATCAATGAATGGTCGATTCTGTAAAGAAACTCATTAACGCCAGATCACGTGAACCGTTCTTTCATTCGGCCTCGTCTACTGGCGTTAACGCCTAGTACTCTATACTAGCATTTTGGATTCTGGTTCTTCACCCCATGCCCTGACTTCGAGTCGAATGATTGGACTACGTAGTGCACTTGTGCTTACCTCGATGCCACGGTCACGATCGCCACTGGGCTGATGCGCTGTACACTCTCGCTCTTTTGAACAATAAACGTCCACTGGGCTCAAAGGTCTACTACACAATCGATATGCTACTGATCACCCGTTTCGAACCTTGACTACGGATTTAGAGGAAGTTTCCACGCGTGCACACAGAACCCCTGACAATGGCTCAGTCAACATCCACCCTCCCCCAAACCACACCCTCAGAAACACCCATCCAAGCCTCCCCACGCTTCGAGTTGGAACTCGAATTCGTCTCCGCCCTCGCAAACCCAGAATACCTTCAATTCCTCAGCTTTCACTACCCCCAACTCTTCCAGTTCATGAACCCTCTCGACTCCTCCAACACCTCAACCTCAGCACAAGCAACCACCAAGAAGCCCAAATCCTCCTCCAACGACAACTCCGACGCAGCAAAGTTCGCGCGTTACCTCAAGTATTTACTGTATTGGAAACGGCCAGAGTATGCGCAGTTTCTGTCACATCCGGCCGGGACGATCAGGAATCTGGAGTTGTTGCAGAATGAGCAGTTTAGAAAGGATATTCTGCATTTGGATTTAGGAGTTAGGTTGGCTGAGGGCTTTACTGGGCAGGTGGATCATGTTGTGCCTGAGGAGGCGCCGGCACCCGAGGTCACGGTTGTGGAGGATGGAGCTGAGGTTGCTGGGGATGGCGATGGCGGTGTGAATGGAAGTGGCAACGTTGCTGCTGCATCGTAACAGCTTGGTATAGCTTTGTCTTCCTACACCTGTGTGATGCTGAGCACCCAAGGAGTAACGATTCCACGGTCATGATCTGAGACGCAGGTGCGGAGAATCCATCAGTGGTTTATGTTCGTGTACATCTTTACTCAGCATACTCCGTGAAAACACATTTGCACTACGTCCTCAACACATACTGAGAGTGCTGTGGTCATGACCGCAGTTTCGTCAACTTCAATGTCCGCTAGGAGGTCGAGATTGCTGCATCGTAGCACTAGTCACACAAGCTCTGTTTCGTTTGATGTCAACCCATACGTTTACACGAGCCGCAGTCAGCTGCAGGACTTCGTACCTGACACATTGCGACACAATGGTTCGCTTCAGCCCCGAAAAAGTCTACCTAGCAGTACCATCATCATCCTAGTCAGCTTGAGACAGTCAGCTCATCCCTCTCATTACGCTGGTTTCACCATTTACAGGATGAAGACTGCCTGAAAAGGCAACCGCCCAGAATCTATCGGCTATACAAGCCCAGATTGAAGGTAATTTACGAGAAGCGCGATTCATCGGACGCGTATGCAGATCACGGACTGTGTCCGTTCATAGAAGAGATAAGTTGGTTTTGTGACCTATCTGTGTTCGACCACTTTTCGAACACATACGATGAGCTGAAGAGCTGCTGGTCAAATGACGGTGGCCATGAATGACTGCTAGCTATGTCCCTTAAAGCCTTCTGACCTCGGGTCTGTGAGTATGGTTGAAGAGAAAAGTCCAGTGTTATGGTTGGGTACATTGCTTAGTGGCTTTCTAGAGTCGCATATGGAACTTGAGAGCCCAACAATCCACCTCCGCATGGTCGGTAGTCACTGCGTACTCATTTGTATCTGCGAGGAAACGGTATCCGACAGTCCGCAGCCAGTGGGAGTTTGCAGACGGCTGAAGTGATGAACAAAGTTTTGAAGTCATCTATGCGGGTCAACACCGCAGCAGTATCCGTGATCGAGGTACCTGTATTGGACCGGCGTCCGCGAATACAAACGAGGATACGGCAGTCTGCCGAAACCTTCCAAGCAAAACTGCAAGTAAGATGCGGAGCATTCATTCAGAGCTTGAATCACAATAGACGTCGTAATTCCCATACCCCAGAGCATGGGTCATCCCTGAGCACGTGTCTGTGGAGCAGTCTAGAACGGAATATTACCTGCATACAGACTAGACATGTGGCCTAGGCAACTGTTCGTGCGACTGTTTGGTTGCAATGCTGAAACTTTGAGAGCTTTGTCATAGCTGCTGTTGTTTTGATCGGAGGACCCCTGTGTTCACGAAGTGAGTTCCTCGTAAAACCGACGATGTTGTCAGGCGCAGCAAGGTCACACGCGTTTTGGCCTTGGCATGGTTTGTTTTGCTGAAACAAAAGCAAAGCTGTGCTTCCAGAATCAAGAAGATCTGAGGGCTTGCCCTCAATAGCGCCCACGATCGACAACAGCATCTGCTCTGCGATGTGCGCTATGGCGTGCTCAGAGGACTTCTCGAAATGATCGCTGCATATAATTTCCGGCGGTGCCTGTCGATTATTCTCTTGGCTAAAGACTGTGCAAGGATGACTGCGACGTACAAGGATAGTCGCCATACTGCTCCTGTGTCTTATTCCATCCTTCTCCGAGTATCACCACAATATATCCTGCCATTAAAAGGTCTTGGCTGAGGCCGGGTCCTTGTACAATGGATACATGTACCCGGAAGTGAAATAAGTATGCCGATTGGGACAGAAGAGGTTAAGGAACATCCTCGTGAAGACTTTGTCATTCCGTTTGGCATGCCCGATGACAGGCATTCGAAACCTCAGCCCGCGCTCGCCATGCTAGACAGGAACCTTGCCACAGTGGAGATCGTGTGACTTGACTGACACCAAAGAAGGAATATGCCTACTCCATACGTCCAAAGCATGGTCCAGACATTGTTTCAATTGCTGGTCGGTGAATGACATTTGAGTCTATACAAAACGTGTAGAGGTACTATTGCAAAGTAAAGCTGAAAAGACTCGTCGGAAATATTTGATCAAAGTGGTCGTCCGCAATCACGCTAAGTTGGGCAGGAACGAAGGATGCCAGTCAGCAAGAACGAACCGGTGATTGAAGAAGCAACAGGCATGATATTTGCCGAAACCTGACAAATGATGCACTGCACCGCCGAAAGTAACCTTGGAGAAACGGCTTACAAGCCATATGGTAATCGTTTCATCATGCAATGCGTGTTGCTCCTAGTAGGTATGCTATTGATCCCCGACGGCTCTATTGTTCGGGATCCTGGACTACTAGGGCGAATCAATGATGACAGAGTACAGTGATTGCAGGCCTTTCGTCATCAAGCAATCCTAGTTGAAAACGTCGGACTATCTGTCAACCTCGCTCTCCCCAAAAACGTAATGGTGAAGACTGCAGCTTGGCCCTGCCACCGCACTAGGATGATCAATACTCTTGCAAATGCCTGAGAACTCTCTCTCCTAGGGCGCCTGCGTGTGGTACAGGTTCTGTGCATTCTGAGTAGCCTTGACCATTATCCCTCCGAGGCTCAGTGTCGTCAAGGTCTGTACAATAACCCGAGTGATACGATACATGAGTCTCAACATGTAAGGCTCCACCTATCTCCTCCATATCTCGTGGTGGCGGGCATCTCTTGGTGGCCGCGAACCACACTAAAGCGAGTGGCTGCTTTTGCCAATCAACGACATGCCAACCTCTGTTTGCATAAGGTTACAAGTCTGTTTGTAAAAAATTGCCTGGCCAGTGAAGCCGACTCCTGTAATCCCTCTATCCACGTGTCCCAGATCTCGACTGGAGTTGTGGTAAATTTCAAGTAATCTTGCTTTTGTAGTGGTATTGACATGTTTGTACAATCTTCTGTGGAGAAACTGTGACGATATAACGTGGCTCTGTTCGCTAACTTTCAGAAACATAGGAGAATATGTTTGGCGTAATGTTTATAGCTGTACACGGTAGTGCTGTACATATTTCCATTGAGACGTTTCGCACACCAGATGTGCTACTCTTCAAATGGAGATGGCAGTCACTGAGATGAATTCACTTTCAAGTATAGTCTTTTGAGACTGCAGTGCCAGGTAGATAACTGGGTCGTGCTTGGGTCGCCCTATGATCCCATTCCCTCGGCGAGAACATTCGTGGCGTACTGGGTGAATACGAGTAGGCCGGCGCAGGTGTCTGAGGTGAGAAATCGTCATTCACTCTCGTGAGGTTTTTGTTGTTGAAGTAGTCATAATGTTGCTTAGCATCCGGCTCCGGCGTCATTGGGGAGCTTCTCAAGGGATGGGCTTGGCTAGGGCTCGAGACTCGGTCTGGAGAAGAAATGTTCAGCGCTGGGGTGGTCTTGGCCGAGTCGAGCATCTCGTACGTACGTGTATCGTTCGAAATTCCTCTTGCGTCTGCAGACACAAACTCATGCCTCCTGCGAAAGATCTTGCTCTTGACAAGGTCCCGCCAGCCGAGCACCATTGACCATCTTCCAAGGAATATCAGCAGCCAAAACCCACTAATCTAATGCTTGTTAGTAGGAAATAGCCACAAAAGGACTTCAGAACATACCCCCAGGCACACCAGCACCGCAATGACAATCCCCTCATTCTTAACTAGACTTTCAGCGTGTGGTAAACACCGGGCCTTGTCACCACCACTAAGTACCAAGCAAGTGAGCCATGGTGTTGCTTTTCGGAAAAGAGCATCATTGACCTGCGAGCTGTTGTCCATCGACACAAAGATCACGGCGAAGAACACAACCTCTGCGATTATGAGCAAGACAATCATTGCTCCCCTCCACTGCAGTTCGACAATCCTCTTGACCCTCCGATAGGTTTGACGTGCTGAAGCTGTGTTGACACTGCTGGAATATGTAGGAACACCGGAGCTGTTTTCGGTAGATGCTTTATCATCGAGCAGGCTTCGCACGTAGACATTGACGCAGTAACCGATCGTAATAAACTGTAAGACCAGCGCCAATGTGGCAAAGGCTAGCAGTGGACCCCAAAAGACTTCGAGGCCATTTTTGTGGTTGAGGTGGCACACGTTACCAAATCGATAGGAAACTCCAGTCAATGCAAGAGTGAGAGTAACGTCAATGCCTGGAATCAGCCATCCTATAATGAGAGTTGTCCAGTAAAACAAATTGCCAGTCGCAACTTCCCAGCAAATCTGTAAATGTAATGCAAGAGCTCTCCAGAAGACCCATATCACAACAGCCCATCCTCCGAAGATCAGGAATGCACCGCTAAACGCGCAAGTCAAGTCGGATCGCATATCGTTCGGTGTTATCTCGTCGAAGCACTGCTGGGGACGAGCGGCCAGAGGAATCAAGAAGGCAAGCTGTCTTTGTAAGCCGAAAATTCGACGCTAGTTGTAGCTAACGCACCTCCATGCAGAGAACGCCGATTGCAAGGCAAACGCTCAGGTAATGTCTCGATGTCCACTTGACTGGCAATACAGCGTATGATATCAGAACGAACAAGGTAAAGGTTGTAGCAGCCACGTTGACCCAACTGGCAACTTCTGTCCGTTGTTCGAAGCCATCGGCATACAGCCAATCAGTCGATGGGCATGGCACACAGCATGTTGCATTGAGCGCATCAACAGGTATACACAACCGGCCGGTGATGACTGCAGTGATCAGTACTTGCTTCAAGCGCGATACAGACGTTGTAAAACATACAGCCTCCATCAGTAGAAAAACTAGCCTCGTCGAAGAATGGAGCTGGACAATGACCACGAATGGCCGTCAGATTTGTTGGTACTGTCATTTTGACGTATCGTAACCCAATGACCAGATCCTCCTAGAGATGCTACTGATGTCCTCCTCGCATGATGGATCCAGCCGCATACAGTGTATGTACTGGCCGAGATGTAAGTCGAATCGACGGCACGGTGGTAGAACAGTGGTAATGTTGGTCTGATTTCTGTGCTGTTGTAGGGCTGACGAAGTGATTCATACACGACAATAGAGGTGCACGAAGAAGTGCTGGGGAACGTAGGAAGGATATGCAGAACAAACCATTGTGTCCACCTTGATACCCTGGTCACCATGGATGGTGGATCAAAAGGGTCGAGGTCAGCATGTGGGGATGCAAGAGCCGTGGCATTACTCGTACTGATACAACCGACAAAACCATTCGAGACTCGGTCGTGCAGCTAGTCTGGTGACGGGGCATATCCACGATGACACGAGGATATAACCGAGCTTGGGACCCGCCAGTCTGTTCTGTATAGGCTGTAGGTGGTGTGTTGAAGTACACAAGTGTGCTAGGGGCTTGGGTATGCCTGCGAATAAAGAGTGAAAGAGAGGCATTAGAGTGCGAAGATTGTTTGGTAGGACAACGAATGAAAGTCGCGAGCAGCTGCGCACCCAAGCTGCGGACTGAAGTTACAAGCGAATTACAACCAAGTAGGCACATCGACGATGTTCGTTGGGTCGGCAAGGTGCATATGGTTCAGGTACTCGCGAAAGCAACTCGCCTAGCGTGTTCTGCAGCTGCAAAACGCGGTCTAGCGTCCATTGAGGTCTCGGATCCAGCTCGAACCCTGTCACTTCTGAGTTCCGGGCTAGACATGCCGCCAAGTTCAGGCTGACGGAGCCGCGATACGGAGCATTGCTCAAATCGAGCTAAGCCATATCAGATGCTCGGCATACACACAGAAATAGTCACTAAGGTTTGACCAGGGCGATGGTGTTACTGCTGTAACAGTCGCCGACGAAGAAGCTCAATGACGACCATCGTACGGTCGTGCCAGCCGATAATGACTTGGCGGGTTATCGCGAGAGTACGAAACATGGCGCAAAGAGGGGGTGATGAGAGACCTGACATCCCTGTGTGTTACCACGATGGTCAGGATTTGTAGTGCAAAAGTTAGGTTGTTCCAGAATTTGTCCGATTCGTAACACAGCAGGTGCGACCAGTGTCCCACAACAAGAGCTCCATGTCAGTGCATCCCGCGCACGAGTAGGTTGAAGAACCGAAGCCTTTGAAAGTCTCAGGGAAAATTGAAGCGACGAATCCAAGCTGAATCATGTAATTACAGTACGAGTATGAACCATTGCTGCCAGAAATCGAACAAAGTCCACACGTAAGAAGGCAGCGGTATTACGCTTCATCTTGACATCATGATTGTATATGCGTGGTGTCTCCAGCCTTAGCTGAAAAATACAGCTTGGAACATTCACGTATCAATTTGCGAGAGGACGGCTCCATACTAGATGTGATTTGAATTACCTGGGAGATCGTCGTACGTGGTCTACCACAGTGATCAGCACAGAGCGTTGAAAGCTATGCGTGTGGCTGTGCCACAATATCAAACCTATCATATCTGAAGTCATGCTGCAATTCGAAAAGGTATTCGTAGAGTACAAATAGGCAACAACTTCGTTTTCGCTGAAAAAGGTTCGGGGAATTTGCTAGCAACGCTTGTGTTAGCGTGCCAAGCAGACGTAGAAGCGGCGGCATTAGGCGCTGTAATGAATGGCAATATCGAAGAGCATTTTTCTGATTGGGTATTCCCCAGATCACCAGAAGCTTTGCACCAGTAGTAGCTTCCACCAATCGCGTAACTCATCAACGGCTTGCTCGAATGCAGGAACGTTATTGGTAACGAGGGATCATTGCGGCAATTCCTGCAAGCAGGGTTCTGCACGAGTAGATTCACGCTGGCCTTGAGATCGAGATTGAATAAGTCTAGCTGCATGCTGCGCCAATGCTGGAGCAGGTACAGCACTATGGTCCTTTTGGAAGGTTGGTAGATGCATTGTGAAGTCGCAGCCTCGTAGCGATCGCCTATGCCTCCCTGAGTTACGGCATGAGCTCTTCACCGCGGGCAGTGTCTCCTGTAAAGAAAATTCGACCAGTCAAGAATTCCGAGGACTTTCTAATGGACTGCTGAGGACATTAGGGTAGACAGTTCAACGAATCGATCTGAGACGTTTCTTTCCTTTTTGGGTGTAAATTGAACATCAACTTGTGATAGCTCTATGGTGAAGCATATCTCCTGCCCGAACGTTCTGCTTCTATGGCATGTCGTACATAAACAGTGATTGACGGCGCTTTGCTCAGCCGATGCCGATGCCGGCGTGGCTTCGCTGAAGTAGGACGAATGGCCTGGCGACAACGTCTCAGCAGTTCTCGGGATCTGGTTCCGATCTTGGATGTATACGACGATGAGCTATTGTGCTTAATGAGGTGTTCTACCTCGAACAAACAAACAGATGTGTTTGACTGGAAGGAGTTTCATCCAACAACACAGTACATGCGTCGCAGCTTTTATTAAGACCTGGCTGTGCCACAACTTATTGATATTGATCTCAGGCCCGAGGATCTGGTGGTTGTGTGTTCAGTACTCGTTCGACGAACACGTCCAGACTGGCTTCAAATAGTTCGTTGTCGACACCGATCCCTCCAGGATGTTCTGCAGGAGACAGGGCATTTTTGACGACGTACTCGACGTAGATGTTGACGTAGATCTGCTGCAGGGCGTGTCGCATTGAGTTGGCTTTTACATCTGTCAACATGACGAATTTGATGTTTGTTGGCGTTTCGTAGTAATGGAGCTTGTATTGGGAGGTTCGATATGATAGAAAGCTGCAAGCTGTTAGCCAAAGAATGTACCATATGGAAAGTCATGCCTGTCGTCTTCACCACCCAGCTTCCGTACCATGTTACGCAACGAATACACAGTGCCGAATATCAACTTCGCATCATCGTCTGACTTTAGAGATTGGCGAGCAGGAGTGGGAGCGTTGGCTACCGTAGACTGGGACGGAGGACGTGAAGATGTGGCAGATGCACCAGGGAGGGCATCTTGCCAGCGCCTCTTGTAGATACACTCCGCTGGGACGTATGATTAGCGAGGTCCTATTTTGTATGTGCTTCGCGTTTACCATGTCTATCGAAGACGTAGAATGCAAAGACCACCATGATGGTCTGTCCAGCCTTCGCGGTGACTAGTCAGACAACGTGTAGGAGCAATTCAAGTGTTCGCAGTAGAACTCGTCAGTCATCGTGCATCAATAGACACAATGGTAGCACGATTAACATGTATAAGTGTTGTTCGACAGGAAAGGTATGGCCAACGAGCACTATCAATCGGTGCGAGAGGAAATCGGCTATACAGTAGATTGAGAGGAGTATAAGAGGTGAATTGCGATTCGCGCGCAAGTTTATTGGTTACTGCTTATTTCTTTGTGTATCATCATCTCTACTACTACCACTTGCAATCCCGTGATTTACAATAACAACATGTATCGCGCAATATTAATACCAAAGTTTCCATAGTACGTACGCGAAGGTAGGGAATTGTGCTCAACTGAGTTGTCGGAATATGATTAGATCCCTACTGTCTCGACAGAGGAGATCGTCTCATGGTAACCTAGACGAACGACAGGAGCGTCAACCACAACACAATGAATTTGTGCTGCTTAATAAGTAGTTGATACAACAACACATCGATCTGAGGACGATGTGAAGTTTGAAATATCAACAGCAAGAGTCCGTATCTGTATGGACGGGTTGGGTTCCATGGCAAACACCGAGCACTTCGGGTGCATTACGATCCGATCAAAATCAAGTTTTGAATATGCTGTCCATAGCGTAATTGGAAAGATACAGCATATACTCTAATTCTTGCACATCTTCTCTGAAGTACTACGTTATGTATGCTCGTCGGCTAAGTTCAATCCTTCACGTCGTCGATAACCTGGACCGGAAATGCTCACAGCCTGTACGTCGATAAGCTTGAGGGCGTATGAGCCTGACGACATAGGCCCAGGGCCAGCATTCGGAGGGGTCAACGAATGAGACGCCAGCGCCTGAAACGCGAGCTACGATTTCCGCCAGTTGTCAGACCACAACCTTATCCTCCGCCGTCACTGATATAGCACGATGTATTTCCGTGCGACGAATCCTGGGGCCTCCACTGCTCTCTATTCATAGTGCTGTACTCTTACCGTCGCTTCAATACCTATGTCGGGATCAACATGGACATTGTGGCCTCGCCCGTTTCAGACACGAAGTCGGCAACAAGCCGCTTCCCTGATCCATCTAGACCTTCCGGCGACTTGATGAACAGCCAGTATATCACTACACAAGAGGCTTCAGACCATCCTTCCGAGTTGACAAAACCACCTCTTCTGAAACATGTGTGCGTGGAGTTTATGCCAAGTTGACGAGCTCGAGCATCTGACAATGCTTCAGGTCAAGCCCCGCATACAACAGCCCGCTCAGACACCATCGCCGTAATCCATCTACACCGCACCAGGTCAAGGTACCACCACTACGTGCTTTTTCTTTACAGCATCTGACAAATCCTCCAACTAGGAAACCCTCAATGCTCGGTCGGAATATGTGACCAGTCAAGATGACGGAAGTGCTGAGCATCGCATCAATCAATATGTGATCAAGCAAGAAATAGGTCGCGGCTCCTTTGGCGCAGTCCACGTCGCAATCGACCAATATGGCAAAGAGTACGCAGTGAAAGAGTTCTCGAAAGCACGTCTTCGCAAAAGAGCACAATCCAACATATTACGGAAGCCTTTGAGTCAGCGGCGGCGAGCTCGGGGCGCTTTACAAGGCTTCAATTCTCCCCTGCATCGCAGAACTAACGACGATGCCACGGACTTCCAGGAAAACCCACTTGAGTTGATAAAAGAAGAGATAGCCATTATGAAGAAACTGCATCACCCTAACCTTGTCCAGCTGATCGAGGTACTGGACGACCCGGCCGAAGATTCCTTATACGTGGTGATGGAGATGTGCAAGAAAGGCGTGGTAATGCGAATAGACCTTGATCTCGATTCCCGTGCCGATCCTTACCCTGAAGAAACATGTCGTCTGTACTTTCGAGACTTGATCCTCGGAGTTGAGTATCTCCATGCTCAAGGTGTGGTACACCGAGACATTAAGCCAGACAACTGTTTGATTAACCATGAAGATGTTTTGAAAGTGGTTGACTTTGGAGTCTCGGAAATGTTTGCAAAAGACTCTGAAATGCTGACAGCAAAATCTGCTGGCTCCCCTGCTTTTCTACCTCCTGAGCTCTGTGTCGTGCGACACGGTGACGTTTCCGGCAGGGCTGCTGATATCTGGTCTATGGGTGTGACCCTATATTGCCTCAAAACCGGCTCTATTCCTTTCCAGAAACAACAATTGTTTGACCTCTACGACGCAATCAAGACGGATCAACCAGACCTGAGCAAAGAGAAGGATCCTCAATTCCGTGACTTGATGACTAGACTACTGGAAAAGGATCCCTCGAAACGCATCAGAATGTCGGAGCTACGGGTAAGTGGCACAAAAAGCTGTAATACACGATAGTACTGACACATGCAGGCACACCCATGGGTTACCAAAAATGACACTGATCCACTCCTATCAGAAGCCGAGAACACGGCTGAAATGATCGATCCTCCTACCGACGCAGAAGTCGACGCTGCAATTACAGGCGATATGCGAGGCCTGATGACAGTTGTCAAGGCGGTCAAGAAGTTCAAGAGTCTTACCGAAGACAAAAGACCGCCAGTCATGTCCTCAATCCTGGGTGATTCTGACACTGGCAGATTTAGTTTGCCACCTGGTCAGATGAAACCTGATAAGCCATCTTTAGAGTCCAGGTCCAAGAGCGTGAATCTCGACGACCGAGCACCTGTGGAGTCCGCCCTTGTGGCAGAAGGAGTCCATCGCGAGCTAGCGCCGACGTTGGATATCCCGACTCCAGACTCTCAACAGGTCAAGAGAAAGCCCGTACCGGTCGCTGTCAAGTCTGGTGGCGGAGACGAGGCTGATTTAGACCTCGCACGCTTACGACCCTCCTTGGAGGAGACGGACGAGCCGAGTGAGCTGGCGCCATTCCGTTCCTCTTTGTATCATGCTCGAACTACTGACGACATAGGACGCAAAGGTCATGCCCATGACCCGCTGGAAGATCAACTATACCTAAGAATTGGACCGTCGACCTTTGCCGGACACAGTACTCAAGACGATACAGAGGGCTGTTTCGTCCCAGATGACGAATACATAGTCAGTGAGAGTCCTGGTGCCGCAGATGTAGATATCTATGAAACGGCATATCGTGATGAGATTGAGCGTATCCTTGCACGTGCACATGAGCAGAATGAAGAGCCACAGGTTTATTTGACAAGACGTGTGGATGAGAAATTACTGCAACTGAGTGGACTGGCTGGAAAGCTTATGGCCCATGGTGACAATGCTAAGAGCCAATTTATGGATTACACTCAATTCAAAGAACGGAGGGCCAGAGTGGCGGAAGTCAGTAGAGCGTTGCGAGAGGCCTCAAGAGCCGAGTATGAGAAACGACGCCAAGAACGCAAAGATTGGATCGAGGCTGCGAGAACTGAAAAGGCTAAGGCAGCTCCAGCACGAAGCAATCCGAGCATGCCACTTGCGGTAGAGAATGTGCAAACACCAACTCGACCAGAAGCTAAGCCCGAGCAGGTCTCGCCAAAGCCTCTGGAAACAAGCAGTTCGTGGAGAGTAAAGGCTGCCGACCGTGGCAGATATGCCAAAACTGCGTTTTCAGGCCTTGTAAAAGAATTCAAAAAAGGACGAAAACCACAAGACGATGTGTCATGAAGCCAGCAAGAACGAACCATTAACGACTTGGGCTAACATATACAGCATATGAGAAGTATTCAACGAGGCACAGCACGCATCGAAGAGCTGCTGAAAGACCTAATCGATTGTAAGAGACCTCTCTACAGAGTCCCTGTTGTGACAGCTTGAACACCCCGCACCTCTGATACGTACCGTGGCCTTGGGCTCCGTGAACAAGTTGGCATTCCCGCCAGAATGCGAAGCCGTCAAATTTGCAGGCAGCTCATTGATGGGTCGTTCTTATGCAATTCAGCTAAGCCAACCTGATACGACCGAGAGGTTTGCTGCGTCGCGAATCTGAACAGTATATGTATATAGTGGCATTGTGCCGTTCTGGCGTTGTGGTAGAGAATGACAGAGGACAAAGGTTTACATGGTGGTGGCAAGTGCAGATCCTAAATTTCTTGGCAGGCAGGAACTGGGCCGATCGAGCAAGGAGTTCAAAGAGTCGTTGCCGCAACCTTTACCTTTCTTCACAACCATCAAGCTCATCACCCTGCTTTCTTCTGCGCACTTGTCACTTCACGTTTCTGTTCCATCTCGCCATTTTTGCGGCTCATCACTGAAAGGAAAAGGTGTTTCGGGGTTTTAGGTTATCACGCTCGATATTTTGTGCAGTGTCCAGGCGAGCACAGTCTCTTTCACGAGCTTAATTGTGCATTTCATTTTCACTCACGCACAGCACCTCCGTTTGGAAATTTGCCATTATTGACCTTTCGCCTGGTATCACTATCTGTTTGCAATTGGCCCAACCAAGTCTTGCACCTCAAAGTAACATCTCGTTGTTGCGACTATTGCCCCTCTCAGGCTTTCGCACGACAAGCTTTGCCAGTCGTAGAGATCTGTCTCTGGTTGAGAAGTTACTGCTCTCGCCATTCATTACAAGATCAACAGCACAGAACAACCAGATTGAACACGCTGCATGAGAGTGATCTACTCTGAAAGTCCGTCGCGATACGCTGAAGCAGTGGGACAGGCACGATTCGTCACAGGTCTTCAGTCGTTCCTTACTTATCAGAATCGCAATGGCTCGCACTAATCATTCTCGCAATGGCGCAGAGGCTTCTGATGATGATACTATTACCTTAAAACGTGAGGTGTCGATGGGCAACAATTCAGCAGAAGAGATGAGTTCAACCGGGTTCACCAACATCAAGGACGAGCTGCCTTCCCGGACCAGTACACCCGCTTCCACGTCTAATAAGTCAGACATTCAGCACTCATCTTTCGCACAGATAGCAAAAACGGAACCCGAAACCGAGATTAAACCTGAAGTAGACACGAGTTTCAAAAGCGAGTCGCCTAAAATGGCAGCCCTCATCTCGAAAAAAGGTATTCGTACGTCCAAGAAGAACCCTCCACGAGTTGCACCATTATTCGACCACCTGCCAGATGCCAGAGATGAAGCCAACAGCGCCTACACCGTGATTGATTCCTGTATCTACCAGAACAAATACTTGGGTTATACTGAACATGCGATGGAATGCGATTGTTCCGAAGAATGGGGTGAGTGAGCATGATTTTCTTCGATCTACGTTGTTTTCAAGACACTGACACACCAATACCAGATTCTGCGACAAAATCGAATCTTGCTTGTGGCGAGGACTCGGACTGCATCAATCGAGCGACGAAAATGGAGTGTGTCGGGGATTGCACCTGCGGTCCCGAGTGCCAAAACCAACGCTTTTGGCGTCGCCTTTACGCTAACGTCTCGGTGATCAAAACTGAAAAGAAGGGCTACGGTCTACGTGCAAATACTGCCCTCAAGCATGGCGATTTCATATTCGAGTACATTGGTGAAGTCATTCCAGAGGGTACGTTTCGCAAACGTATGCGTCAATATGACGATGAAGGCATTAAACACTTCTATTTCATGTCTCTTAGCAAAGGTGAGTTTGTCGATGCGACCAAGAAAGGCAATCTTGGGCGGTTTTGCAACCATTCCTGCAATCCAAATTGTTATGTCGACAAATGGGTGGTTGGAGACAAACTTCGAATGGGCATCTTTGCCGAGCGAAACATTAAGCCTGGGGAGGAACTGGTTTTCAACTACAATGTCGACAGATATGGTGCTAACCCACAACCCTGTTATTGTGATGAGGACAACTGCACTGGATTCATTGGAGGCAAGACGCAAACCGAGAAAGGAACTAAGTTATCAGCTGCAACGATCGAAGCTCTTGGCATTGACGATGAGGACTGGGATACATGGGATACACTCACAGCTAAGAAGCCAAAGAAGAAGAAGGCTGCAGAAGATGATGACGAGGATTATGTCGAGCGCGCAGAGGCTAGGAGCCTGGACGTCAACGGCATTACCAAGGTCATGGCAGCCTTGATGCAGTGCAAGGAAAAATGGATTGCAGTCAAGCTTCTACAACGCATACAACGTTGTGAAGATGAAGACGTGCTCCATCGGATCGTAAAGCTGCACGGGTACAAGATTTTGAATTCACAGCTATCAGCTTGGAGAGACGATGACAACGTTATGATACAAATATTGGAGATCTTACAGAAACTTCCAAGATTAACAAGGAACAAAATTGTCGATGCAAAGATCGAAGCGACACTTGAACCCTTGAAGGAGAGCTCGGACGAGAGAGTATCTTCAATTGCTGGTGATCTCTTGACAACATGGTCGAAACTGGAACTTGCCTATAGGATACCTCGTAAGGTACGCACTGCAGTTGATTCTTCCAGCAATTCAACTTCTGTCAAGTATGAACGGAGAGAATCCCAGCAGCAGAGGAGAAGGTCGAGGTCAAGATCAAGATCGAAGAGCCCCCCGAGGGGCCCGGCCAATATTCCCAAAGGCCCTGCCAGCATGGGTGTACCGACTGGCCCGCGAGCTGGACAGAGGCCTCTTCCTTTCAGTCGTCCACCATCTGCACCTTTCGTTCGTGGACCTCTTCCATTACCTACTGGCTGGTTCCAAGCGACGGATCAAAGTGGTCGAACATATTTCTATTCAGCGTCCGGAGAGACGACCTGGAAACGCCCATCGCAGCCAGCTACCAAACCACCGCCTCCTCCGAAACAGCCTTCTCAGCAGGACATGCTGAAGTCCATCATCGACGGTATTGTAACCTCGTCTGACAAGGACAAAAAGGATGGTAGACACTCGACGCCTGATACACCTACAGAGGAGAAGAAGGACAGCAAGGCAGAGAAGTGGCGTTCGCTGGATGAGGACAAGCAGAAGAAGATATACGAGAATACGGTGAGTCAATTGTTCTATGTTAACTATTTGGCTCCAGCTAATAACACTAGTTATTTCCCCACATTGCCCACGTTATGAACAAGTATAAGCACAAAATACCCAAAGACGACCTTAAGCGCTTTGCTAAAGACCTTGCGAAAAAGCTTGTGGCTTCCGACTACAAAAGTGGACGGGTAACGGACCCAACAAAGATTTCCGAGAAGCAGCAGAAAAAGGTCAAGCAATATTGTAAGGACTATTTCGAAAAGGCCGCCATCAAACACAAGAAGTTGGAACAGGAACGCACTGCAAGAAAAGAGAAGCATGCAAAGTCTGGCTCGTCCCATATCACACCAGCCCAGTCACCCAAACCCTCGACGACTGGGACACCTAAGAAGGAGGAAGATGACGAAGATATCAAGATGTCTGATATCGAGGATCATGAAGATTCATCGCCGTCCGAATCCCTGCAGAACGGAAGTTTGAAGCGAAAACGCTCACTCGAAATCGAAGGACTCATCAAGGGAGAACTTGATGATGGAAAACTTACCATGTCGCCTGCGAAGAAGCCAAACATGGACGCATCGTTCCCAACACCACCACCGCCGCCACCACCTGCACCTCCTGCCGATACACCGCCTGATCATAATACACCAGAAGCTGAAGAGGACGCGCCATATGAACAGCAGGTCGATCACGAACCGGACGTACATGCCGATAGCAGCTTTAAGACCAAAAGCATGGCTGATGTTCGTGCATTAGCACAGCAGATGGATGCAGAAGATGAGGTAGATTGGGGCATGGGAGAGGACGAAGCACAGAATGGAATCAAGGTCGCCAATCCCCTGGTAGAGGGACAGCCGGTTTGAGGTGCTGTGCTTTGGAATTGGCAGTTGTACTAATCGATGTTACTGCAGATCGTCAATCTGATACCCCTTCGTCAGCGGCAGCTAGAATGGAGAGCAAGAAACTTTCGTGTATCGGTTAGACAATTTCTTTGGCCACAAGGCATGAGCACGCACCACGATTGCACCTATCAGATCAAAACTGAACCTCAGTTGCTCGAGCTGAATATCGAAATGGGCAGATCCGATCCTAGCTAGGTACAGAGTCACACCACTCGAAAAGGCGAGTTCATAGCTTCACGTTGGATAGCTTGGGAGCGCAACGAAGCGAAGAACAACATTGTCATATTGAACAACTTGGTAGCAGAGATGGGGAAGAGCATAAAATGTACCACATTGTACTTATAGTGTGCACGCTCTATTGGACGGCCAGCACTGGGTATATAGCTAGTACGTACTTAATACTGCTTAGAGAGAGTGAATGGTGAGATAGATTTGCTTGGAGCGAAGTCAAGAGAAGAGAAGATGTGTAAAATGTAAGTAAATATATCAATACGTATCTTGCGTGGGCAACGGACTTGTGGAGGTTGGTGTCATACTTGTTCAATACTTTGTCTACTATCTAGACAGCTCTTCCAATATGAAACCTGTCAGAGGTATTCACTCTTACTGGAGTGCTCCTTTCTCTCTTCCTTCCTTTTTCTTCCGAAGCCGTCGTCTTCCTCCCACCGCCTTAGGTGCGAGAGATTGCTCGAAGTCCAAATTTGAGATTAGTAGACAACATATCGTGGAAAGGTCGTACTGTAGGACCAAAGTATGAACAGTTGGCTCAGATGAGCTGCGCTGCTTGTCTCAAGGCCGCGAGATTGGAATTAATCCTTGGAGAAGACCACCTCGTTCCTTGCGAACTAGTATATCTTTTGGGTTAGTAGAACGACTCAACAATGCTCTCTTTATTGCCCTTCATCCTCTGGTCCAAACCATCAACACCAGGTGGCGCACCCTCTCCCAGTCTGAATACACTCTCAACCACACTGAGCTCTGTCGCTGTTGTATCCATACCCGTTACAGCCATCCAGTCATTGACCACCATGCCTGCGCCAACAACTGAGCTACCTCTGTTCACCGAACCTGCAACCAATGGTACTTGCAATAACGACGATAGCTCATCTTGATCTTGTATGCTTGTTTTTGGATGTACGAGTCCACCCTGGTTCGAGAGAGCCATGTATGATCCTGTTAGCACATTGCTGGCAATCGTTTGTCTGAAAACTTCCACGCCCAGTGTATCTGCAACTATTTCTTCGGTCTCTCGTTCGAGGTCTGGGTGGACGAGCGCAACATGGTCGTTACAGCAGATCACGTTGCCGAGGGCAGATAGACGCTCTTCTATCCGTTGTATCTTGACACTTTCTGGCAGGGTATTTCGTAAATGCTGTAGTTCTTGATCGGTCGTAGAGGTAGGTACTAATAGGCCGTTTTTATTGCCTGCTGTAAGACGACCGACAATACGGGTGCCGGCGATGGTACATTGCGCAATTGGAATCAGATCTGCGAGCTCGGCTTCGAAAATGCTGTAGAAGGACTGTGAGGCGCCAAGGGCAAGGAGGCAGTAGCTGTTCGTGAGGGTCGCGAATACGCCGCTGTTACATATGTTAGCTTTGAGTGTCTCTGTGCCGGAGGAGTTGAATATACATCTCTTGGCTATTCTCAAACGTCGCGCGCATAGCCATGATGAAGAAGGTTCAGTAAGTAGATCCTCAAGCAGTTGTAGTATTGTGTTCGTGGAGGTGGTGGAAGGAGTGGTCACTTGTGCGGCTGTCGTGTGCTTGTCGAGTAGGGTCCTGGTGAGATTGTGAATGGCGACTTGCAGTCTTGTTATGTGTTTGTATCGAACACCACTATGTGCTTGTTAGGCTAGTTCGAATTCGGTTACTGGAACAGGATTCTTTTCTTTCTGGCAATAAGACTCATTGCTCGTGATTCACGGTACTAGTACAAAAATGCTTCTGCGTCACTGCACGATGCCCCACTAAATAGTCCTGTGGGCTCGACGTCATTGGGTGTATTTCTAGAGGCAAGCCCGATCATACCTGGCTCTTGCCTGTCTGCAATTCCCTCAATCTTGCGTCTCAACCCATCACAGCAGCGGAATGAGTCAGGTCTACCGGCGATGCAGTGACTACTACAAGTGACTTGTGGCGTGTCGAACAGAACAGCTAGGATCATTCGGGACAGTAGCGAGCCCCAGGTATGAGGCAATAACCCACCCTCCGCACATCAACCACGACGTCTCGACATCCTCTCAGCTCATCGGTTCTGTTCTGGCATTCGTAGTACATGTCGTCTGATATCCGGAAGATTTGTCAATCAAGACCAGTCTCTCAGCAGTCTAACATCATGATATTAGATTCTCCTCATAGACATATATACGTCCAGCTCCATCGTTATACATATCATCATAAGTCGTTCCGCAGCGCTATGTTTGTACAGCGTACCGTGGGATGGGAGAAGGTTCCATGGGAGTCATTTATTGACCTGGGCAAACTCTGCTTGTTGTCGTAGTGAACCAGTCGGTCTTGCGGAGAATGTTATCCAAAACACTCTAGATCCAGGACGCAGTGGTGGCAAGAAAGCGTCCGAGTATACTGGCGTATGGGAGTCCACCAAAGCTATCTCATTTCTAACTGGGATGTAGTGAGGTATGGTTTCGTCGTCAAGCGCTTTTGCTACCTTTCAAGATCGTGCAGTTAAAGTCGGTCCGGCTCTTTCGTGTCTGGCTGCCAGGTGCCACTGCATGTTATCTTTCCATTCTCTAAGTCGTGACGTCTAACAAGATATGCACGCTGTCGAGCAGTTCTTCTTCGTTCTCGTTGTCGTCTTGAGAGGAATGCGATGGCCTGGCAAAGTACGCAAAGTACAAAGAGGCAAACCAGGATTAGGTGTTTTCGTGACGCAAGGAATGAGTGTGAGGCAACCTCTTGCTCGTGATGAAGTTCATCTTCCTTTTCCCACTGATCGAATAGTTTCTTGTAGTGGGTTGGGTTTGGCTCTAGTGTGAATGGCATTGCGTGGTGAGAGTAGGCGAGGGTGTATATAGGAATATAAGCGAAAGAAGTCAGAAATTCGAAGAACGATAGGAAACTCCTCCCAAATCAGTGTCACGGTCTTTTGCATGAAATATGATCAACAAAACTCGACCGTTCGAGCTCGTATATGTCTTCTTTACAAGTTCCAGCTAGCAGAAATGGCGTGAGGCTGGATAAACGCTACTAATCCAAGCGAAGTGAAGGTAGTCTTGGGAAAGGGGTGGCTGGGTGGCTGGGTGGAGGTAGAAGAGTTGCCGCTATATAAAAGTTCCTGGGTACTTGTATAGGCCATTTGTGTTTGACCTTAGCCTTGGCTTGTCACATCTTCCAAGCTACAATCCTAGATCTCAATTGCTGTGTCGTGAATATTCACACCGAATCGAAGAGGAAAAAGCGGGAGGCCTGTATATCGATGTGCTCGGGCGCTTCTCAGTCACCGCATGATATGGGCTGCAAGAGAGCGCTGTTATGAAGAGATTGGCCACTCTTTCATGGCGGCTTCGACTTCCTTGTCGGCATCGTAGCCATATAGCCATGGTTGAACCTCCTACATGCTTCCGTTAGTGGTCTGTGGCTACTACTTTTAGTAGAACATAACTTACAGGGCAGTTCCAACGTGATGGAAACTTGACTTCAGGTTCGTTCTTGCCGAGTTGTGAAGCAAAGATCTTGTCGCGTTCCTCTTGCTCAGGTCCATCCTCCATGTGAAAGTCGTGCCTTTGATGGAAAGTCTCCCGCGCTACCTTCTCGCCTCTGGATTTTCTCAGCTTCTCAAAGAGCTCGACTGCTTTCGGTAATTGCTGTCGTGTCTTGACATAAGACAGTACCTTGCCCAGAACAGCTCCGTCCTCGATAGATGAATTAGCCCCCTGGGCGAGATATGGAAGCATCGGATGGCAGCTATCACCGATGAGCACAAAGTTCTTCGCAGAATTGGTCCAGGACGGAAGTTCAGCTCGATGCATAAGTTTCCATTTATCGACTGTCTCGACACAGCCAAGCATTCGAGTTAGAAGAGGATCCCACCCATCGAAGAGCACTCTCATCTCTTCTGTCGAGCCAGGTCTTCGAGAGACTTCAGGAGGCAGATCATCTGGCGTTAGTAGCTATTACTGCTTAGCTCAAACACGAGGGCCAGAATTCTTATCACCCACCACTAGATTGTACATTGACCCGGATTTCATACTGTAGCCGACTGCATGTGTCCCTGGTCCGATCTATCTTGCAGTCAGCCAAAGCGCAACTCCGCATCCGTGGAGGACACCTGTTGATACAAATGAAGTCTCAAAATGACTTACCCAGAAATGTAGTGTTGGTTCTGACACAAACTTCCTCAGGTCTTCGTCCTTGATCTGGTCTAAAGTTAAGGTTATTCTGTATGCTAGATCTCCTGTTGGAAGCGGATGATCAGTGGCTCCTAACAAGCTCTCTCTACATCGAGACCAAAGGCCGTCGGCGCCCACGACCAGATCACCAGAAATGATTGTGTCATCCTTGCACACGACTTCAGGCCCACCTGCTTCGCTTTGCCTTATTGACGCAACTCGAGTATTTAGCTTCACAACCACGCCAAGCCCAACAGCCTTCTCGTACAGTAATCTTTGCATATCTAGTACGACAATTAGTACGAGATGGCCGTGAAGAAGTGCAAATCGGTCTGACCCATTCTATGCATGTCGACGAAAGGTGCACTGTACTTCCGCATGTTGTTATCCGCGAATGTCTAACCAGGCTGTCAGTGAAGTGCCCTGGCTACGTAAAAACCATTCAGGGAGGCCACCACATCACTCACTTCTTCGTAAGCAAGGACTTTACCTGTATACCTGTGCACAGTACAACTCGATGGTACGGCCCAGGTCTCCTTCATCTTGGGTTCAAGACCCCATCTGAACAATATTTTCGACGCATTTGGTGTGATCTGAAACCCAGCTCCAATCTCGGCGAGCTCTTTTGCTCCTTCCAAGACTGTGACTCGATGTCCAGCTAAGGCGGATGCTACTGCTGCCGACAGACCAGCAATGCCTGCGCCAACTACGACTACTGATAGCCTTTCCTGAGACATATTGTCACTGTCGCTATGGCTGACCTGTACCAAGTGAGTAGATTCTTGCCTATTTGAGGGATCAGTTCGTGATCTGTCTAGAAACGCACAGCTTCTACGAGGCCTCGTACATCCCTATGAAATTCGCGTAGCGACAAGCTATTGTTCCAGCACATTATACGTCGGCATCGTGACGCGGCTGTTACACGCGAGCTGATTCTGGGGTTTGCACAGACTCGGAGTCGTCTGGATCAGCCACTGGGGCTGCTTTCGGGTGGGCTGAGGCCGAAGACGCAGTGGCACGCCGGCTACCGCGGCATCTTACAACCGCGAGACCATCGCTCACAAGCTTGGGACGTAATTAGACTTCGCAGCGCGACGCGTCTGCGAATTCAACGCGTTGCTCGAAGAAGGATCTTTGTACAGAAACATGATCTCGGAAACTGTATCGATAAACAGCCGTTTAGCTACGTAGCGAATCCACGAACTCGCCGACCTGATATCCCCATGCTTCCTCCATCTCAATGTTTGTGCCGAGCGATAGTGCTGGAGAGATGTGATTGTGGCCATCCATCATGGCGACTGTCAACCTCTCACGGCTCCTTTCGTCGAGCAATTTCCATTCATAAAGGAACTCGTCTCGTGGATCCATAATCTCGTCATCGGGGTCTAGGCTACCGTTGAGCAGCATGGCTGTCACGTTTGGGAGCACAGCATCCGGATCCTGCAGCATAGCAGCCTTGAGTAGCCCCTGTGGCGCTCTGCTGTCAACCTCATCACCATAGTACTCTTGAAGGACCTGATCGCGCGATGGATCGCCCTGTCTAAAATTGAAGGGTACAGACAGAAATATCACACCTCGAAGTACGACGCTTGCCTCCGAATCTGAGGTCATGACCTTGCTTCTTGATACGGCAAAGTCTGGTGTGAATAGGTACGTCGACAAATGGATGCCACCTGCAGAGTTTCCCATGATGCAAATATCGATGTTCCGGTAGCCATTCTGCTTAGTCAGTACCTCCCGCAACCAGTCAATCACGAGTGATACGTCTTCACCACCAGAAGGAAATCGAGCACCATGAGATAGAAGCCTATAGTCAGGTATCACAGTGGTATAGCCCAGTCTCTCTGCGAAAAAGTGACCGATATTAGCATGTGCCAGTCCGTCAGCTAGAGGGAGTGTTTTTGAGCCTCTGACAAGTCCTCCACCATGAAAGAACACCATGACTGGTTGGTTTGATGAGTTTATGGAAGGGTGTCTTTGCTTTGTGGTTGCCGGATAGTAAACATCGAGGCTCTGTCTGGGATGTGAGCCGTATGAAAAAGTTTCACATTTGGTCGATCTAATAGCTGAGGCATTGGCACGAAGCAACGGCTCATAAGCCTGCATCGTCGGCATTACTGAAGGCCCTATCTGGCGAGGGATGCCGGCGAGTTTGTCCATGGCGCCCTCCCCAATGTGCTTTTGAGAAAGTGTCAGTGTCAAGAAGGAGATGAAGCAATACACGAGTTTCACGATGTCAAGAATGTGTAAGTAGCATATGTTGTTACAGGGTATTGATGTGCAACGAAACGCTCATGCAGCAGCTCGATTTCAACTTGACCAATTCCGGGGTGCCCCAACTCCAGGCTTGTGGGGTAATCCACTTTCGCATCGTTTTGACTCACTATCTCTCAGTTCTGGAACAGTTCTTGCACTGCTCGCTGGTAGAGTCTCTACTGCGGAGGCTTCTGGGACATGTGGTCCCGAAGATGTCGGGTAGTGGCAAGCATACCATCGGCAATGTGCGGCTTACGGATCGGCAGGTATAAGTCTTGGTGGCTTCAGCATTGGTACACTCGTCGTCAACTGAGCTTCATTTCTTGTTGACACAAGACACTTGTTTCGTGGCAGTTACTGTCCCAGGCACACCCTGATCAGAAAACGACCGCTCTGGGGAACACCCGTGCGCAAGTCTATTCGAAAAGCTCGACCGCGTCGCGCCGCGCCAAGGTCAAGGTTAATACACCTGGATAGAAGTGGGCGTTTCAAAGTGGTTGTGTTTCCTGTATCTCATCATGGCAGCTAAGACGAATGGCTCTCAGGTTCATGACTTGCTACCACGGCATCTGCCGCCCTACGAGCCTGGGAAGGCGTACACACTGAAGTCCTTCGAGGGCGAGATCCTCTACATTCCTTGCTCCAATTCGGCTATGAGATTGCTGGTCACAGGAAAGGAGACAGAGGGGGCCTTTGCCATCGTGGGCACTGGCGGAGGCCAATCCGCTCCTATCGGCTTTCACGTGAGTTACGACCTTTGCGATCCTGCGATAGTTCCAGCGGAAGTTGCGGCACTTCCAGTGTATCAAGGGCTGACTGATCCATCCAGTACCACAGGGAGGCACATGATATATTCCTCTGCCTGAAAGGAGCCTGCAATGTGTGGGCTGGGGACAAATGTCGCACGATGAGTCCTGGCGATTTAGCTAGCGTACCACCGGTAAGCCTAATATGTTCAGTGTTTCAACCAGAGGCTCATTCAGTGTAGGGCGTTGTTCACCAATATCAGATACTCGGTGATCATACCGAGTTTATTGGCTTGATAGTGCCGGTGAGTCTACCAGAACTAATATGCCGAGAAAGGTACTAACGCTCCACAGGGTTCGTGGATAGATTTCTTCAGGGCAATTGCAGAGCCTTACGCGGGTCCCATGTGGCCATTGGTGGATGCACGCAATCCTTTCGAGGTCCTAATCCCAAAACTCAAACTTGCTGCGGAAAGGTTCGACATGGTGCCACAACCGCACCATCCGTCCTGTGAGCCACAGCCGTGGGATGGGACCGAAAATGTACTTCCAGGCAAGCTTGATGCATATTATCTCCAGGCAAATAAAGGTCCGAAGTACCTAGTCGAGGGGCTGGTTGTAAAGCCCATGGCCACGACCAAGGAATCAGCAGGCAGATTTGCCATTGGGAGTCTCGAAGGGTCCAGTTACCACACAAATTCCGTGTTGAATTCGACGATGCGATTCACTGACGTACATCATGCTTTACATGTGGTGGACGGAGAATTACAAATCACTATTGACGGGTCGACGACGACACTAAAACCATTCGAAACAGTCTATATACCGAAGGGTTCTGACTTCAGATTGCGGATTGCAAGCAGATACGCTAAAGCATATACATTTGCTAGTGGTGGAGGGCTGCTAGAGATGCTCTGCGAGCTCGGCGACACTTATGAGCATAGCATGCTGCCCGAGCAGCAGGGGCAGAGTAAGGGTGACAGTGAGCGTCTGTCATCAATCGCTTCGACATATGGGTGTCACATTACCAGATGATTGAGTCATCTGGAATCGAAGAAAGCTACTTCCCCGGTGGACACCCTGATGCCAGTGTACTCGGACCCTTTGGATTCAGCCGTTGTATGATTGGAAAACCTTTCATTGATCAGCTAGAGCACGTCTTTTTGTACAACACGTAGTAAATCCTAGTACGGTGTATAATTTTTTGACTCTGGTTGTTCGCGTAGATGGTTGAGGGAAGCAAAATTGGTTCGTATCATAGCGGACACGGATCTGCCGAAGTTCTCCAAACAGCTTTTCGGCAAGTGGATCGTTCGCACAAGGTTCGTACAAGCAACACGTTTCTTGATACATATGATTATGCTATGCCGGAACAGATTTACATCTTGCTGATCCATACACATATGGCTTATACATGAACAGACTAGAAGCTGAATTACTAAGATTAACAAGGTCGAAGTACATCAATATGGGCAGCATGGGTCTTCCCGAACAGACTACGCAGTTTCCGGAATCTGCCTACCGGAAGCATCTTCCTGATCTCGATATACCTCGATTCCAGATAATGCACAAGCAGAATGCACACCAGTATGCTGATGCATTCAAGCAGCATGGCCACCCTCCTTGGCTTCACGCGCTATATATGCATTGGCTCAGTCTGCTCAAAGAGCCGTTCAGAGGTGTAACAACTGATGGTAATGTTCAGTCAGGCGTCTACCAGGTGCAGGATGAAGATGTTCCGATCGAGTCCATAGTAAAGTCTGTCAACGAACTGGTTGACCTCCTTTCAGAGGAGCAAAGAAACACAATTTTCTACCACATCGACGACCCGAAATGGAGGACTTGGTCGAATCCTGAGTTTCTACTCAGCCACAAAGGCATCAGATTAGACGAGGTCTCGCAGAACGTCAAAGACGCTGTGATGAACTTGTTGGCTGGCATATTATCGCCCGAAGGTTATCAAAAGGCCGTCTCGGCTATGCGAATTAATGGTTATCTCGGGAAGTTGGTCGATGGAACCAAAGTCATGAACGAGTTCTCATATAACATCTGCTTCTTCGGAGAGCCTTCGACGACTCGACCTTGGGGACTGAGTTTCTACGGACACCATCTGTGTTTGAATATCTTCTTCTACCGCACACAGATCATTGTTAGCCCCTGGTTCACTGGTGCTGAACCTAACGTTATTGACTCTGGACCGTATAGTGGTACAAGAATATTGCACGAAGAAGAAAAGCTAGGGCTGGAGCTGATGCAAAGCTTGAGTCCTGAAGAGCAGGCAAAGGTACAGATTTACAAGCAAATGAAAGATCCAGCCATGCCAAAAGGAAGGTGGAATCACGACGACCAGCGACACCTATGTGGAGCATACCGAGACAACCGCATCGTCCCATATGAAGGCATCACTGTGTCTTCATTGACTCAAGAACAACAACAGCTCGTCCTTGGTATCCTTGAGCAGTATCTGCTCTACCTGCCACAACGATCACGACTAATGCAGCTCGACCGTATCAAATCGTTTTTCCATGAAACGTATTTCTGCTGGATTGGTCAATTTGGCAACGAAGATCCATTCTATTTCCGCATACAAAGTCCTGTAATCTTAGTCGAGTTCGATCATCATTCTGGAGTATTCTTGACGAACAAAGAGCCTGCGAAATTTCACATCCATACCCTGCTTCGAATGCCGAATGGCGGGGATTATGGCCATGCACTGCGACGATGCTGCGAACCAGTGAAGCAGGAGTTCGTCTGGGAAGGCTAAATATATCGCAACTTGGACATCTTCACACCGACCATTGCGTTGGTTGCCAGTCACAACGTTAGCTCTCCTCTGGACGGGATTACCAGATCGATACCTTGCATCGAGCATGTGCACAACAGTTTTTCCTTCGGGTCATTGGAATGCACAGCAGTCTTGCTTTACGACGTCTCTACAACGACCACCTATTGTACTTGACGTAAGCAGTAAAGAGCACTGCAAAATGAACGACAGGTAATGGTATGATAAGGAACAAGTCAGCGTGTGTCAAGACACCTTCCGCATCTGGCTAAGTTCAAGATTAGATCGCAAGAAAGCTCGAGCAGCTCGTTGAGAAGATAGATAACAGGATCGACCAAGGAGCTTGTTTCTGTGTGTGATCAAAGTCAACCCGAGGCAAAGGTGGGGTTTACTTGGCGCATCCTCTCACTTACAGAATGTGAATTAGCGGCCAAGTTTCAGGTGGCAGGGCCGGGAACTCCTAGGCGAGGGGCTTGCCAGGCTGCCTGAAAAGGCTTCCTGGAGCCTGGCTGTCGATCTGAATGCCTGCGAACTCACAACCCGTCAGGTTCTCGAGACCGTAGGCTTTCAGTGTTCCATCACACCAGAATCACAAGTATGACGGTGGTATCGGGCGAGGCAGAGCAAAAGCGTATACCCAAGATACCAGAAGCTTGCAGGGACTTGTGCGGAGAGGAGGAGCTCGAGACGCAAAATTCGTTGTCCTTCGCTTCCTTTCATCAGTGCTCGTAGCCAATCACAATGAACTGGCCTGGGCCTAATCTTCGAACAGCCTTCCCATTAGTAGCACTCGCCTTGCAACCAAAGATTCGCCTTAGCATGCCGTCAGCCAACCAGATGCTTTTTCTAAGCTGTCCCCGCTTTCCCACCTTCGAATTTGAATAGTCGCTCAAAGCACACCTTCACCATCAAGCACATGCCGCCCTGCACTTTCTCTTGCACTAAAAATCCCACCTAGGCCGCGCTCTTGCTGATCGCCACCCGCACACTTTGCGTTTCGTGATTTTTGCCTTCTTTTTCCCACCTTATTGCCTGATGGTTTTCACAAGCAGATCTTATGCAGGAGAGTCGGCATTTGGCGATAGCTCGTCCTCGAGAAGGGGACCGTGACGATGATGGCGACCCCATCATTTCCTCACATAGTGTTGAGTTTCGTGAATTTAATGATGAAGCTCGATGTATTCCTTGCCAACGATTAGGAAGAGGATGCCATATCAGAGAGGGAGCAGATTCTTGTATTCAATGTGTCCTTCTAGGAACTCCTCTTGAATGTGTCTTCGTCCGGAAAGTCGTTCGACATGAGAGGCCGAATTGGTTCACTTGGGTAGAGCTTACCGGCTTCAGCAAAACTCCCTATAGGACTCATCCACCACATCACAGTAATGGGCAAGCCCATCACTTTCAGGAGCCTCCGAGACCATTGCAATATCCTCAGCCATATCCGCCACAAGGACATCCTCCAGAGACGAATCATGTGGAGCGAACATGGGCTTCCTACCAACAGCAAGCACCCCTCGCACCTCCACCGCAACCACATATTTACAATGGACCTGTGCCTCCTCCAAAGAGACAACGTACAGACATGTATGATGGCCAGGACGTTTTTGCGCATTCAAGACAGCACTCTCTAACAGGCCCACCACCATCGGAGTTCCGTTCCCCTCATAGGACTGAATACCATTTACCTGAGATCAGACCTCACGAGCCCATCCCACAAGTTTCCCGAGCAGACACAGCCATTTCTCTAAAAGAAGAACGTCCTGTATCAGCTCCCCATGACAGGAACAAGCCTCTTGACCTGAAACCTCCAAGTGGACCGCCAGCTCCTCTCAAGAGAAAACTGGAACCAGAGCCAAACGATATGATCCTGCCACACCGCTGCTCGAAGTGTGAGGCCTCTTTCAAGACACCGGCGGAACTCAAAAAACATTTCGCTCGTCATGAGCCGCAATATTTCTGCAATATTCCAGGATGTTCTCGCGGCAAAGATGGCTTTACGACCAAGAACGATCTTGATCGTCATCGGAAGACCATGCACAAGATACTAAGTCCGAACGATAGGTTCTGGAAGTGCTTCTTTCCAGATTGTGCAAAGACGGAGAAAGTCTGGCCCAGGCTGGATAATTTCAAAGCCCATATAGTCAGGATGCATGGATCACAATACGTTGCGGAAAATGTTACGAGAGCGGAAGAATGGTGGGATGCACAGAAGACACCTATGCTTGGCAGATCACCCGAGACCACTCATGATCTCGTAGCTATTGAGCCGAAGCCTCCACACGAGGCAAGCAGGTTTGGAGTTACGAACCTGCTTTCGGAACCACCAGGCGAGCACGTGAATGGCAGAAGGAGACATTTGAGTGCAGAAGGACGACAAGAAGCTGCTCAAGTCCGGGAGATGGGTGCCTGCCTTAGGTGTGCCCTGCTCAAGGAAAAGGTAAAGTCCTACTCAACCTGATCAAAGCAAAATACTGACCATTCTCAGTGTGACGACAATCGTGTCTGCCATCGATGTATCAGTTACTCACACAAGCACTTCAATGGCGCACTGATATGCCGGCGAGGCAGCATTGCGGATTATCTGGTGCCGTTGATACCTCTGTTTCAGAATCTCCCACAACCAGCAGAGAATACCAAAGGCTGGAATTTACGTTCATTTACACCCAAGTTACGGGTCACTACGTTCTCAGGACTTCTTGATCAGCCTGACTTCCCAGAAGAGGTCACTAAGTACGACTTGCACAAGAATTCGTTCACCATTGCATTATTCAAGGCCATCGACGAGGTCATTCTGGCGCAGAAAAACGACACCCAATCACACTATGGTGCTGAATTCCGAGAGGAGGTTGAAATCTTGCGCCATTTGCGCGCAGTTTGTTGTCTTATCTTTGATTGTGTTAGCGATGCACTGAGGAGCAAGCCAACTCTCCAAGAAAAGGCAGACATCATCGAAAAGCTGCAGAGGACCAACCTGGAATTAAGGGAATGGTATGATGAGCTGGACAATGCAGTCTTCGACTGGAAGTCACGACACCTGGAGCTTAACCACCATCCCATGAAGAAATGGAATCTCTTCTTCTCAATCTGTGCGATGCTTGTCGTGGAGAGGTTAACAGTATTACTCACAAGAGCATGGGCGCACGTTACAGAAGTGAAGGAGGATTCGACCGATGACGAGGCTGCAGATACGTTATGTGCTCTGCTTGAGTTTAAGTTTCAACGACAAGCTCCTGCGCAGCACCACTTTATTAGCATGCTGTTGGATGAGAGGCACGAAGCGACTTCAGGTCGATCGTCCCATCCAATCGTGCAACTTACTGCTACGACTTGCAACTCACAGCTGCGAGATAGCATGAACTTCCTGCGCGAAACAAAAGGATTCGAGACGTGGAAATGGCTCTACGAGCAGTTTGGCGACGCTGGTGCTGATCAAGATGGAAGTCCAAGGGCTAAAGATGATGCCATGTCCGACGACTCTGACACTATCAGGCCTACTGAAGGACACAATCTTCGATCACGAAGAAGCACTTCAAGAAACAGCAATGTTGCCAAGGTTGAAGAGGACGATGATAGTGGTCATGAACAAAATGGTGAAACAAGCACTAAGTCTGAAGAGTCACCGGACTCGGACAAAATGGAAGAATAGGCCTCTTGCGTTTGTGTGTACGTCAATATCATGAGAACCACCTCGCAATGTGTTTGCTTTCAGCAAAGTATCCTGCACAAAGCCAGAATTCGATACATACTACTACATCGTTGTGACGCCTGGTAGTTCGATATCGCAGAGAATCGAGCAGTGTGGACAGAGAGAGACGCACTATTTCCAAACAATGAGGTGAGCCTCTAGAGAGTCATGATCAATGCATGATGATCTTCCATAGCGATATCTTTGAATATGTCGTGTCAATCAAGCTGTCTTTTTCTTCAACACAATCAATACCATAGAAACACCACAGTCAAGATATTGTTGCTCAAAGTCTTGAGTAGTCTTCCCCATAGTCTCCATAGTCAGACGTAACATTTTGGCGATACAATCCTCAATTTCTCCTCTTGCAAGTTGCTGCTTGTGTGCCTCCCGCCACCTCGTGACAGAACTTGACGTGCTTAAAGCTTTGCTCAGAGCGTCCACCGGCCCACGTCTATACATCATGAAGCCATTGCTCTCGACAAAGATAGGGTCTGGGTCCGGTTGTCCGTCCGCATTGAACTCCCTTCGTACAGAGGCATCACGGTCGTACACACTTAATTCGTCTTTCAACTCAGGCGTCTGGGCATCGACGGTCCATGGCATGTCAAGGTTGGCATAGAGTTCCCGACAGTGCTTGTTCCCAGGCATATCGAACGGTGAAAGAATCTCCTCCTCTAAATCTCTCCAGACGGCCTGTACCTGCTCCGCATTTGGTGTCGTTCTCGGATCCACGAACCAGTTCCCGCCACACCAGAGCGCAATACTGCCTCCAGGTCTTAGCACTTTGCTCGCCGCAGCGTAGAACCTAGGTAGGTCGAACCAGTGCGCTGCAGTAGCAACTGTAATGAGGTCGATACTTGCAGGCTCGAAGTGCTTGTCAATGTCTTCGGAATTACTGACAAGAAAGGTCGCCTGTTCACCTGTTGCACTAGAACATGGGGTCTCCTGAGCTTTGGTGATCATACTGGCCCCAGCGTCTATGCCTGTGACATATTGGAAGTGCTCAGCTATCTGTCGCGTTGCTATCCCTGGGCCACAACCTATATCGAGGACATGAGAGGTATGGCCACCGGTTGTATTGTGTATAGATAGAACGAGCTCGATGAGCTTAGGTGGATAGGATGGACGATAGGCAGCATATTTAGCGGCATCCGAAGTGGTGTAGTTTCTGAAGGTCTTTTCTTGTGAATAGTTAGGATTATCGGGATTTTTATGAGTGGCAGAATCAGCCATTCTGCTCCAATTAGCGATTTTCTCGTTTGAATGTGACAGGAGGAGGAAGGTGATCTATATATTAATGGTATGGACAACGGCACGTGTTCGGATCTTACACGTTCCGCCAACACGTCAGGCGTTTCACTGCGATTGCTTTCGCTACTTAGTCATGAGTGTAGCCTTTGTTCGCCCAACCTTTTTCGGAAATAAAGTTGGTAGGAGTTAAGATCTCAAAAATTTAGTCCCGTGGTAATGCCACTGTTAATAGCAAGGATTGGTTTGTCTCTAGCGTTGATTCAGCAACATGGCTAGGAAAGAGATGGCTGCCTGGCTGACACGTCTTGAACAGAGAAGGCGTTGGTATGCACTGAAGTACAGGCAGTAACTAGAAGATTTGCTTCTTCAAATCGGGACCTGGCCGACTGAGACTCTGACACTGTTCGTTGGATTGCTCTAATTGCTCCTGCTCAATACACCATGCTGATACCCAGAGCATGGTTTCGACGTCGAGCAGTGGTGTCTAAATTAGGCGTTCCATCAGTGAGCTTGTAGAAGCTTAGGTCGTAACTGAAACACGACAAGCAGAGCCAGCACCAGTTCTTGGCATGATCCCTATAACTGTTGTGCAATTCAGAGATTACAAGATCACTTGGCAGCAAGCACCTTTGAGATCTGGCAGACCATGTCGAGTATAGAAAGAGTCTCTTCACTCCCATCAAGTAATCGCTTGTCCATGAGAGATAGAATTGGCAGGATCTTGCACTTCTTCTGTGAAGATATCAAGTCGTCATATATGAGCTTCTGGTACAGAGAAGAGAGCACTTCTGTTGCAGCCCAGCCCGAAGCGACTAGATCGTCCACAGCGGTAGAAATACGTTTGTAGTTCTGAGTAGCGCCTTTCATCATGACAGAGACCAGATCGTCCACCACTTGTGGTGGTACAACACCCGCAATCTCGTTGAGAATGGCAGGAGTAATGGTCCGCGGAGGAGGCTTGTCCGAGTCCACGTCCACCATCTCTTCATCCTCATCATCCACAATTTTTGATTTCTTGCTCTTTTTATTCGACTGCCCATTCTGTACAGTAGCTGTAGCACCGACCAATCTTGCAGCGCTCTGTAATAATTGTAGTGCTTTTCGAAGATCACCGTCGGCCAACTTCAAGGTCAATTCAACAACTCCGTCTTCGTAAGCAACATTTTCGGCCTTCAATATCTCAGCTATTCGGCCGTGTGAAGCTCCTCCCGATAGTGCTTTGAATCTATAGTGCAACCTTTGTTAGCGCAGTATTGTGTCATTCTTGATCTCAGCTTACCTGAATTTGGAACATCTCGAGGCAATGGGGTCGATTATTCTCGTAACATAATTGCAGCAGAACGCAATTCGTGTGACAGCGGCGTAGTTCTCCATAACTCTTCTCAATGCGCTCTGCGAATCTTGTGTCAAACTGTCCGCCTCGTCCAGGATGATGATCTTAAATGGAGGGCATGGATATTTCTCGCGATATTCTTTTGATGCAGGAGCGTGCATGAGAGCCTGCTGAGCAAACACTTTTATTCTTTCTCGGACGACTGTGATACCTCTTTCGTCCGAAGCATTAAGTTCAAGTACTCTGGAAGAGAAGAGCTCAGGGCCAAACAATTCTCGCGACAATGCCAATATCGTACTAGTCTTGCCTGTTCCAGGAGGTCCATACATGAGAAGATGTGGTAGAGAAGCGCTGTTGAGCATGCGTCGAAGCACGTCAACAACATGGTCCTGGCTCTTTACGTCTTCAAGAGTTTTCGGTCTGTACTTCTCAACCCATGGTTGCATTCGTGGTGCGACAGTGGTCTCTACTCCAGGTTTTGTAGAGCTGGAGCCCTTCTCGGCTGCCAATTTGGCTCTGGCCTTGTTGTCGAAGAACGATGCCATGGTGAAGGTTCAGCCGCGCGGATTATGCAGTGGATTGGTGAACACCTAGACTCAAATCGGGAGGATGCAGTATCTCAGCAATGTCTCTGAGTCATACCGAGCAAAATCGGTGGTAGGTTCATTGGTTAATGTTATGAACTGTAAGAGGAAGCAGCATGCCGATACGACGTACCTGCCAATGTAGCGGAGATCGCGTAAATGACGCGACAATACGCGTTGAGTCCTTGACGCGTAAGTCTGCCTTTTCGCTGTACGAATAGCAACTCGATGTACAGCTCCAGGGCGAGAAGTGTCAACAATCAATAGCAAGCAAAATCTATTGTTTCGATATGATGGACATAATCTACAACTCCTCTCTAAGACTGGCCTGTTCTTTCTCCAATTCCATCATTCTCTTCTTCGGGTTCCTCGGCTGATCGTCGTCCTCTTTAGCTACAGTAGTACCTTCTTTGGCCTCATCTATCAGTTTCTTGACATGCTCAACAGTTTCTGGACTAGGTGGCACTTCAGCTTCAGGATTTTTGGGTTCCTTTTGACCTGCGCCATACATTGAGAAAGGCTGGATGCTTCGTTGTGGCTTCATACTGCTGTCCGAGACACCAAGTCCAGTTTGTGAAGTAACTGCCATGGTATCATTCCTCATGAAATCCGTGCCCTTTGTGGCGGCCGATCCGCCAAATACAAAAGCAAAGCCCCACCACACAAGTTTCAGGGGTAACCACACAAACCACCAAAGTGGACCGTATAGCCATCGCCGGAATACCAGCCAAGCGATTGTCCCTAGTAAGATATAGACACTGGTTTGCAGATACCAAGTGTCACTCTTTTGGCTTGTTACCAGCGTCTTCACTAACGTACGACTTTTCAGCAGCATGTCGGTTGTGCCTGTGTACCTTTCTGAAAGACCCTGCAGCTGTTCCTGAGATTCTTCCAACGTCTGTTGTGCGAACTGACTCTGTTGTAGATTGCTGGTTAGCAAAGCATGTGTTCTCCTCAGCGCTCTTGTGACATCTTCTGCAGCGTCCTGCGCAAGTTCATCCTGCGTCAGCTTCTCATGGCCTCGTTGTCTCCCCGGTGCAGTCGCAGATCCATTTGCGCCAGTCCGCCTATTCGCAAAGAGCTGCTCACGCTCCTTCTGTTTCCTAGCATCGAGGTTCTTCTTCGACTGCAGCTGTGCTCGGCGAAAAGCACCCCTGGCACTACGAATGTCCTCAGCTAATCGTGCCACGGTCGTTGCATTTCGTTCCTGTTCTTCGTTTCGAGGTGAGGCTAGTCGTCGTCTGTTCATATGACCGTCATAGTCGTCTACTTCTTGACGTAGCAATTCTAGACTCTCTTCTGCGCTTTTGAGGCTCTCGTGACATGTATTGGCTAAATCTAGCCTCTGTTCGTCCAGATCGTCAGTGGATGAGCTGCCTCCATTCGGAAATTTCTGCAATTCCTGGATTAGGGACAGTGTCGCCTTATACGTGTCTGATAGCGTTTGTATACGCTGTGTCACAGACACGGAGGACATCTTTGACAATTGATCAGGAATCTGCTGAGTATTGAGCAGTGTGGTTGTTTGAGGGACTCGAACACATCGTCATAACGGGCTGCTTGTGCAAATTAAGCAAACACCATGTCCAGAAACAGTATCGACAAGAAGAGTTGCTGACGGGCAGTATCATTCACCTACTGTTGAGAATTATTTCTCGAAGTCGCTACTTCTTCTAGCTGGTTGATATCGCCACTGTCGCGTGCAGATTGAATAGCCAAACGTGCTATCAGGACAGTTATAGCAGACGCATTGTGATCCATACCTATACAAATCAGCACCTTAAGGCACTCTTTACTACAACAACTCCGTCGAAGAACCTGAATCAGCGAAGTAGTCTGAGCCAGTCCCACGCACAAGGAGCCTACTCAACGCTCATTCAAGCTCCTCTCATCTCGCTACGACCACATCTCAAAATGCGTACAACCTACCTAACCACCCTCTCAACAAGCTTCAACCCCTTCTCAAAATCAGCCCACGTCCCACGCCTCTTCCTCCAACTCCTCCCCGCCAAAGCCCAACGAGACATCAAAATCACCAAGAGCGTACTACCACGATCTTCTACACAGCCCGCAAAGCTAGAATTGGGCTTCAAGGATGGCCAGAAATTGAGCTATAGCTGGACGGAGCAGGCGCCTGTAACACAAGCGGGTGGAAAGGTAGAGAAGCAGACTCAGTTGTCGGAAATAGTAGAGGAGGTTGCGAGGCATGCGAGGATATTAGGGAGGAAGGAGGAGTTGCAGGGTTGATGAGGGTTGGGGAAGGACGAGGTATAGAAAGAAAGAAAGAAAGAAAGAAAGAAGAAAGGATTATAGAAGTGAATCAGGTTGTCTAGGTTTGCATGGGGCTTGATACTCGAGGAGTCATTTCGACGTACGTGTCGCTGCAATGCTGCTCGCTTAGATGCAGCACGAGCTCCGGGTAGCCTTCAGATCATATTCGATGATCAATGTCAAGAAGCACCGCATAGCGAAGCACGACCAAGTGAGGAAGAGAAGAGGCTGTACAATGGCATTTGTGGCGCAGGGAATATGGTGAATTGATGACATTGAGAACGATTTGGAGCACATATGTCGGATTTTTGACAAGCTGGAGGTGTATCTGCTCTAATTTGAGCAAGCTCAGCATGTATACTATACGTGTGAACTCGATGTATCAAATGTCGTTCTTCGTCAACCCACAGCTCGAACGTTTCCACAAACACACTAGCACAGCACGAGCCAGCTAGATGATGTTGCTCTCCGTGTCAATCATTGAACTCGAAAATGTAAGATCTGCTTTGACGCTTGGAGGTTTTGCTTCATCACAATATCATGGTTGAACGATTACTCATCTCCTCGGCAGCGCTTGATGCTCGTATCAGTTCAGACCGAAGTCCCAGACTGCGACCGGGCTCACTCGAGATGACTGGAGGCTGATTGGTGTAGATAACAAGGGTAGACAACCGTCACAGCATCGTCAAGCACTCGTCGTGGCTGTCGTTGACAAAACACGTCCTGTTTCTAATTGTGTATATGTTGATCGCATTTCAACATTTTTCCAATCCAGATCCTGTCACACTGCAACTTGCAAAGCTCCTTGACCAACACCTTCAAAGCCTGCATTCTCAGCAGCAATCTCAGCTTTGCGTAACGGACTTCTTGCACTGCTACTCTGCGGCTCCTGACTTTGGTCTCTCGTAGGTGATGACATTCGCCCACGTTTAGTCTGCTCTGCTTCCCTAGCAGCCATTTCGTCAGCCTGCCGCTTCTTCTTCGCTGCGATATTTGCTTCGTGCTTGGCCCTGTTTGCGGCCTTGTTGGCTTTCTTCAATTCCGTCCTAGGAATTTTAGGTCCATCGAGACCTAATATGCTGTCAAGCTTCTTGCTTGCCTCTAACAGGTCATTATTCTGGTCCAGACCAAGTGCTGTCAAACCGGCAACATAGTTCTTCGACTGGCATACCTTCAAGTATGCTGGGTCTTTGCCGGGCATTAGCTGCGATAGCAGGAATTTTGTGTTCCCCCATTTGTTTTCGACTGAGATCGCAAACAACATGTACTGTGTTACAACCTCTCGCCACGGTTTCTTGCCTCCCTGCTCTTCTGAAAGGAAGACTGAAGAGTTGGCTTCCGCAGCAGTCGCTATCATACCACCATCCACACCATACTCGGCAGCTAGCTTTACGCTTTCATCACGAGAGGCAACGTCCCCATTCATTAGACAAGCTACACCATGCGCATGACATATTTCACCAATCGTTCTCAGCTGATCTCTGATGGCACGTTCTCGTGGCCGCATGGGCCGAGTACGACAATGTATAGTGAGGCCGGTAATGCCTGTCTTGCATAGCTTGTTGACCAATGTCGAAGTCTCTTCAGGTGTAGACAGTAGACGTATTTTGACGCTGATGCCAATCTCATGCTTTTTCCCTACCTCTGCCACAAGCGCCTCGAGGATGCGGACAAGTAAGTCACCATTCTCAGTCGTCAACAGCGCAGCACCCATGCCTCCATCAGTCGAGAATGGCTTCGGACAGCCTGCATTGACGTCGATACCAGAGCAGAAAGGGGCTACGAGGTCTGCTGCTGCCACAGCTCGCTCGGGACTGTTCGTGCCTATCTGAAAAATGAGTCGATCTGATTCTCGTTGTGGGTCTATTCTGAATATCACGCTTTCTTTCTCTCCATCCTCTTTTACTGGAGAATGGGCATGCGCAGTCGGACAACGCTTCCACTCAATGCAGCCAGTTCGAGGGTTGGTTGACTGATTAGTGCCGATCATAGAGCGGTCAACCGTCTCGGGCCCCCAGACCAGATCAGCGCCATAGTGAAGGGCTAGTAGACGAGAAGGCAGTTCACCTGATCGTACCATAGGCGCCAGCACTATCTTTCCGCGATAGTCAACACCACGACGAGGTATCGGAATGTAGGGTACACGAGGGGTAGGGGCAGATGAGGCATTTGAGGTGGGAGAATGCGACAGCGTAGGACTTGTGGAAGGCGAACTGCTGCCTCTGTTGGCATTTGTAGTCGCGCTCATGGTTATGGATCTGGCCAGTCGCAAAGAGGTCTGCTGTAGTCGCTGCGCATGACGAGCGGCTGACAGCATATATGTGTCGTGTATATTCGACAAGATATTATTGCGGCGTTGACTTCACTACATTTACATTTTATACTCTCGACTCACTGCGATCTCCAAAAGGTTGCCGCAAATATCCTGCATTTGCTGCAGGATTGCGGTCTTGCATCTTGAACTGCCGGACCCTGGGCCCCTAGTATGAGATTTCTACGATTCTAGAAGTCATCGAGCCTCGGACATAACACAAGAGCTTATTGCAGGAAGTGAGCTCATCGTATACTATAAGGCTATAAATCTGCCACATAGACATAGTGTCTCTCACATGTCCTTCGCAATCATTCCGAATGCACCTGCTGGATCGATAAGAACCTTACTACGCAAGACCCTGATCGAGCCCGCATGCACCACGAGTCGCACCTGCCGCAGACAATTTGACCCCACCTTATCACGAAATCGGAATCTGTCGTACCTGCAGTTTCGAAAATTTAAAGCAAAGCTGGCTTCTAAAGACCCTCCCTCCACCGCTTCCACTCCCAACAACCCCTCCAATATAGCTGTACAAAGGTCACAAGCTATAGCCCGTCACTTTTCTACTGAAAGACCAGACATGAATCTATACACCTACAGCAAGACCCCGTCGCCGTATACCCCACGGACGATAGGGCAGCCACACACTCTCGAGTACAGATGCTACGTTGAGAAGGATGGCCAACCCGTCTCTCCGTTCCACGACATCCCTCTGTATGCCAATGAGCAGCAAACTATCTTGAATATGGTTGTTGAAATCCCAAGATGGTCAAACGCAAAGCAAGAGGTAGGCAGACTCGATTAAGCCGAACGAGCAGTAGGAAGTTAACAATAATCAGATCTCGAAAGACGAGTTCCTCAACCCTATCAAGCAAGATATCAAGAAGGGCAAGCTCAGATTCGTTCGAAACTGCTTCCCACACAAGGGCTACCTCTGGAACTATGGTGCCTTCCCAAGAGTATGTCTCACATCTGCAAACTGAGAACTGCAGCACTGACACTTTGTCCAGACATGGGAAGATCCTAATGTCGTCCACCCAGAGACCAAGGCCAAGGGTGATAACGACCCGCTTGACGTTTGCGAGATTGGTGAGCTTGTTGGCTATACTGGTCAGATCAAGCAGGTCAAAGTCCTCGGTGTTATGGCTCTCCTCGATGAGGAAGAGACTGACTGGAAAGTCATTGTCATTGATGTTAACGATCCACTTGCTCCCAAACTAAACGACGTTGAGGACGTTGAGCGACACCTGCCAGGTCTCCTCCGAGCCACCAACGAATGGTTCCGAATCTACAAGATCCCAGACGGAAAGCCAGAGAACCAATTTGCTTTCTCTGGTGAGTGCAAGAACAAGAAGTATGCTGAAGAGGTCATCCGCGAGTGCAGCGATGCTTGGGAAAGGCTGGTCAAGGGCAAGACACAACGAGGTGATGTTAACGTCGCCAACACTACCGTTCAAGATTCTCCAGACCGAGTCGGCCCCAACGAGACTGCGAAGATCCCAAAGAGCCAGAACCTTCCTCCTGCTCAGATTGACGGATCAGTCGACAAGTGGTTCTTCATCTCTGGTGCTGCTGTCTAGGTGGCTGGAAAATATATTTGAAGAACACAATGTCAGAACCTTTATTCACTTGAGTGTCGATACGTTACAGCCTTCTGTACGTACTGGCGGACGCTGGCCATGCGCAGCTGAATATTGTGCATGCCTCATACGGTTTAATAGACGTGGAGAACGAGAATCAATGCACTTCATGACACCTAAGTATGTCCAATATGGTAGTTTTTGTGCATGTATAAGTAGCGAGCTCCTAGCAAAAGTACATTCTCGACACTAAGAGTTCTCAGGATTGATCTCATGACAACTTTTCACCACAAGACTTGCGAACTCATCGTATAGCGTAAACGTATCTACGAGCTTATTGTCAGTCGTTTAACAAAGAACTTTTCCTGAACACTCATGGTTTCCATTCTGTTGAGCTGTGCACAACGCGTGCATACGTCATTTACGGACTGTATTCAGTTCTCCTGTTGAGCCCCGGACTCGCGTGCTGCAGATGCATGCGCCAGGCATATTTAGCATTTCAAGTTTACTCCGTACTGAGGGACGATCTTCGAGTTTCGAGACACGGAAACTGCTACCGATATATATGCAACGACTTCAAGCACCCTTGTCACTGCAGATGTACCACGTCCCTCGTTACACAGTCGAATCCCCTCTGTGCCATTCACAGCGCCGAACCCTATACTGACAGTATCGACTCTCCACACGTGGTCACCACAGATTCATCCTTCGTCGTGAGCGCGCATAGAACACCCAGTCAACTTACGACGTCCATGCTGAAACGGTGACAATTTTGTTAGCGACGCCGTTATGGCTCGCAAAGCCGCAGCAGAATGGGTTGGCACACCTCGCATAAGAGGTGGTAGCGAGCCTGTACGAATGATCCTCCTTACCTTCAGTCTGATCGGTCTACAGTTGACATGGGGCCTCGAACAGACATACTGTACTCCCTACCTCCTAAGTCTAGGCATGTCAAAATCTACTACCAGCGCAGTGTGGATTGCAGGGCCTCTTTCAGGTCTCCTTGTGCAGCCGATCGTAGGTGCGATGGCTGATAGATGTACGTCAAAGTATGGGCGGCGGCGACCCTTTATGGTCGGAGGAAGTGCAGTGACAAGTCTGTGTCTGATATTACTGGGCTGGACGAAAGAGCTGGTTAGCATTTTTGTATCAACAGATTCACAATACGGAAAGAAGGTGGTAATAGTAACGGCCGTCCTCTCCATTTACGCCCTCGACTTTGCGATCAACGTCGTACAAGCATGTTGTCGGAGTATCATTGTCGATGTCCTCCCAACCCAGCAACAGCAGACTGGTTCAGCTTGGGCAGCACGAATGGCTGCGTCGGGACATGTCATTGGCTTCATGATTGGCACATTACCCTTGGTGGACATCTTACCTACCTGGATTGGAGGCGATACTCAATTCAAAAAGATGTGTCTCGTTGCGACCTTAGGATTATGGTTCGCCATAAGTACCACCTGCTATGCCGTGCAGGAACGAGTCCTACTCCGTAGATCGGAAGACGACTCAACCTCTGGTATCACAGGCGTCCTCGCTAGCCTGTGGAAGCGGATCTGGAACTTACCACCTCGCATCCAGATGATATGCTGGTGCCAGTTCTGGGGCTGGATTGGATGGTTTCCTTTTCTCTTCTACAGCTCAACCTGGGTTGGTGAAACCTACTACCGATACGAACACCCCGAAAAACAAAACCAATCACAAGGCGGTGACGCTCTGGGCAATATCGGAAGACTAGGCAGTCTAGCTCTGGTACTCTTCAGCGTCATCACATTCGCCTCCTCCGTCCTAATGCCCTACTTCGTGCGCAAGCCCGAAGATGACGACGAAACAGGCACCGGCATGAACGGAGCCAGCAAATCCTCCCGAGGACGATTCACACCTCGCCCTCCACCAAGTCTCAGCAAAACATGCCAAACAATCCTCATGCGCATCTACGAAAAACTATCCACTTACGACTACAAGCCCGACCTCGTCACAACATGGGGTCTATCCAACCTCGCATTCGCCCTAATCATGGTCTGGGCACCCTTCGTCCGCAGCCTCGCCTTCGCAACTACCCTTGTCGCCCTCTGCGGTCTACCCTGGGCAGTAAGCTGCTGGGCCCCCTTTGCCGAGATGGGCATCGAAATCAATAAGCTCGCGCATGGTGGAAATGCGAATGGTAGTATCAGCGTCACTGCTGGCGCAGCCACGAACCGAGGCTACGTCCCCGTCCGACCGAGCATGGAAATTGACGACGAAGACGATGATATCGAACTCGTCGAGACCGCTAATCGGCACGTACGCTCAGCTAGCGTGGTTTCATCAGGTGTTCTGCACTTATCACATTCTCACGACGATGGCACGAGTTCTTCAACAGGCGAACTAGCGGGAATATACCTCGGCGTCCTGAACGTATACACCACTCTCCCGCAATTCGTGGGAACGTTCATAAGTTGGGTTGTCTTCTCTTTACTTGAGCCGAGCAGGACTACTGTGGTGGAGGAAGGAGGAGGAGGTGGTGCAACAAGTGGAACGGAAGGTGATGTGGCGGACGACCACAAGAAGTTCTTGAAATTAGAGGGGGTGAATAGTATTGCGGTGTGTTTGTTTATAGGTGCTGTTTGTGCGGTTGTGGCTGCGGAGGCGACGAGGAGGTTGAGGAAGATGAGTTAGTACTAGTTTAGAGAAGGTGTATAGAAAGCATGGAATGCCTTCAGCTCATGTGTTATACACTAGGTTTTGTACTGCTATTTTCGTTCTCTACTTGAAGCCTTACTATGCTCGTGATGTTGCGTTGCTTACAAACGAGCTGCACCAGCATTACATCCGTCGCTGGTTTTCGAGCCAAACCGAAACGCTATTCTTGATCTATGTCAACTAGCCCGCACCATGACCATCTTCCGAATTTCAGGACAATCATGCCCATACTGACAAGGATCAGTCTGGCAATACTCACCACCTCTCAGCACAACGCAGCTGGCGCGAATATGGAAGTACACGACCAGCCTGCGACACGGTCGGCCATCGTGATGTCTTCTGCCGCATTCGTTCTTGTTCTTCGCCATGCAGCCACTGATCGTGTGTTTGTATCCAAAGTGGGTTAGATGGCCTTTTTTCTCGTGCTTGCAGGGATTGTGGACCGCGTAGTCTGGGCAGGCGAAGATGTGGTTTTGAGTAAGACATTTTTCGGGGTCTTTGCAGCGGGAGCCTCGCATATTGTCGGGGCATAGGTCTTGTAGGATTGACTGATAGAGTTCTTCTGCGAGGGATGCGAGGAACTTATCGACTTGTTCGTACGGACGATGACAAAAACTTGTGGTGCGGGGTCGACACGGTGGTGATATGCTTGTTCGAAGTGATGTTGTTGGGCTCATAGTCTTAGTACTGAGCCGGCGTCCATCCGAACGATGTTGACACCTCTCGGGCAAGACAACAAGAGCAGTTGTTGTGCATTCAGAGCCTGATTCTCGCGAACCTTCGGAGACGGACTCCTAGTCCGTGCTAGAGTTATCGCGACTTTCAGCTGAGATTGGAGTCTTCCTACGCTTGAAAGGAGGTTCGTCTAAGTATGTGGCCAGCACAGTGTAGTTCTTCCATGATCGCCATTTATTGACTTCTTCTCGCGATGACATATTATCCGCTAGCTCTTCCATCAGCTTTCGGCGTGCAGGATCTATGGTGAGATCTTGATACATATTGAATTCTGTACTGAAATGACGTGCTTGGCTGGATGTTAATGCTGGGTCAGTCTCTTCTGAAGATCTCAATCAGAGGACAATTGATCCATGAAGTGTTAAATCTGCTCACCTTTATCTTCAGCCTTCATGATCTTCTCGGTCCATGCATGCTCAAGGTGCACTGGCGGAGCAGGACTATACGGGGATGTGTCAAGAGACGTGGTCCTGGACTCGCTGCCAGACACAGGATTGTCGTCAAAAGTTGACGGCAGGTTGAAGGGACTGTAAGGTGAGGTAAACTCTGATTTCAATACACTTTCTGGCATGTTCACTTGTGAGGTGAGAATTGCATGCTGGAACAAAACTGAGAGCGCCGAACTGCTCATTACTTAGACTAAAACCGAAGTAGAGCAATTACTCCAGGTCGAAGAAGGAAGTCAGCGCAAGCGAATTGACCACGTGAATCATGGGTATTCAATTCTATACTATCATGTGAGAATAGTGATGTCAGATTTGCTGGATCAGTGAAGGTCATCAGTGGTGTAAATTATTCAGCGCGGAAGGAGCAACCATGATAATACCCGAACGAATACACTGAGCAGGTATTGTCCATGCTGCTCTTACAAGCCTCACAGATGGACTGGAGTCAACGCCCCCTCGATACCATAGGTGCTGCGCACCTCAAAGGTTGTGCAATTGAGGAAGATCGACCTGAGCAATAAAACCTCAACACAAAGCAAATGATCACGTGCTCCGTACTTGTACCTCGCTACAAATCGATCCTGCCCCAAACCACGTGAACACACAGGTAGCTGAACCTCAGCAACAATAAAATCCATGTAGGGAAAAAAAGATATAGCTGAGAATGCATGATGTTCATCGAATTCTAGGAACCAAAGGCTCTAGCTCGGCCTCTATGTAGATCAGGTCTATCTCTATATCATATACCCAACAATGCCAAGTTTCATCCAGTAACAGCTCCAGAGCAAGCTCTTATCACGATGCAAGCTTGAAGACCTTCGTGAGTTCTGGAGCTAGATTTGATCCAAGATCCGCTATAAACTGATCAGAAATGGTTGCATCAAATTTGGTGTCGCTGGGCAACTTCACAATATGACCAGATTTATTGGCATTATCGAAGATGACAGCAGCCTTGAGCGTCTCCTCCTTGTTGAGGGGTCGTTCGAAGTAGTCTGATTCTCCTCCAGAGTTGGGTCCAATATGAAGAGTCGACTTCATCCTTGTGTTTCCAGCGTCGAGAACCTCGAAGATATCCCATTCTCCACATCCGCTGTCCCAGCAAGAACACTTTCCATACTGCTGGGTCCGGGCTATGGCGGCATTGAGCATCCAGGCAGCCGGCATATCAGCATTGAAGCCAGTCTTCAGATTGGATGATGGTGCGCTGAACTCTAGTAGAAAGAGCTTGGATTCACCGCCGAAGCCGTGGTGGGCAACTGAGCCTGGTCGGTAGTAGCCACAGCTGTTCCCCTCACAAGGCTTGTCAGTATATATGCTAAATTCGACATTATCACCCAGAAGAATGTCGCCAAGAACTTGAGGAGAAGACGAGCCAGAACCAGCATCTGAAGCCGCATATGATAGAGAATTGCCAAAATTGTTGTCAAACACACCGGAACCCTGGCCGCCCATGTTATTGAAAAAGACTAGACTATCCGCAGTGCCCTTAACAGCATTGTAGTATGCTTGTCGTCCCCAGTTGCCGGCACCAGCATTAACCTTTGGGGCACTCGTCGGGCTGGGTTTCGGAGCCTGGCTCGCAACTTTGGCGGCCTCAGCAGCAGGTGTTGCAGCGGCTGGCGAGTCGGTAGGTGGTCCACCAAACGTATTTACCCAGGTAACAACGTCTCCATTTATTGTTGCCGTGACGATGTCACCGACTGCTCTCTCCTGATGTCCATGCGCGTGCCCATGCTTCCTCTGATGTTGACTTTGCCTTAAGCTGCGCTTGGTTGTAGAACCTGGTGTGTAGAATGCGAACTGTTTCAGATGCATGGGACCTCTGAAGTGCCACGAAACCTGTGACCTGTGTGTCAGTAACTGGAACTATTTGAGATAAGCTAGGACTTACTTCTCCATTGAGCGGCGCTAGATTGCCGTCATAGTTGACCTTTTCAAACTTGCATTGACCATTGGTCATGTCGGTAACCTTATTGTATGTACCACTTTGGCCCCAGCCAGTGTAGACGATCTTGTCCACTGGTTTGCCATACCAATTGCCGTTGATGAGATTGGCTTCCGCCAAAGCGCCAGACGCAGACGCAGCAACCAGCACTGCGGTAGTGAGAATGTTCTTCATAGTAAGGACGCTCATGCGCAGATGGAATGAATTAATCTTGTTGAACTGATCCGCAGCTCGATCCGAGAACTTGAACTGATCGTGATTGATGTTAGTTGCCGATCTATAAAGAGTGAATCTATATGTTTCTTTGAGTAGATCCAGAAGGGTTTTGTGCTGAGTTAGCAGGTGACCACGATCTGACGCAGGGAAAGGAGCGAGAAGAAAGGAACGGACGCCTCGTATACGAAGCCTTCACGAAGACTCAGAGATCAAACAAAGATCGCTACAAACAAAGCTTGCCTGACGCATGCGCGGAAGAGATGTCGATCCATTGCGGGTGTGAAGTATTTGAACCATGAAGGCTGGCTACTATCTTCGCATGACTCGTAAACACGTTGGTCTGTCGATCTCATTCTCAAGTCTCTGGGCAAACCTTCGACCTGAGCATACATCGAACAGGCGGTAGTTGACACAAATGGCTGAGATTGAGGTTGGAGAATTCCTCGAATTGGCTGGGAGCGGCCAATGCGTTAAGGGCGGATCTGTTACAAAGCCAAGACCTTAGCCACGCTCGGCAAGTCCGGCGGAGGTTGCGTATTGAGTGCACCAGACTTTCTGATTCGTCGGCAACCCCTTTCAGCTCTGCGACTAGATACACTCACTTCATAAAATGGTCAGTGTCAATAAAACCGAATTATCGATTCATGTTTCAGGCAGGCTCTCCACGGCTTTTGAGCTTCGTCCAGCCACTAGTACCAGGAACTCGCGCTGCCTCATCCTCATTCCGGGTTCGTGTGGTCATGATGCTTCTGGCATCGTCGTACTGATGTCCGTTCATTCCTCTGGACTTCACAAGGACAGCTTCGTCGAACTGCTCACCACCATCATCCCACTCCTCGTCGAGCAGTAATTCCCATTCTGCACTAGTGATCTCGGTGAGCAGTGTTTTGCGTAGAGGTATAGAAATTTTCCACCAGGATACATAATCCCATAAACTCTGAAGGTCTCTTTGGACACTTTTAGTGCCTTGACTAGTAGTAAACAAGTCAGAGTTTTGTCCAAGCCTACCAATTGCCTCTCTGCGAACGTCATTGGCAAGCGATGTGCCTCTCCGTGCAGAGACAGGTCGCTTCTGTAGCAGCCTGTCGGAGTGTATCCTGCTTATGCTTGGTGCTTGCGGCACAGCGATGAGTAGTTGGTGCAAATTTCGACCTATGTTACAAATGTCCTCCCAGGAAGTGGTGCCAGCCGTGAAGCCTTGGCTGCGACACAACCATGCTATGTCCCACGCTAAGAGAGCAATCCCTTCTGTAAGGTACCTGAAAGCTTGTTCATCCCTCTTCTGGAACTTGAAGACTCTATGATCACGATCGACAGAAACAATGAATAGCGGACGTGGCTGAAGCGACTGACCTTGTTCATGGGTGGAGGACGATGGGCTGATTGGTTGAGAAATGCTTGAAAGTACTTCAGCAAACTTATATTTTCCACCTCGATATGAGCCAGCTGGGGTGAAGATAGTGTGAGAAGGATAATCGGGATGAGGTTCTGTGATCTCGGCAGGCAGTCGGATACCAAGATAAAAGCCAACGAGCAAAGTAAGATGTGCGACGCTCCCGAGTACAGCGGTCAGATCAGCACAGCGTAAATTACTGACCTCGCGAAGGTCGGGTAGAGTAAGTCCGGCTATTGAAAATTGATCGCGTGTGCTCGCGTCGCCTCGCCTGCGTCGCTGACGTAGCCTCATCAGAGAAGCTGCTTCTCGACAGAGTTGTGCTCTACTCTCTATACCAGTTTGTTGCAGCTTCGACAACGAGGAGAAAGCCTTGGAGTTCATGCTAGATCCTGTGGCAAGCGCAGCCTGGCGTCTTTGTGGGACATGGTCTCGGACAACGGTAAAGGTGTCCTTCTTCTCTGCGATCTTTGTCTTCAAAGTCGCTATTCTGTCTCTCAGTCGTACGGATTCTTGCCTAATCTGATCTCCATTCTGCTTGATTTCCGCCAACTTTTTCTTGGTCTCGTTCACAAGAAGGTGGGACAACTCAAGTTGCCAAACAGCCTGATCTGTGTTCAACTGCGTAGGAGATAATGACCCCTTCTCTGATGTATGAGCGACTGTTTCCTCAACGCGTTTACTGAATACATTTTTCTCGAGTAGCATCTGAGCATACTCCAGCCGTGGCAGATAAATAGCATTGCGAGCGCAGGCTGCACAGATGAGATTTGCAACCTCCTCTGAACTTCGTTGGCAAATATCGCAGTCCATGTCGCATCAGTGTAGATAATTGTAGTAATATAGCGAAGGTAGAGCGCGTGCTTAACCAGGATGAATAGATAAGACAGGTTGCCGTTCGTTTCGCACACGCCTGCTGCTGCACACGCAGGTTAGGTATGTCCTAGAAGGCGCGAACATCGTGATCATGTCCGAAGTGTTCATCTAGCACGACATGAGCATTGTCAGGCTGCTGAAAGGGTCGCCCGGGCAAGATACAAGTGACCAATATTAGTCTTTGGGCGAAGTAATTAATAGGTAGAAAGAGCACATGAGAATAGGTGACGCAGCGCCAGTTTGCACGTGGAAATCAGGTCAGATGATTACGCGAAGCAACCGCTCCGGGCCTCTCAGGACTTTCAGGCAGTCGCGTCCCAGGCTGTTGACTAAATATTTACAGTACTCTCATGCTGAGCCACGCTCTATATGCTCTTAGATTGAAATTCTCACGGTCCAGAACATGAGATCGTGATGATGAGTGTGATATAACTTTAGACGATGCCAGATTGACAAATCCAACCATGGCTCAACCACATGAACCGGAGCGCGAACTGAACGAGACCAGGGGTCTGGCAAACACGGCTGCTGTATACAGCCCAGTGACCGAAACTTCTGCAACCATGCATACGGACTCCAAACAAAGTACCCAAAGTGTTGAGTCTTCTGGTGCCACAGAGGCTGCAAACCCAACCGAAACTTGTGACAGTGATTTATCTTTCTTGGACGCTCTGGAACAATCACGGAAGAAGCTAGACCAGGAGTCGTCACAATTCGAAGAAGACTTAAAAGGACGAAACACCAAGAACACGGACCTTGAAGTACTCGACTGGGATGACCTTCTGGTAGAGTATGAGAAAGAAATAGCAACTATTGCGCACCGAGAAAAGGAGATCATAAACAAGTTCAACACAAGATTCAAAGTGAGTTGGTTTTTGTAGCAAGAATAGTGGCTGATCTGCTCAGCAATATATGTTATGGATGGAAGTATCGAACGAGCGTGAAGGTGAGCGTGCGAGGAAAAGGTAGATGAACATCTCAAGAAACCACGTTCTAGACTACTAATACTTCAGACTCAAAACCCAAGCAGCTTTGGTGCAGTCTTCGGAAGAGGAACTTATCAAGCAAGAGCAACACTGTGAGTAAGCTACGTCGACGTGACATCCTGGACCGACTGACAATCGACAAACAGACGTGAGAGTCATGGAAGCATTTCAGAGCGCCATGTCGTTGCTCAACCATTCGAATCAGCAATGAGCATTGCTCTGAGTCAGGTCAGGGCTCTGCTTCGGTTCTCGTGGAATTCACGTTACTAGAAACAAAATAAGGAAATAGGTGCGTTAGGGCTTGGGTTTGTATTGTGTAGGGTTGTTTCTTAGGTATGATTACGTCATCGATCCATGAAAAGTAGCCCTATTTGAGCACATCGAGGCCTAATTTCTGAGCCGTGGCCGAACCTCCTCAAAAATAATTTGGTTGCTCTTTATCTGAGGCTGATCTGCAGTCCTACAACATCTTGTTATCATGAGCAATAACAATGGCCTGAGTAAAGATCAGACTTTGCTAGCACGGCTGAATGCATTGAAGCAATCTACAATTGATCTTGATGCTAAGAAGTAAGAAGTCCCTCCCACTGTGCTCCGACCATTATGCTAAACCCATAGGCATGTCTTCGAGCCAAATGCATCTGCTTCCTTGCCAGTGGACTCTGCTCCGGCCCGGGACCTGCATAAGGATCTAGTCTCACGATTCAAGACATTGAATGGCCAGGGCGAGAGCTATACTGTACCAAGTGGAGCCGGTCAAGACGAGGATCAATTTCAATTATTTGTAGATGAGGACGGAAAGACTGTGGATGAAATGCTCGCCGAACTTGGTCCCGAAGATACCTGGAATCTACAGAGGGACGAAGAGGCGCAAATTACTGATCTTATAAAGGCTGCCCAAAGTGAGCTCAATACATCCAAGGCTCGTTCGCAGTTGCTAGCTGAAGGCGGGCAAGGCGACAAGGATGAACCGACTCCTGGGGAGAGAGGGAACGAGCGCTCAAACTTCAAGCAACCTGTGACGAAAAGTCCGCCAAAGCAACCGATAGAGCCAACCGAGGAAGAGCTAGACGAGGAAGCTGATGAGTACATTGCAAAGTTATTGGAAGAAATTGGGCGTGTGCCTGAAGTCAAGCATGAGCAAGATACAAATATGGACGATGTCTCAAATCCGCACGATTCAATCGCGAATTCTCAATCTCCCGCTAAGCTGGGTCTACCCTCAGCATCTCCAAGAGAGCCCGATCCGCCCACCTACTCTGAGGTCACAGCCGATGACAACCTTGCGTCAAGATTAGCTAGCCTAAACCTGCCGTCTGTACCTACAACTACGATGTCTGAGCCAGCCAAACCGACTCAAAAGCAGCAGTCAAAAGGTTATACAGACGATGAGATCGAATCATGGTGTGTCATATGCAACGATGATGCGTCGCTAGTCTGTGCCGGCTGCGACGGTGACCTATATTGTACAAAGTGCTGGCTCGAAGGCCATAAAGGTCCGGATGCTGGCTATGAAGAACGAACTCATCGGGCCAAAGAGTATATCAGGGGAGGACAAGCCAAACACCAAGCTGCCCGACGCCTTGTAGGTGCTTGAAAATGCCGGGAACCAAGACAGTAACAGCGTCAATGTGCGACTGAAGTCTTTGTACCTACACCATGACATATCCTCCAGTACACCGACTCGTCAAGGCAGCAGCTCTCAAGGTGTTTCTCCAAAATGCTTGGTACTCCTTCCCCACGGATTTAAAGGGTCGCCAAGGCAATTCTTGCTTGGCATTCAATATGAGCCAATTGAGTGATTCTGGCCAATACTCGAGTAGCAAGGATGGACAGGACTACTCTGGAAACCCGAGGCTCATGGCTGGGTAAAATGAATCTTGCCTTCTTGGACGGGTTCCGGCTTAGAAACATGGTGCGCCAAGCTGATCGTCAACGGTCTGCTACGGGGCAGAGTATTGACTACTCTATTGCAAGTTGAGGAGCATTAAAGACTGCTGAGCTGCAGCACTCCTTCGAAACTGCCTTCCGCTCGCGATCACGAAGTAGTCATATTGCGTTGAGCTAATCCAACAAAATGCCTTCGTCTATCATGGACACCGAGAAGGAAGCCGACTTCCGACACTACGAGCAGAAGTTCAATACCAATACACATGCGGGTCGCGATCATGGTCTTCCCGTGGAAGATCTGCTCAGCAAAGCAGATATTTCTGCTTCAGCGCCACCACCGGGTGAAAAGGAAGACAAGGAAACCAGACGTATCATGCGCAAGATCGACATCCGGTTACTCCCAGTGCTTGCCATTATCTACTCCTTTGCACTGATTGATAGAGTCAACCTCCCGAACGCCCGTATCGCTGGAATGGATGGGGATCTTCAGCTATCTGTTGGTTCTCGTTACTCCCTGGTGACAATGATGTTCTTTGTGCCTTATATTATCTTGTAAGCTGTCCCATACCAAAGAACGTGAATCAGGTCGATCAAGGGTCTTCTCAAGCGCTATGTACTAACTCTTACAGTCAATTTCCTGCTAATATCATGATCCGAAAGCTCGGGGCTGGGATTTGGCTACCTAGTCTTGTCGTTGCGTGGGGAGCGCTATGTATCGGCATCGGGTTCACAAATCGCTGGACCGAGCTTTTGGGCTGCAGGATTCTGCTAGGGATTCTGGAAGCAGGATACTATCCTGGTATGTTATCCTTGCCGCTGTAGTCGTTCACACGCTGACTCCGATAGGTTGTGTTTTCCTGCTGAGTTGCTGGTACGTCAGATACGAAGTACAAAAGAGGTTCAGCGCCTTCTACCTTCTAGCACTCCTTGCTTCAGGATTCTCGAACATTCTGGCCTGGGCCCTATCACTCATGGATGGAATTGGCAACCTGGCAGGCTGGCGGTGGATATTCGTTATGGAGGGCATCATCACATGTGTTCTGGGACTGATGGGATATGTTTTGATTGTGGATTTTCCAGACAAGAGCACAAGAATACATCCCATCACTCGCAAAGCTTTCCTTACTGTGGACGAAGCCAAAACTGTCCTCGGCCGAATCGAAAGAGATCGAGGCGATGCAGTGGTGGACAAGCTCACCTTTCAGACGATCAAACAGCACCTGCGCGATTGGAAGATCTGGGAGTACGCCTGGCTATATTTGCTCAACAATACCGTGGCGTATAGCTTCGGCTTCTTCTTGCCCATCATTCTGAGGACGGAAATGAATTATTCTGTGACGCTCAGCCAGGTATTGTCATTCCCTCCATACGCTGCAGCTTGTCCTTGGATGTTTGCCACGGCGTGGGTGGCCGATAGGTATAGGAAACGTGGATTGATATTGATCTTCAACTGCGCGGCTGCCATACTTGGAGTCGCCATGATGGGTTTCATCAGATCTTCCCCAGGTGCTAGGTATACAGGTGTGTTCTTGGCTGTCTGTGGGGCCAACGCAAATGTCCCGACGATCTTGTCATATATGCACAACAACATCGTGGGCCAAATGAAGAGAAGCATTGCTAGTGCATTACTTATTGGTGGTGGAGCTATGGGAGGTAAGTCGAACCACTGGCACTATTGGTCAGCAACCACTAACTATTGCCAGGTATTGCAGCTTCAAACATCTTCCGACAACAAGACGCGCCTCAATATGTTCCGGCGCTCATCACGGTGATCTGCACGCAAGCATTGACAATTCTGCATGTACTGAAGAACTTTTGGATATACTCCAGGTACAATGCCAAGGCAGACAGAGGTGAACTTTTGCTAGAGGGTCAGTCAGGGTTCCGACAGACATTGTAGAAATAGTGTATGGAATCACATAGTTGTCATTCAACACTTGCATTAAACCATCAGTTTTCCATCTTAAATTCTTGGGCTCGGAGAGTTCACGCTTCGACGCGTGTTCGACACGTGCTCGACGCGTCAATGACTTGTGGGGTATTCTTGTAACAACCTCGTGGTACTAATTGCGGTGATTGTACAGCTCTACGTGCGTGGAAGTCAAACAACAAATGCGCAACAATCCTAGTTATTCACGGACGTATCTAAGCAAGTCCAACAATCACTTTCAACAACCGCTTGCGGTAACCAGTGATCCGGAAGTTCTTGCGAAGAGACGAGCACGAAACAACCTACTCAAGCAGGGGGGTCAGCGATTTCAAGGACGGATTCAGTCTCTGCACCTGCCCAAGGTTGAGCCTTCTCCTTCCACGGTGTTGATCGCAACCTCAACTGCGCTGAATCCAGCAGGTGTGATGGATTTGACTATTGACAATGAGGTATACGGACCACCAGTTGGCAGTAGCGACGAAGAAGAGGAGAAAGAAAATCAGGACAAGACGTCCACAAAAGCTGTACAATCTTTACCGACTCCCGAAAATACTCAGCAATCCTCCAAACTTAAGAGACGGCTACCTTCGAGCAGGCCAGATGCAAACCGACGTGAATCGAAAAGGCTAAAAGGAAACAAAGATGAAGGCATTACCAGTGTACTAGACGAAAGGGTTGCCAATATACCACCACCATCGAGCATGGAACTGTTTCCGAATTCCTCACAGTCGAGTCAGAGAAGGAGGGGGCAGTATCATAAAGGAAGAAGACCTCAATATAGAGCCAGTCCGGAGTTGTCACAAAATGATACAGAGAATGCGGATCTCAATATACCTAGCTCTGCTGAGATGCCTAGGCGGAAGCGGCAAGGAAACGTAAAATTTGAGAACCTATCAAGTTCACAAACCTCTTCACCTCGATCAAAGACGTCGAAGCAGGAAATCGACCTCCCCGCAAGCAGTCCAACTCGGAAAAGAAGGCAAAGAGCCTTCGCATTGCCAGGCGTGCAAACAGACGAGGGTCCTGAAATGAACGGGGACGATAGCGACGACATTGCACAGCAGTTGTTCGTATCTGTCGAACCAGCAAGGGAACGCCGCGGCTCTACTTCCAGCTTATCATCACTAAACTCTATCAACGAAATTGCAGTTGATCTTGAGACCGAGGCAAGATTGATGGCAGATGACGATGTCACAGACCTAGAAGAGACAGTATCGTCGATTCACTTCATGTGCCCGAGGTGTAAACGTACGACCCTGAAAGAGGGTATCGAGCTACCAGAACCATGCACAGACACTAAAAACCTCACCGGCCTCCAGCAGCAACAGTTTTGTTATATTCATCGCATGCGCGATGCAAGACTTGCCTGGAACAAAGCTGGCTACCCAGAACTCGATTTTGCAACTCTCGGGACCTCGAAGCGTGTACAGAAACATATCAAGAATCTACTTCCCGTAATCGGACGCAAAACTCCCTCATTCTACCTCAAGAAACTTGACGAAGCAGCTTCGAGGTCAAAAGGTCAAGGAGCTATCAAACATTTCTTCGCCGAGGAGACCATCGATCTGATACACCATGGCTACTATGGTCCACGTGGTGCCAAGGTTATCTCTAAGACGATTGCCGAAGACGCTGAAGTGGTGAGCTCACTCAAGGGCAGGACACGTGATAAAGCTGTACAAGCAGCTGGTATTGGCCGCTACATCGATTGTGTGCTTACGCCAGAGGTTTTGATAAAGTTGGTGCAGGAAGATTCGAAAGAGCCGCGTAGTGAAGAAGATGCGAGGAAGGTTCTGAAAGATTCTCAAGAGCTTGGAAGGTTGCTATGCGGAGATGACGATGAGGTCAATACTGAGGAGGATGTCGATCTTGGAAACGATGTCTAAGCCAGCAAGCTGGACTAGGGTTTGTACCGATTATTTAGTGTATGTTCTGTACGTGACTTCAAGCTTGGGCAGTGAACACATCTCGTTTCACGACTCTAGCACAACGAATTTTGCAAAGACGAAGCCCGCATTGATGGATATTGATGGATACTGCGTGTCAGAAAATTATGAGCAAGACTTGGAACCATTGAACGTCCAATATCATTTCTCAGAATCTCCCTCCTCCTTCTACTCCCTCCAGCTCCTTCGCCCTCTTCATGAAATCATACATCGACGTAGAGAACGAATCTACACTCCCACTTCCCTGTCTCTCATAAAAGATCTGCCCATCATAGATAGTCTGTTTTGAAAGATGGTAAGGCGAATCGATTGTCCGCCAGTACTCGGCTGAAGAGTCTGAGTCGTAACTGGTGTCGTTGTCGATTTTTCCCGAAAGGATTGCCGCGATTTGGGCGTCTTGATCCTCTTCTGGTTCTGAGTCCGACTCTGGGGCTTTTAGCTGCTCTTCAGAGGATTTGGTTTGCGATTTTGGCTTTTGTTGGGGAGATGGTTTCGTGCTGGGCTCTTGGTATGATGGTGCATCGCTGAGTTCTGCAGCATTTTGTTCATTGGGTTGTTGGGCAGCGTTATCAGTGGCAGATTTTGGTTTGGGCTTGCTCCTCCAGAACGTCCCTAGCCAGGAAGACGCCAGTCGATTGGGGCGTTTCCTGATTGATGGAGATACATGGACGACTTCGGTGCCTTGTGCTTGCTTGTTGATAGAAGCTCCCGAGCGTGACCTGACTATTCGTACTACTTCACCTTTGGTATAGGACCCTCTGAGTGGTCCAAGAACATCTCCTCTTGCCATGTTGTGCTATGTAGTCAATATGTATTTAAGTAGAATGCTTCAGCTGTCTCCGGGAAAGATAATTGGGGCTACCATAATATAGCAGACATGATGTCCAGCGTGCGTATGTTTGAGTAACCTTCATAGTGTCGACGAGATATCATAACGAGCAACACACGCGGACTGGCTTGCGTGGTTGTTTCTCATTTGCTACTTGGAGTGTACACGTTGGATATTCGTTAGCGGCAAGTTCAGGACAACCAGGGCTATTCTGGTTGTAGGAAAACAGAAGCGACGCCTGCTTCGTTGGATTGAGATCGTCGTCGTCGCACGGTGCGCCGACGAAGGGCACTCGTTTGCTTGTAGCATTGCGCACCTCGTGGGAAAGCGTTCAAGAAACAGCACAGGTATACATAGTCGTCGCATCCCAGAGACAACATCTGCAGAAGGGTCGCAAGTCGAGCACAACGTGATGTGAAGGTCAGTTGTGTACATATCTATCATGCCATTTGGTTAGTGTCAAGAGAGAGGAATGAACGTCTGAGGATGCATATAGTCTTCATATTGATAGACCAGATCACTGTCGTGCAATCTAGTTTGGAAAAACATTCATACACTCGGTTAGAGTTTTCGTTGCCGTGCTTAGAGTGGTGTTGGTTGAGGTCGATGGAGGTTGACACAGTTACCTTCCAGTACCTCCATGAAAACCTCCACGAACCCCCGTCACCCTCGGTCGACCTCCTGCACAGCGTTACGGGCTGTTGCGACAACAAATTTGCTCCCAGTCGCCGAGCAGACTTCGAGGAAGTGAGCTCGATGGTAGGCTGAACTGCTCCTCCCCCTGAGTCAATGTGGGGCATGTCAAGATATTCTCCTTCTCTGCTGAGTAACTCCACAACCTACTAAAAAGATTACCCGCCAAAATGATCGATATTGGCCATTACTTGGTGTTGTTGTTATACATTGCTATAGCTATATTACCCTTATAACCGTATACGTCTTCCTCTTCCTCTTCTACCTCGTCTTCGTCCTCGTCAACGTCATCGTCGCTAGCGATCTATACAGGTACTAGAGGACTGTATGAGTTATATGCTAGTTCCACTGCCTGACCTTTCTATATACCCGTTCATGGTCACCATGTGGTCATATCTACAATACTCTCGAGTAAACAGTTCCCTAGTATGGGGTGCGAAAGTTCGTTGATGAGCTTTCCGAGGATTTGCCGAACAGAGATCATCGCATCACTTCCGGATCCCTTACGATTTCTCGCACATTGTGACATGACCGATACACCTGTTGTTGCACAGCTCTCTTCTGTAAAAAAAGTCATTGCACATTAAATCCTGCAACCATTATTCGCAGACTAATTGATATACTTGAGCTGCAGGGTGACAATACTGGTTCCTACTTTGGGACTAGTTCACGACCAGAGATCATGGGCCAGACCACTGATCTCTGCCTTAGGTAGCTTTTGCAACCAGTAGTCTGTGACTAATCTAGCATTGTCTCTACGAATGTCTTTTCTCCTCAAAGCGACAACCACCTATGATCCTATTGTTGCACTTCTGAGTGCGGAACAACGAAGCCAAATCAGCTACGTGTTTCACCATCGTGTTTCTGGTAGTGGTCGGGCTATTCATTGCAGGCCACGTAACTTAGTGATTTGGTGCAGCAATTCAAGACAAGGCACGTAAATTTCGATTTGTCGTTATGGACATGCTCAAGATGGCTTGTACTCAGCATCCGGTCCACGGTCGTTGGGTCCCCCGTCTGCGACTGTTGCTCTAGTACTAATTCCTCCGTCCTTTGCAGTACCACCGACTCCTGGAGCAGCGTTTCCAGGTCCAGCGTTACTTGTAGAGTCAGTAACTTCACATCAGAGGCGTCGCAACGCTTACTCTGGATTGGCTTTGCTTCCATCGTCACCAGCATAACTAGGGTCGGCTTTAGTGTCATCGGGACCACCATCTGCGACAGTCTATTGAGGGTCAGCCAGACTGATTTACGAACTTGCATCAAAGGCAGACCGCTGCGGTGCTCAGTCCACCGTCCTTCGCTGTGCCACCCACACCTGGAGCTGGGTTTTCTGTCGACATTCTGCACGACAATGTTCTTCTTGAGACTATGAAACGCGTGATCGAGGATCAGGTATATGTAAGCACTATCTGCACACAGTGACAATCGACGTGGTATATATGCACCCCAATTTCCCGTGACCTCATCAGGAAACTTAATATCAGATTTGCGACAGTGGAGACTGCGATCTGGGAAACCCGGAAAGTGTGGACACCTCTAATGCCTTACAGTTAAGGCATCAAGGGCGTTCATTCTACAGAATCAAAGCCTCCAACGAAGCTAGCGTTTTTAGCGGAAGTCGCGTGGTCAACCACGTCTCACACCAGTAGGCTTTAACAATACATTTCTATACTGAACATAATTTAGAAAGTGCTTGACGGTCAATACTGATACATGTTCAACTAGGCGCGGTGGCCAGTATACTGTCGAAGTAATTGAATTGACTTCTTACTCCGGCAGTCTCTTCAACTTGAGAAGGCGTAGTTCCAAGACTTCCCGGGGCTCTCGGAAGCACAGGTTGGCCTAAGCTGGCCACCTACTACTCGCACAAGGACAGCAGCATCTTATCTCAACACAGTCTTTCACTACGAGCTCTAACCACTCATACTGTGAGTGTTTCGGCATATAGAAATTGCAGAATACGAAGTGGTTCAACTATTTGTGACCAAACATGGATGCAACTAAACTACAGCAAGAGCACAACTTAGCAGTCCAGCGCGTTCAGCTTCAAGTCGAAAAGTTCCACAAGGAAAAGAAGCACTTCCGTGTATACCATGGCTCCACCTCCTCCACCAGACCTATGCAATTCACAAAGGACGCGATCGTGGATACGAGTGACATGCACCGGCTCTTCCCAGTCGACAAGGAGACTATGACTGTGAAGGCTGAACCAAATGTGCCCATGGACGCTCTTGCAGCTCACTGCATATCAGCGGGATATGTGCCCAAAATCGTGATGGAGTTCAAGGGCATCACATGTGGAGGTGGCTTTGCAGGAATGTCTGGCGAATCTTCCATGTATAAATATGGGTTGTTTCAAAATTCCGTCTGCGAGATCGAGATTGTCCTTGGAGACGGCACTGTCGAGTATGCTAGCCGTGAAAGAAATGCAGACCTTCTCCAAGAAGCCGGAGGTTCTCTGGGAAGTTTCGGCATTATCACATTAGTGACGATAGAGTTGCTCCCAGCGACGTCGCATGTTCAAGTTCAGATTCAGCCGGTCCGCGAGCCGCTGGAGGTACCATCTATCTTCGAGGATGCAGTAAATGACCCCACAATAGACTACATTGACGGCATCTACTTCAATCGCACATCCGCAGTCGTTATGTTTGGAACTATGATCGACTACTCACAGCGCCATGCTGAGGCGCCACTTTTGACAACAAAGCAAGTACATTGGTTCGCCGATACCATCGAAGCACATCTCAAGAAGCACAACAATCAGATTTCCATGCGCACGAATGCAGAGTCGAAGGGCTCCGAACCAGTGGCCAATGCTCGAGGCACAACGAAGCCGAGCCAGATCCCTCCAGTAGTTTTGACCCTAACAGGTAAGAAATTTACACAATCTATATCCTACTAGCAATCTCTTTGGTATACAACAGCTGACGATGCAATGTAGATTACCTATTCCGTTACGATCACGGAGCTTTCTGGGGAGGAAAACTAGCTTTCAAACATTTTCATGTGCCACAGAACAGGATTACACGCGCCATCGCTGATCCTTTCTTGGACTCTCGAACGTGCTACATGGCTTTGCACAAGAGTGGCCTCGCCGATGAGTACGTGGTACAGGACTTTGGTATTCCTGCCTCGACAGTGAAACAGTTTATCACTTACGTCTCGGAAGAGCTGCCGGATTGCCAAATATTCCTCTGTCCACTGAAGCCAGCACAGGAGATTGGAATTGATGCACGTTTCAACACTGCTGTAAGTGCAGTGAGGGATGTCCGTATCATAGGTGTGGGTGTTTACGGCCGCGGACCACGAGATCGTGCTGCTTTCATTGAGCTGAATCGCAAGCTTGAGCTGAAAGCCTCGATGCTCATGGGCTCGAAACTATTGTATGCAAGAACATATTACACTGAGGAGGAGTTTTGGACTATCTACAATCGAAAATATTATGATGAGGTGCGGAGGAAATGGAAAGCGGAAGGACTGCCGAGCGTCTACGACAAACTTCATGCCGACATGAACTATACCAGAAAGAAGAGAAGTGTACGAGGTATATTGGAGACTATGTGGGCAGTTAAGGTGTCCCACAAGGTCGATTATTTACTGAAGAAGTAGGCCACGGAACCTGCTGCTGAGAAGCCAGTCGAATCGAACTCTGCCGATGAAGAATGGAATGGCTGAGAGCAAGTGTGGAGTGGTCGTCTTTGGATGACTTCATGAATCATGGAGAATCAAGATAATACAGCACAGTGATGAAGGGAGCTCGAGCTTGATAGATGAGTCTACCGGGAGGTAGACCAGCCTTAAAGGGTGGGAGATGTGGTGAGCAACCACCAGAGTGCTCCGAGAGTACTCGGTGGAGTCGCTACTCTCACTCTCTTAGGTAGTTACAATACAATCAACTTCATCAACAACCAGTCCACGAGTAGGCACTGCTTTTGATATTTGGTCACTGGAGGGTGACTCAGGGGGTTATAGTTCTGAAAGCTTTCCTCTCCCGAATTACTCACCTAAAGTTCTAACTTAACTTAAACTACGATTGAACTACCCTTACACTACAACCACACTACGATCAAACTAGGTTTGAACTACCCTCACCTAGAAGTCGTCGCTGTCGTCTACCACCGATGGTGGTACATTCTCCTTATCGAGGTCCTCGTCAGAGTCAGTAATACCTTCATCAGCTGTAGCATCGGCACCCTCGAAATCATCGCTGTCTTCAACGAGTAGGCCCTTGTCGACCTTCAAGACCGAGCTAGCATCCTTCGATTGAACATCCTGGTTGGCCTTGTCGGTGAAATTGGAAAACAGTACTGACTTTTGCAAAACAAAATTGCCCTTGAGAGTAACATCGAGGGACTCAGACGGCGCAACGAAACTAAAAGGCTTGTGTGACTTCGTGATTGCCTCGGCTTGCTTAACTTTGTTCGCTGCGCGCCACGCTTTGAGGTACTGCTTGTTCGCTCCTCTTTGCTCGAAGGTCCTAGCCCAAGGCTACCGAACCTGTTGTCACTCCTAAGGACGGACACCTAACTGAGTCTGCTTCTGGTCCCGCGAAGCCCTCAGCTAAGATCTTAGGCGTCAAACGCAAGCGATCTTCCATTGATAATGGTGGTCAAAGGTCTTCCGAAGATAAATCGCTCTCTGACCAGAAGAAGGTTAAGATTAACGACACTGTCGCCGCTACGACTAATGCAGCAAGTAACGAAGGCAAGGTTAACGCTTTTCCTGCCACTGCTACTACAGTCAAAGATAATACTGGAACTGCTGCTAAGTCCGTTGAAGATGATAATCCCGAAGCTGGAGACAAGGTTGAACCTAATACTGCGGTTGCTCAAGTCAAAGATGGCGCTGGAAGTGGTAACGAGTCTGTCGAAGGTGGCACTGTGGCTACTGGAGACAAGGATGTCGCCGCGGGCGCATCGACCTAGAGTAGCGACGAGTAAGTCCTAGCAAGTGAGAAGAGACGCAGAGATGGGTGCTATATTTAAGCTATTTCAACATGATAACCAGATAACATATGGCGAGGCAAGCCTTAGTCCATAGACATCACAAAATCAACTTACGAACGACTTCTTTGTGCACTAATAACTAGTAAGCGACTATGATATGAGGGCTGTGACTTCTGCAAGCAATACTCCTAGGCAATCCATGCCATCAGGCCACACGATGCCATCTCAGCCGTCAGCAGAGTCAGCTGAATCAGATTAAGGAGCATCTGGAGGAGTACGTTAAGGAGTTAGAGGGGATCAAGGATGACTGGGCACCTTCAATTCGGTCTTGATACCATTCGGGTGAGAGCTAATCGTGTAACTGTTAAAATTCCGCAGCTAATTCAGGACGAACACAGAACACCAGAAATGGATCAGGATGAGTAGAAAACTCAAGAGCCTAATTAAGTATTCGACGAGATAACACTTCCAGACGTGGGATCTAGGAGACAATACTACGGCAAAAGCTTACGCGCTGAGCTCGATATCACACTGCCTCTCGCCAGAGCCCAGCAAATATCGATCAGTGTCCTCCTGACTCACGAGAGTCGTAGCATTCATATGCTACTTTAATCTATAACTCTAGTATTGAATTATGCGGTTCCCGCTCCCTTCTTTACCTCTTCCGCAGTCACTATGCCGGCTGATCGAGCATACGAGGTGGTTCAAAGCTATCACCACCTGACGCACGCTTTGCATCATTGCCGGGCCCTCGTTGACACCTACTCTACCAAGACGTCGACATGTCGTTACTGAGGTAAGGCTTATGTCACCACGTTATTCCAGGCCGCAATATTAGCTTGTTATACTCTCTGGAAAGTGTCAACATTGAATACGCACCAGCTAACAGTATGATATAGAGACAAACGCGTGGTCGATAACTGTCTTGTCACGAAAGCACTTTGCACAACAGTGCACTCTATATCACCAACAACAAATTTCGAGCAGTCATCCAACGCAAACAGTCAATCTAGTACTTCTGCGCCGCAAGACTTCTATCTTCTCTGGAATTTTCCACTTTCAACTGTCTCGATTTCATTTACGGTTCCAAATTCTTCTACCCGAAAGTCACAACCGTTGTCTACCAGTATTCAGAATGGACGTCACACAAGTCAAAAATACCGAGGCCTCCTCCTCTACAGAAGAGGAAACTCTCTCACAAACCAGACCAGAAGTCATCAAGCCCAAGCGACCATCACTTAACCGCAACGTATCCAGCTTCTCCCTTGCAGTAGCCAGCGTCGAACCCCTCAAAGGTATCGACCTACGTAAAGCCCTACAAGTTGTCAGCCTCGATCCAAAGGCCAAAGAAGGCGTGAAAGAAGATATTAAGCTTGTACGAGAACTGAGAAACGAGCCTATTAGAACTAACATAGACGCCGAAGCCTTGCCAACTCCAAAGGCTGTCAACAAGTATGCTCTCTGGTAAGCACTTTCCCAGCGCCTATTTCTTGTCTCACGGCCAAGCACTAACACCACAACAGGGAATGCGGCTTCGGCACAGGCATAGAACCTCAACCCCTCTCCTCAATCCCCGACACCAAAGACGACCTCCTCAAAGCCCTCCGCGGCGAACTCATGAATCTCAAATTCATCAAGGCGGGTCTGGCGCGTTATCTCACGGTTCTGAATACTGGGGAGCACCATGTCTTTCCGAATGGGTTCTTGGAGAATCAGAATGCGTCGACGAAGATTGCGCAGGGTCAGCTTGATCAGATTAAGGAGCATTTGGAGGAGTATGTTACGGAGTTGGAGATGATTGAGGATTCGAATGCTGGTGTGCGTCAAGAGTTAATGGAACTGTTTGGACATGCGAAGCCTTGGATTGGCAGGATACGTGCTGTCATGATCGACTCCCACTTATTTATGAAATTGAATTATTCTCTTCTATCAAGTGCAGGACGAGAGGACTGAGAAAAGTTGAAGCTGTGGTTGGAAAGTGCAAGGTCACTATGGTTGTTATCCAACCAATGCCAGTGTTGGACCTTGTCTACTGATAGGCTCGAAACAACCACTCCCAGTCCTCGATGCTGTCACGCTGCCACTGATCAAATAGCAAGTCTTCGAGTTCGAACCTTTCACTTAAAGAGTCATTTTCCCTCAAAACCGTCAGCATAGCACATCGCAATTCAACTTCATCTTCGTCCTTACCATTTTCTACTCGAAGATCAGCCTGTTTGTTTCCCTGCACTGCTTCCCTGAATTCCTGCCGTGAGATAATGATCGTGTCTGGTTCTCCTGGTTCAGAAAAATCTACTGCAGGTAGGGATTTCGCTTCTGCCGGTTCATCTCTTTGCTTCTCCTTCGTTTCCTTGACGACAAAGTCGTCACCTTGTAAAGTATCGTTGCTCTGCTGAGATTTGTCTCTATCGTGGTCTTGCTGCTGTTCCGCCCGTTCGTGTGTTGTGTCTATACTGATTTTTTTGAGCTCTTGATTCTGTGGCGCTTGCTCCTTGAGTGCCTCTGCTTGCGCCTCGTCGATGAATTGTTGCGGGACGCGGTCTTCGACTGACTGTGGCAACCTTGTGTCGTCGCTTTCTGGTGCTGAGTCGATCTTGGGAGTTTTTGCTTCTTGGTCGATGGAATGCTCATCTCTGCACGATCGCTCGGCTGGAGCTGCTGGTTGGTGTTCGTGTTCTTTTCGCACCGTTGGTGGTTCTGCCACAACATATGGGTCAACGTCTTCTTCCTGCACAGATTGGTATGAGTATATTGTGTACTGGGAAAGATAGATGTCACGTACTTTGCAAGAATCAGAACCCTTTTTAGTGGATGGGATGGTATCACCTTGATCTGACCCAGCCGTAACTCTAGCGGCTTTTGCCTCAATCGTGCGAGGCATCAGCTCACGAGCCGCAGAGGCTGTGATTTCCATCTTCGTGGCTCCAGGTTCGCGCGACTGCTCAGCGCTCCTCTCATTCTTCGTGGCTGTATTCGGAATTGACGATGGCACGTCTTTGGATGAAGCAGACTTGAATACATCAAAATCCTGCTTCTTATTCGGTGGTAGCACGACTTGAGCCTTGCCTGCAGTGTACTTGAATGGTCGAACCGTGTCACAATCATATCTTGCAATTTTGATCTGTGGTCGTACAACTAGAGCAATCGTATGCCTAATGAGGAGGGTGCCCTCCCCGGCTGACTTGCACAAGCGATGTAGCTCAACATTGGCTGTGCCAGGTTGGAAACCCTTGTTGTCTTTGAGATCCTTCAAGCCATGAACAGTAACTCGGGCGTCCTGTGCCCAAAGTTGCAGGCTCAATTTCCCTGCAGACTCAAAGATTGAATGCAGAGTCTTCGAATATTCATCCCGAGAGGACGCCTCAGAAGACATGCAAGTTGGCCCCAGCAGAGTATCATATATCTTCAGTATCCTGCTAGCAAGGCCCTTGTAGACCGTCTGACGAGCATCTTCGAACGGATCGTCTTCGATCGGCTTGGACAAAGAACCACCGTACTGTGACGGCTTGTAAAACGCCCTAATTGTTCGAGCGGGCCAGAGTTTTTGGTCGAAAGAGTTCTCTGCAACGATGTTAGCAACCACGACAAACCTTATATGATCTTGAAGATTTGACCTGCCTTGCATGCTTCCCATCATTGTGAGTGCGGCTGCATCTAACGATAGTTTGGAGTCCCACCTCTTACCGTGAAGGAAATGTAAAGGTCGCGATAAGATCTCATATGCCATGACATGCTCAACAATTGATTGTGCAATCACACGAGGTGCACCATTCATCCATGAGAATGCTCTGTAGTTAGACTTTATAACTGTCTCGTAGTCGAAAGCGTCGAATTGAGCGCGAAGTAGTTCCGAAACCTGTTCAACTTTCACCTCGGTCAATTTATCGTGTAAGTGACCTTTTTGTGTTATTCCGCATGCCCAATTGCGAATTCTCGTATTGAGAGAACTGATGTTTTTGGAGATTGCAGAGTCATCCTGCATGTAATCGCGATTCTGCTTGTTTCCAGATAGAAGACGAGCTTGAAGATCACGGACTTGATCTTCCAGCTTTTGGTTTTCTGCCATGAGGCGATTATTCTCATTGGAGACTTCGTCCAGTTGTTCTTTAGCTTGCATAGTCTGTGCTTCGAGCTCTTCCCTGGTCGAGGCTTCCCTACCTCCTCCGTGCTGCAGAGATTTGGTGGCTTTTGTGGTGGAAGATCGTGTAATACGTTTCACGATATTCTCGTCTCTGCCGTTGTCTTCCTTGGCCAGTATCTTTGCAGGCTCATCATCTTGCTTCTGCTTTTTCGGTGATACCTCGCCATGGTCCTTTGAGACTGGCTCAGCAGTTTCTTGAGTGACTTCTCGAGCACGCTTTGTACCCATCTTGTGGTTGATGAAGTTGTAGAGGAGTATGCTAAGACGAGTAGTGCGGATAAGTGAGAAAGAATATCGAGAGATCGATAACCTCTTCAGATCTGTTGTAGGTGAACTTCAATTGACAAGGTGTTCGCTTTCAGCGTCTCACCTCTAGCTCAGTAAGACGAGCTGTACCTGAAAGCCTCTAGTAAGCTTTATAGAATTTTAAAGATCGAGCAAGTGAGGTTACTGAAGAAACGGGTATCGAAGTATGGCCGATGCTTAGTACTTATACCTCGAGGGAAGCCTTGCTACTCTTTTCCTTTCGCATATTGGAAACACATCTGTTCATACCATTCAACCAGCCATTTTTCGACCACGAACCAGGACTCCAGTACCGACCTCTTCATCATCTCAATGTCGGGAGCAGAGACGAGCTCAGTGGGCGAGCTAATAGAGCTTGTACTGCGATCAGGATCAGCTCCTATCCCTGGGCAGCCTGCAGCATCTTCCTCGAACGAGGTTCCAGATACAGCATCAACACCACGTCGCAAGAAAACCACAAAAGGGCTATTAACAGGTCGTGGCGGCTCTTCTGGTGGCACCAAGACCAGGTCTCCGGGAGGACACCGTGGTGGAGGTGGCAGAACATTGAGCAGGTTGAACACACCAATCAAAAGGTCTGGCACTGAGGATGGAACATCTGATGCAGACGAGTGTCCTCAACCCAAGAAATCCAAGCCCGATAAGTTACCACCTTATATCGTTGGAATTGACCTAGGGATGTGGGGATTTGGTGCGTATTGTTTCATGTTGGCAGACCATGACTGACCATGCAGGACGAGCGAGCGCTCCTCAACAATCAGATCCAGCTAACGTGCATGCCAGACAACAGTGGCCCGGCGTACGCAGCAAGGAGTCGAAAGCGCCATCGATGGTAGCCTTTGCGAGGGACAATCCGGGCAACAGGCTCTTCACGGGTAACACTAAGGAGCTTGTAGGCTTTAAAGTCACAAATGACATGTCCTCAGTCTCGTTCTTTAAAGCAAGCCTGGAACAAAGATCTCAAGCAGGCAGCTTTGACAATCCGGTCCTGCGTGACCCGGTCGCCAACAACCTTATCCGCTTTAGCAGCTCCACAAAGGATGAAGAGGCAGCAAAAGCTGTTCTGAAGTACATCTACGAAATTGAGATCCAGAATGCCAAAACGAAGCTGAAAGATGTCTTCAGCAGAACGCCGGTCATAACAGTCCTTACTCATCCAGCAGCATGCAGTTTCCAGCGAAAACTCGAAGACATTGCAAAGGAAGCTCGCGTGGCTTCTCGGAGAGGCGACAAGCTGCTACTCCTCTCTGAGTCCCAGGCCGCCGTGATGGCAGGCTTTGTGAATCACCTGACTGAGGCTGGCAGTGAGGCATGGAAGACCGATTTCAAAGTTGGTCATCACTCCAGTACCAGGAGATCGCTGCTGACTTGGACACAGGAAGGCGAACTGGTAACAGAACTCGACATAGGATCTCTAACCACCGACACCACAACAGAGAGAGTTCTGACGAATGATCCAACATTGACCCTTAGAGAAGAGCTTCGATCAGAAGGTGGTAGATGTGGCACAATAGCCCTCCATCTTATGCTCTTGCGAGCCATAATGCGAAAATTCGGCATTCAGGAGGACGCCATTACTCCAGAGCTGGTGGGTCGTGGCTCGAATTTTCACACAGAATGCGAGGAAGAACTGGAGATCTTTGGTGGTGCTGACAGTGGTGATCGACACAGTTTTAGGCTCTCGCTAGATCAGGCTCCTGACCATGATGATTATGACGAGGAAACTGAGGAGTGCGTCATGAGCAGGTACAGTCCATACTATTCCCCATGTTTTGCGAGACAATATGCTGATCCAAGAAGTGGAGAGATTGATCAGGTGATAGAAGAGTGGTTGGTCTATCCTAAACAGATTCTGACCGATCAATGGGTTCGAGCACAAGCAAACTTGGGCAAGAGAGTCCGGGTGCGTATCAGAGAAAGACGGTGACCTTTGACTAACAACACATAGACTACCATAATTTCTGGTGGTGGGAGCTTAATCGAAGCAGTCTTTGAAAAGCTTGAAGGATTTTGCAAGAACTATAAGTGGGCAATCACCGCCATTAGGCCAGGCGATGCCATATCTGCCGTCAGCAGAGGAGCGGTAATCAGCCAGCTCTGTCCTAACCTCTTAGGAGAGCGGGTGCTTCGCGCGAGTTTTGGTATCAAGCTGAATCACTTTGGTACAGACACCATGAAGTGGCTCGAGAGCAAGGTAAGTTGCCGTGTCGCTTCCAACATCCTGAACGGATCTGATTTTGACGCCTTACAGGATAACATCATCGATTGTCGAAAGCCCAAGGTTCTCAATGAGGCACCAGGCCATCTTTCATTCAATCTCCACAAGATGCTGAACGGAATCTCAAAATTTTGGCTCAATGTGTATATGTTTGATGGAATGTCAAGCAACCCCTTGGACCCTGACGATCAGCGTAAGTTGAGGCAGTTCTTGTCTGGACCGAAGCTAACAGTCGCAGGCATTGAACATGTTTCCCAGATAGTACTCGATGCGTCAAAATTTTCACAACCTTTGCGCTCGGCGCTCGAAGGCAGGCTCTCGGAGTACGAGGGCGACGACGTGAACGGTTCATGTATCGACGTTGCGATTCGGTTGGGTGTCGATGAGTCCGGCAAGCTGTATTTCGATGCCAAGTATCAAACCTATGTGCTTGGCAAGGGCGAGTTGCGCATGAATGTGACCAAGAGCCCTATATATCGATGAGTGATGGAAGATATGGGACAGACTATGGTGGGGTTAAACGACACCACAGTCCCGACTCCATAGGTAGCGTGAGGCTGTTTTGCGCACGCTTCACGGCCTCTGAATGGACATCGATGAATGTGAAATCAGGAAGGTAATTGACAAGCAGAAAAACTGCTATAAGCTCGGCCATCTTCTTACCTAGACACGATCTCGGTCCGCCATTAAAAACTGGAAATTCAAATGCAGAGCGGTTGACGAACTTTCCTTCTTCATCAAGCCATCGACCAGGCCGGAATTGATCCGAGTCGGCTCCATGGATTTCCTTTGCTCTGTTCATCGCCCAAATACACCAGACCACAACAGAATTCTTCGGAAGAAAGGTTCCATCAGGTAGTGAGAGGTCTTGCTGGCATTCTTGAATCTCAATAGGAATAGGAGGATAGAGGCGGAGAGCCTCGTAAAAGGTCGCCGTGACAAAGGGGGTATTTGCAGGTTGCAGATCGGCGACGGTCAGTGAGATCCGCTCGTCTTGATCGTGCTTAGATTTGAGCAATTTGATATCTTCACGGAGATGCTCCAAAACTTCCGGACTCCGCATTATGCAATACAGGGTCCAGGTAAAAGATTGTGCAGTCGTGTCTTTGCCAGCAGACAGGAAATTTAGGGCTGAGTCTGCTACAATGTTAGGGTCTCGAAAAGTCTCGAGCAATGAGTCTATCAAGGTATCAAAGTGGATTTCGTCGTTCGTAAAAATGCTGGCGAAAGCAGACTTCGACCTATTTTGCTTTGCCCTGTTGACGATCTTTGTGCCAAATCTCCTTACCTCCGCTAGAGCTTCGCGAAGCTTGGACCCGAAGAGAAATTCACTAACGAAGTAGAACGGATTCTGAAAACGACGTCCAATCTGGTCCGAGGCATAGTCGAAGGCTTTGGTGAAAGGATGAGAAGAATCAAGGTCCATCTGTAGCCGTCAGAACGGGTAAGTTGCTTGGGTACAGTATTACTAACATCATATGCCATGTGGCCCATGACAAAACTGGTAAAATCGAGGAAAACAGACTGCATATCAACAACTGTGCCATCTTTGGCATGTTTCAGCAGTTGGGACTTCATACGCGAATATGCTTCTGGAAGGACTTGCTCAACCATGACTTCCAGATTTGTGCCGCTGAAGAATTTAAGGCCGGCCTTCCTCTGCGCTTTCCACAAATCTCCTGATGCATTGATAATGCCATTGCCTGTTCGATCAGCGTCTGGCGAGTGGTTGTAGAAGATCTAAATACCGAACAGATCCCATGATCTCGACTTTACAAAATCGCCTTTTGAAACCAGGTGCTCATTCTTGAGCACAAACTCCAGATTCTTCGGATCAGTGATGATCACTCCTGGAGGTAACGTCGGAACAGCTATCTCCAGTGTTTCGAGGCCATACTTTTGTTGACAGTGCACGAACCATTCAAGTAATTCATGTCGTGGTCTGACAAATTTCAACGCGTGTCCTAATAGTGGCAGACGATTGGGAGCCGACCTTGAGCTGTCAGCGTCAGGAAACTTGATAGTTGTTTGCAGGTATCGTACTTTAAAGGTACCCCACGTCTAGAGATCGTCTTGCGTACGAAACGGGAGTAATAAATTACTAAAATAGACAGAACAGGGACAAGCACAACCCACAACATGATAGACAAAAGGAAGAGTAGATGCCGAGGTACTTGCAATTAGTGGTTGTAGTAGCACAGACTAAGGCACTGTCAATGCCAATATAGTCTAGATGAAGTCTCGGCTGCGTAATCTAGACTTGTTGCAGTACTCGTATCATGACGGAGGCAGTAACAAATGAGCATGGCCTGGAAAATTGTGCCGTCAGATTGCGATTGCAAGGAAGAATATCCAACGATGCAGCTGTATTTTCTCCATACGTAGTGGCAGGTGTGCGATGATTCGTCGGACGGGCTGTTCCTGACAGAACCTTCCGAAAAAAGTCGAACTCGCGTGCAATCAAATCGCCTCAATACCAGCGACCAGATATCCGTTCTGTCATGCCTTCACTGGTGGCGCAGTGGTATTCCTGATATTCTGACTGCTCATAGCTTGGGCCGATACAATTCGAGGACGTTCATTACCAGAAGTGTATTTAATCGTTGTTCTTCTTGAGTCGTGCGTACTTGCAAGCAATTCCTTATTGAGCCATCGTCATCATTTCCGTTTTTGTTGAGGCACTATCAGAACGCGTATGCGAGGCGAGCTATGTCCAAAGCCGCATTCTACAACAAGGTGACACCACCATATCAAAGACCAGGTCTGTCAGTTTTGGGCATTGGGGTAGAATACCCTCCGTACCAGATCGAGCCCAAAGATGTTACAACTCTAGCACGGCGCTTCTATCCTAGCACTCCAGCCCTGGAGAAAGTGTTAACGATCAATGAATATACTGGAATAGACAGTCGGTCAGCGATTGGAACTATTGATCACCCCATTGTCAACGGCAAAGATGCTCCTTCGATAGCAGAACTATGCGACCTTTTCCTGGATCATGGTGTGAAGCTCTCTGTAGCTGCATGCCAGAAGGCAATCGAGCAATGGGGTGGCGATTTATCAGAAATTACGCACATTGTGGCGACGACATGCACGAATTCTGCCAATCCTGGATTTGACCACTATGTTGTCAAGCAGCTAGGGTTAAACACGAGTATCGAAAAGGTTCTTCTGCATGGTATTGGCTGCTCCGGTGGCATGGCAGCATTGAGAACTGCTGCCAATATTGCTCTTGGTTCAAGTTTCCGTCAGAAACCTGCTCGCATATTGGTTCTCGCATGCGAAATTTCAAGTACCCTCGTTCGATCCGAGCTTGACTCGATATTACAGAATGAGGAGATAAGGATAGGTGTGTGTCTCTTCAGTGATTGTGCTTCGGCCATGATTCTTGGCAACGAGTTCAGTAATCGAGATGGTGAAGAGCCGATACTTGAACTCCTTGGCTGGGATCATCGAATCATCGACGATACAGAGAAGGACTTGGGTTTCGACGTCGATCCGCTTGGTATGTCCTCTGTCTCGTACGTGCTACTTCGTGAGCTAACTGTTTCCAGGTTGGAAAGTCGTACTTACTCATAGGGTACCGAAACTGGCAACTGGAGCTGTGCCAGCAATGTTCGATGACCTCGTATCATCTATACCCGAGCTGGTCGACGCCAGTAAATTCAAGGCCTCTGACTATGACTGGGCTTTGCATCCTGGAGGTGCAACAATCATATCTGGTATACAAAGTGCCATGCGACTCAGGGAAGACCTTCTTCGAGCCAGCTATGAGGTGTATATGGCCCATGGTAACTCCTCGAGTGCTACTTTCTTCAGTGTTATGAAGCAATTGCTGTTGGGGCCAACTACGGAGCACATCATCGGATGTGCATTCGGTCCAGGTATAGCTGTGGAGATGATGGTCTTCAAGCGCTGTGAGCCATCCCGTGGAGGTAGTGCAAGCCCGGCTGAGACACTTGTCGCAGAAGACGTAGATTGAGCGTGTCGCGTTACTCCCCACCGAGAGTGGCAGAGAGATGTGCTGAACAGTGCAGAAGCAGCAACCCTCCACAAAGAGTATGGCAGGCCAAGTAGAGAGCAGCTTCTGACATGAGCAAGTTCTCAAATCGCGTAGCTTGCGACCTGAGTCTTCCGACAGATCGAAGAGCCGGACCAATGTGGTAGATGGCTAGAGCGCCGGCAATCAGTCCAGATAGATCGTCAGAGGGTCGTGAAGCGAAGATGATAGCAACCAGAACAGACGATAGCAATAGCAGAGCATACTGCCGTACTATAGCATGGGCATGGGGTGTATATGTTCCCAGTTGCTTCGAAGGATAGAGCATAAAATTGATGGCTGCAGGGATCTCAATCGCTGCATGCAGCATAAAAGCAACGTTGTAGCCCTTGACGAGCATGTTGCTGTGGTTCTGCTTACCGTCTTGATGGTCCTAGGTAGTAGGCTGATCCTCAGCACCTGGTTCGAGGTTGTAAATCGTAGCAGACTGCAAGTTCGACCTGCCAGTTAGTCTGCTCCATGAAATGACGCACGGTGCGGCACATGGCCACGAGGTTGCTCTCACTTTTCATCCTGCATATTCAAAACACGACGAAGACACGCTGGACTTCAGGCATGGCAACCTCTCAGAATGGTCGCAATGCTGTCGGCTCGTGGGCACCTTCCAATCAGCGCGTGCTATTTAATCTTCCGCGATTGCACTTGTTCGAAGTCAACGATCAGTCCTGGTAAGCACCTTTTGTCCTACGAATAGCAGTCATGTGGCATATGTCTGACCTGTTACATTACATGTGCCTCGCCTAACACGTCCTTGACATCTGCGATAGATCGCAGATCTGTGTGGCTAACAACATCCTTGTCTTCTAGGTGGCCGAACCTCCTACGCGAGAAAGTTCAGGATGCACTGACATTGGCATGGATCAACAAGTTTCCTGTTCTACAGCCGACTGCGCCTTGTGACCTTGTCCCACGAGTTTTGACGTCCGTGCTGAAAAGTCGGATCTCGAGGTACATCTATGTCGATTTCGCGTCTGGGGCTGGAGGACCTACACCATATATCGAGAGACAGCTAAACGCACAACTAGCTAAGGACGGAGAGAAAGAGGTCGGCTTCGTGCTGTCTGATATCAGTCCGCATCTACAAGCATGGCAGGCAGCTTCGAAAAAGAGTAACAACCTGCACTACATCGCAGGTAGTGTCGATGCTTCAGCTGCACCACCCAAAGAGAAGCTGTTACAAGGTGTGACAGATACTCAGGACAAGGGCGTAATGAGGCTGTTCAGCTTGGCTTTCCATCACTTTGACGATGATCTGGCCAAGAAGATTCTCAAAAACACGGCCGAGACGTCTGATGGCTTCTGGTAAGTTACTCTTAGCAATTGACCCCCTTAGCTGACCAGCGACAGTATATTTGAGCTGCAGCAACGGAATTACAGCTCTTTACTGACAGTCTTTTGTCTATGGCCAATGCTGATGCTGATGACCCCGTTTCATTACCTGCACGATCCCACCTATTTGTTCTTCACTTACCTTGTACCTCTAATACCTGGAATCGTGCAATTCGATGGTCTGATGTCAATGCTGAGAACCAGAACGCCAAGGGAAGTGTATGATCTATTGCAGAGCCAGGTACCGCCTGAAGAGCTATCACAGTGGAAGTTTCTGCATGGCGAAGAAATGCATACCTGGCCGTTTGGCTGGCTAAATTGGATTATATGCTACAAAGACAAATGACCAGAATTTCTCTAAGCGTCATCTGTTGCAAATGTTATATCTTACTTCCACCAGCAGTATCAGCCACTCTAAATACCATCTTCGTCGCACTCACCTTGCCCTGTTGCAATCTCGACAGGCCTTCTCCCACACCATTGAGTCCACCTTTGATCACCTCATACGGATGTGCCTTGAACCAGCCCTCCTTGAGCCCCTGTCCAAACAACCTATACCAAGCATATCCAAAATCGTGGTTTCGGTCCTGATGTACACTTCCAACCTGCGTAACGACATTCGTCACTCCCTCAGGAATACCCTCATATTTCTTTCCTGGCAGCACCGTGGTTAAAAGCGCACCACTCTTAGTGTTCAACACCTGGCACAAATACCCATAACTCCCATGATCACTAACAGCATCATAAGCATGCCTCAATGTCTGGCCCTTCGCAACCCCCTCCCTCAACCCCTGCACAATCGCATCCCCTCCCTTCCTATAATCCACTATCGTATCCCCCTTCGACCTATCAATCAACCCCTCCACGAACTCAATCCCATTCCCCGCCACACAAATGATCGGATGAATATCACTCTTCATCAACAACTTCACCGCAAACGCCCCTACCGCACTCGCAGCCCCATAGACCACCACACCACCTTTACAGCTCTCCCTCGCTGGACCACTCCTCACCCACGGCTCCGGCAACTCCAGCGCCGTATACAGTCCCACCGCAGCCGTCATTGCCGCCAACGGGATCGTCGCCCCTTCCTCATCACTGATATCCTTCGGCATCATGAACGTCGTGTGCTCCCACGCAACAGCATACTCTGCAAACGACCCAAACTCCTTGGTCATCTCGTGGAACGCAGCGACGCGATCTCCAGCTTTGAATTCGGTGACGGAGCTGCCGACCGCCGTGACGGTGCCGACGATGTCGTCGCCGCTGTTGCTGTTGTTGAGGGCCGGGACGAGGAGCGGGATCTTCCAGTCTTTGGGGTTGCTGCCTGAGACGTGGACTTTGATGATGAGTTGGTGGGGTTTCAGTTGGGATGGGTCGGGTTCGGGGATGTCGACCAGTTTGCTGGCGACGGAGCCTTGGTCGTTTTTGTAGACTTGGACGGATTTCATGGTTGTGGTAGTTGGTTGTTCTTTCGGAGTTGATGGTAATAGATTTGGCGCTGTGTTATTGTTCGAATTGGAGCTTAGGATGTGAGTTTGGCTGTTCCTGCTCTGTTGGTAGTATCAAAAAATAATACGTGTATCGACTTCCAAATACCGAGTCGATCGTGAAATCCTCCACTGGCATATAGACAGTTCTCTGGTTTACTTCCTCTGTCTGCTCGTGCTCAAGTACTGTCCAGTCCTTGCCCCACTGACATATAACAGTGTAACCAGTTCTGTGAGCTCACCTTTAGTATCCGGCATCGAGCCGAGGGCCCTCGGTAGGTAAATGTGGTGTCATTTTGACGTTTGAGGTGCTCTGAGATTGTGCTGCTGATTGGTTCACCATATTGTTCAGTTGGAGTTGCGTGAAGGTCGGTAATTTCTCCACTTTTGCTGATGGATAGCACGAATTCAATGTTTTGATTGGAAGCTCATAAACATCATCGTGATTGATATACACTATTCTATACAGCACTATGTTCACTGTGTCCTCCTAATCGTCACCCTCCTCTTCTGCAGCGATTTGTTGATATCGCATGCCTCCCCCACCACGACTACGAAGCATGGATGGACGTTCGTACAAGTAATAGTAGTTAACCACCTCTCCACTAAGATAGCTGTTCCCAGGTATTCTCTTTTTCAGTATTGGGGCTGGATCGCACCAGAAATCTCTGCAATTGCCAATGACTCCTCTACTGAACGGGTTCGCTCGATCCTTAATCTTGCCTGCAGAGGCGTCTGAAGCAGTTGCGAAGAAGACGTCGATCCCAAGCGTCTTTCTCAGCTTCGCAAACCAACCATCTGGGGCCCGTGGTGCAGGGTGTATGCGAGTTGCGGCTGCAGCAGTATCGTTTAAGGACGTGCTTGCTGGATTGGCGCCTAGTGTTGTGGGTCGAGCATTGTGCAGTGGCAGGTGACTTGACCCATGACTTGAAGTATGATCGTGTCGTTTCATGTTCTCGTATGTCGTGATGTTCTTGGCTATTTGTATAGACTGCACAACAAGCAGCATGGACACCCATACCATTTGCACCAGAGTCCATATCGTCAAGGAGATTGTCCATGTATCGCGTAAAGCAAAGGAACATAAATAAGGTGGTAGTACATTGCAGGTCGTTTCCGATGGTGTAGGTAAAGCATACAAATATGCCAGAACGAGTCGGACGTAAAGGACTATCCCGAACCACATGCTGACGATGTACAAAAAGAAGTGTCGGATGTTGTTGTTGGCAACACAGGAGTTGATCCAAGGACAGTGATGGTCGTGCTTCGCAACACATCTTCCACAACGTCGACAATGCTTCGATCTCAAGGGTCGTCTAATCATACATTGAATGCAAAAATTCTGCTCGTCAAACTTCCAGAGCGAGAACAGTTCCTGGACCACTTCCCTTTCCTGATTGCGCGAAGAGTATTTCGGAACATAGCCAGGATCTTCAGTCATAGCGAGAAAGTAGAAATAGGTAGTTGACGCATAGAAAAGGCCAAAAGCGAGATTCGAGAGGAAGTCCGTACTAAAGGTCAGGGGCAAGATGAGCCACAGCCAGTCAACGCCTATGTAGAACAAAGTTCCTGAAAATATACCAGCTAGGTAAGGCGTTTTGTGTATGGCATGGTACTTAGCAGGACCCTGCTGCCCTACCCACTGCGCTGCCCATTGCAAAGCTATACCAACCGCCAGAGATAGCGGTAGACCAACGTATATGGAGAAGTGAGCAATGATCCAAGCGCATATCAACATGATGAGGAAAGGAAACAGGAACAGGAATTTGGCAATCTTCGATTTGTCCCTGGTAAATGCACTGAGGTTCAAAGGCAGTTGTTTAGGTTGTCCGTTCGGTGCATAGCCCTGGTCTTTCAGCGCACGGATATATGGTCCCCTCGAATTCATCTCTTTGGCGCATTCTGCTGGTGTCTTCCCATCGTTCGTTTTCGCGAATCGATCTGCACCATACTCAATAAGCTTCTCCAAGCACGGTTTTGATCCCTTCACCAAAGACCAGTGGAGTGGCGTAAATCCAGCCTCGTCTCTGGCATCAACGCTTGCACCCCATCTCAGAAGCAAGTCAACACATGCAGGCCAGCCCTTGTAACCAGCCCACATTAGACTAGTGTGTCCTTGAGAATCAGGAGTATCGACAGGGATGTTCTGGAGGAGAAGTAGGACGAGAAGAAAGGCGTTGCCGTCGATCGTGGAAAGGTGCAGAATATTGTACCCTGGTCATTACTTAGCAATCACATCTGGTGTGGCATGGAGTTGCATACCTTGCGCATCTACGAGCAATAGGTCAACCCCATGCTGGATCATCAGGTTAACGATGTAGAAATGGCATCTCTGTGCCGCCCACATTGCGGCAGTCGCATTGGACTCTCCTCCTTTCGCATTGACATCCGCCCCGTGTTCGAGCAAGTACTTGCACACAGCAAACTGATTGTTGATAGCTGCCCAGTGTAGTGGTGTAATGCGTTGCTCATCCTGGTAATTAGCCTTGTATCTGCCACTCTCGATCATGCGCTGAATGTGTTCGAGTGCGCCTATACGAGCGCATTGCATAATGTCCTCTTCCAGGGGAAGTGATGGTACTGTTGTTGAGCCATTCTGAACCGTCGACAGCTCGACTTCTTCACCTTTCGATATAGGAGGTACATTCGAGGAGGACATTGTAGTCAGGTAGTGTTACGGCAGTCTAATGCCATGCGGGAGCATGATGTTCCTAAGCAGCCACTCCCAGGTCTGCTGCCGTCCACCTGGTGCCTGTGTGACAGACTGCATCATCAGGAGCGCTGGTTCCTGCTGACAATACTTATTGCCTGGAAGCCTGGTGATGAAATAATAGCCGGCTCCTGCCGGCATAGCCACCCTCTATCGGTCGTGTCCTTGCTTACCACTCCTCTGTATTCGTACTAGACTGCTTCGGCGCTAGATAGTACCAGGCTTGGCGAGCTAGTAGGAAGGAGCTCTGCAAGACGGACTACGACAGACCTTCGCCTTTCTCCTCGATACAGATTCAATCACCAACTACACCTCTCCTCTCCTTCTCGTCGATCTTGTAGCTTCTGGCAAGCACTCCGAAGCTTCCTCATCGATATGCTATCCCGAAGCATCTACCGCCAGGCGACACGCCTCGGCTTTGCAGCTTCGTCAAAGATTTCTGTAAAGCTCCCTCATCACCCAACACAACGATAAGCATCGATGCACGTCTCAAGGAAGGACTCACGCACTAATAGCGCAATCTGTAGGCTCGGGTTGTCGCCCCAACTGTCGTCAATGCAGTCAGAACCTATGCCGCCGACGCGAAAGCCTCCCCAACTGAGGTCTCGTCTATCCTCGAGCAAAGAATAAGAGGTGTACAGGAAGAAGCTGGCCTCGCTGAAACAGGAAGAGTTCTCAGTGTCGGTGATGGTATTGCTCGTGTCCATGGTATGAGCAATGTCCAGGCTGAGGAACTGGTCGAATTTGCTTCTGGTGTTCGTGGCATGTAAGTTTACTTACGGGACTACTGGGTGAAACCAACAAGAACGCGTGCTTACAAATAACGCAGGTGCATGAACTTGGAAGCTGGTCAAGTCGGTGTTGTGTTGTTCGGTTCCGACAGAACTGTCAAGGAAGGCGATACCGTCAAACGAACAGGTCAGATTGTCGATGTTCCTGTCGGTGAGGCTATGCTTGGTCGTGTCGTCAACGCCCTTGGTGAGCCAATCGACGGAAAGGGACCAATCAAGACCACCCAGAGAATCCGAGCTCAAGTCAAGGCACCTGGTATTCTGCCCGTAAGTCGAAGTATGGTTGGGGAGCGACGAAGGATACTAACATAATCGTAAGCGAAAATCCGTCAACCAGCCTGTACAGACTGGCTTGAAGGCCATCGATGCCATGGTTCCAATTGGTCGTGGTCAGCGAGAGTTGATCATTGGTGATCGTCAAACTGGTAAAACTGCCGTCGCTCTTGACTGCATGTTGAACCAAAAGAGATGGAACGATGGTGGTGATGAGACCAAGAAGCTCTACTGCATCTACGTCGCTGTCGGCCAGAAACGATCCACCGTCGCTCAGCTCGTCAAGACTCTTGAGGAGAACGATGCCATGAAATACTGCATCGTCGTCGCTGCCACAGCCTCCGAAGCCGCCCCACTACAGTACATCGCTCCTTTCACTGGTTGTAAGTACTTGAATCTCTTTCATGTCTCCCTCGACTCCAAAGTTAGGTCATGCACAATGTGTTATGGTGTCCACCCGGGCAGCTGAATCTGGTGCGGTCACCAATGCGGCTAAGAAGAATTATTGTGCCATCTCACAATCACCTCTTCAATTCACAAGTACACCTGAAGGAACACCTGTCATCCAAGAAACATCCAACCAAGGCAAAACTCCTGGAGGACGCAGTGACGTCGTCGTTGCTATAACTCCCGGATCCACCTTCACCTCGTTTTGGTTTACAACTCTTATTAGATATATGCTAACGCTTGCTTCAAGGTGCGATTGGGGAGTTCTTCCGTGATTCTGGCCGACACGCTGTTATTATCTACGACGATTTGACCAAGCAGGCCGTTGCTTACCGACAAATGTCTTTGTTGCTCCGACGACCTCCAGGCCGAGAGGCTTACCCAGGTGACGTTTTCTACCTCCACTCCCGACTTCTCGAGCGAGCTGCCAAGATGAACGACAAGCACGGTGGTGGCTCCCTTACTGCTCTGCCCGTCATTGAGACCCAGGGTGGTGATGTGTCTGCCTACATTCCAACCAATGTCATTTCTATCACTGATGGGCAAATCTTCTTGGAGGCTGAATTGTTCTACAAGGGTATCCGACCTGCCATCAACGTCGGTCTTTCTGTCTCTCGTGTCGGTTCCGCTGCTCAGCTCAAGGCCATGAAACAGGTCGCCGGTTCGTTGAAGCTTTTCTTGGCTCAATACCGAGAAGTCGCTGCCTTTGCCCAGTTCGGTTCCGATCTTGATGCTGCCACCAAGCAGACATTGAACAGAGGTGAGCGTCTTACAGAATTGCTCAAGCAGAGACAGTATCAGCCTATGGCGGTCAACGAGATGGTGCCACTCATCTTTGCTGGTGTCAATGGTCTTCTCGACAACATCCCAGTCAGCCGAATCACACAGTGGGAGAAGGACTTCTTGCAGGACGTTAAGACCAACCACTCCGACATTATTGAAACGATTGACAAGGAGGGCACAATCAGCAAGGACCTTGAGAACAACATGAGAGAAACTATTCAGAGCTTCAACAAGTCTTTCATGTCATAGGTAAGCACGGCTGATGTCCAATACCTGAACAGTCACTTACGAGTCGCAGAACGTGAAAAGTCTGTAAAATTTCTATCAGCGTGTATCATTGAACTCCCATATCGTTCATCAAGCAAATCCGGAAAGCTTGAAGGGGCGGCTGATCAAGAGGCGACAAAATCAAGACCAGGTGGAAAAGTCTTAGCAAGCATTTTTTAGCATGCTGATACTTGTACATTGAGTTCATGCGTCTCTGTAATTAGATCTCTCGAAAAGAAAGAACCTCGATCAATCCATTTCGTATGTTATGTATAGCTCCCTGTTTCTGTTGCTACCTGCGAGCCTTGTTATACTCGACACCGTTGTGAACAGTTCGCTGTGCGAGTTATAATGTGCTTTGAAGTAGTCAGACTATAAGTCCATGAATGTAGAGAATCAAACACTTGTTCACTATTCCATCGAAGCCTTGGCTACCCAATATTTGTTGCCAATTTTATCCCACCTACGGTGAGCAGGCCATGCCAAAGTCAAAGAGCTCAAATTTGATGTTCACACCAAATTTATTCAATGTGCAGAATAAAAATCCATGCTGCTTTAGTGTTGCGGTAGTACACAGGATCCATTTTGTGTAAACATGGCAGAAGGGTGAAACAAATGACCTGCGACTCGTCCTGAAAGCAGCACGAAAGCATAAGCAGACGGCTCAAACTCGATCTATCCAGACACTCGGATCACGGCAGGCCACATGTTTACTAAACATAGTGATCCAAGACACAGTGGTCGAATTTGTCACGAAGGCTACAAGACTGGTCAAGAAGAGAGTTTATGTCATGCATCGAGGAGACCTCGACTTTATTCATTCGTGTCTATCATATGCTAGGCTCTACTCAAGGGGTGTCCCTGAGGAATTGCGTCAAATCGATGGTCCACGAAAGTAGGCGTCCGTGACCATCATGATGGATGTCGCATGTCGGAGCATGGTTGACCTGGACGTCCGCTCCTGCGTTCAGGAGGACTCCTCGTACTTCTTGAGGATGTCTGGGAACTCATTCCAGTCTCTCATGACAGCAAAGCACTTGGTCTGCTCAGTGAGAACCTTGGCCATCTGGTCCTCCTTCTCTTTGCCATCCTCGATACCATAGATACCGACATAGGCAATGCATGGAATACCAGCTCGCATAGCAGCAGTAGCACCAGATTTGCTGTCCTCGACCGTGATGGCATCAGCATTCTTGACTTTGAGTTGCTCGCAAGCATAGTTGTAAATCTTCGGGTCTGGCTTGCTGGAAGGTGGGTCAAGAGAAGTGGCAGCAGAGTAGACGTGCTCTGGAGGGAAGAATCGGTCAAGGTTGCACTTCTCGAGGGATGCAACGACTCGAGACTTGGCAGAGGTAGAGACGACAGACATTGGGTAGCCTTGGCTCTTGATCCATTCGAGGTTCTTGGTGACATTTGGGCATTCAACAGCTTTGGCTGCGAGCTTAGTGGTCACAGCATCGAGTTCTCTGCCAACGTATGACTCCAGTTCGGCATCAGACATGGTGAAGTCGTGCTTTGTCTGCAGACCCTTCAACATGCCTCTGAAGTTGAAACCAACAAAGTCCTCGAGAAGACTGTCAGCGGTGTATCGTATGTCAATCTTCTTCTCTCCCATGAGCTCATTGGTGAGGTCGGCACATGCCTCGAAGGCAAGTCGCTCAGACTGGCACAGAGTGTTGTCGCAGTCGAGGAGGACGTACTTGACCTGCAAAGAGTTGTGTCAGTTCACTGCTGCTTGACTCGGTGGAATGGAGACTTACTTTGCCCATATTGACGGTGGTACCCAGTCTGAGTTGTATATGAGGAGGGTTTCTGAAAATGTGTCGAGGTCTGCGGCTTTGTTTGATCGAGGGTAGAAGGAAGAAAGTGTAAGGAGAAATCAAACTTTCTAGGGAATTTATTCTGCAGTTGGGACAACAATAAATCGGGCAAGGCAAGACCGCGGGGGTCTTCAAAATATGCAGGTGCTCGTCACGAGGGGCCAGCTGGCGAAGATGATTGGTTGCAGGACATCAAAGTCAGCAAACAAGAGCTTCGCCCTTGCATGTTGAAGCTCTTCTGAGCAGGCGGTGACCGTTTTCTGCACCTCAAGTTCACTTCAATTGTGTCGGTAAGCATCGAGTAACCTGGGCAAGAGGCATGTGGAAGCGGTAGATTACCCAAAAGAGCCACATAACCGCCGGTCCTGGCAACAAGCTCAGAGATAGCCGTCTGACCCGATGCAGGAACGATCGTGAAAGCTGCAGAGCCCTAACGTTTCATGGCTCGGAGCTTCGTGGTAGTAGCTCTGTACGCATGGCGACTTATCTAGGAGGTCAGAGCTCAGGCTTTGGTCCTAGAACATCTTTTGATGCACAGTCAATCTTCGTGGTGTATTGAGGTGATAAAGCTTTCTTCGTGTTACAGAATACTACTTCGATGTAGGACGTTATAAACATGCCAGTCTCAAGTCTGGTACGCCTCGGCGCGGATCGAGGTATCGATCTCATTTTAGGTTCACCAAGGTGTCAATGGCTTCAGTGCAACAATGTTTTCCTAACCCAACCTGCACGTTTTGCGCTCAAGCAGTGATCAAATCTCTCAGAGCAATGCCGTGGATGGCCAGGCCCAGGCGTAATGAATCGACCAAGTGAAGTCAATAAGGGTCTCACCTCAAGTTCCTTTTCAGTTCTCGAGAGCGTCCACTACCACAGCACGAGTCGGAGATGGCTTTTGTTTGTTCCAGACTGCTGCACGTCTATATTAGCATTCGGTATTACAATAGGCTACAGGGAGTGCCTATCATTCAGGAGATGTGAATTGAGCTGTAGGTTCAACACGGAACCTTTACCCATACCGAAGCTAGTCTAGCTGAGAGTAACACGTCGCACTTGAGGCTTCAAATACGAGAAAATCATACCCCTGCGAAACGAGACCATGGGGAGAGGCATAGATGTACGGCATCGCAAGCAAAGTCGTCGCGCACGTTGTACCAGTGAAGCTGGTCTCATTGTGCAATCTTGCCTACTACACCTTACATAGAGAAAGGCTCATTGCGAAGATGCACAAAGTTCTCTTCATTACATCCTTCCTCTTGCTGGTCTTCCGCTACGTTGCTGCTGAGCAATCGCCAGTATGCACGCAAGGTATTTACGCTGCATTTCGGGGATTGGCCAATAATGCAGACGCGTAGAAATTCTGCTCTAAGAAATATCCGCTTGCTGCAACAACTATTAGTATTGCAGACAAGAAGAGACGGAGTCCAGCCACGGCGAGCACCTCATCTCAGAATACTTCTATTCAGAAATCGACGACTACTTCGTCCAGCAGAAGCACCACTACGTCTACGAAATCCACATCCACGAAAACCTCATCGAAGAGTTTTGGCAGCACACCGAGCACGCTCAGCACCACTACGACGAAGACCAGCACTTCGGCAGCGAATCCGCGAGGTTATCGCGAACCTTGAAGTAGCAGTGGCTTACAATATTGACAGACTCTCCTCCCTAATCTCAGCTGCTAATGGCATTGCGTCCACTGTGTGTTCTTGTATACAATCACGTTCAACTGTAAAGGTTCGTATTTTATTTGTTAGTATTGCAACGACTGCGTTTTGCTCAATATATATAGGTTAGCACAACAAAATCTACGACGACGACGACGACGACGACCACCACCGCTGTTTGTCCCTCAAACCAACCATGAACGAGACTGACTGCAGCAGACTACAACCACTACTTCTACGGTCCCACCTGTGCCGAGCTGCACAAACGGGTCATATGGCAGTACCAGTAAATGCCTCCCCATATGCTTACCTAAACTCTGTTGAACAGATATTCCATTCGTTCTAACATACGTATTCACTTCACTAATACCGCATCCCTTAGACTCAGGAACGGGCGGTTACTGCTACCGAGTCCTCTGTGAACAGAAAAACGCTGCAGGAGGGACACCCTACTCAATCCAGTCCACTGACAGTCTTCAGTCATGTGTAAACCTCTGCGATGCCGATTACCTGTGCAACGCTTTCAACTTCGACAGCATCAACCTACAGTGTCAACTCTCAAACCCAACAGATTATCAACCGGTGGACGCCCCAGGCTTTGCTACTGCCAACGTGCAGGGACTTTGTCAGGACGTGCAAGGCCAATGATGAATGTATAGGAAGGGGCTGACGTACACGGTAGGGCAATCGGGAAGCAGAAGCTAATTCTAATATGACATCCATGCATAGTTTAAAGCAAAGCTGTCAATCATATATACATACCTGAATCGTGGCCAGGTAACAAAGCTGTTGTTTGTATCAGTCCTGAGCAGTACCAATACTCTTGCCCTCATTAGAGTTCGACCTCCTGAAAGATAGTAGGCGGAAGTGCATATCGAGTCGAGGTTGTGAAATAACTTCTGCTCTTCACACCAGCAAGGGCTGAACAGACAAAGACAGAGAGAGCAGCTGTAATGTGTTCGTCCAGCATGCAGCCAGCCAAGACAAGCAGTAAGGAGGTCATCGCTGGGTGGACTCCAAAGGCGTTCCCACGACTATGCACAAAACACACCAAGATAAGCTGTCCCTTTCGCTGGCCACCATGTGGTGGAGTAAAAGAGATGAGTTCCTGTGTACCTGAATATGGTTCGTGCTCGTACGAGCAGGTTAACCGATCATCATGACGCGCTCAAGTCTCTGTGCACATGAGCTCAGTAACTTTAGTCCATCCACTCACCAGCTTTCGAGTACTCAATCATGACATCCTGTTCTGGATATCTTTTCAGGCAATATTTACTTTGATACTCCGTGATCATTTAGATAGCTAGTACAACATCGACATGAGTGTCTGTACACAATGCATGCGCGCTTTGCGCCGACAAGCACGACTAGAACAACTTGTATGCCGCCAGTTTTGCGCTGTTCAACGTGACACGAGCTGACATTCAGTCTAGACCTTATCACAGACCAGGCCATCTCAGCTACGATGTCTGTCCACAACTTCGGCCCGATACCAGCAGCCGCAAGCCCAGAGCAAGCCTGAGTCCCAGGTGCAGCCAGGAACACCACCATCCATTCTTACCACAGCACCAACAATAACCAGTAATCTCGCAGCCGATGCTCCTCCTCCAGCTCCGGCCGCGGGCTCTCCGAGCAATGCCCCTGCCTCTGCCTCGAGCCAGGTTCCAGCACCTTCAACAGCTGAAATGCAGAAACAGATCTCTTCCCGTTTAGGCTCATCTCGAGTAGGTGGAGGAATCGGACACAAAATAGCAACATCTCTTAGAAGCGCAGCGAAATCTACTACGGAGACATATATCACATACGGACTCACAGAAGCCATGTTCAAATCTTGTGCAGCACAAGCACCATACACTATCCCAGAGGATCAGCGTATGGGAGTCTACACAGGCAAAGGTCCGCCAAAGAATGCAAGAGCTGAAGATGTTGGTGTACCCGAAACATCTGTACCTGGCAGCCAGGGAGCACAGAGTTGGTGGTTTACAAGATTAGGATTGGAGCCAACGTTCAGTGTATGGAGTCAGGTCTGTTTTCTACACATGTATATCTTGACGGTCAAGCTGCGAACTCTGCCGGACCAAAGAACCTACATGGAGTATCAGAGATATCTCCTCGAGCATTTCAGCTCGGTGGCTGAAGACAAGATGATATTGTTACACGGCATGAACGCAAGAGGTGTGAGGAACAAGTACCTCAAGGACTTGTTTGTGCAATGGAGAGGCATACAGTACGCCTACGACCAAGGTCTAGTCTCTGGAGATGCAGTACTGGCTGGCGCAGTTTGGAGAAATTTGTGGAAGGCCGACGAAGAGGTGGATTGGGAAAAGGTCGCTCTTGTTGTGGGATTCATGAGAAGAGCTATTGCAGGATTGGCAGATTCTGACATCAACGATATTGCAACCAATCTGCAACAAAGCAGTCAGTATTGGGAACAGGCGCAGCAAGGACTAGATGGCATGGTCAACCTTGAAAGCACAGGCATAAGGGACAATTTAAGAGAGGAAGCTGCAGCCGAAAAGGCATTGTAGTATTGTACGGAGTAAAAAGAATCCATAATAGGTAAGACTGGGAGTTAGTCGATGTACATGCAATTGTTGCAGAATATTTAGAATGGCTAGATTCTGATTCATCTAAAACACCAATACCTGTTCACGACAGAGTATTCCGCAGATACCTCATTTGGCTGGAACACCAGAAGCCTGCTTAGCAGTCTGCTCTTCCTCCTTGCTAATCTCACTAGTCTCACGACCAGCCTCAAAGATCTTATCAAAGTCATACTCCCCCCACCTAATATTCGGGTTTAACCCAGCAAACTTCCACTCTCCATCGACCTTCTTGTACCAATGCTGGTTTGTGCTATGTGCGTGGCCCTTGAGGATAACCTCCGATCGTGTCTCGTCCTTGTATCGCTGGTGAGGCACACGCAACTGATGCCAGCCGATGATTTCGTCGTCAGAGACCTTTTCGAACTTGGAGGCGCCGCAGAAGTGCTGGGTCATGAGGGTTTTGTCGCCGAGGACGAGGGGGGAGGAGATCATGGCGAGGAACTCGTCGGCTGGCATGGCTTCCCATAGCTTGTTGAGGAAGGAACGATAGTCTATTCTAAGCGTTGGCGCTATGATTTTGCTGAGACGTTCCCAGTCCTGTGAGATTGAAGGTTTAGTTGTTGTTCTGTAGGAGGGTTGGAGGAGGAGGAGGGGGTGGAGTGAGTCTAGGCTGCACATACCTTGCTGTCATAGCTGTCTGCCCACTATACATTCATCAGCACTCTGCTTCTAACGATTGAGATTTGAGACTGACCTCGAAATAAGCTCGAAGCACGCCTTGATACTCCTCGAAAGTGATGAGTTGAGATTTGTCAAAAGCCATATTGTCTAAGCTGTGAATGTAAAAGCCAATGAAGAAAGAGAAGACCCAAAAGAAAATTCCTCTATATCAAAGAGTCTCTCAAGGACCACAATAAAAACAAGCAGAAGGCGGTGTGAGGGTGTATATCTCCTGCTGAACACAAGCCCGTCAACTATGTGCAGAGTGTGTGGCTTTGCCCGCAGGAAGCCAGCAAGTGGGATGTTTTCCTTTAGCTGCTAGCTCAGGGTTTCTCGTGCTCTGTTCCTGACTAGTCCGGACTTCCACAACTCTAAATAGTAGCGAAGACGCGGGGTCCGGTCCTTAGACGCTGGTGTGGTTGATCGTGCCACGCCCTGGCCAGCAATATAACAGTGTCGGGGGCACGCCCATAGTCTTTCGTGACGGATATGGAAACGAGGCCAGTCGGACATGCATCACAGGGTTCGTTCTGAAGGTTCGTGACCAGAGAACGTGAGCAGCGGCGGAAATGAACAATTGGAGCCTACGTGAGCGGGACTCGTAGTTGGGACAACAGCGCAAATGGTAGTCTCGTGAGGACGAACATTCAGGTACGTGGTAGTCAGCAAAAGCGGCGACTCACTTTGATTCGATTTACATATAATCGGGGGGACGCCCTTGGTAACCATCAGGTGCTGGTGTTGATTCATGCTTGTACCAGGGTAGTCGTCCATGTACAATAAAAAGGGCCAGGCGCCCACCCCAGTATGGCTTGTAACACTACTGTATAACTCAGTCAATTTAGTGGTCGAAAGTACGTCGAGCACAAACACAAAGGGATCAAGGCTTCTTTTGTTATAAAAGAGAACCTGGCACTCAGTGGTCAGCAAGGGCGTCCTCCCGGCGATGTTCAGATCGTGCCAAAGTGACCGAGTAAAATTAGGGGTCTAAGAAAACCCGTATTTCTCTGGTCGAGCTAAACTGCAGACCTCTACGCGATTTCCTTCTCTTTAGCACCAAGACTACCACTGCGAAGCTAGCACACATCCACTTACTGACGACCACCAGGCAAAAATGGACAACCTTGCCCACCACCACTTTCGCGTTGCTCCGACAGGAGCTGATCCGAAGTAGTTGGCGCAGCTGGATGATGCAAATGAACATCATCTCGATCAGTAATCGCTTTGTCCCCATCTCGTTGCTGTTCTGGCACAAATTTCGCATCCTGATCCGACTTGACCTTATCAACGAGGCTTGTCAAACCTGCCTCAGTAGGGTGCTCAAGCATCTCTGTCGCAGTGTGAGGATCGAGTTTCTCACCATCGACGAGTACTTCAGCCTTGGCGTAGTCAGGCTTCATTTGCTTGAACATCTCTTCCGGGTCGAAAAATGTCTCGAGCGAGGTGACCTGCATCTTGTCGTTCACTCGAGCTCTAGTGGTACCTGAGATATCGAGGACTTTGCCGTGGGCTTTGATTCGGATCTCTTCGCCTTTACTGGGAGGACGTCAGTAAGTTATTTCCCCCCAAATATCAAGCTCTGAACGGTAGGAAGAATATGGGACATATCGTACTTGTTCCAGCCTACATAGTCACTTCTCATCACTCCCCAATGCCGCCAATCAACGGATACCTCTGGTGGACCTCCGTGTACTTTCGTGACCTCCCATGCAAAATTTGGCATCATATCTCGAAAGGTCTTGTGGCTCTGTTCGAAATCCGTATAGTTGGCATCATACCACTCATTAGGCGTTATGATCGCGTTGTACGTTCCAACCTTGAGCATGTGTTCCCCATCTTGTTTTGGCCCACCGTTGATCGAAAAGGTATAGTTGTTCGCGTCGATGGTTCGCCAGTCTGATAACTTCATTTTGTGGGAGGCTTCGATTTCCCAGTTTTTGACGAGGTTTTCGACCATAGATTCGAGGGAGCCAGGGGCGTGATTGGATCTCTTTGCTGTTGACATGAATGGTCAGCCTTGTATGTTTTGACGCACGTTGGTTTTGTCAGGAGGAGTTGAGGGGTGATATACTTTCTGCCCATATCTTCCGCGTTCCTGAATAGTCTGGTGGTGAACCGTGACGCCAGGTGGCTTCGTCCTTCAGCACAGCGTCGGGGTCCAGCATGTAGTCGGGCACGCCAGGAGCTGCGTCCGTCGGCTCTTGTGATGTCTCATGCTGCGTGTCAGCCATTATCTCAGGTCAAGATGTTGGTAGGAAGGTTCGTTAGAGGTCATAGGCAGGGTACAAGAAGGAATCGCTGCTCAGAATTTCATGGTAAAAGAGCTTCGAGGGGGGCCTAATCAGCCTTCTGCGGTGAACCAGCAGCGTTCCATAATCACCCTCTAATTACGAAGCTGGAGTTGCATAGCTCGCCCAACGTTGTCAAGGGTCAAAATTTCTTTGCTCCAATGACCATGCATGAGCTGTGTTCCAGGAAGACACCAGCTAGGGTCAGCAGAGGTAGACCTCTGTCAAATCACCAAAACCGATGCGATGCAACAAGGTTATCCCAGCTCACCTCAGAACTAAAGCCGAGTACGACGACAATGTTCCTGGACGCAACAGGCATCGATACCACTTCGGTACGCACTGCTCCAAGCTTTGGGCGAGTCCAGCGTAGCATGAGAGCACATTGCATTTAGCATCCGAGGGTCTTCCACAAGTATCAATGGTAAGATGCATGTTTACATAGAACGTGGAAACAGTTTTGTGGGACGGGCCAGGATGGCATGAGCAATGCAGGTAGTCTTCCACTGTAAGCATGCAGAAGCTAGAAGATTTGCTAGGAGAAATCGGTCCAGCGCACGTGTAGCAGCCTTCTTGGTCCCTTTGGCGTGGAAGTACTGTCTATCGGTCGGTAATCTATTGTTTGTGATTGGCGGAAGGACAATAGTGTGATAAGTAATCCTGCTGGCGAAGCGAGGTGTGCAAGGATAATCGTGCAAACACGAGTCGGCCCGTCTTTGACTTCTTGGCCTCGAAGCAACATGAAGTACTTTCTCGTATGAGATGAGTACGGACGTCCACTGCGGCTTACTCTCATAGTATACACGATGACCAACACTGTACTAGTAGTGATCCGGAGAGCAGGTGTGGTGTTAGTGGTGTAGTGCTTAGCTAGATAGAGCGATTGATGTCTGAGTAAATGTAAACCTCGTCACACCTGCCTATCACGACAATGGAGGCCATTAGGCTTGCTAGAACAATGGAATAGGGAGCTGCTATCTATCGTCGTATAAGGAAGGTGTGACGAGGCTGACATCTCTTCGGGCACTTCCCTGCTAGAGAAGAGCAATGTAGATCTATGTATTGACCAGTGACAAGGCCGCAAATGAGAGATGAGCGTCCTCACGGCAACTATGAGAACAACGAAAATGCCTTCTACACGAAGCTCGTACAGTACACACACGTGGACATGAAGACAGGCTGAGTGAAACTGAACAATTTTAGCTTTGACTCTATATCCAATATCTAACCATCCACTACATATCATCAAGCACAGTCTGAGCTAATTTCTCAGCATGTCCATAAGTCACACCCATAGTGTGACCAGGTGGAGTGAAGACCAGCGAGCTTGAGTCCACAACTCTCAGACCCTGTACTCCCATGACTCGGCCCCTCGAGTCAACGACTGTATCCCTCTCACCTACTCGTCCCATAGCACAGCTGGCACTGGCATGGTGGATAGCGCCAATACTGCCCGTGATGGCTGCCAGCAAATCCTCATAAGTTGTAACATTCTTACCTGGGTACAGCTCGTCACCAACCTTCACAGCAGCCGGTACGCCCTCCCAAGCTTGCCTTGCGCGTCGATATGCTGCAACCGCGACTTCCTGATCGCGTGGATCGAGTAGCCAGTTCGGGCTTATAACAGGACGATCGAGGATAGACGAAGATGAGATGGTCATGTTGCCTCGTGACGCAGTACCGATGAGGAGACAATTAATGGTTCCGAAACTGGCGCCCTCCTCAGACTGGAAGCTTCGACTTGTGGTGCCGAAACCGTACTCGATCTCCGGCCAGTCGGATGGCAAACTATTGATGTGTGCTTGCGTTGCGTTGCTGAATGTGCTTGTTACGTTAGCAGGTAATTTGTCCCATGCTACAATATCGCTGCCTATGCTTGTGAGTGGTCCATTGCCAGTGGCGAGAAATTCTGCATCGACTTGGTTCATTATTGTTTGGTTGCTCTGAAAGTCTGAATATGTGGTAAACGTGTCGTTGATTCTGAAAACTGGACCACCGATATTTGTAGTGTCCCACATGTTCTGCCCTACACCTTCGAGAGCTGAGATGACTGGAATGTTGTATCGGTCGAGCGTCGCTTGCGGACCTATGCCACTTAGCATGAGGATTTGTGGTGAATGGTATGCACCTGCTGCCAGCAGTACTTCGCGACGAGCATTGAGTGTATAGAAGCTCAGGGGGGTGCCAGCTGGCGAACTAGTGACATTGACACCGACGGCAGTCTTGTTAGCTGAGAATATAACATTCTGGACAAGACTGTTCAGGTATACTGTTAATGTGTCACGTTCGAATGCTTCGTTAAGGAACGAAGCCTCCGCGGAAGAACGAAGACCCGTGTTTGGATCAACTGTCATTGTCCAGTAAGCATAACCGTGGAGTACGCCACTACTGAGGCCAGGTTGAGCTTGTAGACCGATGTTTCCGAAAGCTGCCGGAGCATTCTGGGAAAACTGGTAGGTATAGTCTGGGTAACTGACTTGAAGTGGGTGGCTGTAGTTGGGATCGGAGCTAAATACCGATGGATCGTAGGGTATCGAACTTGCTCTTGCAGGATCTGACACACTTGGAGGAGTGAAAGTCATGCTTCTTTCCAGATACGTGGTCATGTTGTCCCAGGTGTATGACAAGTCGCCAACATGGTCAGCAAAAGCTTCGTAGTAGCCTTTCGTTGGACGATGGTAAAGCATTTGATTCCTGCCAGAAGAACCTCCAAGATTGCGACCTTGAGCATAATGTACGACTTCGCCATTTATTTGTGGTACTGTCTCCAGAGCGAAGTCGTTCTGCGGGTTGTAGTCCTCTGGCGCTGTTCCCACGCCTTGAGATGACCAGTAAGGAATTTGGGAAAAATTGCCATTGCTGAGCTCATAGAAGTTCCCGGCTTCGATGATAGCGACCGTAGCATTTGAGTGCTCCGTCAACCTCGCTGCCATGACACTACCAGCCTGACCACCACCAACAATGATATAGTCGTAGGTTGCATTTCGAGCCGGGATTCCAAAAGAGCTACCTGTCAGTCGACCGGGTGAGGAAAATTGAGATATTATTGCAGCATCTGCAAGACACGAAGTCGTAAGCACAAGGTAAGACGTAGAGAACCTCATTGTTGTAACGGTCGGAGTACCTCGTTCACACCAGAATCATCTGAACCTTTGACTGGCCTCAATGTCGTCGTACGAACTAAGACTGAACCGAGACCAAACCGAGACCGAACAGAGACTGGATTACGGGATTCTTAGGGAGTGTTACCGCTTGCTAGACCTTCGATTAGCCTCACCGTTGTCGTACTGTACGAACTGAGACTGAACCGAGACTGAACCGAGAGACCCTAGAGAGTGGCGTGGCTTGATCTGAGCCCAACTCACTGGTAAGATCAAGTCAAGGTCAGTATAAGTACCACTTTATATACCCAAATCCAACCCATTAAGCTGGACCGCGACTTCGGCATTGCTGTCGTCGCCACTGGCACGACAAGCCTCCAGCCCGATTCCACATACTACCAACGTCAAACCCCATACTGAGAGAAGATCGGCCCGCTTGACATCAAAAGCGCGAAAAGGTTCGGCATCAGAACCACAAAAAGCAGATCCAAAGGGCCTGCTGTGGAACGAGCTAAGTTTCTCTTTGGCAAAGCGAACATCTCGGATGGCTCAGGGCTCCATGTTGGATCCTGGAGAAGGATCTCGGAGTGCGAATTGAGAGAGAGGCTGACATCATTGTAGAGGACGAAAAAAGTATTTCTCGAACTTAACCAGCAAATGTCAAAGTAGCACAGCATAATTATATGGTAGATTAGTTCTCAGATAGAGTAAATTTGTTACTGAGGATACATGAGACATATCTTCTGCTACAAAACCGATGTTTCAACTTGCAACTTCACATTCATGCTGAAGTTCCGTTCTGTGCATCTTCGCTTATCTGAGACTAGTGGACAAAGAATGCGGCTAGCCCGATCTGGCTCTCGAATGAGAAGCTTCAATCGTCTCTGTACAGTACCGAAGACAAGAATTCTGGAGGAATAGATCGAGGTACCCCAAGACGTACCATACAGAAGTCTAACCACCCGTATCGTCAAAATTTCGCATTCCTCATGTTCTCCCGCAAACGCTTTTTCGTGACCGTGCCTCTAATCCATGCCCTACTTAGACCGTCCTATGCTGGTGCAAAACCCTAGTATAGAACATAAGAAACCTTTAAGTTACACTCGTGTATCGTGCGAACATGCTTGTGTTGTATAGAATCGCTTGTGATAGGTTTCGCGACAAGTAAGGATCTGATCCAATGCCAACATATGTGGTACTTGGGAAGTGCTCATTTCCCATCATTCGTCGCCCCTTTCCCCTTACCAGCTTCCGTGGTCGCACGTTGGAATCGGCCCTTCACCGCATCGACAAGTTTCCTCCAAGCACTTCTGTTCAGCCTGTTACTCAATTCTCTGTATTGGTACATTTCACCCCAGCAGTCTCTACCCCATTCACAACCTGCCATATTGACTAGGAAATCGCGATCAAACTCGTTGTAGTGAAACCTCGGATCATGTTCTTTTTCTCCCATCTCACTTACTTTACTGCAGGCCGCTAGAGGGAAGCTGTTTATCTTTCGCTGCTCGATGAAGCCGAAATGAGTTCGGATATGAGGTTGCGAAGTGTAGATATGTTCCAGAGCGTCTTGTTCTTTATGCTCCCACTCCATATGCTTTTGTTCGTAGAGGACGGGGTCCCACCAGATATCGAGGAGGCGATCTGACCATGAGGATCGACGGACGAAGAAGGAACCCAAATTGAAGCCTCCACAGTCCTGGCTCAAGATCATGTCTACTGAAGATGTGAGATTGTCGCCAGTAGGAGATCGTGTCACTGCGTCGAGAAAGTCGGATTGAGGTGGATGGGTAATGTTTAGAGGATTGTAGTGGTTGATGTCTCGGTAGACAGTCTGCGAGAGGTCGTCGAAGATATGTTGTTGGAGGGATATCGATGGTTCCATGATGAAGGTGTTGAGGTCCAGCCACCAAAACCTGCAATATATTAGTGAATGGTTCCCTCCATTCGCATTGACTTGACGTACCATTCAGCTTTTGGATATTTGGCCATACAATTCCTAATTATATCGACCTTCTCCCAACTTTCCCTCCATTCGTGGGCGTATCGTTTCTTCGTGCTCATATCAGCAATTTCGAGGTTGTAGCCCCATCTTTCAGCATATAGTCTTTTGTTTCTGACGCTATCTCGCTCGATCGCCCATTCTCTTGGACCTTTCCAGTCCATAACACCACCACCTTCGTTGGCTGCAAGGATGATGACAAATTTACTGCCACCTCCTAATCTAGAATTGCTCCTGTAGCGCCCTCGTACATCTATGGTGTCTGTTAGCAAGGATTGGCCGTAATTGCTTGACGTGCAAGTGACTCACTTAATTGAGATACGACAGTCGTGACAACGGCCACGACTGCCAATATAGAAAAAAGAAATTTGAACTTGCGCAAGAAGTTGCCCAAGAATGTTCTGAAAGTTGCAAATCTGCCATCGTTGTCCTTCAGAGGCCACCTACCACGACCAAGCTTCTCCTGATCTTTCCAGTCTTTGTCCTGCGGACTCAGTGCGTTGAACATAGGGAGCTTCTCAGAAACCTTCCTCCTTGTTCTCTTGAAGTAGCCCTCGTTTTTAGTCTGTATTGTAGGATAGCCCCTTACGGCGTTACTCCTCGCCTGTGCTGCAGCCCATTGTGCATCATTGCCGTCGTAGCCATTTGTCTCGTAGGCTCTCCGAGCAGGCGAAACCGCCCGGTTATCTGTCAGGCCTTGCGAGCTCCATCCTCCATTTGGCTTAGGCGATGGTGATCGAGACAAGGACATAGACGTGGCTGAATCTGCGGAAGAGACAGTAGGTATTGCCGGAGTGGCAGGAAGAGGTTGAGCGAAGGCTCGAGCGGGCAGACTTGAGGACGCGCCTGAATAGTTTCTGCTGTGCTGGCTTTGAGAGTGGGAGCAAGAACCTGCGTCGGATATGTTGTGTATGCCAGCTGATGCGGAATGCCTGTGACGGCTGATTCCTGCTTGGGACGCCAGTGTATGGCTTAGTTTGTGCGTTTGTGTAACGTGGAAGTGAAGACTGTGTCAGGCCTATCCATAGGAGAATGCACGGCCTCGTTTGCTGGAAAAGGGCAGGGCCAAGTGACACGAGTGTCCTGATTGGGAGTGAGCGATCGTGCTGCAGGGAATCGTGGCTGCCGAGTATCGTGAGAGACGAAAGGGTCGAAGTGTTGTTTGTGCACGCCGTACCCTTCCCAATGCTTTGTGGTCCTTTCGCACATAAATGAAGGAATGGTGGTGCAGAAAACTACATCAAATGCAACTCCGAGTCACTCACATGCATGTTTCGAGTTCGATCATGAACTCTAATGGTATCAGTTCACGCTAGCTACATCGGAACGAAAACCAGATTAGATTCTGTGCAGCCAGCCAGCTAATGTTGATAGGGGTCTAGTATGTGAAACTCCGCTGCTGGATCAGTTCTCTTATCAAGCTCCCACTAGCCTAGAACGTATTACCAGATGTCCGTAACGACCATCGGATTGCGGTTTTGCTGGGGCTGTTTCGTTGGGATGGTGCAGGCGTCATTGAAAACGAAGTTGTGGGCAGTTCCTGCACATCCGGAAATGCAAAACCAAGAACCCCTGAGCAAACTGATACTCATTGGGCTTGCGTTCTCTACAGTAATAGCTACGGATTCTTGGTGTCTCTATGCTAATACTTGCTCTCAACCCTATGAAAGCAACCATTCAAGCAATTCAAGGCTGTAGCTCTTTTACATGACAATTACCACTTTGTCGTTCCGTTCTTCTCTCGTTGTACAGCGTGTATATATGGCATATCAAATCTAACCTCCTTTCTTGAACGCTATCATGGACATTCTGAAAATGCCTGAATAAGTCCTCCTCTGATTCCCTACCTTGACTCGAATCTGTGAGTAAACGCTCACTTCTATGCCGCAGACACCTCAGTCACTGGTACAGCCAAAGCAGAAGCTGCTTCTTCGCCATGAAACGTAGCTTGTAGGCCTTGCTCCCTCATCTTTGGGATTTGAAACATCTCTTTCTGGACAACGAAAGGCTTCTCGTGCTCCGGTCGTACTCGCGCACTGTCGCCAAATGAGATTTCAACCTGGTATTTTAGAAATGCTCCTGAGTTCTCCGATTCATGGATCGTGATAATATCACCACTATAGATCTTGCCAAACATCGCGGCAGTGCTGTCCTTTGCTTGACCCGGGAGAGTGATCCCATTGACTCTGATACCCCTTGTCGCTGAAGTTGCGATGATCGTTCTGATCCCTGACACTTTTGTCCAGTCTCTATTTGCTAATTCAACACGCTCTATACCGGGCGCATAAAAAATGATCTTCATGCCGAATTTTGGGACCCGAGTGTCTTGCGGGTTCGCGAATCGATAATCACACTGAGGTGCTCGACCCCACATCGTCTTACGACGAATCAGGGGTACGACTTCTCTGTCAAAAGAGCCATCGACCGGTATCAATTTCCCTAGTTTCTGAGTTGTGGAGGTAAATTTGCTGACACTTAGAAGCCGCATCGCCGTCGTACCTCCAAAACTGTTTGGTTGCCCTTCGAGAGCGGATGTCCTCTTTATCAACTGGGCCATTGGCGTGCTGAATGTCTTCGCCATGCCAGTCGTCGGAGTGACCAGATTGGTGCTGCTTTTACCAAATGGTGCTTGAGTTGTCAGTCTGGCATTTTGCTCACGAGCTGCCTGTCGTTCCTTTTGTGTTTCCGAAAAGGCTACATCGTCCATCAGTAGTCCGACCTCGATGCGTCTTGGATCGTCGGCGACCATAGAGTCCTGCGGTGGGACCACATCCGGAGCAGACGCTTCATGTGGTTGAGGTACTATTGTGTCTTGGTTTGAACATAGCTCGGGGATTTGGGATTCTGCTGATGACGGGTTAGCAATACTGGGTTTGGGTGGATCCATCTTCATCTGGCCCAATTGCGCTTCAGCGCCCATCAGGCTCGCTGCAGAGCCTGCAATAGGTATTTCGGCATATGATAAATCCGCTTCGAGCAGTGCGTTGTTCGCAAGTGATTCCTCCACAGCGTCTGGTGGTGACGAAGCAAAGTCATTCATGCTTACCTGTTCAAGTTGGTCGCGGATCTGCGGCAAATCTTCTTTGATGACAGGTGACACAGCAGGTCCCGTATTGCTCCCAAACAACCCGGAACTCTTCAGCAAAGAAGGTGTGATTTCTCCAAACAGCTTCGGTGTTTTAGAGTCACTGGTGTGGGCAGATGCAGAGGGTGAAACGGCAGGTAGATGAGGGTACAATATATCTGCTGGAATGGTGCTCTCGACTCGTGTCATCTTTGGTTTTTTGAACGCCCTTTGAGGACTCGACAGTACAGCATGTGAAGTGTTGGCATGTTGAAAGAGGACTGAGTCTTGAGTCAGACTGCTAAGGTCATCTATCAGTTCTTCGTCCACTTCCTCATTCGCTTCTACCACGGCCTCCAGACGGCGAGGTCGAAGATCGACGGTGTTGACGGATGTATAATCCAGTATCTCTTCGACATCCTTGAGCCATGGATGATCAAAGCAAGCCTGCTCGGTCGGGCGAAGGTCTGGTTGTATATTGAGCAGATTTCTGATAAAATCAATGCCGGTTGGAGATATGTTGACCTGGCGCAAGGGCTCAAAGTCAACAGGTTGTGTCATAATGGTGGCCAACATTGCAGCACCGTGATCGTCGCCTCTACCGATAATTGGTGCTTTACCTGCCAGTAAATGAAAGATGACGGCACCAAATGACCACATATCTGCTGAAGAATCGTAAGAGGACATTTTCGAAGAGGCTGCTCCTGGTCGACGTCGCTTGGTGGTAGTCTGAGCATACATGTGATAGTCAGGATAGACTTCCGGTGCACAGTACAAGAGGGTGCCACAAAATGTTTTCAGGAAGGTTTCCTTGTCTATAACCGATTTGGATAGGCCAAAGTCGGAAAGTTTGACAACAATAGGGTCGCGCCGAGCGACAAGTATATTGTCGGGTTTGATGTCACGGTGCGTGATACCTTGCCTATGTAGGTAGTCCAGTGCTCGCAAAGTCTGTATCGTGACTTGCTGTCCATCGCTTTCTGGCAGACGTCCGTGTGAGAGCTGTTTGGAAAGTTCACCGAATGGCACATGTTCCATGATAATGTAGACCCAGTGCTCAAATCTGACAGCTTCGTGAAATTCGACAATATTCGGATGCCTTAGCTTGCTCATGATGAGAAGCTCGTTATCAAATTTGACGTCAAGTATGCCATTCTTGATAAACTTACGTTTGTCGATCTCCTTTGCTGCGTATACAGTGCCTTCGCTTTTGGTTTGAACACGATAAACCTCTGCAAAAGCACCTCTTCCAAGAAGACCGGTAAAATTGTACTTCGCTCCACCATTCCAGTGATTGCCATACGAGCTCTCGCGAATCGAAGAAAACCTAGGCTCGATACCTTGTCTCTGTAGATAGTTTCTCACATTTTGCTCGTAAAGCTCTTCACATTCGTTTCTGGTTGGAATGCGTATCATGAATTTGGCGTGTTCTCTGGCAGAACCGACATGTGCAGAAACAATAGAGCCATGTTTCAGAGCCAGTCTCGCAGGTTTGAAAACTTTATTTCTGTCCTTCGATTTGAGCAAAAGATCGTCCACATAAGTGCCATTTGTCGAACGATCTTCAAGCATGAGGCTGCCCTGGTCATTGACGAAGATTGTGAATTGCACACTACTTATTAATTTGTCGTGGGGGTCTTCTGTCAGCAGAATGTCGCAGACCAATGGACTGCGACCAAACCTGAAGCCTTCGAGCGGGAATTTGGAGGTTGTGCTCATACGAAGGGCTATTTCTCTTGTCATATTCTCCATCTCCGGATCGTTCGCCAAACTCTCTTCAGTAATGCCATCGAGGTCGTCGTTTTGCAGGATGTGCTCTGGGGCTGCAAGCATAGTCGCGCGAATGGCATTTATTGCCATGCTAGAATTGGCGTGCAAAATGCATAGGATATCAGCCCTGTCCTCTGGTTCCAGTTGACTCAAGGTCGTGCCATATCGTCTTGGGTCTTCGAGGGGTTGCGTCGCCTCTTGCGTGGGCTGTGTATCTTGTGAAGGCTCCATTTAATCTGTTTCTTTTTTGCTTGATGGGTCAATCCTTTCCTCACAGATCTTGCGTGTCTGTACTGTTCAGCTCAGTGTACGCTTTCCACCCCTCCCAGCTGGCCCTTCCCCAACGTGGTATGATTAAGAGTGCTTGCTTGAGGCTCGTGCTGCCATCCCGGAAGCAAACTCCGTGACAAAATCGGCCTGTGTAAATTTGTCAGTCATGTCTGAATCGTGGACCGAGAAGGCGACCAGAAATGGCAGATACCTGCTATTGCTCTTCACAACGCAGGCACTAACTACGGCGCTCATAAAGCTATATAGATGAGCATGTTGTGCAATCACGACTTTTCGCCGCATGTAGACTGTACTTTCTTCACAACCATCTCTGCTTGTTCGATGTCTTGTTTAGACAGCATGTTCGTTGCAACATGGCTAATACCGTTGTTGGAAATCCCACGAGCTCTTTTGTGTGAAACGAGGAGATTTTGACTTACACGAATGTCTGGCTCTTGTATCACCTTGTCTACCAATCAGCTCGGAGTGTTTGTTTACACAAGTAAAATTCGAATTGCAGGCAAGTCTTCGCACTCAGGCTCGATGAGTTACGTTGAATGATCTCAAGGTGTTTCTCCGGTACATTGCTGCTCCAAGTACGCTTCGATCAACAAAGGATATCGCAATTTCACGTACATTCAGAAAGCAAATAAAGCTGCAAAGAAATGTTTACTAGGTGCAGCCCTAAACTCGGGCAATCGCAGCCTGAAACCCAACCTGGAATGCGCCACCAGCAAAAAATCTATCGCGACAGGCACCAACTCGCAGAAGTGCTTGCATGTGTCTGACGCGATCTTCGGGGAAGATAATCCCCGGACCGCGTTCCCTTGGTAATTACATATTTAGACACCTCCGGTCCAGTAAGAGTGCTGCATTTATTGATTTGCATCGTCATAAGGTCCTTTCATTCAGGGGAGTACGCCGGAAGCTCAGATTGATATTGGTATAACAGATACATATAGCAGCAAACCTGCAATCATAGGCCATCTCACCGCAAACATGACTCGTAACATCAGCTATATCTACGTTCGCTATCAATGCTCTCTGCCATTGTCCATTAACTAGGCAAACTCCGCTATCCCAGATATACCATTCAAAGCTTGGAGTCCTTGTTGAGCTCGTGTCGAGGTGCATTTTGGGCAGAACCAGTCTCCTTGTATCTTGTCCTTGAATTTCATTGGAGGGTCTAGGCAACGGTGATGGTATGCCTTGGGACAGCCATCACAGCAAAGGAGCCAGCCGGTCTTTTCACAAGATGCACAATTGTCATCGTTTTCGATGTTATTCGTAGCAGTTTCAGAAGAGCTCAGCTTTGATTGAGGTTGTGAACTCGGTGCTCGGCCACGATTCTTGGTCACAGAAGTAACCTGGGAAGGCAAATTTTGACCAGGCCAGCTTTTTCGAACTTGCTTGTGCTGGGCTTCGTCGACTTTATTTGGAGATTTGTCTGTCATTGTTGTGTGTTTCGGAACGGTGACAAGTACAGATCTAGAGTGACATCCAGACACGTTGACTTGTTCTGCAGTACGTTCAAGTGCATTCACTGGTGGTGTGACACTTGTCGGAGGTACGTTGTTCTCTTCATCACTGAAGTCAATAGCCTCTGCCTTAGAGACATTCTTCAAAGAGCTAACCTCAATATTGCGATTAACTGTGCTTAAAGACGGATTGATACCTTGTGTGGGCTGGAGCACCGCCAGGCGAGGCAGGGTTGCAGGTGGAATGCTAGAACTGGGTGTTCGCAATGTAGAATCAGCTTTTGGCGATGACACTAAAGGACGCCTCGCGACAAGCTCCCCGAGGCGTTGACCTCGATTTAATGAATCTGGAAAGGGTCCTTTGTAACCGGTACTGACGGGCCTTTGCAGAAGTGATGTAGGGGTTGATGTAGAGAAAGCACCCACGGACCTTTGAATTGGCGTGTTGGAATAAGGCTCGACTTTAGATGTACATTCGCTAGGTTGCAGTGATGGTACAGGATTTATAGGAGGTGATCTATGCGGGCCCGAGAATGGATTATTCGACAAGCCATTACCAATCTCTTGTGCTTGTGCTCGGTGGTGATCGTCAAGTTTGACGACTATAGGTAACGTAGGACCTAGCGCTGCATCATCTTCATCCTGTGTACTGGCAGAAGGTGTGTTCCCTGGCTGGTACCCTATCGATGCAGGCGCATCTGCTGTGCCTGTTGGGACACTGTGTCCAACAGGTCTCTGTGCAGTGCTTGTTATTGGACAGGGACTATCATCTCTCCGGAAGGAATTCTTAGCAGTGTGAAAGGATTGCTCCTCTGCTATAACCCCTGCCTGCTCAGCGCTGCTGGTATGTTCGGTGTCCGGAGATGAGTACCCACTCAATTGAGTTGTATCTGGTGTCGGCAACTGTATATTGTCCTCGGATGTAAGTAATAGATCCGGCTTATGACGGGACAAATGTTGAGGGCCTTCTATTTCCTCTATTCTCTTGCGTTTGCCCAGCGCTGTGGAGGCCTCTGTACTGTTCATGTCCGCTTCTTCCAGTGTCGGTAACAATTGTGCATCAGCTGACCTAGCTGTCGCCCTCAAATGGGTCTTTATAGTCTCGTTCTCCTTACGCAACAGCCTCACTTCGTTATCCTCATTGTGAGCAGCTTGCATCGCCTGAACCATACCTTCGAGACTGCTCAAAAGCTTCTGCGAGTCGGGCCCGGACCTATCGTGTCGCGAATGAGAATTTGGATTGTCCATCATGACATTCTGTAGATCAGACATGTTTTTTTGCAAAGATTTTAGCTTTCGCGTCAACGATTCCAATTGATCTTGTTGTGCGTGAATCATCTCTCCCTGCTTTCGAATTAGGAGAGCTTGATACTCGCACTTTGCTTCGCAGGACGCAACGTGTTTCTCCGTGATTTCAGCGCGTTTTGTGTAGCTGCTTATTCTTATGTCCATTCTCTGCAGTCTTTCCTCGTTGCTCGTCGTGCGTGTTTCCATGTGCGTCAACCTTTGGGCTTCATTCTTGATTTGGCCATCCACTACTGCCATACCGTTGGAGTACACCAAGTTTGACGTACCATTCTCGTCGAGGTTACCTGTCATAGACGGGTAGCCTAGGGCACTATCAACCAACATCGGGGACGAGTGTTCTACGGAGTGAACCCGATACTCAATGACTGGTTGTTCGATACTATGTAGTGGTTCTTGCGAGGGGCGAGACCATTGTTGCTGTGGTGATGGAGCAGGAAGCTGCAAATGACTGCTCGAGGATGCCTTGGCCTGATATGGTCGCTGGGACTCGGGGAATATGCTGGATCTAACACTTTTTGACCGTACCGGCTCGACGTTGTGCCCATCCTTGAAATAAAACTTCAGCTTCTTCGCGGTCCGAGCATCTTTCAAATAAGTCCTAGACAGTTTGTAGAATTGTCTGTCAACCAAATGCTCTTTGCTCGGATGTGGTGCACTTCTGCAGTATTGTCCAACCATTACAGAGCATTGGTTGCAGGAAAGTTCGGCCATATGACAACCTTCAGCGGCCTGTTGAGAGGATCCATGAGGAACGACCTTGGTTTCCCTTCCAGCCTTTGTACTAAAAGATGTACCCTCCTTCTGTGCGTAAGCATACGAATCAGTCAGATGCAGCCAATCGTTTTCGAAGATTCCGATCTGGGTATCGCATGACGCACAATACAGATTCACGTTTGATGTTGCAGCAGCATGTACACCTCGCATCCTGAAAGTGTTCCGTGAGAATGTAGCGGCTGATTGAGCGTGAGCGTGAATGAAATGAAGGGCAGTTGCGGGGAACGCGTCCAGTCGCGACTGCGGTGCACTAGTATGCGACTCACCACTCCGATTAGCTGGAAGCGCGATCGCGTGTAAAGTGCTTGCACAGATTGTAGCTACCCTCTACAACTTCATATGTCCATGAGTCGCAGTCAGTAATGCTTGAAGATTCGTTTCAGGGTGATTCAGTCCCTTGAATTGCGTACGATGTGTGCTGCTAGACCGACTAGAGAGCTTTAGAGCGGGCTTATGTATTGTATGAACATTTCAAACAAATATCCGCTGCGCATCTTAGCATGATCATTCAAATCTTTCGGTGCACACGAGGAAAATGCCTTTCGAGGATTGCTATGGACAACGTTGCGTTCGGTCGTGGTACGTATCCAGGTAAGCAGACACTCATACTGTTTGATACACAATTTTGAAGTGGAGTCTGGAGAGTCCGCCTATCGCTGACGATTTGGAGTAGTCTTCATCTTTGTGGTGAACTTGAAGCGAAGGACTGTCCTTTCAGCACCAGAATGATAAATGAGATAATACAACCTCAATCCTGTTACAGCTGTATACCAACAATCGATTATCAGGACGAATGAGCAGACTTTTGGCTATATGCTCCAAGCAAAGATTCGCAGCTAAAGTTCTTGCAAAAACCACGGCCAAGGATAGCATCAATTGCTTCAGTCACCATTACCAACATTACAGGACAATAACATCAACTATGGCGGTCTCTAAGCATGAGGAGACCCAGTCTAATAACGTCAACAAATCCACCACGAACGGGACAAATGGCGATACCAGCAAAACAATCATGGAAACTCATCCTACCTCAACAGCCTGGCACCAACCACAACGAAATGCATACGACTTCCACAGCGACACCATAACAACTCCAACTCTATCTATGCTCCAAGCCATCACCAACTGCTCACTCGAAGACGACATCTACAAGGGCGATCCCACCACAGCTCATCTCGAATCCAGTATCGCCCAACTAGCAGGCCACGAAGCTGGCCTCCTCGTCATGTCCGGCACCATGGGCAACCAAGTCGCAATCCGCGCCCATCTAGGCGCACCACCTCACTCCGTCCTCTGCGACGTCAGATCACATATTGTGAACTACGAAGCCGGCGGCATCGCTACTCTCTCAGGCGCTCAACTCATCCCCGTCCAGCCCAAGAACAACCACCACCTAACACTCGAAGACATCAAAAAACGCATCATAATATCCAACGATGTCCACTCCTGCCCCACCAAAATCATTTGTCTAGAAAACACCCTCAACGGGCTCATCATGCCCCTCGACGAAATTCATCATATCTCCGCATTCGCTCGCGAAAACAACATCCTCCTCCATCTCGATGGCGCTCGTGTCTGGGAAGCCGCAGCCTCAACATCAAACAACACTTCACTCACAGACTACTGCAAACCCTTCGACAGTGTCTCCCTCTGCTTCTCTAAAGGCCTCGGTGCCCCGATCGGCTCCCTCCTCGTCGGCAACAAAGCCTTCATCACGAAAGCCAAATGGATCCGCAAGATGTTCGGCGGCAGCACGAGGCAAGCTGGCATAATCGCAGCTGCGGCACAGACCGCAGTCACTGAGACTTTCGGTACAGGACCGAATGGCGAGGGCGGGAAATTGAGAGTATGTCATGAGAAAGCGCAGAGGATAGGTAAAATTTGGGAGGAACTAGGAGGTAAAATGACGTGGCCCGTTGAGACGAACATGGCTTGGTTGGATGCGGAAAGCTCTGGGATCAGGATAGATGACTTAATACGTATTGGCAAGGAAGAAGGCATCACGGTTAGGAGCGAGAGGCTCGTGATACACTATCAAATTGCCGATGAAGCCTTGGCCGCACTAGAAAGAGCGCTCCGGAGGGTCATAGCTGAGCGTGAGCAGCAGCAATAGTTATAAGTATAATCTAGCCATATCAAAAATCATAAGAGTCGGCCAACCTCAGAACATGTAAGCGCGACCTATCACATAAAAGTGAACGTATAGATGGTTTGTACCAATTGGATTCATTAGAATTGAATTTCCCCTTCGATGCCTCGAGCTATCGTTTTTAACAAGCACTATCAAAGGCTCCCTTCATGTCACTTATGCATCAAGCCCCCATTCCACTAGGGTTGCTAGTACCTAGACAATTTTCCTGATTTTGATCTCCTGGACCTCTAATTTCGTCTCTTTTCGAAGAGAACTAGCGATCTTTTCATGCGATGAAGTTTCATGCTGCTTGCTTGATTGTGTTCACCAAGGCTTCTAGCCTCGGTACGATTCAATTCCAGAGGAGATATTGTCTTCATGCACGCTTTGACCCAGACCGTATTGAGTCGGGCCGACAGACTCCTATGAAGCACACTTCGCACTCGAATTGCGAGTCCAGCCATGTATCATAGCAGTATCATCCCACACAATGAGTGTACTTTTGTGAACATCGGAGTATGGTTTTGTGCATGATCATGATGTAATGTGCATCACCAGGCAAGAGTAGCTGGCTGCCGTCGCGCGAGAGCTGCACACTCTTGCATCCCTTTTATTCCAGCGATGGCTAAACAGAACGTGGTCGCGAAAGACGCGGGTTGTCCCGCTGTGAAAAGGTCGTGAGCATGCTTCGTCTGCGCTGGGCAGCTCTCGAAATTGTGAGTATCTTTGACCGACTTGATCCGCAAGTCGTTACCACTATGACGCGACTCCCGGTGTCTTTCCGTGATAACTCGATCGATAATTGCCGGAGCTATAGTCTTCTTGACTACTCTGACTTCCAGCACGTTGTTGTGTATATGGCGCGTGAGGAGCTCCGAGACTGTGATTTGAATTATTTTGTGGAAATTGGTTCTGTACTGGCCGTGCCGAACTCTGTTTCGACAATGCCGCATTTTGATTCGCGTCTTGATCAATCCGCATTGCCAAGCCGTTCGGCTTTTGAGAACTGGCAGCAGATTGTGCTGGCGCGTCTGCAGCCGCGACAGCCTTCTGTGATTGTACATGGCCTTGCACAATATCGCCATATCGCGCCAAGATCTCTTTCGTGCTCATATCCGCGGACGCTGTATGCAAAGAACTATCTGTAAGAATAGACTGTAAATCTTCAGGTACCTGCACCTTGGTTAGTACAGGTTCGCGATACATGAAATACACCTTGAGCTCTTGACTTACCTCACAGAAATTTTCGTTGTATTTGATTAGCAGATTAACAGCTTCGATGGCTAAGAAGCTTTCATCGACCTGTGGCACGTAAGGGACCTGTTTACCCTGCTTCGGTGGGGGCGCGTAGAGGATGTTCGGTGCCATGACCGTGGCTAGATTGTGGATGTCCATCTTACTGCCAGATTCTTCGTCCACCTGTGAGAACGACGCAGCCCACTTGAGAAAGGCGAAGAGAACTTCCATGGTGTCTCTATTGCATTTGGGTAACAAACAGCAGATTAAATGTAGCACTCTTATCCTATCACTCTCCGCCTCTATCCTCTGAGACGCAATCCAAAGTTTGTGTAGTTTGAAGGTCATCAGTGGATCTGGCATATCTCGTAGAAATTTCTTTAGCAAAGCTGCTACTTGGACAGCATTTTCTTTGCCGAGGTCAGGATTTTGATTGTTGTCAATGGCTTCGGCTGTATCTTTTAATCGTTTAATGTTGCCATTCTTTCGGAAGACACCTTCGACTGACATGTCCATCTGTCTCATAGCAGCCACGGCATCATCGACGATGGTGGGGACCTTGAGTGCGCCTGGTCCGATACCATTGGTTGACTCAGCACCTTCACGTTCAACCAGAGACTCGATTGCGATACCAAAAACGCCCTTCTTCTTCGTCTTAGGCTCACTTTTCAAAGCTTTGCTAACCTTGCCCCAGAATGTTGTCTTTCGAGTCTCGATTAACGACAAAAGCTCTTCCATTGTGAAGCCGTTGCTTTCTAATAGAGGTTGCATGGTGATGACGGCGACGGTCCGTACAATGAGGTACTCGAGTGCTGATAACTCCGAAAAATAGCGTTTCGTTCTCAATGCCGCGGCATCGTGCGCGAGGAGATCGTGACCTGTCGAGCGGCGTTGACTTGGGCTGATAAGTTTGGGTTGATCGTTACGAGCGAGGAGATTCTCACCTGCGAAACGAGACGCGTTCGGTCGCTGCTCTTTAGCCTGCTCGGCAGCGACAATTCTCGGAATATCATCGAGCGTCAACCCATCGTGATTCGACCCAAAGACCAAGCTGTTCTTGTTCCTGTTCTCGCCTGGACGATCGTCGACGATGCGGAAATTGTGCTTGAATCGATCGTCCACATCATGGCTGCCAGGCGAGCCGGGTTGGACTCCTGTCGGTCCATCGAGTATACGCGACTCCCTAGCCTTGCGAAAAGTGGTTGACAAGGTTCTCTCATTCCTAGTGGAGCGCAACCGCTTCATTTCACCAACCGTCTGCTGCAAAGAAGACTCTTCTGGGGGCAGCTCTCGTGACGCGCCAGCATATGACTTTGATCTTGATCCCATCTTCCTTTCCCGCTCTGTTTTTGGTGAAAGTCGATGCCCCTCCGTATTATCGTAGGGTGTAAGATTGGGATCATCCGAAGTATGTGGCAAGGCGCCACCAGATTTCAGCACTTCAAGCAGTCTGGCTAGTGCGACCTTGAGTAGGAAAACATACTGCTGAAGCTTGGTGACGTGTGAGAATCCGGAAACAGTCTCCTGGGCGCGCGAGGAGTGGTTGATACAATAGACTTTGTCCTCCTGTCCACTATAGACAGCACTGGCCAAGTCGTGAGTCAGGTCTCTTGTACATGTGCTGCAACTCAGGTGAGGAGGTTTGATGTGCCAGCGCTTGCCATATATCATTACACATTCGTCGTCGATGGGATCTCGACAATAAGCGCAGCAATCTGATTCTTGATGCGCGAGTCCTGCTGTGCTTTCATTGAGATCCAAGTTCTTCATCTCATTCTCTTTGATTGTTTCGAGGTCCGCCAATTCGTCCAAGAAGGCATTGAGACCCTCGGTAGTGCTCTTTTCTCTTTCCAGCTTCAGAGCGCCCTGCAAGCCAATACGAATCAAAAGTTTGAGGTAATGTGCAAGTCCAGTGACCAGAGACAGGAGCTCCTGAGTAACGCCTAATTTACGGACACCCGTCTCCTGTGTTTTGGAAAGAAGAGTGAAGAAAGCGACAACCTTTTTGCAAAGCAATTTGGCTTCACGTCCATAAGCAAGTTCCTTGAGTCCATGCTCGATGACGAGACCAGCGAGGCTGTCTATTGCGCTGAACAATATATCGACATGCCATATGAATTTGCGGGCAACGATTATGCCGTCAATGTATACCCCATTGCTGACGTGTAGCAGCATCTCCGATATGCATGACGCGGAGGATTCCTCAAAGGTGGACAATATGCTCCATATTCGATATACCTTCTCTTCCATTCTCTCTTCATCTTCCTTGACTAGTTCTCGTTGGTCATCGTTGACAGGTAGGCTGATATCGGGTCGAGGTAAAGCAGGGCCACCAGGGGCGAGTCTAACGTTCCAGAATTTGTGTATCATGTAGCACTCGGGATGCCAATGTTGATTTTGACCGTTGCGAAAGATCTCAACAAACTGCTTAAGAATGGCAGTCTGACAACCATTGCACCGTTGAGCAAATTGTGTGGAATAGTGGTAGTGGCAATAGACCTTGCCATCGTGTTCGTAGTAACTGTCCTGAGCACCGAAAATTGTTGGACATACAGAGCAGGTGAAGTGTTCGATGTGGTACTTGCGCTCCAGGGCAGTGATGTAGGAACCACGTAGAGCACCACCACACTCAAAGCACAGCAGATCTAGACGTCGAAAGTAGTCGGTTTCGCAAAGGGGGAATTGACCAGATCCGTCCTCCTCATCCACAGGGAAGAACTTGCTAGCCACAATCTGACCACAATCCCTGCATTTGAAGCAGTCCAAATGAAATGTACCACCTAAAGCTCGCACAAATTGACCCGTCAGTGCCTCTCCGCACTTTTTGCAGGTACGATGACCTTTGTTTGAGTTTGTTCGCGACCTGCTACGGCCCTTCCCATCTTTTTCTTGTGACCTCTTGCGACCGATCCTGCTGTCGGACGACTGGCGATTACCAGCACTTTCTTGCTGCTGGTTGCCATTGGCATACGGCTGGGTGTTTCTGCTATCCATGGGTACGATACGGCTGTTCAAAAATATACTTTCGCAAGCGTCAGATGTTTATACTTCGGCTAGACATATCACTGTAACCGAGGACTGAGACACGCGCTGACGAAGCCTTCATGCTCCAGAAGTGGCGGCTTACCTGTCTGATCCACGATCTGAAGCAAAACCTTGCACAAATAGTACAGGAAAGTCGGGAAGACGAGCGTGGTGGTGGACAGAGGTGTGGTTGTAACTTCAAGGAAGCGCAGGGTCAACGTTGTCGTCCCGATCCACAGACAGTGACCGTACGGCAGTCAATTTATGTAATATCCAACATGACAGAACTACCACACTGTAACCAGATCGAACCGCCGACGCGAACAGGGTGGTGGCTATGCTGCTGTAAGCCAATTCCAAAGTCTTGACCCAGGGCGTAGGGTTCGATAGGTCTCGAGGACGATCAACAGGGGCCGGATGGATTGTCGAGTGGACGGCGGCGTAGAATGAGGGCGATCACGATGCGACACTGGACAGCAACGCGAAAATATGTTCTCTGTGCAGCTGATGGTGACAGTCGAGCGTGTATGCGGTCGTTGTGTTCGAGCAGCGCAGTCAAAGTACTAGACGGGGCCTTGGCCATGAAGCCGGCACCTATTCAAAGCCCAAAGGTCACGTGTTCGTCGCAGCTTCCTGCTTCCACTATGGATGTTCAAGACTGCAAAGATTGTCGAGCAGCAACGACATGGTTATGAAACACTTTGTTCATTATTACAGCTTGCGATATATGGGTAGCATCGACTTACAACTCTCGGAAATAGACTGTGCTACGACATGGACGATTGAGAAGCGCTACGTAGTATGCAAAAATACCCATGCACTACTGGTACTCAAATCACAGTAGCACAGTGTCTTCTCTCCTCATCAGACAGCGATAGACACTGACAGACACGTAACTATCCTCGAGATTATCATGCTGCGTATTCCAATTGTGGTATGGTGAGTCAAACAGATTTGGCTGGTAAGAATGCTGCTTCTGGGTTTGGTTGCTAACGAGCGAGGATGGTGCTCGTCCCATTCGAGTTCTTGTACCTGCTTAGCCTGAAACCAGCCCCGCAGCTGGTCTGTCATGAAATCACTGTACTGATTCGCATGTAAATATTATGTATCGCTGTTCTGAAGGTTTCGAGTGCAAACGCTGTATACACGAAGTACTCCAGGCGACGATTTGCCTGCGGCCAGGCTTTATTAGGGCAGCTGCCTGGAACGATGCCACCAATAGTAAGTCGCGACAGTGGGGTGGGTCACTCGAAACACTGCATGTGGATGCTGAACTTGGATGTCAGGCCTTTCGTATCTTCTTCGTTGCCGCAGCACAAGTTTCAGCCGTTTGGTGTTAATGACTGTTTCCAAGGTAGACAGTGAAATCCTACCTCCCAACCTGAACAAACTCTCCAAGTCTCTTCCTGTAGTATGGTACTATCTCGTGAAAGTGTCGCCCATTCTTCACCATCTTCTTCACCACTTGCAATTGAATTGAAGACCAGCTTCCACTACTTATCAGCCTTCTAGATGGCCAACCAGTCACTACTGCGCATTGCCAAGGTGAGAGAGAGCTTTGTCGCCCTCATTCGCGAGTCAACTCACCTGTAGTAGGAGATCAAAGGTCTACAATCAAGCAATGATCTATGTGAGTGAGCCTCACTTTTGCAAATGCGACCACTGACATTCAGCAGCCATAATTGTCGCACACCAGGACGAAGATATCCGAAACCTCAAAGCTCTGATCCTTGGAACACCGGGCTCGCCCTACGAATATGGCTTCTTCGAGTTCTCCGTGAAGTTCGGACCCGACTATCCCTCCAAACCACCCAAGGTCGATGCAAAGACAACCAACAATGGTAGGACGAGATTCAATCCAAACATTTATGCTGGCGGGAAGGTTTGTCTCTCCATCCTCGGTACATGGCAGGGCGAACTCCCTGGCGAAGAGTGGTCCTCAGCACAAGGTCTTGAGTCAGTCTTGTGGTCCATTCAAAGCCTGATGTCTAACGACCCCTACGCGAATGAGCCCGGTTTCGAAGGACGCACGACTGATGAAGATAAGAAAAAGAACGATGCCTACTGTGCTAAAATCAGACATGAGACTATTCGCATCGCCGTGCTTCAAAAGCTGGAACACATGTTCGGTATACAGTCTGATGGCTCCTTAGCAAAGCCGGCAGATCTCGAGAAATGGCACTCGGACACTAGTGATTCTGAGGAGGACGAAGGCGAAGACGGCAAACCGAAGATCAAGTGGGAACCCTTCAATGACTGGCAAAAGCGTCGCTTCCTATGGTATTATGAGACCTATTTGAACACTATCGAGGCCGAAGCGCCAAAATACAAAGAAGGCGACAATTTCGAGGTCATGCCATTCGAAGGTGGTAGCAATACTATGAGTGGCACCTTTCAATACGTTCAGTTAGGCAAGAGACTGCTTCGTGTCAAAGAGGTCATTCAGCAAGAGACCGCCAACTGGGCCAAGGATGGCTTAATTGTCAAACAACGAGATTCCAGCAAGGCGTACGCCATGCAGGGCCAGTTCAATGTCGTGAAGCACAATCAGACCAATGGTGGAATCCCAAATATCGATCTTGAACTTGAGAATGATAATCCCTTTGTCTGGATAATGACCTATTTCGGAAGGCCGGAGTCGAATCTGGACGGTGGTGTTTTCAAGATTAGGGTCTCAATCAGCGTCAGGTTTCCTGAGGAACAACCCCGAGTTCAGGTGGTAACGCCAATGTATCATCATCGTGTCTCGAAAGACGGTATCCTCTGCTACCAAGCCAACAAGCCTGACGAGATGAAGAACCATATTCAGATGATTGTTCATGCGATTGAAGAGGAGTGCCCTCCGTACGACCCACGTACAATTGTCAATCCAGAGGTCGCGAAACTATTCTTCGGTTCTGCTGATGATAAGAAAAAGTACAACAGATCACAACGACGTTCCGCTCAAGATAGCTTGGACTTTGCTGAGTGACCGGAACATTTACTCTAGCATTACTTTACCAATTCTGTCGTCGATTTTACTCAGCATGGCGCCTAAAGGGGATATCGGATGGTCTATAGGTTAGAGCTGCTGGCATCTGTGGGGCAGTATAGTATTTTTCTGAGCAGGCGAATGGGTTCTTTCGGGCATCTGGACAGAGCATGGGCAGCAAAAAAATTGCAAGAACATAGCTCATAATTGTGTCAATCACATGGACGAGGCAGAGAAGACGAAATGTATACATCGACTTCGTCATATCAACAGTGCGTCGCGTACACGTACGTTAGCTTTCCAAGTTCCAGGCGGGCAGTGGCGGAACCTTATCTGGAAGTGCCTGCATAATCACCGTTTAAACCCACACGCCACGTTGATAGGCTCTTTCCGATCCCATTTTCCACCCCCACACAATCGTTGAAATTTACTGGAAATGCATAACTGATATACCATGGACGATCTGGGGTAACTATCACTGATTCATGTTTCTTGGAAGTAACCACTAGTCGTCGTGATTTTAGCTGTCTCGATTAAATTGTGCTTAGCACTCTCACTTGCAACCTAGCCGACCTGCTCCGCGAACGAGTGCACCCACTTGTATAAATTCTACGTTCAGCCGACAAACTCAACGTCTCCCATGGAGCGACCTCGCAAACAGCCTTCCCCTAAAGCCCTCGGCACGGTCCTCGTCGTCGGCGGCTGCGGCTTCGTAGGTCGTCACCTAGTCGACCAACTTCTCAACTTCCCTTCCGAACAGAACGATCCTCCCGCTCCATTATCCTTAGGCCCTAATAAAGGTCGCTATTCCTACGACTACCCGTCCTTACAATCGCGATACCCTTCATTCGATCAGTCCGGCACAACAGTACATGTCCTTGACTTGAAATGCACCAGGAACAGGATACAAGGCTGTACATACCACGAAGCAGATATCACGGATGTCGCGCAGTTACTAGATGTGTTCAAGAAAGTCCAGCCAGACGTGGTGATTAACACGGCGAGTCCGCAGTTTACGGCATCACATGCTGTATTGCGCAAGGTTAATATCGATGGGACAAGGACGCTGCTTGAAGTCGCGGGCGGAGTTCACGGGTCATGGTCGAGGGACGGGCAGCAGAAGCGGTGTAAGGCATTTGTCCACACATCGTCGTCCTCAGTGATACACGATACGCAGTCGAATCTCAGAAATGCGGACGAGAGGTATCCGTTGCACGTACCGAACAAAGTGGAGTATTACTCGGAGACAAAAGCCATAGCTGAGCAGCTGGTGCTACAGGCGAACAAGAGCTCAGAGTACGGTGGGATGTTGACAGCGGCGGTGCGGCCCGCTGGCATAATAGGAGAGGGCGATATGGGTGGGTTTGCGTACAGTATAACGAAGACGGGAGCTGATGCGCCGGGATGGCAGCTGAACTTGCAGTTGGGAGAGGGTGATAATTTGTTTGATACTACATATGTTGGGAATGTTGCGCTGGGTCTGCTGCTTGTGGCGGAGGGATTACTGACTACTGATCAAAGAATAAATGACAAGGGACAGGCTGATGGTGGCATTCTAGAGCACGAAAAGATCGATGGCGAAGCATTTATCGTGACGAACGATCAACCCGCATACTTCTGGGATTTGACGAGGTTTCTGTACAGTCGTTTTGGCAAGGAAGGCGTTGTGGTCGGAGGACAAAACACGGGCGTTAGAGCATTACCCGAGAGCTTCGCATGGCTTGTTGGTGCAGCGGCTGAGTTAGCTGGAGTGTTGACGGGTCGTAAAGGAAGAATCAGTCGACAGACAGTGGTATACAGCTGTATCGACAGGTATTTCAGCTGCGAGAAGATAAAAAGAAGATGTGGATATGAACCTGTGATTGGGGTTGAGGAGGGCTTGGTAAGGAGCGTGAAATGGTACAAGGCGTTTATACAAGATGGTGGTGAGCAGAAGAAGATGCAGTAAGTACCTTCATCGAGCCACGGCTTTGAGTGTGTGGTCACCCAGGAATTTGAGGGTGCAACTTGAAGCAGACAACCGAACGAGCTAGGTATGGTCATGTGCATAGCAAATACGTGTACAGATCCACAACAAGCAATAGTACATATACAAAGATATCCAACTCAGAGCGTCGGTCGAGTCAGAGAAGAGTACACATGGTTCCCAGGATCTAGGATTCGTGGTGTCCTCACAAAGTCATGCTGCGTTGGTAGGGCAGGATGTTGCATTTTGTACTACACAATTTGCAAGGCGGTATGTGCGAATCTTGCAAGCAGAGCCAGTCGGCCCTTCTAGAGGGGGAGAAGTCTATTGCAGACCTGGAACAGCCCCCCAGGATGGTCACCCAAAGTCTCGTGAGAGTATAGTAAAGCACGGTTTGTATGACAAAAAACTTGTATGTCAACAGCTGGCAATCCTCGTAGCTCAAAGGAGGGCCTCTATCAACTACGAGCAGCTGGAGATGAGGCCTTAGCATAGTGCAAGATCCGGTTCAAATGTCGATGACTCGCATGACAGAATCAATGATTGGCTGGCAGCTTCCTGGGAAGGGTTGGAAGCCGGGATATTGCTCAAGACTGCCTTACCGTCAGACTTTCTGCACAACGGCTGTTGCAGTTGTTGACAGGACCTGTCGCATCTCATATGGTCTCGACGAAGCAGCAGCACAATATAGAGTAATACAACTGACATCACTTTGGTTTCCCTCATATGCACGCAAGATGTGGTAGAAAGTCTTTAGTGGATGGTGATTGACAAGTCGTTTCAGGTTGCATGAGATGCTCCTTGTGATCGTCGAGATGCTTAGGTGGAAAGCGTGTCAAGCGAACTGCCATACTACATAGATATGTAAGCAAGCCACGGACTTCCAGCAGACGCTCACGGCACTTTTATTCAACAGACTTGCCAGACGAGCCACAATGCGTATCAGCAAGCAGGAACAACCCTGCGGAAGCACAGAGCGTTACGGATGATAGAGCGCATATCAGGGCAATCAGTGATTGGTGAGCTTGTCGAGCCGAACAATGGGTCAGCTGAGCTTGGTGCTTTCATTGTTCTTTATTCGAGCATTGATTTTCGACCAGCATTAGCTTATGATTCGTGCATGAGGAACTCCAGCAAGGTTCGAAAGTCGTCACTCGCTGGGACAATGACGAAGACTGTGTGGTAGATCGGCTATACTCGTATCGTAAGAGGGCATTTCTTCAAACAAATTGTTCGAAAGTAAAGAGAGCGGAAAGCAGGGGGTACGATGTGTTGAGTTTCAGAAAGCAAAGAGTATGGTGATCAAGCAAGGGCGGGGACGTGGTCTCCGGCGAAAAGCCCTCTACATATTCTGTGGCAGCCACGACCGGGGGGTACTATGTTCAAGTACAGGGTCTCTCGCAATGCCGAATATGACAGTATCTGCAAAATTGCCCGTATCTCATAACATGCCCTGGCCGCCCACGCTCGCGTTGTTGAAACAATACATATAGAAATGAGTGTTCGAAGAAACGAGCATTATTGAAGAAAACAAATTGTTTACGAAACCGAGTGCGTATTCTTGCAGGAGGAGAATTTCTGGAGGGCGCTGATTAGCAGCTTTTATCGACAAGCAATAAGCCAGCGTTTTGATCTCGACGCTAGAGCTCAAAGTGCTCTAGCAGGAATAAAGCCTTGATGAGCTTTTTAGGTGCATTACGAGAGCCAATGCTGTTGCTTTCAAGCCCCCGCATTCTGTCGTCTAGAGCACATCGAGCCACTCACTTGCTTGTCGATGGTCGTTTCTTATGCATGCCGTCGTTGAAACTTTTACGCCCCAGAAAGCGCTGCTGGCGTGCGACGGAAACACCATACGGTCCTGCCGATCTCCATAGTACACTGCTCCATTGCGGCAGAATTGTGCTTTCTTTGTCGACCTCTGTCCAGGGATCCTCCACGACGGTAGTGTAGCGATCTCTAACGTCCGCTATCACCTTGTTACTGCCAATAGCGAGCGATCTCCACTACTATCTCCTCAGTCGAACTTCGAGAACACGACCCAGTGCTTTTGCAAATAGCTTCAGACGACTGGTGTCCTCCTTCAAGCACTACACACAATTCTGTCCACGCATTGCGCCTAATTGTCTGACCAGCAACACCTGTCTGTACAACTCTCACTACCCTGTCAATAGCGAGAAGCGTGTCCCACACCACGCTGAAATTGCAAGTCGAAGGAAAATCATGGCGAGATAGCACTACAACACGCTGTGTTGCATGTCTATGCCAGCCGACACACTGTTGAACGAAGAGGTTGTACAGCACATCCTGCTGCAGGAATGGCCCAGGATGGCTCCAATCGCCAATTTGCTCAGTCACCTACCGTGGCTGCCCTCAAATACGATGCTGGTGTTGGTCCCGAACCACACAAGGTTATGATGGAAAGAAGCTTGAGTCAAGACATTCAAGAAGGAACTAGAGAGCTCAAGGATGCTGCTGAACAAACAAGAAATATCATACTCGACCTCAGCCTGGATGGAATTGTTCGGTGGGTTAGCCCTTCGTGGACCGATGTCGTTGGAACACAACTGGAGAACGTCAAAGGCAAGCCGATATCTCAGTATATACAAGGCGACAAAGATGTCTTCACCAAGGCTATCACTGCACTGAAATCCAACGACTCGAAAAGTCAGTATGTCAAATTCGCCATCACAACCTCAGAGTCTGGAGCTCTTGGTCCCATGCTGGATGTCCAATCCAGTCAGTCAGAGAAGAGCCTCGAAGATGGTCAGAATAATACACGGGATGAACAAGTCCTTCTTGAACTTGAGGGACAAGGTATCATGGTCTGGGACCGCGCTACCGGAGGAGAAACCCATACTATGTGGATGTTACAACCCGCTGCCGAACCTATCCACATTGAGGTAGAGTTTCCCAGAGTTCTGGTCGAGATGTTGGGTGTCGGTGCCGAGCTCCTTGCCAACTACCTTTCCGAACTCACTGAAGCTGGTGCTAATGACCCTGCTAACCATCCACCACCACTACCCATTGTCTGTCGCATCTGTGAGCGCTCAATTGTCCCTTGGTGGTTCGAAAGGCACTCTGATTTGTGCGTCCAAGAACACAAATCCGAGATGGACATTCAAATGGTGCAAGAGGGCTTGACAGAACATCGTCACGCTATCGTCAAGGTACTCGATGCTTTCGATACACGCCAAAGTCGATCTGGCGACAACACACCACTTCCTCCTCAGCCGGAGTACAAGGGCATGCCGATCGGCTCATCGCCCTCAGCTTCGGCCCTCTCCTCTCTCGCTGGATCACAGAATCCTAGTCCGGCTCGGTCTCGAAGCCCATCGACTGCTGGTCCGGGTCATACAAGAGGTCGTTCCTCTTTCATCGTGCGCCGACCCCTCGTGAGAGTGGTGGAACTCCTTCTTGACCTTTGCGATACAGCGATCGAGATCAATGTGCCGTCTATCAAAGATACCAAGAGCGAAGATGGCGATGAGTTTCGAACTCAATCGCCTGTTTCTGAATCGCGAATCAGTCAGATCATGCATTGGCAGTCACCTAGCACCGTCGATATTGAACCCGGTCTCGCAGCTCTGAACGCCGATACGGAGAAGTTAGCTCGAGCCAAAGTCGAAGCAGTACATCGACATCAGTTTATACTTGAGTACAGCGAACGTATTCGACAAGAATACCTTGCTGAAGTAGACGCTTGTATTTTCGAAGCTCTTGCAAAAGCGCAACGCATTGCTGACGGCGAATCGAGTGCGAGTGAGGACGAACTTGAGATGGACGATATGAGCCCTCCTGTTGAGGACGAGCTTGCTGTCGTTACTGAACCTACACCTGTGGAGGCTCCAATCGAAGAACCTGAAGTCACGAGGTCACAGTCTAGACCACAGCTAAGATCGATGGCATCTGCTCTCCGAAACACGCTTGATGCCCCTGCGCAGCTCGTGGATGCCCGTCGTCCATCTTCGCAAGCTGTGTCGACAGGCTCAAGCAGTCCTCAAGAATGCCCAACACCAAAGTCTACAAAAAGCAACCTCGTTCAGCAACCTCAACCGCTTCACAAACGTCGTTCAATGTATACTGCTCCAGACGAAGGTGAAGTAAGCGACAGCAGCTCGCCGTCAATATCGAGCTCTGCGTACGAACGACGCATGGATTCTCCTGCGCCTTCAGCTGAGTTGTCATTGAGCCGATCTGCAAGCTTAAGAAATAGAAAGCGCCGAAGCATGCATTTGCACGGCTTGAGCTCGGCGTCACCACATCGGGGACACTCGCCGAGTCACCTTCCACATGTGCCTGCTAGCCCTCTACGAGCAACTAAAGGCCGCTTACCTAGCGTTGATGCATCCACACAGTCACCGATCGTCTCACCCTTGCTTACTTCTGGGGAGTTTCCTTCAAGCCCTCATTACCACCACCCACATCACAGAAGACAATCATCGATACACTCCTCAGATGTGAAAATTCCACTGTCACCACGCTTGTCTTCAGTCGCTCATCCTCAACCTAGAGCTCAACCACCGTCGATCAAAGACTTTGAGATAGTCAAGCCAATCAGTAAAGGTGCATTTGGTAGTGTATACTTGTCAAAGAAGAAGTTGACTGGAGAGTATTTCGCGATCAAAGTACTACGCAAGAACGACATGGTAGCCAAAAATCAAGTCACTAACGTGAAGGCGGAAAGGGCCATTATGATGTGGCAAGGTGAAAGCGACTTTGTTGCAAAACTCTACTGGACATTCTCGAGCAAGGATTATCTGTTCTTGGTAATGGAATATCTGAACGGAGGGGATTGTGCATCTCTTGTCAAGATCCTTGGCGGTTTGACAGAAGACTGGGCAAAGAAGTACGTTGCTGAGGTGGTACTAGGAGTCGAGCACCTTCATAGTCGCGGGATCGTGCACCGAGATCTCAAACCCGACAACCTGTTGATCGACTCAAAAGGTCACCTCAAACTGACTGATTTTGGCTTATCCCGTATGGGTCTTGTAGGTCGACAGAAGCGTGCGCTAAAGAGCCCAGAGGAGCCAGATCCCGAATTGTTCAAGCATGGACACTTCTCATCTCAAATATCAGGACCCACGTCTCGGTCGGCCTCTTTCGACTACAATACTGGTCCTTCTCCAGGACAGACGCCGTTGATGACTCCCTCCTTGGCTGGTGGACTTGATCAACCGTCATATTTTAGTCTCAACCGGGAGACGTCATCGAGTAGGGACTTCTCACGCAGAGCTTCTGGTTACAGAAGTGATAGTGGTAGTCTCTCTACTCACGACTTACTTCAGTCCTTCTCCGGACTTGGTCTCAGTGATAGCAACGAAGGTGGAAGACCACTTTCCATGTATCATAAGCACATTTCCATTGAGGAGGAGACATTGTCGCAGGCAAGCGCATCTCCAGATCTAATACCCCTATCGCAGTCTGTGAGCAACATTTCACAGGCTCATATGGCTGGCTCACAAATGTTGCCACCACCGACTGCTCTTTTCGATCCTCAAGAGAATGGGAAAAGATTCGTTGGTACTCCCGATTATCTGGCACCCGAAACTATACGTGGCACCACTCAAGATGAGATGTGCGACTGGTGGTCTCTGGGTTGCATCCTTTTCGAGTTCTTGTACGGCAGTCCTCCCTTTAATGCTCCTACTACTGAAGAGGTCTTTGACAATATCCTAAATCGCCGTATTGCATGGCCAGAGGATGATGATGAGGTCGAAGTGTCAGACGATGCTAAAGATCTTATCAACAAGCTCATACAGCTTGATCCGCAAAAGAGGCTAGGAGCAAATGCGGAGGATAAATACCCTAGTGGTGGTGCCGAGATACAGGCCCATCCATGGTTTTCGGACATTAATTGGGAGACTCTTCTGGAAGATGAAGCGCAGTTCGTGCCAAACCCAGAGAATCCCGAGGATACAGAGTATTTCGACAGTCGAGGTGCAACATTACAAGCATTCCCTGAAGAGATGGAAGACGCAATGTCACCTCCACTAAGCACATCTGCTGGAAGCGAGTATCCCGACCGACCACACGATGCACTATTCAGAGCTCGAAGCCAGATATCGTCCGTAAAGAGAGGGCTGATGCCCTTGCACATTCCACCTCATATTGCGCGGGACTCGAGGAGTCGACGTTTGAGTGAGCCTGTTATTGCCGATGATTTCGGGAATTTTAACTTCAAGAACTTGCCTGTGCTTGAAAAAGCAAACAAGGACATCGTGGAAAAGATGCGGAAAGAGACAATGCAGGCTCAAGCTCGTTCAGCTCAGTCCATGCATTCTGCTAGCTCGTCACTGTCCCAGCCTGCCTCGACAATACCGACACCTTCAGTCACATCTCCAACACCTTCCATAGAGGGCAGTCCTATGCTTCCTATGCCTGTGCAAAGGGCTCTATCAGTTAACAAGCATCCTCGACCTAGTTCACCTTCGGGATTTGCAAGCGCCAATGCCTCGCCAAGTCGAGGTTCCCAACCAGGTTCTCCTATGCTGCAGTACGCATCCGTTCACCACGAAAGACGGAAGACTTCAGGCTCGTCGAACTCAAGCAATTTGCAAAATTCAACTGTCTACGATCCATCTGCTGCAAGAGTGCCACAATCCACCGCTTCGCCTGTGAAAAGACTATCATCGATATCACCCGCAAAACCGCTGAACTCCACCTTGCAGCCGGGCACACCTGGCAGAAATCGTTCACACACAGTGGGGTCACAGGACAGTGAAGGACAACTAAGAGAGCCGTTCGTACCTGGGCATCACAAACGGCGCAGCCAACTTTTCACTCGAGACCAATCGCCATCTTCCTCCGACAATGAGAATACTGCTCACGCAAAAGCGCTGCTCAAAGTCCAACGGAAACGCCAGAGCTCCAGAAGAATGTCGCAATTCAACATACTCGAAGGTCCTGCTTATCGTCCGCTTGATATCCTGATCTGTGAGGATCATCCTGTCTCGAAGATGGTCATGGAGAAACTCTTTGAGAAGCTCCGATGCAGGACGATCACTGCGACAACAGGGCCGCAAGCAATAGGCTATGCCGTAACCCAGATACAATACGACATCATCTTCACTGAGTACAAATTACCTCTGACTAATGGTGTTGATGTAGCGAGAATGATCAGGGACACTAAAAGTGCCAATACCCATACTCCAATTGTTTGCATTACTGGCTATCTTAAAGATTTACCAGAAGAGCACCAATTCGACGCTTTGTTACAAAAACCGCCTACTATCACTAAATTGACAGAAGCACTTTGCAAATTCTGCTCATGGAAGCCGCCACCGAAAGATTACCAGCCTACCATGCCATTGAATTTACCTCTGCAACGCCCTCAGGACAGTCCAAGCTCAATTAGTAGTATACCAACAATGCTAGAATCACTGCAGGGATCTACTCGTGGGGATTCAATCAGCAGTGGCGGGTTCTTCAGTGACATGGAATCCGTAAAGAACGACGACATCCCATTTGTTATATCACGAACTGGGACGGATGACTGGACACGTGGCGGCCTGGGCATAACAGGAGATAGCACAAGTGACATGCACATTCCTGTACAGTCTGTCATTCCTCGACTTCTGCACACTGAATCCGCACCACCTGATTTCAATGACATTGCCACATCTCAACAGCCGCTAATTGAGCGTCAGACTATACCAGAACTGACTCGCACAAAGCGTGGGTCTGTCGAGAAAGTGCGTAACATCACTGGAGGTGCTGAGGAAGGCGATGACGAAGACGAAGAACTCGGAAACCTCCACGGGCGGCAGAAGTCACCCCGACCGACACGCACAGGCTCAAAGCTTGGTCATGAGATGCTTCGCACTAATAGTCGGGGTAGCGTCATCTCATTCAACGAAGATCGCCTGGCGGAACCTGGTAGTTTGCGTAGGTCACTCGAGGTACTCGAAGGTCGCATGGAGGGTTTGCGGATCGCCGAAGAAGACACCGTCATCCTCGGCTCTGTACAACCGCGAAAGGGTATGAGGACATCTTCCGAGCATTCTCATCCTGAACCCGAACGACCATCTAGCCGAGGGCACATCACACCGCCGGTGCTGTTCCCGCAGCTCCCAGGCAATACGATCAAGGAGTTCGAAATTGACGATCAAGCGACACCAATGCCAAATAAAACGATTGATTTTGGCGATCAGCCAACACCTAAAGCACGAAGCGAAAACGGCTCAACGTTCCAGCAACAGGACATCTAAAGTCTGTTCGAAAAAAAATCTTACCACACACTAACCCCTCTTTCCGCATGTATATGAATTGAAACAGCGACACTCGCTTGATGATTTCTCTATGTTTTGAACGAATTATGGTGTATTTGCAAGGCGCTGGTGGTGTAAAGAGTGGGCACATAAAATGTGCAAATCTATGGCTCTCTGTTGGAGCAAGGTTGTGAATTGAAGTTTTTCTCGTGACATGCAAGCCTTTCTGCATGAGCACTTGGGCGGAATAGTCAAGAACGGTACAGCATTGTGGTTCAGTACGCATCGATGCTAAGATCTCGAGAACACTCGTGGGTTACAAGGACTAAAAGCAAGCAAAAGTGTCTAGGAGTTAAGAGGCATGTGTATGCAATAGCTCAGGGCTGGATCTAGACTTGGTCATTTGCAGTGGTGTGTCAGATTGCAAAGTCTGTGTCGAGCTTCATAGTGCTAATCGAGACGCGAATGACTTCCATTTTTCTGCTCCTTTGTGCTTTCACAGATGCCTCGAGTATGTCGGTTTGTCATGGTTGTGCATACTGACTGATACGGTCGGCAGTGGCAGGTGTCTCACTTGGAGTAACTCATCGATAACACGATGTTTAGGCCCTTGTGTTAGATGGTCGCCGCTCAGTGGAGTAAGCTCTAGGTGTGCATCGGACGTATCCGCTGGCTAACGGGGTTGTAAATTACAAGGCAATACAACCTCAAGCTGTGCTCCGTGCTTCGCGCTAGTGTGATTAGCGTTCTGTACTAGCGTAGAGTAATGTAAGAGCGTTTATAGCGTGTAGACATGTCCGTACAGCGTGCACTCCAAAATGATAGAACGCGTGGTTGAACTCAGTATCCACCAGATATGCGCCCACAGATCATCTTGATTGCCGTTGTCAGCATCTTTCTTCCCAGTACCTTCGTTCTTGGGAATTCGCTTCCCGATGCAGATCTTAGAGTCTTCGACGTCCGACAGGTCGGCGCTCCAGGCGGCGGACCACAAAGCGGCTCATACTCAGTCTGCGGATGCCAAAGTGGACAAGCTGGCGTCTGCATGGCAGGGGGATCTCGAGGCTGCGACTGTTCCAGCTACGGAGTCCTTCGTTGCAAATCAGATCTGCAAGACTGTAGGAACAAAGGCTGCGGATGCTGCCGGTGAGCACTTTTCAAAAACAGGAATTTGGAACAGTACTGACCATGTTTCATGATAGCAACTAGAGGCCCCATGGTCTCTTTGCCGAAATATCATGTCCAGAGTGTTGATGGTTCATATGAGATATTTGGTGTGGATGCCATTTGGCATAATCAATATTCCGGACCCGAGACTGATTTCATTGCATTCAGGAAACAGTATCATTGCGACATCAGTATTATGATATTGATGGTGGCAAAACATATAGAGCAAGGGTTGTATGCTGTTATCAGCATGAATGCTACTCCCCATATGTTAACGATCATCTGTGGATGTGAAAAGATGCGAGCTGATTTGCCTGAAGATATGTGGGATGATCCAGGGAGACGATGAGAGCCTTAATCTCCATGGAACAAGCTGTAGTTGAACACACCTGCCAAAACTAAAAATCTCACTTCACTATTCTCGAATCTTATTGTAGTAATGATGGCACATGTGTCTCTCGATGATCCTTGCATTGTGAGATTGTGCATAATGTTGCAAATCACTTCTGTGTGAAAGCTTGGGAGTTCGAGGTAGATATCCCGTCCCCGAATTTGAGAGCATGCGAAATTCACGACTTCTAGTCCTAGGTCAAGCTTCGGCAAGAGTCATGCATGAATACAAGAAGTTCATCCCATAGAACCACTAAGGATGAGGAACTTGGCACGCTGTCTTAGCCTTCGGAAGGCCTGTGCGCGAAAATACCAGCATCGACAGCAAGTTCCTTGGGGTTGTACGTTACCACCACGAAACATGCGCGGTTGCTGTTTGGCTGGAACTGGGACAGCATCGCATAAGTGGTTGCATTGACAAGTTGACGAGTACCTGGGTACCTACATATAGTGCTTACCTAGGTATGAAATGACAAGGATGATGCAAATAGTTCAAATACGTACGAGGTAATAGAAATGCCTACGGCCCGCTGTAGGGAGTATTTGTGGGAGCTCGGCTGACCCGGAGATGACCCTGGGGTTAGGGTTTCGGGAAGAAAGCGTTAAAGGCCGGGCAACTGGTATCAGTTAGTATGTACGGAGGTATCAACCAAATCTCTCAACACTACCCGGTGTCGTTCTCTTCATGTCGATTCAATAATTCGCGGACATTCGATTCGTTCTCGATGAGCTGATAGTCATACACAGACGCGTAGTGGATTTCGAGATTCTAGCGAGCAATTAGTAGGTGCAAGTGGCACAAATATTCATATTATGCACTCACCCAAAATACTGCCGGACAAGAATCTTTTCCTTCTTCAGCATTATATCCTCTCGACCATTCTTGACGATACTCAAATCTTGAGCAAGCTGAACGCCGTCCTGAGAAGAAAGCTCTTCTCCCAGCATCCATTCCCAGATCACTATATTGCTCAAAAGCCTCTTTGTGACGCTTGTGGATGAATGATGCGTAAGCTGATACTTTTTGGGCAGATAGCATAGTTGAACCGTGCAAAATCTTCAGTATGCGAATGACAGATAGGCGAGGAAAGCCTGAGCATATAAATGGCCAGACTTCCTCAAGCATTGTGAATGGGTTGAGGGTATAAATTGAATCTTTGCGGTATGCTGACGCACCCATTCGGATTGAGGAGATACCATAAAACGTCGCAATTGTCGAGCTTGGGGGACCAAGGCCACGCAACCCATGTTAAAGTACAACTTATGTCCAACCGTCGCTTCTCTAACGGCGCGACAATCTTGGTTGACTTGACGACTGACGCGCTCGATCGCCAGGCTCGGGAATTTGAATTGATTGAGTTTGAGATCTAGGCTTTCGCTGAATGCTAGATATTCGATCTGCGCATCCTACAAGTATTTCTGGTAAACCAGATTCTGCAGCTCTTGTGGCAAGTCGCGAATATCTGCAACATTTCGTAAAGGCAAACTCTAAGAGGAACAAGTAGTCAGTCACCACACCATTGTGGCAGTATAAGCAGGAGAATAATTGGGTGGTTTGAATCCTTTGCGTTAGAACTTGGACGACGCTGCTGACGAACCAAGTATTGGAATTTGAGGAAGGAGAAGAATAAAAATCGGGACTTCTGTTCGGAAAGACTCGTCGTCGTTCCTGACAACTGTGATCGTGTTTAACGCTTCGCCCTGAATTCGCAGTTGCCTCCAAACTTGCTCTTGCTGTACTAACAATGATCTTAAAATTGATATCGCCTGCTACAGTTCAATGATCTCCTAGGTCCATGCCTGGAAGAACAATGAAAGGTCAAACCAAAACGCCACAATACCCAGCATGCAAAACTCCCATACAATAATAATTCGCCGGTCTGTTCATCTGTCCACCTACTATATCCTCCCAATAATCCCCTGCCCCAATATCCGCCTCTGCATGTCGACAATACTTATCGTCCGTCCCAGCACCCCATCACCACCAACTCCAAGGTCAAGCCTCCGCCCCAAACCAACCACACTCTGCACCTCATGACCAGCAGTAAAAGACAAAGGAAAACTGTGCAATACGGGGTTCTCGTAGTAACTGCACGAATCATCTCCCTCAGCTAAAGGCTGGCCAGATCTGTGTATCTGGACGTTCAGCGGGCCGAAGTCAGCTGTTGCTGGTGTTGTATGTTGGAATTCTGTGGTCGTTGTGTTTGGGAGACGGTTTGAGAGGCGGAGTCTTCCGCCGAGGATGGGAGCTTGTAGTGGCCATTGTCGTTGTTGTTGTGAGTTGCGTATCAGGGAAGTGGTGTGTGAAGCTTGTGTAGGGTGGATGATGGCAATGAGATCTGCTGACTCGGGAGCTGCTGGAAGGTTGCCGCAGCACATCTTGAAATGGATAGTATACTAGGTGAAATGCGTATAGGTTGGATAGGAGTGAGTATAAAGCACTATAGCTGACTGGTAATTATGCTCCTTTAGGGGCAATGCTGTAGAACAAGGCTACCTAACACAACGAATCCACGATAATTTTACAATCCACAAAAAGTAGTAGTAATAGTTATCTTTGTCTCTGTCTCTACACAAAGAAGGCCTCGCTCAACACACCCTTCCTCACTCACCTTCTTATCCTCCCTCCACACAACCAGAATATCTGCTCAACCTCACCTCACCTCCCAGCCGCAATTTCCTGCAAAGTCAAGTCATCCTCTTCGGTGTACGTGCCTAGATCTGCAAGCAATAGGTAGTAGGGTCAGTGATTGGGATGAGCAGGTTGTGGGTCAATCTGAGCACATTATTCTTTGCACGTGGCTAAAATTAGGGGTGTGAGCAGGTTTTCTGGGAGATTGGCATTGTGGTTGGGTAGTATGGATTTGATATCCGGAGCTATACCCCTTTTAGGATGGTAAAGTGTATCGAGGTTTACTGATCGCTCTCAGATTCCGCTGTCCAGGGTACTTTAGCAATACTAGTAGATGTGCCTGGCAAGTACTCTTACGAGAGCGACATGGTCACCACTGTCCTGCATGATGAACGCAAATGAATGTTCGGTACCGGATACATAGTCAGGTCTGACTTTTCACCAACCGTAATAATAACATTATCAATAAAGTCAAGAAAAGCTACCGCTAAAAGTCAGAACCCCCAAGAACCTTTTCTGTTCCCCAACATAGCTGTTCCTACATCTCTTGGCATGTTCTGCTCTATCCTGAAAAGCGGGCTCTGCCTTGCCCACTCTCTTACATACAGTCGGAGAGCGTCCCATCTTCGACAACCTTTTACTCTACCATCTTCATCCTCCTCCGCATCACCTTCACCTTCGGGAGCACCGACATGGCCCTTCATTGTGCCGGTAGCACTTCGATCTTCCTTGCGAAGCTCAGCAATTGAGATTCGTGAGATCTTGGCAAGCTCTTCATCGAAAGGTCGTGCAATAGGTGGATATCCGAGAGACAGGTAGTTGTATATCTGCGTGATAACACGTGGGGAGAATTCCTCGTCGATCTGTCGTTCTAGATGGAGCTTTTCATCTAATGCTGCAGTGAAGACATCGTTCGACCTCTCGTTCTTGCTTCGAGGGGGCGTCAATGGCAAGAAGGCATTTCCGCCCCATAGCTGTCCACCACCTCTTCGGGGAGTCTTGGTCCCACGTCCAGGCGTCCAACTACCAAAGGGATTTGTCTTCTCTACAGCAGGTGTCTGTAACCCACTTCGAAGAGGTGTGCTTGGCTTGCTGGATCCGGGGTTTTGCTGCTGGCACAAGCCACCCCACAGGCCGACAGACGCAGGTTCTTTTACCGGCGATACATGGGCTGACCACATGCCCTCGGTGCCAATATCGTATTCCTGATCTTCGTCGCTGTTTGCTCTTCGTGGTCGTGGCAACTGATCTGGATCGCACCTTGTCATCTTTGGAGAAATGCTAAATGGAAACTTGATCTCTATTCCTGCCATTGGAGGCGACGCTGCCTTACGCATTTGCATCATCTCCTTCTCATCTGCACGGTTACGCCTATCAGGATCATGCCGCGATCTGTAATGACTACTAGTCGGATGGTGTATGTTCAAACGATGTCGAGCCGCCAAGGCTGCGGCACTGAAACGACTTATACCTGCTGTGTCTTCCTGTAACTCATGTCTGGCACGGTCCAGCTGATCGTGATGATTGCGCATTTCTTCTTGTACAAGATGCAGGTCGTGATGAGACATTCGTCTAAAGAGTTGCGGGTCAGAGCCATCGTGTATGGACAATTTGCCTACAGCCATTGTAAAGTCCTCGTCGTCCGAGTCACCACCATAATGACCGAAAGGAATTCGGTCTTCCTGAGCGCCATAAGCAGCAACTGCTTGCTCGCGTAAGGTTTTGAGGTCCTGCACATGATGATCGAAATTGTGCTGGTGGAAGTCAGAATCAGGTTGTAATGTATGGTGATCTCGCTGTCGGACTTTGGCTCGCGGTCCAGGAGTTTGAGGAATGTCCATGTCATCTTCACTGGAATCTGACTGAATCATGGGTAGATCGGGCACGCTGTAGGAGTGCCGGCGAGGATCAGCACGAGCTTTTCTCGCAAGAGCAGCCGCTGAAAACCTGGACTCCGAGTCGTCTGGAGCTGATATCAGTCCTTCATCTTCTGCAGCTTCTTTCCGCAGCCACCCAGGAACCGCAGACGCAACCGGCTTCTTTCGGTACGAACCCTTCGCCGTGCCTACGAGTTCCGGCACGAACCTGCGGCCACCACTGCTTGACCTACTGGGCGCATCGTCCCTGTCTTCCTTGTCTCTGGTCTTGTGGGCACTGTATGTTTCGATAGGTTCCACAGCGAATTTTCTCTTCGTGTTTGGTGATTTAGTGTCAGGGTCACTGCTTTTGTCCTTGCTGTTGCGTGCACTTGTCTCTATAGGCTCCACAGCAAAACGTCTTTTGGGTCGTGCGCCAGCTTCCCCAGTCTCTTTCTTCTTTTCGCGGTCCTTGCTGTTCTTCACTGTTGTCTCGATAGGCTCGACGGCGAATTTGCGACGTGGTTTGGATGATTTGTTCTCCTCCGGCACAGTATTCGCGACCTTGCTACTTCGTGACGTAGTTTCCACAGGTTCTGGCACGAACTTTCGTTTCGAGGTAGGCGAGGTGGCCCCATCCGTCTCCTTCTCCTTCTTACTACTTCTTGTTGTGGTCTCTACCGGTTCAGGTGCGAATTTCCGCCTTGGCTTATGTTGAGTGCTTCCTGCTGTCGTAATAGCTGTAGCGACACCTTCATTTGCTGCAGTGGGCTCTTTGGAGGATGCCTGCTTGACGTTGTCCTTGTATACTACTTGCGTCTCTTCATTCTGTGGAGCTGTCAATTCCACGTGGACGACATCGTTCTTTAGCTCGTGCTGTGGTATGTGCTCAACTAGGTTGGCGGCCTTGGTATGTACTGCCATGGAGCTTTCGGTCGAGTCAGAGTCGCGTGAAGCAGGATCCGAGACATCTGAGCGGTTTGATGCTTGTCTTGTGTTGTTTCGTGAAGTAAGCGCGATCGGTTCAGCCAGAAAATGTCGTGCAGGTGGATCATTCGATGTCATGGTACCGGTGTTCGGTGGTACGGGATGTTGCGGCTTGTGAAAGCTTGGGGCCTAAACGAGACAACCACACATTCGCACCAAATGCAGAGCTTCATGCAAGCTGTAAGAATAGTTGTGCGGGGACTGGGATTGTATAGGATCGGGAAACGTGGGAGCAAAGAGTGACGATGTTGAGCTGTTAAACTTCCGTCTCGGAGCAGCGCGATGTTTGTGGACAGAAGGATGTCTTGCTGGAACAACACCGACAAATAGCAAAGACTAAGCCAAGCAAACATCAAAGAAGAGAGTGACAGTCTGCGTTGAAGCACGAGGCTATGCAAACAATGTAAGCAACGACACTGTGCGAGGTCGAATATTGATATGCAGAGGGACTCATCAGCAGGTCAGGACTAGGCGAGCGTGATCCCGTATCTCACTGAATCCACACGTTTGCTGGGAAGCGCTCCACACGAGCATGTGGACGTTCTGCTCTTCGCAGCACACCGCTCGCAAGTTCGGACATGGTTGGGATTGGATTGCGTTCATATCTTTAATCGACAACGTTGGTCGAGAACAAAGCAAGCACGTCTCCAATGATCACTCGTCAATGGGCGGAAGGTATGGAGGTGAGAGGGCGGCTAAGCCACCTGCCGCTGCAAAATGGGCTTGGCGCTTCACGTTCACAGAATGATGAAGCCCGCAGTCGAGACGACAACCCACATTACAAACCTTCAATTCGTCTAATTCTGACTACTCTCGATATTTCGCTTGTAGTATTGGATGCAGCTGCCGCTCAAAGTTGCATGTGTGCAAGCTTGAATTTGATGCTTGAATATTCGTTCTCTAGCTGAATCCGGGGTCGCGGACACTCTCCACTCGGGACGTCCATCCGAGCGTCCTTCATGCAGGTAATTACTTTGTTGGACTCTCCGAAGAAACCCGACGGTCAATCCCAAAGAAATGAACGCGTCGCTACTCAAAACCCTAATTCATACACCGATCTATCTTGATTCTTGTCCATACACAGATTCCGTTTACTCGTACTTCGTATCGCGTTGTGGGACACACAGGCATCGCGCAAGCACTGTGTAACTCAGTCAGAGCTCTCCATGCTCGCTTCCTTTCCCTCCTTGATCTTCATCTTCATCATTGCAGGCTCAAGATGAAAACTAGAGCTCATCTCGGAGCCCGTTCCATGTCCGTCGTCGGTGCCGTTCTGGCTCCTGCGTCGTGTGCTCTGTCTGCGATGTCTTTCGTGGACAAGTCCTGGGAAGACTCTTGGCTCCGATGCAGAGATATGTTGATCGCTTCCCACTACCTGAGGCTGAATGATAGAGGCTCTCCGTTGTAGTGGTGATGGTTGCCTGTCCAGCGACTGCAGATCCTGTATCGATTTTGACGAAGGAATTCTAGCTGTTCTGGGGTCGGGTATAGAATCTGCCACAGTCGCGTAGTACTGCCTAGGTGATTCTAGACTTCGGTATAGCTCAGTCACTGGAGCATCCTGCTGTGTTGGGTCTGGAAAAACAGGTGTGTGTCGATCGAAGTGGCTATAATCTTCTGTGTATTTCGCGATACTGTGCAATGTTAGTTGATGACTCCAGACGCGAAGAACAACTTACAATGCGTGTTCAGATTTCAATGTCTCATGTCTGAACGCTTCTCGCAGGTCTGGCACGTTACATTTCCCTACATCGTTGCCGAGCACACCAGGCAAGTAGCAGTATTTACCAAGCCACCACTGCTTCAGCTGCAACTCAAACCCACACTGGTCCACAGAATGCTTCGCAAGCTCACACATATCTACAGCACTCAGTTTGTAGATCTGTGCAGCGACAGAATATTCTTCGATTAACGGCTCTTTTGTGAATGCAAATTGCAATGGATCATCTGTGGAAAGCGAGACGTTGAGTCCCTTCTTGAAATAGCTGATGAAGGGATTTCGATCATAGGTGAGGAACAACGCGTTGTTGCTTAGTGGCGACATGGCGACGCCGATCTGATCGAGGTAGAAGATATACTGCATCAATGGTACCTTCCTCAACATGATGCCGTGGCTGATACTATGGCAGGCCAATATTGCGCTGGCAAGGTGCTCTGTGTCGCCTGCCTCACCACAATGTGGCCGCAAAACGAATGTGTTGAACCCACGCTCCTTGCGCCATGCGTTTAGGGATGTCATGTTTGCAAAGAGATAATAAATCCAATACCCGTAAGGAGGATTCTGTTTCGTATCCCATTCTTTGGCTGTTGGATACTTCTTGTAGAATCTCCTCTCTGGCTTGCTCTCGTCATCGACACTGTCAAAGCCTATAACCCGCTGCAAGAATATATACAGCTTGGGATGAGAAGATGGGTCCTTAGTAACCTCAAAAAGAGGTTGAAAGATGTTGATGATTAACTGCTCAAAATTCTCGACAGTCTTCATCGACTTGTAGAGGGAGTACAATCTTGGTATCTGGATCAGCCAGCGAACGTTGGGTGAGAATAGCTTGTTGTCCACGACCCAAGCAGCCAACGTGTCCCACTCTTTAACATTGCGACCATAAATACTGATCCTCCACTCCACCATCTGGTATTTGCTTGACTCAAGATCAGCTATGACCTCGCGCGTAATCTCCGCCAAGTATCGGCCTTTGATAAAGTTGTCAGTTTTCAGGAAGATATCACGCAGACGGGACTGTCCAATAGGGTTGTACTTCAGATTGAACTTGTCAAATCGATGAAACGAGTCTGTGTGAGCATGCATATCCAGAGTGTCAATACTGAGGTCGTATGCTGTGAGATTGATACTCTCAAACACCTCCTTCAAAGTCAGCGTCTGACCATCCCGATCGATGACCACTTCATCCGGGCACTTTTTCATCTTGCTTTTGATGAAGCGAAGTAAATGCTTTTGGTTCATACATGCTGAGTGGTGAACGTGTGTATCGACTTTTCGCACATTGTAGAAGTCGCGATGTGGAACCTTTTTCGTATCGGCCACCTCTTCGTACTCATTCAATAGTGCATAAAGATTGTATCTGCCTTCAAGATACTGCAACCTTCGGTAAGCGAAACTTTTCGCAGGACCGTCAGACGAAATATCAATGATGCTATCCAAAGCCGAGTAGTAGTCTCGCAGGGTTGGCACGTCTGCAATTGAGTTTTTCTTTTTGTCAAGAACTTGAAAGACACTACCTTTATCAAGCTCAAAGGTGAATCCGTTGTTCGCCTCACCAGGAATGTAGACTTCATCCATGTCAAAATCTTCACCAATATCGTGCCCGTACTTTCTTCTTCTTCTTGTAGATGGGGACTGCGGTCCTTTTTCAGAACCCACAAAACTGGTGGTGGATTGGAGTCGTGCTATGCTTTCTCCGTTTTGCTTAGGTTGGGTCTCGTGGATGCTACTGCTCATACTTGTCGTGCTATCCTGTTGTGGTGCAGATCGTGTCTTTTCATCCGTCCATACAGGTCCTGGAGCAGGAGGGTAGATATCCCAACTTTCATCATCCCTAGGATTGTCGCCAGGACATTGATTAGATACCTTCAGATAAGCGCGTCGTAGATCTAGTATGTGTTTGATCTTATCACAGACGCCTTGTACTTCGGAAACCACCGTTCCTTCGGTCTTAGCGAAGCCGCCAGCGCCTGAGCCAACCCCTATAGCTGCACCAGCCCCATGTAGATTGACGTTGGCTAAGAGAGGGTCCTTGTACTCGTGTGGGAGGTTCGGGTGGTTTTGATGACTCCTAGCCTGCATATCAGCCGCAAGTGCAAAATCTTGAATGTTCTCTCTGTGGGCAACAGCTTGATCTTGTAAACTTGGGAATGGCTCTCCTCGAGTATTGATTGTAGGTGCCCTCTGTGGATCTTGGCGGCCAGAGATGGATTGATTCGATTTGATGCTAGGTGATCTGCCTAACATGGTACTGTGGCCTTCGAGCCAACCTGGTGGTAGTGTTTTGGATTTGCTGAGTAGTAAGGGGCTCCCCAGTTCCTGTTCGCCCTTTGTGCCCATCCTGTGGCGTTGATAGAACAACTTGCTATCGGTTGACACATCGTGCTTCTCCAACGCATAATTATAGTAGGGGTGACGTGCATGCAACTCGGCTTCATCTTCATCGTCATCGTCATCGTCCTCGTCATCATCGTTGTCGGCGCCGCTCGAGGCACCATTATCACTGGAAGCATCGAGGTTGCGCCTCACATCGCCTGTATGACCAGTATCACCTATAGTCTTCCGGCGTGAGAGCTTAGCCGCCTCATGTTCTTTGTCCTGCAAACGAGCCATCGTGTGTGAGTAGACGATGTCCTCATCATCAGAGTCAACAACCATACTGCTTTGCTGTCTCGCTAAGGAGCTCATCGTCCGGGAGTCAATACCTTGCTTTTTAAGGGCGGTTAACAATTCGACCTAGAGGTCCGATCCAATAGCTTGTGTGGAGGTTCGTGATGTTATTGTTGTACAAAAGTCGTGAGTGCTAATGGGTAGCACAAGCCAATGCTGAATTGACTGAGCCCAGGACCAGCGCAAACCGGCGCTCAGCTCGAGGATAGACTAAAACACGTTCAATACTCCAAGAATCTACTATACCAACCTACACAAAAGTCGTCGAGTAATTTCGTCGGAGGTAACAAGAACAGCACAAAGAAGCGATTAGAGAGACTACTCGAGGAGTACCATGCCTTGCAATCATGGAGCCACGTGCGAGCATTCAGCAAGGAGATAATTCACCGCGGTATTGCCGAGATATGAAGCCTCCGCTACCACCTATTTCAATCTTCATGTTCATGTTCTATTCACTTCGCCTCAGATTTACAGACTTGCCATCTATGTGACACGTTCAACAGAAGAAAAGCTTGAAGTCAATTGCTCGGACGACATTCTCCTCGTCACATTCTCTCCTTCCTCTCGCGTCTCCCTGATTTCCTACTCCTCAGGTAGAATACTATAGAAAGGCGGATTAGGCTCGCGGTCATGATATAATATGATCTAGACGTGCCTTCAGTAAGTCAAAAGTTGAAAGATTGTAGTCATAGTAGCCATCGAAGGTAAATGCTCAGAAATGCTCAACTCATTGAGCCCGAGTCACGTGAATATACTTTAAACATAGCGATAAGTCCAGTCCAGCCGGCGCATGCTGTCTGAACAATGCTCACTGCCAACTCCCAAAGCAATGCCACACGCACAGCATCTTCATGAACGATGCACCAGACCGTCCTAGCGAGACGACCACCCCTGAAGTAGTAGTGCAGCCTGCCACAACAGGCATCGCAGCAAAGACCGAACCCAAAGATGTTCTCAACATAGTGATTGCCGACTTACATACTGCCATCCTCGTTCTGATCTCAGCAGTATACTACCTCGACAACTTCTCCCTGCTCTATCTCCTACGACTTTTTGGTCAGAACCAGAGCACTAGTGCTGGTATCCGGGTCGTGCTGTTTTCAAGTATAGCCTGTATAGCGACGCATATCTTCCACGACCTCACGAAACCAGCTGCTCGCGAGATCTGGAACCATGGAGGGTTGCTTGTTGATCTCATTGGCGAGACGCCTCCTGCGCGATATAAACTACTGCTCTTGGATTTCCTGATCCTCGCACTGCAAATTCTACATCTCGCGCTGCACTACAAGACACTCTCGAGCACGAACGAAGCAAGCGCATCCACAGCAGCACAAGACCTCGAAGCAGAAGAAGCAGGAATATCCAGGGCGCGACCGTCGCTCGCAATCGAGACAGAAGATGGCATAGAAATGCAGAGTCTACTACAAAGGAACAGCGTGGATTCTACCAGGGACAGACTAGCTCCGTCGCAAGCACATACAGAAACGACGGTTATTGTCCTGCGCAAGAAAGATTTCAAGGAGGTCTTTGTTACTTCGGCGCATCATGTTGGTGCGGAGGGTGCAGACGCTCGTGTTCAGGGCTTTTGGGATAGATTCCAGGCTATTAGGGCAAGGAGAGCGGCACAGTTGGCTGAGGCTCAGTCTGGTGCGAATGCGGCGTAGGCAGGACATGCTTGTCCACGCGCTTTCGCGAGAAGAGATTCAAGGCCAATTTGGCCATCGCAAGCAGACTAAGAGGAATACCACCTTCCGCCATTTGGGACACCATATGCACAGATTATTGGTTCAGTTGTTGCTAGTGCTGACGTACACTGGTCAGTACGAGAAAAGCTGATGTATATGAAAGAACAATCAAAGTGTCGTCTTCCGGCACAGCACATAGGTCGACATGAGCTGAATCGAATACGGGCAGGTTGTATCTGTTTCCATTATGGGTAGATGATTTCCACCATGACAGTAATAGTGGTACAGTATTGAGTGCTGTGGTGTCATGCTATGAATACAGATATTGTTCGAATATCAGAATACTTCGCCGTAAACGTTACTCTTCTTCACTCCCTTCTTCCTCCGCAGTTGGCTCCTCAATACCAGCAAGTCGTCTCATCATGGCCACGTCAGCCTCCATCGTCGTTATCTTTTGCGCAAGTTTACCTCGAAGGATTCTGTTGCCGATAGTGGCCAGTCTCTGACGTTCCTGTGCAATCTTGTCCTCAGCTTCCTTGATTTTAGCCAAGGCTTCTGCACGTCCATCCGAAGCTTCCTGGTCACTAGCGTCTGCTTCAGAAGCGTCGTCGTCATCGTCTGCATCCATGTCTGCGTCGTCAGCTGGTGTGACAGCAGTAGACTCCGGCTCGGCAGGTAATGGAGACGGTGCTGTAGATGGCGTGGCTTGTGTTGTTGGCTGTGTAGCAGTGAGTACAGGTGCAGCCGGCTCGTCTTCGATTGTATCATCCAGCATTTTCTCGAGTTCTTCTATGTCATCATCTTCAAAATCGTCCGGCATACCTCCGGTTTGTGGAGGGAAATAGCCTTCTGGTTCTGCATCGTCCTCACCTTCGGCATCGTCTTCGCTGTCGTTGGCTTCACTGTATGTGTCCTCCTCCTCTTCTTCCTCACGCGGATCATGGTTGAGCACTTCATAAGTCGACTCCTTTGCCCGATCGTCAGCTTCAAGCAGGGCGTTGACCTTGCGCTCGATGGCTTCGATGTCGTCCAACCGCGCTCGGGCTGTGCGCTCGAACCTGCGCTTTCTGACATTTTTCATGGGCGCTGTCAGACCATGTGCGTACTTGTAGTTCTTAGGATCGACATCGGGTGGAAGAGGATAGCTTCTGGCCTCGTCATCGTTACTGCAAGGTCCAAGGACAAGACACATTTGAGTGATATCGATACTCTTGATGAAGTTCTTGCGATCCCACGATTTCATGCCTTCTGTTATCGTTGGGAGATCGACGACTGAAATCGCGTACGAGTTGTCTTTGACGTGCAATGTGCCTCTTCGACCGTTGACATCGAAGAATCGTAGTCGAATATTGGCGCCTCCTTGCAGGATGGAAACACCAACTGTGCCATTGGCTATGCATGTGCGAACATACTCACAGTCTGGGCCCGGTTGCATGCGAAGTATTATGCCTTCTAATATGACAGGATCCTGCTCCCGATCCTCAAGTTCGGAATCATAGCCTACTCCTAGTGGTCTCTTTGGGATCTTGCCTCTGGTCTTTAACCTGATACCAGGCGTTCGCGTCTCAGATTTCGTTGGTGGGTTTAGATTCGTGAGGAGTTTCAAGCGGTTCGCTGGTGGCTTCGCTCCCTCATCTGCAACAGATGCCTCTCTCTTTCTCTTCTTTGCTGAGTCACCTGCGGGCGTTCCTGCTATACTTGGTGTGACAGGTGCAGAGCCTACATTAGACGTGGATTTGGGCTTAAAGCTGAGCTTCAAAGCTGGAGTTCGAACCGGAGTTTGGCTTGGAGTTGGTGGTTGAGACTGGTTGTTGAAATTGTTAGCAACATTGATTTTCAGAGATAGTTTTTGTCGAGGTGGAGGTGGGTCCATGGTGCGCACGACGATCCTGATGCATAACAGTCTCCAGCAGGGACAGCACCACGACACAAGACATGAAGAATAGACTTACCTGAGAGTCGTTTTCAGAAACGTTCCTGCCGTCTCTGAGTGTCAGATAATCACGTGACGACATGTCCCCACCCTTCTGTTCTGACCACGCGTCTGTCGCGTCTCCCTCCTTCAAATATTGCTTGACAATGAACTGTGCCTGACGTGCGTGAACTGAAGTGTCTCTCATCCACATCAATGCTCTGGTATCGAGACTTTTCAAGAATTTCTCGTATCCATCGAATGTGATCTTCAATGTCAAAAACACATCGAAGACTGCCCGCTTGCCGTTCACAGACTCGTCTCGACTTCTTGTGTCGATCATCTTATTGTTTTCGACGAGATTGTTTTGTGTCAATAGTCTAACGCAGAAGAGCCGCCAAATATTGTGATGCCTGCTTCAGATCTGCATTCAGCGCTTCTGCGCCCTGCTGTGATGCAGATCCTGAAAGCAGCAGGATTTAACCTAGCCAAACCTTCTGTCGTTGACACTGTTGCAGATCTTGCTGCTAGATATCTTCTCGTGTTAGCCTCCGAAGCTGTACAATCAGCGAAGTATACTCATGGTGACAACGAGCTTACCATTCAGGATATTCGAATGGCTTTACAGAAAGTGGGTGCTTTGAGACCTCAGTTGAGCGCTACTGAGGAGGCTACGAGAGAGACTGAGTTCGTCAATGGTGTTCTAGTACCATTCGAGGACTTACGAGGAGTTGACAATTTCATCGAATGGGCCCATGGTCCGGTCTGCAAAGAAATCCGAAGAGTAGCTGGTCTGGATGGTGGTGAATTTGATAACGTTGCAGATCTTGCTGCAGGCATGGACGAGAACGAGGACTATGTGACAGGTAATTGTCAAATTCTTCACATCACTTGAAGCTTACTTGCTAATTCGATGCAGCGATCAAGAAGAAACACAGCAAGACCGCAGAAGAGTCACGCTTCGAAGGCACTATGCTTGGCAGAGATGCAGACTTGCAACCAGTCTCGATTGCTGGCGGTCCTATTGGGAGCCTATCTCAATGGAACGCAGCTAGAATGCAGGCTGCAGCATCAGCGCATGGAGCTCAATCTGTTAGTAGTGCAGTAAGCAGCGCACTGTCTACTCCTATCGACAGTGCTACTCCCGAGCACGTTTGAGAATACGGACTCTAGGTGTCAACTCGATTCCATCACATCAACGCCTCGGTGTTGGGCACAGACCTGGGCAGGCGCTGATGGATTCGAGCAAAGACATTATGCATACAATAACACAATCCTGTCTACTTATAGTGCCACAACAATTCTGACTGCTCGACAAAGCCCCGAAGCGCAGTTCAATGAACCTCTCAGGTGCTCAAGATGCGGACGATAGAGACGGGGTGGTCAACTCAATTCGCCGTCATCGTGGAATTCTCTTCAGGTTTTGATAGTATAGCGAAAGCGGTACGATCAGACACAAATTCGAAGGTGCTCAATGAGAGGGAAGAGGGATCCTACTCCATCGGGATCGTACGAATAGCCAGCAAAACAAAGCTACAGAGATCGAGAAAAATTCAGTACGAGTACCACGAGCTCGCAATCAGACTCTGACCTTGTCTGCAACAAGACGCATTCACTACGCTATGGTCGATTTACTGATTTGTTACCATCACACCTTTAGAGCCGCAGCCCATCATCTCGAGCTAATCATACTCTCCTAGCTGCAGCGAGCCCCGTCACTACAAGCAATACGATTGGTGACCTACTCATCTGCTTCAATTCCATGTGAAACATTGGCATTGCTTGATTGTGTTTACACGTCGAACTTGCGTGGTTGGCTGCAAAACTAGTCAATTGGAGATGTACATCGCCACGTGTCAATCGACACCACTAGTAGCGGGTCCGAATCTGTCAGGGCCGATGCTGTGTCACTGTGTTACACCAGGCGACGATCATCGAATCATATCCAGCGGATCACCTTACACTCCTGATCTCCTCCAGATTGCTCGACAGGTTTTCTGATACCTACTAGGTTCAACGACCTTTGACCTATCGAAGCTTCTGGAAGACCAAGTAACTGTAGCAGACGTTAGCACATCTATTGTCCTCAGCAACAGCCGACAAAAAACACTCACCAATCTGCTCCATCGGTAAGGCAACCTGCCTATGTGCCTGCATGGTGTCACGATCTATGGCGTGTCGCCCATGCCATTATGCGGCCGAGGCTACATCCCCGTCCTTAATCTCGGATATGGACAACAATGACAGACGTTTCTCAATTCATTTTCCTCGAGTGAGGCCAGTGAAGGCAACGACTAGCTTCACGTGTGCCTTGAGACACATGCAGACCAGTCCTTCAATCTTCCCACAGCAGTGTCAATTGCGTTTGGCGCCGACTCGTCACTTCGAGATACTCTACCATGTTCGAGCATTCTTTTCGATCGTGTGTTCCCTCACCATAACAGCGTTCTAACTACTGTCCCTAACTTTTCAGAGGCTGCCAACCACACACGGATACCAAGCCTAGGCTGGACCAGGATGAACAAGAGGCAGACTGCATTGTCTTCCATCGGCTGCTCCTCGTGGCATACATTCTCTCCTCAACCTCGATGAAGAGTTTTTGCAATTGACCTGCAAAGTTTCGAGGCTCCTGCAATGTACCGTGGCTCTACCCGACACATGTAACATGTCACTAATGGGCTCGCATCCCCACCTAGTGTGGTAATGCAGGAGAACCAGATTGTGTGGTTGCAATGCCGCATATCGGAATTTCTAAAGATTACTAGTACGTCGAAGGATCTCTGGTCTAGAAAGGACTTTGAATATCAGTACATATAGGCGCAAGTCCATGTCGGGCTTTCAAAGTCTGATCCTTCTTTTTGCAGCATTAGGTAAGTATCACAGTCGCTTGGTCAATTTGCTGTCAGTCATTCGTTTCCACGGTCATCATGCATATACTAGCTTCATACACTCTCCTTTCAGTGATCAGCCTGTTGGTGCTGGTCGACTGCTTGCCAGGTAGGTCAACGATGTATATCTGCCACACTGCCATGCAAATTTCTATTGCTCTGAGCTCGTATAGAGAATTCTAATGTCGCACAGGTCATCAGGCTCTGGGTGTTGACCACCTCGAGAAAGATCTTCCCACGCCGACATCAGCACCTAGATTCGTACCTTCGAAACGCAAGGCTGATGTGTTATCGTTCACTTGCGATAGTACCGTCTGTTCAGTCTTCGATGTCACCGCATCTTTCCTCGGTACTTTCAATCCTGCATTGTTTACGGCAACAACTTCCATCACTCCATCATCATGCCAAGGCACAGGTTGCTCGACCTCAATCCCTCTTCTGACTACTGGTGTATCGACCGGGACTGGACTGCCAGGACCCATCTCAACGAACTCAAGAGGCCCTTTTGCGAATGGCACAGATACAGCACAACCTACCGTTGGCCCCACTGCGTCAGGAACGATATCCATCTCAGGCACTGGCATCTCGCCCAGTCCTAACAGCACGACTTACGTCTACAGCACTTTGACTTTGTCCGTCACCACTTACACAGCCCCTTTTCCGTGGTCTGCATGGACTAGCGGTCCTGTCACTGCTGGAACAGGGGCTTCTTCTGGTATTCCGACTTCATGTACAGAAGATGCCACGTGGTCCAATAGCACCAGCTCCACGGGCAGTGACGATGCTATATCGACCTTGGCCGAGGCATCACCCTCAAGCACGACTGATGCAGCCGCAACAAGCCAAGTGCAAGAGTCTGAATCCCGTTCGTTCGTCTCCACAGCTACCTTCGTTTTCGCAGAAACTACCAATTATGTGCCTATACCAGATACGTTTCCCAGCACATTCCCTGACGTTGCTGGTCCCGAAACAACACCATCTACTACAGCTACTGATTCGGATGAACCGTCAGTCTCGACTTATGGTTCAACTTCATGTTTCTCCACAACCAATACTGTCACTTCTGGCACAGCAAGTGCAGTCATTGCTGAAGCAGATGTTGTTTGCTATGGTATCTGGTGTGAGGATGGTGTCTGCACAGACTTTTTGACCCGTTCTGCCTTATACACTTCTACTGTCGGGGCACCCTCCCCAACTGGCACTGGTGGTGCTGTGGTTTCAGCCTCTCCATCTTTCAGCTTCGAAGCAGGTCGACAGTCAATCAGTACGAACAGCTCCGATATCGTTAGTCCCACTGCTACATCTACATCATCTGAAACCTCTGAAACGTATATACCATGGGCAGCCTGGACGGCGACTCTATCAACAATCACGAGTAGCTCCTCATCAAGCAACGGTGCAGTGTCTACCTCGACTTCGTCTTCGTCGCCATCCACTTCTATCGGTCCTGCCGTCAACCCTGACGAACTGGAGGATAGTGACGATGACGATGAAGGGGAAAGTGACGACGATGTTGACCCTAACGATGATCGCAAGATCCGAGGTCGTTCCCTGCACACTAAACATAGACGTGCAGCAGTGAAAGCCAAGCGACACGAGGCGAACCAAGAGAAGTTGAAGCCCAGCAATACACGACCAGAGCAGAAATTCGATGGTTTGCTTCAGAAGAAGAGGATTGAGAGCGCGAAGTTGGATACGATGCAGGCAGGAAGTAGTGGTAGCTCGTGCTGCAGTGGTGCGCTTCACTGTTGGATCGTCGGTGGGACGAGATGTTGAGGCGGGCACGTTGAATGGTATACATGGTCTGAAAGCAACAGAGTGGATTGATATTGAGCTCGTCTGGGAGCAAATGGTTGTTCTCGTGGACACAGGGTGACCGTTTGTGAGTCAGTTGACATCGCCATAAATAATGCGTATGGATTGGTCCAGTTGAGGTGATACACTGCCATGTATTAACGTAGTAAGCACCGGGAAGACATGGTCTGAAGATGTTGCCAAGTCGATGCACAGTTCCTATTGTTAGACTAGGCATTGGTCCTCACCTTACATCTCTTCCATGAACATCTGCTTCCTGATTGGTCCCTCATTAGATCTCTTCCACTCACTCAACATAACACTGAGCTCAATCCTCGCGTCTTCGACAATAGCGTCCATATTGATATCGTTCCTATCGTAGCCGAATGGATCCTCGAGCTGCGAAGCAATGGCTTCGATACCATAGAGCGTGAACATAACAAGTGATACGATGAGTATTGACCACCAGTGACTCTCCTCTACAATGGCAAGAGGCAAGATGGCACCGAATAGAGCCAGGACTTGTCGCTGATGGATCATGATAGCGATAGGATAAGATGTGAATCGTATAGTTTCCATCTTTCCGTAGGCGTCCACCAGCGTGTTCAGCTGTACCGTCATTTGACTAGCTTGAGGAGCGTGAAACCATCCTCGGTCGTGGCCGCGTTTGATGAAACTCTCGATCAAGGTTGTAAGCTCGATTGGAAGTGAGAGGCCTTCCTCCTCGTGTCCTTTAAGCCCGAGTGGAAGGAGTTGCGCATATTCTGGATTGAGTCGTGGTGTGATTGCTCCGGAGTATCTGTCAATGTCTTGTGACGTGATGGGTGCCCAGGCAGCACCCCATTCCGATCTGAGGGAGTTTTTTATGGTGCTGGGCAATGCCATCAATACTCGGACTGTCCGTTCGATGTCTGCGGACTCCGCTTCGGTGATTGTCGCGCCAGTCTTGTATGAACAGCACAAAAATGATCGAGTGAGGTTGCGGAGACTAGTCAGTATAGCGGTCAGATTGTTCCGACCATCCCAGAATCTAGAGTAGGACGACTGGTTGCGGAATACCAACATCAAGCCCACGACAATGGACAGGGAGGGCACCTGGTGTATCAGCACACAGCAAAAGCAGGGTAGACCTTGGGCTTACAATGGAAGGTGGCATGTCAGCACGGAAATGTAGGAAAAGATCGGAGGAAACAACAAGGGCTGTAAACATCGCATGGAGGATGACCGGAAGAACGATGTGACTGTGAATAGCACCTTTGATAAATCGGAGCACGAGTGGCCATCTTTGTGAGTTGTAAGTACAAGAGCTTGTTGCAAATGCAATGCTGACTTACCTGCGAGGCTTTCTACGCGCGCTGGTGTTCTTGTATGGAAACGTCACATGGCGTCTGGCGTTGAGCTGAGAGAGAACGTCTTGTGCTGAACCATCGCTTATACTGTCGTCCTCGAGCAGTGAAGGTTGTGGTGTCATAGTGCTGAGCTAGTGTATGCCGTGCTGCACGTATGCACCATAGCTACGAAAGCTGAATGGTCGAGCTCCTCGTCCTTGAGAGGTGATACGAAGCAAGGGAGGAACTGGAATGGGCGGAAGCACCACGGCACGTCCCTCGGTCCCCGGCCAGCAAAAGTGTCGGGGTTCCCATAACAAAACTGCCGGCGTCCCCCCTGACACTGTTGCTGACCGGGACGCTCCTCTAGATTGCCGTAGTAAGGTTCAGCACAGAAGCGATCAGTGAACGCTCAAACAATACTCCGGCACTAATTTCAATATAACCACTATCGTTAAGCCTCATCGTAATCACTATTTATCACTGTCTGGCTCCTTGTTCACTTACAAATCATCATATACTTCGTTGAGCAGACACGAAATCCTACGGACCAATTTTGTACCGTACCGCGGCTCACGACTGTTACATTCTGATTGCACTTCAAGGTAGTAAGAATATTTCGTGTTTCAGCCCAGCCTGTAACAGCACTTTCTCAGGAAGTGTGACAGCTGTCTAGGGCTGAGATACGACGTTACCCATAGCTGCCAAGAAGTGTCCTGAGTGTCAGCGCATTTCGTTTCGCCCTCAAGAACCTTGCTTGCACAATGGTACCGTTCTTCTGGTGCGAGGACATAGGACGTTGACCATTGATCTGTGACTAGCCGATCAGACTCACATTTACTGACCCACGTGAAGAGCATAGCATGACTATACTGGGAGTGTTGAGGTATTTTATCTTATCTCTGCTGATGTACTGACATGGCTTTTGGAGTGCATGCAGGCAGCACGAAACGTTAGCGTGGCATTTTCCACTCTCATCCCACCAACTAGGCAGCCAGATGCATGTTTGCACGGAGAGGTTGACAACGCTATAGGTCTGTCCTCGTTTCCAGTACAGTATCTCGCCTATTTCAGCGGACGCTAACCAATCACGGCGACTCGTTATCCCATCGGTGTAGAGTTCGCCCGTCCACGGCTGTAAGGTTGGAATACGATCATGTCTCGATATTGATTACACCTACTATTTACGAGTTTACTATGTATAGAGCTTCTTCTGTATATATGGTCATCTCCTGGCAAACATGATGAGACACCGGATCATCGCCTTCAATACCTTTAAGAGTCAACAGTGTTGTTCGACAAGTCTCAATGCAACCACCAGCAGCATCACTCATGTCAGACCAGATGAGGAATAACGACGAGAAGGCTGAAATGGCTTCCAGTTCCCAGCAGCCGGGCTCTGGCAATTCCTCAGTCAGTTTGAAGCATGATGATCCACCACCAACCTTTCAGCCAGGGCGACGCTTTTACCTTGCCTTCCTCGCCCTGGCTGTTCTGACTCTTATGGTCGCTCTTGATGGTACATCGCTCTCAGTCGCACTTCCCGTGGTTGCCCAAGCTCTTCGGGGTTCGGCATTGGAAGCTTTTTGGTCAGGCACATCGTTTCTGCTGGCTTCGACGGTCTTTCAACCGAGCTTTGCGCAATTATCTCATGTGTTTGGTCGAGTACAGATGGTGATGGTTGCGATTGCGCTCTTCTTCGCCGGTGTCATGATGGCAGCAGTAGCCAAGAACTTTACTCTTCTTCTTGCTGGACGAACTGTTCAAGGTATTGGTGGCGGTGGTAAGTGGCGCACCAATCACAATCCCAGAGGAAGGCTAATGTTGTATAGGTATCATCGCACTTACCGAGATCATGGTCACCGATCTTGTTCCTCTGCGCTATCGAGGTCAATGGTACGTATCACGTGTACTTCCGCAGGAGATTGTTTCTCACCTTCCCTAGGGCAGGCATTATCGGCGGTTGTTGGGCGATCGGAAGTGTTTCGGGTCCAGTCATCGGCGGAGCTTTCGCTGAAGTATCATGGCGATGGATCTTCTGGCTAAATCTGCCATTCATCGGAGTGTCCTGTGTCATGGTGCCACTTTTCATCAGGTTGAAGCTTGCACCTGATAGCCTCATTCGAAAGCTGAAACGTGTCGATTGGATAGGGTCTGTCATATTTGTTGGATCTGCCTGCTCATTCCTCATCCCAGTGACATGGGGAGGCGTGATGTACGACTGGTCATCCTGGAGGACGCTGGTACCGTTGATTGTCGGCGCGGTCGGCATGCTTGCGTTCGCCGCATACGAGCGCTTCGTCCCTGCCGAGCCACTCTTGATGTCGAGCCTCTTCGCGAACAGGACTATAAACCTAGGCTGGGTTTTTGCAACTCTCCATGGAGTCATTCTCTGGATGCTGCTCTACTACCAGCCCCTATACTTTGAAGCGGTCCGAGGATACAAGCCGATCATAGCTGGAGTTGCCCTATTTCCAGCGACATTCACTGTGGCTCCATTATCAATTATCACTGGTCTGATAATCACAAAAACTGGCCGGTACCGATGGTCCATATGGAGTGGCTGGGCTGTCGCTACGCTTGGTCTCGGCCTTCTTGTCATCTGGGACATCAACAGCTCGATACCCGAATGGCTCTTCACCGAACTCGTCAGCGGTATCGGCCTCGGCGTTCTTTTCCCATCTCTGCTATACCAGATTCAGGCTGCTGCCAAGCAAAAAGACGTTAGTTTTGCTGCAGCTCTCTTCAGCTTCTTCCGAGCATTTGGACAGGCTATCGGCGTTGCGATAGGAGGCGCCATCTTTCAGAACGAGATGCAGAAGAACCTCTTGAAGACGCCCAGATTTGCAGACCAGGCGGCAGCACTGGCCAAAGACGCAGCAGCTCTTGTGCAGATTATTCACAATGCTAGTGCTGATGATCAGGTGGTACTCAAGACAGCCTACACTGACAGCTTGAGGACGATTTATATCGTGCTTTGTGCATTGTCTGGTGTTTGTCTGATAGCGTCGCTTTTCATTCAGAAGTACGACATCAATATCGGTCTTGAAACTGAGCAGGGTCTGATGGCTGAGAAGAGGAATGAAAGAGTTGAGAATGAAACGAAAATTGCGGTTTAGTCGTGATTCAGCCTCGGTTTGGTTCTGGTTCTGGACCAGTTCGGTTTGGGTTGCGATTCAGTTGAGAAGTATAAATGTAGATATGTATAGACTAGTAGACAAGACTCAAAGCCCACCCCGCTCTAGATACGATAAATAATGCAATAGTAGTCGCCAGTAGCCTGTTTAGCTCACTGTCTCTTCACCTCGATGTCGCTTGGACTGACACTGCCTTCAGACGGCCAATATTCTTCGCGTCCAGAACCCCATCACATTTCAATCGAGGAACAAGATTTTGAGTACACATAGTATGCACCAGGGCGTCCTCCAAAATAGTCGCTTTTTCTTCAATGGGATCATACCTGTGTCACAATGTGGACCCACTTTGAGCACCATCTCTGCGTAGGCCGGTGTCCAAGACCAGTCCCGGCTTTTCAGCGATTACAATTTCGAAGCGACAACTTGGCACGTTCTGTCGAGAAACACTTCCTTGGAACCGGTGTTGCAACCATGTCAGACGGTACAGTCCTGATTTGGTGCAAGCGAGTGAGTCGGAGTTATCGTCCATTATTTTGAGCCGCATTGCTTGGCTGCAATGTACGATATACGAGCGCAGAGCCTCATGAGCATATTGTAAACACATATATGGAGACCAAGCAGACGTTGATTGAAGACACACTTCCTGTGAAAACAAGGAAACTAGTTCTTCCATTTTTACTTGTGTGATAGCAGAGCAATAATATCTTGACCATGGCTATGGAGGCTAGTCACGCAGACACTGAAGCTCTCCGTTGTGATCGGAGCATCGAGGCTGGAGATACAGCAGCCCAGCACAAAGACTCGAAAGATATCACAGCGTCAAGCCTTGGGGATCGAGAAGGAAGTGGACTCAGAAACCCGGCTCAACCTAAAGATTCAGAAGATGCCCAAAATTCAACACAACGCGGTCAAGGAGCCGAGCTCGGGAATTCCACTCCATCCAGCAGCCCGAAACAAACGCATCACACCAATGCGCCCTCACGAAAGAAGAAGGTCAAAAGGATGTTCATGAAGACAATGAAAGTTCTCATGCTTCCGGTTCTAGCTCCACTCTTCTGTTGTTACTGTTTCTATGCCACAGAAGTAGCTGACAAGGATCCGTGGGGCGCTTCAAATCCCAGAGAGCTTAAGAAAAAAAAGAAAGCACAGAAACGCAGAAAGAGGGAGGTGACACGGGACAAGGGAGGAACGTGATAGGAGAGATCGAGATAAGGTATATGTTCGAGTCGTGATGTGGTATACGAGGAAGAGAGAGAGAGCTTTGGTGTGATTCCCAGGGTACGCTGGATGACGACCACGAGCTAGTACTTTTAGCTTTTAGCACCGTGGACCCCACTTCCTCTTTCAAGTGCCAGTGTTACATATAAAGGAGATAGTGCGAACACTGATTCTGATCGTATTATTAGTAGATATACCTGCAGTCCATCTACTCACGTCCCAGTCGTCAAAAGTGTCAGGGGCACGCCCTCAATTACAGGTTCTGAAGCTATTCCATATGCGGTTAGTGCCACCTGGCAGGAGTCCTCCGTGGACTGACCTTGTCATGGTATGTGAACGGACCAGATGGCGACCTCGATTACAAATTCCGACAAGAAAGGGTCGCTGCCGATAGTCGCGATGTCTTTACTCACGGCGTGCTCACGGGGTTTGATGCGACAGCACAACAGCGAAGATTCGTACCAGAACCAAGCATCATGTCTGAGCAAAAGGCTCCTACAATGAAGCGGTGGCCATATTTATCTGCCAGCATACCTTTACGGCCGAGCGCTCTCAAATTTGTGGTTGGGGCATTCGTTATCACTGTTGCGCTGTTGACATGGACAAAATACGACTCATTTTCACAGACTCTGGACAATCTCTCATACGACTGGTCAGTATGCCAACCAGACATCGTCTCCTCTGTCGTCGAGCCCGCCGTTGAAGCGCAACCTGAAGAATCACACAACGGAACGAATGCTATGCAGTCTTTGCTGCCTCTCAAAGAAGCCGAGTCACTCTGCGCCAAACACGAAATGAAGCCATATCCTCGACGAGAAGGTCATCGTAAAGTCTACGACCTATTCCTGGTCGGCACCGAGCTCGACTGGACGGAAATCAGGTTGAATGAACTTGCACCATACGTGGACTATTTTGTGATTCTGGAGGCTGAAAACACGTTCACGAACCAGTCAAAGCCAAAATACTTTAAGAAGAACTGGAAGCATTTCTCTCAATTTGAGTCCAAGATAATCTATCATGTGCTCAATGAAGATGCAATCAGGCATGAGGGCAACCCCTGGCAGCGTGAAAAGTATCAGCGAAACGCACTTGTCACGCAAGTTTTCCCTAACTTGCTTGGTGACAAGGCTCCTCAGATGGGTGATGTGATTATGGTGTCAGACGTGGATGAACTACCACGGCCGGAAACGATCACAAAACTACGAAACTGCGACATTCCTGCTCGAACTGGGCTTCAGAGCCGTTTCTTCCTGTATTCATTCCAACTACGTAGAACTGACATGGAATGGTAGGCTAATAAGATGGACGATTCTGCCGAGCACCAAACTGACTTTGTCCCAGGTACCATCCACAGGCTACATTCTGGCAAGGCGAGAAGACAATCTTGCCAGAATCGCTTCGAATGGACGGAGTAGCATATCAATTTGGCAATGCATCTTGGCACTGCACGAATTGTTTCTCAACCGTGGCAGATTTTGTGACCAAGATCAAGTCGTTCAGTCATACCGACTACAACAAGCCGGAATTTGCCGATCCGGATGAAATTGTACGGCGGGTTCGCAACGGACTCGACGTCTTCGATAGAGATTACCCGTATCAGAGGGTCGAGTCAAAACAGATGGACGCGCCGCGATATGTAATTGAGAACAGGAGGAAGTTTGGATATCTTGTCGATCGAGATCCTCCTAACGCCAATCTCTACGACTACTCTGCTACCGACGATCAAGATGGGTACGACAAGAGTGAGGTTGATGACTCTCTCGTTCCATATGTTCCAGGCAGCTAGGACGGTGCATCTCTGTCAGGTCAATGTAAAGATTTGGAGACAAGTAGACTGGTCGTAAAATGTTGATGTAGTAGAACAATAAACATGAGCCAGTGCTTGCGGTTTGGGAAAGACTAAAAGCCAGTTTCTCGGTACCAACGTCGTTTAATTGAGGAATACGGATTCATTTCCCACGTGGATAAACTTCCTGCTGTTACGCCTCTCACGTCAAGAATGTGGTGATGGCTCAGAGAGATCGTGATCGATTCGGTAAAGTTATATTCCGAATAACAAAGTTGCTGAACTAATACGGTTTCAAGTACTGCGATACCGGACAGCGCTGGCTAGTCAGAAACGATACTGTCTATGTACATCTCGATCTACCAATAAAATAATTTCGTGGCGTCTGCAGGCTGTAGATTTATCTAATTCTGACCTTTATAAACCCTGAATTGGGGATGTCCAGGTCAGTACACGAGCACATTTGAAATCGAAGATATTGGTAGTGCTTTGAGATGAGACAGTGGACTGGTCGATCAACGCCTCGAATAAACACTTCAGTTTCTTTCTCCGGTACAGGCGTCAGGTACATAGCAAATGTTGTGTTATTCGAATATGCACATTTTCAACCGCTTCAACTCTCTTTCTGACCAGTGAGAGTACTGCTATGCGTCCAGTGTTTGAGTACCAGTCAGCTTGTTGAAATGAGATCAGTGGTCAAATCGACTTTGTAGATACTCCGTACAATGGGTGGCGTGCAAGATGTAGAGTTCTAGGCTGCAAAAGGCTATCCACTCCTCCACGCTGTTTCTTCATCTGCACTGAACGCAGTTGCAGGCATCACGCGGGATCGACCATACGCAGTGCAACGCGTCAGAAACGTCCCATGCAGTCGCTCTCTTCTTGCTACGCGAGTGTGAAGAGGGCATAAGGAAATAATATCGGACCGCGCCAATTTGGAACACAACATTGACCTCATTTTACCTCACCCGTTGGGCACCATCAATCAGACAGTCAATACGAGTAGCAGGGCTCCAAAACAGACAGCAGACCGTATGTCGCCGCCATTGCCGACGTGATCAACGGCAAGCGCAGTTTGCCCACGTCAGTGTTCGTGTTACGGTTCCTTAAATGCACGAACCTCGCTCGCTTACGAAGCCTTGATCGCCCAGAGTCCTTCCTGCCGCATTACTATGGTGCCTTATGTTGGCATCTCTCGGAGCCCAACCGATCCGCGCTCGTCTGACCAGACAGTGAAGGGCCTGAATGGTGCTGAGAACGGGGACACAGATGGTGCGACATTGAAGAAGACGCTTTCGCGCCCACAGCAGCCACAGAGGGCGCTGGCTTCACGGCAACCAGACCATACATCCACAACTCCTGCTCTTTCTAAACAGCCACCCCAGCAGCACCGGCAATACCGCCACCATGGCCGCAAAAGATCCGCTTCTGGTAGCAGCATGCATCTCGACCTTCCACAGCACCCGTCAGCTGCCGATACTGCCTTGGCTGCCTTGCAGTACCTCCCCACACCCGTCCTCGTTCTCAATTCTTTGAAGACTATCGTCCTCGCAAACGAAGCAATGGGCAGATTACTGGGGCTACATAGCAGTGTGGACCTTCCCACAGATGCTGTCAGTCTCAAAGGTCAATCCTTGTCGCAAATAGGCATTGATATGATCTCCGATGGCGTTCCTGTCTGGGTTAGCTGGGACAAATTCTTGGACAATCTGACCGCTGGTAATGTAGTACTCCCACAGTCACCCTCGTATATGCCAGCTCGCTCACCGGGAAGTGGGGAAACCACTCCCACTGCTGATGCAGAATCTGAGAGACACAATACTTTGGTCCCCGAGAGAGGTCGCTCTTCCTCACGCAACAGATCACCTGCTCAAGATACTATCGTCGAAGTCGTCATATCCTCCTCGAGTCTGCAGCGTAACGGCTCCTCACGCCCTTATGCTTCCCGCCACCATCAACCAAAGAGTCCCTCCATACAGGCCACCTGCAAGATGATCATATCCATATGGAATTTGAATGATCAGCAGTTTTTTACCTTGAGCTTCACTGCCAGTGGTCATCATCATGCAAAGGGCCGACATCACCCCACCAGCCATGTTACCCCTCGAGCACCCTCGACAGCATCTGGCCGCTCGCTTCATTCGAGCCACTCATCCGAGACGCCACGTTCATCCACTCCTGTCTCGACAGTGACCTCTCCCGCCGATCCTAATATGCATTCGCCTTTTCTTCCTTATGGCGCCCCTTCAAAATGCTCGCCAGCCAACACTTTCACTGAATTCCAGAAAGTCACGAGGATGAAGGACGCCATGCTCAGTGCTATGAACATTCCTGTTATCTCCATGTGGCGCGATGAAAGTGTCGTCTTCCCAAATCCCGCCGCTCGCCGACTGTTGGCCGTTACGGCTGATCCCACAACTGAAGAGAGCTATGACTTTATGTCTCGATTCAGCCCTTGGACTGCCGACTTCAGCAGAGAGTTGACCGAGGATGAGAACCCCATCATCAAGTTGTGTAGGACACAGCAACCTTTCGCAAGTTGGCAAATAGGCTTGATCAACAATGCAACTGGGAAGAAGTCCAACTTCGACGTGAGCGGCTACCCTGTCTTCGATGACAAGACGAATGAGTTTTTCGCAGGCCTGGTGGCCTTCAAGGACGTGACAGAATATACCGAGAAGATTGCAAGCCAATTGGCTGAAAACGAGTTGCAATTTCAGCTCATCTGCGATACCATGCCTCAGATGTTGTGGACCACCCGCCCTGATGGTTTTCATGACTACTTCTCCCAGAGATGGTATGACTATACAGGGCTTATTCCGGAAGAGTGCCGTGGAGTGAATTGGCGCCTCCCATTCCACCCCGACGATCTGGAGATTGCTGGACCCAAGTGGATGCACTCCCTTGCCACTGGTGATGAATACCTGGTTGAATACCGTTGTAGGCGAAAAGACGGAGTTTATCGCTGGATGCTGGGAAGAGCCTTACCTTTGAAAGACAAAAACGGCACAATCGTGAAGTGGTTCGGCACGTGCACCGATATCCAAGACATCGTGGATGCGAGAGAAATGAGCCAAAGGGGACGACAGCAGCTCGTCGACGTTCTCAGTGTTGCCCAAATGACCATGTGGGTCGTGGATCGCAAAGGTATATTGACTCTGTTCGAGGGACAGGCAGACGATGCCCTGAATCCAGAAAAGATGAAACCTGACCTGGTCGGCACGCCTGCTATCGCTGCCTTCAAAGACCACATAGAACCTGCAAGGTTTACTGCGATCACAGAAAAAGTACTCTCGGGTAAATCCCCCCTGGAGATGGTCGAAATCAAAGATTTGAGTGGCCGCTGGTTCAGAGTGCAACTCATGCCTCAACGCGGTCGTGCTACTTCGAATGGTCCACTTGAACAAGACGAAATTATAGGCGTTATTGGCACAAGTATGGAGGTCACCCAGATGAAAGATAAAGAACAGGAAAATGTCCGTCTTATCGCAAAAGAAACTGCTGCTAAAGAGGCAAGCAAGATGAAGAGCAGCTTTCTAGCCAACATGTCTCATGAAATAAGAACGCCCATTGCAGGTGTGTTAGGCATGTCAGAACTACTGATGGATACCGACCTGGACCAGGAGCAAGCTGAATTTGCACAAAACATCCAACGATCAGCAAACTCACTATTGACCGTCATCAATGACATATTGGACTTTTCCAAAATTGAGTCAGGCAGACTTGACATTGAAGAAGTTCAGTTCAGTTTGACAATTGTACTCAAAGATGTTGCGAAAATGCTATCTTACGCTGCTACAAGGAAAGGCTTGGAGTTTACGAGCGAGCTGAACCTTGGAGATGTGGAAGACTTCAGGCTACTTGGAGATCCCGGCAGAATCAGGCAGATATTGACCAACCTTCTAACAAACAGTATCAAGTTCACAGCAGACGGCTATGTGAAGCTCAGAGTCAACATTGTCGAACCAAAACCTGATACTATGCTAGTCGAATTTATTGTGGAAGACACAGGCATTGGAATTGAAGAAGAGGTCAGAAAGCGACTCTTCAGACCCTTCAGCCAGGCGGATTCTAGCACTGCTCGACGTTTTGGAGGTACTGGCTTGGGCTTGACTATCTGCAAGAATCTTGTAGAACTGATGAACGGTCAAATATGGCTGGACTCCAAGTTAGATCAGGGTACAATTGCGACGTTCAGAATTCCATTCAGAAGACCCGAATTTTCTAATGAGACAAATGGCCCGTTAGTCGAAGTGGGCGCACTACCGGACCGCGTGCATTCAGAAATGTCCTTGTCTATAGACAACAACAGACCTGCCGCAGGAGCACGTCGAATTTCTCCTCCTTTACCACAAACTCCTCATCGTCTCAGCAATCACGCCACAAAAAGTGAAAGCGCCGTTCCGATTCAACGTCATAAATTTCATGTTCTTGTGGTCGAGGACAATCCGGTAAATCAGCAAATTGCTCTGAGGTTCATCAAAGGTCTCAAATTTTCTGTGGGTGCAGTGTGGAATGGTAAAGAGGCTTTACAATATTTGCTAAAAGCAACTAACAAGGCACTGCCCGTTGAAGAGAGAGCTAAGCACCCAGTACCTTCTCTCATACTGATGGATTGTCAAATGCCTGTTCTTGACGGCTACCATGCTACTCACATACTCCGGCACCACGCACCTTACAAAGACATCGAAGCGATTAAGCGCATCCCTATCGTCGCAATGACAGCATCGGCTATCCAAGGTGACCGGGAAAAATGCGAAAAAGCTGGTATGGACGACTACCTCTCTAAGCCGGTTAAGAAGCCTGTTCTGGAGCAAATGATCCTAAGATGGATCGATGAGAACGCCAAAGTCAATGCGGAAAGAGAGAGACCAAAACCAGCTCTTTCACGGGCTGGCTCGGACCACAGCTCGAATTGCGTGGATGTGGACAGTATCGCTGTCGAAGTTCTGGGTCCAACCCCAACGCCGGTCTCTCACCCGATCAACGAAAGACCAGATGGTCCTCAACGCCTTCAGACCGTCCGACGGAGGTCCAGCTTGCATAAAGTCATCATGGCTGGCCAGACGCCTACTATGGAGACAGAGGCCGATAGAAGTGCTACAAGGGTTGCGCAGGAGGAGAAAGCCACAAGTCTACGTGATGCGAAACTTCTCGCTGCAACAGAAACAAGGCCCACTCTTAGCCAGAATCCATCTTTTCAAAACTCAAGTTCACTTGCCGAAGCGGCCGAAACCCCATACCAAACCACGACAAGTCCGATACCACGAAGCTATCCGACTCAAGGCAACAGCGACACCAAAGGAGGCGTAATGGCATTAACCGAAGCCAATGTACAAAAATTCAACCGAGCAGTCAGCAGTCCTTCTCGAAACCACGAAACAGAAGACTATTTTTCCCAGCCGCATCCTAACGATACCTACGGTAGCGAGGTCGTGGTACCCGTAACAGACATTCCAGGCCCACCACCAGAAATCCTAAGTCCTGGAGGTCATCGATCTATAGCGACGAAAGACATACTCAGTCAAATACCCGAATCCTCCTCAACCTTCACCACTCCGAATATCCCTGACTCAAGAGCGAGGAATTCGCCGGCGCTGAAAAGGACAAAATCCGAAGCAGTCGGCGCAGGAAAACCACCTCCGCCCCCGTCATCTCGCCTTCAAGACCGCTCATCCAGTGATTTCTTACGAGACTCTGCCTCGACGGTACGACCGGAAGATTACCAGAAGGCACCACCGGTGAGCAACAAGATAAATTCTGACGCGAGTAAGAATAGTAATCGATACCGCGGCACGAAACCTTGACCTTTTGGATCTTGATATGATGAATGTAAATTTGCATTTTGAAGGCGTTCTTTTGGGATATTGAGATGATCATCACTATGTGAGGACGGAGATTATTACTATCATAGTATATATAGACTGGGCCTGCGCCCGCGCCGACGCCGTGATAGGCGCGAGAGTGGGTAATGAACAATCAAATCAATCACTTACCTAAAGAGACATTCTCCTTTAAAAGCTGCTCCAGCATTACGTTGTGTGTCGTCAAGTCAACACAGTCAGCCTGGAGATATTTTCAGGGTTCTGCGAAACCCTTCATAGCCCTTTTCCCACGCATCTGAAGTAGTCGAGATTTACGGAGTCCGCATATCGAGATCGAAACTGATCTTGCAAGCCAGGTAGAATACAGGAACCAACCAACATTCTTGGTATAGAGTCATAATGCAGAGAAAAAGTCTATTGGAAAATCTCTAATAAACCATTCTATTCGAAGAGTTTAGCTCCTGATCATCTGTCCTACTGCTATAACTCATCTTTAACCCCCTCCTTCCCGCCAGGTATCGGCCTCCCACTATCCGTCAACAAATCAACGCCATTCTTTTTCCTCCACTTCTCCCACACAGCCCAGAACTCCTTCTCCATTGCGCCCGCCATTTGATCCGGTAGTACTACAGTATATTCCACGAACAACCGGCCATGCGATGCGTGGTTCTCATCGTGTTCGTGGACGTGGCCGTCGTGCCAGGTCGGCATGCCTTCGTCGTTGATGGCGTCGACTTGCCCTGGCTGTACGACTTGTCCTCGCTTGCGTGATAGTGGCACAATATGTCCGTCTAGATGTGTGAGGTTCCGTGTCCAGTCGCCCATCCAGGCTTCGCGGAGACTGAGGATTTCTCTCCAGTAGAGATCTCGACCTTTGCGGCGGAAAAACGTTCCGTCAGTCCTGTGTTTTCTGGTGGCTTCGTCGGATTCTTCGGTTGAGAGGTGTGGGTCGAGTTCTGCTATCATTACGTTGAGGTTGCCAGCGACATAGTCGGGGTGTTCTTCTGCTTCGTTTTCAAAGACGATTTTGTGGCCCTTGGGCATACCCGGTTCTATTTCGGCGACGAGGTGAATGGGTTTGCGGACGACTTTTTGGCCGTTGCAGGTCTTGCAGGGTTTCTTGATGGTTTTGCCTTGGCCACCGCACGCGTCGCAGTGGGTTTGGATTTGTTGAAACATTCCTGGGGCGAGCATGTGTTTCTGGATTACGATGCCGCGGCCGTTGCATTTGCTGCATGTTTCGACTACGCCGTCGGCGGAGCCTGAGCCGCTGCAGGTGTCGCAGATTTGCTGTTTCTCGAGACTGAATGCCACTTCGTTACCAGTGTAGAAATCTCTTAATGGTACACTTAGTTTCACCTCCATGTCTTGACCTCTTCTGACACCCTGCTGTTGTCGTCCGCTTCCACCGAAGAATTGCGAGAATAGGTCAAAGGGATTATGCGCCTGCTGTCCTCCTCCACGTTTGTGGTTTGCTAGTCCTTCATGGCCGTATTGGTCGTAGATCTTGCGACTTGTAGGGTCGGAGAGTGCCTCGTATGCTTCGGCAACTTGCAGAAATTTCTGCTCATCCCCGCTGGCTTTGTCTGGGTGATATTTCTTGCTAAGAGTACGGTAGGCTCGTTTCAGATCTCGATCGTTACATGATTTATCGAGTTGGAGGATTTTGTAGAGGTCTTCTGTTGCGGCAGCGAGACACAGAGTGATCAGGAGAATTAGGACAGGCAGTACGGTAGAAGACAACATTGTGAACGACCTCCCTGTTCGAAAATATTCAAAAATCACAATTGAGAGCGAGCCTGCACCCCCAGAAGGAGGTTCGGTTTGGATATGGTGTTATGAAGTTTTTGTCATGGTTCGTGAGTGCTCGTTGCATGAAATCCAACACTGCTTTCTCGACACGAAGGGCAGCTGCAACCTAGTAGAAGTGACTGTAATCAGAGAGTCCTCCTGATTGTATCGTGATATTGAATATCTGGCCATTCGTCGATGCGCCGCCCGATATTCACCCGGTCTGACGCACTTGTCGCTCCACAGTCCAGAACCAGGAGTAAATGAAAGTGTTTGCAGAGGATTAGTTTACAGACGTTTATCTGAGAACGTATATGCTTACATCCGGTCATGATGATGTACTGATGAAGTACCCGCGGTAGTCTGTGCCCTCAAAAGTGCACAGCAATGTCGAGGGATGCTCTCCAGAAACACTTGCTTACCCTCCTGGAAGACTACAAGGACTTCAACTCCAGCCCTATTGAGACGCAACCTATTCCGACAGCACTAGACTTCTCGAAACAGGTATCTCGAGGGTACCCATGTGTCTACAAAGCATATGACAAGGTGATGGATGCCAGTGGTAAGGCCTCGACATGGATTGATCCTTCCTTACTTGAATTTCCAGCCATGTTCTGGACTGAGAAGGACCTGATCAGCCTGGTTAATGACACAAAGGTAGAGGTTGCAGTAACACCTAACGGTATGGCGGATGATATTGAACAGGTTGATGGCGAGCCTGAACCAGTATTTCTATCACCAGCCACTGTTGAGATGACCATGTCTGAACTGCTAGCTAAGCTCGCAAGGTCTACAAGCACCTTAGAAACTCGTGAAACAGCGTCCACCCCAGTTTACTATCTTCAGTCCCAGAACAGCAATCTCACGACCACACCACTCTTCCGAATACTCAAGCACGTCCCAGAGAACTTTTCATTCGCACAACCAGTCTTGTCCGAACCTGAAGCGATTAATATATGGATTGGGGACGAACGATCTGTGACCTCGACTCATCGTGACCCTTATGAAAACCTCTATCTTGTGCTGAAAGGGTCAAAGACCTTTACGCTGTACCCGCCTGCAGACGAGCTTACGCTTCCTACAAAGTCTGTGCGCACTGGTAGGTACAATTACGATGAGCAGTCGCAGAAGTTTTCTACCATCCTGGACGAAGCTGAGTCACCTGATAATCCGTCGCCTCGTATACCGTGGGTATCTATCGATCCGCTTCGTGCTCGGGAAGAGTTAATAGCTCAGTACCCTCTATACGATCACTCAACACCAAGAAAGGTCGTGGTACGTGAAGGCGAGATCTTGTATCTACCTTCTGGTTGGTATCACCACGTTCAACAACAGGCGGGTGCTTGGGATGAAAGTGGCAGACGCGCACCATGTATCGCAGTCAACTACTGGTTCGACATGGACTATGAAGGAGAGAAGTACATAATGAGACAACTGGTCGGCAGGCTAGCTGCTGAATTAAGAGGCGCAGACCACGCTGGGTGACGACATTAATTGTCCTTCTATTCTTTTCTATATATCTACAACTATTTCACACAATCTTACTTTCTCTACAATCTAGTCCACTAAATAGCTCACACGACTTGTCCCTTTCGACCTACTGATCTTCTTCACACTGACCTTCCCACACCCTTTCGTCGAAGGTACATGCGTTCCACCACAAGGGTACACCTCAAATCCCACAATTTCCACTACCCTTATCCTCGTCACTTCATCGTCCGGACCTGTAGAGCCCTCAACCTCATCACCACTCTCATCCACCTGCGTCGCAATCTGCGTCCACACCTCATCAGACGGCAACAGCCTCTCCAGCCCACGATTTCTAAAATCCTCCTTCCGCCACCATCCGATCCGAACCTCCGCGTCTTTGTCCACAAGCTGATCAACCGCGGTCTGTATCTCGGACTTGTACTTCCCGTCTATCGATCCTTTAAACTCGCAACTTGCGGCATCGGGGAAATGACTTGCTTTCAATTCGTCAAAGTCTTCGATTTTATCTTCGAGTAGTGAGCGTGTTGCGGTGCCGAGAACGTGCCCTGCTGTATGTAGTCTTGAATACAGGTGTCGTTTATCGGAGTCCACTACTTGTATAACCGATAGTGAAGAGGGTCCCGGTTGAGCAATCGACTCATCTATAAAATATCCGAAGTGGAGGACTGTGCCGATATTGGTAGCTGAGGTGCGGGCCATGGCGACTTCGAAGAACTTTTGTCCTTCCTGATTGCTCCCATACTCCGGCAGCGTTGACAGCGTCCCAATGTCGCTGGGCTGACCTCCCCCTTGAGGATGGAAAATCGTGGCTTCGGTGGTTAGAGCGAAGATCTGCGCTCCGGGTGGCGGATTCGAAGCTGGTTTGAAGAGCTGAGCATCTGCGTCAGGTAGGTCTGTTAGACGATGTATTGAGGTGGTCTTTGTTTCGAGAGTGTACGTCTGTTGGTGAGACCCGGATTGAAATATGAGGTTCGTTTTGGCAAGGTCTGATAGCGATGATGTAGAACCATTTTGTATTGGCCCGGCGGACGCTGGCTGTGTACTGCTCGTCTCTTGAGTTGATAGTGGCTATTTAGATCATGTCAGTCTCTGCTCGACATATCAATTATGTAGTGTGAGGCTGTAGCAGCCCAGTGGCGCCTGAAGAGATCCAGACGTCGAAATCTTCTTCAACGGACAGCCTGCTTGCGCTATGGTGTACTGGAGCAAGAAGCTGATTGCCACATACCATCATATAATTAGCGTCCTGGTGGTACAGACGTTGTCGCTGAGCAAAGGTAGGATATTGACCAGACGCGGTAAGTCTGGGGTAATAGTGAAATTTATGCAAGACTAGCAAAACGTTATATCGGGATTTCGTCCAGGTTGAATCGTGTGCTCGTCGTCTCGTTAATTGTGCGAGGATCATATGCGCTGCACGTCTATACAAATGCGCTCATTGATAATTACACATAATTCAAAAAGACATAAAAGTAAGGACTACTCTGCACGACGACGTGGTCAGTAGTACCTGAAGCACGCCCTTCGGCGATTTCGTTGGCTCGAACGAGTTCTTCCGACTTCGATGAAACTATGCTGCTTGAGCGAGCCAGATGACTGGACTTCGAAGTCATTGCTTATGGTGTACTTTGTACTTAAAAAGACGTTGTTTTGTTACTGCATATCGTAGGTAAGGACCAAACAAACCTTGCAAGCCGCAGCCTCCCCTGGTCAATCTACCAAATCCATCGTCTTCGTCAGCAGATCCGCGCACACGTCAACGCAGAAGTCAGGATCGTCGACACCCCCTGGAGGGCAAACTAGTTTCTGAAAGGTCGGCTCCTTCATGATTTGTCTGAGGTAACAGATTGTATATTCAAGTACCAGACCTCGAAGCCTATCACGTCGCCCGTCGTAGCGCATGGTGTGCTTGTATGAGTAGCGAAGCAGTGCCACGACATCACAAGCTCTTTCTTGGCGGAAGTTCCATTGAGACAACGTCAGCCGAAGTTTCGAGAGACTCAATTCCACCAGGTCCGGGCACGCAGACCTATCGGAAAACTTATACGAACACCATTCTTTTGAGGACTGGTATAATCTCCAGTATAGACAAGTTCAATGAAGCGAAGGACAGTGTCATCGTCGATATCGTCGTCGACGGCTTCGATCTTTATCGTTGCTTCTTGCATAGCGCTATTGAGGCACGCGGCAAATACAGTGGACGAGCTTGCAAGCAATTCACCATGGATATAGAAGGTCTCCGTCTCAGGACCATGTATCAGGAATGGCTGAGAGGAAAGCGATCTAATGCCTTGTTAGCAGCAGTGGCAGCGAATGCAAACCGGGAACTGACTTTGCGCTGAGGATACCTGACATCTTGAACCAAGTCAATATCGAAAGGTTGCGAGTCAGACAATGCTGTGAAGCTGCAGCAGTGATGAGCACTTTCCTGCCTGGTGTGCTCCGCGATGTTACCAAAGGGAATACCGAAACCTTTCACATCACAGGGGAAGCGTACAAGCAGCAAACGTTTCACATCTCATAATGGTCGGACTAACAGTGGATGAATTGTGGGGCGAGCAGAATCTTCATCGTGTTAACAAAACGAAGCACGTTTGAGAGACAAGTGAAGTAAGCTTCCTCTAAACATCCGTCGTCGTGCCTGGTACGTGTGAAGGAACTGCTGCCTTCACTGATATGAGCGACATTTGCAAACTCATGCTCTCCAGCTCTTCAAATCTGATACCCTCGTCAATAAGAGCAGGCCTGACGGGGTGAAAGACTTACCCTCCCGTTCGTCAACCTCTTGAAGCATATCCTTGATATCTTCTTCACCTAATTCAGCCCTGCGCTCAAATTGTTTACGATTCGCTTTCATCCATTCGCCTTCATCACCGGCCTGTAAACCGGCTTTAGCTCATGCGCTGCTAGCATGTTTTCCAGTGCACGTTGATCATACTGAACACACGTATCGACCTGGCAAGAACGATCACTTACCTCTGGAATAGGAAACCCCTTCTCACGACCCATATAGCCACCGATAAAAGTGACAGACATGATTTCCATAGCCTTCCTCTCCTTCTCAGGCATATCCTTCTGAGGCTTGTCGTCTTCCGTCTGCCCCTCGACTCGCTGACCTACGACAATGTACCAAGAGTCCTCAATCTGCTCGGCAAGTTTGTCGAATTGTTCCTTCGTGCGACTGGCAGAAGTGCGCACGAAACCTATGATTCTGTTGGCGCATTCTTCTTTGGGCTTGCCTGCGACGAAGTAATTGTGTGCAGATGCATCATGTGAGTAGAATTTTACCTGGAGGCAGTGTCAAAGAGAGTCTTGGAGGGCATCATACTACTGACTTGCACGAAGATACTTGGCGTGGTGAATGTCCTTGAGTGTAGACGGGTTATTCTCTCTGCGAGCTCAGCTTTTTGTTCCCCTTTCAGCGGGTAGGAATGCTCAACGTTGTATAACGGCATGATGCTAGCAAGACGATCTGGTTTCGGATCTGTGAAGCTGGCAAGCACTATATTTTTCTGTCACGAGCACAGCGATAGCGAGTATAGGTCAAAAACGTGAGAACATATAGGGAACGTCTTGTTATTCCACTTCTCTTCCTTCAGGTACGGCGACTGCCCCTTGCCTTGAAGTGTGCCTTGAGAAAACGTGTACTACTGCTGCGTCATTGAACGCTAGGATAGTCGGCAGCAAGGGAGACGTTTGTTACTCATCGTGAAACGGATCGAGCGATGTGATGGTTGGAGCGCCAAATGCGGGGTGTTCAAGAATTCGTCTGAAAGCTTGGTAATTCGGGCAATTCTCGATAAGCCCGGAATCTATTGTTGTAGTTCTTCTCGCTGATGTGGGAGGTAATGCTGCTGTAGTGGCTCCACGGTGTACCAGGAGTGGGTAGCATGGAAGGTCTGTTTCAGTGTAGCTCAGCTCAATACCACAATGATAACGCCAAACATCCAGTGGTGGCTTTCCAATGCTAGAGCATGTCGTGTAGAACGTCAGAGTACACGCTTAAAGCTAGACATAGCTAAATCTGCCTAGAACTGTTGTCAATTCGGCTTCTTGGTCAGCCACCGCAACTTTCGCTTAGGCGTCTGGCTCATGATCAAGCCAGCAGCAGCTAGTCTTAAAACGCTTGTTGCTGCATGTGCTGCTCGTCGTTGTTCTTCATCTAAACCACAATCCGAACCAGCTTTGTTGCCAACATCAGAGGTTTTGACCTGCACATCTCTTTTTATCTGCTCATCGTGTTGCTGCAGGGCAGCCATGGTGAGCTTGTTCTCTGCGTTCCGTTTGATTCGAACTCTTTCTTCGGTGCACCATTCTTTCAACACGTCTTCAGCAGGGAACATTTTTGAACGCATGACGATCCATATTGGCACAAGCAGCCTGTGTAGTCTCTCTTCCTCTCTGACGATCTCGAGATCTCTTTGCTTTCCCTCAATGTTACCCCATTCCGCTCGCCAGAACGCTTTCTTTAATGGTGTCCTCCTGCACCACGGATGTGCGAAACGACTATCCAGGTACACCTTGGTGACTTCTTTGTAATTTTTCTTGTCCTGGTCAGCTCGATCGAGAAGGGAGATAGGTTGTGGCTGTTCTCTAAAAGCTTTCAGATCACGAAAGAACGAACGATGCAGATTCCGCTTGATGAGCAGGGCGTCGAAAAACCGTGTATAAACCTCGTGACCTTCGTTGAGACGCGTAATGTAAAGCAAATGGTCTTCATCGATTTCAGGATGGAGAATCGAATCGTCTTCGACTAGGCCCATGCTTTCGTTATCTTGTTGGGGCGGTATGCTGAAGAAGTAGTTGATTCACGACAATCGATCATCTGTGATTAGCAGGAGGGAAACATCAAAGAAATATCTCGCGACAGATGTCGTTGCCTAACCAAGCTCCATCATTCTTTTGATACATTGGAACAGCCAAGCAGAGCCATGATCTCTCGGCGACAATGTTTGAGCTTGGGATCGGCAGGCACGGGAAATTGCAGACTTTCACGAATTCATGCTCAACGCAAGGCTGCCATCTTGCACCAAAAAGGCCCAGTATAAGTCAAGACCAAAGAAGGTTATTAGGACGTCGATAGCTAAGTAGATGTCGACGACGTATATTCTGCTTGATTGCGACGATGTGCTACGAGTACTACTAGGCTAGGGCATACTATCGTTAGCGCATTCTAGGGCTGAGCAGAGGCAAGAGAGGTTGGAAGAGAATCCGCACTATCCGGATTTATGGCTGGCTGTCAAGTTGAGTTCAACATTCATTCTAGGTTACGTATAGACACTTGACAGCCGTGCATGAAAAACGTGGTTTGTTCCAAGAAATGACTGCTCTGCCGGATGTCTGTGCACAAGTAGATCCAGGCGCTGTTCCGATCAGTGCCTGCACAGACACAATGCACCATCGTTACAAGCTGGAGGAGGTCCAAAGCCTCGGACTCACTGTCGGCATCAACGCAACACATGCAAAAAGTAGAAGTCACATCTAGACCAAGGACAAGAGACGGACTGAGCCGTCTAGGCGAACGCACTGAAGAGGAGCTGTGTGAAGCTATGCAAGCACAGAAGGATGTCTGCATCTTGCCCCACGCTCAAAATACGATGCATTGTCTCGTGCATTCACACATGCGTGCTGGCACACGTCCATTTCTTTGCAACTGATGTCTTATCACAGCCAGTTGTCATTCCGCTAGTGTTCGCACAATGATGCAAACCCACAATCTCGTCCTGGTTGCGACGGTAGTGGTGTATAGATGAGTTTGTGGCATGGAGAATCTATTGGTCGAGCCGCTTGATTTCAATTGTTGAAAGTATCGAACCACACCCTCAACCCCACACAGTCCTGCTTTTGAGTATAGCTCTAGAAGCAGTCTTGTGAGCATGTGTAACATTGAATTAGCTCATGGTCAAGCTTCTTAGCTGCACCGATCCCGCTTCGGTGCATCGAAGCTAAAGTCTGCGATTCGGGATTTTCTGATTGGACCTTGTAAATGCCTCATAGAACTGAAAGATTGCAATACAAGTACTAACCCCATTTTGGTTGTGGAAGAAAATGTTGAAAAAGTATTGCTGCTAACCATGCTGAATTTATGGTCAGACTCGGCCATTTCCTGGAAGCATTTGTACAGTAGCCAACACACTCGTCTCGAGATTGGGAACTCGTAATCCAAGCAAGGCGTGGAGCATGTATTGCTTGGTGGCATTCGCCGCAACAAGCGCTGGTTCACTTCGTTTGTACAAGCACGATCTGACGACCTCATACACCAATACCGAGGAGGACCCCCACATCAGACATTTCTGGCAGCAGACGACTGGCATGCATGAGCGACAGCTTCGCAGTGGAGTTTTATCAAAATGGTAGTTGCCAGACAGTAGCTGCGTATATAGCTCGATTACTGTGGTCCTGAGTAGCTAGATGCAGTCTCCTAGGTCTATTTTGCTCCGCGATAGTGGCCAGAGAAAGCACAATACGTGAATCACTGGCTCCCCGCTTTCTGGTGTGATCGTTAGATAGTCATGTGGTGTCACCTGAGTATCATCAGCAACAGGAAGGGTGTACAGACGTACAAGTTAAGCAAAGCAGATCAAAGCAGGGACCTCACAGCCAAACTATTTGGGTGCAAAATTTGATCTTTGGATAAATCGTATAGGTCAAGTTCTGGGCAGACGGCGAGTCATGCTGTTAAAACCTGCTTGTGAGTGCATGCTCTATGCCCTGGTAAATTTCATAACCAAGGAGACCAAAAGACTTGGTATTCAATGAGTGCGCTCGTCCGTGCCGAAGCATGCGAGGCAGATGACATGGTTTCATCATGACGATGATGGCACGCAGCGATCGAGAGAAAGCGTCTGCTCTGGTGGACGCTCGCTTGCCGGTGTGTCCGCACACTGTCTCCCCTGCAGGCGTGGAGAGATGGATGTTTGCAGCATAGGCGGAGTCGTGCAATGCGAAGGCAGGTTGCAGCTGTTTTGTTGTCCAACACGCCCGAAATGCAAATTTAGACGCAGACACAAGCGCTGGGCCACACTTTCCTTACGATCCACAGAGCAACCACTCGCTTGTAAATATTCCTAATACTGTACGTTTGTGTAAAGCTGTTGTAATGATAGTAAGCGGAGTTCTGCCGACTCGCCGTGGGTTTGTCGTGACGAGATAGCATGACAATCTCAACCGTAATTACACCCACGGCAACGATATACATGGCACTGCTTCCGAGTGTACAATAAGTTCAGATAGGTCGTCTGGTTGATGTGTGTCACGAAAGATATCCCTGCACCGAGGTCCTGCGATAACATGTCTACTGGAATGTGGTAAAGAGCTATGAAGGTTTACTCACTCTGCTGATTGTCCAGAGGGACAAGGTCATTATGTTCGGAGCTTGCCCGGCTGAGGGAAAGACTTCACTGTTTGCGGGCTCTGACGGGCCGAAGTCGTGCATGGCGAGGGGTTTCTAAAATCAAGCTGAACGATTAGCCCAGACCTTGGGACGCGCACACCTGTAGGGAAGTATGGAAATGGTTTCGGCTCAACGCGAGAAAGTGCTGAACGTCGGTCAACAAGATGGAAGCAGGTGGCATAGCAGTACGAGAGCAGTTGGAATTTCGTAACACGAGCAAATTTCTTATTGATACGAGCACTTTCTATGATACGAGGCACAAGTGTGTCTCAGCAAAGAAAAGACGAACATCACAGTAGTCAGGCCAGCTGTTCGTCGATTTGTAATGGCGAGGCTCTGCAATGAAATTTTCGAGATCCATAATTGAATTTTAGCCTTTGCTGTTGGGCCCGTCACTGATGCTTAGCCATGACTGGCGGACGTTGAGCCACTGAATCATGCTCTTCACACACATCCATTTCACCTCGAGTTGGCACTAGTATTGATTGCCTACCCACCTTTCCCGCTCACTAAACGAAGCACTTCACCTGCGACAAACACACAAACCTATTTTCTCTTCCCAACTCTCCCCTCCAGATCTCTGGTCAGCAATATAGGTCAAGCACAGGGAATCACAGAGATAACTTGTTGCTCGTAAAGTGCGCAGCGAGGTTTGTCATCAGCCTGCTTTGATCGCCACTGCGCAGTCCGCGGTTCACCTTCACGAAGCATCTACTGAGTACAAACGTTTCGGTCCTTACCACTTGAATTGGGCCTCGAAACTTCATACCACCCTCCTTTTACAACCGCTCGAATCCCGAGACTCTAAGATCCGCCCTACACTTTCATAACCATGTCGCCTAATTTATAGCCTCGACGGTCCTGGTGGCCAACTGAATCAGAAGTAGTTGTTGAGTGACAGATTTGTCACGAAGGACTACACTCTCTCGTCTCGGAAGTACAGTTTATTGCACATTATTACCGCGAAACCCCTCCCTCAAGTCTCTAAGAAGACAAGCATGGAGAGTTTTCTCAAGATGCTGCGAATTACAAATGCCCCGACTGTGCCAGCCGGCGACGATGAGAACACAAACGATGTCGATGAACCTCCAGACGATCGAGTTCCAGAGCTCAGAAACAACTTCAAGAAGGAGAACTCATACAGGTCCAGTGCCATGCCCAGCATGATCCGACGGGAATCTCTTTTGACACGGGCTATACAAGCCGAGAATGGAACGCCGCCACCCTCGACGCGCATACCTGAAGTCCTTCGAGGTCTATCTACCACATCCTCACACAGCTTCGCGAGTACGGCAGAACTAACAAGCGATGCCGAGAGTCCTATTCGATCAGCTTCACCCAGTCCTCCTCCACCATTACACCGACTTCAGATCACTACCTCCACGAAACCAGTCGAAAGTGCAAAGGTTGTGATCGCACCACTTGCGAACGAAGACAAGCCTGTGGTTCTACACAATGGGGAGGCTGCTGTGGAAAAGTCGCTGGGTCGAAAGCGATGCATTATGTTCGCCTGCAAGGATACACCCTCCGACTCTCAAGTCGAGGCTGATTCAAAGCAGAAATCGGTAGAAACCCCTAAGCAGGAACCGGCGCCAAGGAAGTGTCGGATCAGTTTTGCGTGTCCGACCCAATCCAGTACAGATATTAAACAGGCTGAGGCCAAGAAAGATTCAGTTCAAGTTTCTCAGGTCACTTCCCCACAAGTGCCTTTGTTGAGGGTGGAAAGCAAGACCCAGCTTCCAAAGGCCGTTATGCCATTACCATCAATCACAGTTAAGGACGAACGAAATCCTCTATCTCCGGGAGAAAAGCCGTCATTGTCTCCACAGCAGTCTTTCCACGAATTTGCTAGTCCACATGCTGAGAACGAAGAATGGGTTGAGAAAACTGCGGACGTCGTGAAGCCTAAGCTCACGATTGAAGACTGTCTGAAGAAAGAGAACGCTATCCGCAAGCTAGGTGAAGAAGCTGAAGAAGAGGCCGATGAAGAAGAACGCGAACAAGATGAGTTAGAGAACGAGGTTGATGATGAGGACGAGGTAGAGGATGATTTTGCTCCGTCAGACGATGACACTCCTTCCAACGATGGAAACGAATCTGATGACGAGGAGGGTTTTGCGGAGTCCGACGATGAGGACGATGCTGGTTCCGAGTATCAGTTTTGGGCACCCTTTCCCGCGTCCAACAAAGCTAGCGTCGATGCGATGCCGTACTTCTCAGCCCGTCAGAGGTCACGGTCGCGAGCAAGTTCAACTTCTAGCGCACATTCACTGGCTGCTCCCGAGCCTCCAAGGCGGCCAATTGGTATGGCCAGGCCCTCGAAACCGATCAGGATGCGACCTGGAACTCCAGAACTGCCTGATAGCACAGACTTTGTCTGTGGCACTCTCGACGAAGACAGACCACTTGAAGCTGCCTATATCTCATGCCGAGAGCAGAGACGTCGCGAGAAGCATATTCCTATCCCTCAAGACATTGATCCTAGCTTTCCTACCACAGATCCGGAGGACCAAGAAGACGATGAGGAGGATGTCGCTGACTCAAGCGATCACATGTGGGTGAAGCATCAATTCGAGGGCTTCGACGAGGATGTTCGTGGACGTCGTCCTTCAGCCATCTTGGTATCTCCAGTCCACTCACCTGTACACGCTGTTGCTCCTCCACGTCCTGCCCGACCTGCCAATATCTCACGACCTACTCTGCGCTCCCCACCACCAAAGCAGAAGTTGAGTCGATCACCAGCACCTCGTCGTCTGTTCGACCAAACTCACAGACGCATGCGATCGCCTCCACCGACAGGGCGACTACATTCACCTCGTGGTTCGCCAACAAACTTCAAGCCGGCACCTTTCGGCATCACTATCAACCATCTGGCTCAGCGACCAAATGCGGATAAGACTTCGTCACTACCTCATACTCCTAATCCCTTCTTCCGGAACTGGAGGAATGTCCAACAACCTTTCTCTCGCATTCCCATGGCTGCCGTCCCTGCTGGCGACGAGACTTCCAATGACCTTCATGTTCGTGGGCCCGTGGACATTGTAATAGGCCTCGAAAAGAAGCGTCAAAAACGCAAAGAAAAGTACTGGCGTCAACACTGTCGAAAAGCTGCCAAGGAGCAAGCAGTAAAGCGACCGCCTCCAGGTCGAGGAGTCGAGAGAATGAAGGAGCTAGGCCTCGAATGCGCTGAACGAAGTCGTGGTTATGGTCTCGGTCAACCAGCTCAGCTTGTACTTTCTTTGTGATGAGGTTACGATCTCACTGGACTTTTTAATATCTCAGGGACGATGGTGGCATTATCTCATTTCTCATCGATTGTGGTGTGAGGCACCTCATCAATACGAGACACAGTTGCATTGGGATATTTTGCATGGCGTTAAATTGCGGAACATAGGACGCACGGTGGTCAAATACATAGGACGCTGTCTCTATGATGGTTTACATGGTCAAGCGTGGTGTTGGAAATGTCCAGGGCATCCTGATTACACGTACATATTTATGCTCTCAGCAAAATAGCGCTCTCTCGAGCTCGATAGCAGCTCGGTTGATTGAGCCTCGAATGAACAAAGTTATCAGCCAGTGTGTCTTTCCCGACGCTCATACAACTTAAATAACGATTACCGCTGCTGTGCCGCAGGAACCGCGCCCATTTTGTGATCTGCTCTTGCCCTTCACATTTGTTCTTTGTCCAGCAGTACCCGAGACGACATAGAATGACGTAGGTCTGCGTGGATAATTTCGGGCGGCCAGATCGAACAGAGTGGCCCGGTCTACTTTCCTCTGCCAATGCCCATCAATCGACCTTGTCTGCTTGTATCCAAACATTTACTATAGCCATTGCCGATGATCGATAAGATCCAACGCAGTGCATTGAAGAGTGCTCAGTGACATTAACCATACTTCCGACGGCAAGTTGACCTATATCGAAGTCTGGTAGGAAGAGAAGCACACAAACATGTGGATCATAAATTGGTGTATGCCACTGCGCTCGTGAGCAAAAAGCGACCACTGACGGGCAGTAGTTTACGATGTGTTGGCCTCTCTCGGCTTACTCAACAAGCACGCAAAACTTCTATTTCTGGGTCTGGACAATGCCGGTAAAACGACCCTTTTGCATATGTTGAAGGTGAGTTAAGGACATGTTGGAATGTGAAATTGGAAGAAGACACGCAGCAGGCGACCAGGAGTCAAGATGATACAATTAAACGGAGGAGACGGACGGGGAGGGGCAAATGGAAAGCAATAAACGCTGACAGATTGTGAAGAACGACAGAGTCGCTATCCTACAGCCAACACTACATCCAAGTAAGAGCCTAGCAGATCGATAAGAGACAAGAGCTGACACGAGATAGCATCTGAAGAACTGGCCATCGGCAATAACAGGTTCACCACATTCGATTTGGGTGGTCATCAACAAGGTATGCCTGCGATCTCATGCACAACCCTTTCAGCACAACAGCTGACATCCCTAGCACGACGTCTATGGCGAGACTACTTCCCAGAAGTGAGCGGCATTGTATTCTTAGTCGACGCAAAAGACCACGAACGTCTAGCCGAGTCGAAAGCGGAACTCGACGCCCTACTAGCCATGGAAGACCTGCAAAAGACACCTTTCCTTATCCTAGGAAACAAGATCGATCATCCTGATGCTGTTTCTGAAGACGAGCTGAGACACACTTTGGGGCTATACCAGACAACAGGCAAAGGCAAAGTTCCTTTGGAAGGAATTAGGCCGATTGAGGTTTTCATGTGCAGTGTGGTCATGAGACAAGGTAAGCGATACAGAATATTCGATCTATCCAATGGTGGCAGTGGATTTGGCTAACACGATTTTTGTAGGTTATGGCGAGGGCATCCGATGGCTTGCACAATACGTCTAGACCGAGGAGGCTCAAAGAAGTTTCCAGCACTTGACTTCACCCAGGAGATAGATTGTCTGATTTGGAGAAACACACTTACCTATCTAGCATGTATGAGGTGAGTCGGCGCATTACAATCGCAAACCGCTTTTTGGGAGCCATTTTAGCAACGAGTGATAGAGGATTCGCTTCCGTTTTGTGCAGTTTCGCAGCACTATTGGCTTGAAGACGACGAAGTACTAGTGCTTCATCGTGCTTGAAAGAGAGAACGTCGCAGACGTGACAACAGGAACAAGACATCACGAGAAACTAGGACTATAGGCTGCCTTCCCGAGTCCTCCGATGGTATGTCAATGGCTACCTTGTTCTGTATCACAATCTTGAGAATGCACGCTTTCATTCCGGTGGAAACTAATTATGACACCTGCACGACTCATCACTGGAACAAAGTCATTCTCTCATAGCTGGAGAAGTAGCGCAGGCGCATGCTACTGAATGCAATGCTTCCTCTTCAAGTTGATCCACAGAACTCCATGGTGATAATCACTTATCTGCCCGCACAACTGACCGTGCTGCTCTCGAGTAACCCCCTAGCACCTACCAATGGCATTCTCTCTGTCCCCGTTACTAAACAGGCTCTTCTTTAACTCTCAGCACACCCCGCCGTCTCGTCCAGTGAATAAATTCCCACGTAGTATGCACTTACGGAGCTCGTATCAAGATCCCTGCGTATTCACCTCATCTGCTCGACCCAATCCTTGCTTTTTTCTTCTTCTGTGAGGTACACAGATACGGCCTTCCGTTGCTATCTGCTGTTCACGTCAGAAGCAAATTGGCCTTTTAAGATTGCAGTGTCTTGCTCCCCAGCATGTCTGAACCTGAGTATGGCTCATCAGTTGCACCGTATGCGAGGCAGTAGTGTAGTAATAGGTAAAAGCGGAATCAATATCAGCTTTGGTGCTTCGACATGTCGTGTTAGTTTTTTGCTTCGTACGTCAGTTACTATCATGCATGCTTTGCGCGAATAAAGTGATGTAGTAATAGGACTGTCCTCATGGTCACGATGGGTGGTTTGGGAAGATCTTCTCTGGAAGAAGGATGAAGTATATCCGGTGCAGTTCTCGCTACTCGACGAGGCAGTTGTATAGATAAAGTCGCGTTGGTATGGCCCCCAGGTCACTCGGTGCAAGATTGGGCTCAAATCCAGTATCATCCTTTCTGTCTCGTGAGTCTAGGGTATACAGCGGCACTTTAGTAAAGAAAGGACGCGTATGGACAAAACCAGGGTCAACTTTAGCTCAAGGGGCACAACAGGCAAAGAATCGGTGACCACTCTCCAGATGCAACATTGCGCTATATCAAATAAGTCAGAAGTGTACAGTAAAACAACGACATCAATTTCAAAACGGTAAGAACAGACGCGACGACACCTAGTGGTTGCGGATGGATCGTTGCAGTGAAAGTGTATACCAGTTAGTCGCTGTCAAAATCCAGGTCCAGCCGCTAGACGACAACAGCATCATTATCACATCTCTTTCTTCTTGTTGTGGCGCCAGCTCGACCATATTATGCTTGCCATGCAGACAGCCAATTTGTGGTACAGATGACAATAGCAGAACGTGGCCGAAGCAGTAAATCGAATCGTCACCACCCGACATGATTAAAGTCCTACACAGATATATGTCCTGCTCCTTGCATCCAGCCAGAAACACGTAGAAGAAGGCATCGATTTCTTGCTTGCGACGACGGTGAGGAGATGGTGGACGCTGTACATACAAGGTGTGCATTCCGCAAAGAGGCGTTCGACTCGAGCGTTGGTTGTCTAACGATGACGAGGAAAGGACGGAGCCAGGAGAGAGCTAGTGAGATCGTATCGTGTTGAGGTCGTGGAGAGCGTGTGGATCGTGATGGGCCAGAGAGAGAATCTATCTGCGTCCGAATCTGTAGGAAAGCGCTTCGTATCAGCGTCATGTTCTTGATTATGGTTTGGATTTACGGCTGGGAGTGCCCGAGCCGCTGGAGGAACGGCCGTGGACATACTTCTGCTTCTTCTCGGCAGGCTTGAGAATCTGAATAGATGTGAGTACAAGTAACAGCTAGCGAATGAAGCGGACAAACCTGGAAAGAACACAACAGACTCTCATCCACACTCATCATGGCACCTGCATTATCAAACTCGCCGCAGTAATTCGGAGCGCTGAACAAGGTCACGAGTTGTCGTTTGCTAAAGAACTCGTAGCCGTCCTCCACAACCTGATGTGCGCGGCAGATCAGATCCATGTCGTGCTTCTGGAGGAATCTCGACACAACATCCGGGCCGAAAGTGAAAGACACTCCACGATCGTTTTCGCTCCAACCTGTAATATCCTTGTCGGGATCAGACCAGAGGAGGTCACACAGAAGGCCGCAGTCAGGAATCTACCAGGGTTAGCATCAATCAGTAGGCTAGAGGCTAGACGAACGTACATCGGTTGGTCGCATGACCCTGCGTATTTGCTCCATAGAGTTGAGGTCAGGACTTAGACCGCCGTGCATGGTGAAGATCTTCTCGTCAATAATAGCAGCAATTGGCAAGCAGTTGAAGCAGTCAGTAAATGTCTTCCATAGCTTGATATTGTAGCGTCTTTTGCACTCGTCGTAGAAACCGTAGATACGGTTGATGGAGGCGCATTCGTGGTTCCCTCGCAGGATGAAGAAGTTTTCTGGGTATTTGATCTTGTATGCAAGAAGGAGGCAAATAGTCTCCAAAGACTGCTTGCCTCGATCGACGTAATCACCGAGGAAGAGGTAGTTGGCTTCTGGAGGGAAGCCGCCATACTCGAAGAGGCGGAGCAAATCGTAATATTGTCCGTGGATGTCACCGCAAATCTAGACATGTCAGTCAGAAGCTGGCACTGTTGGCGATCCTTACCTTAATGGGAGCTTCCAGCTCGAGGAGTATGGGTTGAGAGATGAAGATTTCTCGGGCCTTTGTGCACAAATATTTGATCTCGGCTTCCAGCAGCTGGACCTGCTTTCCTGGTCGACTGCCTCTGACTTCCAGAAGCCTGTCAATGACCGAATCTAGATCCACCTCGTTTTGATCTGCCATTATCGACTAGTGCCTCACCAGGCAAGGAATGAGGGACGATAAACGAGGACGAAAGGAGGACCGCAGCCGGGTCAGGAGGAGAATGGCGTGGTAATTAATTCGGCTTCGCTCAGTGAACACTATTCCGGGGTCTGCCACAGGTCAGAACCACTCGTACCTAGACTGCTATTTGTGTTTCGATGTGATTTTTGGAGATTGATAAAGCTGATGCAGCAAGGTTTGAAGAATCGAGCGGCAGTGGAGAAATGCTTACGATGGTGATCGGGCCCTTTTGAACTCGTCGGCAGCAGCTCAAGATGAGCAGGACTATGGGCTGAACACTCTCTGCGTGTGAAACGTGAGGGCAGCGCTATATTTTTGTTGACTGAATGATCAATCGTCTGTGGAACTCGACGGCTGAGAGCAAGGCAAGAGGGGCTTGGTATGAAGTCGGCGCGCTCTGACTCGCAACAATATCGTTTATAGACCGATGACTCGAATCTGGCAGAGGGAGGAAAATACAGTAGCTGTAATTGTGATTGAGACTGTTCGATAGCAGTGGTCAGACGAAGGCGCAGGAGTGCTTTGCGCGCGGGACAAAACACGCAGTAGTGGTCAAGAATTGCGAGTAGCAGGAGGGCCGAGCGGTGTATTGGCTTGGCACTGCTGCACCACTACACTGCCAATTGCTGCGAGACACTACCAGTCTGATCTTCACGGCTATAGACTCTTACAGACTTGTTTCGCTTCCTTTTCTGGGCAGATACTGCTTGCTATATCCATTGTGGTCGAGGCCTTCGTTACGGTCGCCCATGGTGTGCACCAGATACGTCCTTGCGACTGCCACTTTAATAAGGTATTTACTGAAACCAGGCAGCAACCACCATGCCTGTGCTTAATTTCTAGCACTACAAAAGACTCCCCAGACGAGGAATGTGAACCAATTGAGCCTTCTAGCGGCGCCTATTCCTGACCGGGTCAACCCCAGCAACCTGGCTTGGGGACAGAACGTGGAGGTTCGCATCATTGTTTACAGGTGCCCTCTCAACAAATGAAGCACTGTGGACGCTTGTTGCAGTCAACCCCGTCATTCATGCTGTCGATCTTTCCGTCTGGATATTTTCTTGTAAACCTTTGCCCCTGCTTGGCCAGCTAGGTATAGAGATCCTTGCCGATCATACGACGGGAACAGCTTTCAATAAATTTGGGGCGCCGTTGTAAGGCATTAATGAGCAATCTGTGGGAACGCATTTTGTTGTATCCACATTCGAACACGATTGGAAAATTTGACGAGTTGAGTATTCCTATCAATACCTCGAATTGATAATGTGCTACTCCTCCATCATGGTTTACTCTTACCGAATTACACCTCCTTCTCTGTGTTGAACAGTCTCGTCTTCATGTTTTCTCATCATACCATCTGAGCCACGCTCTGTCTCCCCACTAAACGTGCCTCTTTGCTCAACATCATCTGAGTTGTTCATCACAGCAGCTGTTTCATCTGTACCTGCCTGTCGGCGAATTCGAGCCATGTCTTCAGCGGATGGTGGCACCCACTTGCTGCTCTTCATCGGCGAGACCTTCTCAAGGTACATTGTGTCAATCTCTTCAAGCGTTCGTCCTTGGCCTTCAATTAAGAAGAAGTAGACGATTAACCCTCCCATGAAGTTGCAGGCTGCGAACACGTAGCCATATCTGAAGTCTATAGCCCCAGTGATAAAAGGAGTAAAAAAGGCCAATAAGAAATTCCACATCCTATCAACCAATGTTAGCAATCGTTGATACCTGAGAGGGGAAAGGGGGATGGAAAGAGAAATATGTGTATCGACACACGTATGCTCACATACCAGTTAGATGCAGTTGACAAAGCCATGCCCTTGGCTCGATATCGAGATGGAAACAGTTCACTGATAAGTGCCCATACTTGTGGACCCCTGCGAACAATGTTAGCTCAGTCCCACTTGAACTGTCCCCAGGGATTTTACGTACCAGGTAATGGCGTAACCCCAGATGAAGAAGGAGGCAAAGCAGATCAGAGTAATACCAGCCTGTGGTGTACGTGTAGGATCAGTTTGATCCAGGCTGAAGTGTCCAACTGAAGCGAAAACCAGGAAGCAGCAGAACATCCAAATGCTGCCGAAGATCAAAGACTTGCGTCGTCCATAGTGCTCCACAATATAGAGACCTATGAAAGTACTGCCAAAGTTGATGCCATTCAGAATCATCTGTGTCACATAAGAATTAATCTGAACAGACTGGAAAATGGTTGTGCCGTAGTAAAAGACTATGAAGTGTCAGCTCGGTTAATTACTAAAGGCGTGATGAACTCACAGTAATTGGCACCTGTCAGCTGCTGAAACATCTGCAATCCCATACCAAGAGCGAGACGATGAGCAACTCGAGGCGCACGTAGCATGGACGCCATTTCGGAGAGAGGTCCTCCTTTGATGTGTTTTTCGGAGATAAATTTGGCCTCGATCTCTTCCATCTGTGTGTAGATGGAGTAATGATTCGGTGGTGCGCCATAGACTTTGCAAAGAGTCTCTTTGGCTTCCTCTTTGCGGCCTACCCGATATGCATATCGAGGAGTTTCCGGGAAGAAAATGATCCCGACACCCAAAATGATCAAGAAAGCGTAGCCCACACCGATCACAATTCTCCACGAGGCTGAGCTGTTTCTTTGATGCTCGTACACTCCAAAGTTGAAGCAGGCTGCAAGGAAAATGCCAAGGGTGATGAAAAGTTGGTATGTGCAAACCATGGCACCTCGAATCCAGGGTGGTGCTGTTTCTGCCTGGTACATGGGCACAAGCAGAGACAAAGCTCCAACACCAAAACCAGCAATGATACGTCCAATCATGATCTGGTACCAAGCATGGAAAGCTGTTATCTGGACAAGGAAGCCAATACCGCAAACAAAACACCACAAGCTGATGGAAAGACGTCTTCCCATCCTATCCGCGATGGGAGCAGCCGCAAGAGCTCCAATCAGTGTGCCAATAGACAGCATGGCGACAATAAGACCAGATCGTACGTTGCTAAACTGAGCCTCACCATCCGGGCCTGGTTGACCAAATCGTTCCAAGAAATCAGGCAATTCCAGAAAGCCAGAAATTTGACCAGTATCATAACCGAAACTAAATCGTGTTAGTTTAGACCCGTAACAGCAAAACCAGAAGGACTCACATTAGACCACCCATAGAAACCAGCATTGCCATCGCAATAGACTGACCCGTCAGTCTTTTGAGTGGGGAGTAGTCGAGGTCAGCCAGTGAACGCCTGACATCAGTGCCCTTCTCGTCGTTTGGATTGTACTGGTCGAAATAGATTGTCATGCCTGGCATACCAGGCTTCTTCATTTTGGGTGCCATTGTAAGGCACGACGACGACAAACGACCAGGAGCAATGTGAAGATTGAACTTTAGGCGAACGCGATTGACATAAACAGGCAGGAAGAGCGATTATAAACGACAACTAGTCTCAGTGTGCTAGCGTGCCTACACACTTGACAATGAGGTGAGTGATATCACACATAACGTGAAAACAAAACCCGTGCGCAATGGAGTCTATTCATGGAGCCGGAACGCGGCCCCAGTGGAAGAGGCTCCGGCAATGAGGGAGAGCGATTACCTGGCAAGGAGGAAACATGTTCGCATTACTCGTGTTCATTCAGCCGTGGAAGAGGCATAATAATTTGCTGATTCGATCTTTGGGCTCGTGATCGAAAAGAAAGACGTAGGTAAATGCAAGGATGGCATCCTGTCGGACCAGTGAAGGAAGCGACCAACTGCAACAGCAACTGGGGAAGCGATGCCAAGAACGCCCGAGCTAAGCATATCCTGGCTCGTTCTTGTTTTATGCTTGGAAAATGCTACGTCATTTCGCAGTCCCCCTCTCGTGATTACAGCTCCTTACAACTTCTTTACTGCACCATGAGAACATACATGTCCTGACTTCGCTACAGCAGCCAACTGCGTAGATAGAGAGGAAGTCGTCGGAGGTTGAAAAGTCGGGTAGCTGCAAATGATACCCTGAATGTGAGCAGCAAGTCACGACTGCTTGTTGGTAAACTGAAGTTGAAGCATAGAAACGATACCCAAGTAATATCGGTATGCAGCGGGATTGACATCATAGGAGAAACGCGAACCTCTTTTTAGGCACTGGCACCCAGTGATCAGTGCTCTTTTTCGTTTACGAGTACCACGAGCCAGGATGTACTTTTCCCCTGGTTCATTTGCACGTACTCGGCAGGCGGCACGCTTAGGTCAGCTTCAGCTTCAGCTTCACCACGTGCATCGTCATCAGAAAAAGCCACGAGTACTGTCTGCTCCATGTCGTACCACTTCGAAACCCTACACTAAATATAGTTGCCACGACGAGTGAACGTATTGCTTACGAAATAAAATCCAGTATTGCCGTGCTCAGCAAGTACAGCGGATGTGTCGATCACCGAGACTTCCAGCTCGTACATCCACCACGAAACACGCTCCGTGGTAGACGGTCCTTTCGATGCAACGTTCTTCGGAATAGCGGCACGAGACGAGGCCTAAGGAAGATGACCATTGTAGCAGCGTACGCCTCAGGATCGAAACGACCTCCTTTTCGAGTGGCTACATTCTAGTTGTTCGTGGTTTTCGAAGCCAGAATTTTTGCAGGGCATAATGTTTGTATTGTGGGTATCTATGAAGTAGTATTTGATGTGAACACATAGAGCTTGTTTGGCCTGCGCAATAGCCATATCCTCATGCACACAAAACCTCGATCAGGGGAGTGCTCTACCAACAAGCAACTTGCTTCACTTACTCAGGCACTAACAGATACTCCTCTCATACTGGCTCTAGAGTCCATCCTGCCTTCTCCTCCCTGGAGACGGCCCAATCCCAGCTGTCTTGCACGTCCAGCAAATGCCGCAAAATCGAACTTCCGCCCCTTCTCAGTATATTCGTCTCCGCCCTCAGCAGTCCTCCTAACATCTGTAGCCGAAGGAACGTTCTCTCCACTAACAATACACAAAACAGTCATACCTTTCTCATACTTCAACCCAGACAACAACTTCGGGGTAATGAGGAAATACTGGCTGCCATTTGCTTGACCTTGCGCAACAGCTCGCTCATTGGCAGCAGCGATATCGACCATCCGACCATGAACCATGCGCTCATTCCTCTGGTCCATGCCCTGGTTGATTTCGTCCACGACACGAAACGGAGATTTGCTAAGACTTTGCAGAGCCATGAGGTAGAAGATTGTGCTGACTGCTCGCTCACCACCTGATTGTCGGTGGCTGTCGAGAAGAGATAGCGGTTCCTTTTCTCGGAATTTGACCAGGATATGGATGGCCCAGTTTGCAAAGTCGAGGCCGTTCTCTTGTCCACCAAGCTCTTCGGTGCAGTCTGCTGGGTCCTCGGATGAAGCTTTATGAACTTTGACCTGACCAGCACAGCCAATGCGCTCAAATGATTCTGCAAAAGCGGCATCGATCTTCTCGATGATAGACTGCAGGTCTGCCTCGAAGCTCTCTCTGATTGTCTTGATGGAAGAAATGTACTCATCCTGCTTTTTGTTGTAGTCTCTCAGCTTGGTTTGCAGCTTTTCAATCTTTTTAGCTCGTTCCTCATATTCCCGAATGACATTCGCAGCGTTGATACCGCCATCTGTCAATCCAAGTTTTGCATTCTCTGCATCGATCATGTCTTCGAGAGTCTGTTCTGTCAAGTCTCGCTGCATCGCTAAGCTTTGCAGCAATTCGAACAGGCTGTTGTCATCCTCCTCCTCTGATAGAGTTTCTGCCTCTTGACGAACCTCTTCCAACGAACTCTTGAGAGCCAACGCTGATTGTCTAGCTACTTCGTGCTCCTTGCTGGCAGCATTCAATTGGCCTTCCTTTTGCTTGAGTGTGTCGCGCAATGTCGAATGCAAACGTTCCAGAGTTTGAAAGTCGCTCTGGGCTTCTATAGCAATAACCTCCGCCTCGAGAAGTTTTTGGCTGGCCTCCTTCAGAGAGTGGATGACCTCACAGTACTCGAGGATATGCTGAGCCTTCTTGAGCATTTCCTCGTCCTTCTGCCTGGCTATGGCATGACATCGTTCTTTGACAGTTGCCATGTTTCCCTCCAACACTCTGAGGCGGTCCTCGACCCGCTCAATCTTGGTGCCAATACCATTGTAAGCAGCCTGAGCTCGCTGCGCTGCCTCCTTCTCATCGGCGAGCTTATTACGTGCTGACTCCTCCTGCAGTCTTTCCTCCTTGATACGTTCTATCTCAGTCTTGAGCTGCTCAACCTGTTCCTTGTAGGATTGTACTGATTTCTGCTCTCTTTTGAGGTCGTGCATGTGTTCTTCTCTTCGCTGAGTGTCAACTGGTTTATCGGTCCACCACCTTGCCGGCTTGATATCTGAGGTCTGAGTCGTGGATACTCCGTAGTCCTCGCGTCGGAAGACTTTGATGAATTTATCTTTGGTAACGTAGTTCTTAATTGAGCTCTTCCCAATCGCTTGGTCTTGTTCCTCGGACAACGTCTTACTGGTGGTTGCCGTCTGGTGAAGTTGTCTTGATTGACAGAGCATGGCTAGAACAACAGACGGCCCCTCAAGGTAGTCGATCGCCCATCCTTCCAATCCCAACTTAATCAAATCCTCGTGACTCATCAGGGATCTAAACCTCGACAGATCGTGTTCGTCAGACTTGCGAACAGTCAACTCAAAAAGATTCCTCTTCTTGGTAAGTTCTTCTTGAATCAAACGGAAGTCGTCCATGCACTGGACAGTAATGGCTCGAAAGTCACCCTGATTCATGAGGCTTTCGATGGCATCTGCCATGCGAGGATCCTTGACTGAGCAAGTCACGGCCGGTGGACCAAAAACTTCCATCTTGAACATCTGCTGATTTTCTTTGATCCACCTCCAAGCATCCGCCGTGTCCTTTGCATCGCTAGCAAGCTTGTCCTCACGTCGACCCTCTTCAGTACTCAGGCTGTTGAGCTTTTCCTCGGCTGCTTTCCTTCTGATGTGGGCTTCCCTACCCTGGTTCCTTGCAGCTTGCAACGCCTCGTCTTTTTGCTCACCGTCTTGTGTGAGTTGGCGGAGACGCAACCTGTATTCATTGAGCTTCTCGTTGGTTGTGACGTGATCAAACTCAGCGGGTCTAACTTCCTTGCTGGTTTTTAGGTTAACCAATTCACGCTGTTTTCGCGAATACTCTTGCTTGTCGTTTGCGCTACTATCCCTGGTAGCTTTGTGCTCGTCTGCCAAGTCTGTCACTCTCTGGCCAGAGTTACTAACTTCACGGTCGAGTCTTGAGCATTCGCCTTCAGCACGCTTGACTTCCTTTCGTACGTCATCCCGGTTTCTCACAGCTGCTGCTGCATATCGCTGTTTCGCATTCACCTTCTGCAGTGCAGGAGCAGATTCTTGCTTCAGTCTTGCTGTCTCCGTTGTCAATTTGTCCTTGAGATCCTTGAGTTCTTTAGCCTTGTTCTTCGCCTCGAGATATTTTGGCACTGGCCGGCACTTAGTCAATTGATCGATTTTCTTTTGTGTCCTTAGCCGCTCCTCCAGGCGTTCAACATCCACTCTCTGGGCGTCCTGCCTCTTCTCCAGATCTTGAAGAATTTCCCGATCTCCTTTATTCTGACTCATGAACTCTATCTGCTCTTCTCTGAGACCTTTCAATCTCTCGTGGTACTCTAGTACTTCTGGATCTGCTGCAGCCCTCAATGTAGTCTCCAACCTCTGAACCGGACCTAATTGCGCAAACTCGACGACTCTGTCCTGAGGCAGAAACTGACATAGATTGTCGACCTGGATGTTAAAGCCTCGAACGAATTCTTGAATGACTTTGTTTGCAGTCTGCCTGCCGTCCAGGTAGAACATGTTTTTGTTTCCTTCCTTTTTGATGTTTCGCGTAATAACAGGGTTGCTGCCAGTTCTGCTAGGCCCACTCGTGGCTCGCTGCAGTTCGATCTCAATAGTTGCCTCTTTGCATCCATGTTTAATATATTCTGCAGCATCTTTCGCTCGTCCTAGCAAATTCGGACCCCAGCCCAGACCCAAACATATGGCACAGACAAGTGTACTCTTTCCAGTTCCATTGGGACCAATTACCATGTTCAAATTCGGTCCAGGGTAGAATTCGGCGGAGGTATACGTGACGAAATTGGTGAGCTTGACACGCACAATTGCACCAGGCTGATGCCTGCGTTTTGGTTGAAGCACAAACTTTCTCTCTTCTGGTGTGGCACTACGCCGAGAGGCAGCGGGTCTTCGTGATCTTTGTGGCCTTGCTGCATCAGCAGGAGACAGTAAGTTAGCAGCGAGTTCAGGATCAGCTCGCATGCGCTTGCGATCATGAGCAGCGGTGGACGCTGGAGTACTTTGGCGAGAAGTGTCGCCGTCGCCATCAGAGATCAGAGCACGACTACGGCGAGCGCTGGGACCAGCCATGTCGGTCTGACGTGTAACATCAGACGATAGACACGGCCACAGAGGAATGGAATGGAATATTTCTGGCAAGAGAAGGCGCGTCTTTCACAACGCGCAGACGCGTCGTGCATCACGTGACTGAGATTCAAAGTGATGGAGGAAGTGGGTAGATGCAGTGTCTGTATATACATTTGGAAGCTGCTATCTGTGATCTAACATCGTATCTCTTAGATCTCCGCCATGGACCGTATTCGGTGAATAAAGTCCATACTCAGTGTCTACCTCGATCAACTATTACTTCTCAATCCGTGTTGCCAATGGTGATAGTGAACTAGATACGTCGGAGAATGAACCATTGCTGGATTGGGTAAAAGCTGCATAGAGAACTTCTGGGCATGTACATGAGACAATCATACGTTTTTAAGGGAGATCAAAGAGATCGTTGCTAATAGATTTTCAGGACTTCAAATATCTAGCGAAGAGACAATGTTAGGCTACATATAGCAAAACTAGACCAAGCTCAACAAAAGACCCGAACCCCTTTGAGACTTTCCAAACTCCCCAAGCGAGCAAAGGAAAAACACTACTTTCATAAAACCATTATGGGTATCTCAGCATACTTCACAAACACCAATTTCATAAATTTGGACAACTAGTAGAAATTGCCTGCAGGTACGGCTAGGAAAATTGCTGTAAAAAATTAGCAAGCAAGAAGCGAGACGAGCTGAAGATTATCCATACCTGTTAAAATGCCGCCAGTGATGAAAGCAGTGATCAGAGCCTGAATGAAAATAGTGTCTTGAATAGATCGGAGGGCAGGTTCTTGAATCCAAACTTCACGGTCGAAGATCTTGCGAATCACGTTGCGTTTGTCATACTTGGCAACCCATGGCTCATCCTCGTAACTGTTTGCAGAACCCAAGCTGTCGAAAGACCCCTTGCCACTCTCGTAGTCGGAAGAAGAAGTTGAATCATCGCTAGCGAACAATTCCCAGGGACGCAGGTGTCTGTGATGCATGCCGTGTAGCACGACACACATGCCTTTCCAGGCTGCAAAAAGTGTAGCGATACCGATGAAAAAGGCCAAGAAGGCTAGAGCTCGCCAGCCTCGGTTGACGCCACTGAGAGTAATGAGAAGGCCGACGACGATTCCGGCAACAATACCACCGATTCCTAATCCACGAGCGAAGGTTTGTCGTGGTGGGTTACCATTGCAGATGGTCCATCGAATGAAATTAGGATGGGCTTGTTGTCTAAGAGATGCTTCAGCTGTAGCGACGACATCTCTGAATGCTGAAGGGTGTGTGGTGATGGAGAGTGCCTTTAACAAAGCCGTTCTCTCCTGCGCTGAAAGATTGAGCCTTCTTACGCCACCATCTGCAATATAGATCGAGATGATACGAGAGACTTCCTCACGATAAGGCTGTACGGTGAATGGTTGATAGGCACCAACTTCCTCGAAAGCATTCGCAGTCTTCTTCTCATGGTGAGTCATGTTACTGCCCAAAGTAGATCCACCTTCACTCCAGCCAACAGTGGAAGGTGCAATGCTCTCACGTCCTGCCTCATGGCTCGGTGTTCGTGGAGGAGTACTGAAAGGGTTTGGTGCACCAGCAGTCTTGTTGGCTTTCATCTCGAAATCAGTACCTTTAAAGACTTTGGCAGCCTCGTGATTGTCGGCCTTCTTCGCAGCTACCTTCTCAGACAAAATTTCGTTTCGGGCTTGTTGAGCCTGCTCGATAGTCCATTCTGGAGCGAGCTTCTGCTCTCGCTCCGGTAGCTCAGACCATCGCTTCACGTAATCGCGATACCATAGGTAAAATTGAAGATTTTCGGCGTCGTGTTCGATATATACCAGGAAGTCCATAAATTCTCGAGTCGTCACAGGCTAAAAAGTCAGCAAGATTGGTCATGAGAAGTCTATTCCGTGACTTACTGGGCAGGTACCGCCACTGATGATCCGGTCGAAGGACAATGCATCTGGAATGCCATATGGACAGGAAGAGCTGGAAGTTTGTGATTCCTGGCCACCACTCTTCTCAGAACTAATTGAGTCTTGCGACACATGAGCTGGTCGCCGATATGTGAGGGGAAGAACCATGCTGAAGGTAGCTGATTTGAACGATAGTAACAACACGATAACAAGCGTGAATGAGAACGAAACAGCGCTGGCGTATAGTAGTACTATGTGAGAGATGGAAAAGACTCGCAGTTGACTTTAGGCTAGAGGCAAGAGCTCAAGAGATCGTCTAGCGGAAGATGAAATACTTTACCTGATAGGTACGTCAACTAAAATGAATGGACATGGGTTCAGGTCCACCAAACAGGGGCTGACTTAGGTCCGAAGCTAAGAGGCTGTGTCGACGAACTCTTTTTGCAATGGCTCCAGAGCATCTACTCCATCAGATTGATTGGCGACCAGGAAAGTCTCAACACTCGCAGTCATGGAGCTCTTGCTGCAAGGACATTATGGTTGTGTCTGTCACTGGGTATACAGTAACCACAAGTTTGTAAGGAGAAAGCCTCACTCTGATAGTTTGTTCGTATCGGAAGGAAATATTGCTGTGAGTCCTGTTTCTTGGCATTGATTCAGGGACTTGCACCGCAGTTCTTCCTATCCTCGACCTTGAAGGTCTACAATAGCATGTAGCGATAATTGCACATCTGTTCACGTATTCCAGGCAGTGATTCTATGCCGAAACTCTCGGGATATGGCTGTTCACATGCAGCGTATAGTTGCGCAATCTATCGTCAGGCAGAGTACTTGATAGTCTTCTTTGTTCAGTGAGACGATGACGGACTGGGGTGAGCGAAACGAGAAACGAATCTGTCACAAGCATTTCTATGAGCTGATGCTAGCCGAATTTGACGTGCTCAGTGGAGTTTTGAGCCAAGAGGTGGATTCAGAAGAAGAGGGGCGCGGAGGAGCTAACCACCGGAAACGAAGAAGGGATGTTCCATAATGCGAACGGTTATTGGTTGTCAGCTCGATCCTGGTTTGTGATTCCGTATCTGGAGTTCGCCAGAGTTGGACTAAAGAATAAATTTCTGGGTCTTTGACATACTCTGCGACCGGAAACGATGCTCTGCAGATACATGCCAATGAGCAGCAACACAGCTACGTGGTGGCTTGCAGATGATACATGGACCTGCGCTCTTTTGATGTGCAAGTATGCTTGTTCGGGTCCACCGTCTGACTCGTCTGCTATTCAACTGGAAAGACCCAGCCAACGGATTTCATCTTGATCGTCGTGGCCATATCCGATCTCATCCCGCTAGCATCTTGAAAACCACGTTCGGCATTGAGTTGCAAGATCTACTCAAAGATCTGCTCTTCGATACAGTATCTAGAAATACCCCGAAAGCAAACGTGGTCGTTAGCACTAAACCCATAGCTCTAGTTGATATTGCTACGGCGGTGTAACCTGGCCATGTTCCATCTTCTCAAAGTTCTTTCCTCAAGGATAACCATTCACACGTTCCGGAAGTTAGATGTTCTTCTCCATGGGTATGGCCAGCGGCTTCCAAACTAACGATGTGGATGTGGCGAGCCGTCCAGGAACACGTTTACGGGCACATCTGGAATACCCGTTTCTGGCAACGGTCACAAATAGTAGACAGACGATGATATCTTGGCTTCTGCAGCGTCATCATTGTGGAAAGAGGCGTCTGCAAGTTTTGGAGTAGGTGCAACTTTGAATTCGAAACACAACCGCTTGGTGCAGACATGCAACCGATCGATACGAACAAACCTGCAAACAGCCAGCCACACAAGATATGAAGACTCCGAATCAAGACGCAAGGGCGTTCATTAACCACAACCACAGTCACTTCGCTTAACCAATGCTCTAGCAGCAATACCCATTCTCGGCAATCGCACTGACATTGTTGCATCGATACTTTGTGGAGGCAGGTTCTACCAGAGATCATTCACGCCCGCGATTCGTCCGGGATTTGTGTATAGAAAGAAAAATGGCAGCAGCCCCGAGTCGACAAAAGCCACGAAGCCAGCCTGGCTGTGTTTTACAATCTTACCATTCTTCTTATTTTCCATATACTACTAGTAGTTCATTTTCTACCTCAAGCCTTACATCCTTTAGCTCTACAATATCCGGGGCAAGTCGTCACATCACATCCTGGACATGCTTGTGTTCTTCGCTTATGCCAGCAACAAAGTTTCGTATTCGAGCTGAGCTGAGCTGAGCTTGCCATCCGTCGCGTGGCAGCCTTTACCAGCATCCACTACTAGAAGATTTGTGGAGCAGCTAATTTCAGGGGCAACACCAACTCTTTTTCGTTTTGGGTCTTGATGCGCTTAGCTATGTATGATCCAAGGACCGGAGAACTGTGAACTCAAGATTCGAGATGCTACTGTGACCAGACAGGCAACATCTTGCATCGTGTAGGTGCAGCCTTACTGTGTCAAGCGTTGATTGATCTGACTAGAAGCAAGCCTCGACAATGCACCAGTATGGTGGCAGTGACTTGGTCTAGGTTTCTGTGTGACATGACGGTAATAGATCTTGGTTCTGGGCACTAGGTAACAAGTACACACTTGACCTTCCTCATGTGGTGGTGATGAAGTGGTTATTATTCAAGAAATGAGGCAAGCAGTAAACTGTTAATAATCATTCGATATGCCACGAGACAACTAATCTGGCCACCATGAAGTACAGTTCTTATTATGCAGCCCGCCCTGAAAGGTAATTCTATACAACCTATATCCAGTTTCCATTTCCGCTTCCATTCCATTCCTTGTCTGTCTGAGCACCAATTTCTAGCTCCGGATTCCTCCTGCTGGCTGTTGAATCTTTCCTAGCTTTGCTGCCCGACGAGCCCGAGTACAAGTCCTCAGATTCTGGCTGTCCATCAAAAGGCATCCTCTGGTACCCAGACGGACTTAAAGCCTGACTTGCTCTTTTCCACGCTCTGCTTGTCGTGCTACTCACCGCGTTCATCATAGCTCGAGGACTAAGCGGTGATATGCTATCTGTACGACCAATCTGTGGAGTGGTTACAATTGGCGCTGGCTTTGTTGGCGGTCGTAGTGGCGCTGGCATTAGCGATGAACTCGAACTACGATTCTTAGCACCGAATACAGGAGTAAAGCCGTAGCCAGGCATTAAAGAAGCAGGAACAGGCTGGTCACCGACTGATGGGGCGATACTGCCAATGGTTTTCGTGCTCTTTTGGGAATTGGATCGTGGTAGTGGTGGAGTGTTGGGAGGTGTGTTACTCGAAACTGCCAGGCCGATTTTGGAGAAACCTGGACTTCCTGGAAGCTCAGATGGTGTGTGCTTTCTTGGCGTCAATGGTAGAGCTTTGTGATGATTAGGAAGATTTTCCTTCTTGGTAGTATGACGGATACCAGGTGCTAGAAAGGCATTGATATTGTTCGATGCATTAGCGTCGGCTTGTTGCTGCAGCATGATGGAACGTGTTTCTTGTATCGACTGGTCTTCTAGATGCGGTGTCTTTGGTGACTTGGGCTCGGAGGACTTCTTACTTTTGAGATGAAACTTCATCTTGAGTCGGCTTCCTGCTTGTTTCCTTGCCATAAGGTACCAGATCAGAAAACCGATCATACCAAACGCTGCAAAGGACCCAAGCACAGAGCCTGCGACCTTGCCTGCCTGCCCTTGTGCCGGTTGAGTATTGCTGCTTGGTGTGCTTGATGTACTTGATACTGCGGTGGTGTTCAATTTGATTGCTGCAGAGGAGTCTATGGTAGAAGTCAAGTCAGACGAGGTCGATAAGGAGGTCAGCACGCTCGTCGTAATGCTCGTGCTCGTAATAGTCACAGTATTATAGACAGTGGACGTACCGGTAATGGTGGTAGTGTTGGTGCCACCTATACCGTTGTCGTTAGCGTGGACTCCCACAAACGGCGAAGCAGTGATTGAAATGTTTGGAGGGGAGTCTGTACCTGATGATGCCGCTGAAGAATCGTTGTTAGGAGCAGTGCTGGTTACTTCCGCCGAGGCGAATAGGGTTTTCGTAACTGTGACAGTAGGCAGGTCGTCTGATAGAGGCCGCCACATATTACCGAGATGGGCTGGATGGTACAAGTTAGTATGACCAGGCTTGTAACCATCCGCCCTTTCGGAACACTGACTATTGTCTGGAGCGGCCTCTCTTTTGGTGACCGTGATGTAAATGGTGTCTGCTGATTGCCTCTGCCCATTTGAGGAAGCACTTTGATAAACCATTTGCTTGTCGTGTTTCGCACTCGTTGGCGTCCGATGTGCTTGCCGCTGTTAGGGCCCGTACGATTGAACAGAGGTCTTGTCCGGATATGCGACTTGAATCAGCTGGCACAAGGTATGAAGGTTCGGCGAAGTGGCTGCGGACTGAATACGTGGAACGAAAGTAAGTTGACTGAGCGTGTGATAGCATCTCTAGATTAGCGAGCTGAGTAGTCAAGACCATTGACCCAACAACAACAAAGAAAGTTTCGAGGCTGCCGTCCTGGTTCTTGGGTATTGTCTGGAAACATCATTGTGACCACGCTTTCGGCGTTGTTCGAATGCTGCTTGAAGAAGGTCAGAATGCAAGCAGAAATCACGCACGGACCACAACAGCTCCCGCACAACGACCATTGAAGACATGGACTGACTGAACAAGAATCAATGAAGTTGACAAGAACGAAAGTTTGTATTTGTCTCAGTATATGATACGACGTTGAAAGATTTAATCGTCTGGTGGTGCTCCGGAAAAGGGTGCAAATCTCATTCTATGTGCCTGTAATTGTCAGCGCTGCTTATTCCGAAGGAGGAGGAGGAGCTTATTCACCAATGGTAATTTTGGTATCACAACAGCCATCAGCGCTAAAAAGTTGATGATGAAGTAGGTGAGGTCGTAGTGTGTATAATGAGTACTCAACAGGAACAGCACAATAGGTACCGTCAGTAGAAACTTCTTCGCCGGCGTGTACTGGTCCCCGTTGTCGATTTGCTCCCACATGTTTAGGTGATCATAGGCTCCAGCGTTGAACTCGAATGGTACACCTCTGACCCAGTGAAACATCAGATACGAGCCTGTCATATATGTGATGTTGGTGAGGGTCCAGGAGATCTCCTGAGTGACACCTGGGATGATATCAAAGAAGATCTTGAGACCGATTATTATGACAGGGTGAATCGTCCAGGCGCCTGCCAGAATTAGCATTCTACTTCTATACAAGAAACTGGAATTATATTGCCCACCTTTTGCATTGACCCATTGCGAATTGAGGTTCGGGTTAACGGCCTGGTCGCTGATCTGTTCGACCGTCTCTGGGGGCTCCTGGTATATTATACTGCTGGATCTCCGCCTTCTGCCTGTCTTGGTTGTTGAGCTCATACTCGAGTTCTCTGGCGGAGCAAGTTTGGCATCGGGGGTGAAGGAAATGGTTCGATGCAGAGTGGTATGGGAGGTCATCAGGTCGGGTGAGGCGTAGATATACAAGGTAGTGATTGTATCTGCGACTGTTCTCGGGAACGTCAGCAAGACGCTTTGGGTATTGTTTTGAGGCGGTTGGTCCTACTAATACGTGATATGCAGGACAGCGGTTGTCGTCGGCTGCGCTGGACAAACAACTTCCAGGTCTGGCTCTCTCTTGGTCTTCACAAAAAGCTTACAACTATTCGACAGCAAACGAATAAATGGACACTGATGGATAAGCACAAGCGAAGGTCTTGTCGTAATGAGGTGAGATGTGTCTTCTTCCTACAATACATCTGTTCTATACCACCAGCCGAGTTTGAACCATAGTTTGAGGAGTCGCTATACGTATGTAGGGGCCTTGCAGCCACTTTCTAGCCTAAAAAAAGCACTAAATCCCCGAACTCCGGATGACTTCACTGCTCGTGCATATGTACCTAATTAGCCACTATCACGTTACTTGAGGTTTTGTGTGAGTGTCTTTTCGTTCTGTACTTTGCCTGTACTTTGCTTGCGCTATTCTGCGAACACGGTCCTGGTGCCCTTCTCGCTCTGGTTATGCCACGGTCTTCCTCTCAGCATACACAAAGTGTTGAAACTGATTCCCGCACTTCTGCTGTTGGCCGAAAGCGAACTGCTGCAACCATAAAGAACTCGGGCGATTCGCAGCGTCCTGGCAAGCGTCACAGAAGTAATTCGAAGTCCAGCAGGGCAAGTGCTTCCACGGTAGGTGCTGAGAGCCTTCGTGACTTCGTTCCTTTTTCTTCTCTGCAGGGTACGGATTTCGCACAGGGTCGACCGAACATGGCAGAAAGCAGGTACGGTAGAAATCGGTTACAGTCTGGTTTCGTCGCTGCCAGAAGAATTCAGCGCAGTGCTTCCCATCCTGGAACTCCTGAAGATAGTGAGGACGACTCTAGCCCACTCGATGCCTCCCATCCCGGTGTACACGATTTAGACACTACAGACGACGACGGCGGCATGATTCTGAATGTCGATGGTAGTGGGGAAGAGCCAATTGTTATTTCAGACGACGAGACAGAAGATGGAGAGAGCGACGAAGGTCAACGACACGCTCGATCTGTAAATATTGACAATACATCGGAAGAGGAGGGTGAGTATGTGGAGAAGAGGAGCACTTCAAATACAAACAATACTGCAGAATCAAACACCGCCCACAAGCCTGCCCAGTCCGAGGAGAAGGAAGATGAACCCTCCTTCGTTATTGATCTTACTCCTGGTATGCCTCAGATTTGTCTCAAGGATCTCAATCCTGATCAGCTACAAGACCAAATCAAGTACGCATTTTGGCATCTCCAGAGGGACGAGATCGACTTGAGCAGACCCGTGAGATGTTTGCATTGTCAAGCTGAGGGGCACATTGACGAAAGTTGTCCGGAAAAGACCTGCTCTCATTGTGGCGTGTTTGCTGAGCACATGTCTGTCCTCTGTCCCATTATCAAACGATGTTCTACATGCAGAGAACGTGGTCATGATCACTGCAACGGCATGAGAAACACGACAATCCCATGCGATATATGTTCACTACCAGGTCACACCGAATCTGACTGCGTCCTAAGACACTATCCCGAATCACAACTTGCCGGCGCTGAAAAGCTTGAGCTTTGGATATCTTGCTGCTCTTGTGCAAGCAAATCACACCTAGTTGGAGATTGTCCGAAGCTAGGCTCGAAGACTGCTTTGCGGTGGTCACTGAGAGGCATAGATCCCGACAAGATCATAAATCTCAGCATTCAGAAAAGCACGGATAAGCTTGTGAGAGATGCTCAAAACAAGGGCATGAGGCCCGAAGGTCTCAAAATTCGAGGAAGAGCAAACCGACACAATGCAGATTTAGGCCGACGAGAAGACACCGACAGGGACGACATTGAGTTTTTCAGTCATACACCCAATCGCAACGATAATCGAGGTCGACCACCGCCGGTGACGTCTATGGGTCGTCACCAAGTTGGTGGATCCAGTCACTACCGTGAAATAGAGGATAGGTATGATCGCTTTGCGGCATCATCAGACACATACAGACCACCAAGGAATGCTTACTACGCCACTGACTCATTCGGCAGGCCTCGATCAAGATCGCGTTCACGTTCACCGCCACGATTTGGTTTCCATCTGGGTGGCCGTCGCTCACCCTCTCCACCATCCAGCTTTGACTCGTACAGACCCAGCCAACGATACAGACCGTCTCCGCCGCCACGACGACCAAACCAGCCTCTAAATTCTGATCGAGGACCGTCCAACCTACCACCAAAACCAGCTCCTGGAAACCCGATACAACTACCAACACGAAAAGGCTCAAATACCAGCATGAACATTAAGGGTGCTGCTGCTGCTGCAGCATCCACGGGTCTTCCACCAAGACCACCTGTAGGTAGCAAGAAGAAGCCTCGCAGGGGTGGCAAAGCTGTTTGACGAAGTATCAGTGTACAACAATTTGTTTATCAGCAGCTTGCGAACATATCGCTTTCATCCGTAAAGCAGTCACAAAAAAATCGGTCGTGATTCCTGAAGGTCATGTCGTTTCTGTCTTTTTTCCCCCGCTTTGCAGAGATTCTGTGAAGACCACTATGCCTAATGCCAGTTCCTCACACATGACTTCGCTAAACATCCTTTATGACCCATGTCTTCCTCTCGTCCAAGCTCTAGCAGGCTGTACTGCAATATCAATATTGTGGATAGTCTTCACGCAATGCTCTCTGTCTGTCCCTTGCCCTTCTCTCACCTATGATACTGCATGATAGATGAATCCCAGGCCCAGTATCGATTCCGACCAGAAATATATACCTATACATTCATACATGCTTTCGGTGTGTGGTACGGTAGAAGCTCCGTGTCTTCTTATCGTCGCAGTTCCGGTTGCAAATTAGGTAACTTTTCTAGAAAGTGTCAAATTTATTTAACCAACGACAAGAACAAAATCTTGCATAAAGTCTGCAGTAATGAGGACTTGGTTCAAAACTTCTGGCCAGTTTACTTCCGTAACATGTTGGAACTTGCATCAGAGAGCCAGGACACTTCCTTGATATGTAGTCGTGCCAGTCGAGGTAGTACTACTCAGAAACCAGTCAGTGTCACTGAGTAGATGTAGGGCGAATACAGAGAATTTGTTCATTAAGCCACCGCGTTACTGTAACTGGTATACACGACGAATCGAAAGCTGGAAACACTACCTGAACCACAATTCATGCTATACGTATATTCCATCATTCAACGTTATTCCGGGTATCTCTACGCCACATTGCATGTGCCACATCCCAAGCATGTTGTTGCAGTGCTGGTACACTCTTCCTATCGGTACCTGTAACCTCCCTCAAGCTTCATAAGCCCATCATGTATAGATTAGCTCAATACTCGTTCTTGGGAAATTCGCCAGGCACGTGCAGATCGCTAATCGTTTGCACGCTCTTGGCACTGTGCGGCATTTGAGGTCGCTTGTGACCCGCAGCGTCAGCGTCACGGTACGTATCAAGATCGGAGGTCGAGATGGGCGCGATCTCGGACTGAGTGGTCTGTGGATATGGCTGTATTCCCGCAGCAGCTAACGTCTGAGATGGTGCTGGTGCATCGACACCGACACCACTTGAGGCGCTTGTGGTTGTTGGAACCGTAGAGGCTGTATATGCAGAGAAACGGTTACTGCCAGAGGTTGCATCTTGTGTGCTGGAAGTATTGTACGCTGAGCGCGAAGCGTTGTCTGTGGCTGTGTCTCGCAGATAGCTTGGTTCAGCTTGTGAGTCTCTGCCCGAGCTCAGAGGAACAGCATAGATTGAAAGTGGAGCGCTAGTGGTGGTCGTGCTCTGTGTGAAAGTGTTATCCTGTGCACCGTCTGATGTATGTGCAGGAGCAGGGTAAGCAGCAGAAGGAGCACTGTCCATAGTCGAATCACGTGCATAGATACCGTCTTTCTGTGGCACTTCACGAGCCTGCACCGGAGCAGCATAGGTGGAGGCAGGAGAATTGGCAGCCATATCCTGACCATTTTCCGAGCCGGCTCGTGGACCCCTAGGTGCGTCTATGGGGGCCGCAGTGACATCCATAATAGGTGCTGAAGAATGTCCGTAAGTTGGAATAGCAATTTGCTGGTCATCGACATGTTCAGCTTGGGCAGATCTGTGATTATCGTCAACTCGCTCTGGCTGACTATAGCCTTGCTGATCGTTGTCATGCTCTGCTCGATTACGTCTATGCTGATCATAAGCAGTAGCCCCAGCAGCGCCGAGACCTGTACCACCAACACCAGCAGCAATTGGTGCCATCCACTCGCCGTACGTGCTGGCCGTTTCGACTGGAATAGCACCAGTCGAAGTTGGTGCAACACGATGATGATCTCCAGCTGTATAGTTGGAAATACCAGCGGTGTCAGAGTTGTGGATGGCACTTGCGGCAGCTCCCGCCTTTTCATTTCCCGACGACTGTAACCCGCGTGGATGATGGCTTGAGTGAGGCTGCGGATGGGTCGTGTGGGGTTGTTGAAGATCCGTGTGTGGTTGTGTGTTAGTGCTGCTAACGAAGGGAATTCCACTTCCTGGCAAGGCACCTGCACTGGCAATGGCTTCTCGATCAGTTTCATCCAGAGAGTCTCCACTAGAAGGCGAAACTGAGGCCTGTAAGCCTCGCTGAACATTGAGATCGGAAGGAAAGCGCCCACCTGGAGTTGGTCGTTGCGGCCGCCAGCCGGGCTCAGAACGCTGGTCGTCCATCATGTCGCCTCGTGGTGCAACGACGCCAACACCGCTCGCGGCATCCGGAGCAACAGATGGACCACGGATGGATTCTTCTGCAGAGAAAGGAGCTCTGTCGGCTTCGTCGTCTTCCATACCGCTACCACTGCCTATGCTGGGAGCCTTGTTGCTACTCGAAGAGAGCGTTCGTGCATGAGTACGGCGTACAAACTCGTTACGTTCTTCGCCGCGCTTCTCAGTCAATTCTTTGATGTCGCCGAACCAGGCCACCATGGTATCATGAGTTTCTGCTCGAAAGATCCAGCTGTGACCTCTGTGCATTGTGCCGGTCTGGCGTCCTTTGAGCATGAACTTGTGCGAATTTGATCCAGGCTCGGAATGAGTACCCAGCTTTTGCTCTGGCAGGTACAGAGACATGATGGGTGATTGAAAGCTGATACGATCCGCAGACTTGAATTCATGGAGATGTGTAGGAGAGAGGACATACCTGCTGGTCATTAGTATTAAGACATCTGAATAGCTTTGAGGGGACATACCAGCCTGGAGTATAGCTCTTGAGATATTTGCTCTTCCTTTCAAGCATACCGCTCCGCACTTCAATCGCAGCTGGATGATCCTTGCCAGGATATGTAATTTGTTCAAGTTGTCGTAGTGGTAGTCGAGGATCGACCATGCGATCGTTGTTTGTGACGAATGCATCCCATTCATGATCCTTAGCCATAGCTATTGGACCTTCTCGCAGCTTCTCGACCGTTTCGTATGAGTGGTCAGCTTCCCTCTTCATGATTCCGGCAAGCACATTGTAGGCTTTCTGAATCTCGCCAACGACTATCGACTCCAATTCTCTACCTGAAGCTTCGAGGTTAAGATATGCCTGTCATGGTTAGCAAAGTCAAGCACAGCCCAAAAAGATATCACTCACCCTGTGAAGATAATTCTCCTCTTCGATTTGCCGTCCAACTTGGCGGTCAACGGACAGCTTGACAAGGAAAGGATCACCTCTGCCTGCCGTTGATGCAGCATCGTGGTCAACGTGGCCGACGGATTCCTGCAAAGCTCGAATTGCTTTCCTCGTTCCGTCCTGCTCTTTGGACACGGAGTTCTTGAAATCTCCAGACAAACTCTTGATCTCTTTGATCTTCTGCTGTAGATCGCTACGTAGGCCAGTGAGTTGCTGGATCACTTCGTTCTCTAGTTCTCTTGACTTGTTCGATTCGCTGAGGGACTGCTTGTGAAACTCCTGTAGTATTTGTGTCGCGTCTGCTATACCACCGCTCTGCAAGAAATTTGGAGGAGCCACAAGATTACTGATGGTGTTGGAAGCCGAGTGTAGAGTTTTTGACCTTGTTTCGTAGGATTTCTGGACGTCACGAAAGTAGGCAATGATATCCTTCAGGACCTTTCTCCAAGCTATGATGGTTTAGTTATGGCACCAAATACACTGTATGTAGCTTGCACATACCTTGAAACCTGTCCGCCAGAAGATCTGTAGGGCTTCCAGTAATGGGAACAGGGCAGAAGAAAGCACTATTGTGCTCCGGATCAGGCTCGTACTTCTCCTTCTCGCCCAGTCGCATTGAGCGTACTGAACCAGCATAGCTACTCTTTTTACTGCCCGATCTGTTGAGGCTGCCAGTTCTTCTCAGAGAAGCTTTCTTCTTCAGAGTATTGCCTCGAGAGGGTATTGCAGTGGCGGACTGTGATAGCTGTGAAGCACTTCTGTGAACACCAGCACCACCATCGCTGCCCAGGTAGTGGTCATCGTGTGCTCCTGCGGACTGCGATAGGAGCGATGCATCCCTCGGCGCGGCCGAATATTGGTCATGAGCTTCGATTCCAGTGTCGTCTCTGCCTACAAATGATACTGGTCGAGAGCCTGCATGACCAAGGCGTTGTGAGTTTGACCGACTCAACGTTTGGGCAGGAGCTCCTGTGGTTGGAGTTACTGGTCGCGACATCGTGCTGACCCCAGCGAAGTTCGGACAACGCGGCTAGACAACAGTTGAGCCAATATCGCTGCTTCAGTAGTTCTGCATGCTGTGGGTTGCTCTAGGAGGAATACGAGCGGAACGATACTGGCAGAAGCAGGCGTAATTCGAACAGGGTCAAGAAGAGAGTGTTATGAATTCGTCACCTCGTGCAACGTCGATAACTACGCGCGACTGATAGACTTGGGGTAGATGCCAACTTCAGGAAACGAAACCATTCAAAATGAGATTGCCATGCCGTTCATGACATCAGCCTAGTGCTGTATAGTTTGGGCGGCCATCAAAGCTCTACTGCTAGTTCGTGGTGGAGGTCCACAGCGCCACTGTGTCGACTGAGCTTGTGCTGCGGTGTGCGACGACGAAAGCTTGCTGGCATCTATTGTCCGTGCCACTTTCGAGCCAGTCGTCGCAAGCAGAAGCCACACAGACGTCTTGACTTTCTGCTAGGCAATGCCAAAACGGCTAGACTCTCAGACAGAGTGCAGCATCATGCTTGTCGGCGCCAACATAGGCACATTAGTGGCTATTTCATGCACATCCATTTGATTATGTTTCCTTCATAGTATACCTTTATTGCGAGGTGAGCTGCCTCTGCTACAAAATAAAATGGTAACGAGCACATAGATGAGGTTTTCTCGCAGCAATTGTCGCTTGAAATTATTCGCAGGCGGTATTGGGTAAGATTCTGCTGTCATGGATTGAGTTGGTAGGGATGCATAGAGTATTCCCTGGAGTACCGCAATACTCACAATTGACCGAGCTACGCTATATCGTCCGCGAGCAGCCTGCTTTTGTATCTAACATGTGCTAATCCTTCACGACCGAGCAGAGCACGTGCTGTCTCTAGCTCTGGTTATGCGACGACCGACCACTGGCATATTACAGTAGAGGCACGCTGACTCAGAAAGCTTGTCACGAACTCAAAGGATTTCATTCCGATATCTACATAATGGTGTCTTGCTAAACCTCTATAGCATGGAACCCGATCGGCGTGTGTCACGGGAGTAGTGGTATAAATTTATGTAGGCGTACACTCGCAAAATGATCGGGCGCATTCAAGTTATGGAAAATCGGCCATGTAGGTTCGCTCTGAAAACACCCGTGTGCAAATTGCGAACCCTTAGAAGTACTGTCTTTGCATGGGTTGTGCTTGACCTGAGTGTGCAGTAATGCTGGCTCAAACAGCTTATTGCGTCTATTACAGTGGTCGATATAGGTTAGTAGTGGTTCATAGGCTCTGCTGGTGCTCGGGTCTTCCAGAATGGATCTGGAGCTTCCACTCCATGGTTGTCCTTTAAGCGTTGCTTTCGACGCTCCTCATAACCAGGTCCATATATGCCTGCCACCGATCAGTGAAAACCCTTCTTGAAGTGTAAAGACGTACCTCTGCCCTCTCCTAACTCGTTGATTGTCTCGTTTGCTGGACGTCGGAATCGTTTCCTCAATTCTTCTTTGGTCGGCCATCGTCCTTCATCAGGATGCATGTCCTTTATGCCAAACATGGCAGCATTGGAATAGGTAGCGACACTGAGCACAACAGCCAGTGCCAGTCCATTACCGAGAAAGGCTGGAAACGTTCTTCCTGTGAAACATCGTCAGCATCTGCTAGTCGTATTTGAAGAGCAAGATCGCGCACTTCTCAGACCTGCCACAGCTCCTCCAGCAAATCCTCCCCACGCCTGGTTCCAGTGGTCGTTTGTACCTCGAAGATTGCTTGCCGCACTGCTCGTAAAGGCATATGCCGCTCCCATACCGGCTAGCGAGTCGTCAGCGCAATTCCAATATTTGGCTAGGCGAGTGAAGCGTACCGAAGAGAGCTGTAGTACCACCGAACCTGGAGAAAACACCAAATGATCCCACATTCTCTTTTGCTATACTGTTCTGCACGGCTGCGATAAAGAGACCTGCTCCTCCTAGAGCCACACTGGCCTTAAGAGCGGCTCCTATGGCATCTTTCGGGTGATATGTCTCCTCTACCGTTCCTACTTCTGGCAATTGAACGTCCATTCTTGTTTTCCTTTCCCTGTTTCAAGGTCGATGAGCTTGGATTACGGTTGTACCATCGGCTACTGTCTGCGCAGGCGTCGTGGTGTGCTCTACCTAGGGAAGTTGTGGGTCGACAAGGTCGTGTTGTGCAGTTTCAGTTAGTAGGAGTATCAATCCGCGACCAACAATCGATATAGAGGTGCAGTCCAGCTCCTTGGACCCACCGGAGAAGATAGGGCAAGCGCAGGCTAATCTTGGCAACGCATGCACCAATCTGCACTCCAGCGTCATGTCTATGAAGCTGAAGCATCAACTCCGGCACAATTCATTAATGGTGAGCATCAATGATACAGACATGTTCTGGTACTATACCACAGACATTCAACTCTAGATTCATCTTGACACACCGTGAACAAGCCCACCAAACGTGTTGGCATGCACTGAAGTTGTCTCATCCAGTCCCAAGCCAACCTTGCATTGGGCTCGCTTTTCATGCACCCGGCTTCGTGCCTAGCAAGACTGCGTAATTCATCAAATGTACATCTTGAGCTGCTACACATATTACTGGAACTAACGGAACACGTCCTCGCGATTGAAAGCACTCATGTAGCACATCGTTTTGCCCGATAGTAATCAGCTTGCGCATGCTTTCTATCAGTAGTTCAGTTCTTCCATCACCACAGCCTTCTGTCTCCTCTTCACGCCTTTTGCATGGCTAGCTCTCAAGCCAATATTCGCAACTTCATCGCGCCGCTGAAGGGACCAGGTAGTTGGCACCTTCTGTTGGAAAAGTACATCGTTACTGACGCACCAGGCAGGCCGAAGTGCTCCATCGTTGCTTGAAGACCTCATCCTCTTCGATCCCAGACTCGATTTTAATCCTGGCTACAATCTGCTAGAAGATGGCCCACGTAACTTCTCCGAAGCACCATATATTGGGCATCTGCTGCCTGAAGAGACCTGCGTCCATGAATTCTGGTTGAAGAAGCGACAATCTGCTCCGCCAGCAATCGACGAAAGACCAAGCTCAGTCTCAATCTGGCAGGCTGCAGCAATATGTCGACGATGTCGCCTGCATCTACTCCTCACTGCCGACTACACTGCAGCATGGCAGGACGAGCCTTGCCCCACGTGGCATGATCCTCTCCATCATCTGGTCAGATCGACGTGGCGGCAGGACGATGCTCGTAGAGAGCTGCTGAAGAGTAGTGCACATACTACAGACCAAATATACGTGTATGAATGTTCTTCCAAGAAATGTTCTGCTATAGTCACTGTGCAATTGAGCCCTCCAGTCTTCTCAGACGAAGACTTGCACATCCTGTTAGATAAAGAGCTCTTGCGCAAACGAACAGCTGCAGCCTTTCAGTCTAAACAGGGCCACACTGAGGGCATGAAATGGCCCACTCCTCTGGATGTCCTGGTCGACTTGCGTGCTTACTTCAGAAATTCTTGGGTCAGGCAAGCGTCCACTGCCATAAGTTTGGACAACAAACGCTTCGTAGTCCGCTTCGGTCCTGAAGGTCAAGCATGCCACGATGTGCTCGAGAGGCTTGGTTTCCAATTCAAGGTGAGTTGTATCTGCTAGAACACAAGACTGCTCAAGCTAATGAATCAAAGCCTGGGGAATCATGGGTGGTACCTCAGCCTTCTGCCACTGATTCGCTTCCTCTGCGACAGGCACACAACGTGTTTCTGGATAATGTCGAAGTTGAGCTTGATGTCTTAATTGCAAACGGACTAGACGAGGAGAAAGCCGGGTCCCAAGATACAACAGTACCAGAGCCAGCTATGCGTCAACTGTCGCGTGTCCTGGGTTGTCAGAATTGTTTGTTATTTGTTTGTTCCTGGTATGGAACCTTTCACTGACGACGTCCTCCAGACGAGCAGATTCCATCATCGCGAACAACCCAAACACATCCCCTTCACAGAGCAAGGTGCGTTCAACTCTTCTTAGTGCTGTGCTACATAGTAATAACTTGCTAGACCATTCACCGTGCTAGGCATACCAGAAAACGCTAGTGACGACCTGATAATCTGGGCTTATCGACGGCAAAGCATGTTCGAAGATGAAGATCCACAGCAGATAGCAGTGCTGATGACAGCGCTCGAGGATATTCAACGACAGCGACAAAGTGAGAAGTTGACCGCGCAGGTAGCGATCGAACGTTCTGTGGGTCGATATGGTCAACAAACAATCGCTGACGCTTACCGCTCACTGGGTCTGTCCCCAAGCGCAAATGACGGTGATAGCATTATTCTCGGGACTTTCCAATCCCGCCTATCTGATGCACCTGCACAAGAACAAGAGATGCGTGAAGCTCTAGCCATAATTGGGGATTATCGCAAAAGCCAGGTTTTGGTTGACTTCGCCCGCAATATGATCACAACCTACGAAGACGCACTCAGATACCTTGACGTCGATACAAACACAGATGATAGTTTCGTGACGTCTATGTTCACGACTAAGATCAATGACAACGCTTCTACAAGGGATATGGCTGAGAAAGCTTTACGCTTCATCGCGGACCATCGCAACAGCGACGCTCTCAGGTCTTTTATCGCAGCTGGCTTTCAGGGTGATGTCCAGCAAGGCAGCATGGACATAGGGGAAGCGTTCTCGTTGCTTGGAGTCGAGGACCGAACCCTCGAGGACGACACTTTGTTCACTGTTTACAACTTCCGGATGGAAGACGACACAGCCAACCACGGGCGGCTACGCCAGGCCATCGAAACAATCGCAAAGGAAAAAGATAGTGCTTTTCTGAAATCCAAGCTGGGAATGCCTAGCGCAGATCAGTCTTCACCATCGAAACCCCTACTCAGCGAGCCTGTGGGTCTCAGCAATATTGGCAATACTTGCTACCTGAATAGTTTGCTTCAAGTCCTGTTCACAATATCCGCCGTTCGAGACATCGTACTCAATTTCGACGATTTCAAAGACGACCTGCAGAACGTTAAGACCAAGAGGGTAGGCAATCGCAAGGTCGATGTGAAGGAGATCAAGGACTCGCAGAGCTGTAAGTGCTTCGAAGATGTTGTACTGATCATACTAACTAGACTAGTCGTGGTATCACTTGCTGAGCTCTTTCGTCAAATGATATCCTCTCCTACTTCTGCGGTCCAGCCAACACAGGAACTGGCGACGTTGACCTTGGAGCGCAGTCATGCTTCGAAGGAAGAGAAGGAAGCTCGTCGGAGGTCGACACTGCAGAGCCAAAGAAGACCAACGCTAGGCATGATAGACGACCGACCAGTCTTTGGACCTGTGCCACAGGTAAACCTCGATGCTGACATAAGTCAGCCTTTGCAATCTCCTGAAGCCATGGATATATCTGCCGAAGGACCGCTTCTAGAACTAAAACCTTCAGCTGCAGAGGATAGCAATTTGGAGCTCGAGACACACCCACGGCAGACCGAAATAGATACAGATAACGCAAGCGACAGCACACTGATTTCACAAGACGGATCACCCAAATCAAGTGCCACTACTGAAGGAGACAAACTTACTAACGGAGACACTACTGAATTAGCAGTTGAGAATGTGCCACTTGCTTCTGCCGAAAAGCAAGTTGTTATCAACGAAAGCCTACAACCGCAAGCAACCCACCCTGCCTCAACTCAAGATATCACAAAGCCCCAAGAGCTCGTTGCTTCATCTCAAGAAGGCAACATCGAGCATTCGAACCAGAACATACCAAAGTACAAACCGCCTGAAGGTCCTCCTCCGATCCCTCCTCGACCTCAACCAAAGAAGAATGTACCTGAGTCTGAGCCGCAAAAGGCGACACTTGAATGGTATGCACGCCAGCAAGACGTATCTGAAGTTCTTAGCCACGCGATAGTTCAGCTTTCTTGTGCTATTCGCCCCCAGGGCACAACACCTCGTGGCGATCAGCGAGACGGAATACATGATACTTTCTATGGAGAAGAACAAAAGCACAAGTTGCATGGTGGAGGTACAATCCAGGCACCACTACCGTTTCAATATCAGATGATCCCAATCTATAACCAGCCTAAAGACTTGTACGCAGCCATGGACAATAGCTTTGATCCTGAACAGCTTGGCAGTACCGAGTTCTACACGACTATCAACTCCTTACCACCCATTCTCTGTCAACATCTTGGAAGAGTAATTGGTGTGTACGAGAATGGCAAACCAATTCAGCAAAAATTGGACTACCACGTGGACATTCCGAGCACTCTATACATGGATCGTTACTTGGATGTTCCAGAGGGCGACACTCTGTTGGAGCGAAGGCAGCAAGCTTGGCAGTACAAGAAGGAGCTCAGGGCGTGCAAAGCTAGAATTGACAAGCTTGAACCAAGAGGTAGAGCACCTGTCGACGTAGCGCTCAATACAGCTGTGACCGTCATGCAGCATTTGGCCGAAGTCAACGCGCTGGAGAAGATGAATGACCTTACTGTCGACGCCAGTACTATCACGAAAATGACAGACCTGGCGCAAAGAGTCCGCGAAGAGCGTACTAATCTCAAGCAGCGGATCACCATCCTCGAAAAACAAATCAAAGATTCCTTTACAGACGCTGCCTTTCGCAAACACGAATACAAGTTGCACGCAGCATTCTTCCATCGTGGTACACCCCTAGGTGGCCACTACTGGGTCTATATCTACGATCATGTCAACGAAATCTGGCGGAAATACAACGACTCATACGTCACGCAAGTCACTAACCTCAATGAAATATTCGGCAATCCCCAGGACGACCCGAACAACCCCAATCACTCCACCTCAGGCAGTCCCGCAAATCCATACTTCCTAGTCTGGGCCCGCAGCGACCGCATATCTCTCAAACAAGGCGAGCAAAGCATCGTGGAAACAGTGAAGCGCGATCCCGTAACTCCACCACCATCACAACCACCAACGACCACGACCTGGAACGAAATAGACGGCGCAATAACCTCCAGCCTCCCTCCCCTGGAAGACATCAACGACGAAAACATCGCAATTCGACCCCTCGGCACAGACACCCCACAATCCTCCCACCACGAATTCACCGGCCAACAATCTCAGATGTCGTACATGCCACCTGATTCAATTCGATCACAAGAACAACAACAGCAGCAACAAAACTTTGCGAACATCGGATCAGTGATGCAGCAGGGTCCTGGTCCGAGCCGACCCGTGCATGAATCGCATGATTCGTGGGAGGAGCAGCAGTTGAATATGGCGATACAGCAGAGTATGCAGCAGTCTGGGGAGGAGATGAAGGGGCAGAATGAGGCTGGGTGGGATAATAGTGAGAATCCGAAGATTTCGCGAAATGTGTGGTGAGAGGGTAGTGCTCGATGGGAAGATTTCTCGGAGGGTTGAAATTGGTGGGTTGGACATTTAGAGCTGTACACAGTACTTTGAAGGTGTCAGTGTGCAATGTGAGTTGAAGGTAGCTCGGGATTGTGGGCATGTGGCATGATGTAGCTCTGGCCTGTCGAGCAACCGCACCTCCAGAATTGGTGTTACCACTGGCAGCTCAGAAGGGTGTGAAAGAGGTGCTAAGCTGCAGCAATCTTGTTCCCATAAGCAATATTGTCTGAAGCACTCTTCAGCATATGCCCACTCAAAATATGTTGCTGCTCACCGAAGTCCCTGTGAGTACATGAGCTCCTTCTACCTTGCGCCACGCCTGCTACAATCTACGAAAAAGCACCCCAAAACCACGCTGGCTATGAACGCAACAAATCCACTGTCCTCGTAATCGCCCACACCAGCTCTATCCCCTCCTCCCATATCTGATTATGTTTTCCTTTCAACTCTACGAGTTCGCACCTGCAGTCATCCTCTGCGCCGTCTCTATTGAAGACCTTTCTCATCTCCTCGACCTGATCCCAACTTACTAGTCCATCGTCTCTACTATGTGCTAGGACTACTACTTTTCTCCTCGGCTTGTCGTTGCGACTATCTTCCACTTCTATCCATCGCTTTCTGTACTCGTGTAGAGGATATAGTGCTGGACTCGCCTCCTCGTATGTTTCCGGACTCATGGCGTTCCTCGTCATATCCTCGTATCCTGGGTTCGTCCTGTGAATTAGTGGATAATCGTAGATTCCACTGACTCCCAACACGGCACATGGCGGTGCGATTGTGTGTTCAGAGGCTTGTAGTGCGGCGATGAATGCGAGGGTTGCGCCGACTGAGTGTCCGACTAGGATGTACCGTGTTGAGCCTGGGTATGTTTTGTGTAGGTGCTGGAGGGCGAGGAGGATGTCGTTGGGCTGATTGGGCCAGCGTGCGTTGTTGAGGGTGTAGCTGGGTGTGCTCTGGGGGTCTTGTGGGTATGCTGGATGGGGAGAAAGGCGGTAGTTGAGGGATACGTAGCCGGCGATGGTATCGGTGGCTGTCGTTGAGAGCTGGGAGTGTGTTGTTGTGCTTGAATTGGAGCGTGGTTGTGGTTGGGAGTGGGAGTTTGCCTCCTCGAGGAGTATGATAGCGGGTCTGAAGGATGTACTGTCGACCTTGGGGTCGCGGAAATAGCCGCCGTGAATGTAGACTAGCCAGTATTTGTCTTTGTCTTCGCCATTAGAATCACTGCCGTCGCGCTGTGGTCGAAGCACATCGTAAGACTGAAGGATGTTGTCGCTGGCATATTGATGACGCCTCACGTCTCGGAAGAGATCAGTACCGCTGGCGTCCATCATGCCATTTGCGAAAGGCGACAAAGTAGGCGTGTATGCTGGTGGTGCCGATCCAAGGGAGTACCCTGCTCCATCCAGGACAAGAATTTTCTTGACTAAATCGTCTTCCTTTTCATCAAAGTGTTGATGGTTGGTCTGCGAAGGATACCTGATCGCGTTCTGTGGTTCACGACTTGGAGGCGATAGGTATAGAGCTGAGTGGGATTGTTCTGTAGCTTGATCTTTCAGATATCTACCCACTTTGCGGAAGGCTGAGCCAACCTTGCCAGAAGATTTCTTGTGCTGTTGGTTATCAGCTTCTTTGACGGCGGAGGCAGTATTAGCCATGAGCATGAAAAAGCTACGATGATGAAACGCTCGAGTTCGGATACAGTAAGGCTCGAGCGATTAATGCAGACTTTCACCGACAAAATATGCAAAAGGCAAGGTGTCACAGAATTTAACAACTTACAGAATCAGGCTCGTAGCTCCTTATCGCAAATTATTTGATTTCACGTGGCTTATCGATCAACATCAACGTTGACACAGCAGCATCAATAGATACATGTTGGGATTACACGAGTGAGATGTCAAATCCTCTGGTGTGGATAGGCTCAAAGTATAATTTTCTGTGGCGGAAAGGCCGAATGTCGGTCCTGGGCCATCTCAATCAGCACTAAACCTTTCCTGGCGATTGATGTTGCTGCTTGCTCATCTCTATTCTAAAAACCTCGCAGAGTCTGTCGGTAGAATCCAGATTTTTGTCAAAAAGCTGAATAAGCCTCGATATGGCATATGCCTTTACTAATGTTCAAGACTGGCATAATTTTCATATGACCAACATGATCTATGCCATAGCAAGCTGCTCGGTATACGGTGAATACCGGTCTTGGCTACAAATTGGTCGTGCCTAGACAACAATCGTGGTGACACCTCACATGATGTAGAGTCGTTCTTCCAACTTCATTAATCAAAAAGGTAAATGAGGCCTTTTGTACGGATTGAATTGCTCCTTTCGGGGCTGCAGCGATGGACATGGTAATAGAGGTTCAAGATCGACACTTGAAGACGCGAGCGGCCATGTCCCGTCGGGAGGCGCTAGAACGTCAGAACAACTGATACTCGGTTCTAGATCATATGGACGCCCAGGAGGTGACCTGAAGGGTGCTGTCGTTACCCGATCTGGTGCAATAAAGTGTTGTCTCACGGCTTCGTCCATCTGCGCAGTCTCTAGAAGCTGCAAATCGAACGCGTCCAGTCCCTCTCTTCTCGGAACGCTCAAACAACTACCATATTGATGATGCATGCCTGGACCATGTTCTGCGGTCCTCTTAAGAGCTGTGATCGCTGCCGGTCTACCAAACCCCTCAGCATCTTCATACAGTGGTGAGACATTATCTTGCCGACATTGTCCGGTAGAATTTGTGACATGCAACGTACTAGTTGGTCGTCCGTACACTGCTTTATCATAATGATCATAGGGTGGGAAGAGGTTCGAATTGTTGCGGCGGCCATAAAGTTGTGGAAATCGGGATACAACATCGGATGCTCGAGGAGTATGCTGGGTCAAACGATAGAGCCCTGAGTGTTGTGAAGGTTCGACATCGTAGACCACATTCTTGTCGAGCGCGTATTTCACATGCCTGGGTCCGGAGTATGCGGGAATGTCTTCAGCTTGGCTGCCAGGTTCGTACAGATCTGCATAGAGCTCGAAGTTGGGATAAGGTAGTGAATCAGGCGCGCGACATGCCCGGCTTTCCGATAAAGGGTAAGAAAAGGGGGTGTATCTCACACCACCCGTCCTTGACGTCACATTCTCATCATGTACTGGAGTGTCAGGGATGTATTCGGCTGGCGTGCATGGGGCAGAAAGCTTGTCTGTACCAAAATCACGTTCGTCAGTATACGAGTTCCTCTTTGAGGACCCGTGGCGTCTGTGTTCGCGTTCAGGCGCATTCTCATAGAGCAGCTTGTTGGCAAACATCCTGTAGTATTGACTGTTGATGCTGCTGTCAGCGTCGATGCTCCCTGATCGCCGACTGCTGGGACCGTGTATTTGATGCAGTTGTAGCGGCCTCTTGCGTTGTGCACTATCACCAGGTTTCATTTGCCTGGTATGTGCACGCTGCTCCTGAACCCTCGGAGGACGGGGTGGCGAAGTCGACCACGACACGTCTGATGTTGTCAATTCAGCCTTTTTCTCCGGCGGCACGAAATCATGCACCCTTGACTCATTAGAATTCCTCTGCTAGAGGCCTTGTCTAGCATGACTGGCGTCCAATGCGTTGTGTGTAGGACCAGAATGTGTGCGAAGGGGCGCAGGTGGTGATGGCATGGCTTCGACGCTCTCTGAATCTGTGGAAGTATGAGGCGGGACTTTCTCATGCTTGTTCAACTTCGAGGCGTAGTCGTCTTGAGTAAGCTTCCTCTTCTTTCTCCGCGCATCTTGCTGTCTTGCTTGGCGCATATGCAGCTTCGCTGTACTCGAGCTCACGTCATGTGCTGGGGTCGTCAGAAAATCCATCGTCGGGAAGGTAAGATCCGCTGTATCACGACCAGCAAGCGGAGCGGACGTCTTACTTCGACTGAAACCAGTGTTGACATCCGGTTTGAGTGATACACGGATAGAATGAACGTTGTCTGCACGAAAGTTTTCGTGCGCTGAAGGCACGCCTTTCAGTTTTGTTGGGTTCGTTCCTCGTTTCTTGGTCGACCTGTTCTTCGGCTCGAGGCTGCCTTTGTATTCGTACTTGTCCGCTCTAGTCCTGTGTCTCCGTCGCTTTGCATATTTCGCGGTGGGGTCGAGTGCTGGGTCATCTTGCGTCTCAGCAATACCTGTGTGGTCTGCGCAGTGCGATTTCGAAGGGTTGTTGCTTAAATGCTCAGGGCTAGAGCAGTTAGCGCATCGCCAGCAAAACAGACAGATTGGTCGGCTGGCTTACCCGCCATCGGTGTTGCGCGGTTTGACAGGATCTGATGTATCGCCGTTGTTTACCTCTTCGAGCCAGTTCTCAACGTGACGTCGTTTCTGCTTGTCGTGCTCAGGTGTGGTACTCATTTTCTAACCTCATTGTAATCTGGTGGTCCATTGTATAGGCATTCATCTGTGTACCTCCTACCGAGTGTCCCTATTGTGCCTCGTTCTTACTCCAAACAAACATGAGGAAAGCAATCGCGTCCCTCGCGGCGCCATGGGACAACTCGGCAGGAGCGACTCATTAAGCCAGTAGCGACGTTCTCAGCGTGTGAGTGAACCCACAAGTTCCAAAGATGGATTGTGCGCGTGACAATCACAAAGCACTGGTAGTAAAGGACTCGAACAGGATCAAGTCGAGTGCGACAGCTACCAACAGCACGTGGTCCTTGGGACCCAAAGAACTGGCGATTCTGCAATGTGCCAGTTATGGACTGCCAGTGACATCCCGGTAGCTATGCAAGATAAGCTTTGTAGTCAGATTCGCTGCTTGTCATGTAGAATTGCATCATAACTAAGCCCTACGATGCCCTGCATATTATTCTCCGTGTTGACGGGCAGACACTATGGGGCATACAGCACTTGATGGTGAACCAACAAGGAGAGATCGAATAAAAGAAATTGTACTAACGCTTATAGTGTCTGGCAGCCATATGGCGTTCACTGCTGTGACAACCGAAACGTGCAATACTCACGCCAAGGCCACTGGTTCGGCACTTCGCAATTGGGGTACTAGCATTCCTATCTCACAAATCCAAGCGATGCGACACGAGAGGGGTGTTTGTGGAGGGGTTTGTTCTCGCTCCATGATGTCTTCATGCAACAGAAAGTGATTTAACGCCGAAGTTTCAGCCCACGTGAACTCAATTGCTGCCGAAGCCTTGATCCAGACCGAACCCACCCAGAAATGTACAGTGTTGTTACGCCCTGCCTAGGTTGTTACTCAAACCGGAAGACGTGGAGTCTGAACATGCTTGATTGAGCTGTGACCACTTGACCTTTGTCCATGCTCGCAGAATCCATGTGGTTGATCTCGTCATAACATCAGGGCTGTTGCCAGCCAGAAGCTCTAGTGTCGATCAAGGTTAGGACAGGGGATGGAAAAGTGCCTAATTGCACTCAAGAACTTGAGATCCACCACCTGGGACTTATTCACAGCTGAGTGGGGTCAGGTTCTTTGACCGCGTTGAGGCTCACGACGTACATGTGGACAGAGGAGTGCTGTACTGTAGATGCTCGATGTCCGCTAGATTGCTTTTCCGTACAGGAACATTATACGTGGCCATGAAGAACCAACAAACTCGTTTCGAGTGGGATTGAGGCTTATCCTGCATCCACAAAGTCATGGTACTTTGTTGCGGAGAGTTGGAGTATATCGCTGAAACAGGTTTGTGGTTGCTATTGAGGTCACTTCTGTGGTCGCTCATCCACTCAAATAGCCAAGCATACTTTACGTGAGCTATGAGGAGAGCCACCGCTGAAGTCCCGAGAGTTCGTGATATGCTGTATCATCCGCAACGCCACAGTATTCTTTAAGACGTCCTCAGCCAGTGGATTGATGTCTCCTTTCGTCAGAGTCGAGATAGCATCGTTTATACCTTGAGGCCTTACCCCATGGACACTCACTGTCCAACCCGCTTCTGCTACTGTATGCACTTTGTTCGTCAAGTTGCATTACTGGTTCGGCATATTTCCAGTATGTCCATATTCTGCAAACGTGCCTATGCAGACCCTGAACCCGATATGAAAGCATTCTGCGATCGGCCTTGCGTCAAGTGGTAAGGCAGCGGCATATTCGCCGTTGCCTCATCCGAAAACTGCAGCCCAATATGTCTTCTGTCTGCTGTCGTAGTGGTCAAGCTCTACAAATCTCTGCGGTCTGACCACTTCGACGGCCTTGACACTAATCATTCGCTTACCGTTTAGTCATTTTTACTTGTCCTTTCAATCTGCTACTCTGCTAGACGTTGAGAGTTTCTGACACCTTTCTTATCTGGCATCTGCAACCTTGAAACAATGTCGCAACTGTCCACTACCAAGTTGTTCATAGGGTTTGTCTTCGCGACCACATGATCCAAAGGACACAAACGAACTAACGTGCTATAGTGGCCTTGCTTGGCATACCAGTGACGAGACATTGAGGGAAGGTTTTGAGCGACATGGCCAGATTGAAGAAGCTGTAATGTTGCACAGAGCGTTTATAAAAAACACAAAGTGCTAACATGGTGTGGTAGATCGTTGTGAAGGATCGCGACACGAATCGCAGTCGAGGATTCGGGTTTGTACGTTTTGCCACTCCCGCCGAAGCTGAGAATGCGCGCAACAAGATGAACGATGCCGAGTCAGTCACACTCCGTGCAATGGCTAGCGTCACTGACTCTCATATAGATTTGACGGCCGTACCATTCGAGTAGACTATGCTCAAGAGTCTAGTAGAGGAGTTGGAGGCTCACGAGGTGGCGGACAAAATTCAAGAGCTGGTTACACAGGCTTCGGCGGACGTGGAGGCTATCCGAGTGGAAGACGATACCCACAGAATCCGCAAGGTGGGGGTTTTGGTGACCAGCAGAACCAAGGGACAAGATTCGGGCCACAAGGCGAACAATAGGGCCATGCACAGTGCCTAATCGGTCCATGTCAAACCATTCATATGGTATTCTCCTGTCAGCTTTGTATCTTACTCGTTCGCAGCTGGCAAGTTTGAATTCAGGTTCTTGCGATACGATATGTGCCGCAATAGAAGGATTAGTCCTCCTTTTCTATCTCTTCCTGCTCCTCAGTAGAAGTCACCTTGTGCATGCCCTGCATCTCGACCTGGTGATAGGCAGGCGGAACCTGCATGGGCGTCATCGCGCGTACACGTCGAGCAAGATCGCTCACGTGAAGATCTTTACTGTCAGGACTCAGTTGCAACAAGGCAGTTTCAAGATTGAATAGATACTCCTGATTCTCGCCACTAGGACCCCTGCTCTCGTGAATCTTGGACGCAACATCGTGTGGGTCTAGTGCACCCAGAAATTGGGGATTGTCTGGCATACCAATGTAGACCATACATTTGATATCTGGTTGTGTTCTGTCGGCTGGATGGAAGGGCGTGTGTTGGATACTGTAACCATTGATTTCTCTTATGTCTAAGTATTCCTGGACTTCCTTGACCTTGGACGGAATGATGTGATAGGCGGCACCCCAGACATAGTCCTCGGCCTCGGATTGATGCTGCGATCGAAGTCAGCGAAGTCCTTCTCGATTTGCACGGCCCTGAATACTTGGTCAGTTAATGTCTCCCAGAATGACCTTTCTATCAATGTGACGACTCGGCCTGGAGCCTCGGGAGTGCCCCGATGATCTTCACTGGGGCTGGTAAGCTCGTGTTGATTTCCAGCATGGTATTGCTGTAGCTACCTAGCCTTCTAAACCTCAGCCATGATATCCAGGACGGAGACCTGATAAGATTGTACTCATACCTGCCAGAATCGTCGCACATAGCCCTCGACGTATCCCTTTCAGAAGCGGATTAGAGCAGTCAATCAGCTATGACAGCAACCAGCTTACCGACACTCGCCGATCTACTGGAAGTAAGCACCAAAGCAGTGTAGGACAAAAATACTCATGCTTACCAAAATGTGGTGGTGGCTTCCATATCAAGCTTCTAATTTAGGATCAGAAACATGGCCTGACAGCGTATATTGCGCCTACCCGTAGCCGAACAGCCAGAAATCGTGATCCATTGAGCACTTTCGAGTAACGGAATTGTGAAGTGTCTGGCGGCCCAGAAGCAAGAATACAACAAGGACTTGGTTAAGATTGTTGATGGTGGTGCTTTCAAGGTTGAGTGCTGCATGCAAGGATCGACAAGACTCCCTGCCATGAGCTTCTAGATCGGCTCGGCACGATTAGATGCGAGGAAGCCAATCTACTGTGCTAGTAGCTTCGACTGCACGAATACGATCCCTGGAGCTTGTGCACCATGAGCACGGCTGTCCTTTCGTCTATGCGCAGCCTCTGACTGACACATTGTTCTTGTCAATGACATAAGCTACTCGAGTACTAGAACAATCGTCTGAAATCGAGCAACGTTAGTCTTACTGTTTAAGGACAATTGCGGAGAACAGTTCCGAGTAGGCGGTCGCGGCACAGACAGCTGCAATTGCCACAAATTCCGCATGTATGATTGACCTTCTTCCATACTAATTCGTCCATGTCTCTGCACGGATTGAGACCATGGCCGCGGCAGATGCTTATGGACTAACAAACAAGAACGGGCATGACGACCAACTTCTCCTCCAGGCCAAGGGACTTTTTGCGGCAGAAAATTCGCCTGCAGCTGCGTTTTGCGAACTTTGGCAGTCAGCCTCAGATTTACCCCAAATCAAACGAGCTTGCCACGATCTGAGCTCTTCATATTGTATAGAATGCGTGTTACCTAGAGAACTTTTATATGCGTGAACCCCTTTCATCATCACGTTGTCCCTTCTAAATCGTATACAGAGACAAGTTAGTCGTTCTAACAAATTGGCGAAGACGCTCACTTGGACCAACCCCGCCTGCAGTGGCTTGCGATAGATGGCTTACAATAAGACCTTCAATCCAGATGCGCTACCCGCGTAAGGACATTGTGTGGTTCCAGTCCTTGCGAGCAATGCGACTTATACAAAAGATAGGCATGCGGAACCCGATCAAGCTGCACAAGCACTTGGACATTTCTCGATAAAGCCACAACAGCAGCAGCCGCAGCAGCAGCAACAGCACAAACCTTTACCACGTCCGACCCATCATGCGAATCCACCTCCACGATTAGGCTCGCCTGGTGGGCGACGACCGTCCCCAGCAGCATATGCGGCGCAACAGGCTTTCCGGCCACATAACCTACAAACACAGCACAGTCACAATCATGGGTACAGCCAGCACCCTGATCAGAGATATTTGCAATCACCACCACCGCCTGCAGACTATGGACAAGGCTTGAGACCACGGCCACCACCGGCAGGATATGGAGCGTTACCGTCCCAGCAGGTGCAGGTGCCTCAACGTACCATGCCACCACCAGACGCAGATTCAGCAGACCTATATCCTTTGTTTCGAGCTGCTAATGCGTCAGGAACGGGCTCGCTTACTGTGTCAGAGCTAGGATCTGCACTCGTCAATGCGGATTTCACTCCTTTCGATCCTCTCACTATAAGATCCCTAATGAAGATGTTTTCGACTACACCACTGGATCATCCTCACGGGCCTGTTGTGGTCTTTAGTGAATTTCAAAGCCTCTGGAGATTTTTAGCTGCATGGCGACAGCTGTTCGAGCGATTCGACGCAGACGGCAGTGGGAAAATCAGTCTGGCTGAATTCACGAACGCGCTCGTAGCATTTGGATATCGACTTTCACAGCCTTTCATTGAAATACTCTATGCGACATTCAACAACAGGGCGTCGGATCGGCGCGATAGTAGTCGCTACGGAATGAGCTTCGACTTGTTTGTGCAGGCGTGCATACGCTTGAAGAGAATGACTGACGTTTTTAAGAGCTATGACGATGATCGAGACGGGTATGTCACGCTATCTTTTGAAGAATTTCTTTCAGAAATTCTCAAATTGCAGCAAGAATGAGACTGTCATCAATATCAATATCTCCACATTTCGCAGTTTATTCAAGCTCTTTAATATTCTAGACCATCCTCCAATGCTTCGAGATGCTTTCTACGGTAGCTGCCGGAAACAGCAAAGTACAGTCATGATCTAACCACGTGGATCTCAGATGCAGCACAACAGATCGAGGAAATGTTGTTCTCGAAGCCCGACTTACACTCCACAATTCATGTAGCTTCCTGTTCTGGCCACATGGTTTTCGCTTCATGCGACGTACTTGCCTTTTTTGCGCGGGGTGAACGTCGATGGAGTTGGCGGGTCAAACTCAAGGAGGGACGTGCCAACTGCGACGTGAAAGTGCTCTGTGCTGCGCATTGACTAACTGGTCGTTTTCGTGCTTGCTCCTACAGGAGTGCTTCAATACGCTGTGTAGAATGGATAATTACGGAACGATTTGGCGCAGCATCTGCAGCACCTTCGGCGAGGCTTCCAGCGAAGTAACCTCACGAGCTTCAGCATGCACTAGTGAAGCTGGGGTCCTATCAAGCCCACGAACCGCCCTCGAGAATCATGCAGAAGTGCTTGTTGCTCCGCACGCTGAACTTTCTGCCCTAAAAGAACCGTCGATACTCTAGACTGAAACGCCTACCGATGCCGACCTTCATACGAAATCTGCTTGTGACACCTTCTGTTCGCCGTGACCAGCCCTGTCGCCGTACTATAGCACGTATCGGCTTATTGCTCGATATTCACCGCCTCGTGAACAGTACCTCATCCGACCTCGATCATCCTTGAGAACCACTTACTCGCAATTCAACCAGGCGGGCACAATCCCGGGCGTCTACTCCGTTACCAGCTCATTCAAATCGCAACCATCCACGATCTGCAGATATTGTACGACCGTTGCGCCTGCCTCGCCCTTCAAGCAGTTCTAGGTGCAAACTCATTAGACGTGGCTTGCATGAAGTGCCAACAATAGCCAACTTGAATACCTGCTTACGGAAACACGCTGGATCAGTCCTCAAAGGAGAAATAGCCGACGGAGTCGGAAAGCTGCAGATGAGGCTCACACAACATGGCTTCCTTCTTTGGAAAACTGAAGAGCAACACAGACAGTCGCAATGCCAGCACCACTTCGCCGGCAAAGGTTAAGCCGGATCTCAATGCCCTCCCGATCACACCTTTACAACGCATGCTGGAAAATGCTGGCCCTCTACGATCCGATGGCAGCGACAAATTTTGGGGAATGGAGAATGTGAGTGTATGGCTGCAAATCTGTTGACCTGCTGCTGACTGCGATACCTAGTTTGGCAATACATGGTACGCTGTTCCTGGGACCTATATCGACCACAATGATTGCTGATTGTGGTACAGCTATTGCAACTCGATAATGCAGTCTTTGTACTATTCAGTACCATTCCGAGATACCATACTATCATACCCAGAGCGCTCTACGTCCGAAAGCATTCTTAAAGCTGCTGCTGCCGCCCCATCAAGACCGAAAATCCCTCCACCAACCAAACCTCCTGTCCAGAAGCCCAATGTTGCTGTTCCACAAGCCCAGCAGAAGCAGGAAGATAAGGATTCGCCAGAATACAAAAAGAAACAGGCCCTTTTGGCTGGACCAATATTAAATATGAGCTACCAAAATGGGACCACTTACCAAATGCCAGACTCATTATACAGCTCAGTCAAAGACATATTCGAGGCTGTCGTGACAAATCAAGCACGGCATGGAATCGTTAGCCCCAGCAAGCTGGTCGAAGTCCTTAAAAGGGACAACGAGTTGTTCAGAGGTCAAATACACCAAGACGCCCACGAATTCTTTAACCTTCTGCTCAACACTATGCTAGACAACATTGACGATTTCGAGAAGAAGAAGATAGCGGCGCAGCTTGAGCAGAAGAAGACAGAAGACGAGCAGACTCTCAGGTCTCCATCCGAGGCAGGCACTGTATCCTTTCCTTCCCTACTCCCAACCGCACCACCATCTCCAACCAAATGGCTACGCGATATGTTCGAGGGTACATTAACCTCTGAGACTCGATGTCTTACTTGCGAAAATACCTCTCAGCGCGATGAGCCTTTCCTCGACCTTTCTGTCGATCTCGAACAACATACATCTGTTACCTCGTGCTTACGTCGTTTTTCTGAGGAGGAAATGCTCTGTGAACGGAACAAATTTCACTGTGACAATTGCGGTGGTCTACAGGAAGCAGAGAAGAGGATGAAAATCAAAAAGCTACCAAAAGTCCTGACTTTGCATCTCAAGCGATTCAAGTACACTGAAGACTTTGGTCGCTTACAGAAGCTTTTTCACAAGGTCGTCTACCCTTACCATCTTCGACTTTTTAATACAACCGACGATGCGGACGACCCAGATCGGCTGTACGAGTTGTATGCTGTGGTTGTACATATTGGTGGAGGGCCATTCCATGGGCATTATGTGGCAGTCATCAAAACACAGGATCGTGGCTGGCTGCTCTTCGACGATGAGATGGTTGAACCAGTCGACAGAAGCTATGTTAAGAACTTTTTTGGTGACAAACCTGGTCTTGCGACTGCCTACGTCCTTTTCTATCAGGAGACGACTATCGAGGCGATTCGCGCGGAGCAGCGACGAGAAGGTAAAAGGCGGCCCTCCCAAGTTCTTTCAGCTGAGACGGCTAAAGCTCAAGAGTCTGCTGAGTTACATCAAGTCAAGAGTATCAGCCCGCCCAGTTCGCCTGTCGAGAACGGAGATTACATGGACAGTCTCGACCACGCACTCACTGCTCCTCCGGTCATCAATGGTCATATTGATCCATCACCTCGAACACAGGGCGAAACATCACCTCTCGTGCCGAGCACAGCTCCTATAATACAAAGTCCTCAAAGCAAAAAGGAAAAAGCAAAGGCAGAAAAAGAGCAGAAGGCTGCTGCGAAAGCTGCCGAAAAGGCCGCGAAAAAGGACAAAGAGCGCGAGGAGAAGGAAAAACGGTCCCAAGTACAAGATCGATTAGGTGAAGCCGCGCGACAGAACGCAGAACAGTTGAAGTGGGCCATAGAAGAATCTAAAAGATCCGCCCAGGAGGACGCGACACGGCGAGGTGAAGAGCCGCCTGCTCCGGCGGAGGACCTAAAGCAGACGCCTCCAACCAATGGCACGGGACCACCTACAAACTCAGCAATGGATAACATCTTCAAGAGATCCAAAAGCTTGCGATTCGGCAGTATCAGGAAAAATTCAGACAAAGAGAGAGAAAAGCTAAAGCCGGTAATAGATAGTGACGAGCAGGAAAATAGACCACAGCAGTTAAGAACATCTGGTGTACCTGCTGCTGCAACAGGCGAGTCGGCAATTGACGACACGCCTGCTGATCCAAGGGATGGAAAGGACAAAGAAAAAGAAAAGAAGAATCGCTTCAGTCTACGGAAAAAGTCCTTCAACCTGTTATCGTGAATATGGAAAGTCAAAAAGGGGATGCCTCATTTTGGCTACTATCAAGTAAAAGGTTGGACAATTTGCTTGTACATAGATAGAGGTTCAGTTTCTTGTTCACCTCCGTGTTGGATTTGGTGACAGAGAAGATTGGCTATTTGTTGTATATTAAGCAGAGCCCTGCGCCATGGTCATCGACAGATACCAAAAAGCTCATAAGTTCTGTTTTAACATTGTCTTAGCTGAGCAGTATCTTGTTGTCCTTGTATGCTCCTTATGCTTGTCCTTTGACCGAGTGAATGATACATCCGAAACAGCAGCTATCAGGGCATACGTATGACTCTTCACGTAGTTTCCGAAACTTCCAGCTGGTAAGCCTCAACTCTCATTCTCTCCTTAGGATAGCTGTTGAGCTTGTGTTGTTGAATGCATTGTACGAAGCAAACACGTCCTCTCGCTTTATGGTCTGGTTCTTCGAGTCCGATTCGAAAGTACGTTCTGATTGGGGAGTGGAAGTGCTCCCACAACGACAACAGAACAGTAGTCTGACTCGTGATAACTTCAATTCCTCTAGGTCATGGTCCCCACCATGCCAGACTCATTCCTCAAGTCGTCCTGACTGTAGCAGTTGTGTTCCTCATAAGTGTCTAGCTCGGACAGAGTCCGGTCAGATAGCTTGCGAATAACACCCTCATGTTTATCAATATGACCATTGTAATCAAATCTCTCTTCGTTGAACTTATCTAACACCCTTCCCTCATCAACCAAGTAATATCTCATACACAATAATCAACACATTCGCCGCTATCAGCGGTACCCGCGTCACCATCCGTATGCTCGATATCAAATTAACCAGTCTGCTCTTCACGGACTCGGGGTCCTGTCTGGGTCCGCCGAAGCCAACGTTTTCTTGTGCCATTGCTGAGCGTCCCATGCCTATGCGGGCTAGGAAGCGATCTTCGCTGAGGACGGCGATTGCGTTAAGGAGAAGGACGGATATGTAGATGAGTTTGCCGAAGCCGAAGAGGAAGAGCATGGTGGTGAGGGGTGCGGAAGAGCCTTGTAGAGGGTGATTTGCGTATTGAACTGGTCGAATGCGACTGTGTCTTTGGTGAAAGAAATCGTATTTGACCGAAGTTTCGGGCACAGCCAGTGTGTTAGCACATTTGACAAGGTGGACAGGCACCGCTCGTCGAATGTGCAACTGACCTCGAGTAATGTGACTTTGCTGTTGCGAGTAAAAATGTTGCGGTTCAAGCCAGATTGACGTGTAGAGGATAATCGGCCTGAAGATTCAGGCATTTACCTTCCACTCCCATTCGAAAGAGAGTATAGGGACTGCTTCAACCTATCCTTTAGATTGGTAGAGCTCTATCTTAAGCTCTTAGAGGAAATGGCATTATCAGTCTGGCAACTCTCGTTCCTTCTTTTCCCAGCAATCGCACTATTCCACCTCTACGTCTCTCCTTACACGAAAGTTGAAGAATCCTTCAATGCACAGGCTATTCACGACATCTTGGAATATGGCGTACCTGTCAATAATGCTTCTCTCAAATTCAACGAGCTCTTTGATCATATGACCTTTCCAGGTGCGGTTCCGAGGACTTTCATCGGCGCCTTGGTCCTGTCAGGACTTTCTAAACCATTAATATGGTTGCGAGGCTATCAGGGAATGGACGCCCAGATATGCGTTCGCGCTGTGCTAGGGGTACTGAGTAGCATGGCCATGGCACTATTTTCTCGTGCTGTTCATCGTGCTTATGGACCGATCGCGGCAACATGGTATGTAGTGTTACAGGCTAGTCAGTTTCATATATGGTACTATGCTTCAAGGACACTGCCTAATACCTTCTCCTTCCCGCTGAGTATGGATTCCTGATAGTTGTACACCACAGACTCGTTGACAATGGACAGGTACAGTTGGACTTGCATGTCTGTTACCTAATCCTACGTCCTCCCTCGGCAGAGTCAAAAGTATACGACTGGGTCTTTACTTAATGACTGTGGCCACTGTAATCTTCAGATCCGAACTGGCACTGCTATTGGGTACGCATTGTATATGGCTGCTACTCAAGCCGCAGACTTTTGATGCCAAAATCAGGCTGATACGCACCACTTTGGTCCCTGCGATCGTCCCAGGAGCGGTTTTGGCATTGGTCCTGACAGTCACTATAGACTCATATTTCTGGCAAGCCCGAACACTGATATGGCCAGAGTTGTCAGCATTCATATCAAATATATTTCCGACAGGTGATAGCCAGGGGGCCTCTGAGTGGGGCACTCAGCCATTCTACTGGTATTTCGTATCGGTCCTGCCACGACTGCTCACGAGCCAGCTCTTGCTCATCAGCCTCTTCTTCGTTATGCCCTCAGCCTGGGCAGATTCTCGAGTCCTTGATAACCTCGCACCCAGCTTCTCCTACATATCATTGTATTCGATCTTGCCACATAAAGAAACGCGCTTCTTATTTCCGGTTGTCTCGTCGCTGACGCTCATAGCTGCTCTGATGGCCACGAGGCTCACGGTTAATGCTTCGAAGAATGCACTTTACCGAGTCCTTTTTCTCGCCACTGTCGGCTCGACCTTGGTCACTGCTCTCTGCAGTCATGTAATTCTACTGCCGCTGTCAGCGAGGAATTACCCTGGTGGAGAGGCACTCGAAGTACTTCATGAATATTACTGTGAAAACTGGCAGGTTATTGTTGACGATATTGTGAAAGACAGGTCACAGCCTCAGGTTCGCGTCCATCTTGCCAATCTAGCACTTCAGACCGGAGTCACAAAGTTTCTTGAACAACCAAATTTTCCTACAGCTCTGGACAGTGCACTGTATGGGGTGGGTGCGGCATACCTCGACGTTGAGCGGCGAGATCCACTTATCCTGCCCGGGGATGAGCATCATCCTGCGCTGACCATTCGTCCAACGATACCTAGCCCATCGCCCGCCCTGATCAGGAAACGAGAATTGCTTAGAAGTCCCACTTGGGTGTACGACAAGACTCCTGAAGACACAAAGTTGCTCAAACCTGCTTTCTGGGACCAATTCGACTTTGTGATCGTTGAGCAACCTGGAATAGCAATAGGCGCGTGGGAGGTCGTACACGAGATCAAGGCCGTCGGAACGCCGAGGTTGGTCAAGTCAGGTGAACAGACTGTGAATGGGCCTGACGGCACAAAAGCACTTCTGCATGCCATGTATCCCGAGCCTATCGCATCCATCCTGGAAAGATTGCATAATATTGCTTACAGCCTTCTATGTTTGGGGAAACTCTCTCCGATCGGAAGCATCACAAGAGGCTATTGGATCGAGGTGCCACTTCAACCGAAGCTGTTCATCCTCAAGCGAGCAACTTCCGGTACCGTCCCCAATATCGGTGTGAGTGCATCGATGGGTAACGAAAAGCTTGCAGATACTCAACATGGTAGGGGTAGGTCACAGGAAGAGATACTCGAGTTACCCGATACGGCCTCAACCGATCAGAACCCCCTTTCTTTCAACAAGCTCGGACCCCTGGTTGTCAACAAGGATGGCACTCTGTCTAGACTCGAGAATTGGGAGCACATGAACGAACAAGAACGTAAGAAGACAGTTTCCTATCTCAAGAAGCGGAACATGCTCAGATTGGATGAGGCACAAGCTGCAATTACTTAGAGCTGAACTCGGAAATGCTCATGGTTGCTCAAGGCTCTTGCTTATTGCAAGTGCTAAGATGAGTTTGTCGATAGCTCTAAGTCGTGCTTGCCGTAACGCTTCACAGCAGCCTTGCATGACTAATTTGCAGATCACATGCACGGGAAGTACCATCAAATCTCTACGAGTAAACAGCAATCGCGAGCAACGATGGCTCCCTCCTACAAACCTAAAAAGGTATCCCTTACCTCAACAGCACCACTACAATTCAAAGTTCGGTGCATCTCGACGACTCGAACGACGAAAGTCTGAGAAGTCACCACAAACCTTAACATATTGTTTTCGAACGGAATGAAATCTTGGGATGCCAAGTACTTAGCGTGCTTCGCTACTCGAGTAGCATTATGTGAAGCAGTGCTTCATGGGCATGGGCCAATTCGAGTACGACTGATCAAGCATCGGCGACTCAATCCGGATTGCCCGAGCAGGTAAGAAGCAACAACAATGGAGTTTTGGACAAGAGATGAGGCTGAGTCCACTTCCTCTTCTGAGCACCGTTCCCATGCAATTGATGTATGCATACCGTACCAATGCGGTACAATACTGGTATAAGGACATATAAGGAATCACTAACATTCGGATAATGCATACTTGTATTGACTGCTCGTATCTGCTTAATAGCGTCCGGAAGCTCGAGCTGTTCCCCTGCAACGACCGGGCATTCTCTGCAACCCTTCAGATATAACGACCAATTACGGCGTTTCGTTCATCGGCTCTTAGTGCATGATCGACGTTATGGAGCTGTTGTTCCCCTCTCACGGAAGGGTCGCACCTGGAATATCGGCACACTAGCGTCGTTTCACATCCTTCGTATGCGCCACTGCCTTTGGTGAACGGATGTGGCGAATATAAGCGTGAAGCATTATACACAATCTTCCCACTTTGTACTGCTGTGGACAAGCCAGTGAAGTGGTTTAAGAACCCACACCATCGTTTTATGCTTAGGTTGCAATCTAGTCGACTTTGTTACAATCGAGTGAAGCGATAATGTCCGCAAACTCATTACCGTGAAGCTAGCATCTTATGTCTCAGCTTCGAATGTAGTCAAGTGCCAGAATGTGGTACACTGGTGTTGCTAGCCTTGCTCTATGTCTCTTCCACACCACGAACCTAGTTCAGTAACAATTATGTGGTGGATTCATTCTGAGGTTGCGATAGATGAGAAGAGTATGCTGGCCTGAAAGAGATTCAGGCTTCTGACAATAAGGTCTCTACTCGGGAAAACCCAGGCGTGAGCCCTGTACGAATCCCCAGCAGTGTGAACCTGGTCGCTGTTGCTTAGGCTCTATGCAGACCCTGAGGATGAGGAGATGCAGGTTTGTACTGTTACCATACATCGTGCAAGCTGCGCGGGCCCAACGATGTTGTGTGGGCACGACCTAACTAATACAGCCTCACCAATACTCGCGTAGGTAAGCGAAGCACAGTCCATTCGACATATTCAGGCACTAGGAAATGATCATCGTTTAGTACTCTTCTAAGAGACCGGAAAATAGACGCGCGTCGATCATTGGTTATCATCGAGATAGAATTCCATCCAAACGGTCACCACCTGACTCGTTCTGCCCCAACAGCTCGTCTCAGCCATCACTCAGCCAAAGTGTAACGGTAAAAGTCAGGATAGCAATTGTGCGCTAAGCCAAGACAAGTAGACCTTACTAACCCAATGCGGAAGGCCAATAACACGAAACACTACTGGTGACTTTGAGAATGCCGACAGTGGTGGTTTGTCAATTTCAGAGGCATCTCTTACGGCACATCTTGGGATCACTGAGCGCGATAGCTGTGCGCTAACGACGTAGATGGCGTGTCTGGTGGCTTGCAAGCCACCAGATTGTCTGATTCCACTTATGAGTTGGAGAAGATGACAGCAGGTCTGTGCATTCCCTCGAGAGGTCGCTTACCGTTCATTGGACAATGAATTTCTTTACCCGTTGTATCGTCATGACGCTAGGAATTGTCCAACACCTTTGCTCAGAGAGGAGGTTTGGCATTCTTCACCGAATGACCGGCCATATCCCGGCTTAGCTCGGCTCCTGCTTTCCAGCTTCCGGTTTTCCAGCGTCGAACTCAGCAGAATTGCAAAAAGCTTCAGCAAAACATGTGGAAGCTCGAGAAGAAATTACTGCTTGAGAAGGGTGAGGATCAATTTCGATACGAGCGGCATTTCTGAAGGATCTGTGTAGGTAGGACAGTCCTTGCATAGGATTGAATCACGGCTCGATTTCTTCTGCTAGGCCACTCATCCAATGGAGTTCTGACTATAAACATCCACAATTGGTTCTCCAAATATTGGTGAGCCTCTTTTGAGTATCCGACGTCGTTTGCATGCAGGGTTAGCTGCTGAGTCCATTCATCTTGAATTTGACCTATTCGGGCCAAGTTTCAGACCCACCAAAAAAGCCACCAACCTGCGACTTGGAACATGCTCTGCACTTGCATCCCTGGCGAACAACTGGATTATGATGATGTTAGTGACGCCTCAGGCTTGGCGCTCTGCCAAAGGGTCTCCTGCTTTCCGCAACCCGATGTTGTCGACTGACGCACATTCGCAAAGCTGTCCTCTAGTTTCGTCATCTCCACTATCCTTGTCCGCTCAGATCACCTACTCACAGACCGCATTTTAAAGCATTCCTGAAGAACAGAAGATACATCAAAAACTGTCAACTCTGCTGTCTATCAGTCTTATCCATATCACTTGGAAGACTTAACAACAAATCCACAAGCTCCAGACGTCGATCTGCCGCAAACCAATCAAGAAGGTTTAATTGAGAAGCTTAAGTGCTAATCATTTATCTTTGGAACCGTTTTGAGGCTTAGGGCTCTTCTCCAGTTACCGATACCACAAGAGTGCAGATCGGCAGCTGATCATATCTGATCCCTGACTTGGAGCCTCACGTCCCTCGACTTAGGTTTGCGGAGGCAGAGCATATCAACTCGCTGATCCCACTGATCAACTTGTACATCTGTTTGATTCTATCTCTATCGGCTCCGTTGATATTCAGATCTACAGGTCAACAGCTCCGGTTCGATTCTCGTGAGCACGCGCGAAAGCTTCTTGGAACAGCATCTGAACATCAACACCAACAACCGGACAACAATCCAAATGACTATGATACTCGATCATCCTAGTCGTCCATACGGCGGTATGGGCTACGACAGTAACATGTATCCTTCTATGCACGCCGCACCAAACTTCACAGATCCATGGGCACACCAAACCAGTAACCATGCACAAAATCGGTCGGGCTTGTTGCAATATTCACAGATAGGACATTCTCCTCCAACTTCAGCGCCTTCAGCATCAAACAGCCAATATGCTCCGCACCACCATGATGGATCACATTTGCTCAACCACTCCCACGACATTCCGAGACCGAGCGTGTCGTATGCCGACCAACAATATTCTTCCAGTGCAACAGCGCCATCATCATACTCGACCGCCTACCCATCATTGAGCTACGCACAATCTCTTCACCAACAACAGGCAGTCCAGCAACGAAAGATGTCGGAAGTGTAAGTGCTGAAATCAGATTGACATGACACAATGCTAACATAATCATAGTAGCAATGACTCTCGCGCCGCGACTGCCAGTTTTGGCGAACTAGATGCCTCACGCGGCATGCTGGCACTTAGTCACCAGAATCTGCAAGACTTAACTCCTCGCAATATTTACGAAGCGCGAGCTGCTCGCAGTTCCTCAGACTCTTACGGATTTCCACCAAATACATCCGGCCACTCTTCCATCTCTGCAGAGTCTGGACGCAGCTACCCTTACTATGGCAGCTCGGTGGGTTCCGTTGCCGACTCAGCGACCGACTACAGTTCTGCAGCCTCAGATGCTGGCTACGATCCAATGTCGAGGACACTACCTCGACCACAGCAATTGATGGGCGCGCCACTGGGCCCTCCAGCTCCCCAAACCATGATGGGTCAATTTTCCAGTAAAGTATCTGGCAACACACAGAAGAAACACAAATGCAAAGTTTGCGACAAACGCTTCACACGACCTAGTTCTTTACAGACTCACATGTACAGCCACACTGGAGAGAAGCCGTTCGCCTGCGATGTAGAAGGATGCGGTCGACACTTCTCCGTTGTAAGCAACTTGCGGCGTCACAAGAAGGTCCACAGGGGCGAAGGTGCTTCGGTGTCTAGTGCTTCCGATGCAGAAGACAACGCTTCGTCCTGAACATGCAGAGACCTTTGGACTTCTTTGTTTACAGTCAAGGTCTAGTCGAGTACCGACTCGCATTCAACGACTTTACGATATTATTATACCATTTGACGCGACGTCGTGTACGATTATGGGCCCTCCATCGAGGCACAGGTTCTACTTCTGGTGAAAAACAAATGGTTGTGGAGTATATGGTGTTTGTGGTGGTGAATTGTCAAAGATCTAGCAGTATTTACGCAACGATCTTGTTAGATTTGTTTTTGAGATACCCATTTCGTTCGTTTGGTACCGGAAAACTCTTGTCGAACTGTGATATAGACGGACAGAGCTTTGGGACAGTATGGGCAAACAAAAGAGCGCGTATCAATAGTGCTGGTTGAACGAAGCAAGATTTTACGGGATGTTCTGCATTGCGACTATCACCAAGAGTGAACAAGGAAGGCATGCATAGTTATCGTCATGTAGCTGCCTGAGAATAAATCAAGAACAAATCCTTTCATTCATGGCTCTGATTCATTTCTACTCATTCGTCATGACATCGTCGAACTTGTACTACTCACGTAAACTGTTAGTGATGCATGAAGACATCGTATTACTATATTATGTCATATATAACCAATTACCTACCTCGCGCAAATTCTCTTCAAACATGAACGTACACACCAGCACTACCTCTATTTTGTTCGTGAATGATGTCTGTGGCGCCCACTAAAACCCTTAGTGTCAATGCAGTGATTTGCGGCTCTCACGAAACAACCTGCACGGGACACACACAAGAGCAGATTTCGACTTTTGGTTCAGTCTACTACTAGCCGATGTAACGACTCGACTTCTCAACTGCTCGGAGGAAACAGCGACAAGCCTGAGCTCGACTCCCACTTTTTGGTGTGCGAATCTCCTGTCGCGCCTTGCTTCAACACTCTTGGAACCCCCGTGGCGAGTCAGCTTGTGTACGTAATCCTCCTGATACTGATCGGTCGATCTTCATGGAGAACTTCGTACTAGTAGTTCGTATTTGTGGATGTACTGTAACCACTAGTACCGGCTGCCTTGTCGCCAGACATGCATGAGGATGGGTTGGAGGACGAAATGCTCGGATGCGCTGTAGTTGCAGTTTGCAATATCATGACTGTTCTCCTATAGCTCTGATTGACCTGAGCTTTTGCTCCGGATGATGTTGTGCAGCTTGGGAATACGAGTTTATGCATAATTAACACCGGGATGCTCTCATATGAAAGGGGTTACAGTGGATGAATCTCAACGTAATCGATCTATCGGCAAGAACTCGTATCACGTCGCAATACTACTGAGTAGTAATGTACTTCTTCCATCCAACCTGCCGCATCCGCTTTGGCACTCGCATACCGCAACTTTGGCAGGTACCTTGGCGTTCTCCAATCTGCGGCTCTTTCTCTCTTGAGGCTGCAGCTCAACATGCCTTGCATTGCAGAATGCTAGCATGTATGCCCAATCTCTATCCTCAGCTTTGACAATTGTGATACACAAGTTCTAATCGATAGCCTGACTCGATGGACAGGAGTTGTTATGGAGGATGTTACTTCGACGTCCTTACATGCTTTGATCAGCAGTAGATCAGATTGCTGATCATTCCAGATTTCCACGTGCAAAATCTGACAAGATCTTCATATTCGTAGAATTTTGGTAAGCTATGTTACTCTTTCGAAGGTACTGGCTTTGCTCATACAGAGAAGAAAACTCGTCGCAAGGTACCTACTTCTCCACAGAGTCTGTCAGCTCACTTACGGTTTCAACCCCGCGAATCTTTGAGCACGAAAAAAGGGCGCCGCGGAAATCAACGAAACGCCTTTCCGCGATATCCTCAAAATTGTCTTTACTAGCTTACCCAGCAGACACCAGCGAGTTTTCTCAGTAGTTAAAAAAGCCACAAGCAGGAATATGAAACGACCATGTCCGTGAACCCTTCCTCCCGTTCTCAAGAGCCTTCAAGAAACTTCAAGGACGCCTCAAAACTCAGTCGCCAAGACTAAAACCGAGAGACTCCTCATGAAGAAGAACGTTGCAGTGAGGCGCAATAAAGCTCGCATAGCGTTTGAAAAGTTTATTTATCGATAGCTATCTAGTTGGTGGTCTAGATTTAGCCCAGTTCTTATGGTGCGAGGCAGCAAATGTTGCACGATAAAAGTCAGATGAAGCTCAATCTCCTCAGGAAATGCTGCGACTTGTCGGAGAATCGGAGACTGGTGATCTAGGTCTCGAGGAGTATCTGTCTTGTCTCTCCACGAGAGTAGCCTGTGAGTCGCCAGATTGGATGACAAACATCAACACACGGCGATTGCGCAAGCTCTGCGTTCGCTCAGATGCGAAGGCTTCCTTTGAGGAGAGCGTGGTCAATCTTCACTGTCAATGCGATCCAGTCTAGAACATCATGACCTTGTCCTCTCTGTCTCAGGGATCTCTCAAAATAGCTCGTCCTTAATGAAGTTTACAACAGTATCGGGCGTCTCCGCACGTCTCTCATCTGGTCTGTCAGAGGCGTCTTTCGCGTCCATACCTGACCACACACAGTGCAGGCTCCTCAAGAAATGCTCATCGGCCTTGGCCCTCTGCGCTTTAGTCGCCAGGAAGTCTTCCGGTAAGTTCGGCGTGGCTGGCGACAAGTTATCTTTGTTATGCATTGGACACAAGCGATGAGCATTATGATTTCTTTCGATGCCTGCAACTCGACAAGTTTCGCATATCAACCCGTCAGGCACTAATCCACCACCAAGTATGAATGAAAAATGCACACATATGCCGCGAGAGCGACACTTTTGCTCGCAAGCAAACTGTGTATATACGATGCATGGTTTCATGCACCGTAGTGAAGCCTGGCGCGTTTCAGGGTATTGAGGTATTGAAAATCTTGGGCCTTGCCACAACGTGCCTTCTGGTAAGCTACCTGGATAGATGTCTTCGATGCTCGTTGACGACTCGTGACGCTGGATGTGGACCTTGACTGGACGTGACAGCTGTTGTTTTGGCACAAGTTCCGATGTGTTCAACCGGCGCCTTTTGTGACGAGATTGAGAAGGTTCTTCTGAGAAACGATCTCGCTCGGCTTCATCTTCGTGATGTACGCTTCTGTTGGAGTTGCTGACTTCTATCTGTTTTCTGCCATTGTCGTGGTCTTGAAGTCCTGAAGCTACGTCTTCCTCATCATTGCCGAACAGCTGAGATCGCAAGAACGGCATGTTGTCCAGGTCAAGACCAAACAGGCTGTTACCCGGAGTCGTCCCGTTGTGTTGGACAGCGACGGTAGAGGATCTCCACCGAGCTTCAAACCTGTCTCTGCCTGGAAGCGACCGATCTCTGCTGACAACACAATGTTCTCCGATATAGTGCCTCCCTTGAGGAGGACTATACTCTTGAATATAGGAGTTCGCTGGTGGCGACCAAGTGTTTGCACTTGAGCTCTGAGGAGGATCAGGTGCATTACTCAATCCTGGCCGTGAAGTCGACTGCTCACGACGGTCGTGTTGAAAGGTCTGAGGCTGAGGCGTTGGAGAAAGAGACCAGGCTTTACCCATGTACAGCATTTTCAGGAACGGTAAACTCTAGTACTTTCCGATGATATTCTTCTGTCCGCAGTAAAAAGAATATACAGTAAGCGATCTGATGTGTGCAGGACCGACTTCGAAATCTATAATCCGAACAAGTGTCTATGATAATTATCTACACATTCACAGCGAACATCATACTATATATACTCCCACAAACCCGATAGTCGACTCACACACAACTTTTAGCCGGTGTTTGAACCCGCGCCAACCACTCGTTTCAAGGACCGCAGACAACAGACCTCCAGAGGCTAGATGTCCGCACAGCCATGGATCCCGTCTATTGTGCTTGCACCTCAGCCACAGAAATGACGAACAGAGGGTCGGCATAGACTTTTGCTGTAAACACCACAGCCATGGTAGACGTACCCGCGCTGCCAGGGTACTGTTTCAACGCCTTGAGTTATTGCATTGACCGGCGGATTGCGGACTACGTATGAACACACAGCACACCGTTCTGCAATGCGCGTTCGAGCTTGGCATGTCGGGAATGGCTCACAAGGCTCATAGACGAAATAGACTGGGAGGACAAAGACGAGAAGGACGAATTCTTGAATAGATTGAATCGAGCTAAGATTCTCCTGTGTATTACTTACCAGTATCTAATCAACTTTATTCCCGAAACACCATTTCGTTCTCCGCATGTTCACACACATTCAATCCTCTTGCACACCAATTCATTTCCTCCCGCCCCAACTCCAAACAACCCACAAGAAAGTAAAACATAGTTACGTAGATACGCATCCCACATCCAAAACACACCCACACAACACCACTCTCAAAATCCAACAACTGCCCTTCCACAATCCAATACCATCAATAATACATGCCCCCAACCTCCCTCTTCCCCAACCCATTCCCATCAATCGTCTTCAACGCAGTCTTGACATGCTTCATCTGCACCTTTTCCTTCTTGTAGCTCGCCAGCAGTACCGCCGTCTTGAACGCGTTCTTGATTTGTCGGCCGTTGAGCTGTGTTTGGGAGAGTTTACGGAAATCGGTAGGGGAGATGTCGATTAGGGTGTCTGTTGTTGCGTCGTGAGAGTGATGGGTAAGGTGTTCGGGGGGAGGTGGGTTTGGTGATGATGGTGATGTGGGGGTTTTGGTGCCGTTTGTGAGGGTTGTGGAATCTTCTGGGGCTGGAGTTGGAAGGTTGGTATCAGTGGTAGCGGTAGTGGTGGTAGTAGTATTCTTGTTCTTCTTCTCATCAGCCGCCACTTTCCGCCGCATAGCACCCGCCTCGTGTTTCGCGTTCGTGATGTTGGCAAAGTGTCGCCAGATCTGTTCTCTGTTGCCCTCAGTCAAGTCTGGGAAGGGTAGGCTGATGTGGATTCTGCTGTGGAATGCGACATCGATTTCTTCGGAGCGATTCGTCGTCAAGCAGAGTACGCCCTGGTAATACTCGAGCAGTCTGAGGAAGACACTCACGACGGCATTGCGGTGAAGGTCGTGTCTCGTGCGTTGCTCAAGGAAGATGTCGGCTTCATCGAGTAGCAGGACTGCGTTCCACTTTGAGGCAAGTTCTAGGATGTCTTGTAGGGCTGATTCGACTGATTCGGCGGTTGTGCCTAGGTTGCCGACACTGATGATACAGAGTGGGACGTGGAGGAGTTCGGCGATTGACTCTGCTGTGGCGGTCTTGCCGACTCCTGGGTTTCCAGAGAAGAGCATGATGTAGCCACGGCCTTTTTGTGCAATGAAATCGTCGAATTCGGCTGGATTGTCATCCTCTTCTTCTGTGGCATCCTCCGCCTTTTCGTACAACGCAGATAGAGGTTTCTGCTCCTTCTCAACCTGTTCCATCTTCTGTTTCCACTGATTTTGGCGGATCTGGGATTGGATCGTGGCAAGGATGAGTTCTCGGTATTCACAAGGCAGACTTAGAGAGGCGAAAGCATTATCGTTCCAGGACACGTCTGATATGTGGTCGACGCTAAAGGAGCACCACCTCTGGTGGCTAAGGGAGTATCCTCGAAGCCAGGAATTGCAAATGACAAGTTGATCGTCTTTGAGCTCCTGCTTCTCAGTGTTTGAAAAAGCTTTTGGTTCGTCTACTGATTCTGTTGGTGTTGGCGCGCCTTCCGAGTCTGTGGAAGTGGTAGAGGCTCCGGCCTCCTTCTTGGTGTCGGCAGATGCCTGTACAACATCCGCACTGTTTGTAGTGCTGGACTTGGTGCTTTCGACGGGGACATCAACCTTGACCTCGTCCGGCAACACTTCAGACTTCGCCTTGTCTGGTTCGGATTGCGAAGCATCAGCAGCTAGCTCTTGTGTCTTCTCTTTCGACTCGGACTCAGCTTCAGACTTCGTGACAGTCTCCGACTTACTGTCAGTCTCTTTCTGTTTCTTTGCCTCCTCTTCTTGCTGCTTCTTCTTCTCTTCCTCTTCAACCTTCTTGAGGGCCTCCTTTGCTTTCTCTGCTTGTTCGATTAGTCTAGCTGATGCTTCAGCTTCAGCCTGCTTGACATCCTCGTCATCATCTTCGAGCTCTCTCATGCTCCGCGACTCATCAGGGTTGAATTTGGCGAAGAGTTCTTCATCAAGCATTATTCGGCCTTCGAGTTGTCGCTTTGTCTTCACACTTTGGTAAGCGTATTTCGTGTATTCAACAGCTGTACCTTTGTAGTCTTTGCAGTATACTCCGGCAAGCGCTTGGAAACGGCGTCCTCTTTCTATACACTTAGTCTTCAGCTGCTCGGATTTCGCGTGGAATCGTAATGGATAGGATGGTAGTGTAGTTATCTGTCTTGTTCCTTTGAATTTGCTGATCTCTTCGCTAAGCATGACCTTGCCAAACTTCTCACCGTCCCAATTGATCTCGTTGCAGCGAATGACAAACTTCATACCACCCAGATCGGCATAGTATTCGCAGTCGCAGGTTTCGTACAGTCGATCGTGCCCATTGTCGTGGCTGTACATCAATGTGCCGGGCGAGAAGAGTGTCCACAGGAGTTCGAAATCGATTGCCTTGTGTCGAACAAGGTCATTGTGCCTCTGGATCGGTTTAGCAAGTTCTGAGTCCAGTGCATCGTAGAGCAATTTCATGTGCGACTTCGTCATCTCGTCCGTCTCCTCTTTGAAGGCCTTCTCGAACTGCGCCCAGCGATGAAAGAAGGGCGCAAACGGCGCATCGAAGACTAACTCTTCTAGGTCAATCACCAGATCAGGGTATCCTGTGAAAACTCCCTGAAGTGCTTTCTTGACCAAGGGCGAATGGACAACGATGGAGTCGACCTTCAGTGGCTTTCGGTTGCCCTCGTGAACTCTCTTCTTTCGGACCACAATCGCATGCTGTAAGCACTCGTCTGATTCCTCCACATTCTTGCCATCATCAGGATCCTTGTCCTGCCAGACTGTGCAACATTTACATTGTGCATCCGTCTTAGCCCATAGGAGCTTCGTGTCCGCCTTCATGCCTCTAGGTAAAGACTTCTTTTTGTCCTTTTCCTCATCCTTCTTGTCATCCTTTTCCTCGTCCTTCTTGTCATCCTTTGCATCAGTCTTGGCGTCATCTTTGGTTTTGTCATCATCCTTATCCTTGGGCTTTTCCTTAGATTCGGAATTGTCTGCTGCCGTAGACTTTTCAGCTTCGTCTCTGCTGTCTGTGGTCTGCGATGCCTGATCCTTGGCTTCACGCTTGTTTTCGTCCTTTGATTTTATCTTAGCTTCGTCTTGGGTCTGCTTGTCGTCACTCTTGTCCGTGGACGAGGCTGTTGGCAAAGGTTCTATTGCTTGTGGCTTGTCCATTTTCGAGGTGGATTCATCCATAGGCTCTGATGGAGGCGTCCTTAGCTGCTTGTTGTCGGTGAGTGAAGAAGGCTGGACTGCCGGAGCTTGATTCACCATTCTGAAAGCAGAACAAGAATCCTTCAATTCTGTGCAGTTTCTATGCTCTGGTCTAAGTGGTTGTGGTTGTATTTCTAAAGGAATCTGTGTGAATTAGCAACTGCCAACTTACCGTGACAGAGAGGCTGAGGTGTACAGCGAAACACCAATCGTCACTGTCAGCCTGATCGTGCAAGATTCACGGTAGTTTCACAACTGCAAACGAGGATCAATAGACGGGTTGCAGATGGATAACGTGTCAGCAAAGAGTGAAAATGCTTAATATATCAAGTTCGTCACAAAGACTCATGTGTTCTCACTCGTGAATCTTCTTACTGTGGTGCCTCATGCGTTCGTGGCAGCCTAAGCCTAAGCAAAGGCAACCAATGGCTGTGCTCAGCCTCTGACACTGTCAGCTGGGGCATCGCAACGTGCAGCGTGTATCACTGCCGCTAAGAGGCGCCTGTAGTCATCAACGCAAGCTTGCATTGCTGAATAGATTTGCCACATGCTCTTCAAGAGATACACCACTTGATACGGCAATTGTTGTTGAATAGGAAGTGACAGCAAAGAAGTCATTGTAGTCAGGCAGTCCCCACAAAACATGGGATCGGCGAATTATTCAGCAGTGGCTCGGATGCTAGCGGTGGTGGGGAAACTCTCAGTACAAAAGGTCTTCCAGGCGGCACCGTCGCAGTGTCAACTGCTGGACTTTCTGTTTTCTTATTACACAGAGGTTTGTGCACACAGCCAGATTGACGTCCGTATCTGGGCACAACCGTACTAGTATCATCCTGACTCACAGAACGGAGGAAAGCACGATAGAATATCAACCTCCCCCGAATGACACAGAACCAGAGGTTGCGTATGAATCGTTTCGGTCTATAATCATTGTGTGATATTGTTTGATGAAAGGTCGACAAGGAAATCTACTGACTACAAGCCAGCCAAAGCGAAGCCACGCCAGTCGCTATCCCGTGAATGTCTCCTCTGACTCCGTCGCTCGTCTTGTACACCCACCCTCTGTCTCCGCTTCACATCAAAGACACGTCCTGCTATAATGCCTGGGCAACGTCTCTAAGTCTATCGCTCTCTTCCACCAAGCATTTACCACCTCAGAGGACACCAGGGATGATTCGGTATGGTACCTGCTTGCAGTACTCCTCCCAATTCTTACCATATTTGCTGTGGCATCGCTTCTCGTCCCGCAGGGACCGGTGGTAGAGAAGTACACTCATGAAAAAGAAGTATGACCATGGCAAGAAGTGGGTGAAACCACAAGTGGCACACATGGCCCAGGCTTGCATCAAGTCTGCCATATAGTTCGCATGCCTCGAAACTCCCCACCAACCCGAGGTCAGCAGAAGACTGTTGTGTTCTTTGCCATCGCTCGTGCTGTACTTGCAACGAATGAATGTGACTGGCTTGCCCCAAAGATTGCATTTGCCATCTCGAGCTCGAACATAATCTCTCTGGTAATTGGCCGATCGGAAGATGAAATAACCTGTTAGGCCAAAGGCCAAGATGGCAAGAGACTGCGTGCGGGTAAGGTATGTCGGGTACCTCGCTAGGTATTGAGTCTGAAGCGTGTACAGGCAAGGCAAGAATGTGGTATCACCCCATGCCAACATGAATCCGAAGTGGTCGTGGCTGATGTCTATTGTACGAGTGTACCAATCCTCGTTGTAGAAGAAATCGACAACATAAATCAGGTGGAACATCGAGACAATAATCATCGAAGTTGTGACATGGCCAATCTGCTGGTATTGGTAGGCTGCCCAAGAGAAATCGCTAACTCGGTTAGTCATTATTTTGCCTTGGACGCCTGATAACCTTACATCAATGTCCATGCCACAATTCCAGGTCGACCATTATGGAAGAACTTGAAATCCCAATACTTTCCGAATCTAGGATTCAACTCAACGCCAGCCCAGAAATCAAAGAGTATAGATCCTGTTACGAGTTAGACTTCATCTATGTCCCTGACAAAAGTTTGCTCACCACTGATCTTTCGATCCTCCACGTATGATGGGAAGAAATATCCTTTCCATTGAGCGAGGATAGATAACACGAAGCCATAGGTATTCACTGCTACGAGAAGACCTTCCCAGTGGTTGGCGATAATGGCAGGATCAACAAAGCCAAGGAAAGAGCCTCCAATGTACGCGACATGTGTTATGACCCATGCCAAAAGTCCATTGGCGGTGTAGGTCAGAAGATGCCCGCCAGGCGTGCGTTGACCATAGCACAAGGTACCAGGTAAATAACCATAGAAGAATGCTTGCACCAACAACCATGCTGCATAACCGGCTATAGCCTGAGAAGAGTATCTGGGAAAGTGACCATAGGCGAAACTGACTGGGCCTTCTTTCAGTGCAGCCCTTAGAGCAGCGGTGATTGAACCATTATACTGCTCCAAAGCTATCCAGTTCATGTGAAGCCATGTTGGCACCGCGGCAACGACGAGAAGCGCACCTATGGACTTATCCCAGCCTGCTTTGCTTGCCCTACCCCATGTCGTCGGGGTTGAGATCTCAACAATGGCCGTGGCAGGCATTGTTGAAGTCTTGAATGTGCTGCTAGTCGAAGCAACAAAACATGAAGCTCGATAAGTTCAGCTTAGGAGAGGAAAGATAATATGAATGGGATGGACGTTTGTTGAGTAGTTCAAGCCGAATCCATGCTCAAAAGAGAATGCTATTGAAGAGAATTCGAACGTTAAAGCATGAACGAGCGATCTGGACCTTTCAAGACAATCCACTGCAGTAGCCGGCGGTTCTGAATCTTTGAGAAAATATCACTTCCGAGGCGGTGACGGTTGCCAGTAGTAATATTGACTTCAATTAACACGATTGTGGGAAGTAGCTGAGCAGGAGGAAGGTACAAGGGGGTTGAGGAAAAGCGGCCACTCAACGTTTGTGGAGTCGATAGTTGGACCAGCAATTTTGCTGAGATCGAAATCTAAATTGCAGCACAGAACCGTTTGGCAATCAACGCCATGCTCGGCGCAGCTGTCATTAGGTGGAACCACACCGCAGCACGTCCCCACTACAATAAGCAACCGCTCTCGATGGTGCGCTGATGGCGAAGTGACCGGACGCTCTTCTCGACCACCTCGTGCATAGATGCTTGCCGAATACGGCATACTAGTAGTCATGACACCATGACACCATGACTAGACGACTCCAGTGACTGCACTTGTGAAACTCCAAGCCGTCCACTGTCCAGACCCCGTCGATGCTGGAGGGAGGATCTCGCAGCGTATCAAAGTTATTCCCTTGCCATAGGCTACGGAGTGGTACCACTTTACTCCGTACAAGGTGGGATAGCGCAGGCGAGATCTGGTGACGATTAGCGACGTTTGATCGCACAGTATTTCTTGCAGCGTGTCACGAAATCTTGGTTCGTATACCAGGATGAGGGTGTCCCTGACATCAGTATATAAAGCAAACCCTTGGCGACTAAATTGATACACACAGCCCACCAGTGCCTCGAAACGTGTCACAATATGGCACATGACTGGATAGCTTAGTTGCACTGGATGCACCATGCTGTATATTGTCCCATTGCCTGTCAGGTTTAAGTAGACGTGTTTCATGGCAGAGTACATGGGGTTTGACCGACGATCAGAACGTAAGAGCCATTTCCGCTGAAGGTGTTTCGAAAAAAGAAAATTGGTATGTTCGACTAGATTTGCTACACTACATCTCATCTGCCTCTCCCGATGCTCTCCTTCGGTGGTGGAGGAAAATACATTTGAGCTTCCGGGTCTGGCGAGGCTGATGGCTCCGACGTAACAACTGCAACTTCCTTGTTCTCCCTCGGGGACCGTAGGTGCATTGGTGTTCTCAAAATGCCAGGACTTCTCAATGCAAACGTCGACGTCCTAGTGTCAGAAGTGTCCCTGGCACGCAGAGGGAGGTCCCTCGTACCGCCGAGCTTATTAAATGCCAAAGTCCTAGGTGTGACGGGATTCATGCCCAGCTGAACACCGGGTGTGTCTGGCACAGCGTAGTCTGAATCGGCAGATCTTGGATCAGGCTCGTCCAGGTGTGCCCAACGTAGCTTCTTCGCTCTTTGCTTCTCTTCATACTCTAATCTGTGTGCCTTTGAGGGAAAGCACGACCATAATGAGAGTCCGAAGTAGAAGGTGAAAACTCCCAACATCGCAACGAAACATGCAAATGTGGCTTTCGCCTGCTGGCAGTACCCGACTAAAGTCTTGTCGTGCGCCACAGAACAGTTCTTAGTGATATACCATGGAGGTCCATTTTGTGGTCGGCGCGGGTCGGTGGTATCTGAGCTGGCTTGAAACGCTGCAGCCACGGAATATAGTGCTATGAGGATGGCGTGTAGGATGGTCGAAACAATTGGAGGCAGGACATGAAGCATAAACGTAGTGCCCTTCACGAGCATCAAGAACATCGAAAGAACGGCGACGACGAGGTTGTAGTTCGTGATACTGCGCCATGTTAGATTCACGTCTACAATGCGCTTGACTTACTCACAATTGCGACCAGCATCTAGGCGTGGTGTAGGGCCGGTAATTGGCAGCTGCGTATAGCCCAGCGACTGGACTTGAGTTGAAACCATTGTCTGCACCGTCCTGCCAGAGCTTCGTCCGATATAAGTTCGGCGCTGCGATGCCCGTGAACGTGAGCAATGCGACGGTCAGACAAAATTCGATTGCGATGAGGCCATAGAAGGGCCGCATATTGGGTCGGTACCTCCTCGATAGAAACATGGCGACGGTGTGTCACGTTGTCGTGCCTATACACAAAAGAGCTGCAATCAAGCGTTGCGTGGATGCATCACGTCCCATACAGGACGACAACGACGATGAGCTCCCAAGAAGGAGGTGGTTTCCATTCTTCATTCTGGGCGTAGACTCGAACGATATGATAGCAGCGTACCGCTCTGGAGGTGAGCGCTTACACAAGGCACACGGGCCAATGAGGTATCAAAGGTCGGTGTGACACGAGGGGCACTCTTGAACTTGAGGTGTCTGCAGTCGCCTAAGTCGAGCCCAGGGTTCGGATTGGTTAAGCACTGTGAACTTGCTTGACGCTCTTCAGAAGTTAGCTGGATTATCGTTTTCATCAAACTTTGCTGGTGCAACTGGCATATAAACTGCAACTGGCGGCATCTTTCTCAAAAGCTTCCTCTGTGCTATCCTTTCACCTCACTGCAGTCGAGTACAGTCCTTTACAGCAATTTTCAACATCGAGCAGGTTGCAGGAGATAACAGCAGACAAACAAGCAGCACCTGGTCGTTGCTTGTCGCTGCCTGCAAGTACTATCACCAAGACATTACCGCCTTCTGGAAAGTCTACAGAAGGCGAACGACTGCAGGACATCCCGACCTTGACTGCATTCGTCGATTTTCTTGGTGGATACCAAGCCACGGCCAGGCAGTCCACTCCGAGTGCAACTTACTTTTCGTAGCGAGTACGACTAAAACCCCTGATCTGCATCACACATCGTGTCCTATCAGTACTACCACAACTTCGGCTTTCAATTACATGGTCACACATGCAAGGAGAATGGTCTATTCGAATCGTGTTTCATTAACAAGCAGATGATCATGGAAGATCGAGGTCTCGAGATAAACGTTCGCATGACCCCAGCCTCTGAATCGGCGTTAAGCAAATCCCCGACTATGGTCGAGTCAATCCTCCGCAAGGCCAGAACTGGACTTTGCGAAAGGGGCCGGCGTGTTTGACCATCAGGCTTCTAACCTCTTACGGTCATATCTGCATCCAGCCTAAGACCTTGCAAGCCTTGTACTTCCCACTCATGTTGCCCTCGACACTGAACACGAAAAGATTCGCTCCATGTCATCAGCTTCCTTGCTTCAAGATGTTTCAGCTGGGAAGTGGTGAATCCTGCGAGAGGGTTCGCAGTGCCTTTCCTAGCTCTATGTGGTTCACCGTTGCTTTTGAGTTCTGTTCTTTCTTCTTACGCAAAAAACGACCTTGTCTAATTTCCCAGACTTCGTGGGCGTGAACTAGACCAAGCTATACTAACCTACGCTACTGACTTAGCTTACTAGGATCTGCTCACTGTATAGGGGACCGTCACGTTCGTGCTGGCGTCGACGACGTCCTCCGTTCCTGGCCTTGTTGACCACATATTGTTGAAGCATCCTGCATGGATATCGAAGAGAGAGTGGTGGAGATCAGGTGAAAGGTGGAATATGGGGCACCCCAAAATGCACAACTTCAAAAGAGCTGAGCCTTCGACACTACCAGCGACTCTGAGACCCGGCGAGACGAGTGTCATTGCACCGGGCGCAACAGACATCTTAACAGATGGAGGGAGGCCACAATCAGCGCTGACCACGATATTGCAATCTTTCGAGCAACCAATAACACAACCTGCCACGACCCTGACTTCGACAGGTTTGCGCACAGTCTATGTCACAGATTCGGCCTCATACTCTTTGCTGAGAGCATCAGAGTCGAGTGAAAGAGCTCGTGAAACACACTCCGATACCTCTGCCTCTACCTCTTCGTCACCCACGTCCAAAGCGACCAGCAGCTCGTCTTCGTCGTCGACCAATAACCTGGGCACTTTGATTCCTGCAGTAGTAGTTCCAGTTGCTATAGTACTGATTGTATCTTTTGTGGTATTTTGGTTTATTATGCGCCGACGAGCTCAGCGGCAGTTGAAAGAGGAACCGGAATTTGTGGTGGCAAGTAAGAGCGAGAAGACGGCAATAAGTCGAGGACCCAGCAATGGCTCTAGCACCGGCTCGACGAGGGAACTGGTGCCATTGTCAAACCTGGAAAAGGAAGTGGCTGTCACAACGACATCCGAAATGAGGAAGCCCTCAATCGACTTGTTCCCTCCCTCACCTCCAAAATACTCGTCGATAGACATCGGACTTGCCAGACCAATGACGCCGCCTGACAAAGCTGGAGCACACGTCAACAGCACAGGTCGGCCTGTGCATAATTTCAGTCGAGGACAAAGTCAGAATCGGGGTCAGAAGAGCACAAAATCCAGGAACGACCGTGCTCCTCGACCCGGCGAAAGGACTACTCCACTGGAAACAGGCCGTGGACCATCCACCACCATGCCAGGTCAGTTACCACGACCTCCATATTCGGGAACAACCAGTGAACACTATGGAGGCAGAAGCCCACCGAAGACGACGCCCTCACCACTGGTGACGAACATGAAGAACAATCGCGCACTAGCACCTCAACCCTTGAATCCACCTACACCTACTGGTGCTTTCAATGGTGCATCTCCTATATCACAATATTCGCCTATAGTAAAGGATCATCCAAATCTCGGCACTGTTGCAGCAGCTGACTCAGCTGAGATACCCGGTCAGCCACCACCAATTTCAACAGCAAACTTTTTTCCTTCAGGACAAGAGAAAGACTCACCCGTCGACGAGAATGTACTCTCGTTGGAGAACATGCGCGTCGCACGGCTTGCAAATTCTTCAAGGCTAGGCCTTCACCACAGTCCTATCCAATCCAACTTTCCTGCAAATTCGCGGAGAGAACCCGGCGCAGATGCAACAAAGAGGGTACACCCAAGTCCACAATTGTCCATGCCACTAACAAGGGAAGAACTTCCATTTAGACCATTCGCGCGTGGTCCAGATTCTCCCGCAGGCGGCTCTTCGATATATCCTTCTCCTTCGATAGGTGCTGACAACACACCGCGAATTGGTGGCGGGGCATCATCATACTCTTTACCACAGAGTGAACATACTATTGGTGTGGCCTCTTCAAGAGCTTACCACAATCGTGTCAGTGTTGTCAGCAGATTATCAAGCGATGACGGTTATGTTGACGTGGAGTTTGACACGAAAAGCGATGTCAGCTCACTCGACGAACGAGATAAGTGGGAAACAGGGGGTGAGAGGCAAGAGCCTGGCTACCATGCACCTGCTCATGGCAGCGCTGGCTTGAGTCCTGTTGGACAGGCTAGTTCTTCTTCGACAGAAACATCGAACCACAAGCCAAATTTGCGAGACAGAGACAGCGAAGGTCCTTTCGTACTGTCGAGATATTGATTGCTGAAAGGATAGAGAGGTGAAGTGATGCCCGCGACGGCCGATTCACTTTATTTAATGGTTCGTGGATGGTTAGGTGGACGATATGGCTGCGATAGCCCGGGCGTTTTTCTTACAGGTTTACAAGCATTCTCCTTTATACGATACCCAAGGTGTTCGAGACCATATGGATGGTATGTAGGGCAAGCAGATAGCAAGCGTGATGGTAGTAGCACAATTTTCAGCTAAAACGAAATGTTTCTATTCGATTTTCCACATGATAATTCCGTGAACAAGACTTTAATACTCTCAAGTTGTCCTTTTATGTTAACTGGAACATGCGATGGACAATATTGCCTCGTTGCAAACTGATGTCTGTATTATCGGCAGGACATTGGTGGAGAGTCTTAGCACAACGGCGCCATCTCCGCACCTCGGCATCATTCTGGCGTTTGCTTCCAACGATTGAATTCACCAGCCTTCAGCCTTCAGCCTTCAGCCCATCCTCGCCAGACTAGCATATGTCATTCTCAACGACTGCCTTTCCATTCTCCTAGCACTGCCAGACTAACCAGAGGTCTCTCCGTGTTCCTTCTATTGTCTTACGATCGGAACTGCACAAGAACTCGGATTATACTCCGATGATGGCGCGATAACGACAAGCAGACAATGAGTTCGGTGTCTCCTCCAAAACCTTGGGAGCGAGCGGGTGCAGCAGGTTAGCTCTATCAAGCGAGTTCAATACATCCTCCTAACATAGTCGCAGGCGCAGTATCCTCGAGTCCAGCGCCGGGTGCAACAAGCGCACCTGCTGCTATCAATTCGATAGCAAATCCATCCTCGACCATAATGACCTCGTCATCTGATGCACCCACACTACCCGATCGACCAAATACCTTAAACAATGTGGTAAATCAAACAGCTTCAAATTACTCCGCCTACGGACAAAACCGTTTCAGCAACCCATACTCTTCCTATTCATCACCGTACGGTGGCGGTTACGGAGGCTATGGAATGGGATCGGGATATGGCTCTTATGGTGGCATGTACGGTATGGGAGGAGGGATGGGCATGGGTGGCATGTACAACAGACCATACGGCCAGTTCGGCGCAGGCATGCCAGGACAAGATCCCAATAATCCAGCCAGTTTGACTCAAACTTGGAACCAGAGCACTGCCGCCACCTTTCAGATCATGGAATCAATAGTGGGCGCATTTGGAGGATTTGCGCAAATGCTGGAATCAGCTTACATGACCACACATTCCTCCTTCTTTGCCATGGTGTCGATGGCAGAACAGCTTGGCAACCTCAGGACGACCCTAGGACAAGTACTGGGCATATACACTTTACTGCGTTGGATGCGCACATTGGTAGCCAAGATTACCGGTCGACCACCACCTGCAGATGCTACATCTCTGACTCCTGCAAACTTTTCGTCTTTTCTTTCTGGTGGCGCAGGACCAGCCACACTTCCGGACGGTTCGCCTGCACCCCCTCGCGCATCGAAAAAGCCGTTCATTATGTTCACTTTAGCAGTCTTTGGGCTGCCATATTTGATGTCAAAATTGATTCGGTCCATGGCCCGAGCACAAGAGGCGGAAGAACAACGAAGACTAGCTGAGCAAGGAATAGTGGTCCGAGCAGACGGATCCCAACAGATAGATCCTACCAAACTCGATTTTTGTCGAGTACTATACGACTACAAACCAACACCGCAATCTGGAGGCTTAGATCTTGAGGTAAACAAGGGCGATATGGTAGCCGTTCTTTCCAAGACAGACCCAATGGGACAGACCAGCGAATGGTGGAAATGTCGAGCACGAGATGGCAAACAAGGGTATTTGCCCAGTCCATATCTACAGAAAATTGAACGAAAACAGCCGCAGATAGCAGCCACAGCTCACGATAATGGCACAGTGAGCTTACCTACAAGTCGGACGACCACTTTGAAGGGAGGCGACGATGGGTCACGAACCAAGAGTCTCAGCTCTGTTGCGAGACCAGAGGTGAAAGGAGGTCCAGGAGGTATAACTTCTGAGAGTTTCCAGAAGAGTGCTTTCTACTCGTGAAAAACAGAATTGTCCATGGGCACCCTTACACTTGTCCTCCAGTCATGAGCACACATCAGCTCTACTGATATCGAGGGTTTACTTGACTATATCGAGCTATCTGGGTTTGGGGTTTGATTCAGCGAGCGTCTACGGGTGTAAAAATTAATATTATTTAGTCCTGGACGTGTATACTTAGTATTAAAATCTTGGCTTTGCTACCACAACATGGCCGATAGTATAGATGTGGCTGTCGTGTTTAACATAGTTGCTGCCTTACTCAGGCATGCTGCAATGGTGCGACTGCCTCATCATGCGCTGCAATGTACTCGTATATGGCTGGTCTGAATGTCCCACATCAACAATCATAGAGATTCTGCACGAGAACTGAACACAGAACCATAGAGACTGCAACTCAAAGTATTCTACGAAACGAGACACCGGCGTTGAGCATCCTTAGCCTCTTTGAGTCTCAGTAATCACTTCGAGGTGCAGCGGTACCACGCCAGCCAGCACGAATCTATTCCATACACGCAGTCTGAAATACGAGTGGTACACGACAAATAAGATAGTGCAAACTTGCAATTCGGCTCTCAAGCAACCGTCTAGATTGTCGTGCAGTTGAGAAGCAATGGTTCGACTGCGTATACCTCGATGAGCTCGACGCCGGAAGATGGCGAGATCGAACAGCACGCTGTCGAGGCTGTTGACAGGGAACGGCATATCGCCGACCTTCCGGACGAGACCTTACCTCTTATCGAAGATGAAAATGCCCAAGAAGAGCTCGTGAAAGACCTGGAAGAAGATGTAGACACTATCCCTCAGCTGGATGTTCATGAGGATACAGGAAACAATGAAGATGATTCTCTGCTAGATATGTCGCATGATGTTGGCACATCGCAACCCGGTATACAGGTGATTGATGCTGCCATACGACCTGCTAGCCTGGATGGCTCAGTCTCGATACCTGACGATACTCCTTCAATCCAGGACTCTGGCTTGTCTTCTCCGAGAAGCGATGGCCCTGCAATTCCCCCACTAATCTCAAGAAAAAGTTCCACAGCCTCTAGACGACCATTCGAGCTGCGCTTTCAATCCAGACTTTCAAGCTCCTACCTCAATACTCCTCGTGCATCTTCCCCTGGTTTCCTTAATGCTCATTCACGTCAGTCCTCTCTTGCCAGTTTTGGCCCGGCCTCGGAGTCCGCTACCGAGGACACTCAGACTCCTTGGGAGGTGATCAGATGGACGAGACTTAGGAGGTTGACGGCACAAGTCTTCTCAGAGATTGGCCGTCGGAACTTTGGTAATCCCACCTGTCTTGTCGTTACCGAGTACATCGTGATTGGCACGTCAAAAGGCCTCATCCTTGTCTACGACCATCAGCAGAATAATAAAGCAACAATAGGCTTAGGCACTAAGGCTACCGAGTCTGGTTCTGTGACTGCCTTGGCTATCTCGGCCGATCATACTGCGATTGCCGCAGGCTACAATGCTGGCAATATCTTGGTATGGGAGGTAATTCGACCTTCGAGGCCTTTCATGCAAATTCCAGCTGTGGACGCTACTGCTCCAGAAGCGCGCAAGCTCGATGGTCACCTTGAGGGCAGTGGTGTACTTCATGTCGGCTTTCTAGGTTATCGAAGGACTGCTTTGGTCTCCGCTGATGATAAGGGTATGGCTTTCTCTCATCTTGCTTCTCGTGGGACGGGCGCATTAGGACGTACCATCCGAACTACAAGAATACTAGGAAGATATCCAGAGGTAATCGTTCGCAAGGCAAGCAAGCCAGTTAAGAAGAGCTCGGTTCTGGCCTTTGCACCAATGCCACTGGGCAACATTGAACAGAAAACAGACAGTCTGGGATTGGTTGCTATGCTTACACCCTATCTCCTTGTGGTTGTGTCTACCACTCCCATTGCACAAACCCAGCATAAAGCAGCTCGACCTAAAGAGGTGGCTGCGCATAGTGCCATGACCGCGGCATTGGCCTGGTTTCCAGCAATCAAGCTCAAAGGCAGTGAAACGAATGTTTCGAAAAACAAGCTGGTATATGCTTGGTCAAACGTCATAAGTGTGCTTGAGGTTGAAGAAGCTCCTAGAGATCCCGAGACCCCTCAGGATAAGCCGGTAGAGCTAATGTTTGTCTCGAGAAGTCGCTACGAATCTGAGGAAGCTATTGTTGCGCTCCAGTGGCTTAGCCGTTCTGTGGTTGCTGCACTGACTATCACGCAACAATTGCTCATCATTGAGGATGTGACAATGACTGTCACCGACGCCTTCGACCTATTGCCAAAGAACTTGTATCACGCTGATCTATACTCTCATCAATTGCAAGCCGTTATCGAACATCATGACGACGAGGACGAAGACACTTCTATGCATGGAGTTGTTGCCGATGGTTACTACATGAGCTTTCGAGTTTACAAGGGACGTCTTTTCTTATTAGGCAGTAATGAAGTGTGGTGGGGCAGTCTTACAAACTGGGCTGATCGGTTACTTGCGTTAATGGAAACAGGCGACTTCATAGCTGCTATTCGACTTGCGACAAACTACTATTCTGGAAGCAGCGAGAAAGTAACTATTGGCCTTCCGGAGGACAATGCATTACGCTCCTCTCTCGTTCACGACAAACTACTTGAAATGATGAGTGCTTCCTTGAGGTATGCTTTTGGCAAGAACGAGCAGGCCAGTGATGCGTCTTTGAATCGTCGACAGCTTGTTGATCTTGCTGTCGCATGTGTGGCTGCATGTTTGAGGATGAATGAGAAGGACTTCCTCTTTCACGAAGTATTCGACTGGTATGATGAGAACAATGCTGGCGATATTCTTGTCGATGTTCTTGAGCCTCATATTCTGGATCGACAAATCACCTCGCTACCTCCTGCAGCAGTCAAGACTTTGATCAATCATTTCGTCAACACGCATACGCCATCGCATCTAGAGGAGGTCATCTGCCTCCTCGATGCAACAGAAATGGACGTTGATCAGGTCACTTCGCTTTGCAAGCGTCACAATTTATACGACGCGTACATCTACGTTTGGAACACAGCGTTGATGGACTACACCAGTCCTCTACTGGAATTACTAGATATGACTTTTAGGAAACCAGGTGCTAACGGAAGCACTACATCACCTCATACAGCACCCCTTGCCAGTCAGAAGGTGTTTCCATATCTATCCTTCATTCTGACCAGCCGTGTCTATCCTATTGGTGATTTCATGGACGATGATCGAGCTCTGTCAGCAAAAACTCAGATCTACGAACTACTATTTTACGGCAAAGGTGGCGAGAAGGATCCCTTCGCTACTCTACGTCGTCTTCTTGAGTTTGATGTGTCCAACTTCATGGCAGCACTGAATGAGGCTTTTGAGGATTCTTTCCTGAACAGTGGTCAAGACGAATCATTGCACGATAATGGAGAGCACCGAAGCTCTGTGTTCAATCGGCAGATTATTGTCAGGATACTGCTAGATGTGATGTCTACAGGCTTTGACGCAACTGAACGAATCTATTTGGATATGTTCATTGCCCGGAACCTGCCCAAGTATCCGCAGTATATGCTGCTGGCTGGCACAACTATGGAGCAAGTGTTCACAAGGCTCTGCGAGTATCAAGATGAGGATCTACACGATGATGCTCAACTCAGCATTGAGTACCTGATGACTGTCTACAAGCCTTCCAACATCGTCAACTTGATTCCGTTGCTTCAAAAAGCTCATTTCTATCGAATTCTCAAGATGGTATACAGGCAGGAAGAGGATTGGCCGAAACTGCTCGACATGTACTTCGTTGATACGGAGGATCAATCTCAGGTCTTCGATGTCATACTCGAGTGTCTTCGGCCAAGCTCCGACCTTGACCAAAAACAAAGGCAGGATGTTGTGGACGAGTTGAAGAGACACGTAGAAGATTTGTCCAAGATTGATGTTGCCAGGACAGCCAAGGTGATTGAGATTGTTCTGTCCGACGATCATGCCTTCTTTCTTGATTCACTGGCTGATGCGAAAGCACGATATACCTACCTGTCGACACTACTTGAACCAGCGGATGGTGCAGGCAGAAGCCAGCACATAACCAATAACATGATCGAAGAATACGTTCGTCTCATCTGCCGTTTTCAGCCGTCACATGTTGTTGATTACATTAGTACTGTCAAAGAGGGCGAGCTTCGGCTGGAAAATGTTGTACCTGCCCTGGAAACAAGTGGCAATATCGATGCTGCTGTCGTGCTTCTCGCACGTCAAGGTCAAGTACAGGATGCGATGGATCGACTTATCAAACATTTGTCTACGATCGAAGCAGCTTTGAGTGGCGTTCTGGAGAGCGCGGCCGATAGCCCTGACGAAGTTGCTACAAATGAAGCGATTGAAGATCTGCTCTCCTCTGTTGACAAGTATGCCAAAGTTGGTATATGGCTATGTGAGAGTCAAACACAGAACGCTGCGACAAGGAGCAGGACACCTTCCAAGTCTCCACGACGGTCGTCGATCAAGCAACCTCTATCGTTCGAAGAAAATTTGTGGCTCGACTTTATAGCTGCTGTCGTATCAATCGCACAAAGGGTTGGTACGAACACAATACAGGACAGTAACAGTACCGACTCAGATGAAGTCGTCTCATCCCTCAGAAACACAATCCAAAGAGTCTTCACTGCACTCCTAAACTCAACGGCGGTAGCTCGCAGCCAAAAACACCCAGACAGTCTTCGCTTCGTACGAATCCTCCGAGCCTTCCTTTCCCGCGCAGCCGAAGTCTCTCCGTCCCTATCACACCTCCGCCACGTCATGAGCAGCATCTTCTCCGCGTACGGCTACGAAGAATCCCTCCTCAGCCTATCCAACGCAATGCTCGACAAAGACCTCTTCGTCCACGTCCACGAAGTCACTAAACTTCGGGAGATAGGCTGGCGACCACGAGGACAAGTCTGTGGTTTATGTCGACGTCGTGTCTGGGGTCCGGGTATTGGTCTGAAGGTCTGGGAGGCTTATGAACGCAATGAAAAGGAGAGAACGAGGAGGCTTGAGGGGTTTAGACGGCAGAGTGTTGTGGGCAGTGAAGGGACGGAAGAGGAAGGGAGAGGGAAAGGGAAGGCTACTGAGGTCAAAGCTGAGGATGAGGATGATGACGACGAGGAACAGCGAAATGTCAATGGAGCGCAGTTGGAGCTGGAGGCGGAAGCCATTGTTGTGTTTTCGTGTCGGCATTTGTTTCATCGACGATGTCTTGTTGATCATCGGCATCAATATCGGAATCAAGGGGTAGAGGGAGCTGATGATGATGCAAGTGTTGATGGACAGGGCCAGAGTGATGGACAGGGAGCGAATCGTGATGGTAGGCTGGTATGTCCTAGTTGTGTATAGAAAGAAGTACATAATCAAGTATGCTTTTAAATCTTGGTTACGCCAAATTCCAAGACAAGTGTTGTAAGCTACCTGTTACTGTTGTCCAAATTCGTTGGTGTTCAATAGACATTTCTTGAACACCTTCAACCATCAGAAACATATGCAAAACTCACGCAACTCCCATAACCAACAATTCCCTCTCAACACTCCTCCTCAACTCCTCATAATACTCCACACCCTTAAACTCCCTCGCCTCCTTCCTCACCGTCCTCCACCCCTCCGCTCTTAACTTCTCGATCCTCCTCTTCCTCTTCCTAGCCTTCTCATCCTCTGCCGCACTACTCTTCGACTGTGCGTCTGCAATCTGCAAGCTCCAGAAACTGCGGAGGCGGATGTCTTTTCCTGCTGGTGGTGGTGGTGGAGTCTGGAAGGGATAGTTCTCGTCGGAAGTTGTTGACGAGGGTGGTTGATATTTGTGGGATCGGGAGTGCATGGACGCGAATTGGCGACGTTTTTCGAGTTCGTGGGTTTGCTGAGTTATGCGGACGATGTCAATTTTGGTGGTGACGGTGGAGATGTGTTTGTGGAGGGAGGTACGGAGGGAACAGAGGGTGGCGTTGTAGTTTGTGAGGTGGGTCGTTGGAGAGGTAGGCTGAGACAAGAGGATGTGAGTGGTGATTTCGCGATCATCGGTGGTGCAGGTGAGTGTGGATGTGAGGCCTGTGGTAGGCTTGATGGGCTTGTTGCCTTTCGGACAGGGAGTGATGGGAACAAAGCTCTGCTTGTAGGACATTTTCAGGGTTGATGGCGGATCCTGCTCACAAGGACTCTCCACTGTCAAAGGATCTGCATTTTCCTTGTCGTCGTTCTTTGCGATGAATGTGGTAGAGATGCGCTTAAACCGTTTTGTCACAGGGGTTTGTGCGATGTGGACCGGACCAAGTCCGCCTCCTCTGTCAGCATCAAATGGGCTTCGTCCTTCAAATTTTGATATTAATGTTGCAAGAGCGGTCTTTCTGCGAGGAACGATGTAGAAATGCTTGCCTTTGAGAGTAAATTGGGCATTGTGGTTGAAAGGCAGTTCCGGGAGAGGACGAGAAAACGGTGTTGGTGGGAGTGGTTTGTTCAGAGTAAACAAGGGCAAAAGTGTGTTGATTCCATCATACTGTAATTGTGAACCTTTCCTGCTCGAGGGACCTTTGCTGAATAGGGGCGATGGCACGAGTTCTCCGGTCAGAGCGTGTTGAGAGCTCAGACTGCGACTAAGTCTGGCTTTGGCTAGTGCTTTCTCTTGCGGTGTCCCAACAAGGTAGCTGTCGTCTTCTAAATCCATGTAAGGTGACTCGGAAGAGTGAAGATCGACATAGATATGGCATGCTGGTAAAGGTCCTTGCAAGCGCGAGGATGTGGATGCTCTCGAGGTCGAGACACATCTTTCTGGTTGGCGACCTCTAGTCTGTTCGGGCACTGAGGAGGGAGCCGGAGGACTGTTCTCGTAGAGCTCTAGCAGATCCAGAGTCGGACAAGCGGGTGGTGGTTGTGGTTCATCGTAGTTGCCATCAGCTGTAGTACGGAACGGCAATGGAAGGAGGTCACTTGCTGAGATGAACGCATCTCTTGCTTGCTCGAGCAGTGGGATTTTGTTGTTCGATCGATCGTGTGAGATATGTCCTAGACTTTCGAAGCAGACAGCTTGATAGAAAGACAGGAACGTCTTCAGTAATGGATGGTCCTAATTCATCAGTATCAAGCTAGGACAGAAGGCAGGTACGCACTTCTCTTTCGAGCAATTGCGAGCAGAGTACGATGCAACGACGGTATCTGCGATCGCGATACAGTTCTCTCACACTGACAATATCATCCTTCCAAACCAGCAAAAATCTCACAGGAAATGCTGTGACTTCTGGTTGCGACATTGCATTGTATATCCAACGAGTCACTAGGTGGATGAACTCTCAGGAGGTTGGTGGATGATAAAGTCAAGAAGCACATGTTCGCGAGCATCCTTTGCACAGCTCGAGTCGGGAATAGCAGTGAAAGTACACTAGCAGGTAGTGAAAGTGTCATAGTTGCGCTTCCTTCTTCGTTCTGTATCTTTCCTGTGACAACAATCGGAAGTCGCCACGCGCTCCAAGGTGATCCGTGACCCACGGTCTGTGCAGATCGTCCTGCTGCATAAGCATCTCTGCCACATTGGGGTCTTTTAATTGCACGTCCATGCCAAAGGTCTGGAAATTTTCAAGTACCAAGCTACCACAAAACAATAACTTGTCCATTCTCGACAAACCAATTTGTTGAGATTCAACCTTGGATACCATCTGTCCCCAAGTCATTCCAGACTCAGCATCTTCAATGCCACCATTCTCAATGTATGCATCTTTCAAGCCGTTCTCCGAGTGCAGAGACTTGTCAAAAGGCTGAATGGCGTTTAGATCACCACCCAATATGCTGGCGTACTCCTCACGCATGAATCCTGCTGCTGCCGCAAGTTGCCCAGGGCGTCTAGGAGGCTCGGCAACGAGCGATTCCAGATGTGTGCTGCATAAACGAAGGGTTTTGTCGTTAATAACCAAATCTACGAAAAGACCATCCCTACCCATTCGTGTATTTTCGTAATGCACGCGAAATACTCTTGAAATATAGAGTGATTTCGGGATGAGTAAGCATGTACCTAAAGCCATGTGAGTGCTTCGACAATTCATTCAGGCGCGAGAAGTTCAATGAAAGAACAAATTCGACTAACGAATATGGATCACGTCCAGGGCTCGAGGGACACGGATATTGGAACTAGAAGAACAGATAACACTCACCGTACGGGTGTTCCCAGAACTCGGGTGAGCTATCAGTCACACAATAACCGTCCTGCACCCACGACTGAGATTTGATAATCTCAAGGTCCGAAGCCAGGTTCTCGTTAAGCATTACGATTGCTGGGTGAGCTATCTCGCTGATATACTGTTGCAGAAAGTCCAGGGCAGCTTGCATCCTTTCACGAGTGAACGACCTTCTGAAGTCAATATTCCATGTCAAAATTGAGAGTGTCTGCACAGAGGAAGACTGGTCCTTCTCAGCTGTTGAGTAAGCGACTTCCCAGTTTTCGCTTCGCCACCAGAAACATGGTTGATCACATGGTTGACCTCGTGTCCAAGCACGCGCCATGATACTCGAACTGCTCTGTATGTGCTTTGAAGAGATACGGTTCCGACTAGTGCTGGTGAATGGTATATTCGTCTGGGTAACAAACCTTCTGAAAGCCAGCTTGAGGAACAAGATACTGAACGCCAGTCTGTGACAGCGTCGCAAGCTCGCCAGACTCCTGGTTTGATCTTGTGATTGCAGACCAATGTCACCTCCAATAATGCTCGGGTCGTCCTCACTAGCTGAACAACATCGAACATTCAGGACAGCCGTACGGTTGGCGAGGAGCGCACTTATAGAGATTTTTTGAGCTAAAGAGGCAAATCGTACACTGATTGGTCCCCGATCGTGTCTCACCATCCCACGCTTGTCTGATCTGACACAGCGTGGCCACCTCCCTGCCGTGCCTTCTTGGCCCAACCAGCGGCACGCCCTTTTTGTGCAGCTTTTTCGTCCCCTGAGTCAGTGCATCTTACCACTGCACCTTCCTGCTACGCTTCGAATGCTATCCATATTCGCCAAGTGCATACTCGGATGGCCTTGCCGGCTCCATCTAGCTACAGCCGATGGCATCAAACAGTGTGCTGAAACCCTTAGTGGCTTGCACCTCTTCGTCGACAAGCTCTGGACTTCACTCGAGCCTGCACTGAACCACCGAATAACATAGCACACCGCTCGACTCTCAGCCCACTGAGGTCCTGCCTCATTCCACTATCAAGAAGTCTTGTGACCTCCTTGTACATCTCAAACAATTCTTGATGCTGGTTCCTGGTCATTCTTTATTCGAGGTAGCGCATGAAGGTCCTACTGGAACTTCAGCCGCTGACTCTGCAACATAAATGGAGTAGCCTTTGTCTGCTCCCGGCCTTGACATCAAGAAATGCTCCAAACATACCGATGCGCAAGGGAGGGCCTCCATCTTCCACCTTCATCTTCCGTACATCTCAGATCTAGCCGCGTGCATGGTTATCCATATGACACTCAATGTGCGTATGTCACATCCATGCCAAGAGCCCCCTGTTGTTGCACTTCGGTGCTTACATCTATATATGCTTTCCTTTGTCCTCGTCCTCTTTGTCCGGTCTATCGTGTTATCATTATCGAGTCTTTCCTTCTTTGCTGCTGTGCAGCGTTACATTCCTTTCTATACACAGTCACTCCTTCAAACTTATTTGTCTTCAGTTACCACGTCTTCGCCGACATCATGAGGCCTTCTGCTACTTGCTTCGCCCTTGGCGCATTACTCAATTTTTACGGTTGTGCTTGGGCGGCTTACACCTTAAAAGATGACTACAGCGGCGACAAGTTTTTTGGAATGTTCGATTTCTTTACAGAGGCCGATCCCACACACGGATACGTTGACTACATATCACAGTCAGCAGCACAATCAGCTGGTCTGATAAACAACAACAATAACCAAGTCTATATGGGAGTTGATACAAAGAACATCGCCTCAGGAAGAGGGCGAAAGTCGGTCCGCCTTACCTCAAAGGCGGTGTACAACCACGGCCTGATCATACTCGACCTTGAGCATATGCCTGGCTCAGTCTGTGGCACTTGGCCAGCATTTGTAAGTGACATACCCACTATAATATATTCCACCATTGAGGGTACACTGTTTGGCCGAGCTGAACTAACTGCTTGATAGTGGACTGTTGGACCGGATTGGCCCAACAGCGGCGAGATCGACATTATCGAAGGCGTGAATTCTCAGACATCCAATTCCATGGCCCTTCATACAGGCCCAGGGTGCTCGATAGCCTCAAATACCTCACCCAACAAACGTGCTGCGTTATTCTCCGGCTCAGTTGGCACACCAAACTGCGATGTTAAGGCTCCTGGACAAGCTGCTAACGCAGGATGTTCTATCAAGACCTCGCAGACATCGTCGTATGGCAGCGGTTTCAATGCTGGACAAGGAGGTGTTTATGCGACTGAGTGGACATCCAATGCTATCAGTATCTGGTACTTTCCTCGAAACAGCATACCATCAGACATCAACAGCTCTCCAGACCCTTCTACCTGGGGTATACCACTCGCCTCCTTCACAAGCACCTCCTGCGACATTGATTCGAACTTCAAGAACCAGCAGATCGTCTTCGACACAACGTTTTGTGGAGATTGGGCAGGAAATGTTTGGTCTACCGACGCAACGTGTTCGAGCAAAGCGCCGACTTGCCAGGACTTTGTTCAAAACAACCCAACAGCTTTTACCGAGTCTTTCTGGACCGTCAATAGCCTCAAAGTTTTTACTGGTTCAGGAGGCAACGGCACTTCACCAAGCGCAAGTCGTCCAGCTTCAAGCGCACAACCGACCGCTAGCAGACCTCCTGTCAGTGGTAGCAGCGGTCTTCCTACCGCCCTGCCAAGTGGCACCGCACCACCGATCGTACCCTCCAGCGTACCCGGCAGCAAGCCATCCAACGCACCTTCGACGACCTTTGCCACGAGCAAGCAGACATCAGCCTCAGCTTGGAACGGTGGTGGGTATACCCGAACCTGGAGTCGCGGAGGAGGTCCGCGTGCGAAATGGAATAGCAATACAGCCCGTGACATTGTACCAGAAACTTCCTCGGCCGCGCCAGAACCTACCGTCACATCCGTACCAGAGCTCGGACTGGAAGAACGTTCGGCAGTTCTGGACCAGATCGAAGCCGACCAGACTCCATCAGAAGTTGATCAGAATATGGTCAGGAGACACATGGCTCGTCACAAGAGGCATGGAGGTCATTTTGGAAAATGAGTTGGTTCTTTCTAGCTTGATTTACGCAGATACGACTTTGATGTGAGCGATGGAGTATATAGAAATTTTGATGATGCATTATCCGGACATGGTGCTGTCTCTCTACCAGGTGGCAGACCATTTGTAGCGAGATACATTTGAGCAACACTATGATGAAGCAGCTTCTTCACTTTAAACGTTAGCAATCTTTGCAAATAAGGTCTTGATGGCCATCGTCTGCATCCCAATGTATTGCTGTCGGACGGCCACACTTTAAGTCGATCTAATAGTTCAACATCTTTCCACGATGTTTACGAGCACTCAATCCACGAAATGGATTATGGAACAGTGACTGTACGTTGATGCCTCAGGCATATAAACTTCATTGGAGTTGGCTGGTCACCATTCATGTTTTGTCAAGAGCGGAGAATGACCAATGAAATGACGATACTACGTACTTGGGGGCGACTGGCAGAGACACCCTAGTGCATAGTTGGGCAGGCACTGCTCGAATGACCAGAACGTCGCTGCTCTTGCTCTAGATTCATCATCCATATCAGACCTTTCGCGAACAGATCAGTAGGGATGACGAGCGACGATCAGCAGTTCCTCGATCTTGTAAGTAACCTTAACCCGAGCGAATACACTGACCATACTGACATGCCCCACAGCTAGCGAGTATCCCACAGGACATGGCGAGTTATGGTTCCAGAATAGCAGATTATATCGAGAAGCACTCCAATGCCATCGCCGCCGATCTTCGAGAGGCCATCGACCACGCATCATGGCTGCCAGAGTCCTTGAAACCACCTCGCGGTGCATCACATGGCTTCTTCGCTGCACCCCCTCCACCACCACAAGGACCGTACGAGAAGACTGTCGCATTCATCTCTAAGAACCGGACGGCCATCGCAGTTGTTTTGGCATTTGCAGGCACAACGGCCTATCTGGTACATCGGAGGAGACGAGCACATGCAAAGAAGAGACGAGCGAAGAAGCTGCCCAATGGCGCAAAGAAGGAGATTGTCGTGCTGGCTTGCTCGACTTTCCACGATCCTCTCACACGCTCCTTGGCTGTCGATCTAGAGCGACGGGGATACATTGTCTATGTTACTGTTTCCTCGACTGAAGAGGACACGCTTGTTCACCAGGAAGCCAAACCCGATCTACGTCCAATCTGGATCGATGTCACGTCTACTGTGCCAAACCCAGCCTACGACACCCACCCAGATCTCGACCCAATCCGCGAACTCCTTTCCAAATCCTCTAGATCAATTTCACCCTCCTCACCTCGTGTATCTATCGGAAGCAAGCCTTATGAGCACTCGTTAGCAGGTATCATCCTCTTTCCAGGCTGCTCAGGCTATCCCGTCGGACCTTTTGCACTCCTTCACCCCTCAGATGTCGTCGATAGCGTCAACACAAGATTACTCCAACCACTTCTCACAGCACAGCAATTCCTTCCTCTGCTGGCAAGACATAGTTACGATTCTAAAGCACCAACAAGCATAGTAATAGCCTACCCATCTATACCACAAGCACTAAACCCACCGGCCGAACTCACGTCAACCCTCGTATCCACCTCGCTATCAGCACTTGCTGCTTCCCTGCGCCGCGAAATCACCGTCTCCTCAGCCAACATCGTCGTCTCAGAACTCAAACTCGGCAACTTCGACCTCGGATCAACATACTCAAGAACATTCAATCGCGACATCTACCCGGAGTCTGGCCACGAGCATTCACAGGCCCTGACTCACTGGCACTCTTCACAGCGCGCCGCCGCACAAAGGAGTAGATTTGGTCAATCAAAATCAACAAGAGGCAGTTCAGCCCGAGAATTCCACAACGCCGTCTTCGATGCCCTCGCACCCCCTTCGCGATACAAGGCTTTCAATCGCTGGGAATGGGGCTTTTCTAAACGAAGCAGTGTCGTCTTCGTAGGCAGCGGCGCAAGAGTCTACGATTTGTGCGGCAAGGTCCTGCCTAGTGGCCTAGTAAGCCTGATGATGGGCTACCGCAGAAGGAGAGATACATGTCTACTACCGGGCAGTGTAAGGGAAAAAGTCGAAGGTGACGGTCTAGAAGACCTGGAGACAATTGGGCTTGTTAGCACGTTAGATATTGCGACGGGACAACCTGTGAGGAGACCTCGCGATGAGGAAGAAGGCTTGGCTGGTGGGTTTGACGAAAGAAATGCCTGGCGTGAGGGAAGTAGAGCTCAGAGTGACACGAGCAGCCAGGGACAGATATCGCTGCAGGATCATGATCTTAATCCTGGGGCGGGTGAGAGTGCGATGTGGGAGAAAGTTTAGTTATGACCTGAGAAACGGAGAGAGAACTTTATGAATATGATATTTTTGACGGATCTACCTTCAACTTTCTTGTGAGTTGATGTTGTGAATAAGGATGAATATTAGCTTCAATACCAAGATATTCTACCCTACGGTTCATCTGAATGATATCGGACTCTCTAAAGATACTCATCGCAAGGGTTCTGAAGCTGCTACCACAGTACTTGCTAGATCGCTGGCGCCAAGAAAGCGGGGCATCTGATAAGATAAGATAATATCTGCTTCATACCTCTTACAGCTCTAGTCCTTGTAGAATTCTCTTCGGCTCTGCCAGATTCTCCTAGTCAGCAAACAATGTACCGCATCGGCTGCGACGTCGGGGGCACCAACACTGACGCCGCCCTCCTCGACATCTCTCGTCTATCTTCCTCCTCAAAAGGCGTTCTCGCAACCCACAAGACCACGACAACTCCCAACGTCACCGACGGCATCAGGACAGCCATTGAGAAAGTCTTAGTAAAGTCCGGTGTCGATCGGGATGAAGTCATTAATGTCGCTATTGGCACGACTCATTTCGTGAATGCGGTGGTTGAGGGGGATGCGAGGAGATTGGATCGCGTGGCTTGTGTGAGGCTTTGTGGGCCATACACGAGGAGCGTAAGTTGAGTTGAGCGGCCTCCGCTTTCTTCTTGGAGTACAAGATAGGACGGGAAATTGACGGGCAACACAGATTCCTCCATTTTCGGATTATCCTTATGCGCTGAGGGAGATTGTGGAAGGGCCGTGTTTTCACCTTGATGGTGGGCTTGAGGTTGATGGGAGAGAGATTAAGCCGTTGAGTCCGGACCAGGTACGTGAGACGGCTGACGCTATCTACAGTGCTGGTATTCGTGCGGTTGCGATTGTAGGTGTTTTTTCTGCTCTGGATCACGAGGGTATTCATGAGGAACGTTGCAGGCAGCTCATGCTTGAGAGCTATCCTGATCTATTGATTGTTACTTCGAATACTATTGGTGGTCCTGGCTTGCTCGTACGGGAGAACGCTACCATACTCAATGCGGCAATCTTGAGATTCGCTGGTCGTACGATCCGGGGCTTTCGTCGAGCTATGCACGAGTTGACTTTGACATGTCCGCTGTTCTTGACGCAGAATGATGGCACGTTGATTGAAGCTTCTGCAGCTGCAAAATTGCCGATCAAGACTTTTGCCAGTGGACCTACAAACAGCTTGATGGGAGCGGCTTTTCTGCAAGGCCATGGCACTCTGCAAGATCTTAGAGACAAGCAGGTCCTTGTGGTCGATATCGGTGGCACAACAACTGACATATGTGCGCTGCTCCCATCCGGCTTTCCACGTAAAGCAGCTAGCTCGGTCGAGATTGGTGGAGTAAGAACGGCATTTTCAATGCCAGAAGTGTATAGTATCGGCCTAGGTGGTGGAACTCGTGTGCGTGCTGACGGTCGTGGCGAGGTTACCATTGGGCCAGATTCAGTCGGTCATAACCTGGTACAAGATGCACTTGTGTTCGGTGGTGAGACGCTTACCACGAGCGACATCATGGTGGCTGCTGGTGTCGCAAGGATAGGGGATGCAGAAAAAGTAACAGCACTTTCTAGAGAGCTTGTTGCTGCAGCCGTGGCTGGGATAAAGCGAACGTTGGAGAAAGCCATTGACAAGATGAAAGTGTCTGCTTCGCCAGCATTTGTCCTGCTTGTTGGTGGAGGTTCAGTTGTATTTCCTCCAGACATGATCATGGAGCATATTAAACCAATACATCACGATTCTGCTAATGCTGTTGGTGCCGCCATCGCTAAAATTGCTGGTGAGATAGACGTGGTTGAGATTCTTGCAGGTCGTGACGAAGATCAAATCCTAGAAAATGCGAAACAGAAGGCGATCGCTGCTGCAGTCGCTAGAGGTGCGTCTGAGGAGGACGTCACCATTGCCGAGCTTAGCAAAATTCCACTGCAGTATGTCAACAACAAAGCGACCAGACTACTCGTCAAGGCTGTGGGCTCCTTGAAGACGAGGCCAGATAGCAGCCAGATCGTTGACAGTCAGTCGATAGATCTCGATATTATGGAGACCGACACGTCTTCGGCGGAAGCCGAGCCTGGTTCACCTAGGAAGCTAGAAACAGCAGGCATGGCACAGCCTTCTCTAGAGATCGACTTATCGAGCTATCGTCCGAAGGTCCATAGTGGTGTTTGGTACGTTTCCGCTATCGATGTCGAATTTTGTGCTCTAGGCTGTGGTATTCTAGGCACAGGAGGAGGAGGTTCGTCACACAATGTAATGCTATATGTGCTCGATATCATCCGCACGCAGGGAGAAGGAGCAATTCGTGTCATGTCTCCAGATGCGCTGAACGACGATGATATTTGCGTGTTTGGGTCGGGGTATGGAGCACCTAGTGTTAGTGATGAGAGGCTACAATCAGGCGAGGAGATACCTGCAACCGTCGACGAGCTGAACAAATTGCTTGGTCACAAAAGCTTCCAAGGTATTGTGGCTGTCGAGATAGGTGGTGGCAATGGCATTGTAACATTCCCTACAAGTGCTAGGTTCTCTGTCCCTGTGATCGACTGTGACTTGATGGGAAGAGCTTATCCAACAGCGGAGCACTGTACACCTTACGTATACGGACATCCCGTCATGCCCGTTGCTATGGCTGATGCCAAAGGAAATGTGAGCATTGTCGTCAGAGCCGAGAACAACACAAAACTTGAGGGTATGCTCAGAACAACCTGTGTCGAACTGGGTAATGCCGTTGGAGTGACTGGAAAACCCTTAATCGGAAGGGTAATCAAAGAGTTTGCCATTCCGAATACTCTTTCTCAAGCCTGGTTCTTGGGACGAGCCGTGCATCTTGCTCGACGAAACAAAATCGACTTTATTGAGGCCATTGGTGATGTCACACCAGTCAAATTGCTATACACAGGTAAGATCGTGGATGTGTCGCGAGACGTGTCTCGTGGCTATACTGTTGGTAAATGCACGATAGCTCCAGTGTTGACTGATGAGTTGCGAGGTGGAGTAAGGCACGAGACAACAAAGGGGAGTCGGAATCTTATCATTACGTTTCAGAACGAATACCTGATTGCATATCTCGAAGAAGCCGAACCTGAGCAGAAGAGAGAGGTGCTTTGCGTGGTACCAGATCTCATATCGATTCTCGGCTCGAATGGGGAGGCTTTGGGAAGTCCGGACCTGAGATACGGTCTCCAGGTCAAGGTGATAGGGATGCCAGCGCACCCGCTTTGGACTGCAACAGAACAGGCATTGAGAATAGGGGGACCTGAGTTCTTCAAGCTTGACGTGCCTTGGAAGCCTCTGGGGGAATACCAGAAACCGAAGAGTGTTATAGACGTGTACAACGAGACAACATAGAGAAGCAAACCAGAATGCATGCCTCTAAAGCCCGACTTGTTGGGTCGATCTTTCAGTGCAGTAGCGCAAACGCGCTAATGAAATCAGTGTGGCTCACTGGCACTGGCACTTGCACGTCCGTTTTCATTACGAATGGAACTGCCGAATTTCGTTATGCCTCTGTAGACTCCTATCGTGTTGAAGGGACAATCTGTCAACCGTATAGCTGGAACGGACAGCAGGTATAGGGTCTCGAGCTCTTTCCTCTTGGACCTCCATGGTGCACCGTCCATACCAGACTCGTTTATACTTCTCGAATCTGCAATAGATATCATTGAGATGCACCCAAACTTCGATTTGCGTAACGTTTAGATACCAGAGCTAACCACGATTGCACAATGATGGAGCACCTCCTACCCATTTTCCTTCCTCGAGCTCTTTGAATAGCCACCTGCTCATGCTCCCACGACTTAGTGTCTTATTCTCTGTGTTGTTCTCTCCCCCAAGTATAAATGCGACCACTTCAAGATCAGAACTTTCGTTCGTCAATAGCGGCACTCGAAACACAGTCGCAGATAGTCCTTTAACAGGCTGTAGTGAATTACCTTTGTTGTTCAGAACAGCTTCACCAATAGCTCGCATCTCTGCATTTCCTTGAGGAACGACTATCCATGGAATGAAACTGTTGAGATACCAACCCCAGCTCTTTGTTTTGTCTTCTCCTGGAACAGGAAACGCTCCAGTGGTACTGAGCACCAGTATCCGATTGACATTAAGTTCCTGCATGGCAGGTATGATTGTGCTGTTTAATGCGTCACCGATCGGTGTAGGCTGGGTGCGAGTAAGGAAATGGTACAAGCTCATATATGCTCCAAGAACCGAAAGAACGGCAGTAACCTTCGGAAATGTAGCATCTGCAGACAAAGCTGTTCGGATTGCAGCTGCATCCGTCAAACCGCCTTCAACGATTCGAATTCTGGGTGCAGGATTATCGGATTTGGTGGCCGAAGGCAGAACAGATGTGAGTTTCGACCGACCTGAGGCACGAACATAGAGTGTTAGATATGGTTTGTTTGCTGCCGAGTCCGCAAGAGCAAGATGTTCCTTGATCAAGGCCAGACCAGATACGCCGCTAGCACCGAGCAAAAGGACATGTGGTGTTTCGTTTGTTCGCCGAAGTGTGGTCATATTCGGTCTCTGTCTTTGATGTTTCTTGGCTGGGTGTAAAAGATTCGAATGGTTCACTTCGTAGGAGAAGCTCAAGGTATTATGTATAAAGCAACAAGAATGAGCTTTTTCGAAGTCGTCCCGCACGTTTGCCCTGTCTTGGACTAGGCGATACTTTGTTCTGGTATATGTATCAATGTTGAGCGCCAGGAATATATCGCTTCCATCAAATTGCGGATTAATTGGTGGCTTTCGGGACCAGATCAGAGATACACAAGCCTTGTTGTGATTGGCTGGTCCATTCGTGGTTGCAGCAGCCGTTCGTCAGCATCGGCGGCCAAGGACCGACTCGTGCGTCTGCCAAATGATTCTCGAACTTCGGCATGGTTTCCCGATTGAGCAGTGACTGCAGACCATTTTTGCGACCACAATCTGCTCGATCTGTTTCCACGAGGTCGTGAGATACTGTATGATCCGCAGCCTGCAACAGTATTCATTTGGCATGGACAGTGAACTAGAAAGGGTGTAGTATCTCAGAGGCCTCGAGACATCTTGTTTGTCCCTCATTCAACTCCTGCAAACCTCTCAACGTCAATATCGTCGTGTTTGACCTCGTTTACAGGATCATGTCTTGCCAAACTTATCACAACTCAATGTGAAGCCTCGTGTGGGTATGGTTTGTTTACCACAAATTGAATCCGTGCACTGCTCTCGTGCAGTATCCGATCAGCCATCTCTTCTCCCTTGCTAATTGTGGTTTTCTTGTTCCGAGTACTACTTCTAGCCTTGGCAGCGCGAGCCTCCCTTCCTCGAATACCTATTATCGTTGCATTAATCAGATTGGTGGTAGGGCGGAAGGAAGAGGTCTCTTTCGCTAGTTGCCGAAGGATGCTTTCGAGTAGCAAACTCATTTTCGCCTGATGTTCGACTGGGTTCCTGCCTTTGGTCGCAGCGTATGGCAGATAATCCCTCACAAGACGCACCTGAGTCATGGCCTCGAGTGTCGTTCGTCCTCTATTCGTCCGGTCTGTATCAGCTACACGTTGCAGAACGAACTCGCATAACAGCATGCGTGCATCTGGGATCAGACCACTTGTGAAACTCGGCAATATAATTTGCTGAAATGAAGAAAGTGGCAGGTCCTGAACAAACTCAACGAATAAAGTGTACAATTCATGCAGGTCTGGCCAATAATCCGCCGCTTCAGAATCTCGCAATGTTGGATGAGCTGATACGTTCGACAAGAGCTGAAGGAGGCGCAGCCGGAGCATGATCGAATCAAGGGGACCTAGACCGTGCCTTGTGCCGGACTCCTCCTGCCCTGATGCATCAGTATCTTCTTCTTCCGTAAAGATCGGGCTCTTGCTAGCTTGAGGCAGCCTTCGTCGTCGGGTCAACGGGGTCCTGGTTCGCAGCCGCTTGGACGGTCTATTGGCTACGTCGCCGTGATGCACATCGACGTCTTCATCTATACTGCTCTCGGAGTCCTGAAGCCAATCCCCGTAAATGTCTTCGTCGACTTTTACGGCCACCTCTTGCTTCTTCGCTTTCTCATGCTCAATTCTAGGCCCTTTCAGCTCTTTCCGAAACACTTCTGTGAAGAAGTTCAGACTGTCACGACTACCATCAGCAAATATAGCTCTGATTGTTCGTCGAGCACGCGCAAAGCCTCCAATTGCACTAGATATGTACTTCCAGATCAATGATTCCTGACACTTTCCTAGTTCTTCACGACACTGCCAATCACTTTCGAGCACTTCCAGCATATGCTGTAACCATGAGCTCCAGTATAGCCATCGTGTAGCATATGGACCAGGCAGACAAGAGCAATTGAAAGCCCATCCAATCACTGACCAAAAATCATCCTTTGAAGTAAACACACTTTGCGAGTCTGCATATTTGATTCCCAACGTCTCAGTGATAGCCTCGCCGTCGCTTTGTTCTTCAACGTGAACATGGTCGAACTTACGGAATCGATAAGCCTCGATCAAGGAAGCGTTGACCGGACCAACTAACCCGTTAATTGTACGCAGATATTGACGTGCCAGATTTGACTGTTTCAGCTTATCCTGAGTCGATGCTCTGCTCGTCAGGTTAGGGTGTATACTGAGCGTGTTCAAGACACCAAGGTAATCTGGAGGGGGAAGCAAAATAGGCCTTTTGTCATTCGCAGACGAGGCTGAAACCAGACTAAGGAGGACTCGTAACGCCTGAGAAAACAGGCACTCTTCCAGGTAGATGTTGACTTGCTGCAAGAGTTCTCGTGGTAAAGGCCGTGCAGATCGATAGTGCGAACTTGACTCTGGAGATGCTGTCTGGAAGGTGACTGGGGTCGAACGTGCTGAGGATAGTGGCGACGAAGTAATAGTCCTACCTGTCATTTTGACAATTTTGACATACTCTTGGTAGGAATCTCAACGTAATTCAGGCAAGATCATCAAATGAAATAGTAGATGAGCCAGGTACGCGTCAAAACACGCTAGCACACGCGTATTTCCCCCAGACATAGACATTAATGTTTGGCAAGAACAAACCGTAGACCTCGTCAAACTATAGTTTGCAACGATCAAACCCCGTCTGCCATTGCGAATTCCCTTACAACTGAATGGCTTTATCAGCATTGACTTTGATTTGAGTGTGAACGTAACCACTCTGGAGCAACCGTTCAATGCTGTTGGCCTGTCACCGAGGTGGAACTCTGTCCAGCTAGATCGAACTTGTTAGGAAGCAGCTGAGGTCGTAAGCTTCGAGGCACAACCTTGAATGCGAAAACTGTCCGACGACATAATGCGTTCAGACGACCTTCGACTAGTGACCACGTGGAGAACTCTCAGTCTTTCCTCGTTGCCTGTTCTACACGCAGCAATCCCCCCAGAACACAAAGCGTCTTTTAGATGGCAGAACGTTGCTACAAGACTTGTATTGCGAGCTAAAGTATTGATGTTCGCTAGCTACGAACAATGTCTTTGCTGGTGACTCAGTAAATAGTTTTAGCACAATCGTAGTGAAAAGAAGAATGTCTATACCATATACTTGACGAATTTTCAACCACAATACTGTGCTGTAAATGTTTCAAGTATCGCCCTTGGAGTGGCTAATGGCAATGAAGACTTTACGGGCTTTCATGGTGGGCGAATAAATCACAATAAGCATTGAATACTGCTTGTTTGGGCTGAATAAGCTCTAAAAGTGCACCTATGAGTAATGCTTTACGATGCCAATACGGAAACGTTGGCGAGCGGCCTGCCCGTGCTGACCCTGGTCATGATGACGTTGCAGACAAATATTTCCAGTCTGCATCATTCAGCTGTGCAGCATCAACACTTTGACTGATATTGCGATCTACAGCATAGGTTCTATAACTCATTGACGATCTACAAGTCCAGCAATCGATATCTGATCGTTTCATCATTCAAAGTCTTCGTCAAAAGAACATCCTTTTTAATCCTTGAGATGACATCTCGTCCATAAACCAAACCACACCCATCACCTAACAAAAACACCCCCTTATACCCACCCACCCAACCATGACTACCCCCACCCCCTCCACCCTCCGCACTCTCTGGTTCAAATGGAAAGCCCTCCGCCTCCCCTGGCGCTCCAAATACCTCGTCGGCCAAGACCTAACCGGCAACACTTACTGGGAGTTCGTCGATCGCCTCCCCTCTTCCAACTCCAACAACCCCCGCCGCATGCGCCGCATCGTCGAATCCACCAACCGCCGCATCCACCACTCCGACGTGCAAATCTCTCCACAGTGGCATCAATGGCTACGACATACGCGGTACGATGCGCCGACTCTCGAGGAGCAGCAGATGGATGTCACGAGGCAGATACAGTTGAAGCATAATGCGAGACTAGCGGATGCGAGGTGGGAGGCGAGGGCGAAGTTGGTGGAGAGGCCGAAGAAGGAAGAAGTGGAGAGGCCGAGGGTGACGGGGATGAGTGCTGTGCAGGATGAGACGGGGGGGACGGGTGAGACCATAAGAGGAGGGGATGCGCCGAAGACGGAGCCTGATCATAAGGAGGGGGTGAGGCAGGGGGTTGTGAGTAGTGCGGAGCAGGCGACGGGAAAGGAGCAGTGGGATCCGTGGGAGGAGGAGAGGAAGAGGCAGAAGGAGAGGGCATCGAATCCGGGGGCTACGTGGCAGCCTGAGGGGTGGGCACCGGCGCCAGCGAGGAAAAGATAAAAGATGTGGTACGATGTAAGATGATGATAATATTGGTTGTACATTGTGTATAATTAGGATGGATTATAATTCACCACTCGACATGCGCAGTCTTCCGTTCGGATCAAGAAATCTGCTTCCAATCCGGTACAGGGCCGGATTGTAAACCTATGGTGGGTGAAGCGTCCAGCTCAGAAAACCTCTGACCACCGTTGCTTCGGCCCTCCGATGGCGTCGGTGTGGTAGGAGGACTTGACGCAGAATAGCCGTGCACTTCGGACAAAGCCTGTGGACTGCTAAGCAACCCCTGAGTCCGATGGTTAACGGATCCTGAATGCAATGAAGACATTTGGCCGAATGTCGCGCTCGGTACCGATTCAGAGCGATGCAGAGTGTCAGAAGAAGCAGCCACACTATGATACCGAGGTGGCTTGTAAGCCTGGTACTCGCCATCGTGCTGAAGCATTTCTCGATTATCAGAAGGACTCATTGTTCGCGAAATCGCTGCCGAGGAATATTGAGCTGGAGTCATCCCAGAAGAGGCTGCAGTGACACCGTTGCCGTCGATGTTGGTATGTGGCATGTTTGAGCCTAGCACCCTAAAGGACGGCTGTGCTGGAGCTGCTGCCCTGTCTTTGACCTTCCGATATCGCTTCCAAATCAACACTGCTAGACACACAGCACAGACCGACACACCAGCCAGAACGCCTCCTACAATGGCGCCAGTATTGGCCGATGTTGTGTCAGAGGCGGAAGATGAGGTCGGTATCCCAGCATCGATTCTGGTCGTCTGTGTTTCTATCGTGAAAGCCTCAGTCGACGTTGCAACTGCGAAAAAGGACGTAGGCGGCACATTGGTCGAATCACACCAAGCGCTTGAGTATGTATTGCTGCGGGGATCGACAAAATATTGCCAGTTGCAAATACCAGCGGTTGCTTCTGTACTTCAAACTGTCAGACGCAGCTCTTAGAAATGCTCGACTAGCTTACCAATGTGTTTGCCACGGTCGCGACGACGTTTCAGAGAACAAGGTAAAGATATCTCTTGGGATACAGGATGTATACCAGCCACAATGTTCTCCCACACAGCAAGCAAACAGATAGCCTGGGGCTGAAGTGGATGAGCATTTCGGAACCTCAATACCACAAGGTGCTGGTTTAGCTACACAATCAGTCTGTCTTCCAGAGGCTCATGTAGCAGATACGTACCACTGTTCCCATTCCAAAATCCGCATGTCTCACCCCATATAACGCTCGAGCTCGTGGCGCGGCGGTTGAGGCCGTACAGGGAATCGATGGCTGTAATGGGTGACGTTGTCCTCGCCTCTTCCTGAGAGAGTGTCACCGTTGTGCGTGCGGCCACATCTGCGAAGACAAACAATCGAGCTGCGATGAAGCTGAGACTGATGAGGGCCAGCAACATATCGATCTGGGCTGAAGACTGACGTCCAAGTTTCGAGCGAAACGAGGATCGGTAGGCTATGAACTAGAAGGACTTTGAAAGCAGACCTGAGTATGAGGAGACAGGAATCATCTGTTCAGTCGGATGTGTGAAAACCTGGTGGCGAAACCTGAAGGAGGTGGAAGTTTGTCTGTGCAACATATTCATTTGGAGCACCATGTTTCGGTCAATTGCCTGGGCTATCAAGGTATAGTCACAAGAGAGACAAGACTGAAGCTGCCTTGAAGCAAACCGTTGTGAAACATGGAATATCGCACGTGGTTGCACAAGGCTTTTACGGAGTGGCAGGCACGACCTTTGGTATCAGGAAGCACCAAATTGTGTATTACCGTGACCAATTAACCAAATGTATTGTTTTAAGATAAACACTATTGCAAGCTCAATACCAATCATTACATTAGAATCCAGTTTGAGCTTGGTTAGAGCCTCAGCAACTTCAGCTATGTTATTGCTAATTGATTGTACCACGCCACGAGTGAGCGCAATCTGAAACTGCCACGATTTGGCTTTCAATCCTCGATACATATCAAGGTACAATGTAGTAGGTTCGTCAGCGAGACCTACTGCTAGTCACCAGCAGCAGTTTATGTTTTCCCGCCGCTACGGCAGCCGTGCTTTCATAGGAATTGTGGTGATCAAGCAATCACCTTGATTCGTTTGGTTTCTATTCCGGCACGGGTCCAGACTGAGAAGTCATGGACATGACTTCAAGTTCGAACGCTTCCGAATGTTGATTACTTGAATAATCGACGTTGGTGTTGGCGTTGGTGCACGGCTGTTCGGCGTTGAGATTCCATCTATCTCAACAACGGGTGCAAGTCCGGAAAGCGATGCGTAGCTTCGATACTGGTACGGCTGATATATTGCAGATTCCAAAGAGTGATGTGATTGATGACTAAGGTTGTCCATGGATGGTGTGGGACGATAAGGCTGATATACAGCTGAAAGACTAGATGCGGGATGCTGAGTTGCTTCAGGCATACCACTTGGTCGAATTGAATCGCTCCAGACTTCGAATGTGTTCGGCAAGGGTGATGGTGGCGGTGGCGGCGATAGTGACGTCGCATATCCAGAGTCTTCTTGAGTGTGATCATCCTGGTTATAGCTATCGCTCAGGCCTTCGGAAGCTGGTGCTGGCCATGCTGCGGGCTCCGCAAACTGCTTGCTACGACGACGTGTTCTGACTATTGCTGCAACTATAAGAGCAGCAGCTCCAATGCCTCCAACGACTCCCCCAATGATACCTCCTACCGCCGGCCCGCGATCCTCCGGCTCAGGAACTGGCTCTGGTTGACCAGTGGCTGCTGTGTTCTCTGCCGTCGTTGATGTGAGGCCCTTCGTGGTCGGAGTGAAACTGCTGACGACAGAGGACGCTGGTGAAATCAGGGTCCTAGTAGTCGTAGATATTATCGTGGAAGTCGAGGTTGACCTCGAATCGAAACCAGACTGGCTCATATCGCTAGTGATAGTGTCCAGACGCGCAGTCCAAGTAATTCCCCTGATTGATTCGCAAGTATACATAGTATAGTCAATGTCGGTGAATTCGTATTTGAGACAATACGGTGACTGACTATTTGAGCTGCAGTCGAGATAAGCACGTATTTGGTGTCTGAGTGCTGCAACATACCACAAGAGAGTTCCAACGTAATCACCCATAGGAAGAGAAGTAAGGCTGACGCTCCTCGAGTGTGTCGAGTCTATACAGGTAGTATAGAAATCGCAAGCATAAGGTGAATATGTGGGAAGCATATAAGCATTAACGCAACATGCTATCGCACTATATGGATTGTCCGTGTTACAGTAGAAGTGGCCAGTGCAAGTAACTGGAAACCCTGCCATCATCAGCTATGCTTAGGCTTAAACAGTCGGCTAATTACCAGCAGATCCCTCCCAATATCCGCATGTATCCAATTCTTGCCGGCGAACCAGTGTCCGCAACGATGGTGAGGTCGTTCTCGGTAAGGCAGTAACAGCTGTCTCTTTCGCGGTATGTGTGGTACGTGATGCCATAGCACTAACTACCTGTGCACAGTGTTGCAGCAGTAACAACCAGCCAAGTCTCACCATCGTGGAAGCTGACCATCTGACGAAAACTGCTTAATTCCCAAGTATCACCAGGAAGGCAGTGTGAAATAGAGGATAAGTTAGCCACGATGAATTTATAAACATACAGCTGGCAGTATTGCAATCTTCAGATCAGCCATAATGGTTTCGCTCCTGTTCGGATCGGCCATGTCTCGGGTAGTTATTTGCAAAAGCCTGTTCACCGTGTGTGCACCGACACAAACGGAGTCTATGTGAAAGGCAACAATAATGCTCAACCTGTATCGTGATGATGTTATGAGTTGCTGGATGTACTCAATTAACACTGCAGAAGCCTATGGTGTGACTGCTGCTGGAAAGGAACAGTTATGGTTGATTTCAGATGCGGACCGTAAACAGGAAACCGGAGGGGCGAGTATGAACCAATAGAGCCGAAGCGACACAAGTAATAGCAAAATTTGCGTGGACTCACATTTTGACGAGACGATGTTTGAGCTAAGCGGCGGGGGCGAGAGTAATCTCGCTCGACGGAACGACGTGAATAGTGGGCAGATCAAAGATCGAATGGGTTAACAAACGACTCCTGTATAGTCCATCTGTTCGAGGTCTATCGCTACCAATCAATATCTCTTCGGATAGGTAAAGAGGTCAAGCAGGTGGCACATTTTCTTGGCCTAGTGTATCGTCAGCTGGGATATGGTGAAGCGTCGATTCGGATGAGATGGCGTCAAAGTCCGGCAGATGAGACGCTATGAAGCCATCTCTTTCTTCTTCGAGACCGTCTAACCTCTCTCGTGCAGTCCGATCCACCTCAGCATCATCGCTGCTAATAGTTCTCCTGATAGTAGTACGTAGTAGTTGTCCTTGACGATCTTGCACCTCCTGCTGCCACGTGAGCTCCGTTTCTGTAGGCTGACGCTGAAGAATATTCTCAGGTCGAAGCGGAGCTCCAGCCTCGGCAACGACCACGGCCTGTCGATGCCGACGTTGACGTGATTGCTCGCCTGGTGTCCTAGCAAAGGGTCTTCTTGGTTGGGAACCTTGTAAGCGAGCCAGAAGCTCGGTCTCTTCAATGATTTGGCCAGGCTCTTCCTGTTCCTCGTCTGTGGCCTCGTCATCTGAACCCCAAATTGGTCTTGGTTGAGAGCCTGGATGAGCTGAATCCAAGGTAGGATGGCTTCGGGTAGCCCATTCTCGAGAACCGATGTTTGTGCGACCATGTAAGGAAGAGGTTCGCAGTCCAGCGTCAGCCAGCTGCCTCGCTCCACTTGGCAGTTTCACAAGCATCTGGACCAGCCTTGACATCTGGGGATCGTCAGAACCCCACACATCTGGCTCAAGAAGGCGACACACGTCGCTTCTTCGGAAATTATATCGACGAGTCTCGGGCATAATGCAAGGAAAAGGATACTTGATCAGCCATTTTGTGATTATACCAGCATTAATGGCAGGTTGTGCATCGAAGATATAGAAACCGTTTTCCCCATAACTCCTAGGCTCTTCCAACAAAATCAGCAGTAGGTCTAATACCGAGCGCTCGTGCGCGGGTCGATGCGAGGGTCGTATAGGAGACGCAGGTACTTGAAACTTAATTTCTGGCTCATGTTCGGGCAAGAGGTTGACAAGAGCTGCAATGAAGGCAGCATGGGTCGGCTGATTGAGGAAGTGCTGTCGTGTATCGCCCTCTTTGAGAGCTGGGTGGGAGAGCAGTAGGCGAAAAGCATTGATAGCCCTATCTCGGCGGTGCCAGTCTTTGCTCGAGAGATCACGCAACAGTGTCTTCTTAGCTTTCGCGTCTTTGACGAAGCGAGAAGCAGTCAGGCGAATGGCTGAGGCTGTGAGATTATGGTTTGGACCACGAGCCAACTCCGCAAGACTGGACAACTTGATGGACGCTTCAGCATCCTGTTGAAGACGTGGTTCTGGTATCTTGAGTTCAGGTGATTTGACCGCAGCCAAGTCCTTCACATGGTGAAGGTAGTATGGCACGTACCAGTACACTGCGATACCAGTACAAATGATAGCAGTCCACAAAATTCTGTCGCCTACATTGGTCGTACTAGCCATGAAAGAGGGAGAGGGAGTTTCAAGTACAAAAATACGCTATTCCACCACTATACTTGGTGGTTAGCTTGCTCATCGTGCCCACTAGGATAGTCGGAGTTTTAGTCCGGAGTGCCCGTGGTGCGTTTGCTGTTTCATCTGCTCTTTCCCATTCACAGCAGATGCAATTCAGATGTGCTGCTGCTAGGCCGTTACGAGGCTCTCTGTTCGGGCATGCCAGTACAGCGTTTCCTGTGCTGGCAATCACCAATCCCCACGTTCTGTTGTCCGTATCCACTGCAGATATGACCCCTGCACTTGCCTCGTGTTGTGACGAATGTGGTTTTCTGGCAGCAGTGACATCACCCTCGATAACCTGGCGAAAGCTAACGATTTACTTACACCCCCTCTAGATCAACTTGCACGAGGAGGTTGGTACTGACTAGAACACAGATAACCTCACCTTCACACACCTTCCTGTCGTACTCCATGTCGACCGACACAAATCTGCCGCCACATCTTGCCATGTCTGCTGCTTCTCGAGCTATGCTGGCCAAGTGCCGCAAGCTAGTCCCTCCCATGCTAGAGAAGTTTCACAAGGGACAGCTAGGTCGAGTTGCAGTAATCGGAGGAAGCGCAGACTATACAGGAGCACCTTACTTTTCGGCTATGGCCTCAGCAAGATTGGGCTGCGATCTATCCTACGTCTTCTGCGAGCCTTCAGCTGCACCAACCATCAAGTCCTATTCACCTAACCTAATGGTTTCACCCATTCTCCGCTCGAAAGCTTCATTGGGCTCAGACAAGGAACCTTCTGCCGAAGAGCTTGCAAAGCCTATCCTGGATATGCTACCTCGTCTACATGTTCTGGTTATTGGTCCAGGTCTTGGAAGAGATGAGGTAACACAACGACAAGTCAAGGCTGTAATTCAGGCTGCACAAAAACAAGACCCTCCTATCCCTATGGTGCTCGATGCTGATGCCCTCTGGCTCGTTCAGACCGATCCTGACCTCATCAAAGGCTACCCAGAATGCATTCTGACTCCTAACGTTGTTGAGTTTGGCCGCTTAGCCAAGTCCTGCGGAATGGACAACTTGGATGCAGATCCCTCTGCGAATTGCCAAAAGCTCGCAAACATACTCGGTGGTGTCTGCATTATCCAAAAGGGACCTCTAGACTACATCTCTCAGGGTAAGGACACCACAGTTTCCGATTTCAAAGGAGGCCTGAAGAGAGCTGGAGGACAAGGCGATACGCTCACTGGCTCGCTTGGCACTTTTCTCGGCTGGCGACAGGTTTACCACGAGGGACTATGGGATGTTGGCGAGGAACCAATGAGCAGGCCAGAGACATTACTCGTTGCCGCTTTTGCAGGCAGTGCAATCACAAGGGAGTGCTCGAGACGCGCGTTTGCCAAGAAAGCTCGAGCATTACAAGCAAGTGATCTGACGGATGAAGTGCATGATAGCTTCCTCACTTTGATTGGTGAGCCTGAGTATTCGGTCGACAAGAGCAATTCACACATATAGTCAAGATCTGACATGCCAATCAGTCATCGAAGAGGTGAAATTGTGGAAGTCGGCTGGCACACGAAGCATTAAGGATGTGGATTGGTTTCAGTAGCCTAATCCTGAGTACGTACACGAATTGATGACCTTTGCATCGCGTATTTTGTCATTGTCACACTTCGACGCGGGTTCAATATGTAGAATGTATATGGCTGTAAGAAAAGCTATATCAGTGCTTGTCCTTTGCGCTGTGCTTTTTGGAACACAATCAGATGGAGAGAATAGTTGCCGCTGACCGCTGGTCTAGCGCACGTTGTGACACTAACTTATTCGCCGGTTCACTTGGTAATCAATAAACTTCCTGCTTTTTTATATTCGATTCCGACTCGTCTGTTCATTCAACGTCCTCGTGCTTCACTGTACGGCATCGTGTATACCATCGACAGGCTGCCATTGGTCCAGCGAACATGAACGGGACATAGCGCTAATGGGGCATGGATCCAGCTGATGATCTGCCACAAGCCAGCAAACGACCTCGTCCTATCGTGTCGTGCCTGGAATGTCGGCACAAAAAATTGAAATGTGACAGGAAACTTCCCTGCTCTAAGTGCACAAACGCTAGCCGAGCGAGCACGTGTCAATATGCTCCAGGTCAAGAACCGTCAGCACAAGACGTTGTTCATGATGCTCCTGCTTCGAAACGGAAGCGCATGGACGAAACAGATACGGAATCGATGCTGAAAAACTTGGCCTCAAAATACGACGACTTGCAGGCTCGTGTAAACGAACTAGAAAGGACACGTCAGCTACCTCTAGCAGCAGGTCAAAGATCCGAATTGACATGGAATGCTGACAATACACAAGTCGTGCCAGCAAGGCTAGGTCCGGCCACCTCTGGTAGTGTTCAGACCAGCTCGGCAATACGAGGCAAAGACAAGAGCACACTCATAAGCCAGGTAGTGTCCAACAATTTCCCAGAGATGCCAATGTCTGATTCATACAGTTCGAGGCAGTTCAAGACTTTGTGGCAAGTCTGAGAGATGATCCACCTCCTGATGAGCTCCTACACGTTAGCCGCGAATTGCATTCGTTGAGCAGGATTACTGAAGGAAAGCCTTGCTTGCACAATCGTAATCTTAGCATACATGGCAACCAAGAAGATATCCTGGCTCATATGGAAAGATTGCTCCCTCCTGTCAATACCTGTCACGCTCTTACTGAGATCTACTTTAACTATTTCGAGCATTGCACACGCATCCTGCATCGAGGGACGACAAACACCTTGTTTCGTGCCTACTTCAACAAGTCGATACTGCAAGAAAGAAGAGCACTTTGTGTGCCAACTCTACTGGCGGTCGTATCAGTTGCATCGTCTCTTGGAACCTTTCCGGAGTGTGATATCCCAGCAGTTCATGGCCAATTCGATGGTATAGGAGCATACCAGTTACTTCGAAACTATCTTGATGTCCGCTCCACTCAGGAGTGGCTCGAAAAAAGCATTTTACAGATAGCTCTCTTGACTCTCAAATTTCACAAGAGCTCAGTGCTTACCGACCTTGAAAAGTGGCAATGGAGTGGACAAATCTTGCGACGAGTCATGGCCGCAGGTTTACACAAGCCAGGATATGCTGATACAGATGTGTTTGAATCTGAAGTGAACCGTCGAATGTGGTTGACCCTCCTGGAGCTCGATCTTACTTTCGCAATCGCCAGCGATATGCCAGCCAACTGCCCTATGTGGGTGGGCGCCCTACCACTGAACGTCAATGATGGTCAGCTATATCCAGGACAGAAGCAGCGTCCGAGAGGTCACGGTCTTGAAATATGGACGGACGGTCTGTGCCAACACGTGCTTGCGCAGTCTTTCAACGATCGCCTCACAGCTTATCAGGCTGTGTCGTCTGGGATTATGGCATCTTATGACATCGTGCTCAAACACACCCGTCACCTCGAACAAGTAACCCATGACGTTCCTGTAGCCTTCCGACTGGACCGTGAACAAGATGAGGCAGCAAATACACCCCACCGGCTGATGGCTAAAATGGAGCTAGACTTCTTCTTGAGACGACCACTAAATGCATGTTATGCGCCTTATGCCGCAGAAATGCCCCAAGACGATAAATACAAGGAAGCACGTATCCCGTGGGTGCAAGGCTGCACTATCAGTATATGCTTCCAGGATTTGTTTGACCCAAAGTTTCCGACACTTGACCTGCCCGAGCCTAGAGGGCTATGGGATTATTACCACAATGTATACAAATGGGACGTTGGGCAGTACATGCTCGCAAACTGTCTCGAGCTACAGCGCTTAAGACACTTGAATACTGATGGAACAGATGTGCCGAGCCCAGTGTTTCGTGGCCATGCATTGAGGACACCAGTCAAAGTGATGGGCTGGACGATCGAAGGTATTCTCAAGTCCTTAGAAGACACCATCGACCCGCTGTCAAGGCGCATCGGTCGTCATGGGAGTGATCTGAGAGACGTCGTCAAGTGGACTGCCGTGATCGGATCCTTGCGGACGAACGTCAATGGCTCGAGATTACGAAGCATTACAAACGAGCTACAAAATCTTACAACTCAACTCAAGAGCCGCGCTGTATGTGAGGGCCACCTGTCATTGACGAGCTATAATTCTGCGGAGGACGATGTCAAGTCTCGTTTGGAGTGGTTGCAAGATTGTCTCAGATAGAACGGTGACAGTGGCTGATAAAGAGTGATGTTCACATCGCGGACGTCTTGCATGTCTCACTGTGCGCAACAAGCACACGTATACTCACCATCCCGAGCCTAGGCTGTCTCATGTTCGCATATCGTAAATTAGTCATCCACTGCAGAACTTTAGGCGTTTGGCACTTCACTAACTGCAAACTCAAGACAGCTGCTATACTGGTGAGGAAACAGATGTACGTTTAGGGAGGTCTGCACAATTAAGCAGCACAAAGTGCCGACGATAACATTATCGATAGTGGTGACATCCAGCAAGGAGGTGCTCGATACCGCAATTTCCCCAGTCCGGAAATTCCTGCGAAGAGAGATTTGTCTTACCCGAAGCTGCTCGTGGAGTTGTGTCGCCGTGGTGAAGTGTTTGATCTACATTGGCTTGCATGAAGATTAGGTAGAAAGTGTGAGAGTGAAGTGATGATCAGGGTTCTGCAGGGTCCTCGTCCGCATGGTCAAGAACACGTTGGAGCCCAAAAACCAAGGCGTCCCCCAGGTCGGCGGCGAGGAGGGCACGATGGGGGGGCCGAATGATAGGCATCGTGGAAACGTTGCACAATCGAGATAAAAACAAAACGGAAGGATAGCGTGGACTTTGTGGATAGGCAAGGATGCAGGAGGCGGCACTTGGCCAATAAGACAATTGGTTAGCTCTTAGATTGTTTACAACAACCTCTAAAAGGAATAACTCGCTTCGATCTTTGCCACCCTTTGTGCCTCCGACGCGTCTTGCGCTTGCCGTGGTCGCATCTCGTCCACTACTCTGATCTGCCAATCCGTGATTCTGCGACAGCTCGTGGAGGTCCATTCTTTTTCTGGCCAAACGCTTCAATACTGCGGTCGCAACTGCACGATTTGCTGAACAATTACCTTGTCAAGCAATAGGTCAACAAAAGCATTTTTGTTTTTCTCTGCAGTATCAACTGTGCGAATCGTCGCTTCCACACCACAATTCGCGCTTGCCAAATCTGCCGATTGTTGTTTCCTCACGCGATCGCATTGCAACCTATTGGACCCTTGACCGTTCATACGAGCCACGTAGGCACCACCATTCCACCATCCACCACACACCACACTCTGGCTCTTGAGCCCTTTGGACATCTGAATCTTTGGCTTACCACCCTGTTATCGTCCCTTTATAACTCAATATCGACTTCAACAACGTCGGCGCCCACCTGAACGGGATTGTCTCGCGGGTTGACTATTTACCTACACTGCGTCATCACATATCCCCCAACTTTGGATCGATCGATTCATCCTACTAGATCGCAACTAGTCGACCATCATCGTCATCAATCATACTGGCACAATCGAAGAGCGGCTCGTAGTAGCCTAAGTGTGTGTGTTGAGGGAGCTAGTACGTTGTCGCATGGCAGTAAACAAACGACTTCTGTTCGTGTTTGAAGTGAAGGAGAAGGAAGTGCAGGAGAAGCAGACGCGATGTTGACAACGTATTCACCTCAACGCGAAGGCAGTGGTGGCATACTACACTTGCACTCGCCGACTCACAACCACCACTACGATCCACACTCCGCCATCCGTGAGATTCGTCGCTCTCTGTCACGTTCACCATCCAAGCCCTACAATTTTCGGTCGAATATGCATCATGGTAATATGACTTATGCACCATCCCCACTGTCTCCCTCTCGCCGTTCACAATCCGAAAACATCTTTCAGTATCAGAGCATGACTTCTCCTCACATGACACGATCAGCCCAGCCTGGCCGCATCCAGCGACCAACTCTTCGCAGAACAGCGCAGACGATCAGCTCGATCCGAACTAGAATTTCACCAAAGAGCCCTTCAAAGCGAACATTGGCTGAGGTATCTGAGTCACCACAAAGTAATCTTGTGGTACGAAAACGACGTTCTACCGAGATTGACGAAGACATGGATTACTCGGATGACGATAAAGAAAATATATCAAAACATAACGAGGACCAGATGATGGCTTGGAAGACAGCACAAACCAAGCAGGAGAAGAGGCGGAGTGGTGGTCTGCTGAGTGAGATACAGCCCCTCAGCCCCATGAAGCGGCCTGATTGTGCTATGAGCATTGACCAGCCCGACTTTGGAAGCCCCTCAGCCAAGAGAAGAAGTGTACACGGGCCCGTAAGCATGGACTTCAGTATCTTCGAGTCAGACAACACAAAAGAGGGTGACAAACGCGCCTTGGATGACAACTGGTTCAGAAACATTCCAATGTCACCTTCGACCCGTTTCTCCACCATACCCAAACGGTCTTCCTCGTTACGGAAATCAACACTACAACAACGACAAGGTGATCGCTCTTCTCCTCTACGAGGCAACAATTTTTCAGAGCTACGACAGACTTGGGTGGACGGTACAATGACTGCAAGGAAACCACCAAGGATGTCGCTGGACCTGCCACCACCCCCAAGAGACTCGCCGTTTTCGAGTCAAGGAAGTTTACTCAATGCTTCGATACACCCTGTAGCATTGGGTCAACAAATCACCGTCCACGATACTCATGTCAGGCATCCTCTTGCAAGGACGATGACTCGATCACCGTCAGGCACACCTGGGATTCCCGACGATTCTCCTACGCATGAGCCGGCGAGGAGACCTGATCGAGCTCGATCTCATGATTTCTCCAAGTCGATGCCAGTTGGTGCTCTTCGACCTCAACAGGAACAAGAGAGTCAATCCACGCAGGACTCGTTCGCGACGCCTGCCGCCTATAAAGCTGCCAAACCCCTTCCAGCAGCGTTCATGTCGACTGGCTTAATCTCAAAGAAGAACCGCAACGTCGAAGACGCTATGCCAAAGGCTCATATGCCTGACACACCGTGCAAAAAACAGTCTTCGATGTTTCCACCACCTCAAGGAAAGGTTAAGCCAGCCAATGCTGCAGTCCGGAGCATTCAGAATTCCTTCGGCACCCCCAGGTCACCGTCTGAACCTGTCTTTGGCATCACCAGAGCGACTCCATTTCCGTGGGCAAAGAGCAACACCTTGTTTTCGACGCGAGCAAAGCAGAACCTTGCACGTAAAGCGAGCTTTGCTTCACTGGTCTCTATCGACAACGACGATAAACCACGTTCGGAATCGCCATCTGCTCAAGTCGATAGTCAGTCGACCGAAGGAGGATATCCACCTACGCCTACAAAGGTAGAGACCCTGCACGAAGGGCGGTTCCCATCTATATCACCATCGCCTCAACACATCCAGCCAAAGCCGGATCCTTCGATGTCGACCCACATATCGAAGTTCTCCATCTGTAAGTTATCTCCTATTCAGGCATCGCCTGGCAGTGTCGACGAGGACAATGATAGCGTGATGGAAGATTCTCCATCTGCTAGAATAAGGCCCAAGTCTCTGCTGAAGGTCATGTCTTCCAATCTTTCTTCTTTTGCCCAAGGACGCCGCTCGAGGCAGTTGGATTCCCCGACACCGTTGTCGCGCAAGACCTTTCCCCCTACTCCCTTCACTCCACAAGAGAAGCATGCTAAACTGGCCCGTTCTACAGTCACTCCATACCTAAACGAGCTTGATAGATCCTCTCCCCATACACCATCTGAGAGCATCTTCCCTCCTGATCCGAGCACATTGTCTATTTCAGGTAAGCAGGAAAGACCGACAACGCGTAACGGCTACGATTTTACGCCATTCGTACCGGCCACACCTACAGGCCCTCGAGAGTATTTCCCGAATTTCTCGAACAGGCAGAGCCTAAACATGAATGCTCCGGATATCGCCGATGTCGACGCCATTCTAACCTCCAAGTTTGACAAGGTCGACTTGATCGGAACTGGAGAGTTCTCTCAAGTTTACCGAGTATCTGAACGACCACAGCCGTCGCCTTTTCACAAGTCCTTTTCCAGCAGTCGACCATCGTCTCGCAGCTCTTTACCTGGGAAGGTTTGGGCAGTCAAGAAGTCGAGGCATCCTTATTCGGGACCCAAGGACAGGGCGAGAAAAGTGCATGAGGTAGATGTGTTGAAGACACTTGGCCAAGCTGACCACATCATTCAGTTCACTGATAGCTGGGAGGACAAAGGTCATCTGTACATCCAGACTGAATTTTGCGAGGAGGGGACACTCGACAAGTTCCTTCTCCAGGCCGGTTCCAAAGCAAGGCTTGACGACTTCCGCATCTGGAAGATACTCTTGGAGGTATCACTAGGGTTGAAGCACATTCACGATATGGGCTTTATCCACCTCGATCTCAAGCCTGCTAACATCCTCATCACATTCGAGGGTGTCCTCAAGATTGGCGATTTTGGTATGGCTACTAAGTGGCCTGCTAAATCTGGCATTGAGGGTGAAGGTGACCGCGAGTATATTGGCCCCGAGATCCTCATGGGCCGTTACGACAAACCTGCGGATGTGTTCGCACTCGGTCTTATCATGCTAGAAATCGCTGGCAATGTCGAGCTGCCTGACAATGGTACGTCATGGCAAAAACTTCGAAGTGGGGATATGAGCGATGTTCCCAGCTTGACGTGGAGTGATGAAGACAGCAATGTGCTCCGCGATGCGTCAGGAAATCCGCTTGACGAAGACCAGGATCTCGAGAATGACGATACAAATGTGAACCTTCACCAGGATGATATCGTGGCAGAGCCGCGCACGAGTAAGATGGCCTATCTAGCTCGACAAGGCGAACTGCTCACTCCTCCGTCGTTCATGGCGAATCCAGCTGACGATGAGGCACTCGACAATATAGTGAGGTGGATGATTTCGCCGAATCCTGATGATCGGCCACACATTGATCGTGTGCTACAAGCCCAGGGTGTACAATGGGTTGAGGGCCGACGAAGAGCAGGAGCGACAATTTTTGAAGGCAATTGGGGACCAGCTGATGATGTCCTTGCTGAGGATGCGGAGATGATAGACGTGTGAGGGACGTCACATCGTGCAAGAGGTGGATTTTAGCAGTCGTCCAGTGCTATTTGTTTTATCCTGGACTTGGCTGCTCTGCACAAAAGCCTGATGTTTGCGTATGATTATTCTCTATGGTATTTGCATTTGGTACGAGCTGGGCGGATCATGTTTCAACAAGAAGGTAGGAAGGTCGATACCCCGGCGTTTGTGACAGACAAGGAGAATTTGCTGGGGACATGAGCTATGATGTTACGACCATACTTCATCTGAATTGTATTATTTGCACTAGAGAACTGTGCCAACATTCTCTCGAGGAAGAACGACATCTAGAATCAGCATAGTTGTCGACGGAGTAGCTGCAGCTCTTGCAGTTAGAATCAACGATATCCTTAATGAGACAACAATGGTTTTACAATCCAGTTTCAGTAAAAAGTCCTGTAGCTTGTCTGTATATTCTTGCCTCCTTGTCGAAAAACGCGGAGACCGAATGTGCCTTAGTGCCTGAACATAAATATTTCCAGGCCGAGAACGAGGCAGTGGCCTGCATATGTCAACCACTTCTTACACGTGGTCGATACAGCCTTCCTGAAAGGTGGCTCTTGCATATACGATGGCGTCTACCGGTACCTTTCACAAGCGCAGTCGTCAGCACCGCAAACGCGCACCTGGCGACGAAGAATTTGATGACCGATGGGGTGACCAAGAAGCCTCAGAAGAAGAGGAAGAAGAACAACAAGACACACCAGAAACAGACTTTCCAGAATCCCAAGCAAAGAGACGTAAACTTTCAAACGGACACGCCGCAGTCCCCAGCAGAAGGGAGAAGTCTCCCAGTCCACCCTCCCCTCCCCACCGCAACGAAACAGCAGAAGCCAAAGACAAGCGCGAACGAGATGAATTCGCACGCCGCCTCGCCGACCGCGAAAAAGACAAAGCGAAAAAGAACATTACGCACGCACGCGATGCCGCTGCTACAGAACGAGCACGTCTCGCAGACGACAGGGAGGCTCGAGAAGCTGCTCTCGACGATCTACGACTGCGTTCACGACAAGATTACCTGAAGAAACGGGAGACTGAACGGCTCGCTCTGCTGCGGAAACAAGTCGCTGATGAGCAACGGGAACTCCGCGAGAATCCCGAGGAACTGACGGAGCGCGAGAAGAGGGATTTTGCGCAGAATTTGGAGGTGTTGAGGATCGCGGAGGCGAAGAATGCGATTGATGAAGGGAGGGATGGGTATGCGATGCCTGAGGATTATATTACGGAGAAGGGAAAACTTGACAGGAAGAAGAAGGAGGATGCGCTTTATAGTCGGTATGCGAACAAGGATGAACATGGACGAGAGAAGTATGTCAGTGAGCATGATGAGTGGGAGCAAGAAGCCCTCCGGCGCGCGAAGGCAACGAGTCATCTGGTTGGTGTGGCGGGCATCAAGGATCAGGTTGGGGATTTTGAGAATTACGATTATGTGTTTGATGAGAGTCAGAGGTTGAATTTTTTGATGAGTGAGACGTTGGGAGGGGATAGGGAGGTTATGAGTAAGGAGAAGAGGGATATGATGGAACGGATATCGGCGGCTGAGGCCAAGGCGAAGACTATGGAGGAGACGAGGAAGAGTTTGCCGATTTATCAGTTTCGTGATCAGATTATACAGGCTGTCAAAGATTTTCAGGTTCTGATTATTGTGGGGGAGACTGGTTCGGGGAAGACTACGCAATTGCCGCAATATTTGCATGAGGCTGGATTTACGGATGGCGGTATGAAGATTGGGTGTACTCAGCCTAGGCGAGTTGCTGCAATGAGTGTTGCGGCTCGTGTTGCGGAGGAAATGGGCAAGAGATTGGGCAACGAAGTTGGGTACGCTATCAGATTCGAGGATAACACGAGCGACAAGACCATATTGAAGTATATGACCGATGGTATGCTTCTTAGAGAACTCCTGACCGACCCCGAGCTAGCACAATACTCTGCCCTCATGATCGACGAAGCTCACGAGCGCACAGTACAGACGGATATCGCTATGGGTTTGCTCAAAGATATCTCAAAAGCCAGACCCGATCTCAAATTATTGATCTCTTCAGCTACCATGGACGCCGTCAAATTCCAAAAATATTTCGATAATGCCCCCATCTTCAATATTCCTGGTCGACGATATTCAGTTGATGTACACTATACAGCACAACCTGAGGCGAATTACCTGGCGGCAGCTATCACGACAGTGTTCCAAATACACATCACGCAGGGGGCGGGTGACATATTAGTCTTCTTGACAGGTCAGGAGGAGATCGAGGCCATGGAAGCGAACTTGCAGGAAACAGCACGGAAGCTAGGCAATAAAGTCAGAGAGATGATTATCTGTCCTATTTACGCCAATCTTCCGACGGAGCTCCAAGCGAAGATATTCGAGCCTACGCCTCCGAATGCCAGAAAGGTTGTGCTAGCTACGAATATCGCGGAGACGTCGCTTACTATTGATGGTATTGTGTATGTCATTGATCCTGGGTTCGTTAAGGAGAATCAGTTCAATGCTAGGACTGGTATGGAGTCTCTTGTTGTGGTACCTTGCAGTCGGGCTTCTGCTGGTCAGAGAGCCGGTCGTGCCGGTCGTGTTGGACCCGGGAAGTGTTTTCGCCTATACACATCTCAAGCTTACAAGAACGAATTGGAGCCTAATACGACGCCTGAGATCCAGCGTACTAATATCACGAGTATGATCCTTCTCCTCAAGTCGCTGGGCATCAACGACCTGCTCGACTTCGATTTCATGGACCCACCACCTACTGACACTATCGTCCGCGCTGTCGAGCTTCTTTACGCACTTGGAGCTCTGAATAATGCCGGTGAACTTACCAAGATTGGCCGTCAAATGGCCGAAATCCCCGACGACCCCATGGTAGCCCGCTGCCTTCTCGCAGCAGACAAATACGGCTGCGTCGAAGAGATCCTCAGCGTCATCGCCATGTTAGGCGAGTCCTCATCCCTCTTCTTCCGTCCCAAGGACAAAAAAGTCCACGCCGACGCCGCACGCAATCGCTTCACCAACAAAGATGGCGGCGACCACCTCAGTCTCCTCAATATCTGGAACGAATTCGTCCAATCAGACTACTCCATGATCTGGGCGAAGGAGAACTTCCTCCAATATCGCTCTCTCACCCGAGCCCGCGATGTCCGCGACCAACTTGCCCGCCTCTGCGACCGCATCGAAGTCGATGCGACAAAGTCCTGCGGCACCAACAATGCCGAGCCCATTCTCAAAGCTCTGTTGTCAGGATACTTCCCTAACACAGCACGTCTCCAGCGCGACGGACAGAGTTACCGCACACTCAAATCTGGGAGTCAGATCGTGTATATCCATCCCAGCAGCACGATGATCGAAACGAGGCCGAAGTATGTCAGTTACTTTGAGTGTGTGTTGACGAGTAAGGAGTATATGAGGAATGCGATGCCGATCAAGCCGGAGTGGTTGATGGAGATTGCGCCGCATTATTTCAAGAAGAAGGATGTTGAGGCGCTGGGAATGGAGAGGAAGGTGCCGAGGGGGGAGGGGAAGGCTACAGGCGGGAAGTTGTGATGCAGGATCCTGTACGAGTATCACGGGGAAGGATTCATTACAATGACTGGCTCACGGGTGTGCAGAGATTCTCGGCATCGGCAGCTGGTTCATAAAAGGATGAGAAGATTACAGTGTCGAAGCGGCTGCGAGGTTGTTCGTTTCTTACAACTCCTTTTCTATGCTGCTGCCAACTCACAGGGATGCTCAGCAGTAGCTGAGTCGTTTGAAGGTACAGTCCGGACGAAGGAAGCTTTGTCGAGATCTGACCAGAAACAGCTTAGCTCGCGGCCTGGATTCCGCAAGCTGCTGATGAAATCCTTACTCATGTTAGATCATCTCGTTCTTCGCCCATCGATTCTCGAAGCTACGGGCTTCAATTCATACAACATCCACAAAGCAAGCTTGATTCAGCTTACAAGACAGTAGGTTTTCTTTGCAATCTTGATAAATCGTGTGTAGCTTCTGGTTCTTTCTCAAACTCTTGAAGCAGTGGTATATAAGGTGTTTAAATTACTGCTGTTCTTCTCAGAGCACTTCCAAAAAATCGAACTGGCTTTCAAAACTGTATTGAGACCACTTAACAGAACTCTAGTACAATCGACCAGAACTACGAACAACACAATCAAAACCTTCACTACAACTATCTCCAAGATGGGTGTCTCCAGAGCCATCAAGAAATCCTACCTTGCTCGTGAACAACCCGAAGGCGCAGGCGCAACAGTCCGCCGCTCAATAGGAGTACCTCAACTTCGCAACTTCACACCATTCCTCATGCTCGACCACTTCAACATCGCACCAGGTGCAGGTTTCCCAGATCATCCCCACAGAGGGCAAGAGACAATTACCTACCTCATCGAAGGTGCTGTTGAACACGAAGACTTCGCTGGAAACAAAGGCCGTCTCGAGGCCGGCGACCTACAATTCATGACCGCAGGACGAGGCATCGTTCATGCCGAAATGCCAGCACAGAATACAGAACGTAACGTCGGCATGCAATTGTGGGTCGACCTTCCTCAGAATCTCAAGATGTGCGAACCAAGATATCGCGACTTGCGCGGGAGTGAGATACCGAAAGTCACAGCCGACGACGGCAAGGTCGAGATCAAAGTCATCTCCGGCAAGAGTCAGGGTATTGATTCCGTCAAAGACCTCGCATACACACCAGTATGGCTGCTCGACATCCAAATCAAGCCAGGCGGAAAAATCGAACAAGACCTTCCAGCAAACTGGAATGCCTTTGCATACGTCCTCTCCGGTGTGGTCGACTTTAGCAACGGAACAAGTAAGACCGAGACAATCATGCCTTACCACAACGTGGTTTTTGAGCAAGCAGGAGAGAGCGTGACCATGTCTGTCGAAGAGGGCGCCAGTGACAGCGCAAGGATAATATTAGTTGCTGGTCAGCCACTCAACCAGCCGATTGTGCAGTATGGGCCCTTTGTGACGACGAGTCGGGAGGAGGTTGTCCAGGCTATGATGGACTTTCAGACCTCGAGTAATGGGTTTGAGAGAGCTGCGGATTGGCAGTCTGAGATAGGGAAGACGATGGGTAGAGTGCATTAAGTGATAAGCATGTAGAATTAGTATATTGTAGCGAAATTTAAGATATGCATCTGTTAGTTTTCTGTCTACTCGTATATCTATTTTTGCCTTTCTTTGCGATCGTTTCGAAGAAGTGTCATTTTAAGACTACTACTTTGAAGCACGTTGCGCGCAATTAGCGTGATGATTTGACGTGCTCATCCGCTCTGGACTTTGACTCTCATGGAACGACTTGCTATCTGCATGGAAAGACATCATGAGGTCACTATAACTACAACATGAACTAGCATCTTTACAAGCTATGCGAGAAAACCAGATACGAAGGATTGTATTTTCCGAGATGAAGCTTGAATGTTTTAATTCTTCTTGTTATAACTCCTTAGCATACAGAAGTACCGAAGCTCGACTCCGCTTCCCCTCGGTTGGGTTGTAGCCGTGGTCAAGACGAGGTCTGTAGGATAATGGGCAAGACTCTTAAGGCCGCCTTTTTGGGTTATTGAATTAACCTGCTCGATGTCCTGAAATGGTGGTAGATGAGTAGTGAGCTAATTGACTATTAATAATGCGCAGCACCTGGAAGACTATGCCACTTGATATCAATAGAAGGTTTACTTCTTGAAGCTGGAAAAGCTTCGATGAACGCGTGATATACACATCAACAGCTGAATTTTTATACCAAACTCATGTAGAACCACTCACACACTGCCAACACCATGTTCTACCAACCCGGCATAACCGACCACAACCTCCCCTTCGACCCCTTTAAAGCCTGCGTAGTCCCACGACCCATAGGCTGGATCTCAACAATCTCACCTACATCTCAAAGCCCTTCTTCCGCCACAACGTCCGGTAGCGATGAAGCAGAAGCAGAAACAGAACCAACAGCAAACCTCGCCCCCTACTCCCAGTTCCAAAACCTCACCTTCGACCCTCCCTATGTCATGTTCAGCGCCAACCAGACACCAGAATACACACGCAAAGACAGCGTCGTAAACGCCGAGGCGACGGGGATTTTCTGCTGGCAGCTAGCCACATGGCCACTACGAGACGCCGTAAATATCTCGTCCGAGCAGTTACCGTACGGCGTCGATGAGTTCCAGGAAGCAAAACTAGCAAAAACCTATTCAACCATCCTGCAACCGAAATGTCACGTTAAAAATTTCAGGGGTGTGCCGATGGTCAAGGATTCGCCTGTCCGATTCGAATGTGAGTACCACTCGACGATTCGGTTGCCTGGAAACCCGCCTATGGGGACGGTCGATATAGTTATCGGGAAGGTGGTGGGTGTGCATATTGCGGATGAAGCGATCAATCGGGAGACAGGGAAGGTAGACGTTGCGGTGACGCAGCCGATCGCGAGGTGTGGGTATTACGATTATGCGGTTGTGAGGGAGTGTTTTGAGATGAAGATGCCTGGCGGGCAGGCTACGAGGGATGGGTTGGAGGGGAGCAGTAAGAAGAACAGAGCGTTGTTTGAGAAGGTTAATGGGGTTGAGGTGGGTATGCCAAATGAGGAACAGGAGAAGAGTGTGGCTTCGTAACACGACAACTGCATCGCCAACTTCTTACTATCCGTTGATGTAAATTCGTACGATCCTCAAACTTCCAAATACCTAAAGCCAGCCTCAGCCCTCAACATCGGATACCCACTACTATCCACCTTTGGCAAAATACTAATCTTCCTCGCCGTCTCCCTCTCATTCGCCTCCTTCCACCTCTCAACCTCCCCCTCGACACTCCAATCACTAATCGCCTCATGCGCCAGCCCAATCTGATGTATCTGCGTTCCACTCGCCTGCGTATTCAACGGCAACGGCACAAGATTCTCAATCGCCCCCGTCACTCTCCCCTCCAATATCTCCTTACACAGGAACGGTTCTGCAGCCAACGGTCTGCCAATCCCAATCCCGTCGCACGCACCTTCACCAACAGCCTTGGCCATTCCACTTGCACTCCTCAACCCACCTGTGACGTAGACCTTTGTCTTTTTCAGTAGTGGTCGAATCATCTCCGCAAACTCAATGAAGTACGCCTCTCGTTTCTGCGTGCTCTCTTTGACGTGATGGAACGCACGGCCCTCAAAAGTGCCGCCTGATAAATCCACGAAATCGACACGTGCTTCTTCGAGCTTGACGCAGAGCATTCGTGCTTGTTCGGGAGTGGTACCTTTATCCTGGAATTCGACGCTGTTCAACTTGACGCAAACGATGAAGCTGGGATCGTGTTTTCGGATCCGTTCGTCGATTTCACGAATGACTTCGAAGACGATTCTGCTACGGTTCTCGAAACTTCCGCCATACTCGTCGGTTCTGTGGTTCGTGGTCGGAGACAGAAACTGCGCGAGTAAATAACCGTGCGCACAATGGACCTGCACACCATCGAACCCAGCCTTCCAGCATAGATACGCTGTTTCTCCCCACTGTCTGACCATTTCCCTGATCTCGTCCTTTGCCATGGCTCGGGGCTTAGCGAACTCGTTTCCGGCCCATTTGATGGTTAGGTGTACATCGCTGGCGCTGACGGGATGTGGATTGAGGTATTTACTTCCCTGGCGGCCTGGATGTGATAGTTGAGCAACGCAGAGTGAGCCTTGGGCTTTTGAGACTTTGACGACTTCGGCGAAGGCTTGAACTCGGTTGTCGTGGTCGTCGGAGAGGATGGGATTGCCGTAGGCTTCGAGGGCGTCGTAGCGGAGCATGGTGTTTCCTGTTACGATTACGCCTATTTGGCCTTTGCCTGTGGATCATCAGTTCATGCTCTAGCAGTCTCGCGTTCCGTGAAGGACTTCTTCGGAAAACGCTTACCCCACTGCTCATATAAGTACGTATACTCCTTCGTCGGTACACCTCGATACGTCTAGACCACACCACACATCAGTAACACATCCACACAAAACCCCATCAACACCATAAACTCGACATAAGCCAAACCAGACTTACCTCATCCTCCCCCTTCTCCACATCATTCCACGTACACAACCGCTCAGTCATCGGCGCCTTCAGAAACCTATTCATCGCCGTCTTACCACTGAACTCAAACTTCAATGTTGTGCCCAGTAAGCCCACATCTGTGCCCTCGTCTGATCCGACGCGGAGGTGTGCGCGCTTGTCTGCGGTTGAATGTGGTCCATTTGGTGCTGCGGGAAGAGGTTTGGTGGTGGGTGGGAGGGATGCTTTGTCGTATTCGGTGTTTTGTGCCATTGCGAAAAGTTGGAGGGATGGGGTTGATGAGTGCTTTCGAGTGACGCGTTCAAGTTAGGAGGAGTCTGGTGTTTCGAGAAGATGCCTCTATGATACCGCTGCTGACAAAGACAAAAAGAAGATATAAAATGCAGGTGTCGACGAGGTTAATCTGGCAGCAACAGAAAGTGCAGTATTGAATGTTAGAAGGGGCAAACAGTGTTCTCGTAACGAAGAGATAGATTAGGATTTGAGCTTCTTATCAAAGATCACGAATCTACCTACTTTCCCACGCCGTTCAAGCATTCTATCACCTTTCATTATTGTTCTTCATGAGATTCATGATCAGCCCGAGGATCGGAGTGTGTTATTTCGGATGTTGGACTCCAATGCCTTTCTCAGGGATGAGGGGATTCGCGGATGCGGAGAAGTCGGTCGATGCCCGGATATTCAGGCTTCAGGTCTGCAAGTGCCCATACCCATCAGCACGCATTATCGCCGAGCATCAGGGTAGCCACCATGTGGAGTGGAAGATGTTGTACACTGAATGCATCCAGCGCATTCAGATGCTTTATCGTATTCACGCCAGTACCGCCTATTTGGCAAAATGTAGATCATAGCCAAGCCACTTCCTAGCATTGACTTCTTCCACAGTCAAGCCTGGTCTACCATAAGTCAATGGCAAGAAATAGTACCAACCAGCTAGTATAGGGATCATGATCACACCAACAGCAATCCAAGTAGTCAGCAAGCTGTTGTCCTTCATTCGTTCCGAAGCAGAGACAAATGCCCGCCTCGTCTTTTCTGGAACTTTTGCGACAATCTTATCTTTCTTTGCCTGCACAGTCTCGTCATCCAGAACTGGCTCGACATTGAAGATGAATTCGACGAGAGCACCAGCCACGAGGCAACTGGCCAAATGGGCAGGTAGATAGTGGTGTAGGAACAACTGTCGACCCATGAGATAGAAGGGGAAGTAGTGTAGAGCCCAACACAAAAAGAAGAAGCCAGTACTGTTGTAGAAACGAGATCGTGTCCGGTGATCAAGCGCATCGACACCTCGTCGGAGTGAGAGCTGGTCAGCACCGACGATGCCAGCAAATACGGCCAGGAGAGCTGTCGCGATCCAGTATCCCAGAGGATTACCTAGGAAGTAGATCTGTTGGCGTGTGCTCTCTTGAGTCCAGAAGCTGACACCTCTAAGCAAGAATGGCCACTGGAAAGGCAAAGAAGCATAAGGATGGCTCGCCGTCAAGGCATTGTTGTGGTAGAACATGGCTCGTTGCAACTCAAAGTATTTCTTGAGGAAGGGTACATGTTTTGGCTTTCTTTCCTCCCTAATTCGTCGAGGAGAGTCATCAGGAAGTCCTGCAATATCGTCCACGTACCAAATATTACTGGTTTGCTGAACGTTTTTGTTGCCGTTAATCTCAGCCTGCTTGAATGCCCATTCAGGAAGTGGCGTGGTATGAGTCCACATAGCAACTTTCGTTGGGTAGTGAACGAGTTTGAATTGACTGGACATACTCTTAAACGACTGACCGGGCTTGCTACCTTCTACTCGGATCTCGAACAAGGTATCATTGTGTCTGTCACCAGCAGCAAGTTCGGGGCTGACTGTGGTGAATTCTTGGTTGGTAGGATAGTATGGAGAAGCCACGTCGTGGGACAATAGCATAGTGTTTGTGACGACATGTCTCAATTGGACGACGTCTCCGACTCTGACGATATTTTCCTGAGCTTGGTCTAGTGGTGTTGGATAGTTGTGAGGGAGAACCTGCCAGTGGTTGTTCGTGTCGTTGAAAGGATAGCCTGTAACCTGTTGACCCTGACTCGAAATACGACCATCGTCATACCGTAGAGGGTAGTTTTCGGTATGGCTGTGAAGGTAGACCTTGGTGTCCTTGTGTCGGAGAGTGATGGAGTCGTAGTAATGAATGTCGACAGCTGCCGCGTGCATAGGGTTGTCTGATAGAGTTTCTTGAAATTCCGGGGACATGAAATCGTCGCCAGGACCGGATCTGGTAAGGATAGCAAAGTGGACCTGGAACCAGAAGAGGTAGAAAAAGAAAGGTACAATGATCAAACCAGCAGCACGAGCAGCGAAGTGCTTTCCAAATGTGACCATGTCCAGAGTACCTCCTTTTCTATTGATGTCCAATAGATCCCAAAGATCAATAGCCACTGCGCACCCAATAGCGACGAAAATGAACAGGCCGACGTATTTTGTAGACATGACACAGCTCATATTGAAACCAGTCAAAAGGAGCCACTTCCACCATTTTCGACCAAAAGGATCGTGCCTCTGCCTGTAGAACTTGATGTAGCACAATACACTGAGTGCCATGAAGAAGACTAGGGTCGCGTCAAGGAGGATAAGTCGTGTCTGGCCAATGTGCGAGTTGTCGAAGAGGACCATGCAGGAAGCGAGGACGCATGCGGGTAGGGAGTATCCAGACTCCCACATAATCAGAAAGACAATGGGCACAGTGAGGGTACCCAACAGCGCAGGGAGAGCTCGAAACGCCACGTATGGCACCTTGTTGTCGATATACGAGTCTCCAATATTCTCGAATAGAAAGTGACCATCGAAGCCAACTAGCCAGCCAACAAAGGCAAATAGAAGTTTCGCAAAGGGAGGGTGAACATCGAAGAAGTACAATCGTTGCAGGTAGTAGGATGCGAACTAGTATATTTTAGCAAGACCTCCCATGCTCGCACGCAGTCTCTTACCTTTCCAAAGTGCACCTCGTCAAACACAACCTCGTTAGGATGGCTAATCCCTGTGAACCTGGTCGCAAAGGCTAGGAAGGTGATTATGCTAATGGCGACCTTGTAGTCCCATTCCTTGGACACATTCTGCTTTGCGCTCTCGTAGACATTCTTGATCTCTGTCTCAGCCTGGTCGACCTTGCCATTGACTTTGCTCTTCTCTTTCCCAACTCGCTGCCGAACGGAAGAATTGGGACTCGACATGGTGAGGGCTTTATCCACCTGCCCTGGAAAAGGTGGTGTTGATTAATGAGTACTTCTGGTGTGACTTGGGAAGAAGTTGAAAGGAACGTGAGAAGAAAAGGCCCAGAAATCTGGGATAGATCGCTAGCAGAACATAAGTAAGGGTCAAAGTTAGGAGCTGTTTGCTCGTGCTTGCACTTTCGTGATACTTTTTGGTTCGATATGCGGAGTTCAGGCCACATAGCGACAATCCCTAAAAGAGCCTAGCCTACTCGGACCACCCCAGCCGTTGAGCCCCTGATCGAGGCCTGGAGTCTTTACAATTCCTCCTGACCGTGATCATTTTTTGTTGTTCTCTATCTAGTACGCATATCTAAAATGCAGGTTCTGCTTATCCGTCAAGTCGTCGAAGGCTATCCTGTCACCTTCTTCTTTGTCGAGACCCAAGGCATCTCTCCTTCTGTTCTCCTGCCTGAACATGAAATACAGTAAGGCTGAGAGTACTATCAGCAGAACGTAGCAGACAATGATGGCTTCCCACAGTCTTGGATAATGCTGTCCGACAGTTTGAGTGACCACCAGCTGTGGACCAACAACATTGCCAACACAATAGAAGGTAAAAGTCGCAGCTGCCGTGAAGCTCTTCTTCGATGCTCCTGCCACGTTGACCATACCGAGCGAGACCACGAGCGCTGTGACAGGGGCAAACATGCCCAGAATCGAGTATCCTGCAATTGGAGTAGCTGCGTGACGATACCAGTTGCTCTTCCAGATCATCACTACGCCGGCGATGACGGGTAAGCAGCACAATGAAAGCATGATCAACCGTACATTCTTCACCTTCAAGCTGATATAGCCAACCAGGAGGATGGCGACAAAGCATATCGCTCCCAATGGCATCTGCCACAATAATGCTTCGTAAGAAGACCAGCCAAAGGTTGACACAATCAATGGGCCACTGCTGCACGTTAGCTATACTTGTGTCGGCAAGATTGGGACGACTTACAATCCACTTATAGCACCATTGATGACATAGGCAATTCCCATCATCATGGTGATGATCCAAACCTTCACATCCAGAAGAGCCTCTCGAATTTGCTCCCATTTGATCTTTTGACACCGTGTACCCAGCTGCCCTCGCCTCAACCTCTCCACAGCAACAATTCTCTCCTCCTCCGTGAACCACCAGGCATCAGCTGGGGAGTTTGGCATGAATAATAGCACGATCCCAAACAGCATTGTCAGTGCACCTGCCGTGATGTAAAGATACTGCCAACTTTTCAATGACGCACCCCTTATATGAGCAAATCCATAGTTGATCAGAGCACCTAGCACGGTCATTCCTCCAGTACTTGCATACCAAGCACATTGCCGTGATGTCTGCTCCGCCTGTGTGTAAAAGCCACTTATGATAACCTAAGCCTGGTCAACCACGAAAACGTCAGCCAGCTGCCTGTATCTTAGCTCACCATAAAAGCAGTAGGCACAATTGACTCGGTAAATCCAAGAAAGAATCTCTGAGCGAACAACCCCTGATGCGTAGTCACGCCTGCAGTCGCCATAGCCACGACTCCCCAAATAATAACAACAGTCCCCACCGTCCGACCAATACTAAATCGCTGAAACAGGTACGTCAAAGGAAACAACCCTGCCAACATCCCAAAGTAAAACAAACTCGTCGCCCAGCTCAATCGCAACGTTGACACTTTCGGCGGAACACTCGCTGGGTCGACAACAACTCGAAGACGTAGATCAGTGCTCATGCCAAATACTGCTGCACCGCCGAGAATGGCTTTGTCGTAGTACACGAGTGAGTAGCCACAGAACATGAGAGGGATGAGGATCAAGTCGAGTTTGCGCACGACGCTGCGTTCGATGTTTGCATCCCATGTTGCTGCTTGAGCGGACACGATGGTTGTTGCTACGTCTTTCTCGACTGCGTAGCGAAGTCAATCGTAGCACTGCGCAATAATGATGAGAGACCCACGTGAATTCCCCATGATGCAGGGCTAGGATGCAGAAGGAACTATCGAGTGTGCATAACCTTTTCTGCTAATCACAATTTGAAGCTCGCGGTACAATAGCAGCGGCAGGCCAGTATATTACTGTGAAACAATGAAGCAAAGATGCTGATTGCAGGTGGCGATATTGTTGATTAGTCTCGTTGACAGGCATTTGCACTGTGCTGGGATGCTGCGTGGGCGAGAAGCACGTATGAACCATGGCAGCCAGTTGATGAAAATCCACAACACAAGCGTAGCGAATCTGACCAGTAAGATGGGTTGAGTGACTATACTGTAATGTGAGCAAGAATTATCCAATGTGATGCACTAATTTATACCTAGATATCAGTCTGCGGTGGCCATTGGAATTCAGCTTCTATAGTCAGAAATATATGCCCGATATGTGACTTCATCGAGACAACGTCCAACCATAGATCCCCAGTCGCTGGCGGGCGATACATCTGCTACTAGAAGTCCAGAAGCTGGAATGGTGCTTGGAAAGTTGGTATGCTAAGACTCGATTCCGAACGTCATTCCAGCCATATGCTTGCAATCGAAGTTTGTTGCAACGTGTGCATCAGCTCGAATCTCACTCAGTCTCTCTTAGTCCAGAAGCCACCATTGCCATGCATACCTCTATCGCGCATCCCATAGCTATCCATGCGCATTCCAAGTCTATGAACAGGCACTCGATCGATCTGTCTCTGGCCGGCGACCTTGAAGTCGACCAGTCGATCTGTAACACTTTTCCCACTCTGCTGCGTCTTGATTCGTATCATGGTCTCTTCGTGGCCCCAAGCTGGACGCGAAAGACTCGCGTGGGTTATCGCTATGTCGCTAGTCATCTCGAGCAACATGAGCTCCGGCTCAGAAACTGATACTAATGGTCTCAGATAGCCCATTAATACCAATTGTAACCTCGATCCAATCAATGATATGTCCTCTGGATACTTGTAGACGATGTGAGTCCGGACTACCTTCCTCTGAGCGACCTTGGCAGTCGAAGTCGAGGCATACACGATTGTTATCACCACATGCCGCCAAGCTTCGTGTAAAGACGCATATTCTTTGTCTTTGACCTGCACTAGTGCCCACCCAAGGTAGACTCCGGTCGGAAGTGGTGCTAGGAGGTCGGGAGCTATGTCATCCAGGTTGCATGTCGGCATGCCAAATCTGCTTGTGGTACTACCGGTACCCTTAACAACCAGGCCATCTAGTGATGTAGGGAAAGGCGACACAGGACCAGCTTCACTCCCGATCATGATGCCTATTCGTTTGACTGATGACTGTATGGTTGCGCCGAGGTCGCCCTCGATGGTGGCGGTCTGTCTCGCATAGTATTGGTCGTTAGCGTCGTCAATGCGATCTTGTGCTCCTATGGTGTTCCAAGCAGTTTCGGCGTGGCTGGCGTACTGCATCAGTGGCGCCGCGGACGCGACCTGGTCCTTCACAGTGGTTACTACTGACGCAACTGCACCAAAAGTCATGGTTGTGGCAGTCTTTTGTGCAAACTTAAGACCCAATTCGATTGGTAGTGTCTTCAATGAGGCACCTCTCAAAGTGCTTGCAGACATTGACGTCGAGGCCACCCGAAATACAGGGCTAGGACAGAGGACATGTTTTGAGTCTGCGGCGGTAAGCACGATCCTGAAGTACCCATCATTGGCCTCATAGGGCATTCGTACGACCACAGTCTCTCGGAGTGTGTGTGTCTTCTGTGTCCTGTTGGCCTTCGCAATAAATTTCTTGATATCTCTTTGCCATGCTCTTTCATCTAGTAGTGGTAGCTCTGTAGCATCGACTTGCTTGTCAGGTGTGACATTAATCCAACTGTCATTCACACCAAGTAGTGCCTTAACCTTCATACCAGTATTCCCGGTCCACCCTTTCACTTGTAGCCATAGTTGGCGATCCCCCAACAAAGGTGCATCAGAGAATATGCTGAGAGCGAGCGAGGTCTCCGGCCCCTTGTAGTACACTAATCCGTGAGAGTGCCGTAGGATGGAGTAGTGCTTAACCGTTTCGGCTGGGTGCTTAATCAGGCCGCCAAGGAAGAAGCTAGTGTCCTGTGCTGCTGTCGTGAACTTCGTTCGTGTCTTGCTCGGGGAGGAAGCTTCGGATTGTCCTACAGCTTCACCTTCTGTAGCAAGAACAGCTGGGCTAGAGTCAATGGTCAAGGTAGCTTCGTGTTTCGAAGTCTTCGTGGTGTGATCCACATCAGCTAGTGTGGTCAGAGCTGGAACTTTATCACTATCCAGCCGCTCTAAGGGTGCAGGGTCAAGCTTAAGTCTATCAAGACCACAGTCGTCCAGATAGTAAGAGTCGAGAACTCCGTCACAATACTCGTGCTGACTCTGATCGGCTTCCTTCAACGCTTTGGGCCGGGGCTTTGGTGTTTCTGTGATCGAATCTTGCCGCACTAAGAGTGTGGATGGCTGTTGATCTGGAGTTATATCGTCGACAACCACGCGTGTGTTCTGGGGTAGAGGCTTGCGTAGTGTTGTCATTGCTTATTGAAGCGGCACCTGAAGGAAGGCGTGCCGGGCAAAAGTCTATATGAGATGAACCTTTCGAAGGCCTCGTTTTATTGTACACTCAATACAGCATCCAGAGAATCTGTTACACAGCTTACTAGCTGCTCAAACTGGAGATGCATGGCATGTCTGAAGCATTTAAATCCAAACCCTGCTGCTGGTGAGTCAGAGACCACCTCGAGAGCCATCGCACAAATGAGAAGAAGGAGGACCGTGACTGATGAACGGCAAACGATATAAGGAAGTCATCTTGTGTGAACGGATTCAAATCACCAACTGCTTTACGCGTCTCAAGGGGCACGCGTCAAAAATTGCCGGTAGGGAATCGCGTTGCATCGGTTGTTTTCACACGAGCTGTGTTAGCACGTCTGAATCAGACAAAGCGATGGTCTCTGTGAGTGGTCTACCGCCACTGTTCCCGATCGCTTGTTGAGGCTACACATGCATGAGGTATATGGTCAATCGTGACTAGAATGTAGCTACGAAGCTGGTATTGAGGTCGTTCTAACATTGACTAATACTCTTCTCCCCCATCTCCGTCCTCCTAAGACCGAGTGCATCTGGCCACACCGGCGGCTGATATACGAAACTAGAAGATTTTGGCTTTCTTGAGCGAAATTTCGTTGTTCTGCTGCCAGCAAGTTGTCGATGTTCAAAGTCTTGTTGTTCTGGATTGCATTTAACGGAATGGCAATCACAAGGGATACGCGCCTCCATTTCACGACCCAGCATGTTGTTACCAACCAGCATTTCGCACCTCCGACTCGGACGATTGAATTTCATTTTGGACACCTCGTCCAACAATTCGACCAGGTCACTTAGTAAATGCTGAAGGCGTCGAATCCGATGATCTGGTATCATCATTCTAGTACCATTTATTTCCTGCTCTTCTTTGATCAGTCTCTCCTCTTCGATGAGCCTGTTGATGACTTCTTCGTCGACAAGGCTTTCCTGCTGCTTTTCGATACCCTGAGGGTTTTCTTGCCCTTTCCATCTAGTCGAATATAAGTGCTTGAACCGACGATAGATAACCCGTTGAAACTCGGTCTCATAATAGCCAAAGATCTTCTTCAACTCTAATGAGTCACCTTTACTGGATCCTGGCTCTTTTATCTCATAGTTTTGCTGGAATTCGACATAGCCGATTGCCCGCATCTCTCCGGCGTTTCCATCTCCATCAAGATCGCAAGCTTCGGTCATGTGTTCCTGCACCGCCAGTATATCACCCTCGAACCAACGCATTTCCAGGCTTTCTCGCTCTTCGTAGTGCATGGACACAAATTCATCCTGAATCTTCCACAGCAGTCTCTTCAGTAGGTCCGCTCGTTCGCCTCTTATATGTGCAAGAAAGTGCGTCTTCTCGCGCATTATGTGAACGCCAGCAAAGTACTGGCCAATCAGATATGATGTGAATTTGCTATTCCATCCGCTCCCATACGCTTTGCATCGTTGAGGACTGTAATTGGACTCCTCCAGTATGTCATAGAACCAGTTAGCTAGATCCCAGCCTGCGATCAGGAGAGGCACTGCGTATCGTGCGAGCGCCTTTCGGTTCTGACGCGCCTGGACGCGTCGATCATTCCATCCAGACATCCAAGCAGTTGCAATTGCTCCCACCAGAGCGAGAATACCCGTCAAGATAGCTGCAATGGCACTACCATCGAGCATCTTGTCGTTCGGATTTAGACTTCTGCGTTTTAGGTATAGAATTCTTCGCGGGAACCTGAGCAATGGGCTGAAGGGAAGATGAGTAGAAAGACGAAGAGGATTTAAACAAGATTACCTGCCTGAGTATGGTTAGATAGCATGGGCATCATCTATGCAGGTGAGAAATGGCGCGACCATTCAGTGCTGAACGATACATCTCACCCTTTGATTGGATACAGCAGCAATGTGTAGCCATCGATTGTAGCCATCGATTGTAGCCATCGATTACCTTTTTATACACCGTTTAGGCTCAGCCCAGTCAGCCACCAGATGATCAGCCTTCGCTTGTCCGCTCGGCATGTCAATAAATTTCCAAACTCAGCGACCGCTACGATGGGCATACGATCTGGTATCCACAAATGATTGAACACCATGACCGTGGCTTGTGTCAAGCGGACACTTCGGCTGAGAGCCCCACTGACTTGCTTCATGTTTTAGGTAGTACTAGGGAAGTAGCTGGACCAGTGCAAAATTCTAGATGCCATCCGCGATGCGCGAACATACCGATCTAAATTCAGATACATCTTGCAGAACATCTAATGTAATCTGGCAATGAAATGGTAAGTAATGCAGCAAGTTTCAAGTTGCTCCTTCACGCGAACTTCGAATTCGTCAAACAAGACAAACCTTCAAAATTGCTCTCGCAACTGGCCGCTTCTCTTGTTTCTTGACAACATGATACAGGCCAAGTAATGCTCAGAGCTCGACACACAGCTGCACTTCTTGTTCTGGAGCCGAGGTAGTATGAAGCACGAGTTTCGTCGAATGGTTCCCTTACGTCGTTCGCACATGCTGGAGCACACTACCACCTCTAGCACTATCTTCTCTACTGCTCAACTCGCTCTTCCCTATTCCCAACTACTACAACTGTGACGACCATCACTACTGTATTACAGCTTTAACAATAAAATGTCTGATCCCAAAAACATCGCTCCGGCACCAACAGAGGGAGACCTCGACAAGAACACAGCTCTTGATGTCATGTCCACCATCAAGACTGTCGCTCCAGCTTCAACTGAGGGAGATTTACCTGATGAATCGTCGTCTGGCCCAGTCAACATCCTTCCCTCTCGAGATGCGACGTCCGCGACCTCAGCAGCCCAACAGACCGACAACATCGCCCATGCTCTTGCAGGCGCAGGTGGGGGTCTGCTTGCTATGACTCTAACTTATCCTCTTATCACCCTGTCTACCCGCGCTCAAGTTGAATCAAAGAGAGCAGATACTTCAACCCTTGCAGCTGTGCGTCACATTGTGAACCGAGAAGGTATCTCAGGTCTCTATGCTGGCCTGGATAGTGCTTTGTTCGGCATCAGTGTCACGAATTTTGTTTATTACTACTGGTACGAGTGGACAAGAGCATTTTTCGAGAAGGCCGCAATCAAGGCTGGCCGAGCAAGTAAGAAGCTTACTACTGTTGAGAGCATGCTCGCCGGTGCTCTCGCCGGGTCTGCTACTGTCCTGATCACAAACCCCATCTGGGTCATCAACACGAGGATGACCACAAGAAAAGAAGATCAAGACGTCGAAGGTGAGAGGAAGCCAAAGAGAAAGCCCAGCACAATCAATACCCTGCTCTCCTTGGTCAGAGATGAGGGCCTGATGAGCCTGTTTGCTGGTGTGATTCCAGCACTAGTACTGGTCATCAACCCAATTCTTCAATACACTTTCTTCGAACAGTTTAGACAAATACTCGAGAAGAGGAGAAAGGTTGGCCCCAAGGACGCCTTTGTGCTTGGTGCTCTCGGCAAATTGCTAGCCACGACTATCACCTACCCATACATCACTGTCAAGTCAAGAGCTCATGTTGCTACAAAAGATCAGCCAGCTGAACCCATGACAAAGAGCTTGCAGAAGATCGTCCGAGAGGAGGGTTATGCTGGTCTTTACAAGGGACTTGTACCCAAGGTTAGCCAGTCAGTCATGACTGCTGCTCTCCTCTTCGCCTTCAAGGATGTGCTTTATGATGCTACTATTGCTGCGCGACGTCGTCTGCAGGCACGCAGAGCATGATCGGTTATCTTGAGAATCATCACAATATTACAGCATTGCATCGACCATCGCTCATGTGTGCAGGCTATACTAAGATGCGGCGACTACCTACATTACGGAGAATTTTTGGCAATTGATTGTACCTGATCGAGGCACATACCGGGCGAGGAGCTCGACCTAGCGTATGGCCATCAGAGGCCAGAGAAGCTTTTTGGAACACTTATGGAAACGGTTGAAAAGTTCAATGTAGTTTAATGCGAAATACCTATTTTGACTTCGTTCTTGCATTGCGGCTTGTTGGTCTTTCAATCATGTTATGATGCACTTGCGATTTGTCCATACAGTACTGCACAGCAGTGCGTCTACTACGTCTGCCCATATGCCTTCTGAGCATTCTCGCCGTCTCACCGTAGAAATGAACAGATTCAACGCCAAGCCACAACCTCTACAAAGCCACTTCATGGACTAACTGAACAATCATGGCAGATAAAGACTCCACCACCCCCCGAATTTACCTCATCCGCCACGGCCAAACATCATGGTCCCAACTCGGCCGCTTCACCGGCGTCACAGACCTCCCCCTCCTCCCCGTCGGCGAACAAAAAGTCCGAGAAACAGCATCTCACGTCTTCGGGCCTGGTCTTCTAATCGAGCCTTCGAACGTAGCACGATTCTACGTCAGTCCACGGCAACGCGCACAGCGGACATTGGAGTTGTTGTTTGATACGGCGGGGCGTGAGGCGTGTTTATCGCCTAGTCTTGGCGAGGACGGAGGAGAAGTGGGGGTGGGAAGTGGAACGGTCGATGTGCGAGTTACGGAGGATGTGGCAGAGTGGGGGTACGGTGACTATGAGGGGTTACTTACGCATGAGATTAGGGAGTTGAGGAAGGAGAGAGGTCATGATAAGGAACGGGCATGGGATATCTGGCGAGATGGGGCGGAGGGTGAGGGATCAGAGATGCCTGCGCAGGTTGAGGAACGTGTTGAGCGGGTGATTGGGGAGATTGTGGAGTTGCATGCTTCTTATTTGAAAGACGCGGAGGAGGGAAAGTTGGGTAAAGGGAGGAGAAGGGATGTGGTTGTGGTAGCACATGGGCATATTCTGAGGGCATTTGTAAAGTGTTGGTTGGGCTGTTCGTTAGATGTGAAGATGGAGTTGATGCTTGAGCCTGGAGGTGTTTGTGGGTTGAGCTATGCACATTCGAAGATTGATCAGCGAGCTGTGCTTGTCGGCATGAGCTTTCCTGGTGGAATCAAGGGGTGAGGAAGCAAGAAGTTTGTGTTGCCGCCTAAGCGTATTTATAGTGCAAATGGGGTAAAGTGCATATAGACATAGAAATAGACGTATAGAAGTTCTCTAAATCGACCTCTCCTATCTCTTGCCTCTCTTGCTGGGTGCCTTACTGTCTTTCCCTTCTTTGATAAAGTCACCGTTGACCAATGCTTCTCGTGCAACATTGTTGATGCACTTGAAACGATCAGCACCTAGCTTCACGCCGCCGTACCACCTGGTAACGATCACAATCACATTCCACACTTCTGTGAGTTGCATAAGATGCAACAAGCGCCCACCTGCCGCAGTCTCGCCATCATCGTCACAATCTTGCACAACAATTTCTGGTGCTGTATTGGTGGGCATAGTCTTGATTCGCCAGGCTGTAATATTGTGCGTTGCATCTGCGACCTTCTTGTTTGTGGATATGAGATGTGACAGAGAGGATGTTGCCTCACTAACAGATGTTACTGGGAGGCACCGCGCAACGAATCTAGACTTGTTGACCACTAACGGCTCCGACATAACCCAATTCGGTGGTGGCATATTCGCTGTGGCTGTCAGCTGTGCCCGTCCTGCAGTCGGAGCAACAGAGGACATGGGTGTATCTGACCTGCCGCTCGAACCATACTCCTCACTATCTTGAGACGTGCCATTTTGTGCCTCGTGATGCTGCTGTAACACGGGAGTGGCTTCTTCGATAAGGTCAAACAAGCAGACTTGTCCTGGAACGAAGACACGACCTAGCACGCTTTGTAGAATGCTCGTAGCGCCGTCGCCTTCTCCTTTCTTTGCAGAGGCATCGATATGATGCGTGCCTGTTACCTGGGGAGGGACATCAGGATAGTCTGATGGGAATTGAACAGTAAAGGAATAGGCGATGGTCGGAAGTGCAAGGATTGCGCTCGAATCACTAGTGACAGTCAGGACATCAGAATCATAGATCGAAGTCAGTGCCTCGACTTCGTCTTTCAGAGCAGCATTGAGCATGGATATCTAAGCACCAAGCATGCCTGACCTGCTGTGCGTTGATAGCTGTGGTGAAGTAATCGAGTACTCGAGTCGATTAGTGATTTGGAGGTTTTGGGGTGCAAGTATGCTACGGTGAGCCATAAGGAAGACAGTAACACGGATTCACTAGTATGCAAGTACTCCTTCCAAAGTTCTTGCAACAGTACGTTTTCTGATGGTCTTTTGTGATGAAAAGTGCTCGTGCCGCTTCTTCGATGTACCTTGTACATAAAGTGGACGATACTCCAGCTGTGAATGTCTACGCATCCTAGCCACGAGCTTCCTCTTTGCCAGACGCATATACCGCGTCCGGAGAACTCAACATGGCTACAAGACCTCTCCAGGTTCGTAATCTTCTGGACGGCTCGGAGTTAAATACAATTCTTTCAGCGACGCTGCAGTTGACGGAAGGTTGCAGCCTCGGTGATGACTGAAGCTACCGAAGTTGCAGTCGTGACAAGCCACAAGCTCATACGACAACGAAACCAGCTGTCAGAACCAGTCATATCGCTGAGCTACTCCTGTACATGACATGTTGCAGAGGCATCAAACAAAGGGTTTGAGTGCAGAGGGTCTTCTCGTTTGGTTCCCGTTTAAGCTGATGTCTCTTTCGTATCATACTAATTACAGAGCTGGCATCTGATACTTTATAGAAGAATCCGGTCCTTTACAACTCCTCCAAATTCATTACCAAGCAGATTAGACATACAGTCCACACAAAGACAGTTCACAATGCGTTGCGGCAATCTTCTTTTCATAAGCACATTGTGCCTCATGATCCCGAGTATTTCGGCCGGACATGGCGGAAATTATCACACGCCTTGGTGTATCACGGAGAAAAATGTTTTTGACTGGTCTGTCGCCATGGTTACACCTGCTGACAACCATCTTGAGGATCATCCTGAGGAAGATTGTGGCGTACTACTCTTCAAAAATATCAAATTCCGATATATGACTCCGAGCCTAGTGACAAAGTTGTATGTACATTACTTCATCCACACCCCGCCAACATCTCGATTTACTTATGATCCAATCCACTGACAGCACGACTGCAGGCAATGTCACCATGGTCCCGAGAAGTCTTTCTGTATAGCCTTCAACGTACCGCTTGGCTTGGGACGCGTATCGAACATTTTAGAAGGATATCTGGACGCGACTGGATTTGAGCTAAAGGACTGTCCTGAGGTGGATGATGACGAACGTGCGACCTGTCCTCCGGGTTATTGATGTTCTATATGGCAGTCATTGGCTCTGCTTCACTTTGAAGGACTCCTGAACTTGGAATATGGGCTAAAGAACGTGGACAGCACCACCCAGTACATAAGGATAATAATATCCTTCTTATATAGAATCTGTCTTGAACGATCACTATGACAATTAACCAGGATTGGTTAGTCATCAAGCATTCGTCTTATGCGGGTTTTCTGTTCAACCCAGATTGGCCTAGGCTAAGAAAAGACGATAGATCCTAAGTAAAACTTGCAACAACCCCGACTATACAACAAACAAGAACGCTCTCGTCAAACTTTCATCTGCCTTGCCTTTACAGCCCAAGAAACCCTTCCTTGCTAGCCACTCATTAATCATATGGTAGACCTTCTCATCCGCTCCGATATGCAGGTTCAATGCGTGTCCAAATCCTGGAACAATCACACTCTCGACTTCACTAGCACTAAAAGCTTTGTAGGATGTGCTATCCCTGTCAAACCGTCCAGTACACGTACTCGCGCAAGCGATGAGATCCTTCTCTCCCTCTACGTACAAGACTGGGCCTTTGAAATTGGATGCATTCAGGTCGCCTAGTAGGCCGAAGGAGGCGAATTCGCCAATCGAGAAAGGCTGTTTTGTGTTTTCTGCGTCGTCGAGGATCGCAGGGTCGAAAGCTCCATACGCAAAGAAGCTATACTGATTAGTCCACTTCGACGGCCAGGTCAAATAGCCGTGTGTATATTGGACGGCAGGGAATTTGATAGGATCGGCAAGATTAGTAATCATGAAGTTAATATTGGCGGCGAACAAATCTGTGCCATCGGAAGGAATGTTATAGGCTGTCAGTATGATACCATCACTGAGAGCAGGGTGAGAAGCAACCATAGCGTTTGTGAGGGTAGAGCCGAAGCTGTGACCCACATGTACGATCTTAGTAGGTGCCTGCTTCAGATATGGAATCTTGCCAGCCTTAGCTAATGTTGTGATCTATATAAGGATGGCGAGTTCGACTGAGCTCTGAACTTCAGTGTATGGGTCGGCGAGAGTGGATCCAGATATGCCGAGACGGTTGTACGACAGAGTAGTGTAGCCTGCTGTTGTGGCTGCATTGATATAGTTATATTGAATATCAGACTGGTCTCTGGAAGGATAGAAATTCTAATAGGAGGAGTTGAACCCAATACCATGAGTCAAAATTTGAAGTGTGGTGAAGGGCCTCTTCCTCTTGGGAGCGCAAAGATGCGCCTGAGCTTCGTAGGTAGCGGTAAGGTTTTTGAGCCGAGGAGTAGCATCGGTCTGTACACGGTTCGTGATAGTAGTGAGCAGATTCGTAGCCTGATACTGGTCCTCCAAGGGAGCGAATGGAAAGACAGCTGTTAATACATCTGAGATGTCAACACGTAAGGTAAAGATGTGACAGGCACAAGGTTCGCCTCGTGTCCTCCTGGTAGATCCGGGGCGTGCCAGAATTATTGAGGCAAGCCCGAGAGGAAACAGTGACTTCGTAATATCTGTAGAAGGAGATTCAGCTCCGGTGATTGAAAGGATTGTCCAGCCGTAGGTTTGATTACTGGATTTGCAGAACTGTGCATCCTTCTCCCAGAGATACCCGCGAGATGGGTAGCATTGTATGCCTGTTGAGAGATTCAACAATGTATGCACAACTTCAAGGGGTGATACTGGTCATAACGTGTGCAGATACTGTCAGCATACACCTAAGCAGAACCATTCATGCCTGCAAACGTTAGGCAAAGACGTGTCATGTCTATATGCAGTCTTCTTTGGTTTCACGTTTGGCACGACCGTGACTCTCGTTTCCTTTAGGTGGGAAGACGTGCTTTCTGGTGTAGAGACCAACACGTCGGCTTGAGGCTCTGTTGCCTCTCTGAGTCAATCTGGGTACCTGAGCCCTGTCGTGCCGTTTGTTTGGAGCATATTCGCCGTATAGCAGTATGCAACGCATCCAGAAGACCCAGCTAGAGATGCAGACCTTCCTCGTAACGATGGTAGAACGACAAGACGCGATGAATGAACGATTATCAAGGATAGATGAAGGACTATCAACGAGCCGAGGACGACTTCTAATAATGGATGAACACCTTTCAGAAATGCTTAAACTAACAAGCCGGAAAATGCGTACTGTACGACTGCAACAGCTCGACTACGCAAGGCAGACCCTGCAATCCGTCAAAAGCCTTGAGAGGAACATTTGCAGATAGTGCCCATATATTCGAGCTTGACACTATGCCTTGTCTAAAGTTGATGAGTTGTGATACTAGAACACGGCACAGAGTAGAGCGACCTGATCGGGATCAATTCCAGTGAATACCCAAGCTTCCCAATGGATGATGTTTGAACCGCAGCAGTTAATGGCGGGGAGCGTACCTGAATGCCAAGCTGGCGTGAAGTCGCGACGCGTCAAAGCGCGCTGGTCTGGTAGTAGTGGAGCAGATTGCGGTCTTCTTTTCGCAACTGAATTGTTTGTTTACCCTACTCAATAACCAAACATGGTCCAAGCCTAAACTTTGTTCACTCGCAGGTTAAGCTCCCTTTCGAAAGGAAATATCACATCCTCTATACAGTCGCAACCATGTCAGCAGAAGATACTACAGCTGCACAGCAGCCATCCGAGATCAGCGGAAAGAGCAAGGGAAAGCAAGCTGAACAGGTTGAAGCTGGAGACATGAGTATGGATGATGACGAGGATTCCGCCGAGGATAGTGGTGTAGAAGAGGTACGCACTCGTCTATTCGACAGCTCAGAGGCAAGCAGAACACTAACGAAACCATAGGCTCCAGAAGGTATTACCAAATGACTGCGATCCAGAGAACTGGCCACTCCTAACTGTTTACAGAAGGTGAAGATGATGACTTGGAAGAGATCGACCAGGACAATATTGTGGGCGCCCGTACTCGAGGCAAGAATATTGATTGGGCAGAGGCTGAGCAGAAGTTGAAAGACGACGGACAAGATGCTGCAGACGACGATGAAGATGATGATGACGACGATTTCGTTGACCCCGACGATGCTATGAAGGATTGAGCATGCTCTGGCATCGCCGTTTGGAAACCTTCAAGGACGACTCGATGTCCCTACAGCACCTAAAAGTTGGACATTGTCCCTATCCCACAAGCAAACAAATGGCTTGGAAAGATATGTTGTTTTGAAGCTGACATCAATGCATTGTGCATCGATACGTTCGAGAATATACAAACACGTCGCTCAGGATCGACCCGACGACCCGTCTACCTTTCCAGCCAGATATTCGAAATGAAGAGTATGAGAACAAGGAACGATACGCAAACGTTCCTGAGGAAAATGCCATCAGAAACATCGTCTATACGCTTCATAGCTTCTCTACACAGTACTTCCCACCCTTTGCGACGAGTTGGAAACTGCACCTCTTTTTCCTACCATCCAACATCCCTCTCAATCTTTCTTTTCATACGTGCAGCGGCCAGGTCCAATTTCCATGAAACTTCGTGCTCGTGCAAGACCTTATGTTGATGCGATGGTATTGCTGTTCTGCCATTGGCTTACCTCTGACACGCCGGAACGAAAACTGGACCTCGGCCGAAGATCAATTCCGCGATTCTCGAGCTCCGTCCTGCTAACTGAGCTACAGAAGGATTCACGTTCGCATCTACAATTGAGAAAGGCGTAAAGTCCGCCCGGAGTTCTGAATCTCAATATCCTGGAATAGCCATCTTCGCAATTGACACCGTCGTTATAAGACTTACCGCAGCGCCAAACCATACCTGCTACCGTGGTGGAGCCAGTAGCGTTGACAGGTAGAGCACGGCTTGGCTTAATCTGCATCTGTGACCTGCCCAGTATAACCAACACAGTAACAACACCCTTCGAGCCCAATCAATATACACCATGGATCCAAACATCATCCCTCGCAAGCTCTGGGAACACCCAGACATCCCATCAACACAACTCTTCAAATTCAAGCTCGCAGCAGAACGCAGCACAAACAAGTCCTTCCCAACATACTCCTCCCTCTACGACTGGTCCATAACCCACCAATCCGACTTCTGGACCCTAGCATTCAAACACTTCCCCATTGTCTACACAGGAACCATTCCCAGCCCATGTTTCGACGAAAAAGCCCGGATGGACAGTGTCCCAGCCTGGTTCAAAGGCGTGAAGCTAAACTTCGCGGAAAACATCCTGTTCACAGGTGACTCGCAAGGCCGAGCCACGAAACGGGGCAAGGAAGACGATAAGATCGTGGTCAGGCAGGTGAGAGAAGGCTCCTTCGACGAGCCGATCGTGACTCTTACCTGGGGCGAGTTGCGAAAGCGTGTAGGACGGCTAAGTAACGCGATGCGAGCACGGGGTGTCCATAAAGGAGACCGTATCGCGCTTGTAGCGAGCACGAGTATCGATACATTGACTGTTTTCCTCGCTGCGACGAGTCTTGGCGCGTTGTTCAGCAGCAGCAGTACGGATATGGGTGTTAAGGGGATCTTGGATAGATTATTGCAGATCCGGCCAAAGTTCTTGTTCATGGATGACGCGGCGGTGTATAACGGGAAGACTGTGGATTTGAGGGCGAAGATGAAGGATATTGTTGCGGGGATGGAGGGTGTGAGTGAGTTTGTGGGTGTTGTTACGCAGACGAGATTTATGGAGCGAGGGCCGGCGGATCTGGCTGAGGTGCCGAGGGCTCAGACGTGGGATGGTTTCTTGTCGGTGGCTAGGGGTGATGATGAGTTGAGGTTCGAGTCTTGTGACTTTGACGATCCTATGATTATTGTTTACTCCTCTGGCACGACTGGGCAACCGAAGTGTATAGTTCACAGAATCGGAGGCGTTGTGCTTAATGGGCACAAGGAAGGAAGATTACACAGAGAGATTGACGAAACGACCACGCAGCTACAATACACTACGACAGGATGGATCATGTACCTTGGCTCGATACAGGCGCTGTTGATGGGTGCCAGGATAGTCACGTATGACGGAAGTCCTTTTTTGCCACGACCAGATGTTTTCGTGAAGCTACTGGGGCAAGAGAAGGTGACGCATTTTGGAACGAGTCCACGCTATCTGCAGACGTTGCAGCAACACAATATTGCGCCGAGGAAGACCGCAGACCTCAGCTGTATGAGAGCTGTGACGTGCACGGGTATGGTTCTGAGCAATGCACTGTTTGAGTGGTTCTACGATGTTGGCTTTCCGTCTATTGTGCAACTAGATAACATTTCTGGTGGCACCGATCTTGCTGGCGCTTGGGGGACTGGTAACCCTATTTTGCCTGTCTATATTGGTGGCTGTCAGTGTTTGAGCTTGGGTATGCCGGTCAAAGTCTTCGACAGCACAATCGAACCAACAGAAGAAGAATTAAGAAAGGGCATACCAATGAAAGGACGTGAAGTGAACCAGGCAGGAGAACCTGGTGACTTGGTAGGCACTGGCGCATTCCCAACCATGCCACTGTATTTCTTTGGCGACGAGGACAAGATCACTACTCCAGGAGGTGCACGAGTTGGGAAGAAGTACTTTGACAGCTATTTTGCGAAATACGATGGTGTATGGACACACGGAGACTTCATCTCGATACACCCAAAGACTGGGCAAGTCGTATTCTTGGGCCGAGCAGATGGTGTACTCAACCCAAGCGGAGTACGATTCGGCAGTTCCGAGATCTACAGTGTGATTGAGAAGCACTTCTCGGATACTGTATCAGATAGCATCTGTGTTGGCCAGCGGAGACCACAAGACATCGATGAGAGAGTGCTGTTGTTTGTGTTGATGAAAGAAGGACATCGCTTTACACCCGCGTTGGTCAAGAACGTCAGGGCCCGCATTGCGGAAGAAACAAGTAAACGGCATGTTCCAGCATTTGTGTTTGAGACACCTGAGATACCGACCACGGTCAATGGTAAGAAAGTTGAATTGCCAGTGAAGCAGATTGTCTGTGGAAAGAAGGTGAAGCCTAGCGGAACATTGGCAAACCCTGGTAGTCTGGAGTTCTACTATAGATTTGCTGAAGATGAAAACCTGAGGGAGATGGAGCAGGCCAAATTGTAGGCTACACAGGCTGTTCGCAACAGCACGTGCAGAGATGTCGAAAATAGAGCATGCTAAGTAGACGCGTAGTCAAAGACATCTGGAAACCCAGCCACCAGGAATTGCCCTGCTGGCGCTAGGTAAATTTGCTCTTGACCAATGGTATAAATGAACAGAATCTGATGAGATAGGATGTCTGTATTGTCCAATGGTAGGTCAGCAAGCAAATTCTGGAGGTTGTTCTGATCGTGTAGGGATCACAACCGTCAATGAGACAAGGTTTCGGTATCAACATGCGACAGGATTGTTCTCAATTCAAATGTCTTCTTCTAGAAGTGTATAGCTTAGCAAGAAAAAAGCGCTCCGATTAGGCCAGTGATGTCTGTATATACAGAATGTTTGACATGCTCCTACCTTCTTGGAGGCTCAAATTTTGTATTTCCCCGGCAGAGAATGTCCTCACTCCAAGGATGCGGTGTCCAGCAGGTCTTGTTCTATCGTTTGATTCCTTCTTCGTCTCTCGGTAGGGTCGTCTCTTATTTCAACACCTGGTCCTACAGCATGTGATGACCGGTGTTGCGGCCATACCTGAAATTGTTAGCACTGACCTTTTGAATCATTATGCTAGGCACATACACTTGTTTGACTCCAACCTAACCTGAACGCCCATTCATGCGCCAAAAGCTCACCAAAACCTAACATCATACCATTCACAAATGGCAAGAGTAAGTTGATCGCAGCTCCACGTAATATAGACCAGACAGTTGGAGGTTGGTATATTATTACTGGCTGCTCGCCATTGTTATTGGACGATTGTGGTGGAGAGGAGGATGGTGGTGACAACGATGAGTATGGCTCGGAGTCTGATGGTAAAGTCAATTGCGACGATGATAGATCTTGCGGCGGGGAAGGTGGTTGATTGATATTGTCGTTGTAGCTTGACATATTTGAGCTCATGGGCAGGTACGAGGTGGGTAGGGTCTGAGTGAAAGTCGTGGTAAGGCCCTAGTATGGGTCCGCCAAAGCTCAAGACGGTATCCGCAGTCTTTTAGATCGATACAGTAGGGGCTTGAAAACCTGAGACAGCGACTGATGGACACTGCTTGTTAAAAGAGATGTACAGTTCTGGTTGAGGAAACCCCAGGCTCAGGCACAAATCGAAGTTATTGGAGTAGTACCACTATTGCCCACGGGAATCTTGCCCGAAAGCACGGGAGAGCTTGGAAGGATGTCAGAAGACCTTGCCTTTTGCGGCCTAGTTTCTTAGATCGCGCCTGCGAGCCGCGTTTTGGCGCGTTCAGATCCAGGCTGCGTCATACGAGCACTTTCCATTCTATTGAGTTCGCTGTTCCTTCAACATCCCAGCACTGTTCTTGAGCTTTTGATGTTCGTCGTGTTGTTCCGAGGGTAGTCAATAAGTTACAACACACAATGCCTGCTGCACGACCTACGACTCCGCCTCGGGCGACTGTCCCAGCTCAGGCACAGTCGCCACTAACACCAGAGCAGGTACGGCGCATGGAGATCAACCGACTCAAAGCAAAAGCACTACGAGAGCAGAGAGAGGCCGAGGCTGCTAGTGTGCCACCATTGTCTAGACAGAACAGCAGCGTCGCTGGACAGAAGCGCAACTTCGATGCATATGCTGGAAAATCTGCGGCTGCACCTGCACCTGCACCTTCTTCTGTCCGAGATGCGAAGAATAGGCCGCTAGACGATATCAAGCCTATCCGTAGCACTCTAGGAAAATACATTGAGTACGACTTCTCCAAGATGACTGATACCAAGGGTGGTTTCTTGACTGCAGAGGATGATCCCCATAACAAAGCAATGCGATCAGCGGAAAAGGATATGAAACCTGCACAAATGACACAGAAGGATTGGGAGAGGCAACAACTGCTTAGATCGCTGCGCAACCAGCAGGCAGGACCTTTTGAGCCTGGTATAAGTGCTATGACCATGAAGGACGAACAGACTAAGAAGTGCAGAGAATGTGGCGCGTATGAGATCGACTTCAAGTGGTCAGATATCTTCGACATTGCCGTGTGCAACACATGCAAGGAGAAATTTCCCGAGAAGTACAGCTTATTGACCAAGACCGAGGCAAGAGAAGACTATCTCTTGACCGAACCCGAACTGAAAGATGAGAAATTACTGCCACATCTAGAGCGACCGAATCCCCACAAGTCGAACTGGCACAACATGTATCTTTACCTGAGACTTCAAGTAGAGGCCTACGCCTTCTCCGACAAGAGATGGGGATCGTCTGAAGCTCTCGATGCGGAATTCGAACGTCGACAAGCCGAGACAAAGCGACGGAAAGAGACCAAGTTCAAGAACAAACTGGCCGACTTGAAGAAGCGGACACAAGTCGAAGCTTATCGTAGAAACCGTGCTGGGAATAGTAGTCAGTTCGGAGACGATTTAGGCGACGGTAAGCATATTCATGACTTTGGTCGTGCTGTAGAGAATCCGGACAGCGGCATACCGGTAAAGCAGTGCCTGGGGTGTGGTCTGGAAGTAGAAGAGTTGGAACTGTAGCAAGCATCGTCTGTTTCACAACAGCTGCATCTAATCTTGACGCTTGAGTTCCATATAAGCATGGGTGGACAGAACCAGAATGTAGAGATCGCAAGTCGTGAATAGAACGTGGGTGGCTCCACGCCAGTTCCGTTTAGGCAGGCCTAAGGCATGGCGAGGGCGCTAACATGCTTGAGTCTGGTAGGTCGAAGGCTCGCCGAAGAGATGGAAATAGCGATCTACTGCGATCGGCAAGCACCAGAAGCCAGCTTACAATTGATACCACACCACATCGCTTGCTCGCCTGGAATAATTCATTCTGTGCTCTCGTAGCAAACCGCAAATTCACTCCTTAGCAGATCGGATTACCAATTTACAGCACGAGGATAACCAGTACCGACCACCCCTAAACCTTCACAGGCACCTCTGTAGGTGCTGCTCCGGTCGCACCAATTCTACCTGGAAATGCGCCCATGATATCTGAGTTGAGTGGAAACTGCGCGAGATGGCGTGGCAGAACGCAGGAGGTGGACAGACGGGAAATATGGCCGAGTCCAGTGGTGTTCAAGCATACACCCTGCAAGGTATACATCTCTTCGTTCTCAGCTTTGTCTGTGTCTGACTTTGTCCAGGTGTGATGCGCTTCCTGCAGACAGAATGGCATACCCACGAACGCACGAGGAACGCCTGGGAAATCGAGCGCGAAGAAATGAAGAAGCGCGTAGCGACTCTAGAAGGTGAAGCACGCAGCTCTAAAGGTCTACGCGGTGTCCTCGAGCGCCAGATCCGCATGCTCGAATTTGCGCTGAAGAAGGAGAGGGAAAATGTTGCGAAACTCAGGAAAGGCGAATTCGTTGATTTCTCTAAAGACTCGAAAGAGCTAGCTCAGCAAGAGATCGAGAAGCTCAAGGAACAAGGCAAGGGTGCGTCTCAGAAGCCACTATGCATCCAGAAGACTGACCCTATATAGTTATTGTGCCCAAGGCTATAACCCAGTTCGACAACGAGATTGATGCTGAGAACCATCTCTCACAAGGCATTCGCCAGGAGAAGGAGAGGGAGAAATCCAAAAGTTTCCTGACACAATGCTCGAACGAAGTATCTTACTACGTCCTGCCAGGCGTCAAAGCTATGACCGAGTATATGGATTTACCAAGTCTCAACCACGTTGCAGGACAGGGACAACCCAGCCAACAAGAATTACACGAAGCATACGCTCAGATACAAGCACAGAAACAGCAGCACAGAAATAATATGCAAATGGTAAGGGAGAATGTCCAACCCTCACAGCAATCCGTACCAGCCTATACCGATTCCACGCCACTTGTGCGTTCTAATACTCAAATTCACAACAACCAATTACCAGTACAGGAACCCGAACGGAGATTTGTAGAAACACCCATAATAGAAAGTCGAAAAATGCCTTACCAAGAACAACAACAGCAACATCCTCAAGAAGAGCAGGTCGAATCTGTCTCACATAGTTTTGATGGCTACGGCCGACAACTACCCACGAAGGACGAGAATACGCACGCGAAGATCACTACTAAGAACGAGGCGGATGTGTCTGATGGATGGGATTTTGATGACGCTCCACCACCCATACAACCTGCGTCAGAACTGCAGAGTTTGCAAAGACCTGACACAGAGGCATTTCCTTCTTCGATACCCTCGAAGTCTCCTACACGCTTACCAGGATCGCACAGGAGAAGGAGTTCTGGCGCAAGGCGGAAGAGCTCCGATAGTACTGATGTCGGTGGCTTAACTAATAATTTGAATGTTGATGCATCACAGTTCAAGGTTCGGTTTGCAATGCGAGGACATCTGGACGTCGTTCGTTGTGTCATCTTTACTGGAGGTGGTAGTCCTGCTGATCCTGAATTTTGTACTGCTGGTGATGACGGGACCGTCAAGAGATGGCATATTCCAGCTTCCTATGGCGCGAATACACTAGGCGAGGATCTGGATCGAACAGCACATTTCACGCACAGGGGACACAACGGTTCAGTATGCTCCTTAGCTGCTTGTCCTGCCTCGCTCACCTTTTCGAATGGTGGTCGCGTTGCAGGTGACGGATGGATCTTTTCAGGAGGAGAGGATGCTAGCGTAAAAGTTTGGGAAAGAGGGCGGGTCGACGCAAAAGCAAGCTTGGAGGGTCATACAGATGCTGTTTGGGCTCTTTGCGTCTTGCCATGCACGACAGGCTCTGTGCTTGGCGAAAGGTCTGCATCCCTTGGCGGTCCTGAAAGGATATTACTCGCCGCAGGTGCTGCGAATGGCACGATCCTGGTTTGGGCAGTATCTGCACCACCGCAAGCGAATACCGTCTCAACTGGCTCAAATCGTGGTACAAGAGGTAGCAGGAGAGCGAACTCAATATCAGCGGGCAGCAACTTTCCTAGCTCACCTCAACCCAGCATAGCCAGCAATACACCTTTCAACTATAGCCTCGTTCACAGGATAGAACGACCCGACCGTGGACCACCAACATCAATATCGCCTTTATCACCAGCAGGCACAAGTTTTGTCGTTAGTTACGGTGATGCAAGCGTTCTTATTTTCGACACTAGGACTGGCGACGAGATGGTCGGAATGCAGAGTCAAGAGACCTATGATGGAACACCTAATACTAGTATCAATGCCGTTGTTGCCAGCAGTACTGGCTTTGACACACGAGAATCACCACCACCTCAAAGACGTGGCAGTATGGGCGAGGAAGATGTATCTCACGGGCCAACAGGTGGTGAAGGTGGTGTGGAAGGGTTCGTCATTGCTGGTTACGAAGATCGCTATATCAGGTTCTTCGACGCTAATTCTGGTAAGTCATTTCTTTTCGATCGTCGGAGTCAACCCTCTAATAAGTTCCTAGGACAATGCACGTATACTATGCTTGCTCATCCGTCAGCCATATCCTCACTTTCACTCTCACCCGATGGCCGCGAATTGGTCTCGGGTGGCCATGACGCCAGTCTGAGATTCTGGTCCTTAGAGAAACGCAATTGCACACAAGAAATTACGAGCCACCGAATAATGAGAGGGGAGGGTGTTTGTGCCGTCGTTTGGAGTCCCGACGGACGATTCGTGATTTCTGCTGGTGGAGATGGTGCTGTCAAGGTCTTTTCTAGGAGTTGATCAACATTTAGCGTTGCAGCAACGATGAAGTGAAGAAAGCATGATTCGAAGAACGGAGCGAACAAAGCGAGCAAGCGGAAACTATGCATGCATCGGTTGGGGGAAGGTGTTAATTTCGACTTTCTGTGGCTAAGCATCGCCGTGCTATGTCTCTGTACGTATGTATGCAATCGGAAAATATTTTCACTGCTTCTAGCAGAACACTCACGGAAGCAAGTGCAAGACGTGCTCTTTCAATGTAGCACATCGAGTTAGAGTTCAGTGGCAATCACAACACCGATTTTGACTCTGGTGGTCGTACCTACCCTCTGATCTCTGCCATAGCCGCAACGCTGCCGAAAACTCTGCTCGGTACTCAAGATGGAGCGGACCTTTACATTTCATCCTAGTATCGTCTACGATTCGTGTGATGCTGATTACTCAAGCCCGCCACGACATACATCTGACGCATCAGGAGCACGCACAGCATCTTCACACCTACATCACCTTTGCCTCCACCGACATGCTTTGAGTATCTGTCTTGTCGTCTCCTGAGTTCAGCAGGCGGAAGTGTGGGAGAGAATGCACATTGAGGAAAGAAGATTGCATCAAGAGAGCATGATCTCGAAGTTATGAAAGCTGACCGTGTGACAATTTACTAGACTGTCACGGTAAATCTGCAATTCCACCAAAATTCCAAACAGTGAGACTATACAATACATACCTCAACAGCAGATATGGTACCTCTACCAATAAGTCTTACTGTTCCTCACGCCGCATTCAAAGCTTCCAACCAATGGCGCCCATTCCACGGTCCATCTCGATATATCGCTTTCTTCCCAATCTCCAACCAAACACTTCTCGCCTCCCCTTCGATAGTATCGGCAATTGGCGCTTTATGCTGGTTCCGCAGTTGATACACCATCTCCGCTCTCTGCTGTGTGGTCATGGCACAGATTCTCAAAGTGTTCTTTTCATTCTCATCGACTTTACCGCTAGCCTCTTTCTGACCACTACCATCCCTCCTCACCTCATCAATGGGCGCACTGCATTTCGGACATTGATATCTCTTGGTGTTCACCCGAATGCCGACCCAGCACTCTTCGTGGCAGGCGACTTCACAGTTTACGTCGACGTGGACTAGGGCGACGTCTTGGTCGCCCCATTCTCGACGGCAGATGAAGCATATCTCGGAGTGTTGGCCGCTGAGGTAGCGGTTGTTGGTATGGTAGAGGGCAGGGAAGCGAGCGCATCGTCGCTGGGTTGCGTCGAATGAGCTGGAGAGGACGGGCGGGCAGCCACAGGAGTATGATTCAGGCATGGTGTGCTGAAGGGAACGGAGACGCGGTATCTATGCGAGACTGAGTACAGGGGATACGTTATGTCAGACTCTGGTCTGGCTGACGTGCTTGGTGGACAGGTATATGCTTTCTGCGCGTTCCTTCGCTAAAACAGAAATGTCGAAATGGACATCTCGAACTCTGCAGAAGAACCCACGTTTCGACACAGAATGAGTGAACCATTCGTTCTATTCGGTTGTTCCTCCGATCTTCCAGAAATAACACTTGGCGAGAACAAAGAACCACGCAGTTCTATATCTCGATCGTACGCATGTGCCTAGTGGTAGTAATTTTGGGAGAAGAACAATGACACCAGTCAGCTATGACCAACGTCGTTGTTTTTCATTGTCACGACGGATGGTTCTAGGCTTGGGCCATAGCCACTCCGATGAGTCCTGATAGGTGTTTGTTTTGTTCTCTCAGAGGAGTACGTAGTGGTTCTTTCTCGATTGTGGATGGGAAGTAATACACATTTGCTGATCTGTTTTGTCAAGTGGCTAGGGCCATGGTCTTCTGGCAGGGCTTTGCTAGATTGAACGACCATACACCCGAAGATGAGTCATTGTCAGTACTAGAAGTTAGTAGAGATTATACGTCCACAAACAGTGCTATGCGTAGCGCTTCAGCCAACAAAAAGAGTATTGAGCAGGAGTGAGCACCTGCGTGGCGGGTTTTTCGAGGTAGGCCACAATGATTGCCCTGAGAGCCCTGGTTATCAGAGGACCAAAGTCTCGTATATTCTAGACCTCCTCAGCCTCAGCAGCCTCCATCTTTCTCGCATGCGCCTTCCTCGCCTTCGCCTTCAACAGCGCACGCACATCATCTTCACTCTGTCTCGTCCATTCTGCTGCGGTCTGGTAGCTAAGTGGATACAACGGTATATTAGAAGACGCCTCCGGATAATTCGCATACTCGTTCATCGGCGTGCTGATAAGGACATCCAGATCATCTGCTATTTCGTTGCAGTATGATTCCAATGGTAAATCATTGACATCGTTGCCAAAGGGGTTCTCGATCTCCTGTCCGATCATAGCCAGGCCTAAAATGATGTAGGCTGCTAGCATCGTTGCTGGAATTGTGACGAATCCGAGTTTGCGGATCAGTTGGAAGGGGAGAACCATGATGTACATCCAGGTGATTTGGGCGATAGAGATGGTATAAGCAAGTGGGAGCGGTGTGTTGAGGATACGTTCGGCGCCAGTGAGGATGTCGGCCATGGTACGTACGTCGTTCCAGAAGAATTTGTGACATCCGACGATTTGTTTGGTTGCCATTGCTTTTTCGAAGTAGGCTGATAGATGTGCTAAGATCTCGTGAGGCAGGTTGCCTAGATTGTCCTCGGAACGCTTGATCAGCTTTCGTGGATTGGAATGTGCAAAGGTCAAGCCTAGGTATTCTCCGACTTGTTTCATAGTGGAAGGTTTTTTGTGTTTTAATTTCGATTGATCTGCATGGCTAGCGATTGTAGTGCTAGTTATAGGTGCTACGAGATATTGCAGATCCGGGTAGTCGATAGCTGGCTCGAATCGCAGACGGTGCTTGAGTGCTATAGAGAATGCAACAATGAGGTTGATAGCAGTAATCTTTCCCAAAAGGTCCTTCATCTTTCGCTCGGAATCTTCCTCATCTGTACGTTCCAACATGTTGATCCAGACCAGTCGGCCGAGGTTACGTGATGTGAATGTGAGCTGCGACCAATATCTTCGCCCTTCGCTGTATCTCTCGTAGGCTGTGGAGGAACGGAAGGAAACAGCAAATGCAACAACAAAGCCGAGGACAACAAGCAGTACAGTATCCACGCCTGATGACGGTCAGTATTTCGTCTGTAGGTCAGAGAATACACCGTCACAACGTACCAATGTCGGAGACATATTTGTGAACAAGAGTTACAGCTGTGGCCCAACAACCGACGAAGACTAACGGTAATATCATTCGTGGCAATATGCCACCATGAAGTCGCATAAAGAGTGGTAGTTTTGAGTGTTTCTGTATATCACGAGGTCCCTCGAAATAATACATGGTACGCCTATTAGACATCTTTGAGCCAGCTGTTCCGAATGGGTCAATCGGGCTATTCGAGCGAGTCGACGATGTAATATCTTGTACGACCACTCTCGGGCTCTTGGACTCGTCTCCAGTTGATATCTTGCCTGACATCTTGAAGAAAACAGATAGGATGTGCGCTAGCAAGAAGACTGGCAGCTTTTTCTGATGTTCGTATGGTGAAGGTGCTTGTGCTCTTTGTTGTTCTCGGGAACAGGGACAAGACAGTTCTTAAGTAGCCAGTGAACCGAAGCATTAACTCACGTGCAATTATTTGCATCTTCGAGAAGACATGATAGCCAAGACCATGTCGTCGACTAAGAAGAAAGAAAACATGGCGGATGTCTGCGGCTGAATCGGAAGCAGTCCCCAAGCTGGACTTATTGAAACGGACTCGCCGTCGTTGACATTATAGAAAAGTCTAGACCATGGTCCAAGAAAGGTGATTGAGCACACGACACACTTTGGTTGATGAGCTGAAAGAGAGACTTGACCCTCCAGGCGGGTACGGAGCCACGCCATGTCGAATCGTCTGGATTCGGACACGTTTTCACCACAAACGAGATTGAACGCCCGCCAAGAATGAGAAACGGATTTCCACCCAGCCGTCGCCGGCTCATCTTGCGCTGTGGCGCACGGTCTCCGGCATGTATATATACTGCATGTTGGGTCGGTGAAGATAGAGTGGTGCGCACGGTGCAGCCATGTACCCAAAACGTGATAGGGGCTCGTATTGAAGTTGTTACTCTCGGAACTGCCTTTCACTTAAGTAGCGCTCAGACGCTTAAAGTGGCTTGGCATTACTAACTGCTTTAAGAACAACATCAAACTTGATCATTATCATCTGGTAGGTACTTGGTGATCATAATCAGCAGCAAGGAGGATTGGAATTGTCTGCAAAAAGCAAGTGTGTTCTTCTTTCCGAGGGCGTCATGGTAATGCCATATCACAGGTGAACCACGAAGTACCTGCCCGACAAGCGACTCCGAGTCTGTCAAGTGAAGCTTTGTCCTTCACTTGGTCATCGGCGAACTGATACCCAGACATTGATTTACTACAAACTGCCTTTCGCTGAGGCATAATAGAGCACGACGGACTGCTGTTGTCGGCATGCTTCTCAGACGACCTGTTGTAAATGCACTGGCACATCCTGGATGAAATGATGCTTGTTAGCTGCTCATACGAAGAAGTTAGCAAGCATTCTTCAACGGGTTTTCTCCAAGTATTGCGTGGTATATGTTGGCTGGAAAGGACATGTTGAATGGACGTATAACTTGAGATGTTTCGATCGTGGCTGGCGAGGTTTGAATGATAGGCAATGCAGCCTGTCGAGCTTCAGTGAGGCTGCATCACAGGTAGGTAGATGGACGTCAAGCATCGGAGATGTCAATGCGTATTTCAAGTGAAAGTGGGCATCCAAGTTTGCTTGTCTGCACCATGCAACCCTCTACGTCACTTAGATCGAACGATGCTCGTCTGGCAAGCACGGCTCGTCAAGTACAGTACGAAAGTGCAACTTCTATCTCTCTACTAACTTCGAACAGTCCTAACACAAACCTCAAGACTTTCAACAACAAACGCGATGTGTCAAAAGCACGCATTCCAACCCCTTCTCATGCTTCTGGCCCTCATCACTATCACTCTCAGCCTCGTCGTGCTCTCAAGCACCTCGAACCCCAGCATTCGTTCTGCATTCGTCGTACAAGACCACCCCGGCGACACAACACATTCATCCGCATCTACGACAATGACACGTTGTCGTATTCAATCGCCGTGGTCTACCTCACGATGGTATTCACACCGTCTCGGGCCACGACAATGCTGGTGCATGTGCCCACAACTTTCTTCACAAGCTCTCAACAATTCTTCTCATTCTCTGGGACTATGAACATAACTGCCACTATGGTCCTGACCTTAGTGCTTGCGTCACGTTCAATTTAGAGCTCGATCCTTGCGGTGTAGGCGCTGTGCAAGACTCTTATTCCCAGAGCATGGAAGGTATCGGAGATCTCAAATGCGAAAGAGTCGGCGAAAATGCTGTGTGTCCTGTGCTATATAATCCTCCTAAAGATTCTTGGTTGTGAAGACCATAAACGCACTCATTTCGTAGTGGTATTGCTTTCTGTGGCAGTGCTAGGCAGGCAGAAGAATGGTTCACTGGCGCGATCCTTATACCATCGACTTACTATGATAAGCACTTGGAGTATTCGGTGTATCCTTGGACTTTATGTGGGCGAAGATGCTGGTGCCGCCTGAGTACAGCGATCGCATACTCAAGACTGGTCCAGCGTGGCGATATCTTCATGGGGACAATGATCAAAGAGCACAGTCCCGTCCTTTACAACCAAGAGATGCAAATACGACGACTAATCTCCATTTCTGTGCCTGGGCTGGTGGTTTGGTATTGTTGTATTATAGTTCACTGGACCTCTGGACTTCCAGAAGACAGTAAACACTTGTGGTGTACACGATACCAGCAAGGCAAATCTACTGCAAGTCCGACTCATCAAGATAGAATCACAATATCATTTCTACAAACCGTGCAATCATGCTTCGTAATTTCGTTTTTGAAATGCCGTGGGTCAACAGCTCACTGTTCACAAAGACCCAAATGAGAACTCCTTCTTCCACTCAAACTTTCTCGCAGCAGATCACAAACAAGAAATAGAAAATGCAAATTGCTGGAAATTCCTGGAGCTGTCTAGGACTTCCTCCTTCTCTTCGAGACGTGGCCATCATAGTCACCGGCTTCACTACCGTTGTTTTTGGGCGTAGGAGCCTCGCTGCTAGCGAGTGACTCTATCCTCCCTTCACTCCCTGTGCCGTTATACTGATTGACATCGAGAAAATTGTTATCTATACCGTTTGTGTCGTCCACGCTCGCAAAGAGCGGATCGTCGTCTGTGAAATCATATGTAGCGGTGGTGCCATTGCCGTTGTATGCAGCGTTGTTCAGATTAGAAAAGTCGAGGTTGCCGTTCACGTCGTTGTTATAGTCGGAGAAGTAGTCATGGTTGCTCAAGAAGGAATCAATATCGAGTGGGGCGGGTGGAATATCTTGACCATCTCCTAAACCAGGTATGCTCCCAGTAGGCGAAAGAGGTTGTAGAAGATTGGTGAGATTTTCGACGGATTTTTCTTGAGCTGCCTGCAATTGTTCGAGATGGTCAAGGTCATATTTGGTAGAAGCAATCTTCTTGTCGAATTGTGTTTGTGTATTGGAGCGAGCAGGACTGCTTAGTGCCCTCATATCGCTCCCACTACTCTGTGGTCTTCTTGACTGCTTGTTGAACATTCGAAGCATATTGTCACGTTGTGCAGCGTCAATGGGAGTTGTGCCGCCATTTTTCTCAAGGTCATTGAGAACATGGGAGAAATCTGGAGTAGGAGTGCTGGCACCAGAATTACGTGCGTTCGTGTTGTGTATCAAAGACATCATGTCCTGCTGCTGTTGGCCAGTAGAGGAACTATAGTTTCGAGTGGACTGGTCAATCTCTGGATCAAAAATCTCCTCAACGTGGGCAGATTTTGGCGATGTCATGTGGGACGACTTTCTGGATGGTCTCGACATGGGGCTTGCAGCAGATGCAGCGGGTGACATTGTCTGGGCACGACCCTCGGATCCATCAGTGAGCAGTAGACGCTGCTTCTTGTAGGGTTGTTGGGCTTGATCGATAGAAGTACCTTCCGGCAGGTTGAAGACGAAATCATTGACGTCCAGCACGCCACTCTTGCTGTCTTGGTTGACGGCATTCTGAAATATCTTTGCAATGTCTTGAGCACCTTCATGGCCTGACAGACTCCTGTTGTACAGGGTGGCCAGAAATGTGAGAATAGCGTTGATGGAGCTTTCATGCCGCGAATGTTTATTCTGATAGTCACTGGCCTGGTCAACGAGTGCATCGTGTTCACGCTTCAGAGCGCTTAGCATATGTGCAATTTGACCTTGTTGCCTGCGTATCATTAACAACTCTCTCTGCACGGTGCTGAACTGTTCTTGAGTGAGAGCATTCCCTGATGGTTGACCTCCCTCTGTCAATAATGGTCGGGCAGGAAACTGTGTTGAACCATTCGCCTCCTCCACATACTCGTCATCCTCCTCATGCTCTTCGGACTTGCCACGAGACTTCTTGGAGTTGGCAGACTGGTTCTTTGGTTTTTGTATTAACCATAAAAGGTCAGGGTAACCTTTCCGGAAGAAGGGGTTCCAATATTCCGATGGACTCTTTGCCTTTCTCTCGCTCGCACGCATCGAGTTGTCTGATAAACCCACTTTCTTGTGGAAGCCATACATATTGAGCTGTCGTACGAAGGAGGCATAATTGTTGTGCTTGAACAGCTCCGGGATGAGCTTGTTCGCAAACTCGTCTTCATTGAGTACGACGAAAGACTTGCCGTCGTCGGCCCATCGAATAAGATCGGTATTCCTGGGATTTTCCAAAAAACTGTTTCTCTGTCAGCTGGTTCTTACGAAAGTGTATAGGCAGGTACGTACCTGTGCAGCTTCATCACAAAGGGAGGTATCTGCTTTCTATTAGACTGTGAATTCTTCTTTGCGACTTGTGCTTTCGCAAGCAGTTCGTTGATATCGTCACTCCATGATATAGCCGCCTCTTGCTGTTGCTGCTGTCGCTGCGTCGGTTGGCTTTGTTGCTCGGTAGCATACTGGTTGTTCTGCTGCGGTTGATGGGCAACCATCTGAGACATGGGTCGACGCGCGAGTTGGTTCGATTGATTAGGTGGTGGTGGTGCAGCTTGTGGTGGGTATTGATTCGTGGGCAGGTTGAATGCGGACTGGTTCAGGTATGAGCTCGGATCCTGTCCATTCGCTCCCCAATTCAAGAATTGGTCATCGGTCAACGGTTGACCTGCGCTCTGATAACTGTTGGGTACCTGGTGAAGCTGGGCAGGATATCTCACAGGCGACGCGCCTGGTGCAGGCCTCTTCCGCGACATATTTTGTGGAGTCGACATGAATGAAGTAGCAGTATAGGAACTGACTGAGCCAGTCTATCGGCCCGGTCAGGCAGCTCAGATGTGGTTATTCTAGAGGGGTCTTGTCCAAAAGTACAAGGATGAATCTGGAAACAGCTGATCCTACAGCAACTGTGCACTTCTCGACGTCGAATCTCGATTATACTGGACGCGGGCAGTAGCGGTCCGGGCAGGTACAGTCTGCCTTGGGTTTTGTGGTGAGGATGACCAATGTGACACAGGTGTGTCCGAGACCGTGTCTGGTTCTCTAGCTTTGTGGAAACAATAGTATTCTGCGACAAATGTGTATACAGCAGCCTCTTGTGGTATTGTCATCGAAATACTGCGGCAGACATTTGGATCTATCTCAGCCTATGTCATCGCTCAGAATCCAAACTAGCACTAGTCCGTTTCTAAAGGTTAAAGGAAATCCGAAATCACGACCTCTCTTCCTTTGAATCCGTCCGTGGAAACATTAAGTGCTCCTCAATACTATGTCTCGTCTGTGTATACATGATTCCTGCTGGATCGAGCGATGGACAAGAGTCTCCAGCGGATGATGTTTTTACAGTGCAGGTGAATGAAGCTGATATGGTTGAACACCCTGATATCGCTCTTGAGTTTACTGACAGAGCACTGAGAAGAATCATTGTGAGCTCATATAAGGTCGTTGAAATGGTTCTATGGTAGAGAGACATGTACCGAGTCCCTGGGAGATCAGGCTCTTTGCATGGCAAGTACGAATAGCTGATCATAAGCCAACACAATTCTTCAAGCTTGATGAGACACGCGGCACAATCAATTTGCATTTCATGCTCCCTTAATGGTGATTGCAATGTTCTTCTAGTCCAGTCACTCGATCTAGTTCTGAAATTCGCTGGTCACTACTCCCAGATGCACACCACTAAGAATACTTTGCGCCAGTCTACCACATCTTTGCCCCCGTGCTTATCTAACCTCATCGCATTGATCTCAGCCCACAATCTTATCTACGGTTCGGCATGACAGTGTAAGTACGACGATGGTCAATGGCATGTCTGTCTGCAGTTAATTGACGTTTTGAGTTAGGACGAGCAGACTAGACGACCTCGTCAAGTGTGCTCGAAAGGGTGACCTCCGCCGTGTTTGTAACAGCCTTGATGCGCGCAGAGATAACATACGAGAGTCTATGAGAGAGGCAAAGCAACGACTTGCGAATGGACAACATTTTTCTCACAAGTTGAGCAGCGATGTAGCCGACCTCAAAACCATACTCGAGCATACGAAGTTCGCTCTTGCTGCCAAAATCATTGATGCCCATGTTGACTCCATCGCTGAAGCAGAGCAATTCCTGTCAGATCACAGCAGAAGTATGAGACCTCTGACGAAGTCCGAGAGGCAGAGCAGCAATAAGGATCGAATTGCTGCACAGCGTCTCAGGAAAACAATTGTCTCCCTAGATAAGAGGATAGCTGATCCGTCTCAGTACGAAAAAAGAAACGCGGAGAAGACAAGATTACGAAAACGAAAAGCGATTAGGGACATTCAGGAAAAAACCAAGAAAATTATATCGATACTGAGTTCGCCAGACTATATAGCCGACGATGATCTCAGAACACAAGGCAATGCTCTCGTCGAAAAGGCAAAACGTCTTGTTTCAAATCTCCAATCACAGTTGGGACTCAATGATAATGCTCAACCAACATCTGAAGAAGAACAGAGCCAGACTAAGTGCGCTAGCGATTCGAAGGATGATGACTACTACAACGACATCGAGCAGGCTTTGCCGCGAAGTGCTTCACCTTGCCTTTCCAAAACACAGTCGTTCACATCAATGACGATTTGGAAAGACGCTCTTGCACGAGACACCTCCCAGCGAAAGAGCAAGACGGAGTGGTATACATCTGAAGGTGACTTTGGCCTGGAACATCTGCTTTAGATAGGTAGACGGAAGAGCTCTTTAGTCTGGAGAGATGCGTTTAGAAAGAGACGTTGAACACGCAAGTGCGATGCTGATAGCATTGTGCACAGAAGGAGAAGTGCTACGGGCTGTACAACATCTATTGTACTATGAGTCGATTGTTTTCAAAACTACCAGAAGAGCTTGTGATATTGTGGTGTCTGGTTACCAACACTCGAACCCTTTCAGATCGCAAGATATCCAGCTCACCAATTCGGTTTTATAGCCTGGCCTGTCCTGACGAGAACTTCCAAATCCAAGCCAGGTATTGGACATCCTCCTGCACGCTATAAAAGTTATATAACAATTCCTGAAGCGACCACTCCTTGGACTTCCTATAACCTGACTCACCACCTCTTAAGCAGGTAAGATATGTTCTTGAGCAGTAAAAGTCGTCTCATTGTCGCTCTCCAACTTGATGTCCTCATCGCCCTCCTCATCATCTCCATTCACTTTCTCTGCATCGATTCCGTTCTCCTCCATTGGCAGACTCGCACCATCCAAATCCCTGTCCTCATCCAAGTCCACTGCTGCCTCGCCCACCATAACTCCTCCTTTCTCCTTCTCCGCATCCCTCTTAGCTTGATCCGGATCAAACAACCCGTCGAGATCACTATCCATATCCTTCGCCCCAGCATCCTCACCAGAAGAACCCGCCTCCTGAACATACGACTTCGACCGAGACTTGGAACGTGCTGGCAACTTTCGTCGCTCAATCGTGTTGAATCGGGATACAAGAGGGATATCAGCTGCCACTTCGGTATCAGTGTCGGCGTTGGAGGCTTCTGCTTCGTCTTCAGAGGTTATATTCGAGGCCATCGTTTCTTCGTCGTCAGAGTTTCTGGGGAGTTTGCGTTTCTTACCTCCTGGTGTTGTTTTTGGTCGTTTAGATGGTGTTGAGCTAGGTGCTGTGGTAGCGGCTCGTTTGAGACTCGATGGTGTGTTGGCATTAGAGCCAGTCTTTGGTTTTGGAGTCGCGGGTGTGTTTGGTGTAGCAGGCGTGCTGCCACTACTAGGAACAGTACTGGTATTGGTACCTGGTTTGATCACACAGCCGTTCCTAATCTCTTTCCGGATTTCTGTAAACTGGTATGGGATCATGCGCGAGGTAGGAGTGTCGCCTAGTGGCCATGTTTCGCGGATCTTCTCGATTTGATCTGGCTTGGCTGTTAGGATGGAAGGATTGAGCTCACAGAGCTTCAAGAGCAGCTGGGTTTTAGAGAGGGTTAGTGATTAACTTGAGACGTGCGGCGTAAGTAGAGAAGAACTCGAAGGGAATCTTTCTGTGATATAATTACCGTGTATCGTTCAGCAAGTCCCCACTTCATGATTGTATGACTACGGATTTTGAAATAGGACCGCTGTATATGAGAAAGCAATAATGTTGTGAGATGACTGAGTGTCTAGTTGGTGTAGTCGAGGTGTGCTAAAAGTGTCCTAGGAGTGAAATTAGTAGACCTGAGAAAAAGTAAGCTGATAAGCTAGGTTGACACAAAACAACCGAAAAGCCGTAGGATTCGTAAACAAGCAGGACTTGGTGAGGCTTCGTTCAGTGAAATGCAAAAGCTGGAGTGAAAGTGGAAGTCAGTCTGCATTAAACAGAACAGAGTTATCTGAGGTGTTTATTGATGTCCTTGTGTTTTCACCTTAGCCTTACAATAGTTGGATATTATCTGCATAGAATCAGCATATCCTTATCCATGCCCATGTGCTTCAACCAGATATTCCGAGAACGCTTGTAGTGAGTAGTGAATTGCGATCGATTACAACCTAGACTGATATTTCCTCCACAGCTTGAACCCATAATATGCAATAGCTGATCCAACAGCAGTTCGATACACAAGAAATGCGACAATTGCAACATTCAAGTTGTGATAGTAGCCCTCAAGTAACCTGCCGATAGAGTCCTGAGGATTAGAGCCAATTCCTAGTCCCTCAATCCCAGCTCCATTCTTGGACTTCATGCTCGTTGGTTCGCCTTCTGTTACGGCCCTTGCGTATGAAGTGGCGTCCATGGCAGTCTGACTTGCACGTCTTCTAGTCTTCTTACCTTTGTTGTAAGGCCAGGTACCAGTGTTCATATCATGTGCATTGTTCTTGCGCATACTGCGGGTGAAGAGCCAGACAAAGACCCGTAAGTCCAAAGGTGTGAAAGTCGGATACTCCCACAGTCTGACAGCGTTGTATGGTGGAAGCATATCTAGAAAATCAGCGAGGACACCGAGCGTCAACCCCCATAGCATCAATGGCTGCAAATGAGCCAGGCCTTGGTTCGATGAAGGAATACCGAAAGCGCCTTCAGCAAGGCCAGTGAAGGCTGATTCTCCTTCTGAGGGAATAAAGCCAGGCACAGACGAAGCGAAGTGGCTTTCAGAGGGAACAAGCTTGACGGCCGACAACATCATCTTGCCAACCAAACACCTCAAGACGAATTGCAGAACTGGTCCACCCTGCTTGGCCATACGACTAGCCGTATCGACATATTCTCGTGTGCGTAACTTGGGTGAAAGAATTGCGCGCAAAGGTACCCAATGACACGAGGCAACTTCGTCAGGAGAAGGTCTCGGTTGAGGTGTTGTCTTGCTGGTATAGAGAAAGACAAATGGACACAGTACCATTAGCGGTACTCTGCCAAATGTTGTTGCAACGATTCGCTCAGGCAGATTCCCAGCTTGCAGCACGTCTCTGGAACTCAGGTCGAGTCCGACTTCCTCCCTGGTCTCACGTATCGCTGCAGCTCTGTCATCTTCGTCTTCAGGATCACGCTTCCCTCCAGGCAGTGCGATATGCCCGGACCATCTATCTCCTGCTCTTCCCGCTCGCTTGATGAAGAGGACTTCTGGATCGCCGTTTTGTACCCATTCTTGCGCAAAGAAATCGTCGATGGAGTCAGGCTGTGGTTCGTCCTGTTGAAGATCTACCAGTGACTCGTTCGGTGCTGGGACTGGCTGAAACGCGGTTCGGACGCGAATGATGATGGCGACGCTGGCTCGTTTCTTGCAACCTTCTGGATTGTCCACATGCGGGTATGGCAGACCCTGCAGATTGTTCAGGACCGGCTGTAATTGTGCAAGTATTGCCTGTGACTCTGCCATGGTAGGTTGGCAGCAGAATCTTTGTCGCTCATGCCAGTAACTACCGCATTTGTCGTCATATTACGAACAGACCTGTTTGTTGCCTTATACGCACAGGGGTCCTGCTCTCCGAGTTTACGTGATAGCCTGATTAACCAGGCATGAACATCAGGTCGTGGTTTCGACCGATGGTCGTCCGATCCTGATCTTGTTTGTCTTTATGCACATGAACTGCTCCATCAAGCCTAATTCCATAGCTGTGAAATGTAAACTACTTCAAGAAGGGCCAAGAACTTATGCAAGCGTCCTCCGGACGAATAATGCTACTAACGGTGAGCACAAGTTGATCAATAAAGAGAACAACTAGAATCCTTGCAATGATTTCAAAGACGATGGAGTATAAATTGAAGTACCACAGAATTCTTTCTATAGCTTTGTCGTCCTCAGCAAAAGCCAGATCAACTTGCCCTCTTACCACACACTTTAGATCTCGGTCTTCCTGCAGCTAAACAACATGGCATCTCAGCCTCTCATCGCCATTGTCGGCGCAACAGGCGCTCAGGGAAGCAGTGTTCTCAGCACGTACCTAAACACGACCTCCTGGCGCATTCGAGCCCTCACACGAAGTGTTTCTTCATCCAAAGCCAAGGCACTTACAGAAAGGTCTTCTCGAATTGAAGTTGCTGAGGCCAACCTCAATGATATTGCTTCTCTTCGTAAAGCTTTCGAGGGTGCTATAGCCATCTTCGGTGTCACTGATTTCTGGACTCTCATCTCGGACGAGAGCAATAAAGCCAAGGTAAAGGATGGACAATCGTTCGCAGAATGGGGCGCTGAAATGGAGGTCCAACAAGGCAAGAACATTTTCGAAGCAGCGAACCAGGTCTCGTCCCTGAAACGATTAGTATTTAGTTCATTGACCGATATAACCAAGTGGTCTGGTGCGTTCCTATACTCCCATACACGAATTTGACACGAGTTAACGCGAATCGTACTAATACAGAGATGTCATGACAGGTGGAAAATATACTTATGCTTTGCATTTCGACAGCAAGGCTATAGCACTCAAGCACGCTGAGGAGCACTTCCCGAACGTATATGCGAAAACAAGTATTCTTGTAGCGGGAGCATACCTGGAGAATTTCAAGCAAAACCCTTTCTTCAAACCTAAGCTGGTAAGTCTGAGTATCTCATTCTCATCCTTTGCGTTCGAAGCGAGTTGAGTGTAGGTGCTGACCGAGTGCTGTAGGAGGGAGAGGCACTCATATTCAACTCGTTCGGAACAGGAAACCGACCTTGGCCTTTCATAGCTGCCGAAGAAGACACTGGGCCGATCGTCAAAGCTCTGATCGAGCTACCCGCAGGTTTACGTGTCGCTGCTCATCGTGAGTTGAAGGTAATGTCCGATGTCGTCCAGCTTATTGGCAAGGCGGCAGGCTATGAGGTCAGATTGGAGCAGCAGGAATTTCCTCTGCCAGACGACCTCAAGAAGGATCTGGCAAACATTTTTGGCTTTGTGAACGAGTTTGGTTATTGGGGCAACGATCCAAGCATAAAGCAACCCGAAGAGCTAGGAGTAGAGTTGCGACTTGGCAGTATTGAGGACTGGGTTAAAGCGCAGGATTGGTCGAAAGAGCTCAATGGTTGAGCAGTGTTGCTGGTTTGATCACAGAGATTGGGACACTGTGATGAATTTCAGGTAACGCAGCTTTAGACACTGGCTCGATGCACTTTCGAGTCAACCCGCCCAGCACGACTTACTAGTAGGCACATACGCAGAGAAGTAAATTGGTACATATGCAGAGAAACAAAAGAATGCCCTAGGGTCGGCACACCTGCCCTACGACGTTCGTGCAGCATATGTCAAGCACGGGCTGCGAAACCCCTCTTGATTCGTCTATACAAAAGCTGCGGGTCTGCAAGTTGAGCTTGCATAAGAAGAAATACATTCAAGCTCAGATTTGCTCGTTACAACTGGCATCGTAGCATTGTGTATTGCTAGTATATTCGGTTATCGAGTGCTGTTGACGCTGAGCTTCCCCGTCACATAATGCGGTTCGGCAAAACGCTCAGTAACTCCATCTATTCACCATGGAAGGACAAGTATATTGAGTATGACAAGCTTAAAAAACTGCTACGAGAGGACGAGGCCTCCCCGCAAGGTCGAGGGGATGACAGTCATTGGACTGAGCAGGACGAGGAGAATTTCGTGAATGAACTCACCAACGTCCAGCTTGAAAAGGTCTACCAACATCAGGTCGAGACTTTCAATGCGCTACGAGACCGAACAACAGCATGTGAAGCTAAGCTCAAGCCAACAGCCGAAGAGGACAAGGACAGGAGTGATGAGGACATAAAGAGGATTGCGGAGGAAACTGTGAAAGAGTTGGACAGCATTTCTAAAGAAATAGCTGAACTTAAGAAGTTTAGCCGTGTGAACTATACTGGTTTCTTGAAGGCTGCTAAGAAGCATGACCGGAAGAGGGGCCGCAAGTACAGGGTTCGACCGCTTCTCCAGGTCAGAATGTCACAAGCACCATTCAATACAGAAGATTACTCTCCCCTTCTCTTCCGTCTGTCCACCATGTATACGTGGTCGCGTCAAATCCTTGAAGGAGAAGATCCTACAAAAAATTCGAGTACAAGTGTACGCTCCAGGGACACATACACTGCTCACAAGTTCTGGGTACATGAAGACAATCTACTTGAGGTCAAGACATATATCCTGCGAAGACTACCCGTTCTTGTATACAACCCTCAATCTGTCAAGGTTGTTGATGGTACTCAGAAGGACCCCACGATCACCTCAATCTACTTCGACAACGATAGGTTCGACCTATACCAACAAAAGGTGGACAAGGCAGATGACTCTGGCTCGTTAAGGTTGAGGTGGACAGGTCAACTAGCAGACAGGCCCGAGATTTTGCTAGAGAAAAAGACACTCAATGAAGAGACCGGAAGTCGAGATATCAGATTACCCATCAAGGAAAAGTACATCAGGCCATTCCTGGCTGGCGAGATGAAACTCGAGAAGCAGGTCTCTAAGCTCGAGGAGCGCCTCGGTGCTGACTCCGAACAAGTCCAGAGCTTCAAGAATACCATTGACGAAATTCAATCCTTCGTAAAAGACAAAAGGCTAGAACCACTTCTCCGTGCCGCCTACCAGAGGACTGCCTTTCAGATTCCTGGCGACGATCGACTCCGGGTATCGCTTGACACAAATTTGGCTCTGATTCGAGAAGATGCCCTTGACACCGATAGGCCTTGTCGCGATCCTGAAGACTGGCACAGATCTGATGTTGACAGGGAGAAGATGGAATATCCTTACAACGCCATCAACAAGGGAGAAATCGCACGTTTCCAGCACGCAATTCTTGAGATCAAGGTCAAAGACAATAAGTACACAGAGACAAATACCTGGTTGAACGATCTGATGACTTCACATCTGGTCAAACCCGCCCCTAAATTCTCGAAATTTGTGCACGGTGTGGCAGAGCTCTTTGAAGATTATGTCAATAGCTTCCCGTTCTGGCTTGCAGATCTTGAGACAGACATTCGTCGAGACCCTGAGACAGCTTTCCAAGACGAGCAGGATAAGCAAGCTAAAAGAGAACAAGACGAGATGGCTGTCGGCAGCTTTATACCTGCTTCTAAGCTATCCTCCAGTCAAAAAGCACGATTTGGCTCACCATCAGCCGGTAATGGCAAGATGCCTGAACGATCCAAGTCATTTAATCTGTCTCGCTCGGTCGCCTCAGCCCCACGTTCACAACTCGAGCCAACAGCTGAAGAACGAGATTCCGACGATGATGGCTACCAGGGTAACAGCATCAAAATCACTGACTCGTCCAAGAAATCAGGCGGCCTAGCCTCAATCCTGCCTGCGTTCTCCAACTCCCGATACGCCCAGCGCCAACGAAATGGAAAGTCCGGATTCAGAGACCAACCACTCCCAGCAGGTGTCAAAGACCCAGGCGTCTGGATCAAAGACCAAGGCCCCCTCAAAGTCGAAGCCAAAGTCTGGCTCGCAAATCAAAGAACATTCATCAAGTGGCTACACGTCTCCGTTCTGCTCGGCACCCTCTCTCTCGCCCTCGGTAACGCCGCAGGCAAAGACAATAACGTCGCTCGCTCTTTATCTATCACCTACACCGCCGTAGCTATCTTCACGGCCGCCTGGGGCCTGGGCATCTACCACTGGAGAAGCAGGTTAATCACGCAAAGAAGCGGTAAAGATTTTGACAGCATGGTCGGACCGTTCGTCGTGAGCATTGCACTTTGCGTTGCCCTGATACTTAACTTTTGGTTCAAGTATAGTGCTGCTACACGGCGGACGGAAAATCAAGGACTTTGGGGCCTGGGCATTGGTCACAATATGACGGATCTGCAGTTTGCGGTGCAGGAGTTGTGATTGCTTTGTCGGTATATTAGCAGACAGTAGCGATTGTTGGAATGCTCCTTCGATCCTTGGAGTTTTGGCTGATTATCAGTCTTGGTTGCTGGTACATAGTATGTGAGAACGTGCATAGTTGTCCAAAGGCTCGCGCTGTGGTACAGTGCATGATTAGTGCTTTCCAGGAGCACAGATGACTTTAATGCTAATACTGTTCAAGAGCCATCTTTAAGTGCAATGAACATGCTTAGGAGGGACAAAAAGCGTTGATGATTGTCTCTCGCACGGCGTTGTCTTGAGACAGTAGTGGTACCATCAATCTTCGTTCTGAGTAACATTCTACAACTTTAAATAAAATGTACTTTGGTGTCAGCAGCTTTGACCGCTTCGCATGGTTAATTATCCACAAAGCATCGGCCATTTCTGGCTCGTAAGACTCTCGAAGCAATATACAACGCGAGCTGAAATTGCCAGTGAGCTTCTTATGGAAAGCTGCATACTTTCATTCCGGTACTGGTACCGCACGTTCGGCCAGTTTCTTTCTGTGTTACATCCTCATCTACTACTATTCTTGTGGCATGCAAAGTAATCTTGGGATTTTGCGCAGCGGGTGGCCGTACGCTGCCTTTGCACCCGTAGACCTCAGCCCGATGCTCAATGCAGATGGAATCCATGCCTAATTGGTCTGGTGTCACCGATATGCAGTCCCTTCCAACCTTGATAACCTATCTCTCGCTTATGCTTTGCTGATGTGACTTTAATATGCCTGGCGCCGATGAGATGCAATGCCATTAGGTACTAGGTGCTGATGCTTTTATCTTTCATCCATGTTTTTCCATTAGCCTCCTCTTCTATCGGAAAGGTCTCCCTGGCATAGTCCTCCATTCTCCTAAACCCTGGCCACAATCGCCGTGCTTCACTTGTTATTCGTCGGGAGCGGTGTGAGCTGGCGCTGCTTGCCCTGTCTCCACCACCTTGTGTTGAAGAAGCGTTGACCTTTGGCCGCTCGCCGTTCCGCTTGACACCACTGTCGCGCCGTTCGTCTAGTGCAAACTGGAATTCCGGGTTGGGAAAGTACGGTGCTTTGTGTTTGCCAAATAGTTCCTCTATGCCGCGTAACTGTTGACGATAATTCTCAGGGATGGGAACGCGAATTTCGATAGTAGGGTTGTGGACATAACGGCAGGGTCGATTGAGTGCACGTTCGAATGCTTGGCAAACCTCTATTGGCGTTAAGGACTGGAAAACCAGGGCGACTCTATTATCTCATCAGTTCGTGTCCCCTAATCAAGGTTGCAACGATCCAGAAGTGGGACAAGTCACGTGAACTTCTGAGATTACTCTGCAGAAAGGCAGGATGTATCAGGGTCAACGGATCCATGCCGAGTTGGAGGCTTGGACTCGCTGAGAATGGTTGATTCGGGATGGATGATGGTGCGAAAATGAACATGGATGATGGTGCGAAATGAACATGGATGATGGTGGGAAATGAACAAACTGGGCACCAATCGCTTACCTTCTGTCCTTCCATTTTGCGATGCCTTCCTTCAACAGTTGTAACACAGCAGGACCACTGTCGGCTTCGGCATCCAACCATGGTAATTTAGTGTTCGGATCGAAAGGTGCTTGCCACTGCAACGTGTCGTCATCCTTGAATTCCATGCAGAACAGAGGATATGGTAAACTCGTGAAATTGTTGTTGTAGATTCCAGCGTAAAGGAAAGTTGCAGGCAATCCTATTTCTCGAATATAATTTTCAACAGTAAATTTGCAAGCCCAGTTAGGTAGTCCTGGCCACTGCGCATTGTAGATAGAATGGTCTGGCATGCTGCCATAAACATAATGTTGCACACCATGTCTTTTGGCGGCGTCTGCTAATGCCTTGCCTACCTTGACCTCATCGTATGCTGGGAAAGTGTTGATGAAGGCATACTGACATCCTTCGAATAGTCCATCAATCAGGGCCTGGTTGTCCTCGAGAGGCTCCTGGAACAATTCCACATTGTCCAAGTCTTCAAGCTCCTCGATCACAAGCGGATGTGGTTCGTAGATCTGAGCCTTCACGTGCCATCCCACTGCCTGGACGGCACGTATCACGGAAGCGGCTTGTCGTCCAGTGCCGTTGACGATAGCGATGGACTTCTGACTTGTTGTCATGTGGACTTATGGCTTCATATGTGGTAGCTTAGGGTTTTCGCGTAGGCTTGGTAAGGCTGCTCTGCTTCCGGTGTGCTTCTCAAGAACTAGCCGCCTCGGATGCTGATAGAATACTCGACAAAACACAATCACACCACGATGGATTGAATCGATCTGGCGGAGTAGAGCGAGAGACAGAGGCTATACCACCAAGTTGACGTCGGAGAGTGAAAGATAGAGTTTGATCGTATATCGGTGTCCCTGTGAACCAGGATAGCGCCAGCCACTGAGAGCGTGCTCAAGTGTTTCCGAACATATGGTTCTTATGCAGGCGGTAGACCTATACCGGAGTAGGTTGATGCGGATGTGGCCACTCCTTGGCACTTTTGGATACTGCTCAGAAAATTCCTTCACGATTACGGCCCATGGAGATGGCAACAGAGCATTGGACTGACAAAATGATGGTTGTCGGTGAGCGCAAATTCAGGGCTTTCCTTTACGTAACCAGAGCGTAATTGCAGCCGGAGGTTGAGCGCATGGAATGGTTAGTACCAGACAAAGTTTTCTGCGTTGTAATTGCTGTAATGAGTTACCACATACAGGTTGCGCCTTCCTCAGCAACTGCTATTGACCATTCAAGATACGCAACAATTGCGACATGTCACAATGGTAGCCACAGATTGGACCGAAGGTCTGACCCTTGATGGCCTTTGGCCAAGCATTGCAACTGCTGTAAGATCCAGCAACCGGTATCACGCGTCTGGACATTTTAGCGAAATGAACGTCTATGGTGCCATAGAACAGACATTGTGTGCGATGGACATCAGAGTGGTTGTGGTGCACAGCAAGAATGTTGCAGAAAGAGAACAGGATGTTGGTAATGCCGTCATTTGGAGGATTTAGTGCCATGGAATTTGAGCTTGATGCCCTGGCGATTGACTAGGCTTCTGAATTTGTCCAAAGTTGGTCCAATTGAGGAAGATTCAAGTGCAATTTAATTCCAGACGGGCTTGCGGAGCGCATTCTGATTTGGCCTGGTGTTTGAAGCCCGGGTTTACGATCGCTTCTGAGGATGTGGTCACAATTTACTCGAGTCCGATCATCTGTTACTACTAATGTACGAATAAGCCACGCCTTGCTAGTCTGCTTCCTCCCAGAATGTCACGTCAGTGTTGAGGACGTTCTGACCTTGTATCTCCGCGGAAGCCCATCATCGCAATATTTGTAGGAATTGTATTGTGGATCTTTCTACGATTTCGAATGTGTGAGGCACGCCGAGATTTAGCCCGAAAGAGGTTCAAGAAGTCCCGTTCACAGGAGGAGAGAATTCTAGTACATGACACAGAAGATATGCAGTCAGAATTTACTGGACAATTCACTCGCCTACTGTGCAGCAATCTGAGAAGACTAGCCGTAGCGTAAACAATACCCCAGATTTTCCTTCAGCACAAAGACTGATCAGCTTGTTAAGTGGAGCTCCGCACGTACAAAATCGCATACGTCGTCACTGCTACAGTCATTGCCGAAATCGAATGACGATCTTAATTCCATGATTATCTCGCCATACTGTACCTGAACAGAATGCTTCATGGTTATCAAATCCGTCATATCCGCTCTCGACCAGACCGTGTGCTTCCAGAAGAGCCGCTGAGCAGCGGCTTTTTTGGGGCCATTCCATAGATGAGCTTGAGAGAAGACCGCCCAGTAGTGGGCTAGCCCCTAGCGAGAGCAGATACAATGGTATAGAAAGCTACAGTGGCATACACAGAGAGAGAGGTCTGCGTGGCCAAATTATTGTACTCACCTGGTGTTCTGTCGATGCAATACATCCAGTCCTGCGGCAGCCCACACTTTAGGCCTTTGCCTTGCATGTAATGAAGCGGTCCCCGACTCTTCAGCATGTAAGTGGGCTCCAGCCTGCCTAAGCAAGTTGACATGACCGACGAGACCAGCATTGGCAGCCAGAAAGAGAGGTGTGCGTCCAGACCCTGTGTGGTTTCGAGCGTGCACCGACGCGCCAACGGATAGGAGGTATCTGAGAACATTGATATCAGGACCTGTAGCTGCAAGATGCAACAAGGTGTTACCAGAATAATCCGAGCGATTTAGTAAGCTGATATCTTTCTGTAGCTCGTCTTTGACTTTGTCCATGTTTCCAGAAGCAACTGCGTAGGCGACCTCGGTGAAATTTGTAACGAAGTGTGAGAGAGTGCCATCAGGATGTGAAAAAATGGTAGCGTGGTTCATGCTCATCTCACCTCGTAGCGAGATAGCCATCTCGCGTGCAACTTTCCAAGGGTTCGCTGCAGGTCTTGCTAGCAGGTAGGCAAGCTTAGTCAATGCTGCTTCGGATGTCATGTCGTTCCCAGCAACGACCCCAGCTCTTCCCAAGACCATACCTGGTGCGTATATTGCACTCACACTTCCTGTAAGGCACTGCGTCACGTTTACTATGACAATACCACGATTAATGGCTTCAGCCACGACCTTCACCAATGCATTGTCGTCGCCACTCGGCGCGTTACCTGCACCAAATGTCTCAAGCACCAAACCTCGAAGATGCTCTGTCTTTAGTACAGCCTCGACCATAGCCGGGGTAATGCCTGGAAAGATTTTCATGCACGCCACATGTGCTGTATCTAAATTCGTTTGCAGCTCCAAGGCTGCAAGCGCCGTTGGTCTTGCCAAGTGTTAGCCTCAAAACACAGTACAAAGCGACTTGGAACAGAATAATTGTCCAAAACGAGGCAGAGCATGGCTTACCTCGTGACTAGGTCCCACTTCACGTGCGTATCCATTGCCGTAATCGTGGCCAGTGGTGAGAGGTTTGGTGACGCAAAAGCCTCAAACGAGCTGGCGGATATCTTGGTTGTACGATTGCCACGGAACAACGTAGAGTTAAAGCACAGGCAGACTTCGGGTATAATGAAGTGCCCGGCTATGTCCAGAGAGTCTAGCAAATTCTCCAGAGCATCATTCTTCCGTTCCGAAAAAGGCACTTGCGAGCCAGTCAAAATAATAGGCTTTCCCAGGTTTGCAAACATAAAGCTCAGGGCAGAAGCTGTATAAGCCAGACTGTCTGTGCCGTGAAGCACAACAAAGCCATCGAAAGACGTGTAATTCCTCCAGATAGTCTTCGCAATTTGCGCCCAGCCTTTAGCATCGATCGAGGACGAGTCTAACAGCTCGTCGAACTCATAGACAGCGTACCTGATACATTTGCCATATTTGCTGATAGGCGTCCGCAATGTTGGCAATTCTGTGCTATTGCCATCTGTCATGTGGTTAGTACCATGGAGAAGAAAGAGGATTGCACAGTGTTAAGCGAGAGGATCCCAAACTTCCAAAATTTGTCATTCTGGCCTGTGGGGATAGACAGATAGCACAACATACCATCGTCTACATCGACACTGACTGGATCGACCTCGGTTCCATCGTTGAATTCAGGTCGTGGAGCCATACAACGCTCGAGGAAGCCCCGGGCGGGCACATAACCATCATCTGACCTTTGCATACATATTGTGCCTCCAGTCATGACAACCAGGACACGAGCTTCTGGTGTCCGCCCCTCGGGTGTTTGAGGCACCGAACTTGCCATATTGGCTGGTCGAGATCGAGGCCGTAGCAACAAGTTAGCGAACGGAGAACGAGGCTGTGTCACATCCTCCAGAAACGATGGCTGAAGGACAACAATGTTAGTGCTTCACGTTGTGATTGTACTACTCAAGATCGCAAACACTCAGTCAAGGAAAGCAGTAGATGCAATCTTGCAAAGACAAAATACACGATCAGACATAGACTGAACTCAGAGCGAGCCTGCTGGCATGGTGAGCCTTCTACAGAATTTTCCATAGCTGCAGTATCATCAACCAAAAAAAATCTCGAACGTTTGCGGCGAACGTGCGTGATTGGGGCATCTATAGAGGACCTGCGTTCGGTACGTGCGTGATGGGAGCGTGTTTATGTAAGAAAGCTCGGGCAATGATGATGGCTCTCGGCGATGACGGCCGCGCCAGTGATTAGATCAGTCGTGCCAGAAATACACGCTTGGCCCAGCCACTGATGATATAAGGAAAGACCCACTACAGCCCCTTGGAATCTCCTTCAGCTTGAGCTCCTGAATCATGTTTCTATCCCAGTGACGGAGCACAAGAATCAGTCCTTGCATTTCAACTCGTCGATGGAACACTGCTGCCCAGAGCACCAAGAAACCCCCAGCTTTGCCGAGCGTCCACTCAGAACGCGAGCGCATTAGGAAGCGAACGGATGTTACAGATTTCGGAAATTGAGAGCGGATGGGTGCAGCAGTCATGACAAAGAAATCGTGTCTCCTGCTTCAACGCCTGGGACACAGCTTGTCTCATATCTTGCCCTTGTGAATGCTTCTTTGCTTGATCTTCCAACTAGAGTGGACGCCGGTTCCTTTCACAGCCAGGATGATCGTGCTGGTCACGCAGCGGCTATATGCGCACCGGCTCTTGTTCCACGATATCCCATGCAATCATTTCTCGGAAGCAGGCAAACTTCAATTGCAGGAGTGGTCGCATAGAATTACGATAAGATGAGTATCGTAGCGCCTGTGTCCTGTTGTTGATATTGTCTACACCGCCGCTCACTTCGAGCTCTTCTCCGAGTGAAAAACGTAGTCCTTTGATGATCACTGAAGATCCCACTGTGGAATGCGAATGACCAACCCCTTTGCATCATCAATCAAGAAGAATCAAGTTCCTCAGAAGCATTGACTGTTTCAAGAATCACCGGGCTGCTAGACAAGACCGTGAGTGAGGAGCCACGCGGTGGAATGTGTGTTCACAGATATTGACAGAAGCAGGTGTTCAGAATTCTTCAAAATTTTCCCTGTTCACGTCTCCAAGTGACGGCGAGGTGAAAAGGTAGAGACAAGGCTGACACAGCAATTGTATCACGAAATTGCAAAGGTTAGAATGAGCAGTTGACCTCAAACGACATTTTCTAAGCCTGAAGTCCATCACCTCAGCCGTTCATTATACCAAGACGACCACACTCCTTTGAAGTCCTCATTGTCATCACTCTTTTCAACTTACTCAGATTTTCCAAACCTAAATTTGGCACCTTCACTCGAGAGAACCAAGAATCACTCCGCGTTGCACTTGCATCTACCCACTTTCGAGATTTCAGCAGTCGAACCTTCCTCCTTCTCCTCCTCTTTTTGTCACCGACGACTTTCTTTCAACTACCAGCCACCACGTTTCATCTCAATTGATCTGCGCAATACAAGTCAACCTTATTCACTCCTTCAGAACCGACCGTAGTTGACGCGCATTTCAATTCTACTACTCTTTACAGACTTCCTTTCATCGATCTGGTGCATACTCTTATTTCATTATCTTTATCTTACGAACGAGGTCTCGCAACATGTTTTGTGCGGGTAGGATGCCGAAGTCGTCAGTAAAGCGATGGGTTTTTGTGCTTTTCACTGCAGTCGCATTCACACCAGGATGCGATGCGTTCTTTCGAAACTTGATGATTGGTCAAACAGCTCAGGCCCGAATTGACCCAGTCGTCAATCCAGGCCACGCTGCGATGCACGTACACCACCTCACTGGCGGCGGAAGTAGGTATCTCTTTGACCTGTATTGATTCAAGCTAACACTCGATAGACCTGGACTTTGAGTCGACTGGCGAGAGTCTCGCTCAATCAAATTGTACCAATTCAATTGTGACCCTGGACAAGTCAGCTTACTGGGCTCCATGGATGTATTTCCAGCATGAGAACGGTACTGTTGTGCCTGTCAACTTGGCACTCGGTCTTACAGCGTAAGAAATATGTTCCCACTGGCTGAACACCAATCCACTAACACGTTCAGATATTACAAATTCGAGAAGCGCCTAAACACTGGTGGTGAGGTCGAATACAGTGTGTTCCCCAAAGGATTGAAGATGCTTAGTGGTAACACCGCTAAACGCACCTGGACTGGTCCATGGCCTCCACCAGCCGAATCCTTCTGGGGTCCTGAAGACACAACACAAGACGCACTACAAGAGAAGGCTCTCGGATTCAATTGTATGAACTATGAGCCTGGGAAGAATGAGCCAAGCTTTGCCAACCCCTACATGCGGAGCAAGAGCTTTTTGGACGCGAATTGCAAACAGGGTGTACGCGCTGAGATAATCTTCCCTTCTTGCTGGGATGGCAAAAACCTTGACTCGGATGACCACAAGAGTCACGTCGCATTCCCTTCTCTTCTTCAGGACGGAACTTGTCCAAAGACTCACCCGATCTACCTCCCTATCCTTTTCTACGAGACAATCTGGAACACACAAGAGTTTGCAGGCGTTCCAGGACAATTCGTCTTTTCCAACGGCGATCCAACAGGTTATGGATACCACGCCGATTTCATTGCAGCTTGGGACGATGGAATTCAAGAGGAGGTGCAACAGAACACACAGTGCACAAGTTTACTGTCAGATGGTCAGGTTGAATCCTGCCCAGTCTTCGCTGGCCATATCCAGACCAAGGAAGAAGCTCGTCAATGTGTGTTAAACCTTCCGGAGTCTCTCGTCGACGAACAGACGGACGGATTCTTGGATAGATTGCCTGGCAACGTCAAGATTACCGGTGTACAACATCTTCCAGGCGAACAGCTTGCTGCCGATGACGACTATGCACCAACCTCGAGCATCCCAGAATCGAGATCATCTGCTGCGGCAACCAACAGTGCTGAAACAGCTCCAGGATACTACTCTAGTGCGGTCAGTGTCACTGGGTCTGTGTCTACATCTGCTTCTGCTCCTGCCTTTACTTCTCCCTCAAGCACCACTACGCCTCCACCCAGTCAGGCTGCGAGCGACATCTCCTCAGTCACCACCACATACACCAGCGGCAAGTACGTGGTCGAAATGGTCCTTGTGGAGACAGTGGAGACAGTTACTGCAACTACGGCGCCAGTCCTTACTCAGACAGTCGTGGTCCCTGACCGACGTAAAACAGTCAGCAGAAAGGATAGGAGAAAGAGACATATTCACCATCATGTCCACAACCACGACCACTTCTGATCGCTGTCGATCAGTCGAAGACGTGGCTAGCCTTATATGTCACGACAATCTAAGCCAGCTGGGCTGGGCAAGGATATCAGAGATTGGTTAACATCCACAGGAACCGTGACTGGCACACCGACTGCATAAGAAGTGGTCTTGGACATAACAATCGCTGACGAAGTTACGACTGAACATGAACATCTTGTGCATACAAACCCAGCGTGGCCCCTGCTCTGGTCAGGCGTGGCCCGCTATGAACATACAAAAGGCGATCTCGAGCTGGATTTTTTCCTCGGATGGTTGACCACACACAACAACTTTCACTTCTCAGATACCCAATTTTCAAGAATGATATTTCCCGCTGCGTGGAGGAGATCATCTTTATATACGAACTAGATTTTGAGCTTCGAAACAATATGCATATGAAAGGGTTATTGGGAGTGATCGCACAATTTATTGTAGGCATCCTTGAATTGAAGCGGACCATTGCAGGAGGTAGCTTGTCTTCGGTGTTTGCTCACGATGCCTCCCATGCATAGCAGATACATCAATGCATATATTTTCGTCCTCTCAATCTCGTATATACGTTGAATGTAAAAAACGTGCGTGCCATTTACTTTTCACGCTCAATTTTGATTCTATGCACATCGGGAGTGCGCTCAGAACATACAGACTTGATAGACGTTGCCTGTGATGATTTCTCCAGCGCCCTGTCGAGTTTGTTCAAGCCCAGACCATCGAACGTCAATGTCGCAGACAACCGTTTGTGTCTTCTCCAGGCATCTAAACAATTCAGGAGCCCATCAGTCGCATTTCTGTCCATTAAAGGAGCAGCAGATCTCGAATTTTTGACAGCGCCCAGGTTTTAGTCTTAGGCCTTGTTCCAGCTTGGAGAACAGTAGCCTGTAAGAACCGTAGAGCCTCATGGGCCAGGACATGCTGTACTTAACATCCAGCAGAACTATTGATAGCGCTCCCACGGAACGCGAATGAACATCTCAGCCATTCCCATCATTCCCCTCGCCAACCACCTCAACATCATCCGCAGGCCTGTAACTCTTTGCCATCAAGCTCGTCACAAACCCATACGGGTTGAGCAATTCTCTCTCATCGTTGACAAGCCCCAGGTGCATGATGCGCTTCGCGAGAAGTGTTTCCGGCCCCACGAGGAAGTTGTCCAGCTTGGGTATTGAGGCAAGGACTCCCTCAGTCAGCTGGTCAAGTCTGATGTCCAAGCTCTTCATGGTGCGGACCTCGTCTGCTCGGCCTTCGATCGCCGTGCGTACGTCTTCTTTGTCTCTGCGCGATAGTCGCGATGGTAATAGGGATGGTTTTGCAGATGGTGATGGTTGTTTTCTCTTGTCTTTCTTGGACGATCCGGAACCCATGGCCATCGCCATGATGGGATCAGTCTGCGTCTGGTAGAAGTCCGGAAAGGCGAGGCCGTTGATCCTGACTGCTTCGGTGACTAGTTCCGAGTAGCCCTTGACCACGCCGATTCGTTTGCCATAGCTTCCTTGCATTTCATCTATTTTGCTTAGCTCCTGGAGACCACCGAGGAGAATTAGTTGGGACATGTGCTCTTCTGGTGGTGGGCCGTAGTTCCACCCTTTGAGTTTGCGTTCGAAGATCGATATGGAAGAAGGTGAGCGCGTTGCTGTTCTGAAATGTTGAATGAGGAGCTGCATGATTTGGTAGATTGCTACGAGTTGGTTTTCGGGATAGGTGGAGATGGTAGCTTTAACTGTGCCCATGCAAGCTGGACACTGGTCGATTTTGAGTCGCGGGGAGAGGTGATCAGGATGCGAGAATACTATCAGGTGTCTGATTGTCTCGAAGAAATGCTGTATACACACAAGGGGCTGGAAGAGTCTCGTAGTCAATCCTTGCTTGTATGGTGCAAACTGTTCACTCGGAAGATTCCTGGTCAAACGCAGCATATAGCTCCTGAACTGTATGAAAGCAAGGACAATTTTGAGCTGTCTGGCAACCAGCGACTGCCTGCGTAAGCATCTTAGGAGGTAGGAATCGGTCGAAGCTGAGCAGAAGAGTGAAGGATAAAGCTCTATCAGCACATACGGAGAACACTGATCGTTCGATTCTTGCGGCGTGGGAAGCAATGCATTTCGTGCTATTGTCGCAGCATTAGCTTGGAAGATGGCATGGCTCGCTTTCGACGTCGATCGGAGAGAGAGTAGTTCGCTTGTATCGAGGTAGGCAAGTATCGCAGTCTGGATCTCAGCTGGTAGGTCGAAGAAGCGTTGGCCCAAAGTCCAGTCGCTAGCACATTGTCAGACCGGCGATAGACGCAGACTCTCCTCTCAAACATACCCTGACCTGCGCTTTTCCGCGATTCTAGGTAATATCCTCTCGCTCGTGCTCGACCTGCTCTTCGTAGACTTCTTTAATCTTGAAGAGAATGAGCTGAGGCTAGAGCGCCGGCGACCACTGTCCGAGATCGAAGGTCTAGAGGAATTGGTCTTGGATTCGTTCGTGGTGCTAGAAGCAGAGCTATGGCTACCACTCGCTCGCTTCAAAGTCAGTCTTTTCATGGATTCCGTGAGAAGGTTCGGTGACGGTGGCTCAAAGACCCCAAAGCTTTCACCAGGAGCCATGGTCGAGGATTTCTGCACGACGCGCGCATGCTGAACAGCAGAAGCAAACATGAAGGATCGAGAACCTCGTACTGTGACATTGACAAGAAAGATACCCTTGAGACATCCTCGCTTGAGCGCTACAGTCGCGGGTCTTGGACGGCCGTGCCAGTGTGCTGGATCGCTCAACCTCGACGAATGACCAACGGAAAATTGCCCTGCTGGGAATCGCTCGGGCGCGCCATGTCTAATAAGCTCTGTCAAGCTTCAGCTAAGAGCCTGGTGCAGGCTATTTCTAGGGTCTCTGCTGCTGGATTTCTTATCTGTGGCGCACGATAACCGGACAATTCCGGCTGATAGGTACATGCACACAGATGAAGCAACGGGACAAGCAGGAGCTTTCTCCTAGGTGAGAGTTGAATGGCATGACGATAGACGACTACTGGGTTGACAACTGTGTTTAGGTAAGCTATAGTGTTGTACTGGACCGGTCACAAATCTCAGACCTGCAACGACTGTTTAAGTGGGAGGCCTCGTTGCTCAGAGAACGGAACTTTTCCGAAGGAAGCTCGAGCTGGCAGCGCGTCCCATACACGGTCGCGTTTGGCGTGGCCTGCTTCGGGCTGCTTGCATACCACAGAAAATGACGTGCTTGATCCCTAGAGGCACAACCTCATTGTATGATGTCTAGTATTTCGATCGAGAAGGAACGGTCTTCATCTGATCCATAATATCTCCTTGCAGGCCGAGCACGCTGTAGATCCACTTCACGATGAGAAAGAAGCTGTCCGGCTCGCCCATGTGCTTCTTGCCCTTTACCATTCTTGCTTCTTTGGGCATACCATTCTCCAACGCCACAAATAAATCATCAACCGGAAAGATCTCATCATCATTGCCGTTGACGAGCAGCATCCTGGTGCAAGGCTTGGCTAGTGTTCCGTCGTTTAGCAACGAGTATTTCGCTCCGTCCTTGATGAAGTCTTCGAGCGAACTGTAGCCAAACTTGTACGTTAGGGTACCAGCGAGGTCGAACGGATACTCGAGCTTGTTCACGTTCTCCAGCCACTCTCGATCGAACATGTGATGTGCGCCACCTCCCACACTGACACAAGCCAGGAGACGGTCTTTCTCGGTGTGTGCGACTCGAAGAGCATAATAGCCACCTGTCGAGAACCCCCAGACAACGACTTTCTTCGCATCCAGCTCTTTCTGTTGCCCTACCCAGTCGAGTACACTCTTCCACTGTCGGTCTGGAGATGTGGGGTCTTGTCGGAGCGCAGGCGAGTCGCCTGTGCCAGGAATCTCGTGGATAAGAGTTGCGACTCCTTTTTGTGCCCATCCTTTGCTCCATACTGCCAATTCGGTTCGATAGCCGTCGAGGCCGGTTATGATTAGGACAAGTGGAACCGGATTAGAGGCAGATGCATTTGGAGGCAAGCAGTAAGAGCCAGGAACACTATCTCCCTCGCCTTCGATTTTGTGCACGTGCGGCACGAAGACTTCCTTGACTGGATTTTCTAGCATGCTGGATGTATCGTTAGCATTGCAGTCCCGGAGAGGGCTCCTTGTTGCCTACCCAGCTCCCTTGTAGAAAACCTTCTTGCCCTCTGTCCATGCATGACGCTGTCTGTCCGAGCGAAAGGTAGGGAATCTGGCAATACGATAAACGGCGGAAGATCGTCTAGAGCTTGTTAGTGATTGCGATGTTTTGCCAGACGTATGTCTTGACTCACAGGTAATATTCACTAGCCTTCTCTTTCTCACCTGCCTTCTCAGCTTCCTCAGCAATTTTGGCAATCTTCTCAGCTTGTGGTATGAACACATCAGCATATGCATCCCAGTCGTATGGCTCTTTCATGTCCTTCTCGACAAGCTGTTCAACAACAGGCTCGAAATCCCTGACATCGCCGAACATGAATGGATAAACGCCCATCTTGGCTGGGGCCTGCCATTTGGTCTCCCATAATGCCTTGAACGATTCGTGATGCTTAGCTGGCTTCAAGATGGCATCCTTGATGTAGTATTTGTTTTCAGCCATATTAGCAAGCACTAGTGTTGCTGTAGAGAATCAAACGTCGGTTTCAGTCAGCAGCAATATAGTAACTCCCACGCAATAAGCAATAGCAGAAGAAATGCGGTGAATTGTAAACAAATCGATCCTGACAGCCCACCTCCAACGGTTGAGATTTAGATCGTGTTTTTACTCATGTCTCCAAGTCACGTAACGTCGCACTTTGACATCATGCACAATTCGGTAGGCTTGAAGTCCTCCGAACAGCTATTCTTGCATAGCATTCGGGAATCAGATGTCCTCCAAAATAGTGGATGTATCGGGAAAAGAACTGCTTGCTGAGAGTTGCCGAAGCTTGAAATTGTGGAGGACGTATTGGAATGAATTGGTAGCTGCAAGGAGGTTGAAGTGGTCATTACATCCTTCGATGTTCGAATCAGAGTCTGCCAAGCAGGACTTCCGAACTCGACACAAAAGTTTCGAGGCTCTACACAACGATTACGAGTAAAGTCGTGACGATGTTACAACCTGATACGGTAACGTGGACGAAATCAGCTAGGCGGACACTAATGCTTGGCGTCGGCGGTGCTCGAATTAGCATCAAATGTACGATGTACGAGCGATGATTGTGTATCTGGTATACTGGAGCACTTTCGCATGCAGCCAGACAAACGCGTAGAACATAAGTCATTCGTTGATCCCCTTGGCCGTTGTCCCAGATATGTTCAGACTGTCGAAAGGCAGGACTGTATCATTGCACCAATCCCTCCTCCATCGCCTTGATCTGCAATGCAAGCAACCTCGAATAATACCTGCACAACGCGAAATTTCCACCCATGAACCAGAATCCAGGATGACCTGATGGCCGCCAGATAGTTCTCATCTCGCCCTCGTCGTCAAAGCCCCATATATCTCCAACCTGGTCGGCGAGCTCGTCTCCAAAGATAGTTCGTGCTTCAGATCGCATGTTCTGGTATCCGGTCGCAAAGATGATCTCGTCAGCTTCCAGCTCAGAGCCGTCTGCAAATTTGAGTCCTTTCTCGGTGACCTCTTCGATTTCTACTCCTTGTTTGATTTTGATCTTGCCGTCGATGATGAGCTGTGAGGCGCCGACGTCGATGTAGTAGCCTCCGCCTCGTTGGAAGTATTTCTGTCATATAGTGTTAGCTAAGTCTTTGACGAAATGTCGCAGTATGAGCTGATAAATAGCATGGCAGAAGCTGCATGTAAGAGATAGCACTTACCAAAAAGAGGCCAGCAGCATCGGGCCCTTTGTCAAGTTTGAAGCCAGCTTTCTCCAATCCGGATAAGACCTCCTTGTCGTGTTCACCTTGGAGTTCTGTAACACCTACTTGGATAGCCTTGAGTACAGCAGAAGGTGTACCGAACAGCCAGACGTCGGCGTCCTCAGTAGGAGGGCCATCATCGTCATACAATCCCTTCAGAGCAATATTTGTAATCGCTTTCGAAGATACCACACAGGTACTTGTTCGCTGAACCATAGTGATATCGTACCCGTTTTCATACTGCAGGAAGTCAGCCAGATCTCTAAGCTACTCTGGCTCGGGTCAATACTCACAAAAGTTTGACATAGGTCATGTCCAGAATTACACGATCCTACCACAATCGCCTTCTTGCTCTTTGCATTCTGATCGACGCCAGGAAATTCCGACGAGTGACACAATCTTCGGCCTTTGAAAGTATCCATACCCTTAATATCTGGAAAGTTCATCTTCCCAGAATGGCCTGTTGCTTGAATGACATGGCGAGGGTGAAAAGTTCGCTCCTCTTTCGAACCATCCGGCTTCGTGCGGTCAATAACCACGGTCCATTGCTTTTTCTCCTTGTCCCACGAGCTCGACTTAATCTTGGAGCTGTTCCAGATATTAAGTTCAAGGGCTTGAGCGTACAACTCAAACCATCCGGCTAGTTTGTCCTTTGGTGTAAATGTTGGCCAAAAAGGTGGGAACTCAATCAATGGCATGTTATCGAATTTGACTGGATCGTGGAGGACCAGTGACTTATATCTGTTGCGCCAGTTATCGCCGACTCGAGGAAGCTTGTCGATGATTAGTGTGTCTACGCCGAGCACTTTCAGGCGGGCAGCAGCAGTCATTCCTCCCTGGCCAGCTCCTATTAAGAAGTCAGTACGGTATAGTCTAGAAATCTGAAACATGTTTCACCCACCAACAATCAACACAGCCGGCTCTTTGCCATTCTCATAATTCAAGTCCTTGTTCCTTCTATCCAACCAATTCTCCCTATTCTTGTTCTCACCATGTGCCACACCCTCAGGTCGATTGTGGTAAGTGGTTTCCTTAATGTCCTTGAGCTCCTTCAATGTCGTGAACAACGAGAAGATCTTCCACATGCCAGCTGTCTCCTCAAGAATTCTACACAATCCATTCCCGATACCCTTCTCAGCCTCGAAATCCACAAAGAACTCGACGCCGTTGATGTTTCCAGCTCCATCTAGAGCTCCATAGTGCGGTGCTCGAAAGGCAGTGCTGCGGTTGATTGTTAACTTCTTCAAGCCCTTGGTTTCTGCGCCGAGAAAGTCAGACATCTTCTCCTTTCCTTTCAATGTGTGGAAGTTCCATGATAGTCCTAGATGATCGCGCCAGTAGCAGTCTTCTAAGAAGAGGTCAAGAATGGCTTGGGTATCTTGGCTGGACAAGGCTGCATTGAACTTGTCAATCAAGGTTTGTGCGATATTGTCCACATCTTCTGGCTTTTCTTTTGTGGCTTTCGGGAAGGTAGCAAGAGCGAGATTCACAGAGCCAGGTTCGCTTCGGTTGAAGTGAGGGACAACAGGTGTGGCAGTTCCGACTTTGGCGGTTGCCATGTTTGCGTGCTTTCGCTCTGCAGCTCCGTTATAGTCAGTATGGGTAGTATGGGTAGTCTGGGCAGAGTCTGTTCACTGCAAGAAGTTTTGGATTAGGAAGAATGAAAGATCACTTGGTAAAGGCTATGTTCTGAGGCTGCTACTTGGATACATATAGCTGTTATTCTCGAATGCTCAAGCTTGGGGTCTTATCGGGACCAACCAACAAACAGTATTCAGGCCGGAGAGATGGAGGTATGGAGTCCCACATGATAGCTGAATTGCTGTCAGCCAAGCTCAGCAACATGGATTTATATCGGCGACAGGAGAGGTTCCCGCCATGATGTCGAGGATGGAGGGGCTCTCCGCATAATGTGGAGTGGGAAGGAGATTGCACCTATCGACAGCTATCAGTGGTTAGCAAAGCATCAAAGTGCGAGCATACACGCCACATGTAAGCTGACTTCGTGTTCGAAGGAGTGTGTTGTGACATTACTCGAGTAACAAGCGAATGGTGTTGTCAAGCTTAGCGGATTAAGCGAGCACGCAGATGTGCTTCGCGAAACAACGCGAGCCGTTGCCAATGAAATCGATCTTCTCCAGCAAGTACGTACAGTATGCTCATTTCGCGATTGTTTTTCCTGGCCTGCGATCGTGAATCGGCCAAACCTTGATGGGAAAAGAATGACCATGGTCTCGAGACCGCTTTAATATTAGTGAGATCAGTTCTCGGACGGCGACGCGTCTCAGTCGGCAAAAGTATCGGCGGGCAAGCACTACCCGCAAGCCTACCCGAATAAGTCGTCTGAGCTTTCGAGGCTTGTCTGAGTGAAGGCGATGTATACATGTCTGCGCAATGACGTTTTCGTATGCCAATCGAGATCTAGTTAACTCAAGGTTCGCATTAATTACACTTCTCGCCAGATAGAATATGGGCCTGCCTATAGATCAACAAAAGTTAGGAAGGAGCAACCCGAGTATAGATAGCAAGTCATGGTTTTCAGCTTCCTCACCTGGTGAAATCTAGTCAACATATGCATTCGCTAAAGTATGTATGTATAGAGTATGAAATGGTCGTTTCATCACGCCTGCAACCTCGTCGGACTCGATCTCGTTGTCCATACATGTCTCGCAGCAGGGCCGCCTCTACCTAGCCTGTAGACCATCGGAGGCATGGCACCATCACGTATCGATTCTCCTTTCCGTAACGACTTCTGGTGCATCCTAGCTCTTTTCGTGAACGTGTGATCGGGTCCAAAAGATGCTGCACAGATCTCGACGACGTGGCCTATGGATTCTAGAGCTTCGTCGCGCTGTCCGATGGTGTTGGAGATCTCAGCCAGAGCACGTAGGCATCTAACCTGGATCTCTCGTTCTTCGTGCCACGATATTCCTCTCGAACTCTCCAGTGCCATTTTTAGAGCTTGAAGCGACGCCTTGTAATCTCCGCTGTAGAAATAGGCTTCTGAAGTTGCTCGTAGTGCATAGCAGACTTCGTAGCAATTCTGACTCTTCGTAAGGGCTGAGGCGTCAGCTAGTTGTTGGAACCTGACTGCAGCTTCCAGGTAGTGCTTTTTGTTCAGAAGTCCGGTAGCGAATGTCTGCAAGAGAGCAATAGTCTCTGTGTTGAAATAACCGATACTGTCCTGGAAGAAGTCTAGCAGTTTTCGCATCGTCGCTAACGCAATGCAAGGCCTTGATACATCCGGCGGAGCATTCAGCAACCACGATGAAATCAAGTAGATTGGGTTGGTAGTATTTTGAAAGACAAGTTCACTAAATTGCGTGAGCTGTTCCAGTAAAAGCAGTAAAGGTTCCTCGTAGCCAGTTCCGTCGTAGCGGATCACCAGGTCGAATATATAGAGAAGAAAGCCAACATGACCTTCGCTCAGCAACTGCTCGATCATGCGAAATGCTTTATGGAAGTTCTCAAATGCTGTACGCCGTTGGTCATTCCACAAAAACGAATACCCATGGTACATCAGGTAGTAGAACTGGTCAGATGGTGACTCGTCGGAAGTTGTCGACCACGATGGTGCTATGCTGCTTGATACATTGATTTCGCGCTTGTGGAATATATCGCGGTAATGTGCTTGCGCCTGAGCATAGATTGCTTCGAAGTATCGACTCGACTCCGGACCTGATGGTCTCTCACTTGATATTGTTGTCTCGACAGCAATGGTTCGGAAGTGAGGCAACGGCTCAAGTTCGCACCAGCCAAATCTTTCGCACATTTGACGCAAACGGGGGGTTGCTAGGTCAGCTGATTTGAGGCGCTCCTGCTGTTCGGGATTGACAGAGACAACTTCTATCACAGGACTTATGGGCCGGTCGTACTCAGGGTCAGAAAAAGGATTTTGTATCTCCAGGTTATCTGCCTTCGACGATAAGGGTGTGTGGACGTCGTCGTCCTCAGGTGAAGACTGTTCCCTTTCAGCACGGCCATCGCATTGAGTTTCAAGCAGACTAGCTGGATTTTTGATGCCTTTTCGGTTGAAGTAATGGAGAGCATCTGCTAGAGTGACTTGCTTCCCACGTACTAAGAAGACCTTGTCTTTGTCGGAACCATTTTGCGCAAGACCTTGACGGACCAGATCGAGCATCTCGTGCTCCTTCTTCTTTTTGTCGAGACCCCAAGCGTGTAAGCGACTTTTGTACATTCGTTCTCTGTGATTGTCTTAGATGCCAAATTCATAGAGGAATAGTGTCGCGATACTTACGTAGGAGCAAAGCCGTGTTGGTTTTTTAGCTGTTCTTGAACTTCTCTCAATGTCCGACCCTCCTCCGAATATAACCGAGTGATCAGTGGCCGATGCGTTTTCCATTCGTCACCACTGTACGAATTGGAAGAACGTTTGGTGATTCTGGCTCTGTTGGCAATCACAGTGGCCATGGTCGAAGTTTACTTGAGGCGTGAACCGAACACGAGGTCATCCTCCAAAGGCAAGGCCGGACGGCAGTCGCACGTCGGCTGCTAGTCGCAGGATGGTGTAGCACAACTTGAAAGGTTGACAATAATGTACTTTTGTAACTCCGAAATTAACGAGCTCCGTCCTTCTGTCGCAAGCGAATTGTCTTGCGACCGCAGGGTTCGAACGTCCGTAATATGAGCCGGTCCTGTGTCGCTAGGTTGTCGCTGAAGGATTGGTTTACGCGACGCCTGCTACAGTGGGCAAGAGTTGAAAAACAACCAGAGTCGCTGCCGAGGAAATTGGCAGGAAACTACGAGTAACCAGTGGAGTTTGGTGAGGCAGTGTATGGAGGCACGGTTACTAACAGCAGCAGACGGGCTGAGCAGGTTTGTGTGACAGAGTGTGGTCGAATGATACAAGTCAGTGAGGGGAGCGTAGATGTTCGGACTCGGTAAGCAATGATAGTGAAGGATCCTTTCAGTGTTTTGTAGCGAGCCAAATATTCCGTAAGGGCGGCCGGTAGTTGCAAAATCGGCAACAGTAGAGGGCTCCTAGAAGTTTATGTAGATTGGTCACATTTCGTGGGTAAGTTCGTCGAGACGAAGAGATCCACGCTACGCTGGGGGCAAGGCATTCCAAAGAACATCCCGTATTATTGGACGTCACTGCTAGTGGATGCGGCGGTCTGTAATTATCGAGCTTGTGGAGATCTATAAACGTTGAAACTCGATGCGACCAGAAAGACCGTCGTGAACGAATCAGCGAACTTCGAGTTGAGGGCCCTAGCATGAATGGACCTCCACACGAGCCTAGTGTGGGCAGACTAACATGGGCAAAAGAACCTACTACATTTGTTCATATTACGAATCTTTTGTCAATACTCCGGCATTCGATTCGGTCCTTCCTACTACAGCAGCGTGAGCGACACGATCTAGGTCATACTTCCGGCGTCAGAGACCCAGAAAGACTGGGAAGAGTTCGTCGTTGGCGCTGTGGTGGAAGATGTCCCTACTCTCGATTGTGAGGATCCGATCTCACAGAACTAGCACGGCGGCGATGCGAAAGGACTGCTCATCAAACATTGAGTGAGATGGTTCATAGCTCGGAAAGCCAAAAGGTAAGAACGGCTGATGGGGGCACCATCATCCGGTGTCCGTTATACCGGGATCCATTACATTCTTTTCAATTTGCCCCTGATTTCAGGTCATGTCGAAAGAATTTGTCGAGTGGTGCAGGACTTTCGACCTCGGTTCAAGGAGTCTGAACCTTGTTCTGCGCAGATGACATGCACTGTGGGCACCAGTATGAATACAAAGGCGCCTCAGCCAGCCACTGGACCTGCCCAGACCTCCACACGAATACTCAAGTACATTTTACATCAGATGAGACACGCAGTCACGTTCCGTGAACATGGTCCAGACACAACTAGCTTGTTCCCAGAAACGCCTTTTACGCTCTGAATTCTGTGTGTAGAGTATGTGCCAGGGGAGCTGCAATCAGATCAAATGTTTAACCTCGTTAAGCCAGTGTGCTTACCCCTTCTGCTCACTACCAGGGGAGTCCCTCCTTCCGCTCGGGTAGGTCAATAATCAGTAAAAGGAAAGGACATGGCAACGAACTCAGAGAAGAAGACATGGATTTGGGGTATGTTGCAGAGTCGTGGTAGGCATAATATACAAGTCGGCTAACTAGATCAGTCACAGCTGATCAGTCTTCGATGATTTCCGCTATATTTGCGCCTGTCAGTTCTTGCCCAATGTGAATAAGGTAGGCATGGTTCTTTTGCATAGTCACTCACCTACGACACCCATACATCCATCTGCGTAGTTGTGCCACTCGATCCGTCCGGCCTCATGCATGACCGGGTGTGCATAAGGTGCCTTGTCCGGGCCGAGCAAGTTGTATAAACGATTCTGTATGAGAACCGACGTCAATGGCTGCATGACCACGCTGATTTGTTCTCCTCTATAGGAGCACTTCAAGGAAGGCATGACCTACCAAGAGCTGCCACAATTTCTTATTGACCGTTTTGTCAAGAAGCATGGTCTTGGGGTCAAAGTACGATGTAACATCACCTTGCTCAGCAAGACCCAATCGTCTGGCTTGGTGGCTGAGGTTCGTCCATTGAGTCTGACACCATGCTTTCTTTACAGGATCCTTGATCTTCACAGCTGTAGAAGCAATGGACGTCGCGTCATCGTTGTCGAAAAAGGATGACATTCTGACTTCCCTTACAGTCGCAGTGTCAGAGTCTAACGATTGCGAATCGTCGAAGTCGTAGCGGAGATTAGGCAGTCCTTTTGGTAGACGCCCGAAAGTGTAGCTGAATGACTGCAAGTGAGTTCTCCTAGAGCCGAAATTAATAATGAGATGTTTATTCGTGCGCAGCTCCTATCGGTTTCTCTTTCGGTCTGGTGGAGCCACGGTCGTGATTCTGCTCCCCAACTAGTGGTCTTCGAGAAGCTCCAAGCGCAAACATTGTCTCCAGCTGAAAGACCCAGCAGCATGGTTCTTGGAACTTGAACACTGCAAGCCTCACCATTCTTCACTGCAACAACAGAGAGACTCCGTTATTTGCTCCTTTTCTGTCGTACGGCATGACTACAAAGAACATGAACATGGCACGAGCAACAGTGTCTTCGTTCACACTGTTCGTTTTCCGAGTTCGAAGCCAACAGCTCAAAGCTGTGTGTCCAGCCTAAGATCTCACCAGGAAAGAGCTCCGAGAGCACCCAGATGTGTAGGTTTTACCAAGACCTACTACTGTTAGTATGCAACCCGAAATCCTGGACGCCGATACGGCGCGTGCCTCATCCCCTTACCTCATACGCCGACACTGCTTGTATAGGATGCGCGCGCAATCGTTTCAAACAATAGTGTAGAATAACGTTTTGACATGTGGTAGGAGTGCCACTGGATGCTGATGAGTGACAGTCATGCTCAAACTAGAATTACGTAGGCCCAGACGACATCAGCTAGCTCGATCTTGTGACTACTGACACAAGCTGACGAGCAGCGAGATTTGAAGCACAAAGCTTTGCTTGTACTTTCGTGAAGTATACTGCCATTCTTGTGCTTCTACCACAACCTACACGAGATCATGCACTCTGTAGTGAACCGTTGCACCACCAATCTCTACTACAAAAATGCCAAACCTCACGACACACTGGGCTCCATCCCCCCAAGTCCAACTAATAGACAATTCTTATCCATCATTCATCCTTGCCATAGGCGCCAGCCTCCTCGAAGCCATCAAGATTAATACGCTGTCCCTTCATGGCCTTGTACTTAGGCGTAGGCGTAGGCGTAGCCACAGGCGGAAGCGAAGGCGAGTCTGCCCGCTTCACAATCGGCATCCCATCCTTATCATAATTCACGCCTGCCGTCGGTGTAAGTAAAGTGGCAGTGACATCGTGAAACCAGCCAGTAGGAATATCATCATAGACAGCCTGAGGGTGTGCCAGAACTGCTCCAAAGACTGGAAGCAAAGCAAGAATGACCTTGAAGGCTACCATTTTGTATTTTCGATGGTTGGGGAGTCGGTGGCGGTGCTAGAAGGGTTACTGCTAAGTCTTTGCTTGCCGTTATGTCGGTGGGTGTATTTGTGGAGTCGACTGGGGATGAGTCTGTCGTGTAGGCGATCAATGTAGTGCTTGGAGGGATTGAGAAATATTTTCTTGATAGAAACGTATTTGCGAGACATGGGGTGCTTACAAGATATATAAGCACTGCTTAGGGTGACAGGAAACACAAGAGATAAGATGACAAGACCTGGTGAATGACTGGGCAGCTCATTGGGCGAAATCCAATGCTTTGTGTGTGAGAGATCCTACTTTCAGACGGAGCCAAACGCAATACCGCGAACGGCAGATGAACAAAGGAACATCGAGGCAACGCGACTCCTTCCGATCGGGAATCATGTAGACCATTCAGAATGCCTTTGTTTGTGCCATTGTCAGTGCTTCAGCACAGACCTTGCTGATGAAACGTATTGCCAAACAGGTAGAAGCAACCGGCCTTATATTGAAGATATCTTAACATGGATCATCAAACCTATACAATCCGTCACATGAGCTCTTGACTAAATCCTGTCTTCCTTTGACACCAACGCCAGGACTCCACTGCTTTCAAAAGTATGATTTCGTGTTCGTCGCTGTCATCTTCCTGCGTCACGTCCCGTCGTGGTCGCTGTGGGGGCCACATCATTGTTCCATGATAGATAGGTGTGGTCACCGAGTTTCCTGTGACTGTCAGTAAGCTTGTTGAAACGTGAATTGCCACATACCTGGGCTTGATTAGATGCGCAACTGTGAAAAAGGCTCCAAGTACGATGCAGAGACCACCCACCACGAGGTAGGCAATCCCCAAAAAGTCATTCTTGCCTCCCATGACTGTCCGAGTTGATATTAGGAGGCTCTTGGTGCCACCGTAAGCTTTGACGTTGAAGACTGCGAGTATCAGCTCCGAACGACGGCCATTGTGCTGACGACTTACAATCACCAATAACAATCTCATATGTTCCTGCACGCATGGTTTGGTTGTCATTTCTTCTCGCCAGTTTACTGAATGTGGGTAGACCAGCTGTCCTCATCCAGACGGCAAACTCCTCGTATTCGTGAAGATTGGGGATAGGGTACGTTTCATTGTAGCCGCTTGGAAAACGTAGTTGCCAATTTGGTGGAGGCAGCACGTCGGAATTGTTGTATGCTGTCTGCTGATAGAGCTCAAGATCGCTGGCCCAAGCGATTCCTCGTCTTGTCATAGAGTACTCTTCAGGAGTTGATCCATTCGACGTGCTCACACTTCTTGGACTTCCAATAGTGTCATTGAATATAGAATTCGCGATCAAACCACATGGATAATATGCGACACCAGTAGTGTCATTGGTCGTGAGTGGGTTGCACACACTGTTGGCGATGGTCTCATTGGAGAGAAACTGACCTCTGAGTTGGTCCAGATCCAGAGATTTCACGTATCGCCTGTGGTTCTGGTAGAAATTTGTCAAGCGATAATAAAGGTATACGGGCGCACCGAAATCTTTTGGAAGAGTGTATTCGATTGTGCAGGTGCGAGTGTCTGGCTGCGGAGCACCGAAGTGGGGAGTTATAGTCGTGAGATTGTGCCTCCATCGAGGGACACTGACGTTCGAGGACTTGAAGGACGAGGATATATATTGACTTGGTATGTTGGCGAACTCGGTTCCGGCGTCGGTAGCTGACGTGCACTCCGTATAGTCAATCACCAACTCTTGCACCTGACTTCTGGTCAGCACTGTTTCAATTCCCACAGTCTTGTCCTTCGTACCGTATTGCTGGCCCATAATAGTAGCCCTCCTATGGGCGCGAATATAATGCCAACTGCGAAGAAAATGGGAAGGACAGTCTTTGGAGTGAGGATTGGCCTGTCCCAGGTCAACTCGGTTCGGTTTCTGCATGTAACGAACGACTCACTGCCATGCTTTCAATCTCTGTTGGCGAAAGGCATTGTCTACACCATATCAGCGGTTGTCCCGGAGCCTGCGAGGGCGACAGACTTGCAGGTCTCCGACTCTTCTGTTTCTTTTGTGTTTCGTTATGTGGGTTTTCCTCCTGTATCGAATCGGTATGGGTCATAGTCTGCGACATCTTGAACGATCTCTCCGATTGTGCGCCGTAGAAGGAACACGTAACAGCGTAGGAAGAAGTCACAGAGGCCTGGAGGAACGCTCGGTCAGCGCATGCATACCAGACCCACATAGCCCTGAGGCGGAGTCTCTGGATGAGCTGAAGCCCGGAGTCGTCAGACCTGCCTGATATCGTCCTCCGCGATAATGCTCATAAACATTTTTCTTGACGATTGATGGACTGGACTTTCTTCTCTCTATAACAAACTCATTCACGGGCACGGTTTATTGTAGGAGGTGGGGCTGTCATTCGACACCATCTCTTTCTCCTCTACTATGTGTTCCAAGACCGACTGCGCCGTAGCTGGAGCAACTAGAACATTTGCAAGACAAATGCTCGATGATGAACCTGTTCCTTACCGACGGACGCAACAATTTTCGATTAATGTGCACAAAATAGACGTACTTTTGCTGTGCGGACAAGCGAGACTCAATCTGTACTCTTACAGTAGGCACAGCTGTATATGACTGATCTAGGTTGTTTTCTAAGTTTCTCATTCATCTATGCTCATGTGCATCGTATCATCGCGCCCAACGCCTTCGCTATTTACACATCTTGATTTTACATAGCCTTTTCATTGCTTTGTCGGACGATCCCCAGGCTCCCATGTACTCTCCTGTCTAGTGCCAGGTGGCAACCATTGACGCCCTGGACTCAACTCTCGAGCTCTGCCTGTATCATCATCTTTCTTGATGTGAGGTCCGGGAAAGCTGAATTTTTCGTTCATACCTGGTACAAGTGGAGGCTGTACCGGCCGCCCATTTGCAGCTTGTTTTTCAGTCAGTTCTGTTACTGGTAAAAGTGCTGCCTTGTGCCGGAAATGATCTGCCTTCGCCCTGCGCTCTGTTGCGTCTTCGGAACTGGTACGGTCGTACAGATAGAGGCCAAAGCATGTGAGAGCGATGCCAACCATCTGAAGTCTGGTTGTTGAGCTTCTGAACCAAATCACGGCTATTACTATGACCCACACCCTTTTGATCAATGACGCCACTGAATATGACACAGGCGACATCATGGAGAGTAAAATGAATGCCATAATGTTCTGCGCAAAATGAAAGACTCCATTAAACACAAACTCCATCACTAAAGGACCGTGGTCGAGTGCTCCTTGCTTGCTGAGCAGCTTGACATCGCCATCGCTCCAATAATCGCGCCAGATACCCCAGCCTTCAGTATAAAGCCAGAAGGGCGCACTGAACATGAATGCCCCGAGTGAGCAATAGCACAACAAGTTCAACTTGTCGAGCTTCTTCCCATGCTGGGTATTGCCTTCCACTGCAGCACGATCGGATTGAGTAAACAACTTCTTGGAATAGATGTTCTGTGTCACGAAAACAATAGCCGCCACGAATGAAGCTGCAATACCCAGGAAGTTCGTGGAGAAGTCTGTCGAGCATGCCAACATTACGCCAAATGTGAGTGGCACTAAGGACAGATATGTTGCCCGGGCATACCTCATCCGGAAGATAAGCCGGTATGCACCCACTGTGAACAACGGAGACAGACCTTTGATGGTATGCACCAGTGATACAGGAATTTTCGAGGTGGCATACGAACTCAGAAGATGGCCCAGCAGCTGGAAGATGGATAATGGCAGAGCTGTGGACAGAACCTCCCAGGATGGCTTGCGTAGTCCATTCTTGAGCGCTGGTATCGCAGATTTCAAGGGCGGAAAAACAGATGACAGCCAGGCTAGTAGCAAACACCAAAGCGAGACCGAAGCAAATTGTACGACCGTGAGCGTGACGGGTTGAGGGAATGTATTGAGGATTGACTTGGAGGACGTATTCGTGAGGGCGGAGGTCATATACCAAGTAATGCAGAGGCCCTAAGAGATGTTAGCAGGTATTCAAACTAGATGGCACCCATCTTACAATTAGTTTCCACGACACAGGAGCCTTGAGGGCCTCAGCAAGCTCCTGCGCATTTTCGCTCACACTACCCTGTCGATTCCGGAATCTGGCCAGGGCATCACTCACACTGCGCCTAGGCCTGTGTGTGTGCGGACCTGGTCTTATAGTTGGCAGTCTGTTACTCGCGCGCCGACTTGGCCATTTGTACTCGGCGGACCTCGCTTCTACTGGACTTTCCGCGACTGCAGGTAGACCAAAGGCTGGGGCCGCTGAGTAATCGAAAGACGGAAAGCGCTCCTTCTCGGATGAGTCCCTAACTCCCGTATGAGGCGATAGCGTCCGCTGTGATACGCTCTGGCTATCAGGAGGTTGGCTCATGATAGCGGTCGTAGTGTTCATGTTTTTGACGAAGGACTAATATGGCAGGTCATCCTTTCTGCTCGATGAGGGTGACGAACGACGGGTGGAGGAGGTGGTAATGCTCAGCAATATTGTACAGGACGTGAGAGCATCTGCATTGGTCCACCTAAGATTTCGCAAACGTTGCTGTCATAGAGTTTGATGCTCCAGAAGATCGTCAAAGTGCAAGCATGGGAGATAACTCGAGGAGGACGTCAGTTAGATAGAGGAAGGTGGAGCGAGATGTCCCCAATCTCCTCGCTTCTTGGCCTCGGACCTCCTGAAAGAAACACAGGCATAGAGAGCAATCCCGCCGGACAAATTCACAGGATATTCACAGTTTTCTGTCGGGTAGATGTGAGTATGCGAGCAATAAGTCTGTTCGTTGTCGGACACTGGGTGTCTCCACCGGGCTATCAACGACCTTTCATTAAGGTTGTCGATTCTCCTCATTAGTGATGTGCGTGTGTGGTGACCACGACTGGCTTTATGGTGATGAGTACAAGTACTTTCGAAATCAGTAGGTGATCAGAACAACGAACAAGCAAGCGGGCGAGAAAACAAACGGTAGTTCATGCAATAGTGGTTGATCTGAATGTATGTATGTATGTGAATTACGCCTAGCAGAACTCGACCTCCTCTCCACTAGCAAGGCAGGAAAACGCGACGGATACAAACAGCAATGCAAAGGCTTCCTTCGTCAGGACAATATTGTGAGCAGGTCTGTCTGGTGTTGAAGAAATCGATAACAAAGGTACCAGGTGCGTTTGTGGTTTTGGTAGGATACGAGTTGCGCTGCAAGTACTTATCGATCAATTTCTGAGAAGTATCACTTACTCCTTCCCAACATGCAATCAACTACCAAACACAACTTACGTTTGGGCTATAGCGCGTCGAGGCAATGGATGCAAGTGCAGCCTTGGATTGCACCTTCCTCTTTCCACGTGGCTAACACCCCTCCAACAACAAATCGCTACAGTTTCGTCGTTTCTTTCTGCAATGCTACACATTTCGAACCCTTTCCTCTCACCACTGATAATCCTTCTCTCAATTCTTCTATCTCAACCTGAGCGTATCTTGCTCACTCACTATCTTGATCACTTGTGCTCTTTCTAATTCGGACTGTCCTGGAAAAACGCAGTACATATTGCAGTACTTCCTCATAAATAGATGAACATCTAGGCATCATGGCTTCCTACCAGAATGTCGACCCTACGACCAAACGAGAAACAACTCCCACTTTGAAGGTTCTTGACAACATGACTGATGATGGCAAGACTCCTCGAGCTTCTGTCAAGGCAAGCACACTGCTGGGTCCAAATCTTCACCACATGCACTGACTCTCTGGTAGCGAGCTAATGTTCCTAAACCCCTACAGACAAGCACGTTCAGCAATTTGCAGGTAACCAGAACCGTTAGCAAGGTAAAGTCTCTCACCTGAACCAAAGCTCATTACTAACATGTTTCTTGCAGGAGCTCTCGCCACAATCAGACATTGAGAATATGCTTGACAAGCTTCGACTGAATGACTCCAGGAAGACAACACCTGTCGACGTGAAGACATCAGCTGCCACCCTCAGCCATAACGCTATCACCACAGGAACCCGCAAGACCTCCTTCGTGAAAGAGGCCGACCTGAAGACCGAGTCCAATGTCAGCAGTGCCAGAGACGACAGATTCAGTGGCTCAGAGCTGTATACACCAGCTACCGAAGCCTTCGATGAGTCCATCAAGGCTTCGAGTGAGATGGAACGAGTTAGAAGAGAACTTGAAGCCGCAAGATCAGTCATTGATCAGCAAAAGCGGGAGCTTGAAGAAACTCGTCAATTCAAGCACACTATGGAACAAGCTTTGCCTAGTCCTTCGGAGGCAGATTTTCCTAGGGGTGACAACCATATGCCATCTATCCAGAGGTAAGAGTCCCATGCTGCTTTGACCACAACAAATCTAACAAACACATAGTGCTTTTGATGTCTCATCTCGACCATACTCTAGTGTAAACTGGTCCAATCGTGACAGCCAAGGTGTTGAGCTTCCTGGAAATCTGGCACATGCTGTTCGCCGACAATTTGGGGCACCAGTCAATGCCTCTCGCCACACAGGTGACTTTCGTGGCCACAGCTTCGATGAAACTGCTGCCCTGTATGGCTCCGGAACTACGACGTACGATACTACACGAAACCAGGCTGCTCAACGAACCTTCTCTAGTGATACTATGGGTCCGTTGTCGCCAGGTCTGCCACCGATCTCTACTGCTCATTTGAGTGAGATCTATCAAGGCCCCAACAACATGGGCCGAGCTTTCCAATACAGATCAAACTATGCTCCAGCCTCAACCTATGGTGCTATTGGCACGGAGCCACTTTCTGCTGGCAGCCAGTATGCTGCTTTGGCGCCTGATGTTATGCAGCTGCAGATGAATCAACACTTGCTTGCTGCTGGCCGTCCTTTGGCAGGCATGATGGCTTCTTCTCCAACCACGAGCGACTTTGGTGGAGTTCAGGGAGCGAGCATGGTACCCTATGGTACACAAAATCATGTTCAGACCTATGTCACGCCTCTCGAACCCATGAATTATCGACGATTGCTAGACAAGTCAGTCTCTTGTGACTGGAAGTATATTGTCGACAAAATTGTTTGCAACAATGACCAGCAGGCCTCCATTTTCCTGCAACAGAAGCTGAAAGTTGGCACAGCTGAGCAGAAGTTTGATATCGTCGAGGCGATCATCAATCAGGCTTACCCTCTCATGATCAATCGTTTCGGTAACTTCCTTGTTCAACGATGCTTCGAGCATAGCACGCCCGATCAAGTCATTGCCATCGCGGACGCCATACATGGCAACGTCATCTCTCTGAGCATGGATCCTTTTGGCTGTCATGTTATCCAGAAAGCTTTTGACTCTGTTCCCGAGTGTCACAAGGCTGACATGGTTCGCGAGCTCCTCCGTCGGATTCCTGACACTGTCATCCATCGATATGCTTGCCATGTCTGGCAGAAACTATTCGAGCTTCGATGGAGTGGCGAGCCACCTCAAATCATGGTCAAGGTCAACGAGGCTCTTCGAGGCATGTGGCACGAAGTCGCTCTGGGCGAGACAGGAAGTCTGGTCGTTCAGAACATCTTCGAGAATTGTGTTGAGGAGGAGAAGCGACCGGCCATTGAGGAGGTAATTACCAACATTGACCTCATTGCCCATGGACAATTCGGCAACTGGTGCATTCAACATCTGTGTGAACACAGTGCCCCTCCTGACAAGCGACGAGTGATTGACCACATCCTGGTGAACGCCTATGGTTACAGCATTGATCAATACGCCTCCAAGGTCGTTGAGAAATGCCTGAAGATTGGTAGGATCGACTTCCTGGATCGCTATCTCAACGTCATCACCACTGCTCATCCTGATCGACCACGAATCCCTCTTATTGATATTGCTGGTGACCAGTATGGCAACTACCTCATCCAGTGGATCCTGATGAACACCAATCAACAACAGCGAGAGCAGGTTGCCATCCACATTCGAAAGCACATGGTCTCTCTGCGTGGCTCGAAGTTTGGATCTCGAGTTGCTATGCTCTGTTGCAACCCGGCTTCGGCCACTCGTCCTGGTCCCGGTGTCATGGTTAATCCTTATGGCACTCCTGGTCAACCACGAACCCAATATGCTCGGTATCGATAGACAATATCGTATGTCTTGGTCGATCGAATGACATCTGTGTTGCATCATATGTTGCCAAGTTCCGAGTCTAGAAATTGTCAGCATTGACGCGATAGGGTGATCTTACCTATTGCTTGGAATACTGGTACGATGAGCCTGACGAAATCACTCGATCTGCTTACTAGCAGATGCTCATCTTGCCTTACCTGGACTTGGTTCGGACGTCTTGCATTTTACAACCTGTTTTAAGGAACAGTCTATCAAAGTTATGTACCAGTTATCTCGAAATATGATACAAAAGAGCTAGGAATTGTTTTCTATGTATTCAGGCTGCGATGTTTCGTTCGAGACCAAAGCTGCACGAGCAGAGATGTTCAAAATGCACATTATCTGTTTGGAAGCAGCATGGAATATGTGCATAATATGCAATAATGTGCTCGACTGTACCTTCGCTGAGAAGGACATATCGGGCAGGTGTACATTAACGTATCATAGTATTAATGAGGATTGTCTTGCAATTGTGTCGTTCATGCTCAAGATTGGTCTTGTCTTGTCCAACTTACGAGCATGTATGTTGCATTGTGCCCATAGTATTTACCTGCTGACCACGTAGGCATCCAAAGACAGTATTTGCTGATCTCATCTTGATGCAATGCTTCAAGACACAGCTCGCGAATGGCAGCAAAAGAGCCTAGATGCTGCATCTGTACTGTCTAGTAAAGGTGTAGAGTCATGGGTTCTGAGAATCTCAATTTCGTGCTGCGCCGGAAAAGGCTCAGCCAGGTCAATTCCCTGCTGTAGCGAGACTCAGCTCAGGCAGTGTAGCAATCACGGCCCACCAACTTGGCATGTATCTCTCCCAAGGCATATAGTGAGACCATATGCACTCATATGCACTCATATGCCACCCTTTGCAGCTCAACTTATAGAACATCTTTCTTTGAATGATGTCCTGTTTTACGATACACCAGCTCTTCACCCCTCACTCCTGCGCCAACAGACCCGAATCCGGCACCGCTCCAGGCTGCAATATCTTCAACACACCCTCGCCAGTACGTCTGTGCGCGTCCACGTCCACATCTACGTCTAAACTGGTGCCATTTCCCTCGTCGTCTCGTTCCCAAGGTTTTCTCCTTCTCGTTGTCCTGTCGACTTTCGAGCTTCCTGGTTCGAGGACCGTGTCTGGAATGGTTTCGATGCCTGGGATGGGTTTGTTCTGTGTTATGAGGTCGACTATGTCGGCGAAGGATGTTGGGTAGGGTGGAGTTGGTTCTGCTGCTGTTGATGTATTTTGTGTACTTTGCGGAGGCGGAGACGGGAGTTGCTGATGAGGCTGCTCGTTCAGCGTTGTTGCTGCTGCTGCTGTGGCTGGGGTTGGTGCGTGAGGACGAGGGACGGGCGAGGTCATTTGTTGTCTTTCTTCTCCTGTTTCTGCTGCTCCTCCTACTATTCCGTTCAGATGCTCAAATGGTTGGAGGTTTGCGCGCAGAGCTAGCCATTGTTTGTAGGCGTTGACATCTATTCCTTCTGCTAGACCGTGTTTACGAGCGAAATAGAAGCATTGCGTTTGGAGGACGAGGCCTTCGTTGTCGCGGAGTTCTGCTTCGGTAGGCGGTGTTGCGGGGTGCCCTAGGATGGCTGCGAGACCTAGCAGGTAGTCATGGTCTGTGTGGAAGGGGTAGGAGGATATTATGTGGTAGACATCGTGGTTGTCGTTGGGGATGGGAGTTGGTGATGCTAGTGGTTGTGCGCCGGCGGGTTGGTAGGAGAGTTCTGAGGATGGATTTTGGGATGATGGGGGTGGTGTATTGACTTCCATTTTCACAACACGAAAGAGCGAGAGCGTTAAGATGTCATATTCTGTGTTACGCAGCCAGAATTTCTGCAAAGCAACCACTTCAATATGCGAAACCTTTATGGATGAGACAAAGCCATATACTGCTGTATCTTCGACTCTCGAGTATACCGTCATCTTCAGGCCTCAAGGCATACTTCACCACCTGCAGTAATGCTCACTCTTCACGATCTCACAACTCTACGGAACATGCTCTCCAGCAGAAGTACCTTGAGAATAAGCTTTGGAAGACGCGTTCGACGCCGTGAACGCGTCGATGATCCAAGCGCGATATCTGCAAAAGTGGAAAGCCTAATCGTGGTCGTTATACCATCTTTGACCTTGAGGTCTAAAGATCTGGCTGAGGGACGCTGAGACGAAAGTCATGGTTGGACAATGGTCACGAGCGTGAATTCTACTGTCGGTTTCGTAACACATGTTACTATGTCCAGAAAGCGAAATCGGTAGTACTATACCTTGATGACGCAAATCGTGCTCAAAACTCACTTTGTTACTGTACATTTTACAGATCTTGGCGTTACACTTCGTCAGCCGGACTGAGCAAAGCGAGAAATCCCCACCTCACCTGAACGTCTGCTACAGAGCGCAATACGATCGATCACATGCCGTGCAGTGGCATGAGCCTGAGCAACGGGTCAATCCTTATGCCGAGCATAGAGCTGAGATCATTCGGATCGTCTTGATCCGTATCCATCAACCGTCTTTCTTTCAGAGACGGTTTTCACCCCAAGCCTTATTCTGGTAAATTGGGCAGGATGTGGACTCACCTGACTTAGCTAGTATTGTGACTATGTGGGCATGCAGTATGGTTCACCATGTCTAAAAAGTCTTTATAGTAGCAGGCTAGCAGTGCTGATTGACGAAGGTTACTATCATAGTGGCAGTAGCGTGATCCATTGAAGTGAATACGCGTATGTAACTTGCGCTATATGTGGTATTGATATATAAAGGCCTCGCTGTGATGTTATTTCGGTGCATCTTTTGGGCCAAGCACAGTAATCATGGCGTCTCCTACGTTTGAAAACAAGGTGAGTTTGAACTTGTCATAACGTATGGCTACACGAGTTTCTCAATCTGACCACTATAACTTGTAGGTCGTGCTCATCACGGGTGCAAGTAACGGCATAGGTGCAGCAACAGCAGCTCAATTCGCAGCTCTTGGAGCAAAAATTGCAGGACTCGATATCAGGGATAGCGAGATACCATCGACTGACAAAAGAATCGATATAAAATGCGACGTATCAAACGAAGACAGTGTGATTGCCGCAGTAAAGGCAGTGGTTGAGAAATGGGGCACAATTGATGTGCTATGTAACATTGCCGGCATCACTGATAAATTCCGTAAGTGCCACTACTATTTCGGGTACTCTGTATATGAGGAAGACCAAGCTGACATAAAATCTTCCAAAACAGAACGTGTAACAGAAACAACAAACGCCGACCTTAATCGCATTATGGGAATCAACTTCAACGGCCCCCTCTTCCTCATGCGCCACGTCATCCCGCACTTCCTCGCCAAACCCGGCAGTGTTCAAGGTCAAGGCTACAATGCAGTCCTCCCCAAGAAAGGTGCCATCGTCAACATATGCTCTGCAGCTGCACTTCGAGGTTCCGCCGCGGGTGCGATATACACTTCAAGCAAGCACGCTCTGCTCGGCCTGACTCGAAATACTGCCTGGATGTACGCCAAGGAAGGCGTGCGGACAAACGCCGTACTCCCTGGTGGTGTTGCGACTAATATCCTGAATAATAGCGGGATTGACCCTTCCACGCAACTCGATCCAATTGGGTTTCCGATCTTGCAGCCTGCACACGCACTTCAACCGGCTGTGTGCGTGCCAGATGATGTGGCGAGGACGATTGTGTTTTTGGCTGGTACGGATGGTGTGAATGGCGCAGAGGTTACAGTTGATCAAGGTTGGTGTCAGGCCTAAAACGCGGATTTGTAGTCAGCAGTTGGAAGACATGTTAAAAAAAATCCAATTCTGGGTATGCCGCATGTTTAGAAGATCGATGTCCACTAATTTCTACCTATTAGCTCTTCGTCTTTTAGCACCTCCATCCCCTCCCGCCGCTGACTCAGCTGCTTTTCGTTTCGGGCGCTGTGGCTTAGGAAGTGTAACTTCTCGCTCCTTCTTCACTGCTCGTTTCGGTTGTTGTCGTACTGGTCTTGCCTCTGTCTTCGTCTTCTGCTTAGCTGACGCCTCCAGCCGAGCTGGTGCCTCATCCTCATGCTGTACTTCTTGTGATTGCATTCGCAATCTTTCACCAGGCTGCGAGGTTAGGGCTTCCTGCCTTACCGCTGACGCTTCTCCCTGTGGCTCATCCCCAGGTTGTGGATCCGATGGTTGTGTCGCCACTCTGTTCGCACCCAGCGAATGGGGGGCTTCAATGGAGGATACATTGGGATCCCTTGGTGGAACCACGGCCTCGTCTTTTCTTTCTTGATCTTGAGGTTGAAGCGTTTCAGCCGTCTGACCACGCGATTTCTCCGATTTTCGAATATAGTGGTTCCAGACCTCAACTGGTAGAATTAGTGGCTGCCAATCAGGATCCAAATTATCTACACCTAGTAAGTCGCCCACATCATCTGACTGTCGGAGAAAATCTTCATCACCAACTTCCATTTCGTTGATTTCATTCGACTTGTAGTAAACTTCTAAAGATGGTGGTACAGCAGCCACCTCTGTGGTGGTGTTCTCAGAAGCAGTTTCTGGTTCAGTCGCTTCTGTGGTAGTGCCCTCAGAATCCGGTTCTAGTTCCCCCTCTGATGATTCCAGATCAGGGTAAGCAAACTGCTTGAGTCCGGCTGCAGTCTGTTCGAGCAGTTCGGCAGGAAGTATCCTATCTTTGATACTCGGTTTCATGCAACGAGCCACGAGCTTCATTAATTCACCGCTATATGGACTGGATTTATAAGTGCGTCGCTCCGTTACAGGGTCGACTTCACGCCTGCGACGATTTGAGAACAGAAAAGGTGTCTCAGTAAAGTCAGGAAGAGCGTGTTGGTCATTCCGCTGATATTGCTCGAAGTCCTGAGTGGACATTGCGGCATAGTCTGACGGTCTGGCCAAAGTAATCAAGTCGAACATAACCTAGACATGTGAGTGCTAGCCTAGCTCTAGGTTGGGTCTGCTTACCTTGCCAATACCCCACACGTTCGTAGGTTGTTCCAAGCCGAAACCTGGATCATCTATTTCCTCTTGTACCTCTTCAGGCGGCCTTGCGACTGTTTTACGGCGAGACTTTTCGCCCTCGAGTTTGTACGTAGTCTTTTTAGGGGGTTGTTTCCCATTAGGAGGCTTGGGCCAATCTAAACCATAATGAATCATTTCGGGCGATCTGTAGAACCCGGTTCCTATTCTCCAGAAACTTTTCGGATTTTTGCGAGATTTGTCTGGATAGGCGGTAAACTCGGCGATACCAAAGTCGCCCAACTTTATCATAGGAAAGCATGTTACCACATCATCGAATTTGGCTATACCCCCGTACAAAGACTTCTCTGAGTTGTTGACAGGCTTCTCGTAGCCGAGGAAGATATTTTCGGGCTTGATGTCGAAGTGGACGACTCTTTCATGAGCTAGGGGGTTAACGTCCCCTTTTGGGAGACTCTGCATATTTGTCGGATGGTCCGTAAGACAGCATACAGCTCGTGCCAGGCTGTCAAACACATGCCTGCAAAGACGGTTAGCGCAGCAAGACATATCAATCTAAAAAGATAGCAACGTACCAAAGAAATTTCTCTGGCAAATACCGGTTCCATGCCCGGTAGCGATCCATCAGACGACTGAGATCGCCGTAGGGCGCAAATTCCAGATAATAATGCCATTTCAAAAGTCTTCGCCTCTTCGGCGAAGGAGTAGCATCGGAGTCAACAGTAAGAGGACGACCATCTATCGCTTTAAAATCTCGCAGGTAAACGAAGTTCTCCACTTTGCTTGTGTTTAGATGGTTTTGAATTACAGCCTCCTTCGAGAGTGGCGGTTCCTGGGACCATGCGGCAATGGGATTGTAATCTGCCTGCTTAATTGCCATCTCGTCTGTGATCTCTCCCTTTTCGTTCTTTCTAACCCATAGAGCTACACAGCCGAAACTCCCACTGCCGAGATATCTGTGGGCAGTCCACTCTTGCTCATATTCGATAGAACCATGTCTGGTCGCGCGTTTGAGACTTCTGATAACTTTCAATTTTAGGAATTCGCTAAGGATGTTGTTATTTTCCTTGTCTTTCCTGGATGCCACTACCTTTGTAAGTCGATCATTGATCTCTTCGAAATATGCTTGTTCATGATGTTCCGCATTCCAGTCCGTCGTATTTTTCAGGTTCAATGGAGCCCATGTTACAGGACGCGGGGGATCGGGTGGACCAGTATTCTGTGCCTGTATGTCCTGTGTCTGAGGCTGTTGTGGTACAGGTGCGCCTCCTCCAGCCTGGCTCGTATTCGTAGCCATTACGGAGAGTATGTTGTAGTTTCGAGTCGAATCTTCAGAAAGTAAGTAAGCGCGAAGGAACTGTGTCGTGTAAGTAGCGAGACATGATCGCCGAGTAACTACCAACAAAAGAAATGCGACCACTCTTTTTCGCAGCAAAAGAAACAAAGCAAAACTGTTCGAAAAGTCCGCAAACGGCACATCAAAGATGGGTGTACTCGAGTAGCCTCTACAACAACTCCAGATATTGGGTTGTGACTTTTGTACTATCAATAGAACACGACCACTTGCTTTCGTGACTGATCAGTCTGTCATTCTGGTAGCTGGACCCGTAACGTTAGCCGGACTCGAACAAAGATCTGTACTTCAACATCTTGCGAAGCGAATGGAGATGCCATGTTTTGGATTGCACTTCTTGCATCGATCGAATTGAGAGTTAGAGGTAATAGTAGAGACAGGATTCGTGATGTCGAGCTAGTGAGATAGGCGTCAATGGGCATGCGGAAGGTTTAGCGAGCATCCTCATTCTCTCTTTATGACACACCGCGTGCCTTCATGAAATCTACCAAGTCAAAGAAGCTCTTCTTGTACCTTCTCTGTTGCGTGGTTCTGTTCACAGTCTGGATACCAAAATGCGCATCGTAATCTCCAAATTCCCTGGCAAATGTTAGCTCACAAGACCACTTTGGACCGGCAAACGCAGCACTGACCAGTTATCGGCGAAAGACCAGGCAAAAGCACCACGCACATCCACGCCATCTTCCCAAATAGCTTTCAATACCTCAGACATGTAGCTGAGGTAATAGATCGAACGAGGCGTATCAAAGAGCTGGTCGGAGAGATCTTTTTCAGCTTCGGCAAAGACTGGAAAACCAAACTCGGTAATCACCACGGGGGTCCTGAACGTGTTGTATAGATAATCCATATACTCCCGAAGGTACGTAGGGGTTATGTAGACATAACTTTGTGAACGGTATCCTATGTTCCAGCCGAATTGATTGACTGTTGTTTGGTTCACACAATAGGGGAAATTGGCATCACTGCTATTCGCTGCACATTGCGCGATGCTGCCAATGTTATTGGCAACCGGAGGTGTAATCACAGTTGCAGTGTACGGATCGATACCTAGCAAGTCAGCCGTGCCACCAATATATTTGAGGTCCTCTGCTGATAGGGGAACGTAATCCGAAATGGTCCGCTTGAACGAGTCTGGGTAATCTTGACCAAGAAAGATAGGGTTGCAGAATGTGGCGAGCTGAAAGGAGTTGAACCAGTTGGCTGCATAGACATCAGCTCCATTTGAAGTGTTCTTTGGCACACCGAAATTGTCATTGAACTTGATCGAGATCTGGCCAGTGCCCCCGAGATCGTCCTTGTAGAAGTGGTACACTTGAGCGTGAGCCTTTATGACGTGATCGATAGATATGCCGTTGAGTGAGTACAAAAGCGGCTCATTGAACGTGAACCAGACCGGAACTCTGTCGCCATAGTGTGTCATCACGATCCTTGCATAGTTGACAAAGGCGTCCACAAAGGTTTCGTTCTGATATGCTCCATTAACGTAGCCTATTAACGGAGGCTCCTCTGCTGAGCTCAAATTCGCGCCATAGAACTGGAGAGGTGTATCGAAGTGTAGAAGAGTGACAGCTGGAATCATGCCTTTTTCAAGAATGAAGTTTATCACGTCGTTGTAATGATCGATGCCTAACTGATTGACAGGAGTACCAGGTAGAGCAAATGGCAGAATTCGTGTCCAGGCTATGCTGAAAGAATAGTAGCGCGCACCCATGGCTGCTATCCTCTCAATATCTTGTTTGTACAAGTAATAGTTCTCATTTGTGACATAGTCTTTGGGACGATCCCCCTGAATGAGGATGTCCATAAGTGTTGGTGTCTTTCCACCATCCGCCGTCGCACCTTCAATCTGTGAAGCAGAGCTGCTGACTCCAAACATGAAACCCTCAGGAAAGTTGTAGCAGTCTGTGGGACCAAAATAACCGCGAGGAGGAAGTACTAGCTCGCTGGTCGGTATGGATGTAGGGCTCACTGTAGTACTGTACAAGCCAGTCTCTGTGAAGTTGGGTGGATTTGCGTGCTGCCAAAGTGCTGACCATGCTGCATTGCCATAAATATTCGTCGCGTCAGAAGCGGTACTTGTCGCATTAGGCGCCCAGGAGCCCCACGTGGTATAGCTGATGGACGTAAGCAGGGAACTGAGGTCGGTAGAGGGTCGAGCATAAGTGCTGGTCGTGGTTGGCAATGGCACCGATGTGGCTGTACGGACTGTTTCACTGAGCGTGAAGCTAAAGTTCCTGAATGTGAAGCTTGGCTGTATGCTTGGTGCTATTGAACATTGCGGTCGTGCTGTCGGACCTGTAGTATTGATATAGAGCTGCTGCGACTCAGTCAACCTACTAGCAGCTAACAACAGAACCAGCTGTGAGCCTTGCATATCTGAAATGTGCTTTTAGCTGTGCTGCTGAACAGATGCAAAATGTGGACAACGATTAAGCTTTACTACGACCTACCACATCACATCAAGCTCGTTGAGCTATCATATTCTCATGAGGAGTAATAAACCCTAAAGTCCTGGACCTATAGATTCAGAGCTCTATTTCATTCTCTTTAGGCCGAGGCTCATTGATAAGCCTTGTTGTACTCTGTAGTGAAGACCACGAAAACCCCTATCGTGGACAAGCCAGACGACATACAGATCCTGCTTCAACCATGGCCTGCATGAGAATGATATGAAGACTGGGTAGTCTGTTTGGTAGAGAAACATCAACGCCGCTAGTAGCTCGCTCGCAATTTTCGTGTGACTTGACCATATACAAATAGCGAACCGACCTGGGACACTATCCAGGCGGAAAGCTTCACGAGCATGTGATGTACACGACGTTGGTATAGTGAGCGAAGTCGAGGACAAGACTCTTGAAGAGACAAATCTGATCCAGCTCAGATGAATGGATTTATTGTCGTAGCCTCTTCGTTGTGACAGGTGAGCAAATTGCTGTACATATAGTTACAAAAGCGCCAAACAGCGGCTGCTGGCTGATACTCTGACTGCCAACTAAAATGCGACCCAGCATTCACAGCTGAATCTTTCCATTTTGCTTCCTCCGGAGCTCGAAAACACCTTGTCATTAGTCAGTACGAAACAGTTTGTAAACATTGACCAGAGAGGGATCTGCCATGGCTGGAGTTACTATACCTGCTCTGGCGATCAAATCAGGTAAGTGCACGAGACAGGAAAGTACATCCGAGTCGGCGTCGCAATAAGCCTCATGGTGAACTGCTTTCTATTGATGCAGTCTTTAAATACTGGCAAAGTGCAGAGCACTACCTGTCCATCGTCATATAACAAGTTGTCTTTGCTACAAGCCTGGTCTTCTCGTCCGACAGCTCCATGCCAAACCTCTACCTGGCACGTGCTGGTCAGCCGCACTCGACTGAGCTACAGTACTGGGGCCGTGCCTTCTTTCAACGCACGTCAGATGCGGCTGACCCAGCTCACAAGCAGTTGAGATATCGACCAGCAAACTAAAGCGTTCATTTGTATCTCCTATTGGTCAGAGGCCAAATCTCCCGAACGCCACACGAGAGCAAACGATTCAGCCTGACGACACAAAGTCCAGTATTGGCATTACCAAGAAACACGAAGCCATCTGTACGGTGGGCGTCAGTTCTATCTAGATCACTATGCTGACCGCTTCTTACGCTTCAAATAGGCTTCAATTTGTTAGAGACATACCGTCGCAAACGCGTGACAATAGCGGTGATGCCTCGTTTGCCGACCTTACTGGCATGTCAAACGAGTGCCTTCACGTGCAGATGGTAATGCTGCGATATCTGCTGCGACGGACTATTGCAAACCCGTGTTGAATCACAAAGCAAGACACAACTCCGAAGCCTCAATACTCACAAGCAAACCAAAAATGGCATCTACAATAGACTACAAAGCCAAACATGGTGACACACTCGAGAAGATCGCTGCAGCAGTAAGTTCGCAAACGCCGTTGAGAATCAGCACTGGACAGGAAGCAAACACTACCTGAGCCGAACAGCAAGGCTGACACCTTCATAGGCAGGCGTTTACCCATCAGTAATCATCGACCTCAATAAAGATCTCCAGAACGGGCAAGAGATACGTGCAAACAAGATATACAAATTACCTCGAAGTGCCACCTCGAACAGCGCAATGGCCATAAGTGACCTGCTGGTTGAATACAATGCGAGAAAACGAGAGGCTGGTGGTGGTTGATGTCACCTGGAGGTTGCCACTGTTCAGACGAATGAAGTATCAAGGAGGTTTCGGATTCTGCGGTATATTGGCTGCATGTTTGTAGCACGGGCGACGCAATGGATCGTCCAAAGGTCCGATCTGCAGGTCTAAAGCCTGACTTTGCAGCTCGTGGGTGACCAGGAGCGCTGGAGCTTGAAGAAGTCGGGAAAGACCTTCTATCAATACTGTTCTAACAATAGAATAATCTTCCTTCCAACTAAGGCTGCATCACACAGATATCCTACAATACAGCCAGGCAGCCAGCCTATGTTTCACAACCATCAGGCAAGCTCTCAATCACATACCTGAGCACTTCCATAGCAATCCGCCTTGCCCGGTGGCTGCGTAATGGCTGCTTACCAGACCGACAGCTCCTAACCAACATAGTCGCGAACATTTCATGCAGAGAAACTCCATCCTTGCCCCAAAACCTATCGTCTGCACTGATCGTTTCTCTCTAAGACATACTCATCCTAGCACTTCCCTCCCCATCACTCATATCGTCTTCTTCGCCTACGGGCATAGGCGCAGCAGGAGCGTCATCGACCCTTGCACCTTGACTATCTCTGTCCCTGTCCCTGTCACTCTTATGCTTCTTACCACCGTGCTCAGCAGTCGAAGAATCAAGTCCAGCATCTTTCACTTTCCTCTTCTCACGTTCCTTGGCATGTTCTTCCTTACGCCTTTCCTTCTCTCGTCTCTCGTTCTCTTTCCTGTGTGCTTTGCTTTCGTATTCGTGCCAGTCGCCGCCAACGTCGGCTAGCTCCACTGCCTGTCTGGCCTCGGGTGCTTCCACGCAAAAATAGTCGTGCTCTAGGATTGTGGCTGCGTCAGGTCGCTGGGCAGGATCATACTGGAAGATTTGAGAGACGAGATCCATGGCTGCGGGGCTGAGGACATCACTGTATTGCTGCTCGAATAAGCGTTTTCTCTTCTCACCAGAAGAAGTCGTGGCGGTGGCTGGGTGCATGAGCTCGTACCATGGCATTTCTGCTATACCTGGCCATTCAGTTTTACTTGGAGTTCCAAGCATGTTGTAGATCTTGTCAAGTTGGCTCAGCTCACCTCCTTCCCCAGGGAAGATGGCCTTACGGGTAAACATTTCCATAAATACACATGCAGCCGACCATATATCCACTGCAGGTCCGTATTGTGTTTCACCAAGGAGCAACTCAGGTGGCCTGTACCAGATTGTGATTACTCGATTGGTATAGTCCAGTTTCCTGCTTTTGGTGTAGAACCTTGCAAGCCCAAAGTCAGCATATTTCAGTTGGCCTCTATTTGATATCAGAAGATTTGCAGCCTTGATGTCTCTGTGCATCACACAGCGTCGATGTAGAAACTCGAGACCCTCAAACATCTGTCTGCCTAAGTCTTTCTTGTGTGCATCCGATAGCTTGAATGTCGGGTGATTGATTAGACCCGTCATATCGTGACTCATGTATTCGAAGACCATGAAGCACTCATTCTTCTCAACCATGACCTCCATTAGCTCAACGACATGATTATGCCTCAAGTTCTGTAGAAGTTTGATCTCACGCACAGCAGTAATCGGGAACCCGTCACGTTCGCCTTCCATGCGGATCTTCTTGAGCGCCACTAGATCTTTAGTAAAAATATGAATAGCTTTGAAGACCTTGCCGTACGTGCCTGCACCAACAACAGATTCGTTGCCTGGCTTGCGGTAGTAGACACTCTCACTGGCAGCCATTGCAGGAGTGAGGGTAGGCTTAGCAGGAGTCTCGGATTTAAGCTTCTTGGCAGGCTGTGTAGGAGGTGATCTGGATCGAGGTCGAGAGGGAGGTTGCGCATTAGGAGGTTTGGTTCTTTCGGCATGGTATTGAGGTTGTGCTGCTGGCCCTTTTGGAGGTCGAAATGCCGGCTCTTGGTCATCTTTTCTGCGGTCCAAGTGTGTCCGATGGTTGTTCTGATTGAAGTTCTGGGTTTGGTTGTAAGGCCTGTGATCTTGAAACTTGTTCCCACGAGGTTGAGTAGGTGGCGGACGGTCAAGGGCAGGCTTTGTAGGAGGAGCTTTGACTGTTTCCGAGAGATCTGCAGGAGGAGGTCTTACAGGAGATTGTGGAGGTGGCTTTTGTTTGAAGGCGAAGCTGATCTTCGATGTGTCTTTAGGTCCCGAGGGTGTGTCTAAAGGCAATCCATTATTTTCAGGCTCTCTGTGTTCGTCATCGTCTATCCGTGTATCACGAACTGTCTGAGCTGCTGTTAATTCTCTCGGTGTTGATGTTGTATCTCGCGGACCCTGATGAGGAGGAGCAGGCGAACGTCGTAGAGAATTTGAGCCAGGACCTGCCTGTGTAGAGGCTCCTCCTCTTCCTCTCTGGTTCCAAGGCGCATTACTAAAAGCGCCCCCTCGTCCTCGCTGTGATGTATTGCTTTCTGGGTAGTCTTGACCAGAGAATCTTCTATCTTGACCATGCTGTGCAGGATGAGCTCCTCTTTGCTGACCACGTCCACCACGATAGGGTCTATTTTGCTGAGTGTTCTGAGGATGGTTCGGAGGTGGCGGCTGCTGACTTCGAAAATATTCTTCTTGTGATTGGCCAGCTCCAGAGAAGTTGTTCTGTCGATGAGCCTGGGTATTCGAACTTGACAAGGTTAGCATCACCTGTTAGCATGAGTCAGAGGGGCTTACTGTTGCTGGTTGTATGGTTGCTGTGGTCCGTTCCATCCACCTCGACCACCACGGTACAATGTATTGGATTGTGGTGAACCATGATGAGAGCTATTTGGTGAGACAGCTATTGATGAAGCTCTATAGGAGCCACGATTATTGTGGTAGGGTCTTTGACCTCGACCACGAGGCACGTAGTTCGGGTTGCCATAATGTCCTCGCACAGCAAAAGGACCATCCATAGATTCACGATCAAATTCTCTAGCCGGAGAGGGAGTTCGCGAAACCGGCTTGCCCCGGTATTGAGGCTCGGGAGTGAACTTCCTAGGTGGACCCCTGCGGCTGGGAAGAGGAGAATCGTGGTAGGACGATGGTGAACCAGGTCGCGAAGGATACCTCCGGGATGGAGGAGACGGTGATCTTCTACGAAAAGGGGGGGTGATACTCCTCTGTCGTGGAGAGGATGATCTTCTTGGACCACGTCTTGGTGGTGATACAGGCCGCCTTCTCTCAGGAATATAGGTATCTACCTCTGGAGGCGCGTGTCTTGTTGCAGGGCGACCAGCAGGCCGTGGAGGTGAACTTCGCCTAGGAGAAAACTCCCGCCGACTGCCTGGCCGTGTTCCTCGTGGATCGAATCTTTCCCTGCTCCTTGACCGGCTGAAGCGCCTTCTATCATCAAATCCTCTGTCACTCCAATCTGAACGTGACGGACTCCTAGTCCGCCTTCGCTTTGGAAAACGTGTAGGCGACGACTCTCGTGATGTATATGCTGATTCTGGCGGATGATATCTGCGGCCTGGCTGTGGACGAGGTGATTCGGCAGGGGACAAAGATGTCCTTCGAGGTGGTGGTCTACGCGGACCAGAGGAGTGGTCGCGTTTACGAGTAGGCCTGTTTTGGAAGTCGTCTCTCTCAAAGCGATCTCTGCCTGGAGGAGGCCCTTCAATTCGACGAGAAAGAGGAGATCGACTTCTTTCCTCACGCTCTCGAGGCGGACGTTGATTTCGATTGCGCTGGTTTCCTTCAGTGCGCCATTTATTCGTCATTGGTGATTTTCCCTGGCGAACGGCCATAGACAGACGCGCCGGTTCGTGAAGGTCATTATCCAAATTATTCTGATGGTCGACCTCGTTCTCAGCCATATGACGGGCGTGGTCGATATCGTTGGTGTGGTTCGCCGTAGCAGAGTTTCGGCGGATTCGTGGTTCAAATGGCGCAAATCCACCTCGTCCACCTCGACCGTGTTTCGAGGCCATGTTATGGCTTTTCTTTCCTCTGTTTGATTTACCCATCACGATGCTTGCCTTTCCTCTGTATCAATGTTCTCGAAAGTTTCGTCGCTTAGAGGTCTGAGATGATCAGGGCTAGGACCTCGTGTCGCTGCCACGTTTCCTTCAACTTTCCAGACAGTAGCAGAGTCAACCACCGAGTTTCTCTGACGAAGAATGATAAACAATACTTAATAGAAGTATTTGACTAATTAAGTTCTTATGTGCAGTGAATGGATAAAGGTCAACGGAGAGGGCCCCGCAATTACGTTCGTAAATAAAGCGAGTGTAATATCTGTTCCAGCAAGTGCAGGCTGGCAATGATCGAGTCACGGTTGCGACTTCCTCGTGTCAATTGAGCCTTGCTAAAGTGTCCTGGAATATTTTCCAAACCTTGATGACTGTGCTGACAACGTGGACGGCTCACTTGAATCCTATCGCTGTTTATCCCTACACGTTTCACTCACTTCATTTGCAGTATCTGGCTTTGAAAGAGTGCCCAAATCAAGGCACAATCAGAACCTTCTACTAACGAGACCCAGACCGGACGATTGTCCGTCCTACACGTATCGTTGAAACCTCGAATCAGCCATTCCACCAACCACAACAACTTCAATCCCAGGTGGCTGGACATGACTTGTTCTTATCTCTTTCAGAACCTATTACTCCAGGCTATCGCAAGCTTGTCAGAGCTGGAATTCGAAATTTGTGTACGAAGAATTGAATAAATGAACTTTACCCACGATAGATTCATTCACAGTGGTCTAGACAACGGTTGAAGTACCTAACTTTCTGCAGGAACACCACGATCAGAGACGTGACGATTCGTTATCGATTGTTACTCCTACATCAGTCTTGAAGACGATATCGCCAAATTGTGCAAGCATCGCATGGATATCTTGTGAGACTAGCGCTCAAGAAGTACTGAAGAACTGATGGTTTGCTGGGCTACAATATTGATGCGAGGAGAGAGCAGGTCAAAGTTCAGCAAGAGCAGGAGCGGCCAGAGATCAATTGAAGTGGAGGTCAGCATACGAACGATTGAGCTCTTCAATTTCGTCCTATATGCTCAGTTGTGAATTTTCACTGACGCAGGTTATGATTGTCAGCTGACTCCCATTGCTGCTTTGTTCTGTGCATAAAAGAAAGAGCTGCAGCGTCAAGGAAGATAAAGCTTAATTCATTACTTGTGTCTTTTTGCGCATGTCCTGTATTATGCATCGAAATCCCTGCACAGTGGACAATCCCTGCGCCTCGCTGTAATCATTCGCATACCATGTCCATATCTTCCCTTAAAGGAAGTGAAGAAAAATAACGCCATCGTATTCCTTCTGTACTTCGTCATGCTGACCATTCCCGAAACTCCTCCAGGCTTCTCATTAACCCGGCCCAACCTCGTACTCACCTCTAATTCTGCCAAGCAAAGTCAAGACCCTTCACATCACCCAGCGTTGTATATCCCTCCAGCGTACTCTGCTCCAGCACAGTCAGCTTAGCTTTCCATCTCCACTTCTTGTCTTTCTTGTCCTTTTCGGCATGCCAATCGACCTTGAAGAAGATGGGCAGCAAGCAGACATCGAATTCCTTTTTGAAACCGCTTCGGAGGCGTAATGGTACACGTCTCTCTCGGCGTAGATTATCCATCTCATCTTCTGAATCGTCGAGGTCGCCGAGATCGTCCTCGTCATCGTCGTCCTCGTCGACGGATGCTTCTGTAACACGGGATCGTGTAGACTCTGACAATGACCATGCCTCAGGGTCCCAGGTTCGTGGACCGGTGAGGTTCATCTGATCACGATATCGCCACTCTCCCACTACCAGTAGTCGTAGCTTAGGCTTGTCGTCGTCCGATGGTTTGTCATAGCCAAGGACTGTTCTGATTCGGACTACATATTCTTGATAGTACATGTTCTCTTCAATGGAGGCGCTTTGCGCCTTGACTCTTCTCATAATGTCCGCAAAATGATAGTCTGTTTCAGCTTTCTGCTCTAGTATACGAGGTGTGATGTCGCCAATCGGAACACTAGTCCGGAAGAGAGGCCTGACTCGAGCGCCACTCAATAGCATTTGATCTCTCCGGAGAGCATGTTGATCGGCAAGCTTCTGCAGCCCCCAGTGGTCGCTAATGGATTGCAAACTCGCTGCAAAATCTTTCGACGACGCCTCTGCACCATGATGAGCATTATCGTGTAGCAGGCCATAGTAGGGCAAAGCGATGTGTTCTGCAAATATTGCTCCTGCACTTATCGCCTCCATGGTGACAGCACCCCTACTGTCGCGCCAGAACCCATCTCTGGTTCGAGGCGGAAATGTCTCGGGAAATTGCTGAATAGGTGGGAAGTTGCGAATGTGGACAGTTCGTAGCTCATCGAATTGCGAAAGTGATCGAAGGCATAAATAGCCACCTATAGACAACTCTTTTGGCAGCACCATGCTGAACTCTCGGAGTTTAGGCTTCTCAGAGGCTGAAAGTGTACTCACCCATGATACTGGCGCATAGAGCTCGGTAGAAAATCTCAGGTATGGACCGTCTTCGTTGTTTTCTCTGGATTGTCGCAAGGCAAGAGTGTATACTTCGAGGGTAGCTACATGGTGCATAGCCGCTCGACTTATGGCCGTGGCGATACGGTCGATGGGTACCTCACTGTGCCACAACAGGCTGAGTATTTCAAGACCCTGGAATGACTGAAGAAAAACTGCAAGAGCCGCAGACAGCTCTTTCGGTATCGTTTCACCGTCCATATCGCCCTCAGCTTCTGTATACCGAAAGCCAAACTCGGTGAGGTTGATTTCCTTATAGCGCGAAGTCATTTCTCTGAGAAGGGCTTCGGAGTTATGACAATCGTTGAGTATCAAGCGTCGTAGGTGCGATAGAGATACCCGAACTCGTGGTGATGCCGTGATGTTAGTAGGCACGTCGAATAGCGAAGCTATGTTGAATCCGCCCAATTCGAGCTTCTCGAGGTTGAGACAGACTGCTGGCCGGGATGAATCGCATGGATCGTGCTTAGGGTGCGTGTAGAGCTCATTGAGCGTGCAAAGAAAATCGTTTGGATATTCACGGCCATTGATCAAGGGCGTCTTTCCGACCTGGCTGATGCAGTGATCTTGCGATAACGTTAGCTCTTTCAAAGTATTGTATACTTTCCGGAAGAGTGGTCGGATCATCCTAAATCTTCCACCTGCTTCTGGGTTGTTGAGTTCGATAGGTTCCGTATGGCTTAGACCATTGTATGTCAGGGCGCGGAATTTCGGGAAGCTCTTCTTTGTAATTGCTGCGGCAAACTCAGAGACAGTCGGTGCCATAGGTGGAGAAATCATGGATACTTCCATGCGTTCAAGGCTTTTCGCGTGCTTCAGAAGGATGTCCTGTACCATTTGGAGTGATAGCGTAGTGGCATGTCGCCAAATAAAGGACACTAGCTGATCTTGGGGGAGTCTGATGTGCCAGAAGAACTTCACACCGTTGAAGAAAGCCGCCTGCGCAAATTCCTTGTTGCTATCGTGGGCTGCTTCTTCAAGAAGGTTCCATCTGAAAATGCGATAAGAGTTAGGCCTCGCAATGGTGTTGTCGTAGAAAAAGCCACTAGGTTTTCTGTTCTGATTGAGTATGGTGAGATGTTTCGTTAAGAGGATGCTTGGTGGCATTGTCTGAAGTTTGGTCGACCATTTCTCTGTAACTTCTTCTGGTAAGGTAAGCATCACATTTCTGTACATGTAAGTTTCGCAGAGGTCCTTGATCTTCCTGCACGCGAGTCGCGCTTGTAGAACATCGTCGTGGCGGTCGAGCTGGCTGACGATTAGTAGCAGAATCTCGTCGCTGAGATCTAGCAGGGACAGCGTGTGGCCTGAATCTATTGTGCTCATCTTGAGAATTGGTGTACTTGTGGACGTGGACATGAGCAATGGCGTACGAAAAGAAAAATGAGAAGTACTGTCAGGTAGGACAAGGGAAAGAAATATCGCGTTTGTACAGTAGTGACTGTCCTTCACTGTAGAAACATCGTGTGAATTCGCACTACAGCGAGCATGAATTTGAGTTATCGAGCACGTTCAACGCGCGAGCTAGGCTGAAACAAACAAACGCGAGCAGGTGAAGTTGGGGCAAGTGCCAGTGCCCTGCATAGAGACTTCCTCACACCGGTTGCTCACGTGCGATATTACACAGATAAATTCGATGGATTCAAGACAGGCTGAAGGTGCTGTCAACTCTCACTTTGGAACGAGATCCGCAATGGTCCTCCGCTGGAAAGAAGGTTAGCCGATGAAATGGCGTCGATTATCATCAAGGTATCTACTTGAAAGCATAAGCATAACACAAGAAACAAGTCCTGAGCCAGTTGTTTATGTGTAAGATACAATATTCAGATATCTCAACTACTAAATCGCTTGCTCTAGCTACACCTCACTATCTCTCCACGCGCAGCTTAGAACAATCAAGTTCTGCCCGCAATGTTAATACACAAAAAAAGCAGCTAGCAAAGTGCTATCATGCTAGAGTCATAAAGTCATCTAGAAGACCTCAGAGCAACCCCAGTGCTGCTCAACACCGAACTGACCAGGCTTCTTCCATGCCTCGTCCTCAAACGAGAAGAAGACAACCTTAGCGCCAACGGCGGCTTGGATGCCTTTGATGGCAGTAGCCTGGTTCTCGGGCGATGGCACAGCCTTTCCGTTGGCGTTACCAGCGGATGGCCAGCCAGATTCCATCACGTAGACTTCCTTGCCTGGGCACACCTTGCTCAAGTCCTTGATCTGAGCTTGGATAAAGCTGCCAGCGTCCGAAGCAGCAGTGTCAGCATTGAAGAAAGCGTACAGATTGGCGGTGACAACGTCGACGACGTCACACCAAGCTGAGCCCTGACTCTGCCAGATAGAGAGCTCGTCAGTAGTGGAGACAGCGCCCTTGTAGCCGGCGGTGACGAAAGCAGTTTTGGCGGATTTGATAAAGCCAGCAAGGTCTGCAGCGGAGCAGCGACCTTGAAAAACGGCCTCATTACCAACAATGATCAGTTCGACAAGGTCCCATTGAGCCCACTTGGCAATGGCATCGACTTGAGGTTGAGCACCGGAGATACCAGTGTCCGAGATGAAAACCCCGAGGATGACCTTGATGCCACTTTTCCTGGCCGCAGTGCCAACATTCTCTAGAGTGGAGCAGTCAGTGCTGTAGACTCGGACAGAGGTGAAGCCCTTGGCAGCGAGCTTAGCGATATCGGCAGAGACTGTGGAGGCATCCTTGCAGCCACCCTCAGCAGTGTAGGGAGAATAGGTCATGCCGAACTTGTTGCCGTTGGAGCTGATGCTGCCTCCGTTCTGAGACCAGCCGCTCGAGCCTGTGGAAGACGTTGAACCAGAGGTTGTGCTAGCTTTGACTGACGAAGTGCTTGAGGCACTATCAGTCCAGGCAGTCCAAGACGAAGCAGGATCGCTGCTTGTCGACGTCTTCACAGCAGGAGTGCTTGAGGTGCTGGCGGTCCAGGCAGTCCATGAGGAGGCCGGATCTGTGCTTGTGGATGTCTTGACAGCTGGAGTGCTAGACGAAGACGACGAGCCCCAAGCGCCCCATGTGGCAGGATCAGTCGACACGACGATCGAAGGTGTGCTGCTGGTCGAAGTCTTGACAGCAGGGGTGCTGCTAGTTGAAGACCAAACAGCCCAAGTGCTTGGATCCGCGGAAGTTGATGTCTTTACAGCGGGAGTGCTCGAGCTCGAGCTTGTTGACGACCAAACGGCCCATGTCGCAGGATCGGTGCTGGTCTGCACGGCAGGTGTGCTGGAGGTTGCGCTGTCCCACTGGCCCCATGCAGTCGAGTTGACTGAAGTAGCAATTACCGGAGTAGGGAACCCTGCACATAACGTTAGCAATTTTCGACCAACATCATCTTCCATGTAACTTACAAACTGGTGGACCATAAGAGACACTGATCTGGATCTTGCAGTTTCCATTGGGGTCGCCACCAACAGCGGCAACAGGAGTAGCAATAGATGACCACGCACTCCAAGAAGCAGCCGGGTCGCTGTTGCCGCTTGCAGTTGATGTGCTTGCGCTCGCAGTCTTTGTGATCGTGCTAGACACAACTACAGTCTTGGAGTCTGTGGCTGTAGAAACGGCTGGAGTAGAAGCAGCCCCAGTGTTCCAGGCAGACCAGGTCTCACCACCATCAGCCGAGTAGACTGTGACAGTAAACCACTGTGTGCTGGTTGATGTGACTGTCTTTGTGACTGAACCATCTGGGTTTCCTCCAATGGTAGTGGTGTAAGTTGGCGTGTACGTCGAGGTCACCGTTGTTGTGCACTGTGTAGAGCTTGGGTCCCATGCCGTCCATGTAGCAGGGTCGGAGGCAGTAGTAGAGGTCGTGGATCCGGACACGCTGCTCTTGGTGGTGCTGCTGCTGCTGCTTGACCATGCGCCCCAGCCTGCTGGGTCAGAGCTGGTACTTGTGGAAGCCTTGGGTGTGCTGCTTGTGCTTGTTGTACCAGAGGAGGTACTGCTCGTGACTGACCATGCACTCCATGTGGCAGGGTCGGCGGATGAGGACGTAGTGCTCTCCGTTGATGTGCTAGAGGTTGACCCAGATGTCCAGGCAGTCCAGGCCGAAGAATCGACATCGGTGGTAGTGCTGCTCGTGCTGGTTGTCTTCGAGGTTGTAGATGGGTCAGTCGAGTTGGACCAGCCTTCCCATCCATCAGCGGACACTGAGCCCAAAAGGGCGGCCGCAGCCGCAAATGTCACCGCCTTCATGATGAAATGCTCCGGACTTCAGAGATTTTTATTATGTTTACACCTGGTAAGTTTTTGATGTTCGTGTTTTCGAAACCGAAACGAATGCCCGCGAAAGGAGTGACGCGGTAGTGGGAAAAGAGTGTGGTATTCGACGCCTTGAGGCTTTCAAAGAGCTCGACGTTGATCGTGCGCAAGCCTTTGAAGAGGACGAGCAGAAGGGACGTACATAGAGATGGCGGGAGGAAGCATATACATTGTATGCGGGTGATTGGCGCTAATGCTTGGGAGCCGTGGCTGCATTAGCGGATCCATGTTTGACAAGCTCCAAGGACGGATTCAACAAAGAAGATGGTGCTAAGCCGAACAAGGGCTGGCACACGCCATGGGAGAGTGGACGATGATTCTTCATGAACAAGGGGATCGACATTTGATGATTTCACTCGAGTCATTTTGCCGTCCTTCACTCTTTCTTGGTGAACTAAGCCTGGGAAAAGATTGTATGACAAAGTCTTCTGTAGGACAGCAAGTCATGCGGTCACGCCCTTACCATGGCAGCTGAATAGAACGTGCAGTCAATGTCACCAATTGGACTGGAAGCAGAAGCTACCAGAACTTGACATCAAGCTCGAAGGTTGGTAGCAGTCTTCTTGGTCTTGTGCAATCCCGGTCTGTTGCCAAATGAGGAGTTCGAGCTTGATGGCTCAGGACTATGGAGGGGGGGCGCCGAGCCAGAACAACCAGCGTCTGAAACGGCGGGTGTCAGTCACCCTTGGTGTGTGGGTGAAGACGCAAGCACAGGGTTGGGCCGTGAAATTGGATCGAATCTTTGTAATTCTCCTTTTCGAAATTAGAGCTTCGAATGCTAAACCAAGAACATACTAGTGTCTGTAACCTTATTTCGGTAGCAGGTCAATCGCTCCTTCTTAGGTTGACTAATCTTTATTTTTTCCCGTTCCTGCCTTGGTTACCTCGAGCATGAGGTCCATTTACTTGGTGCAAGATGTCATCCTCTACGGGACATAGTCTTGCGTTTAAACGATTTCCTTTCCGTGATAAACTTTGGCTTCACTGGTCGACGAATACACAGACAGTCCAACGGCCTTTTGTGTTCCCTCAAAACACGTCAACGGCAGGAAGTAGGTTAGCTTTTGCCCAGGGGTTCAGAGTTTTATGGTTCCAGCGATCAGTGTTTGGCACAAACATAGCTCGCACGATATTTCCATGCTACACGAGAATTGAACAGACAGTCCGTTGCTATCTCATCTACCAGTCGTCCTATCACCTTCCTTTTTCTCTCTAGGTATCACACCGAGCGTCAAGAATCCGAAATACGTTCTCAATCTGGTCGAGCACGGCATGTGTCGGGGAAATTCGCTGCATAAGTGTACATTCTGATTGGCTGTCGCGTATTACATTGTTCATCGTTCGGCAATCCAAAGCCTTGCATACGCGCTCCCTTGTCAACACTAATGCAAGCAATTCCAATGCCACTAACGTCTACCAAGACAATACCTTGCTATGCACCCAGCTTCAACAGAGAATCCGAAAAATAGTCCTTCTCAATGCCTAGAAGATCCCCTATTGGTCCATAAATTGATCCTCAAAGCCCTGTAGCCCTTCCCGAAGACCTCGTTCCCATGCCGCCAGCCTTGCCTCAACCGCTTCCATGGGCTGGTCTTTCATCCAAATCACATTACGCACGAACTTTTCCCTAAATGGCTCACTTTGTGCTTGCTCACCAGCGAGATACCGTCCCGATGCCCTGACGCCTTGTCGCTCAAAAGCAAATATCCCACTAAGATAGAGCTTGTAGGTATCTGCACCAATGTATGCAAATTGTTGGTCAGTGTGATTGAGGCTGTCAATGTTCTCCGCGTACGAGATCTGAGGATTCGAGCTTTGCAGTGGAATATTGCGCTGCAAATATGGTCGACGAACTTTTGCCGGATCGATACCTTCCGTCGGTTCGGACATGGTGTATGAAGCCACGTATGTTTGCCATTGAGCTTCATCTGATAGCTCATTGCTATCGAATGTCGTATCGTCTGGTGGGAACAAGCGGATAGTACAGCTCTTTTCAGTTGGATTCCAAGTAATTCTGAAGACTTCATGGTCTTTGGACATCCTCTTGACTGCATTTCGATACTGTAGCTCAATCTTTCGTGTGGTTTCCTGCCTTTCGCGGTCTTTGAAGAACAGATTGGCTATCTCAAGACTTCTTTCCTTGCTGTCCGCAACCATGATGGTGTTGAGAAAGCGAAGAATGGCATGCACATGTTTGTCCACCATATAGAGCTGCCAGCCAGACTTGTTGTAATAACGACGGAGCGTTTCTTCCAGGTAGTCTCTATCTACCCGGCCAAGCAGTACCTCGCAGCTCATTTCGACAATTTGATCGTAGTAGGTGCGCGACCCATCGACCTCTTTGAAAAAATCTTGGGGAGTCTTATCAACCATCCTCAATGGAAGAGCGGCTTTTGGAGCCATGCCGTCTCCTTTGAAGCGCCGAACCGCTTCGACGACTGCGACCTCATCCTTCTTCACAGCTAGAAGTCTGCTGTAGAGCATCTCAAAGAGACGGAAAAAGCAATAGAGATTCGAGTTGGCGTAGAAATTGAAAGTCTCATGCGGATAAGCATCATCCAGCTCGAGCTCTTGAAAAATCGTTCGAGACTCGGTCTTGTTCAGGCGGATCCATTTTCTGTGCTGCATCGCCTCCTCAGGTCCAGACTGCTCGTGCTCTTGCTCCGTGGAAGTTGTGCTTGGTGCTTCTGGGGCAGGAGTCGACTCTTTGCTAGTAGGTGCCAAGCTGTCCTCTTTGCCATTGCGATTCATCAGAGCACGATGTCGGAGTGACTCGCTAGTCTTGATAGCCGACCTGGCTTTACGTGACGTAGAAGCCTGGGCGTCGCTGTCGGCTTCGTCTACGCGATCTTCTGAAGGGCTCAACACCTGTTGTACAGCCGCATCGACATCATCGATGAACTGCTCACGCTCAAGGCCGAAGAATTTAACGACGAAATCCTGCAGCCAGCTCTTAATTTTGGTCTGTACATTGCTGTTGATGTCGCTCTTGTCGACTTCTAAACCAGCTAGGATCAGTTGCGTTGTGTTCATGAGCACAGCTTCATCAGCAAACTGATATTCGAGCTGGTATGTCTTGCTTCGAGCGCCTTGGTCACGACTGCGTTTTTGCTCTTCGTATTTTGCTTGAATCTCGCTGGTCAACGTCTTTTGCTGAAAATTCTTCTTGTCGGCATTTCTTTGTGCAATGCCCTGATGATCGAGGCTTCTCCAGAATTGTTTGTTAATCTGGTCCCTCCAAACCTTTTCCCATTCTCGTTGGACCTGCTTCCATTCCTCAAGTTTCTGCTTGAGGCGATTCAACACCGTAGGCATAACCTGAGCTGGCCGAACGAAAAGATCGTTGAGTACCTGGTTACCAACCTCCCGGCCATAGATCTTAAGTATGACTCGTTTTGGTATGGCTTCGCTAGCACCGCCAAAGGTCTTATCGACTCGAAAGTTTGCCCTTCCCTCGTCACTCATGACATTGATTTGCTGCACAAGAGGCTCCATGAGTTGAATTGTGCGCAGACACGATTCAATGTGGAAATCATAATCGTGTCGTTCTTCCTCAATTCTGTGCAACGACTCCTCGTACTGGTTCTTCCTATGGGCAACAAAACCACTGTCTTCGGACGCCCATGTGGGATGTGAGGCCCAGACATCGTTGAGCACTTCGTAACACATTCCATCACGACCTTTGCAGGTCTTGTTCTGGTCTCGTTTCGGGAGATGCCGATAGCTTGGTCCATAAGCTCTACAGTGTGCAAGATTGACTCTGCCTGTCTCTGACCTCATACGAGCTTCCACAATCTCGTCCTGTTCTTCGATGCCAAGAACGCCTCTAAAGTAGGCCATCAGATCAGACTGGCTACCAATAAAAGATTGTACTCTGTCAGCCAGCACATATTTGTCAATGATGTCTTGCGAGTAGAGGTTAATGAGCTTTAGAAATTCGGCATAGCTAGCTCGGTTGCCAATCTGTTTCTTGGCCCGCTCAAAGAAACCGAGTTCTTCCTGTGAGGTGCTTGCAGTGGAAGATGGTGGTAACGGCTCTGGTAATGCTGGCACGAGGGTTGGATCAACCGGAGGAGCGATAGGTAGTTCTGTATTCTTCTGTTTGTTGTCGAATTTCTGCTTTTTGCTCGCAGGTTGAGCGTCCATGCCTCGTCCTCGTGCTTCCTGTGTGCTCTGTGGCTGAGGCTGACTTGCTGCAGGAACAGGCGCCTTACGTTTCTTGTTATCTTTGGTCGTGCTTGGAGGGTCAAATTGACCCATGGGCGGCATTTTGGGATTAGGTCGTGGTGTTTGTGTCTGAGGCAAAGTTCCAGAATATGGTTCGTTCCGAGCTGAAGACGTTTCAGCATCGGCTTGTTGTGCGCGGGCAGCAGCTTGAGCCTTTGCGTGAGCAGCCGACTCCGGCAGAAATTGTTTGAAGTCTTCAAGCAAATCAGGTGCCGATATGAAAAGCTGAGTTACTTGAGCATAGACGTCTTGTATTGGTTTTGATTCTCGTTGATATGTCTGGAGGATTTCCAAGAACTGCTTGTAGATCTCAGGCTGCTGGACAAATCGGTTCTGCAATAAACGTGGTTAGCATCCACCTTTTAATGAAGTTGGCTTTGTCACTAAAATGCACACTAATTTGTGGACGCAGGTGGATCCAAATTAGAAAACTTACCTTGATCTTGTTTACATAACTTATCGCGTGGTTGAATTCGACTGGGCCACCACGCTTGATATCAGCGCCGTTTCCAAAAAGACTGGCTTGCTGGGGGTACAGACCTTGCTGGCCTGGTATTGGTGAGGAGCCTTGAGCAGGCCTTGTGTGGCCGTTCGCGGCGGCGGATGCAGCGTTCTGCAGCTGCGAGACGTTTCTCTGATCTTGTAGCATTGCCTCGGAATCAGGATCGTAGCCCGGCAGTCGAGCGTGACGTGCAGCAGGAGAGATCTGCTGTGCCCAACTACGAGTGCTTTCGACAGTATCTTGTCTAGGAAGACCAGCCGGCGGCATTGTGTCAAATGGGTCGCGGTTCCTGTTCTGTAACGAATGGGATATGGTGCCCGAAGGTGTAGTGACTCTTATCGCGTCGGGGTTATCTGCGGTACCGCACTCTATACGATATCCGGGAGGTAGGAAAGTGTTGAAGCCCTGAATCAATTCAGGATGACCGTTGAAAAGTTCGGAGACTCTAGAGATCACTCCTGGAGTGTCGATTGCCTGACTCTTGAAATCCTTCATAATGTCCAGAAAACGATTGTAAACATCTGGCTGATCACTAAAGCGGACTTTGACTTGATCTAGATAGCTCAATGCGTCATTGAGTATTGGTTGTTGACCACCTGCGATGTTTGAGTGGGCTGTAGCCGGTGGTGGTTGGGTCAGGTAATTCGGAGCTGCACTCTGCGGTGGCAGTTGATGCTGAGGATATTGCTGAGACAAGGGAACAGGAGCGTTTGTGGTGTGAACACCTGCGCCTCCACCCCCGAGGAGGCCGTTAGGTCCTTGCAACGAACCCTGAACCTTCGAGGCCACAGGCTGATGTAGTGGTAGAGAGCCTACGTGGCTCTGAAGAGGTGCCTGCTGTTGTTCTCTAGATAGACGTTCAAGATGTCTGTCTCTGGCTTCTCTTTCTTGTCGTTCTCGCTCACGCATCTCCTCACGAGCACGTAATTCTCTGATTTCCCGCTCTCGATTTCCATATTCTGGGGACTGATGTGGGAGATTAGCTGACAGTGAGCTTATAGGGTGTGATTGTGAATGTGCTGGAGGAGGTGCAGTGTTGTACTGAGACTGTGCGGGAACTCCTGCGGTCAAGTCTGCTATCGAGAGTCTGTCGCCTGCATGGCCAGACTGTGGTTGACCGTGCTGAAGTGGGAAGCCAGAGGATGGCGGTGGAGGCAGGACGTGAGGCTGCTGCGTTGATCCGTTGCCAGACCTGATTGATGATTAGCACATTGAACGACAACTGTTTGGAGTGTGTAGCAGGCCGATTTTGTTGCTTTCTTACCCGAACGCGCCATACGGCCGGTTTGCTTGCTGATTCTCGCCGGACGAGGGAGGACCTTGGCCACGCCAATGGTCGCCAGGAGCCTGATTCATTGCCCTTTGTCGAATAGGAAACACGCAGATGCTGCGTTAGCGAAGGTGGATGTTTGCTCTCAACTGCCTTCACTGCGGCATGTTGCTTCAGGATTGCGCCTGCAGGTTTAATCGAGGAGAGCAGAAAGCGTGGTGAATATCTGCGATCGATCGACCTTTTAAGCTCGAATATGAACGACCAGAAGCGTGTGATATTGAAACTTGAATGTTTGGTTATTGAATCAGGTCCTCAGGCTCGTAATAAGCTCGTGAGCCAGGGACACGTGCGCTAAAGAATACCTTAAACCTTCCGTTCCGTCATTATCTCCACTACCGATGGGAATATATTTTCCTACCTTCAACACGAGCTTTGCGCTGCAGATTTGTTTGCAGCGCTACGAATCTACATAGTGATCATGATGAGCAAGAATTGAAGCTTCACAGCATTGGATATTGATACAGAGCCACAGGATGTCTATTTCTTTTATTCGTGAATACGCGTCAGGGGTTGGTCTAACCAAGCAACTTCGAGGCCAAAGACATGAGCCCTGATGGTCCTCCGCCACTGGTAGAACCACCTCCCATCTGATTTTTCATATACATCTGCAAAGCCATCTTGGCTGCGGATGTTATAACTGACTGCTTATCAGTGCCACCTGTCACGAGTTAGCTTCAGTTGTCGAGATTTTGTTGCCATTGAACTCACTTGCGACTTTGCCCTGTCCACTCTGTTGGTCAAACAGTTTCGAAGCTTCCTGCATTGCCAGCGAGATCATCTGAGCTTGACCACCGCCCTGCTGCTTGCCATTATTGCCTCCTTGAAATGTCTTCAGTGCCTGCATTGCAGCTCCTGAGCAATATGTTAGCTTTTGTTTACACAGGTCCAATATGTCAACTCACCAGCGCCCAAGCTTTGACTGTCAAATTGCTGACCACTTCCTCCATGTTGATACAGCTGTTGGTGGCTCTGCTGTATGCGGTCCTCGTCATAGTCTTCGTTCTGGATCCGTTGTTGGTTTCCGCTCAAGAACGACATGGCAGAGGAGAACATATCTGCATCTCCTGGTCTGTGGTTGGAGGCATGTTGGGCAGCTTGTCCGAACTCATCGTTCGTGGAGGGATATCCACCAGAGGAATTATCACCACCTCCATAGCCAAATGAGCCACCGCCTGCACTACCTGAGTATCGATCCTCATCTTGTCCTCCACCATATTGACCGGGCCCCTGGTGCCTGCGCTCGTCGCTCATTCGATACTCATTTGGACGTCCATAGTCATCTCCTCCACCATATTCGTGCCTCCTCTCTTGCTGGCCGTAACCGCCACCTGCACCATATCCACCACCATAGCCATCATCTCTTCGGTCGTCTCTCCGATTTTCGCGTCTCTCGTGCCTTCTCTCTTCCTGTCCGCCATAACCTCCGCCAGATCCATAGTTATCATCTCGACCTCCATATCCCGACCGAGCACCATATTCTTCCCCGCGATCGTCCCGTCGATCATAATCCCCTCCACCATAGCCGCCTACTCGGCCTTCACCACGTCGATTACCTGAGTCGTCGAAGTTGTTGCCGGCGTTGTAGTAATTGTCCCTTCCTCGACCTCCTCCACCATACTCGCGCTCATCGGAAGGTCTATCATAAGACATTTTGTGTAGATATAATGATTGTTGCACTTGGGAGTATTTTCTTGATTAAAAGCAGCGAAGGCAACAAAGGAAATTGGTTACTGTGAAGGGAGGAAGAAGAACAGTATCACAATTTTCACAAGGACTATAGTTGTACATTTCGTGAAAGTGTTACGCATGCTTTGATATCACCACCAGCCTCTGCTGGAATCTGTTTACGCAGACGTGGGGCAGATTGACGTAATTAAATTGGAGACTTTGCAGGAACACCAACAATCAAGGTTCAGGAATAGAGGTGCTTGTCGTCAAGCAATGGCTATGAGTAGTGCTCGAAATATCATAGTCCTGGTGGTTGGCAAGTCACTTCCAAAACTCGTATATACGAACGGGCAATGAAGCTTGTGACTGTCCAGAACACATAACGTGAAGTTTGGGGCAATGCTTCTATACGCAGTGTACAAAGGCTATCATATATGAACACAATGCTGACCGGTACACCCTCCGAACCCAATGCCATCTGAGGCATATCTTTGAAGAAGCGACTAAACGCCTCACTCAACGCACTCACAGCCAGTGATCCGTCTTGCTTTGCACCCACGGTCCAAAGAAGAAGATCGGGATGGTAAGAAGGAACAAAGCGCCAGAGCTACCAGCCAAACACCCATATGTAACCAGGGGACCTTCCTTCAGTGTCCAATTCACCATCACCCTGATCCTGCAATCGTGGAAGCAGGAAAGGAAACGACAAACGCAGATTACACAGGTTTCGTCGTGCACGCCGTGCTCAGGGAACCTCTGCAAATGAAGGCAGGACCGCTTGCAGATCTCGCAGTCATGAACACCATCTGTGCACCAAGCATGAAATAGCTTCTGGAGAACTACGACGCCTTGGACAACGGCGATCTCCCCAGCAGCGCCCATTTTGAAGCCTCATGTCCAAGTTCAATTGACGAGACACGCGCACCTCCACTCCCGGACGAGCAGTCCTCCACTTCTTCTGCATGACAAAGTACGACATCTGCGGAGGAGCGTCGAAATGGGACGACGAGTATGTATTATGTTGATCCGGATAGGAACATGGTTAAAACTCAGGTTGATAATTTTGATACGGTTGAGGAGACGATTGAGTTTATGGAGACGGAGGAGTTTCGGCAGAATCCCATGGGTGCGGATTTTCATCTAGAGGAGTTTGTACAGAGGGTGAGGGGTGACGAGGATAATAAGGTGGTCAAGAAGAAGCCAGACGTGGGACCTAGGGCTCGAAAGAAGGACTTCCCACCCTAGACTTATCTGGCAAGATGTTATATTGGTTTGGAGAGGTTGCATTAACTGGACAGATCGCACAGTGTCCACTCGCTGCGATAGATCCATCTGAGCATCTTGTGTTTCGGATGTAATGCTTGAAACAGGATCACTCAAGCCTTTCGTTCGTCTCATGGCATACACGTAAGTCGTTGAGTATTGACAAGAGTATGTCCATTGTCGCGTGTTCATCACTTGAAGTATAGCTCTTGCCTCAAGTGCTCAGGGTGTCCGATTTCCCAGCTGTAGTCATTTTGCGGAACACCATGTGGAAAGCCCAAGGACGCTCTAGTAAAGGTCTTCTGATCCCAAGACAAATTGCCAGGTTGAACACGAATTAGCCCAGCATCCTCTTTGCGATTTCCGCGCTGAGCACTAATCACGTAGACGCAAAGACCCTCGTGACCCAACGCTATGAGATTGTCCGGAAGATCTCCCTGAGGCCAAGATCCGGAGAAAAGAGCAGCGGCATCCTGCAATCTCCGCGAGTCGTTGACGTTCCAGTCGTTCATAAAGAGCAGCTTTATGCGTGAATATGGTTCTTGGCGACCGATCGTCGCTGTCTTGGCTGATAATAATTTCTTGCATTGTCGCTGGTAGAAGCATAGCATGCCGGCTCGAGAAGGATAGAGCTTAGTCACAACCGTCATTCGTGACAAGGCCAGGCCAAGGTTGACGATTGTTTCCATAAGAGCTAGGAGGCAAAAGCTCTGTGGGAGGGTTCCGGTATCATTATCGGAGTAAAATGGATGATGACACAAAGTGCAACCACAAAGTTGAACCAGACCTTGAGCACCATCGTTACACTTCTGCATCACTTCGGAGCTAGAGAGGGTTTGTATGCGCTCCAAACGTCCTTGTAAATGCCTCAACTCAGGAAACCAATTGCACAAGGTCTGGATTAGGCCCATACCAAATGAAGCCGGATTTGCGCGGTTCTCCTTCGATATCATGTCGCTCGGTGTGCTCGGATCGTTGATCAGTAACTCAAACAACCTCGCGACGCCGCCGATGGACTTGACTAGTATTTTGGACTCTTGGTGAGCAATCTTATGAAATGAGTTCTCGAAAACTTTTGGTAAGAAAGCTTCCCATATTACACGCCCAGTGAACGGTAATTTGGGTAATGATTGTGCCTCGCCATCTGCTGGACAAATCAATCTCAATGTTACAGACTCCTGCACCTTCAACGTCGAATTCAAGTCCTCAACATTATCGATGAAGATCAAATGCAACATTGCTCCACTGATAAAATGCGTTGCGTACAAATTTTGCCCATCTCGGGACGAAACCTGCACATCGATGCCTAGAAAGAGCTCTGAAAAGGCAGCGAACCTGAAGGCATCAGTCCCTGGCAATAGTTACAGAGAATAGTTGTTGCACTCACCAACTCAAGAAGTTGCCACCAACTAGTGTCAGTTGCCCTTTCCCTGCTAGACTGAGGTCACCCAATGCTTTTAGAGCTTTTGCGAAATCATCAGGAGCGACCAAAGAATTACCACATGAGGTCGAATGACCAGAGGTAACACGATAAGGATCGAGCTGCATACGATCATCGATCATACGAGCGAAATCAAGGGTGGAGATGAGTCCATTGACCGACCGAACGAAATTTTGCCAGGACGAAAATGAAGGATTGACACGATCCTTGTCCTCGTACATTCGACCTAGACAGCTCAATATCGAAGCGACATACGCCTCTGGTAGACATTCACCCAGAGCAGAAGCAAGCAAAATGTGCTCGTATTCGTAGAGATGAAGGCCTGCGTTGCGCCAGACATGTTTCTCGTTGAAACCGAACTGTAACCTGTCATCAACAGCCACAAAAACTGGCAGGTTTGTAAGGGAATGATTAAAGTACCGCTCTCCAGCTGTTGAGGGCTTGTAGTTAGTGCATGCAATGCGCGCGAAATTGTTGGTATAAAGGGGGACTCCTGCAAATTCGAACTGCGATAGAACGCGGTTTGAATATTGTAATTGCAGATCGATAGAATCTCGCAACTCATTTGTGTACTTGCGCGCCATAGTGTACGTCTAGCCGTGGTACTTAGGCAAAGACTCCGAGCTTCGAAAATGTATTATGCTGCAACTCGCAATGCCCATCAGTAGTGACAAATATTGCTGGTCTGCTAGGCGCAATCGTGGGCCGAAGATTCCGTGTTCTACCAGGACTCATACAGGGCTTCATAGAATCAAATACTGGAAGCTAGTCGTTAACTAAGACGTGCATCGTCCAGTCGACGACGTCTCCTGCGTAGTCATTTCAGAGTCGCAGGCCACAGCTTTGTCATTCGTCAGATCTGTGCCTCATGTCACCCCGCGTGAGTTTTCCTCATGCTATATTGAGCGTAATCGGAAGCTCCAGTCAGGACACTCGAGACGTGTGCTTCCATGCTTGTGTGCTGTGTAAATTGTGGCTGCCCACAAAGCCAGAGAACACTATATCGTTCTCCTATTAATCTAGAGTGCAATTGTGTTATACGAATGGTCAGTCTCTTGAAAATTTTTGAGAAAATACTGGAATAATGGATAGGCATAAATTTGCATCGGTACGAGATTGAACAATCTTAATGTCTTGAGTTGCCGGTGCTATACCCAAGATTCAATTTCAGTGAAGCAACTTGACGGTCATCGAGGTCATCTCTGCAGCACACACAATATGAGCATGGAGCGTTCCTGAGTCGTGGACAAGCAAGTATCAACAAGCCCACTCAACTACTAGTAGTGTATAAGAATCTAGCCGAAAAGTGAAGCTTGCATCGTCAGCGCAATTATCGAGAGCGTGATATCTAACTGGCAGCATATGTTCCGCCTTCCTTCTCATCAATCCTCTCATCACATGTCGAGCTGAGTACGATCTTCAGACGACTCTGAAATTCCAACACGACAGACGACCACAGTATGGGCAGACAAGATGCTCGTCAAGAAGTCTTGGTGGCCTATTCTTCTATGCGCCTGGTTGACAAAGTTGTCGCTGCTTCTTTGCGAAGCGGCTCAGAAGATCACGTGCGGCCTGGATCTCCACAGATACTGCAGCTTGCCAGTTGTCCCGGTCAAAAAAACCTGTTTCATTGTCCGATATCCTTGCACCCTGCACAATCTGCAGGCTTCATCCTGACCACTTTATGGGTCTGTTCATCCAAAATTGAAGCTGACAGGATTTCACAATGGTTAAGCATGAATTTTCAACGAATCCTGTGGCTGATCTCTGACGTCGCTGCCGCCACAATGTGGATGGTGAGAATGGGCTCTGCTTGAATTCAAGCCAGGACGATCTCCTCGTGGTTCGAGTGGGTTCGTTTATCTGCCTTGACCAGGATCTAGGAGTACGAAGAGGAACGTCGTCACAGCTGTGTTACGTCTCACATACCAGCCTCTCGAGAAGTCTGCACAGATGTGGCTCTGAGCTATATGACACAACGAATACTTGCAGTTTTGCTTATTGACCTATCCAATCTTCTACCAAGCTTTTGTCCATAACAGTTCCGTGCTTTCCGTTCGTTTCTCAAATTCACTTCAGACAGCTTCACCCATCTTCCTTGCTAACTGTCCAACATCTGCGTACATTGAGCGCACCTTCAGGCAACATGATGGACAACGAGACCTCGACGCAAGCCATGGAGCGCAAAGAGAAGCCTCTGAATGAGTAAGTCTCATAACACAAAATACCGCTTCGCTAATAACAAAACAGGCTTCTAACCGAATCTATGGTGAACATCTATGTTGGATCCGAAAACACACATTGGTACATCCACGAACGGCTCCTATGCTATTACTCTCCATTCTTCTCCGAAATATTCTATGCCGACGACAAAAATCCGGAAAAGCGCAAAGCGCAAAGAACCAAAGCATACGGCCTTCAAGATGAGGACGACCTAGCCTTCGAAATGTTGGTCGGTTGGCTTTACTCGCGAAGCATCAGAGTACCTAAAGAGGAGAAAGATGTTGGCCCCTTACTCGACCTGTATCTTCTCGCGGACAAGCTGCGCATTGGGAAACTAAACACAGAACTGGTAGAAGCTGTTTCGGATTTCTATTATCAATCTCGCACTTACCCATCCCTGCGCAGAGTCCAGCATATCTATGCCAATACCGATGACGACAACGAGATGCGTGAGATGATGGTCGGCGCCGTTGCCAAACTTCTTACAACTAGCGACAAGATCCCTGCACACTGGGCCGCAGCACTTCAAAGAAATGGACAACTTGCTGTTGACATCATTCGATCCATTCAGCAGTGGAGACTCGAGGAGAAGACCATTCCAGATGCCAGAGATCGCAGCTCAAGCCGTGGCAGAAGTGCTAAGAATGGTTTCAGTGCGGTTGAGCGTGGCGGAACAGATAGCATGGAAACTGAGAAGACTGGTGGAAGCAATATGGGAGTCGAGAGCCTCAACTCAGACCATGACCAAGATCACTCGATGAACGACAGTCAGTTAAAAAGCGAGGACAGCGAAGCGTAAGTCGTCATTGAAATTACCACTTTGCTGTTTGCCGCAGAAGGGGAGGATGATTAAGAAGAAAGTGCATTTTGAGACAGTCAGTTCTGGCGCCTGATCTACCCCTACCATATTCTTGTCAAGCATCGATGTACTTATAGCAATTTCAGTTGGAACAAGGCGTTAGTTTATGGAGGATGAAGATAATCGACCTGGTTCCATACAATTCTCAACCTTTCTTTTGTAAACCGCGCAAAACAGCCTCTGATTTTTCGTATCTTTGTCGGCTACCTTTCTCACTCAGAGCAGGCATGCGAGCTTCACGACCCCACCGCCGAACTACTCGACAGTCAGTTCGCCCGCCCCAACGATATCGTCCTCGAGGCATACGACCCCGAAAATCGAGAAGCGGTCGCCCGAAAGCAATGGTGCTAAAGAGGAGATGCGGTATCGATACGAACCGCAAAGGCCACCAGATGATCACTCGAAGATATCCTCACCAATTCTAACGAGTCCACCCACGTCAGGCAAGATACGTAGTCGAAGACTCTCGGTCACGTTCGCCGACGAAGTACATTACAACCTACCCGTACAGGACGAGGAGGATATATCAGTTGCAAATGGAAAGGTTCACAGTACATACACATTCTTTCCATCGCCTCTCGCGGCCTCTGCAAGACCTGACTTTGCGACGGCACCAGCAGTGGACGGTTTAGGAATCCACTCGTCACCTCTCGTGGCGGCCTCAGGACCAGCAAAGTGTGACGACGAGGTTGCCAGGCCGATTTTGTTGGCATCAGATGCAGACAAGCAGGAGAATAAAGGGGCCATGAAACCAGAAACTTTTATGCTAGCAGTCTTGTGGATGTTGTATCTCGGTTGGAGGGCCACAATTTGATAGTGCCCAACAACGAAGCATGAACTTTATGATACGAAACGATGATACATGACCCAATTGAACACATAGTTGCTCTTCTAAGTGAGTGAGCGTTCAGAGTTGACGATTACACAGTCTTCACGCGTCAATACTATCCATGGTACGAACTGTGATGGGTGGGTAGTCGTTTATCCTTGGGATTCCACACCAGGGCTTCCCGCTCGGCTCGATCCTTCCCTAAAACTTCTCGAGTCGAATTTACCCTTTTCTTTTTCATTCTGTTCTTCATGTTCCAACTCAGTAGGCATATGCTTGCGTCCCAGAATACGAACCTCCTTTGCTGCCCTACTCTGAGATGCACATTCAGGCATGACGTCTGCCGCGCTTTTCGTCGCAGTGCCTAAATTTCATGTTCTATACCAACATCGTTCTTCGTAAGCTTTCAGTTGGATACCATTCTGGCCTGACTTTCAACGCTATCAGTCACTGTTATTGGATATGCACTACATGAAGTCCTTTGCTTGTCACACGGCTACCCCACGCTGTTAATCAAGTCTATCACGCTTCCGTGAGCGACTTGTGACAGCTGTCTGATAGCCACCTACCACGATGGCGGAAATAGGGCTGAACGTCTATCAAGTCATACAAAATGAACTTCTTGCTCGCGAAGGAGATCGTCAATCCCTCGGTCTAGGCTTTCGTCTTGCGATTATTGAGATCAAAATTACGAATTGTGAGAATACTGCACGCAACGGACGTATATGGAAATTGAACCATGCCATAAGTCCGCTGAAGGCCTTGACGCCAGACGCGCGACGTGCAGCCAAGGCACAAGAGCGAAAGCTTTTGAGGCAACGAGGCCGGGATTCACATCGCGACCCCAAAGATCCGACCAAGCTGATTCGTGATGAGGAGATATGGGAAATTGCCGAGTTCTTTCCTCGAACCCTCCTCGACTTCAAGGAGTTACAGTTCAGTCCTGCAAAGGTAAGGGATCTGATGGAGTTCTATAGTGTGAAAGCATACACTCCTGACCAAAGACTGATCGATATACATCCGGACGACGAACTGAGAGACGTGGGTCTGAATTTAGAAACGTGTATGGAGGAGCTTGCAATGTGCTGGGGTTTAAATTGGCATAAGATCGAGGGTCTAGCACTTCCTCAACGAGCGAGAAGCGATCCATCAGCAGACCTACATTTTCCACCACCTCCAGGACCTGGTCCTGGACCTGGCTATTTCTCACCTCCGCCCAGAGCAAGCACATACAACGTATGAGTTGAAAGGCTCTTCGGTGGAAATGCCGCCGGCCGGCATCGAAGTCGTGCTATCTGAGACTAGCTTCATCTGCTGCTGCAGTCTCATGCGGAGAGATATGGCTGGGTACAGGGCGACGGTTGACCGGTGTCCACGATGACAACAATTGGACGAAATTGATGATTTTCTCTGATAGACACGTAGATATTTGTGGTGGTATACTGGAGTGACTTCTGAGGCACGTCGCAGACGCGAAGGATGGTGCCCAGGACGGTAGAATGAAAGTATATGCGTAGGAACAGGATTCATCTCGGAGGTTAAGTCGAGGAAGAGGCAATGCCTTTGTCCCTCAACTTTCTGAGCCTCTGGTTTCAAAAGACAATTCCACGTGCTACTGTACCTGATTCCCCTGTTCCGGGTGCCTGCTCCGACCAAGCTTATCTGATTCTGGTTGGCACTTCAGGTAGGTTGAGTCCACTCCCTGTCTTGGCACGGAAGAGCCTGACGTGCCTGAAAGCCGGGCAGTTTACGCGTAGATCCACAGCATTACCAATCGAAACTAAATCGTCAGTGCGATGACAGTAACATTGTTGCTACTAAGTCTCTGCACATCTGAACAATGGCTGGATTCACGAGTCTTACGAACCACGACGAGTAATCACACCGACTCGTGGCCATGACCTCCTCTCAAGCACCTCGAGAGCGCAATGGCTCAGAAACAACACCACTACTATCTAGATCATCAACGGCTTACGACGGCGAGACGCAACTCGTCAAGCAAGATGGCCGAATTAAAGTTAGCAAGGCTCGTGGAATAGCAATCGCCTCGTCTATGTTCGTTCTCATCTTCATTTTGACATGCAGTGTCTCTTTGATGACTACCATTCAATCACCCATCGCCGAAGAGCTCAACGCGTCGAGTGAGGTTACGTGGTTCAACGCAGCATATCTAATTGCTGTAACAAGCTTGACGCCAATATCCGGAAAACTCTGTCAGATCTTCACGCCTCGGGTATACCTGTTCGCTTCAATTATCGTACAAGCAGTTGGATTGCTGATTACTTCGGGAGCACATAATATAGCTACTTTCCTCACGGGACGCGCGGTTTGTGGCATTGGCAGTGCAGCTGTTACGCCAGTGTCGTTCATTCTGGTCACTGCTCTAGTGCCGCCGCCACGGCGCGGTCTGTTCTTCGGCCTGATCAATACAGGATACACATCTGGACTGGCTTGTGGCGCGATCATTGCTGGCGCACTTGAGCCACGACTCGGATGGAGAGCTATCTTCTGGATGCAGATACCTTTCAGCGTTGCTGCGGTAAGCGTTGCGCTTGCCATGATCCCTAGGGGTGAGAAGACGGACACCACTGGAGAAGAAAGCATAAGGACGAAGTTAGCACGCATCGACTTCTTCGGAGTATTGACCCTGGTCACCACTCTCATCCTACTGCTTTATACACTATCTGCCACAAAGATCGACCTCAGGGCGGTGTTCTTGTCTATCGGAATGCTCATATTATTCATCTTAGTCGAGTCAAGATGGGCAGCTGATCCTATTGTTCCACCTTCAGTCATGCGATCTCGAGCCAATGTATTCTCGGGAATAGCAACTGTAGGAGTCATGACAGCTCGATGGGGAGTTCTATTTTACACACCTGTGTACGCCATTGCAGTGCGAGGCTGGCTTCCCTCAGCTGCAGGTGCTCTTCTGGTTCCGACGAACGCTGGTTTTGCTCTAGGAGGCTTGATAGTGGGTTGGCTGCATATCAGGAGGGCAGGGTCATTTTACTTGCCTACCGTGGTCTCCTTCGTGCTGTTCGTGGTGGTTCACTTTGGGGTTTCCCAATTGGTTACGACTGAATCGCCTCTCTGGCTGTTCATCATAGCTTTGTTCCTCAATGGCTTTGTGGTTGGTGCACTATTGGTATATTCTTTGGCTCACCTATTACATCTTACATTACCATCTCAGCACGTTATCGTCATACCCTTCAACGCAACCTTTCGCAGCTTCTCTGGATCATTTGGTGCCGCTATCACTGGAGGCTATTTCCTACGCACGCTTTCCCGCAATCTGCACAGCGGTTTCAAAGCAATTGGTATGCCACACAACGGGGAGCTCGTACGAAGACTGCTCGGAAGCCCTCAACTCGTGCAAAGGCTCAATGGCGATGAAAAGCAAGTTGCAATCGATGCATATACAGCGGCTCTCAAGGCTACCTTCCTGGGTGGCGTTGGTTTGGCTATCGTTATGACAGCAGTCCAGGCAGGTGTTGGCTGGGTTGCTCCTGAAGAGGACAGTCACAAACTCGGGCGCGACGACTCGGACGCTATAACACAGGTACTGTCGCGGGAAGCTGCCACGGGGTAACACAGAAAGATTGTGGCTCGTATCTTGCTTCACAAGACGACCATTTTAATACCACAATTCTTCGAGAGACTATCGTTCATGCTATCACGTTGACAGTGCTCGAGCGGCTCGTACTGTGATTCCTGTAACAGAGGCAATCCGGTAGACATGGTAGCCGATCTCTCTGATTGATCACATACCAACAGCGGCCAATTCTCAAAATGCATCGGTAAACCATTTCCGTCAAATCCAGGATTTGTGACGTCAATTGGGCTTCCGTCATATTCGGATGCCAGAGCCATACTCTGCGCATCAGCGGCAAAAGAGCATCGCTCAGAGTACGGAAATATAGTTTTGAATAACTCGTCACAGGCGGTAGGAGGGATTATACTTCTATTACAGATGAATTATCAGTCTCTTATCTTCTTCAACCCATATGTTTCATGGTAAACTGCTCCAAAGAGCTCAACTACCTCGGACACGGCTCGCCCAAATGGCCAACCACATCAACCAAAGTGCTAATGGTGCTTCGTATACAACTCTAGCAGAGATCAAGAAGACGAACAACTTCACTTCACATCTACCTCCTGACCCTGCCTTTCCTACTCCACTCGACGCGCAGAATGCTCCTCGAAAGAAACTCTTCCCTCGCATGGTGCGAAACGCATTGTATACATACGTCCCTCCAGTACCTTCCGAAGACCCAGAATTGTTGGGCGTAAGCCGAGCAGCCCTTCGAGACATTGGACTGAAAGAAGAAGAGGCCAACTCAGAAGAATTAAAACAGGTCGTCGCTGGAAACAAATTCTATTGGGAGGCGGACGGTGAAGAGAACAAACAAGGCAAGGGTGTATACCCATGGGCACAGTGCTATGGCGGATTCCAATTTGGTAGCTGGGCTGGTCAGCTAGGAGATGGAAGAGCGATCTCGTTGTTTGAGTCAACAAATCCCTCAACGGGAGTAAGATACGAGTTGCAGCTGAAGGGCGCGGGTAAGACACCATATTCACGTTTTGCAGATGGTCGGGCTGTACTGCGATCCAGCATCAGAGAATTTGTCGTCTCCGAGTACTTGAACGCTCTGGGCATCCCGACAACTCGCGCTCTTTCTCTTACCCTGCTGCCGAAACTCGATGTCGTCCGTGAAAGGCTGGAACCAGGTGCTATTGTCTGCCGCTTTGCGCAGTCGTGGCTTAGAATCGGCTCGTTTGATCTGTTGCGAAGTCGAGGCGATAGAGAGAACATCCGCAAGCTTGCTACTTACATTGCAGAGGAAGTCTTTGGTGGCTGGGATAAGCTTCCAGCTCGACTCGACAATGTTGACGACGAAAACAAGCCCAAGGACGACACTCATCTAGACCCATCAAGAGGTGTATCAAAGGACGACTTGCAAGGTCCGGAAAGTCATGAGCAGAATCGATTTGCAAGATTATATCGAGAAATCGTCAGACGAAACGCTAAGACAGTTGCAGCATGGCAAGCTTACGGTTTTATGAACGGTGTACTGAACACTGACAACACTTCAATCTTTGGCTTAAGTTTAGACTTTGGACCTTTCGCTTTCATGGACAACTTCGACCCATCCCACACTCCTAACCATGACGATATGATGTTGCGATACGCTTACCGTGCTCAGCCAACCATTATTTGGTGGAACCTGGTTCGACTAGGCGAATCACTGGGTGAGCTCATTGGCGCTGGTGAACGTGTAGACCAGGAGACCTTTGTCGAGAAAGGCGTGGAAGAGGACTTTGCACCTGTGCTCATCAAACGTGCGGAGAATATCATTGATGCCACGGGTGAGGAATACAAGGCGTTGTTCTTGTCCGAATATCGACGACTCATGACGAAACGACTGGGTCTGAAGACACAAAAGCAATCAGACTTTGACAACCTCTTTTCGAATCTGCTTGATACGATGGAGGCACTCGAACTGGACTTCAACCACTTCTTCAGACGCCTGTCAAGCGTGAAAGTTGCCGACATCGCAACAGAGGAAGCACGTCAAGAAAAAGCCAAAATCTTTGCACATAGTGAAGGCACAACTGGATTGAACGAGACTGAGCAATCATTGAAAGAGAAGGTGGGCGCATGGCTCGAAAGCTGGCGCGAGAGAGTCATTGAAGACTGGGGCGAAGACGCCTCTGCTGACGAGGAGCGAGAGAAGGCTATGAAGAGCGTCAATCCCAACTTTGTGCCTCGTGGATGGCTACTTGACGAAGTGATCCAGAAGGTCGAGAAGCAGAAGGACCGAAAAGTGCTGGGAGCAGTCATGGAGATGGCTCTGAATCCATTCATTGATTCATGGAAGATGGACGAGGTGCTTGAGAAGAGATATGTCGGCGATGTGCCAAGATTGAAGAGGAGCGTACAATGCAGTTGTTCGTCGTAGCCGGCATGCGTCTTGATGAATCAATTTGATCAACTTCTCAATCAACGTCTTTTGTACACCTACTTCCACAACAAAAACTACTACTACTACTACTACTACTACTACCACCACCACCACCAGTTGAGAACCGAATATCCAAAACTGCAAAACAATCAACAGCGAGGATTCGCTGGTTGTCTCCAACCCAACTACTAACTCGTCGGCGCCAGGCTTGAGTACGGGTGATCGAACGGGAACCCCTATTTTCCTAACCCTATGGTCGATTGCGAAGGACAATGTTGTTAACATTCTATATGTAATCTAGAAAACAGGAAATCTCTACCCTACGTTTCCAGCTGAGCCGTTCACTCACGGTCTACTGATATCAGATGAGTGATTTCCAGCGCATCTCCGCAGTCCGTTTCTAGCTCGTTATTTCTTATCACATTCCTGGACGAGGAATTAACACCGGAAATGTGAAGTTGCATACGTACTGCTGCTTGTTAGTAGAAGTATTGCTCAGAGAGCAAGTCCGAATTCTATATGCAAGTGCCAAGCCCTGTGCCTGAGCCAGCGGAACACTTCCGCTTACCACCTTCCGCATCGTCGCGTGTTCGCTGCGTTCCCCATAATTTTCTTTCCCAATAGACATCAATGTGTACTCAATATAGTTCTTTCTTCGCAAAATTTGACAGTAGTGGAGCGATCGAGACTTGAAAGTACTATCTTCAGAACACTGCTTAGCATCCACAAATGATGCCATTTGACAGCAACCAGGTTGTCAATATGGGCACATTCACTATGGCCACTCAACTCTAATCGGAGCGACCTCCCTACTTGGACCGGTACAGAATGAGGCAACGGTTTGTCAGAGTTGCTCGTGGAACGCGCGGGGAGCGAGGACTATATACTTTTCTGTATCATACAGGTTGTCTCGCTTCGTGGGACGAATATGAAAAGAGTGGTTTGGTTCCGTGCTAGCCACGAAGCACTCATCTGTCTAGAACCATCTGGACACACAACCTGACGGTGACGGACGTTTCGCAAGGCACCTACCATGAACAACGGCAAGGATGGGTTTCAGTGGACGCCTGAGCATGGTCTCCAGCATGGTCTGCCAACTCTAGGTACCATCGACCCTCTCAAAAAGCACTCTGCCACATCTCAAGTCTACGACGTGATCGTCGTCGGCGCAGGATACGCAGGTCTTATAGCCACAAGAGACCTGACAACAACAGGACATAAAGTCCTACTACTAGAAGCACGAGACCGTATTGGCGGCCGCACATGGTCCTCAAACCTAGACGGCTACCCTTTCGAACTTGGCGGGACATGGATTCACTGGAACCAGCCACACGTGTATAAAGAGATCTCGCGGTATGGTCTACAGGATGATCTCGAGAACAGCCATGACTTGACAAGGGGTATCAATTCGTTCCTGGTGAAGACAGGTGGGCAGTTTCATAAGATGAGTAGAGCTGAGGAGGGCCAGATAATGGACAAAGTACTTCGGAAATTCGTCAATGTCGATGGCACTTTCTGCAGGACCACGATACCGATGCCAGGCAGTCCATCGCTTGGCTCTAGTCCAGCAGTACAAGAGCTCGACAAGCTATCACTCCGCGATCGTCTGAATCAAATCGAGTCTGAACTATCCAGCATCGAGAAAGCAGTTCTCGAAGGCTTTCTGGCAATTACCTGCGGCGCACAAGATCTCGCAGACGCCAGCTTCGTGGAAATGCTTCGCTGGTGGGCCCTCAACAACTACGACATGGTGCTCTTCATGGAACAATGTCTAACCTACAAGCTGCGCTCCGGCCAATCAAACTTCGCACGGCACTTCTTCGACGAAGCCCTTGCGACAGGACGGCTAGAATACCGTTTCAATGCCGTCGTGAAATCGATTAACCAAGACCAAGCTGATGGCACTGTAACCATCACAACAGAAGACGACAACAACAACACATCCTATCACGCCCACCGCGTCATCTGCACTATCCCCCTAAACGTCCTAAACGACATCGAATTCATCCCTGCCCTCCCACCCCTCAAACTCCAAGCTGCAAATCAAGGCCACGTCAACGTCGTCAACAAAGTCCACGTCGAAGCCGCGAATCCAGACCTCCGTTCCCTGTCCGGTACAATCGCCGCTCCATACGATAAATTAACATATATCTTCGGCGACGGCACGACTCCAGCAGGAAACACGCACCTAGTATCGTTTGGAAGTGCGTTTACAGGCGTCCATCTCCGCGCAGACGAGGATATCGAAGACACGAAAAGAGCGTTACAGGCGTTTATTGGGGAGGGGGAGGGAGAGAGAAAGATGGATGTGAAGAGGATTGTAAGTCATGATTGGGCGAGGGATCGGTTTGCCAAGGGGGCGTGGGAGTGGTTGAGGCCTGGGATGACGCGGAAGGAGGTACTTGAGGGGTTAAGGGAGAGGCAGGGGAGAGTGTTCTTTGCGAGTGCAGATTGGGCGATGTTGTGGAGAGGGTTTATTGATGGGGGGATTGAGGATGGGGCGAGGGTGGCGAGGGACGTTGCGAGGGATCTTCGCGGCTTGTAAGGAGGATGAATGATGCTCAGGTAGCAAGGGTCGATTGGACAGCACAGAGCAGGAACAATTGGGGTTCCGGGGAATTCGAACAATCAATACAAGGTCCAGGCTGATTTCAAGCTGTGTTCATGTTCTGACCAGTCTGGAAATGTTCGCTCCGTATTGCAAGGTCAATCTATTTCAGATCCCAGTCCATAGCACCAGATGTTTGTGTCTAAGCAATAAATTGGAAATCCTCGCATCCTCCTATCTTCGCGGTAATTGCGACACCTGCGGCACGATAGAATAACTCGTCACACCCGGTATCATCCTCGCTCTGTTGGTGACCTTGGTGCCCGGTGCCAGACCCGTACCAGCCTTTCTGGTCACCTGCGATGCCTTGGCTGTGGCTTGTGCTCGTCGTGTCGGGTCGTATGCAACAGTCTCCCAATTCTTCTTGGTAAAGTCGTCGCTTCTCTGCAGGATAGGTCGTGACCACTCTTCCATCAGTTTCGTGGCCTGTCGCTTGATTCGTTCGTCGACTCGCTTGCTCTTGCGATAAAAGAAGACAACCTTGCCGATGCCAGATGAGATAAGTGCTTCTTTGGTCATGGGTAGTCTTTCGAGGGCCTGAAATATCTCGCGCTGGATGTTGAAGGCTGGTAAACTGCCGTCTGAGAGTGGTTCGAGGAAGAAACGGACTGGTTCGAGGAAATTCGTCTCTGGGTCAAGGATGGCTTGTCTGTAGGTATTGTTGTTTAGGATGCCAACGACTTCTGGGAGAAGCTTAAGTTTCTGGAAGGCAGGTTTGCCGTCTGAGACTAGTTCTCCATCCGCCATTGCTGCTTTGACCATTCGATCCTTGAGCTCGTTGATCTCTTCGTCGGCCATTTGTTCGAGATCCTGAGATAGTCAGTATGCTAGCACACGTAGTCTTGGTTGGGAAACGCTTACGATCTCTCCCTTGCGCTTTCGAACACCACTGGATTTCTTGACGGCGGCATCCATGGCTCGATCCAGAGCACGTCTTCTTCGTTCTTCCGGAGCAAGTGTCTCTTCATCAATCTCGACTCGCTCTCTCGGCTTCCTCTCTCCGCCAACGCCTGGTTTGCGCCGCCTGCCAGGCTCACCCTCCGCCTCACCACCAGCGCCCTCCTCACCCCTTGGTCTTCTTGCCCTCTCTCTCGTTCTTTCCTTCTTCTTCGGTCGACCCTCGTCACCTTCGTCCCGCTTCCGCTTCTTGATCTTGGTGTTTCGCAGTTGGTCGAAATCTGGTGCAATGTCTAGTTTTTCCTCGTTCCACTCAAGCACTGCTTCATCCACGTCCGACAACAGAGACTCATCGTCGCTATCAGCTGCCTTGTCTTCATCATCAGCGACATCGTTATTGAATGCGTCGGCTGTATCGTCGAGGGTGTCTTCTAGCTCATCTGGATTGTCTAGACCTTCTGCGTCTGGCGGAGGCAAGTTCGCAGGATCATCAGGTACCACATCCTCGCCGCGGGCTATATCGTCGTACTCAGACATCTTCTGTTAGCGACTTCGAAATTTTATAGTAGTGCGTAGAACTAGGATGAGAGGGTATTGTAGACTCAGAAGTGCGCAGAACGAGAAGTTAACAAAGAAGATGTAGTTATAAGTTCTTGGAATGAGGAAGGGACGATGATAAAATGGAAATGGGCTTGAATGTCTACTACGGCTTGTCAAACGGCCACTTACGCACTACCCATCCTGTCACTGCTCGCATCGCAGGTGGAAACGAAAGTTCAATTCAACTTCTATACATCAGTCGCAGCATTAACCCCTTCTCGTGTCGCATCTCTCTCTCTCTTTTTGTTACCATCATGTTCCAGCAATGTAAGTATCTGCTGGATCTGTGCCCGAATGTCAATACTGACAAGCCGAAGCCGAGCAAATGTCCAAGGACGAAATTGAGGCCGGAGAGGCACAAGCGACGATGCAGGTGCAAATCTTCAGTGCCGCATGCGTAGCATTGTGGTTCAGTACGTTTCATTACTTGCGTGGTGGTTGTTCAAAGAACTGACACTGCGCCAGCTCCTCATGTACTGGAATGGGCTTACAAGCTGTTCTGAGCAATATCCAGTGTGACTTCAACCTGTAATGTTCATCTCGCAACATCGCCCGAATTCCTGAGCACCAGACGAAGAATTGTTGCAAAACTGCAGTTTATCAAAAGCATGAAGAACGCGATGTCCAGCAAGACAGGAGCAACCAGAGGATATGACGCGAAGAGCTTCAGTAGAGGCTGAATGCAAGAGCAATCTGGTAACGTCTTGCTCCCGTCTCAGAGCCACGATTGAGCGGCTAATATAGTTGTACAAAAAGTGTACAACACCAATATCTAAATCTCATCCGGTATCCAGTACTTTTCCACAGGGCGCCTTTCGCTATGCCAGGAATACTTACCAAAAAGGACAGACCTTGATCACCATTACTTCGTCACTCTCGCTTTTGTTATCGGGCGTACAGAGAAGTCCTCGATAGTCGCTCCCAATCGCTGTACTCCTCCTGAACCAGTTGCATCTCTTTCTGAAGGTGTTTCAATTGCGTATCATAAGCGCTCAATGTCTGCACGTTTCATTAGTCAAAACTCAGCAAGAATGACGTTGAGCTTACCTTTCTCGCTTGCTGTAGAGTGTCACTATCTAGGAGAGGTTCTTGAGCCTGCTGCACTGTTGGGTCTAGCTTCTCCATCTCCGCCTTGAGATAGCGAGCTCGTTCCCGAATGCCCAACATGCGAGCCCATATCTCTTGTTCTCGAGCATGTATTGACGGGTCCAGCACCTCTTTCTCCAGAGAGTCCAACTTCACTTTCAGATCTTCTTCTGCATTGTCCATCACATAGCCTCTGTTCTTGAGTATTTGAACCTTGGCAGCAAGTGCTAGCGTGCGCTGACTGATGGCCTTGTGTCGTCGCCTACTCTCTTCAAGTCTGGTAGCTACTTTCTGCCGATGCGTGTCTAATTGAATGTCCAGAGAATTATTGATCTCATTCAGCATCATATTACAATGCCCAACTGCCTCACGTTGCTTCTGACTTCGAGCCCCGAGCTCTCTAAATCCACGGGCAAGTACAGGCACCCATTCAGGACCAGGTCTTTTTTGCACAGCATCTTCCCATTTGTCAGGATCCTCCCCTGGACCAGGTGAGAACTTGAGTGCTTCTGATTCACTGCCTACATGCTGGTATAGGTAGATTCGCAAAGGCGAATTCAAGCTTGCAGGATCCCATTTGTCCTTGATCAGCTCCATCTGCTGCGGGATCGACCTTAGCACACCCATGCCTCTTCCTTCCTGCCACCATGGATCTTTGCTTGCTTGCGCTTGAGCTGCGGTCTGTTGCGATTCGCCGAATCCGAAGCGCAAAGTCTGGTCGAGTGGTCTCTGAACCGGCTGCTGCTGTTGCTGGCTCTGATTGAGCGTGGTTCCGAAAAAGCTGTTTCCTGCTTGCTGATTCTGGGTTTGCGTGCCACTGAAGAAGGAGTTAATGGGTTGCTGTTGCTGTGTCTGCTGTGATTGCCCACTAAATAGACCTCCAGACTGCGTTGTTTGAGTAGCTGACTGCCCTAAATTGAAGAAGGGTTTCTCTTTTGCTGCACCAAATCCTCCTGTCGACTGCTGCGCAGTGTTAGATGCTCCTAGGCCACTGAACAATGAGCCGCCAGTATTAGTGCCACTGGCTGGCTTGTTGAAGATATTCATGGTGAATGGCTGGATGTGTCAAAGCAGAAAGGCACAACAATGGAAGAGAGACTGGGATGTCTCAGACCAAAGTCGTACAATGGAGCTGTTGCGCTTCAGACCATGCCACAAGTAGACCTTCTGCTGACTGTAACAGAGGCAATCGGAGGAAGTGAGTAGGGAGTGTCGCCACGCTTGTTTTATGCGGCGCAGATGTATGTTGACCTTCGTGTTGGAACTTCAATGGAAATGAAAGGCAGGCGCGTTCTGCGCGACTGCATGAGATCGCAGATCACCGTACTTGCTACTTTAGCGTTTCTGGATAACCGTGGGCTGACCTGCTACTTCACGAGTAACTTCACTATAGCTAAAGCAAGACGAAGCAACAGACTGTCTTACCGCTTCCCAAGCTCGAAAAGAACACCGCCACAATGTCGAGACGCGAGCCTAGGTACTACACACAACATGCGAAGAATTTCGAGCTGACATAGCCGGCAGATTCTCCCAGACCGTGCTCATAGACACCACGCCTATGCCCGAGCACATACCCAAGGTTGAAGAAATAGGTGTTACGTCTGCACCTCTTATGAGCGCATCCTTTTTTATTGGAGCTCGATGTCGACCTATCAACGACGACTTTATGAAATGCAAATCTGAATCATCTGGGAAAGGTGAGACGGATTGCTTGAGGGAGGGCAGGAAGGTCACAAGATGCGCCGCCAGCGTGTAAGAGGACAATTCCATGCGCATCGACGAAGCTGAGAAAGGTACAGGTTAAACGACATAAACGCCAACTGCTTGCAAGAGTTCAGAAGTCACTACAATTGCTTGGAAGACTACAACCAGCAGCTGTGGCAGTGCAGACGGCCGGAGAGAATCCTGAACCGGTGTGTGTTTGAAAAGATCGTACGTGCTAGGAACTGGTGGTTACAGCGGCAAGTACTGACAGGAGCCAGGGCCTCGAAAAGAAGATCCCAGATACACCAAAGAATGTCACGCCCGTGCATTTAAGGGATCGTCAAATCTTTGCAGACAGCCCTCGAGTACTACTTAGTGGTGAGGCCGATGTTGGTATTCCGAAGAACCAAGCAAAAGCATAGCACTGTCTACATTGGCGTTCAGGCGGGGTAGTACTTGGGCTGTACATATTGAGCATGAACATTCATCCTTTAACCAGGATTTCAATCAGACTCACAAAGCTTCCACGAAAGCAGTTGGAGGCCGTCTATCGTTCTGCTCCTGCTGAGATATAGGGCCTGTCCCACTTCCACGTGTTACACATTTCAGCCGCGGTAGTCTGCAAGTCGCAGGTCGAAGCTCACGATTTATGTTCTACTAAACACGTTTGCAGGACCCATCAATTGACAAAGACTGGCATGAGTGACAGCTCGTACATATCTTGCTACAGCACCTCTTTCGAGCTGTTCCTCGACGTATAGAACTTTCAGCACCTCGAGTTGGTTGTAGAGAATGGAGGGGAGCTTCAAGTCAAGTCCAGAGAATGGGTCGACCTATCTCAGTCTGTTTTGAGAGGCTTTCAACTTGTTCAAAGTAGCTATATATGGCCAGCTTGGTTCGTGCACTCTGTCACGTTTGTACCTTCCGTCCGTAGCCTACGCTAATTCGCTGCATATTAACCTCCGTATTCTTGGCTGATGTCGCGACTCTGGCCTATTTGAGTATCACGTGTGTTCGCAGAACATCACAAGCACCACACTACGTCGTCCCTGTTTGAAATGACCAGGATCATGCCTCGCTTGTGCTAGTGATACTGTGTGAGTGGTCATTGTTCCCTGGAATATTCATATGGCCTAGGTGTGCCGTCACCTGCGCATTCGATATGGCACAAACCTCACAACCTCCACGGTCGCCCATCTCTCAACATAAATCATCCAGTCGTCCGTCTATGTCCATGAGATCTGCTACGGCGCCAGAAAAGATGGACGTGAATGGCCATATGGCCTCTCGAGGCCAGAACGGCCATGCCAATTTCGAGCATGGTGTTCAGGTTATCGATGAGGACAAGGAGTTCAAGTATGTTGTTAGATTTGTATAGGAGACTTCGCCAGCTAATAAGAGCAGTCCTGATCTAGGGAAGTACCTGTCCTATGAAGACATCGCCCGCTCTGGATTCAACTACCACCTAGTATCCGTCTTCGGTTCGCAGTCAACTGGTAAATCGACCCTCCTTAACGCACTCTTTGGAACGAGTTTCAATGTCATGTCTGAGTCAGAAAGAAGGCAGACCACAAAAGGTATATGGATGTCCAAAAACAAGTCGTCGATAAAAGGAATGGCAGACAACATCCTTGTTATGGATGTGGAAGGTACTGATGGTCGAGAAAGAGGTGAGGACCAGGATTTCGAGAGGAAGAGCTCGCTCTTCGCGCTGGCTACCAGTGAGGTCTTGATGGTCAACATCTGGGAACACCAAGTCGGCTTGTATCAGGGTGCCAACATGGGTCTGTTGAAGACTGTGTTTGAAGTCAACTTGCAGCTCTTTTTGAGGGACAGGAAAACAACATCAAGAAGCTTGATTTATTTTGTGGTCAGAGACTTTTTAGGCACAACACCCCTGCAGAACTTGCGAAATACTTTGATGCAGGATATGGCAAAGATATGGACCGGATTGAACAAACCACAGGGACTTGAGAACAGCAGCATCGACGATTACTTTGACTTTGCTTTCACTGCCCTGCCTCACAAGATATATGCTCCAGAAAAGTTCGAGCAGGCTGTCAAGGACATGGCTACCAGGTTCAAGGAAGCGCAACGAGATCCAAGAAGAGACCCTCTACGTTCCGAATTTGAAAGTGGTGTGTTCATGTCCGAGTATCATAGACGTATACCTGCCGACGGTCTTCCTCACTATGCCGAGGGAATTTGGGATCAGATTGTCAACAACAAGGACCTGGATCTACCTACACAACAAGAACTTCTAGCCCAATTTCGGTGTGACGAGATCATGCGTGAGGTCATGGTTGCTTTTGATCAGACCATTACACCTTTTGAGACCAAGCAAACAAGTGCTGCGAGCTTGGGTCAACATGAGGTAATAGAAGGTCTCGGTGCTGCCATGACAACCGCTCGTTCCAGGACTGTACAGGACTTCGAAACCGAAGCAGGTAGATACCACAAAGGCGTCTATCAACGAAAGCGCACAGAGCTAGAAAGCAAGATCGACACGAGGTTAAAGGCTCTTTTCGCTGGCCAACTTACTGCTGCTCATAAAAACGGCATCTCGAAATTCTCGGAAGCAGTGTCGAATGAAGTCAAAGCTGGTCAAAAGAAAGGTGCAGCCTACGATTTTGCCGAGATTGTCTCTAGGCAAAAGCAAGCCGCCCTCAAAGAATATGAAACTCAAGCTAAGGCTGTTGTGCTGGAAGGAGTAGAATGGTCAAGTTACAAGCAGGAATCTGCTCTGTTTCAGAAAGAGATTGATCAGGTGTCGGGTCAGCTTCGTCGTGATGAGATGAGACGACTTGCGACGAGAGTTGAGCGGTGGGTAAAGAGCAAGCTGAATGATAGCGTGGGACTAGAGTTCAATGCTATCGGCTCCGGTCGTGGAGGCTCTGGCGCGCCAGATGGTGAATCAGGAGACAAACCTTCAGAGCAACAAATTTGGGATAGGATATGGACTGTATTCACCACAACAGTCACAGAGGCCGAAAAGCGCTTCTCAGATCGTGCACGTGCTTTCGATGCATCAGAAGACGAGATCGAGGTCGGGAAGTGGAGGCTGCGACGAAAATCGTGGACTGCTTTACGGGCTAAGATTGATGAAGAAATGATGGAAGGCAATCTTTTGCTAAAACTGAGGGAGAACTTCGAAGACAAATTTAGGTACGACGAAGCTGGTGTACCTCGAATATGGAGACCTACAGACGATATGGACGGCTTGTTCAGGTCGGCACGAGAAAGCACCTTGACACTTATCCCTCTGCTGTCAAAGTTCAGATTGTCACAAGCAGGCGGGAAGCCACCACCTCTTGATGACTGGATTGGAAATGCACCACCATCGGCAACAGGAGCTGATGAGGAGGATCTTGTACCAATTGGGGGCATAGACGAGGAGGAAGGCAAAAGTTTGGAAGAGGAAACTACTATGCTTTCCGAAACGAAAAGGCAGGACCTCACTGTGCGGTTCAAAAAGGCAGCTGAGGGTGTGTTTGTCGAAGCGAAGCGATCGACCGTCAGCGGTATGCAGAGTGTTCCACTCTACTTCTACGCTATTCTATTGGCACTGGGCTGGAATGAACTGGTTGCTGGTATGTCATCCATTTTCCCTGTTATCAATATCTGCTAACTACTTTCCTAGTCCTCCGCAACCCAGTTTATTTCATCTTCCTTGCCATGCTCGGCGCCGCAGCCTACGTCACCTGGACCTTGAACCTCTGGGGTCCAATCATGAACATGTCCAACGCGGCAGGCACACAAGCTCTAGAAGAAGGCAAAAAACGTCTACGAGAATTCCTCGAGTCCTCGGAAACGGGTCGCCAAGCAATAGGCATGACTCCCGACAGCTTCGAGCTTAAGAGTATGAACAGCTCGAGGAGTAGCGGTGGCACAAGTTCAAGGAAGGCGAAGGTCGAAGAGGAGGATGTGGAGGACATATGATGGCTTTGAAGAAGTAGGATAGTGGCGAGCCGTGATCACTGTTGGTAGGTATTTTGTATAGCGAATCATTGAGCGACGTACTAGCCATAGCATGACTTGGTATAGCTGACAGTAGGTATAGATCACGAGCAGTATGAAGTGAACATTTCAACTGCATCCTTTTGCCTTTCACATCAGGCGTCTCACATATCTTCAAGACGAGTTTGCCCGTCTTGACTTATCAACATGGAGTGAAGAGCCGCAGCAAGCACGACTCAGGGGATATGTCAATTCCTTAGGCTCCAAAGTCTGAATACTTCACATTCGAAGGAGCGATCTTTCGAGATACGAACATCCACAGCCTGGTAACAGCTGCGAAGCATATCTACATGGAGCTTCAGAAATCGCTAGCCATCGTCACTTTGTCTGGTCGACTATGGGTTGGGCATTCGTCTCTCCACTGCCAGGTTTCCATTAATGGTCCTCTTCTACCCCTGTATGCTTGCAACGCTAAATGATTTCGAACAAGGCCATATAGCGACAAAGTACTCCTGGATTGGCGTTTCGCCTCCCGATTCTCGATCCGCGTTACTCAAGTCAGAGAGGTTTCTGTCCTATCAAGGCGTCCTTCACCCTCCTGCTTACAGCACCATAAGATCCCATAGTCCAAAATACCCCACGAGCAGCACTCCTCAACGGCACCCATGAGATCCAGCCTTTATCCAGATCATACCCAAACTCCCTCGCTGCAACACCAACAAAATTGGCGAGCAGTGAGTACGGTGCGTCGTGGGCAAACATTCCGTCCTTGTTCATCATAGTGTCTTGCATGACTACCTTGGTACGAACAAACATGGACTCTTCGAAGTCTGCTATTAGCCGATCAAGATCTTGATTCTCCTTGATCGAGCTCTCAATGGCAGCAGCGAGATCGAGAGCGTCTCGCATACCTGCGTTGACGCCCTCGCCAGCAAATGGTGTGGCCAGATGTGCACTGTCGCCGATTAGAACGATCCCTTTTTGGTGTTCATAGCGATGCCCAACTGGCAATTCGTACAAGGAGGAAGTCCACAGCTGCTTTGAGGCTATGATCCATCGCTGAAACTCGGGTACCCAATCCTTGTACTCTTCTAGAAGTGCTCTTTTCAGCGCGTCGTCGTCGCTTTTGTACTTCTCATCGAGGCTCTGCAACCATGCAGGCTCTCTCTTTTGGTCGAAACCGATCTTCAGGCTTCCATCGCCCATTCGTTGTCCTACCATACTTTTGCCATACGAGAAAGCGAAATTGCTTCCTTTCCCGACCATGTTCGAGATGTGCTCCCAGCTCGCGCCGGCACTATCCTGGTCAATGGTACCACTCACGGAACAGATTCCTGAGAATGACGGCTCGACATCAGTCAAAGCTTTCCGCACTTTACTCCATGCCCCGTCCGCACCAACGACAAGGTCGAAAGGTTTTGTAACACTTCCGTCTCCGAGCACGAGACTCCACTTGTCATCACTTTCCGCCCGCTTCACTTCCTTTACCTGCTTTCCCCACTGAATGATACCCTCAGGTGTACTACCTAACAACACTTCCATTAGTCTTACGCGATCAATCTCTGGCCGTGCATGATCTGCCTGAAGTGTCTTTGGGATCTCTATTTGGTGAATGTAACAGAACCCGTTCCGGTCGCAGAATTGTATCTCCTCGCCTTCGAAGCGGGCGTGTTTGCTGAATTCGTCCCAGAGGTTGCATGCTTGAATTGCTGCAAGGCCAGTCTTGGGATGCAAATCTAGAGTGCCGCCCACACTGAGGCGAGAGGTCGGAGAGGTATCTTTTTCGAAGACAGTGATGGAAATGGTGGGAGTCGAGGTGCTGTGCGATGTGTACGGAAGGAGGAGGCGGGCGAGAGTCAGACCAACAGGCCCAGCACCTGTTATTGCTATGTCAAGCATCGTGGCTGTGGGTAATTGGTGAATGAAGAGCTATTGTGTGCTTTGAGGACTCAGTCAAGATCTTGCTTGAGTGCTTGCTCTTCCAAAGATCTATGCTAGAGTGTGGAGGCTTGTGCAGCTGTGCGCGATATATCTTAATTTTCAGGAATTCGGGTCATTTGTGAGGATGTGTCAAGCTTCATCAAGGCTTCTATCGAAGATTTGTGAAGACCAAGAGACGAGGTAATGAGTCGTCGGCTTCAGCAATGGCTATATATTCCATGTCGGGGCCGCCAACATGAGAAAGACTGTCTTGTCCATACATGCTGTACACATCTGATTGGATCCGAAGCAGGATTCGGACCAGAACATGAAGGAAGCGACCGAGGCTAGTCCCGATTAGAACTTAGCAAAAACAAGCTTGACATTGATATGCTTAGCACAGGTGCCTGGTTCCCCTACAGCCACAGCTCCGTTTCGACTCGGCAATACAAGTATACCTTGGGAAGAATACAGAACAACCAGGTCGTTAAAAGCATACCGTATGAGAGCCCGAATGCATGTGAAATGAACAATCGTGGACAAAAAGAAGGGGGTTGGTCTTTTCAAATGCAATGTGGTTGTGGCATATCTGGAGTGGCAGAATAGCTGATACGTCCAGCTGGCAGGAAGAACAGAGCGACTAGTGCCCCTTTCCGCACCTGGCAATGTCCTTGTCAGCACGAAGTCGGGGCCTCTTGGCAAACGTACCTGAGGATAGTGATGTGTCCCAGCACCAGGACTTGTCCATCCAGCACCCTGCCAGCCCTGCATACCTTTCAACTCGGCAGCATCGTCGAGCTGGATCACACAATTTATCTCGCCATATGGATGTGAGTGATACTGGCCTGAATATTCGTCCTGACTGTCCATGTATACAGTCGTGATAGAGAAGAACCTGGTCTCGGGACAAGGGAGTTTGATCTTCGATCGTCTGTATTTTCGACCATCCATTTCGATGTTTGCACACCATCCCTCCTCAAGACCTATCTTGACGTACTTGCAGATGTTTTCGTATATTGGGTTACCTGGACCATAATTACTGTTCAGAAAAGCTTCTAGCTCGTGACCAGGGGTTCTGGTGAGCTGTTAGTTGGTTAAGGATTAGATGCCAGCTCTTGACTGACAAGTTTTGAACTTGGTCAAAAAATTCTAGACAGTTATCGTAGAGAGCTCTGGCCTTGGGGTATTTCGCCAGATCTACCTCTTCTGTAGTGCCTTCATACGACATCGCAACAGCCCAAGAGCGGAGAGTCAAGCAATAAAATGGTTTGAACGTGACCTTAGTAATGCACGTCGTGCATAAAGATTCGAGCTTTGAAGATTCTCAAAGAAGCACTTTGCCTGTAGCTGAGTTGTACCTTGTTCAATACACAGGCGTGCAGGTAAGCTTTCTCCTCATGTCGTGCCGCCTCCAACAGCCGAGCGACACGGTCACACAGCCAAATCCACGAATTGAGCCTGGTCAACACGACTACTCTGCTTGAGTACATCAACGACACTCGTGTTCATTCACACTCCCTGTCATTCTGCCAGGATAGTGAGTACTTCTCATGATCAGAGAGAAGGGCAACTCTCCCGAGAAAGAGTCCTATGCGGAGAGCAAATCATGTTTGCAGACCAATAGTAAAGGCCACAACACGAGACTCGCTCGAAGAAGAGATGGCTGTGCAGAGGAGTTCTTTCTGGAAATCAGCAGATACGATGTGGCGCATGATCCTCCAATTATGACCTTCGATACTCGCTTTTTTCCACTTTGTAGCGGTCACAAAACGAAGTTCTTACGCGACGGCGTTCAGATATGACGTCGTGCTTGATTGAATAAACAAATAGTCGCCAGAGCAAGAACGACTGGCTGTGCCACATGAGACACTGTCGCCTGCGCATATAAACTGTTAAACTGCTTGTGAATCCCCGCTGTTGAATCAACACACATACAGAACATAGCTTCAACACATCGCGTCAAAATCGCACAGTCTACATATCCTCGCAGAAACATCAACTTTTCGAAACTATCACCAGAAACCACAACAATCACCACAAACCATGGCCTCAGACGCAGCCCCAGCCCTCTTAATCGTCCTCATCACCATCCTCCTCCCACCCATCGGCGTCCTCATGGTCGCAGGCTGTGGCGCGGACTTCTTCATAAACCTCTGCTTGACTCTACTGGGCTATATCCCCGGCCACATACACGCGTTCTACGTTGAATACGTCTACTTTGATCGGAGGTCGAGAGCACGAGATGGCATGTCGACAGGACATGCTGCGCCGGGGGTGTATTCGGAACGTGTGCAGAGTGGTGGGAATAGGTACGGGACGATGTGAGTGGTGAGGAGGGATTGGGAAATAGAGATCGTAAATAGGATTTGGGAAAAGGGAGCTCATGAATTAGCAGAAGAACGAGCAGGAGTATTCTGGCATGAGGTATTGAATCTGGTCTGGCTTCGAATACCCATTTTGTTTGGTGTTGGCGTTTTATTCGATGGTTGAGTCTGCTTGGGCGTGGTCACTTCGAGGAATACGTAGGCGAGCCAGGTCAAGTAAGAGCTCTCGGTACAGGTACATATTCAAAGAAACATACCTCAAGAAGCAGTGTCGTTGAGTTGAACAGCGTCTTGGAATATCTGTCACGGTCATATTCTTGCTTCCATTATAGCTGTCCTCTATTCTTGGTCTATCATTCTCTTCGTCTTGACACGAACATCCCCCCAGGTAGACTCTGAAAGCTAACAGAATGTCCAGCACATCATACAGCAGCCTCTTCCATATCTTTTGTTTTCTTCTCTTGCGCAGTCTCCAACTCCCTCGTAATACGTCCATTCACACCTCTCCCACCAGTAGGATCACGTCGTCCCTGCTCTTCCTGCTTCCGATCAGCAACATCTCGATCCACATCCGCAAAACCCTGATCCACTTCTACATTCACTTCAGTTCCCCCTCCTGCTCTCGACTCCCCAACCCAAGCCCACATCTTCTCCCTCCGAAATTCCTCGAAATCCCATTCTTCCCCTTCTAACGCCTCAGGACTATCACTCCAAACGTACGTCTCAGCCTCTACCTCTCCCTCAACAAACTCATCCAACCTCTCTTCATCAATCGCTTGATCCAGCGCAGTATCTTTCAGTAGCAAGACACCCACTTTCTCCCTCGTATACTGGTCTCCTTCAAAGATATCCAGGCGCCGGATATCTTCGTCTAGCAGGCCTGTGACGAGGGAGCCTCGGACGGCGGAAGTGGCAGAGTGCGGCATGATGGCGGGATAGTCTGCGTATTTGACTTTGTGTCTGCGATAGTTTTTGAGGAGGGCTGGACGGACTGTGATCAGGGCTTTTTGCCAGGGTTCTGGGTTCGTGGTGCCGTAGATGACGCGATAGAGGACTGGAGGGGCCATGAGCGTGCCTATAAGCAATTAGCGTCCCTGCTCACTGAGTGAGTGAGTAGATGAGGAGCCAGAACCATACCGTAGAAGAAAGCGGTGCGGCCGCTCATGTTCTTGAATAGCGTATGATTTGCGACGTTGCGGGCTACTTGGTCCTGCTTAGAGGAAGCCATTGAGAGTAGTGGTCGCGTAACTAGCCAGACTTTGCGAGTAGAATAGTGGTTAGTGATCACCCGAGAAGTAATGTGATTGTTGTCGCGTGCGACTGCCGCAATCGAACGGCGTCATATACGTGTGGTCAACAAGCTGAATTTGAGACATACTGTGTTGTGGCAGGAACGAGATTGAGACGTACAAAACTTCAGATAAGCAGGCAATCTCGAAACCGTGGGGTAGATTTCAATCATGATGCGCTGGAAAGGAAACCGATAAAGAACAGTTCCAGGACGGAGAAAGGCGTCTTGGGTCCCGGGCAGAATTCAAGAGCCACGAGAACCAGAAGGTAGTAGACCATGTTCTCTCTTACTTACTGGTTCCAAACAATCTAATCAGAACCTTGGTCAACTTGTGTCTCTTAGGGTGTTTTGTAGAAGATAATGAATTGTCCAATACCATCAACGCCTCGCTTGTCAGAATCTGCTGTACATATGGAGGTCAAGTACTATACAAGGACTCCTCCCCCTACTAGAGTCGACTTAGTATTCAATGTTACCATTCTTTCCAACCTTGAGTCCCTTTTCGTACAACCACTTGTAATTCAGCCCAGGTTGCAGCTTGACCCTAGACTTTTCTCTCGCACTTGGACTAGGTGTTCCTGGTACTTGTGGTCTCCCTCCTCTTTCTCTCATGCTGTGGGAACTCCTCAAGCTACTAGCCAACGAGGTCGTGCTTGTTGTGCCATCTAGCAATGAGCGTGTAGATTCTGTAAAATCTGGGTTCTGTGCAATCTCGTTTAATGATGCCGAGTTGACAAGACTCCTGGAGAACAACGGACTTGGAGAAGAAAAGTGCAAGTCGGAAACACGTCGATCTGCTGTGCCTGGCTGCTGCGGCGTAGGAGAGAAGCCAACAGTATATCGCGACGTAGAGAGTGGTGAAGCTGAGTAGTTCGCGGAAACGCTTCTCCCAGTAGCCCCTGGTCGAGGTGTACCTGTGAATGGAGAAGGTGAAGATCTTTGAAATCGGGGTGGAGTAATGTAATTTCCAGGCTTCTCTGAGCCTGGGGTATTTGATTGAGATCGTGGAAGACCCAATAAGGCGCGTTGAGAAGGAGTCAAAGGAATATCTTCGATCTCATCTGGAGCGCCAAAGTATGGCAGCACCGGTCTGAGACTGAAATACAGATTAGAAACCAGTATCAATCTGAGTATATTCAGGATCGTGGACGTGTCTATTGCGATTGTGTCCAGTTGAGCTTGCTTGATGGCCGGATCAAGCACTCTATGTACCCAGCCACTTGCGAAGAAGGTAGCCAGTAATACCACTGTGTTCAAGACAGCCGTCTGTATGTTTTGAGTTGTGAACGACGTCGCAAGCCTTCTCTTTGCTATTTCTGCCGCGCGAGGATGGCGAAATCTGCCTGGTGAAGGCGCGACTGGTTGTGGTGTTGATCTTGTTGCATTTCGAGGGAGAGGTGCTTGACTTAGAGCGTTTGTGGCGGCTCGTGCTACCTGGCTGCCGGCATTCGATATCGGCGATAATGCTGTTTGCGTAGACATTGGGTACGGATCAGGAGGAGTCGAGGAGCGAAGATGTGCCTAACCACTCGCCCAGAAATTCAAGAGCGCAAAACCTAAATGCTCTATGCGTATCTCGAGCCGTCCCAGAACTCGACCTGTACAGACTGAGCTCGGACGGAAGGTGAAGCAAGTGAGTGAGTGAAAGACAATTGTTTACAGGCCGCATGCGGACGAGCCAGGCATCAAGAGTGCTTAACCGGGCAAACCGTAGACAGAAGCCTAAATTCCTAGTCTTCTGGGGTATCTCCTCACTTTAGATGCCTAAACTCCCCTACGTGTTTCCGTGTTTCCGTAAATGAGTGAAGTAGAGTAAATCTGTTGTCCTCATGATCAAAATTATGTACTATTAGTATCGTCGTGTGCTTGGTTACGAGATCACCTCACAGCCAATATTTTCTCCATAACCTTCTTTCGTCGTGCCCATGGGTATCGAAGCATTATTTACGTCGTCTGCAATCTTCATCGCTCCCTCCTCAATGCGCCGAGAACACCTTGTGCTAATCAGGTCAACCGATTCCTAATCCCAAACAGTGCCAATACGTCTTTTTCTAAACCTTTTTCATCGCTGTGTTGATGTTGTAGACTTCAAAGTCACTGAGAGTGGTTGTGATACTGTATGCTGCACGCAAATATTGCTTGCGGTTAGTACCGTAGATCAAGTCGAAGTCCGTATCTACCACCTGAACCATTGGATGCGAGCAATAGAAGTATGGCCTCTGCTCGCTAAGAGCAACCTGTGCCTTCTGCCAAACAAGTTGAATCCTTTCCTTGACGAACGCATGCTGTTGTCTGGCACTTATCCACCAATTCGTAAGCTGTTCCAGCAGCTGCGACGAGCTGTACATTAAGCTCATAATCTTACTGGCTGGCTCGAGTATATCGACTGTTTTGCCAGCAGCAGTGACAATGTCGATTGCCGTATGTATTGCGTATCCTGTAAGCACCCCCCTCGTTACAATCGTGTGATCTCTCACATTGTATCCATCTCGTTGTTGTATCTGCTGAGCAAGCTTGAGAAGTTCTACCGCGTGTACGTTCGCACTCCTGGCATGTGACATAATTTCTCTTTCGCTCAAGTCTCCATGGTGTACTCGTCGATTGAGCTCCATGTGAGCATAATGGTAAAGTACATCCAGGCCAGCGAACTTTCGTGATCTATCGCTGTCATATCGATTGTTCAAGTGTTTGTCGCTTTCCTTGTCCGATCTGCTTTCTTTTGCACGCATGGCGTCCTCATAAGCATCTGACCACCAGTCGAGTTTCTCTTTTAGCTTCTGTCTTGTACTACGATCTAGTACGTAACGTCGTCCTACCTTGATGCATTGTTGATGTCGCCACACGTTCAATTGTATCTCGCTGCAGATTGTTGCGATTTGCAGGAGCCAGACCATGTCACCCATCACGAAATAATCCTGTTGCGTGACTGATTTGGGAATCACATAGTCCTGGTCAAAGACCGGCAATTCAGGAATACGATCCTCTTCGTACAGCTGTCTCGCGCACGGTAGCCGGAGAAATATGTCGCTGTTCTGAAGCATTTTCGGATCGCCTTTGCTAATGCAAGAGAAGGTATCTGTACAAGAGATCGCATAGTATGTCCTGCGTCGGCACTCGGCATACACTGTCGGAGAAAAGCCATATGGAGTCTCTTCCTGCTGACTAGACTGCTCGATGTTAAGTTGCATGACTGCCATTGCCCCGACGCATCTTGCAAAAAGCGAGAATGCTTTTGGGTTTCCGTCTGCAAATTCGGCAAATGCCAGGAAATGCAAGATGTGCACAGTCTGCAAGCAATACCGTGACTCGACTTGATCAAGCTCGCGATACACAATCTCCTTGTAGACCATCCTGTGGGAAGCTCGATCTCTATCGGTGCTGTGGATGGTTCCGAAGGCCATCATTGCATAAAGTACTAGGCGATCACATAGTGACTTCGGAGAGTGGTTCAGTGCCCATCCCATGAAGCGTTCGGGCGGAAAGATTTCGAACGTCGATGTATTGACGTGTTCCATGAAAGCATTTAAGTAGTGTCTTGTCAGTCTATCGTTGGCAAGAACTGGATCTGTGTGTGGTGCGAACCCCTCCGTGTAGATCTCGTTTCTGGTTGCACTGGAAGCAGCATCAAAAGATGTGACTTTCCGTCCATCGTGGGGAGCCTCAGTGTTTACTCTTTGCCTTTTTGACGGCGTCGGTGCATCAGAGACATGGTTTTCCGACATGATCGGTGACGATACCTCGTTCGTGACCTCGGCCAACTTCGAAGATATCTGATGAGCAACATCTGTTGGCGTTGATGCCTCAGTAAGTGCAAGAGATGATTTGCGGGAGTAGAAATAATCTTTGGGTGAATTGGCATGCATTCCGCCCGGAGAGTTGGTGGAAGTATGGAGCTTTGGGCTTCTGTGGCCTTGCCTAGAGCTAGTACAAGCGCGCGTCAGTAGCTGCAGAGAGTAGCCAGAATTATTGGAGGGGCAGGCGGAATCTGGGCAAGTTTTAAACTCACTTTGTGCCACCCTGGAATATGCACGTTCTGTTAGAGCGTAGGCATTGTGAACATTTCGATAGTCCTGGACCACAGGGGCCGTCGCAACGGATCTTCTTTTCTCTGCAGCTGCTGCAAGCTTGACTGAGTCTTTTACGAGGCTTGCCTGTGTCAGTCAGCACAGGTTCTTGAGTAGGTCGTCCACATGTGCCAACATACCTGCTTTGGTCGTACCCCATTTTGGGTTTACTGTATCGCCGTCAACTTCTTTTGGACAGACACTACCATCGTCATAGACATAGCATCTGCCCTTGCCAGGAACTTCATCTTCTCGCATAACTCGTCCATGTTGCCAATTCATCAGATCTGGGTGAGCACTAGAGAGCGTACTTGAACAGGCACGACTAGGTCGTGGGTGGTAGCGCGACTCAATAGAAACAGCGAAGCTTGCTCTACGGTGGGCGTCAACCGGCGGGAAGTTATGGTCCTCAAGTATTGCTGACTGAGGGTCATGCTGCCTGCTTTCCGTTACGAGCCAGCTTCCACGGCTACCACTGGTCGAGGGGGGTGTTGGCAAGGATGACTGACCATTTAGCGGACTTGTGAAAGCTGTGTCTAGACGAAAGGGACCTCGATATGCCAAATCTGGGTGTCCGACTGCACGAACAAAGTTATCGAAGTTAGGTAGTTGCGGTTTTCTGCTGTGCTCTAGCCCGTCAGACGACTGAGGGCGATCGTTGGAATGGTCCATAAGATCAAGGAGAGGACTCAAAGAGTCTTTGATTTCGACGGTGACTTGTACAGTAGCAACGCACACTGCTTTTTTCCAAGGCTCGAAATTTCGCAAATGCTGAAATTCGTGCCAAAGCCTTGCAAAGTTTTGCCTTTACCACACATACGGCGTCTGTAGTGTTTGCATCCCAGCTGCTCACTCCACTGCACACGGAGCTCAGACAACGCGATGGGCAACGAAGTTTGCATTCGTCGGCCTAGAACAGATGGTAGATATGAGTTTGAATTGATGACGATGATACCAGTGGACGACAGACACGATCCTGCAATACTGTCTGGGTCGGACGGGACGATTGAGCCGCGGGAGCAAAAGTACTGGTAGCCTCGCAGTCACTATACCAGAAAGCACTTCTGCTCGAAAGACCAGCGAGCCGCAGGAAGAGGTTAGTGAGTGGCCAGGAATTGTTGCTCCTCGCCAGCTTGCTTGAGAGATAGCGTATGAAGTGCAGATCTAGAATGAATCCATCGTCTAAGGTCATGCTCGAACAACAACTCTCAAGTTGCCAGTCAGGATTTCTGCTTCAGAACGGACGTGCCGTGTCTTGATTTCATCAATGACCATGGTGATGGCATGCCAGCTTGTTAGACGAGTCAGGGACAAGTGGAGTGAATTGGACTAAGTGGCATACATATGTACGAGTGCAGGTTCGACCAAGAAGGTCAAGCTGCATGTAATAGCATAGTTGCAGCCCAAACACAACGATGTGGAACAACCGCGCTTGCTGCGAAATTGTCCTTGGGCCAGGATAGTGTCGGTCCAAGAATCTGTTTTGCCTCTCATGTCGCAGTGCAGGGATAGCCGGACTAGCTGAGAACGCAACATGGGCTGTAGTGGAGTAGATGACGCTAGCAAGGAAGCCAGAGGTGGATGGAGCAGTGGGGATTATGTATCGGTGGAGATGGCTCCTGCTTGAAGCGAAGGCCGCGACGAAGTTTGAGAAAAGATGCTGAAAGATAGCATGCAGCTGGGCACATTGCGTAGCTAGTCACAAGGGCTGTTTCGCGGGTTCACTGCTCGAAAGCTAAAAATGTCTCTAGTGGGATGCAATCGACCCTCGCCTCTTTGACCAAGCCAGCTATCTTGCCTGGTTGTTCGTGTCGTGCAAGTGTCAGGGGCATACCTTGCGCGAACGCTAAGGACGAGGAACCAGACGAAAAGTGCATCGATGTTTGGAGGAAGGGTAGTCATGAATCGTGAACGTGTCGAAAACAGCAGCTTCGCTAGCTTGTACGCGGGATACCGGGATCACTCAGAGCTAACCGAGCACCGAGCATGTCGTGTCCAAAAAGGTCGTTACAACATTTCGAGGTTGATACAGTCGTTCTTGAATACAGATCAGGAAGTAGGTGTTCAATTAGCAATACGTATCAGGCTCGAGATAGCTCACCAACTTCAGGGAGTATCTCCTGGAAAATCTGAGAGAATGCTTGTTCAAGATATCTTGGACGCAGCATTATCGTGTAGAATTGGCTATCGACACTTGCCACAGCTTGGTGGAAATATGGAGGGAGCCACAGAACGTAGGCGTGACACTATCCAATCCTGGCCACTGTCGAAGACAAGATTGAAGGCGAGCACACTGCAGTGGCAGCGCACTTGCTACAGTAGTTCGGAGCCACCTTGCTGGTTCAATGTCGGGTAAGCGTGCGGACCTTGCCGACCATTTCTGCTGATGTGGATTAACATTCGATGTGACAAGTCGCAGAATCCTCGCCCACGAATCTGCTTGGCTTACCTTCTGCACGTTACGCACTCTGTATGCAACATAAACCGCTTGCGAATTGCCGGCAGACAACCCAGCAGTTGCGCCCGCTCATTGTCTACCATCACCGTGACACGAACGATACTGCTTGCGGAAAGAGACACATGCATATCCACGATAGACAGGCTCGCTAGTGATCAGTCTACATACTGTTTGCGCCGCGTGCAGTTATGGACCTGCATCCACGCGGTCTGGCCAGCTGTGATGCTGGAGACAGTCCTGGTTGTCTCCCAGTCAAGAAGCGTGATGACCGCGAAATCGACGATCACTGTCATGGTGAGGACGTATTTAGCAACCCCAGTTGCTCGTGGTGTGGATGGATAGACGCCTGCCAATATCGTGGCGCAACGCTCTCTGGTGGTGATACGAGGTTGTGCATCACGAGGTGTTCATCCACACAATACGTATGTGGACTTTGCACCTCGAGCCTGTTACGCGATCTTCAGGTCAAAGCTCCTGATCATCACGGATATTGCAATGGTTTTTGCTGTGCGATTTTTACATTAATTGAAGACACAAGCTCGAGGTCGCTGATCTCGTATTTTGAGGTTGTTTCCCCATCCTCTTCTCAAGCGCCGGTGACGGTGTCTGAAGGGCCGTTAATGCTTAGATCGTTCCAGTGCCGCTGCTGTGTAACATAGGGTCATCATACGTGTGGTAGGACGTGACAAAGCATCAGGCCACGCAGACAAGGGAGCGTACACGCTTTGTCCTTTGGCGATCGTGGAAGCGACACAATTTGTAGTGAGCTCGCATCAACCATTCCTCACGTGTCGACATGGCCAGCAACAGCTTCCTGAACCTGTCTCCTGATCATCGTTGGAGTAAGTTGTCACCACAGTCAATACGTCGTAACCCTACCCTTCTCAAATTGTCCTGTGTATTTCGTCTGTGCTGTACTATTGGCTCTGTGCACGATTGATCAAGTGCTTACGATCGCCCAAGCATTACTTTCTTCTCATCCGACTTGACACTGTTTCTAACCCCGAGCCTGGTCAGCAGTGCCCGGAGCAGAACTGAGCATTTGCTCGTCCAAATACTGTGGGCTTGAATTCCGGTAGCTTGCAGAGCATATGCTCTACATACTTAGTAGGCTCTGTTTCGTTCGCCCAATACCTCGATAAGGGTGCACCTTACTTCATTTTCAGTTTTCGCCCATTGATGGCTGACCATGTAAAACGTGCATTTACTTCGACTTCAATCGACCAGGATCGGTCTTAGCTTGCTGTGACCGAACCTATGGTTCGTTCGCGAAACCCACGAGCGTTAGTTCTCACCAGCGACGTGGTGGAAAGTCGATACTAATCTTGATATGCATAAGCTAAGAAAACCTCTGGGGTTTGTGCTACTCAAACAACGAATGAAAAGAAGATTGGAATTTCACTTTTTGATAGTGCGGGTGTGGTATGCGCTATGGGGTCGGACCTTCCGAGCCATTCGTAAAAGCACCGAAAGCGGCGAACACGCAAGGCAGCAACGAATGACCAACGAGCGAGCAGCTGTTTAGCTCGAACTCTCGGAAGTCAAAGTAACGAGATACTGGAGTCCGAGGTTTCAGCGAAAGGTACGTATCTTTTTCGGCATGCATGAGAAGGTTTAGATAAGCCATAAGCTCGTTATACCCAGGTCGGTACATAATTCCAGGATGTTGGTAGTCAGGAGTACGTGTCCAGCCAGACGTTGGTGGCTCTTTAGCTCCAATCCCATTCAAGATAGAGTATGTACTGTACCCTGATCGTCCTATATTCATGACGGTACCCTTCGACCTTCTGTGGCGCATGCTATTGATTACATGGTTGTGTAATATCTACAATTCTGTGTGGACAAAGGTCGAGCCATCCCAGGGGACCGGAGTCAAAGGTAAGTTTACGAAGACAGGATCTTTTACTGCATACCCGTAGTATTGCAGGTCACAGCAGAGAAAAAGAGTATGGGCACGGGTATCAGTAAATGTCGGGCCTCACGGCAACTCATGATGCAACGAAGGCATCCATAATCGTAGCAGTTTCTGTTCCCCCGTACGAGCTGGACTGCATCTAACACCCTTGCATCATCTGACAAGCAGCCAAGCTGGTCACTGTTACCGGCTGAAAGGTGCCGCAAGCCTCAAATGAGCAGCGTCTACAAAAGAAGTTGCAGATCGACGAAAGGTAGTTTAAGCTCCGGAAGTTTGTCTGGTCGACTTTCGCGCAGCAAGCAACCAGACGAGTATCGGGAGTGTGAACGTGCGTCCCGCACAGCGCATGTGGGGAGGAGCAACCCAGTACCTACACAGTTTAGGCTCTGTATAATACGTACTAAGGAACTATCGTACCTCAACTAAAGTGCATCAAATCTCGCTTGTATGTTCTACACCACATGATGTTCAGCCGAGCACACATTTGCGCAATCTCATCATCATAGATCATGCCTCAAGAACCAAAGAGGGCGAATGATATGCGAGGCCACAAGTTTAGTATACGTGGATTACGCTGCTACTCGAGTACACAAACGTTCACCGCATTATTTATCCGTTGACCCACTTCGATGTCGATCGATCGTATAAACATAACCAGATTTGAAATCGCGAACTTTCAACCAAGTAAATGCCGGCGCTGACCATGACTCACTCGTAACCCGTGCCGATCCGGTGATACGAGCACAGGGTCGATCAGCCATTCAGCATGCAGCATGCAGCATGCTGAACCTGGTTTTCACCACACCCAATAATCACACACGAGATGCTGCACGCGATCTGCCGAGATCTTGTGGTTCATATCCGAAAAGTTAAGAGGGCGATCTGTTTGCACAGGTCCATCCGTCACGAGCTGGGGGTGCAGGCTACGGACTCCATGTGTTCGAGCTTTCAACCGAGGGGATCCCAATCACGATTGCCTCTCGAAGCTGTGACACCAAGAGAACAGTGACTATTTTCCTGGTTAGTGTGACCCTCCCCCTACTTGTGCGCCACAGGATCTGGCCCGATTCTTGGCAAGATGACACTACTGTAAGCTCCTGAGATCTGCCGCAGAGCCAAGGCAGATGGAACACGTGAATGTGGTGTACCCGTCCAATGCCGCTGGGGTATCTATATCGCTAGAGTACTACTAGGCGGACATCAAGACTCAAAAGCCACCGGATATGCAGTCGTGGTTCAAGCTTTCGCTGGTTTGGTCACGCCGCACAATCGAAGCCAGGGAACGGAGGAATTGCCAGATGAGGAATGCATTGAGGTCACTGCGTTTTGGCTACCAAGTAGACTCGTGATAGACCAACAGATGGCTCACCATATCCTACCTGATTTCTCTACATGGACGATGAGACCGGGACCAAGTAGGATCCTGAAAATCGGTATACTGTGGGACCTGCGAGTGTAGATTGACAATGAAGAAGCACATTTGTTTGTGCAGGTGATCGTTTTTCCCCCTTACTCGAATGCAGGTAACTCGTCTGAAAAAAATGATCAGCTGCCGATTTTGAATCACCTTCTTGAGGTAGTATCCTTCTAAGTCATTTGTGCGAGCATTGAGCGTGAATGCCATCTTGGACAGCCGCCTCGCCCAGACCCGATCGTGTACAAATGCCAACTCTGAATCTTAGTCGATCAAGAGATCCCGACTTGCATGCCCTGCTGACACTAGCTCTTACTCACGGAAGGCCTGACCTATGCTCGGTGTTCATACAATCTTGAGAACAGCAAAGCGTTATAAAGTCTTGCCAGTTATTGAAGCCGTAAATATGTCATGCAATACCCCACGACATCGTGATGGACTGAACGAGCCCGAAGGACCACTAGTCAGGGAACACAGCCAGTGATGCCAGGCGACTGGCACTCCTTCGACCGGCAAGCTAGGATCCTGTCCAGAATGTATGCGTTCCGATGCTTGTGGCACCACTCTTTCCAGCACGACTGAAACCTCTTGCTACGTTGTCTTATCAGCATGGAGCAACTGTAGAACCAGCGCGTCTCGCAAGAAATGGCCTGTACGATGAACGAGGTGATGGAGGAGAGGCGAGACGCTCTGCATCAGCATTTCCAAGGTTGGAACGGCAGTTGACTCAGAGCAACAACAAGCTCTCGTCCGGGGACATGTAGCACTCAAAACGATGTTCAGAAACGTGGGATATTCTCGTGAAGCGAAGCAACTTGCCGGAAGCGATGTCGACGGTGTTCACATCACCTGATTTTCTGTCATTATCAGCTGTTCTGATAACTCGTTTCGGCGACCAGCAGGCGAAGTTAGGACTGTTCGGAGAGGACATTCCTCGAAAGAGCCGCGTGCGTTCTGATCGACATTCGCCATATGCTACAAGCCGAGCGGAAGGGCTTCCTGTCTGTGTAAAGCAGGGATTCATGCTACACAAACTCCCAAGCGAAGCCTCTCATGCTCGGAGTATTAACGGATAGCAAAATGACAGGTTGGAGCCCTTACCTCGAACCGACGACATGAGCATGCAGGTTTCTCAGCCCGTCTCGAGGTTATCAATGTCATCGGCGATGTGCATGGCTCGACAAAGTAGTCAAACAACCTTGTAAGGACTGGAAGCGCGCCGGACCGAGGGGTTTACTGAATTGATAGGTAGACACAACATTAAGAAAGGAAAGTGTAACGTTGAATGGATCAATACAGTGCGCTGACAGAAGGTTTCTGGAAAGAGGTAAGAGTAGGGTTATCGGTCGACGAAGAATAAACATGGCAGATACGAGGTCGGACCATATTCACGTGTTCACGACCTGACGAAGGCGCAATGATCACCACAACTTTACAAGTACAAGTATCACGCGCAAACGTTGCCAGAAAATGGCCTGGAACAACGAACATATTTATGCTGCGTGTCCTCTCGTTTGAATGATTGCCTCCTGGCACATCATGAGAGAAGAAAGAAGGAAATTTTATCAACAAGCTTGATCGTGGATTGCAAGCTGAGTCGTCGTTCTGGTTCTATCTTGTGAAGACGAGCTCAATCAGCTGCATAAGTCCTGCCAACATAGTGGTATTGGCCTTCGTATAGTATAGCTTTCCAGGCAATCCCGTCAAGCTGCAACACATGGCTATCATGATTTGGTACGATACAAAACTCCATTCCCTTCAACATAACATTTAGTTCTCGTGTAGCACCTTCTTGAAGTCCTCGCCGAGTGGCTCAGGCTTCTTGTGCTCTACACCTGTCTGACCAACCTTGTCCTTGCTGTATTGAGCAGCATATGGGTTGAGTCTGAGCAATACTTGTCTGTTCTTGAGTGGGTTCTTCTTCTGTACACCGGTTCTCTTGGTGGTTGCGTAGCCCTTTGGTTCCTTGAGAACTGATTGAATTTCGGATGAGTTGATCAATCGGGTGATGTCCGCGTTGCTAACAACGTTGGTTGGGAGAAGGAAGTCCTTCTTATATGAGGAGGCTTCTGTGGTAGATCCGTAGATGTCATCTAGAGCCTTGAAAGCATCTGACGTCCAGATAATGAAGCGGCCAAGGTGACCACCTGGTGCAAGCTGGAGGAGGTTGAGAGCAGTGACTGGCGAAGTCTCGACACCGGGGATGTTTCTGAAAGCTCGAACGAGTTCCTTGCCATCAGTCTCTGGGCTGTAGACGACCAGAGGACCTCGTCGCAGCTTGTATCTTCGACCTCTCAGCTTACCCTTACCTGCTCGAAGCTTTCGTGACTTCTGTGCCTTGACAACATCTGGACCTGCACCGACGCTCTTGAGCAGAGTTACTGCTGCTTGTGTCTTGACGAGACCTTTCACAGCGGATGATGCAACGACAAGAGGAACCTCGGGGACGGTTGCGATTCGGTGACCTCGGGCAAGCAGGAGAGCAGGAACTGATGAAGCAGCGATGGCAGATGCAACAGCAAATCGCCTAGCAAATGGTCAGTAAATTACTCGTTGCGCAAATTGCGTCTTGCACGTACTTCTGGTTCTGGTTGACCTTCTGGTGCCACTTTCGCCAGACCTTTGTAGGAGCAAACATACGACCAGCTCGGCACATATTACCAAAGGCGGCCTGACCAGCTCTGTGTGTACCACCACCAGAGACACGAGGGATACGAGCGACAGCTCGACCTGGATATTGTCAATCATCGAGTTCAATCTCTTTTTCATCCTACGATGTTGCTACTAACCTGTACCCCATGACTCTGCTGAAGTCTGCTCACCAGCCTTCTCACTCACTGCATATGGCTGTCGCTTGTTCTTGGCCATACCACTGTGTACAGTACTGTATTCATCTTAGCAATTTGTTCCAAGCGCTTTTCGTTTCGTAATTTCGTACTGGACAATATCGGGTCGGATTGGGGAGCTGAAGACAGCTGGGAGAGTGTGTGTATCCCCGCTGCTTGCGCCATCTGCGCCGACGATACCGACGGTAGGTCTGTTCGACATCTTGAGTGTTGTGTGTGGTGGAATGGAATTGTGATTGTCGGCGTCGAATATCGAAAGTTCACCAAAAATGTCGGCTTAAGCAGGCTTGGCGTGCGCAGGACGAATCTGTTAGTAAGCGGGACAATCCTGGCCAATGAGATGATACTATGGTATGACAGGTACACATGTAGTACGGTATGACCAAAGACGCATAATGGTCGCCGTGAACGGATCTTTCAATCTTCTTGCAAGAGTACAGCTCTTTAGAACGAGACCTTCTTCTCATTGTGACAATATCTACCTCGACGTAGTCCTAGCGGTATAGGCTATCAAGAATGCGGTACCAAGTTGACGGTATGGGTACCTATCGCAAACTTCGAGTGTGAACAGATAACGCTCGCTTTCAGTTCGACCATGTATCATGATGGCTATGAGCTGCGTGCATCCGAGACCATTGTCCAATAGCACACCCATTTCCATCAACCATGCCTTTCCAAACACACCTCACAGGTTCTAAACAAACAGTATCCAGATCACGAAAATTAACAGCTCACTACCTTACTGCTCCTCAATGGAACGCTTCTGACCAAATGCGCTCACAGCCTCGAAATACACATCCGCAACACCCTTGCAAATACCCTCAGATATCAGTCCTTCCGTTGCACACTCATTGTAAAGATCTTTCTTAAAGTTGAGATCAATGAGATCTTTGTTATCATCGGAAAATCGACCTTGGGTCTTGTAATTGCGGTATCCAAAATCATGACGATAACAGCTGTCTCTGAAGTTGAAGCCGAGAGGCTCATCTGGGGAAGCTGTGCATCCGTTTGAGGTCCAGTCGAGCTCTGGTGGGTCTTGGGCAGCTCGTGCGGTTTGGAAGTCCTCCATGCTAGTAGAGAAAAGCAGTTGGTCGGTTTTTACCTCCAGGTCTGTTTGTCGTTCATAAATGCCTGAGGCTTTTAACGGGAGGGAGCTGCAGACACTCGCGAGTGCAAGGAGGGTCACTGCGAAAGTTTTCATGGTTGCTTGAGATGTACCGTCTTTGTGGTGTTTCGTAACGAATGTGATGCAGTGGGAGTACTAATAACAAACCCACGATCTAGCTTGCAAACGAGAGATATAGCAGGGAGTAATGCGACAATCACGTTGCTTTAAGACTCACCTGAGTATGCGACATTGATAGCTTTTATTCACGATGGGCACGCTCAGTACGTAGCTGAATCCTTGCAACTTGATCGCCGGTCACCTTGCGGCGACGACTCAAAGACATGTTGGACCATGGATCATGGTTATTGGTTCATGTAGAAGTGATCTGCTATGCTGTCGCCTTGTTTCGAAAGTGACAGTGAAGGACAAATCATAAATAGATTGGGGCATGGCCAAGACTGACGCGTCAAAACAGCCCCGCTCAGCAGGTACATGGCGACATCTTCACCCCCGCGATTGGTTCCTGCCTAAGATTTACGCGAAACAATTCAACTTTTGCACTACCAATTGTCTTTGCTCTGCATTGAAAAGCAACACTCTACTAAAACATACAAGCATTTATCGTCTTCTCACAGCCCTTGTATACCACGTCTTCAACGGAAAAGCGGTACAATCAAACGCCACATCTCCATCATGGCATCCGAACTCAAGAAAGACACCATCAAGAACGGCGATGGATCGACATACCCAAAGAAGGGTGACAACGTGACCATGGAGTATACTGGCTGGCTCTACGACGAAAATGCTCCCAAGAACCGAGGAAAGCAGTTTGACAGTTCTGTCGGTCGAGGCGACTTCAAGACCAAGATTGGCGTTGGTCAAGTCATCCAGGGCTGGGATCAGGGTGTGCCACAGATGTCATTGGGCGAGCGAGCAGTCTTGACGATTCCTGGTCACATGGCGTATGGACGAGATGGCTACCCTGGCTTGATCCCTCAAAACGCTACACTTATCTTCGAGGTTGAGTTGAAGAAGATCAACTAGGACGTATGAGGAGAGGAGGGGTTGCGTGACTACATGAGACTCAAATGCAGATAACATGGGTCTGGGACCTGGGAGGTAACACGGCATAAACTTATGTGAGGTTTTCATCAAGGTGAAAACGACGGAGCTTCAAGCTCTACCTGGACCAACGCAGATAAGACTTCAACATTAGCGGTGGTAGACTATTCAACTGCTACGCCAGACCATGCAAATCGTCAATGCATTTTGACGCCTTCTTCAGTTTCCCAGTCGTACTCGTGACGTCTTCTCTATCTTGGTCTTCAACAGTAAGGGGCAAGTATTATTACACATGGCGATCGCTAGTCGTTCTTCGTGCGACACATTCTTGTCACCATTTCTAAACCAAAGTAGGTACAGTGTAGCAACGGCAAGTTCACTGCCATTGTTTGTAGCTAGTGCCGGTTCGTGAGTAGTCTATACGATTTATGAGTTTTCAAGCAATGACTATTGTCCTCGTACCCTAGGTGCATCGTGCCATGTGCCGTTTGCATCCCATATAGCTGGCCTGGTATACCTGCCAGCATTGTTTCCGTTCATCCAAGCAAATCTATAAAATTCCGTCTCATTCTTCGTCCGCCACCTTCGAGTCATTGTGACCTGATCCGGCTCATAGAAGAGCTCGTTGTCTAGATAGCCACGCCACCGTTCAACATCATTGATCAAGATGCTAACACCATCGATGCCAGTATCTGCTGGCAAATGATCCCAATTGAAAGTAATCACTTCACCATCACGACCAATGCTCGCCGTGATATTGGGCGAGGTTGCTCCCCACCAGGATGATCCGCCATGACCATTAGGACCTTCACCAAGAGAAGCAGGTGTCTCCACTATGGAAGCAAATCCCCATCTAGCCACACCGTTAATGAAAAAACCGAGTAGCAGACCCTGATAAGCCAGACTGGGTCGTACCCTAAAGGCAGTACCTGGCATGAATATCATACCGAGAATGTAGTGATGTATACGCAGTCGCAAGCCAGGTAAAGATACGAGAATAATCAAAGTCAAAGCCATCAGTCCATATACAGCCAGGTATCGTGGAAGGTTGCCAGATATACGTATCCAATGAATTTGTGTAATGATAATGACGAGGACGATTGCAACAATAATAGCAAGAGCGAAGCCGGCTCCAGGTTGTGCCAGATCGTGAGGTGTAAGTCTTCCAATAGGTATCAGAGGAGCAAAAGTATAGTTGTTTAGGGCACCCAAAAAGCAGAAACCAAGATAGAGTACGACTTTCTCGACCTGAGCAGTAAGATCGGTCAGAAGAGGTCTTGCACACCATCTGTACATGATCGCAGCGACGAACGAGGCCGGCAGCAATCGAGACATGAGGGTGCTGAGCAGCTCATAGAAATCAGGTTGGTTTGGTGGATCGGAGACAAGCCCAACATGGAACATAAGGACAATGAACGTGCCCCAGAAGAACACTGCAGGTGAAGTTGTGAACAGACCAAGGATCACCAGAGCAACAGCAGTGACGGCGAAGATGTCCCAACGTGAGCCGGAAGGACATTGTTTCTGGCTCTCTTTCAGCTCTGGGAACATGAAGGACCGTGGGAAATCTGAGGGAAAGCCGTGACTCTTGATGCCGTGCCGTTCAGATGCCTCGTAGTGTGAGTCTGACCCAACAAGCAATGCGACACCACAGCCGCCGTCGTTGGATATCGCGCCTGCATGAATAGCTGCCTGGCATATGAAGCTGTCGGCACGATAGACGGCTGGGGAATCAGGATCACTCTTCTTCGGCCCACCGATCACCTGCTGCTCGAATTGAATGGTCTCGTTGCCCACAACGTATCTGTTGTACTGTAGCGCTTCACCACAATTGGCAGGACACCGAAAGGCGAGGTATTGATTCGAGAAAGGACGACAATTGTTCCCATTAAGACCACATCTGTTACCGCCTTCCCACCACGTTGCACCACACCAGATGTTTGAAGGCTTGCCGTAGCCCTTTATTTCACCCGTGCCAGCCTTGTGTTTGAGCATGACTGACCATATCGTGAACCATACTGACAAGAAGGCTATGAGGAGGCATGCTCTGTGTTTTCGCTTCGGCACATAACGATCGAGCAGTCTTATTGGTATTTCTTGTACTCTCGGAAGGAGTGGCTCAATTCTGAGCTCGCGCGGAGGTTGCGGCCCTTTGACCCAGGTCGCGACTGCCTTACCTGCTCTCTTTAGAGGCTGTGGCACCCAGCCCAACCCAGACGATTTCGCATTCGGTCTCAGCCAAGCAGGTACAGGCAGTCCATGTTCTGAAGTTTCAGAAGACGAACGGAAATGCAAATCTCGTGTGGTTTGAGCATCTTCGTTGTCATCATCGCTCAGCGGTTGTCTTTCTGGATCATCTCGGTAAGACGAAGGCTCTTGAGGAGGTACATACGGCGCCATGTTGCTACTCTTGATGGGCACAATATTGAGAATGCGAGCTACGAGTACAAAGAAAGTGCCATTCGAGCTGCGAGCCCGGATCGTTCAGGAATCCATGACAGAAGCGCTACAAGAGAGCTCGAATCGCGACAGTATATGTGCCAAGCCGGCCTACAGTACACGACTGCATGGAACCATATACTCGTTGACGTGTGCCATGACTGTCGCGTAAAGAGCTTCAGGACGCGGATAATTAGGGTGGCTCACGGTTGGATCTTCAAGCTGCCCGCAAGCCAGCTGGCCCCACTCGAGCCATCTTTTAGGCGGCCATAGCCTCGAAGATTCCGTGGTCAGTATTGAACATTTCTATGCGAGCGCCAAAAAGATGTTCGCGAAATACAACTGTTACTCGTCTATCAGCCTTCCTGATGCTGCAAACACGCATGATTGCAACAATCTTGGCTATGGTCAAGACATGAATAAGTGGAGACCCCATCAGATACTGTGCCTGTAGAGGTCCAAAAGCACGAAGAGCACATTTCCATCACGCCATATTAGCAGACAGCCGTAGAAGATTGTAAATATACGAACAGTCCCTATATCTGCAGCTATTCGTGTTTCCACCACGAACACACAAAGAATCCGCCTCAGGCTATCGAAACCTGCTTAATATTCAGCTATTTCACAATGCCATACACTTTCGAACCCACGGTTCAGGCGCCGCTTTCAGGCGATCTCAAGCAGCGGATGGATTGGTCAGCCAGCTGCTCGGCCGAAAATACTGGCAGCTCTGTCCTTGCACAGAGAAACAGACCTGGAGACCAGTTTAGCGCAACGAGGTGAGAATGCTGCTTCTGAATGGTTGAACGGCACGGCGGAAGAGGCAAAAAAGTAGACCGATAAGGTCATGACTTCGGTACAATCGCGTATCCGGTATCTCGGCCACGCAACGTGAAGGGCGTGAAGGCTTCATTCTGCTTGTCAACCTGTATAGCCCTTCACTCAGCTGCCGGTCTTATTGCAGAATTCGTTGTTCACTGTATCAGCAATGGTTGAAAACATGGACAACTTCGAGCTTGCGCCACCAGTCGACCTTAGCCACCACTTCTCTGCTGTCACCAAGCGGAGAGTGGCTAGCAAAATCAAAGCCTTCTACAAGTATTTCACGATACCAGGCATTGCAAATTTAGCTGGAGGTCCGTCTAAGAACTCTTACTATTTGTGTATCTTTACTAATCTAGACAGGCCTACCTGCTCCAGAGTACTTCCCATTCGATGACCTCGAAGCGAAGTCGGCTCTTCCACACAGGTTCAAGCCAACGTCGAACACCCCAGTCGACCCTCCATCCGCCTCAAAGAAGCACAAGCACAATGCCTACTTGAACGATCCTACTCAGACCCGCGTCACCGTTCCTCATGCCTCAAGTCAACCGAATAGATTGGAGCGCATCGATCTGAACACAGCTTTGCAATATGGTACAGCTCAGGGCTATCCTCCTCTATATGCCTTCATCCGCGAGTTCGCCCTGACTCGACTTCACCCTAATATCCCATACAAGGATGGCGGAGAGGTAATCCTTACCTGCGGCAGTACTGATGGTTTTGCGAAAATACTGGAGTGCTTCACAAACATATGGACACCCGATAGTGGCAAGCCACTCTCCGAACGTGAGGGTCTGCTTTGCGAAGAGTTTGCATACATGAACGCGCTCCAGACTGCGAGACCTCGTGGCATGAGTGTCACGCCAGTGGCTATCGACGCAGAGGGTATGCTCGCCTATGGTCATCCAAAGTGTTTATACAACGTACTGTCAAATTGGGATGTTGAAAAAGATGGAGGCAAGAGACCACACATCATATATACTGTGACAATGGGCCAAAACCCAACGAGTGGCCTGTTGAGCGTCAAGCGCAGAAAGGAAATCTACGAGATCTGCCAGAAATTTGACGTGCTTATTGCTGAGGACGATCCATACTTTTACATTCAGTTTCCGCATGCTGCGAATGAGTTCTCTCAGAAGCATCGAAATGGCCAAATAGTCAGTATGAACCACTTCGCCGAGAACAACTTGAACTACCAGACCAGCCTAAGAGTGCCTGTGCGAGGAACAGTGAAGAACAGCAATGGCTACCCATGCACGACGACCCGTATGAGAAAAGGAAAATCTTCTGGGTCTGAGTTCTTGGACTCACTGGTACCATCATACCTCAGCATCGACGTTGATGGACGCGTTATCAGGATGGATACCTTTAGCAAGACGATTGCACCAGGCTGCAGACTCGGCTGGTTGACTGCACAACCTGCCATCATCGAGAAGATCCTACGAATCACTGAGACAAGCACACAGCAACCAAGTGGCTTTGTCCAAAGTCTTGTCGCAGAAATGCTGATCGGACCCGACAAGTACGATTTCGCAAGCTCGGGAAAAGGAAGCGAAAAGCCTGCCGCAGGATGGAAGATGGACGGATGGATCAGATGGCTCGAGGGCCTTCGAGGCAACTACGAGCGACGCATGCGGATAATGTGCGAAGTCCTCGAGGAGGGCAAATATGTTGCCACATCCGGTCCTTCCCAAGCCGACCTCCAAGAGCAAGAAGTGCAGGCTAGAACTCGACGCCTTGTTCAAGGTGTCCAAGCTGCTAGACGACAGCGTCTCAACCGAGTCATTGCCTGCTCATACGCAAGAACCAATGCTGCTGAGCTGGCCAACCCCACAATCCCAAGCACTACCATCCAAGACTCCAAATCCACCCCCGACGACAATGACGCCTTCGAAGTCCTCACCAAGACCCAAATCTACGACTTCGTCCCCCCAATGGCAGGCATGTTCCTCTGGCTCCACCTCCGCCTCGAAACCCACCCCCTCTTCTCCTCCTTCCCGCACGACCAATTCTCCCACGCCCTCTGGATCTTCCAAACTCGTGACCCCTACAAAGTCCTCGTAGCACCCGGCACCATGTTCGCGCCCACACAAGAGATTCAAGATGCAAAGGGCTGGCAGTATTACAGATTGTGCTTTGCGGCTGTGAATGAGAATGATATCAGGGCTATTAGTGAGAATTTTGTCAAGTGTTGTCATGATTTCTGGCAGATTAAGGATAAGAAGGTTATTCAGGATATGTTGGATGAGGATGAGAGTGGGCAGGTTAGTGAGAGGGTGCAGGAATTGATGAAGGAGGGGACCTGGACTGTTAGTCCTGTTATGTGTTAGATGTTGGTTGATTGGTTGCGATGAGTGATGATTTTTGATCAGATTAGTGGTAAGCGAATCTCCAGGCATCTTGTTTTCTATTCCTATGTTGCCATTAGTGGTTTTTCAGATTAAGCAAGCGGACGGTCATGAGATGCGTGATGAGAAAATCGGAACAGAAAATGCCTGAGCAGTGTCGAGTTCCGTACTATTGTAAATAGATACGAAGAATTATCTAAGATGTTACCATTTCGTCCAACCGTTCAGCACTGCTTTGCAAAAGACCCATGCAAAGAGCTGGTATTGTCCTAACCCGAGAGTTCTGCTCGAGTCACTATCTGCTAACCATCTATTGACCTGGGCCCTTGCAAGTACCACCGATGAGGTTCATCCAGTGGCAAGAGTTGAACTCGGAGTAGACGGTCTTGATTTGCCAAGCCCGGGTGGTGGTGTTGTAGCTCGAGGCAATGCTGTTGATACCCTTGACGACTGGCTTGGTTGGGTCAATGGTGATGGTCCATCGGAAACCAACCTTAGTGCAGTCAACGCTGTCGATGCTGAGGATGGTCATTGGGAGAGCTGGCTGGGAACCCTGACCGGCCTCGAAGGCGGCCTTGCTGGGGAAGGTTGTTGAGCCCAATGGGTAACCGGCGAGGATGTTGATGCTGTCCGAGGTATCGGTGAAGTCGTTGGAGAGGAGCTTCTCAGCAGTAGCGAGGGTGTAGTTGCTGATCAGGGATTGGAAGCCGTTGACAAGGGTGGTGGCATCAGAGCTGGTCAAGCAAGATGGAGCTGGAGGAGTGAAGGATGAGGTTGCTGAAGGGCGGCTGACTTGAGAGGCAGACGAGGCAGACGAGGTAGCAGGGCGGCTGACCTGGGAGCCCCATTGAGGAGCAGCGGCGGCGAGGCCGGTGATGGCAAGAACTGCTGCGAGGGAGAACTTCATTTTGGTTGATTGGTTGGTTGATTAAGTTGATTTAACTTGAATTAAGATGGTTATTCAAAAAGAATGACTGTGGTGAGAGCTGAAGAGCAAGTTTGGTGCTGAAAGAGCGACTGTGGTGAGTACCTGTGAGCTATTGGCTTGAGAGAGGGAACATAACTCACAGCACAGCAGCGAACTCATCTTATACATTCTCCCTGTAGTAGATCTGGTGTAAGGGCCTGAGCACTTCTCCTGTCAGTGTTGTGTCCGGCTCCATTGTGTGGAAATGAAGCTGAGGGTTGACGGAAACATTGACTCCAGACTCACGAGGCAGTTAGAGTCATGGCCTAGTAAAGCGCCTCGTGGCTGGAGTCGAATTGAAATGGCTGATATGTCATCTAGTCCGAACTGTGCTGGAATGATCGAGCTTCTGGGTCAAAGTCTGGAGGCAGACGTCAAGCCTGAATTTGGCGGAGATCTAGCTCTTGTGGCTTTCGATGGTCGATCCTTACTTGCATCTAGCAGCCAAGTCGTCGATGTTAGCGTCGACTGAAACGGAAAGGTGCAGCACGTGCACCACGAGTCTCCCTCCCCAGTTCAGTCGATTAGCGGTCCATTTGAGTTTCTAGACCTCGTGAAGGAGCCTTCCACGTTCACCTCACTCTTCCTGTATCCGGTATCATCAACGATTTCGCATGCAATACGAACGTGGTGACTTTAGTAGATGTTGTCAATCTGGGTTACGACAGCCGTGTTCAGAATATTGACAATTGACATCGCGGTATGCATCACAAGAAAGGAGTATGTTTTAATTTGTGCCTGAATGTTTGATGGATCGATCAGTAGTTAACCCTTCTACAGTCGTCACCAGTTTGCTCACTACATGTGTCCAATAAAAGAAGTCTCACATGTTGTCATCACCGAAACCACGTTGCAGCAAGCATAGACGGGATATTCACGTACAAATGGGTTCGCAAGGATCGAGAAAAGGTAGAGAAGTGGTATAGAAACTTTAGCCGCATACTAAAGCGACTTAGCGCATTCGGAAGTTTGTTGTCTTGATTTCCACAACTTGATAGTGGGACCGAGCTTTCGAACTCTCTCATGATTGAACGCAATTTATTTGCACCGTCGAACGTTTGAACGGATACTCCGGTTGTCAGCCTCGAGGGTGTACAGTATACTGTGCCCTTCTGCTTGGTGAAGTCGTTTTGGACCACTCACGACCAAGGAGCATTCGGTATCAGGACCGTGTGCTAATCACCCACTGCCGGAAATCGTGCGTGACTGATGGGGTCTTTGGCCTAATCAACTCCGTACATGATCGATTGTTCATTTCGTGGAAACCTTAACCTCACGAACTGTCTTTCAGTACTAGGTATTCTGGGACTTGAGACGACCCAGACTGCCTTGCGTGACAGAGTGCATTGCTCTCCTGTCAACATTGACATTCATCTATGACCACAATAACTACGGAACGGATCTCCTAGAGCTTGCAGCTATGTGACCTCGACACCCAGCATCAATACAGTGGCATTGTCCCCTGTGTTACCCTGAAGGCTTCCTCCATGATGGTTAATCCTGCATCAATCTGTTTTGCGGTTATGACAATGGGAGGTGCGATACGAAAGACTCCTGCGAAAGAGGCATGACTGGACAAATTGGCCCACAGTCCTAGCTCATACATCTTGTTAGAGACGCTTGCCGCCAATTCATTGGCAGGAGATTTCTTGTCACGATTACCAACGATCTCAACACCGCACATGAGGCCGCGACCTCTGACATCTCCTATACAGCCGTACCGCGCCTTGAGCCTGAGCAGGCCCTCTTTGAGTTGTTTGCCTCGTGCACGAGAGTTCTCGACTAGATTATCCCGAAGGACTATCTCAAGCACTTTATCGCCAACTGCGGCAGGAAGAGGATCGTTGACGTGTGTCGTGTAGAAGCAGAAATTATTCTCAGCACATACCTTCTCAATTTTATCGCTGGTGACCACTGCACTCAAAGGTAAGCCATTTCCAAGCGTCTTGCTCAGAGTCAAAATATCAGGCACGACGCCTTCAAAGTTGACTGACGCGAACAGATCACCGCAACGACCGATACCAGTTTGTGCCTCGTCAACAATCAGAAGCATGTCTCGTTGCTCGCAGTGTTTCTTTAGAGCCTTGAGATATCCTTCTGGAAGAACATGCATCCCTGCCGAGGACTGGATACATTCGACAATGCAAGCAGCCAAAGAACCACACGAGGCACGATCAATCAAGCTCCAGCCATAGTCGAGCTCCTTCTCCCAATCATAAGACCCGTCTGCATTCCTGAAAATCGATCGGTACGCGTTAGGTGGTGGAAGCATGTGCATACCAGGCATCAACGGCCCTTGCCCTTTTCGTCCAAAATGGTATTGTGTCCCTAGAGCCTGAGCTGTTACACCATGCCAGCTCGCACCCAGGCCAACGATCTCGAATTTCCCAGTAAAAACTTTGGCCATCTTAATGGCAGCTTCATTTGATTCGCCGCCAGTGCTCAAAAAGAACGCTCTATCCAGACCTTCAGGCAGTACCGACGTCAGACGATCAGCCAATCGAAGGACCGGAGGCGAGAGCATTCCAGAGAAGAGATGGTCAAGATTGGTTGCGTGTTCTGTGATGGTTTGGACAATTTCAGGATGGCCATGCCCGACAAGGCATGACATCTGCCCCGATGTCCAGTCGAGCACTTTATGCCCAGCAGCGTTTTGTACGTATAATCCACTGGTGTGGACTATGATATCCTTCTCGAATTTGGTTCCATAATTAATGAGCCGCTTCGAAGCAATCTCTTGAAGTCGAGCTTCCTCGTTGCTATCAGCCTTGTTCGATACAGTAGAAGTCTTCGAAACTATCTTGTTAGTGAGGTCCGTCTGAGGATCGTCCTGGATCATCGGAGCCATTTAGGCCTCCCACTTCGCGATATGCTAATGGAACTACCAAGAGTGCTTCGCAGGGATCTTTACTGTAGTCAACAAGCGATGTATCACAACGGTACAAGCTGCTGAGGACTGCAGTATGGCTATCTTATCCTCACATTTCCCAAGTTGACCGACGGCCAGCAGTTAACGAGAGTGGTGCAGCAACTCCAGGAGCACAAGAGGTCGCCGACGGCGAAACGATACAGTGATTGGCTCCGGAGATAATTTGGAAGCGTTGCCTTCAATCACTGACAAGAATTTACCCGCCAGTTCAGGGACTCCGCCCCGCCATACTGATTCGACACCCCAACGTGACCTGAATTTCCTACTATGTTGCCTTGCTATCATTTTCAACTCGCGGAATTCAAGAAATTCACGTATCAATTCTGTAGGCATGGTAGTCAAGCCCTATCGACATCTTGCTTATCGGGGGAACAATTTCCTGCCATGTAACAACAAGATAGGTTCGCAGTCTTCGGACGTTATTTATCCGGCTTGTGAACGTGGCTTCAAACTGTTCGTTTTTCCTACAAGGACAGGCATCGCCCTCGTCGCATGACCCATATCATACTGTATATGGTTAGTATGCACGTGCAAATCCTAAGCGTGTACAATTAGAGACTTGTTTACGTTGTAAGCAAGACAGACCCTGTCTCACAGGAGGATCATGCCAAGCCCAAGCCTAGACAAGATCGATTTGGGGAGTAGTTCTTGCCGACTTTCGAGAATGTACTCTTGCACCAACCTAGTGCCATTCTCGTTGGGGCTACTTTCCCAGAGACAGATTCTGGGTCATCTACGTCTCATACAGAGCCGTCGGGAAATGCTGCACTGGATGCGGCGGGTGCCTCTTCTGCTCAATCAGGCTTCAGCATGAAGACGGCGCGTCCTTATCGATCACACAAGTATCCTGCTTGTACCAGATGTCACAAACGGCGGTCGAGATGCACTATTGAAATACCTGGCTCAGCATGTCTGCTATGTCGTGTTCATGGAGTTCCCTGTTCCTCCGAATCAGCTAAGAAGGATGAAAGATCAACTCCTAAAATCGGCTTCATCCATCGCTCGCTCCTGCCCGATTCTGGCTATGTTGACACTACATCACATGTCGTTGGACCCGTTGTTGCTCGCGACACCCAGATCATAGAGAACTACATAGGCCCAATATCGACAGATGTACCAGATGGGGAGCAAGCTCAAAATTCCAGCGTGTCACAAGCACTGAACAGACCGATTTACCAGATGCCTATACCACCCAGACGTCCAAGTCCGCCAGCTCAATGCAACTGCTCACGTAACCTCCCACTCGAGCTGCTCGCACAGGTGGATACGTATTTCGAGAAGCTGATTGATGTGTACTTTGAGCACCTTTACCCAGCCTTTCCATTGCTTGACGAGCAATGGTTCATGAGCAAGCTAAGTGACAGGCAAGCCCTGCCTCCAACGTTTCTTGCGAACTTTGTAGCATATGTGCTCTACTATTGGAATCTGGGCCCTGATCTCATGCTACATGCCAAACCGGATCAAGACTTCGCGTGGTCAGTTGCCGTGCAAGCCATGATGGCAGATCACCAGAAAGCAGATATATCCTCGATACTTACAGTTGTCCTGAACGTTGCCGGTCGACCTTCGAAAGGCTTTGTCAGCAATTTGACAAGTGTCTCTCGTGCAGTTGCCATATCCCACAGTGGTGGTCTCAACCACGATAGTCATGATTGGAAGCTTGACGATCATGTCAAGAAGTTGAGGTGGAAAATGTGGTGGGCTATACTGATACACGACCGCTGGTACAACTTTGCCCAAGGCACGCCACCATACATAAATAAAGCGCACTACGATGTGCCAATTCCTACCATAGATTTATTGGCTGGCGATCGTGCAAACATTCAGAAGCATTACCGTGCAGCAGAGTGCTATATTGAACTCTGCGAGTTGACAGAGACCGTCGGAGATATTCTACCTCTAATTTATCACGTTAAGTCGGGAAACGATGGTATGGCAGCAGAACAGACATCGAGATCAGAAATTGAGCTGAATAGATGGCAACAAACACGTCCGAAATGGATCGACTACTATAATTTTGAAGACCGTCCGCTAATCCCAGGGTTAGTCAACCTTCAGTTGTCCTATCTCGCCGTTCGTATGCTGCTGCGTAGGTTGGCTTGGCATGAGATATGTCAACGGGAAACAGATCCGTCACCAACCTGGCTTGAGAGCTGTCTCAATGCAGCAGGCAATATCGCGAGGTTTGCTAGTTCGTTGAGCCCTTCAGAGCTTGCTGGCTTCTGGTTGCCTTACAATGCCCACCACTTCACTTCGGCTGTCACATTACTATTACGTTGTGCGCTGCAAACCAGTGATCTAGCCGTACGGAGGCGCAGCATGACAAGTGCAAGGACTCTGGTCGACTGTCTCAGGCGTTTCAAAGATGAAAACAATTGGGATCTAGCAGAGACGGCTCTTACACAGTGCGAACCTATTCTGAGGACAATCGAGGATGCATTGGTAAGGAAGTCGCCCACCACGCAGCCTCAGAATATAGACCAAACCTCAATCGGTGTCGACGACGTCTTCTGGGACAACCCAATGCTGCAATATCCGGGTTTCGGTTGGTCAGGTCAGCCTGAACAATTATTTCCTGGCCTCTTCTCTGATCTTTATGCAGACCCAGCCCTCTTTGAGCCATTCCCCGAAGCACAACAAATTCGTTGAGCAGGCAGCATCCACCGTCTCAACTAATAGAAGAAACCAACCATCGCCACTTCCCATGACTGCTAGCAGCACCCTAGCTGTTCAAAATCTCCCTATTCCTTGTCACCACCAGCGCTGATTCTGGTACTGGCCATGAAGACGTCGGAGGAAACCTCTCGTCCACTGCACAGCACAGCTGCCATTGCCGGAAAGCTTTGCAGCTCACGAGCATGAAACGCCACGTAACACGAGATCATTCTCCGCAGGATGTGCTTCGTGTTGTACTGGCTGCTGAAACCGGAGTCAGCGGTGTTGTCATAGATGTAATCAACTAGCTGAACCACATATTGAGGTCTTTTCCAAAGATCGCACCATGCTAGCTCTTCGAAGAGTGCAAATATGGCCACTCTTTTGAGTTGCGGTACTTCGTATCTATCTCCAAGGACACATAGTTTAGCCAGTTCCAGCACGTCCGACACCATAACAATGACACCAGATGCAGAAGACCGCAGCGTACTGGCCACCTCCTTAGCCAGGATAGGGACGTCGAATCTAAAGAAATTGGTGTCTTCATTGATATGCTCCGGACTCGTTCTCAAAAGCGCCGGCGCACCAGGTGCTAGCTTCATGTTATATGTTGAGACTTTGTGAAGAAGACCATAAGCCAGGGCGCATGACTGACACAGCAATTGTTGAACATAGATTGCGGTGTTGGCACAGCCTGACTTAACGCAAGGGGAAAAGTTTGATACTGTACCGATGTGACTGTCTGTTTGCAAACAGGCATCGCAGATTGGAAAGCATTTCGAAAATCCAAGTGGGTTATCCTTAGAGCAATACGGACATTTGAATGTGTTTGGCCAGAGTCAAGGAGCAATACAATAAGTTGACCCAGTTCTGGCGAAGGGTTCAACTGTAACTCATTCTCGGAGGCTCTACCAGTGGTGTAGTCTGACTTCATGGATCGTGCAAAGGTGAGAAATACCTCAAAGGTGCTTGGTTCGATATCCGGGAGGTCTGCTGTATTCTCTTCTGCACTGTTGACCTGGTCTTTAATCTTACTGGCTATGATAGGGGAAGCGGGCTCGATCAGACTTCTTTCGACCTGGAAAAACTGCCGCTTAGAGCCAACACGAAACCAGAAGAACTCGTCACCTGGCTCCCTGTTACAGCATTCATTAGCATGGTGGACAAGAGGTCTCAAATGCACTTACGCAAATGTGTCGACGATCTCAGCTTTGACGTCCATACTTGCAGCCTGGGACTAGACAAAAGTCTGGACTGTTTGCAATCTGCGAGATGAAACCCGACACTGGAAACAACCAAGATATGCAAGAACAAATCACTAGGACAAGAGAGTGGAAGGTTGCAAGTGTGAAAATCTGCGTCTTCATAAGCAAACAAATCAAACCCTTCACCAACAAATTTCGACACTATCACGACTTGCTGAATTCTGGCAGACCCTTTTTACCCGCACCCACAACGTTCCATAATCTACGATTTGCATACGAAATGTCAGACAAAAAAGCCTCGTGCGTTGCGCACTTTGATTTCACCAAGTAAGACCTCAGACCAGTGAATCAGCTTCTATACCCCATCATATACATATTGTTGAGCAGTACATGTCGTACAAGATAGCTACTGACATCAAGCAGGTTGATGAGTAACGACATCTTCAGCTTCATTGTCGGTAGTGAAGATGACGGTAGTGAAGATGAATGCTTTAAAGTCCATGTTTCGGCACTCAGTGCGATATCTGGGCCGTTGGCCTACATGATGACAAACAACGCGATGGAAGAATCAATCAAGAAAGAAGTTACACTTAAATCAATCAAGCCTCAAGTCTTCGCTCAACTGATCAAATTCGCGTACATGGGACTCTGCGGAATCGCTGACGATGCAGCAAAACCTCCTCCGCTCAAGATCCCGGAAAATTTCCAGTGTCACAAATGTTGTCAATATAGCTCTGCACTCATATACCCATTTTGCTCTGAATCCTGCAGAAAGCAGGTTATCAGTATAAAGAAGTACCAAGACCCTGAGTTTACCTTCTGGTGTGTCGCAACAGGTTGTTCGAGCACTGTTACTTATCGAACCGATATCAGATTGGCCTGCTCGATCTCTGACCATGAGTTATATCCCACAGTCAGCACAGACTTCCAGCCAAATATCAGGAACTCCAAAAAGCGCCTGTCGCCCATCATTTGTGGACCGTCAGTATGCCTGTGAGAGTATGTCTTACACAGTCCTCAAAGAACAAGTCGGTTGCGAAAGCTGTTGATCGACCAACGAATTGAAATTGCTACATTCCTGCTGCTTGTGTCACATCACTAACTTGCCCCTGGATGCTATTCGTGCAGAGATGTGATTCTCTTAACCACGTCATCCACTAATTGAACTTCCTGCATTTTGACTAACCACCGGTCAGATATACACGACACATCCCCGTACCACGCCCCAGCTAGCCCCCCAAAGATAGCCCCAACAGTATCCGCATCGTCTCCTAGGTTCACAACCTCAATCGCTCCCTCCTCAAAAGTGTTAGTAATGAAGAACGCCCATAACGCTGCTTCAAGACTATCAAGCACGTAACCACTGCTCGAGATCTTCTCCCTAGGCATTTGCTGCCACATTTCCAGCCTCTCATATTGTGCAAGGCGTGCACGAATCTCGGAATCAATATCTTCTCCCGCTTTGGCAAGCCACTCACGAATGCATAGCGCAAGTTCTCCTTTCGACGCACCTCGCAATGCACGAAAGACAAGAGCACAGTACAACGCACAAGCGTGCACACACCTTCGGTGCGGATGCGTGACCTGACTACTCCGCTTCCCCAACTCGACCGCCTCCTCCTCCGTCCTCGCGACCAGCGCACAAGGCAAAACACGCATCAAACTTCCATTACCGCACCTCCAATCCTCATTGAACTTGTTCGTCACAAACTCCAACGTACTCAGTTCAGGCTTCTTTCGATAATATTGCAGACTCTGCCTCGTCTGGTTCCCAACGTCGAACGCATATCCTGGAACCGAGGACATGTATCCTTCGTCAAGCCACTTGACATACCTGGCGGCTTGATCAAGTGGGTCGTGAGCACCGTTCTTCGAGATCAGGGAGTGTGCTAGACATAGAGCCATTGAGGTGTCGTCTGTGAAGTGTCCCGCGGGCAGGCTGAAGTTACTGTTGGGCAGCATGTCGCGGACGTACTGGGAGGAGTCCATGATGCGAGGCTGGAACTCGAGGGGTGCGCCGAGGGCGTCGCATATTGCTAGGCCGTAGAAGGCGGTGCGGATCCGGGAGGGGAGGTCTGGTGGAGATTGTGTGGACATGTTTTTGTTGGTGGTAAGGTCGATTCAGTCAGTTGCCTAGGAAGCAAGGCTCAGAAGTATCAGTACTAATTGAGCCGTACCTGTTGCTAAGAGAATATACTGAGATTGAGACTTTCAAACGAAAACGACAGAGCGATCAGTAGCAGGAGTAGAGACAACAGACAAGGCAGACAGAGTGGTGCCAAGTCTTGGCATGGCTTGTTTAGGCAGCCATAAGGCGGATTCCATGCACTATCAAGTTTCGGGGCAGTATTTTGCAAAGCCTTTGGAAAAAACTTTCTTTCGCAGGGCTGTGATCGCCTCTTGTGCAGAGTCGAAGCGTTCATCACTGCGGTAGTATGGACTAGATATCAGGGTTTTTGACCAGATCGAAGACCATGGACGGCGACCTTTAACTTGCTCGTAAGCTAAAGATATGTCAATCTTACGACTCTTCCTTCGTTTCTTCAAGGTGCTTCGTGTTCGTTGGCTTCAACAGCTCACCAGTTGTCTCGACCTTAATCGGCTTCGCAGGTACAAGCACAAAGAAAACTCTGCAATTCTCCTTCGTGCTGCCAACATTAGTAAAATAGCCAAACCTGCACAAGAACTAGACTTACTTATTCTGCCAAAGCTATACACAACAGTCAGTCAGCACATCATCGTCACCGTCATCATCACCGTCACCATTACCACCACCAACAAGAAAACTCACATGATTCGTTCCCCTCTGCACAACCACATCCCCCCTTCCCACTGTCGTCCTAACCCCATCATCAAGCACAAGATCCAACTCCCCATCCAACACAACCCCATAATCCACGCTCGTCGTCCGATGGAAAATATTCACCTGATCCCTCAACTCCCTCGGCGCATCCTTGGGGACAGGCGGGAAATCCACGATACGGCACACGACGCCCTCGTTGCTGACGAGGTTCTGCATTTGGCCGTGAGGGTCGGTCCAGGGGCCTTGCGCGGATGCTGGGTGGCCGTCGGTTCGGAAGATGGACGTGAAGCCGGGGACGAGGCTGTTGGGGGGTGGTGGGCCGCCGGAAGGGTCGAGGGGGTTGGCTGGGGTGAGGATTTGGTCTTGGCCTATTATTGCTTTGCCGTCGGGGCTGTGGTCGGTGACTATTCGACGTACTGGAGGTAGTTCTGCCATGGTTGAGTCTTTGCCTACGTCGTTGCTTGTTTGGATGTGGTTGCTGATTTGTTCTATGCGTTGTGCTGCTCTGCTTCCCAAAGTTGAGGATGACGATGGGATCGAGGAATCTTTCTGATCTTTTGCGCCCATGTATAAGTTGATTGCCTCAAAGCTGGTGAGTGAGTGTTGCTGCAATGTTTAGTGTAAAGCCTGTAAGCTTGTAAGCACTACGCTTCGCCTGTTATCACAAACAAACTAGGCGTGATTCATGGTTCGGAGCCAAGGTTGAGGTAAGCTCGGTGCGGAGTAATGACGGGCCGACAGAAAGTTTGAATACATTGTACTCATACTTGCAAATGTTATACTGCAAATCTTCTATCTCATGCCACTCAAATCTCGTGCTGTAATTGTGTTAACGAAGAATATTGATGTACGCCGTTTCTCATGAATCGTCAACGAGCTGCCATTTCTTTTCAGTCTCCTTTTTGCCAACCCGGACGGCCACTGCCGTGAGGGTGTCCTTGATTGCTTCTTTCGAACATTGTGGAAACTGCTTCTTGAGAATCTCAATCAGACCCAGCTTGGTAAGATCGCTTCCGTCAACAGCTCTTCTGAAATCTGCCATCAGATCTGGCTGAATGAGCTTCAGTTGTTTGTCGCTATTGATTCTCTTTTGTTTCGCAGCTAGAGTCGGCTTACTGCTATTATCAGCCTCAACCTTGATAGTCGGAAGGGTGTTTGGAGATATCGATAAAAGCGGCTGCCGTGGAGGCTGCATTGATGAACTCGTTTCTGACTTGATGCTGAACTTTTGACCTGACTCATCACTCCAGTGCTTCGTGGAAAATGGATCAATAGGAAAGGTTGTGGAATCGTGTAGGAAGTCCATCCGGTATCGCTGAAGGTCTGTGCCATTGTCGTCAAACGTCTCACCAACCCAACAGAGACCACTGGAGACGGGCTCCATGTCTGACGATGGTCCCTTCTTGCGAGCAAGATCATCTGCATCATCAAGAAAATCGGCCATGTCATCTAAACCGTCTTCACCATCAGACATTTCGTCTTCTTCGTCAAGATCCTCATCATCTTCGCCTGGTGGTTCCCATTCGGCCTCACTGTCATAGTCGTAGTTTGTTTCTGGTAGAGCACGAGTGAAGGGATTTCTCTTAAGTTTCTTCGTCGTCCGTGGCGAGACTGCTCGAGTATATGTGCCCTGATATGGTGGTCGTACATCTTCCTTGAATTGCAAGCACTTGTAAGAGGCTCGACTCAGTGCCTCAAGAGCAGGACTATCCAGCTCGATAATGTCCAGTCCTGTAGCTTGAATGTTCTGAATGATGTCTCTGACAGGAATGGTTTTCCTCAAACGCTTGACAGGTCTGCCGAACTGTTCCCTTAGGTCTAATTGAGTAGCCTCCGAATCTGTTGTAACCTGGAAGACGACTTCTCTGTCAAGTTTGAAACGGTTGGCTGGAGCGATTTCAGTGTTGTCAGCAATGAAGAATGGCAGAATGAACTTTTCATAATCAGGATTGCTGGGTTGGTTGAGCTTTTTGGGCTCGAATGTTGGTCTCTCGGCATCGATACTAACGACTGACGATCGTCGGCTTGAGGCACCATCTGAGACGTCTTCTGGTGTGCTTGGTGGTGTAGCTTCTGTCTTTGGTTTGCTGAAGAAGTTACCAAGTCGCATTTGAGACTGTGAAGGTTAGCACTGGTTCTTGCTTATGGTAGTGAGACTCACTCTTTCTTTTCTTAGCCTTTCTGCCTCTTTCTCAGCATCCTTCTGCTTCTTCTCAGCCGCTTTCTGAGCCTTTTGGGCATCCTTCAAGGCCTTCCCGGCATCTTTGACTTTCTGCTTCTCGGCCTTTTCAAGGTCTTTGGCTCTCCTTGAGATCTCTTTCTCTTCAGCTAATCTTCGCTTCTCCTCTTCCTTCCTTGCTGTTTCCTCGGCTTTTAGACGAGCTTTTTCGTCCTTTTCTCGCTGCTTGGCAGCTTTCTCGGCCTGTTTTTCGGCGAAGCTCAGTTTCGGCCTCTTCGTCACTGGAGTCTGCGAGCTTTTGATTGCAGAGCCTGGCGCATCGACGCTGGCTGTAAGGTCTGTCAGAGAACTGCTTGTGCTGGGTGCTGGTGAGGCATGGCGTATGGCAATGTCCTGCTCATTTATTGCAGTGTTCGTCAATACAGCAGAGTCTTGGTTGACGACAATTGTATCATCGTCATAAGACCTCTTCAAAGGAGTTGTTGGGGCAACGTAAAACGTGGCGTCGACCATGGTGATAGAGTTGTCCTTTAGCAAGTCATGTGTACGAAAAGTGGCGAGACGATCCTAACAGTAAGTAGGTATTCAGAGAAACAGAGACAACAGCTCTAGCAGAACAGCAAATAAAGTGTCAATATCATGAAGCTGCCGTTTGAAAGTACGAGCACCGTGGCTGCGATTGCATTGCTACACTTCGAAGTTCTGGAAGGAACGCGTCTAGCGTGTCAGGGACGACGCGTCTCAAGGTATCCACCAGCTGAATGCCTCAGGCATTAATGATACGAGAGTCACTTGTCCTCATATTTGCTACAGTAGTCCTTCAGAACACCATTGATGCAGCTACCCCCACACCTCATTCATGACTTCTAAAGGTCTGTTCATGGTCCGTCGAGTGTCACCTCTTCGGAGACCATGGCTGTTCCCGGAGAACAATGGTGAGCTCTTTGCGGCAGAATACCATACAAGGCAGCAATAATGGCAGGTTCTCAAATATTTCACAAGCACAATGAGTGATTCGATGATTCTAATGCCACTGTGTTTAATGTAATGTTTATGCAATACGTTGTCGTCGGCAGCTGTGCCAGAATTTCTCAACTACTATCTTCTAAGAACCACGAAATGTTTATACTTCAAGCTGTTGCAGTGTGCAGGCATACATTTTCACACCTCAATCCTCCACCGTCAACCCGAGAACTGCATCTGCGAAGCCCTGGACAAAGATCTGTACGAGCATCGTGACCAGTAAAACCATTGACGCGATAAATACGGTGTTCGCGTAGCCAGCTCGCCCGACTGGACCTTCCTAGTGATCGTGTTGGACGTGTTGGTGCGGTAGGGGCTCGTCGGGTGTGCTCTGCAGACCAACCTACGGACCGCCGTTTACACCTCTGCTCGGCAAAGCAGGTACACCAGTTGGGTTCTCATCGTCGTCATCGTCCAAGTTTTCCGGGTGGCTGGTCTTCCGTTAGCACACACGCTCCCACACAAAAGCTCCAGATTGTACTCACCCAAGCATATCCTTTACATTCCTCATCTCGTAGTGTTTCTTCCGCCTCTCCTCGAATTCTCGATGCTGTTCTTCCTCTTCAGTCGTAGGCATACCCGGTAGACCCCCGTCCGCAACATTTACGTGTTTCTCCTTCGAAGCTTCGCGACTAAGGCTACCTTGCCGGACAATCCGATCAGTGTCCATGCTTGCGCCTGCTGTTTCGTCTTCGGGCTCACCGAGGCTCATATCGGGGATATCGCTCTCGCGTGGTTTCTTGCCGGGTTTGTTCTTGGCCATTTCGACTTCGTCTACATTGACATATCTAGGGTCAATGGAGACGTCTTCTTCTTCCTCGTCCTCTTGCATGGCGTTGTTGCCATATTCGAATGGAGTCTTCGGTTCGGTGATTTTCATGCGACCGCCTGCTTCTTGCTCCGCGAGGTAAAGATTCGCCTCGTCCCACTTCAGTCTATGGGCATCCGACTCGCTGTCCCCGCCACTGAGTCCTGCAGCGCTCGAATGCCGTCGCGAAGTACTTGAACGCCTGGCTGCAGAAGAACTGCGTCGGTGACCGGCATTCTGTAGAGTATTCTGGATAGTGAGGTCTTTGGCTTCTTGCGGATCGAGAGGTACTGAAGGTGGTGTAGGGGCAACTTCTTTCGTGGGCGATTGATCTCCTGGACCAGAAAACGACGGGTTCTTCAATATGCCTGTATTGTTTAGCACAGTGAATAGATTAAACAAAGCGGGGTTGTCGCACCTTTTGGTCGGACATTGGAGTGGTTTGGTTCGTGTATAGGAGGTGGCTGGGATTCTTCAACAGGCATGTTGTAGTGTTTGCTTTGTTCTCGGTCGGTGAATATACACAGGTGGGCAGTGTGAGTGCACGATCGAGATAGTGAAGATGTCGCAACGAATGTGACGTGAGAATTCTCGAGATAGCACCCGGAACAAAGTCGGCAAAGTGGATTGGATAAACAATTACTTCACTGCTAAATGGACGAATGAAAGACAAACAATATTGGTTTCTAGCTGTACGAGTATGTGGTCGTGCTGCAGTGTAAATGATAAAGGGAAATCGAGTCGCTGGCACCACACAACTGGATCTGCCTTCCTTTTTGGAGAAGATATCGTTTCGTCACAGTTTCGTTCTGCGTCTGACCTTTTGATTTACTTGCTATAGTTGCCGAGAGCATATCAGGTGGAGCAGGAACGATCTATCCGCAAGTCACATACGTGCCGATGTTTCAAGTTGAATTCTCTATGATGCTTCGAGCCTCGTTTCGAACAGAATCTACAATCCTTCGACTTCAAATGCCTCTGAATTGGCGATCAAGGACTGAGACCAACGCTCTGGCTGTCGACAATAGTCCATAGAGCGGATTCAATTTTTCAAGTATTTTTCTTTGTAATACCGTACTGTGGGCATCCTTGTTTATTGACGTCATTCTCAAAGCGTCAGTCGCTGTTGCCATGTGCTCCGATGGCCGCCTAACCTGATGCACGGATATACACCACGAGGTTGGATATCTACACATGGCGAACTTCTTACCGTCAATTGATCGACTATACATCACAGGGAGCATAGTTCTTTACCACGAGTCAGCTGTTATGACACAGAAGTGCCAATCTTGCAGGTCTGTCCTTAACCTAGAGAATCATGATCATGTGCTTGTGTCTATGCTCGAATATTCCAGCTCTCACTACTGGCTGTTAGTCGGGCTTCATTCTGTCAAGAACGTCCTCTCTAGTGTCGCACAAACTATTATCCATTATTGATCAATACTGCAGTTGTTTAAAAACAACCGCTTGTCACATTGCGAACTAGCTTCAAAGGCTCTCTGTGGTATCACTGTCCCCTCCTTTATTTCGTCACCTCAAACGCCAATATTGGTACCAAGATGCGCCAGTAAGCCTCACTATATATCTAGGCCATGGCGTAGATATATCTTCGTTGAGACTTCTACTAGATGCCCACAAACGTCCTCAAAATCAGATGACCTCACCCAAATCTTATATGTCGAAACACAATTTCATCGAATGGAAAGCCGTTGCCCGTTTCTCTCTCTCATCTTTTGCTGAGCAACTTCGTCTCGATTTGCAGCTGCCAGCTGCATCCAATGTAGCGCCAAGCACAGTGCCTGCTTGTTGTCATTGTTGCGGACTGTTTTTTGCCACATCATCTCGTCCTTGAAAATATCTGCAGTAGTGGATAGTGGCATTGTCACTACTGGGAGCATGCCAGGATGCATAAGGTACAGCAATGCCAACTCCCTTTGAGCTGCAGCATTACCTTCCCTTGCAGCGATCTTCCAGTACTCTGCTGCTTTCGCCAATACCTGCTCGTTCTCTGGAGCAGAGACCCGCTCAATTGCATCTGCCGCAACGACCTGGTCTGCGACATCAACCATGCTACCACACAACTCTTTCTTATATTCTAGCGCCGACATACCGAGATTCATGAACGCCTTGCCAGCCGCTGTTTTATCGAGCATCTCTGCTGGTGCGAAAGCAGCAATGAATTGAAGATCTCGAAAGATTGTCAGTGGCTTGAGCGTGGCCAACACACATTTCATGAACGCGATAATCCGTCCCTCTGACGGTTTTACACTTTCGGTTAGTGAGGGTTCATTTGTTGCTGTCAAAAGTTCTTCCACCTCATCCTGTTTGTCAGTATCCAGGCTTCTCCGTCGAACCTTGCGATCTTCCTTGACCTCGCGTTTTTGAGAGGAATTTGCGTTAAGCTGATTAGTCGACAAGGCGTGAAAATCTACACACGCCTGCAATTTGCTGATGGGGTCGATTTGCTTGCTGAGTCGAATCAAGATGTCTTCTATTGCGAGTCGAAAGTCGACGTCCTCGTCAATATAGCCACTATCACTAGTTTGATTTGAATCCCAGTTTGTGCTATCGATAAGTGACGCATCAGTAGTGCTCTGTCTGCGTTTCGGCGTCGCAGTCGAAGATTTCTCAGATACAAAAAGCGAATTGGTTGCCAGCCGCCTCTTACATCGTGCTTCTATCGACGGCGTCAGTTGTACATCGCCAATCCACTTGTCAGTCTCACAACCCCAACTCCATACAAGGCTTCCAAGATCAGACAACAACAAACAAATTAAACCTTTTCGTAGCTTATCGCGGAACTTTTTCTTTTCCTTCAGCGAGAAAGCTGGTCTAGCACCAAAGTCCGGTAATCTACCGTAGAGCATCGAGGGAGGACGCGAGTATACCGAAGCTGAGGTTACTGACTGAGAAGGTGTAAATATTTCACTTGTGGTAGTATTTGCAGATGAGTTCCTGCCGTGAGATCCGATCGAAGAAGCCAGCCCTGGGGTCAGTAATCGTGGATCCAATCTCTGTTGAAATAGTCCATAGACAGAACCCCTTCTGATGGAGCTTCGCTCGTCAGACATGATCGATCTCGCGTCGCTATCGGATGACCGCATTGGAGACCTCGAGACAGGAAATGTTGCTGATAGACTATCGCTGTACACGCTGGCTGGTCGTAGACTGGCAGGAGCGCTGTTGATATTGACAGTCTGGATATCGTAAGAAAGGCGCTCACGGTTGAAAAGTTCACTCGACCAGAGCTCGGGACTTTGAATCATTGTCTCTCCGGTCAAACGTTTGGTAACGAGCTGAATTTCCATGCAGAAGCGGTGCAAGCGTTCCTCGCCGATGCAAAAGTTATCGATACTGTACTGCTGTAACCAATTGTTAATGCTATCGATTTGCTCATCTGCTAGCTTTCTTGGCCCGCCATGCTCTGTAGGAGCTTTTAGGAGTTTCATGATGTCAGTTTGTGATCCCTCGAAGATAGACGATCGTGACGATTGGCTAGTGGAAGGCCTTGCTTGATCTCTAGAAGACCGGGACAAATTGGTCATGGTCGATATGGCCATATTGCTTAGAGCTGAGGTTATGTTTCGTGCATCCTGGTAGGGCTCTGAATTGACGACTTGAGAAGTATACCAGAGCTTGAGGCGCAACCCCTCCAGAGTTGACATGAAGGCCTTGACTTGTTTCTTGAGGCTCTGGTAGGAAGTCTCATAGAGACCCAACTGGTCCTCTAGTGAAGCGCAGACGTTCATTGCTTCTTCCCGAGAGGCGGCCAAGTGCTGCAGCGGCTCGAATAGTATAAAAGTGTCATTGGTGGCATCGTTCCCAAAGGAAAAGCGCTGTTGAAGACGTGTCAAATTTGTCAGGGCCTTTTTCCAGTACACTGAATCGACTGTACGCATCTCTGCCTGGCTTTTGTCGATCTGGTCCTGAAAAAGTTCGGTCAAGCTGCTGGTCTCGGACCATCGAGTGAGGGAGGATGCCCCATCGTCGTTAGTGTGTGCTTCGAGGGAGCTCGCACAGAGACGCAGGGCGGCTTGCTGTGCTAAGGGCATGCGACGACTCTCAAACAGCTTGATAAATGGTTTCACTGGTTGTAATATGGGTGAGGCGTGCACACGACCATCATAGGCAATAGCGAAATCTGTCCACGTTTCTGAGCAGGGATGGATGTCTTTGGCCGATATTCCTGGCTCTATCAATAATTGAAGCTGCCTTTTGAGTATGTCGAAGCGTGTCGTAGGCCTGGAGTAGGTGCTGCGGAAGGCGTTGCCAATTTCCCGTAGGACTGGATCTGAGGTATCGGAGGGATGAAGTGTCTGGGGCGACAAGATCTCCAACACTTTTATAACTTCCGAGGCTGACACAACAAGCATATCGACCGTAGCTGCAGTACTTGTGGCCGGAGAAGGCTCGGGGCCTGCTTCGTATGGAGTTGGTGCCGGCAGACCTTCCAGCATACTTATCATGTCCTCAATGATGTTGCGAATATTAGTATCTTGGTCAGTGCTTGCTCATGTTAGTGCAAACACACTACAGCACAGTAGCAGACTTACGTGGGATTCAAGTGATTATCGAATTTGAAAAGGAACCTGTTGTAAATAGGCGCGAGAATATGGTCCCGTGCTCTTTTACTGACGTGCATTTGAAGCAGCATGTTTTCGTTCTCGGGATACATGATAGCAGTTCTGAGAAAGTGGCCAAGATACCACTCCCGGAAGAAGTGGTTTCTAAAGAAGCCTTGATGGTCTTGTGAAGAGAGCTTTCCCAGAATTGCTTGTGCGAGTGCGAGCGCACCCGAAGGATAGCAACCTGACCTGCAGTCGATCAAAGTCCAATAGAGCTCAAGAACTGCGTCATCAAAGAACTTCCTTGCTTGCTCAGTCTTAAGTGGATTGTAGCCTGGCTGTCCTCTTTGGATTGGAGTATCGTTCAGAAGAAATGCCCCCTTTTGCAAAATGTCCATCAAAAACAACTCCATACGAAGTTTCGCAGGCCAATCTTGAGTAATAGAGAAAGCATCGAGCGCTTGACCACAAAGAGCAATGTAGCTATCGACCCCATTTTGGAACAGTTCGGCGCAAGTAGTAGACCAGGTATAGAGTCGCAATCTGCTTTCGGAGGACTCGGGACGAACATCGTGGCTGTAGAGGTTATGAATAAGGAACGACAATGGATTCTCACGTTCAAAGGACGTGGCGTAATCTTCTAATTTTTTGGAGTATTCTTGCAATTGTCTGCGACGTTGTGAGCCCGAGCGGTTGCTGTCCTGTGAAAAAGATTTCAGGACCACATCGGAAAATTGCCATCTAGGGCTACTCGTCAGGGTTGCAACCTGAGAGCGTGGAAGGTTACTTAGCCGGTCAATCAGGAATCGTGGATTGCAGCGGAGATTCGAGAGCAGTTCCAATAGATCCTTTTGAGCTTCGACAGGGAGCTGGTCAAAAAATGGTTGGGGTGTAGTCGTCTGTGGTTCGTTTGTATCTGATGACTGGACCGTGTCGAGATTATTGAGGTCATTATTCCAGTGCGAGATGCAGACATCAACCAGATCTTGAGCATGACTGAAGACCTGGGCGAATGCCCTGGTATCTTGATGTTTGGATATCTCCACCAGACCATCTTGTACCCACGAGCTCGTTCTCCGGAGTCGAGCAGACAGAGCTATAGACTTTTGCAGGACTCTTTTCCGTGCAGATAGGTATCGCTTCCGGCGTTGGTGATGTTGTTGCAATTGGACTTGTGCAGCGAAGTCATAAAATTGTGTCCGTGCACGTTTAGGCGGTCGTCCCTGACCGTAGCTTTCCTCTCGCTGAAGTCGTGGTCGCTGAGGCTGTATTATGGGACTTTGAAGTACCACATCTGAGCACGAATCATTACTGGGCTCGCCAGCCTGCACTATCCAACCTCCACTCAACCTGTGATCCGGAGAGTAACGATCCTCGCGTAGTCCACGGCTGGACATCGTCGTCGTCGTTTCGGCGGGTACATGTTGGTGTGCATCGGAGGACTCGATCAATTCTGGACAAGCAAAAAGTCAGCTGGCGATGCAATAGACTCGGAGTAGGCAACATCAACTCAATGCGGGACAAAGTCCTGCCAGTGGAAGAGCTAACTGTACCGTTGGTTGCCAGAAGGTGCGCAGATATACCGTACTGTTCATGCGTCATGCGAGAGTTCTCATTGTGAGACCAAGAAATGTGTTCAAGACCAGCTTGGAAGTGCCAGTCTGATGAAGCTGACCGTAAAGCGACTTGCGCTTTCCAAGCACTCGGTACCTCAACAATTCCGTGCCTGCACAGAATACCTTGGAAACAGGATGGCTCGTGATCGGAGGTCAATATCGCCGTCGCTTTGCGCCGAAGCCCCACAGCGAACCCCAAGCCGTCAATCTTCAGAACTGTTCAGCAGGGTTGATATGGTAATTTCTGCCAATAGCAATGTGTGTGCGTCTGTGACAGTGACTGGGAGGCCGACTCGCGGTCAGGTGGGGGACGGCTGTCCTTTTCTGGTCCAAGCTTGATTTATGGCTGGCGTGAGGAAGGAGCAAGCAATCTAGCAGATCCAATCGGTTCAGCAATTGAACCAGGTGTTTTGTAATGGTAGGGAAACGGTATTGCGATATTTCTCGGTCAGCACACTTGCTTGCAGCAGGGACCTCATAATAATGGCTACGGGTGGCGCAAGACGTGGCAGCATGGATGAAATAGCAATGGAGCGCAGACGCGTATGGCTCCCAACGACTCACTCGCCTTGCAAAGACTAGAACTGACTGGCAGCTATGAGACACGAGGACAGATTACTTGCAGCGAGAACTGCTTGACGAAAAGTATTGCCAACGAATGCAGCCACCTAAGCCGTTGATGCATTAGCTTTGGCCTCGACTCACCAATCGCGGCATTGCACAACACAGGCTCTTGCGTCGTTCTGATCATTTGTTTACTGCTGACCTACCATGGCACGGTCGCCATCCTGCTCACCCTCCAAATTGCCGCTGGTGTCGTCCCGGCCCGGCATATGGAGGTAGGCTAAGCCGTTGTATCGACCGCCACTTCCTCTGCTTGCTCAGATTCCGTGCGACGTGAGCCTTCTTCTCCTTCTTCAGACCTTCTAGCCATTCCAGCTGACGTTTCGACTGAGCTGAACTATGTTTCACATTGCGCGCATTTCACTTCACGCTCTACACAAGCTGGTGGCGTCATCACCTGTCCTCAGCGTCGAGGTTTCTCACGCATGACGACCTTGATTAGTTGCTTATGCTGAGGCAGGTGAGCCCAAAAGCCAAGCCAGAACGAGGAACACGGAGAACGTTTGGGTCGATTCGCGGCAGAAGATCCAGCGTGCTAGAAGTCAACCCGGATTATTGTCCAGTGCTTTGTAGAACCTAAAGTACTCTATGCGCAAGGTGAAGTATCAGTCCTGCAGACTTGTGTACCGGCGAATATGCCACGTCAAAGAAAACACCATGGTGGAGAGGCATATAATAAATCGTGGCCGTGGCTGCTTCTCCAGGCGAACCTGCTATATTAGGTGCCGCTGCAGTTACCTCTGTTCAATTTTAATCACGCGCCAGGATCTCGGCAGCTTGAGTTAGGACCATCTACGGCCTCGTCATTGTTCACTACTGCATGCAAGAACACTCAGTTGCGGCCAACATTGTCCCCGGCAGCCGGAAGTGATGTGCTGGCAGTCTCGATGCATATTGAAGTACTACGGAAAGACCCTTCCTTCCAGTCCCAGAGCCGCGTGCTCCACTGACCCCAATCCTGATCTGCTCGTCCCACCAACGTTCTCTCTTCTTTGAAACTCGCCTTCCTCTCTCCTACCTATACATCGGTAGTGGTTCGACTATATCTACCTTGTACAATATCTGAAGAGGTATTACTCGATCAGATGACATGTCGCCCACGCACAAGTGTCATACAGCAGTTATACTTCTTCACCGCTCCTATGCAACTTGATCAATAATGGTGAAATAAGCTCAGAAGCGTCCTGCAAGACACTACAAATATCTTAACTTATCGTCATCAGCAACGTGGTTTTACCCGATTAAGTTCTGTACACAATATGCCGCATCCGCGACGTGTGAGCTGCCAACTGGAGCATGAGTTGTTGTTCTTTGAGAAGTTGTTGTTCATACAACGCATGCATCCACATCCTAGACATGCATGACGGCAGCTCCGTGCATGGAGTGTTTTCAAGCATCGTTGCCTGAAGAGCACGGCAGGGCCACACTATACACCAAAAAGACAAGTAAGCCAAATTCGTTCTCCAATCTCACTATTACAGGACCGGAAGAGCTGTGGGTTATACAAATCATAGATTCTCTATTCTCCTATGTGTAGGTTTCTTACGGCTCATGCATGCAATAATACAAGGCTTAGCGGCAGTACTTTCTCCTCGCTTAGCTGTTCTCGGTCGCCCTTATTCAGAAGGTCCTACCTGAAGGTTGGCCTTGCGTATGCAAAACTTCGAACCTTTCAATGAGACGTACTCGGCGACTTTGTCCAAGGTTGAACGGTTTGCACGAAGCCGTCGGCAAGATACGCTCTAGAGTGGTTGGACGTCAAGGGCATCTCATTGCCAATACCACAGCACAGCTGCTCAAGTGTGACACAAACCTTCAAACACGAACTCTCAGCCGTGCAGGCGTCGTTTGAGATACTTTCAAGGTCACCTCGTGCTGCATCAAGAGTCGCATTGACCAGCTCCAAATACATCCACGTGATTGCGTGGCATGGCCATGGAGCGATATCCATTCATCAGGGCTACGTCAAAAATCGTCAGAAATGCTATCAGATGCTATGCGATGATCCAATTCAGTAGCAAAGGCATACCTCATGGAACACAGATGTGAGTTACAACAGCTAAGCCACAAATCGACATTGCATTTACCCCGTCTTCTCCCTCATGCATATTTTCCTCCGAGTCCAATTAACCCCTAGGACCGCCTTTTATTCTCCCAGCAGACGTGATCTTCATCAGCCTCGCAAAGGCACATTATACCACGATGTGCAATTGTCGGTTGAGCTAAGTTAGCGTGTGCGTCAATATAGCTGCCGTCCTATCCCTGCCAACGCAGTTTTACTCTTTGTCAAGATGGTCCTACATACACACCTGAGCACATCATGAAGAACTGTTGATAAGCGGAGTAAAAATTGCATTTATACAATTCTCGAAGAGCTTCTGCTGCTGCTGCGTATATCTCGAACTAACCACAGGCAGGGAGTATATTACCACAATTCTCCGACTTGTACTGTACAAAAGTTCGTCATGGTTAATCTTACAGTCGCCCACCGCTTGTCACGATAAAGGCAACCCTCATCACCGTCTTCTCCTCCTTTTGTCATCACTATCATCCTCCTCCTCCTCTTCAACACCCAATTCTCTATTACTTTCCCGCCTCAAAGCCTCCAACTCCGCCTTTCTCCGCGCCAGCGCTCTCTCATTCGCAGCTTTCTGATTCTCTTTCGCCCTCTGCTCAGGCGTCGATCCAAACAGAGTCATTTTCTGAGAACTGCTCTTGATTTCGTCCCATCTTTTCTTAATGCTGTCTACGCCTTTATCTATTGCTGAGATGTTCGGCTGTGGTTCGGCGGATTGTGATGGTGTCGGTTGTTCTGTAGGGACGGTGCGGCCCGTGGTTTCGATGACGCGACTTCTTTCTCTGAGGAAGGGTTTGGGTTGTGGTTTTGAGCTGGTGGCTCCGGCCGGACCGTCGACGTTAGGGCCAGGATGGGCTGATTGAGGCGTATGTCCACCGACGGGTGGAATACCGACGAGTCTGCGGAAGGGGTTTGAGGCGAGGAGTTTTGCGGTGGCCAGACCGCATGCTGAAGAGGCGACGAAGTAGGCCTGGACTGCACCTGGCTGCCAGACCATGAAGACAAATGACAAACACGGTAGGAAGTATGACATGATGTTCATCATGTGCGGATTTGCCAGACCTCCCGCGGCGGCAGCAGAGGAACTGCTAGGCATGTTGACTTTGGTGTTGGTTCTCATAGTGATGAAGATCAGACCACTAGAGACGGCAGGTAATATGAAGTAGGGGTCACTAAAGGTCAGATCATTCAACCATAGCCAGGACTCCGTCACGAAGCCAGGCACCGGCAGCGTAGCGCAATTACGAAGTGTTCGCCATGCGCCGAAACCAAACATCAGCTGTATGGCGAGAGGGTATATCAACTTGCTGAACTTGATTCCCGCATCCGAGTAAATAGCACGCTGTTCCATCATGTACTGTTGCATCTTCATCTGGTCTCTTTGCATCGCCGCCAGTTTGTACTTGGCCTTGATCGGCTCAGTCACAGCACTCACTTCGCGCATCTTCGCGGACATATCGGCGGACTGTATCAGGAATGGCAGCATAGTCGCTCGCAGGGTGAAACCAAGTGCTACGATCGCAGCGGTCCAGGATAGACCACCCCAAATGTGTAGGTGCTCCAGAACCCATTCCATAGTCGAAGTTGGGCCCCAACCAAAGTCCAGACCACATACTTCACGGAGGTAGCCTATTCTCTCCGGGATGTCTTCGAGAGCCACTACCACGGGCTCGGTCCCATGAGGCTCTAGTAGGCCCTGTTGGGCGTTTTCAATTATTTGAGGCTCGAAATTGTTCGGAGGATGCGATTCGAAGGAAATTTCTGCGGAGGTGTTGTTGGCTTTGATTGTACGGACTTGATCAAGGTCCGAAGGTGTTGTTATTTGAACATCGGAATGAGGTATATCCGCCGGCTTTGAGGAAGGCCATAACGAGAAGCCTCTGGTCTGCTGTATAGATCTGCTGGGAAAGGCTCGTATGGACGAGTGATGTATCCTTGATGACGGTCTCGAGGTGAGGAGTGATTGTGCCGAATACTAGTACGATCAGCCATGGCTGTAGTTCAGACCAAAGTTACTCCTTACATGCCGTATTTGCGTGGGCTTTACATGCAACCTGCTGTTCTGCAATATACGCGATGCTTGCCGCAGACTGTTTTGAGAGGCCATTGATTAGCCTGATGACTTCCACCTCGATGCGCTCGAGCTTGAATCATGCCCAAATAATTGTCCAGAGACAGGCGACATAAGCAGGTTTGCCGAACAGCCTCGTCTCGGCCAATCGGAGTAGGTTCTACGTAAAGCATGAACGAAGTTGCAGTGCATGGATACACCTTGCGATCTCAAGCGGTGATTATGACAGCCGAAGGACGTCGAATAGTGTAGATCTAATGGAGGCGTGTACCATCAGCCTCCAGGCACATGGCAAACGTTCTATGCTATAACCCTTCCCATCGCAAGCAATGGACAAAACCCAGCCTGGAGACCGTCACGCCAAACGCCGACCATATCTGGTTTAAGTATACTTCTGCACCAGAGCCCCTCCACGCTTGAGCTCAGCAACATCTCCCAGTATCTGTGACTGGTCTTTGAATTCCCTCGTAGGAAAAGTGGTCTGTAAGACAAAATCGCGACCAGAAGTCTCGTGCCTTCGTGCATAGTCGTAGACGTCCCCTATGGTCTGGTCCGTGTTGAACCGAGCAGTCATTCGAGTGCCAGTACCTAAGCTGATTCGTAATGTCAAGATTGGCTTTGATTCGTCGACCTGATTCGTTTGGGTTTGAGTGGTAGTACTGGATGCAGCTGCCGGAGTGGTCTGTGTAAATGAGCCTGGCATTGGAGCAGAAGATGAGGTTGCTGGAGTAGGGCTGCCCAGTCTTTGTCCCTGACCTTCGAAGGCTCTGTACTGCTTCTTTGCCTTTACATACTTTTCCTCGTGGGGGACGACCTGAACGTCAACCTCCTGGCCGGGTGCGACATTCATGATGTGTAAAGGAGCTCTGCCACTTCGTATCTGACTTAATACATTGGCGTTGGCAGGGTCGTCGAATCTGAACAAGTCACCATCATCAATACTAAAGCCATCCTGCCAGAAGTGAAGGCTCCGCTTGACTCTCGCTGTAGATTGTTCTTCCGCCTCTCCTTGGATCTCCTGCGAAGGTGTGTCATCCCCGCCTAGAGTCCGAGCATTGCCTGTGAAGAACGACTTCTTCTTGGGTTCATCCTCCACGAGGTCTTTGCCTCCTTTCCGTGCTTTGTCAATGATCTTCTTCTTTAAGTCCTCCGAGTCTCGACCAGGGTTCTTCACGGCCAATCCGGATTTGTCACCTCCAGCATACATATCTTGGTTGTCGTCGTCTGAGTCGGAGTCTTTTCTGGCACTTGATGTGAAATCACCTAACGTGGCGAATCGTTTCGATGGTGCAGGCGCAGGTCTAGGCTTAGTGGCTGAGCTCGAAGAGGCAGGGACAGCAGGGACAGGTTGACTTGTAGAAAGACCATCACCTAAACGATAGCTTCCACTCGCATCCTGTGTCGGTGGTTGTGGTATGTCTTCTGGTTCATCGCCTAACTCCATCTCAGGTTCAGCATCTGAATCATTGCCTCCTGTATAGTGGTCTTCCATAGCTGCTTCCAAGTTCCACTCGAAAGCCTCTAATCGCTGACGAGCCTATAGAAGTTAGTGTTGATTGAATACGCAGCATATGCCAACGTACCTCTGTGACGTTGGCCCCAGTAATGTCACTATATTGAGCAATGAGTTCGTCCTCGCGAGACATCGTGAATGATGAGGTATCTTCGAAGAATTCTTCAAGATTTGTCGATGCGGTACAAAGTAGGAGATCTCAATGTTGCAGCAAATTGAACAGAGTGGCGTGCGTTACTTCGTTTGGCCAGGTTGTTCAGTCGTTGCTCGATTAATAAACAATCGATATTGCAGGCACGAGCTTTCGTCATTTCCAGCAGACGCCTACAAATTGCCGCTAAACACGTTCTCTTGGCAGGTACCGAACTGCCCCGCGTCCCCCAGCGCGGGAAAGAGCCACTCGGCACAATTAGTGCCGCGCGTGTTTTGGGAGTCAACAAGAAAAGTTACGGTGAGGCTGCAGTGAGCGCAGTCTGGCTTACTTTCCCACATCTCACATTATGACTTCGCTGAAGACCACCAGAACTGACTTTGAGTCAGTGTGGCCGTCATTAGTCAAGGACTTACAAGAGGCGGCCACCAAGTACAATGTGCCTGCGAATGCGCTCGATTGGTTCACCAAGGTATATTCAAGCATGTGAGTCGACGACCAAGCTCTTGCTAAGATGTTTTAGTCTCTTGAAGCCAACACTCCCGGTGGGAAACTGAACAGAGGTCTTTCTGTACCCGATACAGCTCTCCAGATCCTCAAACGACCTCTCTCTCCAGATGAAGTTCGTGATCTCTCCACGCTGGGATGGCTGATCGAGCTTCTGCAAGCCTTTTTCCTTGTCTCGGACGATATCATGGACTCTAGTGTCACTCGTAGAGGTCAGCCATGTTGGTATAGACAACCGAAAGTCGGCATGATCGCCATCAACGATGCTTTCATGCTCGAATCAGCCATCTACCTTATCCTCAAGAAGCACTTTCGCCGGCATCCGGCGTACATTGATTTTGTCGAACTGTTTCACGAAGTGACATGGCAGACTGAGCTCGGACAGTTATGCGACCTCATTACCGCTCCCGAAGACGATGTCAATCTAGACAACTTCAGCATGGACAAATACACTTTCATTGTCATATACAAAACCGCATACTATTCCTTCTACCTACCTGTGGCTTTAGCCTTGATGTATATGCAGCTTGCCACACCTCGCAATTTGCAACAAGCTGAGAGCATCCTCATCCCTATGGGCGAGTACTTTCAGATCCAGGACGATTACCTCGATGCATACGGCGATCCTGCTCATATAGGCAAAATCGGGACCGACATTAAGGACAACAAGTGCGGTTGGCTCGTCAATCAAGCTCTGCTGATAGCCAGCCCAGAACAGCGGAAACTGCTGGATGAAAATTACGGACAGAAGGACGATGCTAGAGAGGCGAAGGTAAAGCAGCTGTATAAAGAGCTCGAGCTCGAGTCTAGATATCAGGCATACGAGGAGAAGAGAGTATCAGAGATCCGCCAACTGATCGCAAACGTTGATGAGTCCGAAGGACTGAGGAAAGAGATTTTTGAAAGCTTCCTGGGCAAAATCTACAAACGAAGCAAATAGTGTATGAATCGATCGACTGAGGCATTGATACCATCTGCAGAGGTGTGCAACTATCTGATTTCTGTTGAGCACATCAAGGCCAGTGATAGTAGTCTATGCATTAAAATTGTTCATGTGATTTACCTTTCTGTCTCGATATCTCCAGACAAAGTGCATGCGGGGAATGTTATTGTGTGACTGCTCGCGAGTCGTTTGAGATGGGGAAAGATGACGCAGCTGGGTAAGTGCATGCACTAATAGCCAATCCCAAGCATGTAAATACGAAATTGTTCCTCGATCCGGAAAGGTTCATTTCAAGCTGCTCTTCGAAGGCTTCTACACTGAGGCTGTCTGTCTACCTCGTGGGTCAGGGAAGGGAGTTCATGCTAACCTGACCTGAGTGAAATCCATAGAAGTCCCAACATTCACGACCCAACCTCCTCCGAAATATTTGTGTAGGCAAATTAGCGAGCAAACCCTAAAACTGCTGGTGCGGCCGGCGCAACTGCTTGTGACCCCACCCAAAAGCACGCTGAGCTATTAGCATCGCTGCCAGTACCATGGATCAGCTCCCATCTGTCTGAGCTACCAACACATTTCCAAAATCAGAGGCAATAAGATCCGAGCCTGCTCGTAGTCGATCTAGTATTTATTGCTCTTTTCTTTGAGTTGCGTGTGTCAAATTTCAACAGTAATCGCACGGGACCTTCCCTGACCACCCTTGCTCAACAACAAAAACGACTTTGGAGTTTCTTTCCACCAACGTCCTCTCGCTGCCCTCCGTCGACGCGAAAGAAAGTCCTCGTCTTGTTCTGACTATACGCCGACAGAATGAATGGCAGTTCTCCCAGAAGGGAGATCAAGAACCACAAGCTCTTTGAGATCGCTACTGAGTATGCAAAACTACACGAGGCAGAAGATAGATCTGACCTTTGTCTAGGGTAGCGAACAGAGTCGGTGGTATCTACTCAGTGTTGAAATCCAAGGTTCGCCTAATTCTTACCTTCTCATCTTCCGAGACTGACATTTACAGGCTCCTGTGACCAGCCTCGAATATGGCGACCGATATACCCTCATCGGTCCTCTTAATAAGAATTCTGTAGGTGGAGAAGCCCAGCAAGGTTCCGTTAGCTGACACAAGCAGGCTGCTGTGGAAGTCGAAGAAATACAGCCAGAGCCAGGAGCCCTACTGGACACAATGAATGCTATGCGTGAACGAGGCATTGAGCTTATGTATGGACGATGGCTCATCGAGGGAGCTCCCCGAGTACTTCTCATCAATACAGGCACTGGCTACCGCTGGCTCGACGAATGGAAGGGTGATCTCTGGTCTAGTGCTGGAATTCCTTCGCCTGACGCGGACCATGAGACAAATGAGGCAATAGTTTTTGGTTATCTGGTTGCCTGGTTTCTCGGAGAAGTAGGGTCTACCTATCAGGGAGGAGAGAGATGCTAACTATGTCCAGTACATTTCACGCGACACAACGACCGCAGTAATAGCTCACTTCCATGAGTGGCTGGCTGGTGTTGCCCTACCTTTAACCAAAAAGCGACAAATGGACGTAACCACGATATTCACCACACACGCTACACTTCTCGGACGATACCTCTGCGCTGGCTCAGTCGATTTCTACAATAACCTCCAATACTTTGACGTGGATTCTGAGGCTGGCAAGCGAGGTATCTATCACAGATATTGCATAGAAAGAGCTGCTGCACATTCATGCGACGTCTTCACCACAGTCTCGCACATCACAGCTTATGAATCTGAGCACTTGCTGAAACGGAAACCCGACGGTGTTCTCCCTAACGGTCTCAACGTCAAAAAGTTCTCGGCCGTCCACGAGTTTCAAAATCTGCACACGATTCAGAAAGAGAAGATTCACGATTTCGTACGAGGTCATTTCTATGGCCACCTCGATTTTGATCTCGATAACACTCTCTACCTATTCACTGCTGGCCGATACGAATACCGAAATAAGGGAGTAGACATGTTCATCGAGTCCCTGGCACGTCTTAATCATCGCATGAAGGTTTCAGGCTCCAAGACAACTGTTGTGGCATTCATGATCATGCCTGCTCAGACAACTTCCCTGTCTGTCGATTCTCTGAAGGGTCAGGCTGTGACCAAAGCTCTCGCAGACACTGTCGGAAATATCGAAAGATCGGTCGGGAAAAAGTTGTTTGAACGTGCCGTGCACTGGAAAGATGGTGATGCTATGCCAGATGAGAAAGAGCTTATTACTGCCCAAGACAAGGTCCTGCTCCGCAGGAGGTTATTCGCTATGAAGAGACAACAGCTGCCTGCCATCGTCACCCACAACATGGTTAGCGACAGCGAAGACCCTGTCCTGAATCAATTGAGACGTGTGCAGCTATTCAACCAGTCTTCCGATCGAGTCAAAGTCATTTTCCATCCTGAGTTCCTGAACGCCAACAACCCAGTACTCTCACTAGACTACGACGACTTTGTGCGCGGTACTCATCTTGGAGTTTTCGCCTCCTACTACGAGCCATGGGGCTACACTCCAGCCGAATGCACGGTTATGGGTGTACCGTCGATCACGACCAATTTGTCAGGTTTTGGCTGCTATATGGAAGAGCTAATTGAGAACTCCTCGGATTACGGTATCTACATCGTTGATCGAAGGACAAAGGGTGTCGATGATTCTGTCAACCAACTCACTGATTACATGTTCGACTTTACCACAAAGAGTAGGAGACAACGTATCAACCAGCGAAATAGGACTGAACGACTAAGCGATCTGCTTGACTGGAAGAGGATGGGTATGGAGTACGTGAAGGCTCGGCAACTCGCTCTGCGAAGAGCTTACCCGCAATCCTTCGACGAGGAGGACGACTTTGATGGCGAGATTGGCGGTACCGACCAGAAGATCTCTCGGCCATTATCTGTGCCTGGGTCACCAAGGGATCGTAGTGGCATGATGACTCCGGGTGATTTTGCATCGTTGCAGGAAGGCAAGGAAGGCCTTAGTACGGAGGACTATATTTCCTGGAAGCTACCGTGAGTCTTGTCTCTTCCAACCATCTGAAATCAATACTAACAAAACTCTAGTGAAGAGGAAGATCCAGATGAGATTCCATTCCAGCTTACCCTCAAAAAGAAGGGTGACTCAGGTACCAGCTCTCCAGCCCCATTGATGGGCGCCAACGGTGCTTCGTGAGACAGAGGGTAGGCACATCAATTTTCAAAAAGCGGTACCCGGGAGCATTTACTGTCTCACTAAGCCGAATTGTAACAGAACGATCCATTTACTGGAAATGGGAGGTGGTAGCTGCAGGCTGCAAGGTTGCTTCCTTGCTGCGAATGAGGTGCGGGACGGTCGTGTAGTAGCACACATCATCTATTACGATGTGCATGTAATTTAGGTACTATGCCGGTCGCATCATGCATCGTAAGTTTGGCAATGTCATCAATATTGAACGCTTATTCTAAGGGACTATCACCCGTCCGAAAATGCATACTATGTGAGTCGGGTGCAAACTCGACCAGTCGCGGCTGCTGTCGACTTGCCACGGTTTTCATATTGGTTAAGACACCTCTCATAATCTCACAGCCTTGTATGAATGTCTGACACTACAAGGCTTTACGTCCAAGCTAACTCATCATCGATACATATATCAATTACTGATCACCGTCTGCTAGTAGGCGCATCGAAAGGTCGTACTCCTTGCCCGATCAAGAGCAGATCGTTCGTACACGACATCATTTCCACAGTTCTGGAAAGCGAACGCGTTCGAAGATTTGCCGATCATCACACGAATGGCATCGAACACGATCTACTACTACTACCGAGCAACTACGTGTGAGAGCACGAGTACTCGAGATCTTGACCAAATATCTGCTCGGCTGGTCAGCGACGCTCACGAATTCGAAAGTCTGGCCTAACAGACCGGGGCAGCATGCATTGCATGAACATGGGAGTGGTGTTGTCTAGAACCCCCTCTCCGGCTTTCTACCGAGCTGTACCGAGTCGACCGAAGAGAACATCTACCGAAAACTTTGCGATACTCGTCCGCCAGGCGTAACCTGCATAACCATAACAGCAAGCGGAGCTACAAGTACTGATAATGTTCCAATATGGCAGGAGTAGTGTTCCAGGACGTTACGCCGTGACTCGGAGCTATTTCAACACATCTATGCGGTACCTTCAATTATGTACCAGACAGGGTTCTCCACGATTCCTCCACAAACTGTTGTGAGTAGCTCGGGTAGCGGTTAGCCTCTTGTGGTATACCTATACTTGCCGAGGCGTGGTCACACCAAGCACTACAAGCATAGTCAAGTCAGTCGTGGCAGCTAAGAGGAGTCCGGGTAATACATCTTGTTATGGCCAAGTCGTGCTCGCACACGGCATCTGGCCCTACAGTCTGCTTGAACATCTGTACTGATTCAGTGGTCTCGAGTCGAAGAGACTGACTGGGAGTCCATCGGTTACACTCTGGTTGGTAGAGAAAGCTCGAATAGTCCTGTGGATAGTAGTGGTGACATGGTGTCCCACGGAGGTTTTTTGATATACATATCGTCCTCTTCTCCTCTCGAATACCGTTCCCAACCCATTTCCACTACTCAAGATTCCTTTTCGGAGCTAAGTGGTCACAATGGCAAAGACAAAGAAGCACTTCAATGCTTACAACTTCTTCATTAGCTTTCTGGTATCGTGTGGACAGCTGGCATTTGGATATCCTGCCTCTATCATTGGCGTCACACTAGCACAACCGCCGTTTCTTGTCTATATGGGACTTCTTGATCCTACCACGGCCACATTAACTCCTCATGCAGATCAGCTCATTGGTGCTACTTCAGGCGTCTTCCAGGCCGGAGCATTTATCAACGTCTTCATTGCAGGATGGATTTCAGATAAATGGGGTAGGAAGGCTGGTTTCTACTGGTGTTCGTTGCTATCTTTGGTAGGTGGAGCGATGCTGTGTGGCAGCGTGAACATCACCATGTTCATCGTTGCTCGCTTCATCGCAGGGTGAGTGACTCCTTCTTGACCACCTACCAAGGACCATCTAACACACTTGATAGGGCTGGCAGCTGGGGTTTCTTGTCAGTGACTCCAGCATATTCCGCTGAACTCGCTCCACCTGATCTACGTGGACTCATGGTCGGGCTGAACGGCATCAACATTGCTCTGGGTTACGGTCTCGCTTCCTATATGGGTCTCGCCTTCTTCTACAGTGATGACCCCGTAGCACAATGGCGAGCGCCCCTAGGTATTGCATTAGTGTTTCCTGTCCTGATGATCCTGATTTGCTTCGTCGTACCAGAGTCACCAAGGTACCTATTGATGAAGGGGAGAGTAGAGGAAGCCAGAACCATCACTATGAGGCTACATACGATGAAGGGTGATCCTGATCAGGAGTTTGCGAGAGAAGAGTTCTACCAAATGTCCAAGCAAGCTGAGGTGGACCGCAAACTAGACCCAGGCTGGATCGAGCTCTTTCGACGACCATCTTATCGCAAACGATGCGTTCTGGCGATGTCGTTCGCTTTTATTGGACAATCGACAGGTACGTAACTTGATCGATTATAGCAAAGACATTTTGTGTCTGTCATTTACTAACAATAATTTGCTAGGTGTTCTCGTTTTAAACAATTATGTACGCCTTTCCGGAGATGTCGATTGCTCTTTATCATTCTGATTGAGCACAATGAATTATTCTTAGTTGCCATGCTAATGATATGCAGGGACCAACCATCTATGCTGCCCTTGGGTACGATACCGAATACCAGCTCATCTTCCAATGTGGCTGGATCAGCGTTGGCATAATCTTCAACGCAGTCGGTGCTCTTATCATGGATTGGACAGGCCGCAGACCCCTTCTCTTGCTTGGTGTCGGTGGCTGTTGTGTATCTCTCATCCTGGAAGCTGCAATGGTCGCTACATACGCAGAGACGAACAGCGGTAACTCGGCCGGTCTGCAGATGGGTGTAGCAGCCGCTTACTTGTTCCTCGCTTTCTACAGCGTCGGTGTAGATGTTGCAGGTGTTGTGTTCTACTCAGAGCTATTTCCCAACCACATCCGCGCTAAGGGTATCGCCCTCAGTATTGCTACGATTGCTTTGACAGATCTCGTCTATCTCCAAGCGACTGCGACTGCTTTTGCTAACATTGGCTGGAAGTTTGTGAGTATTGAGAGATAGCACGCACTTTGATCGGAGCTAACTTTTTGTACAGTACCTACTTTTCATCATCATTTCTGGGCTTGGCACGATTGCTGTTTACTTTTTCATACCTGAGACTAAAGGCATTCCATTGGAAGAGATGGCAGCCGTGTTTGGAGACACGGAAGACATTGCTGTGTACTCAGCTGATATTCACCTCGATCACAATACTCATGAGCTATATGTGGATGAGCATGGGCAGCAGCAAACACGGAGAATAGCCACAGGAGAAGAGGGTGCAAATACGTATGAAAGTACCGAAAAGAAAGAGGCAGCACACGTCGACAAGGTCTAGTGCGCCTCGGGTCATTGTCGAAGCAGTGAAGACCATCTTCTTACCAAAGCATGGAAGGACAGACGACGAATCTCAGCCAAAAGCCATGCGATGGTGGACGATCATCAGCCATGCAGGCGTGGTCACTCACTCTATAGTCACGGTAGCTGCGGCGCTCATATGGCTGTACTGTCTTTCCGGTGATGATGTGTTATCATCCAACCCCAGACCTGAAGCTTCGACGAGAGTCGTTGTAAAGAACGAGGTCATTGAGTCGGCGGAAGACCTGGGAGGATCGAGCGTTAACAAAGTGTACTAATAAGCTGGGTCATTCATCAATCGTCCAGCAGAGGGATGATAATATGCAACGTGTACTCTGTTCTCGTTTGGAATGCTCCTGAAGTCTCCTGCCTGATGTGCTGTGGGCGAACTTCAGGCATTCAGGCAGGTGATGACCGCAAACGTGACAAACGTGACACGCAAAATAAAATGGTTACCCGTTGCGCTGGTGCACTCGACTTTGTGACACTGATGTTGAGTTCGTGGGTTATAGAGGTATCTGGCGGGTGTTGTTGTGTTCTTCCGTACTTTGCATTGTTGTTGATGTCTCTCACTATCCTTGATCTCAGTTTCATTAGTAGCGTGAAGGTATAACTTTTTACGGTAGGAACTGGATTGCGCAATAACAATGTCTCATGGTTTCGAATGCCATAGATAAGGAAAAAACTCCTCGGCCGAGCTGAAAAAGCCTCTCGCAATTTCAAAACTATGCAACCTGCGAGTCCGTTGCCGATTGACCCACATTGGTTAAGCACAGAAGAATACGTTGAATCCCTCCTGACCTTTGTGTCTACCTCAGAGCTCTTCCGCAATCTCTGTGGAGGTGTACACATTCTTGACTTCTTGACGCGCGAGCCGGATTTATACTCCTGGGTCCTGCCACAGGACTGGAGAGAGTGGTTCGAAGATGTCGATGTGGAGGATGTGCTTGATTTGCTGTTGAGGGAAGACCTGGATCAATTTGCTGCTCGAGGGTCTAGTCTTGTAGAATCCAGATGGCGAAATCACAAGTTTCCACCCGCCAGTCTAATTGATTATGCGAGAGACGTCCGAAAGCATAGCTTGAAGAGGGAACTTCAATCGAGAAGAGCTGAGTCGAAATTGGGAACGGAAGCACTGCCACGTCACATTGCTGTGGGTATGAAGCCAAAAAAGATTCACGAAGTAATGCAATTTGCAGCATTTGTCGAGGACCTCTCACAGTACATCCAAGACAGGAGCACTCACGTGAATGACAACAGCAAAGGTGAAGTTCTAGGCAATGAGAAGGCTAATCGTATTGCCACAGGTACGCAGCTTAACAGCGAAATTACTGTCGTTGATTTCGGTTCCGGTCAAAACTATCTCGGTCGCACTCTAGCATGTCCGCCATACAACAGGAAAGTCATTGCAATCGAGCAGAGACACCATAACGTTGAGGGAGCGAAGGGCATGGACGTGAGTGCTAGGCTTGCGAAGAAGGAGAAGAAGATGATAAACAAGAAGGAGTGGAAAGCACAATGGCAAGCCAGTAGAGGAAGAGAACTGGCTCACTCACCAAAAGTTGTGGAAATTGTCACTGGATCAGGTTTGTCGGAACAAGAATTGCAAGACATAGAAAGCAGGATACCGCAACTGCCACTGTACGATCTGTACGAGCGACCAGTGGAGGCCATTCCGCAGTCGCGGCAGGACCCATTGAGCAACGGAAATGTCGAACTATCGACTGATATGCAGCAGAAACCCAGCAAGCACGATCCGCACTTCCAAGAAGTACAAGATGAGTCAATCGGTACAGGCGCTATCGAATACGTCGAGAAAGAGCTGTCCTCAGGTGACCTTCAGGACATTCTCGCACCTACCTGTCCACCGCTTCTGGTCGTCAGCATACACTCATGCGGCAACCTTACACATCACGGTCTTCGTTCTGTAACTTTAAATCCGTCAGTACAAGCTGTAGCTCTGATAGGTTGCTGCTATAATCTTCTTACCGAACGACTTGGTCCACCAACACACAAGCTCCTAACACTTCGATCGAACCATCCACGATTGGAAGCTACCAGCTCCGCCTTTGATACGCACGGCTTTCCGATGAGCAGAAGGCTCGAAGAGTTTGAGTATCCCATCAACACGACAATGTCTCGCAGCAACGAGTGTCAGCAGGCTAAAAGCCTGGATCGTGAAGGGCAGAACATAGGTACCACCAGCCATGGCGTGCGATTTAACATCACAGCCAGGATGATGGCAGTACAAGCACCTCACAACTGGGGTCCCATGGACAGCGAAGAGTTCTTTACGCGTCACTACTATCGCGCTTTACTTCAGCGAATTTTGCTAGACTTGGGAGTGGTCAAGATGGCACATGTAAGTTGTCAGGACGACATCGAGGTGGCTGGAGGCACACTAAGCGGCAAAGACAATAACGGCACTCCATTGATCATCGGTAGTCTTAGAAAGAGCTGTTTCTCGAGCTTTATAGCTTATGTGAAAGGAGCTGTACAAAAGCTTGTGGCAGATCCTGTTCATGGGCCGGAAATCCAGCGAAAGACTGGTTGCCTCTTCGAATACAACGACAATTTGATACACCAATATGAGAAGGACTTCAAGTATGCTAAGAAACAACTATCGGTGATTTGGTCGTTGATGGCTTTCTCTGCTAATGTCGTTGAAAGCACTATTTTGGTTGATCGATGGTTGTGGTTGAAAGAACAAGATCAAATCCAAGACGCATGGGTAGAAGCGGTGTTTGACTACAAGCAGAGTCCAAGAAACATGGTCGTGGTCGGCCTCAAGAAGTGAACCACAGGGAACAGGGGTCCACTTCAGACCCTTGAACAAGGTATTTGATTGGCAGATTCGACGTGGCACCAATGAGGGCACGGCGTATTGATTATGAGTTCGCTCAGGCTTTGAGTCATTTCTATTCAAGCAAGCCTCGAAGCAAACTTGAACTCGTGCTGTATAGCCAACTCAACTCAATCTTGACGTATTGCAACGAAGAAAACAGCCAAAATACTCGCACAATGTCAGAGATTGAAGCCAAACTCGAGATGAGGAAACTGAAACCCGAAGAGACACCACAGTCGCTAGCACAAGAAGGTTATAACTCTTCAGCATACAGATATCTCGACTGGAATTCGTCACTCGAAGACGATCCTCGTGTGGAATGGTTGCAGAAGCTCTTCGATCGTCTCTGGGAGAATGGCGCACTAGATTTGTCAACGACAAAAGCTCTTGATCTAGGCTGTGGTGCCGGATCATCAACACTGAAACTTGCTCAGACCTGTACACACGTTGTTGGAGTTGACATCTCTTCAGCACAGCTAGAGCTAGCGAAGACGAAGCTGAAGGACGCCGGTGTGCCATCAGACAAATACGAATTGCTGGAAGCAGATATGATGACCCCTGAGTTTGCGGATGGCTGTTTTCATGCCATCTGTGCCTTCTACAGCATAATCCATCTGGGTCTGAACGATCAGCGGACACTGCTAGAGCGGATATATGCCTGGTTAGAACCTCGAGGGTTGCTGCTGTTCAATACTGCTGCTCAAGCTAGCGCAGCGGAAGGTGAGGTTATGGAAGGTTGGCTAGGCATGAATGCATTCTGGGCAAGCTTTGGTCAGAAAAGAGTGCTTGAAGTGGTGCAGGAGATTGGTTTCGAGACGGTTGACAGCGATGAAATTGAGGTTGAAGGTGATTCTGATTTCACCTGGATCATTGCGAGGAAGCCGGCGTCAAATTGATCAAATCTGCTGGCACACTAACCACTCCGAGTCATGGTCAGTTGCCGAGCCTCTGCCACGGCTACAGGATATTCGTATCAACTGTAGTAGCTCAATAGGTGGTGGTAATGTATCACATCCCCGCTTCTCCTCATCTATCAAGAACATGCAGCAGCCTTGCCTTCCTTCTTGATTTCTCCACTTCTCCACTTCCTAGGATCGGGGTAGAAGTGACTGAAGTACTTGTGCTAATCCACGTCTCAGCTAATGAGGCAACAAAACTTATACCACGTTGTTGCCAGTTCAATCATATACCAAAACCCTCCACTAAGAGCCAGAGCTCAATCTACCGTAATAAAGCTCTTAACCTGAAACCATCAGCGGCGCCCCTTCCCCTAGACAAGATGCCACCAACCACAATGCGAGCCGTCGTACTCAAAGGCGACTTCGAGGTACCCCATCTCCATCCCCTATCCACCTCACTCATTCACTCAAGCCGAAACCAACTAACCAATCAATCACTCCCCAGGTGGCCGTCGAAGACCGTCCATACCCCAAGATCCAAAAACCGACCGACGCGATTCTGAAAGTCTCGTCCACAGCTCTCTGTGTAAGTAACCAAATGTAATCGCGCAATCGTGCAATCAGGGTGGGGTTTATTGTGTGCTGATGAAAAGAAACTCAGGGATCGGATCTGCATTATTACCGCGGTCATCTCAAGTGTCCGCCGAATTTCATCTGTGGTCATGAGTTTGTGGGTTCGGTTGTTGAGAAAGGGGATGATGTTAAGGGGTTTAAGGTTAGTGTTGGACCGAACGCATCTGAGGTCAGGTGGTTAAAGGCTCACGACTTCAACAGGAAGGCGACAAAGTCGTAGTCCCCTTCTACACCGCCTGCCAAGAATGCTACTTCTGCGTCCGTGGTCAAGCATCTCGTTGCTCCAAAGGCGAGCTCTTCGGAAACTCTGTACCAGCAAATACTATCGACGGCGGGCAGGCTGAGTATGTTCGAGTTCCACTTGCGGACACTACTTTGGTGAAGACACCCTCGAATATCCCGGAGGAAATGCTCGTGCTCATGGCGGATATCTTCCCCACGGGCTATTTTGCCGCGTCACGATTTCTGAAGAATTTGCCGCAGCGGGATAAGGATGAGTACACGACTGTGGTCATTGGGTGTGGGCCAGTTGGTATCTGTGCAATTACTTGTGCTCTGACCATGGTGAAGACGGTATATGCTATCGATAGCGTGCCGGAACGACTGGCAGAGGCAGAGAAGATAGGCGCGATTCCTATAAACCTGAACGACAACCCGGTCGAGAAAATCAAAGCCGCTAGTGGAGGACGTGGAGCAGATGTGGTGATGGAGGTTGTGGGCCACGCCGATGCTTTCATGCTTGCATTCGATATGATTCGTCCTTGGGGTCAGATCTCCAGTATTGGTGTGCATACCGAGCAGCTGCCGTTGAATGGCTTGTTGTGCTATGGCAAGAACGTTACGATGTCGTTTGGTCGATGTCCCGTGCGGAGCCTGTTTGAAGAGGCGCTGGAGGTACTTGTGAAGGAGCAGAAGAAGGTGGCGTTCTTGTGTGGGAAGACAATGAGTCTAGAGGATGCCCCGCAGGCTTACAAGGACTTTGAAGCGAGGAAGGTGCACAAGATTGTGTTCAAGATGCCGGGTGAAGAGGTTGGTGGTGCAGTTGCGGAAAAGGTCTGATGATCGTGAAACGTAGATCATTCGATGCAATGACAACTCCTCGCCAGGTTTGGGGCTCTGATTCCTTTCGGAGACTTTGTGTTTGTGGCAAAGCATACTGTTTCACTGAAACACATCGGCCCATGTTATGTAATGTCGGAAATGGGATATTTCAATCCGCACATTCAGCCAACATTTTCTGAAGTCGTTCCAGAAATGGTTCTTTATAGTCAATATTCGACAAGGATTTTTTACTCATCAGCTGCGCAAATTCGTCTGAAGACAGGATCCGGCATCCAAAAGATCTCAGTCGTTTACCAAGCTGCTTGTCATTGGTCACAATTGTGACCTCCTGACCGACCTCTCGTGCCCATTCAGCCTGAGAAACTATGGTATCGTCGCCTGCATTGGGCACCAATCGACTGGTGTTGGTAGCGTGTACAGCTCGTAACCATACTTTGTCGTTGGTTGCGATGCCCTCCTTCACACCAGTTCGGAACTGTTTCTCGAAGACTAAGACGACCTCAAGCTCGGGCACGATCTCTGATTCGTCTTGCTGAGCAGTCGTTCGTGCTTGATCTTGTTTCAGAGCCTTCTGCAGGTCTCGATGCAAATCTCTCCCAGCAACGACATGGCTGAACCATTTGTCAGTCTGAATGACACCAACAAGATTGGCCACATCAACAATCAACACTGGGTGGGAACCTCTAACATCAGACTTCTCTTCTGGCAAGCGCCCCACGTTCTGGGTGCGAGCACTTTCCGCTGCCTTCGGTTCATGTACTGCCTCGTTTCTGGGATTAAGCTGCAAGTTCTGTCGTAGAGAATTAGAACGACGTCTTGGATTGAAACTTTTCTTAGTGTTCTTCACGCTGATATCGACGTCTCCCACTTTCCGCACTCCTCCAAAGTGTGCGTAACGTGAGAAGATGGACGAAAAGCCAGTATGTTGACTGTACAGCTCAAATGTGTGTTTTTGGAGCCGTGGATATGCCAGTCGTCTTCGTATGGAACCAAGAGCTCTCACATGGTGCATTTGCTGATGAGTTCTGTGGCGACCAACCTACATTCCTTTGAATTGAAAACAACCACTCACACTGAACAGATAAGATAGAGAAACGATAGATACACGTAAAATCAGCTTAGAGTTAACGTGATGAAAAGGAGAATCGTAGCATGCAAGTCCAGAGCGAGGATGTTACGGTTCAGCATTGGGCCTAAAATGTTTTCCGCGGAGCACTGTACTCTAATTTAGGTGGAAATTTTGAAGCCGTCAAACTGCAATAGACACAGCCACAACCTCGCATTACGAGTAGCATCGAGGGAGGTAACATTGACAACGGATACAACGTTGTTGCGAGTTGTTCCTTATGAACTTAAAGCAAGCACAAAAAGTGGTTGTGGCCGAAGTACTTTTGTGCAACGGACGCGCATCGAACGCGTCCGGGCTATGACGACGATGTGGAGGCATTGAGAACTCAATGATCAGCTTGAGGGGACGAGGACAAGCGAAGGAGCAGGAACTAGTAGGATGAGATAGGTCACTAGACGATTTCAAGGATAGCTTTTCGCAGAGATCACGAAAGCGAGAGCAAGCAAGATGTACACGGTCTTTGTTCCCTACAATAGTCTATCAATGTTTGGTGTAATGATAGCGATGCCAACACTTGTATGCTGGCAGCAAGCCACCAACTTTTAGTCTCCCCCAGACCTCGAGTCGATTTGCTAATGTCATGGCAGCCTGACAACTGTGAACGTGTATCCCGCTTGAATGTACCTAATCAGTGTTGAATGAAGTGGGCTTGAATCGTACAAATTCCTTGTGCTTTGTTTGACGCTTCTATGCCACGGGTACCAGAATCAGGTTGACCTTCGAGCAAGAGGTTGGCAGTGGTGTGTTACGATAGCCTGTCACGGCGAAGATTTGGGGTGCTGTAAACCACCAGTCACAAGCAATCCAACCACCTCCTGCCGCAGTGGACTGAAGACCAGTGCCGTTCGTGGAATAACCCTCCTGAGGGCCCGAACCGGCGATACTGATAGAGATTGGGTTGAAGGCTATAACCGTTAGTTAGTGACAACGGAAGAGCTGAGAGCACATACCTTGGTAGGGATAAGACGAGACGACAACGGGCCATGGACCGATCGTGTTGCCTTCATATGTCCACATGAGTTGTGTACCGTTCAGATAGAACCAGCTATCGTCAGACGAATCAGCCGACGCGGCCGCTACACCAAGTCCAGCTCCGGTGTGGTATGAGTACACATAGAGCCCCTGCTTGTTAGAGCCACAGTCGTTGATGCCAGGGACCACTTGAGTCTGCAAATAGAATCGATCTGGAGCTTGTCGTACTTCGAGAGGTTGGGCTGTTGTGAGACTGGCAATGGTAAGTACCACAGAGGCGAGTATTGTGGAGAGATGCATGTTTTTTTGCGTTTGTGATGCTGGCAAGATGTTTGAGGCTTTATGAAGTAAGTCTGCAAGATTAATTTCCTTGCGTTGTCCTATATGTGTGCAATCAAAGAGACGTTTGGGTTGGGTAATCGAGTTTGTGCAATGTGAAGAGTAGAAGTAGTAAGTTCAGAAGTTCGTTTGGCGGCAGGCACTTGTCTCGGATGTTCACGTCGCTATCACTTTTGGCAGTAGCGTTAAGAAATGCAGGAGCAGCACTCTCAATTAATGAATCCTCACCGTCTGTAGCTTCCCTCGGAATGTTGCATCGCGTGATGTACACATGACGGCTAGCAGTGGCCAGTGCTTGGAGGAGTCTCCCGAAATAGGCACTGACTTACTGTAGCCGCATGCTGCCGCCTCGGAACAAGACGAATTACTCAGTATTCACATGCCAATATTAGGATAGGTAATTTCTCAGAGGTTGGAACGCGTTACGTTGGTGTTCTTGACTACCTTTGGACAACGCCCAAGCAGTTTCCCATAGGACGACGTAGCCGAAATGCGGGTGAAGGTCGTGGCAGACGTCACTGAAACAAGGATGTTGCAAAACAAGCTCATCGTGCAGATCAAGCGCAACAAGTTCGGTGTGCACATCAGAGCGAGCCCCAGTTCTGATCGTGGCTTGTGCGTTATTGAGAAACTCATGTGTTGTTCTATACTACATCAAGGCGAAATCTTCACTTTTCCAAAACGCTATAGTAAGAAACAAGTCATCCTCCCCACTTCAAAGTCTCTATGATCTATCTTTGGCATCAAAAATATGTGTCCAAAAGGCGCGATAGTGGAAGCTATTGCCCACTTCGCTGATATCACTCAGCTCCTTGGGCGTGAGCGTAAAGGTCACAGTGCGTAGCATGTCGCTCATACGCTGCTCCTTGGACGATGTAGTGATGGCGACAATGTCCTGGTCCAACACCCAGCGAAGCAGAATCTCTCCAGGGTTCACCGCGTATTTCCTTGAAAGCTTGTCAAGAAGAGGTGTCAAAGGTCCCTCGGGCACTTTCGTGACAGGTACTTGTGGAGCATAAGCTGATAGCCGAATGTCCTTGGCCTTGTGGTAGGCAATCAGGTCACCATGCTGAAGATAAGGGTGATATTCAATCTGGTTAATCGCAGGTCGTGTTTGAGCGGTCTCCAGGATAGCCTCGATGTGTGGTTGAAGGAAGTTGCTGACACCAATGGATTTGGCTTTGCCTGAGGCCGCAATCTGTTCCATCGCTGCCCAGGCCTTCTGCAAGATAGTCTTGTCACCTTTCGCATCGAACGGCTGATGCAGCAGGTACAGCTCGACATAGTCAAGGCCAAGCTTTTTCAGGCTTTCATCGAAATGTTCCTGGATATTGCTTGTGGTATTGTTACATTTTGTTGTCACGAAAAGCTTCTCGCGAGCTATACTACTCTCCTTGATTGCCTTGCCGAGTTCCAATTCGGTGTTGTAGACTTCAGCTCCATCAAGATGATAGTATCCCATGCCGATTGCAGTTTTGATCGATTCGACAAGCTTCTTGTCCGTATCGCCAGGTTGCTTCTTGAACCAAGCAGTTCCAGTGCCATAGGCAAGCTGCACATATTAGTGGTGATGGTCAAGATTGTTGAACAGCGTATACATACCACTGGAATTTCATTGCCATCAGGCAGCTTGAGGCTTGGAATCTTCAGGTCGAGTTGTGCCATCTTCCTGAAAGTAACGGTCTTGGACTCTGAGTAGTATCTGGCACAGCAGAAGAATTGTTGCCGTAATGAAGGCTTAAGAAGTCTGAGCGGAATATGACACCTTCTCAAAAACAGAGACTGCTTCGTCAGCATTCAGCGTGTGCTCAACACACTTGAGAGGCTATCTTTAAGTGGACAATTACCAGAAATAGGATGTCACAACTTTGTAGGAGTCTCTACAGATGTCCTGGCACAAGGCTCTAGTAGGATACAGGATTCACTTTCCTCAATCACCATAGAATTTGGCGTACTGCGTAGCAAAGCACAGTCCACGCCGTGCTCGCAGCTTGAAGTTCAGAGTTGAAAACTGTTCGACAGCAGATCTCCGTGTTATGCCCGCTTGAACGGTATGGATGACGTACGCATCGTGTCTGGTACGAGACTCCACCATTTCCACGAATTGATCCCTGGCCGATAACCGTAAAACTGAACCGAGACAATGTCGACGTGTCTAAAGTTGTGGAAAAGAGGAACACCTTGTCCAAAACTCCTTTCCTGATTTGATCAACCGTTTGCTTTGCTCGTTAGCAGCAGGAGTTGCCAGACTTTCCCTTGACCGCATCGTTCATGGTCAGGTTGACGTTCTGTGACTGTTTTGATACATCCCTACCTATACCAACACCGTAACTCTTTACACCACTCCTTCGATCGTTAAGGTCGTATCTGCCTGCTTCAATGTTCTGGTATATGCGCTCTGCGACTTCTAAGAAAGCTCTTTCGACGTTCTCCCCGCTCTTGGCGGAGGTTTCCACGTACTTGACTATGCCTTCTCTTCTGCACCAATCCTCAGCTTCTTCACGAGTGACCGCTCTCTTGTTGCCTCCGTCCAGATTCGTAGTATGATCGGCCAGATCCAACTTGTTTCCAACCAAGACAATGACAATACCCTCCTCAGCTATCTGTTTCAGGTCATGTAGCCAGTCAGTGACGTTATCAAAAGTGCTCTTTCGCGTGATATCGAAGACGAGGAGAGCACCACTTGCGCCTCGGAAGTAGGATCTGGTAACTGATTTGTATGTTTCCTGGCCAGCTGTGTCCCACAAGGATAGCTTCATCTTCTTTTGAGCGTCTGGACTAACAGTCTTGCTAGCAGCCTGTACTTCGGCATTGCCCGCATTGATTCCAAGCTCGGCGTTGGCAGGAGGTCCTACTGGAACAACCCTCGACCCAAACTCAACTCCAATGGTAACATCATGGTTGTTGCTAAAGCGACCTTCGCAGAGGCGTGTGGTCAAACTCGATTTCCCAGTTGAACTATCACCAATACAGACGAGCTTAGCAATGTAGTTCCATGGTAACGTTGGCTCTTTCGTATATACAGGCATGAGCTGTTGTGTAAGTACAATGTAGCAGGACAACACTGAGCCGAATTGCTTAGGATACAATAGTATAGATGTGACGGTCGACAATCAAGCAGGTAACGAGCGTGGACGACTGCAAGACAGGTCAACGACAGTGTCAAACAAGTGAAATATTTTGTGGCAACTGACTGATCTGAGATGCGACGATGGAAGAGCCGTGCTCAATCACGCGAACGGCCACGCTTAAGCGGTTACACTTCCCATTTTAGTGGCAGGCATCAACTTGGTTAGGTCGCAGTGGGCGCTAAGGCCGCCGGAAGCAGGCTACAATTGAGACCGTGTAACTAAGGTGCTGCCATCACCACAACCATACGTGGTCACGATTCTAAACTCTACCACATCAGCTGCTCTCTGTCGAATATCGAACTGTCATATTCTACAATTTCCAAAGTCATTACTCTGTCTCCTAATCTGAGCCTTGTCGCGTGCCTGAGAAGCGGTCACCCACCTCGATCATCCTTATCACTGTCGGAGCCCGAGTTAGTGCGCCTGTGAACCATTCAATTAGCTGCCTAAGGGCAGCATGTTCTCTGAATGTATGTCTGCCCTGCCGGGTATAGAAGTCAGCTAACATGTTTCTAGACGCTTCTCGCTTCCTAGCACAATCACAATCCCGTATCGGCTTCGCGACCAACGACGATCGCAGTCCTGGCCACCACCGAAATCAGAATCCCGCTGCTTGGAGATCGGGAACTGCCTCTAGGTTAGGCGCAAACAGAGGAGGAAATCCCTACAACCCAGCCTCGTCTCAGATATCAAATTTTCCCTTTGCCTCGCGTTTCAATCCTCAGCAAGCACCTCTCTTCCACAGCGCCGTCGATGAGTTCCGGGAAGAGAATGATGAAGAGGAACATGAGCGCGAGATAGCCGATTTCTATGCCCTACAAAAGTCTAGGCGCCAGCTAGGCGGCAGTGACTTGAAAGAGTCGGGGGCAAGCAGTACATCTAGCACAGGCGAAGTGGAACAGTCAGCAGAAAAGCATGGTGGTTATGGCAGAGCCGGTGGCATTCGCTCATCCTGGAGGGGAGGCAGAGCTGGTGAGAGGAGTAGGGGACCTCATATGGAGGATCTGACAGAATCTGCCGAGCTGGACCAAAGTATGAGGAGCGACCCTGCCCAGCTGAGTGAGGTTCGACTCGAGGACACTATGCGGAGCGAAGCCGACGACGAGCCACCCGAAGACCTGGTCGACGATCCGCCTTCTGTTCAACAACTACGCCAACCATATCCCGAATCAGAAGAGGCAGACGAGAGCGACCGCAGGCATCTGCTAAGAGAACGAGCAGAAGTGACTGAGATGGATGCTACCATCGCAGTCACACGATCCCCTGCTGATCCCGTTCGGCACGACATCTTTTTCGGTCACCTCTATCTGCTTGCTCTGGCAGGTATGTTCGCAACCTGGTTCGTCATCTTCTTACACACCGAAGCTCCCAGCAAAAACAAACCTCTTGGTGACACCATCTACACCACCCTACATGGCTCATTCCATCTCCTTGGTGTTTACACTATAGTCTCAGTGTTTGTCGGCCTTTTCTGGTTGGCTGCACTTCGATCGTACGTTCGCCAGCTTGTGTTTGGAACTCTAATCGTTGTGCCAATCATTCTGTTCTCATTCTCATTGTATCCGTTCATATCGAGCTTTCATGGCAGATGGAGGGGCCATTCGGCTCAAGACAACGCTATGCGCTGGAGCTCGCTTTTGCCCTTCATCATGGCCTCGTTGTGGGTTGTGGCAGTCATCCGAGGTCGATTAGCCATGCAGAAGGCAGTGTCAATTGTCGAGTTTGCGACTAAGATTCTGGCTGCTAATCCAGCTCTGCTGCTTGTTGGATTTACCACACTGGGAGCCATCATTGGCTTTACCTGGATTTGGTTGTCCATGTTCACCAGGGTCTTTCTTGGAGGTCATCGGGTCACTTCAATGGTCATCAGGTTTGCCATTGACACCACAACTTGGTGGATCGGGATTTACTTCATTCTGGTCTACCTATGGACCATCAGCATACTATTCGGACTACAAAGGACAATAACCTCTGCCACAGTCTCGCAATGGTACTTCCATCGTCTCGCTGTTCCACAGCCGACCTCGCAAACCATTGTCAAAGCCGCCGTCATGCATTCCATCACCACCCTCTTCGGAACCGTCTCGCTGTTCACAGGCCTCAGCTTACTGGTACGCCTACCGCTCTTGGTGCTACCGAGAAGACTGACTATGTTGTTGAGCGTTGCTATGTATTCGTTCATACCCAGCCCAGTTGCAACATTGATCAACCCATTATCACTTACCTATGCTGCCATACATTCGCAGCCGTTGGCCGTTAGCTCACGTGGTCTCTCACAGCTACATTTCCTAGCACCTAATGATGCGACTACCTCATTACATCCGAACACCTTCAATCAGCGTAACAACCGAGACGGCTGGTCAGCCGATGCTGCGCCATTGCTGCCATACAGACTGTCTAAGCTGCTGCTTCATGCAACCCGTTTCATCATGTGCCTTGCCTTGGGTTTCGGGGGCTGGGTGTCAACGGCGAGAACATTGAAGTTAGCAGGGACCGATGGAGTACGAGGTAGCCTTTACGCCTATGTCGTTGGCTTAATTGCAGGTGCAATAGGCTGGGCTGTCTTAGGTGCCATGGAAGGAGTGCTTGCTTGTATAGTGGACGCAGTTGTAGTTTGCTGGAGCAGTGAGGTTGGGAGTAGTGGCAATGGAGAGGTACGCTACTGCCGAGAGGCTGGGTACCTGTTTGGTAGGGACGAGGATGATCGACCAGTAAGTCTAGCATGAAAGACAATTTAGCAAGAGTGACATAGAGGCTGCTGCATAATCTAAGACTTATCGACCATATCTATTCTTACGGGTAGTTCATCTACAAGTTAGCCCGGTACGTTGGCTAGATCTCTCTCTCACTTTGCTGAAAACGGTAATATTCACAGACTCCTAACATACCCGGGTAGAAAGCCCCCTCTACTTGTATATTACTGGAGGTTACGCAATCTCTCAGTGCAGACAGGCCAATGATAAAGCGGTTGTTAGTCGGCTATATCTGCGAATGTCCACTGGCGAACTGGCGGAAACAGAGTGCAGAGCCGCAAGAGCTATTCGCCAAGATCTGCCACGCCGGCTCCGATTCCACCTTGGCGTGTCGATCTTCTCCTCCCTCACCTTTGAGAGTTTGTCCTCCGTCATACGTCTTCTTATTTTATCGAGTTAATTGCTTGTTCGAAATTGATGCTACGCCGGACACATGAGGAACTTCCATTGTCCTGATTTATACAAGTTGTGTCTTTTTGACAAGACAAAATGACGTCGACTACCCCAGCTTGAAGCGGCATAACCTTGGGGCTACCAGGAAGGTACGCTATCTATGGTTTTGGAAACAAGAAAATGTCTGCCAATGGGAATGACTACTTGCTTAGCAACTGCCACGCTTCTATCGTGTGGAAACCCGCTGTGGAAAGTCAGGACTAAATTCCAGCGAACATTTGCCAGATGACGTTGACCCACGTTGCATTGCTGAGTAGCGCTTCATCAATATGGACCATTGTACTTCTGTCTGCTTGACATAAATGTTCTACTCCTTCTCTGTTACTTCTTCCCAGCAACTCTAACACCAGGAGAATATATTGACCTTCACAGCGTTCAATGAATGGCTAACATGGCGAATTCCGCGAGGTCCTCGACCGTAGCGGGTGACATACCCTCGACGAATTTACCATCAATTCCGAAGGAGGAAGCATTTCATGATGACTCCAAGGTACCTTTCCTCACGGCCAGGACGTTCCTCATGGCTGTCCTTGTCTCGATGGGCGGGATATGTTTCGGATACGACAGTAAGTGACTTCGCACACCAACACCAGCCCTTTCCTCAAGCATTGTGCTCACCTACCCGGACCCATTTCTGAGCTAACTGCTGTCTTAGCTGGTCAAATTTCAGGCTTTTTACAAATGGACAACTTTCTCTACCAGTTCGCTGACAACCGTGAGACTCTTGAACTCAGCGATATCCGCACTGGTCTCATCGTTGCAATGCTCTCGATCGGAACCTTGATCGGTGCTCTGATTGCTGGCCCAGTAGCCAACAATAGACGGCTAGGACGAAAGTACAGCATTTGCCTTTGGTGTGTCGTCTTCTGTCTAGGCAACGTGTTTCAGATTGCCGCTCAATACCCATACTGGTGGATTTTGATGATGGGACGCATCATATCTGGTTTTGCTATAGGTGGGTTGTCGGTCATGGTGCCAGCATACCAGGGCGAGAGTGCTCCCACCCACGTCCGAGGAGCCATCGTTTGTTGCTACCAGCTCTTTATCACTATCGGTATTCTACTAGCCTACTTGATCAATTTTGGTTGCGTGAACTTGTCCGGTCCTGCTCAATGGCGAGTTCCTGTTGGAATCAGCTTCTTCTGGGCTTTCGTACTCGGTGTTGGTATCCTATTCTTCCCTGAAACACCAAGACATGACTTCCGGCATGGAAAGGTCGAGCAGGCCACGAAGAGTGTTGCAAAGTTTTATGGTGTCAGCACGAGACACAAAGTTGTCAAGAAGCAGTTGGATGAGATGCAGCAGAAACTCGAGATTGAGTTGCAAGGTGGCACACCATCGGTCATGGAGGTTTTTACTGGACCACGAATGTTGTATCGTACATTGCTCGGCATCACTATTCAGGCACTCCAGCAAATGACAGGTAAGTCGACTTCATGCCGTCGGATTCAAAGACTGTGGTAGCTAACAAAGACTTTCTCCAGGTGCCAATTTCTTTTTCTACTATGTACGTACACTCGGCGCATTCGCAACGCATCACACTTACTGACTGATCCAGGGCACTACCATCTTCTCCTCCGTCGGCTTGAATGACTCATTCGTCACACAAATCATCCTGGGAAGCGTTAACGTAGTCACCACCTTCCCTGGACTCTACATGGTAGAAAAATTTGGTCGTCGATCATGCTTAACCATAGGTGCCGCCTGGATGTTCATGTGCTACATGGTCTTCGCATCCCTAGGCTACGCCGCCCTCGAGAACCCAGACGGCACAAACGACCAAACTGTCGGCATGGTCATGATCGTGTTCGCCTGCCTCTTCATTGCCGCCTTTGCATCAACCTGGGTAAGTCCATGAAATCTCCCTCCTTGCTCCCAATTCATCCACGGCAGCACTTACTAACTCCCCAAACAGGGCCCCATGGCCTGGGCCGTAACCTCAGAGATCTACCCCTCCCGCTACCGCTCCGTCTGTATCGCCCTTTGCTCCGCCTCAAACTGGACCTTCAACTTCTTCATCGGCTTCGCCACCCCCTTCATCACCAGCGACATCGGTTTCTCGTACGGTTACCTCTTCGCGGCGTGCAATTTTCTCGCGGTTCTGGTGGTGTTCTTCTTCCTGCCGGAGACGAGCGGCAAGTCCTTGGAGGAGATCGATACGATGTTCTTGATGAGGGTCAAGCCGTGGAAGTCGAGTAAGTGGGAGGTGCCGGAGGGGGAGACTTTGAGTTCGACGGACAGGAGGGCGTCGGATGCGTATGCGGAGAAGAGGAGGGCTTCGGAGGCTTCGAGGAGATAGGGAAGTATAGGCTATAGGTAGGAAGTAGAATTTGTGAGTGAATTTATGGAATGGTTGAATGGACAATTTTGTACCAAATTGTGTCCGCTTTAAATTTCGCATGCTGCTCCTGTCGTCATGATGGTCAGAAGCATTAAAACAATGTGATCGTGCATCTCGTCTTTTGAGGCTCAACTATTCAAGTACATATTATATTCCCTTATGCAGTCTTACATCCACAAACACAGCTTCCCACTCGCAGTACCCGCAGCTATATAGTCCTTCGTCGGACGAAAAACAGCCACAGCCGGCACAGCGGTGATCCCCTCCCCACCCAACTGAGCCAACTGCTCACCCGTCGCCGAATAAACATCAACAAACCTATTCATGTTCCCTATCACGAATTTTTGAATCCCGTCCTGTGGATGTCTCTGCCACTGTGGTCTCAGGATAGTGACCCACCTCCCCGTCTGGTTGTTATGCGATATCGTGACTTCTGGCTCCATCACTTCAGGCGGGAGTGTATGGCCTAGTTTCCATGTCTGCATGCTCTCGAGTTTTTCGGTGGATTGTTTGATTTTGAGTTTGCGGGAGGATGGGGTGGTGGTTGTTGGAGCGGGAGTGACGCCAAAGGAGTGGATTTTGATGGTGTCGTCGTAGGAGGAGGTTGCGACTTGGCCGGCTGTGTTGAAGGCGGCGTGGGAGACGCTGAGGCGGGATTCGTGTTCGCCGACGAGGGTGGGGAGGTTCTTAGTGATTTTGCGGAGGTCCCATAGTTTCATGGTGCGGTCGAGCGATGCGGTTGCCAGGTAGTGTGGTGCAAGGGGGTTTAGGGTGAATCCGCCGATCTTTTTATCGGAGAGCTCGTACATGACTGTGTCGGAAGAGGGGGTTCTGTAGTCGTGGAGGCCGAAAGAACCTTGTAGTGTGGTGAAATAGATGGTGTTTGGATCAGTTGCTGACATGTCAATGCCGGATACTGGCGAGTCTTCGAGCTTGTCCTTGGGTCCGTAAACCTCGACGGCTACTTGCTTTTGTAAGTCTATGCTACGTATGGAGGAGTCGTAAGAGCCCGTGAACAAGGTGCCTGGATTGGAAGAATGAGTATGCATAGAAGATATGGTGCGTGTATGTGGCTTGATGGTGGTTATGATAGGGTCTGGGTAGTCATCTTCTTCGTCCTCGTCATCGTCTTCGTGCTTGACGGCCGAAACTTCAGGCTTTTGCGATCCATCTACTATACCCAAATGCCCTAGCTTGTCTCCCATGAAGACAATTGGCTTTTCTTCGGTTGGGTGAAACGATGCCGAGTATATTCGCTCGGGAGTTATCTTAATCCTGGTCGGCTCCCAAGCATCCCATATTTCCAAGCCGCTCATTTTCTCGCGTAAGGACTTTAGCTCTTTGTCTGTTGTCTCCTTGATTTCCTCATCACCAAAAGTTCTTTCATTTGGCCTTGCGACAGGACGAAGGAGGGAATCTGAGCCAAAGAACCCACTAATGCCACCATTGACAGTTATGTCTCCCAACTTAAGGTCGTCTGTCCTTCGTTTGCGACGCTCGATATCGCGTTCTTTCTGCTCTTCGTACATTTTCTCCTCCTTCTCACGCTGGACTTCGCTGTCTGCCTGTATACCTGCCAACCGAGACGATATCCTACGAGGAGCAATTTCTTCTTTCTTGATCCTTTTCGCAGGTGTGGATTTGGACTTTGACGACGCTGGACGTTTCGCAGGCTTCGCATAGAGCCCAGCCTGGGCAGCATTTTTCTTGACTGCAAGCTCGGCGAGCAATTTGTCGCGCTCAGCAATATTGGCCAGTCGCTGCTTTTCAAAATCCGAAGGCTCTTCCGGAGCAGCTCTTTTTGGTGGCATGATGTTGAGACCCTATTGTGGTCGTAGCAGTTGTGAGTGGAGGGTCTTCAGTGTGCGCAGGATGAGTCCTGTGCTTAACGCGAATCTGGAAGGGACGCGTCGAGCGAACGCGCTTCTGCGTCATCAGTTTATCGGCTATCGAGATCTCCATTTCTGGCGTGCTCTGGGCTTGCAGGGACCGTAATACAGATTTAGTTTGCCGGGGTTTGGCGTGTTGTGCGGATCCTTCCCAGAATCGACGCGATAGAGCAACGTTCTGATATGCGGGAAGCTGCCTCGACTGATCGCACTTTCCACAACCTCTCGTGAGTCAACCATGGAGATATGTTGCCTGGAGTTATCTCTTTTATGCAACCATTTTGTTCATGATTGAGTCAATACGCTTGTCATCAAGTTGGACAGCTGTTCTGCCTGCTGCATCCTGTTCGGCTGTTGGTATGATTGGAGAAAAATGGAACTTGCAGTGTCCGATTGCAACACGCTTGCACTTTCGATCGAAGTTTGCCGCTGCATAACACCTCCAGTGTGCTTTCCAAATTCTCACAGACACTAGGCAGACACCTGTATACACCCCAGGATATCGTCTTGAAATGATTGACTACGATCGTCTGACTATCAATTTCCTACTATATTGCCCAGCTTCACCAACATGACCTACGCATCTTTCCAGCGGCCTTCGTGGTCCCAGACTTTTATTCAAGAACCAAAAGAGCTACGTTACAAGCCTACAAACTCGAGAACGCCAATCCCGTTCCGAGCCATCTTTCTGTCCACCATCTCAATAATCGGATTGTCCTTGCAGTTTTGTTTATTGTTGGCATCTGTGCAGAAGCTATGGATAATATATCCTGCCATAGCCTGGTCATTGGTTGCTGCGTACTCGCTCTTCTGCAGGCCGCGATGCTTCTCCTTACTGACTCTGACTGCCTTTGCCGCTCTCTTCGTTACCAATTGCATTCTGCTCTTGCAAACATGGCAAAATGATCTTGGCCGGGAACAGAGCTTGGCTGTTGGCCTAATCGCAGTTGCTCTGCTAGGTGTAATCATGTCTGTAAACACACCTATCAGGGATCCAGTTCTATCAAGAGCTGACATCAGCAAGCCGTTCTCCATACCCACAGACAAGCTTCGATCTCCCGAGGATGATTTGACATTTTGGCAATGGATGACAGTCTCTTGGGTCACACCATTGTTGAGGTTGGCTAGGCAGAGGCAGTTGAACGAGGAGGACATCTGGTTGCTGCCATACGAATTTCAGCACACTTTTCTGCATGATGCATTTCGTCGTCTGAAGGGGTCGGTGTTTCAGAGAGTCCTGATTGCTAACTGGATTGACCTTGCTATCCTCACTCTTCTTGAACTACTCGAGCTTGCCACAAATTACTCGGATCCGATACTCTTACAGCAGTTACTCAAAGCAATGCAGAACCTACCAACTGAAAGACGATCTGCCTTGATCTATGCTCTTTTGATCTTGTTGGTCCGCGTTATCAACGCTCAGAGTGAAGTCTTCAGTCTCTGGTACGAACGTCGATGTTATGAGAGGTCGAGAGGCGAGCTGATCACAATGCTTTACGAGAAAACGTTACATCGGAAAGTAATATCACAACCCAAGGAGAAAGAGGAGAACAACGAAGATGGTGCAGGACTTGAGCGTGTATTGACAGTACAAAGTATCGATGAAAGCACCCCTCTCCTGGCCAATTCACAAGATGCAAAACCAAGCCAGTTACAGAGAATTTGGAAACAGCTTCGAGCGGTTTGGACGAATTTTTGCATCGGGGTCAAAGGCGTGGACGAGAAGAAGCAGGAACCAGCAGCAATGGGCAAAATCATGAATTTGATGAGGTATGACTCCTACGAGGTTGCTCAGAGATTTTGGGAGTTTCAGGACGTTATTGAGAAGCCTCTAGGTCTGATCGTCTCGATAGCTCTTATCTGGCGCCTACTTGGCTGGCCAGCCCTTGTAGGTATCGCAGTCATTGTTGTGGCCCAGATCATCAACTACTTGCTTGCTCTGGTGGATATTCGATTTGAAAAGGTTCGGAGAGCTACCACTGATGAACGCTTACAGCAGACATCTCAATATATTGAGTCAATTCGGCACTTGCGCTGGTATGGATGGCAGAACCATTGGCTCAAAAACGTTTCTAAAGCTCGACAACGCGAGCTGAATATGAGAGTCATCTCGTACATCTGGGGACAACTTATGGTCCTGAACAATGTTCTTGGATCTGGCTTTGTCCTTGTTGCAGCATTCTGGGCGTACACTGTGTTCGCAAAACGTGAACTCAGTGTCGATATTGTTTTTCCTGCGCTGGAAATATTCGTCATGATTGAGGAGAACATGGAGAGCTTACCAGATCTGATCCAGAACCTCCTGAATGCCTACGTTGCTCTTAGACGTATTCAAATATTCATGGACGAACCGGATAAACAAGACGTCAGCAACGATGAAGGTGTTCCAGACAACGAGATCACATTGCACAGAGCTACCTTTGCGTGGCCCGGATTAGCATCCAATGTTCTAAACGGCCTCAATCTCTGCTTCTCACCAGGAATCACGGTTGTCACGGGCGAAGTCGCTGCAGGTAAGACAGCACTATTGCAAGCTATACTAGGAGAACTTGACATGCATGAAGGACAGATGACCAAACCACTCAGACCTATAGCTTACTGTGCCCAGACGCCATGGCTTCAAAGCATGACGATACGTGACAACATTCTATTCAATTCCTCTTTTGAGCCTGAGAAGTACAAGAAGACCTTACAGGTCTGCGCTTTACTGCCCGATCTAGCTTCTTTCGAGAAAGGCGACCTTTCCCCAATAGGTGAGAACGGTATTGGGCTGTCAGGAGGACAGAAAGCTCGTGTCGCTCTCGCTCGAGCGTTCTACAGCGACGCGTCTATTCTACTGCTAGACGATCCGTTGAGTGCGCTTGACCAGCAAACATCAGAATACATTGTTACCGAGTGCTTCCAAGGTCAGCTTGCGCAGGGGCGCACCATAGTTCTTGTTACTCATCGGACAGATCTATGTGAACCAATAGCTGATCAAATCGTGGTCATGAGCCAAGGCAGTGCAACCGCTGGAGGACGGCATGCGCCTGCGATTGCTTCCAACAGACATACTCCGAGTGGTGCCTCGAAAGCTCAATTGATGCCTCTTGCTGGTGAGACAAAGCTGCTGAAGGATGCCATTCCTGATAAATTTGAAGAGGAGGAACACCGAGCCCATGGCGACGTCAAGTCTCGAGTGTACTGGGAGTACCTGAAAGCGGGAAGTCTGAGTGCCTGGGTGTTCATCATCCTGGCTCTTTCTCTCGCGCGCCTTGTGTCAATTTCACTCAACTGGTACTTGAAAGAATTCAGTGAAGCATACAATGATGCTGAAGTTCATCATATACCATCTATCTATCACTCGGTATACGTTAGCTTGCCGACTTCGAAACCTTCGTTCCTCAACAGGCTGTTCGATCGCTTTCCTGACCCACGCACGAATGTCTCGCCTTGGCTGGTTGGACTTTTGGTCATCATAGTGGCTCAAGCTGTTACTGTTTCGCTCTCGGAAACAGCAATACTGACTACAAGATATCTGGCTGGGAGGAACATGTTTCGTGCCGTGATGCAGAGAGTCACAAACACCACATTCAGATACTATGATGTTACTCCAGTCGGTCGTCTCATGAATCGGCTGACATCAGATGTAGGTCAAGTTGATACAGGCATTGGCTCTGATCTTTACGGCATCCTGTACTACACCATCACCTGGCTGGCTTGCATCTCTCTCATCGCCTCTATAACGCCGGTTTTCTTGGTAGTCTCCGTCTTGGTCACAGGCGTGTTTGTGCTCATCTTCTTGTATTTTCTGCCTACATCACAGAGTCTGCGAAGGCTGGAGACAGTATCTCTCAGTCCATTGATGACGAATTTCGGTGCTTTACTGGCTGGTCTCACCACAGTACGAGCCTTTCGGGCTGAAGACCGCTTCCAGGCAAAGCTCGTGAAAGTGGTTGATACCTTTCAGGCAATGGACCACTTCTACTGGAGCGTGCAAAGCTGGCTCAGCTATCGATTGGAGATCGTCTCAGCTATATCAACCTTTGTGCTCACAGCAATCGCGATATACACCGACTTGTCGGCTGGAATGACAGCCTTCATCCTGGTCAGTGCGCAGAAATTTGTGGCAGCGACTCACAAGCTCTGCCGAATGTACGGAAGGCTCCAAGTCAACTTCGTCTCTGTCGAAAGACTGGTCGAACTACTCGATGTTGAACAAGAGCCAAGTAACCCAGTTCCACCTCCAGCATGGTGGCCATCCTACAGTGGCAGTATCGTCTTCGAGAACGTCACTGTTCGCTATGCTCCTCACCTCGAACCGGCACTGATTGACATATCATTCGAATTGAAAGGAGGCACGAATACCGCCGTCGTCGGTCGGACAGGCTCCGGAAAAAGCACACTTGCAGCAGCACTCCTCGCCACAGTCCCAGTCGAGACAGGTCGAATCCTCATCGATGGCATCGACCTAGCCAAGGTCGACCGTCAAGCTCTCCGCACTCGGATCACCTTCCTTGCTCAAGAACCCGTTCTCTTCGAAGGCACACTCCGACACAACCTCGATCCAACCCACGCCCACTCCGACGCCGACTGCGAAAACGTTATAGAGCGCGTAGCAGGCAGATTCAACTGGACCCTCAGCACACCCATTGAAACAGGTGGCAAGAACCTCTCACAGGGCCAAAGACAATTAGTCGGGCTGGCAAGAGCCATTTTGCGACGAAGCAGCATTATCATCATGGACGAGGCCACAGCAAGTATTGATGTCGATACTGCTTGGGAGATACAACGCATACTCCGGGAGGAGCTAAAGGGAAGTACGGTCATTACGATTGCGCATCGGACGGCAGCGGTGAGAGATGCGGATCAAGCGATTGTGCTTGCGAATAGAAGGCTGGAGAGCTTTGGACCGATCGAGAGAGATGTGGTGAGCGGATCGAGCGAAGTGCAGAACCACCTTTGAGAATCTGTCTGATAGATGATGGTGACAGAATACTAGGAGAATCAATCATTCGTTGGCAGAACAGAAAGATGTCAAAAGTTATTGATGGACTATATACACTAGGTAATTAGAGGAATAGATTCAACCCAATTCCCAATACCCCATATCATCGTGTCCGAACTTACATCTATAGCCTGCAAGCCCATGCAACCCAACAACAAAAGTCAAATTACCAAAACCTTCATGCCTATCACCCATCAAATAGAACACTTACTCCCTACCTCCCTGCTACCCCAATTCTATATCTTCCACGTCTCCACTGTCCCTCGACCCATCACCCCTTCGGCAACAAAACCCTCTTCCCACCCTTCGGCCCGGCCCCCTGCACCTGAGTCGAAGTCGCAGTTCGCCTCGCCACATCCGCCGCCTGTATTGACCGTGACGTCGCGTCGGGATTCTGATTGACGAAGGTATTTGCGATTTTGCCTGTTGTGCTTCCCGCAGTGCTAGTGCTTGTGCTGGTGGTTGATGGTGGGCCTTGTGCAGGAGTTAGGTTTTGGCCAGTCGTGGTAGTGGTGGTGGGAGCTAGGAGTTCTGGGATGTTATGATGGTGGTTGTTGTTGTTGTTATTGTTGATGTTGGTGGTGTAAGAGTTATGATGATGTGGCTGGAGGCTGCTGGGTCGGTATGCGGACTGTCCTGGTGGGAGTAGTTGGGGTTGTGGAGGGTTCTTGAAACGGTCTGAGTCGGGAGTCTGAGCTGGTGTGAAGGTAATTTGGCCCGGTTCGCGACGGGGGCCGCCGAGACGGGGTCGAGAGGCACGGAAGGAGCTAGCATTGATTGATCGGCGTCTTTGTTGTGTAACATCGCTTGCTGGACTTGAAATTGTTGTTGTTGTTATTGCTGGTTGAGAAGGCGGAGGCAGTGGTGGTTGCGGTAGTTGTTGCTGAATGATTGTTGTGGGTTGTGGTATGTCGAAGCGTGTTGTTGGCGGCTGGAATTGCTGAGGACTTGTTGTGGCGATTGGACTAGTAATAGATGTTTTCGTAGGAGGATATTGCCTCGATTGATGCGGTGAGAGTTGTGGCGGAACATGTGGCTGGGAGAGGGAGCCACGTGAAGAAGCTGGTGAAGCTGGCGGAGCAAGTTGTGCAACCGTAGTTGGTGGTTGTGAAGCTCTTGGGATCTGTTGTGACGATGTCTGCAGCCAGGAGGCCACTTCCGGAAAGGCGTGGGCTTCGCGTGAAGCCATGTTGCAGAATGCTCTTACGAACGTTGGATGAGCGATCGGTGGCTTAACTAGCACACTGTGGTGACGTTGGGAGGAGGATGATGATGGTGGTGGTGGCATTCGCGAAGGCGCTATTGCGAGATTTGGTAAAGATGCCGATGGATTGAATGACGGTTTATTGTAAGGTGTTTGGTCTGCGGACGGTCGCTTTTGAGGAAGAGATGTGGACTTTGGCCGCAGAGATGTTGCTCTTGAATTGGCCGAACGTCTGCTCTGGATCTGCTCGTATTCAAGGTACAACTTTGGTCCTATGAGGTATTCTATTGGGAAGTCGTCGATGTCTCGAGGCTCGACAGGCATGAAGATGTATGCCCGATTAGGGTGAATGGTCGAGATATACTCAGCAACGTCTGCAAGCCGGGACAGAGCGAATTGCGGGTTCTCGTCCTCAGATAATGGTCGCGGAACAAGATAGCCTCCGGCTTGTCTGAGTTCCTGTCTTGCGACGTCGATTAGAGTGTCCAGTCTAGCCTGCTTGTCTACATCTGCTCGTTGGGAGGCAGCCTCGCGAGCTGCTGCTTCCAAAACAGGACCCACAATGTCTCTCTCAATAACTTCCCGCTGAGCTTGCTCGTCATAGCTTGATGATGTTTCTCTGAAGGCCTTCTCATCCTGTATGCGTTGTGAAGTATAGCCGCGAGGTCGAGCATCGGGCTCTGGTAATTCGTGAAGGCGCGGAAAGTCAGAGCCAATGTCTGAACCATTACTTGTCCTTGTATCGTCGCCTGCTCCACGATGAGCTCTGGCAATCAACATAAGGTCGCCTTGACAACCCCTTACATGCTCTTTCTGGGCCTCCTCGACTCGAGTCCTGAACTCTCGTATGATGACTTCGGCTTGTGAGCCGAGCTCTCTGTCAGCCAATGCGATCTGCTCCTTGAGCTCGGCTCTTATCAATGATTTTGTTTCGTTCTCCTTCTCTTCAAGCTTTTGCATGACTTCATGGTAGGCGGGAACCTTTGTGTGAAAGGTGGGCTTTCGAAGCAATTTCGAGATATTCCCTGATGCCTGCAGCTCGAGGGCATCCCGCTGCTGTCCAGCCATACTGCTAAACAGACTCTTCAATTTCAGTTGTCTTTGTCTAACAACATGGAGCAAATCCTTCTCATGTGGTTTCATACTGATCTTATGAGGTGGATCTGGAGACTCTTTGTCTCGACCTGGGCCAGAACCACCTGTACCGCGGCCCTTTTGAGACTTGCCATTCTTGCCATTACCTCTGTTGCCTCTAGCTTGTTGACCAGATCTACCGCCTTTCAATGGAGATGTTGTTCTCGATCCTTTGTTGCTCCCTGGCTGAGCAGTGCTTGACGATGCTTTGGAAATGGTGCCATCCGCCCCATAATAAGTAGGATTCTTATAGTCAAAATTTGGATACATCCAATGCTCTTTCCTCTCATTTTGTGACATCCTTTTCATGCGTTCCAACTGTTCTGGAAACCGACTAGTGTAGTCATCCACTTGCTGGAGCGTAAACTTGCGGTTCACTGGTTTGTCATAGGCTTTTGCAAAGAAAGCTCCTACAATGTCAGCTTCAATCTCTGGTATTGTTGCTGTCACTGATTGCTTGAGCTTAGGTTCTGGTCGTGAAGCTGAAGCTTGTACTGGAGACAGCGGCACGTTTGGGATGCTGGACACAGAGTTCGAGCTTAAAGACTGTGCAATCGAGGTCTCGGATGCAGAGCTGGATTGTTCCTGTGTTCCTGGAGCAGGAGTCTTCCTTCGCTTTCTGGGAGGTAGCGAATCCGTGTCTTGGCTACTAGTGCTGCTGATACTGGCTCTGAACTCAGCATAACGAGACATTTGCTTCCTCTCGCGCTTTGAGCGTCTGACAGGACTACCTGCTCTGGTAGCGCCAGTCCGATTTGTCTCGTCTGTCTCCATATAGTCCCCCAGCCCTTTTGGTGTTGGACCAATATCTGACGGCAACGAGGACAACCCAGAAGTAGAAGCTGAGTGTTGCTCATCTTTATGTACATCGAATTTCGGTGAGCCTGCTTCATCATTCGGTGGTGTAGCAGGCATCTCGATGTCGCCAGCACTTGATGATGAGGCAGCCATTGCAGATCGTGGTGGCAGAGTTTCTATGCTTCTAACAGGTAATGGAGCTGTTGTAGCGAAGCAAGAAGAAGTACTGCAAGCAAGAAATGATAAGTAGAATTCAAGAAGGGCAACGGCACATACAATGTAGAAGAAAGCAAGTATGAGAAGGTGCTGTGATTGGTGGAGACGTAAGTGACAATTGGTGGAGAGGGAATGGCTGTACAAATTGAAGTTGAAGAGTAACACTCACGATGAAGGGTCCCTATATCTAAGTATTTTGAGTCCCCTAGTAATTTGGTGCCTTTTCCTGGCCATGCAAAAAGGTGTGCGACATTGCGGGTGCTGAGGTCGAGCTTTTAACTTGGCCGAACGTGCCCATGGTGAATAGTGATGAAGGATTAAGCAGCTTTGTACGTTCCTCGCAAACGTGCTCTGAGACTTGTGAGCAACTTTTGGGAGTTTGCTAGATCTGGTTGACCAACGACACTGGCGGCTTTGTCCTGGCGACAGGGGCCTGACCCAGAGTGTATCGCGCGCCAAAGTGTCATTTCTGTGGTAGCTATAGGTCACATCGATCTTGAACGACCGTGTCCTAGGTTGAAGGTCCATCGAGACTACTGATATTACAACAGAACTAGTGAGAGGAAAGTGAAGGATTTGCTGCCCTTGCTCGAGACATGGCAGCGTACGCCAAGCAGTCTCCAAGCCGATCGAGCTTTCCGCCTACCAGTGGATTTTGAACCCATCGGCTGCAGCCGTGCACGAGTAGCACGCCACTTGCCAGACTCACACAGGCTGCTGGTAGAGCAAGTAGTTCTTACAGAATCGATGCTCGTACAGAACACTAAACTAACTAATCGGGGGCGAATTGTTTGCAACCCTGCAGGGACATCATCAGGTCCTCGCTGGTGTGTAGTGATGCAGAACAAAGTTTCGCTGAGGACCTGGAGGAGCGGCTGAACGTTTTCGGCATGTGGACTCTCGCGACTGTGTTCTGATTGGACGAAAAAGTGAAGAGTCTCTATGAAGCTACGAAATTAATTTGACCACCTGTGGCAGAACTTGCTCAGCAGCCAAGCTCGCTCGCACTGCATCGGTCCCATCCTCGAAGCGGTCGCGGTCAGGAAAGAATTCAGCTTCTTTCCTCACACCACCCATATTCAGGATACCAATAGGCATACCTTGATCGAATGCTTTCTTCACTATCCTCCAGGCAGAGTAGGTCGCCAGACTGCTGCCAATGACTAGGATTCTACCCGCTTCATCGAGTGCGGCCTCAGCTTGCTGCTTGACCTCGACGGGAATGCTCTCGCCAAACATAATCACATTTGGCTTGAGGATGCCTGAATCCGATTTCTCAGACCAAGCACCATCTGCATCAACCTCGACCCTTCCCTTGGAACCGTCCTTCAGGATGGGAGCACGTCGCAGACATTCCGGACAAGCAGGATATCTGAATGTATAGTAAGGTGCACCAGGCACATCCGCATCTCCATCTGGATTCGTCCTGTAGCCCTTCTTTCTCCTTTCTTCAGGATCTTCTGTATCAAGCGCTCCAGACTTGAGTAATTCCTGTAAGAACTGGTCCCATTCAGGGTTCAATTTTGACAGCCAACTCTGAAACTCGTCTCTTGGCATGAGTCTCCTACAGCTCAGGCATACTAGACTGCGAAGAAAACCGTGTAGCTCAACCACAGGCAGACCTGGATGTGCTCTGTTGTGGAAGGAGTCAACATTTTGAGTGATGACCGAAGTCAATACACCATGTTTAGCTAGATCTCTGACAGCGTAATGAGCAGGATTTGGACGCGACTTGTGTAGACTCGTCCAGCCTAGAAAAGATCTGGCCCAGTATCTCTTTCGAGCCTCATGCGATGCCACAAACTCATGGAAGTAGATTGGTCTGTAGGTCTTGTTTCGTGTATAGGTTCCATTCTTGCCTCGGTAGTCTGCCAGGCCTGAGGCTACTGATATGCCAGCGCCCGTAAGCAGAACGGTCTTATCTTTTGTATTGACATCGCCACCCTTCTGGCTCTGGCGAGCAGTTAGGAATTCAGCGATAGCAGTGGCTGCTCCATTCAAGGTGCTTGCAGCAGAAGGTATAATCAGCGGAGGAGGTAAAGGTCCCGTGTAAGGGATACGCATAAGCGGGGGTTTTGACATGAGCAAGACATGACAATTGTCATCAAGTATGCAGCTGGCACCTTTCAGGAACAAAAGCCAACAAGCAAATTCCCGTCCAAATCGTCGCAGGCCTCGAACTCAATTGCGATGTCATCGATCGTGGTTCCCGTTCAAGCTTATTTCGTGATTAACCAATCCCGACGCTGTGCCTGGCGAAGCTTGCGGAGCGGCTTCGAGTCCGGCTGTTAGGCTGCACCTGCCTGGAAACTTGAATCAAACTGGAATACAGAATCAAAGATTACTATTACTTCGAACCTCGACGTTGCACATCACTTGGTTCTCGGTTGTATAGATGTGCGCCTTTTCCCACCACACATGATAGCCTCTGGCGCATCTCAAGCTTGAAATGCTTCCGCATGGCCGGTATCTCACTAGAACGCGGTTAAGATTGTTAACTTTCAATGCACGTCCTTCTGGGGCCACATCTCAGCACATCTATGGCTTACCCTTAACTGCTTCATTCCTGGTAGACCGGCAGTACCATGACAGTATTCACATTCGAATACCGGCAGCACCATCTCGTTGCCCTAGATATCCTAATAGAGTCTGTTTAACTCACAATCTACGATCGGCACGCTCCTTTCTACCTACTTCCAATATGACTACCTCGATACAAGCACGTGGCCATGCTGGTCACTCTCATCACCATCACGACAATACTTACCTTACTTCGACAAACAAGAATGACGCAGGTGTCAGAATTACCAGAATAGGGCTGTTCGTTAATCTGGCTATGGCTGTGGGCAAAGGAGTAGGAGGTTGGGTATTCAATTCACAAGCCCTTGTGGCAGACGCTTTCCATTCCCTAACAGATTTGGTCTCTGATTTTATGACTTTGGCTACGATATCTTGGTCTCTGAAGCCTCCGACCGAGCGGTTTCCCTATGGCTATGGAAAAGTTGAGAGCTTGGGTGCCCTCGGTGTCAGTGGCATTCTCCTTTTTGGCGGAATTGGTATGGCTATGAACAGCTTGGACGTCTTGTATCTACAGTTCTTCATAGATCATACCCACTCTGCTGCCGGACACGATGAACATGTCCATGGCCTGTTTGGTTTCGGCCATAGCCACAGTCACAGCACTGATCTACCCAACCTCAATGCTGCATGGCTTGCTGCTGGCTCGATTGTCGTCAAAGAATGGCTGTACAGAGCAAGTAAGTTGTCTCAAACACTACCTTCTATCTACCACCCTACTAACTACTACAAAAGCTATGAAGATCGCTCGAGAGCGAAAGTCATCCGTCCTAGCCTCCAACGCCGTTCACCACCGCATAGATTCGCTCACTAGCATTGTCGCCCTTTTGACGATAGGTGGTGCTCACGTTATCGCGGATGCTTCATGGCTAGACCCAGTGGGTGGTCTTATCATCTCTGGTATGGTCATAAGAGCTGGATGGCAGAATACAGTCACCTCCCTACTCGAACTGGGTGACGTAACCGTGGACAAAGACATCAAGCAGGCTGTAAACAGATCCACCCAGAAAGCTTTGACAGGCAACGATGCAGAGGGCTTACACGGTGTCGCTAAGGGTGACCAAGTCGAGATCAAGGACATTCAAGGCATCAAATCAGGTCAGAACTACTTGATTGACATTGATCTTGCTGTGCCGTCCAGCTTTACCATAGCGGATACCATGCCCATAGAGCAAGCTGTGAGAGAAAGAGCTGGAGCCAAGGTCAGAGGTGTTCGAAAAGTCAGAGTCAAATTCACCACCATTGAGGGAGGTCAAGATTTCACAAGCGAGTTCATTCCAGGAGATGTGAGTCCGAGAAGCAGCCCGGAACCGGAAGATGAGCATGAGCACCGACATGCGCACGATCACGACCACCATGCTCATACTAATGGGCATCAACATTCTCAAGCTGCGAAGAAGAATATCTGAACGACCAAAATCTATAATCTAACGCAGAAATGGTTCCATACAAAAGTGGTCACAGAAACGATTGTCGCATACTGGAGTGGAAAGCCAGAAATGATTTGAGGCTGATCTCATCTGTGGAGCGCAAAGACACCCTGAAGCAGGAACTCCAAAACAACTTCTCCACCTACCACATGCCCAAACTTGCGTATAGTACACAGTTTTGTAACTCGACATTTGGTGAAGACATTGCTCAGCGTCGCTTCTTTAAGCACCTCTGCGAATTGATCGTAGTTCAAAGCACCATTTGAAGGTGTCTAACACATAGCCACGCCTCAAAATTTCGGAAGCAATCCAGCCATGTCTAGTCCGGTATATCTGGGCTTTGACTTGTCAACGCAGCAACTGAAAGGCTTAGCCGTGTCCTCAGACCTCAAATCCGTAGGGCAAGCAACATTCGACTTTGACAAAGATGCCCAAGGTTTTAAAATACGCAAAGGTGTGCTCACAAATGAGGCTGAGAAAGAGGTCTTTGCACCGGTTGCCATGTGGCTGCAAGCTTTAGATACGGTTCTAACAAGGCTAAAAGACGGAGGGTTGAATTTGAGCCGTGTGAAGGGTATCAGTGGCGCTGGTATGCAGCATGGGAGTGTATTTTGGAACGCGGATGCTGAGTCGTTACTAAAATCTTTGGATCCTGCAGAGACACTCGAGGTCCAGCTCGATGGTGCTCTGGCTCACCCTTTTAGTCCCAACTGGCAAGACGCGAGTACACAGAAAGAATGCGACGAGTTTGACCGTGCTCTAGGCTCTCCTGCAGATTTGGCCAAGGCAACTGGTAGTAAAGCACACCATCGATTTACAGGCCCACAGATCCTTCGTTTTCAAAGAAAATACCCAGAAAAATACCAAAAGACTGCCCGAATCACTTTAGTATCGTCATGGCTAGCCTCGATCTTTCTAGGCAAATTTGCGCCATTCGATATCTCAGACGTTTGTGGTATGAATTTGTGGGACATTAATGCAGGCACATGGAATGAGAAAGTCCTTGAGCTGACCTCTGGCACATTCGGTATCGAGACTCTGAAGCAGAAGCTTGGTGGATCTGTTCCACAAGATGGTGGTGCTCACTTTGGCAATATCTCCTCCTACTTTGTCGAACGCTTCGGCTTCTCACCTGATTGCGAGATCATAGCCTCAACGGGCGACAATCCATCCACTATCCTCGCACTTCCTCTACAACCCAACGACGCCATCGTATCGCTCGGCACGTCCTCCACCTTCCTCATGTCAACATCAGAATACCTCCCCGATCCATCAACACATTTTTTCAACCACCCAACCACAGCCGGCCTATACATGTTTATGCTCTGCTACAAAAACGGCGGCCTAGCCCGTGAACAAGTCCGTGACCTCATCAATCAGACCACACGCCCACAAGACACCGGTTCCACCTCCTGGGACGACTTCGACAAATACCTCCTCTCAACCCCTCCACTAGCCCAACAAGACGAAACCCAGCCCTTCCAACTAGGCATCTACTTCCCCCGTCCAGAAATTGTCCCCAACCTCCCCGAAGGCCAATGGCACTTCCAATACGATCCCAAAACAGACACCTTAACCGAAACAGCCAAGACCCCCAACCACCCCTACGACTCCGCCCGCATCATCGTCGAATCTCAACTCCTCTCCATGCGCCTCCGCGCCAAAGACCTCGTCCGCTCACCAGACTCCGAAAACTCCCTCCTCCCCCCACAACCCCGCAGAATCTATCTCGTCGGCGGCGCCAGCCGTAACCGCGCCATAGCCAAAGTGGCCGGCCAAGTCCTCGGCGGCGGCGAGGGTGTCTTCAAGCTCGACCTTGGTGAGAACGCGTGCGCGCTCGGTGCGGCGTATAAAGCCGTTTGGGCGTGTGAGAGATCTGCCGGCCAGAGTTTCGAGGAACTGATCGGGAGTAGGTGGGATGAGAGGGATTTTGTGGAGAGGGTGGCGGACGGGTATGATGAGGAGACGTATGAGAGGTATGGGAGGGCTTTGAAGGGGTTTGAGGCTATGGAGAGGGAGTTGCTTGCTAAGCATTTGACTTGAATTTGACCTAGCTGGCGGCCATGATGCAAGCTGGTGGTCCATATGAACTGCTGGTATTGTGCTTCTTGATGGCTATGGTGTACTACATACACGTATACGATGCTTCGTTTGTAAACTTGATGGTATGAGGCAACATTGTGGTATCGGGTCCTCTGCTGACGCTGTGCTCGTGTCGGAGACACAGGACTCCCACCTCTTCTACGCAAGCTATATAGCTTCGGTCGTCATTCCCTTCTTATAGCGTTAACACTACCCACGATTTTGTTCCTCAATCCAACGTCTTATCACAACATAAGCAGTCGACTTTAACCTGCCATGACTTATCCGATAACTTCTCTTTGACCTCAGCGAATAGAGGCTGGTCCTTACGATTGGCGATAATTGAGATAGTAAGGTTTTTTATCCATAGATTCTTCTTCTTCGGCCTTGCCTTTTTGTGACTTTTTGAAGGCCGTGTTTTGGCGGGTGGCCCCAGTGTAGAATTGTGTCCGTTGGTACTGCTGGAGGCGTGTAGAGTAGCTGTTGACTCCTCTTGGACCGCCATGACACCTTGCTCGATTATGTTCTCGAATCTGCCTTCTAGCTTCTTGCCCATGTTCTTGACCACTTGAGCTAGCGACTTTGACGCGGGTGGTGTGTTGTACCTTGCGTAGTCGTCCATGTTACCACTAGCATAGCTCTGCCAGAGTCGTGCTCCAACTTCGTCTATCAGACATTCTTCGTGGTTCCAGCCTTTGCATCCTGAAGAGTGCTGGTACATGGTACGATCGGGATTGCATGGCCTTTCACACCTGCAAAACTTGCGAAGTGGAGTGAGAGCAATTGATGAGTCGTGCTTCTTGTCGAAGTTGCTCTTATCAAAGCGTTGTCTCCAAAATCTCTCTGGAGCTTCACTGACGAGATCGTCGTTCGTCTCATCCCAATGGTATATTTCTGCTTTGTTGGAGATGGTGGTAGCATCGATGATCTGTAGATCGTTGCTCATGATCAGCTCGCCTGCTGCATGATCTTTAAAGAAGTTTCGTTGCTTTTTCTGTTGTGCAGGTATCTCTTCAGGCCAATAGAGGTAGGCAATCAGTATGAATACTCTGTCAGGTGTTTCCGCTCGAGCTTCGAGAAACCTAGCAACGTATGTGTTCTTTCTATCCCACTCGAGGTTTTCTTTCTCGCTGGCGCCAGGTCCAGGAGGATTAGGCGGGTTCAGTCTGTTCAATACATATATTATGTCGCCCTGAGCAAAGGTGGCATCGCTGACTGTATTGCCCTGGTCAGGATCCGTCACAAGCTAATGAATTATCAGACTTACGTTTAACGTTCCTGAAGCACCTGATATCCTGCCACTTTTTACCAGATTTCGTAAGGACCGTGTATTCGCATTCCCAACCCTCTGCTAACTTTGCATTTCCTTTGTGCGCCTTTTCATCTTCAACGTCACAAGGTCTTGGAGGGCAGTGTATTTCGAATGGTATTTCATCGGCGTATTTGCTCTCAACAGCCTTCGACTTCTTAGCTTTGGTCTTGTCCTCTAATTTGTGCTTAGGTTTGGTTGTAGTCTCGTGCACTTTCAGGTCTTCCTCGAGCTCTGATGCTTTGCGCTTTTTTGGGCTTGTCGCAGCCATTCTTGCGACGGAAATATATAAGTGAAGCGAGCGATAAAAACAAGAGTACGCAAGAACGTCTGTCACGTTTAGATAGCGAGAGACCTAGGAGCTGAATAACGAGTAGACGCTGAAGGGAAACCCAATTGTGAGAATTTGGAGAGTGCTGGAACACAAACTGATTCGCTTGTTTAACTCTAAACACGAGCTGAGTAAAGCGTAGGCGAGTTTTTAGATGCGCAAAGAATGCAACGAAGAGAAGCAATTACACGATAGTGAAGGTGCGATCAGCTCTGGCGGATAGAGTGGAGGTGCTCGGTAGGCGCGCTGCCCATAATACTAGATTCACTTCTTCCACGACGAAATCCTACTTAAGCACTTCGTCCGGGCGCGTGCCTGACGCGTTTAGTCCCGTCTGGAACAAATTGGCGAGCCACCAAGCATATCAGAACACGTTAGCAAAACAAGCAAACACGCGAAGTCATATTCATTCGAACTCATATTCGTATTCTGTAGCGATTGCTATAGCAAGGGTATCATTATCGTAGTAGCATCCTATGCTCGCTGCAAAGTGTTTCTGCCTCCTTATTTGTCCTTGTGGAATATCTCCTTGACCTTGTCCTTGAAGCTATCATGAGGCACTTTCTTATCGAATCCGTACTGTGAAACAGTCTTCTGCACGGGCTTGCTGTCGGCGTGAACCGCGTTACCTGCGCCACCACGACCGTAGTGAACATTCTCGTTTTCCTTGGATGGTCGAACAGCTGTCTCGGGAACGATCATCTCATCTCCTACTTGTCTGGCATTGACACCATCTGGGTCGATGTTGCCTGCACCTCCTCGGCCAGCTGAGTATGGACCATCTCCTTGATTGCCGACTGGACCCTCACGAGTGATTTCACCATCAGCATACGGCGTGTCATCTGGTCTCATATTGGCCGCACCTGCGCTGATCAGTTTCGAGTGTCTGGCACAATCTCATTGCGCTTACCGCCACGACCGTGCGAAATGTTAGCGGACATGATTGGCGATATGTTCTCTCTGTGGAAAAGATTTGAGCAGTAAGCAACAACCTTTACAATACTAGTTTAGAACAATAGCGACTGAAAGTGGTGGTGAGCAAGCGGGACGTGGAGCTTTAGGTCGCGCTCGCCCACCACCATTATATCATGCTCTTGCACAATTCAGGCACGAGGGGCGCGCCAGTGATCTCAGAGGTAGACAGCATGTGCATCGTAATGGCTTTTCCCAAATTGATGGTTACCACCACAGCACAGAATTGTCAAGAGGTATACGTTCTTGCTATTCGCTCCTGCATCCTCAGATAAGGTGTTAGAGCCAAGACGACGTCATCGGCGAGGTTTGCCAAGCTCTTTATCAGTCGCTCAGCACCACCAACTATTGGTGCTTGACTCAAAACCCATCTGTGCTTAGGCGATCTTATTGCTTTGCTTTGGAGGGAAGTGGTTGACCGCGGATGCCAAGGTAGGCATCATGGGCGAACACGCGGAAACATGAACGCGGAATGGTAGCTATTTTGAGCTTGGAATTGCGATAAAAATATATAACTTCGTTGTGTAGTACTCGTGACGCATAGTGAATTATTGCCTGCCACCTCCGTGAAGAAATCTAAGCAGCAGTCTTCTTTATCTGATCCGTTTGTTTGCTGCCACCACCCGTTGTTGGAAGACCCATGAAGATCTTGAACGAGTCGTAGATCATCCATTGCAAGCCAGTCAAGGTACCAATCATGACCTGTAATCCATGTTAGCCGAGTACGAAGTTGCCGTGAACGTGGAAACCTTACAATTCTTACTGGAAGACCGTTCCAGAGACCGCCAAATCCAATCTTGCTGTAGATGCGAGACATAGCAGCACCGAATCCCTCACCAGGCTGTCGATCAGCATTAAGCTTGCTAACCATGACATCTGCAGGATGAGAGACAATAGCACATAGAATACCAGCGAGGTAACCACCAGTGAAGGCGACAGCGGTCTGGGCTCCCCTGCCGTAATCTTCTTTACCGCCAGGAAGGTAGCCGTAGATTGCAGCGACAATGTTTTCGAATGAAGCGAACTTCATCATGGTGTAAGGTATCTGCCGACCCCATAGTGGGTAGAGACCCTTGTAGAGGCTGTAGCAGCATTAGCGCAATTCCAAGATGTTCCTGACATCAACGCTTACCCGCTTGTACCCTCTCTCGCAGTGATGTAGTTGATACCTTGCAGTGTGCCATTGAAGACTGGTGGAATTGTAGTCTGCATGCGAACCTTGACGGCCTCGAAAGGACAAAGACCAACATCCGCAATCAATTCAGCCGATGCTGAGGCAGACAAGAACAGAAGTGTTTTATATTTGGCAGCAGCTTCTTCGCCAGCAAGAGTGGCATACAAGTGCTTGAAGTATTCATAGAAGCCATACTTGCCGGCACCTTGAACTGAGTATCCCACGAATGTTGGACCCCAACCAGTAAAGATGCCGCGTAAGCCTTCAGCTCTGTAAATCTTGCTCCATCCATCCATATTGCCCTTATACAACGACGAGTCAACTTGTCTTCGACATTTCACAAGATCGAGGGGTGTAACAGCCGTATGGGTTGTACCCTGCGTCAAATTAGCCAAAGACAACATTTCAGGATGAGTATACTGACGCAAGCAAGGATACCGCCAACCACACAGGCAGCATAGTACTTGCCCGAGTAGAGCTCGATCTTACCAGCTTTAGCCTGTGCTTTCTGGCTAGCAACCTCGTACTCTCGTTGAGCTTCGGCACTTAATTGGTGGGCCTTATCCTTGACTGTATCGGCAGCGCTCCATGCTGAGAAGAGAGGACGTTTTTGTGGATGGGGAGCCGGACTCGGAGTGGGCTTGTAGAATGGCGATGTTGGCAGGAAGGACTGGCTTACAACGGCCTGGTTTGGAAAGAGACCAACCATGGCTGTGGTTTGCTTATCGGTGTCGCGATGCTGGATGGTCTCAAGCTGTGCTGCACCTCAAGGTCCTGGCACCGCGGCGATATTCCAGTGTTACGGCACGAACACCCACTGCTAATGCCCACTGCTTCTGAGAACACAGGAGCAGATTGTAGCACTATTGTCGGAGCAATAAAGCAAAGGATGGAGACCAGGCAATGTACTTTGGAGGTCGAGCTCCTCTCCACATAAGAGCAACAGCCCGAGGACCTACGTCACATCTGCAGCTTCACAAGTCCAAAAGCAGAAAAGCAGACAGAAAGTGCAAACTTCACAAACACGATACATCTGTGATAGTAGTCCTTTCCTTCTGCGATGTTATGAATACATACTTAGACCATATACTCAAATGCGGTATTGTTGCTTCAGTCCTTGCACATCGTTCAATTCTGAACATGTCGCAAGTACAGACGAAAGTCAATGGTCCCACACCGCAAGGTGATGGAGGCCATGCTCTGCTGGATTCATGGGCAAGAAAATATCGAGGAGCGACAGTCGCCGACCTTGATCTGCCTCCAGCTCTCTCAACACTGCCAACCACCTCACTCGGCGAGGCCATGTTGTCTGCCTCTTCTCATGACTACTCACACCTCACCGTTCTCTCCGAAAGCACTCGCTCGCTGTTGGGCTACTTGACCATTTCGAAGCTCAAGGCCTTGTTTGATTCCAAGCAACTCGACCCCTCAGATGCTGTAGAGAAAGCTATGATTAAATTTCAACGAGGTAGCGGCAAGAAATATCAGGTCATTAACATGGAAACCGAACTGTTCGAACTGGAGGGATTCTTTGAAAATGTTGGGCCCTGCGCAACTGGATCGAAACAAGACTTTGCTGTGGTCACTGATGGTGGAAGGAAGTTCGTGCTTGGTGTTGCTACTAGACATGACCTGGATGAATTTGTGAAGAGACGACCGTCCATATCCTGAGAGACCAACTCCGCGATTGACGTGACTTCAATCTCACAGTCGTTCCGCAGGCGACTCCTTGTTCAGCAGCATTGACCTATATGCTTACACAAACTAGCTACTGTCCCATGATCAACAAGCCCGAGCGCACGAGCAAGCATCGACATAGCGACATCTTGCAGATCTCACCGTGCCCTTCCTCCGTGCCATCATTATACACACGTTAGCAGAACACCGTCAGCGATGGTTACAGGTTGCGCTCAAAACATGGGTCGGATGAACGTCTGCTGAGCCCAGTAATACCATAGTGTAGTCACCACCACACTAGCTCGTAGCCACGAGGACGAGTGAACAAGAACGGTACACTTGTGCTCGGGATGCACAAGTTCAGGACACCTTCCACAGTATAATCCGGGAAGAGTCCAACAACACAAACATAGAAACGGGAAGTGCATTTAGGGCCAGCAAGCGGCCAAATAAGTGTAATCGCCTGAAAGAAGGATGAGAGTTGCGGCATCGTGCAATATCCGGCAGCCGAATCAGCAGCTCACTCGTCCTCATAACAACTCTAGACTTAAGGCATCACTTTGAATATATACTGTACAGTAGCTTCAATTCAACTCGGAATGTCTGCTACTGCATATTTCTGGGCGTAGTCACGGTTGCTGATTTCGAGTATTGAGAGCATGCGGTTGAGAAGCACTCGAGACATCGGGTTTGTCCGAGCTGCGAGTACCAACTTGGAATGCATATATTTCCTCCTGCACAATTGTAGGAACGATCTCTCGGCAGCTTTGGCTACTCGAGTACAGCAATGCGTTATGCTGTCCACGTTGGGAGTGATGATGCAACGAAAATGCAGTGCGCAGACTTGAGCTTTTCTAACAGGTTCAAGGTGGAGTGATGGAGTCCACGGACGTGCGTGGAGGATGAGATGCGTCTCACCTTATCCCACTTTTCAGGGTACTTAGGCCTGGTAAAGTGGGTTTTCGGAGGTTTTGGTCCCTGTCAACTCGGCTCGTTTGCCTGACGAGCGTCGACCCGCATGATTGCATACATATGCTAAGCACCGATTGTCCGCTAGTGAAATGTATGCGCTCTGTATTGAGAAACATGTGTCGTTAGAGACGCAGTCCGCAGGAATCCTTTGCACTCGAAGACGTGTACCGATACGAGTATCTTTCGATGCACCTGAGACCAGCTTATTCGTAAAATCCGCCAATAAGAACTCGCAAGATGGAGAATCTGGGACAAGGATAAGCTTGCGAATGACTCTGGAGTTCCGGAACTTCCATTCCCAGAGCTCTTGCGTGCGCGTTCCCAACAAGAACTTGATGCAGGTTCAGTACAACTTCAATTGCGACTATGAAGCATGAGGATCTACTCGCGACTATAACCACGTTCACGGCAGATATGTAGGCTCATCTTAATGGTCTGTTACATCGGCTCGTGTAATCTTTTCCGTGTCAGGCATCAGTTGCTGTGGAGCTGGAAAAAGCTGCATCGATCTGCAAGCTTATGACTGGCCAGATTTAGAAACATGCATTTCCGCCTAAACTACTTTGAGATTAGAGCGATCGCGTTGTTGGGCGCGAGTTCGAGAGATATTCGAATTTTTTGAGGTGGCACATGCAGTTTCAGCACGCTTTTGATGTCCTTACTCAAGGATGGAACTTTTATGCACGGAGGCCTGGCCGCTGATGAAGCAGTTCTGATGGGTCATGTTCGAGGCGCAGTTTGCGTTTTGTGAGGCGCCAGAGGTAGCTGTCCCACCGCGGCTCAACGCCTTGCCATTTAGTAGACTCCATCATTACCTTATCGATGATGGTGCCTTTATCACCAATTCTTTCGGACCTCCACTACTCGTACTGGTACCTCTGCACGTTTTACTCATAGCAACGTGATTCTTTCCCGTGTGTACAGTGACTGAATACCTTTTCTTTGCCTTAGATCTTGATCTCGAGGCCGTGAATCTAAACCCGTACCCTGGTCAATTTCACCGAAGTACAACGCGAGCCGCGAATCTCATTCGTCCTGCCACTACCAACGACGAAAAGAGATAACCTGCCACTCGACAACACATCGACGTGGTAATCAGCCTGCGAGAACGTTGGAATCACCCATACTACATCCAGAATCTATCTTGCACATAGTTGCCAGATATTGTCTGTCTGTCGCATTGCACCTCTCTTCAAGCAAGCGCAACTGCCAATCTGAACAATTGTCTTAGCTGATCTTTCCCATCGGACATTACTCACCTAAAATGGCGACAATGACTGCACCTCTCTCTCCTCAGCAAAGCCGATCAGAGCGATCCGAAAGACCTCGCGCCACTTCCATGCTGAGCTATTCGTCGCTCCATTCCCACAAAACTGGCAGAACGAAAGAGGATAAGAAACTTGAGTTGGTAGAGGCAGCCAAAGACAAAAAAAGGCTTGCAGGGAAAGCAGATCCCACAAAAGCTCTGCAGGAAGAACAACCAGGTAAGTAATAACTGGAAAATATACCAAGTCCTATGCTGAAATCTAGCAGCTGTTGTTGCTCAAGTTGAGTCCACGCTAGAAGGCATTAGGAGAGTGCAGCACAAGGATAGAGAAGGAAACATTATCGGTGAGTCAAGCATGAGCTCAAGTGACTGTCCACAGGAACTGACGCACCTTAGCTGATCCGGACTGGTCAAATCCTACTCGACCTCGAATGGAAAGGCCGCTAGATACAATTAGGTCGTTCAACGAAGCAGCGGAGGGTACAAGCAGCAGAAGAACTTCCTACCAACGACAATGTAAGTAACTCACTTATGTATCTGAATGATTGACTAACATTCTCAGCTTCTTATGGTGGTTACGATTCGTCGACCAAACGCACAAGCTATTATGGCGCTCCAACTCAAGTTAGCACAGCATACGCGCCGAACGGACGATATTCACAGCGACCTATAAATGGTCAAGGCGGATACTACAGGAACAGTACTCATGGAGGGCGCTCAGATCTTGTCGACGAGAACGGACCTCAAGGTCATCCCCGTCATGGACGATACGTCTCAGCACCCTACAACATGCAAACAGGAGAATCACCACAGAGCTTCCATTCCCACCAACAATCTTACGAGACCATGACCAGCGGATCTGACGAGATGTCGAAAAGCACCAACCCCAGTTCGCAAAACAGCTCATTCGATCAAATACACCAGATTAATAACTACAAGAAGCAAGATCACGGATATGAGGGTAACCAATACCGGCAACACGGTGGACCTATGCGCAATCCGTATCCACCCTCTGCCATGCCTAATGGATATGGCAACCACATGAGCGGACCAACAGACGATTATGGCGTCGCGTTGCCACAGTCGGGGCCCCAACCACCACCGAAGGCGCCAATAGCTCTAAACAGTGGCAGACCTCAGAGGACCAACCCAATCACGCCTCCGGAGGAAACCAAAAGAAAAAGTTGGATCAAGAGAACGTTCTCGAAGAGGAATTAGGAGTCTTAACACGAAATAGAAGTTTCTTTTTTTGGCAACGCATGACCATCGACAGTAGATACACTAATTTACTTTGTTTTGGAAAGCAGCGAAACGAGAGGGTGGAATACGTTTTGTATATACGTTGAATATGGTGTGTCGATTTAACGCAAAGTAGCAGTTGCATGTAGGGAGATCTACACTTTGACGAAAACGGGTGCAGAGGCGTACAGGAGAATGGGTCTCACACGAAGTTTAAGAGCTATGAGCAATCCGCACGAGAGAGCATGATACGAAATTCGACTCAGAAGGACTCATCGGAGCGCATGGTCATGGCGCATACACGAGTTTGACGAGTTTACACGAAGATCTGGTATCATTACTAGTGCACATAATTTCCTAATGACTCAATTGACACATCGACGTGGCCTGGCAACAAGGAACTCGAGCTGGAACATCCTCTCTATTGACTAAACTTGAAATCGTGTGCCTCAGGAGTTAACTGATTATTACTAGATCATCGATTCTATCGAAGCTACCACGCACGACATTTCAACCATCTCCATCATAGGTCATCTTGAAATCCCCCGCCGAGCACCAAACTCGAACATACAGTCCAGTCCTCCCTCTTGACCATGGCATCAACACCAGTACTACTGACTAGCCGGCCAGCGAGTGCTCACTCAAGTAAGACTCCCCAAAAGAAGTCCAAAAACAATCAACAGCGAGGATTCGCTGGTTGTCTCCAACCCAACTACTAATTCGTCGGCGCCTGGCTTGAGTACGGGTGATCGAACGGGAACCCCTGTTTTCCAAGCCCTGTGGTCGATTGCGGAGGAGAAGCGAGGATATTTGGAATATGTTGCTTGGTTGTTGCTGTGGAGAGGATTGGTTCGCTGAGTGGTGGGCTCCTTGCAAGTGCTGACTGAGATTGTCCTCCTAATCAATATCTATGAATGGACATTATTACCTAGCCTGAATCCTGCTTCGACCCAGCGTCCGCTAACAACTTGTCCTACAGGCATCATTGAGCGATTTCTGCGAGATCTTTCGGTTTCGAAGTAGTAGTCGTCTCCGTAGTTGTCCTGAACTTGATCCTGTTTAGCATGTTGTTCTATTGAGTAAGTTCCAGGTTCTCGTCACTCGTGCCATCGACTTGGTTATTGCCAGCTATCATGTTGTCACCCATTTCGAGTAGATCGATGACTCCATCGACGGTGAGATACCTCTGCTCCTTCCGTGCTTGTGCCGTGGTACATGCAGCAAGGAGAGTCAGAACGATGCCTGTTAGGATCACTGCGAAATTCAAGCTGAGCAAGCTGTAGAGAGGTATTCTGGGTAAGCTTGTTACCAGAAGTGTCTTCCTCACTTGTACCGTCGTTGCTGGTATGTGTCGGACGGACCCTGCAGCACTCGATAGTAAAGTGTGACTGAGCGTTTCTGCAAATACGTCGGCGTATTCCTGTGCAGTACTGACGAGTATCGCAGCCACGTCCATGTCGGCTTTCATCTTCGATTGTCCCCAGCCAAAAGTCAGTGCGGAGCTGAGCACGTTAGCGATGCTGGTTGAGCCAACTGTTGACCTGAGTTGGCGGACTTGGCCCTGGGGAGAGTCGTATTCGATATCGAAGGCTATGACTTTGCAGAAGAATACGGCTGCGATCATGTTTCCTACTGAGACGACGTCGAGGTCGTTGAGAATAGGTGAGCCGGATGAAGCGAACTTTAGTGTTGCGGCGGCGTAGTAGAAAGGGTTGTCGACGCCGTGTTTAGGATCGAGTTTGGTCATATCGAATTGGCGGAAGGGATAGTATGTTAAGGACGCTTGATCCAGGCTTAGTCAGTCACCGATACTGAATGCGCCGTTGTTGCAGTTGAAGTTCGTGGTGACGTTGGTATTCAGTCCGCATGCTCGGGAAATTGGTGTACATCGTGTATGCAGCGCAAAAGACCTGGCTGTGAAGTCGTATGTGTTGTTGCATGCTAGTGTTGCTATGCCGAGATAGTTGTATTTTATGTCGCCAGCATACTGCATGATGGCTAGAGTCAGTGATTGATCATTGAGTGTCTGTGCTGTTACAGTCTGGGTAGTCAGTGATGGAGGGCTGGCATGTGAGACCACAGTGCATGATTGGTTAGCTTGTGAGAGTGCCGCGTAAGAATTGTTCGTCGTGAGGGAATCAGGTAGTGGTGATAGACCACATTGAGCATTCTCGGCTGGTGTTTGTGTACGTGACGTCCAGGAAACAGTTCGAGTTGTAACATGCAGTCATGCTTCTGCACCAAGCATGAGCAGCCTGGACTCATTAACAGTGTGAAGTGCTTCGTCATTAAACTCACCAGGACAAGAGTGCCACGACCGTTACTGCTGTGAATGTCTTTAGTGTTCGACTACTTTTGCCAGATGATCTACGGCTACGACAAATACTTAGTACATCCCACAAACCAGTCCAGAAAGCTCCAGTAACCGGTTTCAGAATCGATATCAGCTCCTGCGAGGGCACAATGAGGTACGAATATAGAGTCATCGTCTGCACGGAGCAGGAAGGACATTGGATGTTGAGATTCAGTCCAACCATCTAAATTCAGCAAGCAAATCGACCAAGCTTTAACTTCGACTCACTCGAAACGCGTGCGATACCACCATGCATTTCGACCCATTTAGCTTTCTCCTTTCAGCATGCATGATTCTTCCGGTGATGGCAGGGCCGAAATTCGACATAGTTGTCGACCAGAAAGTTATTGACCCCCATTGACGTAACTCATAAATGGGCGCGCATGCAGCGTGGGTAGCCAATGCGCAAGTAGATGCTGCTCTGAGAGCCTGAGAATTTGCACCACATGTCAGCTCAGGTGCGCTGCTATGTCGAGTGGTAGGTTGGCTGGATAGAGGAACGTCGACATAGCGAACTGACATCCCTTAGATACAATGACTATCCCGCATGATGAGCTTTAGTCGCCTTAGTATTTGGGTGTGCCGGGGCAGGAAATGAGTACGACGCGCTGCTGATCTGGTGCTACTTGAAGTATTGAAACGTTGAGGCAGCTGAGGGGACTACTATTTTGTAGCACAGAAAGATCCTGCATCACGAAGTCTATTGGTGACAAGAAAATCGAGCGTCATGCGAAAGTCGGACGTTCTCGAGATTAGGCGGATACACTTTAGTGGTTCAATGGAAGATAAGTTGATAGTTTGAGCTCAAGGATACTTCTGTCGACTGGGTAATTCTTGAGTTTGACAGTTTCGTGGTATAGGACGTGCAAGGTGTGTGCTCTTGTGAGATTTCTGTGTTTATTTGAAAACCAAGATGTTTTCTCTCGTCAGATGGACCTTCAATGCATGCGACATTCTGTGTCAGAACTGGCAGCCTTCTCCAAGGGTTTTCGCAATGCGAATGTGTATCTCAAGTCGGTCAGAAGCATTCAACAATCGTACTCTTTCGCCCCTATACATTGCAGACAGTCTGGCCTGAGACCATCGCTTCGGTGGCGAGAGGTGGCCGTGTCCTATACTGTGTACCATCTTGAGGCTTCTCCGGGAATCTTCACCTTCGTCGACTTCGAATTGCTCACATTAGGCAACGTGTCGTATCTCACCGTTCGCTGAATTCCCTCACTTCTCCTTCTTCAGGTCTGCTCCGCGAACACCAGTCCCTATAACACCCTTATCGTTCTGGTCGCCAGTGTCCTCCATCCAGGCCACAATGATATAGCCCACGAGCACGACATTCGCCATCAGAGCTGCGAAGCCACCAGCATACGTAGAATTTCCTCGAAAGACTGTGTTGACTGTGACAAAGAAAGAGCCAACTGGTAGAACAACCATCGCTGCAGTGAATGCCAATAGGGTCTTTATGACAGATGCAGATACCACTGGTGTCGTGTCAGAAGAACCTGTATTTGGTTGCAGAGTCTTTTCGTTGGTTGCTGAGGCAAGCGCCTGCTGAGGACGACGTTGTTGCAGCGTCGACATCTTACGATGTGTGTCAGGTGCAAGGGCGCGAAAGCTGGCACAAACTCGAGATTTGAAGAATCACTAATTAGTTTGGTAGTCGTTGTAGTGCAGAATCGTTAGCATGAGCAGGGCCTGAAGGTTGGATGTGTACACCTTGACCTGTTGGTTCGACTGCTTTAAAGCTCTTGCCGTGGACTAAGAGGCATGAATTGGACTGTGCGACAACGTGATATTGAGATGTCGCGTGTGTGCAGTCTCCAACTGAAAATCACCCGTATAAATCTACACAGTTTCTTGACCACAATCCGAACACCAATTACGAATCATGGATAAACAGTACGAACAGCCCCAAAGGCACAACAAAGCTTGTACACTTTGAGCTACGTTCTGCTAAAGACCCTGTTCTGTCGTGCTTGACACTAAAACGACCAAGATATTATGCCATTACTGTGAAACCATATGAGCCGTCCTGGAATTCGCGTCAGTGCTTGCACCACCCATGCGGAGCGTATCATACACACGCCCCTCGTCTCCCACGATGACTGGTTCTCCCCCTTCAGCAACGCCTCAAAACGACTTTGCTAGGCTTGAACCACGCGTCAAGTATGTTTCTGAGGCCGCCATAAGGAAGCAATGGAAGAAATTGCCCGCTTCTAGTCATGCGCCAGCTCGTGAAGCTATTATACTGGCCAAGGAACAGTCTGGCAGTCGCAAAGGGGAGACTACGGCTGACAAAGCCACAGACGATTTCGTAAAGGACGTTGCTAATCGGTATGAGACCGTGTCTAGCTATTCGTATAAATGTTGACAAGGGAACAGATTACTCGAGCGTCTACCACGCATTCCTTTTCCTCCTGGTACTGATGAACGATATTTCGATTACGAGGCTATCCTCGATCGAGCCTCTAAGCTAGAGGAACAGTTTACTAGCAATACGCACTCAGCCAACCTCTTGCGAGCACAGATCGCGAAGGAGGAAGAACTACTGAGGCAGGATGAACAAGAGGTTACACGCCTGGAGCAGGGATTGAAAGACAACGAGCTGATAAGAAAGGAGCAAGCAAGGTCGCTGCATCCCATCGCACGCACGCTTGGTGAAAGCTCGAGTGGTGTTGATCTCACAGCACAGACCAGTGGAATAAAGAGCGAAATACATCTCTCCGAGTTATTTCAGGACGAGGATTTGCAACCCGTACTTATTCAGCTGTTGAGCCACTTGGACAGCATAGACGAAAACACTGAACATATTAGAGAGGTCAAGCGAATGATCGACGCGACCACTACGAATCTAGATGTTCTGGAAGCTGTGCATGTCCACATCCCTTCTGCCACTTGAAAAACACACTGAAGCATGCCGCATACGAAAACAACAGTTCTATTTGCACAGTTGTTACAAAACTAGTATTACAAGTTCTCCTACCCTTCGACCAAACTGCTGCCACTCTTGCCACGATGTCAATTCCCTCGATCGAACAGCCTTGGTCTCATCTTCTGCTCATCTGGCTAATTCCTCCTTCTCAATACAATTTCGAGCTGTATACCGGGACTGTGCAACCAGGCTTGGTGTAGTGGTCGAATAAGGAGCCAAATTGGCTTCGCCAATGGTTTGCTGGCTTGCGAAGGCTGCAGAGCCTTCCTTGTTGTATGCGAGTATCGCGGGACACCATCGACTCACACATGGTGCCTCTTCGTGCTCGTCGAAACTCCATCAATCGTATCAATATTCCTTCCAAGATAATCCGAAAATATGAGCGCAGCATTTGCCAGTTTTGGTTTGACAACAAGCCCACACTCGTGAAGAAGCCACTCAGCTTCTACAAGGGTTACCACATTTATGGCACCGAGTTCCTGGTATAACCCATACCTCCTGGCCCTTAGCCTTACACTTGGGACACTTCACGCCATTCATAGCGTCTTGAGTCTAGAAGAGGTCAGTGCTGTATAGAGAATACTTCTTCTAGCTTACCGGTGCCTGCAGATCCTCGCTGTCAATCATCCTGGCTGTGAAAGGCAAACATGGCCCCATCATGCCATCGCTGGTATAAGTCTTCAAAGCCATTACGAAGTCGATGAGTATTCTGATGGTTTGTGTTGGGAAAGGTGAGCTTCACCGTGCAATTGAGGACCAAGAACGAAGGCTGTAAAGGTATTCGTTCAACGACCATTTATGTCTTCTTCAACCCCTATCTGCTGACGGCAGGTTCTCTCATGTCATCAGCTCAGTTCAAGAATGTTCAAGCAATGCACAGTTCTGTACTACCGATGGAACAACGTTTAGTACAGCGCAGGATACTTGCATGTGGCACATATCAAAGTTTACATGGGTTGCGCCTGAGCATTCACACCGCTGAGTTGAGGCCTACTGTCAGACCGCGACGTGGATAAAAGTGAGTTTTTAGAGTCGTCTTTTGAGTTTGCGATGCACATGATGGATCGCAAGTCTGCAAACAAATCAGGATAAGGTGGAATTCTTGGCTATACACTCCTTGACATCAGCACTACCGTCAAGATTGTCGGATCAGTGTGACAGTGCTCTGCTCCAAACGGGCCGGACCGTGGAACGCAATGCCGAAGCCACAAGTGAGAAATCGAGATATATCGAAATAGTCTGGGCTAGAGATCAAGTCCATACTGCGTCCGAAATTTTGTTGTGGTAGACAACAAGTCCTGGAGCTAGCTATCCTGACTGGTACGTGCCTGAATGGATCTAACTGGAACTGCGGCGCTAAGTGGTCACGATTTCTGACATGTCAGATGTGAAGTACAAGGTAGCTAAAGTCTACTACTAGTCACCAGATCAGAATTGTGGCTCGAGAGGGGATTGAAACTTTGATATCGGACATCTTCTGGCGGTGTTTGTATGACTCGACGACTCTCAGTCCTCAATGGCTCTTCAATTCACTAGCCATGCACAAGCATGCGTGGAAGCTCGAAAATATGCAAGATGCAACTAGTAGCTCCACTTCAGCAAGCGACAATTCACAACCCACTATTCGAGTACGGACCATGCTCAAGGTGCGCTGCCATGCTGAGCGATCTAGCCACGGGTTGATTCGAATTTCTTCTGTGCTTCTTGTCCAATACTGGCGCCCTGAAGAGAAGCGCGATTCCCATACATGCAGAACGCCAAGCGAGATTAAGAATAACAAGAATTGCGCCCTAGACTGACCGCAGAAGTTTGAGAGCGACAGGAAAGTTCAACTCCCACGAGCCATGATCGCCTGTTATCGACTGGCTCGTGCTACGCAACGGATGTTGCTTCCCTTGGTTACAAACGGCCAGAAAACAGTCTTGTTGCAAAGACGCCGTCGCAAACTGCGACGATGTTTGATTGCTTGCTATGCTCGATAGGTGAAGGACTGCCAGGCATGCCTAGTGGACGCTGGTTTTGAGAATCTGCTTACCTGTTTGGGTCTTTACAGGCTGGTATCATTGGTGTTGGAAGGATCATTCTTCCGGTGGCAGGTCCAGTCCAGTGTTATAAACCTGCAGACGCCCTCTTGTGTGCTCATTCAGGTTGTCAATCTGTGTACTTGGATCATCGCCCAATTCAAGGTTGTTGAGAACGCAGTCACTTATCCTGCATGAAGACAACTTCGACACTTTGGCGAATCATGACGCGACTGACATGCGTTCATGGTATAGAACCTGACGTTTTACTAAGATTAATGCACAGAGCGTGCGCATTACCAACCTCACGAATGATCTTACAGACCGTCCTCAGACGGTCACGTTGTTTGTGTTTACGCTAATCTAGCTCTGAGCAGAATCTCTATACCGCCTACTGCATGCGAGATTTCCGAGATTGCGCGGTCGCACGATGAAGTCCTGTCTGTGCAACGCACGTTTGGAGAAAATTGTCACATCTGGATAAAGACGTACCTCGACCTGAAGTTTATCTGGCTGCCAGACTCATTCGATAACACGATCGACGTTGACAACGTCTAGAGGAGTCCAATCTTCCTCACCGCCTTCGAGTCAAGTTCGATCTCCGATTGCGATGCAGTATTCTAGTCGAACTAGGAGCATGTGTTGAACAGCTCTTGTGTACATTGACAAAAAAGCGGTTGATATTCTGATTCGTCCCATGGCCACAAGAAGTCAATATCGGTTTGTCATTCTGATGGTGAACCAGGTTACAGTGTTCAGGACGGACCGCTTGGCCTCTTTTCTCGACGTTTTCAAGCACCAAGTGGTGCGTTGCAAATACTAAGGGAAGCCGGGAATACTTACATACCAATCAACATTGGGCAGCAGCAGCGCCAGGATGAAGTTGGCTAGAACTATGCGTGTACTTCAAGTTGTGATGGTTGGCTGTGCCCTTTTTTTGCAAGCATGGTCAAACTTGTACTTACTTGGCTGGAAGTACGTTAGAGAGACAGTAAGTGGAAGCAAACAGATGCAAAGGTGACTAATGCGCAGCACTTCCACGAGGCGATCCAGCCGCCAATCACAATCGCATCGCAACTTGAAGGAGTGCGTGAGGAGCAGCGGCTGTTGGTGCCAAGAGGTGATTGTGCAGGGTATTTGTGGTTGGACTGCTCGACATCAGCTAACCATGAGAGTACACATTACATGAGAGTGCTATGTGCTCTTGCTTGTAAGGTGTGAGCATAACGTTCGCCATCTGTAGTCGTAAAACTGCTCAGCTTCAATCGGAAGAGCGCCTACTCACGCTTGACTAGCCATACTCAGTATCGCAGCCGTATCTGCTGGAAACTTGAGCTTGCCTGTTGTGAAGAAGATCGCTCTGCAACTGCACGAACCGAGCTACCGCACTGACCATATAACAGGTACACCTGCCTGAGATCTCAATCCTTTCGTCTCACTTGATATGCATGACCCGCTCGATCCTTTCGCCGTCTCAGAGACGAAGTCGCTTTTTCCAACGCTTCCAGTCCAACTCACAGCTAGACCGTGCAAGCAACCCATTGTCTCGTCAGTTGTCGACGACTTGCATCTCCGTTTGCCACAGGTGGAATGATCCTTCAAAAGACTTCGATGATTGTCACAGATTCAGGCGAGTAGACACGAGCTCGTCAACACTTGGCTCCTCTCGAGGAAAAAGATGATTCATCCATTGGTCCAGAGCACCGAAACCAGCACTGTGTATCAGTGTAGGTGCGGCACAACGGAGAAAATGGTCCCTCAAAGGATAGGGTCAAACAATGCAAGCTTTCAGTTGAGATACGCCTTGTCCTGCTCTTCGGCTACGCCGACCAGTCAGCGATTCTTATGACAAACCATAGCCCAGCCACTCAGATCCAGACTGTGGTTTCGAGGGTTTCCTACAACACTCGGAATGATATAATTCATTGAACAGAGAATTTTTCTTCTTTGAACAATGTTTTCCAGGTCAATGCACACGACATCAGGCAATGAAGCTAGATGGATTACGATGCCAAGTGTACACCCAGAATCCCGGCTTCGTCAGGCCGTCGACAGGCAAAATCTGCTGCCGGAAGTCAACATCAATATTCAAGTGGCAAACTTGAGGCTGAACTTCAGCTGCGCAAATTTCTCGAAACAGAACTCTTTTTAGCTTTACATCATAGTGGAATTATCGACCACTGGCAGACGACATCTCACAGCTTATCTCCAACTCGAACACTATTGCAGATGAACTCAGATCCGCTCTTACCCCGCTTCAAAGCAGCCTTGGCCACGTGGGATTATCACGAACAGGTCACGCAAGAACAACGTCTCGATTTCAAAAATATAAAAAAACCGTGCTACTCACCAAGAAGACCACCTATCGGTTCCCGAGGTTAAGACGCTCTACTGACCTACCTCGTTTGTGGCACCGTGCGAGCATCAAGCACCCCACTTCAGCTGGTGCGCTGGAAGCACTAGTGAGCGGCAGTAGCGAGGTTAAACCTTGCCTAGCTTTGTTCGATGTATCCACCACGAATGAACGGCTCTATGCTCCGTTCCAGCCATTCTCGAAGAAACGAGCGGGTTATTACGCAGAAAGTGAACAGCAGGTGATCTTCTTACGCGTTATGACCACATCGCAAAATTTCGTTCCTCTTCCGAGTCCTTCCCTCCTTTGAACTAGACCAGATCTTAGCACGATTCAGACAAGGCCGAAGTTGTGTTAGTGACTCGATTCAAGACGCTAACAAAGCAAATCTGACCAAAGCAAGTGTTAGCGAGGTTAGAGCTAAAACCATTCTAGGTTTGAGCGTTTGCCGTGAAAACTTGTGCATTCCACTAGCGCATTCCCGCGTTACCATGGCCTTCTGTCAGGGAAAGTGATAAGAAAACATAACCCACCTCACGCCTCTCTTTTGGAGAAACGACTTTTGTGACATCTTCTCATCTTTCTGTGACCGTTGCTTTGGTCCTCGATACCACTGACCAACGTTCAATATGGCTACAGAGAAGTCTGTACTAGACAAGGAAGTCGGCAACAATGCCTTTGCCTCCAACGAGAAACGACGCAACAGCACCCAGCATGTTCACGCGACTCTAGATGGAATCAGAGATCCTTCTGAACCTGATCTTTCCGTCGGTGCTATCCTCAGAGGTACTGCAGCAACTCCTTTGACTCTCTTTGAGAAGAAGGCAGCATTGATCAACGCCGAATTGGACAACTTCGGCTTGGGAAGATATCAGATATGCATCTGGTTCTTGTGCGGTTTTGGCTACTTCCTCGATCTAGCCTGGGCACAAGGTGTCGGTCTTATCGCATCAGCTATTTACCAGGAAATGAACGTGCCTGATGGCAATACTGGTCAGATCTGGGCTTTGGCAAATGCTGGTCTTGCTATCGGCGCTTTCTCTTGGGGTATCCTTGTGGACATTATTGGTCGAAAGTGGTCTTTCAACCTCACTTGTCTGATTACTTCCGTGTTCGGTCTTTTATTGGTAGGTTCCTCTTCACGACTTGGTTCGACATTGCTAATCTATTGATCCCAGGCTGCTCCCAAATTCAACTACGACGCAATTTGCGGTATCTACTTCCTTGCCTCGATTGGTCTAGGAGGAAACATCCCGATCGATGCAACTATTGCCCTGGAATATCTCCCACAGAGACGACGTAATCTTGTCGCGTTGTTGTCCATGTGGCAGCCAATCGGTGTCGTCGTCGCTTCTGCTATTGCTTATGGCACCGCTGCCAAATACCGATGCGATATAGAGTTACCTTCCTGTCGAGCTGTGGCGGCTGGTGAACCATGCTGCACTGTCTCAAGCAACATGGGTTGGAGATATCTGGTCATCGTTCTTGGTTGTATGACACTGGCTGTCTTCTTCCTGCGATTCGTCGTCTTTCACTTCTACGAATCACCCAAGTTCCTCCTCAGCAGAGGTAGGGAGGCAGAGGCCATCGAGGTTCTGCACAAGATCGCAAAATTCAACAAGGCACCACCACCAACATTGACAGTAGAAATGTTCCGAGAAGTTGAGGAGAATTCTCCAGAGTTACCTCTACAAGCAGGCCCTCAATCTACAGCACAAACCACCAAGAACGTATTGAGCAACTTTGTCAACAGCTTGAAGCATTTAAAAGGCTTGTTCGACAACAAGCTGAAGATTTTTATCTTCGTCCTACTAGCTATCGCATACATGGTAAGTCTAGCCTCATACTCAATAAGTCAAAACCTTTACTAACTGAATCTTCTCTAGGGCGACTACTGGTCCTTCAACCTGGCAGGTGCCTTCCTCCCAATCATCCTTCTCAGAAACGAAGTCTCTACCGGTAGTGGCACAGTCTCCGAGACATATCAGCACTATATCATCATCTATGCTCCGGGTATCATCGGTGCCGTTCTAGCGTTGATCTCCGTCCAGCTCCCTCTAGTCGGACGCAAATGGTCCCTTGTCTTTTCGGCTATCTGCCAAGGTCTCTCCATGGCCATGTACACTCAGGTCAAGTCAACAGCTGGTTACGTCGGACTCAACGCACTCGAGTACCTCATGCAAACTGTAAGTTCTTTCCACAATTCTCAAAATCGAAGACTTTCAGGACTGACTGATCTTGTAGTATTTCAACGCCGTCTTATACGCGTCGGCACCCGAACTTTTCGACACCGCCTACCGTGGCAGCGCCAGTGGTATGCTCTCTTGCCTGGGTCGTATCGCTGGTATCGTCGCACCTTTTGCAGGTAAGTATCTTCGATTTCCACTTCTTCGTTCTATGAAACTAACGGAACTACAGGTCAGCACTACCTTGCTGCTTCAAGCTCCGGCATCTTGTGGCTCGGTGCAGGTGGTATCTGGCTATCGGCATTTGTCATGGTCTTCCTGCCTGTCGAGATGAGGAACAGACAGATGTTCTAGATGTGCCCGTGCAAACGCGAGTGATTACTGATCTTCTATGAGTACATGTTTCAAGTACAGAAGTATAAGCAAACAACTAAATATAATTGATATATAAATGTCAAGAAATTGATCACATCGTATCCCTGCTGGAGACTCGAAAGAGCCTTGTTACATTGAGAGGAGATAGCACTTCCATGTTGCCTTCTTGCTGTTTCGCTAATACCAAATATCAACTTGAGTTAGTCCTCGGCGCGTCTTACGCAGATCTACCAGTTGACATTCATAACAGCGCTCTTCTATTAGTTTGTTCACATGGCACTTTCGTTCTTCCACTATTTTGCACAAGCTTTCGAATTCCTTCATACTGTGTCTACCTGCCCGAATGAGTCTGAGCATCATGGTCCATGGTATATCTGTGGTAAGCTGGTTCATCTCCTGAATGTCTTACTTCGGCATCACGATGATTGACGAGCCTGCCGTGTTCATCGTAATATATGGGACCTCGCGGATTCACGTCCTCGATTTCGGCATATGTTTGAACCTGAGGACGTTCCGATACATAGTATCGGCCCGTGTATGGGTCATATAGCCGCTCCAGATAGTGACCCGGACGAGCTATGTGGTTGACTGGTGGATAGTGGTAACGTGGATGTACGCGGTCGTCAATGTGTCTTATTTCCTCTTGGTTTCGATATCGTAGTTCTGCTGTGTGGCCACGACCATCAACAGGCGAAGTTGTTGTTGGCTGGTCATAGATGGGTATGTATTGTCGTGTGACAACACCTCGCGGTGACGATACCTGTTGGAACACTATACCAGAGTTGATGACAGGATCTCCGTATTGGTCGAACTCTATTACGTTCGAACGCTGCCGTGCTATGGGCTCCGCGATCGTCCTAGCATCATCACGGGGCCACGTCGTTGTCGCAACTCGACCGTGTAGTGGCACAGGATCAGGGTAATGAGCCCTGCTAAAGGACTGTACAAAACGTTCAGGCACAGGTACCACGGTTGTGGTTCTGGGACGTATGACGTGGTTGGATGGTTGTCGTTGACCGGTAATGTCGTTAGGTTTGACAACGTCATTAGATCTTGAGGCAGGTCGTGGTGTTCGAGCACTTTGAGAGAGCACAACACTAGATTCTGCCATTTCCGTGTCCACATGAGCATCAAGAGCACTTAGAAAGTCTTCAGCCGCATCAGCTGGTCGGCAATCACTCCTACTGCGATACGATCTGACAGTATTAGTCCTGGTCATAGCCTCCGCTGTAGGCATGTCTAGATCCTCTCCTTGGAAGGAAGCGTGTGACGATGCAGAATGTAGACGTCCAGGTATATAATGAGTCTGTGAATGGATTTGCGAGCTCGGCTGTTGATAATTATTCTGGAAAAGCATATCGCCCACGACAGTTCTCGAGGAGGATGAGGCCGAGTCAAACGCAGTGCTCCTATCGTCATAGACAGCCACCATTGATGCAGTGCCAGGCCTATCTGCTATGTAGCGGGGCTGTGCTCTCTCGAAATCATTGCGAAGATCATCAGAATGAGATGCGCTACGAGATTGATAAAGCATGCTGGGGTTCTCTTCTTCCGTCCTCTCCGGTCGGACATTGAAGCCGCTGGTTGGATGGGAAGTATGCACGTCTTGTATTGTTGATGTCCGAAAGGCCTCTTCGAGCAGTGGTCGTAGAACTGAAGGCAGGTCTCCACGGACCTGCATAATTTTAATGAAAGCCGGCTCCGGTAGGGCTATCATATCGTGCTTCCAATCCACCTTAGGACTAGCACGATTGTTCTCGTGAGCTTTGCTGAAATGGATGATCAGATCTATCAGATCCCAATTTGCTCGAGCTTCCGACTTTCTCTGTACGCGACACTCTACGCATCGTAGGCCTTCAATATCTTTTAGCACTTTTAAGTCAGGTTTGAGGTCAACGCAATCCCTGAATAGATCCAGAGCGGGTGAGTTGCTGTATTTCTTGCTAAATGTCGAAACAGCAAGCGCGATGGCCACGAAGAGCCGTAAGCTAGATGGAACATGAACCGTGCTTGGAAAGGCAGTCCAGCCCTGGAGGAGACCGGAGGAAAGTTCGTCCCGTTGAAGTTCATACATACCCACACCTGGAGCCATAGACCCTAAGTTGTGCACCTTAGACGGCTGACCGGAAACTGAGAACGTATATGTTGTGTTGCTGACCAGGCTCATCGTGTCGGGTGAGCGCCAGCCCGCGGAAGGCACAGTAGAAGTTAGCAAGGAGCCTGCAGACACCACGGACAAAGGCTGGCATGTTAGGTTTGGTGTATGTGTTACGCTTGGTTCGGGCGTGTGTATCCTTTCTGGATGAACGTGGAAAGGTGGGAAATCGGGCCAAAGCGCTTGCCAAGTGACCACCTTCGAACCATTGCTGAAAGCGGTGGTATGCTTCGAAGCATAATGTTGGATAACGGATTCGAAAGCAAAGTACTTGATACTTGGAGTGGTTGGGCAAACCGGACATAAGAACAGCTCCTTACGTATCTGCTCCGTTCGAGGTTTGATATTTTGTTCAAAGACCCATTTCATATCCTCTAGCTTCAGGCTCTTATCACTGGACATTGTTAGGCTCATGAAACCATTACCAGTCTGCACTCGCTCGATACGAGATTGCTCGTCGATATAGGCTTGCCTCGTACGGACCAGAACTTCAGCAGCGAAGCGAGGAGCATGTGGATAGGTGACCCAACCACCGTGTGCCCATTTTTGTTTGATGAATTCCTCAGCGATCTGGCACAATCTCTCCCTCCTGGGAGTGTCTGCATGGGCAAGCAGATACTCATCAGTACGAACAGGCGGCTCGTATATGCCTGGAGTAGATGCGGTCCTGACTGCGTTTTTCGCCTCGTTTTCTAGCACGACTTGGCGTCTCTGATGAAACAGACGATCCTTCAGTGTTTCCCAAGAATTTTCATTCAATGGCATAGCTATTTTGAGAGAAGCGTCAAAAGCTTCAAGTCTTTCCAGCATATCTTTCGTGATAGGAGGATTCAAGGCAGAGCAGCGCTGTATGATATCCGCTCTCTTGTGTGCTCGTATCCGTGCACGTTCGTGATGGGTTTTTGACGCTCTGTTACTTCCCGAACTTGTTTGCGAAGTCATCGAAATGGAATCCGATCGAGGTTGCATGACTTTAAAAGGGGGATCCATTCCAGGTGCAGCAGCATAGATAGGTAACGGAGGTAGAGCAGAGGGTATGGGATGACCGCGGAAACCTGGTGCATGAGACAATATAGGCCTACCAGTCAAATCGTTGAAAGTCGAAGAAGACGTCCGATGCACAAGGCCGTCATTGAGGCCAGCAAACACACGTCTAGCATCAGCAAGTCCTCCAGCACGCTCCCAATTTTCGAAACGAGCAGCATCGGCCTGGGAAGCGCGTCCCTTGTCCGAGAGGCCTTTGAGCCACTCCTCCGCCGCGGCAAGGGCGAGTGACCGTGCTTCGCGCAATTCCTCTTGGAAACTCTCAATGTCTGAGATAAGGTAGTATTTTTGCGGAGTAAGGCCTAAAGGAACAGATTCGCGCACGAGCGTGTGAGGTATGTAATTCATAAACTGGTCGAACAAAGCAAAGGGCAATCCCGGAAGTAGTGGTGAAGCGTCAGAAAGCAAGACTTCTGCATCCTAGGCGAAAGAATCAGCATCGCAACATATTGCTCGATAAAGTCTGACGTCTACCTTCCGCAGTTTTCTTAATATACAGTCTTTGCATGCACGTAACCTGAATGGCCATACGGCACGAATATCACCTGATTCAGGACCGACTATCCATGAGCTAGACGTTGTCGTTCCGATAGCAGACGATGGTTCAGCACAGATTTGACATTTGGTCCCGAAAACCAGTGCAAATTGAGCATACTCTGACAAGGATTGCATAGGTTTGGGCATGGAAGGAAAATATTGCCGTCTAGAGTACGCCCAGATTGAGTCCTGCGACCTGGTGGCGTAGACATCATGTGATTGCTTCTTGCTGATGTCGGGGAGATAAGACCTGGAGTCAAGTAAGGTGCGAAAGCGCTGGTTGACTCTGACCAAGTGAGCCAGGGAACGGGGATCAACACTCAAGAAGACATGCTGAAGCACACTGTCCGGAAGATCATTGATGCCTCGCTGACGTCCTGCCAATGAAGGGGACTTGGAGGGTAGTCGGGGCCTCTTAGGTAGGGGATGCTCGTGGCTCAGGACGAGCTGGTTGGCAATGTCCAATTTTTTGGGTAAGGAGATAGGTATGGGGATATCCACCAAATTGCCAGGAGATCTTTTTCTCTTGCTGGAGCCGATATTGTCATCAGCAGCTGGGGATTCCTCCATACTGGTAGGGGAGACAGAAGAACATAGGAAAAGGGGTCAAAGCCAGTGTTGTCCTTGCAAAGGTCGAAAACCGAGCAAAAGTGTTTTCACAGCACGACCAGGTTAACGCTCTCTAAGGTAGAGATTTGGGTTAGATGCTATGTGGTCGCGAGATTGGATTGCGCGAAGAAGGCAGACCAGATAAGACCTTCGATGGCCCGGGTAAGTGAGCGATCGCAGGAACAAAGACAGGAGGACTGCGCACTCGACTCGTGAATTGTACTCGGGTTGAGCCTCACTGGGGATTCGAGTAATTGTGATAGGCCGCAGGCTTTGATCAAAGTGATAGAGTCGGCTGATTCTATCACTATCTTGGGGTGGTAGATGCAGTATCAAGAACGTTCTTTGCAAGTGTTCCGTGGATCGTAAGTTCGCACAAGAGCTATAATTGCACAAGTTGACAAACCTGGAGGAGGAAGGCGAAGAAGTTGCGGCAGTCGCGACTGCAAAGAATATGGAAATGCGACAGGTGCGAACGCAGGTCGTCCTCACTTGCCATTCTCCAGGACATTTAGCGCCTGCTAGTGACCCTAGACGCTCAATCACGGGTGTTACTCAAGCATCCACCACGAGCTGCCAAGGTCATTCGTCATAGCTGACTTGCGGCCTGCAAAGAATCCATAACATTGGAGGACTAAACGTACAAACACCTGGCGGTGCTGCACGATGTACAGGTTACATATATTTTGAGCCACTCATGTCCTAGATCTGGTCAATGTAAATTTACTTTGCTTTTGAACGGACCAATTCACGAAGACCACGAATCTGTTGCAGCATAACAGAGCACTTGTAGCAACTCTCGCCTGCAGTATTTGAGTGCGATAGGAGCTGGATCTGTGTTAGGCCAGCAGTAGTCTGTCTATGGTCAACTGCTCTCTCTTTTGTACATACTGCCTGTTTCGATCCCCAGCATGGCATCGCTCAATCTTTCCACAAATGGGCCTTCGATCACGAAGAGCTACCAGACGGTAGTTAATGCCCCTCCACCAACTGGCGCTGCAGCCTCTTCGCCCACGTATGGTCAGTGGGCTGTCTTTTCGGTCCAGGCTCCGCTGGCAAATGCCTTTCAGGATGCGGGAAACAAGGAAAGTGTGCTCAAGGTGCAAAGCACGGGAGGTGAGCGGAATCGAGAGTCGTTTCCACTTAACTCGAGGCTGACTAAATGTAGAGGGAGAGCTGGTCGACCTGATCGACGACTTCTCTGATGGACGAATACAATTTGCTTTTGTCAAGGTTAAGGACACGAACACTGGTCTACCCAAAAATGCCCTCATCGCTTGGTGTGGTGAAGGTGTACCTGAACGGACCAAAGGCTACTTTACGAGCCATATGACAGCTGTAGCCAAGCTTCTTCATGTATGTGTTCAAAGTTCCAGCACAAATTCAGAAGCTGATCAACACAGGGCTACCACGTACAGATTACGGCGCGATCAGACCGCGACCTCTCACCCGAAAGCATTATCCAAAAGGTTGCCGACGCCTCCGGTGCAAAGTACTCCTCGGCGACTGCACCTCCACCTACAGCTTCGATCAAACCTTCAATTGCCTCGAAACCTGCCTTCACCCCGACTCAGAGCACTTCCGTACCAATAAGGACTGCGAGAAGAGCAGATTCAAACGTCGATGAAGATGGCTGGGGAGCAGATGCGCCGCCTGTGGTGCGAACACAGCTCGAGCGGGTGCAGCCTGCATACCAACCTACAAAGGTTAACATGCGAGACCTTGTCTCTCAGAAGCCGACATCCAGCTTTACTCCTGCGAACACTTCGGACGACCGTCCTGACGTAGTCAGAGGTGCCTACCAACCAATTGGCAAGGTTGATATTGCTGAGATCCGAAGACAAGCGAAAGAGTCGGGTCAGCTCAAAGAAGAAAGACCAGAGACTGTAAAGGGTTCATACGAGCCTGTTGGCAAGGTCGATATTGCTGCCATCAAAGCTCGAGCCCAGAAACCAGAATCTGCCATTTCTCCTCGTGCAGAACCACCTGCGCCAGACTCGCAAGAAGAGCAACCACCATCTCTTGCTCAAAGATCGGCTGCTTTTTCGCAAGCGAGCCCTCTTACATCATTGCCTAAACCCAAGGTCACAAACAAATTTGGAGCAAGCAGCACTTTCACTGGCACAAAGGCGCCAACTCCGGCCGGCTTCGAGACTGCGCAGCCAGCTACTGCGGCTCCTGTAGGCACAGCGAGTCGCACGTTTGCCGACCAGGGTGGTAAGACTCCTGCTCAGATATGGGCTGAGAAGAAAGCGCGAGAACGGGGTGCTAGTGGCAGTGGTTCCGCACTTCCAGCGTCTGGATATACTGGTACAACACCTGTTCTCGAACAAAAGAGCGGAAACACAGGGTATGAAAGTGGCTACGCAGGCAAGAAGTGGGCCCCCGTTGGCACCAATAGGACTGGTCGATCCAGCATTGCAGAACAGAAGACTGGTGAGGCGAACCCAGAAGAAGACTCTCCCACTCCCGCCTCCCCAGCTGGTGCGGTAAGCTCTATCCGCGATCGCTTCAGTGGTGCTGCTCCCATGGGCGCGCCGGCTTCATCCAGCTTTGATCGAGCTCCTCCACCTGTTCCTGAACCAGAAACGAGTACAAAGCCTAATCGAGGCGTTCCAATACCAGGCCTGCCCACGCGTCCAGCGCAAGAAGAGGAAGAGTCGACAACAGCAGGTATTCCGCCTCCTCCACATGTACCTCGGAGCCCTACACCAGAAACGCCAGAGCGGGAGACGTCGCCTATCCGTATTGCCATGCCTGTCAGTAAGGCAGCACCAGTTCAGGATGCTCATGAAGAAGTACATTCTCCTCCACCTGCAGTGCCTACAGAATCACTCAGACGTGTTGTACCTCCACCACCACCAGAAGAAGACGATGAGCCCGAAACAGGTCCCGATCCTGGTCGAGTTGCTGCACAAGCCGCAGCAGCAACTGCTACAGGTGCTGCAGAGCCTGAAATTGAGACTGAAAGTGGCGGGGAGAGAGCTAGAGCTGAATTTGACTACGACGCTCAGGAAGACAACGAAATCTCTTTCGCGGAGGGCGAGATTCTAACAGACATTCAGAAGGTCGATCCCGACTGGTGGATTGTCACTAATAGCAAAGGTCAACAGGGCCTGGTGCCAGCGAATTACCTACAGATCGTACAAGATGAAGAACCTATGCCAGCTGCATCTCAAAGAATTCCAGATGCTGCACCTTCAGCAGCAGCTTCTGCTCCTGTACCATCGGCCGGCGGGTCTCAAGGCAAGACTGCAGTAGCCATCTATGATTATGAGGCTGGCGAAGACAACGAGCTCTCCTTCCCAGAGAATGCTGTCATTACTGATATTGTGAGTATTAACACAAATTTTGTCTACGTTTCTAACACAAGCAGGAATTTCCCGATCAAGACTGGTGGCAGGGTGAATACAACGGCAAGAGTGGACTCTTTCCCGCAGCATATGTCGAGCTTCGAGGATAGGTAGTATGTTAACCTACAACTGCCGTGTTGGACCTATCTGCCTGCCTACGTGTTTGTAGAAAACAATCACAATCGATTGTCAGAGCTTTCATGTCGTGCAAATGAAAAATCCTGGTCCGGAAAAACTGGCAGTTATTAGCTGCAAATATGGGCGTTGCTTGGACCTTGAGCATGTCCAATGAAAAGTGCTTGAAAGCGGGCAGCTTCGCGTTGGGTGGAGCATCTGGAAGCATTTGGTTTGGTGCTGGTTGCCCTCTTCCACCATGACCATCAAATTTTTGGAATGCACGTCGCGTCTTTCCAGAGCTGCATGAAGACCTCCATAGCATGAAAGAAATTTTCGAGCTTCCTGAGAAGTTGACAGAGCACATATGAAGAATAGAATTCCTTGCTGCTTCGCTTGCTGTACATTGTGAGACGTAGTTGTTGCTGAAGCCGTCGGCGGTGTGGTCAGCTATCGGTCCTTATCTTTTCCCCATATTCGTCACAAAAAGTTTTCTAACAATTGGAGGAGCGTAGTCGCAGCGGCCGAGTGACTCAAAATTGTTTACTAGATTTTGCAGCTCGGAAATACCAGTTTTCAACAGCTGACGAGCTTCACTATACTGAGGGGCCTCTGTCATGGCTGCCTCAACACGCTGTCTGCGACAGTTAAGCTCAACGCTGCTCCAGCAAGCTCGTCCAGTTGCAGCACGACCTTTAACTCGCACATTTTCAACTCACCTCGCTCAGAAGGGCAAGCACTTACTAGCACAGAGGGAACCATATTGGTTGCAGACCAGGAAGTTCACCAGGTCGGCTCGTCGATATGCTGCTGTACAGGAAGCGCCACGAGCAGAGGCATACTTGGATAGTGGTGTTATTGAGCCAGGCAAGAATCTGGTGGACGTAAAGAAGGTGCTGGTCATAGGCAGTGGTGGACTCAGCATTGGCCAGGCTGGTGAATTCGACTACTCAGGTATACAGAGAACGTTATACGGACATAGTTAGAGGACTAATTTGTGCAGGATCCCAAGCCTTGAAAGCTCTCAAAGAAGCAAACGTTAAGTCAGTGCTCATAAACCCCAATATCGCGACGATCCAGACCGACCACAAGCTCGCAGACGAAGTATACTACCTCCCTGTTACGCCAGAATATGTTACCTATGTTATCGAACGAGAGAAGCCAGATGCCATCATGTTGGCGTTTGGTGGTCAAACTGCGCTCAATTTGGGTGTTAAGATGCAGAGGATGGGCATTTTCGAGCGATATGGTGTCAAAGTACTCGGAACTAGTGTTCGAACGCTCGAGGTTTCGGAAGATCGAGATCTATTTGCCAAAGCTCTGAAGGAGATTGACATCCCAATCGCTGAGTCAATTGCGGTCAATACTGTCGAGGAGGCTCTCAAGGCCGCTGATGCAGTGGGCTATCCTATCATTGTTCGTTCAGCATTTGCTTTGGGTGGTCTAGGTTCTGGATTCGCCAATGACGCTGAGGAATTGAGCAACTTGTCCTCCCGGTCGCTTTCGTTGTCCCCACAGATCTTGGTTGAGAAGTCGCTAAAAGGGTGGAAAGAGGTGGAATATGAAGTCGTTCGAGACGCCGAGAACAACTGCATAACTGTTTGTAACATGGAGAATTTTGACCCTCTGGGTATTCATACTGGAGACAGCATCGTTGTTTCTCCTTCTCAGACCTTGTCGGATGAGGAATACCACATGCTGAGGACAGCTGCAATCAAGATCGTCCGCCATTTGGGCGTGGTGGGAGAATGCAACGTTCAGTACGCTCTTCAGCCTGATGGACTCGACTATCGAGTCATCGAAGTCAATGCTCGTTTGTCCCGATCCTCTGCTCTTGCCTCAAAGGCTACTGGTTACCCTCTGGCATATACTGCTGCAAAAATCGGTCTTGGCCACTCACTACCCGAGCTGCCAAATGCTGTTACAAAGACAACCACTGCAAACTTCGAACCTTCCTTGGATTACATAGTGACGAAAATACCTCGGTGGGATTTGTCCAAGTTCCAACACGTCAAACGAGATATTGGAAGTGCTATGAAGTCTGTAGGCGAGGTCATGGCTATTGGTCGTACGTTCGAGGAGTCCTTCCAAAAGGCTATTCGACAGGTCGACCCACGCTTCGTTGGTTTCCAAGGCGATAAGTTCGACGATCTCGACGATGTGCTGAAGAACCCTACCGACCGTAGATGGTTAGCTGTTGGAGAAGCAATGATCAACCACGGCTACAGTGTCGACAAAGTACATGACCTGTCTAAGATTGACAAGTGGTTCTTGCACAAGCTACAAAACCTGGTCGACACAATGAGTGAGATCAAGGACTGTGGCAGTCTGACAGCCGTCAAGTATGAGCTTATGATCAAAGCAAAGAAGCAAGGCTTTTCCGACAAACAGATTGGCATGTACTGTGGTGCTTCCGAGCTGGATGTCCGCAAACGACGACAACAATTCAACATCAGGCCGTGGGTCAAGAAAATTGATACCCTAGCTGCCGAATTTCCTGCTGATACTAACTACTTATATACGACTTACAACGCTAGCTCGCACGATGTCACATTCGATGATCACGGCACCATCATTCTCGGCTCTGGTGTATATCGAATCGGGTCTTCTGTCGAATTCGATTGGTGTGCGGTGAATGCGACTCTTTCACTCAAAAACATGGGCAAGAAGACAGTCATGATCAACGTAAGTCAATGCTCTTTCTCTCAATGTTCTCAGGCTTGGCTGCCGCTGGGTGTGCTCCCGGGCAGTGTTTTGGACTCATCCTCACTCAGGATGGTCACATCCATCTCAGCCCTTTTGTCCCCTATCACTTTTGCTTCACTACTACTTCAACATACCTGCTAACTTCATTGCTGTATAATCCGGAGACTTACAGCACCGATTTCGATGTCGCCGATAAACTTTACTTCGAAGAACTCTCATACGAACGTGTAATGGACATTTATGAACTTGAGACAGCAACTGGTGTTGTCGTAAGCGTGGGCGGCCAACTACCACAGAACATTGCTCTCAGGTTACAGGAAGAAGGCAAATGCAAGGTACTCGGCACTGACCCTAAGGATATCGACAAAGCTGAAGATCGTCACAAATTTTCCTCTATACTCGATTCTATTGGTGTTGATCAGCCTGCTTGGAAGGAACTGTCTACTCCTGAGGAAGCTGAGTCCTTCGCCGATGAGGTCGGATATCCAGTACTTGTCCGACCATCATATGTCCTGTCTGGTGCTGCCATGTCCGTCATTTATAGCAAAGACGAGCTTCGAGATAAGCTTCTGAACGCAACTTCAGTATCTCCTGACCACCCTGTCGTCCTCACCAAGTTCATCGAAGGTGCCCAGGAGATCGACGTGGATGCTGTGGCTTCGCAAGGCAAGCTCATCTTACATGCCATCTCGGAGCACGTCGAGGCAGCTGGTGTGCACTCCGGTGACGCCACACTCGTCCTTCCACCTGCGAACCTGGACGAGACTGTCATGGCCAGAATAAAAGAGATTGCCGAAAAGGTCGCTAAGGCATGGAGCATCACCGGTCCTTTCAACATGCAAATCATCAAAGCCGACACCCCCGACTCGTCCGAATCAGCACTGAAAGTCATTGAATGCAATCTGCGCGCCTCTCGATCTTTCCCATTCGTCTCAAAGGTCCTCGGAACAAACTTCGTCGACGCAGCAACTCGTGCCCTAGCACAAAGCGACGTCCCAGCTCCACGAGACTTGATGGCCGAGAAGCGCGGTTACGTCGCAACCAAAGTCCCACAATTCTCCTGGACCCGTTTAGCAGGTGCCGACCCCTATCTCGGCGTCGAAATGTCCTCCACCGGTGAAATCGCCTGTTTCGGCAAGGACGTCGTCGAAGCATACTGGGCCTCACTACAATCGACCATGAATTTCCGTGTTCCTGAACCTGGCGAGGGAATCCTTCTTGGTGGCAGCACGGAACTTCCTGAGCTCCCCAAGATCGTTGAATACCTCAAGCCACTTGACTACAAGTTCTTCGCCGTCAACAACGCAGTCAAGGAGCACCTTGAGAAGGGCGGTGCCAAGATCGAGGTTATTGAGTTCCCAAAGACAGACAAGAATGCTTTGAGGAAAGTTTTTGAAAAGTACAATATCAAGGGAGTGTTCAACCTTGCCAAGACTAGGGGAAAGACTCTTCTGGACGAAGACTACGTTTCACGACGTAATGCGGTCGACTTTGGGTTGCCGTTGTTTATGGAAGCTAAGGTGAGTTTTCTGCTTTTGCGGGAATGAGATGTATACTGACTATACGACAGACTGCCCTGTTATTTGCACAGTGCATAAACGCCAAGTTGCCGAGGAAAGAAGGTATACCTCCTGAAGTCAAGAGCTGGAGCGAGTTTACTGGAGAGAGGATGATGTAGAGCAAGAGCCGTCCTGGAAAGAATGTGCTGGCGTTTCGTGGCGTACGTAAAGTAGACTTGACCTAGTATGTCGAAAAAGACAAGAAAGAGAATGAGTAGACATGCTGATGTTGTAGCTACCGCAGAGGTCGAGTCAGTGACCCTGGTAGATCCGTCCGAGTCTGACAGGTGAGAATGCAAATTCAAAGAAGGGCGAATTGAACATCAAGTGCTTGCTTGTTGGTACACAACCCGCTGTGTTCTGTTCCAGGGAGGCTGAAGGCTCAGCGCACGCTATTCTTCTGACCCTGTATCTTAACATGCCTTGCTAACGTTGCAATTTGAGCAATGAGCTTGGAATCCAGGCTTCTCAGCTGATTGCCTGTCGTCCTTCAGAAGCTAGTGTTGGTGTCAAACAATACTACTACTACTACACTCCTATGCTCGATTTCGTCCCTAGTCCCAAAGCCAGACCAGACTGCCGCCCAGCAAAGAACGACCTCTCACGAGAACTTCCATCTATTTCCGCAAACAACGCATTCGCTGTTTGAACCGTTAGCTCATCCACCAGCAGAAACTCCAAAGAAAAGGATACAAGAAGAAGGAGAAATACTAACCAAAACGTCGTCATCGGCTCATCAGCCGACCTCGTCTGCGCCTGCGTAAAAGACACCTTCTTCTGCTTACACCTCCCGCACTCCAAATGATTACTCACGCTCTTCTGCTCCTGCGCCACCATCGCATTATTCAAATTATCCTTGACAATCTTCGCATCCTCAGCTTTCTGTCGTTCGCTCTTCATCTCCTCATGCGTCATGCTCGCGAATTTACTCGGCGAGACTTCTCCGTCTAAAATGCGGGAGCGCAGTTCGGGGTTTTGAGGGTTCTTGAGGTTTTGGTAGAGGGTGCGGATCTTTTCTTTGTAGAAGGGGGAGGTGTGGGTTGCGGAGGCGTCGGGGAGGGAGAGCACGGAGAGTTCGATTTGTTTAGCGATTGTGAGGACTTGCGGAGCAGGGAGGGAGGAGCCTGGGACGAGACCGTCGTAGAGGAGGCCGATGCTGTTGGAGCGGGCGGTTTCGGAGCTGAATTTGGCGCGGTCGAGTTTGTCAAGTTTCCAGGTGCGTTTATCTAGAGGCACGCCTGTGGGTTGTTGATGCGAGGTGTCGTGTATGGTGGATGCTGGTTTCTTTTGAGGTTCGGAAGTGGATTTTGAGGAGGGAGGGGGTGCTGGCGATGCGCTGCCGTTTTGTCCATCGCTGGGTCTTGTGGGAGTTGCTGCACCGCTACCTGCGCCCTTATTGCGCTGTATCTGTGTGCGCCATTGTGAGACTATCTCGCTGGCTAGACGGGGAATAGATGGGTCTACGCCCTGCGCAGTCTTGATGCGGTTGATGCTCTTGCCTATGCCTGTTTTGCGTAAAAGCTCTTCAGACGGTGTCACGCCTTTTTGTAGGTCGCGCAAGAGGTTGACAATGTTGGCGGTGGGTTCGCGGGCTTGTAGAGCCTTGTTGATGGCATTGGCCTTGGATACGACCTCTCGTTCGTCCATGATTTGGTTGTTTTGGGAGGACGCCTGTGATGTGGGAGGAAGTGGGATGGTGGCTCGGGAAACAGAAATAGGATCTAGAGAAGGAGTCAGCCGCGGCAAGAGCAAACCGGCAAAAGTTGGTGACTACAAAGATACCACGAATGCGCCTGTTGTCACTTACCAAGCGTATAACTTTACAATGCTCTCTGAAGTCGTGAACACTGCGGCGTCCTCCCTGAATATTCAATCAACGGCGCATATACATCGCACAACGAGGAAACAAGGTCTGTTGCTTGCTGAACGTATAGAGGGGTCAAGATCAATCTAATGTCTGTGTAACACTGTTGTGAAGTGAAAGTGAGTTTGACGTAGCCTCGCCTTCTCAAGGAATGCTAGTGTTACTAGCCTCTTTCCACGTGCCTCTTTGCCCTATGGAGAAGTCAAAAAGTAGCCGTATGAGGTAGTCAAATTACACACGATACAGGCACACATTCTGAATCATTGTTTGGAGCATACCACAATCGTTGTTTGACGTTTTTACGTAGCTACTTAACTCATACCTGACCCGATTGTGTTCTATGTTGTGTCTCGAGACACTACTACGCTTTCAATCAGAGTCCATACCACGAAGACCCTCCTATCTGGCAGGCATTGGTTGTGGTTGGAGATGAGGATCAGGACCACCTGAGAGATTGCTGACAAACTCATGATATCTGAATACATCCCCATTCTTCTGTCTTCCTGCAGGTGTGCCTATGCCTCGCAGGCCAGCGAGTCCAACGCCAGACTTTGCCAGTATACGACGACCAGTGAAACCTTTCAGTGCCTCATCGATATCTTTTTCCGATAGTGCTCTCTCGCCCGGCTCAGGTGGTGTTGCTAGAAGAGCTCTTCGCAGCTCTACCACATCTATCTGACCACTGTCGTCGTCATCAAAAGCTGAGAGAGCGTTAAGTAGTTCTTGTTGAGGCGATATGTTCACCAGAGCAGCTGCCAATGAGTTCAGATATTGGGGTAAAGATATCTGTTGTGGTTGTCCTGGTGGAAACAGTTGTGACATTTCGTTCGTGCTCAGACCGAGGGACTGCAGAGTCTCGGCAACTGAAGATGGATTTATCGTGCCTGTTGAGTTAGAATCCAGCACGGAGAACGACTCTCTAAGTGAATGGAGCAAGGCAGGTGGAAGTTTGGCCAGATCGTCACCTGCTGTTGGTACGTTTCTTTGTGGGTATATTGGCTGTCGAAGGCTCGGAGGAGTCGGCAATTTCCTTGCTGGGGAGGGTGTAAGAGGTACTTCTGGTGCTCTCATTGTGTTCGACTTGGTAGGTGTAATAATCATAGACTCTTCCTCTTCCTCTTCCGAAACAGTGTAGGAGTGCTTTAGCTTGGATGGGGATGATAACGGCGATGCTTGTACTCTCGAAGTACTGGGAGGAGTGCTTGCTCTATAAGCAGATGGTGAACTTGGAGAGCCTGCTCGTCGAAAGGGAGAGGATCTGGTAGACATGCTGAAAGACTAAGACAGGAGATATTAGCTGAGGTAAATATGGGTTACGAGGTAGAGATCACTGACCATGATGCTTTATCTCTATCTTCCGGACTGCAGATGCTTGTGTTTGCGACGATGTGGAGAAAGGAAGCGGCTCTAGCGATTATGTGTTACTCTGTTGCCGTCTGCTAATAACGCTCCTGGCTACGCGGAAGCCGAATCTGATAAAGGCGTGACTTTATCGTTTCAATATACCGGAATCAATGCTGAGGACTTGTGACTTTGGTGGTGGTTTTCTCTGCATTATACGATGTAGCAAGACTGAATTGCCTTGAATTGGTGACCGTATCGTTTGTTGACATACTTCGCGTTACGGAGCAACTACAAGGTCGAATCCACTAACGGTTCCATAATTGTTGAAACAAGCCGTATCAACCTCGCCGAAAGCCATGCGGGTGCTAGGGGCTCCTCTGAAACGTGGGGATTCGCAGAGGCAGTCCAAATATTGTACAGACCATTATGTCGCAACTGCGACCCTGGAGAGTCCATGCGCGCCTGCTATACACCTCCAAGCCGGCTACGACACGCCCAACGCAACGATTTTGCTAGGCGACCATCATGATACACGATTAGACGCGTTGAAAGTTACATGCGAGCGACAGGTCATCTAACATGGCAACTACAATGCCCATGCGATCGCATCCTCTCGCTTCAATAGGTGAAGGACGGACCTCCATCTCTTCTGGCCATGGATCGCATCGCTCTTCTGACTCGATATCACGAAACTTCAGACATAGTAAAGCACCTTCCCAACAATCCGCTAGCATAAGATCGCCCATAGGCTCAGTCGGATCAATTGCACAGCAACTATCATATAGACCGGTGCAGGATGGCATTCCGCGCAAGAGAACCCGTCGCCTCAAGTCGCAATATCCTGCCAACTCAGGTGAACCTCATGTCGAGTATATCCTTGTCGCCTCTTTCGATGCAGATAAAGGCCCATCCATGGAACACCAATTCCCGGGAGCCATAAGCCCTGATGAGAACATGTTGGCTGAGCTCATGTTACCCGATCAAACACATATGCGTTCTCAGGACTGGACCATGTTTTTCCTCCATAAAAACAACGGAAATGGCGACGACGACAGTCAATTCAGTGGTAAAGAAGAGTTGAAGAGGCAACGGCGTGAAGATCGAGAACAGCGTAGACAGGCTGGTGAGGAGGTAGCAGACTCTGAGGAAGAAAGTGATGAAGAAGACGATACTCAGACCCCACCGTTAATGTATGTGCTCAATCTGGTGAACACCAAGAAGGATTCTACGGCCAAGCGTGGTGCACGAACCCAAGCTATGGCTATATGTACGCGACACTCGTTCTTACACATATACAAGCCCTTGTTGTTGCTGGCCCTGGAAGACTACTTCAAAACTCCCTCGCAGAAAATCCTCGAGAACCTCTACAATGCCCTCAATGCCATGGATCTGTCTCTCATGCCACGTCTTTCACTTTTGGAAAGAGGTATTCTACAAGCCAACGATGTGAAGGACTTGTTTGTGGAAAAGTTTGAAACCATGATTGAGCAACGAGTAGAGGACGAGGAGCAAGACCATACACTCAGTCCACCTTCATCACCCAGCAGAACACCCCAGCAGAAATACATTGTTCCCAGAGATACCCACGAGTATGAATCTCGTATCGTATACAACGAAATCCCCATACCGGTCAAGATACCGACTGCTCCCTCTCCAGAGACTGTTGGAGACTTCTCCCTAGTTCACTTGATCCAGACGTTTAATACACCACATGTTACACAACCACAACCTTTTGCCTTACATCCTCATCTTACCACTGCTGGAGCATTTACCCACCCGATAATCGTCCTAATCAATGCTGTCTTGACAGAAAAGAGAGTCATATTCCTGGGTCATAAGAGACCTTCTGGCGAAGTTGCAGAGGCAGTTCTGGCTGCTTGTGCTCTAGCTTCAGGTGGTATCTTGAGAGGCTTCACTCGTCACGCTTTTCCATACACCGATCTTAGTAAGATCGATGAGTTGTTGAACGTTCCTGGCTTCATTGCTGGTGTCACTAATCCCACATTTCTGTATCATCCGGAGTGGTGGGACTTGCTAGTCGACCTGCCAGCTGGACGTATGAAGATCTCTTCGAGTATAGCACCTGCACCTCTGACCGAGGGTGGCGCTTTCTTCTCCCAGAACCATAACGTCTCGAGAGAGGCTGTGCCGGATCCCACCGGCGACATGAATTTTATGGAGGAAGTCATGGCGGCTATTGAACAGCGTCAAGGCGAACAGATGATTCGTTCGAAGTTCCGCAGCTATATTTCGCGCTTCACCCGTATGGCTGCAGCATTTGAAGAGACTGTTTATGGAGCTTCGTCTCTGTCAGCGCTACCGTCTACGGAAATTGAGAAGGCTCCTGCACCGTCGAGACGCAAATCAAGCACGACCACCGTTTCCACTACAACTGCTGGGTCGCTCAAGGGCCATGGCTATGTCTGGCCAAGCGAAGATGCAAAGTTGAGAGAACTCTCCGCGATGACGCCGAAGATTGAAGGCTGGCGAAGCACGAGGTCATACTACAACTTCATCTCTGATCTTGCCACACAGTCACAGCCAGGGAAGGACTCATCGTCGCCGACATCACCAATCTCGCCTGCATCAGTCAAAAGTATGAACGGAAATGACTTATCTGGGCAACCACGTCCGTACCTAGACATCTCGCATACTCTCGCACGTCTACGTACACTACGACTGTCACCTGGTGAGGTAGCACCAATCTATTTTGCTTTGTCGCAGTATTGTACCACATACACTACGATCCTAGAACTGCTGTCGCATGCTCCACTGAGTGAAGCAGGTCTTTTCCAGGTCTCGATGGGATTGTTCCATGAGAGCTGGGAGGTCCGGGAGGCGACGTTAACTTTGCTTGAGAGAGTGCGACAGCATCCAGCTGGTCGGATTTGGTTCGCAAGATTAGGTGGGTTTGTGAATGCAGGCTTCACTAGGACTCTCAATGAGGTCGACATGCGTAGGGACAGAGCTGGGAACGACGAGTGATCAAGTACTGTAGCTCAAGTTCAAAGTGTCGTCTCATATGCGTCAAGGCATTCAACATTCCGAGTCGTGAAATATCATTTCACTTGCACTCTGCCAACCACTTTCACTTCTACTTGTCGTAACTTGCCCTAACTTCGGAACTTGTTGTGACTTCCTATAACTTGTTGTAGTGTGTCTTCACTCCCTCCTGTCACGTTTCCTGTGAGCACCCGTACATTTGTTTGCTTGGACAAAAAACTTCAACTGGCCTTCTCACTCGGTCGACCATTGATTCTTCGATCAAGACCTTTGTTTATAACAGTTTGTGTCATTCATTCATTCAAAGTGCTCTCCAACCTTGCCGTGGTCAGCGTTCCCGCACGATAGTGCTTGTCTTCGACGCTGGCCCGAACAGAAACCGATACGTATAATTACTGTGATTCTATCCCAGTGTTCGCGCTCCGAATCCCCGCACTGAACAAATGCGATTCGACCCCTCCGACCAGATTCCTTTTGTTCGTAACCACGTGTCTGTCCCGCTATCATGTACCTAAGACGTGCCTTGATAGTGGATACCCTCCAAATTCGAGCTCTAAGTTGCCGCACAGCGAGCACACACACACGCATGGCGTAAGTTGTCATTCAACCAGTTCCTCACGAACTTCGTTCACTAACGATTTCAAAAGCAACTGGCCCAATGGCAAGGCGCCGTACGTTCAATTCATATTCCGCATCTGCGAACCGCATGCTTACTCTCCTTTCAGTGACTACGACGCTGAATTAGTCTATCAGGAGATTGCAGGTTCGATCCCTGCGGTGAGTGATGATCCAGTCCATGTGTTTGATGCACGTGCTGATTCGTGATTAGTTGGTCAATCGTAATTATCGAAACACGATGTGATATCTTTTTGTTTTTCCTTTGTCTCTCTTTTTTGCGGTTTCAAACTTCATTTTGTATACACTGCCTCATTTACTTTTACATACATTGTGCACGGTGTTACTGACGTTCTTCTGTTTCTGGTAGAGGCGTCTACTTGGAGAACGTAGTCCGGGAAACGTGAATGTCTACATGACATGGACTTTTTTTTTCAGGTTGTAGCAGTTCATTGACACACATGCTCCTGCTACTCGTCATAACTATTGACTAAACCTATTACTCGCGCTCGAATCCACAAGAGTAGAAGAATCAGTCGTAGGACTCATGTCGCTCCTCATCTCGGCTCCTGCGACTTCATTCGCCGGCAACTCTGAACATGTCCGATACAATGGTTCATGCTCAAGCTTGTTCAGTCCACCCACTTCTCGCACTGTTCGAGGTACTTTCATTCCTTCTAGCTCTTCTCGTGTGGGCTGGTAATCGTCCAAATATAACTGAGCCTTTTCTTCTCGACTTTCTGTAGCCGCTACATCGGCTTGTGCAGCCTTCTTGCGCTCTGCTTTGCGGCGACGACGCCAGATAAAGAAGAGGACGAGGGAGAAGGGGAGAATGCCTCCAAGCGCTGCTCCGACAGCAAGACCGGCGATAGCGCCTGTGCTAAGGTTGGGCGAGGTGGGAACAGTCGTGGCTGCTGCGGTCTGTGATGGTATAGCTGTGCTCGAAGAGCTTGAACTTGCTGATGGTGTTGTCGGACTGGCTGAGGAAGCAGAAACTGGGCTTAAGTCAGTCTCTGGTATCGTGCCTAGCGTGTACCTCACTTACCAATAACGTTACACAGGCTCGATGCACTTGGATCCGCGGTTTGATTATTATTCAAGTAAGAATTACAGGACGAAACCCAAGCGTAAAAATCTGGGATGCTGATGATGCTGCTGGTGAAATTGTTTGGCGTTGTTGTTGCTTCAAAGTCAAGTGAGCAGTATGAGACCGGTACGTTCAATTCAACTGTAACTGATGAACTACGACTCTTTCCACGTGAAGAGTTGCAAGACTCGCGCGCTGTAATAGCTTCATCAAACCAATCACATAATCCTGGTGCAGGGCCGATACTCTGCCAGAGAAGCTCGGCGTAATCTGGAGGTGTCAGAATAGACTCAAGCATGAACAGCACACACGTACTAACATACGCATGACATGATGCGAAAACAGTAATCGGCTGAACTTCAGTCACCTCGTTGACCTGGGCCGCCATTGAGCGAATCAAGAACGCTATGAGACAGGTATACATCGTGGCGAATGAAGGATGCGACATGCGTATGTTCAATTCGTAACCGTGCAGTCTACCAGTCAAGCCGCCGATGAGACAGGTTATAGGGACCAAAACTTTTCTTTTGCGAGTCAGACTTGCCCAACAGAGCCGGCGAATATTTGTGACAGGACAGAGCTGACATCTGCAGCCATATCAGCCCACGAATACTGGTCGTCGCATCTGTAGTGTAACACGCCGGATATGGAATTTTTCAACATGAGGTCTGGACGTCCTGAGTAGCTGATCTCTTTATCACTTGTCCGTACAGGCGCCAATAGACGCAACTCTATGATCAAGCAATACGATCTCGAGTGTGGTCACAAATTCGGCCCTTGAAGAACTTCTGGCCCAAACGTGCTCGTGGGCTAACAGTATACAGGATAATAGTTTCTGGCTCTGGCTTCATGGACTGTCTATCCTGAAGTGGAAATTTTCCCTCTCAATTGCCCTCGAGCTCATGCACAGTATCTACCGGCCTGGTCTGAGTGTGGTAGCATCACCACTACACGAGTTTGAATCTAGGTGTATGGCGGTATTGTTGGAAACGAGCATTGAGTCCGCTGGTATTTTGAAGCTTTGCCCGAAAATGCAAAGCGTTGTGAATGCTAGTCGTTCTTGGTATGAAGCAACCAGGACCCTGGAGGCGCAAAGTCTCGAGCATGACAGTACGACAATAATTCGAGCGTGGGAATATCGTGTACTGGGAGTTTCCTGAGAGTTTCGAATACCGCGTTTCTCCTTGAAGATCAACATAAGCTCTTCTCGAATCTAATCCTGATAATTCGAATACCCTCGCAATGTAGACGATGGCTCCTTACCATGGCTACTGACGCCAAAATTTCTCCTTGTCGAGGTAGTCAGTATTGTGTTTGGTTAGCCGAGCATGCTTGAGGTAATAGAGGTTACTAACATCCAGAGGGCCAAACGACGAGAATGTGCGAAAACGTGCAAGTAAGACTGATTGGATGTGTATCGAGTTACCTCGGAAGAACATGCAGCACACGGTCAACAAACCTGTTCTATATGATGCCGCGTTGAATGTCATCCTCGTAAGCGTGCAGTCAGTTCGTAGCAACACAGTTCCATTGTCTCATCCCGCGATACCATCGTCTTCCTGGTAAGACTGACCAGAGGAGAAGCAGCTTGTTTTGCGGTTAGGGAAAGGATGAAAAATCCGGGCCTGAAGATCAAACTCGAGAGGATTGAAAGTGGAAGGTGAGATACAGGTCGACGACGTGAGCTCTTCCTTGGCGCGTCAGTTTCGTGCAAGGATGATGTACAGCTTCTTCCTCGTGGCATTTTGATACCCTCTGCACCAAGTACAAAGTTCCACTAACACCTGACATTGAACTATCTTCTCGTGCATCTGACCTCGTATCATGAGATTTTTCCGTAGTCGAAACCTTTCGAGTAAGTGGCAGCAGAACTGGAGTATATACTGCTCGTGAGCTCACGCTTGTTAAACGATCAAAAAACGCACATGCTCCGTTGCAGGTGGAAACCGTGACGTCGAGACGTAATGAAATCAAATCCTTGCCTTACGCGGAAGCTGTAGCATTTTCCAAAGCTCGATAAAATTCTAGGATACTTATATGTTTTCTTCCAGCACTGTCCACCTCAGTTGACATCTTCTAGTCGAACCTCGCCATGCTGGATTCGAACAGCCCAGCTTGGCAGCACATGCTGCAAGATCTGGCGTTGGTTGCATTGAGCCTATTCTTCCTACCGCTTGACACATTCATCACGTTCTGGAGTCTAGCTTACGGCTATGTCTTCCAATCGAAGGTCGAAAACAACAGGAGGATAGCACGACAGAGGTTCGGCTTCAAGCCAAGGACAATTCTCGTGACGGGTGTTGGTATGACCAAAGGCTTGGCACTAGCAAGACTTTTCTACGAAGCAGGACACGATGTGGTGGGCGCTGATTTCGAGCCGATGGGCACAAGAGTCGCCGGACGAGTATCCAAAGCCGTGAAGAAATTTGTACCTTTGAGAAAACCCAACAACAAAGACGGTTCGGCTCGTTACATTCAAGGCCTGCTTGACGTGATCGGCAAAGAAGGAATTGATCTTTGGGTCAGCTGTTCTGGTGTAGCTTCAGCTGTGGAAGATGGTGAGGCGAAGCAGATTGTGGAAGCTCGAACGCGATGCAAAGCCATACAATTCGACGTGAAGACGACACAGATGTTACACGAAAAGCATACTTTTATTGAGCACACCAAGGAACTGGGCCTAGTAGTGCCAGAGACATACACAGTTAAGAAGCGAGCAGAGGTTGACGAAACACTTCGAGACGCGCCACAAGGACGACGATACATTATGAAGACGATTGGTATGGACGACGCGAATCGTGGAGATATGACCCTCCTACCCAAGAGTAGTCCTCAGGAGACTTCGAAGCATTTATCTAAACTGGCCATTTCCGAGAAGTCGCCATGGATCATCCAGCAATTCATCAAAGGACAAGAATTCTGCACACATTCTCTTGTTATCAAAGGTCATGTCAAGGCTTTCGTGGCTTGTCCATCTGCCGAGCTTCTGATGCACTACCAAGCCCTCCCTACCAACTCCAGACTAAGCAAAGAAATGCTCAAATTCACTCAAAACTATGCCAAAAACGGCGGAGACTCATTCACAGGACATCTGAGCTTCGACTTTCTAGTCGAGGATGCTGAGCTTGATCTACTCCAAACCGACCCGAACACAGAGATCAACTTATACCCCATCGAATGCAATCCCAGAGCGCATACAGCTGTTGCATTGTTCGCACACACAACTTCCATGGCAGACGCTTATCTGTCCCTCCTTGATGAATCAGTCAATGAGCCATCGTCATATGCGGAAGCGGCTGCAAATGGTACGCTCAACGAAAACATCGTGTATCCCAGATATCCCTTTGGTCGATACTATTGGGTCGGCCATGACCTTGTTAACCTCCTGATCCTTCCTCTCCTCAGCCTAGTCACAATGCAGCACGACAGCTCCGTCTCCACGTTGGTGAAAGGTCTTGACGAGTTCGTAGACAGAGTGGTTTTCTGGAGGGACGGGACTTACGAGGTATGGGATCCTATGCCCTGGTGGTGGTTGTACCACGTGTATTGGCCTTGGCAGTTCTTGCTAAGTCTGTACACCGGAAAGAAATGGTCAAGGATCAATGTAAGCACGTGTAAGATATTCGAGTGTTGACGAGACACGGCTGCAACCAGGTTGAACCCTGATCGTGATAGTGCACAGTTCGCAAGTACGCGCCAGAGGTACAGCGCATATGAATGGTTCAGAGTGATAGGTGGGGGTGCCTATTGTATCAGACATCGACAATGAATTCTTCTTGTACACGAAATTAATGTATTTCGTGGCCTTGAGTGACTAAAGCTTGAGGTGTACCTTCGACTTTTTGTACCACAACATAGGCGAACTCGTTGAATATAGTGCATAACCCACAGTCTCTATATCTTTCAACTAGTTCCGTGCGGGCAACAGATGTAGCTTGTGCATCACTGCTGGTACTCTCTTCTTGCTGTGTCTGCTTTACTCCTTCGACGAGATCGCCAAATGTTGTATCAATCGGTACACTCCCAAGATATGGGACTCCACACTCCTTTGCCATGTCCTTGCCACCTCCACTTGAAAATATGTTGGAAACCTCGCCGCAGCAGGGACACATATAGCCTGACATATTCTCGATCACACCAAGCACAGGTACTTGTGTTTTGACGCAGAAATTGAGTTCTTTGCGCACATCACTCGTGCTGATGGCTTGTGGCGTAGTGACGACCACGGCGCCAGCAAGTGAAGCTGCCGGCGAAGAGATGTTGAGATGTGGTTGCCCACTCTGAATGACGGGCGTGGCTGCTGCTAGTTTGTGAAGCTCTTCGACGATGGCTATGTGTTCGTCGGATGTGCCTGGAGGTGTATCTATGAGTAAATAATCTGTATTTGGTGGCCACAAAACGTCTGAGACGAATTGTCTAATCATTGCTGTCTTCTTGGGTCCTCTCCAGATGACAGCACTATCTCTGGATGGAAGTAGAAATGCGAGTGAGAGAGCGTGCAGGGAGCCCCTCTTCGTTCTTGGTGTTGTACCGTCGGATTGGTCTTGAGACGAACTTCCATTCTGATTGCCTTCTAGAGCGTCATGGACTGGTACAGGAAGCCATCCTCCAGGTGCCTGCTTGACTTTCTTGTCTTCAAGATTTAGCAACCTAGGAATGCTTGGCCCTGTGAGATCAATATCTAGGATGCCAACATTGTGTCCTTGCTGGGATAAAGATAGAGCTAGTTGCAATGTAACACTGGATTTCCCAACACCTCCTTTACCAGAGAGCACAAGTATAATGTGCTTGATATTCTCAAGCCCCATCTGTTTGTAGCCTTCTCGACCTGAAGAAGAACTGCTCCTCAACAAAAATGGCGGAGGCGGGTTTGCTGCTTTTTGACCTGTAAAACAAGTAGACTGTCTAGTTGTCCCTATTCCGTGGACGTAGTGACTACTTCTGGATGGTTAGCCCCGGGATAGTTGTTCCAAGGTGTCAATCTAAAGATGCAAACTACTAGTACGGTTGTATGATGCATGGCACATGCAGGTTTGCCTGTGGTGTGATTGGTAATGCAAAGCACGACCGATATTTTCGACTACGAATTGCGTCATTGGTCACTTTTGGCCTTGAAGGAGGCACTTGAAGTGAGCACTCAGGTGCTACGGAGTCACATTTCCGGGCTTCGGGGCGCCCCATAGAGCCTCGACCCGGGGCAGGCAGGAGAACGTTCGCTCCGCTCATTGACATTCTGCATCTTTGGGAATTCCAATATAGGCGTCGAGCTTTGGCAGATGGTTCGCGCGAGTCAAGACTGATGTCTTAGTGTGTCGCTATGGCGTGCAGTTTGCTAGGGTCTATGGCATTTACATGGAGCTGGAGACATTGCTGAGAGGTCTGAATTTTCAGAGATCAGGCGATCGTGAATAAAATTGTGACTGAAAGCCGGGATTAACGGGGCACACGAGCAAGCAATTGCGTCCAGATGCACCCCGAATTTCAAGTCGGCTTTCTTTTAATTTACTGGAAGGTGAAGGACTGCAAGATATGCTCTACTTACGTTAGTTCGTTAGAGAGTAGCTCACTTCTGGTGAAATTGCCACAGTGACGAGAAACGTGACGCTGTTCTTTGTGTGCCCAAACTATGGAATCTACCAGTATTTGGAGATGGATGAGGATGTTTGGCCTGAGGCGCTCGGGCGTGTTTCCGGCGAGAATTCTTTTTTAGCGTTAAAACCGTAGTGGCTGAGGGAGCGGTGACGGAAGGCCTTTTTTGAATTTACGCGCAGTGCCAGTGCAACACTCCACTGAATTCACACATTTTGAAGTCACTGCCTGAACTGCGATAAATATTTTCGTTCGCGCAGACAACCTTCTTCACCTTGACCTCCTTCGCCAGCGAGGGCAAACTACTGTGAAGTGAACACAACACTGAGCACACTCTGAGACCCGAAAAGCCCAACTTCGTTTGAGGCATTTTTGAACCCTCTTACAACTCAAACGCAGCTCTGGCGTCTACCAGTCAGCCAGAAATACCAACGAGCAGGCTCTAGTAGCCTCAGCTTCTTCTTCGTCTTTCCGCTCTCCGGTTTATGTCCCCGAAAGATCTACTGAGATTCTTGTCCAAGCCAGCAAAGTAGGTGAAATTCCAAGGTTGCCACCAGTTTGCTTGCGACGATTGCTAACGACTACGTAGACCACGATAACACCTCCTACAAAGCCCGCGATACAAATACACAGACTGTTCGACTTCTACGGTTCAAAATTCCCGGATAAAACAATACTGGACAACTTCCTCTGATATTATTATCACATTGCCCACAATTCCGTCCGTACAGGAGATCTTCTTCCTTCTCGCCTCTCTTCGACCTCCCTAACGACCCTTTCAAAGGTCTTTAATAGAATATACACGCTTGCTGCTGGCAAAAGCCAGCCTCCACAGCTCCCACAGATAGTGGGCCTTCTCTCCTCAGGCGGGCACCGCACCGTTCGTCTGGGTGGCAGATAGTGCTTCGCTGATCCTACAAGATCAGTGTTTCCGAATCTTCCCCAAACAAAGCAAAGAGTAGCAGTCAGGACCTAGTCCTTGTTTCTATCAAGGATATGGTCAACATTGGGATTCCCAAGAACTACACTGTGTCACCATCGAGTTTTACTCAGACACCGTCGTTGATCATCAACCATGAAGCCGCTGTAGATCTCGATTCCAGCAATGCCTTTGAAGGTCCTGAGAAATTGTTAGAGGTTTGGTTCAGTCCAAGCTCTGAGGACTTGCATAACTGTTCCGAACCGACCGGTCTGAAAGCGGTTCCGGCTGAAATTTGGAAGACAATGCTAGACTTGGTCAACTGCCAGGTTCTCTCTATTGTCGAGTCTCCTGAAGTTGATGCTTACCTGCTGTCTGAGTCCAGCATGTTCGTTTGGCCTCACAAGCTGATCCTCAAGACTTGTGGTACCACGACCTTACTATGCGGTCTTCCTCGAATTCTTGAGATTGCAACGCTCTTCGGAGGTTATGCAAGGGCTACAGCACCTGACGTCCTTGGCATAGCTATCGCAGCAGCTCCTTATCGAGTCTTCTACAGCCGAAAGAACTTTCTCTTTCCAGACCGACAGCGCGGTCCCCATCGCAGCTGGAGGGACGAAGTTCACACTCTAGACAAGCTATTCGTCGGAGGTAGTGCCTACATGATCGGAAAAATGAATGGGGAGCATTGGTATCTGTACCTGACAGAACCCTTTACCATGCTCTCCGCTCCAGCTAGTCCAGCTAGTATCGACGGCAGTCCAACCACTGAGACCAAAATTATCAACTTTCCGTCATCTGTGGTCAAGGATAGAGGTTCGAAAGTGATTGAAGGAGAAGACGAGACGCTTGAGATTCTTATGACTGACCTCGACGAGGAGAATGCCAAGCAGTTCTATCTCGAAAATGCGAGTGCGGTCGCAGAGGAGCAGTGGAGAGGATCTCAAGCTGAGTCTGATGAGATTCTGGATGTCTTCAGCAACACATCCGACGACAGCGAAGTATTGGCCAAGTCTGGTTGTCCGCCCGAGCTGACCACCGAAGGACATGCGCTAGGCACTGTTGTGTCTGACACATGCGGACTTTCCCAAATCTACCCGAAGAGCAAATATCCAGATGCACGAATTGATGCCTACCAGTTCACGCCATGCGGCTTTTCAGCCAATGGTGTCGTGCCTGCCGCTATGGGTGGAAGAGGAACATCCTACTTCACGGTTCACGTCACTCCTGAGGCGATCTGTTCATATGCATCGTTCGAGACTAACGTGCCTGCTGGTCAAACTGGTAGACAAACTGTTGAGATTATCCAGAGCGTGGTCGATATCTTCAAGCCTGGTCGCTTCTCAGTGACCCTGTTCGAGGCAAAGACCACTTACGATGAGATAGCTGCTGGTGATGTTGTGCAGGTTGCTGAGATTAAGGCTTTCGAGCGTCAAGCTGCTCGGCGTGGCCAGAAGATGGACAACATTCCTGGTTACAAGCGCATCGATAGGATTGTTCACGATCTTGATGGTTATGATTTGGTCTTCCGCTACTACGAGCGCAATGACTGGACAGGAGGTGCTCCGAGAATTGGCGAGCGGTTCTAATCAGAGCTACGAGAATACTGATGACAAGCTCTAGTCATTCCTTCTGTGTGCTGGCTGAGAAGTCTTCGTACTGAGAGAAAGTGCCTTAATACTCCATAATATACATCGACCCAAAACGAATGATATTGAGATACGATCCTCTAGACTTCCTCCTTGTAATATTCGTGTTCAGAGTAAGCTCGTAATGGTGAGAGTAGTCGTGGAAATGTGATTCACTGTGTGCGAAGACGGACGTAGCCGGTTGAAGACATTTTGTGCCTCATGAAGCCCGGCAAGTGTGCGAATATGCACATCTCGTTGTATCAGCCTCACAAATTGTTCGCTCATGCTTCACTTGTCCGTAGTGTTGATAGTCATAGTCATAGTCATATCCATACTGTTTTCGCCGAATGATTGCACCTGATCGCTGTCGCAATCCTTACTGCCTCTGTACACCCTATCTGAGTTCTTGTGTATCAGCCTCGGATGCAGCATCAATCTGCGTGACTGGATAATACATAATTGCGATCTACTTACTCCTACTCGAACAGCGCATTCACAAGCCACCATGGCTTCCTCACCCCCAGCACCATTTCCAGCCAGTCTACCTAATCCAAAGAAGCGGCCATCGATATCCTCACAGGTTTCTGCCGCAAACAAACGTCCAAAACTCCACCCTCTGCGACAGACCTCGTTCCCAGCAAATATCGATGGTAATGCCTACGCCTCAGCTGTCGATAGCGCACGTTCGGAGACAGGAAGTGTGGCTAATAGCACGTTCTCCAGGATGAGCACATCCAAAGCACAACCTCGTGGCCGAGGCAGACCTAGAAAGTCCCTACAAGTCACAGAAGAGGATGCGCAGAGCGCTCGAGACGGCACAGGCACGACTGGCAAAGCATCGCAAGCCAAATCTGTGGTGTCTACTGCAAAATCGGGACTTGACGCGGAAGACGAAGCTGATGAGGAAGACGAGGAAGAGCTTGGAGAGCATGGCCACGAGGATGAAGCACGAGAAGGCGAGCACGAGCAAGAAGAGAGGAAGCTCAGCACTTTCCTCGGGCAATTGACTGCTGCTCAAGGCGAACGCTATGCAAACCTCCGCAGCAGTAAATTCAAAGATTCGGCGCTGAAGAGAATAGTCAATCAGACGGTGAGCCAAAGTGTGGCTCAAACAGCCATTAGTGCTGTGCAATTCGCTACAAAGGCTTTTGCTATAGAGATTATCGAGCGAGCTCGAGAGGTGCAAGACGAGTGTGCGAAAGCTGCGGATGTCGGTATTGCGCTAGAGAAGCATGCTCGGAGAACGAGATTGGAAGAAAAGCAGAAAGCCCTAGCTGACAGAGAAAAGGCTGAAAGCGAAAAGGAACCAGCTGCTGCCATTCCCGAGCAAGAGAGACGCGCACTTCAACTTGAGATCCTTAGGCTGAGCAAGGACGCTGAAAAGTACATTCCAAATAAACACAGAGGAGGACTGTTACCTGACCACCTGCGCGAAGCGCTGCGACGGTACAAGAATGATGGCGATGGCAATGGTTTTGGATTTGGCGGACTTAGCCATCCATTGTTGGGCATTCGAGGTTCAAATGCCTGGAGGGTCGGCGATGGTGCGACAGGACAAAGACTATTTCGTTGAACGTCGCTTTGTCGTCTTAATCGTGTCAGTGTTTGACCACACAAGAACCTTGACCGACGCCATCAACCAGCCAAACACCACATTCGTATCGTCCATCTGCCGAGGGCCAGAATGTTAGGCTTCAGAAACGCTGCTACACAGTCAGCGACAGTGCCGAAGCTGCACAGTTCGACGGGAGCCTATTCAACGACAAATTGGCGATCGTCCCAGTTTGATGAACCAGCAGATTGCCTACTGCCGACTCTACTGGTCAGCCACAACAAGCGCTCGCTGCCATGATCTCGGGATACACACAGCTTGTTCTAGCTAGCTACAGCGGCTTGACAGATGCACGTTCATGATAACGATCTCGTGCTGCGCGGAGAACTATTGATTCCTTGTACGCGTCAGGACGCGGCCTAAAACTTTAATTATTGGCGTGCAGATTGTCTTATCGCAAGACCATCATGTTATGGTGCCAACGTGCATAAGCGAGAGCCCAATATTGGGCGATTGCTTGTACAAGCAAAAGGGGTGTCTACGTTCTGCGCGAATCGAGTCTCTCCTCGCTTCCTCTGACTACATGTTTTGAGAAACACACGAGCAAGGAAAATGCTTAGCTCACAGCCTAAAGAATGTACAGCTGGTACCTGAAGATCCTTTTCAAGCCAATTTGAACAAACATTCCACCCGGCAGACGTCTGCACAATCGCCCTTGCTGTGGGTGAAGATCTCAACAATTGCTTGTGTGCCTTTCGAAGCAGCTGCTTGTTTCACAACGTCGCGCTTGTTGGTACACTCTGCATTTTCAGTCGGCCGTCAGCGCAATCTTCGTGACCACATATCGTAAGCTAAAGTATTCTGGCAGTGTTGTGCAGAACAAGTGGGTTGTGCCTGTTCTCCTCTCGTTGTGATGGTCTTTGACTTGTACTTATACCATCATGCCAAGCACGTATTGGTACCATGATGAGTGCACAGTGGACAAGTTGTTTCGTAATAAGCTTTGGGCGAACCCTATCTCAAGGTCCGCGTCACGACAAGGTTACGGAAACAACGGTTGAAGTGTCGCTCGAGCCGACACGCACAACCTTTCATACGGCATCCTTTCGAGCTGTCCAATAACCTGGATGTCCGCCAATACTCCCCATTTATCTGTGTCACCTCGATGCAAGACGACCTGACCTATTCATGTCGTGGCAAACAAAATGCCAGAAATGAATGAATCATCACGTGCAGCTCAGTGATGCCATTTCAACATCCACGATCCTTTTTACCGCAATCTAATTCTGCCAGTGGGTGAGCTTAGATATCCACGAAGAGCCGAAATTGGCGACAATTATCGGTATCTTTCACCTGAAGGTCGTTCCCACGACACTCCTCTGGATTTTACGGTCCTCAACAGGGGCGCACCGTGCAAACATCGGCAAACGCCCGCCGGCGTACACGTGCACCCATGGCCAGGCCGAGCTAGAGGATCCGCAGCATACAAACGTTAGGTACCACATCAAGCCACATCCGTTTTGCTATCGTGCCGAGAAGCCACCATTGAGCCATTTCAATGCGTGCTCAACGTGGAACCCAAACCTCAAGCCACAAGTTGGAAATCCCGTTCCTTGGCTCCCGCTCCTCGAGCTTATTTGCACTCATGCTGAACTGCCTGCCGTCAAGGGATAGATGTTTCTCACTCGCAAACACAATATGCGATTGCGACTTGCAATAACTTCAGATGCATAGCGAACAAGTTGGCTGCTTGTGTACAATCTTTCAGTTTACTGTATTGCTCATCGTGCAGGCACAGAAATTTTCGTGAGTCTCTTGGTGGAGTCATATTGTGTTTTACCACTGCTGACCAACCACCGATCGACGTCAATTTGGCATCCTGGTCGACTTCCACTTCCAAACGCCTCAACACGGAAATGGGGCGCGCTTGCTATCATGTCACCCTGCAAGGCATGTGAGACGTAAATTAATGCACCACACGAGGTAACTGAGTCACGTAACATTGCAGTGTGGTCAACTGACGTTGTGCCCATCAATCAGAACTGTGCACGTCCCTACACACACATTTGCTGCATCCAACTCTAGTGTCATGGCCACTCAGTCATTGGCCAGTCTATTAAAAGGCACAAGATGGCCACAACCTGAATACTGGAATTAATGTTCCCAGCTTCGCCTCGATCAAGCTCGATCAAGCTCGCGAATCTCTCATCTTGCTGCTACAGACTTGCACTCATAATGCACCGACGGCCAGCACAACTTATAGCAATCTCGTGCCATGATGCGTCCTTTGAGGTATCTTCGGAGCAGGCATCGTTACACTTTCCTGGTCGAACTTTAAAAGAATTTCCTAACACAACACTTGTGGACTAGAACTTTATGTACCTGTACTGTGATGCAATACTACCTCAACGGTCGGTCCGTTCACTCCTTTCTTTCCTCGCTATATGCATGTGCTGAACCACAAGTTTGACGCTTCCTCATAAGCAACCCACCATTTATCTGAGACACTCCTTGTTCCCTGCTTCGGCACAACGCCGCTGCAGCTGTGGCTTCCTTATCGTGTCTCCGATTGACTAAGATGTTGACTGACCAGGATCTCTCCCACCGACTCTCGCGGATCCCAGGAAGGTCCATACGCCAAATATGCCACTAATGTGGAAAAACCTGTGTTAATGCCTCTCCTCTTTGGTCATCCCTGACGGAACTTTTGTGCTCCTAAAGTGGCCCTGCTCTCGTGCTCCTGCTGAGGTCAGACGTGCATGGAGCTGTGGTAAATCTTCTATTCTTGGCTATAGGCTGGTGAAGGGGTTCGGCAATGTACTGCTCCAACATGTGGTCGAGCTCGCTTACTATCTTTCTTTCCCCTCTAACCCCCAACAACTCGAATGCGTTTGATTTTGGTCTGGTGTTTTGATCTTGTATCCTTCTTCTTCTTTTGCGGGGGTATGTTCACTTGCTCAGATATTGTCACCAGTCATTCGTTTTGATTCATGGTGTCAACATGTCGTCCCTTCTTTTTACGATCGTTGTTGCGGTTTTGGTTTGCGGGACATATGGATTCAACTATGACCCAGCATGGACGAAATATAATCTAAACACTAATCAGGATGCTCAACATCCTCTGGAATATTCCGGGGAATGGACTGGTCACGAGTTTACGCCGTCGCCCAAGAACTGGCGCTTTCCCTTCTATACCTTGTTTCTTGATCGCTTTGTCAATGGTGACCCGGCCAACGACAACATCAATGGTACCCTCTTCGAGCATGACCTCACCTCCAACCAGATGCGTAATGGCGGCGATTTGCAAGGCCTCATCGACTCACTTGACTACTTACATGGCATGGGTATCAAGGTACGTATCAGTCTTCAATGTGCCAAGACACAATTGCTGATACCTCACAGGGAATATACATTGCCGGCTCACCGTTCCTCAATCAGCCATGGACCTACGATTCATACTCACCACTCGACCTCACTATCCTTGATTGGCACTTTGGCGACATAGCAAAATGGAGAGAAGCTGTGAACGCCATCCACGACAGAGGCATGTATGTCGTCCTCGACAACACTTTCGCAACGCTAGGCGATCTACTAGGCTTTGAAGGATATCTCAACGAAACAGCTCCCTTCACCCTGGACGAGCACAAGGTGGAATGGAAGAATGCTAGGAGATATTACGACTTCGAAGTGAAAGAGGAGTATAACCAGTCTTGCGAATATCCTCGATTTTGGCTCGAGACCGGTTATCCTGTAGGCACTGACGTTACAGACCAGATGAAAGGCTGTTTCGCCGGCGAGTTTGATCAGTATGGTGATACCGAGGCTTTTGGTGTCTACCCGGACTGGCGACGACAGCTCACCAAGTTCGCGTCCGTCCAAGATCGTTTACGTGAATGGCATGAGCCAGTGAGACTGAAGCTCGAGAACTTCTATTGCATGATGATCGGCCAACTTGACATCGATGGCTATCGATATGACAAGGCAATGCAGGCTACAGTGGACGCGATGGGTCATATGAATACAGCAATGCGTCAATGTGCCCGAAAGTATGGAAAAGACAACTTCTTCTTGCCAGGTGAAATTACAGGTGGTAATGTCGCAGGCGCAATCTACATCGGCAGAGGACGACAGCCGGACATGCTACCAGAGAATCTAACACTAGCAGCCTCCTTGACCAACACATCCGACAGCAAGTACTTTATTCAGGAAGCTGGTATTGAAGGTCTTGATGCCGGTGCCTTCCACTACACAACTTATCGCACGATGACTCGATTCCTGGGTATGGATGGCAACCTTGAGGCAGGATACGACAGTCCGAAGAACTGGGTTGATCAGTGGAACAATTTCATCATTACCAACGATATGGTTAATGCCAACACAGGTCAATGGGATCCGAGGCACATGTTTGGTGTTACTAACCAGGATGTTTTCAGATGGGGTGCGATCAAAATGGGTGTCCAAAGACAGCTTTTGGGGCATTTCGTAACCACGATGCTTCTCCCTGGTATTCCACTTTTGCTATGGGGCGAGGAACAAGCTTTCTATGTCCTCGATAATACTGCGACCAACTACATCTTCGGCCGACAGCCTATGTCGTCCGCATTAGCATGGATGCAACACGGTTGTTACAGCTATGCAGATCCTTCAACTCAGTACTATGAAATGCCAGTCGAGGCTGCAGCTCACGGTTGCGAAGACGAAGTTCAGATGCATGATCACCGAGACCCTACCCATCCGATTCGTAATATTCTTCGACACATGTACCATCTTCGCGACAATTATCCAGTGCTAAACGACGGCATGTTTCTGCAACAGCTTTCAAACCAGACAAGCTACGTAACTTTACCCGGTTCGTCAGGGACACCTACTGAATTTGGCCTATGGTCTGTACTTCGGTCACAGTTTCCCGGGGTACAAGACTTATCACAAGAGGGGGGTCAGGGTGATCTCAGTATCTGGCTAATCTACTCGAACCTCAATGAAACCACGAAGTTCACCTTCGATTGCAAGAACAACGATACAGAGATGAATATCACAGCACTGATTGCTCCCTTTGCAGGTGGCACTACTGTCAAGAATTTGTTCTACCCGTTCGATGAAGTCACACTGGAAGATTCGGCACGTACCTTGGGTATCAATGGCTCTACCAGTCCCAACGGCTGTGTCGCGAGCCTCGATATGCCGCCTTATGGCTTTAAAGCCTATGTGCCAGCCGAGAACTGGGTGGGGTTGAAGCCTATGATGACCAAGTTCAGTCCTGGACACGATACAAGAATTAACTCAACTGTCGCCTTTGGCGGGTCAGAAGACGTCGATGTCGAATTACAATTTTCAGCCGAGATGGATTGCGACAGTGTTACAAACAGCATTACCTTCAACTCGACCACGGAATCTGGCAGGACTCCATCCATCGACACTAACAGTGTGGAGTGCAGCACTATTACAGCAAATCTCAACTTGACATATGTCGGCTACATCCCGTCAATGTGGTCCTGGAAGGCAAAATTGACAGGCGTCGAACACGGTGTTCACGCTCTCACAGTGTCCTCTCCAGCGGCAGCCAGTGGCGGCGTGGGCACGAACGCTACTGACAAGCTGCTCTTCCGTATCGGTCAAATGAACAATCCTGTCATTTTCCCTCTACATGCCAACTATTCGAACAGCCTGGTCACCAAGAACAATGGTCAGCTAACGGTTCATCACCACGCAGCTGGTGCAAGCCTGTGGCGATACTCGACCAATTGGGGCACCACTTACAGCGATTGGACACCCTACAGAGGCGGCAACACTACTATCGAGAGGCAGCCTTGGACTGGTACAAAATTGCAAAAGTGGGAAGGCGATCACGTTCGAGTCGAATACTACAGTCCTCTAGTCGGCCAGAGTGACATCGTGCAGCAAGGCAGTGTTGACACAAAGATCAAGCAAAGACGATTTCCACATTTGTTCTGGAACGGACCCTACAATCAATACGGTTACGACGCTGGCCTCGAAAACAAGATGGTTCAGACCGATGACAGCACATGGGAACATCATTTCATGACAGAATGGTTGCAAAAGGGAGTGCTAGCACAGATCAACGTCTGGGGCATCAATCCTGACGGCAAACCTGATCAATCCTTTGTTTTCGGTGATATCGACCAGGACTCTATACTCGACCGATTGCCTCCGTCCTCTCTCTCCTCAGTCGCGTTGAACATCACTCAAGCTCCTCCTAGGCCAAACTTGGGCTGGAAAATCATCCTCAATGACGGCATGTTGAAGTTCAGACTTATACCTTCAGGTAGTATGTGGCCTCAACTTGCGCTGTTCATTCTTCTCTGGATCATGCCGATCCTTTTCGCTGGAGTCGCTGTGTGGCTGTACATGCAATCCTTCTACGGCATCAAATTCAACCAGATCGGTATTGTCGAGAAATCATCGATAATCCCTATGTCTGTCAAGAACATATTTGGGGCAGGCTACAAAAATCTCAATGATGACACCGAAGCACCGCAAAGTCCTGGATCGCACAATCAGAATTTCCTTACTGCTTTCCGAAAAAGGAAGAGTACTTTTTTGCAGACTACTGGCAACCTGGTGTCCACGGACAAACGTAGAATGGTGCTTATCGCTACAATGGAATACGACATCGAAGATTGGGGCACCAAGGTGAAGATTGGTGGTCTAGGTGTCATGGCACAATTGATGGGCAAGAACTTGGCGCATCAAGATCTTATCTGGGTTGTGCCTTGTATTGGCGACATAGACTATCCAGTCGACACTCCAGCAGATCCTATGAATGTCGTGATCATGGGGCAGATATACGAGATCAAGGTTCAGTACCATCAACTGCGCAACATTACTTATGTGCTCCTGGACGCTCCAGTCTTCAGACAACAGACAAAAGCTGAACCATATCCTCCTCGAATGGACGACCTCGATAGTGCTATCTACTATTCGGCTTGGAATCAGTGTATCGCACACGCCATGAACCGGTTTCCAATCGACCTCTACCACATCAACGACTACCACGGGTCTATTGCTCCTCTCTATCTCCTTCCTAGGACCATTCCTGCCTGTTTGTCCCTTCACAATGCCGAGTTCCAAGGCCTTTGGCCTGTCCGCAACAAAAAAGAACTGGAGGAGGTCTGCTCAGTTTTCAACTTACCAGTTCCGGTCACTCAGAGATACGTCCAATTCGGTGAAGTCTTCAACCTCTTGCATTCTGGCGCATCCATTCTCCGAGAACAACAAGACGGATTCGGTGCTGTGGGTGTTTCCAAAAAATATGGTGTTCGAGCATGGAAGCGTTATCCTATTTTCTGGGGCTTAAAGAAAGTCGGTCAATTGCCCAATCCAGATCCCTCCGACACGGGCGCCTGGGACAAGAAGCTGCCAAAAGAATCGGACATCACAGTCGATTCCGAATTCGAGGCGTCAAGAGGAGAACTTCGACGCCAAGCACAGGAATGGGCTGGTCTTGAGCAAAATCCTAATGCTGAGCTTTTCGTGTTCGTCGGACGATGGTCTATGCAAAAGGGTGTCGATTTGATCGCTGATGTGTTCCCGAGTGTCCTTGAAGCGAATCCCAATGTTCAGCTCATTACGATTGGACCAGTCATTGATCTTTATGGTAAGTTCGCAGCTGCTAAGCTCGACAAGATGATGAAAGTGTATCCTGGACGAGTCTTCTCCAAGCCAGTCTTCACTGCACTCCCACCCTTCATCTTTTCCGGAGCAGAATTCGCATTGATTCCTTCTCGAGACGAGCCTTTCGGTCTCGTCGCAGTCGAGTTTGGCAGAAAAGGTGCTCTTGGTGTCGGTGCGAGAGTTGGAGGTCTGGGTCAAATGCCTGGTTGGTGGTATACCGTCGAGTCAGCGACCACATCGCACTTGACACATCAATTCCGAATTGCTATTCAAGAAGCCCTTGCCTCGAAGACGGACGTTCGAGCACTGATGAGAGCAAGATCGGCCAAGCAGAGATTTCCAGTCGCTCAATGGGTCGAAGATCTTGAGATTCTGCAGGGAACCGCCATCAAGATTCACGACAAGGTCGAAGCCGCCCGTCGACATCATTCTGCTGATGGCCAATTTGGGCTCGGACTTGGACTTCCATCTAAACCAGCGTCCGGTGCACAAACCCCATCTGGTGCCCTTACTCCGGGCATGATCAGAAACAAGAGTGCTTTCAGCTTACACGCTCTAAACGAGCGATTAAGCATGGTCAAAGCCAAGGAAGATCAGAACAAGATAAGGAAGAGAAGCACAGGTGGCGGTGGCTCAGGTCTGAAACGACAAGTCTCTCTTGGTTCGAGGCGCGGTCCAGGCCACGTACAAGCTGGTGATCAGCCAAAAACAGTCCAAGCCACTCAGGTTGCTCCCTCACTGCCACCGATCATCGATACAGAGCTGGAAGAATCGCCCTTCCAGATCGGAACTGCGCACTCAACACCAGAAGATGATGACTACCTGGATTACGACGAGAATGAGCAGGAAGACTCAGCAAGTATTTTCAATGACCCGGGAGACTTGGATCGTCCTCTGCCTGGTCAAGTCGGTACTATGCCGCGACAATCGCCTTCAATGACACCCGGCCTTCTTCGTGTACCGTCAGGAAGGCAACAGGACCTGATCTCGCCTCGACTGCCGTCACTAAATGCAGGTCTTGACACACCCGGCTCCGGGGCTATCACTCCACCCACACCAGCATGGGCAACAGATACAGATCGCCACCACTCTCAAGCACCATCGATGCTCAGTGTCAACTCTGTTGTTGGTGATAAGAAGGACTACAACCTGCAGAAAGTTGATCCCTTCTTCACTGACAGCACTGGCGAGTTCTATCGCGAGTTCGAGCATCGGCTGGAAGGCCTCAGTGGCGCCAACTCTGACAAGACATGTATTGAAGAGTTCCTCGTCAAATCTGAAAAGAAATGGTTCGGCTCTTTCCGCGATGCAAAGCTCGGTCGGCTCCAGTATGCTCACAGCTCTCGAAGCAGTTTCGATGTCTCGACAGCAGGACACATCTCCGAGGCAAATCAAGCTGCTGGCATGCTGAGCAACAACGATGGGCACGCCACTGACTCGGATATGGCAAACTACGATGAGCTGAAAGACGAATTTCTGCTGGGTAAGGATTATACTCCGCCAACTGGTTTGTTGAAGTTCATGCAACTGCGAGTCATGGACTGGCCAGTGTACAGCTTCTTCCTAGCCTTTGGTCAAATCATCGCAGCCAACTCGTACCAGATTACGCTTCTTACAGGTGAAGTCGGCCAGCCAGCAGCCAAGCTGTATGTCATAGCTTCGATCTATCTGGTGACGAGTGTGGTATGGTGGATCTTGTTCAGAACCTTCCAGAGCAGGCTTTCGCTCAGTCTGCCTTTCCTTTTCTATGGTATGGCATTCCTGTTCATTGCTATGGCACATTTCTCACCAAGTGTCAACGGCCGAGGATGGGTTCAAAACCTGGGTACGGCATGGTATGCCTGTGCTTCGAGCTCCGGTTCAATCTTCTTCGGCCTCAACTTTGGCGACGAAGGTGGGTCGCAGACGAAGACATGGGTTGTCAGAGCTTGTATCATTCAAGGAACACAGCAAATCTATGTGGTTGTACTGTGGGCCTGGGGATCTTACCTTTCAAAGAGGAATATGCAAGGTCTTCTTGCTAGCGAACCTGTCAGCAGCTCGTGGAAGATCACAGCTATTTGCTTACCTATTGCTTGTATGTTGTGGGCGTGTGGAGGAATCATCTGGTATGGGTTGCCTAGCTACTACCGTCAGCAACCGGGTAACATTCCAAGCTTCTACACTGGCATTACCAGGCGAAAGATTATCCTCTGGTTCTTTGTTACTGTGGTGGTTCAGAACTTCTTCCTTAGCGCACCATATGGACGCAACTGGGCATTCCTCTTTTCAAGCCAGGCTGCACCTACCTGGGCGATTGTGGTCCTTGTTCTAGTCTTCTTCATTGGCATATGGTCTGGTATGCTGGGTGTCTTTATGTATCTGAGTAAGAGCCACTCTTGGATCCTGCCGCTCTTCGCCATCGGTCTCGGTGCTCCTAGATGGGCACAAATCTGGTGGGGAACATCAAACATCGGTATGTGGCTGCCGTGGGCTCCTGGCGGAACTGCCATGTCCTCTGCTCTTCTATCGAGATCTCTCTGGTTGTGGCTTGGCACCCTTGATGCAATTCAGGGAGTTGGCTTGGGCATGATCCTGCTGGTGACATTGACAAGAGTGCATGTCGCGTTCACACTAGTCGCAGCGCAGGTACTTGGTTCCATTGCAACGATGATTGCTCGAGCAAGCGCGCCGAACAGGATCGGGCCTGGCCCAATCTCGCCAGATGTGAGCAAAGGTGTGGGTGAGATATGGCAGGCGTGGTTCTGGATCGGGTTGGTCTGCAATTTAGGTGTCTGCGTTGGTTTCTTCGTGTTCTTCAGGAAAGAACAGTTGAGCAAGCCATGATCACGTTTTCTAGCGTTTATTTTGTTCTGGGCGGTTTAGCACAAACGGCAAACAATATCGGCGTCGTGGTACATGAAAGAATAACACGAACAGGGTTCGGATACTTATAGAATAGGTAATGGCGTTGAAACAAAAGTCGATCACTCGAAAACTGTAGGATCAATTTCTACTTGTCCATAGCTAGTTTACTCATAACAAAGGCGAATGAAGTCTCAATTGAAGCACGAGAAAGTGGAGGGGACGTTGAGCATGCGCGTTTCGTGTCGCGTAAATTTGGAGAACACGATACTCGAGTAGTACCTTCCCCAAAAGGTTCATGAACCTCAAACTCGGCCTTTTCGTTCTTCGACTCGCCAGATGCGTTACTGACAACTACCAAGTTACTGCAGAGTGGCAGCTTGGAATTTTTTGGGCTCGTTCTGATTTTGAACATAGCATCCGATGGCTTTAACAAATTCTAAGTGCTGTTTCACACATTTAAGACGTATTGCTCAAGGTTATTGTCGGTAAGGCTGAACGAAGGTCGTGAGGTGACACAACATGAACCATGACACAAGCTGCAGTCTCCCTGCTCGACTTCACATAGAGCAATCAGCTGGCCTGGTTCTCTGCAGCTAAAGGGTGGTAACAGGGGTTCTTTCTGCGCATCGTTCATCGTTGCTAGCTCAAATCTGCACCATGCAGGTGGCCCCCAGAGAGATCACCCAATGACGTCCAGAAGTTGCAATTGTACTCGATCAGGCTGAATACTCAATAGTGATTCCCAAGATCCTTGTTCGGTTCTCATGCCATGCGCTTATGTGTATCTCGTTTTGCGAACGATATGATGGAGCTCTCCATCTTTTGCTCTTCGAGCGCACCCGAGACCTGCGAGCCGCAACTTAACGCTCTCGCTATACAAAATGCACTTCATCGAGAAATTCCGGGAACTACGACTTGATATCGTCGGTATTGTCGCTATTCTAGGAGAAGGCAGTACATCGCGCAATGCACAAGCTTCAGCCTTATCATGGCACCACATCCTACCTCGAATTTATCCTGCGCCGCAATCGCTACTTAAGCACCATCAGGACAAGCTGCTACCAGTCGAACCTGGTATCGTCGTTGGTGCCATGTCTGGCAGAATTAGGACTGAGCTGAATTTCTTCACTCGCCTATTGCATCCTGATGATCTACCAGATTACTCCGTGCAGATGTTGAAAGTGGACAGGAAATCAAATACAAAAGAGACAGCCACAAAGAACATGGAGTCGTCCAAGAGTAGAAGAACACCTGCAATGGCAGTAAAGAGGTTGGGGCATTTAGCAGGACTCTCGATCCTTGGGTTTTGCATGTCCATAACAATACTAGTCCTCGCCCTCTGGCAGAACGATGGTGCGGCTTTGGTGGCCGACGTTCTCCTATCTCTGTGCTCGAGCTTCGTGGGACTTGCTTCATGGTGCAAATTAGACGTGACAGAGGAGAAACCCCACGAGGACCGGAAGGGTATCGTACCGCTAGGCGATGTGGTAATATTCTACCCTACCACTGGTGCATTCCGTGTCATTCGCTGCACGGACGAGGTATCTAGATTTTATTTCCGGATCGAGAAGTGTACACACTATCTCGGCGATAACATATACAGAGCAATCGCCCTGTTCTCGTCCGCCATGCTCATGGCGGGCTTGATCTCACTCAGTAACGCACAGCTGGTCTTGCAAGCAGCCTTTGCCGCTTCATATATACTCCTCAATGCACTATATTGGGCCTCTTCTGCTCTTAACCCTAGCACGCATGTCTGGCAGCACGACTTCGATGTCAAGGAACTGGGCTTCACAAGGAGAATGATTAAAGATCAAAATGGAAAGATAGTGCCACAGACTTCAGAACTGTCCCCTGCCAGCACTCGAGGTAGATTGACGGCACTGAAACAGGGCTTTGTGTTTCTTAGGTGTACACGTGCGGAAGAAGAAGATGATGACGACGACGGCGAAACTACCATCATGAATCGTTCTTCCCAGCTGTATTTCAACGGTAACTGGAAACCAGATACACAACTTCTGCGTGTGCCAACGGCGGCAGTTGTTGCCCAGCCAGGTAGGCATATATCACTTGCGCCTACGAAACCAGAAGCATTAGGCTGGAATTTCGCTGTCAACATGAACGACATTCTACTTGAGACAATGTCTGCAGCCGTAGTGGGCGCCACTGAAGTGGTTCGGCATGTCGGTATTGACCCTGAACGAGGAGGAAACACAGCTATGCCTGCCACGAAGAAACCAAACACGGGCATGACTTCAGCATTGTGGACAGTCATAGCATTGACTGGAGGCAGTCACTGGGCTCGCAGCACGAATATAGCCCCCAATAATGCAGTCTGGTAGGCTCTTTTCTGCTAAGAGCGACCGTGAGCTGACCACTTAGGGACCAATGGCTTCTCGAAGCACAAAGACAGGCCTCAGCAAGATGGAGCAAAAGTCAAGGACGCTACGTCCCGCCCTGTATCCAGTGGGTTAGTAAAGCCGGCAAAGAATGGATCCAGATCCCAGAATGGGATTATCAAGGTCGACTAGGGGCACTGTTTAGAAAGAATGTCGAGGCACAAAGAGCCGCATGGACAACGATCACGCCAGCCGAGCATGCAAAGCAAGTAACGGCTAGATTACGATGGAATTTGCGTTGTGTTATTTCGCTGCGTATCCTTTGTAACAGGTGGAAGAAGAGGAGGCAGGTTCGCGCGTCCACCTTGAATTTCGATGCTAGTGCTAGCACGATCTCTGGAGCGAACACAGTAACTTGATTGTTTACAATCCATTCAAATCCATTCTGTGTGTTTTACTTTGTATATAGCTAAGGACGACTTGATGATGGCAGCAGAAATTCAATTGTGCAACAGTCGGTTCTCCAATCAGAAATGTTGGAGGCTTCAAATGAGTAGTGCGGAAATGGTATTGTGAACCAACTTCTGGTCATCCAACTCTTTTGACCTACTATAATTAACACTTCTCATGACATTCAGTAGTTGGGTATTGCGCTTAGACGCTCATCGAAACTGAAGCTTGCCATGACGAGCACCGAACACCGACAACACGATCAAGCACCGAGATGCGACGTGAATGGACCATATGCAAACACTGTATTCCTGCAGTATACCGCTGCGACACCGCTAGGATTATCACATGCTGCCAGAAAAAAACCGGGCATGATGATCTCCTGGGGTAAAGATGAAGTCAGTGAAAAGATACTTCTCAGGTTGCTTGTGCTACTCGAGAACAGAGGTTGGTGTGGCAGTGGCTGGAAACCATGGTGACGGAAACTAACTGAAGCAAGCAAAAGTCGTGCCCACTTGGCTGCCCCAGCCAAGGAAGGATGGGGTCATTTCCTTCCTGCTTCAGGATTTCGAGTTGAGCCATGTCAAGGCAAGTGCAAAGGTTGGCATGCATAGTGGTGGATAGTGTGGCAGGTGCAGCTTGACTTGATGCTGGTGTTCCAAGCAATTTCCGACGCCCAGTTCTGAGACTTGCAGTTGCAACGACTCTGACTCTGACTCTGACTCTGCCATATTTCGTCTCGTCCCTTCTTGTCGATGCTCTTGTCCCGCATCATCAGTGGCCTCCGCTAATCACCTGCTTATTCGATCTTTAGTATTCTATCATTCACTTTGAAGAGAGCGTAGACTCGGCTTACACCCTCACTAATATCGACGATCTTTAAGGCGCAGGGGCCGCAGCAAGGTTATTTCCCTGTTCTCAAGCTCGTGACGACCGCGTGTTATTTCTGGTTGCTAGTGCATGCGCACCGTCAATCGCTGAGCACTGATCTTCTGCCACGAGTATCGAACTGTTGTACCTGCGACATAGCCGTATCACAATACCAGCCGCTTCGAGTACCTCGCGATCCTACCACTGAATACCTGGCCGAAACACATCCACCAGCCATCACTCTCGAACACTTGTCGTATGCACAACCAGAATCATCGTTGAGGAGCCAGAGTCAACATGGGGTCGACACAGTTTGGCAACTTCCAAAACTTTTGCCGCGATTCGACACTACCTATATGTAACGTAAGCTGCTATTTCGCCCATAGCACATTTAACCACGCATACTAATAAACTGAAGATACTCATTCCGCGAGGTGAAGCGAATCAACCGCCTGGCCAAGCCTATCTCGGCATCGACGCTTGTGTCTTACAAGGCATCGGCCTTGGTGGAAACAGGAACCTAGCCAACCTCGGGGCCATTCTCGTCGATGGTCTTGCAATCCTCACAACGTTGTTCCTGCTATGGAGATCAGAACGGAAAAGAGCAGCGGTCGGAAGAAGAGAGATGCAGCTATTCCTGCTTGGCTTCTTGATAATATCAATCTGCGACATCTTCACGGTTGGTGGCTTCCCACTCAACGACAACGTCCGCCGTGGTTTCACTGCGGCACATCTAGCAGCGATTGCTGCGACATTCTGGATTCTGATGTGCAACGGTCTGGTGGGCTACCAGTTGATCGATGACGGGACGCCACTCTCAATCCTGCTAGTCCTGGGAAGCGCAGCCGCAGTCTTTGTCGGTACAGGATATGTCGCTCTGGACACAGGATTCAATTTTACAGGCTACTTTGCAGACGAATCATACGGTCCCACGCACAGGAACATCGCCCTGTATGTGCTGTATCAGCTTCTACCCCTGATATGCATCTTCATCTTTTTTATACTTGAGGCTATCCTCGTGCTGCGAGTGCTTCAAGAAAAACGACCGATGATTTGGTTATTCGGAGCAGGACTACTGTTTGGCATAGGACAGGTCTTCCAGTATGTCATTTCGATACATATCTGCAGGCCACTGGATGGGAAAATTGACGGAAACTTCTTCCAAGCACTGTTCAACCTGTTATCGGTAGTCATGATCTGGATATTCTGGTCGTCGATCACCGAAGACGACTGGCCAGTGGCTTAGAGATGCGGTATGAAAAAAAGGTCGTTCGAAAGAACAGAAGAGGGAAGGCCAACGACGCTACGAACCATTTCAGCGAGGCGTTTGTGGTAAATCCTGGTAAGGACTCACGCCTAATGTATATCCAGGTCTAATGGAGTCGATCTCCACAATTGTCGAAACTGTTCATAGAAAATTGTACCAGCTGGCGCAATCCTAGCAATGTACATGCAACTAATGTAGTACAAATTAGATGAGATCAAATCTTGTATCACATATGAAATCCAGAGGCTGATACTTCCTGTATCCACTGGTAGAAAGACGCGTGTCTGATTAGACTTGCACTGTTCCCTTGACAAACACTAACCTGCATGCTTTGTCTGTCGTACAGATATGGGCTATTCTTCATTTCCAAGTCGAGCATATACTGTACGATCCCTTCACTTGCAGTGGTTGATGCCTCGATTACCGGGCATCAAAGATGCCCCGAAATGACCTGCATTAGTGGTGCCTGGGCTGCATTGATCGACAGCCGGAGACAAGCCGAGAGTTAGTGACCAGGGACCTGCATACCAATAAGATCGCTCTCTCAGCATGCAATATCTACCATTTCCACCTTCACTCGAGGTAATCATTCAACGATCATTTGGCACACTCTTTCTTGACTTTCTGCTTAGCGTGTTCTCACCGAACTGTCACAAATCCTATGCTCGACCCTTACAATAGGAAGAGCGCCACTCTTCGTTGCCACATGTACCACCGATCGACGTCATAATGGCAAGTGCAATCGATAGGACCAGCTTGCGCAAACAGACACGAAGGAAGCGTACCTCGTACCGTGAGCCAGACAGTGACCCTGAGGGCGAGTCTGACTTTGAGGCACCACCTCCGCGACGATCACTCCCCGTTCGAGCTGTGCGAGCCTTTCGAGATGCCTACCACGCCGCAGAAGATGATAGCGAATCCTCGAGTTCAAATGAGGAACTTCCACTACCTACACGATCGAGTGCCCGGTCACGACTGCCGAAGCGCCAGACTCGGAGTACTGCTGCAGCAAGTGCGAAGCGGAAGGCACTGAGCCAATCGACTGCTCCTCTTCGCAACACCAGTTTTCAGAACTTCAAGAGACAGAAGACTTCACATCCCGTACCACTCAAAAAACTTATCATACCAGTCGTCAATGTACCACGGCATGGTCGCATACCCGAATGGCAAAACCTGCCCTACTATGTGCTAGTGAAGGTTATGCAATATGCTGCTTATCCTCTATACATTGGTGCTTCAAGAGATACTGGCTCTGCTCGATGGTTACTCAGTACAAGTCAACTATGCACATCTTTTCACGATGCCTGTATAGGCGCTTTAATGTACAACCCACCTATATTTCCTGCCCACCGTGCGAACTGGCTTGTCGATCTACTCAAAGCAAGCGCTCGAGATTACGATGTTAGCGCCGAGCGCACCTCTGCCATAAGCAGGAAGAAGTTGTCATTGGATTACAGACCAAAAGTGAAGAGTTTGGACATTGAGGCTAAACAGATTCTGGTTAAGAAAGCTGGCATAGATCTTGAAGAGCTGCTGAGATACACTCCCTTGCTGAAGAAATTGCGCATCTACCACAATTACGATGCATGGTCGAAGAGATATACTTGGGCTTTGCCTTCACATGCTCGGTCTGCTGGTCGATGGTCATACGGTAACCTCTTTCAAGTCCTCGATCAGAACAAGATCGTCCTCGACACCTTTGAATGGAACGGCAGATTCCTGTTGGAGGATCCACTTCTATCTACCTTGCACGATGTGTCTCTGCACTCCAAGTCCTTGAGTCGCCTCCGTTCGCTGACTATGCGCAACCTCAGCCTACCAGATATCGCTGTCCTGAACGAGACGATTGCAAGAGACAACATTCCGCCGGGTCAAGATGGTCAGGATGTTGACAATAAACCCGCGCGCTTGATCAGCTGGAGAAGAAAAGTAATTGCAGCATTGCAAGCATCTTCCGAGCTGAGAGAGGTCGCGTTTCATGATTCCAACATTATCGATGATGAGACCCTGAAAGAATTCCCTTCTGGTCTGCAAAAGCTGGAGGTATGCGATTGTGCTTGGATTAAGAGTGAAGGTTTACAAGATTATCTTCGAACCAAAGGCATCAGCCTGACCACTCTTGTACTTCAAGGAAACCAGTCAATGAGCTTGTCCTTCATGAGCAATCTACAGACAACAGCACCACGTCTTCAAGTGCTCGAGGTCGATTTGACCTATCATGATCCTACCAGCTATAAGGACACCGAACCCCTATTCGACGAGTTGATGTCTGCTGGTCGACCTTCATGGCCTTCAACATTGCAATCAATCACCATTGGTCCTTTGCGGAACCTTACAGCCGAAGACGCAGAGAACTTTTATCAGTCTCTCGTCGACGCTGCCGTTAACCTGCCTTATCTTCGAGTACTCCAGCTGAGGACAATCCTTAATGTCTCGTGGCGAGATCGAGCTAGCCTTCGACAGAAGTGGGCTGGCCTGTTCGACAAAACCTTCCATGTCAATTCCAACCACGATGTTTCTCCACCCTCAGCTTCCAGTTCAGATTCTGAGAGGTCAAGTCGTAAGAGCAGTCGACTCACCTCAGCGCCACTCAAGCCGAAGCAGTTCAGTATCGCAAGATACCAAGGCAGATGCCACACCCTACTGTTCGAGCTCAGCGATCAGCGGCCGGCCCAAGACCAATACACCGAAGGTGACTTCCTTGATATTGAGCCGGAAGAAGACGAAGATGGGGAGTGGAATGGCAAAGATATTGCGCTGCCAGCATATTCAGCTCGACGATATGCTTGGTAGTGATGAGCCGCAAGCGAGATGTGAGATTAACGAAGATGTATGGAGATATAACACTTGGCTAGGATATGTATCAAATTTGCTGATGTACGATCAGGTGTAAATGGCTAGGATGGCAGGCGTTCTTTTGCAGGCCCGGATCATGGGATGGACAGCAGCATAGGTGCAATTGGCGCAAAGGCTTCACAACATCAGGAAAAGCCGCCTTTGGCAGATCACGAAACGACAAAGTTGCTGTCTGAAAAGGTCGATTAGGATGTTTCAGGTGAATACATATCATGCAGCAAAACTGTATATAAATAATACTAGCTTCTTGAAAAGACAATCAATAGCTTTTGAATCATGACATTCGTTCCGCTGTAGCTCGAGACGTATTCAGACTGTGCCATACTCAGGACGTGTTTCTTGTACCTCATGTCCTTCACAGCTCCTATTTAACAAGCTGGACCTCTCAACCACAAAGCACCTGGAAATGTACTGTAGAATCATGGCGCACCGCTACCGTCTACCTGGATCGTACGTCGTATCCCATTGAGACGAATAATGATACGGTCCAGGCGGCGACGTGATTTTACTATACCCATGTCGGCCACTGATACCAAGACCATAATCACCTTGAGCCTGGTGATATGAAGGCTGAAACGGGGACCAGAACGGCTGGCTGGGAGGAGATGGGGTAACTTGCTGAGAGAAATCAGAATGGGATCCTGGTGTACTGTAGATGATCTCGTCGGGTTCGATTACTTCGCGTGTTGTGATGGATGAAGTCAGGCTTTTTGATCTGTATTGTTGGTGTTGATCCTGGTCAAGTTTCGTCAGTGGTGTGATATCTGAAAAGAGCTGATCACTAGACGAAATCGATGTGCGCAGTTTATGCCGAGCTTTTGTCCTGGGAGATTCGTTCTCGGTCTTGAGGGTCTGCAGCATCCAGTCGAGTTTACTCTGGGGTGTTTTCTCGAGACGTTTGAGGTTGCAGAGGAGGAAGAGCCAGTAGTTTGTTATTCCAACGAGGACGGTCAGAGTCATTACGGCGCAGACGATGAGACACGTCATGGATACTTGAGCGGCACGGACTTGCACGTCGATCGTGCGGACAGTCTTTGGTTTCTCCTTGTCAGTGACGTTGTAGTAGATCGTGCCGGCTGTGTCTTTGACGACTTGGTAGGCTTGGTAGAAGGTCACGAGCTCGCGGCCTGTGATTGGGGTTAGAGGAGCGTTGGCGGCGGATTCTCTGCGCATTCTGCCGGCGTAGAATTGGGTGTAGGCTGCTGCTACGCGGTCGAGAGAGCTGATGTCGGGACTTGCTCCCCATGTGTCTAGGTCGTGGCCGGTGCGCAAATCAAGGTCTCTTTTTAGTTCACACGTTGCGCTAGTGTAGGATGCTGCTTGGATTGGTCCTTTGCTCCATTCGCAGCTCGTAAGTCCGTCGTCGAAGCTGGAATTTCGAGGCACGCCTTGTAAGTGAATTGCGACAGTACGCATTCGCATGAAGCTGGTGACGTTTATGTTGTCCCGGAGTTCGTACTTTGGGATTTCGAGACCATGTGCGAACAAAAGTACGTCTTTGACTGTGTCTTTGGTCTCAGACCAAGTGATCCCGTCGTTAGTATAGTAAGCATAGTCAGAGTCTTCGGTTTTCCAGTCCCGCCAGTTGTTGTATATCAGAGGCCACTGTCCCCACACACCATCTGTACAGTCACTTGTGACGATCCTCGTGTCAGGAACAGGTACTGACTCATTGTATACACACTCCATATGCCAGCTGCTGTTCCATTGCTCATTGTTGTATTGCCAGTTACTGACAGGGTTCGGCCAGAACTCGGCCAGTTTGTGTTGAGGAAAATTGGCCTTTTCAAGAGCTTTGAAAGTCTCGCTAATGTCGAGAATGTCGTATAGTAGACTAAAGGTATCTCGCATAGCAAGACTTCCTTCGACTTGTCGCGGCACAATAGTCAACACACTCCGAGTAGAGAATCGAGCGAGCCATCCTGATGCTAAAGTGCAAAGTGTCAACACCAGCACGAAGACGCACTGAAACAACAGACTGCGATATCGACTCGTCAAGATCTCATGTCGTAACAGCCAGATAACATCGATAGCCTCTCCGATGGTGTTCAGGCTGAGAAGGGCATGTGCTGGGATGTCTTTTTGCCTTGCGACTTTTCGTGCCGCAAGTAGCCAGAAGTGACGCACCAGCACAAAGACGCTGGCAGCGCACAAGAAAGCGATAATGACATTGAGCGCGGCTTGCACGTCTTGAAGCTTCCACTCTGGCGGTAGGGTGATCCAGGGTGTGTATGCCATCGTACGAAAAACGTGATTGTTATGTTCCTAGAAGTAATCAGTAATTCCTACGAGTACGGCATAGCTGCGAATATCCAGAAGATACATGACTGGGAATTAGAGAAGGTGCTCGTCGTCAAGGATAAGAAGTAAAGCTGTGCTTATCCTTCGAATGAGCGAATATAGTTGATCGGGCTGAATCGACCATTTCCGACCCGCTGCGATACCAACCAGCGAGCTGGAAAGAGCATCTGGATCATCGTGGCAGGCAAGACCAACGCTTTCGAGCTTAGTATCACGCTACATGCGATGAAGATATTCTATCATTTGATGTGAAAGCGAGGAGCTGGAAGAAACGCCCAATTAACAGGAAGGGAAAACGCCCTAAATATGCAGGCTCGCTTGTAAAAAGTCTTGGCCAAGAAGCTTGCAGTATCGACCCCACGACCAGCTGTTGGTAGTGAGTACAAGGCATCTACAAGCTCTCTTGGACGGGCATGTCTGTTTTGAACGGAAAAGCTTGCCGAACATAACCATCAAACTCGCGTGAAGGACAGGTACGAAACTTGAATAGTAGGCTAGAATTTGTCGGGGCCGTTGGGTAATTGGTCGACCAATCATAGAATCGCAGATTGTCAAGCAGCCGCAATGTCCTCATGAGCAACACAAAGTAGATTCACTCGTGAACGAAGTAATTCGATTTTGTACAGCTCTATAAACCCCCTCACCGCCGCTGAGAAAAACTGCTCGGAGTTTGCTGTAATATGTGTTTACACTTTCAGACCAATATCTGCAGCCCATGGACTGTGGAATTGTTAGCGAAGGCAAGACAATTTTTGGGCACCGAATACTTACAGAACGAACAGATCACCAACAGAAGAGACAGAAGCCCTCTGCTCGAGCAAGGACTTGGCAGCCTAGTAAGTGTTAGCAGAAATTGGCCGAGAGGCAGACTTTGTCGCTTACCGATTTGACTTGATCTGGAGTAACCTTTGCAATTTTCTGACCCAGCTCGTCGATTTGATATGGCTGGCTGTTCAAGATGAGACCCATTCCGGTTGCCTCGATACCGGCTTCCGTTTGCTGACCTTCGGAAAGAGCTCGGAATCTGGCTAGTGCAGTCGCTTTGGCGATGTCCTCGTCAGTTACATTTCCAGAAGCAACAGACTTTAAAGTGTCGACAACAGCTTTTGATGCCTTGGCGATATGCGATGAAGTACCGGTTATAGTCACAGTAAGCAGACCTGCATCTGAATAGGCATGATTTCTCGTTGTAACGTGCGCGAAAGGAATGTCGGCAGTGGCTTTCGACAACATAGAGAAACCAGAAGACCATTTAATGGAGCTTTGTCCACCAAGTAAGGTGGCCAGAACCTGGATCTCAGGCTTGAAGGATTGACCTGAGGTGAAGGAGCTGGAACCTGGGAAAGCGAGGATCATAACGTTGCCAGAAGCGTGCGCAATTCGTTCTTCACCACCGTAGTATTTGGTTGGCTCTTCGTTGAGCTTGTAGACGTCACTACCACTTTTTGTATCCTGGAAGAATTCCTTGACCCATTTGGCGAATTCTTGGTGATCAGCACCATTGGCGACCACAGCAATATTTTTTCGTGAATACGCGACATCGGCAAAGTCAGCGATTGCTTGGGCGTCGAGATATTTCTTGAAGGGTGAAGAGGAAGTGGCATTCGTCGGTGTCCCTAGTCCATGGTGGAAAGCGACTCCGTGTACACTGTTGATTGCCAGGTTCGCAGGCGATCCCAAAAGACCTTTTTGATCTAGCTTCATGACATGCTCGACCTCTTCGGACAGCTCGTGAGCAGTGAAGCGTGTTTTAGAGATGACCTCTCCCATCAGTTCGGTAAAATAAGGGAGATCCTCCTTCATAAATCTAGCACGTAGCACAAGCAATTCTCGAGTATGGTTGGCAGACAGTTCACCGCCTAAGAGTTCGGATTCTCGTGTTATCCTAAGAGCAGATCGCTTGTATGTTGACTGTCCCACCCGTTAGTCACATCCTTTCCTATCTTTTATTTCTCTTCGCGAACCTTGAAAGCGAACTTTTCCAGAGCGTCGGAGAAGGCAGGAGAGGGCTGGTATCTCGAGCCAGCCTTTGCGACTACAGCCAGAGTTGTTGTGGCTGCAGGAAGATCTCTGCTGGCATATTTGACTCCCGCAGCATCTCCCGTCTCGTAGGTGAAGCTTCCTGAGGCTGGTGCTGCGAAACCTCTTTTCTGTACTAGCTGTTTAATAGGCTGAGCGGCTCGAAAAGCTCGCGGAGCCACGGCCGAGGGCGATACCATGGCGTGTATATGTGGTTGAAGTCGTATGATCGAGTCTTTGATCGTGAAAACAGCTCCAAGTGCAGCTGCTCTGAAGTTCCGTTCTGGCAGCTGCGTCGACAGACGCTAATTCCAGATAGTGCTAGTTGCGCCAAGATCCTGCGTGCCTGGTTCTCCTGACTCTACTCCGGCAGTCTACACAACCTCGAACGCTATTCTGTCTGCCTCTTAACCAATGACTGTCACTCATTTCCACGATTCAATGCAAGTATTTCTGAAAACACCATGACTACGTCGCCGGTGAGATTTGCCTTTTCTCTCGTGCTCTTTATCTTCTGACGATAGCACAGAATTTCAAGCATCTTTGTTGCGAACTGGTGGAGGACTACTATGGCGATTTTTATCGCACAATTTTCGAATGTCTAGCGTCGGCAAGGTTCACTGCACCACAAGTCGCCCAGAAATGTCATCTACCTCTTCGTCAGGCCAGAGCAGGCCTGGCAGGTCTCGTACAATTACGCATGGTTTATCATCATACTCCACGTGATGCTGCCACTGTCTATTCGGCAAATTTGACCAATGCTTACGATATCATTCGAACTGGGCGTTTGGCACAGGAGGCTGCAAGAACCCATGGCGATCTAGCAGCTACTATAGTTGCTACTGCATGTGAATTGGGCTTTTCAACGATCAATGAACTTCGAGATCGTGTTCTGCTTGGAATGGATTCGGACGAAGATTCGAAGGACGCTTCGACGGTCGACAAGCTTATCAGCAAATTGCTTGATGACCATTTTCTGGCTCATCTCAGGAAAGCGCACTTTGGTGAAGTACACGACGTCAGACGTGAGATCGAACTCAAATTGCTGTCTCCTGCCGCAATCGCAAAACTCACTGGCACGAAAGCCAAGCAGGAACACCAGGAAAATATCAACCGTAACTACGACAGTGTCGTGACCACATCTACCTCCGAGCACGGCTATACTAATGGCCATTACCTGCAATCCCATCGTCAGCAGAATGGAAACGGCATGGAAGGAGTCATCATGAATGGCCATCACACCACGGCGAGCATTTTGATACAACCCAACTTCTACAAGATCGTTGAAATTGCACAGATTGAGGTAGTGGGTGACCAGGCTCGCAAGACGTTTGGCAAGCGTGGTGCAACCATACTAAAGTGTGCAATCCGCCAGGCAGCAGTTCCCGACATTTGGTCAAAACCTCCACCTTCTGAAATGCCCTCACACCAAATTAATACCTACAAACTCCTGGAAGAGGTCAATGACGAGCAACAGCGAGAAGGGGGCAGATATATGTCTCATACTAATGGCACGTTGATCAACGGAAACGGCAACCATCATAATTCTGAAAGTGCTCCTGAAGTCTCAGTGGACGATCTAGAAAACGAACTGATGCTGCTAACAGAATCAATATTCCACTCTTGGCTTGAGGACGTCGGCCGCTCAACATATCAGATTCATAAAGGACCTCTTGATCTTTGGACACGCACAGAAGAAATACTCCGTATTCTTGACAGCCGTCTCGACCCACCAGCGCCTCGAATACTACGCATATTAATCGACAAAGGGAAACTTGAGGAAAGAACACTTCAGGAAATTGGTCTATTAGGCGCGAAAGAACTGCGGCAGAGTCTGTCGATGTTGAAACAGATGGGCTATCTAGAGCTTCAAGAGGTTCCTCGAAACCCGGCAAGGCAGCCGAACCAGACAGTGTTCCTGTGGTCTTACGAACAGGCGCGTGTTGCGACATTGACGCTCGAACACATATACACAGCTATAGTCAGATTACTACAGCTACTGAAGCTGGAGAGAAAGAAGTTAGCTGGCACCCTGACAAAGATTGAACGGGAAGACGTAAAAGGCAAAGAGGAGGAGATGCTGGCGCCAGGAGAATTTATCGTCTTGAGCAGGTTCAGACGTGTAGAGAGCTGGGTTTGGGGCGAGATTCAAAGGCTGGATTTCAGCGTGGCTATACTAAGAGACATATGAATTTCATGATAAGGCTACCTAAAGACTGATTGCAGAGTGTTCGGCGTCACAGAGTTCAGCCTCTGATGTTGAGCGCTCCGCCCAATCCCAACAGCTGTGGTCGAGCAAGTCGGCGAACAGGTTGCCGCATCTATTCGCATGGTCATCTGCTAGGGTAGCAGAATTTACAGCTGAAAGGGCAAACTGAGGTTCTGGATCGCTTGCAATCAACGAGGCGAATAGTAATAGAAGCTGCCGTCGTATTTACTGCTTTCCCTATGTCGTCGAACAGATAGGAACTTCACTTAAGGCATCTTCAGTAAGGCATCATTTTCTTGGCTGCGCTTCGGGATGCCGCAGCTCAGTTTCCCAGACGTTCAGTTGCTCCGTAGTAGTGACTCTGCTGCAGTTGATCAAGCTCTCTTTCACTCTCCTCCCACTATACGCGCAGCGCTTCACTGACAATCCGAAACACAAAGTCAAGATGGCGTTCGCATGGAAAGCTGCTGGCATCACGTATGTATAAGAGGACTTCAACTTAAAAACTGGAAGCTAACAGGCTGATGGTTACAACAAATACCTTTCTATTGCGAGCAGAGTCGTCCGACGATCGTTAAAAGAGGGACCAAGACTACAAGCTGAGAGAAGAGGTGAAATGGACCTCCGGTTTGCTAAGTGGTCGGTTAGTACACAAGTGACTTCGAAGCAGGAAAGCAGGTGCTGATACGTAATAGAATGGCAAGCAGGGCGAGAACAAGAACTTAGGCGAGGCGAACGCAAGCGCGATGGCAGAGCATGCTGAGAAATAGGTTCCAAGAAGTCGGAGAAAGAAGCATGGCTGAGAACAAAACCTCCTTGCGAGCACTGTAAACTTGTATAGGTACAGCTTTGAAGCTGGAAATCACAACCAATCAGGAGTCCTTCGGAGAACCACCTTTTTCAGCCCGCATGCAACTTCAAGCTTAACATTTTGCGCTGCAGTCAAACATTTGTTACACAACACGAACAATATACGCACCACGCGGTGGCAGGCTAATACTGTAAAATGTGTTAATTGCCGATGCAGCAAGTCGTGCTGACTACTCTTCGTTGAGATGCGGAGAAAATCTAGAGTCGCTTAATGTTAGAAGAACAAAACAATGATTACTCACGATATCACCGCTCAGTTCCACTCAGCGACGCGCCGTAAGCCAGGAGTCCACAGCTCTTCGAAGCTGCTAATTCCTTGAAGATGTCACTGCTGGCACTTTGGTCAAAGATGATCACTTTTCCTTATTTGAGGCCGTTGGGGCTCTCGAGGTCAGCTAAGCATCAGCCTCGATCGATAGCAAGACTGATGTTTGACCAGATTGGAGATCCCAAGATGGATAGTGGGTGTCTCGAGCCAGGAGAGTCCCTTGATCAGGAGTTTGATATGACAAAAGATATTCTTCCCGAAGAACTAATCTGGCTTATGGATGAATTGCTAAATCGAGAGGTCTGTCTAAACTCGCCTCGACATCCTCCCAGCTTACCTGATATAGGTGGCATGGCTGATGGGCTATCCATTATCTCAGACACTCTTCACCTCCGTTCATATCGACCGCTTACTCTGGCCAGATCCGAAGGTACTCGATGACTGCACGTTCGTTCGTGGGCGTCCAGCTGAGACACTGACTCTCTGCCACACTGCTCTTCGAGCCTACTGTTTGTTACTAATCAAGTCGTGTGACCTTGTGCTTAGTACAGTTACATCGCAGCATTACTATGAGGCAAGCTTGGGAGTCCCGCGTCGTGTTGTGTCGAGCTAATCTGTGATAGGAAGAGGACTTTACAACACAACTCTTCAACAGAGAATTACTTCACAAGTTTGCTGGGGAGAGTATCTCGCAGATTGCCTTCGAAGCATTAATCGCTGTGGGCGAGTCTCAGATCAACCCACAACTTAAAGATGCTATATCTGCTCGCCTCGGGTTTCGACACGAGGTCTTGGGTATGTTGATGAAACATACAAACAGTGAGGCACCACCAAGTTCTCACACCACGACGATGCATCAGTCTCTTGACGCACAACAGAAGAGTCAACCTCTTAGCAAACCTGTCTCCGAAGCTTTCAGCACTAAACTACAACGGCGCCTTGCGAGCACGGTACCTCCACGTCCTATGGTGACTGTGTCTATGGACCAAGCGTGGAACTTCTGGCATCAAATGCTTGACGATTGCAGCAATATCTTCAGCGTTCGACAAGCGACTCACAGCCAAGACCTATATATTGCTTACCAGATCTTCGCATATAGCTCACCACAGCCTTCAACATATCCTCGTGCTTTGCTGCAAATGTTCTTGACTAACGAGAATCTTGTTGGCTCTCGAATTGAGCCTTCATATTTTCTCGAGGAAGACATACGATCGTTGACTTTGCCAGCGTCACAGCTTCTTAGAGTTGCCAATGGCACATACGGGAGGTTCTGTCATGGCAATCAGAGAGTTGCGGATGCAATGCAAGAGTTCATTGATAGATTCGAGCACAACTTTGTCAACCTATACCGGGCGTTGTGCCTGAACAGCTGTCGCATGCGAAGAACCTTCTGTCACGCACTACTCGAATGGGACAACTTGCAGGCTCAGGTCGAAGAACTAGATGCCATCATACAAGAGGCGGTACACGAACAACGTACGCCATACCTGCCAGGCTCACCACCTACCTTCTCATTCAGTCTGAGTAGCTGGATTTATCACCACAAACTGAACATTCTTCAGCTCACAATTCAGATGGGCTTCGAGCTAGCAATCTATGCTCCCCACGAACTTGCAGGCATGTACTGGTATCTGTCGAGTATATGCGACATCCATCTTAGCCATCTCGAGCGCATTAGCCACTTCGTCACTGCTAAGGATACTGAGGTCAAGCGATCAAAGATGACGCCGGCAGTCAAAGAGAAAGCCATCAAAGAATGTAAGGATGCGCTAGACAGGCTATACAAGCAATATGCTTGGATCAAGGCCACGCAGTTGCTCGCAGGTACTATGCATGGTATCTTTGTCGTTCTGCAGCGTTATGGTGTCTTCGTCAATCAACAACCACTATACTCCTCAGACATGATGCGGTACGAGATCCGCATGAAGCCTTTCTTGGGCCTCTCGATTCCAGAACCTCTCTCGCATGACGACTCTGAAAGAGAAGTACAGATGCAGAACATCGATACTGAGGAAATCCTTGATCAGGTCACAGGTTTTAGCGCCGATGCAAAGAAGGCTTGGGAGGAGGTATCCAAGACGACATGGAACATGTTCCCGATCACGAACGATGTTAACCATGCTTCTGTACTGACCGAAAGACGGACGGCTGATTTGAAAGATTGTCTCAAAGCGGCAATAGCTGCTAGCCTTTGTGTATTGTCACTTAAGAAAGCTCTGAAAAATGATGCATGGAAGGAGAAGGCACAAAAGGAAGCAAGACTGCCTGCGCCAGGTGTCAAAGGTCGATGGCATCGATGGTGGATACTGCCTGCTTTACCTCCTGTCTGATGAGTTATTATCAACGAGCTTAGCAGATGGCCACCCACTCCAGCCGCAGCTGAATATGGTGAAGTCTGAGCTGGCTCGAAGCCAAGTGAACGTGCTCAATCGTACATTTCTCGCTAGGCCTAATGTCCTTCAAAGACACTCGCAAGCACAGTATACCATGCTATTCATCATTACAAGGGTGGTCGAGCTTGCATCAAACTACCAGCCGTAACCTTTCAGTCTAGGACTGGCCACCACAGCTTTCCATGCAATCGTGCTTCGTAATCCAAAGATTGTAGATCATCCTGCATTCTGAAAGTAACATCCACATAGTAGCCTCGGATACAAGTGGGTTATCTCGAAACCCTGAGGGAACCCGGGAAAAGCTTGGCCGAAACTCGCCGGACATAAATCTATTTAACGCCGAAAGATTTTTGTTGCGACAGACACTGAAACAGCATTTTTGGACGTTTCTCGGCGCTTAAGCAAGACTTCAGGAATTGAGTCACCTTGTGTGCTGTATCATGGCGTCAATCTACAAGCGAGCCTCGAAAGCGCAAGCTGAGCAGGACGACTCCGACCTCTCAATGAGCGACGCAGAGTCCTCGAGCACTCTTCAGGCTGACGGCGACGACGATTCCTCTGATGAAACATCTGCAAGCGACAAAGACGAAACGCAAATCTCAGAGAACAAACTCAAACAAGTCCCAGCGGAACTCCGAAACCGCATTTTAATGCTCACATCTCGAGGCGTTTCGTTCAGGTATATTCAGCCCCCAAAGGTTTCGATCTTCTACAGTTACTAACTATGCGACAGGCATAGACATTTACTCACTGACCTCCACTCCTTATTACCACACACCTACCTCGACACAAAACTTGACACAAAATCCAACAACAACTACAACTCAGCACTGAACTCGCTAGCCGACCTCCACAGCTGCAACTACGTCTTCTTCCTCGAAGCACGAAAACAAGCACAAGATCTCTACCTCTGGCTCGCAAAAGCGCCCAACGGCCCGACATGCAAATTCCACGTCGCGGGCATCCACACCATGGCTGAACTAGGCTTCGGAGGGAACTGCTTAAAAGGTGGACGAGGCGTGGTAGTCTTTGACAAGAGCTTCGATGAAATGGAAACAGGTGGTGGTGGGAAGGAAAACCTCGCGCTGATTCGAGAAATGCTACGAGGGGTCTTTTGTGTTCCCAGCAAGGGCGTACGAGGCATGAAACCATTCATCGACCGTGTGATAGGTATTTACGGACTTGACAATAAGATCTGGGTCCGTATTTACGAGATCAGGGAGGGGAGTAAAGATAATATCTCGACGCCAGAAGAGAAGAAGCTATCTGAGGGTGCAGATGTGGGTAGTGGTGTAAAATTGGTGGAGGTTGGACCAAGGTTCATCCTTACGCCTATTGTGATTCTGGAAGGCAGCTTTGGTGGTCCGGTGATCTTCGAGAATAAGTTGTATGTCAGTCCGAACTTGGTCCGGAGAGAGGTGAGGTTAAAGAAGCAGGCGAAGTATAGCCAGAGAACGTTTGATCGAACGGATCGCACGAGGAAGATCAAGGATTTGGGCTTGAATACTGGAGCGGAGAAGAAGGTTGGTGTTGTGGATGACCGGGTATTGTTTCGATGAGCAAAGAGAGAAAAGGTCGATCACAAAGACCAAGTGACAAAAGCCTGAACAGTCCACACCATACGACTGCTACACAAGCCTGGTAACAAGCACGCTCGTCATCGCAGCTCATGTCGTCTTCGAGTGACCAAGAAAAAGCTCAACATGCCTCCTCAAATATTGAGGTGCCAGGCATATCGCCAGGTTGAGAGCGCTAGACGACTTCGCGTCAATTTTCAAGATTCAAGAAGCTAGAGACGAAGCACAGCCAATATCCACGTGCGCGACTCTGCCCGACCGCATCCATGCGATTCAAGTTGCTTCACGATTAAATCATGCTATTGACGATGGTCGGCAATAGTTGGGGAAAAAAGACGGCAGGTTATGGAAAGTAGTACTCGCGCTGATCGTTGGACCATCGTGGGTGAAAACATGAAGTCGAGATCTGAAGGCACGCGAAGTCTGGACATCAAGTACAGTCTAGAATCAGTAAAGAGCGCTGTGAGAAGAGGGAGGATGAAGTCTTGCTATATCGGGTCGAATAGCATCGCTAGGTATTCAACTCAATCTAGTAAGACAATAAAGCTCACAAGAAGAATAACCTGCATAATTCACTGTGCGTTCGATCGCGGTCGTCCTCATGCAAATAATTCGCACTTTGACTGGGATATTGTAACCTTAGATATGAAACCCATGCGTCCCACAGAATGAAGATCATGGGCGATTAACGACAGGTAGATCCTTCTCGGACCTCGAAAGAATACAGAACAAGTCAAAATGCCCTGTCCTGCAGTCACCACCTCGTTAGCAACGCATTAATGCTACGAATGTGAGCCGCCAAGCTGAAGTCCGGTATGTTAAGAAGAAGGATGAAGTTTGTATCGTCTGAAGGATTGTTGTACGGTACGCGGTCTTGGCAAGGCCTGACGCGCTAGTACTATCTAGCCTTGCGGGAGTAAGGGTGTCTTTACGGCTGCAGAGTCCCAATCTTGTCTACAGACGGATAAAGTGTCTGCATTACTTTTTCGGTGCTTGCAGTATATTGGGGAGTCAAATATGTTATGAACGAGGTCCTGTGAGCAACGCTTCATCGATCTCAAGAAGCTCGAGTAGCACGACCATTTCCACTATGCATTCTTCCCTCAATCGTCTTCAGACGACCTTTGGTTTCTTCAGTACATGCGCGTTCACTCTTGCAGGCATAATCGCTGTCCTTTCCCTCATTCCTATTCCGACACCTACTAGCCAGCCTTCTGCAGTCATCAAGCCTCGAGAGGTACAAGTGGTAAAGGGCCGACCCCATTACTATTCAGCCAAGCGCGAAGAATATGCCCACATACGATTTGACCTCGACGCCGATCTTTCACCCTTGTTCACATGGAACACCAAGCAGCTCTTTGTGTATGTAACGGCCAACTATCCAGCTCAAAAGGGCAATGATCAATCTGAGTCTGTGATTTGGGATTCGATCATACCTGCAACCGCAACACCGTGGTCCTGGCAATCTCTCAAGAGCACATACTTTCCAGACAAGAAGAGCCTCAGAGTTTCGAAGAACAAGAACAAGAGAGGAGTTGAATCGACTACAACAGCATTGAGTAAGCCAGGAAAGATCAATCTGAAGAATCAGAAGCCAAAATACCAGATTACAGATCCATCGGGCATTATGGCTCAGAGGCAGAATGTTACATTACAAGTTAGTTGGAACGTTCAGCCTTGGGTTGGAGCTCTAGTCTGGGACAAGGGCTATTTCGGTGGTAGAGTTGGCTCGTGGAAGAATGGCAGGACAGGAAGAAGTAAGAGCTTTGATCTACCGGCGCTGAAGGGAAGTAAACCTGAAGCTGTCAAGGACCCAGAAGGTCCGAGAACACCAAAGGCTGCGGAAGGGAAGCCTATTACTGATATATGAAGCCTAACGACTGAAGGATACAGATTTATCTGCAGCCCAGATCTGATTCATTTCTTTCCAGTTGTCTACACGTTTCCCACCTGCAACTTATGAATCTACTTGCGCACGACATAACGACAAAGACTTACAGGGATGCAGAAGCAAAGACTTCCGCGTATGACTTATCGACTTACTTTTATGTGGCTTTTGATCTGTGTACACCATGGCTCTTGCAGACACAGTACATTTGTGCCTGACAGGAAGCAAACCACTGACAGGAACGTGCTCGTACAAGTCGTACTAAACCTTCAACCTGCCACGTGCCTGCCAAGCAGGATTCGGTCTGACGTCTCGCTGTCCGAGCTTAATGCCGATGACCCAAATAGTAGCCTTTTGAAACCTTGATGTGAGGCTACGAGACAGCAACATTGTCTCCCGCTTGGCTGCTGGTAGCGAGTGGGAAGTCTGTACTCGTAGAGGCGCAGAACTGCTCCGCTGCTCTACTCTATCTGAACCGCCAGTGCTTGAGGATCTCAACGCGATGTAGATCGATTTCAAAATGTGCTACGTCTCTCGGACTTCAACGGACGGATTTAGCAAAGTCATAAATGCAACAACGTCGTTGTCACGCGAATTGCTTGATAATCAGGCAACCCGCGCTCATGGCTGAAGCGTATTTAGTCAATCTATGTCAAATCGTCGACTCTTAACAGGTCAGCCAGCACTGGAAACGATACATTGACCACAAGTCTTGAGATTCGTCCCTTGACAGACTGCCGTCCTTCAAGATGTCCCTCAAATATACAAGGAAACTCGAAGGCAAGCGAGTACTCGTCCTGGGCGGAACTAGTGGGATTGGGTTCTGTGTTGCGGAGAACGCTTTAGAAAACGGAGCTCGTGTCATTGTTGCCTCTTCCCGTCAATCTTCCATTGATAGTACCTTGTCTCGCCTCCGAAACTCCTACCCTGAACTTTCATCCAATGTTACTGGTCACACAATCGATCTGCGTTCATCAGAAAGCGAGGCTTCAATAATTGAATTGCTGAAGGCTGCTACAAACGATGGCACCGAGCCGTGCGATCACATCGTGCACACAGCAGGGGACAACCTATCCATAGGACCAATTGACCAGTTTGAAGGAGCTGAAGCACTACTCAATGCACAACGCGTGCGGCTTCTGGCACCTATGCTTTTTGCCAAGCACGCGCCTGGCAAGTATATGCGCCGCAGCAACACCTCCAGCATTATCTTCACAGGTGGTGTGAACACTTATCGACCTGGTGCAGGTTGGGCAATTCCTGCACTTGTGGGCGGTGCACAACAAGGACTTATGCGTGCATTGGCAGTCGATCTGAAGCCGATTCGGGTAAATTTAGTCGAGCCGGGTGCTATCGACACTGAGCTCTTTCAGCGCACGTTTACTGGAGAGCAATTGGAGGCTTTTAGGCAGAAGTATAGAGACCAGACGTTGACAGGGGCAATTGGAACACCTGAAAACATGAGCGAGGCTTATTTGTACGTGATGAGAGATGCTTTCGTGACTGGACAAACTGTTCTGAGTGAAGGTGGTTTGTTGCTTGCACCCGGTGCACAAAGATAGGTCTTGGCTAAGAGAACAACTATTAGGGTCCATAAAGCTCACCGTACTGCACATACAACTTCTCACTGATTTTCGGTGCTTTCCACTCAGATTCCTACTATGTCGTGAACTTCCCTGGTCGCTACTATTATGTGAGATTTGAAATCAGATCAAGATAGATCTGGTATCTCTTCAATATGCAACGCGATAGCGTTCTGGTTTTCAACTACGACAATCCACCTCGATGCTTCTCGATCGTCCAATGGAGGTCGCATGGTCAATGCATCTGCATAGTAAGTTCCCGATGGTATGTTGGCAATCATCCATAGTCGCGTTGCCTTGTGAGTTTTACGACATTCCTGATCCGTGCTCGACCGTATAATCACAACACCTCATTACAATCGATCGTGCAAGCTGTACGCTTTACCATGGGGAATCTATCCTCCCTACACAAAACGCATCGTTCGCGCAACAAGGTCAAGTACCATCCCAGCGAAGATGTGGCCGATATGGTTGATTGCAGCGGTGACCGCACCGAGCGCGATAGCTTTGGTCACTACTGGCATACTGGTTTTGTTCTGGGCTGAGAGAAGAAGGCAGCGAAACCTCGAGACACAAAATGGACTAGATCGGAACCTGAGTCAGTACCATCGACCTCATCTTAGCATCAATGATGTGGACTTTGCGAGCCTGCCTCGCCCTGGCAGAAGTTTGCGACAAAGCTGGCATACGTCGCGTCGAGATCCGCGCTTTTACTCAACGATGCCATCGGAGGACGACATCAGAACTTTCCCGGATGGGTCAGCAGAATCCATGGCTGGGATCAACTATTTACATACAGGTGCTGATAGAACACATCAATGGCTCGGTACATCCACGAAGAAGGACAAGCGCAGGAGAAAGTCGATCAAACTCTCAATAAGTGCTCCCATGGCGAAATCGCCCATGTCAGCAATTACCGAGCAGACAGAGTCCGTACTACAAGGCACTCCTGATCCTGTTGAAATGCCTACCCACACCACCCCCAAGGCAACGCCAGAAAAGATTGTGATTCCAGTTGAGCCACTGCCTATACACAGGGGTCATGCACCACAAAGATCAGGTGATAACTTGATGGACATGTACGAACGAAACCACGATCGCACTTCCATAAAGGTTCATAATGCCAACCCGACCATATTGAGATCGTTAAGTATGGGCAGCATCACATCCCCTCCAGATTGTCCTCTTCCTCCTGTACCGGAGGGCAGTGTTCTGCGGCAGGAACAAGGACGAACCATGTCGAGGTCAAAGTCGGATCTAAGCACAGACTTTCGCAAGCTTTCGTTACTCAATTCGCCACTGGATTCGAATCAGCTAAAGGCTCAACGTCCGCGCCTCCCCGCAGCTCTTAGTTCGCATGCACCGAACAGTGGCTTCGCAGGCTTCAATTTCGGACTCAGTGACGAGAATTTACAAGTAGTCAAGGTTGTGGAGGAGCACGACAATTCAACGATAGCACGACAGCTTACTTCACCTACGTTCTGCATTTCGCGCCAAACTTCGCCAACCAGAGCATCAGGCACCAACTTGAGGACTATAGATGCCAGCAGCTGGAATGTTCCTGAAGGCTACAAGCATGTGGCGCCTCCAAGAACTATCTACACCGGTAGTGAGCCGGAACTAGACAGTCGTCCTGTTTCAGCAATATCAGCCAGCTCGTTCATCGCTCGTTTTGATCCACAGAGCGCGCCTAGCAGTTTACATAGCTCGCCATCACGTCCAGTATCGGTATCAAGTGCCGATTTTTTCCGCCTATCTGTCATTGGTCCGCATGCGCCAGATCTGGCACCTGATAGCCCTCGTACCCGCGGACACAAGCGACAGAACTGTGTACGCATCAGCGGCTTGACCCCGATCGACACAACTAAGAAGAGGTTAAGCTCGCAGCTGCATCGATTGGCAGAAGCGGAGGAAGACGATGAGGACAACAGAAGTTTTGGCATCGAAATCCCGACTATCAGCCCAGCTAGGCCAAAGACTCAAGAAAGCCCTGCTCGTGAGGAGAAGACTCACAAAGACATGATCTTAGAGGTGCCAACACTCAGACAACCGCAAGCGCGTTCTTTGAGGATCAAGCGTCCAGGCCTACTGAATCGGGAGGGGACTGCATCACCTTCACCTACGAAAAGATGCGTTACCATGTTCCCCAATCAGATTCAGCCCGAAGAACCATCACAGTCAGTTCAGTCACCTCTCGAGCGTCCCCTAAATCCACTTACACGACCGAAAACTGCGGAGCCTAGATTTGTGTACGCTGGTTCACCGTCTTCCGATCCTACGAGAACCCTTCCATCACCACAAGACTTTTCGCCTGTCTCGCCGCCAGCCGCCCTGAGGATAAAACCAGCTGTATTGCCTGTCGACACGCCCGAGAAAGTGTCCCAACCGGCATCGCAGCCTACTCCAGTAGTGGCTTACTCACCAGCATCTACCTCGATACTATATTCTGCTAATGCTTCGCCAGCACAACAGCAGCATGACGAGGCCCCACCCTTACACGCACAGCCATCAAGCTCGCCTCAAAGACAGAAGACTCACACACTTCATGGACCACGTACAGCTCCGCCAACATCCCTGCGTACTCGGAACACGTCGCGTGCAGCAACACGTCTGCGACAGACCTCTGATCAGCGGTCTACTAGTCTAATAAGGAAAGCTAGTCAATCAAGACCTTCCGTCCCCGCAAGTTCACATCAAGATGATCTGAGACGCAGCATAGCGCTACTGAAAAGTCTTACTTATGCTGCAGAGGCGGGTAAGGGTGGCGGTATTCCTGAAGTCAATGTGGTCAGAAGTCGGCGTAGCCCGAGTCTCGGCAACGATACAAAAGATGTCGCAAGGACGCCGAGCAGCCAATATGCTGACAGTCCATTTCAGGCTGCACTACCAGCTCCCGTTACTCAGTTGAGAGGGACCAGGCAACGCAGTAAGACCGTCGGCAGCAGTGCGCCATCACTACCTCCCCCAAGGCTCAGACCAGAGGCGACATACCCACCTCATGACATGTCCAACGGCAACACAGGTGCGAAATTTCCTCACTCGTCCAGCAATATCAGCATTTGGGAAGATGCAAGTGTCAAGGGTGATAGTGATAGTGAAATTAAGGCATCTAGACACGACGCCAGGAATGGGCCGAGACCGTCTGTCGTCAAACAACACCAGCGTGCTCTAACCTCGCATGCACTTCTATCTGGCAGTGCGGTATCTCGACCTGATCGAAGCACACAAGTTGTCAAAGAGCCACTGTGGAAGCCTCAGCAAAGTGCGGATAGCATGAACGCCCGTGCTCTTGCATTCAACAGCAATACACGAACACCACCTACGGATGGCAGGAAACAGGAGCAGAAGACTAAGCTGGATGGCTTCTGGGGTGACAGAACACAATCTCAAGCTCCACATCACAGCCAGGATACGTCAATCGGTCACACAACAGCTGTAAAGACCAGGGCAGTAAGTGGTGTCATGGGTCCTCGGCCACGTCAGAGGAGTCACACAGTCAGTGCTGCTCCCAGGGCACAACTACGAAACGAGTTTGCAGGAAGAATGGCTGAAGGTGTAGGATTAGGTGTAGATTTCGGAAGAACTGGCCTCGGAGCTGGGATGAACACAGTCAGCGAAAGAAGGAACGTGTTTCTAAATGAAATGGAAAGGGATGGTATTGGACGTCTACGCTAGGATAGGGCTGTTCTGATTTACTTCTCGTATGGATGCTCTTTCTTTGATACCCATTTGATTTTCGGTTCATAGCATCTATTTCAAGACAGGGATATTTAGAAGGCTCAGCTATATGGTATGTTTAGAACCCAATAATACATGTATTGCAGTAATGGCAACAGTTGAGTCCCGCTTGAGCTTACAGGGTTTATCGAAAAGCCCGGAAATGTCCATCGCCTGTACCTGCAGCTTGGCAGGGGATACGAGTCTAATGCTCCTTCCGCTCCGAGTCTTGGGCCCCAGCCGCTAGTCCCGCGGACCCACAAAAATTTGGTCTGGTGGGATTTGCCGAGTGGTACGATTGAATAGAGGCAACGCTTCGAAGACGCGACATGCGATCGAAGAGTGTCTCATTGGGATGGATCTGTCGGTCTGTTAAGTATGAATGGTCACGCCAGCGGCCAACTGAACGGCCATGCACAGTCCAGTGCTGCAAATGAGCAGAAGATGGACTACTCGAAATGGAGGATAAAGGACGAGAATGGTCGTCACACATGGCATTACCTGGATAGCGAGGAGCAGATCAGACAATGGCCTCAAGATGTTTCGACTAAATACTTCTTAGGTCTTCCGACTGAGCAACCAGATCTACGTCCAGCGACCAGACCGTCCGAGTCGATCGACAACTGCCTTACGTTCTACTCGAAATTGCAGATGCCATCGGGCCATTGGGCTTGTGAATATGGTGGTCCACTATTCCTTCTGCCTGGTCTCGTCATAACACGATATGTCTGCGACGTGCCTACGCGACCAGCTGATGCTCAAGCAATCAAGAACTATCTGTTCGCACGACAGAATAAAGATGGAGGTTGGGGCTTGCACGTCGAGGGACGTAGCTCGGTATTTGGAACCGCAATGAACTACACTACAATACGTTTATTGGGTGGGAGTGCGGAAGACCCTAGAATGATAAGAGCAAGAGGAAAGCTACACGAACTCGGAGGAGCTGTCAATGGACCACACTGGGCCAAGTTCTGGCTAAGTCTGCTAGGTGTCATGGATTGGGAGATCGTCAATCCTGTCCCACCTGAGCTATGGCTCCTACCTGATTGGGTTCCAATCGCTCCCTGGAGGTGGTGGATCCACATACGACAGGTCTTCCTGCCTATGTCGTTCATATGGTCGAGGAGATACAGTAAACCATTGACTCCTCTTACCAGAGCCTTGCGAGAAGAGCTTTACACACGTCCGGTAGACGAAATCAATTTTGCTTCACACCGAAACTCTATCTCTCCTGCTGACAACTACCACCCTAAGTCGTGGGTGCTAAATGTGATCAATTTCTTATTAGTGTGGGTTTGGATACCTTTACTTCGAACTGCTTCGATCGTCGAGAAAGCCGAGGCATGGACATGGAAGCTTGTGCAGATGGAAGACGAAAACACAGATTACGCCTGCCTTGCACCCGTCAATGCTCCTATGAACACTGTTGTATGTTATCTCAAGGAGGGTCCTGATTCCTACAGTTTCCGCCGACACGTCGAACGTCTTAATGATTACGTGTGGATGAATCACGAAGGTATGCTTATGAATGGCACAAATGGTGTTCAAGTATGGGACACCTCCTTCACTATTCTGGCCATGGCAGAAGCTGGAGTTGCAGACAATCCAAAGTGGAGACCTATGCTCACTCGTGCTTTGGCCTTTCTTGACGCCCATCAAATTCGTGAAGAAGTCAAAGATCGTGAAAAGTGTTATCGACAACAACGGAAGGGCGCTTGGCCATTCAGTACTGCTACACAAGGCTATACAGTATCAGATTGTACATCAGAAGGTCTGCGAGGAACCTTACTCTGCCAGAAAGTGTACAATTACCCGCAATTGATCTCAGATGAGCGGCTGAAGGATGCTGTTGATGTGCTGCTGACTATGCAAAATGCTCATTCTGGTGGATTCGCCTCATACGAGCCCCAACGTGGTTCTGAATACATGGAATTTCTCAACGCTGCAGAGGTCTTTGGCCGAATCATGGTCGAGTATGATTACCCAGAATGCACAACAGCAGTAGTTACTGTCTTGACCCTCTTCCAAAAGTTCTTTCCTGACTACAGGTCAGATGAGATCAGCCACGCTAAAAAGCGAGCTCTCAAGTATATACACGATGCACAACGAGCCGACGGCTCATGGTACGGCTCATGGGGTATCTGCTTCACCTACGCTGCCATGTTTGCTCTAGAATCACTAGCCTCGCAAGGCATGACATACTCCAACTCAGACGCCTCAAGACGTGGCTGCGAATTCCTCATTTCTCATCTGCATTCCGACGGCAGTGGTGGTTGGGGCGAGTCCTACACATCCTGCGAAGACAAGGTATACAGACACCACGGTGAGAAGTCGCAAGTCGTGCAGACGGCCTGGGCATGCATAGCGCTCCTGGCTGCTGATTATCCTGACAAAGAGCCCGTTAAGAAGGCTTTACAGATGATCATGAGCCGACAGCAGAGCAATGGAGAGTGGCTGCAGGAAGCTATTGAGGGTGTCTTCAATTGCAGTTGCATGATCACTTATCCTAATTACAAGTTCTACTTCCCAGTGAGAGCAATGGGCATGTATGTGAAGAAATGGGGTGATGAGGAATTGCTCAAGCGGTAGATATGTATACCTTGCGATTCAAATTCAACACCACACAACGTGAAACCTTCCGAAATTTTTTCAGCTTTTTGAGTGTCGTTTTGCATTTAACATGACCGCCAAGCATCTATAGTTTCGTATTCTTGCCTGTTTTTCTGAGTACCAAGTATGTCCTTGAACTCATATTCTCGAATTCATAGATGGGCGTATTATTGTGTATTCTGGGACGTTTAGAGGATTACTATCAAATGGTGAAGAGCTAATAGCTAGCCTAAAGTGGTTAGAAAATAGCACCTATAAGGTTCGTCCTGGCGTATTCTTTGGCGTATCCATGAATATATTGAGTACATGAATACAGTAGTCGTCTCCAAGAATTGGACTCGTATTCAAGAATACAAAACATTGTAAATATCTGCATCGCAAGTAATTAACAGAACGTATAAAGCTACCATTGTTCCGCATCCTCTCCTCTAAATTCCCGGGGTTTACAACGAACATGTAACGCCATGCCTTCATCCTACAACCATAGTAACCTTTCCACTACAAAATTGCAAGCATACCAAAATATCACTATATCGTCTACTACCCACCATCCCCTTGAAATTCGGAGTCCGGTGGATAGTGTAGGCCCTGTAAATCGATGGAATCCCATCCTGATATGCTTTCGGTGAGCCAGTCATCGGTGATGCTCTGATGTTGCTCAGGCAGATCGTTAAATTCGAAGAGAGTCGAGCCCGATAGTGCTATTGGTGCGTTCGTGTCTTGACCATTCACATTTATAGATTGATCTTCGTGGACTTCGTGGCCTACCTCGAGAGCTTGCTCGATGATTATTCGTGTGGCTTGCGGAAGAGCCATATTTGTGTCGACGTGGGCAGTAAGCTTCTCTTGGATCAAACGACGTGCCTCGGGATACACTGCGAATGTGTTGGCGAAGTGCTCCACCGCTGCCGGTTCCGCAATATCGTCGACGTAAGGTGATTTAGGCAACCGGGCATTGGGGCCAAACTGTGCACGGTACAGTTTCATCCATACCGCTTCAGACCTTTGGCGCACTTCTTCGTCTTCTTCTGATTGTCCGCTTCGTTTTACGTGGTCTCGCTTCTTCCTCAGTATCATTGCCTCGTCATTCAACGTGCCACTGAGCATCGGCTTTTTCGTAGGAGAACGAGTCTCTTCACAGGTATGCTCATTCTTCTTGTCAGCAGATCGAAACTTGGAACGACAACGAAGACATTGATCAACGGGTCTGAGATGTTGCCTCTTCAGATGCTCTTTGAGAAGGGAGATCTTCCGCCAGCCTCGCCCAGCACAAGATCGATTTTGTCGCGGATCATTGATGTAGAACATGCAGGCAAAAGTCTTCTTTGGAATTTCAACCCCAACATATTCGCTTGTCTTATAAGGCATTGATGTTGCGGCCATTGTTCCATTGGACGATCGAGCCGGTGTGTCAGCCATCGGCGTGATCGGCGTATTGGAAACTAGTGGCACTAGCTGACGAAATGGTCCTGGTTCACCAGCGTGCACATTCTCTGTTAAACCTAGGCCACTGAAGGTCTCGGAAAGACTAACAGCGCAAGTGTTCCAATACTCTTCAGATCGGGCTCGAGAAGGCGTGATGATAGGTACGATCTCAACGTTAGCCTGTCTGACTCCAGGCACGCCGGCTAGGTCTTTTGTTGAATCTCTTACCACGTCAACTAAACTTCGTTGCAGTTCAGCATGCTGAGTCGCATCATCACGCCTGACACGAGTCCTGAGCAGGACGGCTCGCTGAGAAGTAATCACGGGTTTTGTCTCCGCCATTCCCATTTGACGCGAAACGCGGTAGGCTTTTGCCGGTTCTTCATGTTGTCGCATTGAGCAGACGTGTCTTTGCCTGAACATGTCCAGTTCGTGAGATGTTTTCGGGAGGTTGTCAATCTCTCCAGGGAGGAACCCTACAGACAGGTCCTCCGGACGTTTCAGAGAAGCTCGAGTTGCATCAAACTGCTCACCTGCCCCAACCCAAGCGTCAAGGAAGCGTTTTTGAAAGTGGTGAAGTTGCATTTCTGCCTCTTTCGGACTCCATGCTAAATCTCCTGTAACAGTAAAAGGTGCAAATCCTGGTGATGCTGGAGAATAGTGCTCATGGTTCCTTATAGATTGGTCCTTCCTCGTTTGCACGCCAGAGTCGTATCGATCATCTCCCCCAAGCTCGTGGACGCCATTAGTGACACCTGGTGCCGCAGAGGCATGTCTGATGTGCGCTTCGTAATGCACATTGACATGTTGAGAGCCGTCCGAACTGCCAGATCGTGACATTGCATCAGCAACATATTGAGCGCGAGGCGGACAGTCGTCGACAAATGTACCAATCATGTTGTGAGAATGTGTCTGTTAGTAGGTTTTTCGTTAGCCCAGGTCCCTTGTCCCAATCCTTTTCCACTCTGAGCAGGATGAGGCGTCACTGAAGAAGTAATAGTCAACCAGACCTGTGTCAATAGTGAATATGTCTGACTACTTTCCAGATAAGAAAACAATGCACAGTCGCGGAAGAGCGTACTGTTCCGTCGTTGGTTTGAGGAACAACGCAATACAACTTCCACCAAGAGCCGTATTCTGTACCCCAACTCGCACTTTGTAAGATACATCGCGAAAGGAGGAGGTACAGGTGAGGTTTTGGAAGTTGGAGGTGTCGAGCATGGCAATCAACGACTGCTTTTTGTAAATGCAACACTATTGGTTAACAATATGCTGAAAGCTAATCCCAAAAGGAAGACGCTCGAGTAGCCACTCACGAGGAACTTGAAAAGCATGCCGCGATACGATTCGTGCTCCCATCTTGAAGTCCAGGAACATGGTCCTGATACTGAATGTCTGCTGTATCAAACAAAGTTCCTTCTGAATGCTAGAAACAAACTTCTGTTTCTTGGCGGAAGGAGCGAGGGCTGGAAATTCGAAACGCGCAAATGACACACTAACTCCATTCGATATAGTGGTTCTCATTTCGTGAGCTCGGTGTCGTCAGGATGTCTGAGCATCACAGAACCACCATACTCCAGCCTGGATTTGGCAATGGAGCAAAGATGAGTGTCGCGACAGGTGGATGACTGTGCCAATTTATGAAGCTGGACGTTGCAATGAAGTAGCTCAAATATTGAGCGTAACAGCCTAGACATTCAATGCCCATCCGCATGTCTCGTCTCCCAACCCACGCAGAAATCACAAATTTCCTCGAAACATTCCTCCCACCACAAGTTAATGCCAACGACGTAGCCTTCCTCTACCACACACCGCGCCATCCGGCATATAGTCCGACTGAAGTGAAGACTGCCCGGGTAATTTTCAGCATCACTCCCACGCCAGGATTTTACACATCTTTGAACGAACAAGGAGTTCGATTTCCACCAGTATGTTTCCTACATCGGCCATGGACGCTCGATCGTCGACAGGTCAGAAGCCGCAGTTTGGTACTAGCATGTCATCAGTCATTTGATGCGCATCTGACTGTGGGATGGAATGTTGCGCTCGCGAAGCGTCTTGGCGTTCAAGTAGAGGATGCGGTTTGTATTCAAGGCTACAAGGAAGATCCCGAGAGGAAAATTGGACTGGTCGCAAAATTTGAACAGGCGGTCTCTTTGGACTCGATTGTGCAGATGATTCAGCGGGAATTTGCTGGTGTTGGAGAGGTCTTTCGAAACGATGCCAGTAACGACAAGGAGGATGATAACGCCGTCCGCGATGATGTCAGCCATGAACATCCTATAAAGGTTCTTGCCGTCATGAACGCTTTCCACGCCGAAGAGGTCGATCGTGTTCTTGAGGCTACTCGTGCCGCTAACTGGACCCACGGAGAAGTCACTGGAAAACAAATCTTATACCTGACCGGCGCTGCACGGGAACATGGTCTTGAAGCCACCAAGCAGGCGAACATGCCTGTCGTTTGTGTAGGTCATCGAGCGTGCGAAGAATGGGGGATCAGGTATTTGGCAGAGGAGACACGCAAGAGGTGGCCGGATATCGAGGTGATAGAGGTGCTTGAGGAGGAAGAACCACGGCCGAAGAGGGTCAAGTTGCAGAGTGGGGAGGTAGCGGGAAGTCAGCCTGCTAAGTCTGGTAATGAAGTTCATGGATGACACAGGCAGCGAAGGCGTTCTACGTCTTCACTGGCTTCTCATGACTTTGATAAGATCTGGCCCTCATTACGCTCCACGATCTGAGAATCACACGCTACACATGTATCCACACCATTTTAGCACTGGAGATCTCGCCAACGGGCTGATCCGTCAAAAAGAAAGCGAGGCATCGCATCATAGGAGCTAAAATGAGATCATGGTCAACTATCGTGGCTGCACTGTACGACTCGACCACAAGGTCGGACGGCTGCCAACAGGATTATAGCCTCTCTTGAAGCAGTCGTGCTCGCAAGCGGAACCCTGTAAGAGCAAAGGCATGTCCCAGACTCAGTCATTTCAGTCCTCCGCTTAGCAGCCCTGTTCCAAGGGAGCAAGAAAGTGGCATATACCAATAAGCGCTTGAGTTCCAGCTCATATCGTCCGGACAGCAGATGCAGCTCTACCTTACAAGCCCCTCCGTGACAACCACACAGTCTGTGTGCGAGAAAGCAAGACAAGCACAAGAACTGGACGTACCTTTGGACATGTTCAGAGTACGATCTCCGCCTATACACAGGTCGGATCTCGCTGAATTTTAGCGTGACACGACGATGGACAGTGGTTGGTGATCCAGGGAGGAAGCGGTGTTGAGCCGCTGAATCAAGCATGTGAACAGGATCGTTAGTGGCAAGGACTCGGGAAAAAAGAGGATATGAAAAACTCTCAGAGTATTGTGCTGCAAGAGCTAGTCAATTCTGGTCAGAATCGTAAATATAAACTGAAGCAGTAGAGCACCTGGAAATGGTTATGTGTGGCCATGGAATACCTGAGTAACACGGCATATGTATAGAGAAGCGCAAGGTTGATGTGTGTCATGCACTCGAATCGCTTGTTTCGACAAGCTTCTTGGCACAATCAGCTGTTGCTTGAACCTCTATCGCTCTCTTTTTCTCTCTCTTTCTTCTTTACCGAAGATCTTGTGACTTCCAGCTCATATCTCCTCAGCAAACAAATTGGCCCACTACGATACGGCCTTACAACAACTGATCTTCTAGTTCATTCAATTGCTTCTCAACGTGAACTGCACGAGTGGTGAAGTCCTCTAAGAGCTCCTTGGCCTCCGGAATCCACTCGCGTCGTCTCTGGATTTCTTGTTTGGTGAGAGATTCACTGTAGAAACTTCGTCGAAGAGGTTGGGATAGCAAATGCTGAGGCTTAGATGGTTGACTCTCGTCAGGAGCTGTCTCGTACCTGCTCTGGTCTGTTATCCATACTGAACGTTCATCAAGATCAGTGTCGGCTTTCGTGATATGTTCTCTTAGTGCTGTAAGGACCTGAAGACCACCCTTGCACACTTCGTCAAGATACCAGAAGGCTAGGGAAAAATGAACGTCAACCATGAATTCTTTTCTCGACGGCAGATTATCCATCTCAATGAGACTAAATTCGGGCCAGATATTGTACTGTGCGATAGATCGATTCTCGCATGCTAAAGGACCGTTCGATGCGTATATAACATCGTCGAAGAGATTAGAGAGCTTCTTGTGAACACTGTACGGATGCAAGACACGCGTCTTGCTGACAACGATCTCGGCTATCTCTAGGCCAAGAGCGGCACGATCATACTCCAGTAGGACATCACATGTCTTCGCGCGTAGGAGCCGGTAGGCGCTACATGCAACTCTGTTGCATACGTCGATCTCGTGCAACGAGCATGGATCCTCCTCGAGAAAACGCGATTGAACGTGCAGGTGATCTAGACATCCAAGGCGTGACAAGTCCAGCACAGCCTCATCTAGACGGTTGATCCAGCTTTCCATCCAGCCATCAAATATCCATTCGTAACTAGCACCGAAGTCGAGCAACGTATTGGTATCAAAGTAGACATCGATGAACCAACGTGCCGGCATCATAGTCATCGGGATGCGGTCCATGGCAGCTCTGATAGACTCGTGGCCCATGACATACATGCAAGACTTCGCTTGAGGTGCCATATACCACGTTACTCGTACAGTTTTCTCCCAGTATAAAATCCACTGACCCTCTTGGCGAAGTTGACGACAGGTCGCCAAGATTTGAGGATGGAGTCCGTGCTTTCGAATTGGTGATAGGAACGATGGACACAAAGCGTGTCTCCGAAAGGGTGGTAGTGGTTCGGCACGCGGGTGCTGCTTGTGCTCATTGTGGTAGGTCCGATGACCAGCCACTAGCCAGGTATCTAAGTTTTGTTGTCCAGGCTCTAGTTCAGTGGGAATAGGAATGTCTTCATGCTCGGGGGTCTCAGAGGTCTCGCTAGTGTCATCGTCGTAGTCAGAATAATCAGATAGTATGTCTTCTTCTATCTCTTTCAACCTTGTCCTCAAGTTGGAAGGTACGCACTTGAGCTCATCCTCACCGTGAAGCAGATACATCAGGATCATGGTTCGAATCTCAGAAGGCAGTCCCATAAAACAAGGAGTGACTGGAGGTGGCTCTGCACTGAAGTGCTGTTTGGTAGATACTGCGACGCCTGTATTTTGGAGCGACTTCATCTCAGCATCAGCCATTGCGTTGCTGCGTTAGATGTGCAGATAGCTAGATATCGTTGACTGATCATGGAGCAAAGCTGAAGAGTCCAGTTTGTTAAGGTCGTATCTCTGGTGTACAGAAAGGATTCAGGTCGAACTTAGCCTCGTAAGCTACCGCACAGGAAATTTTTTCCCTAAATCTTTGTGACGCGGAAGGTGCATTGCAGAGACGCGTCACGTCTTCACCGCACGCCTTCCCTGTGCAAATTTATCTCTTCATAGTACCTACTTGCTTTCCCTGATACAATTTCGCACAATTCGATGCGCACCTGCTTCTGAATTAAGTTCCTTTGACAAAGCAAGAAAAACGTGGACGACAAGTCAAGCAGTAATGGAACTCATCTGTCATGCGGAAATGATGTATTGATTGAAGTCTGCTCAATTCGAGTTCGGCATCACTCTTGACTCATCCAGGTAGATCAAAGTGAAACCCTACTCCTTAGACCCTGCTATGTTTCCATATAGCTATCAGTCATCCGTGCTGTGATAGACCACGGTTGTATCGACGAAACTCCTGCATCCGGTTTCGATGCATCTTCCAATTAAACATTGTCTTAACTCCAGGCCCTTGTGCCCTGTTCGAATAATGCTTCTATTCACCTCGTGAGGCTTGTTCTTCGCTATTTTCAACGCCGTCGATCCTAATATGTCCATCTCATTCATCGAGAGGAAAACCGAAGTAATATTAATACCAGTCTGATTTGTAGCTGTGGAATTCGTGATCGAAGGCTTATAGCTTCTGAGCAGCAGCGTCAAGTGCGGCCAGCGCAGGTCGTGGAAAGCTCAGCAAGGGAGATTGAGCATCCTTAGGTGTGTAGTACATGACTTGTGGCTGCTTGGGCCACAGGTATACGGCTGTGAAAGGTGTGATGGCAATGAGTGTGGCCTTGCTGACGTTGGCGATGGCAGACATCTTTATTAGATATGCGCGTAGTGTATTGGTTGTGCTAAAAGTGGCGGTGTTCTTGCGGCGAAAGACTGTGCTTGCTTGTCTGTGTGAATGAGTGGACTGAATTCATATTCAACGCAAAGGAAGGGTCTATATACCAAAGTACAAGGACGAACGGCACCGGGAGCGGTGAGGATAGCCACATCTCAACAAAGGAGGCGCGACTTCCAATTTCCACAACTTTCTCAGAAAACTTTGCAAAAGATCTGTCTCGACTTGGAGCAAATCTGAGTTGTCCAGATGACCTAGCTGACTGTTGTTCATGTTTCAAGGAGCAGGCCACTTGTCCCGATAGATAGGCCGAGCGGAAGGCGCGATCAAGCTTTTCTAGAATGATCGACACGATAGCGCTTGACCATTCAAGGTCTAGTCGCATAGATCATACTCCCAAAATAGACTCTTGTTGCTTTCCTCCGAAGGTTTTGCTTGTCAACAACAGAGTGGCTCGAGCTGACACTGTATCGCAATAGAGTCGCAATTCGCGCATGCACAGAAAGGCTCTATATTTTTTTTTAGGAGTGTTGTGGTATTAGGAAGGAGACATAATCCGATTTGGGTAGTGCTTCCGCCATATTGATCACCATTTTATTGCTCTGCTTAATGACCTTGGCCAGCTCGATGCAACGTGCTCGAAAGACCCTGAGGAATTGTTGACTGCAACTTCCCCAAAAAGATTTAGAAATCAGCACGTCTTATGTCTATCTGAGACAGCATTGTAATGCCATAGTGCATGTCACGGGCATGCAGAAAAGAAGGTCGGTCGGATCGCCACTCGACCTACATTTTTATTGTGATGTGTGCAAACGTGCTTCGACTTCCCAATTTGAAGCCGATGAATGCTGAACTAGGTAATTACGTACTACTTGCTGCATGAAGTGCGAGGTGCTCCGTCTTTCAGTAAAGGTCAAGCATGCTGTCTCGTGGTACCAGCAATCATTGACGGAGTAAGTACTAAATACTGAGCTGGAAGAGGCTGGGGTCGCCGACATTTGAGTTCAATTCTGTCAGAATGTGCTCTACTAGTAGGCAGTGCATTTGACCACAGCAGCATGCGGTCAGACCAAAGCTGTATGCTAGAGGTAAGTGTCCAAGAGGAAAGCTATAGACCTGTTCTATGTCGATAGTACTCGTGAAGCATGTGTTCGGCGTGAAATGATACTCGGTAGCAGACGTGAATGCTTTGAGTTCTATTTGAGGCACGCCCTAGCTGGGAACCTCGAGGGAAGCGCTCTTTACCGCGGCCCGAACAAAACACTGTCCGCTGCCGGCCCGAACGTGGAAAAGCATAGCGGAAAATGCAAGCTAATCACGAAGTACTACGCAATGAGGGATCTTACGAAACCACATTCGGCATACCACTCACACATTACTGTACATCGCAGATCAGCCCTCGTACCCCTGGGGAACTCGATCGTGATGACACTCACGCGGACGAACCCGAAGTCATATCTTACCTCGTCCTCCTCTCCCGGATTTTGCGGATTTACTCGTCACAGCTCCAAGCATTGTGCATACGTACTGACTCGGCCGCGAAAGGTCCCGAGGACGCTTACTGAGTCACTCGTACTGACACCTCGTCGTTACGTCCCAATCATTGCTTCTGCCAAGCTGCGGCTCTCTCAAACCCATCTCCTTCCACCAATCCAAATAAGCTTCCCCGCATTCTGGGGGTACAGACACGAACGCCACGCTTCTATACCCTTGTCAGTCTTTCATATCGGGAGCCAAGTTGACCTCGGGCTCTTGCCTTGGGAGCGCAACGTGAATGAGAGTTAACCGAGAATATAGAATCGATGGGTATGTCCGTGAAGCCTCGACTAGTACTCATATACGTAGTCCTCCACCTGTTGCTGTTTGTAGCTTAGTTGAAGAGCGGTGGTTGTGTATATCTCGTTCCTGTGGTCTTCGTGCTGCTTCTTTTTCGCTAAAAGAGTCGCAACCCAGTCTCCCTCATCCTTCTTTGTTCGTTTTCAAGCCCGGCACGACAGAGTAGCCATGGCAAGCGAAAAGGCAAGCCATTTGGCTACGGACATTGAACACGTCCCCCACGGTCATAACAAAGCAGCGGAAGCAGAACCTCACACGTCAACCACTTTCGACGACCTTCGTAAAGTCACGACCGTCGATACTGTTCACAACGATGAAGCCACCAAAGTTCTCGCCTCTTATACTGGCGACGAGCATTGGACCCCTGAAGAGGAGAAGCTCCTCGTTCGCAAGATCGACCGACGTCTGTTGCCGCTTTTGATCCTGACATACGGCTTGCAATACTACGACAAAGCCATGCTCTCACAAGCTGCAATTTTTGGGCTTCGTCGAGACTTGAGTTTATCAACGGGAAATAGGTACAGCATGTCGGCCTCGATCTTCTACCTTGGCTTTATTTGCGGCGCAACGCCTGCGGTGATAATGGCGCAGCGCTTTCCGATCGAGCGGGTCGCTTCCGGCATCGTGCTGGTCTGGGGTGTTTGCTTGATGTGTACTGCTGCCTGCCACAACTTTCAGAGTCTGTACGCACAGAGGTTCTTCCTTGGCCTGTTGGAAAGTGGTGTCAGCCCTATGTTTATGTTGATCGTATCTGGATTTTATTTGAAAACAGAGCAGGCTCTGAGGATGGGTGCTTGGTATTGTGCCACTGGTGAGTCTGGACCTCCCTCCCCCACCAACGTCCCCTCTTCCTTCCTCTTCCTCCTGGCGGGATGGTGAGCCGGAAACACCTGCTTTCTTGTCTCCTTGTTCTTTTTCGTCCAACAGTGGCTTGCACTGTGCTTGGTTGCCACGGCGCACCTGCTTCTAGGCACGTCTCCGCACATGGCAGGTGCCCTTTCTGTACGAGTGCTAATATGTTTCTCTTGCAGGATACGTGAGCATCTTTGCTCCTCTGATCAACTATGGTCTCGGCCACATACAGGGAGCTCTGTCTCCTTGGAAGTACATGTATCTCGTGGCAGGTGCCATCACCATACTCTGGTCAATAGTCATCCTGTTCTATATGCCACCTGATCCAATTCGAATGCGTGGCTTAAGCGACCGAGAGCGCTACATTGCTGTGGCACGTATGCGCGTGAACAATGCTGGAGTGCGGAATACCCACTTCAAGTGGAAGCAGGCTGTGGAAGTATTATACGACATCAGATTCTGGATAGTGTTTGCAATAGCCTTTCTGATGATGATTGCTAATGGGCCTGTGAGCTGTAAGTATTCATGATATCTGAACTTGAGTTGAGACTGACTTCGTTGCAGCTTTCATTCCGATCATCATCAATGACTTTGGGTTCAGCACGCTGAACTCTTTGCTTCTCGTGATGCCGGCAGGTGCTATCATCGGGACGGTAGAATTGCTGGCTCCGTACCTGGCCTACAAGTTTCCTGGCATCAGAACGTATCTGGTATTTGCCTGTCAACTCGGAACAATCACTGCTTCAGTTCTTCTGTGGCAACTGCCCAGGAATGGTTCCACTGGTGCAAAGCTCTTTGCTTGCTATATTCTAGCAACCTTTGGCGGTGGATACGCGGTGCTTATGGGTGTGCAGACAGCGAACACTGCAGGATATACCAAGAAAAGCGTCACAGCGTCGGGCATCTTCCTTGGGTATTGCCTAGGTATGTCTCTAGCCCTTTCATATTATCGACAGAGATCGGGCTCTTACTAACAACGTACAGGCAATTTCGTTGGACCACTTCTCTTCAAGCCAGCAGACGCGCCTGGTTATGCGCCAGGCTGGGAGGCGACTGTCATCACTGCTGTGTTGGCGGCAGTATTGGCTCTCGTGTACAGATTCGTATGCATGTGGGAGAACAAGAGAAGAGACAAAATTGGTGCTGAAGGATTTGATCATGCGTACGAGGATGATTTGACCGACATGAAGGTAAGCGCGATATCCTTCTTCGCTTCGAAGGTTGCTGACACTATTCGTAGAATCCTCAATTTAGATACCAGCTTTGAGAAGTGGGTGTGTAGCAGACGAGCGTAGCTTACTTAGGCCATACCTATCACAAGCGAATGCGCATGATCTGACGTTGCCTCGTCCTCTCCGGATTAGCGTCGACAGCAACCCATTGAGCCGCCTGCTAATCCTGGTGGTAGCTTATCTGTTTAGTAAACCTCTTAGACTTGCTTCGGCACTTTCCTCAATATTCCTATGACCTCTTGAGAACCATGATGTAAAGGCCAAAATATCAGGTGCAAACCAGCCTGTGGCCCGTATAGGTAGACCCGTTTCTGTTCGGCCTGTATATGTGGGCTGAAAGAGATCGGTAGTATCAGCTGTATACAAGGGAAAATTCCTCCCAGCCTCTGAGATAACAGGTACCATTCCTGGGGTAACGCCATCAGCTTCGGCCGATAGATATGTCTCGGAAACAATAGGTCGAGAAGGTCCGTGCCTGGCTGTTCTCAGAGAGGCTGTGAGATACTCATACCGTGTGTTCGACGCGGTATGATGGGTCTCGGGTTCTGGTTGTACAACTGCTGGTGAAGAACGTGTACGAGTTGGTGGTAATATTACATGCTCCGCAGTTCTAGTCAGAGCAGGCGCATCGCTGTTGATCCTAGCTGGAGCAGGTACAGTTTGCAAACGTTCCATCAAGCGGTATGCTGCCGAGCCAGAATGACTGCCCTCGACTAGACTAGCATCTTCGTGTACGATCATCACGTCGTCTGTGGCTAGATGTTCGTGGTTGGTAGTGGCTTCTTCAATGCCTCGTGAAGGACTTTCCAATATGATCTCTCCTTGTGGTGGCAGCTGTGACTCGTACTGGTCTGCAAGCATAAACCTGCTTCTTCCCAGGACCTCGGAAATGGTATTGAGGTCACCTTCAATATCTTCTCTAATAGCAGATAATATGGCCTGTATACTGAACTCCTCCTGCGCAGGTAGTCCATTATTTGAATCCAGCTTGACTGGTCTTCGGTTTCGTCTAGGAGCACGATGATTATGGTCGTAAGCAGTTGCTGAGTTGATTCTTAGCAAGACTGGTTGGGATGGAATGGTTGTTGTACTTCTTGCACCTGTAGAGGCTGACGGGAGGTTCCTGGAAAAGCTCGAGCGAGAACCATTGTATGTATGACATCCGTTCGGTAGAGGCGACAAGGTACTGCGGTCACTGCGGACATAGCTAGATGGTGGTAATGAGCGAGCTTGGGTATCAGCTGTGGCTACGGTGCCATGGTTTAAGAAGGACCAGCCGTCATGAGATCTGCCCGACGACGTGTCTGGTCTGACCTCCATGTCTCAAGCTTGCTTCTAATGAAGCGACAACTCGCGAAACAGCATGGGAAGCAAGAACCTGGAGCTCACACACGTCAGCAAGACATTGAGTGAAGGTAAGTTGGGCTTTCGCGCATGGTCATGGATGGATGCAACGTCCAAGATGCTGCAGTGTAGGGCGTGAAGAGGACTTTGTGCCTCGTCAGATCTTCAGTGTCAGGGTACAGGCAGCGAGAAGTAGTGCACAGAACGATCGAAAGGTAGAGTGCGCATGTCTGCAATTTACAAACGTTGCGTGTCGAGTTTCGACTGGAGATGGAAACTGTCCGGCCGTGCTGATTGATCGACGCTGCATGCAAGGCCGGGACGAGCTTACACAACGTTTGGCAAGATCGACCAGCACCCTTGTTCAGAAATAGACAGCAGATCTACTTATTTCGTAGACGCAGTTGTTTACAATCCCCTGTGACAAGTCTCACAATCTCACGGATATTATTTGAGGCATGGGTAGTAAGACTCTGGTGTATGCCCTGGCATCCTACAATTACTACTTGAATGGTCATTCATCATGTCACATGAGGTATCTTATTACCAAGAGAGCTGTATAGCGTCGCTGATCTCTGCCCTTCGTTCTTAAGAGGCGGAGTCAGAGCCAGAGCGGTATCAATCCCATCCTCTTTGTGGTAGGGCTTGCAAATCCGAAGACTGCTTCGGATTGGCGGCGTGAAACCACTGGCTTGTCCTCGGAGTGAGGTTTCTCCACGAAATTGAGGATTTGAATGATTTGGACGATTTCGGCATTGCGGTAGATGGAGGCTCAGGCGGTGGTGGTGGTATGGGTATAGTAACTCCAGCTGCAGCAAGAGCAGCACTACGGCCTGCTTCTAAACTGCTGGTTGTTGGTGCTTGACGTACTTCCGGAGTGTCTTGCATCTTGCTCCATGGCCTAGCTCCCTTCTCGGTCTGCTTGGCTAACATACGTCTCCTTGCGACGAAAGCAAGTACAATCACAGCAGCCACACCCAAGATGCCCAAGACTATGCCAATACCTGCTGCTGCACCCCTGCTTAAGCCGCCACTACCGCTCTTTGAATCAGCACTACTGCTGTTGGAAGACGCGGTGTCAGCACCGGCTGTCGGTGACCCTGAGGCGTTCGAGGTACTAACGACAGTTGACGCGGTAGCAGACGCCGAGTGCGAGGCATTTGTGCTATTTGAGTTCGTAGGCGACGTCAATGAGACTGAACCTGAAGTCGCAGTAGTTGTATTCGACGCGGATGTCGCCGTCGCTGTCGTACCATTGCCACTACTTGCGAGAGGGGTGGTAGTGAAAAGATCTGCAGCAAAGCTGAGGGCTCCGTCAGCCTCGAGGTCTGGTTGTTGTTCACATGCAACGTTGCCAGTATAAACGACTGTGGTGGGTAATTAGCCACGATTCAATTTCTGCCCACACCACTCCACGACTCACAATTGCTAAGAATTACAGCACCATTCCGGCTTGCAAGACAAGTTGCACAGTCAGGTGCCGTCTCGGTATAGACACCAGAGTTCGCTGAGCAATAACTGTAGGGTGATTGGAAGAAGCTTCGACCACCAATACTTGAGAATGCTGAGTCGAGCTCACCACATGAGCTCGAACAGCGCGAGATAGGTGGACCTGGCGCGCCAGAAAGACAGGTTTGTTGCACCGAACTGAGGTAATCTAATATCTCGATCAGTCTAGTACGCTCCTACTGCTCTTCTCTCCCTTGCTCACATAAAAAGAGTATGGTATCTGTCATAGGTCCACTCTGGTAGCTGCTACTCTCCAAGCAATTCATGCATCGTCTCAAAACTCGGCCTTTGCTAGTTTGTGTCCAATCACTATCCAGACACACAATATCATTGGAAGAAGTTGAAGAGTCCCCAATACAGGTATCGTAACATGGTGATCCTGGAATAGCCGACAAGCATTGTATTCTGCAAATAAAGCTCGCGAGGTATAGGAAGATCGTGGAAGCGCGACTGTGTTTCATTTCATGATCGAGCACGGCAGATCGCGCTCGCAATTGAGGCTATGGCTAGGGTAGGTCGAGAGATCCCAAAATTAGTGTAAGACAAGTTTGTATGCTGGTAGAGAGCGGACGTGCATAATCAGCACTGAAGATAAAAGAGCGTCTGCGTTCAGATTGAAGCGCAAGGTGTTGTGAAAACCAAGTACAGCAGATGAGAGTAAATATGGTCAACACTGTAGCATGATTATCACAGATCACCCTCCTCGACTACTCGGTGGATTGGCTACGACGACGCTACGGAACAGGGAACGGCTTGCTGATCCCAGTTTTTGAGAGCCGCGATCGAGTAATCCGTGTTCCGTGGCTTCGTGCTAACCAACTAATCCTCTCCTAACCAAGTTAGTAGCTGTAGATTTCAGAAGCGATGCACGCAATTGAACTGCTCTGAAACGTCAGACAGTTCCTGCGCAGCATTTAGGTTTACAGTATTCCTCGATAAAGCCTGGAACAGCCAATCCAGTAGCTGAGGGATGAGAGAAACTGACAAGGAAACTTTGCAAGTTGTTCAATATTGAACCTTGTCTTGAATCTGCACTTTTTCGTAAACTTCCCGGGACGCGTCGACTCCTCGAGCGAATAACGACGAATCGGAAGAGCTGAGTACCTGGCGATCTTTACTCTAAGCGAGGCACTATGCAATGGCTCCCGACTGATGAAGTTGCTGTAACTTGACGTCGAATCCGTGGTTTCAGGCGGCTGCTTTTACAAGCAGGACTTCACCACCAAGCATGACCTCAATTTCCACAAACAAGGCTCGATGCCGTGGATGCATCGCAATAGTAGTCCATCTGCTCGAGAACAATCGGCCCCACCTACACTGCCGTCGCTTGATTTTCGTTACATGCCACTGCCATTAACACCGATCGATGAAATCGTCTACAGTGATACGAGGCAGTGACGGAATCATCCACGGGACATCTTCATTGAATCAAGGTTCTAAGCGGGCATCCAGCTGATTTCACAATGAGCAAAATTGATAGCTATGTATGTCGTGAACTCGTCGGGCACTCTCCTCAAAGAGGCTGACGATGGCAGTTTGGCGACGACTCCGATGCAGATAGTGACAACTACGATCCCTCCTCAACAGTTCTTCCGTTTCCCAAACCTCTTGATCGCTCAGCATTTCTCGTACCTACCTTTAACGCAGCCGATTTCCTTTCCTCTCTCACATCGCGCTTCCAGACTCTAGAAGACCTTCAAACAGAGTTACAAGATTTGCTCAAATCACTAAATAAAGAGCTAGTTGATCTCGTCAATGATAATTATACTGACTTTCTGAGCCTCGGGGAAAAACTTAGGGGTGGTGAGGAGAAGATAGCAGAAGTGAGAGTTGGGTTGCTTGGATTTCAACGTGATGTGACAGGGGTACGGAACCTCGTGGATGAGCGGAGCAAAGACATCCGGGCTCTGCTCGAACGGAAGAGAAGCCTAGGGAGGGACATACGTACCGGGCGTACACTGCTGGAGATCGATGAACGTCTTGAAGGACTGGAGGTACGCTTAGATGTGTCAAAGCCTGTTGGGGAACCACCATTCGTGCTTGTCAATGGTCAGACCGAGGCAGAAGATGAGTACGTAGGCAGTTTCAGGGGCTGGACAGACGAGTGGACGAAAGAAGAGGATGCTGAATTCAGTGACGAGGACGAGGGACATAGCGATGCTGTCGTTCCACCTCGACTCAACAGGAATTTACAACAGCTACAAGTCATACAAGCCTTATCCAGCAGATGTGGTGATCAGCATCCATTCGTCCTTGCTCAACATGATCGGATGGCACAAATCAGGGACCTTCTACGGAAAGACCTGGAAAGTGCTATCTTGAGTCATACTGACGTCAAAGCGAAGCAGAAGCTCATACAGATACGAGCTCAACTAGATGGGGAGTGAGAGAGCTTGCGCAGTTTATTGAGTACCTACGCCAAAAGAGCTATACCGTTTCGAAGTCCTAATCTTATCGCTGCGCCGAGAGGGCTCATCGTGCTCGATACTGTAGCCATAACGAACCACAACTTTTACCTTCTGACAGTCGAGCTTGGCACCATTGTCTGCTCGTATGTGTCTGGAACACGAGGAAGCGGGTTTGCTCCTAAAAACCTACTGGAATGTCGGCAACCCTTAAATCACCCTTGCTTGGAAGATTACTAGAACAACACCGATTGCCAATCAACTCAACTATCGTCCGCCTCGAGCAATGCTAACCACATTTGCAACCTGTCCAGGCGGTCTTAAGTGACGTCAATCTTGAGTTGGTTGTTGAGCTCTTATACCATATTGCACTACAGCATGGGCTCTATATTCAATTGTGCAACTGTGTGCAAGTCTAATCTATTTTTACGCTGTTTGTCAATCACGTTGCTTCTCATCTTTCTCATTTGACAGCTCATTGTTGTTCAGTATGACCCTGCATATCCAACAACGAGGACCAGGACGTATTCATCCGACGAGCCTTCTACTTTCGACACATCAAATGACCCTGAGGCACTGCAGCCGTCGAAGTCTATATCACCACAATGGTCTCCTAACACCGAAGTACAGAGTACAGAGCTACGGTCTCGATTAGCAAAAGTCACATCAATCTACTATGATCAAAGCAGCTACACCACTCGAATGTATGAGCAAGCACTGCTCACGCACCAAGAACACAACAAGCAATGGGGTTACCAGCACTTTATCCAAAGGCGAGGAGAACTAGGCCCATGGTCAAAACACTCATACATACTCAAACTGCTCGTTGACGAACTAGAAAAGTCCCCCTCACAACGCCTCGACTGGCTCTTCTGGCACGACGCAGACGTCCTCCTCATGAACAACCACATCCCTCTCGAAGCCTTCCTCCCACCACCAACCGAACCCTGGGCGCACGTCAACTTCCTCGCCTCCAACGACCTTCTCGGCCTCAACATCGGCGTCTTCCTAATCCGCGTCTGCGAATGGTCAGTCTACTCCCTCGCCGCAGGCCTTTCGTATCCCTACTTCCGATCCCAAGCCCCGCCTATGGCACGACGAGCAAGGTCCCCTAAACATGCTAGCCACCGAGAAGAAATTCAAAGACAACACCATCCACGTCCCTCAGAGCTGGTTCAACCCGTACCAGAACTCCGGCCACGACGCAGACGACGACGACAACGACGCCTCAATCCCTCTCCAAGGGAACTGGCGCCTCACCTATTTCGAACCAGGCGATCTCCTCGTCCACTTCCCCGGCACAAAAGACACCAGAGAACAACTCATGCAAGAATACATCGACCGCCGCGCCGCAAACTGGAACATCTATAACCGGCCCCTGAACGAGACGAGAGCATTCGCGAACATTACGCATTTCTGGCAGGAAGACGCGAAACGCGAATCGAAGCGCCAGCTGGACTACTGGCGCGCCTATCACATTGTATGCCACGACGTCGGACCGGGAGAAGCCATGATCACGAGGAATGGAATTAATGAGATCAAGAGTAGTATGGAGGGGAATTCTACGCAAAAGGAGATCGACGATGCTATCAGACACTATACGGCTGCAAGAATCGCGCCGAAGAGAGAGTCGTATAGAAAGGTGTGGAGGGAGATGCTATTGGGCACTAGACCGGATAAGACCTATCCTTTTTAAGATGCTGTTGCAAAGGTTGTTGTAGTGTAGACGTTGTGGACTAGTCACGTTTTGGACAATTAAATTTTTTCTGGTATTTGTGCCGTTCGTGGGGCTGAGAGCAGCTACGTTTTGGTGTCTTGACTTCTGGTCGTGCCACGTACATACTGTTACACGTAGAAGCGTGGTTCAGAACAGAAGTGGTCAATCGAATAATTCACATTGCATTGGCGTGGGCAACGTATTCGTCGTGGCGGTGTCGTCCGTGGAATGTCAGAAAGCCCAAAATAAAATTGCTTGGCTTGGCGACTTCGTGACCGTAGGGCACGTCACTTGACACCGTTTATTGGGAAACATCGTTAATAACGGCAGGAAAAGAGTCCAGATGGAAAGTGCTACTGTGGAAGAGAACTCTCAGCGAGTTCTCTAGATAGAATTTATTCAAAAAACTCAACTAAGTAGTCGTATATACGGCCTTCCGCCCATCGCTTGACGTGGTCTGAAAGTTAGAAGTGTGCAATCTCACCTACCCCAGATACCTGGAGGAATATGCTCAAACGCTCGTTGTGGGATGTTGCTGGAATTCCAGTCGCTTCCAAGCGATTCAGGAGTATAAGGAGCTATTGACGTTATTGATCCACGCTCGGATGCTCGTGGCGTGTGATTATAGAAAGACGGAAAGTGTTGGCTATCTGTCTGAACGTCCGTGTTTATTGGCGGCACATTGTAGTTGTATACAGTTCCTGACATGTCTGGCGCAATCGATTGAAATGGTGTTGAATACGACATGAACGGCTGGCTTACACTACCGGGCCTACCCCTGGCTAGTGCTGCGTTGAGCTTGGATAAGGCGTTCAAGCTCTTCGTCATACTGCGCACCCATAATGGTGGTCTCGCTTGTTCATTCGACATCGACAGGCCCTCAAGGTCTGTGCCCGTAGGACTTCTTGTGTTGTCTACAGTCCGGAATCCAATGTCTTCAATCGCACTCTGAGCAATGGCACTTTCCAGTCTGGTGAGCAAAGCGATGATTCGTGGCTCTCGTTGGGTTTCTGGCATGACAGCAAGCATAAAGGCTGCCGAGACTGATCTTTGGATACCGATCCATGAACGAGCGGCAAACTTGTTGATGGACCGAAGCTCAATATAAGTCTCCACAGTTCTTTGCAGATATTCTATACATTCCGATCGAAGGTTTGCCGTGACCTGAGGATCTGCAGGTGTTGTTGCTGGTGAATCCCCTTGGGTGGATGGCTTCCGTCGTGAAGTGACAGGAGGTGAAATAACAGGAGACTGCTTGCCATAGCAAGATGGGTTCGAGGTTGGGCCAGGAAGATGTTCCTCCTTCAAGGCCGGTCGACAGATCTCGCTGATCAAGTAAGAGCAGTGAATTTGCAATGCCAGTCGTTCGAGATGGTCCTTCAGAGAGATACACAAGGCTGAATCGCGGAGTTGCGGTTGGGCTTCGTTCCAGATACGATGGACCTCATCCTTGAACTCCATGATCATGCTCCAGCTCATGGCATGCTTCGGATTACAAGCACGTTCCCGCAGAATCTTCTGAGTTAGCTTGATAATACCCGTCATGCTTTCAACATAAGTCCTGTCACCTGGTGTGCTGTTCCTGGTATAAGGCAAGTTCGGAAAGCACATGATGCTCGAGCTGGGACGATCGTAGCTTATACTGAAATGAGAGTCCTGCCAGGCCAGTGCCCACCATATTCTCGATCTCAGGTAGTTCTCAGCTTCAGTAAAGTTGGGTGAGTTCACATGCAAGCCCATGCTGAATGCGCTTCTCAATGTCATACCCAGAATGATGTAGCTCACCCCAGGGTTCATGTTGTAGGAGAGAGCATTGCCTATGATCAGCAAGGCCTCTATGGTGTCAAGACAAGGATGTGTCAAGAAGTTTGACATACGCAATGCTTGGTAAGAACAACATATGTATACTTGCGAAGTCAACTCTCTTTCCTTGGCAGGCCGACCAGTAGATTGAGAGCCGGACGCAAGCACAGCGAAGAGAAGTGCTAGCCACGGCATAGAGACGCCATAAGGTCTGTCGGGATCGAGTGGAACACCAGTACCTGCCATATCTGCTCGATTCTGGAGCAAAATCTCGAGATTGTTCTGGAAGGCTTGTGCATCCGGAACGACAGGATAAATAACGCAAGGAATGTCTCGGTACGTCAACCAGAACTCTCTGCACAAGCTATCATCTGGAAGGGCTTGAACCAAGCCGTTCACGTCTTGCCCGTTGGAGTCAGTACTCCAAAGGTCGACGAAAGGGTACGTTGTGTTCTCGTTATCGAGCCCTAGGTTGGGTAGGATGTCTTTCTCGAGCAATAATCTGGCGGCATCTTGGGTCGACTTGGTCCGGTTGCCAACCATGTATGCTAGCACAGATCTAGAGCCAAGGTGCATGGTACCCATTTGATTGCTAGGAGCATGCACGCCTTCCCGATCGCCGTCATCAGAGTGGCCAGTGAGCTCAGGAACGGCATGTTCTTCGCTAGCAGCACTGGTGTCGTCGTCCTTCTCTTCTTTGGCTTGCACACGTAGCTGAGCAAGCTCGCGATTGAGGTTCTCCCACTGTTCCCTTGGAACGATTATATTGGATCCTGAATCAAGTGGTCTATCAACAGCACCTGGACTTTTATCGTCGGTCTGGGCCAAGGCAGCGGTTAGTGCTATACGTCTCTTCTTGGTTGGCCGTTCATATGAGCAGAGCTCTGGGTGGTCTCTTTTCACACAGGAGTCACATGGGAGGTTGCGGTCGCACTTGACTTTCCGACGATGACAAGCATAACATGCTTTCGGATCGCGAACCTTCCTTTTGTTCCTGATAATGGCATCAACCTCGTCCTGGCTCATTTCCAGCATCCCAGGCTTGCCATCGTCCGAGGGTTCTGCTTTGGCATCTAGGTCTTGAGGTGCAGGTGGAATATCCGCCATATTAACCGGCATGACAGCATACTCGGGCTTGATAAAGTACTGAGAGTGATAATGCTGATTAAGGATGGCTGGGTGTGGAAAATAACCTTGCCGTGAGAAGTGTTGATGTTGTTGATGGTAAAAGTGAGCTGCAGCAGGAGGCAGATAGTCCGGAAGAAAGGAACAGTCTGGTTCTCTAGGGCTGTCAATGCTGGCGTGTGATGGTACTGGAGTGATGGGATGGTAAGAATGAGGAAGTGGGGGCGTATGTGCAGTATGTGCAGCTTCCCAAGAGTTCATGGTTCAAGTTCACAGTACTCCGGCAGGCCACAAGACGCTCGAGCGAAAAGTAAGAAACTCGCAGCAACTGAACTCTTCCCTGCTTCTAGCTTTACAATCACCGCTAGAAAGGTAGCCCGGCTTTCGTCTGGCTGATAGTGCTAGAGAACTGTGGTTGGGGTGGGTCGAAGCAACACAAAGCGCTGGAAGATATCTCACAACGTGCAGGCGAGTCTTGCACCTGATACCATAGCGCCTTCCCCAGAGGTTCGGAAGAGTTCGTTACATAGCCACCGACTAGAAGAACATGGCACGTCTCATCCCTATATACCGGCGCATGCTAACTATTACCTCTTTGGGATCCTCCATTCTTCCAATGTACTTGTGATCCTTGTTCTAGCCACCCTTTACTGCGCCTCTAACCATCGAGTCCTCTTCTCGATCGTCAACTGGCTAGAGCTAAATAGCTATACCCCATGCTGTGATGGATCACACACCTCACGATTATCTATTGACGAAAGATGTCGGCCAACTTCCAACTCAAAGCCTATTCTGATACACATTCATGTCGATGCGTGATATGGGATGTCAGGAATTCAGTTCCTTCACCTGAAATAGACATTGGTGAAAGACAGCGAGCCGTTGTGCAATCGTGACACAGCCAGCTCACAATCTTAGTCCCTCAACTCAAAACCCCTGCAACCGCCCCAAGCCACGTAGAGGGAAGAAAGCAGCCTTTCCTCCACGTAAGTTTTGCAATTCCTGTGCGAGTGTCAAAAGGCAAGTCTGTCCTGGACTTCGTGCTCGGCCAGCTCGGCGTTGGATTCATGCAGAGCACAATCTAATTACATGGAGCTTCTACTGTCCTGTTTCTTGAATACAAGACACGAGGAAAGTGCTTTAACTGTTTGAGGTTCGCTTGACTGGTTGTTGCAACAGACTTTCCCGTCTTGAAGTTTCATTGAAACCTTCCTGCTGGGCGCGCGAAATACTTGCCAAGCTCCTCCAGTGATGCTCCTGCCTCGAATAACCAACATTAATTACGTTAGTATCAACATCACTGCAGCACTGGTCGAGATTGGCCCAACGGCCCTCCCCACCCGGCTATTGAAGTCACGATCCACGCTCCTGTGGTCCACTTTGACCTAAGGACAAACGGCACGCGTGCTTAGTCTTCTCATCAATGCGGCCTTTGACTCGAGTACCACGTCTCGTTAAACCTGCAGACGCGCTTCCAGAGCGTAAATATGGAGAGGAAGGCAAGCGACGGTGAGGCATGGCCCCACATCAACCACTTGAGATCAGCAGCCAACATCGAGTATGATCTCTTTCGCGTCATACTCTCATCTTAGAGGATTCACACTGATTTCAGTCTCTGTTGCTGCGTGTAAGAATACACTGTTCGAGAGATAGATGCCCAAGGTAGCTATTCAAGCACAGTGTTTCGTCCCAAGGCTTATGCACAAGAATGCACACTGATCAGGTGGCGTTTGCGTCGAACCGTCACATTTAGAGTTCAAGAAATCTGTCACCGTGTCTCCCCGTCCACACCACTCCTGCCATTGAACCGATTGTCCTTTTCTGCAGAAGCATGAACTTGCCGTTCTGCAGAAAACCTTCTATGCATGAAAGCCCTCTGTATACGACTTCACTCGCTTAATGTTCGGGTAAGCTCGTATTCTGAAGCACGGCAGAGCATCTAATTATGTGGCTGGGTGGGTAGGGTGTCAGCAGGAGAAGACGACAATATCTTTGCACTGCTCCAACCTCACTCATGGCCAAGCTCTCAATTTTGCTAGGCTTGCAACGCGGTTAAGGTTGATGTCTCGAGCCCTGCAGCTATTGTCAAATCTGCTGATATTGCGCAACGCAGACCCAGACTCAGTTCATATGGACTGTCCAGGTCGGTCGGTCTGTCTTGCTCTGCTAGCATTACAGCAGGGAATCTAATTTGCTCATGGCTCATGCTTGTGCTGTTAGACCTCCTCAGATCGACGCCATTGTGGACTTGTTGATGTACCCCGTCGTCAGTTAGCGCAGAGCAGAAGCATACCAGGTCTCTCCTCCTCAAGTAAATCACAAGGTCACAGAAACTCCTGGTTGCATAGTAGGCCAAGCGTTGCGAAGCATCATTTCTGGCGTAGTGAACACTGAGCAGTCTCGCTTTTGACGTGTCTCGACAAAGGCAAGTCCAACCATGTCTGGGTCTCTCCAGACGAGCTATCCGATGTGGTTGGTTCACGACTTGGCAAAGGTACCCTTGTTCGAGTAAGGTGGTTCCTACTCGATTAAAGCCTTCCATATGGAGCTTCGACACCTTGTGCCGTCCTCTAGAACAAGTGGAGCCAGAACCACACCCGCTTTAATCAGGATTGGGAACTTTTAAATCAATATCGTTAGGGCTTCGAGCGGCCCGTTCTACTAGGACGTGGTATGGATACGACTGGTCATTCTAGCACGAGATTGCTGCAGCTCTGAGACTGCTCGAAGCTAGGTTCAAGGTTCCCTACAACTTGAATATTGCATGTGGCTCACTGTTCTGCGCAGGCCCATCGAGGTTTAATGTTGCTGTCACAGCACGTCCTGGATATGCTTGAGCAGCATTCGATTCGCAATCCGTCTGGTTTACGATCACTCGATCAACTGTGATATCTCTTGTAGAAAAAACACCTTGATCCAGTCGTTAAGCGACATGGCTCGAACCTCAAAGAATGGGGAATGATCGTCCACGCTTGTGGTAGGAGAGCTCTGTACTCGAATACGTTGTGTTGTGTTAGGTTTGTCGCGGTCGCACTGGCCTCACTTTCGTTCAGCCTTAGTTACCGCCTTGTAAAAATCCTTCGCGTAACTGCTCTGGCTGCGTCAAACGCAATCAATCTTCTTGTTTTCCATTCTTTTCGTCCTTCCCATACATTCGGACTGGATGACCACCCAAGGCGCATCTATGAGTGCCACCAGAAAAAAATCCACAATTCCGGCGAAGTGACTCTACAAAACCTTCGTTCCGAACCTTCGACGTGATTTGTCTACATACGTGCTCACCGACATGTGGTAGTATATGCTCCTTGTTGGTCATGGTAAATTCTGGTTCGAATATGTCACGATGTCGACGGCCCCTTCGTAACCGATCAAGTTGAAGCAGCTGCTGGACGCAAAGTCATGCTGGAGGCAGTCCGGGCGACAGGAAGGTCTATTTCGATTGTCGATGCTGCACTCGGGCAATGTCGGCTCATTGCCCGTTCCAACCACACCGTCATGTTTCGGTGGCTCGGAGATCGTGGTGGAGGTGGACTGAAGCTGATCACATCGCAGCAACAAATGAGCATCTGACAAGGCACAATTTGACCTTGAGGCAATCGGACAATGAAGTCCGAACACAGCCTCCCAAGGTTTCTGGCGTCAGAAGTCGAACAATGCGGAAAGTTAGAACAGTGACCAAGCTCAAACTTTATATCCCGTGCAGTGGGTGTCTTGGCACGCGTGGTCTGATGGATGGGAGGAGACACAGACTCCTGTATCCTGCAGAGGCTTCGATCGGATGTGGCCCCCGGGCCGCTTCACCTCAGACTAGTACTCAGTATGTCTGCGCCAGCACAAGTACATCCGATGTTTTTGCCTCTCCATCGAAATGTCCTTTTGTACATTTTGCAGAAACCCTACTCGAGTATCCAGGCGAATTACCTAGGAAGGTTTGTTGGGAACTTGAGATTATAATATTGCGTCTGCTGGTGGTCGACAGTTAGACGGATATGGCTGGTTCAGTTCTGCTGCTGCTCTAGCGCTAGTTTGGCAAGTGCCTGACACGAGTATGCTGACACGACTGCATTGACACTACTCGAAAATCTCAAGGTGTGTCCTCGCTAAAGGCCCCACCATTTCTCACCAATGAGAAATCTCGGAAGAGATGAGGTATGGAGCCGTTCAGCGAATCGCGAATTTCGAGTACCAGGAATGACACCATATCGCAGTTCACCATTAACTCCCCGAAACATTTCATCACACTCGAGGATGAGCATTGCAGCTTGAACTTTGGAAAGTCCCGCCAATTCTTCATTGGTCTTTTACTGTCGAATCCACAGCCACTTTCCCCAACAAGGAAGTGGCTGTTTGAAACAGGGAATTAATGGGGCGCGGACATCCTCAAGCCATGCCGCGCATATTGTACTCGAGTATAGTACAGCGATCACGCTATATTCCACGTACGCGTTCGAGTAAGCTAAAACTGAAAATGCAATCACGATTTGTGTACAGCTTAGTGTCTCTTGCAGGCCTCGATTCGAGCTTCTCTCGAAGGCTCGAGACGAGACCAGACCACTGTCTGTGATTATCGTCTCTATTACAGTATCAGAGGCTACACAAACCTGCAGATCGACTGTCCAAATCAGTCTCGATCACATCACGCGTCCAGAAAACAATTTTTTGATCTTCTAGTTGCACACACCATTCATGCCCAATCATGCCCCAGTCCAGCTGAACTCCTTGTCACTCATCCTCCATCTATCAAACCACCTCATGTAGTTGTACTTGTGGTTACTGCCTTGCATACCATACACAATAGGGCTGAAATACACAAATAACCCTATTGTCAAAGCATACAGCACGGAATACAGACCCCATCTCACTCTGTTATTCATCTTCTGCGTCATCCAATCCACCACAAACACAAACGTGACTATAGCAAAAGCCAACGCCGGATAGTAGTGGTGCACGTATGTGACTCGACCCATAAGGATAAATGGGAAGTAGTGGAAGAACCACCCGATCAGCGGATAGATGCCACTGTACATGATATGCTCCATGTCTGGAAAGCTGAGCTCAGCATACCCTCGCTGCCAGCGGACAGCATACCAAGCCACGAGTAGACCGACCACGCCCAGCGAGGCGGTGCTGCCCCAGTAGACAAGCGGATTTCCAAGGAGGAAGTACTTGGTGACATTGTCATCCCAGGAGCACATCCGCAGACCCACGTGGAGCAGTGGCCACTGCCAGAACGCGGATGCAAGATCATCCTGCTTATCTGGGTCAGGGACCAGAGCGTTGTTCGAAGTCATCATCGCGACGTTAAGGTGGATGAAGTCCCGCAGGAAGGGGGAGCGGTACATCTTAGCGTTGCCAGGGGGGACTATTTTATCAGATGTTAGCGAGTAAAAAAGGAGTTCTTCGGACGGGTGGACTTACGCTTGTCATTGACGTGACTCTCCACATTCCAGTGGGTGTAGACATCTCGGGGATTATTCTGCTTGACGCATGTAGTCTCGATCTGCTTGAAGCCCCATTGTGGGAGATTGACGGTTCCGGCTCGCAGATAGCAGTTTAGGTCGGTATGTCGTAGTCGGAAAGAGGTGGTCAGTGTTCGAATGCGGCTACGATCCGAGCTGGCTGCGTCGTTGACGACTTCGACGACCCAGTGATCCTTTGTGTCGCCCACTGTCAAGTTGCCGTAGCAGGAGACTTCGTAGTCTGCTTTCGTCACAGGTGCAGCTACTGAATGCGAGTGTAGATTTCGGCCGGTCGAGGTGTGGAGGAAGCGAACCACGCTACCATCACGGACGAAGCGTAGTGGAGCGTCAAAATCGAACTCCGGCTCGCTGCGATTTGGGTAGAAGAACCAGTCGTTGTTGGCATCTTTGTGGTGATAACAGGTGACTTGTTGTTGCTGGGACCCTTCTGGATATGTCTGGATATGAGAGTGGAGCAGACCACCACCATACCCCATGTTCTTGATCGTAACTCGAGAGCCATACGCAATTTCGAGTGGTGAGTCTTTGCCGACTTCTGTTCCTCTCAGATTCGCTTGGAAGAGTGAACTCATTTGCGCGTCACCTGGTCCGCTGTTCTCGAGAATGACAAAGTGTGCCTTGAAGCTTGCCATGTAGACTGTGGTTGGGATCAGAATAAGGGTGAAGACACGGAAGACAAGGTGCGCGCCGAGCTCTACAGGTGACATTTCCAGGTCGCCAAATTTGTTCCACAGATCGTGGGCTGTGTACAGACCTACTAGGGCCGTAACGAACAGACCAACCCACTTGACACTGCAGACACAACCGATCGAAATACCAGTCAACATCATCCAGATCATCCATTCAATGCTCCAGCTCTTGTTGCGCAAGGTATGTAATCTTGCCCAGCACATGACAGTCGTGAAAGTGAAGCACAACAGCATGCTGTCCAGAAGAATGAATCTCGAGATTGTGGCATAAGAGTTGTCAAACAAGACCATGAGTGTGCACCAGTATACGGCTGGTCGCTTGAAGCCCAGGTCTCGAGCAATAAAGTATGCGCAGGGAACTGTTACCACACCAAATAGAGCATTGAACACACGCATGAAAGTGTAGTTCAGCTCGGGAGGATATGTATCGCCGGATTTGAATTCGAAGGATCCGTTGTAACCCGCCAGGAGACCAGAAAGTCCGACCAGCATCTTTCCGAGAGGAGGGTGAACGTCGAAATAGAATTCGCGTTTGAGGTAGTGGGAGCCGAATTTACCGAAGCTGCAAAAGAGTGTCAATTGTGTTGCAAGTCTTGGTGCTGCTATACTAACTGTGCTTCGTCCCATGTTACTATTGGTGACAGACCAATCTTCCAAAGTCTCGTCAATAATGCGACAATCGTGAAGATTAGGGGTGCAATAATATATTCGTATTCGTTAAGGTAGTCCACAAACGTAGGTTCCTGCTGGGATCAGTTTATCATTCTCTGTCTTGGTTCTCAGCTCGCTCACCTTCCTCAGCTTCTTCTTGTCTTCAGCTTCAAGCTTGACGACATGGCCGCCATTGGCTTTCTCGTAAGCTTGGACATTCCTTCTGCGAACTTCATTTATATCGCCCTGCGCTGCGCCGCTCGTCACAGCATTATAGTTTGTAGACATTGTGCCTCCGAATGAATTACACGATCTAGCAGTAGATTAGAGCAATGTCAAACTGCCGAATCTTCCAACCCTAGATCGAGGACGTAGATGGTAGGACAAGGAATTATAGATCAGGCCAGGTTAGGCCTATAGGGCTGAGGAGAAATACTCTCGCACAAATGGTCGTCGAAGTCGAAAGATCGAATGAATGAAGAGGGGCTAAAGAGAAGGCAAAGGTGCCTGAAGAAGTGATACTAGAATTACAAAAAATGCATTAAGAAGGGAGAAGGAGCTGCGATCAAGAGTGTTTCTTGTAATTGTTGTACAGGTGTTCATTCACATGCATGCCTCACCCACACCCATGACAATTGTGGGTATAATTCAGCCCCTTAACAAGCAAACTAGGTCATATTAGCCTTACCACACGGCTACATCACGAACAGTAGCCGGTCATTCTTCCTCCTCCCATAATGCGAAAAGGAGGAAGCCTAACTAAAAGGAGCCGGTTTAGCGGCATCCAGCTCAACAGCCACGTCTTTGTCTTGAGCTGAGCTGTAACAAGCTCGTGCAGCACTTTGGGTTTGATGGTAGAAATTAAATATACTTTCGACAGGAGCCTCCTGAAGAGACAAATACTTTCACTTCGTACTATATGGCCGAGTTCACCTTGCGTTTCTAGCCCACTTTGGGACCCTTGAGCCGCAACGTGGACGTTGTATGGTATGGTCAGTCAGCCTGCTGCCTTTACACGTACGATGGATCTCTGCGGAGACACTGAGAGTGTTTGCATCGTGGAAGAAATTGATTATGCTCCAGCAAGGTCAACATCGTCACAAGTACGCTAAGTCGGCCACCATAACAGTGCATGTGCAAGGACTATGAACGTGAAGGAACGAGGTCAGGAATCTGCACTCGCTCGCTCTGCTAGGATCTTCTCCAGCTTGTCTAATCCTCCTAACTTCTGGAACTGGCTATCTCCTGTGTCAGCAGATGTGACATTATCTAGAGAGTTGCTCAACTTCACTGTGCCTGCCGAGCCACCTCTCCAGATATTTGCAGGAGGATTGTTCGGATCCTTCAGCAGATCAGCAACCACGTTCTTCGCCCAGCTCGTCTGATTCTCTGCGTACGACTCAGTCACGTTTCCGGTAATGACATTCAGCACCTCATCCTTGATAGGCTGGTACGGTGAGTCAGCAGGTAGTTCGAATGGATTCGTCTTGTTCTCTTTGAAGTTGGATGAGAGACTACCAGTTTTCAGGTCAACTACTCTGATACCAAATGGCGAAAGCTCAATACGCTGAGCATCGTTGAAGGCTGCCATCGCTGCTTTCGAAGCTCCGTAGGCTGAATGGTATGGTGTGCGAAGTACAGAGGAAATCGAAGTATTGTTCACTATCAATGACTTCTTGCCTGTAGGTGTTGGCTGTGCATTCTTCATCAGGAGTGGTAGAAATGCTTGGGTTACTGCCAGGTAAGACCACACGTTCGTCTCGAACAAATCTCTGGCATCGTTCAGGTCAAGATGCAGAAACGGCATGTAGTGCCCGCCACCTGCGTTGTTGACAACAATATCGAGGAGCCCGTCGGTCAAGCTGGATACTTTGATGAGGGCTTTTTTGATCGACTCGTCAGACCGCACATCAAGTTCAAAACACTCGATACTGGCCTCTTTCAAGCTGCTCATCTTGTTTAGATCACGCGCTGTCGCAAAGACTCGCAATCTTTTCTCGTGGAAGGCATGAGCGAGAGCTGCTCCCAGACTGCCATCTGAGCATCCAGTAATGAGGACAGTACGTTGATCTCGTGTCATAGTGATTATTTGTGTAAGTCGTGGTTCTATTGTACACGAAGATGTCGTTAGCTTTCTGTTTTGGTCTGACCAGTAGCTGTGGACGACGCTCGAGGTCTTGCATGCTCACATTTCAATTTCCGTCAGGTACTACCGAAATGGTGAAGCTGTGTGCAAGATGGCAGCAATGGCTTTTGAATATGCAATCATGACGATATGCCGAAGGATGTGCTTGGCACTCTATCTCTGCTCCTTTCAATGCTTCTATCATAGTTCTCGTTCGCTATCAGCCTCGCAAATCGTTTGGAATGAAATCCCTTTCATTTGTGAGAACCAACAGGATGTCCCAAGCCATCTGCATGCCGAAAAAATGCTGACTTCGACGCCTAATTTGATTTTTTATTCCCTCCGCCTCGCAGTTCAACCCATGACACTTTTTATTCATATAAACTTCCTGCAGTGCGTACGCTTACTTTCCACTCGGAATCTTGAAGAAAACACCTGGCTTCTCTTTCGTTGGCGCCACGTCGCACCTATAATAGCCCTTCCTGTCGTACTGAAAGATATCGTCCTTCTTGATATTCCAGATGTTGCAATCTGCAACAGCTGATGACTTGAACTCGGTTTTTGGGGTCAAGAAATTCTCCCACTCTTTCTCCTCTTCCTCAGTGAGCTTCTCCTTGTTCAACAGATAGTCGAAGTCGACCAACTCAACTGGCACGAGATCCTGGTCGAGCGACAACCAGGTGACCTTCTTCTTTGTCGCCTTGAAGTCACCCTCAAGATGCAGATCGAGCTCTATCGATTCGACGTCGCCCAACACTTTGACACCACCTGCTAGATCATCTGTATTGGCTTTTGCACTCACGATGTTCTTGACAATGGCATTACCCCAGTTCATCAGCGTAATCTCCTCGCCCTCTGTAAATGTCCGGCAGTCCTCCTGTTCCATTGCAATAGTTTCGCTGTACCATACATCTTTCTCCCCAAGCTCGAATTTTGCATGTAGCTTCTGCTTCTCACTGTATGGAGCCTTATCCAAACCATTGATTTTGCACTTTACGTATGGTGTATCGATGGCTGTATATCGTGCAGCTCCCTGGTCTATGACCTTCTTGTTCATAGCCCAGATAGTATGCCAGTCCATGTTCACAATGTTCTTGCTCGGTCCTTGACTAACCATGAAATCCCGTAAACCTTCTACGGTCATACCTCTTCTTCGAATACCTCGAACGGTGGGAAATCGTGGATCATTCCAGCCAGATACAACCCCTGCGTCCACCAGCTTGGTCAGTTTTCGTTTCGACATGAGTGTTCGGACGAATTGAATCTTGCTGAAAGTCCAAATGTATGGTGCTCTCAGCTCGATCGCTTTCAGGATCCACTTGTACTGCGCATCCTGATCATTGTACTCTGTGGTTCTTAAGGCGTGCGTAACTCCCTCGATCGAATCGACCACAGGACAAGCAAACTGGTAGGTAGGATAGGCTTTGTATTTGTCACCAGTTCTGTGATGTGGCTTCTGCTCTTTAGGACATCGGTAAATGACAGGATCTCGAAGGGAAGCGTTATCGTTGGCGTATGAGATCTTGGCACGTATGCACCATCTGCGTCCCTCATCTGAGCCTGTCTTCATCTCTTCGTATCTCTTTAGGTTGTCCTCGATGCTATCATCTCGGTGCACTGATGGCTCGCGTGCCATTCTCATCCTGCTCATCTCCTCGCCAGGCGTATCGTCTGCGAAGGCCTTTCCAGCTTGGATAATTTTGACACAATACTTGTCAATCTCATCGAAGTAATTTGATGTATATGAGATCATGTCTGGCTTAATACCCAACAGGGCAACGTCCTCCATGATTGCATCTTGATATTCCTCCTTCTCTTTCTCTGTATTTGTATCGTCGAATCTGAGGATCATTTTGCCACCAGGATACTGGATATGTGCGAAGTAGTCATTCAACAGGGCTGCCTTGCTATGGCCAATGTGCAGGTATCCTGATGGCTCGGGAGGAAATCGAGTGACCACGCCCGCCTCAGCATTTGGCAGCTCCATCTGCTTGACCTTTGGGGCCTTCTTGGCCCCTTTCTCACCTTTAGGCGGCATCTTAGTGGTTCAGCAGTGTTGAGAGAATAGAAGAAGTTGAGGAGAGTGGAAGTACGTGTGAGCAAGCCGCTGTGAATCATTTAATTCTGTGTCGAAAATCGTCCCGCAAGTTCGAGCGGCCTCCCCGCAGCTTTTCGATTGAAAAGCGAGCCAGCATGTGCGTACTAGTGAGCAGAGAAAGCGGCCAGTATTCTTCACGATTCTCAAGCCGCAAATCTTACGTTTTGATTGATCAGTCCTTTCAAGCTAATATCCCGGCTCAGTTGCCGTGTTGGACCTTTACGGCTTTCGAATATAGAGAGACGGACTGCAGCAGTAGCATATCAATTAGCAGCTCGTCGCTTCGAGATCCATCGCCGAATAGCTGGTGTCAACTACGCCTGGGGAGATGGAATCACTCTGCTTGTCATGCAGAGCCCTCACGCTCAATATACCTAGAAATGGCCTGATTACTCGTCGAATCCAGCCAGCGATACGGGCTTTCAGTACGACAGGTTCCTACGGAGCAGTGGACAACAAAAAGAAGGCAGCAGACGCAAAGAGGAAATTGAAACAGAAGGAAACTCGCAAAAAGAAGAAATTCGCGACTTACAAGCTGCCGGACCTAAAGGACATCAATAAATACTCCCTAGTCGATGCGATGCAATACATCAAAGCCTTCGAAGTTGGTCGAAATCCTTCGCAAGTGAAATTTGACGTTGCTATACGGCTACGAACGAAGAAAGATGGACCTGTCCTCAGAAATCAGATCAAGCTACCATACGCTGTGAAGACAGATATCAAGGTCTGTGTGCTTGTGCCTGCAGAGTCAAAGCAGGGGAAAGCTGCAAAGGCCGCTGGAGCTACTCTAGTGGGGGAAGAGGAAGTCTTTGACATCATCAAAGATGGGAAAATCGATTTCGACCGCTGCATAACAACGCCAGAGATGTTACCCAAGATCCAAAAGGCTGGTCTACCACGAGTACTCGGTCCTAGGGGCCTGATGCCAAGCGTGAAGCTGGGAACTGTCACCGATAATATCGCGGCGAGTGTAAAGGCTATGATGGGAGGTTCCACGTACAGAGAGCGGAGAGGTGTCGTCCGCATGGCCGTGGGTCAGTTGGGCTTTACTCCTGAGCAACTCAGAGACAATGTACAGGCATTGATTGCGCAATTACGAAAGGAAAGTAACGCGCTTCTCGAATCATCCGGGTTCAACAAAGAGATCTTTGATGTGGTATGTCTGACACTTCTGCAACCAGGTGGCTACTAACAGCATGTCTAGGTTTTGAGTTCGACGAACGCTCCTGCTTTCTCATTATCTGGAGATTTCAGAGGTAACAATTCGCAACTGCCGAAGTGGGATAAACTCCCCATCTTAGAAAACTTGCCCGAGCGGACTAAAGTTGGTGGCATACTATATCGTACATACAGGCAATGGGCGAAACACAAGGCAGCGGCACGAGGAGAACCTATCCAACATGTACCACCTCCTGGACCGGACCAATTAAATAAAGCAAAAAGATGGTTACAAAGAAGAATCCAGGCTAAGACTTCAACGACTGGGCAGGCACAGCAGGTCTCGACACCACAGCTGAATATGGCTTGATGCACAACAATTTTGAAGAGGCCCTTGCATTCGCAGATTTGAGACGGTTCACATTGGAGAACGCGTTCGGGCAGACTGTTCAGTAACGTTCTCCTCGTGATGACTCAGTTAAGCTCCTCTTCGTACACCTAGCCATAACAGATAGAGGCAGCTGCAATTGCACATCCACCAAGATATACCTCGAACCTGTGACCAGGTATTGTCTGCGACAAAAACGTATATTACGCCGTACAATATCCTTCCAATGGTATACGTCGTGCAAGCACCGAGAATGGAATTGTCCGGCACGGCAGCAATCAAGCTGAAAAGGACTAGCCATACATTAATTTATGGTACATTCATCGCCTATGTCACTTACCACTTGCAGTGAAGAGAATGAAGCCTTCGGTCGAATTAGCACTAGCGCTTTCGACTCTTTGTATCTGCTCCAGCTGGGCTTGTGTCAATTTGCCCGCCTTGACGGCTTCAGAGCCATATTTGTTGAGGGCTTGTCGAGGGTTGCCATTGTGGTCGATCCCGTATAGTTGCTTGAAGTTGCGAGGCGCTAGGACACAGTATGCATAGAACCAGTTGAAAGCTATAAACACTGCTGGAGCCATTAAATTGTTTGTGGCTGATAATTGTAGACCTAGAGCATTTGTGGTAGACATTGTAACCTGAATCACTTTACTGGTATTTACACATCAGGCTATACAGAAGGAAAAGCTTGGAGTATGGTATGTACGACAGCTCTCTCGACGTTCATCTTACGCTATTCAGACGTCCTGAGTCACGCCGCTTGTTCGTGATTCAATCAAGGTTGAAGCTTCTCTCTACTAGTATAGCTTGCTAGCCTAGTCGACTATTGTGCTACAACGTTCCACCAAGTTGAAAGAATACCAATGTACCATGTTTGAAGCATGGTGACTGCCCTTTCTGACACTTCGCACAGTATAGTGTTCTCAATGGTCTGAGTCAAGTCTTGCTACTATTTTAGCATCACCGACTCCCGACCTCGTATGCTTGCCTCGTCGTTCTACTACGTAGATGCCGTTCGGATGCAACGAGGTTTTTGGACATTGATGTCTGACAGCCCGATCTGTCACCCTCTTCCTGTGCATGAAATCTGCCGAAGTTGCGGTGGTCCATACCGTATCACTTCCCTGCGAGCAAGCTTCAGCACAAGCACTGGCAGATCTCCGATTTGCCGCTACAGTCCACAAGTCGTTTTCCTCTCCTCTTTCTACATGCAAAGGCGAGTGCGGCTATACACATCATTGGTTCCAGCTCGCATGCTTGACACGGATATTCTATCCGATTGCTTGATGGACAGTGATCCTGGAGAATGACGCTGTATCTGTGCTGTATGTGCTGTGGTGATGTCACCCGCGGCACCCGTAAGGGCACCTTCAATACACTGAAACAGAGGGGCAGCGCAGGCATTCATATCAATTTGAGACCATTCTGTGGAAGCGGCAAAGTGCTCTATCACCTCATCTTGAATCAACGATACGAACCTACGACGACAGAGAGTTCTTCCTACATAGCAGTAGCGCTTCGAGAGATATCCTATACTCCTCCTCGACCACAGGACTGGAACTGTCCCATACCTTTTCCCTCCTCGAATCGCGACCTTCCCTCTCGCAATCATGGCTATGTCCCAAGCTGCCAACCTGGTCGAGAAGATTCTCGGCCACACTGGTGATGCGACCACAGAGCAGAACATGAGCAATCCAAACAGAGATATCAGCAAATATGCAGATCCATCTGGAGAAAAGATGAAGGCTTTGGTCTGGAATGGCAAGAACGACGTCAAGGTCATCGAAACCTTCAAGCCTGCGAGAATTGAGAACTCGGACGTCATAGTCAAAGTTACAGGCAGCACGGTATGTGGTTCAGATCTGCACTTGCTCCATGGCGCAGTCGTGGAGATGCAGAAGGGCGATATCTTAGGTCACGAATTCTGTGGTGTTGTTGACAGTGTTGGACCGTCAATCTCGAAAGTGAAGCCAGGGGATCGGGTTGTCTGCTCCTTCCAAATTGCATGCGGTTCGTGTATGTACTGCCAAAAGAAGCTCAGCTCTCAGTGCGAAAAGACAAATGACAACACTATCGAGAACATCATGTACGGTGGTCGCACTGCTGGTATGCTAGGGTACTCTCACTTCACAGGCGGTTATGCTGGTGGTCAAGCAGAGTATGTTCGTGTAGCTTATGGCGATGTTAACCTGTTGAAGATTCCAGACGAGGTGCCTGATGAGAAAGCCCTGTTCCTCAGTGATGTCCTTAGCACCAGCTGGAACTGCGTCGTCGATACTGGTGTCAAAGAAGGCGATGTTGTTGCCATCTGGGGTGCGGGTCCCATTGGTCAGATGTGTGCTGACTTCTCATTCATGAATGGAGCTAAAAGAGTCATCATCATAGATGGTGGTGCTGGTTCTTGGAGACTGGATTACGTGAAGAGCAAGCTACCTAAAGTCGAGACGCTCAACTTCACAGATCTACCGAGAGGTGAAAGTGTTACTAGCCAGCTGAAGAAAATGGAACATGGCGGTCCTGACGTTGCTCTCGAGTGTGTCGCTGGTGAATACGCAAAAGGATGGGCACACTATTTTGAAATGATGTTGGGCATGGAGACAGATACATCAGAAATCCTCAACGAGATGATTACCAGTGTCAAGAACTTTGGTAGAGTGGGTGTTACTGGCGTATATGTTGGCTTCGTAAGTCTATCACCTAGTACCTTGTGAAAAACGCTAACTGAATCCTAGACCAACCACTTCAATATTGGATCCTTGATGGAGCGCGGAATTCGTTTAATTGGTAACGGCCAAGCTCCAGTACATTTGTACTGGGAAGACTTGATGAAGAAGATTCAGGATGGGTCCATCGAACCATTACGAATGGTCAGTCATCGAGTCAAACTGGAAGAGTTGGAAGAGGTTTACAAGAGATACAACGAGCGGGAACAGGGGATGCAGAAGGTATACGTGGCAACAAAATTCAGCTTTCCACCTGCTCCTGGTACACCACAATTGACAGAATACGGAACAGCTTAGAGAGAAGTTGCTTCTTGCGATTATCACCAATAGATCATTCAATGTCAACGTTCGAGAGCTCTCTGAACACGCTACATACCTCTCAAGCACTCGAAAGCGTTGTGCTGCTGTTTATACACTTCCATAAAGACGCCCGCCGTATCCACCCAAATCGGGTCAAGGATCAAGGATGAAGCATGAACAAATAAAGATCAACGCGCGCGAACAAATTGTTCGGAGGAGTGCTGTAACACGACCTACATCCTCTCTGCCACGCCTCGCAAGATAGTAACACCGTTGTACGATAACAGTGTAGACCTTCTCCCAGCCTCAATCCCGTCGCGTTTCACGAAGCCATGCGACTTCTGGGCCTAATTTTAGCTTAAGGTGGGAACTATTCGGAACTAGTTCCCAATGTCCGATAGTGCTAAGACAAACACGTTCGGGCTGTCCATTATCTTTTCTAAACCGACTGAGACATCGTGAACTTCTCTGTAGCCAGTTTCGTTCACTCATCCATTGCTTTTCGCGTGTCCAGTGGGCCAGCAACGTCAAAATCAGCTCGTCGCGTTGTACACAAGTTCTCGCATTCAGGCACTAAGGCCTGTAGGTTGGCACTGGAGCTAGCGACCAGGGTCATACACGCGTGTTTATTGGCAGAAAAGCTGGAAGTTCATACCTTGAAAACTTCCGAAGCGCTGGAGCCCTACCGCAAGAGACGAGCTTGCACAATCCCTGTCTAAACGTCAACAGTCAACTTATCATGTCTGATACTCATCCAAGCAGCCTACGACCAGGCGGTCCGTCACCTTCCAACACACCCAGGCCTGAGTCGCAGACAATTCCTCACTCAGAAAACATGCAAGGTCGACAACAATTCTCGGCCTATGGCGCAAACCAGGAACAGCAGCCTGGTCAGCAGATGCCAGGTGATAATTATGGTAGACGCATACCTCAGTCGATGTATGGTGGTCAAGGACCTGATTTTAACGTAGAAACACCAGGAGGTAGTGCTGGCAACAATGCTTTCGTAGATGGCCCACGATCTAGATCGAGCACTATCGGTCAGTCCTATCCTATTACCGTCGAGCAATCGCCACCAGCCATGCCGTCGATGCAACCACTATTCGCGCAGCATTCCGGACCTGGATTGCAGAGCATGGCAGGAGCTTCTAGTGGTTCAAGACCAGCTTCTCAGCACGGTCAACCAGGACGATCTCAGGCCATGAATCCATCTGTACTTCAGCCAAACTTTCAACCAGGTTCGAATACACGACCAGGAACAGCATCTGGCGCGCAGAGCGCTTCAAAGTCTCCGTTCACCACTCCTATCACTTCACCTCCTCGATCTCGGCCTAGTCAAATTTTGTTGATTAACCCAACATCGAATGTTGCTTTGACAAATACTATGCTAGGCTCTTTACGGCCAATACTTCCGCCACAGTTGGAAGTAGTTGGCTATACAGCTCATTACCCAGCACCAACTGCCACAGAGACGACCGTTGACCAGGCTCTATCTACAGAACTTGTCCTTCGCGACTTGGCCAAGTATGCGACAAACAATGGCGAAACTGTTCAGAACTTCGATGCACTACTCGTCGCTAGCTTCAGTCAACATCCATTAATCTATGCACTTCGCGAGTCTTATGACGTACCGGTCATTGGTATTCTAGAAGGCTCACTTTACGTCTCTCGTATGCTTGGAGCTCGCTTTGGTATTATCGCCACCACGAACCGACACAAAGTTCAGACAGATGACGCAGTTCATATGAGCGGACTCGAGCATTACTATGCAGGATGTGAATCGGTCCATATGAGTCCAATGGAGATTTTGGCAAGTGCCAGCGTCAATCAGAGTGGTGCATTACCAGAAGAAGTCACGAAGCGGGTTGCGCATGCTGCAAGGATACTAGTGAGCAGAGGTGCAGACACATTGATCATGGGTAGTGAAAGCATGAGTAGTCTGGAAGTTATTCGGGCTGCAAAAGACGCAATTCGAGAGGAAGATGGAAGGAGAACCGTCAATGTGGTGGATTGTGTAGAGGCCGGCGTTATGTGCTTGAATGCCTTGGTCGGAATGGGCGTACCTACGAGCAAGAAGGGCGTGTATCGAGGCGAGAGGGATGGCAGGAGAGCTAGAGGTCAGAACTGGTTGTAATAGCTAATACCGAAGTGGTCAATGAGAGGCAAATGGGGACGAGAAAAACTGTATGTAGGGTCACTTAGTGCGTATTTGTGCATTGTAAAGACTAAATCTATGAAAATGATATCTGATGAATACACGCCGCTGGCAACAGCAGCAGTTCCTTATATTTTCAGTCCTTCGAACATTCGAAGTACAACAGAAGAGTCAATGGCTGGTTTGGTTGGGTCACGAATATGAGCGCCTCACGGGTCCACACTCGAATAGAGCCCGTCGGACAATGACGCTCGACGTCCTCAAACGCTCCACGAGAAGTGACTCAACATATATGCTGATGAGGACTTCCTCGCTATGCCCATGTCCCTACAACAGGACTATAGTTGCTCTTCCCAGGACGAACGTTGAAGCACTTCGGGCAGAAAGAATGGCTCTACCCACCTTCCTCGCCAAGCCATTGCTAGCATCGCTCCTGCTTTCTATCCTTTACGTTCTCGTTCGAGCTCTTCACCGTCTCTCACCCTTCCACACACTTTCTCACGTTCCTGGTCCACTTCTACCTCGTACTACCTCTCTATGGCTCGTCTACCACGCCTGGATCGGGGATGAATGCACCGCTACTCATGCCCTTCACCAACGATATGGTCCCATCGTCCGCACGGGCCCCAGCAGCGTCGATATCGCTGATGGCACAGCACTCCACGACATCTACAGTGCACGTGGCGGGTTTCGCAAACCTGCTTTCTATGGCAATTTCGACATAGATGGACATAGAAGTATTTTCAGCGAGGTTGTGCCTGAGAATAGGGCGCCGAGAGCAAAGGCTGTGTTGCCGTTGTTTGCGACAGGCACTTTGAGGGCGGGAAAGGAGAGGTTGGATGAGATTGTTTGGGGGTTTGTCCGAAGGCTCGAAGGCGAGAAAGAAAGGAGTAGGCGAATGGGTAAGGCGTTGAACGTTTTGGATGTGTGTCGGGGTTTGGCTCTCGATGCTGTTACTGGATATCTTTTTGGACGAGCTTACGGAGGACTTGGAGGTAGTGGTGGAGAGGTGAAAGGTGAGAAGGATGTTCCGCAGTCATTTGCAAAGAGCGATGAAGGGAGCCCTACTGGAATGAGTGCAAATGGCATGGTTGATCTGTTCGTCGGAGTTGGCAGGTTCTGGTATTTACCGTCTTGGGCCTTTCAATGGGTCGATTACTTTGACAGCAAGTTTGGTGCCGGTAGCTCGGAAGAGGTAGGTGATTCGATAAGTCTCGTCGACAAGTTCGTGGCAGGTGTCGTGAACGACGCTCAATTGGCTCTACAAAGCACCAGAGACACCGAAGACTTCTCTATCAATGGTATCTCGACCACGTCTTACCCAGCTCGTCTACTCGCTGCTGGACTGTCGATCTCAGAAACACGAGCACAATGCAAAGACCTGATATTCGCAGGTACAGACAGCACAGGAATGAACATGGCTACAATTCTGTTTCACCTTACTCGCCAGCCGGATGTGCTTGCGAAGTTACAGCATGAGCTTGAACAAAACAAAGACGTAACAGATTTGATCGAAATCCAAAGCCTGCCATACCTCAGAGGTGTCGTTCGGGAAGGTCTAAGGCTAAGCATGGCGAATCCAAGTCGACTACCACGAGTCGTGCCCAAGGACGGCTGGACCTTCAACAACATATACTTTCCAGCCGGCATTGAAGTATCATGTACACCCTTTGAGCTCCACCTCAACCCAGCAGTCTTTCCAGAACCACATTCTTTCAAGCCAGAGCGTTGGATGCAAGGTACAGGCGCAACGATGGAAATGGATCGTGATGCGATCCCGTTTGGGCTCGGTTCACGGCAGTGTATCGCGAGGAATTTGGCTACTGCTGAGCTGTTCCTTGCTACAAAAGCCGTTGCCGAGAGTGGAGTGCTTGATGGTGCGAAGGTGTTGCAGGACAAGATCGAGATTTTGGAGTGGTTTAATAGTCATGTGATTGGTGGGAAGATTGAGTTGTTGTGGTCATGATGAGGGAAACACATACTATCGATAGAATATAGACTCTATAGGACGTGGTTCGAAACCGCCACGACCAGTTCCTGCCAGTTCAGAAAACATGTATTGCCTACTGCTCCTTCGCTGCTATCAATGTCCTAGGCAATGATTGTCACATGCTAACTTGAACCCTGGATGAGGGAGTCTCGATTGTGCTGCATGATCCACTCCTATTGGTCTTAATCATTGATTGCTGGAAATCCTGCACTTCTACACATGGGAGGTAATACATAATACGTCTGGTCGTCTGTTCGACGCTAGCGTTTATGGCAAGGCAACTTGAGCTATCAAAAATGTCAAGATCAAGGTTCTTGCTCCAGCACCATCAGCAATGAGGAGCAGCGTAAGATGGCTGGCGACGACGCTGCTCATCATAACAGGTTGCGCGGAGAATGCTCAGGAGGACATTCGACCCGATTTGAGCAAGTTCTCTATATGCTCTGTTCTCAGCTCTAGCCTTCCAGACTCAGTCTACTTTCCTGATGATCAGGTCTATCAATCACAGACGGACTCATACTGGGCGACGAATCAAGGAGAGCTCGCGGCAGCATGTCGCGTCACGCCACGGAGCCGCGAAGATGTGCAGAAGGCCATGTGGGTACTGTCGCGGAGTAGTAAGAGCAGTACTTTCGCCGTGAAAAGTGGTGGTCATTCTGCCGTTGCAAATACCTCGAACATGGAAAGTGGTGTTGTAATTGACCTCGAGTTGCTTAACCATATCAATGTTGATACGGAGATAGGTATCGTTGACATTGGACCTGGCGCACGATGGGCGGATGTATATCGACACGTTGATATGTTGCCTGGAATCTATGGTGTCGCTGGTGGCAGGGCAGGATCTGTCGGTGTTGGAGGCTATTTCGTCGGCGGAGGACTTTCTGTTTTCACAGGCACACATGGTTGGGCTTGCGATAATGCCGTTGCCTTTGAGATTGTGCTTGGTAATGGCAGCATTGTTCAGGCCAGTCATCGGAGCCATCAGGATCTGTTCAGAGTAATCAAGGGTGGTGGGAGCAATTTTGGGATCGTGACAAGAGTGAAGACTCGATTGATACCGCTTGAGCGGCAGATTGACGTGACCCAGATCTCGTATGATTGGACTCAGCTTCCTACAGTATTGGAAGCTTTGAGCCGATATACAGCTGAAGCAGACACTGAACCCGAGACGACAGTATCAGTGAGTATTGGTGGTCTCATGAATGGTGGTGCTATGTTGGTTACAGTGGTTCTGACAAGCCTCTACGACACCTACCTGAGCGAATCATTGAGACCTTTCTTCAAGATCAGACATGTCTTCATTCAACGACAAAGAAGATCCCAGCTAGACATCGCGCGATTATACGACAGCTCGGAGCCGAAAGGCTTCCGTGAACACCGCACCACCACGACTGTCGAGAACGACGCATTTCTTCTGTTGATGATGGCTCGAAATTTCTCTGACACTGTTGCGCCTGCCGTGGCGAAGCTGAAGGAAACCGGTTCGCAAGGTGGACTGCTACTTCAGCCGCTTACTTTATCACATCTCAGACATTCGAAGGACAACATGATAGGGTTGCATAAAGCAAAAGAACCGTTAATTCTCATATCAACTGTGATTCGTCACTCACAGCCAGAGACGGATGAGAAAGTCGAAGATCTGCTTTTGGATCACATGAGACAGGCGAACGAGTTGGCTCTAAGACGAGGTTCCGCACATGCTTGGAGGTATTTGAACTATGCAGGTATCGATACGGACCCTTTCGAGTATCACAAAGGCGATGATAGACTGTGGTCATTCGTGCTTGCGACGAAGGAGAAATATGATCCATCGAACGTTTTTGGGGAACAGATCCGGGATCCTTTCAGGATCAATAGCTAATCGACAAGACTATACGAGTTAAACCACGACAAGCAGCTCTTCCCACCAGTCTTCTATCGCGTTTGCATACACATCTCTGCGAGCACAAGAACGATATAGGAATCAGCTACTGTGTGCCGGTCTCGCACATGAGGATTTCTGATTTATATGATCTGAAAAACTTTATGATTATCAGATCTCCTTGGGACTCATGTATCATCCGAAAAGATCCAGACGATATTCCTTCTCCTCAATACACAAGTACGACCTGAAAATCTTGTGTCGATATCTCTCAGCTTCAATTAGGAATCTGTTGTTGAAAACTGTTGTGTCGTCCACCTCCTTGCATTGGTTGTCAAGGTAGAGCCGACACTCTATTCTGTCTCTGTCCGATTCGCGTCTTGGGCTGTATTTGACCTAGAAGATGTCAGACGATCGTGAATAGTGCCCATGGTTCCATCGCGACTTACCACTGCACTGCTTGACCAATCGCCTTTGGCGTTCGAGTCAGGGATGAGGTTACACTGATCCAGAGTGACGACTGTCTGAATACAAGAGCTATTGGGCTGATCGTCTGGGGGTGACTCGTTGCACCATCTGATAGCTGCACCCTTGAACTCGGCAAGGCTGGGTAGGAATAGGGTTGTGGCGGTTCCTAGAAGGAGGAGTGGCCTGAAATGCATTGTTGCTGGAGGTGCCTCGGTCAGTTATGAGAAAGAAATGTAAGGGGTTTGATTATACTGTATGGAGGCGGACTGACTTGCCATAAGGGGTGATGATTGCGGGACTTTGTTTGACAATGGCAATGCAAGGCTTCGAGCTAAAGCTGGGATGTAAGCTGCAAATGGAACAAAGCAACTGGTTAGTGGTTAACTGAGTTGCTATTCATGCTGCGTGGGTCAAAGATCGTGTGTCATTGCTGCAGGAAAAAGCCATGTATTTATTGATTGGTGAATAGAGTCCCTCCTTTCACAAATCATACCACCAGATCAACAGCTTGTAGTTGAGCAACTCAACTTTGATGGGCAGCCATTCAATGAGAGTACCATCTGAACAAAGAGAATTTGACAAGGGTACGCATCCAAGGGACCGCTAGCATTGTGGGATCGAAAATTCAAACATTATCGATTATATCTTGTGTATGGATATTTTCATATGCACAGGATGCAAAGTTGATGTAAGATAGACATATCTCTGCCCAATTAGGCGCTCAAGGCATCACGAATGCTTAAACTCAGGTATTCACCTCCTCTTCTTTCCACCTTTTCCAGCGCTCGCTGGCGCTGCGGGTCTTCCGGCTGCAACAGGCGCAGCTGGAGCAGCACCAGCAGGTTGTTGGGCACCAGGTCCGGCCCTACCAGTCATTCTGCTTCCCATGAACTGCCGAGAGAAGAAAGATATTGTAAGCATGATAACCCAGCTTGGTGTGCTGCCCAAGAAGTTGATAAGGTACCCGAGGTACTGCTGTAGACCTGCTTTGGCCAGCATTCCGTCTATAGGATGTAGTATGCCTTCGTAAGGAGTGATGTTCATGATTTTTGAGTTCGGTGCTGCGGAAGCCAGGGTGATGATATCTTGAGGACCGACAGTCGAAACGTTGAAGTTGGTGAATCGTGCTGGTGTGAGCTGCGACTCGGATGATTTTTGTGGGACGAGAAAGTGAGCGGCTCCAGGGCAAGCGATACCCCATGCTGAGCAGAGAACATTCTCCCTCTCGCAGTCAATTTTCCCAAGTCGAAGGGTGGATGACCCGGATTGAGGAAGCGCGGCCAGTATAGGCACTGATTCATTCCATGCTAAATCTGCGTTACCACAACGGCCGAAACACGTTTTGTTACCACCAGTTGTGTAGATCAACCACTCTTCTGGGCCTTCAGACTTTGGCGCAAGTAGTCGCTCGAAATTGCGGATATTGACCTTCTGAACCTGCTGTCCAGCTATGGCTGCCGCACCAGCTTCGATCGGATCTGGTATCGAGTCCGTGGAAGGGATATAGGACTTTGCTTTGTCGAACCATCCTTGTGCTATGTCTTTTAACGGCACCTGCGCATTCTGGCCCAGTGCAGTGCTGCACAGCAGAGTCGCGAGAAGAGCTGCGATTTGCATTGTCGCGAGATTGGCGCGAATCGACTGCGAGTGGTGTGAGTAATCCTGGTCAAAGTTCTTGTAGAAGCTGCAGCACAAGAATTTCTTACAAAAGCTGGCAGACAGCAACAGTGACAGCGACTACGATGCCTTTGAATTTGCTGACTAGCCCTCATGCATGATGATGATATGGAGGCACGAGCAGGCTTGCCAAAGCTACAGAAACGGCGTGGAAAAGTGGAAGATTGACAACCCCACAGACTCGATGTCTGGGCATCCTGTTCATTTGCAAACAGGCTAAAATAGCCGTTGGATATTCGACAATATATGGATACAAAGATGTAGATACATAGTTGAGCAGCTCAGGAGAACTTAAATAGTGGGCAGTCGCGCTGATGGACAAGGGTACCTCAATATTAGGAGTGAAGCTCGCACAACTATATGTATGAAGGCACTCGTCAAAGAGTAACAAACAATCTTAGAAAATCTTGGTCATGCCACAAGCGTCTACCCTCTGCTACACCTGGCAGGTAACACCTGAGATTATGGAGTACCGGGTCTTTCGTAGCTCTATAGCTCTGTTTTCGATCAAAGTTAGGGAAACTGATCACGTATCTCTTCGGAGGTTAATCCTGTGCAGGACTGAGTGAGTCAAGCCACGGCTCTTCCGCGACACCAAGACCGAGCACATCGAAGGACTCTTATTTGTCCTTATCTCAGCAGTATCAAGTGATCCTGCTTTTCTCGCATACAGTCTCACAACTCAACTCCTGTTTGCCGAAAGTATCCCTGATGCAACGTATCTGATTGCATGTTGTTGTAGAATCTGTGGTTCCTAATGGAGGGGTGGATCAATACTGTCGCATAATCCTCACGAGCTCGGAACGTCCCTGATAGTGCTGTGTCCTACCCATTACTCTCCTTTCACCTTCGCTAACCTCCTGACCTCGAGAGCATAAGCGACCCAGCTCAAGCAAGCATGAGCGAAGAAGACCGGTCCCTGACCTGGAAATCCCAATATCTTTGCGTCGTACTTGGTGTTTAAAAATTCATCGTCTACGAATTTTGCGCCAGGGTATAATGCTCCGCTGAGTCCTGTAACCCAGTACAGCGTGCCCAGTATGGCCGCTGTGAACATGCTGTCCCTGGTCATTGCTTTCGTGTAGGGGAGTTTTGCGAGAACAGGTCGCCAAACGTAGTATAGCGTGCAGATTCCAAGCAGCAGACCCATGGACATCGTCTGGCCATTGTGGAAACGTGCGTGCGGCTGTTGAAAGTCAGCTCAAAGACTGTCCTGTCCAACTCGTAGATAGGGTATTGTGGACGCCAGTGCGTTTTAGAAGGAAGCGCTTACGGTGAATCGTGGATTGTGAATATGCGTCGGATTCCAGTCAGCGATATATGGCGACAAGCTGTTCGAAATCGAGAGAAAGGTTAGGAGAATTCTGCCGCTGGTGAGGTATGGAGTCGTGGCCATGTCGAGTAGAGCTGATGTCGAAGAGAACGGCTATATCGTGACGGGTCTTTATTCTCCGTTAGACTGCTACCTCTCTTACTCAGGATGTGCAAGGTTGTGAGCGACAGGCTATAAAGTATGGCAGATTTCGAGATCTTGTCGATGACGCGCGAAAGAACATGCGATGTACTGTAATTACGCATTCGGTCCTCCACTTTTCGTCACAATCCCAATCGTTCGTCTTCAACTACACCACCGCATTCATTTCTAGCATGTGCAACATCGAGAACGCCGACATGGTTCACAAACGTGTTTGACTTACAAGTCTTTTGGGAACTCGTGATAAGATGTCTCCGAGGGCGAAAGAGAAGGGTCTTCCAATCGACGACCAACAATTCTGAAAGCTTGATGTACAGAACATTTGCATACTAATCCATTAAGGAATAGGAACTACATAGGTGCCATCAGATCGTTCATGAGGGAGTGCTAGATTGATCAGACGCGTGCACGTCGCGTAGCATCACGTGTTTCGAGTTGTTAGAGGCTTGCATTGGAGCTATTCACGGAATAGAGCTTTGGAACGCCAGTCTTATCTTGATCTGTCTGTCTGCTCTCGGTGGCCAGCGCCTGCTGGAGCGTGACTTTCTCTATCGCCAGGAAAGTCACTGATAGCAGACTTGAACTCCGATTGGACCCGCTGTCGCGTTGGGTACTTTGTGCCAGGTACTCGGATGATCACAACAGCTTGCGCATAAATCTGCCGAGTCTACACCTCGCGAGTCCACTCTTAACAGCACATGTCTATCTTCTTGGTCTACTCAGGGTTTGACACGCTGCTCTACCAAGGCCTCAGTCGCGTCTCCAAGACACAGTAGTACATTGTGCAAGCAACGGCTCGAGCCAGATTCTCACTGCTTCAGATGGAAAGGAAGGCTACAATTCAGATACCGGGGCCAGACACTGCATTGTATATTTGTACCACTTAGCAGACTGGCATAACCTGCAATTGAAAAGGAGCGTATGTTCAGGGCTTATCTACGGATACAAAACTCCTCACTTCCGCTGACAAATGACATCGGACGCCTGACGAAGCCCACGTCGGCTCTGTATTAAGATGCCAAGGACCGAAGTGTATAGCTTCATAAGTACAATACCCTTGATCTCTTCCTATAGTTGGCTAACTTAGCTTCAAAATTTCAACACAGCCATAGCAATACTGACCCACCAACTCCAGCCATGTTCGAACCCCCCAAATCCTTCACCGGCAGCTGCCTCTGCAAATCCTTCCAATACACCCTCTCCCTAACCCCATCCCAACTCACCTCCCTCACTGCAATTCGCTGCAACTGCACCTTCTGCCAAAAACGCGGCTTCACCGGTCTCACAGTCCCATCCAACACCTTCACCTTACTCTCGCCAAGCTCCAAATCAGAACTAGGCACCTACAACGTCCCCACCAGCCCCAGCATCCACCGCTACTTTTGCAAAAGCTGTGGTTGTCAGGCGTTTCAGGAGGGCTTCTACGAGCATGAGGGACAGAAATTCGAGATCTTTTATGTCAGTTTGGGGACTGTGGACCAGCCTCAGGAGGGGCTGGAGTTGAATGATGTGAAGATTGTGTATGCTGGGATGAAGTCGCTTGAGAATGTGGGGGTGCTGAGGGATGTGCCGTGGGAGGGGGGATATCGTTGATTTTGTTGGTCTGTGACTGGAAGGGGAACGGTCTACAGGGGTTATTAGCTTGTTGATTGGGCTAGGTCGTCTGAAAGTGTTCAAGCTGGCGAAAGCAGTGGGAGACGAGGATGTAAATGCATCGCCGGCCTGCTCAGTAGCCACAACGGTACTATGTTAGCATTGCTTGAGCTCTATACATGGTTTTGAGGCGAGGTAATCCTACATCGTATCTATGAGCGGGTTGTGACTGCTCCTGGAATAAGACAAGATGAAGCTCAACTTGAAAATTGCACGTATGCAAGTGAATAAAATTACATCATCTCCATTATTCGTCTCCTTCTATCTCTGAGCACGTTTTTCGTAGGTAGCTCACGCTGTATATCGTACACGGCTGTTTTGTGTCACCATAACTCGGACCACCATCTTCATCTCCCTAGTGCTTAAGAGCATGTCGCTAGGCTGCATGTATTGCTTCTGAAAATTCTGCGTCTTCACTCAACATATAGCTTTCGACGATATCCTAGCATTCGCCCCTCACGGTACTCTCTCCTGTTCCGCTCCTTTCTCTTTGCATATTTTGCATATACTGCGGTAGTATTCCATAAGTACCATCCACAGTTGCAGCTCTTATCCTTGTTACTGTCCCCCTCCTAGCGGTTGCCTCTTTCCTGACTTCCACTCTTGATACGCCATTAGCAGCACTATTTGCCAGTCCATCACCATACAACCACCTCAGATCAGGATGTTTGCCCGTTTCCCAATATGTACCTGCTGGTAACTTTGCGCGCTCCTCAGCAGGGAACCGATTATTGTCAATCTGCTTGGTAAATACTCGCGCTTTCTGTATGCGTTCTTGTCGCGCCGCCTGCCATCCCCCAATCGAGCGAGCGAATGACTCTGGCGGAAGGTTAGCACGAGTGATGGTACTGATCATCATGGCTAGTGTGTATGCGTCTTCGATGGCTTGGCAGGCTCCTTGACCTCCTGTAGGTGGAATAGAATGAGCTGCGTCACCTACCAAGATGACTCGCCGATGAGGTAAAGATGTCCATGATTCAAGGTCAGGCAGTGATTGGAATGGCCAAAGGTATATGTCGGACTTGTTAATCTGCGATAATGCTTCCTGAACACGAGTCGGCCAGGCCTCAGTATCTTGCTTGAATAGGTCATAAAGCTTGTCCTTGTCATATGATAGGTGTACCCAGTCCTCTCGAGACTGTTGCGGGTACTCTCTCAAAGTACCCAGGGAGGCCTGAGATCCATCATGCGCTTGTGGCAGTATCAGCATGGTTTCTTGTTTCGATCGTCCATAGTACATTGTCGTTTGTGGCGGATGAGTAGGGTGATCAGAATCTGTGAATCGATGTTGTATCGTTGCTATAAGAGCCAATGTGCCGCTGTAAAGTGGTTGTACGTCTGGAGCAAATCCCTTACGCACTTCGGAATAAACACCATCAGCACCAATAAGGAAATCTGTCTCAATCTGCGTGCCATCCACAAGCTGGAAGGTCACACCATTGGCTGTCTCTGAGACAACATGCGAGTAACGAGTAGCATATCTGACCTCGATACCTCTCTCCTCAAGAGCCACACGAAGTACATCCAGGAAAGCTGCTCGAGTTATCCTCAATGCATCATAACCGTATCGACTGTGGCTGCCCATCTGCCAGGTATCTGTAATTGAGTCTGCTTCATCTCGAAACTTGACCGTACTGAAATTAAACCCACAGCTTCTTGATTTTGTGTACAGACCAAGACTATCGAGAATCCTGAGTGCGTTCGGAGCCAGCATCAGAGCACCAAGACCCCGAAATGGCGCTTCCCTGGATTCGTATATTGTGCATGGTATATTGCGAGACTGTAACGTCAGTGCGATGCTGAGTCCTGCAGTACCAGCTCCGATGATTGCGACATGCATCACGCAACGTCGAATTAAGCTTGTCAAGGTTGATGCTGTAACGAAGGGAAGTGGAAACGATGAGCTCCAGATGTCGTAAGGCGAAAGAATAGATGACAGAACAATTTCCAAAAACGAGAATAGATGAACGTTGCAGACGCAAGATAGGGTCAGTCAAAAGGTGGAAATAACAACTGCTTAGCCTTTCAATTCTGTAGATCTAGGTGATCGCAAGAGTCAGTTCTGTAGCAGCGAAACTGTAGGATAATTGTCCTTTAGGCCGAGGCAGGCCACGGAATATTACATCTCTCGAGGTTGATATTGTCATGATCAGGCAGGGGAATGGAGGAATATGCGACAGCTTGTAATGGAAAGCCAACCCAAAGAAGGCTTTTTCGAAACTTTCGTCTGTCAGTATCCCCTGTTTTGGATTCTGATGACTGGCAGTAAATGTACTTGGCATCGGGGGACAATTTCGACCCCGGATCTCTATTGACAAGGACAGCGATCAGTCGGCTCGTCATGTCACCTTGAAGACAACGAAGCCGCTCGGCGCATGGCATCTGTGTTACAAGTACCTGTGCACTTTCCACCACGACACTGCCCTATGCGCGTCCATAGGAAGAAGATCAACAATGTCATGATCGTTGATGCTTGACATTCGATAAATCGAAAGACGCGTCGGCGATATCTGCTCCGACGTGTCTAGATCGACGCACCATCGGGGGTTTCAATCGAAAACGCCGACATACTGGAAATGGCCTGGTGGATTGTGTGTTCATGCAGGGGTGAAACAGGAATCGTGTATTCATACTCCGCAAGGTTGAGCGTTCATGGTGGAGTGTAAGCCACAACGGTCTGCGGATCGTGGATGCATTGACGCTTATGTTTGACCTCCAGAAGGATGTACCGCAAGGTCAAAGACAGGAATGAAAGCTCGCAGAAATGGTCGACCGGGAAGTGTGGGAAGCAGCGAAATGGCAGGTGCAATCGTGTCTGGTACCCATTTCCAATTGTGCAAGAAGCACTCGAGTATTTGTACAAGTATGTATTATGAAAACATTCATCACCCGTGAACATCAACTCGTGTAAGTACGACAGCGTTTTCATACACCACATCTCCAGACGACTCCTCCTCCAGCTCTCATGCGTATGCTTTCGCGTCGCTGCATCACACCCAGTGTTCTGCCCAGCGCTACCTCACTGTAACCTCTACCCTCCACGAATTCTCTTCTCAATGTCGCAAGATTTGCGCTCCAGCCAATAGGCAGCCTCTTTCTGAGCTCTTCTTCAAGCTTCCCGATTTCTTGCATCAAATCTCTATTTCCACCTACAGCTCCAACGCCGCCTGTGGCACCATACGCAGAACGCTCATGTGTTACAGCGTCCATTGTAGAAGCAAGGAAAAGCCGTATTGCCTCATCGACATGAGTCTCATCAGCAATCGGGCTCAAAGTAAGTTTGGCTAGTGACTCTGCAATGCGGATGATAGCCTCTAGCTGACGAATCGTGATAGGGATGGAAGATTTCATGTTCTGACCTCGTTCGTGTCGTGCAGTCTGCCCTCGAATAGTGACGAAATGAGACGACAGTTTCTCCGTGGCATCCTTGGACAGTCGTGGTGCACATCTAGATTTGCAAAACGTGATGTATCGCTTCATCTTCTCTACAGAGACATCAGCTTGGACTGCCTCTTCTGCGTTAGGAGCGCCGTTGCCCATGTGAATTCCCATGACGTGTCTGGCGATGGTCTCATCCCGGTTCCTGTCGTGATCGTCACGAACAATAAAGATCATATCGAATCTGCTGAGAATAGTGGTCTGAAAATCGATGTTCTCCCCAGGAGACTTCAGATCGTCGTACCGGCCGAAAATAGGATTGGCAGCTGCAAGAACAGACGTTCGTGCATTGAGGATGGTTGTGATGCCAGCCTTAGCAATCGATATCGTCTGTTGCTCCATGGCTTCATGTATAGCTACTCTGTCTTCGTCTCGCATCTTATCAAACTCATCAATACAGACGACGCCGCCGTCTGCCAGGACCATAGCACCACCTTCCAGGTAAAACTCACGACTTTGAACGTCACGCTGTACTGATGCCGTAAGACCAGCTGCAGAAGACCCTTTGCCTGATGTGTATATAGCTATCGGCGCGACCTTTTCCACGAATTTCAGAAGTTGAGATTTTGCTGTTCCGGGGTCACCAAGAAGTAGAACATTGATATCGCCTCTTAGTTTCATGCCGTCAGGTAGGATCTTCTTGCTTCCGCCCATGAGCAAACAAGCAATAGCTTTCTTGATATCTGCGTTTCCATAAATACTTGGCGCAATTGACCGTGCAAATTTCTCGTAAAGGTCTGGCATGCGGCTCATCTCCTCAAACTCCTGGATCTCCTCCTCTGTAAAGTGTGTTGAAGCATTTGCCGTATGGTCGACATCTGTGGTAATGCCTACCGTGCGCAAGTATGGAGTTCTGATGGCGACTGCGCTGGCTTTGTTGCCTTTGTTTTGTTGATAAACACTGTATACCCCCATGACCGTACAGCGACTGCCCGGCACGACACGATTGGCGAGATATCTGTCAGCCGAGACCAATATATGGCGTGGCAGCTCTCCGACTGGCACCTGATCGGGCGCCTCTTGTAACTTTATTATTTGCTGATCTTGAAACTCTGAGTCTTCGTGGACGACGAAGTATGGATCCATGGGACACTTGTCACCTTCATCTTGACCAGGGACTTTCCTGCGCCCACAGGTACGAGGAAGAGATATGCCTTGAAAGCCACCTTCTACAGCAATCTTGTCGGTATGCTGACAATTCCTGCACTGAATTGCTAGGGCAGTAGCTTTGGACGATAGTGTAGATGCACCAATCACAATACCAGGTATGCGTACCAGCGCACTGACATTGTCTGCGGTAAGGTCCCGTATTGAGATGTGATCGACTGAAGAATGGAGCATGAGCTGATGTTGTGGTAATTTTATATCTGGCTGCTGAGGGTATACAATGCGTTGCGAGCATTGTCGGATGGCTGTTTCGAATAAAGGAATGGTTCCAGTTGGATCGGAGGTCAATTTGTGTGCTAATTCCTCACTGTAAGAAATTAGATGAGAGATATCGACATCGCAGTAGTATCTGGAAATTGGTATGTTCTCTCTGATCTGGTCACGGTAGAGGTATACGCCGTCTATCTGAAAAGAGAGGAGAAACTCTTTTAGGCGAGCGATGACCTCTGTACGAGGCTCACCGAAGCCATCGTTGAGGGGGGCGAGCACGCTTAACGAGTATGTCGATCTTGTATCCATTCTGTGTTGTGTCGAATCTTGGGAAGTACTAACAACGGACGTGGACCGAGGGGAGATGGATCGAGAAAGACGCGTCGCAGGAGAAGAAAGCGCGACCGCGTTTCAATCTAAATTTGTGCCTTAAGGCATCAGTTGACCAAATGGAAAGAAGCAATGCTATTGACCTGGCTGAGCAATCATGTTGACAGCTCAGTTGATGAACGTTGCTGCGATGTCAGCGGCATTTAAGATACCCTCCGAGCCAACATTATGAATTCTCCCTCCGTTCGACCATCTCAGAACACTCCGAACACGACTGGCTCAACTTCACGATCGTCCTACCCATTCCCACTACAAGATGCCTCTCTACAGCGTGGCACGCTTCGTAGAGGATCAACGGCAAGCTCGGTGACAAGCACGGTACCCTCGATAGCAGAATCTCAGCCAAATGCTATTTCATCCCTATTGCAGCCGCCCATATTTCGTACAGGCTTGCGACCAGCAGATGCCGGCTTCAAGCCACCAACATCGAGGGATATTCCTCCCGTCACCTTGACCAATATCCCACATGTCGAATCTAAAGTGTTCCAGTCTTATTTGTCACAAGTTGGCTCACTTTACGAAGCCTTTCAGAGAGCCAAGAATGACATTGATGGGGATAACACGGCTCTGTTTCATCGTGATAAGAAAGAGAAGGTAGAGGACTGGGAAACAGTATTGAGCCAGAAGCTGCAACGACCTGCTCACTCGAGAACTGGCTCTATCGCCTCTTTATCTTCACCTACAGAACCACCCTCACAACCCCGCCGGCGACCGAGTCATCAGAAACGCCATGCTCCTACGCCTCTATCCACTGTGCCCGCCGTCTATGGAGAGGAGGACTTTCACCTGGAAAATCCTCGTACATTTGACATTGTATCTGAGCACAGTGAGATTGTCAGAGATCCAAACGCAGCTCCTTCTGGTCGGAAATCCTTGGCTACAAATGCTATTCTGCAAGAAAAGCTTTCCTGGTATATGGACACAGTTGAAGTACACTTGATATCCTCCATATCCACCGCCTCGCAATCGTTCTTCTCTGCTCTAGGATCCCTCAAAGAGTTACATGACGAAGCGGAAGAGTCCGTCGCTCGTATACAAAGCTTGAGACGAGATCTTGCCAAGCTCGACAAAGATCTGGCATCTGATGGTCTGAAAGTCGTCAAATTGAAACAACGTCGAGACAATGTCCGTCGCTTGGCCGAAGCAATGTTTCAGCTCGAGGACATTGTATGTGCTGTAGACGATTGTGAGCAAATGGTTGAGAGTGGTGAATTCGATGATGCCCTTGACGATCTCGATGATATAGAACGTCTCATGGCTGGCAATGAGCCAAAAAGGCCTTCGCGCAACGGTAGGCAAAATACCTACAAAGCCATCGATCTGCGGCGGATGCATGCACTTCAAGGAGCCTCTGACGACCTCAACCGCTTACGCTCTCGTGCCGGTCGCGGCTATGAAACTCGCTTCCACAATTGTCTACTGAATGATATGAGGCGACATGTAAAAGAGACTGATGCTAATGCCACACTGCAGCGATGGGGCGTTTCCTTCAATCGGCCCAAAGCTGGTCAGCGTCGTGCACCTTCCACCTTCCCTTCTTACATGAACATGTCTGCCGATTTCCGCTCAGAGCTTGAGCACGCAATACAGGGCTTAGCTCGAGCTAGATGTACTACCACCGCCGTCACTTCTTTTCGTGCAGCAGTTCTGAAAGAGATGAAAGCCATGATACGCCGTCAACTACCAAGTTCGAACGACGACGATAACGTTTCCACAATTTCAGCCTCTACTCATGGCGGTCGTGGACGCACTCAGCAGGAGAAATCGTCCATACTAGCCCGCAACATACGGGCCATGGATGCTACAGATTGGTATTCTATGCTAGTTTCGGTGTATACTAATGTCAGTGAATGCCTGCGAAGGTTGAGCGTTCAGGTCAAAATACTGCTGGACGTTACAAGTACGATGGATCAAGCACGGCCAGACGTGTCGAAATTGTCGTTACCTACAGATGCATCAGGACACATGCGGACACCTTCTACTGGTAGACATCGCGCAAGTTCGATACAGGCAGAAATGCAACAGGCTCTGGACCTTTCAAGTCTACTTGGAGAAGCGGTGGATGCCGTTCAGAGTCAGGTTACTAAAGTAATTAAGGTTCGGTCACAACAGAATAGCGAGATGTTGTTGGAGGAGTTCGTTCGATTCGTCACCCTAAATCGGCTATTTGCGGATGAATGTGAAGCAATCTCAGGTATGAGTGGTCAGGGGCTGAAATCAGTGGTTGATTCTCAGATCAGAGATTATGTTTCTCAGTTTGCGAACTCCAAATTACAGAATCTGGTAGAGATCATGGATAGTGACAAGTGGGAAGCTAAAGACTTCGGAGATCAGCAGAACCTTCTGTTGCAGCGCGTTATGGACGGGAGCACGAGTGATGCTCAGAGCTGGCTTCAGAACGCACAGATCTGGCTGCCTCTACCAAGCGATACTCTGCACGAAAACGGCACTGTACAGGATAACGACGCTGAAGTTAAGGAGAAGGTGCGACTGGCGACTATCGATGAGCAGAAGTACATCTTGCCCGCTTCTCCTATTGCGATGCTAGGCACAATCGAATCTCTTCAAAGTCTGACAGTAGGCATCCCAGGTATGGGGCAAGAGTTAGCCACGAGTCTTCTTGATTGCCTGCGACAATTCAATAGTCGGACTTCACAATTAATCCTGGGAGCAGGGGCCACGCGGACTGCAGGACTCAAGAACATCACCACCAAACATCTAGCGTTGTCTTCACAGGGCTTGAGCTTCATAATCGCGTTAATGCCTTATGTTCGCGAATTCTACAGGAGATACCTGCCACCTAATACTGCTAGTTCAACAATGGGTGAATTTGACAAGGTGAAGCGTTCATTCCAAGAACACCAGAACAGTATACACGAGAAGCTAATCGATATCATGTCCAACCGAGCGTCAATGCATGTTAAGAGCCTGAAAGCAATCAATTGGACCGAAGCAGCACAGAACGACTTGGATGGCGTCTCCAAATACATGGAGACCTTAACGAAAGAGACGGCGACCCTGCAGAAAGTGCTCGTGAAACACTTACCGGAGGGTGTGGTAACGGGCATCATGATCCCGGTGTTCGACAGCTACAAACAGCAACTCGAAAAGGCCTTTTCTGACATACAAGTACAAAGCGAGGCTGAGAAAAAGAGAATTTTAAATGACGTTGCGCATTTCAGCTCCAGAATGGGTAAGCTGGAAGGTAGTGGGGATCTAGGTCAGAAAGTGTTAGATGTTGTACGGAATAAAGCGATAGCTGTTCCGTCTGCAAATGGTGGTGGATCGTCAAAATTAGAGACTGAGCCTCAGAGGGTGTCAACCGAGTTGGCGCCGAAAGCTCCTGAGGACAAATGATATATCATCTTTGCAATACCAAAACCTTTCATTCTGGGAGCAGTACTTTTACTTGTCGTTGCTCTTCTAGTCATCTTGTTATAACCTGTAACCAACCAACCGACCGATTCACACTATTGATCTCTAACGAGATCGTGCTTCGTTTACAGTTACCGTGCATGAACTCAATGCAGTGTAATCACTCCTATCTCCTTGCATTCCGCAACCGTCTCGATTCTACTTCCGCAGCCCTTTCATATCTTTCGTGCTCGAGAGAACCGAACTGATGAGAGTCAGAAGTGAGCCCGCTAATGAAGACTTACTGCCTTTTTCTGGCTTTTGTGGTTCGTGATTGGAAGCTGATACAATTGAGTTGTTTCGCTGCTGCGGTCGTTGCGCACTGGTGGGTTGGAATTCGGGGTTCTGTTTGTGTCGAATATTGCTCTGAGGAGGTCGTTGTGAGATATTGAAAGGGACGGGGGCTGGTACAGAAGTAGAAGAAAGAGGTTTCGCGGTCTGAAGTTGAGGCGTGGATTTACTCGCGCGTAGGCTTATTCCTGGACCTGCGTTTGTTGGTGGTGGTCGCAGTTGCGAGAGAGCTGCGGGTGTGGAAAGTGTGGTGTTGGCTATACCTGGGCGTGTCGTAGGCACTGGTCGAGCAGTATTGTTTGCCGCCGTGTTTTGGGATGTCGTGGCTGGAGCTGGCGTTGAAGCAGGTCGAATGCCAGTTGCTGGCTGCCACTGCGGCTGTTGAGCTCGAGTATTGGCTGCTGGCGGACGAGTAGGTATGATTCGTGGATGCGGTGGAGGCCCATAGTAATTGATGTTGGTCACGTTGCCGTAGAAGCCATTCTGATCGCCTTGTTGGCAGGAGCCGAAGTCTGCAACACTCGTGGTGCCGTAGCACCTCGTGAATGGAGGTGGACGAGTTGTAAATGCTACGAACTTTGAGTCAGTTTCTTTGGCCGGATGTATATACCCCGGAATCTTCACTCACCCATTGTAAGCTGGTGGAAACCGTGCTTCTTGTGCTGTCGTCGATATAAACAGAGCTCAGCTCGTGCAAGCGGTGAAGCTGTTTACACTATTTGACTGAGATTGCTTCTGTTGTGTCCAAAAATAGTAATCTCGTCTGTTGCTGTCCAGGTACGACCTCCATGTTCATGTCGCATCGTGAAACACCTCTCGAGCATAGCGGCACTACAGGCGCGTTCGTTGCGAGAATGGTCAGCCAAAAGGACGCCTGCCACTGATAGGACGTAATGCAGGTATATCTCTGAGAATCATAGGCCCAGCCATGAAGCTGTCTCTAGAACATAATGCAAAGATCAGTCTAACTGGGTATACCGATTAGCACCTTGTTAGTCTTTTGAGCTCCAGCGATATAGCTAGAGAGACGATCAAAGATGCAGGAATATTGCAGGTCGTAGAGGAGCCATCAGATCAGCCGGAAACGTGCATTGTATCAAGCTATACATAACTTGCTGTCATGTTTCAAAGCGGAATTTCTCTCGCCAGAGTAAGACCATATTGACAAGACCAGGTGACAACAGCGAGTCAGAGCGAGATAGCCGTGAGATGACTTCCCTACAACAGTGGTAGCATAGCACGATGAACACGCGCATATGAGGTTGACAAAGATGTATTTCCCACAATCTTGGTTGCCAGCCTGCAGATTTTACTCTTTCAATTGTGTTGCAGTGAGCAGGAATGGCCGGATTCGAGGGCTGATCTTCCAGGTACTGAAGCTGGTCGCTCTCGGGTCTTCAGGGCTGGATATGCCTATCTTTAGGCGCTGGAAGACGCTTGAAACAGATACAAGCACGTAGCGCCGACCATTTTGAGCTGATCCTCCATGCACTCGCAATTTGAGGAATAGTGAGTGGAATTCAGGTTTCAAAGTAGCTCCATGTATTGCTGTGACTCGAGTTTTCAAAAGCACGTTATCTACCTACGTATCTATGTAGCTAGTAAACAGCAGCGCTGATCTGACCATGCATACTGTCCACACCTGCTGTATTTCGAGACAATGCCTGATCATCCTTGACCTTCCCTGTTGCTGCGACAGTAGCTTTGCACGTCTCCCAGCCTTCGCAATCTGAACCTTTGGCCTTGTACGGGACCATTCCATCAGCGTTGGTTGGCCAGAAGAACGAAGCCTGAATGTTGTGACGATGTTTTTCGTCTGCAGGATGCTCTGGTGAAGCGACGTTGTGCTGCCCTCTCAGTGTGAGGATATTCGCCTTGCCAACTGTGTGTTCGACCGCACCATCGATGTCAATATCGGGTAGAAGAGTAAGAGCAACCACGTCTTGAAGCTCCAGCTGCTTAACAAGGACGACGTAGGCTCGAATGAAACCTGAACTGTGGAGTTGAGCTGGAGTAATCGCCTTTGTGAAGGTAGATGTGTTTGGGACAAAGGCAAACTCATACGGCATCAATCCGATGCTGCCATCTGTCTCCACGACCATCCATGATGTAGGATGGATCACACCATTGTTGTACTTGATATAGCCGGCCACGTCAAGTTGATGTTTGGTCGGATCGATGTCGGTGTGCATGTCCAGGTCGAGAAGAGCCCAAGGAGTGGCGACATTGTCCAATTCGACAAGTAATTGCTTGCAGTCAATATCCAGCTCCAGTGGGAAATGACGGTGGAGGAGCGAGAAGCCAAACTCGTCGTTCTTCTTGTACTTGATGAGCAGTTCTCTCAACTTAGCCAGTAGCTCATGGGCTTCATTGGCCTTCTCGAATGCCGAATGGCTCTCCTCCAGGGATTTGATCTTGTTGACCTGGCGAGGAGAATAGCTGAGTGGGATCATATTGTATTTGAATTCTTCCATCTTGGTAGTAGTTAGTGTTATCAGATAAGCTGTGCGTATCTAACTTTCGAGGTTGTACTTGAAGGGTGTCTGGAAGTTGAGACGATAGCTTTTCTGAGACCAGAACCTTCTTCATATAGTAGTCCAGGTAGTGGTGTCATACGTGTGGTTTGTGAAGCAATGCCATGTCCGCAAACGCCTCAACCTGCGTGGCTGCAATGTTTGCACATTTAGTACAGTCAGTCAAGCTACAGCGTGGCTAGCTGTGAAACGAAGGTCATACATCAACAATGTCCTTGAGTGTTTGCAACCTGTGTTCTTTGCAGTCACAGCGGAAAGCGGCGCGAGGACTGATCTTGAAATTGCGTGGCATCCGTTGTTCAATCACTGAGTGGCCTGCGTCATCCAAGCTTCCTAAGCTCATTGTGTTACCTGATCGAACTGTGGTTGCTGAGCGTCACTAGCTTGAGTCATCTCTAGGCTAGGATCGATATCATCTGTAAAAGGTCGCTGATTACCGTAAAACACATCGTCTTCCTCCTCGAGTTTAATCTCTGGTCCCAGCCCAAGCTCGAAGTCGTCCTCAACTTCAAGATCGAAGCCATTAACTTCAATACTTGGTAGAACCTCCTGTCCGTCCTCCACTTCCATGTCTTCCACGTAAGTGATCCCATCTATTATTTGAGCGTCCACGTCGATTGCCTCTTCTGCATTGCTGGCGTCTGGTACGTGGCTAGCATTGTCTTGTGTTGATTGTGTGCTTGTTCCTTTTTGTTTCTTCGCTTTGGAGGCCTTAGTAGCAATAGGCTTCTTTTTACGTAGTACGCCCAAAGCAGCATAACTTATTACCGGCTTTGTACCTGGTTCACTACGTGCAAAGGACCGATACAACGCCGCCCAGTCGAGTTGCTGCTTGGTTGCCTCATCTCCTAAGTATACAGACAGGGATTCATGGCGGATTGAATCATGATCCTCGACCCCCGTGTGCGTCTCTGCCAGGCCTTGGGTTGTCGGAGCAGTAGCTTGTGATGATGTGGTGGTACTTCCGTAGGACAAGAGGGACTGTGGATCATATTCGGAGAAGCCAACCTTTTCAGGCAACTTCACAAAGCCCTCAAATAAAACAGGATCCAGTGGGCTGCCTTCCCTCATTGCATCTACCTTTGCTTTCAGCATTACTCTGATCTTGGCGTTGGTACCGTTTAGATACCAGCCAAAATATCTGTTCTCGCATTGCTTACGTACATGTATATCTGGAACGTCTCGAAGGGATGCAATTTGTGGATCAGTAATATCGCACAACTGCCAGACTTTTCCATCAGGCTCGATAGGCGACACGCCATCGAAAATGTGGGATCTGTTGTTGTCTGACCTGGCCCAATAGCGAGCATAGATGGTCTGATACTCTTGTTTTCTTCTCTCCCGTAGTACATCAACCATGTCTTGCGTCGTCTCTTGAACTACTGGAGGCTCATCAGTCTGTGCGGTAGAGGTAACAGTGGTCTGTTTTTCTGCCTTCTTCGTTGGGTCGATTGGGGCGAGACCTTTTGATACACCATATTTGGGGATTAATTGTAACATGATGGTCTGATGAAAGCGGTATTTAGGGTCTGTTCGAGGATCGACTCCCAGTTTAATGTACGTATCTCGCCAAGGACCTGAACGTACTGCGTAAGCAACATAAGCAACACAATAACGTACGACATTGAAGGACGACAGTTCGGAATCGAGAGAATTTAGCAACGCTCGTCTCGTCCAGATAGGACGCTGCTGGAAAAGAGTTTCCAGGGCTGCCACAGTGGCTTGAAAGGTCTTTGATTGTCCTTCGATTGGTGGGATACCCGGCATTGTTGTTGTGGGGTATTCCGGGGTGTCCCATTGCACTTGATAGCTGTATATCTTGGGAGCGGACTGGGTGTTTTTGACGACAGTTTTGCCAGTAAGTGGGTCGTTTGTGACTGTCACACTAGGATTCTGACGATATGTATAGTTGTGAGGAACCAAGGCGTTTGACCAAACAGCAGGCGGCAAGGTGGTTGTATCTTGTAAACCATATGTTCGTGGCAGTCGAAAAGACTTGATCTGAGGATAATTCTGGGAGAGAACCTTTGATTTCAAATCTTGGACAATTTTAATCTGCGAGGTTGAGAAGACGAAGTCAGGCATACTTCGCCAGATGTGCATGGAAGAGATGTTGGACACGGCGGTAACATTATACGAGGCAGGGTTGTCGTGCATCGCATGGACCAGGTAGGAAGCATCCTTCTTGGGTGGTTGAGCAGTAACATCTTCTGTCCATGGATCATTACTCCCACGCTTTCGCTTTCGGCCTGTTCGCATAGGTACTGTTATCTTTAACAATACATTGTTTGCTTCCTTCCTGTTCGCAAGGATAGTTCGCGCAGCAGGGTCCTGGGGGTTGAAAGAGAGAGCAAATGTTCGAACAGACTTCTCTTCGAGTGCTTGAGTTATGGCAGGCGCACCACCTATCATGTCAATAGCTTTTTCGACATTTTTGACGATACATGGATGCTCGACTGAGATAGCATGGGACACTGGGACTGTTAGCTGGGGAGCAGTAGTGGCCTCTGTGTCGAAGGTCGAAGCCATCTCAACGAAGCGTTGCTATTGCAAGCGGGCCTTGAGTGACGTCTCGACTTAGCTGTGGCAGTGCGGCAGATAATAGCAGGACGACAGAACAGAGAAAATCCCAGCTAAAAAGTCCAGTGAAAGGCCATAGTCAGAGTAAGAAAATTGCGGAGAGTAGTAGATTTAAAAATAGAGTACTTCTGGACTTTCTGTATTAGTAGTGTAATCTTCTCTTGTCGCTAATGAATCTGGATCTAAAACTCTGGTGACTTTGTGGACGCGAAGGTCATCGACCTCTACCCAACATATCTCTGGCACAATGCATGGTCTTGTGCTGGACAAGGCCCATTAGAAGTGAAGACGCAGACGGAGGCGGAGCAAGCATTATAGTGGCTGAACGGAGGATTGTCATTGACCCATAGGGTGTGCCAAGGCCCATGACGCCCCGCTGCATGGTCCACTGGCAGTTTGGACTTGAGCCAGTGCAACGAGGTGATAATCAAACACCCCGAGACTTGAGATACTCCGTATGAATTACTTTGCAACGATCTTCCTCTGCCTGTCGATTGCGCTCAACTAGCTGAATAATATATAGAGGATCGACTCGTGGAGTGATAGCTTAACCGCAAACGCCAACCGCTACCACGCCTGCGCATACAGCCTTTCCACCCCCCAGAACTGCAGGTTCAAAGCTCCGATCCACATCACTCACATCGTGTACAGCCATCTACCTCGATTGGCACCGTTGACTTCACATACAAGCAGAGAACTCAATGAGCCGATGAACCAACTGGGTGCCTGAGGATCCTTCCTACCGTGCTCGATGGTCTCCTGACGAACTGATAGCCGGAAGTTACAACCCGCGATTGAAGGTAGCAGGAAACGGTGACTACCAATTGGCGGTAAATTGTCGTCTACAGCAGTTACGGAGCCGGTCTTCACTGCTACAATAGTTTTGCGGTTTCCACGTGTGCGGTCAGAGAGTCGATTGTCGTAACATGAAGGGCTTTCGGGCGAGAGTGGTGAGTTACAATTCAATCCAAACTTGCGATGCATATTGATTGATGCCTAGCATGAGCAGCTCTCGAGGGCCAAAGATTCGAGCAAATCTTCCAAAAAGAAGGACTCTTCCTCTTCAGGCACTGCTTCACCCTTATCCTCCTCGACTGCGCTCGGCGACGCCCGCTCTCCAGCAGGTTCAAATGCCCCCACCCCCAGTTCATCATCAACAAACGTGAGCGACGTAAGAGGAAGAGGAAACACAGACAATATGGGACCTGGTCACCACTCTGGTCAGGCTCAGCAAGGTGGACAGCCTATTGGCCAGCAAAATGCTCCTCAGTCTTCTACACCTGGTCGACTCAACCACATCGCTCCTTCCGTCGTCATAAGTCCTAGCGCTCCTCATGTGCCTCCTGCAGGTGCCACCGAGACCATGCCTGGTGATCTCGCGCCTCCTAAAGCAGGACAGAAATCCTTGTTGTTCGACAGACTGCAATCGACCCCGAAAGATGTGCCAGAAGGCATCAAGACTCCCAGACGACAGCATTCGTCGCGCTTCGATATATCCGATCAAAAGACCAGAGAACTCGAGAAATTGCCTGGCTTCCATGAAGTACCACCGAATCGAAGGCAGGAGCTGTTCATGCAGAAGATCGATCAGTGCAATGTCATATTTGACTTTAATGATCAGACAGCAGACATGAAGTCAAAGGAAATCAAGAGGCTAGCGCTACACGAACTGCTGGACTATGTGGCCAACAACAGGTCGGTCATTACAGAGCCTATGTATCCACGCGTCGTCGACATGTTCTCCAAGAACCTCTTTCGTCCAGTTCCACCTCCGGTTAATCCTCAAGGAGAAGCATTCGACCCGGAAGAGGACGAACCAGTTCTTGAAGTAGCTTGGCCACACATTCAAGTTGTGTACGAGTTCTTCCTGCGCTTCATAGAGAGCCAGGATTTCAACACCAACATTGCAAAGGCACACATCGACCACCAATTCGTCCTCCAGTTGCTCGAATTGTTCGACTCAGAAGACCCCCGAGAGCGTGATTTTCTCAAGACAACACTTCACAGGATATATGGCAAGTTTCTCAATCTGCGAAGCTACATTCGGCGATCGATAAACAATGTCTTTTTCCAATTCATATACGAAACGGAACGATTTAATGGCATCGCCGAACTCCTCGAGATCTTGGGCTCCATTATCAACGGATTTGCTCTACCGCTCAAGGAGGAGCACAAACTCTTTCTGACCAGGGTCTTGATACCCATGCACAAGGTCAAGAGCCTCAGCATGTATCACCCCCAACTAGCCTATTGCATAGTGCAATTTCTGGAAAAGGACTCGGCGTTGACTGAAGAAGTCGTGCTTGGACTGCTGCGGTATTGGCCCAAAGTCAATAGCACGAAAGAAGTTATGTTCCTTAACGAGGTAGAAGACATCTTCGAGGTTATGGACCCGGCGGAGTTTGCCAAAGTTCAGGAGCCACTCTTCAACCAATTGGCCAAGTCGGTTGCCAGTCCTCATTTCCAGGTATGCTTGCATTCACCCATGTCGATCCCCTACTAACTTGGCGCAGGTCGCGGAACGTGCCCTATACTTCTGGAACAACGAGTATTTCTGTAACCTCGTCAGCGATAATGTAGAAACCATCTTGCCCATCATGTTCGCACCGCTCTACGAGAACTCCAAGGGGCATTGGAACCGGTATGTGGCTCTCAAACACTAAATCTTCTCCACTAACGAGTATCAGCACAATCCATGGCATGGTATACAATGCCATGAAATTGTTCATGGAGATAAATCCTCAACTGTTCGACGATTGCTCCCACGACTATAGCGAACATCAGAACAACGCAGACAAGCGTGAACAAGCAAGGAATGAGAAATGGGCCAGGTTACAAGTACAGGCCGAAAAAATGAAACAAGGCGTGCGGCCTACCACGCGCGAAATAGTGAACTCGATGAATGAGCAACGCTTAGAGGATTTGAAGTTGCACGACGAATCGGCAGCAGCGCAGACAGGGGCAACAGGTGACCAGAGCATCTACGCTTGACACACAATACACGTTTAATTGCTTAGTAGATATTTTGAGGCACGGCACTGCCAAGACTTGCAAGGAGATCGAGCCACGTTTGTACACCTTACAAAAGCGAAAAGGTAGACTACAATTTGTGCGTTCCTTGCTTTCGGTTCTTTGGTGTCGAGTCGAAGTATAGCAAATCACGGCCTACAAGTAGGCTCTGTCACAGAGATTTTCAGCATGGCGCATCTACCCTATAAATCTCGTGTATAGAGGAAAACGGATGTTTTTATGGCCGACCTGCCTCAGATGGGATAGGTATAGGGTTCATCATCTGTTGTTGGAAGGAGCGGGTTTTTGATTCTAGCCGTATACCTACAAGTACAGTACATCCTGTTCAACCCGTGCACTTTTGTGCTTAGCATCAATCGAGCATACTGATGCTCATGCTTGACAAGATTTACAAAGTCTGACCTTGAACGGTGTAAGGGCTAAGGAACGGTTCTGTAGCTCCGGCTTACCGTAAGTCACACTTTCACATAATGAGGTTGTAAGCGAATTGGTGTTCTAGATTACAGGTTCTTACTGTAACTGGCATACTTGGATCTCCAGCCTGTGAGATAAAATGGCTGCAATGGATGAGTACGAGCGAACCACATAGCGGTCGAACTCTCGGCTACACCTGCCGTATCAGATAGGTACAGCCTTGTTGAGCCGCCACAGGGAGTCGGGGAAATCCGTACAGGCGTCAGCGTCAACTGTAGGCCTGGTAAGTAGCATGTTCAGCTCAATGCAAGGCTGTGTCACTTTCGGCGAACAAAGAGAAACAGGTCAACTCTAGCCGGAGGATTTTGCGACGAGCACGCCCACTCCAGTGAGCGCGGTCTTCCTCTCCAACTTTCGATGCGTAGGCCTCGCGACTTCCCGCGCTGCACTCTTTCAACCTGCGCGTTATACCACAACACTGTATACTACTCCATTTTTTGAAAACTTACGCTCTGGTAGTGTCATAGCCCACTATAATAGGTTGTGAACACATGCGTAACAAGCAGAAATAGAGAAATATCGAGTGGCAGCACAAACCTTTTTCAACTCTCTTGCGGCCTCCAGCAAACCATCCGTGCGCTCTGGTACAATACTTACTCCTAGCCCAACGAATGGTGCCGACACAACAGAATTGTGCCACTGCCTCGAGAGCAAGCACAGAGATCTCGATCAGGAAGCAACAACAGGCGTAGAAGCAAGGCTGGAGGCTTGCGATATTGAACATGGATACTCTACAGAAGATCGATCTATATGCCACTCGCCTGGCGGACATCAAACAGGATGTGAAATACAAGGCAGGCGTAGCGAGTGAGCTACGAGATTCAGTTGAGAGCTTATGCACTCCGCCTCCGACTTACAGCAAGTTTCTATCCAAGTTATGGCCTGTGTTCAAAAAGATCCTGGAGGGCAAGCCCGACTTCTCACCTAATACCGCCGAACATGTCCTACGAAACCAGATCCTCGAGGTGATACATAGACTGCAACACCAGTCACCGGAGCTGGAGCCCTATGCTGTGGATATGATAGACACTCTGATGGCCTTGGTACGGGTTGAAAACGAGGATAATGCTGTGCTCTGCTTGCAGACAATCATGTACCTTGAGAAGAGTCAGCCCAAGGCTACAGAGTCAAAAGTTCTACCCTTCCTCGAATTGATACAGGAGATGTTTGATCAGATGGAACAAGTGGTTAAAGACACATTCGATGCACCCGCACCGCCCACCCTCCCAGCGACGGCGACCCCGAATCTCACCACTCAAGCAACCCAATCTCCACGACCAGGATCGCCGGCCACTGTGGTGTCTGATCCAGGCGCAGAAAAGAAGGATCATACTCCACTAGCAAGAGGCATGCAGTCTTTCAAAGTCCTTGCTGAGTGTCCAATAATAGTGGTATCCATCATGCAGGCTCATCGCCCGCTTGTCCAAGGTTACGTTACCAACTTTGTCCCATCGATCAAGAACATCTTGCTCTTGCAAGCGAAGGCACAGGAGAAAGCTCATGCTGAGGCTGCAAAGAATAACACAATCTTTACTGGTGTGAGCAAGGATATCAAGAATCGAGCCGCTTTTGGAGAGTTCATCACTGCGCAAGTCAAAACCATGAGCTTCCTGGCTTATTTACTCAGGGTATATGCCAACAAGTTGTCCGATTTCTTGCCCACCCTGCCGGGAGTAGTGGTCAGACTGTTAAAAGATTGTCCTCGTGAGAAGTCTAGTGCCAGGAAAGAGCTGCTCGTGGCCATTAGACACATCATCAACTTCAATTACCGCAAGATATTCTTGAACAAGATCGACGATCTCCTTGACGAGCAAATCCTCATTGGTGACGGCCTGACGGTCTATGAGACTATGCGCCCGCTCGCATACAGTATGCTGGCTGATCTCATTCATCATGTCAGGGAATCCTTGAACAAAGACCAGATCCGACGTACTATAGAAGTTTACACGAAGAACCTCCACGACAACTTTCCTGGTACGAGCTTTCAGACCATGAGTGCGAAGCTCCTACTCAACATGGCCGAAAGCATTACAAAACTCGAAAACAAAGAGGATGCGCGGTACTTCCTGATCTTGATACTCGACGCCATAGGCGACAAGTTCGCTGCCATGAATCATCAGTACAACAATGCTGTCAAGCTCAGCATGCTTTACGCGGACAAGTCCAAAGACAAGGAGACAGACAACTACTTCGATGATAGAGATCAAGTACCAGATTGGGACGAAATCGACATCTTCAATGCTATGCCCATCAAGACTTCCAACCCAAGAGAACGAGGTGCCGATCCAGTTTCAGACAACAAATTTCTGTTCAAGAATCTAGTCAATGGCTTGAAGAACATGTTCTATCAGCTCAAAGCCTGTAACCCAGCCAATGTGACGCTGGACCCAGCTACTGCACCCCCAAACTGGTCCGAGGTGTCCTTTGGCTACAACGCCGAAGAGGTGCAAGTCATCACGAAACTCTTTCATGAAGGTGCTCGAGTATTCCGATATTACAGCTCTGATTCAACCATCCCAGATATCAGTTATACGTCTCCAACCGACTTCATGGCGAGCCACTCCATGGCACATATGAGTCGTGAAGAAAAGGAGCTACTCGAGAGTTTCGGTACCGTTTTCCATTGCGTTGACCCAGCAACGTTTCATGAAGTTTTCCAGACAGAGATACCCCATTTACACGATCTAATGTTCGAACATACTGCATTGTTACATTTACCCCAGTTCTTTCTGGCCAGCGAGGCTACAAGTCCAGCCTTTGCTGGCATGGTGTTACAATATTTAATGGACAAGCTGCCCGAAGTGGGCTCCTCCGACATAAAGCGCTCATCGATACTGCTTAGAATGTTTAAGTTATCTTTTATGGCAGTCACCTTATTTTCCGCGCATAATGAGCAGGTTCTACATCCTCATGTGACCAAGATCGTCACGCAGTGTGTTCAGCTCTCTGTTGTTGCAGACAAGCCGATACATTACTACATTCTTCTTCGCTCACTATTCCGTAGTATCGGTGGAGGACGTTTCGAACTCCTTTACAAAGAGATCTTGCCTTTACTGGAGATGCTGTTAGAGACCTTCAATCACCTGTTGCAAGGTGCTCGAGACCAACATGATCGAGACCTCTATGTTGAGTTGACCTTGACAGTGCCAGCTCGGCTTAGCCACCTGCTACCACATCTGGGCCACTTGATGAGACCTCTAGTCGTTGCCCTAGGCGCAGGACCCGATTTAGTTGGTCAAGGTTTGCGAACTCTAGAACTTTGTGTGGATAACCTTACTGCGGATTATCTAGACCCCATCATGGCCCCTATCATGGACGACTTGATGACGGCACTCTTTGAGCATCTCAAGCCTCAACCATATCAACACTTCCACTCGCACACCACGATGCGTATCCTTGGCAAGCTTGGTGGTCGCAGTCGAAAATTCTTGAATAGACCGCCTGAACTCAACTACCGCATCGCAACGGATGATGAGCCGAGCTTCAATGCCAAGCTGAGAGACACGAATCAAGAGCGACCTTTTCCACTAAGTCCAGGCATAGATTTAGCTGTTCGCAAGCTCAATGAAGCTACAAGAACTCCTTCTGTTAAGGCGAACGACGTCTATTATAAGCAACATGCATTTCAGCTTGTAAGCTCACAGCTCAAAATGTTTATCGGCGTCAATCAGTTGCCCGATGAAATGGCTGCTTTGTTGCGCCTGCAGGCCAACGACCTACTGGCGAAGCGATTTGGTACCTATTCGAACATTCTCAGTCCTAAAAACTCTTCACAATCACTACAGCCAGCACACTCTGTTCAACAACAGAAGGCACAAGAAGAGACATTGAAGAAACTGCTGAAAGCTTGTTTTGCTGCAACATCGTCTGAAGAACTCGCGCCGGCGGCTTCGGAACTGATAGCGAATGTATGTCGACACTTCACTATCGTTGAGCTAGGACAAGCTTTGTGCGAAGCTGGATGGAAGACTCGAGAGTTTGATGTAGGACTTGAAGACAGTATGCGATTTCTAAGCACTCATATCTTGGCGGATGTGCTTGTAGATTGCTTCGCGTCGGACAATATTGTGGTACGTGAAGCAGCAGAACAGGCGATCTTTATCATTCGAGATACAGCTCGGACCATATTCGGGAACGACGAAAACGCAGCACGCCTCCCAGTCTTCTCGCATCTTGTGTACACTTTCTGTGCTAGATGTCGGGAGGTGGAGTGGTTCACGAAAGCCGGAGCTGCATTAGCAGTTGAGCTACTTGTCACAAAGGTCGATCTTGGCCAGGCATTTCTGCTCAGCAAGCAACTTGACCTCATCAAAGCTTTGTCTTTCGTGATCAAGGACACGCCATCTGAAGTGCCAGCTAGCACGAGGATAGTGGCGGAAAATACACTGGAGTTCATTCTACACCGTACTTGCAAGGGTCTGAACAAGGAGAGTTTGAGTGATGACAAGGGCAGGCTGTACACGCTCTGCACAACCTTCATCACTGAGCTTTCGCATATGAATCCACATGTTCGCGACGCAGCACAACAGGCATTTAAGATTATAGCTGGCGAGGTGGGAGCTGAGGTTCACGAGCTCATCTTGCCTGTCCGCGATCGTCTGTTGCAGCCTATCTTCAGCAAGCCATTACGTGCGCTACCCTTTTTGACACAAACGGGATTCATTGATGCCATTACCTATGCCCTCAATCTTGGCCATGATCTTGTCCCTCTCAACGATCAGCTACATCGTCTGATGATGGAGTCTCTAGCTTTAGCCGACGCTGAAGCTGATATCTTGCACCCAAAGCCTGACGAATACAATAACGCTGAACTGATCAAAAATTTGAGAGTATCCTGTCTAAAGTTGTTGAGCATGGCTATGACACTTCAGGATTTTGCCACCACACAGAACAACAGCCGAGCCAGAATAATTACAGTGTTTTTCAAGCTACTCTATTCTAAGAGCAAAGAGATCATCGACGCAGCAAATGATGGCTTGAAGGAGGTTTTGGCACAGACGAACAAACTGCCCAAAGATCTCTTACAGAACGGATTGAGGCCCATTCTCATGAACCTGCAGGACTCTAAGAGGCTGACTGTCGCTGGACTTGAAGGATTGGCTCGTCTCCTAACTCTGCTTACCAATTATTTCAAGGTTGAAATTGGCGCAAGACTTCTAGAACACATGAAAGTCATTGCAGATGAACAGTTACTCCAGAAAGTGTCTTTCAATCTCGTCGAGCAACAGCCTCAGATGAAAATCGTGGCAGCTATACTCAACATATTTCACCTGCTTCCACCAGCAGCCACAACCTTTATGAAGGATCTGGTTGACAACGTGCTTGATCTTGAGCACAAGCTTCGTAGAACAACAAACAGTCTTTTTAGGATACCACTTATCCTCTATCTGAATAAGTACCCAAGTGAAAGCTGGGCATTTTTCTCCTCTCGTCTGTCAGAAGAGCGTTATGGAAGGTTCCTAGGACAGGTACTTGCTGATGAGGCCAGTGGTCCGCTTCGAAAGCACATTCAAACCGAGACAGATAGCATATTGAAGACAACTTTCGAAGAGTCAGTCAACGACGACAAGTATATCGCAATCATTAACACGATCTACCTTGTCTATTCTATCACTTTGCATGAGGACGGGCAAGACTGGCTCAAAGATCAAATCCAGCTGCGAAAGAATCTGCTTTCAGCCACGAAAGATCTACAGGCCCGACTCAAGAAGGATCAGCTCGTTAAGACGCAGCGACTGCGAGCTGTGCAAGCTGTCGACCAACTGGTAACGATCGTAACCAGATATTTGAGTCTCCCAGACTGTAATGCAAACTACATGTGGGATTTCATGGCCGCCTGCGCTCAAGGCGACCTCAAATCGGGTGTTACCTTACAACAGTTCTTGTACAGCAGTATTGTGTGTTCGCCATCAACACAACATCAACAGTCTCTTGTAGTCCGCGGACTAGAGACTTACAACTCCAAGACTGTATCGCAACGTTTCAAGACCTTCATTATGCACAATGTCGTAAACCCTATCATTGCACAAGACGTCAAAAGAGAGCGTACTAACTTTGAGCGATCTGGCCCGGTACTCGACAAAGCTATCAGGGAACTGATTGCAGAAAAGCTTTGGAGAAATCCACCATCGGATGTACCGGATGAGTGGGCTCAACGAGGTGTTGACCATGCGAGAATGGAAGCTTTTCAACTTTCCGCTTTCCTGACCAAATACCACAAGGACGACTTTTCGGATGTAAGAAAGGAAATTGTCAAGTATAGCTGGGCTTGTATACGTCTTGAGGACACTATCAATAAGTACGCAAGCTACGTTCTGATCAGTTATTACTTCCGGTCGTACGAAGCGCCACCAAAGCCGATAATCCAGGTTTATAACCAGCTGCTGAAGGCCCACCAGAACGAAGGCAAGACTCTAGTCACCCAAGCACTTGATATACTAGCACCTGTCCTTCCAATACGCCTCCCTGCTACAGGACCTGGAGAGAAAGGCCGCCCGCATTGGGCTCGGCTACCTAAGAAGATACTCTGCGAGGAGACTGGAAATTTGTCTCAAGTACAGAGCATCTTTCAGTTCATCGCTCGCCAACCAGAGCTCTTTTACGACTCACGAGAATATTATGTCGTTACGATGGTACAGATGTTGCATAAGATAGCACCTCCTATAGGCGCCTCAAACGAAGCTAAGAAGATGGCGCTCTCGCTTGTTCAATTGGTTTTGACCTGGGAGAAGACACGTCTCTCTCAGGCATCACCACAAGCCTCGAAACGCGATATCGATGGTCGACCTGTTTCAAGTCCAGGTAGAGACGCATGGCAGATACCACTTGAGCAACGTACTCTCATAATAAAGTATCTGATCACCTTCGTCGCTTCTCTGCAGGAGCGCTATCCTGTACCAGCTGCTGATTTGAAGCAAAAAGCAATACAGAAGAATGCCCAGCAACCTGTCTCGAATGAATTGGTTGTCAAAGCAACTGGTATGTTGCAGGAACTTCTTACCTCTCCATTATGGACAGATATCGAAGTTGGCTTATACGAAAAAGCTGTTGACAGCACTTTGACTGGTGAAAAGGCTGACAAGCCAGACGAGAAGCATCTTACCACCATGATCAACTCTTTGCAGGTCATCAGGATATTGTTGAGCATCAAGAGTGGTGAGTGGATCGCGTCGCACATCGATACGATTTCTAGATTGCTTGAGAAGGTGCTCAAAAGCGAGGATACCGAGATACAGGATTGCCTACACTATGCTGCACCTGACGATAAGGCGCCACCCTTGATGGTCCAAGTACTGCAAGCAACACCACAAGAGAAGCAGGAAGATGAGGATGCAATGGAGCTCGATGGTGCTCAATCTGACTTCCTCACAAAGTTTGGCAAGACATTCGTCGGGGATCTGTTGGGTTCAGGCACTTTAGTTCCGGGCATCAACAACTTGTGGACATTATCCAAAGTGCAACCATCGGCAGTCGATGAACATTTCAAGAGCAGCATGCGCGCTCTACAAGGCAAGCTGGCCAAGGATCATTTGAATGCTTATGTGGCGCCAATTGGACCACCGCCACAAGGCTGGCGCCCGGGAGAGCCTATCATGGAGCCGTATGAATTAGCCTTGGGCATCGATCTCATCAAGAAAACGATCGATGTCCTTGCATCTCGCATGTCAACGTTAGGTGACGACCGTCGGCCTTTCCTGAGTGTGTTAGCTTCCATAGTCGAGAAGTCCTTCAACGTCGAACTATGTAACAAGATCCTAGACATGGTCGAAAGATGGGTCTTTGATTCAGCTGAAGCGTGGCCAACTCTGAAGGAGAAGACAGCTGTACTTCACAAGATGCTTGTGTTCGAAAAGTGGCCGAAGCCTGATCTTTTGGATCGATTTCTTGAACTCGTGCTTAAGATCTACGAGGATCGAGCAATCACCCGGACTGAACTCACTGTCAGACTCGAGCACGCTTTCTTGATTGGTACCCGAGCCAAGGATGTCAAAATGAGGAGTCGTTTCATGAATATCTTCAACAACGCTCTATCAGAGAGTGCCAACAAGCGACTCGAATATGTGTTGACGGTGCAAAACTGGGACACGTTAGCAGATTCGTTTTGGTTGAAACAAGCATCACAACTGCTAGTAGGCTCGATCGAAATGAATTCTCCTGCACGCCTCCATCACGAAGACATGAGAATCTGTCCGATTTCGGAGCTGTACAAAAAGGAACTGGTCAGCAAGGAACAAGAGCAGGACGAATTGATCATTGAGGAAAGCTTGGAGAATCTCGTTGCCTCCCAGAAGCGCTTCAATCAAGAATTATCCGAGGTTCGAGCCAAGCACATTTTGGAGCCAGTGGTACAACTACAACATATCGATGATTGGGTTGCTTGCGACCTTTGGACGAAACTTTTCCCACTCTTCTGGTCATGTTTGGCTCGTGAGGAACGTATTGATCTCGAGAAAGGCATGGTGACTCTGTTGACTCGTGAGTATCATCAACGACAACTCAATAACCGACCGAATGTCGTCCAAGCTCTACTGGAGGGCTGCGTTAGAGCCAAGCCACGTTTCAAGATACCGCCACATGTTATGAAGTTCTTGAGTCGACATTACGATGCTTGGTACACCACTCTGGTGTCGCTGGAAGAATCAGCTGTTAATCCAGTGATTGATACACCTGCTGTACGTGAGAGCAATCTTGATGCGCTTGTAGAGATCTACGCTGGTCTGCAGGAAGACGACCTTTTCTACGGCACGTGGCGTAGACGTTGCAAATTCATGGAGACAAACGCTGCTCTTTCTTACGAACAGCACGGCATGTGGGACAAAGCCCAGCAATTATGGGAGGCGGCACAAGTCAAAGCTCGAACCGGCGTCGTACCGTTCTCGCAAGGCGAATATTATGTCTGGGAAGATCACTGGCTCATTTGTGCTCAAAAATTGCAGCAATGGGACATACTGGTCGAATTTGCTAAGCACGAAAACTTCAATGATTTGCTCCTTGAAGCGATGTGGCGCAATATTGATGCATGGGGCAACGAGGAGCACAGATTGTCGCTGAACAACATGATCAAGAGTGTTTCCGACTCTCCAACACCACGACGAGCTTTCTTTCAAGCTTTTATGGCGTTGTTGCAGTACAATGGCAAACAGATACCAAGAGCAGAATTTCAACATGTATGCGATGAAGCGACTCAGCTGTCGATCAGGAAGTGGCATCAACTCCCTAAGCGACTTACAAATGCACATGGACCTATTCTGCAGAACTTCCAGCAACTTGTTGAACTTCATGACGCTAGCATTATCTGCGATAGTCTGATGAGCACAAACGAGCGGAACCTGGATAGCAAATCTCAAGAGGTCAAGCTTCTCTTACAAGCATGGCGGGACCGGCTACCTAACATTTGGGATGATATCAATGCTTGGCAGGACCTTGTAACATGGCGCCAGCACGTCTTCCAGCTCGTCAACAGTACTTACCTACCCTTGATACCTCAACAAGCAGGACAAAACATTGGAAACAGCAGCTATGCATTCCGAGGGTACCACGAAACCGCATGGATCATTAACAAATTCGCCCACATTGCACGAAAACACAATATGCCAGAGATTTGTATCAACCAGCTAGGAAAGATCTATACACTCCCGAATATCGAAATCCAGGAAGCCTTCCTTAAGCTGCGGGAGCAAGCCAAGTGTCATTATCAGAACGACGCTGAGCTGCACAATGGCCTCGACGTCATCAATAACACTAACCTCAACTATTTCGGTCTTCAACAGAAAGCTGAATTCTATGCACTCAAAGGCATGTTCTTGGCCAAGCTCAAGCAGTCCGACGACGCTGACAACGCTTTTGGGGTTGCTTTGCATTATGATCTTCGCCTGGCGAAAGCATGGGCCGAATGGGGTCAGTACTGCGATCGAAAGTTCAAGGAGAATTCGCGTGACATTCAAGCTGCTAGTAATGCTGTTAGAGTATACCTAGAAGCTGCAGGTCTGTACAAGAACCACAAGTCGCGGAAAATACTAAGTCGTGTGCTTTGGCTGCTTAGTCTTGACAACAAGGAGGGACAGATATCGAAGGCTTTCGAAGAGTTCAAAGGTGATATCCCAGTCTGGTACTGGACCACGTTCATTCCACAACTACTTGGCAGTCTGGAACACAAAGAGGCGCCGTTAGCGAAGTCGATCCTAGCACGAATAGCCAAACAGTTCCCACAGGCTCTGTTTTACCACCTGCGGGCTACAAGAGAGGAGTTTATGACCAAGAAGAAGCAATTCGAGGCTAGACAGGCACAAAAAGAGGCTCGAGAAAAACAGCAGCAAGGTTCGCAGCAGACTCCAAAGCATGAGCAAAGTCAACCTTCTCCTCAGCAGGATCAGAACGGCCCAAAATCACGTCCAAGTACCGCAAATGGAGACGGTCAAGCACAGCCCAACAGCAACGCAACTCCTACTTCTCCGAAGCCCAAGCAAGAACCGAATGGAGATGCAAAGCCACCAGTTGACAGTGAAGCACCGAAAGCTGAGGCGCCGAAGAAACCTTGGGATCATGCAGATGAAGTCATGGCTGGTTTGAAGACAGCATTTCCGTTGTTGGCATTGTCAATGGAAACCATGACAGATCAAATCTCGAAGCACTTCAAATGTCCTCCCGATGAGGATGCTCACCGACTAATAGTTGCATTGCTGAATGATGGGTTAGCGTACATCGGAAGAACCCCGGTCTATTACGCCGAAGGAGCGAAGTTGCCAACCGCCACGGAGGCAAACATTACTAGATTTGCTGAGTCTGTGCTTCCGGCGCATCTGCGGAATTCCTTTGAGGCGGACTTTGTTCGAGTCAAGCCAACAATGTATGAGTACATTCACAAGCTACGAAGATGGCGAGAAAAGCTGGAGCAAAAACTCGACCATCGTCAGCAATGGGGGCCCCTCGAATCATACAGTCACCACTTAAGTGAGTTCAAGTTCCTCAAGTTCGATGATTCTGTCGAAGTGCCCGGCCAATACCAGGAACACAAGGACAAGAACACTGACTTCGTGCGTATCGAGCGTTTTATGCCTACGGTTCAACTGATTCGTGGTAATGGTGTATGTCATCGACGACTGACGATACGTGGTCATGATGGCTCACTGCATCCTTTCGCTGTTCAGCACCCAACTGGAAGAAATGTTAGACGTGAAGAACGTATCGTCCAATTGTTCCGCATTTTCAACCAAACCCTTGCCAAGCGAAAGGAATCAAGAAGGCGCAACCTCTATTTCCATTTACCTTCTTTTGTGCCGATAGCACCGCACATCAGACTTGTAGAAGACGATGCAAGCTATGTATCACTTCAAACGATATATGAGGATTATTGTAGGCAATCGCCCACGACTGGGTCGCCCATGTCTCGTGATGATCCAATTCTCTTCGGGTTTGAGCGAACAAGAACAATCGTGGAGCAGAATAAGACAACGTCACGCACTCCGGAGCAAATGGCTATGATGAGGACTGAGCTCTTTAGTCAGGTTCAAGAACGCTGGATGCCGAATGTGATTGCTCTTCGATACTTTCAAGGCATATACTCATCCTTTGCCGACTTCTGGCTATTTCGCAAACACTTTGCCTATCAATACGCTGCGACCACGTTCCTCACATACATCATGTACATGGCGGCTCGTTATCCCAGCAAGATCAACATCGCGCGTCGCAACGGTGACATTTGGTCGTCAGATCTGCTACCCTCAATCAATAGTCAGAGAGGTCTCTTCCTTAATCCAGAAGCTGTGCCGTTCCGCCTTACTCCGAACATACAGATTCTTATGGGGCCTATCGCAGTCGAAGGAATCTTCACATCCTCACTCATGGCTATTGCAAGATGTTTGGCAGAACACGACAGCGGCTATGATATGGAGCAAACTCTAGCTATCTTTGTCCGTGACGAAATGTACAACTGGATCTCAACCCGATCAGGCGGTGGTGGTGTCGGTGGTCACGGTGCAGGCATAGAGCTTGGTCGCCTCGAAGATCCAAACGAACTCAGAGAAGTCGTGGCTGTCAACGTTCAGAGCATCACTCGGCGAGCACGCATGTTAGGAACGACTCAATTAGGTGTCACGCCAACACCGCCTACTGCTGCTAACGCTAATGCCAACACCAATACTGCGAACACGAACGGAGAAGGAAGTGCTGCAGCAGTCGCAGCAGCTACGAATCCCACAACAGCAGTAGCAACCACGGCGAATCCTAACGCACCTGCTGGTGTTGGCGGCGTGCTACCAGCATGTCAAAACGTGGTTGATTTGGTCAGTAAGGCTACTGATCCAAGCAAATTGGCGCAAATGGATGGGCTGTGGTATCCTTGGTTGTAAGATATTGGTTTCTTGCAGGCATCTAGGAGGGCACTACTGGGTTATGGGTGTATTATATATGGTATAAGGGTGGTAACGTTGACCTTTGGGGGTATGTAGCACGGCGTTTCTGGGCGATACGAATGTACCAAATAGTAGTAGCATAGTATGAGGAATGATGATATTCGTTCTCTTGTATTAGGCCTGAACTTTCTTGATCTTAATGTGTTTACCATCGTGGAACGTTCGAGGTAGATGGATGTCCTTCCACTTATCTACATAGTACATGCAAACCGCAAATATGTAGCGTAGTGATACACAAACCCTTTTGCGCAGGGAATGTTGGACAATGGTTTGAAAGACGCCACTAATCAACGTCTAGATGATAGCAAGTAGTCTAGGGGTACGAGAGGTTGATGCAGATTCGTGGTTTATTCCTGTAGATTGCTGGAGCCGAAGGAGGTTCGCGGAAGTTCAGGTTTATACTTCCATACTGGACGAGGGACGTTGATGAGAATTTGCTGCCGTGATCCGCCCTAAAACTATATGCACTGAGCGGCCATTTCCGAAGTCGTATATGCTACCACAGCAGCAATATGCGATAATGTCCATACAGTACGTTAAAGGCGGACCAATACTGGAGCGATGTGAAGAGCAATGTTATCTGCAATCTATCAGGATATAGAGCTACGTTGTGATGAGTTAGCGACTTTCATGGAGCCACGGTGCTAATGTGGAATAAGTCTACTGTAACCTACTTATCTTTGCAGCCATCAACATTTAACAACTTCGAACTTAATGCCAGTCTAATTGCCTGAGAGGAAGCAGTATGAGAAATCCAACCGCTGGAGGAGACTAGACGGCTATAAACTTTTTGGTATTTGTGAAGCAATAAGGTTTCAAGGTGAGTGCTTTGCATAGTCCAGGGATGCACAACAGCGTAGGATATGCCAGAGCAACGACACGGCAGTTTGCAGGATTATTCAGCGAAACGGTTGCTCTTTCCTCAATGTTGGCGAGAAGGTGATAGCTGGTTGATAGTGACCTGAGACCTTGTGTCGCAGGACCGAGATCTAGACCACCTTCGTGTACGACACGTTCCGATGTCCATGACATTATAACAATAGAGTTGCAGCGTCAATTCGGGCTCCTCAGAATTGCAGGAGTAGTAATGATAATGTCAATGCACGAATTAGTTCGACAGGTGACACTCTCGCTGTGTAATACAACGAGCTCTATCAGTACAGGGTGCAGACTGAATCACATTTGGGGCCTGTCATTCATAACAGAATTCGTGCAATTGCACCTCACTTCCGCCACGTCCTTCACAACACACCATCGTCTGTTCGTCAGAATTACTCGGCTGACCAGCCTTGTAGCTTACGAAATCCAACATTCGTTTCAGAAGCAATTGGTATGTCGATCGTTTGAGCCAAGCCGGCGATCTGCAGCGTGGAGCAGTGTGATTGGTTGGCACGCGCATCGTGCTCTATTGAGGCAATGGCAAAAATATGCTTTTGTGGATCGAAATCCATACCAAATTGCTACATTCGGTAATTGAAGCTGCTTGAAGAGGAAGTATTTCGAATATGCCTCGGCTCTTGGAAAAGCAAAACATGTCTTAACATGCCCAGTGCTGCTGGTAAGGCAAATGTGAATGTCCATAGTAACTGACTGCACGCGTGTGTCGTACGTGATCGACAGAGGTATTGAGTGTAGCAGGGAATCAAGGGACAACGCCTCTAGCGCGATCTGATTCCCACAGCTCTTTCAAGCCTTTGTCAAGGCCCAGCCAGTTTTCAGCTATTCTCATGCCTCGTGCTCGTTCGGCTTCGATGTCGTCCCAAGACCAATGGGAAGCAGCTTTTCTGCAAGCCTCGTCAGCTTGACTTATCTGTACAGTTTCCCGACCTTGCACCTGTCGAAGCTTCTCTGCGGCTCCAGCAGCTGTCTCTTGTGCTCGCCGTCGTAGCGTGTCTTCCGTGATCTTAATCTCTCCGATCACAGTCTCCGTATCAGGTGTAGGTGCATATGAAGAATCCAGTGCAACTGGAGGCGAAGCTTGACCAGCAGGCTTCTCCGGCAGCCAACCTGCACTCCTCCAACAACGCTCGGGAGGGACTGTGAATCGACCTTTCTTGACCACGTACTTGGAAAGACACGATGCTAATAGAACCTCTCCGTGACCGCCATCTGTCAGCTCTTTCTTCAATTCGTCTTCGCTCTTGCCAGATATTTTGGCTCTCCTAGATAGGTCTTTCCGTTCTCGTGTTCTATCCTTCTCATTCTTGGGTCTGACAAAAACGGATCCGATCAGTATCCATTTTTCATCCCATCCGAGTATGCGACTCCGAACTTGGTAGGTCTCGTAGGGCTTGATTTCTTTCAGAAAGCTGGTATGTACAGCTCCTAAGATGACAGAAAAAGGACCCTTGTAACCCTCTCTTTCCAGCTCGGCAGGGGAGAACTTTGTACTAGACATTAGATGGACCATAAGAGCAGTTCTCGATTCGTCCAGATCACTAAAGTATGTGCTATTCGATTTGTGCAGGTTGTGGTCGATCTCCAGCATGGGCGTTATGCTGCTAATTGTGAGAGGTAAGAATATCGGGTGGGAGGACGCCGGGGCTCGATTCTGCGCGGTGTACGAGGACGAAGCTCTTTCGAGAAGTCTCGCAACTTCGTGCTTGGACTTCCAGGATCGCCAGGCGCGGTAAAACAGCCGCAGCTCCCACACCAGAGGAAGATTCTTGACATTGAGCAGGCAGAAGAGAAGGACGATATTACGCAAGGACAGTAACGTGATCAAGTAGGAAAGCATTTCGCGTATTGGCTGTGGTACAGCAAGTCGAAGGCGTTGCAAGAGGGAGTGTGACGGCAAAGACATTTCAAAAGCAGGAGCACTGGCATAAATTTATTAAGGGCATGGAATAGATGTGGTGTTCTCCAAGATAGCGCAGCCCAAGTAGGACACCTGTGCGCCAGTGTATGGTGAACGATGCTGCTCAAATCACGCAAATATGTATCCTCCAATACTCGTGACATGGTGTAGCCATCTGCTCGGAAAGTTGCCCCTATACACCCTTTCGTGGGGCTGTAGAGGGGCTAAACAGGCAGGTAAACGTGTATTTAAGCTGGTTCGGTGAAGAAGAATGTACATCAATCGTCTTCAGACATCGTCACATTCCACTCAAAATTCAGGTATTGCTAGGCACTCGGTATTTGTCTTGGTGCTAACCTCAGGTTGAGTCGCAGCTCCTACGCCCTCTACTTCGTCGTGATGGTAGGGAGGAATGCACAGGTACTGTACATTTCCTGATATGGTCATAACCCAGACAGAGTCCACCGCTTACAAAATACTGAATGTGTGATCGCAGCCAGATGGTACGGTCCGTGTCGACTTTCCGTGTGATATGCGGACTCTTGAACTCTCTGTCTCCTCGATTCACTGCTATCGATATCTAGAATTTGCTTCTCTCCTCGCAACGAATAGCATAGTCAATACCACGATCGTTCCTCAAGGCGCACGGGGTTCATTGTAGTTTGTCCCTTAGCTCTTTCATTGTCGTCAACACAGTCATGAGGAGATATCAGGTCTCTAGCTCTTTGTCGCACTGGGCCCTTGCATACCTTCCGACGCGATGTGACTTCAGCCAACGAAGACACATGGCTGTTTCAGAGTCTGCGAAGAGCTTGTAAATGGATAGATCGTAGAGGTACTGCATAACACGGCTTTGGACAACGACATCTTACGGAAAAGTGTAACTTTCGATCGTAACAACACATTTCCTTTCCTTGTCAACGATCGCGTTCACTATTCCTGCATGGTCTTCTCATAACAACAGCTGCTACAGAGGAGTTCTTCGACTTAGGCGGAAAAGACTTAGCGTAGGAACACCGTGCATCACAAAGCTTGTCTACCAACCGTTGCATCTGGCTCAAGAAGACGTGTAGGGGTTGCCAGCCAGACCACAGTCGACTCAGGTACGTATGCCACGTTGAGCGGATGTCGCAGTCGATATGTTTTCGGTAAGCTGAGGTGGTGACAGTGATTGGTCACATCGGTCGAGAAAACGAAACAATGGAGAGGCAAGTGAAACGGAAGGCGGTCAGCTTCCCACCAGTCGCATCACGGCAAGCACGACCCTCGCAGGTGCCGCCGATCCAGCTAGACCTGTTCCTGGCGGCCAAGCCGCCCGCCTTGCACGACCATTCGTCCTTTTCCCTTTTCGCACCTTTTGAATTCTCCTTACCATCTGCCTGTCATCTTTCGCATCTGAGAAACCCAAACATCTCCAGCTCAAGTCTCTCAGGGGTTGTACAGACATACGACTCAACTTGCCTATGCTTCCCTAGCCAATGCTTCTTGAGGATCATTCAGCTTCTCACGCGCCCGAGCTCCGTCTCGGAGTTTCCTAGCTTTCATTTGTAGCGCCAATCAGCTTTTCAATTCGACCCTCTCGGAAGCACAGCTACCTCCCTCACGACCTGTGGCTTACGGATGGTTCTTGCAACTGATTTAGTCACGTAGATCTGCGACAGTTCACGGAGACGTACGCCGAAGTAGTGCAGAATCCCGGCTAACTCAGTCAGCTTCTATCCAATGAAATGCAATGTTTCAGGTTCCTTGCATCTACATCCCAGTCTCCAGTACATATCCAGCTTGACATCAGGGGATTCCAGATGCTTGTACACTGACCGATGCTAGATACCCACGAGCGCATATATCTGTTTGCTTTGCCGGGACAAACATGTTGTCTTCACTCAAGTTCTATCACTGCTGACTGCTAAAGATTGTTCCAGGCTAGTTCCTGTTTCCTTCCTTCACTTGTCGACTTACGTTAACGTCTAGCCTGAGGCAGACTGTTCCATTCCTTGACTCGCTACTTCTGGAAAGCAAGCCACCACATTACGTCGACGACCATTCCTTTGTCACCGTGCTTTGTTCGAGGTTCCAACGCTCGGGCCACTCGAAGAAAGGTATGTGTCTGCCCAGCACCCTCTGACCCCACAATTTCGAGAAATATCACCAACCTTTCATGGTTCTATTGTCACTCCCCAGACAATGTACCAGTGACAGGGGAATCGCATAAGTTCTCAACATTGGCTCGTACCAACCATTCTTAATGCCCACATTCAATTCTTATCTCACCGCAATTCGCAAATCTAACATTCTCTCAGACAACTCTCCTTTCCAACTTTCAACAACTCTTCGCTGGTCGAAGAATTTCTACGATCTTTACAACAAGTCTCAGTTCCTACGAACAACTACTTCAAAATGAAGTCCTTCACAACACTACTGGCTATGGCTTCTGCCGCCAGCGCCCATATGATCATGAAGTCCCCAGTACCACACTCTCCTCCGGACAATGGACCACTCGACAAGGCTGGCGCAGACTTCCCCTGCAAATTCGCTGGCGGCTCAGGCAAAATCCAGACCACCAACGTAAACAAGATGACCATCGGATCATCCAACCCTCTTTCCTTTACTGGCAGCGCAGTCCACGGCGGTGGCTCGTGCCAAGTCAGTCTTGCCAAGGGCACAGATATTTCCAAGTCTACAAAATGGATGGTTATTCATAGTATCGAAGGCGGTTGTCCTGCAGATGCAGCAGGTAACCTCGGAGATGATCCAAATGGTTCTGGCGCAGCCACGTTTCAATTCACTGTTCCTGATCATCCAGATCTTGGACCTGGTGACTATACCTTGGCATGGACGTGGAACAACAAGGTCGGCAACCGAGAATTCTACATGAACTGCGCATATGTTCAGCTGTCAGGTGCAGCCAAGAAGCGATATGCACCATCCCAGCCAATCTCCAAGCGTGCTGATGGTCCTTTACCAGACATGTTTGTATCGAACATTGGCAATGGCTGTTCTACCAAGGAGGGCATCGACGTTCAATATCCTAACCCAGGTTCTTCCTTGGAAGTCGGCAAGAACGCTGTTCTAGGCAAGCCCGACGGCAGTTGTGGCGCTTCTGGTGCATCTGGCCCGTCTGATCCTGCTCCATCCAAGTCTAGCATCGGCGCAGGCTCAGGCGCTACATCTTCAGTTGTGGCGTCATCTTCAGCCGTTGGCAACACCGTCATCCCAACCACGACCGGTGTCAGTGCTGCTCAACCATCAAGCTTCGCAGGTGGTGCCAAATCTTCAGGTCTTGCGACTGTTCCCCAGCAATCCGGCCAACGAACCCAATCATCTGGCAACGTCTTCGCAACAGTATCTGCAAGCGGCACCCAAGCTGCACCCACAGCTGCTGCAACATCCGCTGCCGTCGCAACATCTGCCGCTGCACCAACACAGTCTGCCTCACCCGCCGCTCCCATCGGTTCCGGCACAAGCACCGGCTCACAGGTCCAAGGTACAGCCTGCAATCAAGAAGGCGCTTGGGCCTGTGCTCCCGACGGTTCATCTTTCCAGCGATGCGCTTCTGGACAATGGTCAGCATCCATGCCTATGTCCGCTGGCCTGACCTGTGTCCCAGGCATCTCCATGAACTTCGCCTACAACCAGTCCAGCACTTCTGGCAAGCGAGACCTCCGATCTCACATCGCCAGACGCCGACATAGCCTTCACGGCTCAACTATCTAGGACAAGACAATGTCGACAGCTAGGGATGGTGGGCAAAGAAAAAAGACTAGAACATGGTCTCGGTGGGGCCTTCGGGAGGATTTCTGAATTGTGCATTTGCAGGCGCTCGTGTTGAGTATACCCAATTAGCATAGGACATAACCAAATTCGTTCTCTTTACGACTTCTTCGCTCCTTTGTGTTTTGTGTTAAGCATCGCTGTTCCTGTGTGAGCTATCTTCTCTGTAGACAATTACACTGAACTTGACCTATAACAGTTTCCTCATAATGAGCAAGATTGAAATGGTAGATGACACCCTTGACCGTGGAGTCTCTATTTCTATCTCAAACGTGTGACCTAATCACATACACTCTACCAGATCTCTATTGCTCCCATTACTCCTCACAGATATGCTAGAAATGAAGGTGTAAACAAGATTCCTTTTCAAGGTCGCGCCAAGCTTTTGCGGAGCATGTGTGTCGTGTCAGTCTCGCGTTCCTGCCAAGCAGAGGCCGCAGGCAAGTCTAGTTCTCCCGTGCACTGGCATGACCGAAGTAGAATACCCAGCCTCGTCTCTCACTCGAACAAACATGCAGGCACGCGGTCTTTGAGAATCAGCGTATAGCGTTCTGTGGACAACAAGACATCTCCCCAGCTGCCACGTCCTCGTCTTAACATGGGAATTTATGGCTCGCTCGCTCACGGTAAGCTTGACTGTACAGCTTTCGCCCAAGTCGTCTGCACAATACCCCAGTACCTCTCCCTTTCACTCTTTACATGATTGACATGCTCAGTGCCTACAAATTCCTCCATCTTTACCAATTCCTCGATCAGGTTCTTCTCAATATCCATCGCTAGTAATTTCTCCTTCGCAACGCGAGCATGGCCGACGACGTCCACCGCTAGAATCATCAAGTCGGATTCTGAGTAGATGTATGTGCGTGGAATAGGTCTGATATGAGCTGCTTCCTCGCCGTTTGTGCTTCTGCAGAGAAAGACATCGTTTGCATCGTTGAGTTTCCTGTATAACTTCCAGAGTGCATGCTCGGACAGATTCAAAATGTCCACGATGGCTGTTGCGCCTACAGCTGCGTATGCCAGGGCCCGAGCTGCGTTTTTGATGAAGAGGTTATTGCTTGGCACACCCTGGACCAGAGCGTTGACGCTGATCACTGCTCTAGGCTGACCTGGACAGCTGTCGAGCACCAATGCATCAACGGGCAACCTCATACCCCCACAAGTCTCGAGACATGCTTGTGCGAGCTGTACCGCGGCGTGAGCTCCACCGTTGGAGAAAGCGTGCAGGAGCACTCGTGGCTTAGGTGATGCTGAAAGATGTGCTTGAATAGCTCTTGCTGCTGGTTGGAAGAAGCTCATCTGCCAGCTGTCAGGCACCCATATCGTGTTGGCGATGATGTTCTGTATGAGCAAAATGGTTGCGGACGGGTATAGTTCTTGATATGGTTGAACATATTTGGCGATGTGCTTGGGTTGCGCGAATGCCCACGAGCAGATAACGATTAGTGTTGGACTTTTCTCATCACCACTCGTTCTCAGCTCATCAGCTGGCTTGTACAAGGAGATGCCTCGACTAAGTGGTGAGAACCCCAGACCTGTCAGGACATTAGGTGTGACGGTGGTAGTTGAGCTTTCCATTGTCGTTTGCCTTGCATCTCCCACAAAGTCGCACTTTGTGCCGACAATACCCACCGCATGTTATATAGAGATGAGGGCATTGCGCTGCTGAGTAGTCCTTCGATACGAATCGCAAGAGCAGCATCGCGACTCGTACGCTCCATAAGCTTAAGTCACCGTCGTATCTCGTATACCACACCCACATCCCGATCGACTAACGCCTCGCCTGATGTGACTCCGTCCCAACTATAGTGAGTTTCTGGGACCGACACGTGGTGATATTACTCCGTGGCGGCATGAAGGCCTGTATAGCGGTCCCTTAAGACTTGGCTTTTGCTACAAACTCACTGCAGCCGCGGCTACGTTTCTTGGCTGGCGAGAGCATGTGAAAGCATGAGTAAATCAGATGTCCCTTTTCTGTACCTAAGAACAGGGGAGTCTAGATGTTGTGGTTCGTGCCTGTTCATCTTGAGCAGAGACGTGGTTTTGCTAATTAGATGGCGATCTTTGAGGTGGTTTTCGGCTGAGAGTCACCTTGGCTGAAGGTAGGTAACCTGATGTGTCCGAGACGATAGATATGAAGAGTTGGAATGAAGGACAATTTATGGTTCGGATAATGTAACTGGAAGTGCTATTTTCCTTGCAACACTGTTGCACACAGACGACCCATATCCAGGTCCATGCGAGTGTGGTGAGCATTATTTAACAGAAATGACGTAGCGCTGCGAGACGAAGGGTGGTACAAAATCTCAACAGTTTGGAAGAAATAGGAGGAGCTCTACTCTAGCAGCATATCACATAATAGCAAGGGCGACCTATTGCACTTTCGAGTCCGGTGCGTTGCGCACCAAGTCACCAGCCGGCCATCAAGGATGCCACCAACAAGTTGTTGGCATCAGGCCACATTTATGGAAGGAACTGCGGATGAATGAAGATGTAAATGTCATATTCTGGTGGCCAGAAGTAACCAGTAAAAGTTCTCTTTCGTCCTTCAACCCTGTGTTCTGCCTACACTGGCAGCTAGTATAATTTCATGCTTTTATGAACCTGCACCTTCCACTCAATCATCCAGTGTGTAACCACCTATTTCAACTCAGGACTACCTGAGCTTAGTCCGCACCGCAGTCTGTGATGACAACAGGCTGCTTTGGGGCACCGCTCTGGGATCCTAGCTTCTCAATTGCCTTGACAATGTCCATCGATTGTTGGTCGGCAACCTCACCGAAGACGACATGCTTGCCATCGAGCCATGAGGTCACGACGGTGGTGATGAAGAATTGGGAGCCGTTAGTGTTTGGTCCTGCGTTGGCCATCGAGAGGAGACCTGGCTTGGTGTGCTTGAGCTGGAAGTTCTCGTCTGCGAATTTCTCGCCGTAGATGGACTTGCCGCCAGTACCGTTCTGCCGAGTGAAGTCACCTCCCTGAAGCATGAATTGAGGAATGATTCGGTGGAATGGAGCACCCTTGTAGCCGAAACCCTTCTCGCCAGTGCAGAGGGCTCGGAAGTTCTCAGCTGTCTTTGGGACGGTGTCGTCGTACAAGTTGAAGTTGATTCGGCCTGACTGTCCACCATATTTGACGTCAAAGTAAGCGTGCTTGACCATCTTTGCGGTTGGTGAGGTTTGTGATGGAGAGATGTGTGTATGTGTTTAGGTTTGTATAGAGAGAAGGAAATTTTGTTTCACAGAACAGGTCACAATATTTGTACTGCAAGTTTAACCACGAAACCAAAATGCAGGGTCGAGCCCCTCCAAATACTCTGAATTGCGTATGTTCCCAAATAAGGTGCGGGGCAGCCGACATTGTGCCGGCGTTAGCAATATTTCTGCCTGAGGCATTCACTGTGAGTGAAACGTTAGTGAAGGAATAGTACCTTGGACACAATGACCTTACTATCAGCATTCAGAACAGTCGTTCTCGATCTCAGGCACTTTCAAGTCTGCACAAGAACAATAGGGCAGTCGACTTCGGCCTCGAAGCAGCTTCCAGTGACAACCACTTTCTGCTCTCGTGTCAACATAGGCTCGTCGGTACGCCCCGTCGCTACTGTCCCTCGACTTCCTCGACGCGAAGTCCCTCAAGTTCCTGGTCAAAACGCGTGTCTGTCATACGTGGGGCTGAAGAACAAAGCTGCGCCTTTTCTGCGATGACTGCTCAACAGTTTGGCCAATCGAAAAAATAGCCACCACAACAGATTCAGAGCCGTCCAGGTAGTCTAAAAGTCTATTATTCGAACCAGTGTATGGATGTTTCGTTTTGATCTTGTTAATCTTTCTATATCAGCCTGAATGTCCTCGATCTGTTCCTTCTTCGCTGGCGCATGATCTCTCAGATAGTCCTCAACCGAGTTATTTTCAGCCGCTGTCGCCTCGCTCAGACATGCTAACATTTGGGCGGCGGAGAATTTAGCATCTCCATTCGGTCGAAGACCTCTGACTGCTGATACCCTCACTCCAAACATAAGTACGTTGACGCACTGGTGAAATGCTTGCGGACCACCCTCGAAGCAAATCATTGTGTCGCCATGCTCAGCGAACATGATACCATCAGAGAGCCAGGTATCTTCACCGAACCTCGTAAGCTCCGCTCCTGAGCTGTACAAAAGGATGGAGTGGTGGACGTGTCCAGAGCCTGACCATCCAGTAGTCTCCAGGGCCTCAATAGATTGGCCAACAAGATTAGCCACCACTCGGGTCTCTGCTATCGTGTTCGGGCTTGTTGACTGCGCTGACCTCACTCGCTTTGCCAGATACTCTGAAACAAGCCAATTGGCATCGTGTTCAACGCAAGTGAACCCATACTCAAGGATTGTTGCGTTGTCGATGTGGTCGGAAAGGACGGCAAGTGCATTTTCGATCTTGTTCCTACTAAAGGACATCCCGGAATCTCCAACAACCTGAACTACACGTGTAAGTTCATCTGGCTTGTTGTAATATGAGTTCAAGGTATTTCGAAGCTCAACTAGCTCAAATATTTTTGTATCAATGTTCACGACTAGGAAATTCTGGCCGTCTTCACGATCAGAACCAATGGGTGTGGCATCCCATGCTCTAAGCCTCGCTCTTTCGTATACTTTACGAATGGTATCTGCCTGCATGATGTCCACAATCGACCTTTTCGTTCAGCTATCAGCATCAAGGCTCAAGTCAAAACGGCTGGCACTGTAGCAGAGATGCTAGCTAAAGGACATGGTCTGACACGAGCGAACGGCATCCGGTCGCTGCCAGAAGCTGTGATACAGTCACCACTTAAACGAGGCTGTGCTATTGTCCAAACGTCCCTGCGTAAGTCAGCCATGAGAAATGCCTGCTCAGTAAGGATCTCTGAAGGTACGTGAATGGTGGCATGACGATGACGTAGATTGCTAAGAACGTACTTGGATGCTGATTCCTAAGATAGACATGGCTGTCCCATAGATCGGCCTTAGTAATATTCAACATCTGAGAAGCGTGCAAGCGGTTGCAATACTTCCAGCTGTCGACATTCAGCTTTTCAATTTGGGTTTTCGGATAATAGCGATGTTACCATCCCGCTGCCATCCAATATCCTCCTTCTGTACCAGCTCATCCCAATCAAGTTCATTACCAGTTGCGTTCTTGACGATCCAGTCGATATCACATTTAAGATACGACTTGCCGATCGCTTTCAAGACAGATCTCCGTAAGGAATCAATCTTCCAACGCATAATGGCTCGAACGTAGCCATCGACTTTACTACGTATCCTCCAGAAGAGCGGCCAGTCAGCTGTCACAACTGCTCGCAAGATGAGATCGACTTGAGTGTCATGGAACCCGGATGACATCTTAGCTGCTGAGCGGATCTTGTAGGCTTCAGCCAAATCGTCCTGACGAAGAGCCGTGTCGAGGATGAGATACACCAGCATTTCCCGAAGCTCCGTGGACGAAAGTGGATACTTGTGGCTGTGTAATGCCGTCAACAAATATCTTAAAGATGCATGATATGACTCCGGATGCAAAGCGAGTATAGCTAGCCTGATGTTGAAAACATGGACTCTTTGTGAGAAAACCGGCGATGAAGCAGAGGACGATGTTGCAAGGATACCTTCTCGTAGCTTTCGGAGAGCGGTCAGTATCATCGATAGTTCTTCGGACGGATTCACTGTTGCGACCACAGTTGGTACTGGTGCGAACTTTGATGCTGATAGACCTCGAGCAGTATATGCTGGTGTTGTTGGGCGCACATCACTACTGAGCCGTGCTGATGAACCAGCTGAATTGCGGTTGCACTCACTCGACGACGTCGAGTCGTCGATAGAGAGTGACGAGAATGCCTCGTTGAGGTTCTTCGAATTTTGTGTACAGAATTGCATGTAGCGAGCTGTAATTTTGTGATAATAGCTTTCTTGGGTCTTCAAATTGAGTAATCGATTGTCCCCTTTTGAAACAAATCCAACACTCTCTAGAGGATCCTGCTTGACTGGTCGTAGTCTGTCCCATGGTGCTGAAGACTTTCGATGCAACGTCGGTGGTTGGTACGACATGCTGAGTTATTGATTGGCTTAGGTAGCAATTAGCACGAGCCATGTGCGATCATCTCACTATGAAGGCAGTGGTCAGAGCCATGGCTCCGTGAAGCACCGACGTAGTCGGCATCCGGCAGTAACAAACACTTTGAAGTGCTCACGAAGGAAGAAAGAGCGATGGAGTCTATGCGAGCTGTAACTGCACACGAAGACTGCTTAGCTGATGATGAATTGGTCTACCGTAATACGAAATACGAATACGAACTACGAACTACGACAGTGGTTGACCTGTCCGGTATCGAAATAACATCTCGTGATGTCGCGAAGCATTAGTATACTGAACTTCATTCTATTTCATCCTTGGAGATCATGTTTAATAGTTTGGAATTACTGACAAAGTTAGTAGATGCGGTGTGACAAGATCCAGATATGACAGCTAAGAATGTTTCGCAAAGAGATAGCCTAGCTTCATTCAAACCCGTTGAGGAACCACCATGGCACTCACTCATTCGGTTCGAAGATCTGCCTCATTGGCAACAAGACAATCACTACATCCTTTCGAGCTATCGACGCGCCTCATACTCGTACATCCGCTCAATAGAGTCGATGACTCACTGGCATAATGAGACGATCAATATCTGGACGCACTTCTTGCCTGGTGCACTTTGTTTGCCCTTCGGACTCGTACTATATCGGGTGCTTGAACCACGATATGAGCTTGCAAACAATGCAGACGTGATGGTGATGTTGTGCTTCTTTCTTGGTGCTGGACTCGGTATGAGCCTAAGTGGTATCTATCACACACTCAGCAATCATTCTCCAGGTGTTGCAAAATTCTGGAACCAGCTCGACTATGTTGGTATTGCCTTGATGATCTGGGGATCTTTCATACCCAGCGTCTTTTATGGCTTTTGGAGCGATCCAGGGTTAAGAAGAGTGTATTGGAGCATGGTAAGTTTGCAAACGGTATTTGACGCCTTCTAACACAACGGCAGATTAGCACAATCGGAGCCGGCTGCATCGTCGTTACAATGCTTCCAGCTTTCCGCACTCCTTCTTGGCGACCACTACGAGCAGCCATGTTCGCAGGTATGGGTTTGAGTGCAGTTTTCCCGGTCCTCCATGGTCTCAAGCTATACGGTCTTGATCAGATGAGACAGCAGATGGGTTTATTCTGGTTGCTGACACAAGGTGCTCTATACATAGCTGGTGCCACAATCTATGCATGCCGATTTCCAGAGTCAATGCACCCAGGCCGCTACGACAAGGTAGGTGCATCGCATCAGATCTTCCACGTCTTTGTGGTTCTTGCTGCTGCGTCACACCTTGTGGGCCTGCTGAAAGCCTTCGATTATCGTCACGGAGTTTCAAGAGGTATAGTTCTACCAGATTCTGCAGCTTATGTCAAAGTTTGAAATCTGCATTTGTGAAGGCTCTCTTTCGTGAATCCGAAGAGGCTATGGTGTTGACTAGTGAGACCTTCAAGTCTCTTGATCTGTCGGATTTGAGATCGAAGATTGTTGCTAGGTTCATGGTAACAGACACAGACGAGTATCCATCGTTGATGAGATCGTCGAGCAATTTGCTGGCAGCATCTATGCGGCCCAGATAGAGATATACAACCGAAAGATTCTGCTTGGCAAGTGCCTGCATGCTGGACTTTGGGTTCTGTTGTGCAATGTTCTCGAGACGCTTCGCAGCGTCGTCCAAGCGACCATCGGCAATAGACACGAGAGAAACGAGTAGTTGCTTGATATCCTCGTCGGCCTCTAATTCATCAATGTATCTTTCAGCCTTCTTCAGCTGCCCTAGCCTTATAAGCATTAGTACCATCTGCTGTGCCCAATATGTCTGAGCCACAGCATCTGCTGGTTTCGAATGACTTAACGTCCGCTGAGCACATTCAATATCGCCTAGCTCAATCAGAGAATTGACAACGTGCATGTTCAACGAAGCTAGCCTCTCACTCCATGTTCTCCGCTCCGAATCCGAAGTGTAAGGAGACGCAATGTGTTCGCGTATTTCTAGACCAAGCTCATATAGCGCTGTGATGCCTCTTCTCAGATCAGAGAATCCGACGCTTTGCAGTCTTGTAGCTTGGACTCTAAGATCAAAAGGCATGATGTGCTTCGCCAGCGGACGACGACCATCATGTGTTTCGATTTCTGCTTCTGACACTTCTGGTATCACATAATAGAAGTCAGAGGACAAGTCCTCGAGGGCCTTTGCTTCTTGTGCTGCGAGCAACACTTGGCCGATGAGCTCGAGACACGAAAATCTAGCTGAAAGCAATCGAAATATGACTGGATGGTCAGTGGCGCTGACAACCCCTGACGATAAGCAGACAGCCGCATAATGTGCTGCACCGACGAAGTCACAGTTGCCTATCAACAAATTGAGTTGGTTGAGTGCCTGTGCTGTCGTTGTTCCAGGTTGCGGCGGTGGCATGAAGGGCTTGCGGAATTGTGGTGGCACATCAACCTGGCTCAAAGGATGATAGATAGCAGAATCCAGGAGGAATGACAGTTTCATGTCGGCTGCGACTGGACCGCCGTCCGCTTCTGCTCTTTCTCCCAGCAGAGGACCTTGAAGGTCCTTTCTTTGCTCCAGTGGATCGACATCTTGCAATCTCTCAAGGGGCGTATTTGGTGCCGAAGCCCTGGTAGAGACAGGGGAAACTGGTGAAAGTGCCGCGCTGGTCGAGAGTGGGCTTCATCTTATCGTTAGTCAGAGGCTTTTTACAGACACAATATATTCTTACCCATCATCCTCATCTAGTGGTCCCCTTGTGGTACGTCTTGGTAATGAAGCTGATACTGTAAGCTAAGGAGTCTCGTGGTGATTCCGCGACGAACCTCGACTTGGATTCTTTCTGTGAACACTACTAGACATTTTGCATGCACGTGGGCTAGACAGGCAAACGACCTTTCAGAAGCAAACTGCTCGATTGCATATCGTCGTGGTAGTAGACAGTGTCAGCATGACACGAGAATTAAGTTAGAGACGCGTAAATTGTGAATGATAAGGGTTGCAGTGGGCGTTAAAGTTGCCTAGAGAAAATACTTCGGGGTGTTCTCTAGGCACACTTCACGAACGGCAGGCTCTAATATCTCGATGCACCACATTCACACGGCATAGAAGCTGTCCAGGCGGAGAGAGGTATGACTAATTCATATTCGTAGTTACAGTATCAGTGATTGCTCCAGCGGAATGAAGATACAATTGAGTATTTATGTCGACCGGGCGTATATTCTTTCAAGATCTTCTCCTTGTATTCCATCCCAGCCTTCTTTAGCCAGCCGTGCAACAGCTTGATCGATTGGCTCATCGCCGTTCAACAAATCATACCAGCCTCTTGTGTCATCTCTCTCAAGCAATGCTGCTGCTACTCTCGCAACACTCTCTCTGCTCACATCACCCCGTGCACCTGTCTTGCCTAGGGCAACCTTTCCATCACTAGGATCATCCTTCAAAGTTCCGGGCCGTAGATTGATGGCTTGAAACGTTGCGTCCCTATTATTTCTTTTCTTAGCTGCAGCAGCAAAGTGCTCGTCTGCTTCGACTTTCGCGGCAAAATAAGCAGGAAGAATCTTGGTGTTCACATGATTAGCTGCTTCTTGATCGTCATCGTTCCACCAAGGTGGACGTCCATGACGAGAAGCAATATAGCTGACCATAAGAAACTTCTTGACTTCAGGTCGGGCTAGTGAGGCGGATATGTAATGCTTCGCTGCGACCTCGTCAATGGCCTTTGTCCGGGCTGGGCCACCTTTGCCACCAGCACCGGCAGAGAATACCACGATGTCAGGGCTCACTTTGTCAAGCACAGAGTTAGCTCTGTCGATAGAGTCCACATCGTCGAGGCTTTCTACAAGGACGTTAACCTTGCCAGGTTTGTCCTCACCAAGCTTGAGGATCTCGGATTCGTGATCAGGGTTACGGACAACTGAGGTCACATTCCATGATTTTGAGAGAAGTAAGGGGGTGAGATGAAGGGCGACTTTGCCGTGCCCTCCGAGAAGCAGGACTTTTGTGGTAGCCATGGTGCTCGAGTTGATCTGTATGCTGGATGAGTAGCAAATAACGAGTTGTTCCTAAATGGACGAGAACAAGTTTTGGAGTGGTGAAGACGAGATACGACGAGCAAGAGGTTGATTACTTTCCATTGTTGACCTTCTTAGTTGTATTACAAAGCACTCAAGAAGCTTTGGAGGATGCCCCAAAGAGGGAAACAGGTATTGCATCACATCGTTCAGAATTATGCCAAATCGCGCGTCATTGGTCTTTTGGCTGACTTACGGTAAAGTACATTCGTAATACGTTCTTGGGGTGTGTCATCTCCCATCGACACTGACCTACTCTTGAAGACCGCTCCGCCTCATCTCTGGGACGATCGTATGCTAATGCAGGTGGGAGATGGAAGAGGTCCAGCAGCCATCGTGATGATGGAGCTTGAGAAAGGAAAGGCAGCCAATCGAACAAACATGACAAACATTCAGGAAACCGATGGGTCTCACTTGCCCTGCGCTGGAAAACAAACGTTGATGCCAACAACGCGACATCTGACGTGATTTCTCCTAGCCATGCTCAGATTCCAGTGTGAAAGATGCCTCGTCCAGCACGGCGTGCAGGGGGTGCTCCTGCACAGCATGAGGCTTCCGCAACTACGCCTACGAGGACCGGTGCTACCAATCCCATAACCGCTACGATTCCTCCTTCTATGCTTGAGACACCAACTGGGCCACGTTTTCAGAACACACCACAGTCTGCTCCTCGACCTTTGGATCTTACCTCAAGCGTTCCAGAAGCTGCGAGGTCTGGAAGACTTCGACGCCAACAACACGCTGACTTATTGGATCAACCAGATACAGACCACGATACGCCAGGCAATACTGTGGAGGAACGGCAGCCCAGTGGACAGAGCAATCTTCCAGCACATCTGCTCTCTTCTGCAGACGAAGACACTTTTAATGAGGATGAGACCTCACTAGTAGAATCAGTGCAGCACAATGCAGAAGACCACAAGAGCCTTGCTGGATTGCGAGATATTTCCTCCTTAGCCACCTGGACACTTTCCTCGGCAAAGCCAGGATGTGCTTTGGCTCAACTCAGAAATCCTAGTCCCTCACAATTCTGGCAGAGTGATGGCCCTCAACCCCACACTTTGTCCCTCCACTTCTTCAAGCTGGTCTCGATAGTGAAGATGCGTATCTATCTAGACTTCAAGTTGGACGAATCATACACACCCACCAAGATGAAGTTCTATGCAGGAATGTCGGAAGGAGGTCTGGTTGAATTTGCGACATGGGAAGTTGAAGAAACGATAGATGAGACGACGGGCGAGATGAGTAGCAATGTAGGGAAAATCAGGGGCTGGATTGACATATCGTTGAAAGGTGTGGGTGGTAGAGAACAGAAGTACTATGATGACCAGGAACGCCGAAGAGCAAGAGCCTATGAGCGAAAGATGCAGTTGCAAGAGCACGGAGACACGAGTATGATGGACTTGGAAGACGACGAGGATGAAGATGATCTCGTAGGAGGTGATGTTTTGAGGGCAATGATTGTGCAAGTCAGAATCTGTGAAAATCACCAGAACGGCAAGGACACACATTTGAGGGGGTTTCAGGTGTTTGCTAGGGACGAGTCGAGTGCTAAGGAGATGAGAAAGCTGGTGAAGAGGCCAAAGCAGCGAGCCAAGAAGAAGGGAGGAGCTGAAGATGCTGATGAAGAGGGTCTTATCGGGCTACAACCTGCAGAATGGATGGGCGAACCCGATATTCGATGAACAGGATGGACTGCGATGCAAGCCTCGGTGATTGAGGTTGTCATCAACTGCAGAGTGCTACTTTTAACGTGAGATCAGTCACTACAATACAGCCACTAGACCTTGATGAGCAGAACCTGAGCTGCAGACTGTAGACGTCTGAGGGTTTCATCGAACGGGGAAGTCACTAAAATTTTCGTCAGATCTTTCGCTCCTCCAGAACAACAAGGCGCATACACTTTCAAACCTTGTTCCACACACAACTCTTCCCTCGTGCTCTGTCCGTAGGGCATCAAGAAATTCAACATGCTTCTGAGGCACGGACTCGAGACTGTGCCAATACTGATTGGCATTCTAATTGCGCTCATTGTCTTCCTGAGACACCACTCTAGATCTGGTACATGCGATAGTCTCTTCTCATCTGGCAAGTGGTCCAAGGCATCCAGTGGTTCTACAACAAGTCATACGTGGCACCCACCAGGTAGCATACTTCACAAGTACGACGCACCTACACTACATGACTGCTTAGATAGCCATGTTCTTCATTTTATTGGCGACTCGACAATTCGTCAGGTATTCTGGGCGACAGCTATCAAACTCGGTGGTGAAGACGCTGAATTTGCTCAGACGCAAGCAGAAAAACACGAAGGGCTACACTACAGAAAAGGCAACGCGTCTCTAGCTTTCCACTGGGATCCTTACCTCAATGGTACCGGCACAATCGCGCTGCTGAACACTCCAGCAAGCCACGAAAGCTTGGGGGTGATCTTCAGCACAGGACTATGGTATGCGAGACATGGAGGTCATGATTTCGCACAAAACTTCAATGATACCATCACCCAAGTCACGAAAAGCATCGGGAGAGAAGAAGATAGGCTAGTCCCAGTGATCGCAGTACCTCCACCACATCTGCGTCACGACTGGCTCGATGCCGAAAGAGCTGGTACATTGACCTTGGGCAGAATTTTACGCATCGTTCTCAGCCTTGCAGCCGTTGAGCGCTCATCTAACTTACAGGTAGTGTGGAGTGCTCGCGAAGTTACGCGCCATCCATCAGCCATGGATCAGACGGGGTTGCATGTGACGAACATCATAGCTGATGTCCAAGCAGATATATTGCTGAACAAATTTTGCAACGACAAGGTCTTTGGAGGCACGAACAAAGCCTATGCTCTGCCATGTGTCAAGGATAGTCGAGAACAAGCACCATATATACTGGTGGCTGCACTGATATCGGCTTGCATTGTCGTTGCTAGGGTACGACCAACTCTACCCTTGAATTACAAGCTCGACTTACATCCGGCGTCTTCGTTCGCTGTTCTGGTGTCAATACTGCTATACTGCTGGGTGGCCGATCGTACAACCCTATTTGAAAAATCTAGCAAGGTCATCAGTCAAGCGTTGTTTACATGCATAGCGGGCGCAACACTATTCGCGAATCTCTTCCGCATCAAGCAAGCAACAGCGTTTCTGACTCAGACTCTACCACAACTAAAGTCGTTCCAGGATTCACCCTCCAAGGATCCAGGCTTGCTACCGCGAGCTCAGTCTGAGGAGTGGAAAGGATGGATGCAGATTGTGATTCTGCTCTATCACTACTTCGGCATGTCGAAAGTGCTCTGGGTCTACCAGATAGTGCGCGTTCTCGTGGGTTCCTACCTGTTCCTGACCGGCTATGGTCATGCGATGTACTTTCTCAAAATGAGGGACTTCTCTCTTAATCGACTTGCTGCCGTCTTGCTTCGGCTCAACTTGCTTCCCTGCCTTCTAGCACTGGTGATGCACAACACTTGGGACTTCTACTATTTCCCATGCCTTGCAAGTATCTGGTTTCTGGTAACCTATTTCACCTTTTGGGGTGTCAAGAGACGAGAGCATGCGACTCCGAGAGTGTCCGAAATTGTGGCTCGAGTCCTCGTAGCCAGCTTCGTTTTAGTGCTGATTACACAAGAATCGGGAATGTCTCTGTCTCCATCGAATGTACTGACGTTTGTTGGCGTTCCAGATATCAACGGAAAGGAGCTTCAATTTCGAGTACAGCTAGACCTCTTGGCACCATTCTTGGGGATGCTGCTAGCTACTGTCCAGGCGCACAACCCTTCAATACTCCTTGTGCCTACCAGAAAATCACCACCCATTGTTGCATTAGCTTGTTGCCTATTCGCGGCTTACGTCATGATTGCTTCTCAATGTAAGGACAAGTTCACTTACAACCAACTACATCCGCTGGTCTCAATACTACCCATCTCGGGCTATATAATGCTGCGAAACAGTTGCAGCGCAGCAAGAGAGTATGTGGCTACGTCCTTCATGTGGATCGGGTCCTGCTCGCTGGAACTTTTCGTGCTTCAGTATCATATCTGGCTTGCAGCAGACACCAGGGGACTATTGCAAGTCGGGTTGCTCAACAAAATCTGGATGGGAAGTGGAAGCACAGTTGTTAGCAGCTGGACCTTTTGGGCAGAATCAGTTCTCATAACTATGATTTTTGTGTGGGTCAGTCATTACTGCTCTCAGGTCACCAACATGCTTGTGAAGTGGTTCGTTGATACATCTGGTGGCAGCAATGGGAAGGTACGGTCAAAGGAAAGACAACTACTCCTGCGTGTTTGTGGTCTACTCGCAGCACTGTGGCTGTTGAACGTCGCTGCGGCAAGTCGGACATGAGGCCGGCCGTGCTTGCCGATCGTACTGAGGTTCCTTGGCACACGTTTTCTAGATTGCCAATCAGCTTCGGGGCGTCCATGACTCTACTCCAAACCAGGTACGCCATCATGTCATCAAAATGGACTTGTCCGCAGTAAAGGAAGTATTCGTGCAGTTTACACTGGCCTCCAAAATAGAGGTTGTAGTGGTGAAGGTGTAGACCGCAAAAATGATCTCCAATAAAATCTTACGATCTTTCTAATCTGTCAACGGGACGTTATTTGTGTGATTGCATTGTTTCTTGTCTTTTAAGCAATTGACCTGGACAGCTGGAGAGAAAGTATATCTTTCATCGACGCCCGAGTTCTTCGGCACTTGCAGTCGTTGCAGTCCCCTCGATGTCGGAGGAGAAAACACATGACACATCAAACAATGAACGACCTACCATAAATCGGGTCGAATCAGACACCTTCGTTGAAGACATCCCTGCCTCACCCTCAGACAAACCACCAGATGGAGGCTACGGCTGGGTCTGTATCTTTGCCTGCTTTCTAATTAATGGCGCTACCTGGGGAATATGCGCAAGCTATGGTGTATACCTGAACTACTACTTGACTCAAAATATCTTCCCCGGCTCCAACGACATTGACTATGCCTTTGTCGGAGGTAGCAACTTCGCCGCCGCTCTCATCACTGCGCCAGGCGTGAACTGGTTGTTGCGGAGGCTGGGTACACATCCCGTCATGCTGATGGGTGGCGTGACCTGGCTTCTAGGCTGGATAGCAGCGAGTTTCGCTAAGACGTTGTGGCAGCTTGTGCTAAGTCAGGGAGTCTGTATAGGTATTGGCTTGGGATTGATATGGCAACCTTCGACGGGTATCATAAGTCAATGGTTTCAGAAGAGGAGAAGTATGGCACAAGGCATTACTAGTGCTGGGAGTGGCTTTATTGGCATCGTCTACAGTGCCAGCACGACACATATGATCGACAATCTGGGTCTTGCTTGGTCGCTGAGGATCACTGGCATCACCAGCTTTGCTATGCTGCTAATCGCCACGGCATTGATCAGAGATCGAAACAAGGTGGTACGGCCGACGATCCATCCTTTCGATGTTAACATCCTCAAGAGATACCAAGTGTGGATGGTGTTGGGCTGGAGTGTCTTCAGTCTGCTCGGATATATGGTGCTACTGTACAGTCTTGGTAACTACGGCAAGACCTTGGGACTGAATCAGAAGCAGGCAGGAATTATCATCACCATGGTGAACCTGGGCACAGGTATCGGTCGAATGTTCGTCGGTGTCATATCAGATCGACTCGGTCGCGTCACGGTGTCTGGCACTTGTGCAGCTTTGTCTGGGGTCTCTTGCTTCGTCTGGTGGATTAACGCACGCGACTATGGTTCCCTAATATCATTCGCACTGGTGGTGGGCATGATTTTTGGGGTATACTGGGCCACGATTGCACCCATCTCAGCTGAAGTTGTGGATCTGAAAGACCTGCCGTCACTGTTGTCGTTGGTCTGGCTCGTCGACGCCACACCAACATTGTTTTCAGAAGCCATTGCGCTTGAGCTCAGGACAGGGCGTGGAAATAGGCCTTACCTCTACCCACAGATATACTCAGCTCTATGTTATCTCGTGGCAGCTGGGTTTCTGTTGGAGCTGAGGAGAAACAAATGGGGACTGTTAGCAAGAGAAAAGAATAGATAGAGAGCCATTTGCAGCCTACGACATAGGACGCTCTAATGCCGACATTGAATTGATGTGCCAAACAAGTATCTATGTTGACCGAGCGGTCGACCTGGGCGCCTGTCACAAGTCCTGTGTTCCTGTGCGTGACCTGTTGTATACGATTTATTTTCAAGAACAGAGATTGCAGCAAAGGACCCATCCTAGGACTTCAGAAGCAAAAAATGCGGCTGAATATCGGCCTTGGAGGAACCTAGTCCACAAGTTGCTGGCTATACCCGTAACGCGTAATGTTTCTAGAGCTACTTCTACCTCTCGTGTTCGGCGAAGACATCCGCTTACCGACATTGGAGAAGAGCTTGAATGAGCTTGCTTTTTCTCCACTCGGCAACACGCGGATAACGCGTACCAAAACAGTCATTCAGCTTGACTCGAAGTTTCGTCCTTTAACCTAGTAACACGTCGTATCGTGCTCTGCCTTGATGTGTCTGCCAAACATGCAGCGTGATGGGACGCCCGGACTCACTTTCGCACATGAAGCCGTGAGACACGAACAGAGGCCTTATCGCGCTCTTCCAAAACGCGAACATTTGCGATAGCACGAATGGAACCTTTGGGAATGGATCTTCAAGGATCGAGATACAAGCCTCGGAGAAAGTCGTTGAAGTCAGTTACTGTACGTTGTCTGAGACAAGAGCAACCCCTCGTAACCAAGATCATCGTGACGGTCTGAGTATATTGCAACTCCCCACTTCGTGAGCTGCAGAATCTTCACAGTAAGATAACCTTGCAGGTACATTTAGTTTGATAAGCCATCAACGCCCACCTGTGTTACTGTGTGAATCTGCTTCACTGCTTGTCCTGCTCTGCTTACTGTCATACTTTTCCTCAAAAAGTCCAGCCATGCGTGTTCAGAACTGCTTGGTCGCAGCACTCGCTGCTACACTAACAACAGCACAGGAGACTGTACTTGGCGTCTATATCTTCTCGAGGTGAGTCTATACTTATACAGCAATAGCAAGGTCACTAACACAGGTCAGACATGGTGACCGCACGGCCAAGTCGACACCTCCAGCTAATTTGACCGACCTTGGCTACGAGGAAGTATTCACATCAGGAACATATTACAGAAATCGATATGTTGCGTCTGACAGCTCGCGACGTATCTATGGCCTCAACTCGGATCTAGTAAAGCAGTCGCAGATCATCGCCTCTGCACCCGTCGACACTGTGCTCCAGGTCTCTGCTCAAGCCTTCTTGCAGGGTATCTACCCACCAGTCGGATCCCAAGTGGGCTCTACCACCCTACGAAACGGCACCGTTGTACAAACACCTCTCAATGGCTACCAATTGATCCCGCTTCAAACCGTCGAAACTGGCGCAAACAGTGAGAACTCGGCCTGGCTGCAAGGAAGCACAAACTGCGCAAATGCGCAACTGAGCTCGAATGCATATTACACCTCAGCACAATATCTCGAGACCTTGAGTCGCACGCAAGACCTGTACAATTCAATCTACCCTATGATCAACAAAACCTTCTCCCAATCGCAAAGCAGCTTCAGAAACGGCTACACAATCTGGGATCTTCTAAACGTCGCAAGCATCCACAACGCTACCGCAGAAATCCCCGACGATACCACAATGACCGAACTCAAATACCTCGCCGACCAGCACGAATTCGGTCTCGCATACAATTCCTCAGAACCAATCCGCGCCATCACCGGCTCAATCATCGCCGCTGAAGTAGTCGAAGCTCTCAACGCAACCATCACCAGCAAAGGCAAGTCAAAGCTCAACATCCAGTTCGGTGCCTACGCAGGCATGCTCTCGTTCTTCGGCCTCGCGAACCTGACAGAAGTCAACCCTGGTTTCTTCGGCGTGCCAGACTATGCCAGCTCACTGGTCTGGGAACTCGTTACGAACACTAGTGTGACTTCGACCTCTTTCCCCTCCGCTGACCAGATCTCCGTGCGCTTCCTCTTCCACAACGGCACTACATCAGATATCTCGGAGCCGGTGGAGTATCCTCTGTTTAATTCTGGTCGGTCGCCGTTACCATGGAATGATTTCGTGACAGGTATGAACAAGTTCTCCATTGCTGATCAGCAGAGCTGGTGCCAGGCTTGTGGAAATAGTAAGTAGCTACTCAAATTCCCTTCCATTTCCAACTCTAACGTAACTTCTAGCTACCGGCGTCTGCTCCCCATCCTATCTCAACAATGAGGACGGATCTTCTTCTTCTTCGTCCTCATCTGGCAACAATAACTCATCTGGCAATTCGAGCTCAGGTGGCCTCTCAAAGGTCGTCTGCGGCGTTATTGGGGCATTGGTTACCTTGGCTGTTATTCTGCTTGTTCAGGGTGCGATCGTTCTCCTTGGTGGCTTTAGACTGGTTAGCAAGAAGAGGTTGGGAAGTCATGCTGGGAGTGTTGGGTCTGGTGAGGAGACTTTTGCTGCGAAGGCGTGAGTATGTACGTGTGTATTTATGTGTTGTGAAATAGTTGAGAGAAAAGAGAAACAAGACATGAAGCGTTGTGCACATAAATCGTAGTTGTTCTGATAACTGCTTTCTATTCGGTTCTCTCTGTGCTAGGTATTAGACTATGTGAAAGCTGACATAGATACGCTTTGTCTGTTCGACGAATATGTGACTAATGGGAACCTCCTTTTAATAGGCGGAATATCTACTGACTCACGAAATATGTTATCAGATCCTGGTGTAGCTCCTCCGACGCAGCTCAAATTCGCCCTGGCTACCACTACCCAGTGATGCTGATAGTCGAAGACAATTCCGTGCCGACCCTGTACCAGACTATTGCTGTCGATGCTTAACCCCGTGTTCCGTCTCAGTTTGCCACCAACACCATTGCTATCCATGAGCATGAGCCGTAGCCCTTACTCGAATTCTTGTCCCAAAAAAGCAAAATTCAAATCGACTCCTGTCGCGTAGGTAAGAGAATTGTCCGGTCACTCCTTCATTTCGTCCTGCTCTTCTGCCTCGTCATCCTGTTTCTCTTCTTTGGCTTCTTCAGACTCTTTTGGCGGATGCAAGCACTGTCTGATGTTGAGGATAACGTCGCTTACGTACTCCCTGCCCTGGCGTAGTATGCCGTCCATGTGCATGAAAGGATGCGGAACTCCAGGGTAGCGCTTGTTGACGACATTATTGCCATGTTCGCGCAGTTTCTCAGCGTATGCCTCGGCTTCGTCTCGTAAGGGGTCGATCTCGGCTGTACCGATCCAGGTATGTGGTGCGAGATTCTTGAAATTAGGGGCATCCAGTAGATTCGAGTACCAGCTCACATCCCTGCTCATTTCACGATAACTCGGTCGCCGAACGCGTGAGCTCGGAGAAGGCGCGCCTGAGCCTTTTACAGACCCTAACTGTGGATGATGACCCTGCTGGTATGGCTGTTGAGGCGCGAGACTCATCCACTTGAAGGTATCGAACCATTTCAGCTTCTGCCAATCGAGTAGAGGTGCAAACTCGCTTTCGCGCATGCTCTGCCAAGGACTTTCTGCAGGAGTATTGTAGTTCCGTATGTCAGATATACTTGGTGTACCGACTACGACACCCTTCAACCTCTTTGCGTAGGACTCTCCTGCATCGCGGAAAAGATGTGATAGGACGAGCGAAATGGTTGCGCCAGAAGACTCGCCGCCAAAGGTAATATTATGAGGGTCGATCGAGAAGGTTTTGTGGTTGACAAGGATGTGCGCAATTGCAGCGAGACTGTCCATGATGCCTATCGGGAAGGGGTAATCAGGTATCAGTCGATATTCAACATCGATGACACAACACGGCACGCTGGCGCAAATGTGGTGACACAGATGCGCCGATGTCTCGAGATCACCGACAGCCCAGCCTGAGCCTTGTTAGCGAGCGCCTCGAACACGCCAAACAAAAGATTACCTACCACCTCCATGAAAATTGAAATGTACAGGCCATACTTTTCTCGTGCCTAGCTCTTCTCCTGGAGGTACATATACCCTGACGTTGATGTCGCCTGGATACTTGTCCCAGCCAGGTACCATTGTCTCTCCAATACCCCCGACCCCAGTAGCAGGTGCAGTGGCATAGCTATACAAGGCCGAATAGTTTGCTCTTGCTGCTTCGACATCGGTCGATGGTGGTGGCCCGGGCGCGATGTATTCGTTGTACAACTTGACAAAAGCTGGATCGAGTTTGTCTACAACTGAAGGATGCAATGGATTGCGCAGAATCTTGCGCGGTGGTTGCGCCGGTAATGGAGGCTGAGCGACAATCATCGCAGCTGGCAATTGAATATTTGTACTGCTGAGGGTATTGAATTGCCTGTTATGTAGGGGATGTGGGCGAAAAAGGTTGTCATTGGGTCTCGCCGGACCCGAGGCGGTCAGACCAGCATCGATAGCTACAGGGCGAGGATGGTAGGACGTTTGATACGAGGACTGTATGTTCGACTTCATCCGCTCGTTTGGTGGCTTTTCAGGTTTTGACTGGTAGTGCACGTGGTTTTAGTATTATCGCTTGCTACTGCAGTAGCCGTCCTGGGGTAAATCTTGGGAATCCTGGTAGGCACTTTTCCACGGCTGAATGTATTGCGTAGGAGGATGAGCGAAACGCAGATAAGACTGGAGGCGACGGAGTAGAAGGATTCACAACTTCGGCTCGGACTGGCTGTTCATATCATGGTTCGCAGACGCACGCAGCGCAAGTCCGCTGCACAAGTTGCGGACTTTCGACGAATGGTGAGCTTGCAACCTCGGCCAAGACCTCAAAATCGCATCACCAGACTTGTCAAATTACATCAAAGAACCGGACGACCTTTCTTATTCAATATCTCTAACGAGCTGTCGCGCGAATAGTCAATGGTTGACAGGTCAACATCTCGAAAACGAAAGACTCGAATGATGCTGTGGTGAGCACTCCTTTGTCAAGCGGAAAGACTATCCTCAAATGGGTGACGGGGATCCGGCTTCGAGGCAGCTTGCTGAAAATTCCGGGCATCTTGTATCGAGGGCGCCGTGTTTTCCATCCACTGAACCCCCAAGAGATTCTTTGTGGTATGTGATTGTTCTGCAATGACAACGATACGAGAGAGTGCGGGAGCGATGGCACCAACGCTGCATGGCGGCATACTCAATTTTGGCACAAGTCAGCCGGAAATGTGTACAGAAATGCCCATGCAGGTGTTTTGCTTACAATGCTGACAGAGTCTGACATTTGACCTAGCTGCAATAGTGCAGATATCTGAAAGCTGCGCATCAAAAGCTGCAAGTCACGAATGGTCGAGCCTGTTTGCTGCAGCGCTCACAAGCTCTCTGCGACAAAGACGTAAGGGGTCACTGGTTCGACCCCTTGCATCATCAAATGACGCTCATCACGATACGTTGTTGTTGCCGGAAGAGCTGCTCGTTGAAGTATTGTTATGTTGCGAAAGGAAACACGTCGCATCTTCAGAACAACGTGATGAGTGAACTGCACAAAGTAACAAGTGGCATGCCCGTTAAAGATCATAAAACATGAATGGTGAGTACCCTGTGTGACACGAGAATCACTTAGAAGCATGTCAAGCAAAACAAAGAAATTCTTAGGTGGAGGGGTTGCTGGCTTTTCTTCAAGTCAGTTCGGAAAGAGCAACATTACTATCAACATATGGCAGGAACTGAGGAAGCACCTGCCGTGAACAGTTGTCCGTACGCAGGGCCAAGAGAAATCGCAGGAAATGCATAAAATGTTATTCAGGTTTTGTAGTAGTGATGTTATGTCCCGTATCGACCAAGCCACTTGTGGCCATAGTCGTGTAATATCTTCCTACTAAGAGAAGTCTTTGTTACGAGGAGCCACAGAACGCGTGCTCGTCAGGCACGAGAAAGACTCGAATCCCGCAGATGGTGAGCAACAGCAAACAACTAACATGTTGACGTCATCAGGAAAACGACTTCACCTCACGCTCAAACAGATACACAGTCCAGAACACGTCTGTTGAGATTTCCCGCAGGAGGATGGGAAATCAAGTCGCGATGTGGGAAGTGTTAGCAGGCAAAATCGAGGGGGCCTTGAAGCAGTTTGAGTCGTCGGAGCCCCGACCATCACTGCACCCTGTTCCCGGAACAACCCCATTAACAATACAGGCAGCGATACTTCCACCCCTGATCTACTACCTTGCTCTAGTACTACTCCCACCACCACCACCTCCAGCAGTGACTTCAGCACCAGTAAGACTCCTACGGACTATCCTTGCGATCACTGCGGCTATCTTGTTCATTCGCTTACCTCTAGCATATCATGTACCACAATCCATTGGCTTGACCTACCAGTTAGGTCTGGTTGGTATTTATGGCGGCACTAGAGTCCTTGACGCCTTCTTCATATCCGCTTGGTGGTTTGGCAATATCCCGAAGCGGGTAAGTTACATACATCATGAACGGCCAGAGACACCTTACAGTGAGGACGGTGAATTAAGGCGAGAACGTGAATGGACCGATGGTGGTGTTCGAGATCCATACCACCACACTGAAAAGTCAAACAATAAGGTCTCAAAGTCGAGATTGCATTCTCCTGAACGCGATGATGCTGCAGCAAAGTGTAACAAGGACAAGCGCTCTAAGGTCAATGGTAGAGCTAATGGCTCAATTCATGCCTCTGCGCCTCGAGCAACGTCGACTTCGATACACATCGCACCCGCCAAGGATGTCTCGCATTACTCAAGGCGCCAATCCACAACGACCGAGACGGCCTCGTACTTCCTCTACAAGACAGTAACTGGCCCACGACCCACACCGGTCACGGAATACGCCATTACGCACAAGGAGTGGCCTTGTACCTGGTTCGATCGTGCTGCTTGGGCACTGGAGTTAGAGCTCTCAATGCGTGGCCAAGGCTTCACCTGGACGACAGCAGATGTCCGGCATACTAGGAAGACGTGGATTCCGACCATCGCAAATCGGATACACAGCATCGTGGTGCATGTTATGCCTATCCAGCTTGCGGCCTGGTACATCATCTCGAACATCTATGACGGCTACCTCGCCAGCACGCTTGAGATAGACGACTACGATCCCTTCTCCTCGACCAGCCGTTCATCTATGAGGTATAGACTTCATCGCCAGCACGAACTTTTTGACGACCTGTCCACTCCCGTCCAGTTGCTTTTGACCATTGCCCTAGGCAGCTTCCTCATGTCAGCCTTCAGTCTCGGTCATTCCATCGCTGCTATCATGCTTCATCCCCTCAAACCCCATCCTCTATCGTTCTTCCCACCACTCTACACCACTCGAGTCTGGTCATTGACCTCGGTACGTGGCTTCTGGTCATTTGGTTGGCACCGCCTCTTCGCTCGCCTCTTTCTAGTCTGGGGTGTCTGGCCTGGCGAGTGGCTTGAGCGGAAACTCCTTTGTAAGTCCAAAGACCAGCCTGCAGACGTGGGAAAGGTCATTGGTGCATTTACCAGCTCTGCAATCGTGCATGCATTTTCGGTGCGAGGTGTGATGGCTGGTCGATGGAGCGATGCTGCTGGTGAGATGAGGTTTTTCTTACTCAACGGGATTGCTGTAGTGCTTGAAGGTGCAGTCCAGAGACTGGTAACAGCGCTCAGGAGGAAGAAGGGTTGGAGACAGAGTGTGTGGTACGATGCTTGGCTAGGCAGAGTCTGGTGGATCCTAGCTGTGTGTTGGACGGGGCGAGAATTCGCGAGAGGATGGGTCAAATCTGGGCTTGTCAGAGAAATGGCATTTCGGTAGCACGATGTATAGCAATAGACATGACCTATGTGGTCAATACTCTCGTCTTTTCTGATGAAGCTGTCGGATCGATGCCGAGATCGCTCACACCAGACTTCAGACCATTGAGAGAACTTGAGTTCGATGAACTCTGGGGTTTCTTTCGCCCAGCCTTATAGTGTTGTGGCGAAGCTCTCCCTGTCTTGACTGTATATTGCACAGCAGCCTGTGTGACATCGAGAAACTGAGCTATGTGTTCGTAAGTATGCCCGAGGCGTCTCATGAGCATTACGTCGCGCCTTTGGTCCCTCGTCAGACGCTTGCTTTTCTTCCGATGCTGCTTCTCGATGTGCTGATCACTTTCTGTATGGCTAGCACTGGGTTCAGCTGTTCTGGGTATCTGCTGCCCAGAAAAGATTGGTAAAGGCATGAACCTCACTGTCTGCGGTTGCACTGGTGTAGTCCTAATCTCTTTGTTGGACTCCTTCTTTTCCAGAGGTCCGGTTTGTGTCAAAGTGATTCTGAACATGACTCGGTTACTTTCGACGCAACAGCATCGGCTTCTGATAATGGTTAGTCACTACGACTGCCGAAGTTCGTACATTGATTGCTTAGATATTCCGAGCAGCAAACGCGCAATAGCAACATGTGTCAGTGTAGTATAGGCAGAGACGAGTGTATCTGGAAGACGGAAACTGCTTGGCGTGCTGGGTGGCCTTGTGGAGTGCGTCCCCAGATTGAGGACGTTGATGAATTTGGACATTTGATGAACGTCCCCGAACAGTCTAGTCACGAGCTCTTCTTCCCATGTTCCTCAGTCGACCCAACGGATACAGCACAGACAGCAATTTATCCCGAATTCTTGCTCCAGTACATACGCATGGCTTGGTTACACGGTCTTCTTGAGAGCCAAGTACCATGTCGCGATCGCGGCTTCTAAATACATACGTCGAGTTTTACGATCATCAGCATGGCAGGCACGAATGCGGACCTGCCGAGTTCACTCTTCGATGAGAATCATGTAGGTCTAACTGCAATTAAGAAGTTCGCAGTAGCACATCTTCAATCGAGTGGTAGAGGCCTTTTGGATTCATGTTCTCACCGTCGTTGGACTAATCTTAGCAATGTCATTCGAAGATCCTCGTGGTTCTCTACCACCTTCAGCGATATCAATCCATCCACTCACGCTGCAACCTAGCCGACGTTCGTTTCCCTCGCTGCCAAAGCCAAAGGCTAAGCAATTCCGCCCAAGAAAGCCCCCATGTTGTGACTGGATCTTCTCCTCAGCTAGCAACATTCACGTTGCCGTTGACAAGTATTGGTTTAAGACTTTCACCCCATTCGATACCTATGTCCTCACTGTGGCCGGCCAGAAGCAGATCTCCGTCAGGGGTATCGGATCAGTCGACCTCAAGATCAGATGCAAGCCTAACAACCACCAAAGCCGCGTCATTACGCTGGACAATGTGCTCTATGTACCTGGTTGGGTCTGCAATATCTTCTCCGATTCTTATTTCATCCCAGATCCAGAGGCAAACGAGATGTTCGAACATAAGTGGACTCATCACGGAGTGTGTTTCACGAAGAGAACTAATGGTAAGACGAAACCATGGGGCTACACTGAAGACTTCTGTGGTCTTGACCGACTCATACTCTCTCGCAAACCTCATGGCCGAAGTCTAATGCTCGAAGATCCTGATCGGGAAGTGTGGTCAATCAACCTCAACTGGCCTCAAAACCAACGGGACAACTAGGAAGAGTTCCGAGCAAAAGAACTACAACGACTGGCGAAAGAGCATGAAGCCGAGATCCTATCACAGCAGCGAGTAGGAGAAAAGCAAAGATACACCGTTTCCACCGAATTGCTGATCCCGAAGAACAATTCCCCAGGCGTACTCAATCCCAATTTGAAAAGTGCATCGCCTGTGTCACAATCTAACATATCAGTACGTTCCAAGTCAGAGAACAATCTGGCAAAAGTCATGGCTCAACAAGTTAGTGCTGCTAGTCTCGATTTACAGCAGGCTGGTGTTCGGATGAGCCTGAATGAGATCAGCAGTAACCGCGCAATCACGATGAGAAACGATGACGGAGCTCGAGTGAGCAGTCTCAAAGCTTCGTTCACTGCGAAAAGAGGGCTACTGAAAGACTTCCTGGTAGCACAGCCTGAGAAGGATTGACGTGCAGCAACGTTAGACTCGGAAGAGCACAAAAAGGCAGATATGACTAGAAGAACATGGATCAGCAGTGTAATGGCGCCAGATGCTGAGCACAGTAATACATCTCATTGTGTTGTTCTTGGTGGTCAATGTCTAGATCATGGTTAGGAGTTCCTCTATATCGATTTCGACATCATCGAGGCAGTATCGACTGTATACGAGAAGGCATAGTTTTCGAGTAGTATATGCAGCAGATCAATCAACTCTCAGAGCAACCAGCTCCGGAGCTTACCGCATTAGACCACATCCTTTTACGTTCTTGTACTCTACGAATACGCCTCTTTACTCAAGCTACTCAAGCGTCGCGAAACTTCCGTAGTCGATGGCCGAGCGCCTGGCAATTTTGCTCTTTCATGTCTTTACCACCCTACACCGATCGAGTGGTAGTGTCTACAGACTCTCGTCTCATATACCTACCAAACCACAGTCTACCCTCCCCATTCAATGCGTCAACCTCACCTCCTTGCCAGGTTCCCACTCATTCAACCCACTCTGCAAACTCATCCAATACTTCAACTTGACACTCTCATCCCTTGCCCTCTCCTTATCTCCCTCCTCGAACGCGCTACCCAACTCCTTCTCAGTCCTCCATATCCTCGTCCCATTCTCCTCTTTCAGCCTCTGCACGACTTCCTCTCCACCTTCTTTGTTCACGTTCTCGAGCTCTTCTTGTGCCTCCATAACTACCATTAGTGTCTCGGGATCGCTGGGATGAGTCGAGTTATCTTCAGTCGTTACATCAATGTCATAGAGGAGCTGGAGAAGGTACTGCGAGCGGAGAAGCGGGTCCGAGAGCGTTTTGTACGCGTTATTGAGGAGGGTAGACAAGGCGTAGGCCCGTTGATGCGCGACGGTCCCGGCTTGGAATTTATCCGGGTGGTGTAGGGACTGGAGTTTGAGGAATTCATGTCGGAGTTCGCGGGGGTTGATATGGAAGACTGGTGGTGGTTTGTTGGGGTTGGTGATTGTTGAGGAGTCTGGGAGGGAGGACTGTGGTTGGGGAGGGCCGCTGGGAAGGGTTTTTGGGAAGAGGGTGTAGTAGTTTGTGATGTCGGGTAGGGTGGGATCTGTGGCCTCCATTTGAGGGTCTGATGTGCCTTGGCGGGTTGGTTCTGGTCCTATGCGGTTTTGGGCGTTGTAGCGAGATGGGTCGTTGGCGAAGGTGTGTGGTTCTTGTGCTTCGGCGAGGGTGGTCTTTGACCTTGTCTGCTGAGAAGAAGTACAGTTGTGTTTCCAGTGAGACTGTATAGACGCTGTGAGACATGGCTGGCGCAAAGATTGTGACCTCTGATTGTGATGCTGCGCGATAGGACGACTGCTGCGGCATAGTCTTGCTAGAGCTCGAAGAGCTTCGCGCGACGGGATCGGATGTGTCATGGTGACTCAATTCGAATTCCTCAGCGTATACTGCCAGGTCTAGGACTTTGGTCGAGATGAGAATTGTCCAGTGCTGTGATGCTCAAATCGGACCAAAATGTAGCTCTTCAGATCGATTCATTGTCTAGGTATATTCATGATCGAATCGGGCAACCATAAAATCGCTCCAGCTTGACGTCATGCATAATCTTCAACCCATACCTCCCCATTCGTATCAGCTCACTAGCTCCTGTCTTCCAGAGCTAATGCTGAACGTTTCTGTACGTACTGAGAATCAGTCCTTCGGTGACTCTTTCGTCTGATCTCCCAACTTTCGCGTTTGTACCTCCTCATCAGTCAAGACTCGTCCTAGATTCGGATTTCGGATAGGTGCAGCGTTGCGATTATACGTGAGCCAGGTCAAAGGCTGTGAAGACCAAGGCTCAGGCTCAGACCTAAAATGCATCTTAACGTCCTTCCTCTTGTTCTCTTCGACAACATCTTCAAGTGTGCTAAGGATTTCTTGTCTTCCTTCTCCGGCTGGAGCCTCCTTCGTCTCTTCCATTAATGCATTAGCCTGACTCTGATCGAGCTTCAGCTGTTTCGCTGGTGGCTGCCAACCAGGACTAAGCAATCCTTCATCTAGTACGGTGGACACTGACCGCTTGCGCTTCTCTCCTGCAACCCTATCACCAACGGAATCCTCCATCTGCTCGATTTGTTGCTCATCTTGAGCTTGAGACCCAATTTCAGGCTGTGTGAGAGACACGGTTGTCCTCCCCGTCTTCGCGCCATCAGCACCACTTCTCCTGTTTTGGCTCCGCTTGTTTGCTAATTTACCATCGTTGTTTGTCCTCTCTTGGGCTTCACTTGACTGTGTGGCACGGCCGATTGACCTAGTTTGTTGGCAAATAGGGCGAGAAGAACAACGGTAATTTCGAAGACTAGGTTATCCTAAGAAGCGAGACGTGTTGGAAGAATAACATTTCCAAGATACGGTTCCTTGTTAAACATGACGGCAAGAACCAAGAGTAGACAAGACTATTGCTAATGTTCTCGATCGCTTCCAGGCAACATCTGAGAGTGGCATGAGAGAACTCAAGGCAAGAGAATATTAGGGACAATCGAAAAATTTGAACTAGTCACATTTCTATACACGAACACATTGTCTCAATCCACCACGCTATCTTACACAATCTCCTCCCTGCGCGTTGACGCTTGTTGGACGTGCTCCTCCTGACGTCCTTTCTGTAGATTCTCGTCTTTTTATTCCTTGCCACCAGTAACATTGCTTTTGTCTTTCCGCCTAGATATTTTGGTGTTCACACAGTAGCTGAAGATGAGAGTGGAGATTGAATCGGCGAAATAGATAACGTTGAGAGTCGGGACTCGCAATATTGATGCAAAATAGGTAGAGTAAGGTCGGTCGCTAAATCACAAAATGATGTCGAAGAGGGTGTTGGGTATCGCTGAAAGTATCACGCCAGCTCTTGCTGACGAACTCGGTCGCCGAGACAATTAGCTTAGAACATTCCGCCGCCCATACCTCCCATTCCACCCATGCCACCACCCATAGCTGGAGGGCCCTTTTCTTCTGGTGCCTCAACGATGGCGACCTCAGTAGTACCTAGCAGGGAGGCAACACCAGAAGCGTCAATCAAACCTGTTCGCACGACCTTGAGAGGATCGACGATACCAGCCTGGATCATATCAACGTACTCGCCAGTGGAGGAGTCGAAGCCCTTGTTGAACTCCTTGCCGTATTGATCAAGTAGCTTGCCAACGACAACTGATCCCTCGAGACCAGCATTCTCAACAATGGTTCGGGCAGGTCTCTGAATGGCATTCTTGACAATGCTAACACCGAGCTGCTGGTCAAAATTAGATGGCTTGACGCCGTCCAAAGCACTTGCGGCAGCCTTGACTAGGGCAGTGCCACCACCAGGTAGAATACCCTCTTCGACCGCGGCACGAGTAGCGTTCAGTGCATCAACAACTCGGTCCTTCTTCTCGCCGACCTCGACTTCGGATGAGCCACCAACCTTGATGACTGCGACACCGCCAGAAAGCTTAGCAAGTCGTTCTTGTAGCTTCTCCTTCTCATACTCAGAAGTGGATGGATCAGCCATGACACCTCGGATCTGCTCACATCTTTGAGAAATCGAGTCTTTGCTACCCTCACCATTGAGGATGATTGTGTCTTCCTTTGTGATTGTGATGCTGCCAGTGCTGCCGAGCATATCTGGAGTGGCCTTCTCAAGCTTGATGTCCAGCTCATCAGTGAAGACAGTAGCATTTGTGAGGATGCCGATATCACCAAGAATGCTCTTTCTGTTGTCACCGAAACCTGGAGCCTTGACAGCTGCGACCTGTAGCTGACCTCGCAGCTTGTTCAGGATGCAGACCGCAAGAGCCTCGCCATCAACATCCTCAGCGATGATCACGAGCGGTCGACGGAGCTGAGTAGAGGCTTCGAGGGCTGGAATGATATCCTGAACAGCGGAGATCTTCTTCTCGGATAGGAGGATGAGGGGCTTCTCGAACTCAATCTTTTGGCTCTTTGTGTCGGTGATGAAGTAGGGGGAGAGGAAACCTCGATCGAATCGCATACCCTCAGTAACTTCCAGCTCGTCATCGATGGTCTTGCCTTCCTTCACTGTAATAACTCCCTCCTTGCCGACCTTCTCCATAGCATTCGAGATGAGGTCACCAACGAGCTTGTCTCCGTTGGCAGAAATTGTAGCCACTTGCGCGATCTCTTGACTTGTAGTGATGTCTCTCTTGTTCTTTTGTAGGAAGTCGACAACGGCATCAACGGCGGCCTGAATACCTCTTCGTAGATCCATTGGGTTGCAGCCGGCTGCGACGTTCTTCACAGTCTCAGAGAAGATGGCTCGCGCTAGGACAGTAGCAGTGGTTGTACCATCGCCAGCCGACTCGTTGGTCTTGTTGGCCACATCCTGTAGTAGTCGTGCGCCGAGGTTCTCGAATTTATCTTGTAACGAGATCGCTTTGGCAACTGTGACACCATCTAGAGGGCTGTCAGTATTAATCCTTCGACGCTGACAAAACAAACATACCCTTTGTGATCTTAGGTGAGCCATAGCTCGATTCTATCAATACATTTCGACCTTTTGGACCCAATGTTGTCGCGACAGCCTTGGCCAATGTATCAACACCCCTGAGCAGTGATGCTCGTCCTTCTACTCCGAACTTGAGTTCCTTGTGTGCGAATCTCAGCTGCTGCAAACTTCGACCAGACGCTCGAGAATATGGGGAAGTCGAGGAAAGTGCTGAGCGCACGCTGGAGGATAGGGCGCGCTGCATCGTGTCTTTCTATATTACAATAATATACAGGATCGGGAAAGGGATTTTCAGATAGAAAACGATGAAGCTCGTTTAGATGTCAAGAATAAGATGCAAGAATGCTGATGTGCTTCGAAGCTGGAAATGTTTAGAAAAGTTCTCGGGGAAGTCGCGATTCCAGCGCTTTCTTCTAATTCGATCGGGAGCCAAAGCTAATCTGAAATTAGATTAGTGGAAAAACTGTTAGCTTCCGCTGAAGAACCTTTCGCGTCTGCTCATTGTTGAACCGTTGAAGTCGACGATCACACAAAGTCTCGACACAGGCATGATAGTGTCATCGATACAACGATCCCCTAAGTACTAATTTCCTAAGGTCCAAATTCACGACCATAGCACTATGAGAGGGCGGATTTAGCAAGTAAATACGTCTTCCTCCCAGGGTAGTATGTACACGAAACAAGTGCCGGGAAACAGCGATGTACTGTTGCTTGTGCTTCTGAAGTCCTAGAGATAATTTTGCACACTCAATGACCAGATCGTGTGTACTCTTGAGCTCTCTCTCTAGTATCTCAAGACGAGGAATAATGTTAAAAACCAAAAACTGTCAAATCTCCTCAAAGCCTCTCGGATCTGCTGGCGTTAGACCACGCAGGCTCAGGAGCCTGAAATTGCAACGAATTCCAACGTTCAGTTGGTGCGATCTGAAAATGCCTGATCTGCTGCTTCTCGCCTTGTGCGTCTCTACCGATGTCTATGCCATGCTTGTTGCCTCCATTTGAGGTACGGTTCCCTCCAGGCCATTTCCGAATACGTTTGCTATATCTGGCCAGTTCAGAGATCCGTCCTGGTCCATTATTGGGTCAACGAAACCAAAGGCGCTTGCATCTATTGCATAGTTGAACGATGGCTGTTGCAGCCCGTAAGGGCTTGTTGGCTGAGATGCGTTGCCATCGAAGCCAGTTCCGTGTGGTATGCCAGCTTGAGAGGATATTCGAGAGATCATTGATGGATTTCGTGTCGAGTTGTATGACTCGACAGTGCCAGGCATGGTTGTAGTGGTAGACTCTGGAAGAGCTGGGGACGGTCCAGGAGCCAGGAATGGTGATTGACCTGAAGTATTCATTGTGGACATCGGAAGGTGAAAGTCGTGGAATCCACCGAAGCCAGAGGCTTCTGGTGTGTTGTAAGTCTGAGTGAACTAGAGCAGTGTCAGTCTGGTACAGGACAACAAGTTTGAAATTGTTACCTGCTGATTGGGGTGGACAGCGAACTGTGAGTCTCCCACATCTTGGTCATCAAGGGCTGCGAATGCATGAGCAGAGTCGGAGAAAGGCTCGACACGTCAGCAGGAGCAAAGTGTGAATGATAGAAGACTCACCAAGTGTGCTGTTGATGTTGGGCTGACTTGCTCTTCTAAAGGGAAGGACAAGTTCTGGGCATCGCCGAAGAAGTTGAATCCAGAGTTAACATGCGCATTCTCGACTGCAGCTGCTCTTGCGACTTGGCCAAGATCCTCCTCTTCCTCTTCGTCGTCATCCTCGAAATGTGTGCCGCCAAAGAATGACTGCGACATTCCATCTTGACCAGAGGGTTCACCGAAGAAACTCGCATTCTGAATCCATCCGGCGTCAGGATCTGTACCGACTTGGTCTTCATACTGACGATCAGCCTCTTGAAGCGTGTCTACGATGGCTTGCGACTTAGACACTTTCCTGCCTGCGTTTGCCTTATTTGTACGACCAGTCCTTCGAGCTCGCTTGCCGTTGTTATTGATTTCTGTGTTGACCCACTCGTCATCGTTGCCAACTGCAAACTCGGCATCGGAGTCGGCAGGATCTGAGCCACTTCGTTTGATCTTTCTTGCTGCTGCGCATCGCTTTCCACGAGGCTTGCCAACTGTACCATCCTGAGCAGTCGCTTCAGCAGCAGCAACTTCACCTTGAACATTTGAGGCTTTTCGTCGACTTCGTGCTTTGGATATAGCTGGTGGAGCTGGTGGGGCTGGACCTCTCGTCCTCATAGCATACACAGTTGAAGGCCTGCTGGTGATTTGGCCGCGCTTCGAAGGACCGGGAACGGGTGCGACCTTGAGAGTTGCCATCTTGACTCGAAGCTTGGCGATGTGTTGTTGAATGGCACCTTCGCTGAAGCCAGCCCCCATGCGTTTAGCAACCTCGGCATCTATACTATCAGCTTTGCTCACATTCTCAACGTCCGTTGCTGGCTTACAAGGAACCTTGATGCCTAAATCGGTACAGGTGTGTGTGATGAAGAGAAGGAGAGACTTGTCAAGGTCATCTGTTTTGGTCAGCACAGGCGGACAGATTGTGGCTTGACGATCTTGCCATTCCATCGGACGAGCTGTCGCTTCTTCTCTTCGTGTTGGACATTTGGGGTTGGAGCCATAACGCTGAATACTAAAGGTTCTGCAAATCAAAATCAGATCAGTGATAAATAGATTGGTAAAATAGATCAAACAAGTGGTCAAAGATCGACTGCGGACATGATCGGTTGGTTGGTTGAAGAAGGTGATAGGGAGTTGCAGGAACAATCAGGAAGACTAGGTAGCCAGGTCACGAAACACGGTGAGTTAGTGACCTATCATGGTCGAGGTTGTTGACACGACGCGCTCGTCCAGGCAGTTGGCCACTGGTAGAGCTAAGAAATTATGCTCGAATGTGTTATATTGCCGTCGTAGTGAGTTGTATTGACTTCGCTGCTGCTTACCTTGTACTGATCTTGACTTGGATCCAGCTGGTGAAGAGTTGTTTGGAGTAGTGAAGGTCGACGACGAGGTAGTGGGTAAAATGGTCTCTCGTAAGTGGGAACGTCAAAGATCCATCTTGGAATAGCCAGCAGATATAGCCGCAAGCTATTCATGGAAGTGGAGTTATGACTGAACAGGTAGCAGTACTTCAAGACACACTTGTTGGGGCAAACTTGAAGTGAAGGTCGGACTTTCGTGGTAGCAGGACCCGAGCCCCTGAAACCCTGATGCAGTACTCCTTGACGGGAGACGGCCGTCCACGATGAAGAGCAACCACGGCATGAGACCACAAAACAAGAAGGTGCATTCTTTTTCTCAGGATCAGTATTCCCTGACTTCTGAAGCTCAATATGCTCTTCTGGAGCTTATCTATAGCGCGGCCTTGTGCATTGGCATAGTCACTTCACTACCTCAAATAGGTGTTCCGAGGTCACTTCGGTTGCACTTGCCCTCTTCCTCTAGATAAATGATAGGAACCAATCCTTATTCAATGAGAAATATGCAATCTTCGTTCTCCTCCTGCTTGACATCTATGTTCTGACTCTGTATAGTGTCTGCGAAGCCTTGGACAGATCTCAGCGGAGCCACCAATGTGTTCGAAAGGATTGGTAATGACGGGGAAGCGAAGGGGTTAGCCGTGCTAGGGACGTCCTGCTTGTTGGCAGTCACGAGAGATCGTTCTGACACGTCTAATATTGGTGTAGGTTCAGATTTGATCGTCACAGAATCTGAATGCTTGGGTTCAGCAACTGTTTGATCAGCTTCTGTTAAATCCATGAGAGGCTTCGAGTCGTTGACAGCATTTGTTGACATTGCTTCATCTCCTTGAAGCAGGTTTTCAAATCCATCAAATGCCGAAAAATTCTGGTTATAGATGTCGTTCAAAGCACCATAATCTGGTTGATGATCCGAGGCTGGCTGCAATGGCTGAGCTGGCATAGTGAATGGTGATAGCTGAGACGTCATGGCGAACGCTGAGCTGTGGCCTTGTGGTTGGTGGAACGGAGGATGAGCTAATGTGCCTCCTGTAAAGGGTGGCGGATGACCCATGCCGGATTGTGTTAGATGCTGCATGTAGGGATAGGGCTGTTGCACGAATGCTGGATGATACATGTAGGCAGGGTAGCCTGTAGGCGGTATTTGGGACGGAAGCTCTTGCTTGACACGAGGCTGACGATAGGTACATAGCCGTTTCGTCTTCTGTATGTTTACGTCGTCGTCCTCATCTCTGAAGAAGGTCAGTGTCTCGTCTTGCTTTCGCTTTCTCGGCTGCTTCAGCATAGGACTGGTCATTGCATCCTCTCTGCGGTGTGCCGAGCTATCCCATACACCACCATGTGGATGAACTCCATGGCTCTTCAACATTCTTTCGTATCTTTTGGCACTAACAAGTATTAGAGTGTTGTCCAGTAACCTAGGAGGATTAAACGACGAACGCTGCTCCTTTGCTTACAACATTACATTCTCGTGCGACCTCACCAAAATCGACCTATATCAGTACATTAGCCATCACGACAACCATTCGCTGCCATATATTTACCTTCCCATTGTTAGACCACTTCACGCAAGTGAGCAGAAATCTGAATTGGTCGTCAGCAGTCATCCTAGCTGACATATTTCGTGAGAGATAGTCTGGCGCATGCAACATGTCGATAAGCGAGAAACATTTGAGCTGACATCGTGGGTGCTAATGATGTTTCACTATACTCAGTATAGCTCCGACATCTTCGTTGTTCAGCCCTCTTCCAAATAGCAAGAAGCTTGGTCTTTCTTTTGACCCAACAGACAGAGTGGCTTCAATTGCGACCATTGATGAAGAAAGTTTGCAGAGATGTAAGGAGCAAATTAATGTGGAGATATTGACCATGATGCAGGCTCGAACAATGTTTACACGGAGAATGAGCTTGTATAGGGGCACTCAGTCCGCCAAGCTTGAACACAAGGCAGGCACACCCCTCATGTCGGTTGTACTGGTCCACTGCAGGCAGGAGACTTGAGGGTGGCCGATTTGGCTTGATTCATTGAATGTTTTAGTGCTCGGCTCACCCGCCGTTAGAATTTTGAAGCATTTCCCTGTTGTCTTCCCGCTCATTCTTTGTGGTCAGTACAACAACGTCGTCATGCAGAATGAACAATAAAGTTGTGTAAATCCGGCTGCAAGGCAATAGTTGGCTGGGTCAAATTGTAGGTAGGCATCTTTTGTGCTTACTATACAAGGTTCGTTGATTACACTCATCCCGCCCGCATCTAGACCTTGGAACAGGCACGCCTGATGAAGATTAGACAAAAGTCATTGCCTTGGCGGCCGATCGAGAAGTGAACTTCCATCTCAGCCACGGTACTCGCCATGACATCTATCTCATAGTAGCAGTTCTTTCGCCCTCACTGGTCGAGCTCGGCCACGTGGCTGGCTCCATTTGCCAATAGCAAGAACGAATTGATACAAGAATCATATCTTTCGATATTGCTTAGCGGTGGTTGAGTGATGGTCGAACATTTGTTCCATTATTCGCAGCATGCACACCGATCTTCCGAAACGCAAAGAGGTGTCTCGTATTGCTGCAGCAGAGCGACGATAGACTGAACACATAGACGATGAAGTTCAGATAGAACTTGAAGCTCGGCTGAGGAGGCCAGTCTGAATAGGGCTAAGCGCAGGAATTGTTCCATCGACAAGGATCTTGATCGACCTCGGCTTCTCTGTATTCTGAGAGCCGGCCGTGATCAGATGCTGAGTCGATTCATGTTGCTGCTTGGAATTGACTTTGTTTCACCAGAACATATAGACGATAGGAATCCAGTGGTCTATCAGGTTACTATTGTCTAGGTAGTTAGCAGCTTGCGAGCCATCGATCAATTACACGCCCATCACCTTCCCTTTAGACTAAAATGCCCTTCAACACAGAGCTGACCCGCAAGCTGGGTATACGAAGTGAGATGCTGCGCATGTGCAAAGGGATACAGCTAACAAGTGTGCAGTACCTGTTGTTCAAGGTGGAATGCAATGGGTCGGCTACGCAGAACTAGCATCAGCAGTATCTAATGCTGGTGGATTGGGAATAGTAAGTCCTCATCTCGATGTTACTCACTCCCCAGCAGCGCGACCAGTTTCGACAATTTCGGTAATGCTGACAACCTCGCTAGCTCACAGCTCTCACCCAGCCAACACCAGAAGACCTGCGCAAGGAGATCCGAAAATGCAAGTCCATGACCGACAAGCCTTTTGGTGTCAATATCACCCTCTTACCATCGATTAACCCACCTCCATATACCGAATTCGCCCAAGTCGTCATTGACGAAGGCATTAAGATCGTCGAGACAGCCGGTAACTCCCCTGGCCCGGTTATCAAGATGCTCAAGGAGCACGACACAATCATTCTCCATAAGTGTACGACTATCCGCCACGCTCAATCCGCAGTCAAACTCGGCGTCGACTTCCTCAGCATAGACGGCTTCGAATGTGCCGGACACGTCGGCGAGCACGACATCACAAACTTCATTCTCCTCAGTAGAGCGCGACAAGTCCTCGGCGTACCCTTTATCGCATCCGGTGGCTTCGCAGACGGCCAGGGACTAGCAGCGGCCCTAGCTCTAGGCGCAGAGGGCATCAACATGGGAACACGATTCATGTGCACTGCCGAAGCACCTATCCACGAAAAGATCAAGCAAGCCATCGTCGACGCGCAAGAAACCGACACAGACCTCGTGCTCAGAAGATGGAAGAACACATCCCGCCTCTTCAGGAACAAGGTCACAGAGGCGGCGCTTAAGATCGAGAAGGAGAGCACAACTGGTGAGTTCAAGGAGGTACAGCCATACGTCGCTGGTAGCAGAGGGCGACAGGTCTTCTTGAACGGTGATAAGGATTATGGTGTTTGGACTGCAGGTCAAGTCATTGGATTGATTCATGATGTGCCAACTTGCAATGAACTGCTGACGAGGATTGAGGTTGATGCTGTGGAGGCCATGGACAGGAGTAGGTCGATGTATGCACCGATCGGTGAAGGTGGAAATAAGCAGGGTTATGATAAATTGCCTGCGAAATTATAGATGAGCTAAGATTGATTTTGGGAATTGGCTTGTTGAAGGAACGATGTTGTGTAGATGACTGTGAACGATACCTTTGAGCAATCTAGCCTGTTGAGCACGACTATTGTGCCCCGTCTTTAAGATATAGCACCTCATACTGGCACAACTTATCCGCCTCAATCATCTTCTCACTGCTTGTCAACAGCTTCAAACCAAAGTAATACTCCCCACCAACACAACCGTATTATCCAGATCCACCCTCGCCCTAACACCCTCAAGCACAACCCTCCCCTTCTCCCGTCCCGCCACACCCGGTCCCTTAACAGCCACCTCTCCAACCCCGTCACTCTTCGCCAACTCATCCTCCTCTCCCACCAGACAAACCTCCAAACTCGCCGCGACGGGACCCACACAATTCACTCCAAGCTTATCCCTATAGTCGAGGATGTTGGTCTGTGCGATGTAGCCTGCGACACGAGCTGATGTCAGTGCTAGAGAGACTCGTGCGGAGAGGAGGAGGCGGAGGTTTGAAAGTGTGGCGCTGCTGATGCGCTGGTCTGAGGGGAGAATGTCGGGCTGTGCGATGTAGAGTGTTTTCAGGGCTGAGAGACTGCTGGGGAGGTAAGTTGGTTTTGATGTTGGTGAAGGCATGTACCCCTGGTTGATTGCGCGTGCTGTGCTCCAGACGCTGTACTTGGCGCCGAGACCGCCTTGTCCTGCGAGAGATGTGAGGTCTTCGAGGAGCCGGGGGATACTGCGTGCATCGGCGATGATTTGTGTGGGCTTTAGGAGCTGGCGAGCGGATTTTGTGGCGGTGATGAGGTTGATGTTTGGGCCTGCGACTGAGGTGAGGAGAAGGGTTGAGCCAGAGAAGAGGGCGAGGAGAGCCCAGCAGAGGGCGTAGGTTGTGTTTAGAGGTGTGGTGATAAGGATGCTGTCATTGTTGGCGAGTTTGTGGAGGCGTGGGAGGGAGGATTGGAGGGCTGAGGTTCCGGAAAGGAGGTTCTGTGAGAATATTGTTAGGGGAATACAAGTACAGTAATGTGATAGATACTTACCCTCTGCGAACATTCCACCGAGTCATATTGGCCAGATTTATTCTGCTGAAGTGCATACACGGGAAGTGGCTCGTTCTCTTTATCGAGTGGTGGTACCACATCAGAAGCACCGCCCTTCTTCTCATCGATGAGATCATGCCATGTATTGACCTCGAGCTTGCCGCCAACTCCTTCAGGCACTTCGTTCCAGTCAAGGTGCTTACTGCCTGCCTTAGCAACCCAGATAATACGGCGGATAGACTTGCTCTGTGATAGAAGTGTTTCGAGAGCCACAGAACCAGCTTCTGCAACTAAAGTATCGAATTCGACGTCTTTGAGTATTTCGACCGCATTGCCAGGTTCCTGATGATATGGTACTAAGATAGGTGAGAAATCGTAGAATGCTCCGGCTGCACTGTGTGTCAGCATCACAATCAGCCATTCGAATAAGCAAAACATACCAAATACCGTGCACAACAATTCAGTCGAATTTGACAAGCACACCGCGACCTTCCTGCCACCAGATTCTTTGATGTGCTTGCCGATGATGTTGGTCTCTCTGGTCAAATCCTTCAAGTTGTGCTCGACCACCTTCTCAACCCCAAGCACAGTCGCGATCTTAGCCGTGCCACCAGCTGAATTCCCATCCTCCTTATTTGACCCATTCACAGCCTGTCGCCAGACATCTCGCAGATCACCGTCTCGTCCTGTCGTCCATTTCGAGGCTCCAGGATCTTTGATGCCCAAGCCGGACTTCAAAGGATACCCATATGGAATCTCTGTAGAGCGGTATACGGCCGATTCACCGGGTTGTCTGATCGGCGAGGCTTGTGCTTGTCGTGCGAGGAGGAAAGGATGTGTGTCTGGATCCCTGGCTGTGAATATGGGGTATATTAAGACTATGAGGACGAGCCCCACTATGATTGTGCTGCCTGTGTTCCATTGTGCGAAGAAAGTGCCGATGGCTTCATCGATCTGTCCGATGATTCCAATAGACGACATGTTGTTGTTCGTATCTGTTGTCCTGAGTTGCAAGCACTAGTATTTCAGAAGTAGCAATCGAGAGTAGTACTGCTGAACACTAGCGATGTATTGGTCGGAAAGCGCCAAGACTCGAGTTGGGGGAATACAGCCAAGAGCAGACGAGCCTGTAAGAATTGACTTGGACTCGGACAGAACGACTGACGTGTGTCTAAGAGATGAAAGAACAATAGTGCACCGTTCATATTACACAGGGCCTCTTTGAAAACAAAGCCGTGGGGAAAGCGCACTGCCATCACCTCAGAATTTACATATTTCTACAATACCCTTCCAAGGATATGCTCGCTTGGTGTCAGCCCCTCCAAAGTGTACCTTTTCACCTATATCTTTGGTAGCGCCGCTTGTACAGCATCGAAGTACTTTAAACTTCTCCTTGGTTTTCTATCGCCTTCGGACTGAGCTTGACTTCCTGACTCAACAGTCCTCCCGATCTCTTCGAGCTTCTCCTTAACCTGCCGCGTAAACCTTTGTAGTCTGACAGACAGCTCAACACTATCCTTCTTGCTCAAGAATGGTTGCAAGTCCACCTTGTTGGCAAGTGACAGACCACCATAGAGGACAGCCATGTCTTCAAGCTGGCAAGTCGCGCTGATGCTTTCGCCACGAGGCCCTGATACCTTTCTCGTCGTAATGATATTACTTATCACATAACCGAAGCCTGGGACATTTTCGACATCGTCGTTCGTAGTCGTATCCAGAGTCAACAGTCTCCGGATGTCGCTGCTAACAATTCCGTGTTGATCCTTCCTATTGTGCTTCTTCAGAACATCCGTTGCAGAGAAAGCAAGTTTGACCGCCATAACAACAGGATCTTGTCTCATATCTGCATATCGACTCATGTCGGAAGGAATATCACTGCCGCAGTGTCCTGGAGCTTCCAACAATTGTATCACCTGTTGAACAGTTCTTTCTGGCTCAACTGTTTTGAATTCTTGTAGGGTCGCTCTGTGGAAAGCGCCATTGAGTATCTCCCTAGTCAATGCTCTTTCACTCAATGTCAATCCAGTCTTTCCGACCATCGATGCTGCAGTCAATATAGTATTCCATCTTCCCTTCCCTTGTAGGTTCGCTTTGCGTGCCAGTCTCTCAGTGAACGACGCAGGCACAGCACATTTGGCAGTGCGTAGGCCTTCGAGGAAGGGTATCAGATTGTCCCATGCTGCAGCGCTTGAATTTTGTTCCAACAATTTGACTATCTTCTTCAAGCTCTCAGCTTGGTTAACTCTTGCGAATCTGTTTGCTGGTTGTAGCTTGATGATTTCCTCCTCTTCATTTTCGATGAGCTTGACAGACGGCGCTACTGTTTTCCTAACAGATACTGACACTCCAGGAGGTGTAGTAAGAATATCACGTCGTGAAGTTTTGTAGATCAAGCGTTGATGTTCTGAAGATAGTATGCTAGGTAGGAAGACTGACTCTCGCCACGAATTGAGAGTCGCATCCAGCTCTGGCGACGAAGTCGGAGTGAAGGTTGCAAGTGTCTTTGCGTATTTGTGACTGCTACTGAACGAGCGCAAATGTTGTGTTCGAAATGGTCCATCACGTTTTAGTGTGCCTCGACATTTGCTACATATCCAACCCAGCTGTTTCGGTAGCTGAGCCATCACCAGGTAGGGTGCTTCACAACAGTGATTGATAGATATGCATCAAAAATACGCGCATTGGATGGACGAGTGTAGACAAGGCTGGTAAACCATTATTTCTCTCGGGCAAGAGGTCACTAACCGGCCTTGCGTCCCGTAAATCGGTGATAGCGGCCACTTCTCTAGTATGCTCGTCGCTCCTTCCATGTACGGCAGCTACGATCACGAGGCGCAGCTCGACTTTCATGCCTTGCTGCACAACTCACACCCCTTAACGCCGTGGTTATGAATTCATCGTAAGAATACCGCGGCAGAGAACCGCATACGTCAATGCAGATACTATCGGACAGTATAAGGCTCGATCACTCTGGCTGCTTGGTTCAAACCATTGACTACAACATTACTAAGGGAGTGCGGAATTGGTGAAGATGGTCCAGTTGGCCTACATATGATTGGCTAAAACCGTGGGTTTGCGTATACTCTAACCATCTTCGTAAACAGAAGGGGAGCAAGAAGAAGGGACGGAAAGAATGTAAGCTACGAATGTGGAACCACGAAATATTGGATTGCCTGAAAGGTTGAGCACGATAACAGAATCAGAAGAGAGCTGCTGCGTCCAGGTAGATATGGCTACAAGTATAAGATGGTCCCAGGTTGTTCGTGTTGTTCTGATTGTTGTCCTTGCATCACTTCTCTACAACATCTTCAATAGCTCAGGCACAAGTCACACAAGCAAAGGCCGCAACTTCAGAAGACCCAAGTTTACCAGAAAACCGACTCAAGACTCAGCCATGGCAAACGAATATCTCAAGGCTATTGCCAGCAGGCGAACAATCTATGCACTAGCAAAAGAATCCACCATTTCCGTTTCACGTATTCAGGAGATCTTGACAGAAACGATCAAGCATTCGCCATCTTCATACAACAACCAAGCTCAAAGAATCGTCCTGCTGCTTGGCACGGATCATGAAAAGCTGTGGGAAATCGCTGATGAGACAGCCAAGAAAAACCTGCCTGAGGAAGTCTATGGTTACCTAGGCCCTAAGCTAGCCGGGTTCAGGGCCAGCTATGGTACCATCCTGTTCTTCGACGATGCTGCCACCATGAAGCCATACAAGGAGAAACATCCTGGAATGCCGTTCGACCAGTGGAATACACATTCCCAGGGTATGCTTCAGATCCATACATGGGATGCTCTCGAGTTGGAAGGTCTCGGTGCCAACGTGCAGCATTTCGATTTTTTGCCGGGCTTTGCTCAGGTGGTGAAGGATAATTGGAAGCTTTCCGAGGACTGGAACCTTCATGCACAGATGGTGTTTGGAAAGCCTACGGGAGGGCCTGGCCCTAAGAGCTTCGACGATATCGATGGCAAGAGGCTTCTGATCTTTGGTGATAAAAGATGATGCACAGGCGGTTCGGTGGTGTATAGCATAGCACAAGCATTCTCTGGTACTTGTTGAATAGACTTGCTTTCCATTTTCAGACGTGCTTCGAAGCTTTTTACTGATCCTTACGGAATGAGTTCTCTGTCACGACCACAGACGGACTGCATAATGGTATCGTCGCCTCTGTAATATTTACGTCTTTGAAGCACAGATACGACGATCGGACTGTCGCATGGCCTCTATCATTTCCAATGCAAGAATTACTATCATTCTGTTCTTTGCGTTAGACATATAGGGTTGGCCCAGAAAGAGTTCCAGATTCGAAAGAAATCGAACTCCTCGGCTGCTCAATACACCACTCGTGGTAAGGCCGATAAAAGACGGAGGCACACCAGACGTGGTGGAAGGCTTATAGGTTAATGGTCTTGCAATATCGCTTATTGTGTTGGTAGTGTTGTGGTTGAGCGGACATCTCTCACTAGCCATATACCTGCTGTATAGCTCCGCACTTGCGATACTGGTACAGACAACATCGTTCGTGCTACAACGTGCAACATTCGATTTATTGCCTCGAAGTTGTTGCAGGCCACGGAAGTGGATTGCACAGCCTTCGAAATCGCCCGCTGCCTGGTAAAGAACAAACAGGTAGTAAACCGTGAGCATCAGAGCCTCTGGAGATTGTGCATCGTGCGTCGCTAAGCGTGACCCGAGCTGGGTCAACACTTTGGCAATATGCGAGCGGATATCAGCTGTTAGTCTTTGTGATGGTGCCACGTAGTAGCGTAAGGATACCTTTGAGAATGCAATCATGGTCTCAAACAGCATAGGATCGTTGACAACCATGGCAAGATGGGCACGCCTCGGGATTGTCTCCAGCGACATAAGATGCGCAGACAAGACTTCGGGACGGTTTCAGAAAAGACATGATATCAACGGGGTGACCAGGACTTACGGTTGTCAAATGCAAGCTGAACATCTGGCGCGCTCTCCAAGGGCAGCACATCAAAAGGCCTGCTTCCCAAGCATCCCAATCTCGGATTGGGATGCAGATGAGGATGTAGCAATTTGAGATGCTGCTCCCGCCCTGCTTCTCCTGCATTTCTCTGCTGCACAACTGCGGCAGGCATGCCATATTGCACAATCCGCAACGTGGAGGTGGTGTTTACAACCTCAAGACATACTCGACCAGATTTCGAACACCTCAGACAAGCAAGACGACCGTCACAACCACGAGTTTCGTCACATTTCTTCCTCCGTTGCTTACAGTTTCCACAGCCAGTTCTGACCTTGGTCGTGCCAACTCGAGTGCTGGGAGATGTAGTCATGGTCATGGCGAACTGAAGCCGGTAGAAAACAAAGATTCAGAGGATAACAAAAGTCAGACTACTAGATACGTAGATGTTGTGCAGATTCTAGACGATACTTGGGATTACGGCCATGCTGCAAGCCTTTAGTTTACCTTGAATTAATAAGCGCAAGGAATATTACCGCTCATCTTCGGGTATAGTGGCTCATTACCAGTGGGTCTACTCGTGCTTTCTGCATGTATCGAGTAGAAGCTCGCGCTTCTGATAGCCTTAACGCCCATATACGTGCCATACTGGGACGTATTCAGAACGAGTTGATATCGTACGAGGCACGCCTTCCTTGAATGGGATTATGAACTAACGCAGCAGATATACAGAGGTCGAGGACGTTTCTGTTTAGTTGCCGTTTTTATGGTTTCTCAACAGGGATATTCGGCTAGTTGACGAGAGAACGATGATGCGCCATCGACGAGGCTACACGAGGCCGAACACTCTGCCGGGAATATCGACCTTCTCATCGATCTGCTGCCAGTAATGTAAGAACGGCTTTCCTTCTACACTTACTGGTTCTATCTTCCTTTTGCTATGGCACAAATGGCTCCGTCTAGGGGCGTCACCTGTTGCTGTCGACGCGCGGTACAATTCACCTGGTCGCAACCACAACAGCGGAGGACGATGATCTCCCTCCATGCTGGTCCGGTAGAGAAACTTCAGATACCGCCAGGACTTCCACAACAATACTGGTCGCAATTACCCAAAAGACTGAGACCTGAGGAAGGTGTGTGCTAGGTCGCAAAGTAAGCTGAAAGTCGAACTGACAGATCTAGCAAAACGGAGAATAAAGATATTTCCCTCACTAAAGTCAGAAGCAACGACCTGCAAAGAGCCCATCAAACTCATCGAACAGCAACAAATCAAGCTATTAGATCCTAATGGCGCACGTACGCGATTGTTCGATCCGAAGAATGCTGAAGGAGCCAAAGCAGGGGATATCATAATGGCTACTTTCAAAACAGGAGAACCATTCTCAGGCGTAGCCATGTCGGTCAAATGGAGGGGACCCCACACATCTGTATTACTACGAAACCAATTGACTAGGGTAGGGACCGAGATGGACATCAAGGTCTTCAGTCCACTTGTGAAAAGCATGGAGATTGTACAAAAAGCAGTCAAGAGGCCGAGAAGAGCAAGACTGTTCTATTTGCGGAAACCTACCCACGATGTGGGCAGCGTTCAGAAGATTGTGGATGATTACATGAGAAGAAGGTCTACGTTGGTCGGAGGTCAACCGCAAGGAGGAAACCACTCAAAGATACAGACTGCTCGAAGAGGTGCGCGGGGTGGTCCTCGTCGTTGATTAATGGTCTATGGCATGTGAGCGGATTTGCGAACAGCTGTGCTCCTATGTGCAGAATGCAGCTTTCAGCTCCAGACGTTCTACTCCTCGAAATACACTAGCGGGGCATGACCAAACACTTTCAGCTTATCCTCAGGCATCTTAAAGTGATTGTAACGGTTTTCGGTCCGTCATGCTAGAGCCGGTCAAGTCAAACACGATCATGGAAACACCCAAAGAAACTGGCGTTTGCATTAATTCATGATTTTTACGGTGATCCGAAATGATTTCGAGCTCAAACATTCATATCAACCTCACTTCTTCATCACAATTAAATGATCGACTAGGCTAGTACACTGTCACTAAGTGGATAGGCAGACACTGAGCAGGTTTCTCGGACTATTTAAACCCTCGACCATAATCTCAGAATTCGGATCGTCCTTCATAACAAACATTTCCTCGTACATCTTCTGAGTTGGTACAAATCATCTCAAAGTTGGTTGATCAAATCTGCCAACATGGAAAAGGCTCATGCATCAAGACGAATTCCGTACGATCCCTCATGGGAAGCCATGCTTCGATTGCCTCCATGTCCTCCTCCTAGCAAGTTTCCTTACCCTTACCCTGACTGCCAATCAGTACATTCCTCGCCTGGCCTAATGCCTGCTCACAGTCAAGGCGTTTCTCATCCACTTCGATCAACGACACCTCAGTACATTCCAGGCTCGCCTTCGTTCTCACCATCCTCACCTCAATTTTCGCCACCTTTGCCAAGTCACTCGCCCAGTTCCCTCCAGAGTAGTGCAATGTCGCCTGAAGTTCCGTCAACGCTACCACAGTACGATCCTGGCTCAACGTGTTACCCATCTGCACTGCCTTCACACCCAGCCACACAGTCGAGCCTGTTGTCATACTCACCTCTTTTCAACATGTCACCTCCTGGTGGTAACGAGAATATGCAGATGCCCGCTCGCGCCTTTGCTTGTCCGAGCTTCCAAGAAGCTATCAATAAACTGCCAGTACTTGGAAATGCTGCGGTGGAATCGAAGACCAAATCTTCAGCTCCACACTCTGCCGAACATTCTGAAGTGACCATTGGTGTGCAAAAGGCATACGAAACGCTCGGACTTTCTGCTGGTACGAAGGCCAAAGATAGCACGGTTGCGGAACTCTTTCGAACAGAAGTCGAGGCTAAGCCCTCAAAGAAGAAAGAATTGATTCAAAGTTTTGTCGAAATCATGGCATATCGAAAGAGCGAAGAACTACAAAACACTCTTTCGCAGTTCTTGAAGGATGATTCTGCCTCTGCATCCAAAGCTCCAGAGAGCAATCAATTCTCAGTAGCCAGATCCAAGCTCACAACTGATCTGTTTGAGCGCTCGAAGCCGTACGGTGAAGGTGCACTCAAGCCTGATGATGCGATAGAAGTTCTGGCAAAGGAAATACAGAAGTCAAAGCTGGCCAACGCTCAACCTGCAGCTGCAAAAAGCAATTTGACCAGCCAATTGCAGGCTGTCGAGCAGAAGGACTTTTGGACCGAGACTGATAGGATTATTGTCAACGGTGTCAAGTACTTTAAGGCTGGAACTGAGACGGCAGTCAAGCCCATCGAGCCGGCCAATTGTCTCGACAACAAGACTTCGATTCCTCCGACGTCTGCCAATACAGCCCGTCTTGTAGAAGGAGCTGGTGCAGGTGACAATGAAAGTCGCGCGACTGAGGCTAATTGGGATAGCACCAACGATTTCGACACTGGCACCCTCTCGTCAGACAAGCCATACACTGAAGGCACTATCCAGAACCCTTATGTTATGAGCAAAAATAGATTCAGCAATGAGCTTGTGCAAGTCATCCTTGGGGACGACTGTGAGTGGGATTCAGGCTACTACACGCTTTACATTCACAAGCCTGCCCTTGAGGTCCTTCTACATTCTCCTGAACACCAACATCTGCGAAAGAACTTGAGTACCTCTGAACCATTAGTCCTTGAAAATATCAGAGCAACGACCTTTGAGTTCATCGTCGCCAGTCTATATGCTGGTAGCGTTGGACTGCCATGTTGTTTTGAGGGTCGTTCGGATATGATCGACTTGTACAGACAGATTGCCAGGTTCGGTCTCGATGGCTTTCGGGCCGGAGTTCTAGAACTATTTGACAACACTGGCTGCTTCCGCGACTTCTGGAACGCATCAGGAGCTGTGTATCGACAGGAGTCGGCCGACGACTACTTCCGATCCTATTTCAAAGAACGCCTCGCGATTTGGTTAGACAAGCCTGATACCGCATGGCGGGAGTCCTGCAGAGGTAAACAGACATGCTGGGGCACTTGCAGTACGGGTCGTGCATATTTCAAGCAAGCATTGGTGCACGGGAATCATGGACTAATCTTCATGAGAGATGTCTTGGATGTTCTTGCCGACCGGGAAGTCAGATTAGATCAAGCTCATGGTGTACTCAACGAAGGAGTCAAGCAAAACGGCAATGATTGTGACGACGACGATGATGATAAAGATGAGGAAGACAGCGACTACGAGGATGACGAGGATGCAGAGATTGACGACGAGGACAACGATTATGAGGACGAGGAGGAGAATGGCTATCAAGATGGCGAGGATAATTACGACAATGCTACACAGTCTAACAACGAGAACAAGATTGAACCTTCGAAACATGCACAGTCATCCGCAGACCGAGGCTGGAATACTTCTATTCCTGCCGGTAGTCGGGATCGCGAAGCAAATGCACCGGCAAGTGGTTGGGATAATTTCGATACTCCCGAAAACGAGTGTCTTGTCTCGGGCCAGCGAGTTCAAAATGACCGAAACGTGTACTCGCAAGGGACTGACTGGTGTCAAGAAGGCAACGTTGAGTGGGATCATAGTGACGCAAATATGCATGCCTACCCATACTGGCATATCGACAATGATCACTGCGATTTCGACGATGTGCCACCTGTTCCTCCACCAAATCCTCCCCTACCTGGCGCGGCACAGAACGGGTCCGGCGTGACTGCCTTTGCTGTCAGAGACTCGACTGAATGGGATTGCTCGATCTCTTTCCGAGCTGGTGAGCGAATCGAGTGCTTGGTAAGTCTATGGAGGTTGAAAGTTGACGCGGCTAACTCTGGTACAGATTGGTGTAGCAGTGCCACTGCGAAGCACGGTTGATGGCAGTACCCCAGTCCCTGTCCTGGGCGGCAATGTTAGAGGTGTCTTCGGAACCTTTCCTCAGACCTATGTCCGAATCCAGACAGCCGGCGAGACCCCCTTGCCCAAGCCCTTATCACTCACAGCTGTTGGTATCTACAATCATCTTGTCGGAGCGGTTGAAGGAGACGGCAAGAACGCACAGGCCATACCCAATCACTTTGGCTGGCACGTCAACGAAGTAGTTAGAGCTGCGAACGAATTGGTTGAGGCTGGTCGTATCTTCAGTACCACAGACGAGTACACCTGGGCTAGCCTTGATCGTGGTGACTATATCCTTGACTATGATGACAACGGAATTGGTCAAGGTGCTACTTGGTAGACTGTGGTCTTGGCACGGGATGCTTCACGAGTTGTCCACCAAGGCAACCACAGGTTCATAACACTATCGGACATAGAGCTTAAACTTCAGTCTATCTGACTAAATGCACACAATTGCGGCAAATGATGATTTGAAACTGTAAACTCGCGCCATAGAGCGCTTCCCTACTCTTCTCGAGTTGCTCTCCCTGTCTTGCACTCGATCATAACCCTCACCATGTCATCCGAAGATCCATTCCTCGAGGTGCAAGCGTAAGTCCTCTCTACAACGATCCTACCACCACCATATCTCTACAATCGACAGCATAGACTAACAGGGCAACCCTAGCGACGTCCAATCCCTTCTCTCCCAAACCCGCACCCTCTACTCCTCCTACCTTCGCATCCGCACCCTCTCAAGCACCAAATCCAAAACCGGCCCATCCCAAGAACTCCTCCAGTCCCGCTCCGAACTAACCTCCAACCTCGAAAACCTCACCTCCGACCTCTCCGACCTCCTCGACGCCGTCCGCGCCGTCGAACCAGACCCCTACCGCTATGGCCTCGACGTGGCAGAAGTTCAGCGTCGCAAGGCTTTCGTCCGAGAAGTCGCGGATGAAGTAGATTCTATGCGTGCGCAGATACAGGATGTTGGGAGTAACAACACACCACACAATGCGCTGCCGGATCCCGACGCGTTTGGACGTGACGAGGACGAGTACAATGAGGACAGCTACGAGGCGAATGAGGTCGCGGTGCAGCAGACTATGATGCGGGAGCAGGATGAGCAGCTTGACGATGTTTACAGGACAGTGGGGAATCTACGGTCTCAGGCTGAGGATATGGGGAGGGAGCTGGAGGAGCAGGGTGTTATGTTGGATGAGGTTGATACACTTGCCGATCGGGTTGGTGGGAAATTGGCGGTTGGCACGAAGAAGATTGGGGAGGTGATTAGACGGAATGAAGACACATACAGCAGCTGTTGTATTGGTGCTTTGATTGTGGTATTGATCATCTTGTTGATTCTGGTAATTGTGATATGACGGATTGGCAAGTATTGATACAAGAGAGAAGCTGTGCAATGGCTGCGAGAACGATGCGGTGACTTGATGGCATAAAAAGCAAGACAATCTGAATACGAAAAGGTGTGGATAACAGCGACTTCTGTCCCTACAGGTCATGGGCCATACTTGGGGCATCGTGAAGGCTTTGCCCAGGTATTGAGCTCTCCGTACTGCCAGTCACTGCCAGACTTCGAAACAGCTGAAAGATGATATTCGAAGATACGACGGTTCGGCAGCCATCGGTGTGAAAGAGCGCAACAACTACAACTATTATTTGACAAATGCCAGCTGTTGCTGCAGAATAAGACGAAAAGAAGATAGAGTTGGCACGATCTTCCTCGAGCCCTCCTTGCATGCATGGAGGGCTCTAAGGAAATTCGCTGTGCATTTATGCGCACATTTGCACCACTTTCGAAATGAAGTTGGTGGTACTGGACAAACCTTCGACCACCAGCGATTGGTGTGACATGTTTCCTGGATTGCCAAACATTTGTCGATTATCTCTGCTCGCAATCAACCATTTCAATCAACTGCACTCTGAAGTCTCCAGGTATTTGGTTTACCACTTCAGCAATGGACTCTTAGTCGCCTTGTTCAGAACATCTCCCGTTCATTTTCCACCTTTTTGGGTCGGACAGCCTTTTCCAAGAATCCGTCTCGGTATCTTGGTTGTGCTTCGTCGATATTGACTACGAAGATGGACTTCCTATCCCCACCGGAAGCATACTTTACCAAAAAACCATGCGGAGAAGGTATCGAATCGTCGCATAGTACATTGGTGTTGCTCAGCATTCACTTGTTCACCTAACCACCAATTTGGATCAATGCCAAGGACGGCAATACCGTATTCGCCTTCCTCTGCATAAAACTATCTTCCACAGAGAACTCATCGATCATACCAACCTCGACGGCAACAAGGTCCTGGCGACGTGTATTGCGGTTATAGTGCCTCAACATGTTGAAAAAGCTAAAGAGTGGGCAGGATCTCTACTGAGGACGAACAGCGAGGAGAGTCAGGTACTCCAGCACTACCAGTCGCTACACTTGTTGGCAGGATGCCGCGTTGTCTCGGATTTGACCCTACTGGCCCAGCATATAATGAGACTAACAGGTTTGGCACTTGACTACTGCTGTGTGCATACTCGTCCCACCCGTCACTGCATCTACAGGAAGCCCCGGCCTTAGATTTATGTGTTCGTTCGACGGATAGAATCTGCGAACGGCTAGCGCTATGTGAAAAGTGTCGATTCCTTCGTGACGCGGTGATGCAAGACTTCGACCTAAACAGAAGAGGGAGATGAGACGTCACAAGATATACCAGACACTTCGAACGAGAGTTTCAGATGAGGTAAATGCGATGATTACGTTTGCTGACACTTACATGTCACTATATCATGGTATATGTTATCGCAACTTTGCAGAACAGTCACCTTCTCATACCTCGCTTTCTACTTACCACAATCTGCACGAGTACATTCAAACCTCGAATCTTGTATCGGCAATCCGACAAGAAGACACTACAAACCCCTGGCAAATCCTCAGCTTGATCGAGGGCTGTGGACGATTTTCGAAGTTGACCAGGCAAATGTGTTTAATGGTTCAGTCGCACTTCATCTTTCACTTGCTAGTGAAGATTCTACGGTAACCTGCCCCCACCACGTGTTCCTCCTGTCACTAATTCACAATTCGCAACAGAACATTTACCTCTTCTCGTCATCTTTCATCGGAAGTAATTGTCTGACCTTCTCGTCTTCTTGTTTACCCTCCTCACAAAAGATAGCCTCGACACGATGTCTGATCCTGCAGATCCTGCACCATTTCGTCTCCTCAATCTCCCTCAAGAAATCCAAGACAAAATTTACGAAAAGTATTTTGAAGGAGTCAAACTTGTATATCCCTTGGTCAAGTCCACGGTGCCCAGTCTGCATATTGAGCAAACCTGCAAGAAGGTTAATCGAGACGCTAGGAATGTACGAGAAAGAGTCTGGCCACGAAAACTAGAAGTAAACATTCACTTGCTCGAGGATTTTCTTGAGCTGCTTAATGGAAGGGCGAACGCGGAATGGCTCGTCGATCGAATTGATACCTTCCACTTTCTCGCTACGGATCTCTTCTTTGGAGATAACTTGAGTAATGTATATGAGGCTATGATCTGGCGGTCGGTCTCTATATCTTGGCCAAACCTGCGAAACGTTTACTTTTCGTGGACTTTAACCCTTTATCTTGACTTCTTCAACACTGATGAATTCGCGGAAAACATTTCACGCGTAGTGCCATACATTATGCACTCACCAAGTGTCTCATACATGCAGGCAGAACTCGGTACTGGTACAATAGCCACCATGCTTGCCAATAAATACAGCGAAGAGTATAAAGTCCAGGTATATAAGCTCTACACCATCAAGATGAAACTACAGGGGTCAGGCACCTTCATATTCTACCAGGTGAGTAGAAGCCTGCACCTGTAATATGCAGGCCTTACTAACAGGTGTAGGCTAGCAAGACGAACATCAGATCTACCGAACATCAGGTAGTCTACAACTATGTCGCCTCGAATGACTCAGGCTTCAACGATACCTTCAAGGAGGAAGGCGCTAATTTTCCCGATGGAGAGCTCGAGCGATGGCTGGATGACGGAGTGCACCGAATGCCTTAAGATGTGAGGTCACAAGAACAACGAAGATGAGGATAGAGTTCTGGCAAACGAGTGGTTACCAGAGCCACGAGAAGATACCATGCAGACCCTAGCCGTGCTATCAAGAACACACATAGCAGAGGACTATTGTCGGATTCTGCATCGACAATGTTTCCACAAAAAAAAAAAACACAAAAAAAAATTAAATAACCACACAAAAAACTATACCAATGTAGCACCGAACAGCGCACATTTTGGAAGTTATTGACAGG